GAGTAAGGTTTCCAGCAAGAAGGTCGACGATTAGCATTTACAGACAATTGCTGTGATTAAAGCAAACTACGAAACGACCTATCAAGTTCTCTTGGCTGACCGAAGTGATTCAGCCTGCAAAGGGTAGTGGAGAGGCCGGTGCAGGGAATATGACGCTAATCAATTTCAAACTTCGCTACCTCGAAAAGCCTGCGACAACACCCAAAAGCCCTTCGCTACGTCTGACTGGTTGTGCTGATCCAATACTTGGGTTAGTTCGTGTTCACCAAAACTTTATGCTGTAGGGCGACTCCCTTGCGAGCGGCCCGCGCGCCATCTTTTTGCTAGCATCCCAATGGCAATGCTGCAGGATCTCATCCTAGTCTTGCCCAGTCGCTTGGTCAATCAGTAGGTCTGAGTTGAACTAGACGCTACAAGCATGGACGATCCTCACTGTTGGTGCACCCCTGAACGATAATCCCAGTCCCCTGTGTAGATCGCACACCCGCCCCTCCTATCATGGCGCGTTGCTCGAGTACTTTCTTGGTGTTCGTGCTGTGAACAGTGAGGAAACGTCTGTCACAAAATACAGTGCAATATTTCCTTGGACTTCTCGTTGAATGTCTTTGAGCCCTTCATGAGCCGAGGTGGCGTTCTCCCAGAGGTTCTGTTCAACCGAACCCTAGAAAGTGTCATCCTCGATTACCCACACCCCAGCAACTGGTGTACCAGCCAGTTGGGAGGGTACTATGCATTGTACGTGCCTATTTCGCGCAGCAGCGCGATTGATAACAATTACTCTACACATCAGACTGAACCGCTTTACTTCCTCGATTAGACGGTCGGGACTCGCAAGTCACGCAGGCATCAGACGTATTGTTGGCTGATTGGGTACATGGCTCGCACAGAACATCCCTGTCCGCATCATTGCGCCCATCTCAACGACAAGTACGATCAGTTAAGCAATTGCTTGCATATATATGCAAATTGCAATAATGGGTACACAAGATCAGTCCCTGTTGACGGCAAGTGACGAGGTCGTATAAGATGAGTGACACTCCCTTTGAAGAACTGATGCAAATTCTTTTCGAGTCGACCCGAGAAGACAACTTGACGAACGGTACGAACAACCAGTTCCAATTCGACAACTAGATCCGCATCTCCGCTTCGTTTCTACGCCTCAAACTCGGCCACGCGAGAACCACTTCTGCGACCTCTGGTAAATTATATTAAACATATCGGACTCGAATTGGTAGAAACAGGCGAATAATTGTGCCAATTGATCACGAAAGAGAACCGAGGAAGACTTGGTTCTGGAGCAAAGGAAACATCTGTGATTTTATTCGAGGCTTGTCTTGAATTCGCGAGGTACGCTTTATACACATTTCTGTTTATGTTTCTTAAGGCTTGCACTTCACAAGCCTATCCCATCATTCTTCTCTAGTTATCGTTTCGTTCTCTTCCCCGCTTTTCGACTCGTATCAAAGAACCTTGTCATTACTCAAATCCCTCTGCCACTTAGTTCTGTTCAAGAGTCGACGGCAGTGGCGCTTTAACGTGCTCTGTGCTTCAACAACGTTGACTGCCAAAGAATGGATGCCAGTGTCAGAGGGGCCAATCGTTATCTTGTCGAACCCTGTACACAGCGGCCATTTCGCATCTACTGTTTATCCTTCTAAATCTTTGCTCTGTATCCCCCTCGCGTAAGGTGTAATTGCACGAAAGCGATCCGCAGTCGTGTGGTTACTTAACACACTCTTGAGACTCCAAGCCACTATGTCATGAATACGGAAAAATTACCTCAGAGACCAGTCATGGTGAATGAGAGTCTATTTGCCGGTGCACAAAAAGCAAGGGAGACTAATTGAATTGGAGTTGACAGATTTGACCCAGAAGAGTGCCGGCAAGACGATCACTGATCACTGATCATCCTACACAACAGACCGGGGTCTTATTTTGGTCCGGCTTAATCCTTGTTCAGCGCGGAACCCCAGCATCCCGGCAAGCAAGTGTCAAGCCGCCCCGGCTTGCTGATAATAGCACCTCTACACTGGCAGGCTGGCACAACTTTACCTTGGCATAACGATTGAAGTGGTGGCCTACAAAGTTGAATCGTTGACGCGAATACGGTCGGTTGATGCGTGGTGGTCTGCCAATTCATAGTTGTTTCTTTTTTGACGACTGATCGTCGGGGCATTGTTGTCAGAGGCTAAGCTGAACAGCAAGCTCCATCGCAATCTCGTTCGAAGGTGTTCTAAATTTCGGCTGCCCGCTTCCCGAAGATCTTTCTTCCGAGCTTGCTTTTGAAGGTGAGTTACACATATCCTGTTTTCTTTTCTTCAACACCAAATCTTGCCTGTCGGGTATACCCTCATCTCACGACCTGGAAGAGCTTGAGAAACTTGGACCACAACTGCACGGGGTAATGTACCCAAAAGATGGAGGAGTTTCTACAAAGGAGAAAACAAATGGAGACGGGAAGACGGGAACGGACCCAGTACGGTTAGGACCGCACCTCCTGGGATGGGGATGGAGATGGATATGGAGCCCTCTTTCTTTTAATCCCTTGAGTCTTTACTCCCTTGGGTCCCATGGTTATTACTGGGCAACGCTCTTCAGCCCTTATGAACGATCTTGGCTTGCCCTGGATACCCAGCTGATGCTCCCTGCGCCGTGCACAATGCACTACCGACACCCTTGCACACCACTATTGATTCCCTTCTCGGAGCCCAACCAATCACTGCTGATCTGGCTAACGACACACCTAAGTCTGCCGCTCGACTACCACCCACGCATTACGCACACATTCATATCGTTTTCAGGCACGTTGTAAACCGTTCTTTTTTTTTAATCCGGATTCTTCCCTTTCCTTTTTTATCGGTCCGCCTCAGCTGGGCTTGGGTACCTTACTGGATGCTTAGCAGAAGAATCCACTTGGGGCTAGTATGCCCCTTCTCTTAGGCTCATATTCCATTTCCAAGCCTTTTTGCTCCAGGTCTTTATCAGGCTTTACCTCAAGGTGTCTGATCAAAGGGTATGTATCCTGGTATTCATAGCCCACACTCCTGTGGATTTGCGGTGTCTACGTCTTGCCGCCTGTCGTGTTCTACGCGACGTGCCATGATCGCATGGGCCCTGGATACCTCGGGATGCCTGTGGATAAATGCTGAACCAGCAAAGATCTTTGTCCCGGTAGCACATGATGAAGCCGTTGCCAGAGATATCCAAGTATTCAAGTCATGCTTTCTGGGAATAAGCTACCACCTGGCACACAGAAGGGACTCAGATCGAGCTTCTCCACCGTTTCCCGAACCCATGATGCTCTCTCCCCACCAGTTGACGCTGCCGTCACCCTTGCAGGAGGCTTTGAGACACTCGAGGATCTGGCATAACGGCCAGGTCTATTCCTAGTCTCCGCAGATGTCATGGCCATGGTCTGTCTCCGAGAATTACCTGGCCCGTCTGTTACCCTCAGCGCTATCGCTCCCGCACACAAGCTGCTTTAATGTTCATGGTTATTCCCTTGCCTGAGGGATACTTTTGAGATAGGCGAGTGGGGGGCGGGATCGCCAGACAAGGGTCTCGCAGACTCGACTTGGATGTCCAAGGCCAAAAGTATCCAGGCGCACCTTTCTCCCTCCCTCCCTTACCCTGGCACCTTGTCCCCATTTCGCTTCCAGTAGAGGCGTTCCTCCCTCTTCATTGGCTTCTGCAAAAAAAAGAAGGGATGGAATAGATACATACATCCAGCCACAAGCTCTAACTACTGATTTTATTTCGCCCTTCTTCCTTGCCTCCCCGCCCTTCGGCTTGATACCTGCTCAAGAGCATCTGAATCATCACTATCTTTTCTTGATGCAGGGCAAATATCTTGCATACACAGTCCAGCCTTCGAAAAGAAATGCTCTTCCATGTTTTGTCTCCCTCATCTACCTCTAACGCATCTTTCAACATTCACAGCCGAATCTTTGACTGCCCCAAAGTCAAGACAGTTGCTTGCCCTTACTGCACCATCTACCCGTCTGTCTGTCTCTCCTTCCACGCCCCAACTGTAATCCAAGCCGAGTTGGATCGGATCCATGGCCTCACGGGGTCCTCCACAAGCGCAATATTGTTAAGCACTGGTTGGTGAAGCTGAACTGACCATCAAAAAGTTCAGACGCCCTTGCAGTCGAACAGCCTGTACAACTATTCTGGAGACACTTGCTAGACCCTTAGTCTCAGTTTGCCCGTTGACAGCATATGGGATACCGAATCTGCAAGGTACGAACTTGATGATACTAACTTGTGTTTCTTGAAGCACGACATAGGTGTGGCAAATCGAGCCCATAGTCGCTCTTCTCGATTCATGCCAAGTACTCGGACTAACCGGTTATCCAGGATCTTACCCTTAACGTTGACATCTGTCAACTACAGGACGAAACCCTGCACACCTTCATAGAGGGTTGTTTATTTGTTATTCTTTTTTAAACGTGTTCCTGGTGGACAGTGCCACGCATACCTGAGCACGTCTAGCCCGACCTTCCTGCGTCAAGGAGTTCAGTTCCCCAGCTCTTGAGTATTATTCTCCCTCGACCGAAGAAGCCTTTGCTCTCGAGGGCAACAACATCTACCCTTCTTGGAATGCAAGTGTCTCTGCGCTGGATTGGAACGCACAGTTACCCCCCTCAGCTTCTCGCAACTCTCCAGTAGGATCCCCGCCATTTACCTCGACTGTTTCAAAGCGCCACCTCCAGGACGCAAAAGCAATTCAAGGGAGAGACTGGCCGCCAGCACTAAGCACTCAACAACATCATTGCTACATATTACTGCATGCCCTGTGCTAGATCAAATCTCCGAGAGTCAAGACTCGTATATCGATCATTGTCTTGGTCAACCTAGACCCACAGCATAAGACCTCGTCGAGACCTAGTCTTAACTACGACTGCGACCACTTCTATCCAAGACAAGTGACCTACATTCTCGACTTGCCTCCCTGAACAAGAACCATTTCTCCAGTGTTATCCCTTTCGATTGCTTGAATGTCTACTGTCAAGTTCCAGTGTCCTCCCTACAAGCTTTTCGAGGTGAGTCGCAACTTCAATCTTGTTCCAACGCTCCCGTGACACGACAGATCCCTTTTGTTCCTCGACGCCGCCCACAAGCCTGCACGGGGTTTCTCTTTTGTCTCCCTCTGTTGATATCTGCTTGTCTTTCAACGTCTCGTCTCCATATTGTTTCGGGATTCTGAACACTGACATCAAGATTCTCAATAGCCTGACTACCATCCGCAAAAGCCCATAATCGTCGGAGTCGACGACAGGCTTGAATCGCCTGACACGATCACGCTTCGTTACGAAGAAGCTGCTCGAGCAGAGAACGGGGGAGACCCAAGAGGGGACTCCCCTCCTAGGCTTTTAGAGATGGCAACCTATACCAAGGCCCAGCTGCCTTCCATGCACGGTAAGTCAACTGGCCAAAGTCCTTGTCCTATGCGTCATGGGAAGTTGTGCAGTGTTCGAATGGTGTCGATACTGCACTTGACCCGAGACCAATCCAGGCTTTCATGACTTCGAACCAATTTCACTAACAATATAACAGCTGGTTACGATGTGACACGATACCAAGATGCTGGATATGAACAGTATCCTACGCAGAGCTACCCGACACAGCAACAGTCTGATAAATTTGCTCAACTAAACCAGCAGTCTTTCGCTTCCAACAACGCTGCTGTGGCATATATGCCCCCTGCGCCAACAATTTTATCATGTCAGCCCGCGACAGGTGGCTTTGGCACCAAAGTTTATGTCAAGCTTTCTTCCCAGTACGACATATTCTCATTTTCGACACCAATGCCAACATGGTTTCTCGTGTTTGGCTCCGAAAAGTGTTCGGTTCAAGATGTTTCTCGAGATTTGCAGGACAGCTCTGGCTTCATCTATACTTGCAGTGGGGATGCTCCTCAATTTCTGGTCACAAACTGTGCAAACAGTAATGTGCCACTGTCACTCGTCCTTGACGGGCCACAAGGAGATGAAATTTCTCGAATTCCCGTTGGTACTTTTCAGTATCTCGAAGGGTCGGGGGATGACATCACGAGGTCGACTAAGATGCCTAAGCATGAGGACACGGCACCTGCCACTACGGTTGATCACCCGAGTGCCTCACCTAAAGTTGAACCTCTATCATCAGAGCCTGGTACAAATACATATGAATACCCACCTCAACAAGGACAATATGCCAATACATACCCGCAAACAAACAACGATATGATTAGCACTTACAACAGAAGCTCGAGCTTCACAGACCCTCACTACCATCGTCGCCCGACGACAGGATGGAGTCCCTACCCGAGCACACTGGGCAGCACAGGAAGAGGCCTGGCAGGTTTAGATGCTTCGATGGTTGGGCGTCCGCCTTTGACACCTCTGGGAATGTCGTCCCCATCTCATTCCAACGGCACTCCCCAACTGGTCCGAACAAGCACTATCACCGCCAATGCTGGAAACAACACAAACTATCATCCTATCTCTCTTTATTCTGGCAAGGCGGTTCTGAAGATTGGGGGCAAGCTGGAAACTATGGCTGAGAACTGGACATCGGAGGAATGGGCTAACCGTCGTCGGATTGTCCTCTTCCGTAAGACACAGAAGGGATCAACCGTCAACGCCACCTGTCAGTCAATAAGCGTGAACGATCGACCACCCAACAGTGTCTGCATCTCTTGTATCTGGTGGGCTGAGAAGGGCGAGTGTTATGTCACATCGGTCGACACTATTTATCTCCTTGAGCAACTTGTTGCGGCACCGAACCGCTTCAGTGTTGAAGAGAAGAACCGCATCCGCCGTAACTTGGAAGGATTCCATCCTCAGACAGTGTCCAAGGCTAAGCCTGACAGCGAAGAGTTCTTCAAGATCATCATGGGCTTTCCTAACCCCAAGCCCCGCAACATTGAGAAGGATGTCAAGGTTTTCCCGTGGAAGATTCTTGAGTCTGCACTCAAGAAGATCATTGGTAAATACAGCGTCAGTCCCAGCAGCACAGTGGCACCGCCGCCGAGCATGATGAGCCAGTCCAACGGACCATATGCGCCTCTGCCCACTCCTCCAGGCCAAAGCATGGGCCCAGTACACCCTGATGCTCATACACAATACTCTCTCCCTCAGCACCACGACTCTATACCATCTCCACGATCTTTGTCGGGCTCACAGCCCAGTTGGGCACCATACACTACCGCGCCACCAGGATACTCGACAGCAGCGTCTCGAACACTCAGTCCCGGTCTCCGCCACCATAGTCCACAACAACCACCTCTGCGTATCAACACAACACCCCTGCCGGCGGTTTCAACTTACGACAGCCGAAATGGAGGATATGGGACCAGCGGTTTACACACCCCGCTAAGCCATCATCCGCCGACTGCAACGCCTCCACGATGGGACCCCACGCCTGCGACATACCCAGAAGGCTACCCAAGCCTGACATCACAGGCAGCTCAGCCAGTGTACAGTACAGCGGGATATGGTGAGCCTGCACCGAGAGCATGAAGTGGCTGCGGCACTCTGTCGCCAAGGTCATCGTCGGATGACCACTGACTGCCGGGCATTTATCTCGTGTTGGCGTCTTGATTGTGTCCGAAGGTTGTATTCGGCAGCCTCGTGAACATTGGAGGAGGGTCGTGGGGGAGAGTCAGGTGTTGTGGCGCACGCCAATGAAGGACGCAAGCAAGACACCATCTTCCCCCAGAGCAGCCCGCTCAGCTCCATGAGCTCCATGTTGGTTTCGAGGATCCCGTTGATGATGGCGCCATTGGACGTGCAGGTGGTGGCTGTGGTGGTGCTCTATGCGCCGCACCCTGCCCTAGTCGCAATGACCAATTTGGACCAGCCTGGCCTTTCTTTGGACGATACAGCAACCAACAACAAGGTCAACAATATCAACGACTGGGCCCTGTCTTGGAGGAATAGCGCAACTCTTTGGCCCGCAACCTTTTTCTAGCGTGTGCGCGAGAATGGTCATGCGGTCACAACACGGCACTCTACAGTACCATTCAACCACCCCCTTGTCTTGGCCATGGATTGATGGAGCTAGCGGTCGGAGACCCAACCATGACTTGGCGGGTAGATCCGTCGAGCGCAAAGCAGGGATCACCTGTTGGCTACTGGCCATCAACCCAATCACACGACGCTGCACCTCACCACACCACATTATATACGCCTCCTAGGTACACTACACTCCACTACACCATGCGTGAGCCTGCGCTCGACGTTTTCAGGCGTCTTTTGTTCAGCGGTTTGTTCGGGTGTTATTCTTTCATGCTTGAGCTTTTTTGTCAATCTCGAGTCATTTTGTTTTACCCTAATGGCATATTATGGCATTTCTTTACCTTTTCATGTCCTGTGGCCTGTCAGCGTGGTGACGCCATGGTCGACATGGGTCATGTATCGGATGGACTTGTCGCCTATTTCTATTTGTTCTTTTTGTCTTATCTTTGCGGGATTGCATTTGTTCTCAGGATCTACATCATAGAGACTTTTTTTGGTTGGCTTTTTCCTGAATGGTTACAGGATTAGACGAGATGGCCTGGCCAGGGCTATGGATACGAATGGAATGCCTAACTGTGGTACTACGAAGGAATGTTAGGAAGATGTTTACATGGGTCTTTATTATCTACGTCGAGTTTTCCCAGGTCTAGGGATGTTGGTTTGGTTTGGACTTTGATCAATAGGCATTATACCCTCAGTGTGCATTCCTATGGCCCTACTCTGTATGGCTCTCTTGATTTTCCCAACTTGTTGTCAGCATGGCAAGGTCCAAACTTGTTATGTAGATAGGCGTTTGGCGTATATTTGGCAGATGGAATGAGAATCATTCTCTAGGCAAATTACTACTAGATAGCGGATAATCATAATTTTAGATGAGCCGTAATCGTTTTGGATTATAGTGTGCTTGGGAACGTTATTATTGTACAGCATTCCCTGGGGAGATTGCTCGGACACCACGAGGTTACATTTGAAGAACAAAGAATGATGGCTTTGGACGTATACGAGATCGAGAAATGGATAAACCGTTGCACTGAGTGACTTGAGATATGGATGGCCGTTGGCCAGTCAGATAATGGTGGAGTAAAGCGTTGAGAGAGGCATGCATTAAGATTGCGCGTGGACGTTTCGAACGGTGGCGAGAAAGTGAAAGTGTCACAAGGTCCCTGCATAAGAGTTGCATCTCAAAGGGATGGTTATGAAGCACGCATAGAGCCGTATTTAGAGTAGGAGGTGTGGTCATGACTTGGAGTTTGTGTCATTTCTGTTGTTCGAGCATGAAACGTTTGATGTGGTATTTTAGGACCCTTCCCTGCAGTGCATCAGCGACCATTCTTTGTATCTTTATGGTATAGCGCCACGGGCCTGACTGGACCGCGTGATTTATTTAGGTTTCGGTCTGGCTGACCGTTGGACTACTGTAAGGGGTCTTTTGGGATAGTGAAAGGGTAATTTTGACTTCTTTGGCTTTGAACCGTTACTATTCAGCACTGTCATACTTGTAATTGTAGTAGGCTTTTAGTTGGAGGTGAGAGGGAGAGCTGATGCCTTGTTCGCATGGCGGTGTCGTTTTGTTTTTTGAGGAGTGTTTTGATCATGCGGCTGGGTAGGATGTTCCATTCGGACATTTATTTTTATAGATATCCATACAATTATCCGAGGCAAGGCATATGGGATGGAGCCACTACAAGCTCTACATAATTCCCCCTGTAGAATTTGTCGAGTAGAATAAATATCACTACTACACGAATAAGGTAGATATATGAAAACTGTATGCTCACCGGGCTTGCATGAGGAGTCTCGAACAACGATCGATAGAAGGGACACTCAAATCTGCTCCTATCTTAAATAGTGGGATACCTAGATATGGAAGACCATATAGCTACACTCTTTTGCCCAGCACAGCAACCTTTCTAAACTATGGGAAGATCTTTGTGTCCAGTTTGGTTTCGGTGCGTAGCAAATACGTCTTTTGGTTCTTATGGGGTGCGACTTGAAGTTTATTAGACCAATAAATATCTCGATAACAATAGACCATAGCCACTCAAGCCGTCACATGAATACAGATAAAACCATTCTCTTCGTCACTTGTCGTGTTTTCAACTATACTGCTTGACTATATGTTGCGAAAATTCGCCCATGATGTATATGAACGGAGGCTACCAGAGGCCGGGGCATGGATTGAATTTCTTCGTCTCTTTCGCAAAGGATTGATTAATTATATAGAACTCAAAGATAGCCACGGTTACCTCTGTTAAGAAACCAAATATTGGAGAATCGCAAACTGCTTCCACTATTGCTCTATGTGGCTTTGTTTCTAGTAGTCAACCCAAGTTGAAGATTCAATCAACACAACCACAGCCGAATAAGGGAGGGAAGATGTCAAAGGAAAGCAAACTACAGGTAGAAATAGCATATAGACCCCATTAGCAAGAACCAATGGGGATTGAATCCAGATCTCAATTGATGAGTCCTTCCTTACACCTTGATATTGCATCTATCTGTATACGGTGGGATGAGATGCCATTGGCTACCTTATGCCCTGACAATCAATTAAAGTCGCGTAACGCTGATAGCCCCTCGACGCGTTAAAACGTGTCGCAACGCGTCGCCCTGTAATACGCTGTAACGCCTAGGATAACCCCACACTAAGCCCGTGCTTTGCCTTTGCCCTGGCAACTAGACTGAAATCTCCCCCTCGACATTCAACAATCAATTAATCGATCATCAAGATTGATTAAGCAAACACCAGCTCACTATCGTGCATCGTCACTCCCTTTCTTTGTTGATACCCTATACATACAGACGATCACTATTCTATACCAACGCCACAATGGCTACTCCCTCGAGCGATGTCGGCTTCATGATGTCGGATGCCCCCTCGCGGGCTGCTGCGACCCCTAGGCGCAATAACGGCTTCCCCTCCTCTTCGGCATCACGACCCAGAGGACCACCTTCAGAGAATCCAGGAGGAGCACCAAGTGATGATGAGGGTGATGGCTTTGCAGATGACCAGGTGCCACGAAGCTCAAGAGTCCCTAACTCTGCAGATATCTCCCGTGTTGAGGACAGGATTGGCATGCTCGTTCAGGAGCACTTCGAATCCTTCATTGAGAAGTGAGTATATGACCTCTAAACCGCTCATTATATATACAGCCATATCCTAACCACTCTTCCCCAACAATAGCTTCGCAGAAGATCCCATAAGTGCTCCTACACCAAGTGCTCCTACACCTAGCGCCGTCACCACAGACAAGTACTATGTTGCCCAAATCAAAGGCATGCGCACATATTCTCTCTCGACATTCTACGTCGACTATAGACACTTGGCTGCATACGAAAATGGAAGTTTGGCCGATGGTGTCATGCGCCAGTACTACCGATTTCTCCCCTTCTTGACCGCCGCTTTACACAACATGATCGCCAAGTACGAACCCATATACTTCCGCGAGCATCGACAGCCCACCGCTTCGAGCAACCTCACCACTTCTGCAGCTAGCCATCTTGGATCTGCCAGCCAGTCCGAGTCATCGCATCGCAAGAATGAGCATCAACAAACCGACAAGCTCTTCTCTATTGCATTCTACAACCTGCCTCTAGTCTCTAGAGTGCGTGCCCTCCGAGCTGCCAACATTGGACAGCTTCTCTCCATCTCTGGAACAGTCACACGAACCTCTGAAGTGCGACCTGAGTTGTCCATGGCTACCTTCACCTGCGAGGCCTGCCGCACCGTTGTGCCAAATGTTGAGCAGACATTCCGATATACGGAACCCACACAATGCCCCAACACGACATGCCAAAACCGAGTGGCCTGGCAGCTTGATATCCGACGTAGTACTTTTGTCGATTGGCAAAAGGTACGAATTCAGGAGAACAGTTCCGAGATCCCTACAGGTAGTATGCCTCGAACTATGGATGTTATCCTGCGTGGTGAAATTGTCGACCGCGCAAAGGCTGGAGAGAAGTGTATCTTCACAGGTGCCTTGATTGTTGTTCCGGATGTTAGTCAACTGGGCCTTCCCGGTTTACGGCCGACTGCTATTCGAGACGACCGCAATGCGCCTAGAGGAGCCGATGCCGGTGGAAGTGGAATCAGTGGTCTCAAGGCTTTAGGTGTCCGTGACCTGACATATCGTCTCGCTTTCCTTGCCTGCATGGTAAGCCCAGATACCTCTTCAAGTGGCCAATCTGCTGCTAGCGGTGCTGCCGATGTTGTCAATGCCTTGACGCAGAATACGGCCAACGACGGAGACCAATCTGTGGAGGATGCCCAAGCTGCTGTCCTGGCGTCCATGAACCCATCTGAGATTGAGGACCTCCGAGCAATGGTTCACGGTGATCACATCTACTCTCGCCTTGTGCAGTCCATTGCTCCCATGGTTTATGGCCATGAGGTCGTCAAGAAGGGTCTGCTTCTTCAGCTCATGTCTGGTGTCCACAAGAGTACCGCCGAGGGAATGCAGCTTCGAGGCGACATCAACATTTGCATTGTTGGTGACCCTTCGACCTCCAAGTCTCAGTTCTTGAAGTATGTCTGTTCCTTTGCGCCCCGTGCTGTCTACACCAGTGGTAAGGCTTCGTCTGCTGCTGGTCTTACTGCAGCAGTGGTCAAGGATGAAGAGACAGGCGAGTTCACCATCGAGGCTGGTGCTCTTATGCTGGCAGACAATGGTGTTTGTGCCATTGATGAGTTTGACAAGATGGATATTGCAGATCAGGTTGCCATCCACGAAGCCATGGAACAGCAGACCATCTCTATCGCAAAGGCTGGCATCCAGGCCACTCTTAACGCCCGAACAAGTATTCTTGCTGCTGCCAACCCTGTTGGTGGTCGCTACAACCGCAAGACAACTCTCCGCTCCAACATCAACATGTCTGCACCTATTATGTCTCGTTTCGATCTCTTCTTCGTCGTCCTCGACGAATGCAACGAGCAGGTCGATCGCCACTTGGCAGAACACATTGTTGGAATCCATCAATTGCGTGACGAGGCTGTCGAGCCTGAGTTCAGCACCGAGCAGCTCCAGCGATACATCCGCTTTGCAAAGACCTTCCGACCCGAGTTTACTGAAGAGGCCAAGGATGTTCTCGTGCAGAAGTACAAGGAACTCCGTGCAGATGATGCTCAGGGAGGTGTTGGCAAGAACTCTTACCGAATCACTGTGCGTCAGCTTGAGAGTATGATTCGTCTTTCCGAAGCTATTGCCAAGGTCAACTGTGTGGAGGAGATTAGCACGGACATGGTTGTTGAGGCTTACAACCTCCTGCGACAAAGTATCATCTCCGTTGAGCACGATGACGTCGAGGTGTACGACGAAGAGCCGCTGGAGGATGCTGAGACTCTCCTCCGTGCTGCAGATGCCGCTGCCGGCCTTGACCACGTAGACGCAGCTATGGAAGAGGAGGACGATGCCCAACCTGGTCGTAGCAGCGTGGCGCCTGAAAAGAAGAAGCAGACCATCACCTATCAGAAGTATATCGAGATGGTCAACATATTTCTTAGGCGTGTTGCTAATGACGACGATAATGGCAAAGGTGAAGGTACCAACGGTGAGGAGTTGGTCAACTGGTACCTTGAGCAGAAGGAGAATGAACTCGAGGGCGAGGAAGACTACCACCATGAAAAGGCTCTCGCCAATATGGTACTCAAGAAGATGGTCAAGGTAAGTCGCACATATCTTCACATTGTTTCAACACTTAAACTAACCTGTATCACAGACAAACTATCTCATGGCTTTCCGCGGCGAAGGCCTCACAGAAGGCGAGGCAGGCTCCTCCTCAGCTGCCGAGGTCGTTTATGTCCTGCACCCCAACGTCGAGGAGATCCCTGGTCAATAAATACGAAAATGTACATTCAATTGGGGGCTGGTTGATACGCATGAAATGATCTAACGCCTTAGAAGATGGGCGTTTATGGAGTTTATGATACTACACTGTCGGCTTGTGTATATTGTCGTGAGCGACTGTATATCATGGGATGAATGGCATTTAGAAGGATATTCTTATGAGGATGTTGAATACGATAGATACCTAGGCATTAATATGCGCGACACTTAAATGATCAATGCATTGAGTATAAGTCAGTTGAAGCTACAAAATCATTAAATAGGGAAGGACACCATCTTCATGTTGTCAGTCACTTTATGGCACTTCATTTTCGCGTAATTTGTATGATTGATCATCGTCTGTCTGACAGAGCCTAGTAACGCACTCGTTGATTCGGTCAATGCGTAGAAACCATCGTCGTTTCCATCATCATATCATGATTCTCTCCATAAGTCCGCCGCGGCTGTTCCTGGTTTCCAGATGCATCTGATCCAGCTCCTTCATACAGGAAGAACAAAAATAAGGGAGAAAAAAGCCCAGCACATCGATTATCGCGACCGTAGTCCCCGACCCAAAGCAAAGCAGGTCATCGTATTTGTTACTTAGACGCCGTACCCCCGTCATCGAGAAACATGGCGCATGTGTCATTTGGTTTGGGCTGTACATGGCTCTTGGAGAGCTCGTAAGGTCCCAGTTTTGCAACAATTCTCTCATTTTTACTAACAGCAGAACCCGCTGTGTACGCTGCAAGTGTGAACGGAGTAGAACTGCAGCTGTTATAAAGGGAAAAGAAGTAGAAGAAGAAAGGGGAGGTATTGTGTGCTTGGCGCATGCATGAGAAAACAAATGCCAACACGAGGAAGAAGCCCGCAGTATATGGCTCTGCAGGCACTATATGTGACGCTCGTTTTAGCAATATGCTGAAGCTGGGCATCGGTATGATAACTTATGAGAGTGGGTGTATATGCACTGGCAGAAGAAAGGCCCACGCATCAGCAGATTAGGGGTAAACATAAGATGTTCTGCTGGTATTATGTAGTACAATCGCTTCAGGGAGATCTGAAGCTCGGCGTCTTAGGTCACCTCCACCAGCTTGGGCTGCTTTCCTAAGCTGCCAAGGGGTTACCTGAGCCGCGGCTCCAATCAGACCCTCGACCACGGTAGCTACCACGACTCCCTCGGCTTGAAGTTGTAGTAGTAGTAGGGTGCTCTCCTCGGGTACTTGACACATCTCGCTTGCTTCCTCTTCTCTCATAACTAGAGCCTCGATGTCTAGGGCCAGCTCGCCCTTGTGAACCTCGACCGCCTCGAGTGGCCGAGAAGGGAATAGTGACAATTCTGGGCTCGACCATGCCGGGGAAGTTAATCCTCATAGCGTTGCCACCGCCCACTACATCGGCAGCGAAGTAGTATGGCTCCATGACAGTTGGCTGAATAGCAAACTTCTTTGGCAGAGGCTTGTTTTGTGCCAATGCCGGCTGCCAAGCGGCCTCGGGGGCCTTGTGTGGAAATCGAATCTGGGGAAGTGATCCCATTTCCTGTTCTTCAAAACACTCCTCAGCCATAGGCTTAGTGACAGGCGACGCTCGACCCTTGCCAACGGGTGCTGGGTGTGCTGGGGTGCTATTTCCTGGTAGAGAGACTGTTGCAGAGTCATGGTAGTTAACCTGATCCAAAGCGCTCTTACTCGACGGATCAACACCGATGGACCTTTGAGGTGGCGATCTTGAGCTACCAAGCAGGCTGTTAATTCGGTTCTGCCACTTCTCTTGCGACGTTTCCCCAGCTGCCGAGGAGACGCGATTGGGGCTGACAGGACCGCGAGGAACATCTCTAAAGACTGGCGGGTGAGCCCAACCAAACTGCACACGGCCTGGAGGAGGTTGCGCGGCTGCCATAGATGGAGGCAGCTTCACAACCGGGTGCGGTTTGGGGAGTGACACGTGAGGACGCATCACATCGCCCTCATAGGCCGGGTGGCCTTCCATCGTAGGCGGAGGGGGGGTTGGTGATTTGGATCGCGGTGGCTCATCTTCATCAATTCTGTCATAAGAGTCTCTTGTGGGGAAGAACCTTGATGTGCGTCCTTGTCCACTGGCCCCTTTGCCAGCCTGGGGTGAAATCCCATCTCCTACCACCCCAACACGAGCGGAATCCTCATTTTCATCATCACCAGGGCCCCTCCAGGGACCAGCAGGCTGTGCTTCTTGGGAACTAATAGATCGCCTCGTGCCATCACCAGGAGCATGGACTGGTCGCCAGGTGTCCTTGATAACTGGCTGGGCATCCTCGAGGCTCATACCTTGTTGGGCAAGTTGGCGATCACGTTCAGCCCTCTCTGCCAGTCTACTAGCACTCAATTTCTTATCGTTTTCACCAACAGCACTGATCCATTTACTCGCCACCGCGGATCCTGCCGCAGGGGGAGGGCCGGATGAGCCGTACCGCGAGGGTCCAGAACCAATAGGCGCTGGAGGCTGAGTTCGGCCTTGCGAAGGTTGATGTGAAATATTTGGGGGGCCGATGGGTGATGGTCCCTTGCTTCCTTGTGGACCCGAGCTGTTGTCAAGGGGCAAGCGCCCGATATCCGTAATAAAAGTGCCATTACCAAGGCCTCGGTCATTGTTAGGAGATCCCCAAACATTGCGGGCCACAGGTTGTGATCCTGTACCCCACGTCGAGACAGCTCGGTCCTGGCGTGAAGCTGCAGCTGCTCCCCAAAGCTCAGTGGGCTTACCGTCTTGGCTGTGGGAAACGCGTCTGGCACCTGGTACTGAGCCTTGAGGGGGATGTCCTGCTCTAGCTTCTGGTTCTTGGTGCCGAGCTCCTGGAGCAGATGCATCAGGTTCACCGTCCTGCTGCGGTTGTGTGGGAGACTGGCTAGCTACAGCGCTATGATCTCGCTGTTGAATATGTGTGGGATGCGAAGCATCTTCATGCTTCTCCGTGGAGTCCTTCTTTTCTGTCTTCTTCTCCGGCGCAGGCCCCATAGCGTCAAGTTTCTTTTGGATGCGTTCTCTACGCTCAGCTTCTTCTCGAGCTTCCTCCTCCTGACGTCGCTTCCTGGCCAACTCGACCCGTTCTCGCATAAGCTTCTTTTGATACTCAACCTCATCACCAGCAGGTTGAAGGGGCGGAGGCGGTCCAGCAACTTGCTCTGGGAGAGGCCCAGTATGATGTGGTTGTGCAAAGGAAGGATTAGGAGATGCACGAGGGGGCATCCAGTTGGCCTGGTGCTGGCCTCGTGGCGGGCCATGTGCGTGAGCTGAGTTTAACAGGTTGGGTGACAAAGGACTATCAACAGAGCCCACGAACGAAGTCCTACGAGCCTCGAGCATTATTTCAGGGGGAGGTAGAGAACCATCGCCTCCTTTGTTCATACGTTGCATAAACGAGCCGCTTCCGCCACTGACGTTGGATGATCCTCGTCGTCTGCCGAAAGGAGGTTCCTGAGAATTCCTGCTCGTCTGGAACGCACCAGAAGGCTCGGCTGGATGGTCTGGCTGGGGTGGCCGTTGTAACAACGATGGATGATGTTTGTTAGGGTGCTGCTCCATCCTCATGGAGCCACGCCGGTTATCCATCACAGGTTCATAACGGCCAGAATGGGAGTTGTATAGTTCTCGATTCCCATGGGACGAGCCATCCCTCCATGCGGATCGATTGAAATCATCGGCAGCGATTTCTTTAGGCGGATGCGGAGGCGGAGTCATGCCCTTATTGAATGGTGGCCTAGCAAGAGTGGCATGTTCCGTCATGGGTGAGGCTCTTTCGACGGGAGGTAAAGCCGCCCATGGCGATTTGACGGGCGCTGGGGGCGCCGGGGGTTTAGCGACAAGGGTTGGTTTTTCCTGTGAGCCACTCTTCAAAACCAAGCCTTTACCCTGGGCTAGATTACTCGACTTCGTTGATGGAGAGCTCATGGGCATAGGTGGAGCTGGAGATCGTGGCTTATCCAGGGTACTTCCCTTAGATACAGTGGGACCACTCTCGGCCGCTGGTGGTGACGGCGACAGAGGCTGCTCATCTGGATGGGGGAGGGTCGTCTTCGTTCCATCCCCCCATGTGATAGCTTCAGGGGCCCAGTCATCGTCATCATCTTCTATATCTGCCCATGTACCTTTCCCTTCTTTCGAATTTTCATCCAAACGACTAGCCATGTGAATTCCATACTTCTTAAGCTCCTCATCAGAATACTTCTTCGGCTCAGGAGGAGGTACAGCTATAAGCTTAATTAGTACGTCTAGGGGACTAGTCAGGGGTTAAACACATACGTCGGTTTTTGTTCCAAACCGCGCTTGCATCAGGTGCACTGCCTGGCTTCCCACCATTCACGCCACCAGAAAAACGAGGTGATGAATCGCGAGTACTGCTGCCCGTCTTCGCTATAAGTCGAGGTCTCGATGCAGACAAGGTCGCCGAGGTTGTCGGGGGAGTGCTCGAGCCAGTAGGTTGTTTCTCGGTGGCTTTGGCTGTAGCGCTATTGGCGGTCGCCTTCGCTGCGAGAAAGGTCTTATTGACAGAGACAGACTTGAATGTGGCGGGTTTCTTGACTGTGGAGCCTGCGCGGCCATGCCCTTTGTCTCCATCCTTGCTCTTTGAACCGTCTGCACGCGATACCTCTGTATCTGAGCCTCCGCTGGTACTGACATCGGCTGAAGTAAGTTGGTCTTCAACACTGGTGATGTGCTTGTTCTCGATGTCTTCGTTGCCGGCACTGCCATTCAAATTCGAGCGGACGGAGTCGACATTGTGAGCGTCGGACGCCTAAGTTCATGAGAAAGTATGTTAGTAAGGTTAGCTACAACAGCTCAGGTGGCTAAAGTTATTGGCTCAACGGGGAAAACAAAGGCTGTAATTGGATGGCCACGCCAAAGCGTAATTCCAAGAGTCATACTACAGCCAGATGTAAGGGGATAAAACGTACAGGCTGGTTCTGAGAGGCAGTGGCATCGGCAGCGTTATCACCGGCAGCCTCTGTTGCCATCATACGTCGTAAGAATGCGCCGTTCGTGGGTAAGCGAAAGAAGCCCTTTTAGCGAGATTCTCCGCCAAATCTTGTTGGTTTCTGGTCGGACTAGCGTTCGAAGCTGGACAGGATGTCGTATCTCGAAATCGGGATCAGCTGCGACAAGTCACCGCGGGGCGGGGAGAGGGAGGGTTGGCGGCGAGGGGCGAAGGGGTATTTCGTATATAAGAGGCCGATCGTCGTTGAGGCGCAGAGGAGTTAATCTGATGCTCGTTCCGAGAGTCGCGGGGGGGGGGGATTAATGAGAAGGAGAAAACACCAAAGCGCAAGGCGTGTCAGTTACGAGGTGTAAGGTGAGGTTTCGATGTACCCGGAGTAACTGCGGCTGATGTGTTTGGTGTTGTGGAAGGCGGCCCAGACTCAGAGGGATGTCAAGAATTCAGAGGCCCAAACTCCACGCAGGGGCTGGATAGGTCTAGCGTACAAACATAGGAGGCTGGGATTGGCTAGCAATACCATCAAACAGCCTAACCCCTGGCGGTCAGTGGCAGGGCGATTCAGCTAGGTGTCTCCTCCTCCACTGGAGCTTAGGGGGATCCTCCAGGGCTTCCATAAGCTGGGCTGTCATCATGCAGCCGAATGACTCTATCGGCCACTCAATCTACGGATCAGGAGGCCGGACTCTAATTTTGGAACAGTGAAGAAGCTAGAGAGGAAAGGTTGTGAGAGTGAATGGGCCAAGTATTACTACAATACATTTGTTTGCCCAAATGAAGGGCCTGTAATGCATGAGAATAAGACAGACAGTCATTCGTTTGAGCAAAGAGGTAATAACTGCTTTGCGCAGTTGATTCGGTGAATCTCGTACTGGCAAAAAGAGGCTCTAGTAACAGAGCATACCACAGTGCTATGGCCAGCAAAAGAACATAAGATTGCCCATGCGATTAAAGCAATATCGAGATTCCTGGACGTTGATTCTTGTAGAGGATAAAATTAATAAAAAAATGTAGTTCTGTTGCTCTAGTAAGGCTAAAAGTATATTTATCATTCAACACACCATCCGTTGCCTGCCGTTAAGGAGGCGTACCTTGCCGTGATGTATCTTCCACAACTGTAGATACGATGTCATGAGCACATCTCCATAGTACCAGGTAACACCAGCTAGGTAGGTAGCTTACCTGCCTCATGTGAACATTGAATAGTAGTTCCAGATTCACTCCATCTACTACTGTTTGCTATTATCCCAATACCAAGTTACCATTCGACGTATCAGATCATAGGATAGCTGAGGACTAAGATCGGAGTCTAACACAAGGCCGAGTTAGAGATAACAGCAGAGGCCTTCGTCGCGATATTTATCTTCGCCCACTACCGAAAAGCTTGACTGTACAGCATCACCAATAATCTTCACATTTCGAGTATCTCACATGACGCACGGCTAGGAGTTTCTGGCTGCTACAAACACAGCTACGTGAAACCACAACTGCACATAACCAAAAATGTGATAGTAATGTCACATCACTTGCTTGTTAGAGATACATAGGGAAGTCAAGGCGCGTGCTCGACCGCGAAGTTTCCGGACTTTATATGTACACGACCCCTGCTCCCTCTCATACAATGATCCATCTAAGGTATCTAAGGGCCACCAAAGCTTAGTGGGCATTGTTCTTGTGGTGACCTAGGTAAGTTTTCCGTTAGCAAACTACAGCTTCCTGACTTCTGATTCATAGATACTATACTTACGAAGGTGGAAGTAGTAGTTCTGGATGTAACCGATGCTGACAAGGAAGACGATCAGGTGAATGATGGCTATAGCAAAACAACAGTCAGAATCCAATATTCATATCCAGTCTTGAATGAGGGTGTCCGTACGCTTGCCAGTGGGGTTCTTGCCAAAGTGCTTGGCCTGGTATCGACCGAGAAGGCCCTTAGCCTTGATCTCGGGGGCGGCACCTCGGGGGAGCTTCTCGTAGAAGCTGACAACGCGCTGCATGCGGATAGCATCAGGAGCGGCGCCAATGGCCTGTGTTAATTCGAACTCGGTCAGCCTGCCAGATTTCCATCATGGTGAATTTTCCCCTGCATCGATCGATCGCCAACGAAAAGTCCTCGTCATATCTCCTTCATGCAAAAGTCGTCGGGATCGAAAGCGAAGCTCCATGGGGGAATAGTGTCATCGTGTTTTGCGTACCTTGGGAGAAGCGACCTATTTTTTGGAGACCCGGTGTTAGCAACGGAATCAATCGGAGCACCGGGCGTTTGCGCCCATAACCGAAAGGGCTCTTTCTCACCTTGGGGGGAATGAGCGTTGAGAGCGCTCGGCGGGTGACGAAGCTCATGATGTCGGTATTTCGGGGGGTTCGAGACTCGAGAATTGGTCAATTGCCGCGTTGGTCCGTCGAGGTTCTGCGTGACGCTCAATTGCAAGGGCTAAAGATGAGGTTCTGTCGAGATGGATTTGGTCCCGCCCAGGTTCAGGTTCTTGCCGAAAAGCACTCGTTCGGCGACATCGGCAAAACTACTGATCCGCTCCGCCCAATCAGCGCCTCAGCGTTCAAGCTTGCTTCAACCTCAGAATATCGCTGCAGCCCACCATCACTCACTCTAGAAACATCACGCCCAAATCGCCAATTGAAGCTACCGCCTTGCACCATGGCCGCCCTCCGATCTCAGAGTGCGGCTCGTATGCTGCGAAGCGCTGCTGCGCCTCGAGTCGCCTTCGCCGCCGCCCCCCGACGATTCCAGAGCAATGTCACCCAAGCCAGCGGTACCATCACTGGCCCTGTTACCAGCGAGCCCGACTACACTATCCAGTCTGACAAGGCTACTTCGTACGATTCTCGACTCGCGATTACATATTGACAATACGGAACATACCAGTGCTGACATATCGCCAGCACCTTCACCCCCGTCCCCCGAGCCGTCCAGGATGGCAGCGAAGAGATCCTTCCTGCTGCCGTTATCTCAGGTGCTCCCATGGAGCTCCAGGCCCGAACAGTTCGGTTCGTTCGCTCCCATCGAAAATCGGCAATCAACCCCTTTCGAAACTGACAATGAGTACAGCATTTACCAAGAGGCCAAGCCTGCGACTCAGTCTGGCGACTGGCGCGGCCGACGCTGGCGAATGGACTGGGACATCCTCCCTAAGGGACATCGATGGGAGAACCCTCTGATCGGATGGCAGTCTTCGGGTGATTTCATGCAGGGTACCCATATCAACTTCGGAAGCAAGGAGGATGCTATTCACTTTGCTGAGAAGCAGGGCTATGAGTACTTTGTCCAGGAACCCAACTCTCGCAAGTTCGCTCCTAAGGCCTATGCCAACAACTTCTTGTACTCTGCCAGGAAGCTCAAGCATATCAGGACAAAATAGATGGCTTAGACAGCCCGGCTCCCATGTAAATATGTTTAAAGGCTCATTTTTATGTTAAGTGGTTCTGTGTTCGCAACGCTACAATGTATAGTAACCGTCACATTGATCGTAATGAAACACCATACTCAGAAGATGTAATGCAATGCATCATTACTCATTTCGCTAGAACACTACAAAGTTCCATGACGATGTACGCCAATATGCAATTGGTCTAGCAAGAGTCCTGAAGGACCCATTTTGTCTTCTGGTCGTGGTTTTAATCCTTACCATGAGGATATCAATACTGCCCCAAACGCCAGCTCAATCCTATTACAAAAACACTAGGGATGCTGACATCTAACGAAAAACACTACTCTCTGGCTATGCCTTTAAGTTTGGTATCAATGTCACGTTGTAATCATGGGATCATGGCCGTTTCCAGCCTGGTGCCTGCCTGGACTATCGGATTCTTCTCCGTTTAGGCCTATGTCCAGTCGGTCAGGAATGCTTTTATGCTTGCCACGAGCAGTATTTTCAGCCCAGACACGCATCCTCACAAGTTGGCGAATAGCTGCTTCACGTCTTTGGGATTGCCGTTCCAGGATTGCCCGATTGACATTATCAGCGACTTCTCGACGGAGCTCTGGCTGCAACAACGCTGCCAATTGTGGCTCTAGAGAATCCGAGGGGAACAAAAGCAGGGCCATTGTTCTCTCTAGGTCTTCAAGAAACTTGGAGTTCGTCGGCGCTCGGGGACCTAATTGCTCTGTTGCAAACTTAAGGGCTGGCTGGATGTCGCCACCAGATGCATTACAGTTGCGAATGAGTTCGACTAGTTGAAGTCTCAACAGAGCAAAGTGCAGTGCTTTATCTTCATCTAAGATCTTTACGTTGAGTCAGCAACGATATATCGAGAAGTAGATAAGATGAAGAGTGGATAAAGAGGGTAATCATAAAAAAGTGGTTGTTTCTCATCAAAGGCCCGAAGGCTCTATGAGTGGTGCATGTAAAACTCGTGTTCTAATCATGTAGGAATGGATGTGAAGTGGTGAAGAAAGTTCTTACCTCTGAATCGAAATCATTCAGTGTCTCAATTGCTGTTTGGATATTGCCACTGTGAATACAGTTTTGAATTTCCTGTCTAGCCATGATAGACGGTGTTTCCTGATGAGGTACGAGGTTCGCCTCCTTGGAAAAGTTGGCCGCCGCATTTGGGTATCCTTCCATGGTAAGATAGTCCAGGATCAGGGCGTTGATGTCACTATTGACCTCGTTAGCAATTGTTGACAAGACAAAATGTGTAAAAACGAGTTGTGTTGATGGTGAGGTCAGAAATTGAAGATTGATATCGTATCTCCGCATTATATTCTAGGAGAGATTCCCATTGATAGTATAATCATCATGTCACCGGTTGCAGGGTTGGTGTTGGTAGGAAGGGGATAGTGTCTTACCTTTTCGGTGACTTCATGTCCTCAACACGCCTGTCAAAGGCATGCTTCACGGGAGTGGCTGTAGAAGCAGATGACGTCTGATTCTCGAGTCAGCGCCCAGCTAAACAAAGCTTGGGCTGAAGCTCGGCTTGTCAACAACAAAGCTCACCATCTTGTCTGACTGTCCCAACACAGGTCTCGTTGCGACTCGAAGCTTGAACGGGAAGGGTTAATCGACGGTACGGTATGAAGCAAGAGCCGAAAGCAGGCTGGCGAGGCAATTCAGCGCATGAAGGATCAAGGTAGAGATCCAGAACCCCAAGATCTGAATGCTGCTCGTAGAAAACTTTTGTGGTTGTTCTGAGCAATGTAAAGAAAAAAGAAAAAGAAGGAGGTTTTATGGAGGATGGAGGAGAAGAAAAGATGATTGGGGGCTGGAGGAATAGAAGCGCCGTGTCGGTGGGTCAAAAACTCGTAGCCTCACGAAGGAGCTTGAGAGCCAATCATGAACGCGTACGGTTCCACCAAGCCAGAGGAGCTTATGCCCTGTGCTGCCTCAGGTTTCTAGCCATGACAGCCCCGCCATTCACAGACCTCAGGCAGCCAAGCACCTCCGTCCCTGAATGGAGCTCCGTTGAATGCCGCGGTAAGCTTAAAGCCATGACCGTCCATTGCCCATGTCGATATTGGTTTTGGGGCGATGCTTGCCATGATTCGAGTCTAACCAAAGCTTGACGTGACAGTCTGAATACTGGGTAAAGTTCAGAAGTTCTGCATAGCTAACAAGACCAATCAGGAGATCAATCATGTGTCATGGCACTGTAATCCCAAAGACGATTGTCATGAGCCAAGCCACACATCACCTCCAAAAGAGGTCACCATGGCATCGAGCTAGAGGCGTGATACCTACAGTAGAGCAGGACTAGACTTAGCTTATCTACCAAGAGCAGCTTGGATCGTGCGGAGAATGCAATGCGCCTTCGGCCATCGCCGCCTTTCGATAGCTAAGATATGAGGAGAACCCTGAAAACGTCGATCGTCAAAACATGAGCAGGGCCAGGGCCGGGCCGAGCTGTTTTATCCTTCTTAAACTCTGTTCTCTCAACTTCAACCGTCAATATATACGTTATACATACTCTGATACCATTTTCCCATCTGGTCTACAGCTATATCATCTACCAGTGATAGTTCATAGTCTCCTCGCCCCTCCACTGAAGCTATCTCTGTTCCCGCTTCTTCTTGGCCCTCTGTGGATCGCACACGCGACAGGGCCTTGCTCACTACTCCACCATCAACGGCCAAACCCTCGATTCGAACTTTGGAGGCACCATACTCGGACAGCTCGTGGACATTGCAGGGCTAGTTTTCGGAGACGTGATTTTCCAATCTCCTGTCAAAAAAGACCTCGGCATTTTATTTTTCCAATCCTCTCACCTTCGACTTCATCCAAGTCTAGGTGACGGTGACCTCATCGAGAACTAGCCACCGCAATGTCCGCCTCAGCAATCCCTGAGACCAATGGTGGACTCGAGAGCCATGTTACGGTTCAGAAACGAGCCTACTATTCACCTCCTTGGGCCGATGTCAGCATCATTGGTGTTGCGGGCAGCTCTGGCTCGGGCAAGTCGACCTTGTCACAGGCTATTGTCAAGAAGCTGAACCTACCCTGGGTCGTTATTATGTCAATGGCATGAACCCTTCCAACTTACATGTCGAACACCATGCTCATTATGACCAGGATTCCTTTTATAAGACCTTGACTCCCGCACAGTCTAAATTGGCTTTTGCCAACGAATATGATTTTGACTCCCCCGACGTACGCTCTATGTTCTACTCGTCCACATGAGCTCTCAAAACAGTAGCTGATGGACTCTTTACACAGGCCATCGATTTCGATGTTCTGGTTGACAAGTTGCGAGATCTCAAGGCTGGGTATGTCTAGTCGACGGAGCTTCGTCAGTGGAATTGGACTAAACTGACATCTCACTATGCTGACAGAAAGCGGGCTGACATTCCTGTCTATTCCTTCGCCAAGCACTCTCGACTAGAGCATACGACTTCAATCTACTCACCTCATGTGCTCGTTCTGGAAGGTATCTTTGCGCTATATGACCCTCGAGTTATCGAGCTACTTGATATGGGTGTAGGTCGAGGTTGCTGTGGCCCTATAAAGTGATTTGAAACTGACGCTTGAGTTAGATCTATTGTGAGGCAGATGCAGACACGTGCCTGTCAAGAAGAAGTGAGTCATGGAATATGCCGAACCCCGATCATGAGTTGCTGAACAGCCTTAAATAGTTGTCCGTGATGTACGCGAGCGTGGTCGAGATATCGAGGGCATCATCAAACAGTGGTTCGGGTTTGTTAAGCCAAACTTCGAGAAGGTGAGATCCCATGTTTCGACAAATTAATCCCCTCCGATGAGTGACTAACAACCTTAAAGTTTGTTGAACCGCAGCGGAAGGTAGCCGACTTGATTGTGCCGAGAGGTATCGAGAACAGGGTTGCCCTGGGTAAGTTAAGTCGAATTCTTATAAGATGGCATACTCATTATGTTTAGAAATGATGGTTCAGTTTGTTGAGAAGAAGCTATTCGAAAAGTCAAGGCATCATCGAGAGGCCCTATCCCAGCTTGAAGCAGCAAGTAAGGATTCGTTGCTTTCTGATCGGGTTGTGGTCTTGGATGATACACGACAACTCAGGTTTATGAACACAATCCTCCAGGATATCGATACGGATCCCGAAGATTTCATCTTCTACTTTGATAGGCTCGCTAGCTTGATCATTGAGCAGTAAGGGATCAAGAATGTTATTGAAGACGAAAAGTCCGCTGACAACAACCTAGGGCCCTAAACAATGCCCATTTTGAGGCAAAGAAGATAATAACACCTCAAGGATACGAGTACAAGGGCCTGGTGCCAACAGGCGAGGTCTGCGCCGTTATTGTACTTCGAGGAGGATCTGCATTTGAGCCGGCGCTCCGAAAGACAATCCCAGATTGCCGAACAGGCCGACTTCTTATCCAGTCAGACTATTCAACGGGAGAGCCGGAGCTTCACTACCTCAGGGTGCCCGATGACATTGCAAACCACCAGAGCGTCTTGCTTCTCGATACTCAAATGGCTACCGGAGGTGCTGCATTGATGGCGGTACAAGTCTTGGTTGACCATGGCGTCCAGCAGGATCGTATTGTCCTAGCAACATACTCGGCAGGCAAGGTTGGAATTCATAGATTGACATCCGTGTTCCCAGAGATCACGGTGGTTGTTTGCAACATGCTTGACAACCAACAGGAACGATGGGTAGAGAGGAGGTACTTCCGCTGCTAGAGTGGCCGTGTGGAGCATCCTGTCGTGTGTCATTACTATAGTATACGCCTTTTCATGATAAACAAAGATTAAAGTCTAGAAAGACACTGCGATGGTGGTGGATCGAGTCAATCTGATAACTTGGTATTGACGATGGACCTGACCTCGCAATAACCGGGCTTATATTGCCGGGAGATCCGTAAAGTAAAGGAACAGACAAACAACTGATTGATTCGAACTGGGTCCACGGCACGGCACGTCCGTAAGCAACAGCATAACTTGGAAGAAAAGAGGAGTCCTGGTGCTATTTGACGCAATAGTACAGTACGGGAAAAGCGACGCAGTAGGTAGCGGCCGACGAATCCGACGGCTACAACGGATATCACAACAGAAGACAATTCAACAGTGGACATGCATCTCAATATCCATGACGAGAAATAAAAGAAATTAAGTAAATTCTCATGTTTTAAGTGACCAGGCTTTGCTGTACGTTAGTGGAGTCGCCAATCATGGGCTGTCATGGATCGCCAAGATAAACACGGCAGAGGAGCTTTAACCATGACGTAGCTGTACCGAACTGGAGGTACTCTCACCCACATGCCACAGCTGAAGTACCTACTATGCCCAGCTCATCCCTGGCAGCTCCGTAAACGGGAAGATCCATTAGATGCATTACACCATACAATCGCAAGCAGAATAGGGCTCTTCTGTCTCTAGTTTTCTCGTTATTTCGCTCTTGTTTTCCATCTCGCACAATCCCATTCTTGTGTGTCCACCAACTGACATCCCGTACTCTTCTTCCTCGCGTCATGAACTAGACATCTCTGTGCGCTTTCACTGTCTTCGCTTATCTTCGACAACGAATAATCCTCCCTCCAATTCTACGATCTTGGCAGAAGCATGCCTGTCTCCTCCATGATGGCCGCGCGACTGGCTCGCGCTGGTCACAGCAGAGCAATCACCAGCTCTCGATGCATGAAACCCTCTCTCACTCCTCGCCCGCTCTACTCGTCGCAGTCCAGAAGCTTCGTCAAGCTCACAGGCGCTTCGCCCTCCGTCACCAGGGGCTCCCCAGTAACCAGCCGAACCACCCGCCAATTGCCCTCGCAGTTCTTCGTGCGCGCCCTCTCAGGAAAGCCTCTGCCTCAGGGAAAGTCGAAAATTGTCAATTTCTGCTATCGTTTAGCTGCTTGGGTTGGTATTTCGATATCAGTCCTTGGCGCCGGCGTCATTGGCTTCTTTATATACGATGCGAGCACATACTATGAGCATCCCAACATGAGCGATATCGATGTTTCAAAGATCGCTCTTCAGCCTCGTTATGGTGGTGAAAAGAACCTGCCAATTGCTGAAGTATACATCGACGATGACGACACAGAAGAGAAGCGTCGTCTAAAGGATAAACCCAGACTGGTTATTCTTGGTGGTGGTTGGGGTGGTGTTGCCCTCCTCAAAGAGCTGAACCCAGAAGATTACCATGTTACTGTTATCTCACCCACCAACTATTTCCTTTTCACTCCGATGCTTCCTTCAGCGACTGTTGGCACTCTGGAGTTGCGATCGCTTGTTGAGCCCATTCGACGAATCTTGAGCAGGGTCAACGGCCACTTCATTCGTGCCAAGGCCGACGATATCGATTTCTCGCACAAGATGGTTGAAGTATCTCAGGTTGATGCAAGTGGAAAGGATATTAAATTCTATGTTCCTTATGACAAGCTTGTAGTTGCTGTCGGTTCAACAACCAACCCCCATGGTGTCAAGGGTCTAGAGAATGCCTTCTTCCTCAAGGATATCAACGATGCGCGCATGATCCGAAACCAGGTCATTCAGAATTTCGAACTGGCCAACCTGCCTACTTGCCCTGACGAGGAACGTAGACGCCTCCTTTCGTTCTGTGTCAGCGGTGGTGGCCCTACAGGTGTTGAGTTCGCTGCTGAGCTATTTGATCTCCTTAACGAGGATCTGACACGACACTTCCCTCGCCTTCTACGCAACGAGATCTCTGTCCACCTCATTCAGAGCCGTGGTCACATTCTCAACACTTACGATGAGACTGTTTCGAAATACGCCGAGGAACGCTTTGCCCGTGATCAGGTTGACGTCCTCACCAACTCTCGTGTTAAGGAAGTTCTCCCCGACAAGATCATCTTCACACAGAAGCAGGACGATGGTCAAATGATCACCAAGGAGCTGCCTATCGGCTTCTGCCTGTGGTCCACTGGTGTATCGCAAACACAATTCTGCCAGACCTTGGCTGCTAAGCTGGGCAAGTCTCAGACAAACCGACATGCCCTGGAGACAGATACTCACCTTCGTCTCAACGGCTCGCCCCTCGGTGATGTATACGCCATCGGCGATTGCTCCACAGTTCAGAACAATGTTGCAGACCATGTCGTCACTTTCCTTCGCTCCCTAGCCTGGAAACGTGGCAAGGACCCTGAGACGCTCCAGCTCAGCTTTGCCGACTGGCGAGCAGTTGCTGAGGACGTCAAAAAGCGATTCCCTCAATCTATCAACCATCTGAAGCGCGTCGATAAGCTATTCAAGGAGTTCGACAAGGACAAGTCCGGTACTCTCGACTTTGATGAGTTGACACAACTGTTGAAGCAGGTTGACAACAAGCTCACATCCTTGCCTGCAACTGCTCAGCGCGCGCATCAGCAGGGACAATACCTGGCTCGAAAGTTCAACCGCATCTCACGCATGCATGATGGTTTGGATGCCAATGACATTCGCGATGGCGATGTCGATGCTGCAGTTTACAAGGCTTTCGAATACAAGCATCTAGGCAGTCTCGCTTATGTTGGTAACTCTGCTATCTTTGATCTCGGAGAAGGTCGAAGTCTTGCTGGTGGTCTCTGGGCAGTCTACGCTTGGCGCTCTGTTTACTTTGCTCAGAGCGTGAGTGTGCGAACACGACTATTGATGGCTATGGATTGGACCAAGCGCGGTCTCTTCGGACGAGGTTCGTAACCCCCCTCCCCATCTTATTTCTGGACACTGCTAACCTGTAACAGACTTGATGAGTTTCTAGACGAGTTTCTAGACCAAGTTTTTTACATGATTAATACAATTTCCTTATAGATCTTGATCTTAGTGGCGTTGGAGCTAAGTATGGGAGCATTGAAAGACTAGCAAAAACACGTTGGTAGATACGAGGGTATAATGAACGAAAATCAGACACCCTAAATTTGTTTGGTTGATGGAGTTGCTCTATAGCTTAGCTTTTGGAAGTTTATCTGTAGCAAAAGTCGCAATATTCTTTTCTCGCTAAATCCCCCAGACGCCTGTCTACCCTCGACTATATCACGAAATCCTTGTATGTCCACTTTTCTGTGTACTTGCCCTTGGCCTGCTTGTGGAAAGGAATATGTCTTCTGCTCTCGACCTTGCCGCGCACCAACATGCTTCTGTACCTGTCTCGGAGTAGGTTACCTTCAGGCTTGAGGCGTCGCAGCGACTCCTGCAGCTCATCCGGCAGAACCAATTCAAGGTCGTGGTCGGGAAGCTTGTACTTGCCGAGCTGCCTGCGTCGCAACTTTTCTTGGCGAAGCTCATCGATAGGGTCAGCTGAGTCGTCTTCCTTCTGAGCCAGCGCTTTGTTGCGATCCTGTTCCTCAATCTCCTCGGCGATCTCCCTGATGCGCTGCTCCTGTCGGCGCTGAGCCTTGATGGCAGCCTTCTGCTTAGCAGCGCGCTCATCCTCCTTGCGACGCTTGATGCGGTTGCGCTGGGCTTGCGTCTTTCTCTCTGGGCGCTTAGCGGATGCCTTTTCGTCCTCAGCACCACTTTGGAATCCTTCCCATTCGGAGTCCTCCTCCCACTCTGAAAGGTTGGCACGAGCCTCAGCGGCCTCTGCCTCGGCTGCTGATCGAGCAACAGCCTCTAGCCTAACTCGTTCCTTTTCTTCCTTCTCCAGACGTTTGCGCTCAGCCTCAAGGGCCTTCTCGCTCTCCTCTGCTAGGCGGTCCTCGTAGTCGGTGAACATAGGGTTGTAACTGTAACCTCCAGTAGGCTTAAGCACGGCAGGTATTTGCTTTCCGCTCTGCAGCAAAGAAAGGGGCTCCTTCTTCATCGACTTGGGTGCCTTGGGCTTGAGCTTCTCTTCCATGAAGTCGTCGGACTCTGGCTCCTTGGGCACCGCGGGCATATCCCAAACATCGTAGGTGGCATCCTGTACTTGGATGGTGTTTTCATGTTGGCCATCGGCAACTCGCTTTAGTCGAGAGAGCTCCTTGTGGGACACCCAATCAGTTCGCTGGCGCTTCGCGGGAATAATTCCGTTGCTCGTCTTGTCGCCTGGGCGCTTGCGCATGGAAACGGCGGGAACGGGCGACCGGGCGTTGATGATATCGTCAGCCTTGAGGCCCTTCTTGATGTGCTTGTTGAACTTCTTCTCAAGACCAGCATCACCCTTGATATCAACTGTGAACAGATCTTCCGAGGGTCTCTCCTTGATGACACCACTAGTGACGAATTAGCAAGAAGGGAGAAAGTGACAAGAAGTGATCTTACCCTTGGATAATCTCCTTGTTCAACTCTGCAAGACCGCGTTGCACATCGGTAACATCGACGTTTTTTCTCCATGCCTTCTTACCCTTTCGCGAAGACTGCTTGAACTGTTTAGGGGCATCGCCCTCCCCGGCGTTCTTGGATTGTAACACTGGCATATTTGTGAGTCCTTTCTAGAAAGAATGACTTTTGATGGCGATAATGAAGAACGAAAACGCTGTTCGTTGATAGAAGTGGTGGGGGACCGATTTCTTAATTTTTTAGTGGAGCCGAAAGTCTCGACCCGCTATGTCCACAAATTGTACGGTGCCTGGGCTTGCGCTTGGCTCAATGAGTACTCCGTTAAGAAAACGGAAGATATGAGCTTATCGGCACGTGCCTTCCTCGAATTCGTTCAGGGTGGCCTCCATGTCATATGCTCCTGCCGAATCCAGGATCGAGTCGCTCCTTTCTCCAGATTCCAGCTGGTAATTAGCCTTTTTGTCCTTAAACAATACAAGTTGCCACTCTCAGTTGTATCATTCTATTGTTCTTGTTTGCGTCGCCAAGACCTGAGATCCTATTCTTGGAGTAGAAACGAGATCGCATCCCTTCCCACGACCTCAGATCCATTAGCTTGACAGCTGTCACATCCACCGTCCCTTCAACAGACACAGAACAAGACAACACAACCGCAAACATGGCGCAAGCTGGCGGATCATACAATAACCCCTTGAAGAAGTTCAAGTATGTATATCGAGAAACTGCGTCTTTTTGCACTTGCTAATGGCTTTGTAGGCTGGTGTTCCTAGGAGAGCAGAGCGGTATGTCGATGACCGATTACGGACCCGTCCCAACCCAACATCACTAACAACGATCACAACAGTCGGCAAGACGTCTCTAATCACACGATTCATGTACGATTCTTTCGACAATATGTACCAGGCGACAATTGGCATTGATTTTCTTTCCAAGGTCAGGACCGTCAGAGCCGAACGCAGGCGCAATACTAACATTGGTGCACTTAGACCATGTACCTTGAGGACCGAACCGTGCGACTGCAGCTGTGGGATACTGCTGGACAAGAACGATTCCGAAGCTTGATTCCATCTTATATTCGCGATTCGAGCGTTGCTGTTGTCGTCTATGATATCTCTAGTATGCTCCCCTGGATATACCCCACTACCTAGTCAACCCCCTCGCCTTCAATCGTGGCTATGCTTGAATTGTACTAACCGCTTTTCTTCACAGACGCGAAGTCATTCCAAAACACCAAGAAGTGGATCGACGACGTACGAGCCGAGCGAGGTAACGATGTTATTATTGTGTTGGTTGGCAACAAGACAGATTTGAACGACAAGCGGGAAGTGACTACACAGCAGGGCGAGGAAGAGGCCAAGAAGAACAACTTGATGTTTGTCGAGACAAGTGCAAAGGCAGGCCATAACGTCAAGAACCTGTTCAAGAGGATAGCACAGGCACTGCCTGGTATGGAGGGAAGCGATGCCGCGGCACAAGCCTCGAACCAAAGTAAGTATCTCATGCCGAGGTCCATCGCACACTACTAACACATATTTTCAGTGATCGATGTCAAGACGAACAACACTCAGCAATCACAAGAGGGATGTGCATGCTAAACATTCCTACACCCAATTGGAACTGGAGTAAAGGAGTATCTGGGGGGGACGCAAGCCGTACTCAAGATGCGACAGAAGCCTTGCTACCTCGCGCACAGGATAGGATATCAAGCATACCGTGCAGATCTGAGTGCAAGCGCTTGTATAATACAGCCAGGACTACGAGCCTACGATCGTTATATAAGACACTTTAATGCCTTGGTTCGACTGGCTTCAGCTGGTCAAATCATTTCGCTTCTAATTTTATTTCTCGATACAAGTCAACAGTGACATTCTCAAAGTGGCCGAACATGTGGCTATCCAGATTTGTCAGTGCAGTTTCCTTATCTGCCGCTCAGTCTTATTACCAAAATAGTCCGTTGGCGACTGTTTTCCCTGCTACAGTTCTCCCCATATCACTTAAGCAGCATTCTGCACTTGTACTTCACCATTCTCGAGGCCGAAATAAGCCGCAATTGGCTTCTGCGCCTGAAGCTGCTTGCCCAGTTTTACGGACTCGTGGCCATTAAATCCGTGGAACAGGCCAATCTCAACGATTCCAGGTGTACGGACCAATTCCTCAGCAAGTGCACTAACTTCCCAAACGCCGTCCTTTCCGCGACCCTCGCCTTCAGACTTAACGTCCTTGGCGAGGAGCAAGGGGGGAAATGGGGCGTCAATAAGCCACATACCGTTGTCTGTCACACATTCGCCAGCCTTGCTAGGGAGGCCTGAGCGGACAACGGGTTTGGGTGAACCCATGGCTCGAAGGCGGGTCAAGACATCGGGTGCAGATAGAGGGAGAACTTCGATGGGAATGGTCTTCCATGTAGTACACAACCTGGGAGATTGCTTTCGGTAGTCTATTAAGTGTCAGTCTCCTGATCCGAAATTTGGCATAACAAAAGTGCTCAATGCATACCAGCAACAGCAATGAACTTCTTGGCAGCAATTGCGACCAATTTCTCCTGGAACAGACAAGCGCCGCCGCCTTTGATGAGATTGAGGTCCTCGTCGACCTCGTCGGCGCCATCAAAGGCGACGTCGAGAGGAACAGGAAATCCATCCACAACTGGTCTCTCATCGAGATTGACCAAGTTCAGACCAGCAGCACGGATAAGACCCTTAGATTGACTTCCAGTGGGAACAAAAGTCATTCCACTGTAGAATTCGGCACCTTTGCTGACAATTGCGTCGACAACGTAGACAACGGTGCTGCCAGAGCCAATGCCAACATATTTGTAGGAGGCATCGAGGTGGTCATTGACAGCCTGGTAGGCGGCCAATTTCTTGGCCGATTCAACCAAATTCACCGAAGACATAACTCTTGAACCGTACAGAAGGCTGAGGCTGACACCTGGGCTCTGTTTATAGCTGGGTATGCGGGTTGGTGGGATGTGCAGGACCCCGCGGTGCAGATGATGAGGGGTGGGGAGATTTCGTGGAGAAGTGTAGGGTAATTGAGTTGAGAAAAACCGAGTGCTAGAGTAAAGTCTATATGGTGACGGAACAGGTGGGTTACAGACTGAATGGTCAGTGGGCCTTCGTGAGATAATATAATGGTTCCTGGGGAAATCTTTTGGAGAGAAGGATGCAGTCTCGACCAGTGCCGTGGGCTTTCTTGTGGAGAGACGTGGAAGCCGCTTCATGGAGGAAAACGATTGAACCCTTTTTGCCGAAAGGTAGGCTATGAATAAGCTAGGAATAGCACACGTTAAAACAGGAATACAGGGTAGTTTAGAGCAGCACGAATGAGAAGGTAGAAGGAAATCACATGTGAGTGATTTCTCTCCGCCAACTCAATTGAAGTCAGATCAGAGAGGCGTCCTACAGGTTGCAAGGGTTGGAAATGTATAAAACTGGGCCTTGAGTTACCTGACTTTAGGTATCCCAAGGTTTAGTCTAACTGAGAAAGTTAGGAATAAGCTTTAAACTTCTACGATTAGAAAGAGCTTAGGTGTTCAATTACAAATTTATTAGAGATTTATATAAGATTCATTGTATTTCATAACAATGACTATATGCTATGTTTCCAAACCTGGTAACCAGTATGGTCCTGCAGACTGCGGGTGAAGGTTCAGTGGATCGATGTAACCAGATCCAAGAGTCAGGAGACCCAATCAGTTTTTCTTGTCTACCAATTCTCACCTCGATTAGGCAAGCACAAGCGCAGAGAGACAATTGACAGCTTGAAACAGGCTTGAGGAGAACTCGGGGCTGCAGCAAGTGACGTGATGGCTGGCTGACAAGTTGAAGATGAAGCGGCTGAGTCATGTGTGTGATTGGCTGACAAGTTTCTATGTAATTTGGTCTCTCATGCGCACCACGTGATTTAAGATTGCACCGGCAGTCTCGGGCGCAAAGTCCTGTAACAGACCTTGGTTGCATCATATTTCGCCCTGTAATTTCGTCCTTCTCCTGCGCGTTTCCTTTTGAGCCTCAATATCAACTCTGGACGAGGAACAGAACATCAAATTCGAAATCCTGGAAAGAAACAACTTATTTTACGAGTACGCGCCGCCATGTCTCGGTTTACTCGATCCCTCCGGTTCCCCCGGCCCAAGGTAAGGAGCACGCGACATGAACTCATGAACTTGGTTCCGTCTAACGGGAACAAGAGACTGGTAAACAAATGCTAATGGAATTGTCTGCAGAGCCTCTTCGGTATCACGAGCCTCCAGACAGGCACCGAACTCATCTCGCTGGCCCTCGTCTTCAACAAAATCACCGGTGTTTACGGACTCCTCGCCATCCTTACCGGTTATCAGCTATCTCTCCTTCAACTTTCAACCTACGTCTACTCCATCGCAGTCCTAATCGGACTCGCGATTCTTATTCCTCATGTTCGACGACAAAGCCCCTTTGAGTGCCTAGCTCTCGCATGGCTTTACATCATCGACAGCGTTATCAACGCCGCATACACCGCAGCTTTCGGTCTGGACTGGTACTTTTCTACTCAGCTTACCGAGACAACCGAATCCAAGAAGACTGATCTTCCTAACTTTGTGGCTGAGGGTATGCAAGGTCTACGAAAGGAGACCGCCATGCACGGAAAGGTCGTTCCTCAGGAAACGGCTGCAAGCATGCTGCTGATCGTTGGCGCGACGTTGATCCGCGTGTATTTCAGCTTGGTCGTCATGGCGTATGCTAAGCAGGTGCTGCAGAAGTACATGCAGTTGATGATTCTGGAAGGCCCTGGTGTTGATGATCAGGAGGGCCCATTTGCCGAGGACCTTCCTGACGGCGAGGGCCGCCGGGGACGCCTTGGCCGTTTGATGGTTTCATGTGGCCGGGCTTACTGGCTTGACACTCGGGAGTCCGATGAATGGGCACCAAACCTGAACCTGGGAGGAACTCACAAGCCGGTCTCAGCGGGCACACTCTCTGGTGAGGTCTAGAGAGCCGTTTGGCACGTGGAATCTGCCGCAGACTATTGGATAACCTGATGAGGAAATCCATGGAAACCAAATGGGAATACGAAAATTAGCGGCCAGACCGGTAGAAGCATGGTGGCTTGCATTTTGTGGTGTAAAGTTCAGCACTTGGCATGTTCATGATAATGGACCAACATGATAGATGGAGTTTGTCTAGGAAACAAACAGGATGTGAAGACTTCGAGCGGAAACAAGAACGCAATCCAGTTCGGGAACCAAGCCGATGAACCGAATTGTCGCGGAGGAAGTGCGGCATGTGCGGCTGAATCGCGGCATGCTGTGGATACTCAAGACAGGCGGCGTTGGCGGATGAGCCGATAGAACATTGGAAAGCGGCATTGCGTGATAGGACGATCCCGGTCTGATGAAAAAGATTTGGGAGACACATGATGGTCTCTCACCATTACACCGGGTCGTGCTGGATCATTGACTCGTTTATACGCGAGGGTTACTCTCTCGTATACTAGGATTTGGATTGTGCATTGGTGCATTGCAGGTAATATAACCTGGGATAATGATAATACCTGCTACATAATGTGGCAGTTAATATAGCTAGACATTGAAACTGAATAGCAAATAGTATTTTTTTTCGAAACCATTCAGATGCTTTATCGTTATAGCACTCATCTCGATGGGATATGGCTCATCAGTGCATGGTGTGCAGACAACCAATGATAGCTGACTATTTAATCAATCAGTAAAGCCTCAATATACCTACAAAACTAGCCTCCGCCTTCGGACACTCCCGCCTACGGAGGAGGCGAATGGGACATTCCGAGATAGATGGGCTTTGTCTGTGCTTCAGATGACTCCTCCCCGTCAGCAGATCACCCGAATTATCGTGAACACCTAGACAGAGTACCATATCCATAAACAGCTTACCAATATCTCGACCCAGATGCAATGGTCAGTTCAAATGGTAAGCTCATAGACTTCAGGGTCTAATTCTATTGGGAGAATGATGCGGACGCCGGCCGGTAGTCGGAGGGATCCCTGTAAAAATACCATTGTGAGGTGTAAACGCCGTCTTGGGGTTGGTCATGCACTTTTCAATCATCAGCATCTCCCATCATTTTGGCGATTTCTTGCGCGGACCGTCGGTGGCCCAACCGCATTCTCTCAGCAGGAACTCGGGGTGGGTCCCAGCTCGCCATCTTCCCCAGTACGTGCTCGTCCAGTACCGGTGTTCGCGCGGGGAACTTTATTGGCTGCGTGCGTTACATAAGGCAGACTGAGCCAATTGCAGAGCAACCAGTAGTAAATCCAAAGCTCCCCATTCGCTATCGGTGGTCCCTGGTTCCAGCGGAAGACGCGACCCTGATGGCGACTTAGCAGCACCCCCCCAAGGGCCCCAAATTGTCGACGAGGAGGCACTGAGCCCCGCCGTCCGGGGCATAGCATCCCGCTAATCGATCACGCAATCGAGGGCGAGGATTCAACAAGCGCAATTGTGCAGCGTCTGGATGGGCAATTTACTGCTGTTTGCAAGCAAATGGAAACTACTGCAGTGGGCGCGGGGAAAAAATCGGCGAGTGAGAAGGAAAAAATAAGACGTGCGAATGAGCAATGTGCAGCCGAGGGACCGATAGACTCAGGCGAGGGGCGTCTACTACCACTACCACTGCTACTACTAACAAGGCAAAAGGGCGTGTCTCTGCTCCAAGTTCATACTTCTTCCCTTTCCTTTTGGACGTTGACAGCCAGAGGGAAGAAACCTTTTTTCTAGTTCCTCAATCATATAGAAAAGGATCAGAGCCACTCAAGATCCCCCTCGGATCTCTCGTTGAGCGAGTCCGTCATTGAGATTTCTTTCCTTTCACTCTGTTTCTCTCTTTCTCTCCTCCATCCTCCTCTTACACAGCCTTCCTCCATTGTGTGAAGCGCAAGCAGCCTGTCTGCTCTGGCTTTGTCTATTCCCTGGACAGCACACGAACGCTCCAACATAATACCCGACGAACCGAAGACGAAGACGGGAAGGAACACAATGGACGCTGCTTCACAGCACCAGATCAAGACTCCTGAGGAGGCCGGTGAGTTTCCCTCGATGTTATATGTTTGAATGTGGTGCCAGGATGCTGCATGGAGTCGGAGATATTGCCTGTCATGCTGCAGAGTAGTCAAGCTTCGTCAGTGCGAGTGGCAATGCTACAGATCAGAATGAACAGAAACCGATGAATCACAAGCAATTGGGCTTGCCCGCAGTAAAACACAGACAGCTAATACCCTTCTCACAGTGGCTCGAATTGCCTACCTCTCCAGCGATGTCGTTGTTTCCGTCCAACCCGCCATTGGCACTGACTCCGAGTTCTCCTCTCACCTGAACCGATACGCAGGCCGCAAAGACAGCAGCCTGGTTGCTCAGAGTGCTGATACGGTCCCTCAGGTAAGTCTACTTTATGGACAATTTACCCCTCCCCATCTGGGGTGCTCTCCGAAAAATCTCCGGCCTACTTTGGGATGCCTGCAAGTCTATGAACGTAGGAGAAGAAACATAGATGGCAAACGGGATTGATCAGACGGGCAATTGGGATGTCAAATAACACAACGAGAATGAAACTAACAATCCAACCCAGATCATCCCTGTGCGACACAACACCGATCCTCTTCTCTCGGTATACTCTCCCACACGAGCTGGCAAGCTTGTCTCAGTCACCACCACGTCCAACATCCTCCTCCCCTCCGTCTCACACCTATATAAGCTGGCCAACTACCCTGTTGTCCTCCACGTCTCTCTCCAGCCTCGGACGTTCCCCGACTACTCCGTGATTACCGCCATCCGTAACTCAGGATTCACATTTGTCCAGTCTGAGACTCTCCAGGAGGCTCAGGATTTGGCGTTGACTGCTCACGCTCTCGCTATCCGGACCGGCAAGGGTGTTATTCACTTTTTTGCCCCCTCCACGTCTGCCAAGGACAAGGCCATCAATGTTGAGGATGCTACAGTTGTCCGCGACATTCTCGATATCGAGAGTGTTCGCCGATTCCAAGCTGGATCAGCTTCTTCATCAGAGAACGGCATCTACGCCGATGATGGCCACATTGCCGTCTCTTCTGACCACGATGTGCCAGCTGTGAACGGAAGTGCCGAAAACGGCAACCTCACTGTGCCACCAAGCGCCAACGCCTCCAAGGCTCCCTCAGCTGGAACTTCAGTCAAGTCCAGCCATGACAGCCAGTCCAGCACTCCTGTTGCGCCTTCATCAGTCGCCACTACCGTCGAGTCTGCGCCTCCTCAGGTCACTTCTGAGGATATCTACAAGTCTGCTGGGCGCATCTGGGCCCAGCTCAAGACATCTGTTGGCCGAGAGTACAGCGCTTTCGAGTATTCAGGACCCCCTAATGCCGAGAACTGCCTTTTCATCTTCGGCTCTGATGCTGGTGCTTTTGCTAAAGCAATTGACGAGGCCCGCCCTGATGAGGTCTTCGCCAATACTGCTATCCTTACTCCTCGCCTTTACCGACCTTGGATCGGATCTCGACTTGTCGATGCCATTCCTCGATCGGTTAAGCGTATTGCCGTGCTTGAGCAGATCCACCGCAAGACTACCAAGTGGGGCCCCCTCCTCATTGATGTATTGACTTCCGTGAAGAGCGGCCCCGGTGGCGTTGAGGCTATTGTTGGTCACCAGCTTGGCTACATCGCCCCTGAGGTGGTTGTCCAGGCCCTGCGCGGTGTCCTACAGAACCTCACTGCCGAGAAGCCTATCCAGAACCTTGAGGTTGGTAAGAAGGAGGCCTGGAAGGAGCCTACTGGTTACGACCTCCAGACTCCTCAGCTTGAGACCGCTTATACCAAGATCATTGATCAGCTCTTTGGCAACCGAGCTTACGTTGCCAACGCTATCAAGTCTTCCACTACTGGTCTTTCCCCCAACGTTTCTGCCAGCCCTGAGTTCGGATTCGGTTCCCTTCTGGCTCGCAAGCAACGCCGCGGCCAGTTCGTTTCTCAGGTGAAGGATGCCGCAACTAGCGGTAGCTTCACTACCGATGCTCCCAAGAGCTGGCTGGCACGATGGGCTATGAACGCTGATGATGCCTCCAAGTCGACTGAGATCGCTGACGATATCATTGCCAGACTTGAGACCGATGGTTCTCCTCTGGCCGCTCAGCTCCTTTCTGCTAAGGGTCTTTTCCGAAAGGAGTCCCTTTGGTTGACTGGTTCCGACGCGTGGTCTTACGATCTTGGTAACTCTGGTGTTCACCACGTTCTGGCCTCTGGCGAGAACGTCAACATGCTCATCATCGATTCTACTCCTTACTCGGAGAGGGCCGCTGCTGATGCTGACCGTCGCAAGAAGGATATTGGTCTGTATGCCATGAACTTCGGCAACGTATATGTTGCTTCTACTGCTGTCTACAGCTCTTATACTCAGGTGCTCCAGGCTCTTCTTGAGGCTGACAAGTTCGAGGGTCCTTCCGTCGTTCTCGCTTATCTTCCCTACTTCGGTGAGACAGACTCCCCTCTCACTGTTCTCCAAGAGACCAAGAAGGCTGTCGATACCGGCTACTGGCCTCTATATCGATGGAACCCCGAGAATGAGAAGAAGGGTGAGCCTAACTTCTCCCTCGACTCTGAGCTCATCAAGCAAGAGCTTAAGAAGTTCCTTGACCGCGACAACCAGCTCACTCAGCTTGCTGCCAAGGAGCCCAAGTTCGCTGCTGCCCTTGTCAAGGACTTCGGAAGTGAGGTGCGAGCTCAGCAGAAGAGGAAGGCCAAGGATGCATACAACCAGTTGCTCGAGGGTCTTCTAGGCGCTCCTCTCACCATTCTGTATGCCTCTGATAACGGTAATGCTACCACCCTTGCCAAGCGATTGGCTAGCCGAGGTCGTGCCCGTGGCTTGAAGACTTCTGTTCTGGCCATGGAGGACTACCCTCTTGAGGATCTTCCCACTGAGGAGAATATTGTCTTCATCACTTCCACCGCTGGTCAGGGTGAGTTCCCTCAGAACGGTCTGCCTTTCTGGGATGCTATCAAGGACAGCACCGACCTTGATCTTGCTGCCGTCAACTACTCCATCTTCGGTCTTGGTGATAGCCACTACTGGCCTCGCAAGGAGGACAGAATCTACTACAACAAGCCTGCCAAGGATCTCGACCGAGTCCTGACTAACCTTGGCGGTAAGCACCTGATTGACGTTGGTCTTGGTGATGACCAAGACCCCGACAGTTTCCAGACTGGCTACCAGGAGTGGGAGCCCAAGCTTTGGGCTGCCCTTGGCGTCGACAAGGTCGATGGCCTTCCTGAGGAGCCCCCGCCGATCACTAACGAAGACATCAAGCTGGCTTCCAACTATCTCCGTGGTACCATTGTCGAGGGTCTCAACGACCCCTCCACTCTTGCGATCTCGGCGTCTGACGGACAGCTCACCAAGTTCCACGGAACATACATGCAGGATGACCGTGATATCCGAGACGAGCGAAAGGCCCAGGGTCTTGAGCCTGCCTACTCCTTCATGATCCGATGCCGACTGCCTGGTGGTGTCTCAACCCCCAAGCAGTGGGTCCAGATGGACGACATTGCCAACGAGCTTGGTAACGAGACCATGAAGCTCACCACCCGACAGACCTTCCAGTTCCACGGTGTTGTCAAGAGCAAGCTCAAGCCCGCTATGCAGGCTATCAACCGAGCTCTCATGACTACCATTGCTGCTTGTGGTGACGTGAACCGAAACGTCATGTGCAGTTCGCTCCCCACCCAGTCCAAGTACCACCGTCAGGTCTTCGCTTGCTCGCAACTCATCAGCGACCATCTCCTACCCTCGACTACCGCCTACCACGAGATCTGGCTGACTGACGATGACAACAAGAAGACCCAGGTTGCTGGTGACGCCGTCCAGGACTTTGAGCCTCTTTACGGTCCTACCTACCTTCCCCGAAAGTTCAAGATCACTATCGCTATTCCTCCCCATAACGATACCGATGTGTATGCCCACGACATTGGTCTGATTGCTATCAAGGGTGAGGATGGCAACCTTGCTGGTTTCAACCTTCTTGCTGGTGGTGGTATGGGTGCTACCCACAACAACAAGAAGACATATCCCCAGACTGGTCGCATGTTCGGTTTCGTCAAGACCGAGGATGTGCACATTGCCTGTGAGAAGATCATGCTTGTCCAGCGTGACCACGGTGATCGTAAGAACCGAAAGCACGCCCGTCTCAAGTACACCATCGACGACATGACCGTGCCTGTCTTCCGCAGCAAGGTCGAGGAGCTCTGGGGTAAGAAGTTCGAGCCTGAGCGAGCGTTTGAGTTCAAGAGCAACGTCGATACCTTCGGCTGGCAGAAGGATGAGAACGGTCTCAACCACTTCACATTCTTCATCGAGAACGGTCGTATCGAGGATACCCCTGAATTCCAGATGAAGACTGGTCTGCGTGAGATTGCCAAGTCTCTCAAGGGCGAGTCTGAGTTCCGTCTTACCGGTAACCAACATCTCATCCTTAGCAACGTCGCTAATGAGGACCTCGCCGACGCCAAGGAGCTGATGAAGAAGTACAAGCTCGACAATGTTCAGTTCTCTGCCCTCCGTCTCAGCTCTTCCGCCTGTGTCGCTTTCCCCACCTGTGGTCTTGCCATGGCCGAGTCCGAGCGATACCTGCCTGTGCTCATTACCAAGCTCGAGTCTTGCCTTGAGGAGAATGGTCTTCGCCAGGACTCTATTGTCATGCGTATGACTGGTTGCCCCAACGGTTGTGCTCGTCCCTGGCTGGCGGAGGTTGCTTTCGTCGGTAAGGCGTACGGTGCTTACAACATGTACCTGGGTGGTGGTTACCACGGACAGCGTCTGAACAAGCTATATCGCCAGAGCATTAAGGAGGAGGAGATTCTCGCCATCATGAAACCCCTCCTCAAGCGATACGCTCTTGAGAAGAACGACGGCGAGCGCTTTGGTGACTTCTGTGTCCGCTCCGGTGTCATTGTTGCCACCACCGACGGCCAGAACTTCCACGATAACGTAAGTTGACACTAAATCCATATTATGCAGCTCAAACTAACGATTCCTAGGTCGTCGACGAAGAAGAGGATGAGGAATAAATTACGACAAAAAGATTGAACGAAGATTATGGATAGCATCGATTGGAAAAGGGAAAAAGCAGAACGAAGGATCAACGTTGGATGAATATCGATATCATTGTTTGTTGTTTATTTTTGCATAGCTTGATGTGGTATTTACTTGGCCGGCGCAACTGATAGGAACGCATTGATTCCATGTAGAAATACTCTCGCATTGACACATTACTCTGCGTGAATCATCTAGACTGTTGATTTCATAGACTTATTTATCTCAACTTCAAACATCACGCTGTTTTGCCCTCATGAAAGACTTGTTCTTGTAGTAATAAACGGTCGTATTAAACACGAGGTATACACATTCAGTCCTCCTATGTACATAATTCTTATCTTTACGAGGGATTCTTTACATATCCATTAAACAAAATTTTGTGATCGAAACATTCGTTGCCCTTGAATCATAGCCGGTATCATATCCTTTTCTCGAAAACTCATCTGCCACGTCGTTATCTTCCCAGTCAAAACTGCTGGGACTGACTGGTCCATCATTTCCATGCAAATGTAAATATCAGTACGCCAAACCACGCCAATGCATATGCCTATTTTCCAGATGCATCACAAAAAAGCACACGCTCGAAACAACACGAATAAATCAAGTTAATGCGTACATCAACTGCGTAGGTTGCTCGACACGCTGCTCATCTTGTCGCTGACCCTCTCCTTCAAGCCGCCCATCCATCGGGGTGCCTTGAGACTCAAGCGCACCCGGCCTTCGACTATCATGTTGATCACGTTAAGGATGGCAAAGGTAGTAGAACCGATGGCACGGAAGACAGCGAGGGCGGCGACAGACCAGAGGAGGAAGCGCAGGTAGTAGTTGTCACCAATGCCTCTAGCACTGTAAACCTCAGACACGACCATTCCGAGGATGCCGTTGCCAATCATCCATGTGAGAACCAGGTAGGTACGAACGCTCTTGTAGTAGTCTTCTTGCAACTGGGACTCGCTCGTAGGAGGCTCAGGGACTTCAAGACGATCACGAAGATTGCGAAGAGCTTCATCGTAGCCACTGTCAATATCGAGCTGCTCGCTTGGCATTTCCAACTCAACGGTCTCACCCTTACCCACAGCACCACCAAGATCGGTCTTCATGACGTTGTCACCCTTGGTTCCCCAGGTAACGTCGTGAGTGTTGCAGAAGGCGTAGACTTGTAGAGTGCAAATGTAGCTAGGAAGTAGGATGAAGTACTGTGCCGAAGATGTGATCATATGCCAGGGATCCAAGTACAAGATGGACATGATGAAGTACATGCCGATCGTCGAGAGGATAGATACAATCATATTGGTGAAGACGTTCTCGCCCATCTTTATTGTCTTATCGTCGCTTGTGAGTTGGCGAATAATGATGTAGAATGTAGCAAAGGTTGTGTACACCATGATGATACTGTACATAATCATACTGGCCAAGTAAAGCTTCTTCGCGCCTTGCGGTCGATTTCCGAGAGAGAGGATAAATTGCGTGGATATCAAGAGCACACAGGAGTACCGCAGTATGTGGAAGATGACTGTGGCAATATTATGCCCGAACGGGTCAATTTTTGGATCCGTTAAACCGCCTGCAACGAAGTAGAAGGTGAGATAGAAGTTGGCCAGGGAGAAGAAGGTGAACATGAGCTGGATGAACTGGTACAAGAACTCCATATGTAGAAGAACCTTGCGAGCGAAAGTATGGTCTGTGAACCAGATCTGTTTGAAGTGGACGAGGGAGTAGACAGCAGCGAAGAAAGCACCGTTGAGCCATCGACGACGTTGTGAAATGAATTCGGGAACAGTATCTATTTTACGTTAGTTTCAGTTCTCAGAAAAGGACCCTGAGAATATGCTTACCAGGCACATCGGTTTCACCAGTACATCCCTTGACGTACTTCAGGACCCATCTCTCACCACGTTTAGCTACCAATTCCCAGCAAAGAATACGATCTTCAGCGAGATACATGTTGGCAGTGAAGACATCGGCGTGTTGCCCATGCAATGTCTCACCCTTGAAGTACTGGCTGAGTGGACCGTGTCCAGTCTCATCGTTTTGGAGTGCGTGATATCGGTAGGCACTGAGAGCACCGGGAAGAACAGTAATATAACCAAAGACAGACTCGAGAGGCTTGTCCAGGATATTGGACATTTTGTACTCAAAGTTCTGAGATGCGACGAGAGGGTTGAGCAGGTTGATACCCATCTTGCCCTTCATAGCCTTGATCTCTCCACAGGCGCCAGCAACGTTGGAGTCGGTATCAAAGGCCTTCCAAAGATGGTAGAGCGAGGTACCGCTAGGGCGGGTACCGACATCAAGCAGGATACAGACATTAGGGTTGAGGGCTTTGCCAAATGCATTAAAAAACCATCGATGCGAGTTGAGCTTACGCTGGTTCTTCTCCTTCAGACAAAAGATCATCTGGCAAGGAACAATGCCCTTCTCAGCGCCCTTGAACTTAAGATCGGCGTCGAGAGAGACTTGAGTTGTGTATTCGTAGACGTGGGCCTGAACAGCGCGGTTGTTGACATAATTCTTTGCGATACCGTGCTGGTAGACACCCATGGCAGCAAGGGCATCCAGGGTGCGAGGGTGAATCTTCTCGCGACCATCTGAGACGATACAAACAACGATCTTCTGCCACCCAGTCTCACCCCAAGTACGAGAGCGTGTTCGAGAGCAGAAGTGCGAGATGTTCTTCATGACAGCGTGCATCGTCCGGGTGAAGCCAATTTCATCTTCGTTGTACATGGTGACACAGATGAACAATTCTGTTTCTCGGACTGTCTTGCCAAATGTTTGTCGTAGTGTATAACCCCTTTCAACAAAGTCGTCGGGATCGCATGTGACGGCGGTATATCGCATATGAGTGAACTCGACCTCGCCACGTCGTGGCAAGAAACTGTACAGAATTGTTGGGATCTTACACTCCAGGACTAGTTCACCGTTGATGAGCTGAACCTCTTTCCTTGCCATTTGAGGAGCGCGAACACCTCTTCGTTGCTGGGCGCCAGCGGGCGCAGGGCCATAATGCTCAACCTTGTCGTACTCGTCCATATCTTCTTCGTTTAGGGTGTCTTGGGACTCTCCAGAAAGGTATGAACTGCGATCAACGGGATGAGGTCGCGCGTCACTCAGGTCGGATTCAGGCGCGAACACATCGTCATCGTGCTCATGCAAAGGAATAGAGACAGTCGCATCGTCTGCAAAGGGTGGAACGGCCTGTCTCGAGTTTGAAAATAGAGGCTGTGGAGGAAGTGGGCGTCGTGGACTACCGCCGTATCTTGATGATGGAGTTCCGGGTCGGGGGCTTCCGTTCAAGTCGGAGGGCTCATACATGCCGTTGCTTGCAGGAGGCCTTGACAGATCGGATCTGGTGAAGTCGGACATGCGCGATGAGGGTGTCCATGGTCGCTCTGGGGAAACATTGCTGCCGTAGGACAGGTATGAACCATCTACATACGAGCCATCCACATACGAGCCATCCACATATGAGCCATCGATGTAGGACCCTTCTGGCATGTAGGACCCATGTGGGGGATTCAATGTTGGAGCGTCATTAAATATAGATCCGGATCTTGATGAGCGAACGCTCGGCTGGTAGTGGAGATTTCGAGGGCTTCGAATACTGGGAAGTTTGTCAGGTGAGTTGTTGTTCTTTAAGCGGCTCAATGGGCGCGGCGGTACGGGAGGGTTCGCTGCTATGCCAAGGTGTTGTTGTTCCTTGTGCACCTTGCGTCTTTCGCTGATCCCCTCGGGAATCTCAGGTAGATCTCGAGGTAGATCTGCGAAGGCGACATGGATGCTGTTTCTGGACTTGTTCTGCAACTTTGCAGTAGGGCCGCCATTAACTGGCCTCTTAGGCAACAGGGATTGAGATTCGGCCACTGAGCGATTGTATGAAGGAGGGTTGGGTGAAGGTGGTTCCTGTTCTTGGTTTGTGATATCTGCTTCAACTCCATCTTGGTGATCAGGGTTGGACTGGATTGCCCGTTCTCCCGTTTCTGAAGACATGTTGAGGGTCGTAGGTGAGATGGACAATGGAGGAGGAAACGCTACTGGCGGTTCGAGGGGAGAGGGTGTTGTCTTTGAAGGCGAGATAGAGGGGGAGGTGGAAATGGTAGGGGAAGGGCGTGTAGTAGTCGGAGTCTGAGTCTGAATCTGGTTCTGGCTGGGTGATGGGGGTGGTACATACGTGTGAGGATCATAGTGTTCTTCGGATGTCAACAGTCTCACAGCAGCGGGACTATAACCGGTGGGTGTGTGATGGAGGTCCTCGTCATCGTAGGGCGGGAGGCTGTAGTCCGGCGGGCGTGACATATTCGGATCCATGGCGAGAGGCTGGAATTGTATGCGGAATGTGGAATGTGGACGCGGGTAGTTGCGACAATACGAGATATTCGAGAATAGCGATTGGAGGTCTCAGAGCGAAGGCGACTTTGCTTCTGTGTTTACGGCCTCTGCCGTTGACTTCCGATCGCGTCGAGTATAATAGAGTAGAGTTGGTGTTGATGGCGCCTCTTGTTGGTAGTTCGAAACTCTGATATCAACGAGGCGTTGGCTGTTGGAGCAAATGGTCGGTGTAGGTTTAGATCGTCGCGAGGAGTAGACAAAGACGCTTGCGAGACAAAAAAGACCGAAAAGAGAGACAACAACGCGCAATGTATTTCAAAAGCGATACAATGAATGAATGATTGTCTCCTTTTTTTAGGACGTTGTGTCGTACAGTAAAGCACGGAAGCGAGCGGAGCTTTGATCGGGTATGGTTGTGGGTATGTGAAATGGTGGGGGAAGCTTAGCAAGTTAACCCAAACAAATTACGTCGAGTGGTTGGCATGGCAACCAACCCAATTGGGACCTGCCTGGTTTGACGCCGAAGGTCTCACAACCTGTAAGCGGCCCGTACTGTTGGATTGTTTCAGTGGCTGGGAGATGGTGATGGGTGGATTATCAGTGGGCTGCAGTGGACTACAGTGGGCTACCATGGAGGTTCATTAATGACATGCATTTCTTCGTAAATACAGTTTAACTATGCTCTTCAATTGCAATGTTTTGACCTCAATCTCAGTTGAATCCTCTATTGTTGTGGTACGTAACGTTCTTGTTTAGGTGATTACCGAGCTACCTTATTAGGCCCGGCTCCATGTAAGATTCGATTTAACCCAGCAACAGAGAGCACAGCCTTGCATCAACCAGCCATGGCGCTTAACATAGTGGATTTACAACGGTCTCGATCCGATCCCACTCGCCAGGGCTTTAAGAGCACGGAATGGAGATATCCCGATCTTATCAACATCTATCCATCTTTAGTAATTTCTTCTGTTCTTCTCTAAATTATACGATAATTTATCAGTTTTTATTTGAATTTCTACTACAATCTTTATAAACCCTCATCCTCTTATGATTATCTTAGTAGAGCCTAGCACTAATTGTCGGGACTTTTGCACGGGACTACACTGCCTGAAGTCTAAGCTAAACATAAGAATATAGAGCACTTTTGTCTAAGTCGTCTAGCGGTGCTCATTCTCAAGGTTTAGAAGATCCTTTTCCTCGCTCAACTTTCGTGTTAGCTGATGGTAGCATTTCCAAAGCCACAGGCATATGCTCAGCTTTACCTCCGTGCTTTCACCCACAGCGACCCCAGGGTTGGGTTTTACCATCGTGATCTCGCCTCGTGGTTGACGTGACAGGTCCAGGGTATAAACCCACTTGATAACTCCCCGGTTCTTGAACGACTGTGGAAGATAGGTCCAAGCTTAAACTGTCGGTTGTTTACATCTTTTTGCGGCGTCAAACAGTTGTTATTTAAGCTTTCATACAATAAATGAGTTTGCAAACGAACCATACCAGCCTTCCTCTAATTGATTGTTTATTACGGAGCAGTTCTAGGTATAATAGTTTACCGATCAAGGCGGTTATTCTCATCAACAGCTGGTAGCTTGATCTTCATCAGATCAAATACTATTCTGCTACGTCTACCTTCATCCTATGGACTAATCATGAATTTCTTGTACGCCCACTCTATTAACGACAACCACCTTTGCTTAACTCCAATTGCAACGAGTTGCTACATCTTCATCATTTTTCACTCACTTAGCCAAAAGAACCACGCATGAGAATATCAGTCGCTGATGAAACTCGGAGGAACATGGTAAACAAAAGTCCCATAGCACTCCAATTGGGCCATTGACATGGATTACACAGATTCGGTTCCTTGTTGTTGTACAACGTATACCCCGCTACAGGTGACAATAAATTCCGCACATCAAAGGTCCTTGTTGAGTCGTCTAATCAAGAGATACTCTGTCCGAAGGCTATCAGAAACAAAATACATGTGCGAATATATACGATTATACATAACATCTGGATGATATTTTAGAAGCGATGAGTGGTTCATACTTCACTCTGGACTTTTTAAGATATCCCAAGCATCATCTTGCTACGGTGTGCGTGTTTTATTATCACCATCATGGATAGGAAGCTCGCCATAGTGGAGACAAGTCACTGAGCTTCCGTCACCCGAGGCAGCTCTTATCATTGAGACATGATCGACATTCCGAAGCTCTCCTCTTCTCTCCCCTCATCTTTCATCTCTTCTGTTTCTCATAACCATAAAACATCAATCATTGACCATTGTGAGCTTCACTCTAAGAAGTAACAATGGATGAAAAGGCCCAGCTTCCGCCTTATAGCTCTGTTTCGCTGCCAGCGCCTGTTGCATCCATCCAGCAGCGCAGCAGGCGATCCATACGTCGCTCGCGTGCAATTAGGCTCTTCGCTTTAGCATGTCTCGCCTTCGTCGCCTTTGCACAGTGGAAACAGCTCACACCGCGAAACAAAACTACGTTGTCTATTCAGAAGCTCAACGAGGACTTCAAGACGTGCAAGAAGCTTCGCGTGAAGCCGCAGGACCCGCCTGGTCTGGGCCGCGATAAGAATGCTCGCTATATCGATGGTGGCAAGCCAACTTTGATCAAAAATGCTACTATTTGGGTGGGAGAGCCCGTCAAGGGAACTAGCCAAGAGGATGCATACGCTGGTAAAGGTTGGGAATGGGTACAGGGCGACGTCTTTCTTGAAAAGGGTCTTATTCAGCGCGTTGAGAAGAATATCAAGGCTGCCTCTCTACCCGACGACACTGTTGTGTACGAGGCTCATGGCCGACGATTGACCAGCGGAATCGTCGATACACACAGCCATGCTGGCGTGTACCCACTGCCATCTCTGGAGGGCAACTCTGATGGCAACGAGATGTCGGATAACATCACGCCTTGGGCCCGAGCCATCGACTCTCTTCTTCCCCTTGACCCTCAAATTGAAGTCATCAAATCAGGCGGTGTTACAACCTCACTTATTCTCCCTGGCTCCGGCAACAACATCGGCGGCGAGGCTTATATCATCAAGCACGCCGTTGGCAAAGCCGATGGACGTAAAGAAATTAGCGCCGAAGACTTGCTTGCCGACCCAGACCGAAACTGGCGATACATGAAGATGGCATGTGGGGAGAACGCGAAGCGTGTTCATGGCGGAGTTGGAAAGAGACCTTTTAGCCGTATGGGCGAAAGCTACGAGTTCCGCCACGCCTTTGAGCAAGCTAGAGACTTGATTCAGAAGCAAGATGACTGGTGCGCCAAGGCCGAATCCCAGGGTGTTGAGTCCCTGGATGAGTATCTCCCTGGTGAGATCGCCTGGGAGGCTCTTACTGCTGCGCTTCGTGGCCAGGTTCATATCAACACCCATTGTTATACCATTCCTGACCTGGAAGCCATGGTTGACCACACCAACGAGTTCAAGTTCCCTGTCCGAGCCTTTCACCATGCTCACCAGACATACCTGGTTCCAGAGGTACGTGTTTGTTATCACACTGAAGCTTCTTTTTATACTAACTGGTAATCTAGATCCTCAAGAGAACCTGGGGTGGGCGTGCTCCTGCGTCAGCCCTTTTCGCCGACAACATGTTCTACAAGACGGAAGCATACGTTGGCTCTGAGTACGCTGGCAAGATTCTTAACGAAAACAACCTCACAGTGGTGTACGTCAGCGACAACCCCGTCATCAATGCACAGCATGTTCTCTTCGAAGCCGCCAAGGCATACCACTATGGTCTCCCTTACCACGTTGCCCTAGCTAGTGTGACATCTGCTCCCGCTGAGCTTCTTGGAATGGGCAATCGGTTAGGGAAGGTCAAGCCTGGCTACGATGCTGATGTCGTTGTCTGGGATAGCGATCCTCTCAGCGTCGGTGCAGCCCCAGTGCAAGTCTGGATCGATGGCACAGCTCAGTACAAGAGTCCTATCGAGTTACCGAAGACACAAGATGCAAAACTCTCCGTCGAGAAGCCTGCTGAGATTGTCGAAGAGCCTAGCAAACTTGACAGTGTGCTCTTCACTGGTGTCACCAAGGTACTCCTTGAAGATGGCAAGACCTACGAGTTTCAAAACAAGCCAGTCAATGTGGTTGTCTCCAAAGGCAAGATCTCTTGCATCGGTAGCTGTAGCCACGAGTTCGATGCCGCGGCTGCGACTGGTGCCAAGACAATTGCACTCAAGAATGGTTATCTGACCCGAGCATTCACGGCCGTGGGCGGCACTTTGGGCCTCAGCGAAATCGGCGCGGAGTCGGTAACCAACAACGGACCCAACCCACTGTTCTTTTCCAGAGCCGCCGACGGACTTGCACTTGACTCGAAGAAGCTACACGTCGCAGCCCGTTATGGTGTCACCAGAGCCATCTCAGCGCCGAGCTTTGTAGGCGGTGCAACTCATTTTGGCACCAGCGTTGGCTTCCTAACTTCAGCCTTGACAACCCTTGAAGAAGGCGCTGTTTTCGCTCCTGATCTGGCAGTTCACTACACCCTGGATGTCAATGTTCGAGGCACAACTAGCTACTCGGCCGCTTTTGGTGGGCTGAGGAACAAGTTGCTTGCGGCTTCTACATCCTCACCTGCTATCAACCCGTTCTCGGAAGAAGCATACCTCAAACAGGTGATCAGCGGCGAGCGAGTTCTGGCTCTCACGATAAACAGCGCAGACGGAATTGCGACAGCTCTTCGAATCAAGTATGAGATCGAAGGTGTACTCTCGACAGATGACTCCGTAAAAAGAGCCGAACGTCTGAAGGTGGCCATTATCGGCGGCGCAGAGGCTCATATGGTTGCCAAAGAACTCGGAGAGGCTGAGGTCGGCGTGATTCTCTCACCGTTGCAGTCAATCGGCGACAGCTGGGACTCGCGGCGTGTGTTGACGGGTGCACCGCTCACCAACGGCACAGTCGTCGATGCCCTTGTCGACGCAGGGGTCAAGGTGGCTATTGGGCTGCAGGAGGATTGGCAGCTTCGTGATCTCGGGTTCTCAGCAGGAACCGCATTCAAGAATGGAGGTGGAAGGCTGAGCGAGAAGGAGGCCATTGATCTTGTTAGTACCAACATTTACAAGATCCTTGGAGCTGACGAGGCATCATCTGAAGATTATAGACATTTTATGGTGACGGAAGGCAGCCCGCTGGAGATTGGGTCGCGACTTAAGGCGGTTGGACATGGTAAGGATCAAGTATCTGTGTTTGTTTAGTCGTCTGCGACTGTATGTAGTTGCTCAGTTGGAGTTGAATAGATTGAGAGGAGTACTCCAGAAGACAATTCATCTGGTATCTTCTAACTGTTACAAATATCAGACTTACAATTATGTGAATGAGTGCCTAAGACCAGACATATGTGTTTTCTACTAGCATGTTTGCCACAAGAATGTGATGGACGAAGATTAGACATTGAGGTACACTGAATTATCTTCTTGAGACTATCATCAGAGCATAGCACACTTACACTTACAGTGGAAGTTACAGTGGGAGCCGAACCTCGGAAAGCAGCTGCCGATTACAAATGGCCCACCCGCGCGGGAAAGGAGTGGAGCCTCGCGCGCGGGTAATGACCAAGTAAGACGCAATTGGTTGAAAACTCCCTGGGGAAATCGGTTGAGCCTCTAAAGCTCGGAAGCAGAGGGCGGAATCGGGAATCTTCTCCACAGCTGAAGCCATGATGGGCCGCCCTGTATGTTTATCATGAGAGGATAAATAGCTGAAGGACCCCGCCATGATACAAAGTTGTACACAAGAAAGATCCAGTAAACCACAGCCACATACAATTCATGTTAAATTGCGCTCGTGTTGTACAGAGATATATTTCGACCATATTCTCAAAGCCACTGGCCTCTCACATACACACACATACATCCACAATGTCAAAGGTTGCACCTGTGGTTGCGCTATCCCACGGCGGTGGTAAGTCACCAATACCTCCAGCATCTCTCATAGTCAACCATAAGAACCACTCAGACAGCTAACACCACCAGGTCCCATGCCTCTTCTCGGCGACCCCCAGCACAAGGACATCGTCTACTCCCTCAAGAACCGCGTCCCCAAGATCCTCAAGCTCGGCACTCCAGAGCAGCCCCGAGCCATCATCCTCGTCACCGCGCACTGGTCTACCTCGCACCCTACCATCTCTTCAGGCTCATCTCATAAACTGTACTACGACTACTACGGTTTCCCTCCTGAAACGTACTCTCTCAAGTACCCGGCGCCTGGAAATCCAGAGGTTGCGCACGAAGTCGCCGATGCTCTACGTGCAGAGGGGTTCACCCCTGAGCTTGACGCCGAGCGAGGATGGGATCACGGCGTGTTCGTTCCTATGCTGCTCGTCAACCCCAAGGCCGACGTCCCCATAGTGCAAGTCTCAGTGCTCGAGTCCGAAGACCCAGAGGAGCATCTCCGCATGGGCGCAGCGCTGGGCAAACTGCGCGCCAAAAACATTGCCGTCGTCGGCTCCGGCTTTGCGAGTTTCCACAACATTCGCACCATGATGGCGATGGGTAGCGCAGGGCCTGAACAGCGGGCGCAGTTCCGCACATTGTCTGATCAATGGAGCAATACCCTGACTGACTCTGTTCTCAAGAAGGATCTGGATGAACGCTGGAAGGCCCTCAAGGGCTGGAGGAAGTTTCCCTATGCTGATATGATGCACCCGCCAAGAGCAGGGGAGCATTTCATGCCATTGCTTGTATGCGCGGGTGCGGCGAGTGATGGTGAGGAGACGAGGAAGTATAGTGATGAGTATGTTGGAGTTGAGATTAGCACGTTTTACTGGGGATCTGAGGATGAGAGCAAGCTGTAGATGTTTTCCAGAAATCCATATAGATTATTAAGCCAATATATTTGTCAGCGTTGTGTAGTATTACTGTATCACGGTTACATCATTCAGTATGCTTCTTTTTAAAGTTGTGTGGGTGCTGTAACCGTTCCTTATTAGGTGGATTGAAGTAGTTATACCTAATTTTATGGCTTGAGATTATCTAACCTTTGAGGAGTTTAGAGTATTTTGTAGATCTTTGGCCATTATTATCTTAAGTATTACAACTTTTTATAAAGACTATCCTAAACTGTCTTATTTTATGCTTATATTATAGTACTGGAGCTGCTTGCCTACCCCTCCTGTCAACCTTACCTACTCACCCAATTGGTAATTTCATCTCTCTCCCATTGGAACAACCCCCTGCCATTTTCCATGCCCTGTCCCCTGATTTACAGGAACAAGTACTCCTTTGGAAGGCGAATAAGATCTGCAGTAGAGTACAGAGTAGCACTGCACAAACAACTTCTGTAAACTCAAAACCCACTTATCGTGACCCGCTGCCGTCATCAGTGTCTTGGCTCGCCCATTTTCGCCCTCACAAGAAGACTTGTCTGACGTCAAGACGTGAGGGAGAGAGAGAAAAAGCCATACACTAGATACCCCAGAAACATCTTGGACATCCAATAAACACCTGCATGCCATGCATTCTTGACACATTTCTATGTTGTAAGATGATCAAAACTTGTATTCGTTCTTGGCCCTGCCGTTTAAATAGAGCTCGTACTGCCAGGAAGTTCTCAGTTTTAACTTCACCTGCTGGTTCTTACACAAGCCAATTTTCACATCAATTCCAACACCGTACACTCTTACCGTTTCCATCAAAGAAATCCTACACAATAGCGAGCAGCATGGGTCAGCATTACAAGCCCTCTATTGACGCTGCCGTCGTCAGAGTCTTCGTCCTCGAGACTGACACTCCTCACCCTCATACCCAGACCGAGAAAGGCTCGTTCGGCGAGATTCTGCACACTCACTTCTCACGGGCTGGCAGTAAACATCATCCTCCTCTGGGTGTTGAGACAGAGCAAGTCTTTGTCGTGACCGAAGAGGGCGGCCGCATGCCAAAGGTGGAAGAATTCGAAAACTACGATGGTCTGCTCATCACAGGGAGTATGTATGACGCACACGGCGACAACCCTTGGATTCACGAGTTACTCAACCTTTTGAAGCGTAAGTTTCTCTCTCAATGACTCTTGCGATGATACATACTGACTGACTATTTAGAACTGTGGATAAAGCGCCCAGACTTTCACTTCACAGGTGTTTGCTTCGGTCACCAGATCCTCAACCGTCTTCTAGGAGGCAAAGTCGGTCCCTCGCCTACAGATGACTGGGAACTAGGCCACAACGCCATCAAATTAACACCCGTTGGCAAGCGTCTCTTCCGTACCCACGATGACAAGATCTTCCTTCACCAAATGCACCAAGACCAAGTCCTCGAGGCTCCCACCATCGAGTCAGCCAAGGGCTTGCTCGAGCCCGACACAGACATCCACGTCTGGGGCACAAGCAGCCATACTTCCATCCAGGGTGTGTACATCCCTAACCGGCTCTTCACTACGCAGGCGCATCTGGCTTTTGATGAGGACATGGTCAAGAGGCAGATCCAGATGAGAATCGACAGCGGTGGGATTAAGGATCTGGAGCATGCGGATAAGGCGGCCGAGACGGCGGATCTGGAACACGATGGAGAGCAGGTTGCGTCAGCGATTCTGAGGTTGTTTAGGTTCGACGATGATGGCATGTCATGGGACTGAGCCTGTTGGGTGTGTACTGTAATTTTAGGGCAGCGAGTCGGAAAATGTTTTATCAATGAGGCTTTATTTCGGCATATACGACTTATTAAAAGTGGTTTGGAGATGTATCAAGACAGCACCGATGCTAGCGAGTCAAAGACTAATTGACATGATGGACATGATAGAAGCCGGTTAGAATGATGGTAATTGTCCATCAATGGAGAATATTTAATATCGAATTCTGCCAATGGTAAACGATGATGAGTACTAGATACGGACTTCCTTACCAAAGAAGAAATGACACGACTTGATAGACGGGCGATTATCACCAGCTGTATCCGTAGCTTGCTCCAATAAGAGCCACTAAGATCAATGTATATCTCTGACAAATTTGTAAGATATGACCCTGAGTCATTAAAGAATCCAACAAAAAGTCAACTAGGAATGCTTATGGTAAAATAAATAGGTTAGACATGTTATTCTCAGAAGACCTTATATACAATATTAGGTTAAGGTTATACAATTTTACATAAAATAAGAAGAGCTTGTCAGAGGTTATATAATCTTATATAAATTATAGAAGAGAAGAACTTATCGGAACTTGCACGCCCATTGTACAAATGTGACAAGAAGTGGCACTCAGCCCCATCCCCCATAGTGTGGCTAAAAGATATAGCTGTTAACCGGTATTTGCCTGTCATAATTTAGAGGTGTAAATCCGCGCTCAATGTACAGCCTGTTTTCTTGTGGCACTTTGCCGTTGTACATCCAGTAACTGCGCCCACTCTCCAGACAGATGCCCCGAGGTTATCAGGGCCAATGAAACTGGATTAGTCTTGAAGAGGAATTAAAAAAAAGTGGTTTACGTGGGCATTACCATCTTCGAAATGCCGTTGTCAAGCTCCTTCTGGTAGTCGACGATTTGAGCCTTGCCGATGCTCATCCACATCGGTATGCATCATGTCCACCACCTAGACTCGTCCATTGTTTACCCATGGGCCAGGAATCAAAGTATTTCGAGCCCAAACGCTAGAGTAAACACATCGATACCGCGTTGGGCAAGCATAGGAGAGTAAATAGAAGTATGCATCAATTGCTACTATTAACCAATTCTGACTGTAGATAAAACAAACGCTTTTCCAAACTCGCTAATCCAGAACGCCAATCCCATTGTTAACACCAATCATGAAGCCGCAAGCTTCTTCAGCTCCGGCAAAGCCCACTGCTTCATCCATCGTGACTCCAGCAACTCTTTGGTTGTCATCCTCTCTTCGGGGCGGAACGTAATCATCTTCTTCATCATATCAAGAAACGCTTCCTTCTCATCCTTGGACATGGGCTCCATGCCGCTCTCTTTCCGTCCTTGCTGAACGCAGCGCTCGAATCTAATGTCCCATGTGGATTTGTTCTCGGTGGTGGGCTGCGCAAGTGCGTGCTCTGCTTGGACGTCTTCGATCCAGTATTCTGCACGCTTGTTGCCGTATGCTGACCACTCTTCTGGGATTTCTCCGAGAAGAGCGACCTGGTCCTGGAGAATGTCGTCCTCTGATAGACTCCAGGCGTCGAAGAGTGGGCGCTGGCCGACGACATTCCACAGGAGACAGCCCAGGCTCCACATATCGGAGCTGAAGGAGAGAGGCTGGCACACATCTGGGAATTGAGTTTCGGGTGCCCGGTAGCGGATCGGGGCGTTGGAGTATTGCCGTTTTTCTTGGCTGGGGAAATACGATTCGCCGAAATCGCCCAGTAGAATCTTTGCATCCGCCAGAGCTACATCCTCGCTCTTCTGGCCCAGCCAAATCGGCAGCACGGCGTTTCGCGGAGCATTCTCGTCAACAGGGAGGCCATCGAGTCTCGTTATGGGAACAGTGGTAGGATGGCTGTGTCGCTCGTGGAGCTGATCCGGGGAGAGGCGCTTGATCCGATCCGGAAGTTGCAACAGAATGTTGTCGAGGTGAAGGTCTCCATGTACGGCACCACCTTCGTGGAGGTAAGCGACTGATTGAACTACCTGAGCGGCGATAGCTCGGGCTGTTCGGGGTTGGAAAAGTTTCGAGAAGGATGCATCCTTTGCGAGTCGCAGAGACATCATTGCTGGGTCGTTAACCAGGCACGTGTGTCTTCCATTGGGACCGTCGAAGTGAAAGTTATCGGTGATGTGTCGAATAAGCGGTCTACCGGGATGTTTCTTCCCAGCTTTAGCCTCCAGGCGTTGAAGAACGTCTACTTCTGTCGAATCCTCTCCAAAATCTGCCAGGACAATCTTCAGTGCGGCATACTTTTGTTTCAAGATATCCCACGAAAGCCAGACGGTCGAGTATCCACCATGGCCGAGCTTATTGAGGACGAGATAGCGATTGTTGATAGTTTCACCTAGAGAAACGGGATGGAAGCCTCCGTGGCAATACTGTTCGAGATTCTCGACATTTTCGATATAGTTGTAGTTGTAACCCATGTTCATCAGTCTCATGTTGTGATCCTCCATCATCATAGGCGGCGGTTGAGTCGTATGAGCGGTGACGGTCGCCAAGCCACGAGTTGCAGGTTTTGAGACGAGGCCATTGAAAGTATAGGATCTCCTCCTCGCTTCAGACACGAAATTGAGAGACGGTCGCCGAAGCGACTTGAGAGTACAGGTAGCCATTCTCACGCAAAGGGTTATCTTCTTTCGGTGAAGGTATTTTGTATTTGTGTGTCCATAGGTGGGGTTTGAGATTGGGCCATTCCGTTATGCTTGAGACGAGTGCAATTGATATTGATGCTGTTTGTTGTTATAGGTGAGTGAGAGAATGGATAGATAGAAAGAACAAGGGAGAATAGGAAGAGGAAGAGAAGAGTTTATGAGTAACGTGCTGAAGCCGAAATCCGGGGTAAAGGTACCACATGTTACTCATAGCTTTGGACCCGGATGGAGACTCGGCTCAAGGGATGTGGATCCGGGTCCGGGGCTGAAACCTGAGGCATCAATTCGGCCAAGTTCCGAGTAGTACGGTGTGCAGTTTATGTTCAAATAAGCATTTTATTCCCTGGAATATCAGCATTAGATTGCATTAATCACCGGTTTCTCGCGTTAGCGTGGTGTTCCTTTAAGTGACATTGTTATGGCTATTAATGTCCGCGGGAGTTGACGAGAGGACCACGGTTGGAATCGGCAAGTTTAGTTGACGAAGCTAGAAAAAGTCCATCAAGTCGTGTGACTCTGTAACGGCATTGGATTCAGCTGATGTAAAACAAGTTTGGCTTTGTTTCCAGAGAAACATGTGATACAGTTGAGCTAAGAGTCTTATTTTAGGTGTTTATCATGATGTATCGTTGAAAATGGATGACTGTTATTCTTATCTTGTGCCTGATACTTACTCATGCCGGTACCGGTCAGTCAATCACAGCAGGACATGCCGGTCTCCACTCTCCGGATCTAGTAAACACCAACACCATATCCATATCCGTAATCCGGGGTAACTTATCTCTCGATTATGCCTTATCAGTTGCTTGGCAATGGTTCTCGATATAGAATTTTTGAATGGAAGATAAGCATTCAGGAGGTATCCTGTTGTATCAATCTATCCCAGACATCTCCTCATCAACCGAACGCATTTTCTGCCTACAACTTACAAGCACGTCAGGAATCAAGACCAAGACATCACCCAATCAACAATGGTCACGTTTCTCGCAACTGCCGTCACGCAACACATAAACTTGTTGTGGGTTGTTTTCCTGACTCGGTTCCTCGGTCTTAGTCCTCCATATAAGTGTGGAGGAACCCCCCCTGATACCTGCAGTTCTTGACCGCTTCATCTTGCATAACAAATGTGACCCTTCTCTTGTTTGGTCTTTGTTCCAGTTCTATGGAAGTTTCATTGCAAAGACTGGATAATGCACACAGGCTTCAACTTCCGCAAGCCCGGTCTCATGGAGCTTGTCTATTCTTAGTGGCGGTGTATTCTCATGACCGACGAAACACAAATGGTGGGTAAATCTTCAGTTGTTTCTGACTTGGGTAGTGCAGCCAATGCATATGCTTGAAAAATAGAGAAACGAAACGTCTTCAGAAACAAGAGATAAGAATAACAATTTGGTGTTTCGGAAACCTTATATCCTGTCTAAAATTGGAATGTGGGCTCTTCATACAAATAATCATTTCGCTATTGAAACACTTTATTTTGGGCTATCTCGATAATTCTTTTTCCCTACGGTACTACATGCATCTCATGAGCCTACCGGGTCGGGGAATCGGGAGTAGAGCGACATGTTACATATTAGATAACCTGTGGGTAGTTGGTTACAGAATTAAGATCATCTTTAGCGATTTTACCGTAGAAAACACAATTCACTGCTTGGGATAAATCACGGCATGCATACACCTATCAATTTCTGTTTTACAGGCCAATAAGCGCAGCAGTCTTCCCGATATTTAGCAGATCTTACTTCAAGAAAGTGTCAATCTAGTCCTAGATGGTACTTGATAAACAACTGGCCAATTCCTCATTACAATGCCTGAGTAGGAAACACTTCGCATGTGTCCCAATGCACACAAGAACCTAAACGAACGTACCGTCACAGGACCGGCAACATCCACACTCCCACCGTCAATCCGGCCACATCACTCACAACACACCCCATCAGATTGGCATTCACCCAAGAGGATATCAAAGCCAAGAAGTGCTATTTGTGGTTTATACTAAAGACACAAACTATTAATGGACGTATAATTCCGATGTGGCATACAAGACCGGAGACATAACCGGGTGCGCAGGTTATATCGGAAGCTGTATCCGAATGACAAGCTATGCAAGCCACTGTCACAATACTACTGCCTGTGTTGCCCGACGGTATCCTGTTCTGGCATACTTGCTTTCCTGTTCCAAAAACTGTACGTAGAAATATAGTTCAGCTTTGAATTCGGTTGTCCGTTGACGTCGTGTGATAAACTATGCATCTTGACTGACCACCACCATTGCCATCTTGGCTACACATCTCTGCGTGACTCGAATCAAACCTCGTTATTCTGTGTGCAGTCTGCACGGACCGGTCTGCTTGTGGTACAGATCACATTTCTTCAAGCACAAACTTCTGGCTCAGCCTATCATGGTCAGACTGAGGTAGTTCCCCGCCTGCAATAACCCCGGATTTTGCTTATCAGTAATGTCTCGCTCTTCAATCCGGTTATCAACAGGTTGCCTCGGTTATCTAACCCCGGACGCCTCCCGCTTGGCTGCGTCTAAGTCACGCCATCAGCCTTGTTCTAAGCAAGGAATGTGCTCGACTACATTCCATGCTCTCAACCACGCCAATCGGCTAATGCCAGGTGATGTCGCTTCTTCACATGCACAAGATGGGAAATGAAGATCAGAGATGAATATTTTATAATCATTATATGTTTGAGCCTGCTTCTCTGAGCGGCCTTGTTCTTTCGTGACTAAATACAGGAGCTTTTTATAGCTATACAACACATGGGTTTTTCTATCCCTCATGTCCAATTCATAGTAACTTTTTGTACTCCAAACTCCTTCATAGCCAAGGTAAATTCCCATGTGTACTGTATTCCCTTCTTTATAAATGTAGATGTGGAAGTAAGTGAGTCTTCCTTTCAACGCTTCTGGGGTATCTTCTTTTTGCAAATCGGATTGCCGCGTGTCTCATGCAGTTGTGACAAAAGAAAAATGCAAACAATGCAAATATTAATCAAGTAAAGTCAATGCGGTGTAAATGATCAGGCGGCAGGGTTATTGACTGTCGTCTTCTGACGAGTTGGAGAAACTGCTTAGCCGATGAGCGTCAAGGTGCTCCAGGCTCTCGTACTCAATGGGGGACTCAACAGCAGGGTAGGCAGGGGGGCTGGGAGGCACGTCCTGGTAGACGGGGGGTGCCTCGTTGTCCCAGCTGACACCCATACCAGCATGAGCGGTCATGACAACTCCGTAGTGCATGCGAAGGATGCGACCAGTGCCAGTCTGAGTAGCCAGTTGAGGCTTGCCCTCAGGAGCGTACTCTCGAGAAACAACAAGCTCAATGAGAAGCGAATGGGTCACTTCAACACCCTCCAGTGACTTGGTGTCACAAGCGAACTTGAGCTCCTTTGTGTGAGACTTGTACTGGTTGGCAAAGTAGTCAAATTCCATCTCAACCTTGCCATCAGTGCCACTGAAGTCAGACTTCCAACCATCGTGGAGGTGCTTCTCACCCAAAACGCGGACCTCCTGACGAGGCAGGCTCTTCTTCTCGGGATCTTGAGTCGAAGTGGGAATGTGTCGGTCGCAAGCAGGTGCCACGGTCTTGATAGTCTCCTCGAGTCTCCAGGTAACCTTCTTGAGTCGCCAGAAATCAATGGTCTTGGCCTTCTCGTTGCGGCTCATGAGACCATCGAGTCGCAGGTTGACAGTGTTGCTACCTGTGGGGTGGATAACGTTGTTGTAGTGGGCGCTGGCCTTGATGTTGGTGGGGGGGAAGACGCGGACAGAGTGGTGAGGAATTTCATTCTCGGGAAGAGAGCGCTTAACGGGAACAGTTCGCTCAAATCGCACAGGGGTGACAGAGCCGCTGGCTGAGTGCACACTCTTTGTGACATAGGCATCAGCCTTGAACTCGTACGAGATAGCGACTATAGGCGTATCCATGGTTGCGGGGAGGTGGCCGTCCAGGAGAATCGAGAAAGGGAACGCATGGCGGCCCTTTCGAAGAGTGGTGGGTTGAGCGAGGAATTGCCAGCTCTTGAGCTCAGTGTACTGGCTCTGGCAGTCTGTGCAATGGCTCTGGTAAGGTCTCTTCTGGAAAACGTGAAGCTTGAGAGAAGCAGCAAAGCTTCCGACCTCAACAACCTCGTCCTTAACATCCAAGAACATCTGTCCAGTGATGAGGGCACCAGTGCTCTCCTCGGTGTTGCCGTGGAAAACCACTGGCGGGCTCTCGATGCTCCAGTCAATGGAAACATCTGAGGGTTGATCCTTGTGAGACTTGCCGAAGGGCAGAGAAATGCGGTGATGCTTCTTAACAGCATCTGCGAGTTCAGTCATCTTGACAGCATGGATTTGAGGTCGGTCCTCGCCGTCTGAAGTGTAGGGGCTGTTTGTGCGCGATCGTGCGACCTTCTTGATCTGTGCAATGTTGCCAGAAGAGGTGCGAATGAAGTTAGCCACGCGGTGGGGCATGGCGGCGGTAGTGAGCGATCCTTTTGTAAGACGCTCTCCTATGTGGTTTATACGAGTTCAGGTGGTGAGTGGGGTTGGCGGCTAAAATAGCACTCGGCCTGGGCGAGTTTTCGCAAAAACTCTTCAAAGTGATGTAATACCGGGAATAGTAATGTCAAAGCCGGCGTATGATGTGGTAATACGGCGGGAGATGGCCAGGGGCAATAGGTCTTCTGACTTTGCAAACGTTGCAAGCAGCGTCCAAAAAGTCGACAATGACGATTAATGGCGTTGAAGACGAGTCAAACCTGTTCCAAGGTGGTGGGCAGAAACTTGAGTGCCGGCTACTAGCTGCAGAAGCTGCAAGTACACTGTAGTGGTGGGACGTTGTTTTTCGTTTTTCCTCGGAAATCTTTCGAAATCGAAGAGGGAGTGATTGGGATATCAATTGGTCTCAGGTAAAGTTTGAGAGGACCAATTGCACCGGTAGTTGATCGTTAAACCGTTTCGTTCGTGTGTAAGTGGTAGGCAAGTAACTTTTATAAGTCGATATCTGATCTGGGGACTAGCTTTAGTCAAGTGTGTCGACCCTGAATAGATAGATGTAAGTCTGGGGAATTTGACAGTAAACAAAAGTGAGTATGGGGAAGATATGGAGAGTCCTTTCGAGTGGAAAGATCGAGGGCATCACCAAGACTAAATATCTGGACTCAGATTCTTCGACTCGTGCTCCGTTCCTGGGGGAAACGATGTGTCATAGCCACAGGTGCCCTGCTATGGCGAGCTTGTTAAGTGGCGCCTCTGTGGATATGCACTGAAAGGCGGCTCCCGCCTGACTCTTCCAGTTCTGCTCGCGCCCTGGAAGCCCTGCAACCCCTTTGGGCGTGTGGGTTATGGTTTGGTCTGAGAGCCTGGAGACCGCCGAAGGGCGTGCGACAACAGGGTGGGTTATGGTGAACAGGCCCAACCAGACATCAGCACAGTCTGCACTAGACTCTGGCACAGTCCGTATGGGGGCGATGCGGCGTTGTGGTTGGCCAAGGGTACGTTCTACAAACGGTACGCACCAGGTCGTGGCTCTCTTGGCATCTTGCAACGTTTCTGATCTGATGCTCATCAGGGACATACTATTACAGCACAGTGCTGGAGCCAGTACTCTGTGGGTCACCAAAGAGCATGTTGGATCTTGTGCACTTCGATCGTGGATCGTAAGACCAGGTTTAATCCAGGTCGACGACAATGGAGACGTTTTACGGAGTTCCAGGACACGGACCGACGCTGACCGGCTGTGGCCGTTGCCAATTCAAATGAAACTCGGTTGTAGCTGAAATAAAGTCTAAGAATCCAGTTTGTTAATGATGCCATGGAGTTGAATGTGTTGATTCGATTAGGGTGTGTAGCTTCATGCAGTAACCTAGCTGCAGACCTCTTTGGCTCTGCATGCCAGTGTTCTCATGATCTGCTTCGGCAGAGCTGCCGCTGACTCTTACACTGAAGATCAGACGGGCCATGTCTCCGAGTCTGTCTATTTTCTAGACGCACACTAACCTCATGAGTTCTCAGTGAGAACATAGGGTCGTCGCAGGCCGAAGACCGGCCCGGTAAGCCACAGGGTTGATCAAGGGGGGACCCTTTGATCTGAGTAGTGCTCGGGTTAGCTTTTGTTCGGGAACTCTTGACGGGAATGATCGAAGGAAAATAGAAGCCGACACATCAGCATCAGCCCAGCAAAATATGATTCGATACAGCGGTACGTGACGCGGCAGGGTGCCAGTCCTGGGCTGTAACGTACTTGTCTCGACAGATGTTTCTCTGAAACAAGCAATTTGTTTACAATTATTGCGAAACGATGCAATTGGTAGATCGACGACGATGATGGAATTCGCTGATGCAATTTTGTGATGAAGTGCAGTGCTTTCCTTGTCTTGAGGCCGACCCTCGGAAAGCAGAAGAACGTACCGGACAGCCGCGGAAATGGTAGTATCTCTCCAGCCATCCCGAGGCAGGAGCGGTCCAGTTGGGAGTCAGTTAGTGGCGTGTAGCGCTGTAGATTTACCGGCTACAGCGCCAAAGATCCCACTAGAAAGATCTCTCGGGGAGTCTAAACAGCATCGCTTCACTACCTACTGCAAACGTGTAAATTGATGCCCTCTTCAGGACAGTGGATGTGTCTTGTAGGGGACGAGTGAAATTGAAATTCCCCTTCCTTTTTGGGAGACCAACTCGACAATCAGAACAAGAGATCCTGTGCTATACTTCTTCTTCCATATCCAGCATAATACTAGCATTTACTTGAAGTCTTGAACTCAGGTAAATCGATTCTAGTGTTTTGGTCATCCTTGTTGCACCCCTAGCCTGTATAGTTACAGGCGGTGTATGCGCTCGAATGCCCTGTCGAGGGTAACGTCAGGTGCTATTTGACAAATGCCAACCCCTGCATGCGGCACTGCGACTTGGAGAGAAGAGAGCAGAACAGCATGCCATTGGGTGTGAGTTGTATTGCCCAGAATCAGTCAACAAATGGCATTCATTGTAGGCTGAGTGCTGGCTCCGAGTCTCGGCCACCGGAAGTGAGCGTCATGAGCAAATAAACATACGAGGATACATCGCGTTGCCCAGTCTTGCGGTCAGATTTGCGGTTTGATGGTTTAATCGAATTTGGCAATTGTAGCCTGTCCAGTCACAATTGCATGTTGGATTTACCTGGTCAAACGAGATGTGGCTGAATGACTTGGAGATATGGGGTAGACTTCAACTACGCCTACGAAATTGGAGTTGTCTTGGGGTAGGGACTGAACACCAAATCTTCATTCAGTTTTGCACTATCTATGGCGTAGACAATATCCATCAACCATGAATGTCACTACCCTTGATCTCCCACTTCTCGCCAAGTCTTGCAACAATTTCCATGTTGTCCCGGTCCCACTGTACAAAGCCAGGGCTAAGAAAGAAAAAAAGAAAAAGGATTTAGAGAAGACTTCTCACGAGCTAGTTCCACAATGAGACCGGGCCATCTGGTAAAAAACGGTGGGAGGTTGCCTTCTCGATCAAATATTTTACGTATTTGACGCTGGTTTAGCTCCGACAAACTGCTATATCATGAAGTGACAATGCACACGGTGTGGATCACCCCACGCTGGGTGTTTCCTGCTGCAAAGGCATGGTAACAGCACAGTGGGTAGACGTCCCCACAAGATGAAGAATTTTTCCGAGTGTCAAGTGGACAAGACTGACCGTATGTTAAGGTGAGGAAAGCCGCGAGGTAGCCGCGGCTATGAGTTGGCCAATAAAAAGTCAGAGCGCCGAAAATACGTATTTAATTGTGGATGCATTCCATTAAACAATTCCTTCCGTTCACCTTCCAAGAAGTTCCAGGTCTGAAGTTTGAACGGTGTCATTAACACCAAAAGATCCTGGGAAAATCTCTGAGAGAACCGACCACCTCCACCACGCACCTAAAACTAGACCATCTTCGGCTGTGGTTTCTTGATTCGAAGCTTCGATCTTACAAAAAGATCCAGGCTTTTTATTAGAGATGGGTCACAAGCATCAGATTGATCAGAAACGCAAGTTCCTTCGATCTTGCTAGCATCACCCCTGATTGGCCTGCTACCTTAGGGTAAATCGGCATCGCATACCTCCCAATCAAACCGTCGATCATAACATCGTGAGCCAGAACAGGCTCAACAGGGTTGCGAAGAGTGAATATTTTCACCATCATAGGGTAGAATACACCTTGTTGGACGAGACTGCGGCTGTTTCTGTGGAAGAAGGGCCTTCTACTATCGAGCTAACAATGGCTGTATCAGGATGTGTCATTGGTCTTGTCCAATCCACGTGTTAGAACAACATTGCAGTGTTCGATCTGATACAGACACAACTTATACCGGGTTGCCTCATCGGTGAACTCGTAATAGTTACATTAGAATTGACATGTTGCGAATACACTTGCGTCAACCACTGTACCAATGTCATAGAAATTGGCCAGGATGACGAAAAGTATTGACTTTCACACGAAATGCAACGCATCTTGATCGAGAAGATATCATCCATCGCGACTTCATACTGAGAGCATCGCACATCGCATCGGTCTCCAAGATCTGACACTGACGCATAAGAAAGCTTCTAACGCGCGTTCTTAACGGCGGCTACTACGACATTCCGAAGAAGCACCAGAAGCCTCCCCGCCTTCGAGATCAAACTGTAACTGACAACCAATATGCGATTCTAGAAGTTTTCGTCAGTTTCGTGTAGTCTAAAGTGGAGTATCAACACATCCCAACTTCAGTTTTGCACGGAATTGCCACTCGTTAAAGTTCCACACACACAAGCACTTCCACTTACGCAACAGATCTGTGCCGATTCGCCAACACGGCTTCAGCCATGCCACGTTCTTACCAGACGCCAGACACGAGGTCAACAGGTCACTGTGCACACTGGCATACCATCAAGGCCTTTCGGCCGAAACCGAAACAAAAGAGCCTCATCCCAAGTAGTGCGGCTCTTGACAAAAAATATTCTGGCTGCCAAGGGGTCTGGTTTCTGTACTTTAATGGCCAGAATCCGACATGTAACGTATTGCTGTTCCTGAAGATCATGCATCAGTCTCCAGCCACACGGCATTTCCTCCATTACCTAAAATAATGGAGAGCCCCCCTTGACAACAAGCCAACGCGGTCTCCCACGTCGAAGTCCATCCCATGTTCATCACGGAAAGGCCTTGGGCGTCCGCTGCTCAGCCCTGTCAACATTCTTCGTAGGCGTAGGCCACCGTCTCGGGAGCGGCGCCGTGTCATGGTGCAATCATGGCCCAAACCTGCGCAACGTGCTTTTGCGCCTCAGCTTCTGTAGAATTCGTCTTCAAATCCTTGTCTCCAAAGCTGACTCTGATATTCGAAAGCAAGTCTTGGCAGAGTTAATTGACAACATATTCGCCATCACTTACACCATTCAATGGATGATCGCATCATGGAAAATTCAAGCTCCTGTTCCAGATGGGCCTTGGCGACCCTGGATCCAACTGCGAATAATAATCTACGTACCTGAAGCGTCGTGTACGAGCATCTGGCTAACCGCACGCCTCTAGAAAATTTTCCTTTCTTAGCACAAAGGAGCCCGGGCCATTTTTGAGCCGCATTGGAATAAGGTGCAAATTTACGCTATAATTATACCATAGGATCCTCCTTTATAATGGATCTTGAGCATCACAAGACGGGTTGAGACTTTGGGTGGACTCTTTGAGCTCCCTTGATAAGGGACGTTCCACTTCACGACAATCTCGCGGGCCTTTCTTAGGTTCCCATGTTCCGATGTGAAGCGCTCCATTCCGAGAATGCGACAATGCCAGCAGTTTTCGAATAGCCTTCACGACTCCTGAAACAATTTCGTTTAGGCGGTCTACTGTTCAGCTGTGAACAGGCATACAGACTAACAGGCAATAGTTCCCGAAGACCCATCTGGCAGCAATTGCAATATCCAGTTGGGCTATTGGGCTTCGCGGCAAATGTCTGACGAGATTATCACAATAGAGATTAGTCTTGGCTTCAGCACGGTTGCAACCAAAAGTTATAACGGTGAGCGATCGACGCCTGTTAGCTGATGAGGCTCAAATCCGTCAAGATCGATCGTCGCCTACCAAAGTTATGCTCTCGGTGATGGTCTGAGCTCGGATTCAATGACCGGCACGGAATAGACGTTGCGGGATAGCATCCGCCACTGATCTCGCATACGGGACCGGCTCCGTATAGGCCCACAAAGCCATCGCCTTTCGAGTGCAGTTTGCATATTTGCGATGCAAGGTGCTCTCACCAGAAACTGAGCCAAGACCTTTTGGGACCTGGAAGCTTGAAGTTCCTCGAACCTAATACAGTGCTTACTGTGCCGGAACCCATAACCCTGGACCGACACCCAAGGGTTTCTATGCCGACAGTGACCTCTTTGGATGCCTGTGCGTCATGCGCCTACGGATAGAACCTAGAACTTTCAACCCTGGGACGACTGCTCGGCCGCGTCCGTGCATCCATCGACCGTTTCCTGGGAAGCTTGGAAGAAACGCCTCATCGCAACAAGACTTGTCATATAACAACATTTTTCGTTGTCAGGCGGAGACGACAACGTGATATGCGAAGACAGATCATTTCCCCGTTTTCTATGCTACAACAGCGGATTTGATTTAAAGATCGTATCAGATTTAGCAATGGGAATTCGCTTGCGACACCTGGTTTCAATGTAGAATGTAGCCCTTGTAGGCTCGTACCACTGATGCCCTCTTACACGGCGTGGTGTCTCCGCACGGGAATAACGCTTTGTGTGTCTGACAATGACTGGGATGAGCCATAATGGAGGGTCTGTATGAACAATGTATTGATTTGCGGATAAAGTTTGATAGAAAGAGACGTTGGCCTTTGAATAAGTCTTGCTTTTGAGCGAGATTGAACTCGCTGGAATATACATTCCTCAGCTGGTTCTTATGAAAACCTAACCTCTTCTTTTCCACCATGTCCTGGATTGCCTCAGGGAACGATTTCTTGTATACTCATACGCCATAGTGTCTGAAACCGAGTAATAAGCTATCAACTACCCGTACCAAAAAACAAGCAATTGAAGATTTTGGTGGTGGACGGAGTAGAACTCCGAACATGTGACTGCTTTCGTGTCCGCGATTTACGGATTGTCATTTATATCCCCGAAGTGATCACTTAGGTCTAAATAAACTATATGCAAGCCATGTATGAATGAAACATTCAACGGGAAGCGACATAGAGATAAGGCAGGCGTACGGCCCAATTGCAGAGCTGCCCAGATTTCGGAACAGCATTAGCCTTATCTTGAGCCATTCTCTCCCGAGACGAAAGTCTGGGGATTCCGGGGTTTGCAGAGATAAGTTGCCATTCCGGGGGTGCTTGGAAAGATAAGACAATCTTTCCACATCAGGCCGCGGAAAATCGATTCCACTAATGCTAGTATTGAAGCTATACACGGCACGCTTTGACGTGGGACAGTGCTAATTTAGATGAGTGAGCCAAAAGGTGAGAGCCGATAACGGCGCGGTATGTTCACGATGGTGTTTAGCAAGTTTTCCGGTCATGAAGAAGAAAGAAAAAAATCAATTAAGCCAAGACTCGCACCCTTGTAAGGCCCGGACTAAGCTCCGGGAACAATGCACAAAGCACCAGATCCCTTCCACATGAGGCAAGTGGGTAATTTATCTGGCTCTCTTTTTTTTCTCTTGTTCTTTTTTTGTTCTCCATCCAACGTCATTGCTATCCGCTAGAATTTTCCATGCCTAGACACTCCCTGGACCCTGGACCAGCAAAGAACCTACATTCTTTTTTGATGGAAGCTTTTGCTTGTTTGGGAAAGGTAGCGAGAGAAATGACATCCTTTCTTGGGGGGTTATCGAGATCTACGACGGACTTGTCCGATAGATGGGCTGGGCGCTAGGAGAATGTTGCTTTGATGGTGTTGGAGTTGGAGTTTGATTTGGGGAGTCGAAACTGAGGCCTTGGTTTCCCTTGACGATGGGTTCCAACATCCGCCTTATCTTGATGATATAGATCTAAGTAGTGAAAATTAGATTTTGTCTAGTTCCTCTCTCAAGGAACTCCAGTTCGTCAAGAACTACGGATACACAAATGTATACCATGGCCACCAGATCCAAATTGTAAAGAACAGATAAGTTATAGTTATACAGTAGAATGGGCCTTCTTAGCCAGTTCCCATAGCAAGCTCTCCATACAATCGGCTCCCCATCCAGTGGAGGGTCTTTATGGAGTAGGTAGTTGGTGTAAGCGATGTTGTTAAACTGAGTCCACAAGACCCATCCTACTGGTAACTACTAGTGAGAACATAGGGTACACTTAATCTAGAGGAAAGGAAAGCTTCTGCGTCTCTGATCAGTAGGCCTGTTCATAGTGTAGTGCATGTCTCGAGTTTACAATGGGCTGTCTGCCTTTTTAATGGGCTTCTTCTTAAAGTTCCGGTGGTCGAAGACTTGACCATTTGCAATGTGGACCTACGAGCAAATCGTGTGATCAATTCTAACAGTATGATCAATATGCAGCTGATAGGCCTTTTCATAAGCCAGTGGAAGCAAAGGGGAAGTGACATTGCAGCAGTCTTGCTCTTGAGGTTGACTGTGCTAACCCATATATCTGTACGCGATGTTACTGGGGTAAGAATCAGATTGACTTGAGACTAGGTAGGTAGGTAGTGAAACACCATTTGATTGCAAAAAAAGAGGTCCAGTCGTACTCGAATGATATTTGATGTTCTGATCGATCCCTTTGTCCTTTCCCCTGATGTTGATTAAGACGCTTAGGGGCAACAGAGATGTTTCACGTAACAGTCGAGAACAAGGACGAGAGTTGAGGGAGAATAGCAATTATGGCTTACGGTAGAGGCTTCTTATCAGCCTACCAAATCCTGTTGGCATGTAATACCGTCAAACAGGAGGGAGTGTTGGTTCGGGGGGCAAGTCTCTCCTCCCTACCTAAGCTCGAGGTCATTCACGCCAGCATCCTACACTGGCTTGCAGTTACAGTATCGGTATATAGAATCTCGATAAGTTACCTACCTACACTCAAGGTCTAGGCAGTAGCATGCATCTGCCTGGCAGTGCTACGTCGGTTTGATTTCGTCTGATACCTACCTGTACCTAGGTAGTGAATCACTACCTGCCAGCTGCTGGCACTGCACTGCCCACACGCATCAACGCGTCACTAAGCCAACAGCAGAAAAACAAACAGATAAGAATAATTCATCTCACTCTTCCTACTTTCGGGTATTCTCCTCGTCTGCAACCTCGCCGACTGCTGAATCATATCCTCACGTACGATCACGGCTCACCAACATCGACAACGATGTCTACCCCCAAAGATTCCGATGCCCAGGTAAGAACATACAGAGCTCCTCTCGCGCAGGATTTTTTTTTTCTAAAAACCAACAGAAGATGGGCGAGCTCGCCGCTCCCAGCACTCCTGGTAACTTTCCAGACCTGCAGGATGCTTCGCTGTCTCGGGTCTCTGAGGATCAGCAGGCTCTCATGCGCATCCAGGACGCTTGGAACGAGCATGGAGATACCTGGAGCAGCGAGATGAAGGAGAAGATCCTTCACCATCTCCCCGATGTTCAAACTACCGAGATCAACAAGGACACCCCCAGCAAGCACAAGCTCTACGCCGTCGAGTTCGACTTTGCCAGCTGGGTGCTCCTCCGATGCATCTACCCCGACCAGGCACTTCCTATCCTCAAGGCTCTGATTGTCGCGAAGCATCCTGATATCCAGCCGGACAGTTTTGCTGGACCGGATCTCGCCAAGATGCGAAAGCCGGCCAAGAAGAGTTGTCAACAGAAAAAGGACGCAGTTGGTGAGTTACATTCGGGTGCATTCGAGCTATCCCAGCTTGCTAACTTGCCTCTAGCTGCTTCGCACAACACCGGATTGTCTGAAGCTCAGCTGGTAAGTAACACTGTCAAATATATATTCGATATAGCTCACACATCTCTCCTTTGCAAGGCATTCGATGAGAAGCGTCGTGCCGCTGGACCACGTCGATGCGAGCCATCGCGCGGCCCTTACCCACGACTTCCTATGCATTACGTATACGACGTCATATTCTTCATCCGCAAGACCAAGGCTCAGATCCAAGAAGCTATCTTCCTGATCAAAAAGTCGCTCAAGTCGAAGCTCAGCAAGGTGATCAACAAGTACAAGTACATCAACCTCAAGAACCCCAAGGGGATGGCTGGAGGTCATGCTGCGTCCGAGAAGACTCCCATGATGGACGTCAAGTTCCTAGAGAGCTTGGAATCGGGTTCTCTCGTTAACGACTCGGCCCCAGGTCTCTCGGGTAAGCAGTCTCAGGAGCTCAAGGACTATACCGGCAAGATGGCCGTTGCTGATCATCTGCTTGTTAACGAGATGCACGGCATCTCCGTTGTGACTGGTAGGAAGATCAAGTTCATGATGGCTGATATCAAGAGTGATTTGGCCAAGGCCAAAAAGCAGCAGAAGGCTCTTGAATCGGAGGTTGCTGAGCTACATGCGATGATCAAAGCTCTCCGCCGGGAGAGCAAGGTCCTGCACGAGCTGAAGGCAAAGACCACCAGCCTTGATAAGTGATAATGTCACTTTGACCACTGGCTAGTAACATGCACGTGTTCATTCCGGGACGCTCTTTAGATCACATTGTCAACGAGGCAGGGAGGCCCATGGATCTCGAGAGGACATTGAAGCGAGAAAATCATAATGATGTACTAGCTGAGGAGAGTATCAGCGACTGGCTCATAAGTTACTGGGGCGGAGAAGCCAGGACAAGCCGGTGATATCAGTACAATAAAATGCGTTTGCTTTAACGATCTTTCCAGTTGATTTGACAAAAGGACATGCTTGCACAGTAGGGACCGAGGCTTCCACCCATGGACCGCCCATATAGAAGGATCAACACACTAACGTTGGAATCTCAACATGGTTCATCTTGCCTTCCCTCAAAATCTTTTGTTGAGCATGTAGTGACTTTACTGGGAATAGGGGCAGGCCATAGCAGTCCCTACTTTCCTCCGCCACACAAGTAACAGATAGCGCCGGGTGAAGGGAGCGTCGAACTTGTCCAATCCGTACGTATACGGAGTTGTTTCTCCAACCTTGTCGCCTCGAGCGTATTTGAGCCAGAAGTAAGCCGTAATAACGGGGAGGCGGGTTTGACTTTGGGGTCGACTTATTGTGTTGTTCGAAGCTGGAAGGATTTGTGCCCTGGGTAACAATTATCCGGAAGCCCAACGCCTCCTAAAGACGATGCGAAGCACTGGCGATAATATCCCCACGCGTTCGTGGCTTTGTGGCTGGTCAACCCTGTTGTATGGGTAACAGTTATCCGTACAGATACAGAATACAGAAAACGCCATCGCACGTGCTGAGTTCACCATGCAGGACGGAGATGACGCCTCAACCGATAGTGGATGGACATGCTCCCAGCTAAGTAATGGCTAGGCTAGCACTACTTCCAGACTCTCGGGAAGTATCAAGGCGTCAATTATCGTATGATTCTGTGTAATTGTTATTTTCCCCAGCCCTACACGGGTTTAACGTCAACGGTGAACTATTTGAGGCGTTTATGCTCACTTGGCCGACAAGTCCGTGATATCACTACTTTTTGAGGCTTCAAGATAGCTTCGAAAGGAGGCATTGCTACAATATTAGTGCATGCGCTCGAAATACTCAAAGAAGCATTGCCTTTTCCCCGAGAATTCGCTGCCTGTTGTGATATACGATAGCACACCAGGCTTCTTGCGCTAATAGAGATGGCCGCCGGGTTGGTGATACCCGACATACGAAATTGTGATTCGCAACGCCTTATGCTTAGGAGCTTCGGTCCGGTATGTAAAATATTGCTCTGTTAGGTTAAGGGTTAGTGGTTTCGGTTTTTACGCCTTCGTTTATGCTAGGGTATGTCATATCTAGTGAACAATGTTCATCTCTGTGCGTGGAAATGTGTATTACGGGTACTGTCGGCCATGAAAAATTCGTAACTAAAGCTGTATTTTTCCTATTGTTTTTATGGTTTTGAGTAGTCTAATGGTCGATCTGTGGTAAGGTCAAGGTCGAATTCTACATGTATTATAGCAACCCGATCTATTGTATTGTGAATGATACTGAAGAACAATGGCTGTCACTCGCCTAAACCATACCCCCACTTGGTGATACTCCAAGCTGGGAATAACTCTTCTTTTGAAGAAAGATTAGTAGGCTCTGTGCGTGCATCTGATAATTCCGGCACTGCTTCCGTAAGATGGTAGCCTTCCATGTTATTCTGGGCTGGGTCACACGGCCTGGCCCCCGGGAACAATTCATTCATCCTGTTCTGAGGCTAAGAGGAATGAAGAGCAAGGCTGGCCAATTAAATATATCCGTGTGTGAGAGCAATTGACATTAGAAGAACCAGGTACAGCTCGTTATTTTTGTTTTGCACGGGAGTAAGATACGCCGATATTACCCTTAGCAGAGAGTAGCTTCATAAAATATGAACGTCTGGATCGCCGTTGGTGTCCTTTTGAGCGAAACGGACGCTAAAAAGACGGCCCGTCTACCATGTAGAGGATTTAGTAATGAGTCTAATGACGGACTGTCGGAGGGACATTTTGGTCTCTGCGGAGTACATTGTAGGCAAAGGCAAAGAATGACTGAACAATGTCCTGTCGATCAACCAGCGATGAAGAGCTGCAAATACTACGTAGTACTATGTAGAAGAAGAGAAAAAGAAAAGCAAAGCAAAAGAAAGGGTATTCGATGTGCCAACCGCTATTGCTATTGTCAGAATTGTCTTACTCATGTAAATAGAGTTCACGGAATTCCAGGTATTGTCGTTCCGAAAGAGAAGCTCAAAACTAGATCCTGGGGAAGCGAAGTCAACGTCCCGGGTTCCCCTGTCCACGAGAACCAGGTAGTCGGGAGCATTTGACTGGATACGCGATGGTTTTGGGGAGTTTCGAGTATCTGAGAGACTGCAACCTCACGAGTCAAAGCAAAATGTGAGATGTGAGCCATTGTCCCGCTCAGACTGGGAACAGTGGATTTATTACCGTATTTTCCTCCACTGTTTCGGACTAGTCGTCGATCTTTCTCTTTTGTCGTCCCGCTAGACCCTACAGCCCCAGCCTATTGCAATCTTATCCGGACGTGCGGAACTTCAAATAGGATGGTCAATATGATGATAGTGAGAAAGAGACTGAAGAGATGAATACGGGGAAGTCAGAATTGATCGACATTGGAAGATTACTGGGATATTCCCCCGGGACATGGTATATGAGTCTTTTTGTTGTCCTATTGTAGTAAGGGTTCCAAACAATGCAAAATCAAGGCTGACTACGTACGTGCATACTTCATCGTCTAGACTAGACACGCTATGGGAATAACATAATTTGAAGTGACAACTCCTGACAGTTTCACCTCCATTCCAACGCCACCAAAAGCCTCTCTCTATTACTAGGTACATACTCTCTGGCGCATCGGCCGCCATGGACATGGTCATGCCTGCATTCTCCTGCATCAATGCACCGGATGCGTATTCCGCCACTGGAGATTTGCTATCCTCTAGCGTAATGCGATTCATACCTCCACCAGCGTTATTCCCCAGCTGGACGTTTTCTTTTCTTTTACTGGGCGCGCTATCTGCCTCTCTCCAGGGTTCTTCCCTTGTATCCGGGGCTGAGAAGGAGAAAGAGCCTAGGCCCTGGATCTGCACTAACTAAAACGCTTCCCATCTAACGCCCAACACTCAAACTCCTGCCAAGAATATTTCTAGTTGATTCCCAGTGTATAAACTGTTTGCCTTGTCCACTTCGCTCTTTCATATATGTCATTTGTCGTGCTGTGCTGTGTTGCGTTGTGTTTTATACTCCATCCCATCTCTGCAGTTCCCATATCTGGGGTAACTCGAGATCTTCTCTCGTTCTCTTTCTCTTATAACAACATTGGTGAGAGCAAAAAGATCAGACTTGTTTAATCCAACTCCTACCAAAAATGGCTCCCGAACGTGGTTTCCTCGTGCCTGAGCACTTCAAGGAACAGCCGCCAACCGAAGCTGATATGAATTTCGCCTCCATTATCTGGGGATTGTCTCTGGGTGTCACTATCTTCAACTGTGGAAAAGCCGTTCGCCAAACGAAATCGACGCTCGACAGACGCCACCGGCTGACCATGTACATCACCTTCATCTGGCTCGAGGTCATCTCCAGTACCGTTCTTGGAATCATAGTCTGGCTATATCTCGACCAAATCATCAAACCGAGCTTCGAGTATTACTTCTCCATCAGTATGTCACTCTCCGGTTACTCTGCCTTCAACCCTTTGCACCATGTGCTGACCTATCAGTCGTCTTTTGGTCAATCCAAGTCCAGTGTCTGATTCAAATCATCATCAACCGTGTCAGTCTGCTTATGGTCGTCCGCCGCAATGGAACGATACTCAAGTGGTCATGTTTCGGAATTCTCCTGGCCATCAACATCAGCGTTTTCTGTGTTTGGATCCCGGCGCGCCTCCAGATCAATGAAACTTACATCCATGTCAACAATATTTGGGATCGTATGGAAAAGGTCCTCTTCGCCATCATGGACGCAGCCCTCAATTTCTACTTTATCTGGGTTGTGAAGAAGCGTCTTGTTGCAAATGGTCTGCAAAAGTATACCCGCTTGTATCATATGAACATGTTCCTCGTCGGAATCTCCATCGCTTTGGATGTAAGTCGCAGTCATAAGACCCTATGCCTTCACTCACGTACTAACTGAACGCAGATTCTCCTCATTGGAATGATGTCTCTACCAAACAGTTTTGTCTACGTTCAATTCCACCCTCTGGTATACCTCTGCAAGCTTCACATCGAGATGAACATGGCCGACCTTATCGGAAAGGTTGTCCGAGCCGGCAACAACCAGGCCGACGGACCTCACGACTACAGCTCCCGGTCTCGAACAACTATTAAGACTGGAACTCGACCCGGGCAAGGAAGATTCGGAGGCGCCCTGACGAGAACACACATCGAGCTTGGCGACGAGGACGAAATCGAACTCAAGGGCCGGGAGAACCTCGAAGGCATCAAAAAGACCGTTGTTACACATGTTGTCCGATCACCAAACAGCGATCTTGAAGACGAAATAACCGAACATCACGAAAGAGCAGTCAGCGAGGCTAGCTCTAGCAACACCCACGACGAACCCTACAGCCTCGAGCATTCGAAATAAACCATTAATTCACTGTACATATAGAATTTATAATTAGAGAGGCGTCACTCTTTCCATATACAAGCACGGAATATAACGCAATTAATGAGAACTTGGAAACAAAGAGACAACGCATCGCTGCATCGTGAAAACTCTGCCAGGCTAGTGATGTAGGTCTTGCTGTTGGTTGAAGACAAGCCGACAGGGAATGACCATGTTAAAGAATTCCCAGCTGCCTTTGTCACCTGAAGGTCCCTTCGACTCGTACTTAACCCCCGCAGGTGTTGGCCGGGGTGACAGGGGAAGGGCAAAACGCCACATCTCAGGGGTTGGAGTCTGGGGTAGTGAAGATATTCCCCTCTCAAGTTCACTAGCTGACTTGTTCCCATCGTCCGAAGACCAGGGGCTACCTTGTATGGGTTTCTTGCGAGTGGCTTGTTACATTCGTGTTGGCCTCATTGTCATGCACCCCAGGTTTTGTTCACTGTGCCATCACAAGTCTTGAAACCAAGACTCATCCATCCTGTCAGAGGAGATTCTCGGTCCCGAATGACTTCTGTCGCCTTAAAACACCTTAACAAAAACGGATTTTAAGCCTCTGAATCCTTAGGTTCTGCGTTCAACTCCGCTTCCGGACGACTGGAAAAGACGTCTTCTCGAAGAGGCATGGCCACGACACTACCACGCACTAAGCAGCTTAGGGATGATTTAGAACTTTGCTTTTTGGGAGAAATGCCTTGCAGTTAACAATCGTCAATCACTTCCCCGGACTTATTTAGTAAATCGTCGCCAAAGAAACTGAGAGCTGAGACATCTTATCAGGAGGCTTTTTTCCGGCGCCAGACGCCGCTGCCGCTAAATAAAAGCCCTACAGGGTTCCAGAACACTTGGACTTTAGCTGCTGTAGATTATTGGCTTTTGGGCACACAATGCTTTGTTTGGATGGGATTGGCCCATGCACAGAAGATTACAAGTCACAGGGATAATCCAGGATGAGAGTCGTTGACAGGAGTGAATAATATGATATCTCTAGAACTAGGTACGTCATGATAAGGAGTGGCCAATATCAAGTTACTGCGTTGCGTATACCTTAAAACAATCTACAATCATCTCATGAATCCTTCATAAAACTCCGATTGGAAAACTTCTAGTCCTGACTGATGTTTTCTCCTGTTCCTTTGCATGCGCTGTGACAAGCCGTTGTGGCTGCAGAATCACCTGATATTGGCATTACCGCTATGTATCTAGACCGGTGTGGATAGTCTGAGAGTCAAACTCTAGGAGTCTTTATTGGCTAGCTACTCTTAGTAACTATTCTCTCCATAGGAGGCTAGGGATTCTCTAACTATTGCTTGTCCTATACTACGTAGTTGTATCGGTCGAAAAGGGTCCCCTTGATACTTTCTTTTGTTATTGAGTCGCATATATACATAACCCCCAAAACCACGCACATCATGGACGGTAGGAATTATTTCAGCCTGGACTCATTATTGTCGCATTTCTGTTTGGTATTACACTGTATAATTTGAGGTGGTGAGCGGAATCATGGGATGGAGTAAACAAGTACCGAGAGTCAGTCATCGACGTTATCCTCAATATTGTACATAGTGGCATGAATGCCTTCTGACTGACGACGACAAGGCAACCCCAATGTGGTTGCTGGTTAAGAATTGAACATGCCAGCCGTAAGATTCAGTGTCTTCCACCTTTTTCAGCTTCTCGAGCTCGGGGTGAGTATTGAGTGCGGGTGCGAAGCTGGATTCCACTGCCAGCGAGAGCGGCATCTCGTAAAGGTGTTTGTTAGTATGAAGGTCGAAATATCGAACTCAGTTCATTTGTGCTATTTGCTTAGAGACAGATTGCGGTTATTCTCACTGCTCTAGTTCCATACAAACACACTTGGTCTGTTATCGAATACTTTGCGCAGCATCTCTTGCAGTTGCTTGAGATTTGCCACAGCCCACGATTGCCCGATAATCATTTCCAATAAGATTACATCACCATGGCCGGCAATCATTGTTGCTTGATATGTTTGTAATGTTGGATGTTTAATGATGAAAGATCTAGTTTACATAAGGGGATAAGAGAATATAAATTTAGAACATATTATCCAAAGCGGAATAAATTCATACTAGGATATATAGCTTTATAATAATATTAGGTCAGGTTATATAAGATTTTACAATCCTTTGATTAATTTATATAAAGTAAGAATATATTTTAAGACTGTTATTTAAAGTTAGGATAACTTTACATAAGGTTACCTAAAGTAAGAATATGTTTAGAAAAGGTTATCTAAAATGAGTCTAAGAAATGTATAAATTTAGAGTAAAGCCGTATAAGAATAGTGGTACATGCTATAATCCTCTTGTAGAATAGGTGGGAAATGAGGTGGCAGTCATGTGTTTCTGGCAGTGCCAAACAGTGTTTCCCAATCTATATAACAAACAGCAATCAATAAGAGTGGAGGTCGAGGCCGGGTAACAAATAAACACTATCCCTTCCTCTTCTCCTCCCCTCTCTCCCACTCGTCTACTTAACCTGCCCCCCTCTCCAATCCCACAACATTACCTATTACATGGTCCGCCTCAACTTATACTATATACCCCTTCTACGCCAGAGACCAAGTCACTCCCGGCACACCCTAGGCTCTCTCAGTTCGCCTGAAGGAACTTTGGGAAGAACACTCCCACCTTTGGCCCCAGGAGACGAAAGAGTCTCTTGTTCAACACATCCTTGCTGGTGATACTCGTATCACCAAAACTAACCTACCGCAACCCAGCGGTCACAAGTTGTGGACCACTAAGATTACCTTCGCCATCTGGATCATATTCCGGGCGCAGTACAGCATGGAGAAGCTCTCCAAGATGAAGGCACGCTTGGCCGAGGAGTTTCCAGGGATCGACCCATCATCCTGGAAAAGCCCCGGCTTCAAGAAGCCAAGAACTCCAGCGAAAAGCCGTGCTGATGTTGGCTCAAAATCCAGCGCTTCTAAAGAGCAAAGCAGTCGTGTTGGGAGCGAGGACAGAGCTTACCTCAGTGGTGGTAATGGTGGTGGTGATGGTGGTGATGATTACGAAGACGAAGACGATCAAGTGAGTTCCCCAAAGGCTTCCGCGCGACCTTCCTAACAACAGCAGCAGCCTGTTCTCTTCAGGTCCAAGGTGAGATTGAGCTCTGAATCTCGAAAGCGAACAGGGTCGCACTCTTCCCGAGGAGAGGCGAAGAAGCCTATCCGATCGCTGAGATCACCATGGCCGAATGCTCGTCGGCTGCAACGTAAGTCAACCCAGCTAAGTAACTGTCCAATATCTAACTATTTAATAGGTCATGCTGTTTCATCGTCACCTCGACCAAGCCGCCAGTCGACACCGGGTAGTGGTAGCAGTCGCCAGAGTCTCTCTGGTACTGCCAGAACATCGGGTGGGAACAGGAGCATGTCGAGCATGGAGAAATTACGACTGAGACATCTCGTAAGGACCAGCTCTACGCCCCAAAGAGCTTTTGGTCGATTGATAAGAGATCGTGAAGCCGTCAGCACGCCTGGATCGACTACACTCAACAATGAAAATCACAGGGCTACGATTGAGGCTTCTTCAGCCACCCAGCCTATTGTGATTTCGCCGACTATGAGTCAAAGGAGTACAGTCCAGCAGGGTAACTCTCAGTCCGTCAAATAGGAGTGTGTCTTGGGCGGGGCAATGCTGCCTTTCTTCATAACCAAGATGGAACACTTGTTGAAGCTCCGGGATTAAGGAAAGCTATTTGAGCGAACTGTTGCAAAGGCTTCCGCACTCTTGACTTCTCATTCGACCTCAGTCAACGCTTAGTGGCATCCAAATCCTACTATTCTTGTCTAAACTATAATAAAATTCTACTCTTCTAGCCTTAACTGTGACAATCTCCTTTCTAAGTTTAGACTATATTGTACCGGTATCTTCTGCTCTTATCCTAACTTACCGCTGGGACCTGACGTATAGAAAGGCTGGTGAGGGGAACTCGATGGTTTGCTTCGGCATGATTGCTCGTGTATTCTTAATGGTGATGCTTATGGTGTTTCGTAGAGGAGTAATCACCGTGGATGAAAGGGTAAAGGAAACGCAACAGCTCAGTAGGTGAAATAATCGCTGTGGATGCAAGGGTAAATGAAACACAATAGCTCAGTGGGTGAAGCTGTGAGTGTGGTCAGCGAAGGTGTTGAATGCGGGTTGTGTGAAGAAAAAGAAATGAAGGAGGAGAAGTGAATGTAGAGAAAAGAAGAAGAGATTTGGTTTTGAAATGACTGGCTGGTAGTGGAGTGGCAGTGGCAGTGATTCATAGCGGTTTAGCAATCTAAGAAAATAAGAGAAACTAAAAGAAACCAATGCTTTATTTTGTTTACACTCTACATATTCTTCTCCTTCTCCTGTTCTCACCGATTACAACTGCTTACACATTCTCACGACTTTATTGCAGACTTACCGCTTCTCGTCGTGCTGCCTAAAATCATTGCCAGCCGTAAGTTGCCTCTCCGCCTCTGTAATATCATTGCTAACAGTTCCCATTGCTCCCTACAGAATCAGCTTCATTCTACCATCTTCATTCCGGGCTTACCAACTCTTCTCGCTGTGCTGCTCAAGATCATCGCCAGCCGTAAGTTACTTCTCCTAGTTTATTACCTCTTCTCGTCAACGAATCATTCACCTTTGCTCTAGCTCAATACCTTTGCATCACGATGTCGCGCAGCGCTCAAGAAGAACAGGGCGAGAACAGCGAGCCTCGTGTAGAAGAGACAGTTGTCGTGCTTACCAAAGATACTACACTGACCAGTCAGGCTGTGGCATCTATCTTAAAGACTACCTAGTACCTAGGGGTTCACCTCTCTCCCCTCCGTCGTTTCCCCCATGCTCGCCCTCCTCCCTACCTCCCTGCCTCCCCTCTTCTCTTCTCTCTCCTCTTTCTTCCCTCCTCTCGCCCTCTTCCTCCCTCACACCTACTACGTGTTAGATCAAAGCTCTCGAATCACGTTGCCAAGCTGACCGAGATGGTCGGTGACATGAAAGTCGGGCCTCAGAGCCAACGGACGCAAGTAGCCGGAGATCGTCAGACGCCAGCAGCCGACGCTCTTCACAGAGTCGGGCGGCCGCCGATGGTGATAATGAAGTTGACGAAGACGCCGTCGCCGTCAATACGTTCGTGAACAATGATGAGTTCTTTATCATCTCCGAGTCATTTATCCAGACGAGCCGACGAAGACCCAATGTGAAGCAAGGCGTCAACACCAGTGAAAATGCTGAGAAGTTCCGCGAGGAGCAGAGGATCAGCTCAAGAGCACTTGGGATCCTGAGGCACTCTGTAAGTCCCTGTTTTCCCTTTCAAGGAACATCTTAATTGATGCTCCTCAAGGCGAGATGCTTGCACGGCTTGTGTCCCTGAACGATGATCAGACCGTTCAGTTGTACATCGCGCTCAGCAAGCGACTACGCCACTGCACGACTCAAAAAGGAACAGATCCAAAACCTAGACACAATGTGGAACAACATGTTCCTTCATTTACTTGATAGAAACAGATCACATGTACCTAGATTGTGTAATACAGCCCAAGGAGTAAACTCGCGATCGCGACCTCGGAGGGCGGCCCCTTCAAAGAGGCATTCGTGCCGCCCAAACTGAGACTCCCACTGCGGACGAAATAGATCAGAGAGCTCGTGACCTCGATTCCATGCGCAACGAGTTCAACACACGTTTACTGGAGCAAGCCAAATGTCACATTGGCAATGACGACGACGATATGATGATGCCGCAGCGGACTCAGTCAACCTGGACCAAAGTTTCCCAGAAGATAACGAAGAGATCCCTGAGTCTGACGCCGATGCCCAGTTTGCGGCTTGTTGGGGTTGGCCAAGCTGTAGAGGCGTTCCCCGATGAAATTGTCGATGTCCCAGGTAGTGTGTCTGCACTTGATTATGCAGCCGCCGCCAAAGCTGCGATGGAGGTCTGGTTGTCCTTTGGGACTGATCAATATGCCCTCGGCACAAAACCTAAACAGCAGTCTGTCTGCCAGCTGTGCGTCGATAGAGATAGCGTGTACGATGAAGCCAAACGCAAACTATGGCAGAGTCACCATCTCAGGCGTCACCAAGACTCTGGCGTTCATTCGCAGTTCAAGCAATTCTCGCGCCGCGCTCAACGTCTTGCTCTCGATAACGGACTTGACAGTGTCGTCTGCGAACTCTGTGCACAGATCGTACCCGACTCAACATTTCTTTACCAACCTATGCCACAGTTTCAACTTTGGCTCGTCATATCAGAGATTCATCCGAACAGAAGTTGGTTGCAACCGAGGCTGATTGCAACTGGTGGAAAGATGGCAGCTTTGACACCCACGCTCTAGCTATCGCCCATGATGAGCTGAAGTATGCCGGCGGCTGGTACGACGACTAATTTGATGGATCAGCTGCTGTGAAGAAACGGCGGGAAGAGGATCAAACACAGTCATATCGCCGCCGGAGCCTGGAGGACGCCATTGTTGTGTTCTCCCAAGAAAATGAGCTGCAATATCCGCTCCCGATCACCATCAAGTATCCCTCACTATTCTCTCATCTTCAGCACGGATCAGATCCCAACTGGGTGAGCGAGTATATGGAACAGGCTGGACGAGCACTGTTATATGGCCCTCCTGCCCCTATGGACATCAGTGAACTACCTCAGAGAAACGCGTTGGAGAATGGCATTAGCGAGATCATTGTCTCGGCTCATCGCGAATCGTTCCTTTATCATGGTCTACTTATTAAGATAGACAATAAGAATAATGTTCCTGTATTTCTGATACCGTTCCTAAAACGTTCCATTACTGTACGTAAAGAGCCAAAGAGCGGGCATGTATAATAAAGTTAGGATACAACTAGTCTAAACCTTAGAGTACTTACGCTCAAGACTTATCTAAACCATTGTTATTATGGTCATATCTTATGGCTCTCTTGTCTAAAGTTGGGAGGATGTCATGATGGCTTGGAGGGTACAGGAGGGGAAAGAAGGTGGGTTGGGCAGGTGGAATATGGAGGACAACAGCGCTTTCCTTACATACATGTACGATTGCAAAATGGTCTTCCCGTACGTAAACTTTCACAAATCCAACTCACCTCTTACACAAATCTCAAGCGCGACATTTTCCCCCATCGTCCACCTGTCTTGGCAGCTGGGTTCCAGTGGGCTGGTTGGCTCCTACCTCATGCGGTGGTGGATCTGGCGCTAGTGCGCGGACCGTTGGTAGCCTATCTAAACCAAACTACTGGGACCAGTCTCCAACAGAAACACATCCGGTGTGGTGTATCGGTTAGCATACCGCGTTTTCAATTGAAAAAAGCCGCGGCGAGCGGGGTTCGATTCCCCGCACCGGAGTTTCCTTTTGCTTCTGTCTCTTTTGTCGTTTTTGTCGCTTTTCTGTAGCTTTCGTGGTGGTTGAGATAGATCTGGTTGAAGTCATCGCGAGGTTGCTGAGGAAGGAGCTCGCTCGGCCCGCACCACGCGACGGTTCCACCTAAACACGTGACCGCTTCACGGCCAATCACGTGCCAGGATTGTTTGTCAACCAGTTCAACGCAGAAAGCTGAGTGAGTGAGGTGAGTACCAGATGTGCCTGGACGATTTGTTTGTTCTTTGGATTTCTTTGCGTTTGTTTTTTGTTTTCTTTTTTTTTTATGCCTATATACGTACGATATTGCGAGAGCTGGGATGGTTGGTGATGATATTGGTGTTGTTGGTGTTGGTGTCAGAACAGTCGAAGACGCTGAGTTGCCTCGTTTGACAAACAACTATCAAGCATTTGCACCGTTTACTAGTTGAAATCCCATAACACTGTTTGAAAGTAGTGTAAATGGTCTAAGATAGTCTCAAATATTATACATTTTCCTCATATTATCCTAAACTTCTCATTATCATACGTAGCCTCCTTGGTCGAAGGTACAGGGTAGCGCAGCAACAACACTGCCGACATTTTCCCGCCCTCAAGTTGAACAGCAGCGCAACCATCAACTCCATCTCGTCATTACATCCAACCACTTGAAGCAATTGAAACCTTATGCTTCCGGAGTGACAAGCTGTCACTTCAAGGGAGGCATGATAAACAAACCTTGAAATGCGCGAGTTTATGGACTATGTCCACAGCGCCTTCTACGAAGCTACCGGATGGAATCGCGACAACTCATACGCAGCTCTGAATGTGACTAGTGATGGTAAGGACCCCGGCGTCTTTGGAGCTTTGGCCTTGATACTGACGAGGATACTTGCAGCTCTGCTAAACTTCCAAACCCCTCGCGGGTTGCGACTCACCCTCTCCTCCCTTGCGAGCCCAAACTTTGCGACATCTTACCAGCTCGGTTCAGTTGGTATCGTCGATGGCTCTATCTCATACCTCTTCTCGTCTGTACCGCTTCGACTTCTCTTGACACCACAATCCGAAACGGTCAATCTACCCGAGCTTCTGCGTTCATACAAGCCCCTCACCGAACTACCACACCGAGCCAATCCTCTACTTCAGACAGCACAGGACAAACCCGACTCGTCGCTTCTATATGGCCGATTTTACCTACCCCAAGCCCTGCTCGAGGCTCTAGTGGTCAAGCGATTTACACCTGCGCTTCAGGTCCAGCTCAGCGCTGTATCCGCTCACCACCTTAAGAACGGTGGCACAGTCCTGGGCCTGGCGCAATATGACGTGGGAAAGTACGCACTTGAAGGACTGGCGTCCTCAGACGGAGGATTACTCGGTTTCAGGGGCGTATATAATTTCGGCGGTGATGCCGAAAAACCGACAGACCAAGCGCCAGTTGATAACGACAGGGAGAGGATATATGGCCGGTTCAGCACTGGTGGAGAAGTCTATTACGGTACGTTGAACAAGTCGGGTGGAATCAGCGTAGGAACCCGGTTCGCGACATTGCCCGCACACAAGGGCACGCCGTTATCCGCGACATTGACCCTCAACCCCTTGATGGGTAATATTAGCGCAAGCTATGCCGTGGTGGCTGGAAGGCATTGCAGCCTTGCCACGCGGATGGAGTTCAATGTCTTCAGCTACGAAAGCGCTTGGGCCATTGGCATGGAACTCTGGCGGAAACCATTTACTCGACCAGTCATTGAAGACGAACCAGTTGTTGAAGACAAAGTGGTCCTCGATGAGAAACCAGAAGAAAAACGACCGAAGGAGCGCAGCTTCCAGGCTAAGCTGGAATGGCGCCTGGATGAACCCGAGCCAGTTGTCGTCAAGCCACCATCGCCGCCGCCTCCTCCACCAAAGGAAGAGATAGAACCTGAAAAGCCCGGAGAGGAAAGATATGCTGGTGTGCTCAAGACCCGTCTGGACCAAAACATGCGGATAGGGGTGCTGTGGGAGGGACGGGTCAAATCACTCCTATTCAGCTTGGGCAGTGGGATCGACCTGAGGAAGCTTGACAAGCCCTTCCGAACGCTCGGATTGGAGATTCAGTTTTCGTCATGAACGGGCATCAAGCCATGGCGTGGACCACTTGCATGGCAGTATCCCGCTACTGCAGTCGGGCCGTAGGATCAAGACGAGTATGGTTATGGGCCCTGCAGTAGCATATGTACGAAGCAACATTAGATCAAACTGGCGGATTATGCCAACGGAAATAGCGACGGGGGGTGGACGTCAGAGTTATTACTGTTAAGGGGAACTGTACGATTACGGTGCATACATTGGCGTTATAGACTAAGCGTGTCGATTCGAGTTGGCATACATTTGTAATCACGAGAGCTGCCAGGCACCTCACTACTATTCATGTGTCAATTTTATACCAAAAGGTTGCTCACTGTCAACTTGTGATGTTGGTTCGTTTGTGATTGAACTTGGTATTGATCATTATTGATTCCATCCCACGTGCAGTCATGAGCTGAAGGGTGAAGATGCCGTCACATCCGATTGAGTGGCTTTTTGGCGTTTTAGAAACAGTTTTGGGCTTCAAGCCGTGAACATGCATAACACCCATGTTGAGAACCCTGATGGTCTCTAGGATATCGAAGTGTGGCTGCTGATGTAGGCGAGCCAATAGATTTATCGAAGATTGATAATGGAGAGCAAGACTGGAGATGACGCCACAGACATCAGCCACATCCGAGTTACTTCTTCGCCAAAACGGTACTAGCCGCTGGGATGAGGCTAACATGGCCATCAAGGTTCTCACCTTAATTTGACCCACTCCCACTTCAGAGGAACTAACCACCACGTTCTGCTGCTCTTTTTCGTGGTCGCGTACTCACGGTTTAGATGAGAATGTGCTATTATCTCTCGAGTCACACCAGTTGGTCACAGTGGACCAGGATGGTGATGCCAAGGACTGTGGCAGGTGCCGAGTCCCAGGGCCTTGGGACGTGAGTATGCATGGAAGTACGACTGGAACAGTTGATATTGGGATGGAATGAGAGTAGGACAGTTACTCGTATATGGAATTTTTAGAGTTTAAGTTATGGCCGAGAGTTTAGATAGATCAAGGAGGTTCCGATCTTTATCTGCGCACATGTGCTGCGTTTCCAAGATGTCCCCTCCATTACAACCTCATCCAGCAGTAGGAGACAGTGGAATGAATGGATGGCATACGTCTGATCAATACATTCAATGTAATGATCAAGTGTCATTCAGAGCCCTTGTCTCAGCCATACCAAACACGCACCATCACCAATCCAATCTGGCCATGAACAACACGCCCATCTACGACATATCTCAACCCCCGGCCCTTGAACGTTTAAACACCCCACGCTTACTGCTCGAGTAAAATGTAATTGACGCATCTTTCGGCACCTCGCTTCCGTCCACTGGGCCCTGCCAGAGCCACCGAAAGCCCAGACACCGGTTGAGTGGCACCCGCTTTTGCCCACTTTCTATAAGTCGAGTCTGTGTCCATCAAGGTTCATCGGTGCTTTTTCGCGAGCCTCTTGAAATATTGTTTCTCTCAGCATCACGCAACATTCTCTCGTTGATATATAAAACTCACAGGAGCTCGCAGGTCTATTGAATCTTTTCCCATCGCATACATTCATTCAGCTGCAGACCTAGCAAAAATATTCCACAGCGAATAATTACTACTAGCGCGCGTCTTGGCGGTTGCATTCTCGTTCGAATCACACAGCGCGATTATCCTTGGTCGCTTCCTTTTTGGGGAACACCATCGAAATAATCCTTGGCTAAAACAGCCTGTGCGTCTTGGCATTTGACGACATCATTCCTGACTACTACCTCACCTCAACCTACTGCCTGAGCGATCCGCGCATCTTTTCTGGGTCGTCCACTTCATACATAAGAGTTTGTCTTCCCCCTTCATCCTCGACAGCTAGTACTATTCTCTTCGACTCTTCACAATCGACAAAATGGCCGACGCAGCGGAGTGCAATGGCGAAGCCGTCGATCTCGGCCGCAGAGGCCTTCGAATTGGTGCCATCTTTATCATCATGGCATCTTCAGCTATCGGCGCTCTCCTGCCCATCTTCCTCGCGCGCCAGAAGACCATCCCGGTGCCCAAGTTCACCTTCTTTATCCTCAAGTTTATCGGTACCGGAGTTATCATAGCGACAGCATTTATGCACCTCTTGGTTCCCGCTGTTGAGAACCTCGGCGACGAGTGCTTACAGGACCGACTGGGCGGCTACGATTGGGCTGAGGCCATTGCGCTTATGACTGTCATTGTCATGTTCTTCATCGAAATGCTCGCCGCTCGTCTCAGCAACGCCGATATGGAGCACAACCACTCGATAGACGGTGATCACGAACTTGACCCTGCTATGGACATTGTCAAGAAGCACCACACCCACCCTGATATCGAAAACGGTGACCAGCAAGATTCCGGCTACGCTCCTGGAGGCGACAGCCACCTCGCGCACGGCCGTGAGCACAAGGAAGGCGATGCTCAGGGCGGTCTTGCTGGTCAGCTCCTCGCCATCTTCATTCTCGAATTCGGAGTTGTGTTCCACAGTATCTTCATTGGTCTCACTCTTGGCACCATTGCCTCTGACGAGCTTACTGTGCTTCTGATCGTCCTTGTTTTCCACCAAATGTTCGAGGGTCTCGGTCTTGGTTCGCGCTTGGCCGTCGCTCCTTGGCCCAAAAACCGACAGTGGATGCCTTACCTGCTCGGTCTCATCTTTGCCCTATCGACTCCCGTTGGTATCGCCGCTGGCATAGGAGCCAAGCCCAACAACGCCAACGACCAGAAACTTGTCAACGGTATCTTCGACGCTATCAGCGCTGGTATCCTCATGTACACGGGTCTGGTCGAGCTCCTTGCTCACGAGTTCATGTTCAACCCCTACATGCGCAAGGCTCCTATCAAGATTCTCTTGCTCGCTTTTGCCTGTGTTTCATTCGGCGTGATAGTTATGGCTATTCTCGCCAAGTGGGCATAATGGGAACTCGAGTGGAAGAACTGAGTAAAATGGTTGTCTCTTACGGTAGAGAGAACTGGATTGGATGGGGAGGCATAATAATTTCTTTCTCGTGTTGCATTAGATGGATAGAATTGATACCTGGCTGGCTTATGAATTATTCTACCTTTGAAGGAATAGTAAATGAAACAGTTTTCCTCATGCTTGACCCTGTTAATATTGTGCTCGCTTTGCTTCTTCAGTTGACACCACAGCTCATGTACAAGGCTAAAGAGAATGCATTATACTTGCCCGTAGCTGTGAAGTAAGCCATCTAGAAGCACAATTGACACTCGATGTAATTTCATTTAGCAGCAGTCACTTACACGAAAACTTCCTAATTTGGATGTTACTCAATCCTCAATGGTGATATTCTCCGAAAGAGCCCCACCCCGTATAACAGTGCGCCGCGATACCGTTTCTATTAGCACTGTCTCTACGCACAGTGCTTAGTCGGATTTGTGGGACTCACCTAGGGCCGCAAAACCCTACTGCAAAAGTTGAGCACCAAATCTAGCAAATTGATCTTGAGAATCGTGACGCTTCGACAACCTCACCCAACGACCAATCTCCCACCCACCCAACCACCACCAACAATACGCAAAAATGGCCGGCGGAGTTACCGTTCGCGATGTCGATGTAGGTACTCCCTAAGAAAAAAACTATCCGCAGGATCGAAAGAACCGAAACACAAACCAAAATACGATCTCCTACTCGACGACTTGGCGACGCAATCTTTCACGAGAACCGCTTGCCCCCCGCCCATGGCCGCTGGCGCAGTGCGAACATATTATATACAATACTGAAACGCTGTGTTGGCTGCTATGAGCTGAAAGGGCTGGGTACAAATGGGATTGAGGAGCAGGCGCGAGGGAGTCGAAAGACTTCTGACGACGGAATCATGCTAATGGGTTTATGACTGCAGGCGCAGAAGTTCATCACTTCTTACTCTGCTTTCCTGAAGCGTCAGGGCAAGCTCCCCATCCCTGGTAAGACTCACTAATTCTCTTTTTTTCATGTTGAAGCAAATCACTGACTCCCCCAGGTTGGGTCGACACTGTCAAGACTGGTCCCGCCAAGGAGCTCCCTCCCCAGGACATTGACTGGTTCTACGTCCGCGCTGCCTCTATCGCCCGCCACGTCTACCTCCGCAAGACCGTCGGTGTCGGCCGTCTCCGCAAGGTCCACGGCACTGCCAAGAACCGCGGCAGCCGTCCCTCCAAGCACGTCGATGCTTCCGGCTCCGTCGACCGAAAGGTGATGCAGGCCCTTGAGAAGATCGGTGTCCTCGAGCAGGACGAGGAGAAGGGTGGCCGCCGCATCACCCAGGCCGGCCAGCGTGATTTGGACCGAATTGCCCAGACCACCGCTGAGGCCGAGGAGGAGGATGAGGATGACGAGTAAATCTAAGTCTAAATTCAAAATCTGGCGGGTTTCCGGTCAATGGTAGCAACGGCAATGGCAAATGGATTTGGGCGTTGGGTCATAGATTTTGTCATGTATGAATGAGATTCCCCCGACACTGGGTCATTCGGTTTGGTCAAAATGGACCCGTCCACATTGTCGTTCATTTTATGGTCGATTTGCTCATGTGAATGTGATGTTCTGTCAGACAACAATTGCCTGTGTATTCGTTGCATCGTGAATGGAATTCTTCCCTTGGCCCCTCATTACATGCACATCCCCCTCCATAGAGGCCTGCTTTTATTGACCTCTTCATCAACTACCCCTCCTTTGAGGGTGAAGATAGAGTGCATGCTCGTGCACTTGATTCTTCTAACTTGCTCCTTCTCTCCTCTCAAGGTATACCATCGCCTTCTCAACCTCCGGGTGCTGAGTTCTCTTAACCCCTCGAAGTGAGGCGATATCTGATCGATTTCTCGAGCTTCATCAGCCCTGTTCATGATCATCCACACATCGTTCAGAGTTTAACCTTCACGTCACTGTTCAACTTCGCCGATATCTCTTCGTTCTGTCAGCTATGAGCGAAGCAGAAGTCAAGGGGAAGTGAGACTTCTCTCCAAGGCGGACCCCTGTGCAAGAGCAGATATTCTCCGTTGCACTCCAAAGCATGAGAGAGTATATCTGAATCACTATGCACTTCATCCTTTATTCTCTCTTCTAATCTCTTCTCTCGAAGTGGAGTGATCAATAAGCGTGCGGCAACTCCAACTCTTCATCTCATTCAATAAACTCACACTCCATTCACTTACAGGCACATTTCATCTTTACTCACCCTTTTATACAAGTTATTCACAAGCAGAAATGTCAAACTCTGAAGAGGAGACAGAGGTTCTTCCGACCTTTGTGTCTTCCATCACCAAATCCTCACCACTTGTATACTTCTACCATGTTATCGATCCCGAGACAGCCACTCTCACTGTTCAGGTGCTGGGAGCTAACATCTCCTTCAAGTTCAGCCATCTGAAAGCAAAAGCTGTTAATAAACCATCTACAATTACGCAGCAACTCGAGAACAAGACCACAGGCTTCATCGCCCTTGTGACACTTGATTCTCGACGTATTGTCCTTGCCGCTGCCGAATCAGGACATGGCCTAGGCCGATACGGTGATCTACTCGACAAGAGAAAAGGCGTGCTTCCAAATAGTATTTGGACAAAGCGAGTTGTGGCCTTCGGTAAGACCCTTGGATTGAATATGAAAAGACTATTCGATAACCCTCATCGAATGGCTGGGAACAGGGAAGGCATCTTTCTCGGGTCTCACGTCGAAGTCAAACTCGCTGTTCACGGCATTTGTGTTCTTCTTCAAATGTTCAATATCACCAAAGACTTTGGCAATGTCACCTTGCAGCAGCTGAGTCAACTTCGCCAAGCTCGCTGGGAGGACGGATCGCGCCCTGTCTTCGAAGTATACTTCTCACGAAAGTTCTGCCAGCCTTGCAGAAGTCTCGTGGAGAAGCTCCAGGAAGCCACTGGAGTCACTATCAGACTATCTTGGAGGCACCGACTGGTCATGAAAACATACCCGTGCAGACAAGTTAAGAACACCCGGCGCCCTGGTGACACTCGACCAGAACAAGCGTTTGATAGCCAAGACTATGACTTTGGAGACATTCTGCCTGATGATTCAGACATAGAAGTCATCTCAGATGACGAAGACACCAACGATTGCGTCGACACCATCGATCTTACTAACATCCGCTCAACATCCCCCGCTGGTATCTCGGCAGAGATCGACGATCTCCTTGACGGCCTCGCCTATCGAGTAGGTCAAATGGAAGACTGTCCAGAGGGCGCAACGGCCGCTATCGTCGGCTTCGCAAGGACCATGGCGTCTCACAACAAAAAGAGCAACAACCCCTTAAACGCCCAGAATGTTAACAAGCCACTTCCAGCCACGCCGGTCATAGAAGCACCAGAGGACGTGATTGAAAGCAGTGAGCGACGACATACGTTTCCCCGGGCGCAGAGACGTCTCTTTGGAGAACCACGTAACACGGAAACGTCCCGAGCGAGGAGTGCGTCTCCCCTTCGTGGTAACGGAGGAACAATCCGAGAGCGCTCGCCGAGACGATACAATATGGGAGGTTCGGGTCGATTTACAGTGGAAATCCCCCGTAGGCGATCGTTGGGCAAAAACCGTTCCAGACCTCGCTCTTTTCGCTGAGTGCCGAGGAACGAGAACGTCGAAACACTCCTTTTTTGGTGAATGTTCTACGCATGAGCCACGGGGCGATACTTCGAGAGTGATGTGCGGAAAGACGCTGTGAAGCCTTCTTTTTGGATGGCAAAGGCCATTATTATCTGTCATGAAGATGATCAACAAACTTCTCGTATCAGAAGTGGGATGGCAGCCTAGAGCGCTTCCAAATCTAGGAAGGGATCCTACATGTAAGGAAAACAGGGCGGCATTATCTGTATCATTGGGGTCATAATATGCGGAATTATCTTAGTTCGTGGCAATCGCTATCAACTCATTATATCCTACTTCACTCATATGTATCAATTCCCTATAAGAGCTCATCCAAGTCTCGACTGTTCTATCATATCGAAACACATTACTTCGTATCCTTCCCAGCATTCTCCTGCAATAGTTTCCGAAATCCGTCAGCCATCTCTCTAACTACAATATCTACGTCAGGAGCTTCAGGTCCCTCCTCAGCCTCGTCGACTGCTGCTTGAAGTGCCTCCTCCCTCCCCTTCTCCGTACCCTCTACTCCAATCTTGCCCATTGTCAGGGCATTCTTGACGTCCTTTCCATGTCGAACTGGCCCCTTTGGTGTAGCCGGTGTTATCGCCGTGGCTTCTAACAGGCCCTGCCAGCGTGATAGGTACATGCCCGGGCCTGACATGTTACCGGATTCTGAATCGTCAGAGTCGATGATGCGTTGGAGGCGGCATAGGGAGAGTGCTTGAACCTGCGCGAGGTATGCAGCGTGGTTATCCAGGGCACTGAGTATGTCCTTCTGGGACTTCTCAGAGACAGACTGGAACAGCTTGCTGAGTTGCTCTTCCATGGTACTCATGTCAACTGTGCCGTTGCTTGTCTTGCCTGATTCCTCAGCCTCAGCCTCACCCGCCTTCTCAACAGACTTTCGCTCTTGGCGGAATTTAAGAACAGCATCGTTGGTCCACTTCCTCATCTCCCCCCAAACATCCGGACAGGACGCCGCAAACGCGTGAACCCATCGATACATGAGCTCTCGATTCTTCATAAATAGATCAACATAATCGTCCACGGTTGGCATACTGCCAGACTTCTTCGGCTTGCCAGTCTTGATAAACTCGTCAATAAACATTTGACCTGCTTCGACATGCTCGCGAAGGTCTATCTGGGAATGCACAGCGCGAATCATCGGTTCATAGGCTGAGAACAGATCCTTGATCGTTGCGGTGAAGAGATCCGGGGGTTGTCGACAGAACGCAGTTGTTATGCACTCGCGATCTCGTACAGAGAGAAGAGCAGAATAGTACTCGAGACATTGCGCATGCTTCTGATCGTCGAGTTGAGTCACCAGGTCCGGGTTAGAACCGTTGAGAATTGCGGTGATGATAGACTGAGCGTGCTCCTCACTAGCATGTCTAACAGTCTTATGCTCATCGCGGCTCAGAGCAATGTACTGCCGTATAGCCTCGAGCATCTCATCACTCGGTCTCTCCTTGGCCTTCTCAACCTTATCAGCACTCTTCTTAAACTCGCCCGCGTCCCATGACAACACGAGAGAGATGATGCGTTGCAAAAGATTCATGCCGTCGTCGGCATTCGCGGTCAAGCCGATCCAGTTGGTGACGCTCGTAACGCTCAGCTTGGCGAGGAGGAGGCGCATCATGGCGCTAATCATATTAGCAGCATTGCCCATCCGCAGCGTCTGCTTGACCATCTTGTAGGGGATGAGGTTGTGGACATTTTCGAGAAGTTTGAGGAGATATTGACCTTCAGGGGAGAGAACAAAGATGTGATGGATGAAAGTGGCGAGGCTGTGGGTTTTGATTAGTATAAAGAAGTTGAGGCTTTGTCAGAGGAGGACTTACTGGATGATGGCGTATTCTGCTGCTGCTCCTATAACAGGGGAATGGCTTTCGAGGTCTGCGGTTTTGCTGAAGTGGCCAAACATTTCATCGACCAAATCTCCGTAGACCAACCCTTCGACTACATCATCCCAAGCCTTGACCAGGTCTGATGCTTTAGTCCGGTCATACTCAGCTTTTTGGCCCTCCTTCTTGTCCGAAGTCTTTTCCGTTTGCTGTGCCCTCTTAACACCGCCCAAAACTCCTCGGCTGACCATCTCTATCAGGCCACTTGAACCTGTCGACAGCACCTTTCTCGTCCCCAGCGCACCCTTGTCATAACTCTCAGAGAGTTCAGCCTCGCCAAGTCTCGTCAACAAACCCTGCACTCTGACAGACCAAAACTCGCGAGGCAGATCTCTCATGCCGGGAAGTTTTAGAATGAAGCGTATTAGCATCGCCTGGAGGATAGGCGATGAAGAAGGCTCCTCCTTGTCATCCCCATTACTGAGAGATCCCTTTCCATCCTTGGCAGCCCCTGTTTTCGGGGTTCCGGGTCTTGAGTTAGAAGGCGTCCCAGCCCAACTCCGCCATCCAGTACTCGGAGGTGCACTTTGCGTAGGCTGGGGCTCAACCGTTGATCTTGTGAATGGATATCCGTAGCTTTTGACAGTCTCTGGAGACTTGAAGCCCTGTATTTCTGCATACGTCTCATGATGGGTGAGGATATCAAAGAGAGCATGAACCTGCTCAGGTGCTAGAGTTGCAGACGTCATGATGTCTGCTGTCGCATAGAGAGGACCTTGTATACCAAGGGCTAAAAAGATATTCGAATGTGTTGGGAGATGTAGAAGAAAGGATTTTCTGCTGGTTTCTAAGTAGTCTATTTGTATTATTCCTGGTCGTAAGTTATGGTGCTTGTATTGGATAAGTAAACATCTCTGAATATCGGGCTTAAGCTGTTTCGGTTAGGCCATTCAACAATGAATGAATGAATAATTCTTCAAGAGAGAGGTTCACGGGCTCCCTCTGTGGTGACGTAGCCTCGAGGCTGTACGTTCACTAAGCCTTTTCTGTGCTAACCCCACTATATCGTTGATTGTTATCAAAACTTCATGTTTGCCACAACAAACAATGTAATATAGTTTTTAGTCAATGGTGAATGTGTCAAAGACCAACAGAATATTTTTCTGATGATAAATAGTCTTACAAGTTAACTTTCATCACAAAACAAGCAAAAGAATTAAGGTGAGAAAGTCAATTATAGCTATCAACCAATCGTGTATGCCCTCAAACAAAGGAAACGGCCGTTACTTCACTAATTAATAAACCTAAGGTTTTTCTTAACCAAGCACAATTCTCGTCTTGTGCTTTATCCACCCGTCGTCATTGCTTCCAGTGTGGTATCAAAAACAAAGAGAATAAAGACAACTCAAGTGCATGAGCATGGGTATAACATCAACAATCCTCCGCTATTATTTCCTTTTATCTGCTTCGCATTCTCGCCTGCACAATCTTAGATGTTGATGGTCTGACCGCCGGTCAGGGGTGCCTGTCCGTGGGGAAGACCCTGAGTGTTGCTGAGACCATAGCCCTCGCCGTTACCAGCAATGTGCTTGCCGTTAAGGCCGTTATCGTGGTGGCCGTTACCGTTCAAGGCACCATTGCCAGTTTGGCCGTGACCAGCGGGGTAAAAGTCATACTCGGAACCAGTGTTCTTAGGTCCTGGCTGAGAGACGGGGTGGGCCTTGCGCTGGATCTTGGGCGCAGAAGGAATATCAGTGCTCTTCTTGGCAGAACCAATAGAGAAGACAGGGCTCTCCCACTTGTCACCCTTGCGGGCAAGCTCCTTATACTCGGTAGCCTTGGTGCTGATACCACCGGGAAGGTCAATGTTGGGGAAAATGCTATCCTCCTTGGTGATAGCGATGTTGGCCTTCTTGTCAGCAGCAACCGCCTCGGCCTTCTTCTTGTTCTTGGTGAACTGCTGCTGGGCAGCGTTGTAGTAGCGGTTGTAAATGTTGGGAGCCTGCTCAGGGTTGTTCTTAGCCTCAGCGGTGGCACGATCAGCCTCCTGCTTGACCTGGAAGAGCAACTGATCAAGCTTGTTGCACTGATCCTTAATAGCCTTCTCAACAGCCTTCTGCAGAGGAGGGCGGATAACCTTCAGCATGAAAGGCTTGAAGATAGAGAATAGAAGCTTGTGGTTGGACTTCTTGACCTTAATCTGAAGCTTGGCGAAGTCAACGTCAACCTTCTCAACCTTGAAGTAGTTCTGACGATCCTTCTTGTCGGCAGTCGACACCTTCATCTTGAAAGAGAAACCGTCGCCAGGGAGGACGATGTCAGCAACACCAGTGTCGGTGATTGAAGGGAAGCCCTGCTTGCGCTTGATGTGGAAGCTCACGTCGCGGAGATCCATCTGGATACCGGCAACCTTGACCTCCATGGTCTGGTGGCTCTTGTTGGCAATCTTCTTGCGGCCCCAGCGGAAGTAGTGCTCGCTGGCGACCTCGAAGACGTTAGGAGCAAAGTTGTCACTCTCAAGAACAAGGTTCTCGATAATAGCATCGAACTGAGAGTCGGTGTACTCAATTCGAGGGATGGGGATGTAAGCAATGTTCTCGAGGGCAGCGGGAAGGATGACATCCCTCAAGTCCTTGAGCAAATGAGGCTTGAAGACAGGCTTGCCATCCTTGTCGTTGCCAAGATCCTTGAACAGCTTCTGGAGAGACTGGGCAAAGGCATGGTTCTGAGCGTCCTGGTCGAACTGGTCGGCAAGGAACTTGATCTCATCGACGATACGGTCGGTGTGGCCTCGGTACTTGTTACGGAGGAGGTATCTGCCCTGGTCGTACAGCTGATCCCACTCGCGAGTGGACTGATCCTCAAGGATGTAACCCTGCTGAAGGAGGCATCGGCGGATGTAAGAGTCCATGGACTTGAACCAGTCCTTGAGCTCGCGGTCGTTATCAGCATCGCGGTAGATTTGGCCGATAGCCTCCCAGAGGTCCTCGGTGGAGGTACCGTTGGCGAAACGCTCAATGATGGTGCGGAGATCGCGCTCGGCGGCGTGGAGACCACCGCGGGCATCCTTAGCAGTGTCGGTAGATCCTTGCCCAACAGTGCGGGTGTGGCGGCTGTAGGTCTCAGCCAAGCGGAGGAGAGTCTGGATGGCCTCGGAGTAGTCCTCGTGCTGCTGGCACTCAAGAATCATCTTCTTGAGACGCCAGATGGTCTGCTCCTTGCGCTCCTGGGGCATCTTCTTGTCGAGGTAGTTGCGAGCCTTGTTGCGATACTCCTCGTTCTTCTTGAGGATGCTCTCCTTGGTCTCGGGATCAATCTTGTTGTCAAGCTTGTTCTGGGCAGCCTCCGCAGCAGCGTTCTTGCCGGCCTGAGGGTCGGTTTGACGAGCGGCGTCACGGGCATCACCGGTGGAAGCGGGCACACCAGAGCCTTGCTGGTTCTGCTGTCCGGGGGCAGCACTGTTAATGCCAGCGGAAGCAATCTCCTTAGCATCCTCCTTGGGGTTTCCACTGTAAATGCCCTTGGCCTGGTTCTTGAAGTTCTGCTTGGAGAAGTCAGGAGCCTCGTGCCAGACGTTGTCCTGAGCAGGCTCGTCGAGCTTCTCAAGCTGCTCCTGAGAAGGTCGGACCTTGGCAGCAGCGTTGGTAGCAGCATCACCAGCCATATCGCGGAAAAGAACAGTAGCATCAGAGAGAAGTTTTCGGAACTGTCCGTTAGTGATGAGCAGCTGGCCAAGGGTCCTCAAGCCCTGAAGAGCTTGATCACCATCCTGCTTGGCAGCGTCCTTGCTGACAGGCGCGTTGGGGGTGTTGACGTTCTTAGCGTCGAACTGGGTGGTTTGCCAGACAAAGTCCTGGATCAAGTTGCCCTCGTTCTTGGAGAGAAGGAGATGCTTGGCTTGCTTGATAGCATTGGCGGCATCCTTAACCAACTCTTGACCATCGGATGAGAGCTTCTCGTGGCGGCCAGAGAGGGCGCGAGAGGCGAGGAAGCTGCTTAGGGCGACATCGATTTGGTCGTTCTGTAATGGAATAGGTTAGTATATTGTATCTGCGGTGAACAGACCCAGGACAAAACTCACTGATGGGACCTTGCCGTTCTGGAAGGCAGAGATGATACCGTAGATCTGAAGCTTTCGGTTGACATCGGCCTCCTTCGTCTTGATGTCTGTAGGTTTGTTGACGTTTGCACCGGTGGACATGATGGGCAATGTTTTATGGGGTATCTCGTTATTAAGTCGTTATTCCACCGAAAAGTATGGAGCTGTAGCAGATGAAGAAACTCTAATAGAGTTGGAAAGCGACGATAGTAAAATAAGCGACGATGTAGAGGCCGTTCTTATTATGAGAGGTGGGTTTCGTTGGCGTGGCGTAGGTAATAAAAGGGAAAAGCTGTTGTTTGGTATCCTAGGGGATGGGTATCACAAAGCAGTCGGGTATTGTATTAGGTATTTGGTATTGGATATGAAATGAAGGAAGAAGGGCTGGTATGAGGCAGGAGAGAGGCCGGATTAGATATACTTTTTTTCAAAGGGGACTCCCTGTGACAGGCAGGCACGAATGGGCCCAAGCCAAGGTTCCATCACTCCATTACTCCATTACTCCATTACCCTGCGTTACACGTTTCTGGCTGGATCCGGGCAAGCATTGGCTTGGTCACTCTATGGTGGTTGGGCTGGCAGCTGGCGCTGGCGTCTGGCGAAGAAGGGAGTGACGTTGACGTAGGTTTGCTAACTAAAGGGCGACGGGCGGTGATCGAGGACGTCATAAGCCCATGTTCAAAGATGCGTTGACCAGGTCCAGCGGCCAGCGTCCAGCGCCAACGCCACGCTAACTGGCTAAAATTACAGGTACCTTGACACGCTATCGGTTTTGAACAAGGCACTCTGGGCACGGTCACCCATTGGCGCTGGGACTGGGAACTGGTATTGGCATCAATTCATTGAATCACTGATTTCCCCTTCATTTTCCCTGTACTTGTTTGCTAGTTGACCCCCCCTGCATGGCTATGACATTGGAGAGCAGCCCGGAGTGAACCCTACGACATAACATTAAACAAGGTACGTAGTAACCCTACCAACCTAAGCAGGGGTTAAACAGATCATGGCTGCGAAGTCTGCGATCACGGCAAGGAACGGGAAAAAAGGAAAGAAAAGAAAAGGTTGACCAGGGTCAGCAGCTGAAGATTCAGAAGGCCAGCAAGGGTTTTAGATCTTGTCTATTTTATGATGCTGTTTGTTTGGAACTTTGATCCCCTTAAGGTACTTCGTAATAAGGGCAGAGGCGTTCTCCAAGCGTCAGGGGAGAGTTGGCGTGGAGGAAAAGCGGCAAGCCTCGTTGTTTATGCCATATGCTACACTGGCGGGGCGACGATCTCGACATGTATTCATTCACCAGCAACAAGATGACAGCCGTTGACAATCGCAAGCCACAGACTTATTCTTCACTGATGCTGATACGATTTATTGCATTCACTGTCTTAACTAATGGGTACCCCCTGGCTGGTTCGCTGAATCACAGCCAAGTAAGACAACACTACTGCTACGGGCACCAGTGCAACAAGTGCAGTTTTTTTCTTTCTTTCTTTAATCTGCTTTCGCTGCCAAGATTGATCTGGTGCATCCTTGATCATAAGATTTACTGTATCCGTCTCTCTGTGGTTTGTTACTGGATCGACGAGGATGGAATTTATCGCGATTGATATTGATATTGAATCCTCACATATATCACCCATCGTCCACCCTGTCTTATTCCCGCCATTCTCTCCGGATCGCCAATGTGGGTTCGCTGATGATCTGCCATGTCCCATGATATAATTGCCGATGCTGAACTGACAAGGGTGACGATGAGCCTCCGATGCACATGCACTGCCACAATGGATCGATCTCGTCTTCTTTTTTCTTCACGTCAAAAACCAAACCCGAACCAAACCACAGAGCAAGAATCAAAAACAAGGATGCTTCTCTCTTGGCTGGAATGGATAATGGAGCCGCGCGAGCTTGGAGCTCTGGTTTATTTAGCACCCTTGCTCCCCACGTCTCCACTGAATTAGCAGAGACCAAGCCATCCATCATGGATTCATCATTCATGGACTCACAGCTCACCCCAGCTCCTGAGCTACAAATCGTCATAGCTCTCCTTTCTAGCCCAATGACACGTAATGGGCTAATTTGACGTTTTTTCGCATCCGTAGATTGCAGACTCGCATCGCGTGCCTTGGTTTTTTCCTTTTTTTCGTCCTTCAGGCTTCTCCCTCCCTCTTAGTCTCTCTTCCTCTCCCTTTCCCCCCCGAGTGTTCAGCCCATCTAAATCAATTTATCCTCCCTATCCTGTCGTGCTGCGTGTGCGCACGCGTGGGTCGATTGTGATCGTATGGATACTGAGCACTCAATGCCGCGATCGTGTCAAAGCTTCCGTTAGCTCGACGTTAAAATGAGTGATCCATGACGTCAGATCATGGACCACACTTCAGCTCCCGTCCGCAGGTAAAATGAAAAGTAACATCGACGTCAGTTGTCAAGCTGTCTAGAGTCACAACCAAGACCCAAATCGGCATCAGGATGCCATGAATTAGGAAAAATTCTTTCCAAAGATGGTGTCGAGCAGCGGTAAGGATGGTGTCGAATCTGGAACAACGCAGAATTTACACTAGAAATGCCCAGCAAACAACCAATTGCCTCCATATCAAGTCTCATCTCTGGGTTGTTTAATCTCCGCCTCTTTGTTTTGGTGTTCACTGTTCAGCAAGGCAAAGGCACTTCCCGAGTTTAACGCGGTGCCACCACCCCGGCATGTATGCGCATGTGAGAGGAAAGCTGAGACGTCGATGGCCGATGGCCGATGAGTTTCGTAACCAAGGGTGACGTCTTGACTGTGTTTCGTCCATCCGTATTAGCTTTGAGCCACTGAACGCATCAATGCATCCCTCCCATATTCCTCCCACCCTGGTAGGTACCTACCGTATCCTCCCTTTACTGTAGATGTTCCTGTTCCCGTTGATTGTCCATGAAGAAAAGGACCGAAGCCATTTAGAAGCAGGTGACTTCTAGAGTTGAATTCTAAATAACACCGACTCCTATGTCCCTTTAACCTAACCTAAACCACCACGCCTGGCTTTGCCTTCTCTGGCGGTCGTGTGCTCGGCTACTAGGCGATCGTTGCCCAGTCAAGCTTGAGCCACAACGTGCTCAGTTGCACAAGCGTAGCGTCTAGATTCCCCCAGACTCATCATCTCCATCTTGTGAGGTGCCATCGGTAACACGGCCGATGGCTGGACGCGGCACATGGCTTCAAACAATGCAAGCTTCCACCTGCTCCAGGGGACAAAATGTATACATTAAACATGCAGTGGTATCTTTATGTGACTGTCAGTAATGCAGTCTGAGTACAAGGGAATTGTACCAAACCAATAACTTTGCATGTCAGAGTGTAGGGTATCCTTGTTAGCCAAGTCGGCATGTCTTGATGTCGCGCTGGAGGACACTCAATTGGTGAGACACAGCCTGTCATAATAAGCTCCATGGAATGTTTATTAGTATTTTCACTATTTGCGGGCAATAATGTGTATACTATTATCCCATTGTTGATAAGTACGAACAACTAATGTATTATATACCGAGAGCCTTCGTGACTAATTGCATAGCAATAATACACCTGACGAATTGACCTCATATCATTCCAAATCGAAATAATACACGCACTGTAGTTATTATATCAATTCTTCACTATCGTTCTTTCACACCTATTCGTTAAGTTGGCGATCCTACACCTGGCCGTTAGACCCACCTCACACAGATCCGTCACTGCACGGGGCAATAGGTAGATAGACGGGTCTTGGAGCAGGGAGAGTACCAGTAGACCTTGGAATAGTTTGCATATACTTTCTTCACTAACCAGGGGACGTGCAATTGACAAATATTTGTACTCATATTCGCTTACTGAGGTTATCACACATGAGAAGTCGTCAGTATGAAACTAATATCGCGTTCGTATATCACGAACGCAAGTTTGAAAAACATCCATAAAGAAAAGCAAGCTTGCTAATTCAACCTCTAAACGCCATCTATGCCGATTCGTTCGTTATGCTACATGCATTCCCATAAACGCAGTCCGTCATCCATCATGAGGATGTAGAATCCGTCTTTGCCCCAAGGTCGTTGAAAACACTGGCCTTGACTTGATTTGCGACAAGTCCTGATCGTTCCTTGGAAGCAATCAAGTTTGATTCCTTCGCCAACTTGTCCACGGCCTTGTCAGAGCTCTTACTAACAGTTCCCATCATCATGCCCTGTCCAGCTCTGCTTCGGGTAATGCTTGTTGTCGCCTCCTTGATCTTGGAGCTCAGATCGAGCATCTGCTTGTTGCCGTAGTCGCGGTTCGTGATGAGCGGGTTTTGGCTGAGAGTCTGCACCCAGTACTTGTGCCAGAGAAGCTCTAAGAGGTGAGAGTCGAGGGAGCTCTTGAAGTGGGAGACCTCGAGACTGTAGTAGCGGCTCGCGTGAGCACCGAACTCGGCAGCCTTGGCGAGGGGCACTGCCTGGAAGCCGTCCGAGGTGACAGCGCCGCTGGGCTTGTGGTCTTCTGGGTAAGTTCGGAAAGCGCCGATGTCGACCTTGCCGGAGTTGATGGTACGGTCGGGATCTATAACAACGGCAAGGAAAGGATCCTGCCATTGCTGCTGCATGGCCTCTGTGTCCACATCGATTCCGCTCAGCCAGCATCCATAGCCTGGATGACTGTGGTACCAGCCCACCACGTTCTCCTGTCGGCCCTGCGCTCGGCACAGGTCGAGGTACTCGACGAGGTATTCGTTTGCTTCGCCCTGGGCATTGACGCGAGTCTCTGTTCCTTCGACGGGGAGTCGGAATGCATCGGTGACGATAAACGAGTCGTCCTTGGTGTAGCCTTGCATCAAGCCCATGACCTCGAGATTGCCACCGGAGCGGGCGTGCATGGTCATCTTTACCAAGGCGGTGGCGCTTATTCGCACATTCTTGAAGTAGCCAGGATCTTGCTTCCACAGCTTCTTCTCGTTGGTGAGTTTTGTACCCTCCTCATCGTAGTAGTATAGGGCATCGCGTTTGGGATCGATCAACTGGACGTTGTTTTCCAACTCTGTCGTGATTGTTAGATTGAAGGTCTTCGGAGGGGAAAGTAGGAAACATACCCCATGCCTTTAAAGCAGATGCCTCCATTGTGACGACCCTGGGTGTTTGATGTGTGATGCTGAGAAGAGGTGTTGTAGGCAGTGGTAAAGTTGATGGATGCTCAAGGCAGCTGCCCCGCCTCTTATCGATAAGAGCTGTACGTCAGAGTTCAACAACAAGATCAAGGTGGTAGATATCTTAGACATGAATAATGTATATATTTAGAGAAAGATACAAATGTTATAATGTAATTCTTGTAACAAGCAAATACCAGAAGGTAAAATTCATATATGTGTGTGTTACATGTCGACTCCCAGTTGATATGTTTGAGACTCGCCTCATGCTACCAGTTTGGGTAGAACAGCCTCATGTTACATGATAAACGGCACTACCATCTACCATACCAAAGATACAGTAAAGATAAAAAGATCCTAATACTTAAATTCAACACGACGTCATCGCATGACCTCAGTTCCCAGATTGCAGACAGTCTTTTGCCAAGACCATCTGCCTAGGCAATCCTATCCCGCGGGAAGGATAGCTTCATTATCATGGGTTCATCACAGGCGCGACTTTGGTTCTTTTCATCAAGTGAATGGAAAGCCACCCGCCTGAATTCCATCTGTAAGGCCTCGGATCACCATGACAGGCAGTTTAGAGCTACCTGACACCGAGCTAATACACGTAGCTTCGAGGTTATGGGTTCGTCATTGGCACAAGGCTGCGGCATCCCTCCATCCACCAACCCTCCGACTGAAAACAACAGCAAAATGCAGAGTAAGTAAATGAGGGTTGGATGGAAGGAGAGATGTAAGGAGCGTCAATGAACAGAAGAGTGGTGGGTTATATACCCAGCGTAATTAAACTTTCTTTCACGCACAAAACTTTGTCTGAGATGTGAAGAATAGAATATTATAGAAGGTTCTGGACGTATTCAATCTTGACTTCATGATATGAAAAGAAACTTAGATTAGATACGTATTACTCAAGAAAGTATATAGGGCAACGGTATAAAGAAGCGCCGAGCCAGATAGATAGAATCCTAATTGTGATGAACTTAAACAGCCCCATTGAACGGAGCAGAAGGATACACAGGTCGCTGAATACCCATGCGGAACCGGGGAACACGATCCATGCGGTTCAGAGCAGTCGTGGGCATTCTGAGAACCGTCTCGCGGTACATAGTCTGAGTCTCCCACTCATACGAGCATCCAATGGCTCGCTGCATACCTCCCTCGGAGGCACAGAACATGAGAGTGACGGGTGGTCTGACGGCCTCGAACAATGTCAACGTCATGTTGTAGGTATCGACAAGAGTGAAGATCTAGTATTGTCAGTTGCGTATCCAGTATGTCAAAGGCGGTTACTTACCCTCATGTCCCCTGGACGGGCCTGCTTGGCTGCCTCGACCTTCATCCTCACCTCGGGATCCTTGCAAGGATCAACTCCCACCCGCTCACCAAATTCATTAAACACACTTCGGCTAAGAGGGCTACCGTTCGTGGACCAGGAGAAACGACCAAAATTACCTCCGAAGATGGCTCTCTCGGTGGTGGGAGCGTTGAGGTGGCCTTCAAAGCCAAACATCTCGGCCTGGGTATCGGCGAACTTACCACCGTAGATGACGCGAACCAAGTTAGGCGCTATCACCCAGATATACAGGAACAGAATCAGGAAGAGAACGCCAGGAATGATCATGGCTGTGCCAGAAGAGCCGGTGGTGGTGGTGGTTGTGAAGCTATATGGGCCGGTGGACGAAGAGGAAGAGGAAGAGGAAGCGCTATTGGCAGCAGCACCGGCGGCAATGAGTGCAATTGCTATGATGAAGAAGGCTCCGCTCCATTCGATTGCAATAGCAGCGAGGTATCTCTTCCACGATGGTCCTGTAGACCAGTATACTGGATAGAAGGACTTCCAGCGGATAGAGATACCCCATGCCCCGTCAATGATGATGGTATCATTCTCAGCAATACCTGCAACTTGACAATATGGTGTTATATCCCAGAGAGAGGACTCGTAAGCATCCTCCATATTGTACCATGCCTGGTCTTTATCTAAGGGAAGTGTGCAGATGTACCTCTCAAGAAGTCTGTCAGAGTCGTTTGCCAGTGACAGTCTCGAGAAAGCCTGGAAGGCCGTGTCAGTTCGATCTACCTGCGGGCGAAGCCTCAATAGACCCATAAGGGCGTAGGCTTGGTCACCAGGGAGGTACTCCGTAGTATGGCGACTATACAGGCACTTCAGTGCTAGCACAGCTTGCTCCAGGCGGCTCAGGTTGATGGAGCCCAGATAGTGATCGATGAGATGACGGGCCACATCCGAGTCCATGTAAGTCCAGACCTGAGCTGCAAACTGGTTCTTGGAGACGACCATGGGTGATTGGAGGTTGCCGTCACGGGTATATACCGAGATGTTTCGGCCAGGGCTGAGAAGAACCTCAGGGAATGTCCACATTCGACTTCCCCATTCACGGAGGAGAGATTCCGTGTTGGCTTTGCCTGAAGATCCAGCCCTGGATGCTTTACCTCTACCAACAGCAATGGCCATTCTATCAGCCCCGCGAAGAACATCTGAGATGCGATATACCTACTATCATTAGCCAAAGGAATCAAAACGCTAAGTGGAAAAGCTTACATCAGACTCAAGTTCATTCTCATCCCGCATACAGCTGCAAGCGATCCAGTACGCAGGTAACTTAGCAGCCCGACAAGCAGTCTCAGCAATGTGATGAAGATCAACCATATCCCGCTCAGAGTCATGGCTGAAGTGCTCAGTGGAGTAGGCGACGAACAGATAGGAAAGGGTGCTATCCTGACCATCGCTGTTCTCCCACTCGACGACGCTACGGACATCGACTCCTCTGTTCTCATCGTTGAACGCCTCACGCAGGAAGCAGAGATATCGGGGCCGTAGCATGCGATAGACTTGGTTGTTGCGGGCCATGAGGGATAGACCCTTGCGGTTCTCGAGCAAGTTGCTCCAGACCTTGGCATCGCCGTGGTATTGGTAGAGAACAGGGGCATAGGCAAGGTTTCTGAGAATAACGGTGGGTTTGCCATCCCAGAACTGAGCTCGTTAACACAAAAGACCGTATCGATCAAGATAGAAAAACTTACACAAAGAGCCATGCCAATGGCCGCAGGAAAGGTCCTGAGCAGCATGATACCCCAGTCTTCCCAGCTCTTAGGGTCGTAGCTGAAGTCAATGATCCATGTCGCGATGCGCACCTTCAAAGGTGCAACCTTGCGAACATAGGTCCTCTTCCAAGTGGAAGTGCCAGATCCTTCGTAGATATCATCCACGCACGCAACGTACATGTTACGAAGGTAACCATCATTGTGATGCAAGTACCGATCAGAACGAGGCTTGAACGAGACACGACCAGCGTAATCTCGGTGTCTCATCTTGACCTCACCGTCAATGAAGTTATAACCAGGCTTCTGGTACAGCACAGGGTTGCGCCATCTGTAGATGGAGCGTGGCTCAAAGAAGTGCTTGCTTCCTTTGAGTTTTATAGGGAACTCTTTCTCCTCTCTCTGAAGCCAACTGTCAGCAAATCAAACCATGGCAATAGTTGGGAGAGAATTTACTTCTTTTTCATTTGAGCTGCTCGTGGTCGCGAGAGGCGTGGTAGTTACGGGGTCAATGGCACCTTTGTTCTGCTGAGAAATGTTCAATTTAGAGGCTAGAAACAAAAACATCCACGGAAGAGCTTTACCATTGGCCCGTCCTGCTGACCACTGCCAGTTCCCTGTTGATAAACGACACCATGCTGGCCATTGTAGCCCTGATTTGGTCAGTACATATCAGCGATTGGGAGGGAGGATGGTACTAACCATGGACTGCTGTTGATACTGCATGGTGTTTTGAGTCTGAGGATGTCCCACGGGGATGGACTGTTGGTATCCTAGGGAGCCAGGTGAAGCTATGTAGTTGGTTGATTCAGCCGAGAGTGGGCTTGCAGAAGGAGATACAGCTTGTTGATAGGGATGGGTATATGGTTGGTTCGGATAGGACTGTGAAGTGTTAGAAGGGTTTGGAGATGAACAGAATTGACGAGCACTCACAACAACAGAGCTTCCAGGAGTGTATGCACCACCGTGGGCTTGGTGCTGTGCAGGAGCCTGTGGTTGATTATACTTGGCCCTGTTAATGTCTTTGCTTGTGATGTAGATCAGGCAGCCTTACGTTTCCAATGGAGTTGGGATCCCAGTGCCCTCCGTGTGCTTGAGACTGTAACGAGCATTAACAACTGAGTGAAGCAAGGAAGGGGAGAGGAGGAATCACCATGATTCATGTATGAAGAGCTATCTTTGTGGGAAAGAGGGCGAAGTTGCAGGATGGAGGAAACAGAAAAGGAACGGAGTACTTGAGAGCAACAAATGGTTCTTTTCAGCGCTAATAAACCGAACTCAAGCCCGTGGAAAGAAAGGCTGTGACAAAGGACCTCTCAGCTTGAAAAGAGAGGGAGCTGAAGATGAACGAGTGCATCACACACCGCACAATCCATGACATCCTGGACTACACCCCAATATCTAACCATATCCCGTTGTAACGCAATTAATAGCGCTGTTCCTTTTGCCACCGGAGACCTAGACCGTCTGGGAAGTGTAAAGCCCCTTCATTCTTGATCCAGAGCCGCCAGTAACTGATAACGAGGGGTGTGAACCGCGTGACTATTCTCGACCTCCTGCATCCAGCCTTAGGATATGCAGGGCCGTGATAGGATCGTGGTGACACAATTGAGGAGAAAGGGACGGGACAAGCAATCTGGAGGCTCGAGCTGCATCTCGGTCCTGGACTGTCTAGACTGCGAACTATTAGAAACGCGGCTGAGTCTCGAGATGTCACCCGCGGGAGATATATTGGCCCGTTGAGCGCAGGACTTTTCAGCCTCTTCAGCCATGGCGCTACTCGCGCATAACCCTTGGGCCCCTGGCATATTGTCACATATGCAATGCCACGATAGGACGCCTTGTGAGGAGGATTTTGGCGCCCTGGAGATGCGCCACGGAAATAGGCTGGGGGTCGCATGTCTCGTGTCTCGTGTCTCAGGTCTCAGGGCTCAGGGTCGGGGTCTTAAACCAGCCTTGTGAAATGTGAATGTCACCCTCTTCCAAAAGCGGCATGCTGGGCGATGGGCGAAGTGCTGATGTCTCACTGAGGGATCATGATTGGAGTTCTTTTTAGGAGCATTTCATCTATCCGAAAATTAAAGGAAAAGTGACTCCTTGTGAAACTCAAAAGGATCATACAAGAAGGATCTGCAGTTGCAGAGACAAACAAGAGAACGAATAGCGGCATTTGAAAGAAACCCCTGGACCCAACGACTTTTCAGCCCTGGGGAGCTAGACCAGTCTCAGTGTAACCCAACCCGGCGCGTCGGGAAGCCTAGATAATCTTAACTATAACTTTAAGCCAAGCAAAAGAGACGAATAGTAGAAGAAAGACCCTGGTTAGCTTATCTTTTTCTTTGGCGGCGGAGCCCATTTCCGTTCAGAGACGGCGATGATAGCGTTTTGTGGTTGAAACATGGCTTGGTCTGGACCGTCCAATATCCCTGAAAATAGATACAGCTAGATAGATAGTGCCAGTGGTAGTGGGATGCAATAGCAGTGAGCAGTGACTTGATCAGAGCTGTGGTCCCGAATACTTGGGCATGGCGTTTACGTTCCAGGACGAGGGACGCAGAGTAGTAACACTCAGGTGAGACCAGGAGGACGGGTTCTTTTACCATAAGACACTCAGATCGACGATGAATCAAACCGTTTACTGTGTTTAAACTCTGTTTCCATATTAGAATATTGACAAGATCATCATGTCGTGGACTCAAAGAGCTAATCCTTATGATGCGTTTGCCCAAGAGGCCACTCAGACACCACTTGCAGTCGCCTTTCCACAATGGATGCTCAATATTTGGGAAATAACCCATGGTAAGTCAAAGGAATTCTATAGCTTGATGCATTTGCTTACCTATCACTTGCAGATCATCCTGAAGGCCGCTGGTACCTAGAGCCTAACGCTCGTTGTCTGCGACAAAAGGCAAGCTTGAGGATCGTGTAAGTCTGTTCCTGAATCAACTCAACTGCTTTCATACGAAGATCAAGACCATAACAACACTCGACTTTGCAAGAGATATAAATACTAACACTTTTAGTTTCGCTCCTCTTGACCTTCCCCGTCGCGATGCCCTCTCACAATGCATAGAGCTCTTTAACATCCTTAACATCCCCAGCGAATTCACCAAAGAGCGTCTGCAATCCGTCAGCCACAGCTTCGGTAGAGCCACCGACAAGAACGGCTCCAGCACCTGGTTTCACTTCCTCTGCAAGAACATTGACGTGAAGCAAGCCCCTGGCAGCTCGCCAGAGGTCGACAACCGCGCCGCGACAATGGGCTACCACGTCTCCAACCTCCCGCAGGCGGACTACAGCTGGCATCGTGCTGGGTTCTTCCTCAGGGTTGAGAATGGCGGGGGTACGACGCTAGTTTGCTTTGGGGCTTCGCCGAGGGTGAGGCTGAGGATTAATGAGTTTGTCGCTGCGAAGGCGTGGCAGCATGTTGCGACAGATCCGTACATTTTGTTTGATCTGGTTTTTGATGCGCTGTACTTTGAGGTGGATGACACTGTCTGGAAGATGAACAGTGCTTTTGGTCCCTTGGAGCATGTAAGTTGTCTCCCCTTCGTTATGTGATATCCAACTAACGGCAAAACGTAGCTGATCCTAGAGTATTCCAACTCCAAGAACATCCGCAAGATGAGTTCAAAGATTCCATTCTCTGCCATGCACAACTGCGCCAAGCACATCATTCATATTGCCGAAGCAATAGAATCGTGTATCTTGCTTGTCGATGGAACTCTCCACAACGTTGGCAACCATCAACTCGTAGAGCAAGCTACACCTCGAGAGCCTGTTCTCAAACAACTGCGCGAAACTCTCCAGTACCGTCGCTCGCTCTTTGTGTCCAGCCAGCTCCGTCTCAACAGTCTCCAGAAGCGCATCGACAATGCCATCACGCTGTCTTTCAACCTGGTCACGCAGCAGGACTCAATGGTGATGATCCAGGACTCGAATTCCATGAAGGTCATTGCAGCCATCACAATGATCTTCCTGCCCACGACGGGTGTTGCTACCGTCGTTGGGTCGCAACTGTTTTCATCAGAGGTTCACAAGGACGGAACGACGTGGGACGTCAAGCTCACGCCGTTATTCTGGACTATGTGGTGGATTTCTATCCCGCTGACTATCTTCGTGGTGTTGCTGGCTATGATCTGGCATTGGTGGGTGCATACCGAGTCTCCCACGGGTGAGGTGGTAGAGGTGGTTAAGAGGGCGGCGACGTTTAGTTCATCTGGAACAAGGACGCCTCCGAGTGACAAATGAGTGCAAATGCAGAATCACTATTCAATGGGTATTGTCACGTTCCTTATGGGACTTTGTTTGGCCAACAATGGAGTATTTAGCGCTTGTTTATTTACTACGATAATATGTGTTGATATATATGCCATGAATTGACGCATCATTGCAAGGTAATATGTTCAAGAAGCTGACTGGCAGTCACAACAGTGAAGTCCAACTAGTGGGAAGAAGAGTAATACTCAATACGAGTCAGTACTACATTTAGCACTTGAAAACAGCAGGGCCTGGGATCTTGTAGGTAGTGGCTTCATATTGTTAGCAAACATGACAAAATCGTCTCAGAGCAGGAAAAGGCTCACCTTCGTAGGAGTTGTAGGTAACACCAGGATCACTGGCAGCGTAGGCGCCGGGGAAAGCAACCAGGCTGGAAGGAGTAGTGCTGCCACTTCCAGTAACCTTGAGTTGATGGCATCCAGGGTAGAACTGAGCTCCGGGGTAGCTAAACGCCGAGTGGAGGGCAATGAGCTCGTGGCGGACCAGGTAGTAGCCGGGCTTGATGCATGCTGGGATGGTGTAGTCGACTCCGCTGTTGCCAGCCTTCATCAAGGGGGTCTGTGATCATATCATGTTAGTCACAATACTATTCTCAATTATCGGAGAGTTCAACGTACGCTAGCCCAGTTGTTGCTGGTTCCATCTCGTCCTGCCTCCTGGATCTTGAACCAAACTTTCTGGGTACCAGGCTCCCACGCATCACAGCCCGAGTCGGGGCAACGCGCCATGTATGTAACGGAAGGACCAACGTGGGAGTCAGGCCAGAGAGTCCATCTCAAGTTGACACTCGATCCAGCCTTGGCCTCGGCGTGCAGAGCAGCAGGTTTGCTGCCCTTGACACCGCCAGCAGTGTAGCCGTTGCACTGAAGATCGATGGAGGTAACGTCCTCAACGGGGCCGTTACCGGGAATGGCACGAGAGATGCGCTTGGGGATAGGGTTCGTGTATGGGTCGGTGTTGGGGTTGTAGAACTCGTATGTGTTGCCTCCGATGGTCGCCTTCTCGACGTAGCCATGGCCAGCTACCACGGCAGCGGTGGAGAGGAGGGAGAGGAGGAAATGCATGGTGAATATACTTTGTGTTTCTAGTCAAGACCAAGAGTAGAGAAGGAGTTGAGGTGAAGCTTAAAATGAATGATATATGTTTCATGGGATACCATTTATATATTCGGTATGAGTGACCTCGGAGAAAACACCCACCGCCTTGGAATTCATCTTGAGACAACACCAAGTACATGAAATAACCTTGAATATTTCCACCATTGAAATGAGAACGTTTAACGATTTAACGATTTAACTGTAACATTTATGAAACGAAACCAGGGTTGGTTCCCCGATGTGGGCCATAATTCTCGGAGCTTTACATGATCGTCCCAATTAAGCATCATTTCGCCCTACTTTATCCCAGCACTTACTTATGGGATCTCGGTTAGACGCGAGGGAAATGCGCGCATAGAGTTACTGATGTTTAAGCGCCTCCACGATCAAAGCTTTCTGGTCTAGTGTAGGACTTGGTTCGAGATAGTCGTATATATCATGGCCACGTGATGCAAGGTGTGAAACAAACAGGACACAGCGTATCTACCTTCGCAACTGTATTTGCTCTCGATAGATTTTTGAGAACAAGTATATGAAATTGACAGTTACCGCCAGCTAGCATATGCCCTTTAGCTGAGCTCACAAGACTTGGCGCCGAGCATTAGCTCAAATACTATCCATGAATCCTCGTCATTCATCCCGTGAACAAGACCAAGAGAATAGAGGCACAGGAGTACTGCCATAGCCTATCTAAACTATCAGCTTCCTGCAAGGGTGTCCACAACGATACTACATATGTACAAACCTAAATCCTCCAAATGTTCACAATGTTGACATTCCCGCGCGCCGGACCGTCTACCCGCCACACTCACTCCTAGGCGGAACATGCCTCCGAACTGCATGAAAAAGGCTTCTACGGTATTGGCTGTCAAGTCATGGACAAGACACCAGATCACTTCAAGACACCCTCAAGTGAGAAGCCCTTTATCCTCCTTGGTGGAACATCACAGACACGCTCTGGAATCGCTAAGAGGTTTTGTTGTAGATGGACTTTTAGAGGTTGCGATTTTGTGTCTTCTCTATATGGTAATTGAGCTAGACACTTACACGTTCCGATAACTCGATTTGGGATGGGGGAAACTGTTGGCATTGGGGCAGGTTTATATAAAAGTGTTACGATTCAAGACTATTCTTAAATAGTATACGGAATACGCATATCCGAAATGTGTCTTAATTTAGTGCTGGAGAATAGCTATTATATGGCTCAACTAAACTTGTGATAATTAGTCATTCACGAAGGAAGCCTCTATAGTCTGAAGAATTTGAAAACATCCTTCAATTATCAACATCCATACTAACTGCCTCTTTCATTTGTACATACGGTAATTCCCAGCAGCACATCCATGACCCTCTTCTTACACTGACAACGAGTCAAAGGTAAATGGGTAAGCAAGCGACCAAGTCAACCAGGTTCTCAGCCCGAACTCACCTTCTTCGACTATAAAGAATAAATAGTCTGACTAAGTTCAGTGAGCATGTAGATAGTTCGAGCAGAGTTTAGAGACGGCGTCTTAGATATGTTGGCCGGCCGTCCTGGACACTGATTGAGCTAAGCAGCATAACACTGGTTTCGACGGAACTACTCGGGATATATATATCTATGTGATATCAATATATCTTATATCTACGTCTGCATAGCATGAACGATAATATTCACTATTGCATCGAAGTCATGGGGTTCATGGAGTATAATGCAGATAGACCCCATTGATTATATCAAGAATTTATAAATCCCTCAACAACGATTCTGGGCAGCCTAATTGCTATTGTTTACACAAATACTTACCTAACGCGACTTCATTGGCACCGTTGTCCTATGTTCAACACAATGGCCTCCCGCCACTTCCAAACAGTCCGCTTAAGGGGCAAGGCTACTCCACAGTCTTGGTCTCGTCCATATCACAGCGCAACCGCAAGGTTCACCACCATTGTTCCAAGGGGCATACCTCTCTCCTGCGACACTGGGATTATGATCGGCTAACCTGATGAGAATTTTATTTACGTCAAGCCTGAAGTTGGAAACGCTATTAGATCCGCGATTGTCCACCAACTAGGGTCAAGTACTTGAAACCATTCTGAGACGCTTCCCCTCCAATCTGATCATAATTCCAAACACTTTTCTCATAGTAAGTATCTCTAGTATAGTACAATTATTACTGGTATTGATGATAGATAAGGATCTTTGCCGTTTCCTCGTATCGACATCCCTCAAAATCTAGGTCAACCCAAGGGTAGGATTAGCTCTGCGACCCTATGGCTCTCCGGCAACTGGCACGCCATCACGCTTGACGGAACACCCGATGGTTAGTACAATGAACCCAAGTATCTTTTTCTACGCAACTCTAGTCAATTAACATGGTTCCTTTTCTACAGAAGCCTTTGAACGAGCGTCGAGAGAAAGCGCTCGCGAACTAAAGGGTGCCTTGGACAGATTGAAGCAGAGCTAGTCGTCACAGCTGGCGAGATGGGTCCATGCGAACCATACGGCTCTGTATCGTGATATTTACTATTTCATCGAACTGACGGGGTTCATAGAGTAATCCACTGGATGTTCACATTCCTACTTGGGTATTATTAGTAAATATAATTGCTTAATAGTAAGTAAGTCATTCAGATATACTATCGGACATGCCAGTGACTATTCAATACTATATCGTTTCCCTAACTAGGTACTTAAACTATAAGAGACAATATCCCCTTGTTATTCTCATGGCTTAGATAAACTATTAAAAAAGAACCTCAGAGAAAAAGAACAAAACATACAACAGCGGGGATTCGCTGGTCGTCACCGACCCAACTACTAATCCGCCCCTTACCAGCTTATCTATGGGAGAGCGGACGGGATCCCGAGTTCTCTGATAGGTATGGTCGTATGTGAAAGACAGTGATGTTGAGAAGATTTATATTCGGAGACGTGACTGTCAAGCAACAACGCCGACAGTTGGGCTGCAGGGAGCCTCACACACAAGAACCAGGCACCGTCAGTATGAGAACACAATCATACAGGAAAGTAAAGGCCCCACCCATGTTTGGGTGTTTATTGGAGAATCACATGTCGTTGTCGATATATATCTGACCGAGTGATGTCCATGTTGTGGCGGTGGCCTGATGGACTCCCTCAGCTCTCTCTCCGAAACATTCAACTACATTAATACAGGAGAACATTCTCATACGTCGCAACAAAACTATCTCCTACGTTACATATCCATAATTTCAAGGCTTTGTATGTTTATCTCGATGTTGATACGCTACGAGAGCAGTCACCTAGTTGTGAGCTCACATCATATCATCACTTCTACAAATACCGTGTAAGCACACATCCGATATGAGCAAACACCTCAAGCCCTTGTGTCCGCCTATACCACCCTAAACTGATTGATAATGCTCAAGGTTGTACTATTGGGTGTTTCTATGTTTCCTCGCTAATATGGAAATATCAGGTTGGAGTAGGAAGTGCAATTTACCCCTGATTTAAAACCTTGAAGTCTACAAGCCTCTGACGATACACTGTCGACCTCAGGGCAGTATTTGGTCATCCATCATGGAGACAACCTAACATTCCTATCGCCGTGACATCCAGCATGCACAGGCTGGTGTGTCCTTCAGGACTTCAAAACCACGAGACGGTCATCTTGTCGCTGGTGTTATAAACCACCCTCTTCATGTCACCCTGTCTTTTATATACCTTGCATGAAGCTAAACTAATTAAAACCACTGAGCTCCTCTATACTGTCCCATACTCTCTGGATGACGAGTTTGTAAAACCTTCACGTTTTTGTAATGTAGATTTGACCCATGGTTAATTACCCTACACACCCAAAAGGGTTGCTAAAGCTGTACAGAATTCAGAAGCGTTCTACAATAATACCATCAAACGGCAGGTACTATTAACAATATCAGAAACCATGTCTCATCGTTTCCTGGAGTTTTTCTAAGATGGGATTGTATTATATCAACACAGCTCGTGCAAATGCAGTATCGTTCCACCTTGTCAGAACGTACCCTATATGGTATCATGAACTTCTGATATAAAAACCTGAAACAGATGCAACTGTTCTAGAATAATGTAACTCTTTCCTGCCAAGAATCATTTCCAGATGATAATTGCTTAGCTGATACCGCCGCTGGTTGGCAGGTGCTCATTGTAATAAGTCATAACCTTGGCTAGGCTTGAATGGCTGTTCATTAGCAAAGACCGAATCTTGTTACATTCAAATCGCCAACCATGATGCAAGCTGCATGGACGCACATATGCACCAACAAAATCGATACCTCACCTTTGGCTGTATCAGGAAGCTGCTTTGGAAATGGTAACACATCCGGGGCCGCCGAGAGATCACCACCATGAGTAGGATCACCGATCTTGACAACCATGGTACGTCAGTTCAGTCAGTATGTCTCGGTCACAATGTCTAGAATTGAATTCGTGTTGACTAAGAGAATCAGAATGAGGTTGAACTAAGCAAGTTGCGAATAAAGTGTTAATAGAGAGCATGTTATTGCCTCCACTATGGTGGGAAGCATCTTGCGATGTGCGTTGAACAATAAGATCTTGGTGCCATCAACTCCAATATTACATGATTCATTAACCATGCAAACCTGAGCGAACGTTGCAGCTCGATTGTAACGGGCCTCATTATTAGAACGCATTTGGGCTCGACTGTTGATATTAATTGCGGCGTGTCTCTGTACTGATAAGCAATACAAACAATGTCTCGGGTGATGTCTTGATGCCGGTTTGCCGTCCCATCAAGTTTCAAACAAAAAAAAAGTTCTTCTCAAAATGGGCGTTTCTGCACCTCGATCGAAGATGAGGCCCGATCAAGTCGTGCATCTTGTTCTTCTGCTCCGACGACTCAAGCAATTGATCTGGTGCAGGTCGCTTGGCCAGCGTCATGAAGCAGCGGCTAACAGTGGACTTGGCAGCACACTCCCTGCGCGTTGAGCTGCAAGCGGTAATGGTAGTCCAGCCAGCAGATAAGAGTACGTATCTTTTTCACGGAGGGGAAAGAAACAGCGAATACGGTATTTTTTGGTAGCTCAAGAGCGGAATACTGCACTACGCGGATTGGGGATGAGGCACGGAGGCTGGCGGGCATTAGACTGTCGGGCGGACTGTAGATCACGGGCAGGGCACGAGAGGGCATCAGAGGGGAGGAGAGGACAGCGGAACAAACACTGCCCCCCAGCCAGCCATCAATCAAACTGACATGTCGCACAAAGGTCATCTTGCTGAAGGTCCCGTGACAGCAACGGTCGTGAAACATTGGCTTTACGGTTGGCTTGGGTTAGGCATCCGAGCAATTTAATTGCCTTAGCGTAGGCTGCTCACGAGTGCGTGGACACGAATAGCACAGTAAGCTCAGCTGCAGCATGGCACCCCGTAACCAATAGCTCTCAGTCTGCCTATCATGAAGCAAAGCAGAAGTTGAAGTAGAGGTAGAAGTAAAAGCAATAAAGCTTCAGAAGTTTGAGTTTAATGGCTGAGATCTCCCTCATTCAAGCATCATCCACACATATCTAAATAGGTAGTTTATAGTTAGTTAGGCAGAACTGAAAATGTGACTGCAGCTGTGACTGGCATCAAAACACACAAACACAAAAACACACACACAAGTTCAAAAATAACTCCACAACTTTCCTCTGCAACACCTCACAAAGATAACCAAGTGCAACCCCAGATTCCCCATTCAAATTGAAAGACATCAGAAGCAAGAAATCGTCTCCCCCATCCAGACGGACCCTGCAGACTGTGGGGGAGGAGACCCCGCGTTTTCTGGCAAGCCCAGCCAGATGACGGGGGGTCAAATGCCAAGAACGAATTAGAGGGCGGCGATAAGACAGACACTCGCAGGAAACACAAGAGCACGAGAGATGGGAAAGGAAAAAAAAGGTCTTGGAGGGGGGGTATTAGAGTTCCGGCCCATGACCAAAACGAGTCGAGAACCACTTCAGTTGTGACGGCTTGATCGGATGGTCGAGTCCTGTTCTCGTGACTTGGACTAGGGGCAAATTGTCAAAGATAGGGAATTTGATTTCGTTGACAGTGATGTCACGGCGATCAAGAGTATAGCTGAAAGATACGAGAATCAAGGAAAGGGAGTTTCTCACGAGCAATCCTCCAAAACATATTATACCCAGAACGTTCGGGGAGAACAAGAACGCTCAGCGTTGCAACACAAAACAAGAGTTCGGGAATCTTGTCTAAACGAGGAATGAACACCTGGCGATCAACAATGACTCTTTTTTTTCTCCATTGATCCCAGAAGAAGGAGAAGGGCTGGGGTTGGGTTTATGTCTCAGTGCGTCACCAGGCACTGGGTTCTCAATCTCACCCTACCACCCTCTGAAACCTGAGCCGACCCCATTGGAATTCTATCGCGGGGAGTAAACGGGCCAGGCTTAAAGGGGGAGAGCTGACTCCTCAGTACCAGAGACATGGCGTCACCAAAGAAAAAAGCGAGTTCCATGTCTTGCTCTGAAGGTCGTCATTCGTTGCTCGAGACCCTGCAGACAATGACAGCTGGGAGACCCTTTTGAGGCCCCCCTGACTTTGGTCTCTGGAGTCTGGTGTTGTGAGAAAAGTAAAGAGGAAGAATGCCATGCTGCCCACGTGCGCACAACAAATTGACAAAGGATCATATCGAGGAATGGCTGTTTCCGGTAGGTGCTTTTTTCCTACTTGGACCTGGTTGCCCAGGCCCGATAGATTGATAGTGCAGTGCATCCACCAAACGCGGGCGGCAATCGCGTGGGAATGGGAAAGTGTAAATTGCACAGCTGTAGTCTGTAGATAAGAGATTCCGCCCCGAGGCTCCGGTTGTGGTTTTCTTTTTCGGAGGAGACCCGGAGTAGCCGCTGAAAGGCCTCCGGTTCGGCCCTCTCTGGTCTCTACTCACTGCTCTCCGCTGACTCGTGGATCGCCACGTTGTGTTGTGGACCTCAAGTGCCGAGCGAGTAAGTTGGCAGATATCGTGGTAATGATAAACAGATCGAAGCGATCGGAATCTGAATATCTTCATAGTAAAGAACTGTAGATACTCTGTAATACCAGTCCGTGAGACTAGATTGTTCTCGCGTTGCTCACTGGTGGCTGGCTCGTTGTTGGCGTGGATGTTCCGAGCTGCCTTATCAGTTCGAGCAAGCGATAAAACTCCGACGACGAATGGTGATCACTTACTGACCCCCAACTTGAGCTAGAGAATCGACAAGTACTTACCACCTTGGGTAGGCAGTTAGGGAGAGATAGTATCGATAGTCTTTGTATCGGGTTCATAAGCTGTGCACCAGATCCAATATCATATCATAGACGCGTGAGCTTTCCTAGGTTCTGTGTGGAACAACTCGAGACGCTATCAGTTGTGTTGTCTCGATCCTCTTCAAAAGCTCATGTCAGTCCACCACCACAAACATCACTCATCGTATCCCTTTGAGACCCTTGCATACGATATTGCAACGACTGGACACGCAGCCTGACCAGCTCACTACTCACTTGGGCTTGGACTCTCATCCTCACTCTCACCCATAATTTCCAATCCTTCCGTGTGGCCGAGCAGAGCGCGAGCGAGGCTTTTCGAAAAGGTCACTGACTGCTGCAAGGGCTGTGCTCCCTGTTGGCGCTTTGAGCGGACTCTGGACCCCGAAACACAGGCTTCCTCGTGACTCGCCAGTTTGATCAGCTTTTTGTGGTTTTGACGGTTGATGAGCTCCAATCTTAGACAATTCGCTTGGCGTGCTGCCCTTACCCAAGATCCCCCAGCCTGACTGAACACGCCCCCGCCGCCGCCCCATGGCCACGAGGTCAAACGTGGTGGTCGAGATAAGGACTAACATACATATTCGTCGTTACCGCTCCTCTAGAGGAGCCCGACGGAGGCCATTGCGGTGGATATATCATCTGTTTTGTTGCTCGAACGACAAGCTCTTCCGACTTTCGAAGTCAATATTACCAAGACGAGACGGTGACAGTACCGAGCTTCTCCGCGGCCCTAAGATCAGCAACCTTGTCAATCTGATTTGTCAACTCAAAAACCCCTGCGGCATCTGGTTGTCTCTGACATTGAACACACGAGCAGGACACAATAGAACAGAACACGACAGAACACTGCAAGGCACGACCCGTCATCCGCGGTAGCGTAATTCAAACGGCTCTCGTTGGCTTTCAACAAAACTTCATTCGAGCCACTTGGTACTTGGCCGTCGACAACGTGATTCGCTATAAGCAAGAGCTCTAGGGTTCTGACGAACTCGCAAGCGTCACCCTTGATCGACGAACCAATCCAAGGCCTCGTGTTTACGTTAATGAAACTGTCCCGTTCCTTGTGCACAGTCTATATACGATACAGTCGCTGGGGACAAGACGGACACAGGCACGGTCATCCCCGTACAGTATTGGGCCTTTCCTTGCTCCGGTTTGCGGTGCGGATCTCATATCCGGCACTGGCTGGGCCTGGAATCGAAGCTTGTTGAGGCCTAGACAGGGTTTACATATCTTGCAACCGAGAAAAAGGGTCCTTTGTTAGGGAGAAAGGAGGTTGGAAATAAAAGGGAAAGGACAAAAAAGCAAAGATTAAGGGACTGATCGACAAAACGAGACTGAGGTCCAATCTCAAATTGCGAGACAAGTGAGACTTGTCCTAGAAATCCCTATTCAGTCCAGGGCTGAGTATTGCTGCCAAAATAAGCAGTCGGGCGGGTTCTGAGAGGTGTCGGGTGTGCAGCCCGTGGTGCAGCAGCATTAGGTTGAGTGCCGCTCTGCCCTGCCCTGAAAGGCTTCTGCAAACCCCTACAAGACCTTCTGGGACCCACTTCCGCTCCGCTGCCAGATTGAGTGCAGCGTTACAGTGCTTCAGCAGCGCCAACTCCCAAACGCCAACGCACCAGCAAACTGAGGCAGGATCAAAGGTACCGGCCCCAAGGCACTTGCCCTATTCGGGTACCGCAGGAGTCGGGCTAGGACCAGGGGGGCGTGTGGCCACTATGATGACTCCACGCTCTTTCATGCTGGCGCAGCGTGAAGGCCACGGCCAGCGTCAGCGCCAGCACCACCAGGTTCAGCGCTCTCCTTCCCCTTGTACCACAGCTACTAGTCATCACAATACTTTATCTATTCCGACTCCCTCTTTATCTCCCATCCTCACTCCCACTCCAACTCCCGCCCGTTTATCCTCCTCTTCATCCTCACCTTCATCTTCTATTCCTCTACATACTTCATCTTCTCCTCTTCACCCATCATCTCAGTCTTCCTCGACAACCAGCATATACAACCCGTATAAGCCGCCACCAGCACCCACCACCAAGTTGGCGACTTCAACGACTGCGACCGAGAAGTCGACCACGTTCTCACTCCCGCGCTGGTCGCCCAAGTATGACGATAGCAACAAACGCATCACAGTCACCATATCTTCAGCTCAGCCGGACTTCAATGCAACAATGGTTAAACGTAAGGATTGGCGGGAGACTAGCAGTCTTGCCCCTTCGAGCCCACCAAAGACCACTGTTAGTTTGACCATGAAGCCTACACCATCGAGCCCGGTCAAGATCCCTACCACCAACAACCGATATGGCGCCCATCCTCAGAAGCGTCATTCATCACAAAGAAAACGTAGCAGTGATTCCCGGTCTTCGGGTAATCTTTCGCCTTCTCTTGCTGCGCTTCTGGCCGTCACCGATATCCCCCGACACAAGCAACTTCAGCGACGCCGTCGTGGTGAAAAGACCCTGACTGTACAGGAGGTCTTTGACTGCCAGCATGCTTCAGAGAAGCAACTTAGCTGGACTTTCAGCAGCCCTCTGGATATGCTGCTGTCCCCTCCTCAGGACATCACCGACGATGACGATAGTGTGAGCGATTGCAACATTGGCTCCAGTATGTCGACAAGGACTTATTCCATCGATTCTATCCCTTCTCTGGACGAGTCTTTCTCCAGTGAATGCCTTTCATCCCTTGGAAGCCCAAGGACCCCTAGCCCGTGTTCCCGGAGGACCAAATCAACTCCCATGCGAAAGTCGCTGGAGCCTGTTATCTCCCCGCCTGGTTCCGTGGAGGAGCACCCGCTCGCCGGAGACGATGCCGATATCGAAGATTTGGACTTAATCCTTGATCAGCCCGAGGAGGTTCAGCCCAAGTCCCAATTTCTCCAGCCTTTCAAGCCTTTGAGGTCTGTGTTCAAATCGAACCTGACTGCCTCACTGCGGGCGCTTCGATCAGCTGCGCGATCCTTTTCGGCCCTCAACCTTCCCACTATCCCACCGGATGACTATCTAACTCGATCAATTCTTACTATCGACCCTAACGTTCCCTATGCTGACGAGCGTCGCCCACCTGTTTCCGAGGAAATGCCCTCGGCCGCCATGCGCCGTTATCTTAACCCTACAACAAACGCCAGGATTGAACCACCGACAAAGACTGTTTTCGCTGGCACTTTTGCTGCATCAATTCAAATGCGCACTTACAAGATTCAGCGCTCCCGAGCGGCTCCGGGCTCCCGAAACTCTTACCCATCAACATCACTCCAGTCACAGCCTGCCCCTGTTCCCCAGCAGCCACAGCCGCAGGTCCCCACTCATTCGGTCCCAGGCATGCGACAGCGGGAAATGCGTGAGAACTCCGACTTCATCCGTATTGCTGTGATGGAGATGGCCATGCGCAAGCGTGGAAAACTCGACGACCAAAAACCCGGCCGGGCCCGTTTCGCACTTCCTCCCCGACAAACATCGACGAAGCCCTACGAGATGGGAGCCAACGGTGTTCCGGCTCGCTGGATCCCCATCATGGCCTAGACTCGTTGCTGTGCCGTGAGCTACAAGCCACACACCAACACGAAAAGCTTCAATTACCAGTTTACGGTGTGCAACACGTCATGTACCTGGCCACGGTTTCTTTGGATTACTGCAAGGCCAATTGAGGAAGACGCCCAGCGGATGGCCGACCGGGACCCACCTTCGTTGGCGCATTACGGAGTCCCTGACGTTTATCCATGCCATTGGGTGCTATGATGCAAACTTTTTGCCCCCCATCTCAATGGAAGGGTTTTGGAACGTCGGTCCCACTACCCGATGATGGGGCCGGAAGAAGTGCAACACAATTTTTTCGACTTAGCAGGGACCCAAGGAGCAAAACGAGTTGACCTGGCTCTGACTCGAAAAGATTGGAGCACAATGACACAATTCTCCAGCGGATTGGCCGCCGAACACGAACCCGAAACAGGCCTCGGCACTCATGTCCTGACATGAGTGCATTGGTCAAAACAAACAATAACCAATCACGAATTCTCATTAGACATGGGAACATTTCATCATTTTAGAGAGCGGCTCGCATTTTCAGGAGTTTCACGTTATTACACGATATTTCTTTTACTTATTCCCCTTTCTTATCACCGCAAGGTGGAGAAAAAGCACACAATTATCGGAATGCAAGGCGCGGATTTGCTTCTTGTACATCATCTTTTTTTTATATCATTATTCTTCTTTTTTTCAGATTGGTCACTTCGGCAATTGACCCCCGCCCAAGCGGGATCGACTGCGACTGGGCAAAATTCGGCTCATACCCAGGGCTACGAAAAGGCCTGGGAACGCAGTTCGGACAAGACTCGGTCAAGGATGGAGTAATTGCATTTGTTGAGAGGAGTTGTCTTTCAAAGCCGGTAGGAACAGAGCATTTGGTCCGGCGAAATCGGAGATGGATTTTTGTTATTGAGCAGGACTGGTACCAGCACAGGTACATATCACAGATTTACAACCGCCCATTGAGATGGCGACACATAGGCGCACATGGCATTTGGAGGCATTGAGCGGTCTCTGTGTTTGGATATCCATTTGTCAATATTTACATATTTTTTATCAAGATCTTTACAATATTTTTTGGTGTCCCGTTGCTGCATTTCGGCTATTTCTAGTCCGACTTTTCGAAATGCAGGGCTTTGAAGTCGTGGAGTTTAATTACTTGACCAAAAACGGCAAAGGCACTTAGACGCTTGGGCTGGGCAATGCACCAATGCCCAACCAACCACCTCACCAAAAAGAAAATTATTGCACTCTGCACTCTGCATGTTTGTGTTGGCATGGCGTTGGCGTTGTTGTCTCAGTCACCGAATGTTTGGACTGCTTGATAACGCGTGGTCAACGGTTACTGGGCCTCACTGACATCCAATGGAGTTGTCGGCAATTTCGGTTAACAAGCTTATTTGATTCTATCCGCTCACCTGCAACTTAGGTACCTTCTTGTTATGCTTCTCATCCGGGCAAAACTGGAGCAGCGACAACAGGAGTTCCTCTGACGCGGGACAGAAGAACAAAAGAACTTCCCTAGAAGACCCTTTTCCTTCTTGTTGTGGGGGGAAAGCCGTGGGATCGGGTTGAGTCAGACGCTAGTCAGGGGTTGAGAAGGGAAGGGCTACAAGCGCATTGATTGTCGATGTTTTAACCACGGCAGAAATTGTTGATTCCCCGCCCACGATAAGGGAAATAACGCGCAGAAAAGGAAAGCCACGATTTTCAACAGGGTTCCCTCTCCTTGTTGCTGCACTGCACTTTGTTGTGCAGTAGCCCCGTTGTCCTCAAAGCGCAAGGCTCAAGTCCCAAGGGGCGTGTGGCGGAGACAACTCTCTTACTACAATGTTCTAGACCGCTCATTACAAGTGTACAATCCTGTCTGATCATATGGAGTTATCTCGTAACCGCAGACTAAGAAATGAAGCCATTTAGCCAAGCGGTGTATCGATGACTAATTTGTGGAGAGTTATGTGTTTCTCATTGACATATATTTGCTGAGTGAGAGAGCAATATAGGGCATGGCACACAAAGCCCTGACAAGGTACAAGTCGACCTGGACCATCGAGCCTTTGAACCGAGGCTCGCGTTAAGGGTCCAATCTGCGGCGTCTATGAAACCTGCCTATGTAGGACGCATCCGCGACTATCTTCATACCCTGTGTATTAAAACATATGTTGCGCTTGGCACGGAGGACCGGGGTGTGAACTAGCCGCGACAAGAAGGAGGCAAGACTTTCAGACGCGATTAGCAAAAGTACCTGCGATAACTAGGAAAGATAGTCGCACAGAAGTACCTCTAGGTATGAACCGATTAATCCTGGATATATTTCTCTTCTTTTACTATCTTTCCATGGCGTGGTGATAGACAGATTAAACGAGAGTGATGGATAAGGATCTGGGTAATATCAAATGGTAATTCTATATTGGGTCAGTATAAGAATACTGCTTGGTATGGAGTTAATGAGATGTGTTCTATATCTCTGTAAGCGAATTAGCTCATGGGGTTTTGTATGCTAAGACTATCTTGAGAGACTATCTTAACAAAGTCAGAGAGAGTTGAGAATTCCCAATAAGTATAAACTATTAAGGTATGAATACCAAATTAGGAGATATAAGTACTAGGAATTCAAATGAAAATAATACTTATAATTAAATTAATTAATATCTCTACGTTATTCATACTTAATCCATTACTTGAAATCCTACTATATTTACACTCTGTAATTACACCTCTTCTATAGTACACTCTCTTCTAACAACCCAGTTGGAACAGGACCAATGTCCCTAGTATAGTAAGATAGAATAATCTCTCTTCCAAAAGATTTCAAGGCAGGCTATTCTGTACATTTTATAAACAAGGTCTTAAGGACCTAATTCTCTAAAGGAATCCCAGAACATAAATACAGAATAATCTGTTATTTATTGTACTGTAACAAGCTATTTTTATCGAAACTAGGCTTTCATAGTTCTAAGTAAACTATTATCTATTAAGTATGAGTTTAAATGTAAAGTCAGAAACACACACCTGAATATAATACGTACTTGAAATTCATTCAAACTTGACTGTCTGTTAGAGATCTGGGTTCAAGTGTATTTATCATTCTATATGATAACATTACTGAGAGGGTAGGTCTTCAAGCCATAATGTGTTTCTGATGGTGTTGATCCCAACCTTTGAAATAACGTATATATTCTCTCAAGCCACATGGATATTATCAATCTTCAGTACACAACTATACACGAACAAGACTCAAGCAAAGCAGGATCTCATGTTTATTTGATTGGTAAACTTTGTCACTTATTATAATAGAGAATACTAGGTACTGGTTCTGATTATGACATCCGATCGCTTCACTGCTTGCTGTGCCATTGTCAAGGTCTGACAACCAATGACATATATACTGTCCTGAGTTAAGATGAAGAGAGCTTCTGTTACTTATGGCCTTGATTGCATCTTGGAGCCTGTCGCAGTATGTCCTCAAGTAGTATGTGATGCCCTACTCTCAGTCTGAGCTGACTCTGTGGGAATCCTACACACGAGGTGACCACACGCACGCTCGTTTGGAAAGAGCTCAAGCGAATATGGTTCGTGTGTTAGTAAGTAGTATACAAACCGAATCCAAGTGTTACGCCAAAGACCAGCACCTTTAAACCTGATTATGCATATCTGTGCCTATAGTCATCCCATGTTTGTGCTGGCTGGGTATAGGCAAGAAGCTCTCTTGTCTAGAGACAGTTAAAGACAACTAACATGATATTGCCCTTGCATAAAAAGCGTGGCAGTAAACCCGTTCGTTTACGCTTTGAGGATGTTATATACTCTGTAGTCATCTCAACTACTGCTGTCTTGTGATTCACAGCAATCGCAACCGTATATACTCCGTAGGTTCCCGATCACTCTTAGCTCTCTGAGTAAACAGACCACTGCTCATGTGACGTAGATCGTAGACAGACTAATAATCTGGTGCGAAATGTATATTGTGATCAGCGCGCCTGAACGTCAAGACTGAGACTGACGTCCGATCGCCGACACCAAGGGTCTGAAAGAGCAGAAAGCCACACCGCTCAGTCTGTTATTGAAACCAAGAGTCAATCTTACTAAGGTATCGCCAAGACATTTGACGTGTCCTTGTTTCATCCCGTTGTGCATCAGATGTACATACCCGTAGTAGGCCCATACAATATACAATGTTAAGGCTCAATTCAAAGAACATGGAAGTATTAGTATTAAGTTAAACGCCAAATCACTATCGTAAATATCGTTATTATGAGTAAGCCAGCCAGCCATGCCAATTCGTTAACCGTTCCGCTCTCGTCATGGAGAGATACGCACTATCCTCAAGCCTATCCTGAAGCTCCTTGAACTTGGGCGTGGGCGCCTTTCTCTCAAATAAGATATCCAGCTCGAGGTATGTCAGGTTCCTCGTTTCGGGCAGTCTGATGTAGCACCATATCAGACAGAAGAAGCTCGTCCCCGCGTAGAGGAAGCACGACGCGCCACCAATGTCCCACGCGGACGGGTTGAGCATCTTGGGCATGATGACGTTGTTGAAGACCAGGCAGAGGTTGTATGTCACCCGCGCGAGAGCAACGGTCTTGACTCGGAGGCGCGTAGAGGGAATCTCGGCGACGACGATGTAGCAGACGGGGCCGATCGTCATGTCGTACACGAAGGTCATAGCGACGATTAAGCCGGCCAGAGTCCAATTAGCGCCAGCGCGGTCGCTCAGCACAACCCAGACCACGCCGCCAGCGGTCAAGAGGCATATGGGTGCTATGAGTCCGTAAATATAGAGTTTTCGGCGGCCCACGAAGGGGAGGAGGGTCCAGGATATGATGCCGCCGATGATGCCGACGCCGTAGCAGGCGGTCGAGAGGTTGAAGGAGATGGAAGCGCTGAAGCCGGCCTGTTCGAAGAAGTATGGCGCGTATGATGTGAGAGACCAACCGCTGAAGGCCTGGCACATCCAGGCCACGCAGGCGATTTCGGTCCTGCGACGGTTGACTCCTGTGAATAGATCTTTATAGTTTGCTCCTCCGTAGTTGGAGTCCTTCTCCATTTTGTTCGTGTGTTTCATTAGTGAGATTGAATCTTCGATATCGGTATTATTTTTATTAGAGAGGCGAGTAAGCGCTCTTTTGGCGTCGTCTATTCGTTCATGACGAATAAGCCACCCTGGTTGAAATGTTAGTTGAGCTATGATGCGGTGAACGAGCTTCCTTACAAGGACTGTCCGGGGCAAACCAGACACCGAATAACAACGGTATTGCCCAGGCCCATTGGAGTGCGAAAGGAAGACGATATGACCATTGAGAAGTTTCGTGTACGAGAGAACGAAGGATGCCCGTGCCGATGACTTGCCCGACGAGCCAGCACATGTTGATGCTGCTCAGGACAAAGGGACGAAGGGCGTTTGGTACAACCTCGGCTGCATATGTGGCAGCTAGGATTTCTATTACTCCCCATGAAAGGCCTGACGAATAATTAGTCAAAATTGCATAGATGAAAGTATATAGTGGCATACCTGAGAGAGCTTGCGAGGTTAACAGGACGCCGATGCTATCGGCAAAAAAGGCGGGAAACACGGCGATGCACATCCAGAACAAACTGACGAGCATCATCTTTCGATATCCGATGAGATCGGTGATGTAACCGTGTGCCAAAAGTCCTATAATCTCACACACAATGGCAGCGTTCTGCAAGCCCATCTGCCATGAAGGTGAGATCTCATACATCTGCTCATCCGCCGGGGTGCCCGGGGGCATAGTCGGCTCGCCATATTTACGCCTGAATGCAGGAAAGGCGAAGAGACCAGTTACGAGGGACTTATCATAAGCTCTGATGAATATTTAGCTAACAATTGGCTTGAGGCGGTTACAAGTTACGACTTACTCCATAACAACAGTTAGGAAGAGCAGCAGTGACCAGCCGACGGCCTTTGGATACTGGCGACAGCAGGCAAAGAAGGTGGCCTCCTTCTCGTCTGCGAAGCCACGGTAGACACGCCTCGTTGTTGAATCGGAGGCATGAGACTGCGGCAGCCACAGCGAGTGGGTGAGGCCATTGGGGAGAGACTCGAGCTCAGGGTCACTGCTCCTGGGGGAACCGGTCGCGAACTCAGGTAACTCTGGCAAGGGAATGGGTCGCGCATCTGTGGGGATAGCTTCGTGAGAAGGGCCCATCTTTGTACGGATAGGTGGTGTTGAATTCCACCAGCGCGGTCTCATGGCGATTACGCGGTTTTTGCTTGTGATCGTCGTACGCGAGTGAGACCATGATTATAAGATTTTAACGATGAGATTTTTGATATTTGACATTTGACGTCAAAAATTCTGTCTCGGATGCGGGGGAATATCCAAGGACAAGGGGGGTGGTTGGTTATTGGTGATTCCCCAGACTGATCATGGTGTTTTGTGATAGCTGATAGGAAGTTGAGATGAGAGAAATTTGATCAATTGCCAATTGCAAAGGAGAGAAGGTGTTTCAGTCTTTCGCCTGCTGCAGAAGGGAAGAAAGAACAAGCTTGGACTTGGATGGTAGAACAAGAACATGGGTTCAGATCAGAGGAGCGTGGGGGGATGCTGTTATTAGGCGGCTCAGGCCTGGTAGAAATCGTCGATTGGTCAATCAGGTGCGAGCAAAGGCAAATAATCAATAAACCTGGCTACAACACGTCACTTTTGGCGTTTGTTGGAGACTTTCGGCGAAGTTTTATCCTTGGGTTCCTCTTCGGGCTGTGGGTCGCCGGAGGTTAGAGTGGATATTTAAAGGTAATAGTTTGGTTGTGTTTTTAGTAGACTACGGGGGGAGAAGCCTAAGAAAGCCTGGGGGAGCGATTAAAGGATTGCCCATGGGGGACTTTAGGTCACTGGGATTGCTGAGGAGAGTCTCTCAGGTGATGTTAGGCACCATGTTGTTGGCTGTTAACTGATGACCCGCCAATGAGGACTGAAGATGTTATATCAACCTAGGTACCTAGATCTCCTCTGGAATGTTACATCTCAACCGTCTTGTCCATACCCGTTACTAGCAATTAAATCTCCGGTGACATCTCCTCATCAGGTTCAAAGCAATTAAGTAAGCTCAAAGTGTGGAACTGCAAAGAATTTCCATGATCCCCAAAAAAAACATAAACATTGCGCAAAAATCTGGAGTCGGTCCGATCTCCCCTTGAACTCTCGTCCTTCAGCCTCGGTCCCGTTCCGTTTAGAATCAGATCACGATGTGAATGCATGCCTGGCGTGACAGTGGCTGCAGTAACGTTACGGGGTTTTTGCGACGTCTATGGATAATTTTGGCTCTAACTCTATAATGACTTCTGCTGATCTAGTCACCACACACATTGTCTATACAGCAAAGTTTTACATGAGCTTATATAAATTCCTCATATTTTAGACCCCTCCTTGTTGCAATGAATAACTCTGACTTGGTAATTGACTTTGACTTTGCGGTTTAAGCTTATCGCACCACGTTGTACGAATACCTATACTCCGTAGCGATTGATACTCAATAACTGCCACTCCACTCTAGCCGCTGTAGGTTGTCATCACTCAGTGATCTACTAGTTAAGAAAGGAATAGTTTACCTATAGTAGCAGTCCATGCCTGTCAATTCAACCATGACCATTTTCTCTGAATTGAATATTTGCTTCAACATTTACTTACATATTATACGGATACACACCTGATCAACCCATGCATGGGTTTTTGCCCAACATCCAACATGTTCGCGCCTGAGGCACTCCAATCGAAATGGTCACGTGCCCACCTGTTGAATCTGCATCAAACTCCAACAAGCAAACTTCAACCCAGGCTCATAACTATCTTTCATTGATTTTCACTAATAAAAACCTAGTCCTACTCAAGGACTTGAGTATAGGCTCATGTTCAGGGCCCTGAGCAGGCTCGAGGCCCTCCCGGCTTCACTCACTAGGCCTAGACTGGTCCGGAATTTCACAACGACAACTCTCCCACTGAGAACAGGAGTATGGAACGTGGAAGTAGCTCCAGAAGAACCAACAAGGGATAGGCTGGTGAATGAGAAATCAGTATTGGAGGACCCTCCAATAAAAGAGAGCCCAGAACCAGCAAGGCCACGAACAAAGCCAGCACGAGATCTAACATTACCAGAATCACCACCAAAAAGACCAAAACGTAATTTGACAATACCAGAACTTACAGAGGAACCGGAATGGGAGAGAAGAGAAGCAATAAAAGGCTTACAGCGGGTAAAAGCACCGTGGGAGTTCTCGCCACGAGGGAAGGCACGAAAAGAGCTTGCAGGGAGATTACGAAGGCAGAGAAGAAGAATGCCAAAATTACGGTTGAAGAAGTCTGGCACAGATGAATCACTATCTGAGGAACACACACCAAGGAAACCACCGCATTCTTCCCCAGAGGATTATCAACGCATAGAAATATCCAGCCTGACCGAGCAAGAGATAAAGGATCTAGCCTGGCTAAAGAAAATGTCCGGCCCTGAACGAGATGACTTTATCAAGGAGCAAATGGGCTGGTCACTGCAAATCCCATACTCCGATGAACTATACAAAAGCCGACCACTGACACCCCAGCTGTGGAGGAGGGTCATCGCAATGGAAAGGCTGAGAATGATCATGGGACACGGGCCATCGGGAAATACGTGGAAGAAGTGGCAAGAAGACCTGCGGTTTCGCCTTCGCAAGTCCAATATGAGGGACGTCAGATTCATCTGTATAGACACCGACAGAGTAAAGCGATTGCCTAAAGTGCTCGAGGGGGAGTGGAAGAGACGTGTCACGTCGTTCCAACTGGGCGTGGCTATTCTCGATACGCGGGATCTTCGAGACGCTGTCGTGGGCGCGGTGAGTATGCCAGACCCGTCCAAGATAATCCAGACGTATCAATTCGCAGTCCAGTGCGAGCCGCCCAAGTATGAAGATTTCTTGTTCGGCAAGACAGAGGCTATATCTATCAGTGATCTCAGGGCCAAGTTCCACGAGTGGAATTCGGGACGGGATGTGATCGGCATCGCGTACTCGGCTCGCAACGATATAATTGTCCTGCGAGACTTCAACATTGTCATGGACCACATATTCTGGATCGACCTATGCCAGGCGACATACATGACTGTCCGAGAGCCCATGGCGCCCTCGCTGGGGATTCTGCTGAGATTACTGCAGATCCCCAACAGCGGCCTCCACTCGCCCGGCAACGACGCCCATTTCACTATGCGAGCGCTCCTCGGGATTGCAGCCTTGGACGTGACCCGAGACTTGGAATCCGGGAGCCCTGTCGAGCAGATCCCGCCGTGGTTCGATCTAGCTGTCAAGATCGCTCGTTGTCCAGTACCCTCGCCGCCTCCAAAACCTCCGAGGTTGTTAAAGGCACGGGCGAGGACGAGTGCGTGGAAACGTAAGCTGTTGCGCAAACGGAGGCGGAGGCCGATGTTCTAGGTGGAAGAGAAAGCTGAGGCCGAGGGTAGATATGTCTCAGGGGTTATGTTATGAGCGTCGATATATTATCATGGCTTGGAGACAGATATGCGGCGTTTCCCCTGAAGATGCTTACCTGCCTCTGAATACTGGGATGCCCTCTCAGAGTGCAGCCGAGATTGAGCAAGCATGACCTGACGATCGTCAACTTTGGTGAGCACGATGCCGCTCAGCTGACCATTGCTGCAGATCGTCGCCATCAAGTCCTACATGTCATTTCGTGTGGTCGAAACCCGACTGAAACTTGTTGAAGAAACTCGCAAAGGAGAAGGATGTCAATGGGGATGAATGATTCAATTTCTGGCCATGAAGGAACACGGTATAGTAAGACCCAGACAATACTGGCTCGTGTATAATAGTAAAAGATATCCATCGACATTGTCCCAGGACAATAAATGATCTGACGAAGCAAAGAGACTAACGATTGGCTACAAAATGGCATAATCCTGTAGATACAAATACACATTCATCCACTACAAATCACATGCGCTCAACCATCCTTGACAAATGCGGAGAGGTCATTTTGTCGGGACTGAGCGTCCTTGTTCGATGTTATCTGGGGTATGGCACCACCAGGTTGGTTCAGCTGCCAGCAGGTTTGGCAGCTGGCAAGGCCTGGAGAATGCCTGAAAAGATTTACCGAGTACATGGCCTCGTTCGGTGGGATCCGTCTGGAGAATCATCAGATGGTCAGCGCCCAACGAGGGGAGCATCGACAGTTGTCGAGGACTGTGTTTCGGCAGCAGCCGGAGTTTGAATAATTGTAGTTGAAGTCTGATAGTATATGGCTTTGTAAAATGTAATTCATCACTCTGATATTTTCTACGGACGACTTCTAAGCGTGGTAGTTGACACATTTACTATCACTCACTCCCTGCTCCACCTACAGTGCATACATCAACAACAGCCCTACGAAGTATTCAACATCAAACAATGCAACATATAATAAACAAATAATAAATAATACTCAATTAACATAAACACTTTAAACAATCATACCCTCTCCATTCTCCAAGTTTCCCGATCTGGAATGCCATGACTCCCCGGAATCGCCCGAATAGGTCAGACTGCCCAGGGGCCAACACGCACAATCACACCACCATCGACCGACTCTCTCAAATCGCCCATGAACAATCCTACGGCTCATGTCCAAGTCCAACAGCACAAGAAAATTAAATAGAAAAAAAAAAGAGTCATAAAGGAATGTAAAATTAGTATAAGAGACTCCCAGCCAACTCGACAGAAATGAACTGATCAATCACTACAGCTCTTTGTCTACTCATCTCATCTCACTCCAAAAGTATCTTCACTTACACCACTTACACAAAACCTCACCTCACCTCACCTCACAATGGCCGCCCTCGCTAGACCCGCCCTCGCTAAGCCCGCTGCCTACCCCAAGTAAGTCCCCATAACCTCCATATCAAACAATCATCAAGTCATAATCTAACCATTTAATACAGGGCCCTCCCCTTTGTCGTGGCCGTCGGAAGTTTCGCCCTCATCGGTAGCTACGTCGCCTCTCAGCTGTCCGTCACATCAGCAAAGTTCGACCGCTCTTTTGCAAAGTACAACACTCCCCAGAGCGAGGCCAACCGAGCAAAGACCTTTGACGGTGCTATCGAAAACCCCAGGACAAGTCTCTTCAACATCCTCGGTCGACGACAGTAGACAAATCTACATATACCCATTATCACAGGCAAAGACAGGCCTGCTTTTGCATATACATACACACTTTCTTCACACGTTGAGCGTTCTTTATTACGTCTGACAGTAGCGCCTGGATACAAAGAGGCGCAGGGACGAACACAGCATTTGGTCGGAGATATTTGAGGGAGCATCGATATCATGGAAATCATATAATTTGATCATTAAATAAACAGTAAAACTTCATACATTTAGCGTGCTAACCAGTCAACGTGAAATATCAATTCTTTTGTATTAGCTACATATAAAATTTCCTCCGAGAACATCTTTGCTGAGGTTGCCCTCTTATGCGCCAAAGACTGATCTTCGGCTCGCCCCTGTTCCAACGATGGCTCGCTCAAGCTCATCTCAATGCTATGGTACGTTCGGCATCCTGGTTTCTCAATCAAGGACTTCAGGTTATGCAAAAGAACGAACAAAAAACCTCCTCTAATCCAACCAAATACGCCTGTTTTGCCATGTTTCTATAAACTATACCAACTCCTGCATTCGTCACCACTTCTTCCTTCTCTTAACCCGACTTCATCCTGCTAGGTGTCCAAGTGAGTCGCGATCCTGTATTGCTCGACGATCGTCTCGATCTGCTTTTTGGTCCCGCAGGTGTTGTTGACTCGTCGACTGTCTCTGAATCGTCATCTTGTTGTGACGATTGACTACTCTCTCGGTTGCCAATTCGTGATGTAAGTGCACTGAGCTTGTCTTTAAGGTTGCTTGCGCCGTTCTTCCTACGCACGCCAGAGCTGCTTGTCTCGTGGTTGCTCATGCTTGACACCGGCCGATCAATCCCAGTAGGAATCCTCCTAAATCCAGGTCTAGGCTGTAGGGCAACCGGTACTGGGATATTGCTTTGGGGGCTGGTGCTGTGAATACTACCAGTGTGGGAATTGCTCGGTGTTATACCCTGCATGTGACTCGATTGACTATGCATACTGCTGTTCATATTGCTGTGCACGCTGCTTTGCGGGCTTGCTGTTCCTGGCCGCAAAAGCTCGGTCCCGTAATGATGTTGTCTGTCGCCTCGGGGGTCGTCAATAGGTGTTGGCGGTGTCATCATAAGGAAAGTCGGGATATGAGGGGCGTGGGGGCCGTGAGGAGCAGGAGCTGCGCCACCGTTGCGATGCGATCTTCGACTCTTGATACTCGAGCTTCGACTGCGGCGTCGCATATGTGAAGCTGGTCGTATACTGCTGTGCGTACTTGGAGCTCGAATGCTTCTTGGGGGCGATCGGGAGAAATCGACAGGCGATGAACCATACGTGCTCGAATCATCGCTGTCATTGATGCTACCGGGATGGTGCTGAGAGCCACCCGAAGACGAAGGAGCAATGAGAACTGAGCTATTAGCCAGTACCCGTAGCTTGTCTCGCTGCTCAGCATTGGGCCGATGTTTCGAGAACTTGTTGCCAATGAGGGCACCCGTATGCGAGATCAAGGCCTTCACCACTGCCTTCTTAAGTGCCAGGGCCAAGTCCAAATTAGACCATGTCTTGTTCTGCCATTCGATGTTTGGCATCCTGAACACAAAGTCGTGAACATCCTCAATATTGCGGTTGTCTTTACCACGGTAACTCAGGCAAAGCACCACGGAAGGCATCTTGATGGACGCAAAAGTCATGAAATGGCTGGCACGCGTCATCATCTTAGTGAGATCGTCTGATGGTTGCTTTTCGTTGTTTTGTCTCTTGCCCAGGCCAAACCGCGATTTCTTGTCTGTTTCCCTCGAGTCCGCTCGTTCCCTGGTAGAGAGACCTGTCGAAGCACGCGCAAGGCCCACTCTTGAGCCCATATTGGATCGCAAAGACTCGTGAGATACCTTCTTGAGCAAAGTCTTGGATGTTCCTGGAGCACGGAAAAGACGGAAGGAATGACCTTCATTCCCTGTGTTGACACTCAGAGCCTTTCCTGGGGGTGCTTCAGCCTTGGTATTGGAAGTCAATGTAGGTCGCAGCCGTAGCTCAAGAGAACCAGAGCCTGCCGAGAAGGATGATGAAGATGATTGTCTCGTGTAGGACGGTGTCAGACCATTACCATCTTCGTCTTCATCCTCATCCTCGTCTCCATCATGCGTGGTCTGCTTCAGCATGAAGGGTGAATCATTCTTGGCGCCTGTCGCCTTTTCTCCATGTATGCCAGGGAAGATGTATTCGAATAGTCGTTTACCCACTTCGCGCTCCAGTTGTACCTTGATCGGGAAGAGGTTTACTTCGAAACGGTCCATGACAGGAATGCCTGCAATAGCCTCCAACATGTGCCAATACACTCGTATCATCTCTTTGTGCTCACCCTCCTGGGTGTGTGGTCTCTCAGGATCGATGTACGGTGCTATCATTTCCGGGTAGGTCGCATCAGGCAATAGGTTCAGGCCAAGGACCTTGCCCACACGTATAAGGTTGACATGAGAACCATCCGAGTTATCTGTTCGATCGTACTCAAGGTCCTTGAGCTGTAACTCAACTAGAGGCTCGTTGGAATCTTGCATGAGATGCCAAACAATGTCCCGAATCGTGATGTTCCACTTTAGTAAACCGGTAGTGTCATCCGAGTTCACATCAAACTTTCTCTGAGAGGAGGTGATGGCCTTCATCATGAAAAACAACTCATCTTCACAAGCTAAAAGGTCCTTCTCGAGTTGCAAGCGGTCTTCCCAGCCCTTCTTGTCAAGATACTTGTTGTAAATCTGGAAATGATCCTTGATCTCTTCCATCTGCCTGATGCGTTGCTGTAGCTTCTGGACCATGGCAGGAGCACCACTGAGGTCGCTAAAGTCGGAAGCGAGAATGATTTTCTCGAGGCGTTCACTCCGTGTTTTCTCCATGGGCTCATTGTACATGAGAAGATCCAGCACGATGACGTACAGTGCGTAGTACTGCGACGAGTTGCAGAGAGCTCTGGCTGTAGGGAACTCGACCCAAAGATTGTCCATACGATTCTCCATGTTGGCTTGAGAATCGCCCTCGTTACCATCAGTATTCACCTCGTCGTTGTACTTCAAGCGCAGCGTATTGTACTTGTCGTATCGCACCATGGCCGAAGTCTTCTGCACAACACGCTTGAATCCGAAAGGATCCGCCTGGAAGTCAAATACAACCTCGATAGGGACCCAAGGTGGCCAAGAAGAACCGCTCGGCGCGCCATACTTGCTTCCAACATACATTGATACAAGGTTGGTCTGAAACCACTTGCGATGTGTGACGAAGAACTGGACACTGTCCATATTGACCAAGAATCGGCGCTGGACAAGACCACTGACATTGTCCGATATTCTCTCCTTCTCCATGACTTCCATAACCTTGAGTTCCATTCCCTTGGCAGTTGCCAGTACTACATTCTTCTTGTTCTTGTCGCTCTGAAGCTGAATTTGAGGAGCGATGATGCGAATGTGATAGCTGCTCTGAGGGGTAAATTCTTCAGCAATTCCAGTCACCAAGTCTTCGATAGAACCGTCGACAAGACCCTCGGCGTTGGTACCCCAAGTGGCAGAGGTGAACTTGCGACCATCGCTAAGAATGCGCTTGATGCGCTCTTCCAGATCCACGGGTGTTTCGTCATCGTCCCGCATACTTGAAGCCCGAGAGCTTCTCCTGCCATCTTGCCGAGAATGTGTTGATTTGGCCTTGCCTGGCTTAGTATTGGATTTAGCTTTGTTTTGCTCTTCAACAATATCTAGAATGAACTTGATAGCAGGCCGAGAAAGATAGTACGTGAAACCACGTCTTTGACTGTTCTGGTGAAGATAACGAAGTACGATATTTCGAAGAGTGTTGTTCCACTTGAGTTGCAAATTGTGGATAACAAATCGATTGTTGAAATCGCTCTCGAACTCACTCGTCGATGGAATCTCCATAGTCTCATCCTGGAAAGGAAGTGCCGATTCGCCAGACTGTTTTCGTCCATCATTGCTGGTTCTGTGCGTGCTTGATGGAATTCGAATCCTGGCTTGGTGGAGCATTGATTCCAGAAATTCCTGCTTTTCTTGAAGCACGTCAGTGTGCTTCTGGAAGGCCTTGAACTCTTCTACAGCGACACGGTCTTTCGCATCACATTTGATAACCCTCAATTCTGCTTCGCCCATCTCGCGGTCGTGAGATTCCATTTGCTTGGCCAGCTGATCAAGACGATCTTGGATCAGTTGGCCTTGGATTCGACGTGGATCGTCGTCATGTCTCATAACGCAGAAATGTGTAGGCTCGCTTCCAAAGGGACTGGTTCGCGTTGGATCACCGGCAATAACACCGCCAATATCTGTTTGTCGGAAATATGTCAGGCGAGGGGCGTACGCCAGAGGCAGGATCTTGGTATCGGGGTGAGGTTCGGTTGGTGTTATCCAGTCAAGTTCAACGAAGTCATCCATATCAATCCAGCTGAAATCGTTATCGGGGATAGTAAATCGAGACAAGTCAGGCTTATCGTCAGTTTCGCTCATCAAAGTGGCAATAGATCCTTTCTGAATGGCTTCTGTAGTTGTACCCTTCAAGCTTGCTGATACCGCCCGAACGTCGGCGCTAACGAGGTCAAGCTGAGCAGCATGAATCTTGATGCCTGATGTCTTATTTGTGTTTTCGCCTTGTTTTCCTTTCCCAAGGGTACCAAACTCCTCTCGACGCTGATGGAGGTCAAGCGAAAAGCTATCGAATCGCACCTTCAAACCAGTCGCAGAAACTGCGTTCTCAGAATGATCTTCGACATCTTTGTGCTTGTAGATGTGGCTGAGAAATAGGGGCGCAAGCAGAATATTGTACTTAACAGTCGCCAAATGTCGACCAAATTTCTTGCTGTTCTTCTCACGTCCAGGGAACAGGCTTCCTTGACGAATTGGTAACGACAGTGGTTGTCCAAACAAGCCCCACCAGTTGAAGAAGTGGGTGAAGAATCTGGGAGTGAGATGAATTGTGTTGTAGCTGCGTGAGGGCTCTGGATTATCAGATAGCCAGTCTCGGTCGGCCGGTGCATGAATTGCAATGGAAAGATGGATATGTCGACTCCTGAATCCACGCAATGCATCGTATGGAAGACCGTTCGCATCAGGTTTGGCAAAATGCGGGTTCTTGAGGACGATGTCATAGTGAGGCCGGAAGTCAAAACTTCGCTTGCCATCCTCGATAGCACGCTCGAAGATGAGACCGGCCATGACCTTGACCTTGCCCGACAACTTCATGACAACCTTCTTGAAGCTTGCCTCGGACTTGTAGTTATCGTCAGGCAGGTAACCTTCGACATCATATTGTCGCCGGGCTTGCTCTCGGACCTCATGGCTGTAGTCGGGGACAGCAAGGATGTACTCGCCACTTTCGACTGAGATGAATCCCTTCGGGTCATCATCAGCATTGATATTCCATCTGATGTCGTTTCGCCAGCACATGAGGAAGCCGGCACCATTGCCAGTCATAGCATACGGGTTACGTGTACCCTTGAGAGCAAGGTGAACATCTCCGTCACCCTTCCAAGACATGTGTATCCTGGAGTGGAAGTTAAGTCTTAGCTTGTCCCAGAAACCAACACGCTCCGATGGGTCGAATTGAGGTTTGGTAAACGATTCAATGACCATCATCATGTCTTGGATAGCAGACTGATAGCAAGGACCCCAAGTGATGCGGGTGGGCAAAGCACTGTTGACGTCCATGTATACATCAGAGTATGACTTGACGGGTCCAACAGTACGTCTAACTTCAATCGCGAAACTGCCTTCGTTTGAAGAGCCCGGCACCGTGCTTCTTGGGGGTACGACATTGACTCGAACTCGACGGGTCGACTCGTGGCCCCGGAATTCTTCAGCAACAACGAAATTCGTTTTTAATGATACCGCTTGGATCTTTGCAGATTGTCCATACTTCATCGGAGGGATGTGGACAAGAGGTAATGGATAATCTCGTAGCGTTACCTTAGCCTCGCCCATTGCAATGCTGAGATGCATCGGCACCAGTAAACTATACTGCATATCCTTCGGCATCCCTTTTCCAATTTTGTGGAGAAAATCTGGTAGATCTTTCATGGGGAAAGTAGGCTTGTCAAGTGTGAAATGCAAGTCGGTGATTACAGCAGCCATGAGTGCTGGTCGCGGGGGTACCTCGAGTAGATTCTCGGCATCTTCGACATCTTCAGGTACTTGGTTAGCACCCCAAAACTGACCGCGAGACTCTTTCATGCTGTCTTGAGACAGCTGGCAAGCATGATCAATCCGCTTCTTCCAGCTTTGAGCATTGAACATGTCGAGGTGACTTCGAGCATAGTGTTCGGTAACCTTTGAAACGCCGTTGACCTTGAGGGACTCCGTGTTGGGGTTGTATCTCGGGATCCTTCCATGGCGGGAGTTTGTTTGTGCGTCTCTCCCATCAAATCCATCTGCACTTCGACTTCTGCTACCGGGCGAATCTGCTGTCTCGGGTCGCCCTCTTGGAAATGTGGACCGAGAACGGAACTTACTCGTTCCCCTGCGAATTTCATCTTCGCGAACTCTCTTGAGCTTAACCTTGAAAGCGTCTTCCCGAGCAAGTCGCTGTTTTTGCTCAACAAGGCCAGTACGATAGATCATGCCCAATTTCCATTCAAAGCCACCATCTTCAAGCTCGAACAAGAAATTGCGTGTACGCACTGACACTTTGGGGACCGACTTTGGACCTTCTGGATTCTTTTCGAGAATGTACTCGTTAGTCCCCGTCTTAAACCGATGATGCAGCTGCTGCACTGCTTTGATAACGTTGGTGAAATTGTCAGTTACGCGACTGATGATGACCTCATGCGGAACTGCGATACGGACAGCTTCTGTCACGATATCAACCATCTTCTCCTCGACAATGCCCCCATAAGCTGACTTTCTGCGAGATTCTCGGAAGTCGAGGCGTCCCGATTTGATGCTGACTATGCGTGCCCACACATTGTGCATACGTGGTGGCTCTGTGTAGAGTCGAACAAGTTTTGCTGCGATGTAAGGTGTAGACCATCTCTGCCGACCGAGCTCCAGGCCATACATGTGTAGCATCATAGCTGGATCGTGAGGCATATCAGCCTTGAGCTGCACGAGCGCTGCTTTGAAGTCCAGAGTGACCATTTCTGGTGTAATAGTGGTGAGCCCAGGGTCGAGATCTGGAGTTCCTGGAGGGGCCAATCGATTGGAAGTAGGAATGAGATCGACGTAGCTTCCACGTTCCTTAGGTCGTGCAACATCACGCCCAGATTGCATGAACGCTTTACGTATCGTCATAACAGCAACACCCACGGCGTAATGTCGATAAAGCGAGTATTTGGCCCGAATTGAACGAACGCCCACCTGTATGTTGAATGTTGGACCACTGGCATCGCTTGCAGCAACGAGCGAGAGTTCAAGCCTTGGTACACTGAAGAATGGCTCAGGCTCGAGTGTATCGACGGCATCCATAATTTGTACCTCAATCCCGCTAGCAAAGAGGGTGAGTTTTCGACCATCGCCAATGTTCTGTGGTTTCTTCTGTGGGCGCGGAGAGCTTGAGGGAGGAGTCCACTCCGAATCGGATTGATTGATAGAACGGCTGTTGGCGCGTCTTCTGGAAGCTCGACGTCTAAGCCCATCAAGTCGCTGGGCACGATATTCGGTTGACACAGTGTCCCAGTGTAGAAACACTCCACGAGTATCATCCGAGATTTCCTCATCAATTCCTGCAATCTCCACATTGAAATCGGATGCATCGAACTTGGCTCTCAGCAACCAATCTGGCATAGATCGTAGGAAGTTCTGGCCACCCTTGGAACGTGAGACTGGGCCCTTCTCTGGTTCCACATCGATCCTCAACTCCTGGACAATTTGGCGAAGACCATCGATGATTTCAGGTCTGACCATGCTAATTGAGGCGGATTGGAGATTGCCTGAAACGTCAACGTAGACATCCGGACGAGCACCGAGGTTAAGTTTCATGTCCAGTGATTCCGTGGTGATCAGGTTGAACCGTTCACCGTGATTTGTCTGGTAATATAGGTCATGCGACTGGAGTCTAATAGAACCATCGAGAGAGTAGTGCATGTCTGCCATGAGACTATGCGACGATTCTAGGTCAAGTGATATCGAAGAGATGGACGAGATAATGAGATCGAAGTCGTCTGGGTCTTCTGCCTTTTGTAAAGGATGAAGCTTTATGCGAACAACAGGCTCGTGCATGGAGAACTTGTAATTCGCCTTTGGTAATAGGCGGGAAATAAGATGATGGTTGTCGCCCTGCTTTTTCGGCGCCTTAGGTTTTGATTTGAAGAGAGCGATAAGAAGTGGCAAGTGGTGAGGGTCCAAGTCCACCGAAGGAGATGTAACTACAGAGTTAGCAAACATGATGTTCGTATTTCTTTCGTCCACGGTGCTGGCACGAAGCACCTCGACGGTCTTGGATAGTAGTGTCGTCTTGATCGTTGTTGTCGCCATTGGGATGTAGAGAAGACGTTCGGGTTGACCGTGGCCGTCATCCAAGCCAACGGATATAGAAAGAGCAGCAGCCAGTGCCTCGTGCGCAATAGCCTCGGCAGGGAAATACATTCGGTGCGCTGGTGACTTCGAATCCAACCGGTGCAAATCTATACCGACCTCCTTCATTGCGGCGTTGAGCTGTATTGGCGTCGATCCAGGTTTAATGGATTGGACCTTTTTGCTCATACCCACAAAGCTGACAGCAAATTGGATCTCTTTAATACCTCGCAGGATAGAGCTGAAGAACTCTTTGGAATCAGAGACCGTCCGCATCAAATCCTCATTTGTCGTTCCAGGTTCGTCGATTTCCTGAGCAACCTTGCCCAAAAAGATGTCCATAGGCTCCTCCTCCGCACCAGGCGTTTTGGCCTCAGCCCGGCGTTGCTTGAGCCGACTTATACATGTCTGCAAGTCATCGAAAGGAAGATGCATTCGCCCCATCTTGATTGCCACGGCGGCTTCACGAAGGCCATCCATGGACTTGTACAAATGTCCATGTACATTAACGAACAGCTGGTCGAGAATTTCCATAGATTCGCTACCATCAGCCGTGAACAAAACGCTACGAAGCGAGACAGTCCATTCCGCCTGTTGGTCCTTTCCATGGCGATCGGCTAAACGGGCGAAGAACCGTACACGATCGACCATCTTGCGGCGCGTATCGACTGCGAGAGTGAAGCTTCCAACCTGAATATTGCCCACGTCTACAACATTAACAGCTGAATTTGTCGCGACCACATCGACCAGCTTGAGCCAGCTGATATTCCTATGCAACCGCTTGATCTTTTCCTTCATATGCGTGAGCTTCTTCCATGTCTCACTTCGGACAACTGTGCTCGTGGCTCGTCGAGATAACGGTGGTTGTTGTCGAGTGGTGGTTTTGGTGTCTGTCTTCTTATCCTTCGAGTTTTCGGACTCGCTGCCCTCGGGGTCCAAATCGGTCGCTTTGTTGCCTTCGAGTTCGTTGACGTCCAGTGTCACGACAAGTTCGCTCAGCACAATGCTGAGCCATGTTGGCTGGGCAAACGTTGGGCGATGAACGTGAAGCCCGAGGCCCCTGACTTCTATCCTGCACCCATCTCGTGGCGTATATGCTAGTCGTCGCAAAGAGAAATAACCTATTCTCTGGATAGAAATACCGGTAAGGATTCGGAATACGGCGAGGAAGACGAAGGTCGATAGATATAGGAGGACTACGCAGCCGAAGACGAAGGTCGGGTTGAGGAGAGCCATGTTGTAAAGGCACCCGCGAGCCTCTCCAACCAAGTAAACTGTAAGGAAGGAAATACAATCAGATACGGGCGGTGTAACATGGCGTGGTATCATAACTTACGTTTCCTGCTTGTGGAAGAGATATCATGCCTCCACTATGTCTGAGCCTAATTGAGAGGCGGGCTATGCCATCGCCGCAAGGTTAGATTCAATTGTGCGTTATGTTGCCGGTTTTCCGGTTCCTTGGACGTGTACGCACGCCGAGTCTCGACTGAGAAGTATCGCGCAAGATAAATCGAGGCGGGGACAGCGCGGGAAATGATTATGTTTTGATGCCGTCGTGTCTAAAAGCAGAGACGCTTGGCGTAAAGTGGAAAAGTGTAAATTCAATGAAGCTGACTCCTGTATCGGGATCGACGGAAAGTATATCGAACGCGATTCTCTAAGGGGATTTTTTGGGCGAGTTCTGTGACGTCAAGGGGGTCCTGGATCCACGAGGGTCGCTGATCGAAAGAAAAAGGAGTGTTAGGCTTGCGCAGGCGAACAGGGGAAGCGCGATGCGAAAAAAGCTGAGGATCCTTTCAAGTCAAAACCTTGAGAGGGGATATTCCAAGTTAAAGGTCGGAGAAGGGATCGGAGATGGATGCTATAGGTAATAGCAATAGCCCGGAGATAGGGAGCGTTGAAGAGGTGGATGGTTATGGCGATGTATTGGCCCAAGCTACCAAGCCCACACCGGGTTACCCTGAGCTTACGGGAATCCAAGACTGCACAAGCGATAACGAGTACGTACTTCTACAAACTCAAGCTTCGTTCGATTCGAGAAGGCCTCCACTCGGAAGCGTCCAAAATGTAGCCACGAGCCTCAGTTCGTTAGATCAGTTAGGGCAAAAGCACGGGCCTGGCTCATTTAGCAGGGGGTGCCTAGTAAGATTTTCTGATGATCTCCAATCTCAACAACTCCGCAGTATTGCGACTGTCTGCTCCGTACTTAAAGGAGACGAAATACGTCCATAGAAAGGAGATATTGCTTGTTGAGACATCAGATGTCTTCATCTCCTGTGCGACACCCATCGCGGGTTATATCCGGAGGATCTCCATACCAGCCTTATCAACCAAACCTCCCTACAGTGGTAACCTCTGAACTGTACCACGTAACAAAGGTTTCAACCTATTCTGCCGTATCTGTAATTCCGTACCTTATTATTATAGGCTTATCAGTAAGCAATAGCAGTGCTTCAGTTTCATTGCACTAAAAACGCCATTGGCTATTCGCAACATCCAGTTCGCAGCCAAAATGCGGGGAATGCATGCTGTCTCTGAGTTCTATAAAACCGGATATGCATGTCCATTCAATAAATATCGCAAGTACAGTACTTTCAGCATTACTTAACATGTTGCGTGGGCGTTTAGATCATTTAACCGCCCGAGCGAAGACAAGACTCCATTAACAACCGACCTTAGGGTATAATATCCGTGGTCTGTGAGATGTAATAACATTGTATCTATCCTGCCCCACGAACTGGACCACGTTGCCAGATGTACCCCAGACAGTAACCTCCATAAGTCTGATTGCCCTAGTAGCGTCAGTGCAACGGTGTTTTTTTAAATCTCGGATATCAGGTACAAGAAACAACAGCAACTGCTGTTCAGTAACACAGGCTTAGTGCTGCTAGGAGGAATGGCAGTTTCACTTACCCTGAATTTCGTCTTTTCAACTCGAAATGCGTCATCCTTACTTCATCCCTCGCAAACCGTAGTACAAATGGCCGCTGGCGTGTCATGGTGTAGGTACTCTTGTGGCTTGGGTCGTAGCATCGCTTCTTGGCTGCCATCACCTGGCCTAAACGCTCTTCGCTATTGGGTTCGAATAGAGGGTGAGTGCCGCTGGGGTTATGCGCTGTCAGTGGGGGCACCAAAACCAGTTATATGTAGGAGCATCGACTTTAGGTAGTATGTAGTGCCCATTCGTCCTCTTTTCTTTCGTACAAATGCTCAAAGGTTCCAGAGTTCAGGTAACGTAAGCTTGTCATTGGTTTCACTTAGTCATTATTTGTAGTTTTCCTTCCCCAGGAGTCGATCTCTTAGATGTTCTGCATAGTGCTGACAGATCGCGTGAGTCGCTTAACAACAGCCAATCACGTTTCCAGTCTACGAAGGAACATAAATCTAAATACAATTCCCGTGGACAGAAGTGAGGTGAATCGTATATCATTATTATGGTGAAGAGCTGCTCTGTGCTTCCTCTTCAGCTTGTTTCCTCAGCTCAGCAACACGGTCATCGATAAGCGCAATATCGGCGTCTATCCTCAGCATCTTTTCCGACATCATGTCTCTATACTCCTGGTCCGTAAGCTTCTTGAGTGGAGTCCACCGAGTAAAGAATGTCTCATCGTTTTCATCCTGGACCTTGGGCTTGCGAGCTGCCATACGGTTTGCTACTATCTGTCCACCCGTTCCAAATACTGTCCATACGAACATGGCAGGAAGGATGTTCTTTGGTCCTCCTGGTCGTAGTGTCAGTAATAACGAAGTACTGACAAGTGTGGTCTGACTTACGGATCAAGCCACCAACCGCACCAGCTGCTGTGCCAGCTATCGCGCTGGCCATTGTCTTGTCGCCATTTTTCAGTCTTTCTTCACCGCCCCATGCTTTTACCACGATGCTTCTCGTGACTTGGAGAGTTTGTCAGTCAAAGAATTGCAATAAGACATTTCCGCAGCTGTGTGGATGTATAAACTTACACCAAAAGCTTGTTCCCAAAGTAAACCACTGAAACCCAGAGATTGCGCCCCAGACTATAGGGTTTGCTTCTTTGAATATGGAACCCCCGACACCTGCCAAAACACCGGCAGTCCCTGCTCAAAGTCAGTATGGCTTGCTTCGCTGCCTCCTCGCACAACTCACCGGCGTAACCACCAAATTTCAGAGGAGGTAGCACGAGATCGACGATCTCAGGAGAAAACAATCCACGGGAGGACTGTTGTTGGCGTAAAAGTGCCCATTGAGGGTCCCGGCTTCTATTGTCAGCCATGATGAGGGCTGTGAATATGGATATAAAAAGGAGACAGGGTTGTTGCGAGCGATACTGGTGAATGTCGACGATTGTAAAAGGATGGACAAAATTATAATAATTAAAAGAAATAATAATAATGTTACATTGCTCGGTTTACCGCCGGCGTTGTCAAACTTCAATGATATTGAGGTTGATGAGGCTCTCGCTACATCTGTATCCTAGCTTTTCCTAGAGACCAATCGCAGAGGACCAACCAAGAACTGGGGATGAAAAACCCGTGACATGACATCGAAGTCGGCATTTTTGGCCAATTGGGTGGGTCAAAGACCGCACACCAAAACTAAGTACCTACTGACAGAAAGGTTAGAGCACTTTGTGTGAGTTAAACCTGTGTAAGTCTGCAGAGATTTCTCAAATGTTGAGGGGTCTTGCTCTGAGCAGGCAGCAAATGAGTGAGTAAAACTCATTTAGCTTCACTTGATGCAGCCCATTTAGACTCAAAGTTCAGTATTGCTCTGGTGACTCCTTTTACTGCAGTTTGCGAGCCCTTTACCAACTGCCCGCGCTTGAACTCATCCGCCGCTGGTGAGGAAATGCAAGCGAGCCCGGACTGTAATTGAGTGGAGGGGTTGATAGGTGGGCCGAGCACTAAAAAGGGCTAGCGCCCACTCAGGCCTGGAACTGGCAAAATTAAGGCAACCCTCAACTGGCGCCTCCATCATCATTTTTTCCACTACGCCGAGCAAATTTCAACTCGTCAACCCCAGACACGGCAACATTAGTCGGGGCACGTCAACATTTCGCAGCACCAACTTTTCGATTAAAATACTCGACAACCCTGTAATCGGCTCTTCTGTCCCGGTTACCTCACGACTCGATCCCGATATATTCATTGAGCGAAAGCTGAAACCCCGGTCGGCTTCGCCCTTTGCTCACTCGTGCGCGCATCGGTCTCGGAATCGTTGCGCGTGTTCGCCTAACCGCAATCATGGGTGAGTACTATATGCAACCCCTCTATGACTTCTCGTCATGCTTCATAAAACGATACTAACTTCTCTCCAGCTCCCAAGAAGAAGGCTCAACAGCAGACTATGTCCCTTGGGGACTTTCTGGCTGACAGTATGTCCCGCCCCTCGCCTGCGCACCCCGCCACACAAGCGCTTGGCTTGTGATGCCCCTCGTTGACCCCATACTGACCTTGACTTGCAGGCTTTGGTGGAAGCTCATCTTGGGCTGATGAGGTTGAGGAAACCTCAACTCTCGGCACTCAGGCTCTTCCTCCTACCGACCGTTCCTCCTCTCGGTATACAAGCAACACCACCTCCAGCTGGCAGGACCGGGGTATGTGTGCATTCCATGGTGACCTGATCGTCTAAACTAACAACTCTAGGTTTCTCTGTCCGCGAAGCTGGCCCCCAAACACTCCCCGACAAGCCACCTTTCACTGCTCACTTGGGCAACCTGGCCTACGATGTCACCAACGATGTTGTTGCTGACTTCCTTTCCGACTGCGGTGTTGTCAATGTCCGCCTTATCGAGGACCGTGAGCTTCAGCGCCCTAAGGGCTTCGGTTATGTCGAATTTGAGACTCTTGATGGCCTAAAGAAAGCTCTTGCCCTCGATGGTGAATCTTTCGGAGGACGAATGATCAAGATCAAGGTCGCCGATCCTCGTAAGTTCCTTTGTCCCCCTGGAACCTGAATTTGTGCCTAACATCACTTAGCTCGTGGTGGTGATCCTGGTCGAGGAGACTCTATCCGTGAGATGGGAGCTTGGGACCGCAAGGGACCTCTGGCCGATGCCCCCTCAAGAGGTGGCGCTCGGGATTTCGGCGACCGTGAGCGTCGACCTCGTGATCCTGCATTTGAGAGCCGCCCTCAGCGCGAGTTCACTTGGGAACGACATGGACCTTTGGCTCCTCTCTCCCCTCAGGAGGGCTCTAGTTCCCGAGCCGGAAGCCGTCCCCGTGCTTCTCCCGATGCTATGGGTGAGCGTAGCGACTCTTTCCGAGGCAACCGCCGAGACTCCCCTGCTTGGGGTGAGGCTCGTGAGGGTGGCCCTCGTCCTGAGCGCACTGAGCGTCCTGATCGTCCTGAGCGAACTGCCACTGCTGCTGACAAGGACATGCAGTGGCGCGACCGAATGCGCCCCGCCGCCGCCGCCGCCCAAGCTGCTTCTCCTGATGGTAGCGCCCCCCCTTCGCCCGCCCTTTCTAACGCGGCGCCTACCCAAGGAGGCCGCCCTCGTCTGAACCTCGCCAAGCGAACTGTGTCCGAGGCTCCTGATGCTTCAGCATCTGGTGGCTCTGACGTCAAGGCTAGCCCCTTCGGCGCCGCTCGTCCTATCGATACCGCAGCCAGGGAGAAGGAGATTGAGGTCAAGCGACAGCAAGCTATCCAGGAGAAGAAGGAGGCCGATGAGAAGGCCAAGGAGGAACGAAAATTGGCGAAGGAAGCCGAGGCCAAGGCCGAGGCTGAAGCAAAGGCAAAGGCTGAAGCTGAGGCTGCTGAGGCTGAGGTCGAGGCTGCCAAGGCAAAGGAAGCTGCTGAAACAGCTCAAGCCAAGGAGACCCCCGAGACAACCGAGGAGGCAACAGAGCCCAAGGCTGAGGCTGCTGAGACAGCCAACGGTGAGCAGAAGGTGCCCATCCGAAACCGTGAGCCCCGAGAGCCTGCCCCCAAGTCAAGAGCCAACGAAGCTTCAAGCTGGCGCTCTGCTTCTAACGATCAGCGAGGCCCTCGTGGAGGTGGACCCCGAGGTGGTCGTGGCGGCCGTGGTGGTGGTGGCATCCGAGAAGCGAGGGTTGGACCTCTTCGATCCAACGGATCCGCTGCTCAACAACCTGCCTCCAACGATGCTGAGCCTACTACCCCCACAGTCGAAGATGATGGCTGGAGCACGGTGACCAGCAAGAAGGGCCGACAGGGACGTGCGATGGCACCTTAGAATGTGTACATATCGCCTCGTTTCTCTACGGTTTGACGACAGAAAGTGCTTGTCGTCGTGGGCTGCCTGGCTCATACCCAGAGTAGCCACTACACATTAGACATGACACTTTCTCTTCTGAATGAAACCCATCCCATACACAGTTGCAGGCGGGTTCCTCCAGTCATGAAAAAAGGCTGGCTCGAAGACGTGACGCAAACTTTTCTCGTTATCCTCGGCAATCTAGCGTTATAGGTTGCCTAGGGCATGGACTTTTTCTCCGCCTTGGTTTTACTGAACCACGGCATCCTGTTTTCCTCGTCTGACCGCCATACCTTGGACTCATGATCAGTCTCCATGTCCGCTTCACTCGTTTAAGGGGCAAGGGGGGCATTTTTTGAGCATTTGACCTTTGGCGTTTCGAGACAAAAGCTAAAAGAATGGCGGCGAATGGATGGATGAATGGACGGAAACGTGGCATGCATTTGAATGATCACAGCTCTCTTATCTCTTTATGTTTTCCTTATTTTTGATTTCCCCCCAAAAACGTCTCTCTGCCGCGTGTTGACGAATGAATGTATGCGGGCGAGACGGCCTGGCAAAAAAGTTGCTTGTTTCAACGAGCAGCAAAGCAGTTCGTTTTCCTTACTTAGACTTGGCAAACATGATGAGACGTCGACACATGAACTCGGACGTGTATGCTAGGCGGTTTATGGGATCAATGAAATGTGCTGTTGTTTATCTTAACGGCCTGGTCTTGTTGATGAAGTCTCGGTGTATGGTGATATTTGTTATGAAAAGAAATGATTCGGGTGAAGATGAGGTGTGTGGCCATAGACGAGTAATGAACACATGATATCCCCTCTCATGTTGATGCCATACCTACGCATCTATAGATCTAATGCTGTAGGCAACTTGAACTCACTTGCTCTCTCCATTCTCCTGTTTCCACAGCCTGAAGCCTTCAAGAACATTTCTCTTGACACCCTCACTCACAAACTGTAGTTTCCTTCCATCCTTGAACTCATTTTGCAATGCCTCCTCCTCCGTCACCCACGCAAATTCAACATGCTCATTCTCATCGATCTTGACTTCCTCGCAGCTCTCTACCTCAACCCAAATCGTCAACTTTCCCCACACCCCATCATCAGCACGGAAAACAAGCATGTCGTCCAGGACTTCCAAGTCCTTTTCCAACGGGTCGTCCGGTATCGGCTCTGTAGCGGGCGATAGCCCCACGACGGCTTTTACAGCGTTTGCGCGTAGGCCTGCTTCTTCCCAAAGTTCTCTCACGGCTGCAGCGATGAGGTCGTCGTCGGTTTCATCCACGCAGCCGCCGGGGACTTCCCATAGTAAAGGCCATGAGTCGTGAGCTGCGCGGCGGAGAAGAAGGATCTGGCCTTGCGGGTTGGTTACAAGGGCGCCCGCGATGAGGTGCTGAATTGGCGGGTGGGCGCTGCGGAAGACAGCTGGTGTAGAGAAGAAGGCGGAGAGCGAGGGGGGTTTGGTGTATGATAGTGCAGGAGAGGGCGAAGCTGGAGGCATGATGAAGGTATTGATGATGTTGTTTTGTTTCTTGGTAATTATGGTGAGTTTGGATATAAGGCTGGCGTAGGGAGTTTATATGCAATACAGTTGATGTACCTATGCAAAAGTTGATACCTGATTTAGGCTCCGAGTAGAGAGGGTGATTGGTCGAGTTGAAGTAGAAAGAAATACCGCGTGTAGGAACATCAGCCAATAGCCACTACCACTTACAAGTGATGTTTAAGACGATATACAACCACGGACGGAAAGAAGCTGCCTATAGACGTAAACTCGCAGTAGTTACCATATTGAGTTGGGTAAGTGATATGCCTATGAGGTCTTGCATGACTAAATAAATTTTGGCTTTCTGCTGACAGTTTTTTTCAAGGCATTCCGAGTCATCTTCCAGGCTACAGCATCAATAACGCTGCATGATTTGCATGTGCTTGACAATTAAGTCAGCTACGGTTGGTCTTTGCCAAATTTGTCATTCATGTGTATTGTATGAATTGTTCAGAGCCTAGCCAGTCCCTCTATCCGTATCTTTACACAGGAGGTATAATGCCCCAGTTGTATACTCTATGCATCAACGCCTCTCATCGAGAGTCCCCCCGTTGTCTTCTCAAACGCCCAAATTCAAACATGTATCAGTCAATCATACATCCATCCGCTTATTAAAAACGCACGCGTGCTAACCCGAATCCCCAAAAAAGCAAAAGAAACGAATCATCATCATCACCAAGCCATCTATGACATCTTGGCGCCCATCTCTTCCATTCCATACTCATCCCACTCATCATCGCCCCCGAGTTTTCTACCCACCCAGATACCAATGGCCGTCACGAGGCTGCTTACGAGGAACCACCCCTCGAACCAGCCATCTACAAAGGCAGGACTCAACGCTCCTCGCAGGACACTTCCTACAGCTGAGCCTAGGGCAGAAGGCAGTTGGCTGCGTAGGAGAAGCGAGGCTGAGATGACATAAGTCGCCGCAATCTGTCCAACGACCAGCGCCAGATTGGCCTGTGCTTGACGGAGCAGACCCGGTGTCCATTTGGCAAACAGGTGAAACGTTTGGACAACGCTGTTGGCGCTGGCGAGGAGGATAACACCGCTAAGGGCGAAGCTGATGAGGCGTGCCCATGCGAGCTGGTCAAGCTTGGGATCCCAGTGACGTGCAAGGATACTTAAAAAGCGGTTGATAGGGTCGGTGTTGGCGAAACTTGATGTAGGCGACGATGCTCGGCGAATGGTGGTAATTGTAGTTGCGCCAATACGGTACAGACAGTACAGGCTGAAAAGCTGCGAAGGGATGAGGAGAAGTCGTCCTAGGGATGTAGAGGCCCGGACGGTGGCTGCTCGGTGGCTTTTGAGTAGAGAAACTCCCGATGCTAAATTGGCCTCCATAGTCTCGAGACCGGCGATCTCAAGGCGCAGTGATCGCATCTCTGCTTCATCACCAGTCGGACCACGTAGAGAGCCCATGACTTTGCCAACGAGGCCACTGCCCTTGGCCGATGCTCCGTTCTGGGCTCCAGATATTTTTCGCTCGAGAAACTGCAGACGATGACGCTTAGTAAGAAGCATCTCATTTGCCGTATCCAGACCAGCTTGTTTCCTCGCAACATCAACCTCCGTAACAGGTCGCTTCCGACGGGCAGTAAGATCCATAAAAGCGTGCCACGGTGAAGAAACGGCAGCGAAACCGGACAGCAAGGCCATCAGTGAGATACCAACAACTCCAACACGCTCCAGACATCCGCGTGTCAGCATCTCAGACAGGCTTCCACTTCCAATATTTGTCTTGCGCATCGCGCCCTCGGGCACAGCACGGCCAACCGACCAAAAAGCAAACAGCCATCCTACGAACAAAGCAGCTTGTAGACCCCAAGCCACTCGAGGGAACTTTCCTTTGGCAGTCCTTTGGAAGCTCCATCCCGCACTCGTAACAACCGATCGACACTCGAGCCAAGGCACCAGTACGACCAGTAGAAACAGCAAACTTGGCACTGTTATCCTCAAAGCCAAATTCCTCGAGTCCGCGTTTACAACCTCGATAATTTCGTCCATAATCAGTGCTCCCAGGGTAGCAGCTAATCCCACAGTAAGACCAAACGTCCACGCTGCGCCGCGCCGTCGCCAGCTCTTGGCACCATGTTCAGCGTGAACTTGTCGCAAGCACGCAGGTGCATGTGTAGGCAGGACGTGATCTTCGCCGTCGCGAGACTCAGAATCGGCGCTTAATCGAGGGAAGACGTGGCGAACGACGAGAATCGATGTCGAAACGCAGATAAAGAGAAACGGAAGGGCGGCTATGGACGAGGCCAGTGTGACGGGTCTTGGACGTATTTCGCAGGCGTCTTCGCCGCAGCGTGTAAATGGCCACATTATAAGGAGTTATCTCGTTGTCGATATATTTATTTGGTATCGTCTTGGTTACTGACGTTGGCGCGGGGCCGGAGGGGTATTTGCTATGGTTGTCCCCTTTTTGTATATCGTATGCGTGCGTAACGTTGAAGGATTCTTATCTTAATCGGCGTTGGTGGCGCGGCGTAGCAAATCCTCCCTTGAGTTCGTATCGCAGGTCGTAGGAGAAGGCAATCGCCGAATAGAAAAACGTCGAATTGAGACACCTTCAACCCCTCGTAGCGCCTTTGCGACAACTCGTATCAAACAAGTCAGGCCAAACGACGTCACTTTAGGGGTCTTTTGCTGCCACTTTCCGTCTCTTGGCGGTTATAAACTAAATTTTGCAGATCCGCTGGGAACTCGTGTCGTTTTCAACTTTATCGCACTCGAAGGTAAACGTTGAGAATGGACTCGATGGTCGAAATTAGCCCCTTGGCTGGGTCTAGATTCTGGACTGAGAAATGGTGGCTTACGTCGTCGCACGTCGGTTCCCTGTAACGTGCTTGTGTCGCGCAGAAAGTAATGCTTGAATGCCTCAGGCAACAGTTCATGCCTGATTAAGGGTCCTCCTTGCGACAGTGTCATTGTCACAGACTTGTTTCTGGTATCACGGATTTCTAGTCAGGGTTGTCCTATAGGCCACTGAAGTTGCAGCTATCGAGCGAAATCAATTACGGTTTGAAGTATTTATAGAGCTCGACAAGCTTGAATCGTCTGAAGTTAGCCGGCACTATACGGATCGTCTATGACATGTATGATGTATCAAAAGACGTTTCGCATTACTACGTACGACCGTGCCCCAAGGTTTGATTCAATAAAGCATGTGCATACGCAACTCTGAACATGCTGCAGGGCGGAAATGTATAAAACTGGGCCATGATTTGCCATATACTCTTGGTTTATCCGAATAAAGTTATATACACAATTATATACAATTGAATATATAAACTGTTGTAATAGTTTATAAAACGGTATAAGCTACGTAAGACCGTATTCTATTAAAAGGGATATGAACATATCTCAATGAATTGAGTAGAGATTGATGGAATATTTATTATATATTCTATTCTCCTTTCTGTCGCTGTTTGTTGCTAATTTCTGTTTACCATTTATGCTTTCTGGGCTGACGGGGTATCATCATCATCCTCGAGTTCGTCGTCCATCTTCATCTTCAATGCTGCTGCTTCGCCAACTTCCATCTTATGGAGCTGTTCTATCTTCTGCTGATCCAGAGCTTGCTGCCCATTGACAACTTCAAATTCTCCAGAATCATCATCGTCGTCATCGTCGCTTTCAGTGCCTGCACTAGCATCATCCCCAACGACCCGCTGGTTCTCCGGATTTTCATGGATAGTGCTACTGCTTGCAAGGGTGGTAGTCCTGGCCTTCCCTAAGTTGTGGTTGAGGGGCTTGATCGTAGGGTCAAAGGATGCAGGGAGGCCCAGTGCACGTGCGACCTGGTGAGCTTCTTCGTCGGGAGAGTTGTGAACCTCGAGCTCGTAAGTGCTACTTGCCTCGCTGTCGGCCTCGTGCTTCCCAGCGGTGGCAGCCAGCATGCTCACGTATGTCTGTCGCGCAGAGTCGTTGGCCCGCTTGGCCTTCTTCTTAATGCGTTTTTCTGTAGGCCGAACCACGATCACGGGAACGGGTGAATATTGGAGGCAGTACTTAGAAAACGAGTTTCGCGTGTTGACCAAACCTTGTAGACCACCGAGGGTGCGTCCTCTAGTTCCCACAATCAGCATTGCTGGTTGGTACATTTGAATCTAAACATTTGTCAGTTTCGGGCTTTGGTAGACAATCAATTTATACTCGGACGTACCAGTACTTGGAAGGTCGTGTGCAACTTGCCAACGGCGTATTCAAGAACGATATTGATGGCCCTGTTATTGCCATTTCGGTCGAGTATACCCCGCATAACCGCCTGCGCATCATCTCGATACTGCTTATCCGTATAGCGCAGTTCCTTCTCGACCACACGCACACACACAACTTCGTCTCCGTCATCGACAAGTTCCTCAAGCAGCCACTGCAACGCATAATCGGAGTAGGCATGCTCGTCGACTCCGACCATAAAGCATCGCGACCTGCGCCTAGCTTGGTATCCCTTATGTCGAACATTGAGCGTGAACGAGATTGCGTTGTTCTTGGTCGGTTCGCCGGTTGGAACATTGTCAAACGCGACATGTTTCTGGAACCTATCAGGTGAAGCCTTGGTTAGCGTCGCCATCGTAATGGTAAAATGCCACAAAACAGAGTAAAAACGGCGAGTTTCAAAGATAAATGAAGAATGAGGTGAGTAGTGTTTGGAGAAGGAAAAGTGCCAATGACAATTGTCACCACGAGAATCGACAGCTCCGCGGGAATTTGAGGGCTGACAATTTGGCAAAAGTGGCTGAGGAAGAACGATGGCCTGACGATCCAGACCAAGCAAGTGACGAGGTGAGCCATCCCCACGTCTGCTGTAGGGTTTGTCGCAGACAGCGGGGTAACCGTAATTGAGAGTGGGAGCTCAGTGGTGGAGTCCAAGGTTTGTTGCGAGGAATGGGCCCGGCCACGCAAATCAGTTCCACCCGAAGCCAGGGCAAGGATGGATCGTTTCAATGCGTTGTCTTGGTCCCCTAATCATTTTGCAGTTTGTAGTTGATGTTCATGGCAGTCCTGGTCCTGGTCGTGGTAGCCGCTGTTATTCCCATCCGCCCTGGTTGAATTGTCGATCATGGATGATATAAGTTATGGTTGTGTCCACGCGACATGTTGCTTGGCATGGCGTCACCTAAATTTCCAACCAGGCCGTTTTGGTTCCGATTTGAACAACGCTTAGAGTAGGCGCAGTGCGCATGGTACTTGTAGGCAAACATACAATAACAAGAAAACAAAAAGATATAGCGTACCTTGGGTGAGCAGGAGAACTTGCACGTATGCGAGTACCACTCATTTGCTGTGGATTTCCTTGTGGCAATTGGGGATTCGTCATGCGACGAAAGGAAACAGATCCGGTGGATGACTTCCTCTGAATCATACATTCTTGTGCTGATTGTTGATTTTGGTTGCTCTCACGGCTTGAGCTTCGGTCTGTTCGTGGATCAGGTGCGAAGGAGATGCTTGACTTGCGGGCAGATGAATCATCACCGTCGCTGGCCCTCACACTAGTATTGGATCCATCTACTGTGTTTGAGTCTGGGAAGTAGTCGGGCTTTACTTTATCTGGAGTTGAGTCCTTTGGCGGGTAAATCGTTCCAGGAGAGATGTCGGAGTCGTTTCGGTTCAGTGGAGCTGGTGAAAGAGCAGAGGTCGTGGCCATGTCGCTGAGGATACAGCGTCTCAGGGGACGCAATCTAGTGATAAGAAGTGTTCGTCTTGTAGTGCAAAATCGGTCGATGCTTTCGAATGCGATGGTGTATGTCCTGAACGAATGGGTATCAAGGTTGAACGATAGTCAAGGATATCGATGCTGGCTGGATAGTAAAGCCGGACGAATATGAATGAGTTGAAGACGGGATTGCTCGCGAGATACTTTCTAGTTGATGTAGAAAGAAAGAGAACTTGGGATTGTATAGAGTTGAGCTTCGATCAAGTGCCTATACCTTCCTTCCTATGCCGTAGGTGCCAAGATGCAACTGCTGCCAAGACGGAGAGGCTAAGCACTTGGAGGTAAGCTTGTCTTGGCTTGGATTAGGAAATGCAACACCGAATCACAGCCCGAACGGGACCGGTGAATAGGTAGGCAGGGACTTGGGCCTAGGGACTAATGCTTGTGACGTTGAATGACGCGGGTCCAAGGTGAAGAAGAAGCGAGCTTTCAATATCGCTGCGGGCGTAAGTAGTAGTAGATACACTGAGCTCTAGGCAGAGGTCGATCTGATTTTGCGGGGACTGCGGTCGAGAAATGATGCGAACGGGTGGAGATGTTTCTCGGTTGGTTTCTTAATGAACCGAGCTTGGCAAACCGAAGGAAACAAAGGCGCGTTTGTCGTACTAATGGCGGAGGTGAAATGGACGCTGGTGGTGGCTATGGTGTTGTAGTCTGAACCTTTCCAAGGGAGAGCAGAGTGGAGTTGATAGCAGCAGAAGAATACGAAGGCTGGATAGTGATAGGCGGTCGACACGATATATAAGCAAGTAACGCACAGACAATGTATATTACTTCGAATACAGTGAACCGTTTCTTAGTCTTGTACGAGGTTTTGCGTCAAAGGAAGACGGTTTGTGCGTTTACGTTTGCAATCAACCCTTTCGGTTGGTAGTGGAGGTGAATGGGGTGAAGCCACAATTAGGACCCTAGGTCAGCCCAGAAACAATAAGATTTTAAGGTTATTGGCATGGAGGCAACCCAAACCAACGTTGAAAGATCTGAGTATCAAGAGTTGGGATGAAAAGACAAGGACAGATAGCTAGAAGAGGAGAAGGGATCTAGTTGTCACTACTCCTCACTAGCAGAGAGAGGAGATAGGTAGGTGTTATGATAATTAGATAGCCTGATCTTTTGGCCACATTCACAAACGAGGGCCACAACGTGACGAAGCCAAAGAGAAGACGGACCGGCCCTTGGTCCACGTCAGGACTGGCCGGGTGTAGGCCCGAAAAGGTAGGGGAGGGTGAAATTAAACTGGGCAGCAATGGCAACAGATGTTCAGCAGCCGAGATTTAAACTATGATATGTTACAGAATATGTGCGTGCTCGTCCGTGAATGGGTGTGAAACGAACGAGTAAGGGTCGAAAGAGTCAGCCTGGGGACGGATAGACCTACATGAGCGGTGGAATCAAGATTTAACCATAGTCAAAGTGCAAAAATGTACCGCTGACGTCGGTGTATCTAAAGCCAAAAAAAGCAAACCGTTGCAGTGCCGCTCGTCAGGGATTGGGCTGTGCGAGTGTGACAACTGCAGCCAAGACACAGGTCGATTTGCATGCGAGAAAGCATGTATTGGCCGTGCTGAACGATTGGCTGAATAAGGATAAACTACGAACAGGGTCTCTATCATGGTTGATCAACTTGATACTGTAACTTATGTAGGTGTTATCTTGCAACACCATCAACTACCCCAGTACTCTGTAGACGAGGGGACGAAGAGGCCTCGCGTTTTATTATTCAGAGTAGAATAGGAAATGAGCAACACGCGAGCAGCCCACTCACACACACACAACAGTGAGGGACAGCGGACACGACCCTAATTCCCAAGCAAGCAAGACCATTATGACCCCTGGAGGGTTTTTTGGGTTTTTGATCACATGGAAACTCTTTCTCTCGAGTTCCTTGAGAACGAGTAGGACTGCTTACCGGGTTTTAAATATCCACTTAATAAGGGGGCGTTTAGTTCGGCCGCCTTCCCCTCACTAATGCCACCTTGTTTTTGGGCATCCAAAAACGCACAATGATTTTCCTGTAATAAACGTGAGGTGAAGTGTATTTCGAGATGCAACACAAGAGTAATATCCATGTCTTGGCCCCGGCAACAATGTCCCGAGTGTGAGTCTTACCCGGGAGACCGCCAAGAGTACAGCGTATTACGATACAAATATCACAATACAGTCAGTACGCACCACTGCATGTACACTAGCGGCGTCGGGAACCAGCTGCTTGGGCACGATTCATCATTCAACCGCTCGCCCCGGGGCCGGGCGGAGTCAAACGCTCGGGGCTTCAGTGGAGAAAGTCCTCGCTATTGGCGGGGCCCGGCTCAGAACAGAGCCTCTAGCTCTGCTCTAGCTCTCCATAGCTTCTGCCATGTGTCTAGACACCATACCTCGTTTACGAAGAGCCGAATCACTCTTCACAGCTAAAACTAAACCAGATGGTCGATAGACTCCATGACTAGAGTCTGGAGACAGTCGTTATGCAGGGAACCACAAGCGAGAAACATCTAGCCTGTCACTCCTCTCGTTGTTTCGTACAACTCTTCACCGCATCGTTTTGTCGCACCAGATCAAATAATTGAGCCACCAACAAACACATAGCGTATCGACCAGTCAGCCTTCTTATCTAGACCACATGAGTTCTCCCTGCTTCTTCGGCTGTTTGGTAAACCACCAGTTCTGTATTTCTTGGTCTATTTCTTCCATCCATCCGGGTCTTGCTACCTTGTGGTGAGCTTCAAGCTAAAAAAAAGTCTAACTCGAGTATATTTCGTACGGATGGCGGTCAGAATGTATCGTCTCACCAGATAACTTGATGTCTTCTCTTTCCCCTTCTAGAGTCCAAGCCAACATATTAAGCCCAACTAGGTTATAGGAAACACAACAGTGAGTCTACTGGGTGATACATAGTTGCTTGGTAACACACAAATATTAAAAAAGACTTGGCTAGATCGATGACCTGTCTACCCTTGTACAGCATGAGGATACCATGCAAGCACTGCTTCCTGTCTTCTTTCATTAAAAAGCTGCATCGATGGTATTCAACAAGGTAGGAAATAAATACCTTTCAGTTACTTAAAGGCAAAAAGTGTTACAAAGTAGTCTCCTGAGTCCTTGTGTGTGAATTAAGACAAGATTAAGGCTCTTAGCATTAGATCTAGCACTAACACTACCTCGTATAGAAGCAATATGTTATTCCTTATACCCTTGTGGGTTTCATCCATAATTGCTAACATTTACCTTTTACTATTTACTGTACTTAACTAAGACAAATAGTGAATAGTCATACCTTCAGACATATACTACTAAGGTATATATAACCTCTAATTAATCTGCCTCTTTTTAATACCTAATATATTATTATTTAGATTATTACTTACAATACTTAATATATATAATTTGATATAAGAGTTATGACTAATGTGGTAGGTAACCTTATTGAATTTAAGATACTGTTGCTTTTCGGTCTATATAGAGACCCCTATTGTTAATACTTCTGTGGATTTTATTAAGACAGCTGGATCTCCTATTTAAATGTGCTACCAGACTTCATATAAATAATCTCATATAATATATCCTAAAACCCTATTTTGACGATACTTTTAATATTATTTTATATATCTCTATTATCATGTATATTTCCCGGATCCATGAACCATTTATAGATTATACGGTTAGATTGTTATCAACTTTAAAAGTTTGTTGAGTATTCTTTCAATTATCAGTAGCTGTAGCCTCGCGGCATGATCCAATGACTTATCTGATAGAACCTACACTCTTCTGGAATGTTTTGACCAGCTATTGTGTAAGTACTCTCAAATCTCGTGAGCTTTACACAAGGGTACTAGTAGTATGGCTACTACACCGATGGAGTTAAACCCGTACACATGCAAGATATCACGACCTGTTTTAAAGCAAGCATGTAAACTTATTCTATGGGATTTTAAAGACCAGAATAGCTAGTTGGAGATGGATGTCAGCCAAGAATCTGGGAAATATAGCTTTCCAAAGGCACTATGTTGCCCTTAAGAAAGTTTCAGTAGTTCTGACGAATGTCTACGCCCAACACTACAAGATCCCAACATAGTTTACCTTTCTTTCAATGCCAGATCACGTCAAATCTCTTTAAACTGGGGCGCCTATAAAAAGAATACACCTATTGAGATAATGATAACATACCGTTTCGCTTCCCGACTAACGACAATATGATTCTTGGTGTAATATTAACAAAAAGCTAATAACAAGTAACCATTACCAATATTTAGCAAACATTATATGATGTATCTTCGATCTATCTCTAGCTCAATAGTTGCGCTTTGGCTTATCTACTTTGCTTGACCCTCTAACCTGGCCTCAAGCGACAAAGGAGTGACAATAAGCACAATCCTTATTTTCAAGGGAAGAGTTTTGCAACCGTTATTCAGCATCTCAATAATCCTCAGGTCGAAATTATCTAAATACGCTTACCCAGTAAGGCGTTCATCCGGGTAGTATTATAAACGGCTTCAGAAGTCGTTGTTTATATCTAGGACACCTCGCAAAATCCACATACTGCAGGTGTAGGTCGGACCAAGTAGAGAATTCTTGGGGAGTCCCAGATATGCTGGCCACGTAGAGAAATTGCTTGCAAACTGCCTATTCAAAACTTGAGATTTATGAATGGCTTAGACAAATATTGACTTGGTTTTCTCTTTGTAAAGCTTACATATTCAAGCTAACAAAAAGTTCATGATGGCATGACTCGTCTGGCAATGGATAACCTATGTAGGATCATGATTTTGATTAAACGACTTTTGATTCCTTTTATTCTTCGTTGCCTTTTTCACAGGCCTTCGTACCTCTAGGAGGAAGTCCCATATCTCCGCCGCACATACAGCCAAACCTGAGAAATTCTCAGGCTCTTGCACGAGCATCACCAACTCCGAGACGCCTTTGCCATGCCATGCATCCTATCAAGTCGGCCTGCATAACCCCAGGTATTCTCCTGACCCTGGGCCATTGTTGGAGTATTCAGCCTCACCTCAGCGCTAATATGTGCTGTCGGGCTTGAATCGAAGACCCCATGAAATTGTGAGAAAAGTGACTAGCCAATTCTCTCTACGACACCTCAGTTGTAGGTGCGGGACAGGTTGCGGAGATACCAGTCCACAAGCTTTCGGCCGACCTTAGCCTCCGAAATGTGAATGAGATCCTGGTGAATGGTTAGCATTGTGTTCATACTGCTGTAGATTGTTCAACTTACGCCTTGGAGAGCATAGTCAAGGTCGCTGACGTTGACAAGCTCACCCTCAAGCAGTCCCTGATCCTGCCATCGAAGCTGCTTGGTGCGCTGCTTGGTCACCAGGAGCCATGATCGGAGCTCCTCGGGCTTCACCTCGAGGAAACCAGAAAGCTTGTTGAGGTCCATGGTGGTGTAAAGGCGGAGGTAGGACTTGATTGTGGGGCTCCACATGTTGGTCTTGACCTCGTCCATGAAGACAGCGAGGTGGTGCTCGACGGGGTCGATGTTGGCCTCGGGGTTCTCAAAGTCGGGGACAACAGGTGAGATAAACTTGGGGCACGCTGTGCGGAAGAGCTCCTCGAAGATAGGGAGGGACTCGGGGCCACCGCGCTGGAGCTTGAGAAGCTGGTCACCGTACTTCTCACGGAGAGCACTGTGGATGGTGTCGTCCAGACGGGTAGGCTGGAAAGCGACACAGATGGCGATCAGAGCGTACATCTGCTCGTTCTTCTTGGTGATAGAGTCGTACTGGGCGCTCTTCTGGAAGTTCTTGGTCCTCGACACGTAGATGAGGATGTGGCTGAACATGCGGATGGCATCGGCGTAGCGGTGCTGCATCATGTAGGAGAAACCCACGTAGTAGTAGGTGGTGAAGTGAGCAGCCATGACACGGGCGAACATGGCCTTCTTGTTGAGCTCGATATCATCAAGGGTCTTGAGAGCCAGGCTGAAATCTCCCAGCAGACAGTGGACTCGGAGGAGACCAATGATGGAGAAGTAACCCAACATCTTGTAAAGGTTCTTGGAACCGTAATCGCCGGCAACAGCCACGGGATCCTCGTTACGCTTCATGGCTCCAAGCTGCTCGGTGATCTGGGATCGCTGGATAAGGGAGTACAGGACGTTCAGGACACTGTAGCATCCCCATGTGTTGGGGTTCTCGCGGAGAGCCTGACGCTCCTCCTCGTTGGTTGTTTGGCGGGCAATTCGCATACGGTACGAGGAGAAAGTGTTGAACTGGTAAATGAACTCATCGATAACATCCCAAGCCCAGTAGTACTACAATATATTTGATTAGCCAACAGCCAACCCGGCAGACGATTTATTTGGGGAGACCAACAGAAGGGGGTTCGAGATCCACAGGGCCCTCGGAGTTAAGGATGAAGTGAAACAAGCTGCAGTAGGCATCGTAGCTCTGGAACTTGGCCTCGAGAGGCGCCTGGAAGTCGAGGGGCTGAGCGGCCTGAACAAGTCGGGCCTGGATGTCGTCGGTCTGCTGGGTGAGGTTCAAAGAAGTGGTGCGGCTGAGATCATCACCATCCTCATACTGAACTTGCTCCTTGTACTCGGCCACCAGAGCCTCCTCTTCGACGTCGCTGTCGTCATCGATGGCGCGGGCCGGAGCCACGCCGTTTTGGTAAGTAGCCATCGTTTCGAGTGCCGTAGATTTCGAGTCGCGCGTCGTCTCGCTCGTCTCGTCTCGTCGTCGCGGTAAGAGGGGGATAAATTTTAGCAAATGCGATTTTTTTAGTGTAGGGCTTCCGTTTGGCGGCGGGCACAACATACGCGGGGTCGATGATTAGTCATGCATATTTAGTGGGGGTGTTTCGATTTCTTAGAATTCAGCCTCTCAAGGTACAGTGATTCTTGCTAGGCAGAAAAGGAATGGGTTCTGGAATTTCTTGGGATTCTTTTTTTTTTCAAGTATGTATGAGTCATTGTTAGTCGATTTGCATATATCCTGAGGATGAAATGCATGATGGAGATATAATTTGCTGACCATCTCGTGCAGTTAAGATTAGATTAGTCACATAAAGAGAGAGACACGATGCGCCTGAGCAAACTGTCTTTCACGCAACTTCAAAATTTAATCTCGACCGTTTTTTTCTTAAGAGAAGTTAGAAAAGAAAACTCTAGCCTTGTTTTATAGCGGGCAATTCTGCTTCCTACCTATATCTAAGCCCTTTTTCTGATCTACTTCCATCTTCTCAACCCCCACCATCACTATCGCCTACCTACCCTACTATCCAAATCACTGTCGTCATAATGCCTGTCGTCACTCCAGACAAGCTGGCAAGTCTGCAAAGACAGTCCAACGATATTCGAAATGTGAGTACAAACTATTATATCTCGAATTCTTCGGTCTAATCTTTTTGTAGATTTGCATTTTGGCTCACGTTGATCATGGCAAAACCTCACTTACTGATGCTCTACTTGCCACAAATGGCATCATCTCACCAAAGCTGGCTGGAAAGATCCGCTATCTTGACTCCAGACCTGATGAGCAGACCCGAGGAATCACAATGGAGTCTTCTGCCATCTCACTTTACTTCGCCATGCGCCGGAAAGCAGCCGCCGATGCTGAGCCTGAGGACAAGGAGTATCTTATCAACCTGATCGATTCACCTGGACATATCGATTTCAGTTCAGAGGTCTCAACGGCCTCAAGATTGTGTGACGGCGCTGTTGTTCTTGTTGATGCCGTTGAGGGAGTCTGCAGTCAAACAGTCACCGTGCTTCGCCAGACATGGACTGAGAAGCTAAAGCCCTTACTCGTCATCAACAAGATAGATCGACTCGTTACTGAACTTAAGATGACCCCCGGAGAAGCATATATCCACTTGAATAAGCTGCTAGAGCAGGTGAACGCCGTGCTAGGAAGCTTCTTCCAGGGTGAGCGTATGGAGGAGGATCTCAACTGGAGAGAAAGAATGGAAGAGCGAGTAAACGCAGCCACAGCAGCCAAGGAATCAGCAATTGCCGATCAAGTCAGCGATACTGGAGAGGTTACGTTCGAAGAAAAGGACGACGAAGACATTTATTTTGCACCCGAGAAGAACAACGTCATTTTCAGCAGTGCCATTGACGGATGGGCTTTTACTTGCAGACAATTTGCCGCCATGTATGAGAAGAAGCTCGGCATCAAGCGTGGAATCATGGAAAAGGTTCTATGGGGAAACTTTTACCTGGACCCGAAGACGAAGAAGATTTTGGGCCCCAAGCATCTGAAGGGGAGGAACCTGAAGCCTCTGTTTGTACAATTGGTTCTCGAGCCCGTGTGGACAGTTTACCAAGCGACAGTAGGTGGCGACAACGGCCAGGGTGATCGAGAGCTGCTGGACAAAGTCACAAAGTCCCTTAATATCAAGATCACCCCCCACATGCTCAAGTCCCGCGATCAGAAGCTTCTCATGACGACCGTCTTCGCCAGCTGGCTCCCCTTGTCGACAGCACTACTGGTTTCTGTCATTGAATCCCTACCATCCCCTCCAACTGCTCAAGCTGCACGTCTTCCTGAAATGATCCAAGAGTCTCCAGGATCTGAGCACATTGACCAGACCATCAAAGACTCCATGGTTTCATTCAAGCATGAAAAGTCTGACCCTGTGGTTGCCTATGTCAGTAAGATGGTTTCTATTCCCGAAAGCGAGCTTCCTGAGAATAAGCGACGCACCGGAACTCAGATGAGTGGCGAAGAGGCTCGGGAGCTCGCACGTAAGAAGAGAGCTGAAGCAGCTAGAGCTCTGGCCGAAGCTGGTGAAAACAACGTTGACAACATGGTGACATCAATGGATGCCATCAACCTCGACGATTACGCCCCTGCATTGGAGGAGAAGAAGGTTGATCCTGAGCATCTTATTGGCTTCGCTCGTATTTACTCTGGAACTCTGTCTGTTGGCGATAAGCTCTATGTAATTCCTCCTAAATGGTCACCTGCTGAGCCAAACGCTGCTCCTGGGCCTCAGGAGGTTACAGTTACTGCGCTTTACATGCTCATGGGACGAAACCTGGAGGCTCTTGATTCAGTTCCCGCTGGTTGTGTCTTTGGTATTGGTGGTCTTGAGGGTAAGATTCTCAAGTCTGGCACTTTGTGCAGTCGTCGCGAAGGCGCTGTCAACCTTGCAGGTGTCACTATGCTGGGCAAACCCATTGTTCGTGTCGCGCTGGAACCAGTGAACCCTGCCGATCTCGACAAGATGATTCATGGTCTCAAGCTCCTCGTACAGAGTGATCCTTGTGCAGAGTATGAGCTTCTCTCCAGCGGCGAACATGTCTTGTTGACTGCTGGTGAATTGCATCTCGAACGATGCTTGACTGATTTACAGGAGCGATTTGCTCTTTGCGAGATTCAGCCCGGTGCTCCTATTGTTCCCTACCGGGAGACAATCGTTAGAGCCGAAGAGATGCGACCTCCCGTGAACAAGGAGCTGGGCCGTGGTGCTGTTGTTGCCACCACAAGCTCAAAGCAAGTTACTATCTCGCTCCGGGTCCTACCAATCCCTGAGAATGTGACCGATTTTCTCCTGAAGAATGGAGACGCCGTCAAGCGAGTCTACGATCGTAAGGCCGGAACCGAAGGAGAGGAAGATGAGATTACCGCCGAAGCGGATATCGCAGCTGGAAACACTTTGTCCGTGGAGGACTTCAAAAAGCAACTTAAGGAGAAGCTTGAGATTGGCAAGGGCAGGGATGCCTGGAAAGACTCTATTGATAAGATTGTGGCATTTGGACCTCGGCGAACTGGGCCCAACTTGCTTATCGATGCTACTGCAGATGGTATTTTTTCCAAGGCTTTTGCCACCGAGAAGGTGGTCGAGACTGCTCCCCGCGCAGATGAGTCTCTTCACCCTAGCCATCTAACAGACAAGATCTCCTACGCCTTCCAACTTGCCTCGGCTCAGGGCCCCCTTTGCCATGAGCCGCTCCAAGGTGTTGCTGTCTTTGTCGAGGACGTCAACCTGAACGTTGCCGAAGACGACGCCCCAGTTCGAGATACACTGGGCCGTCTGACTGGTGAGATCATCAGGACATTTCAATCTTCTCTCCGTGCAGGCTTTATGGACTGGTCTCCTCGTCTCATGCTCGCTATGTACAGTGTCGAGATCCAAGCATCTACAGAAGTCCTCGGGCGTGTGTATGATGTCTTGACCCGCCGTCGGGGCCGGGTCAATGCAGAGCTCATGAAAGAAGGTACACCATTTTTCACAATTCAAGCCCTGGTCCCTGTGGCCGAGAGTTTCGGATTTGCAGATGAGATGCGTAAGCGTACCAGTGGCGCTGCTCAGCCGCAGCTCATCTTTGCAGGCTTTGAGATCCTTGATGAAGATCCTTTCTGGGTACCTTTCACGGAAGACGATCTCGAGGATCTTGGTGAGCTGGCCGACAAGGAGAATGTGGCCAAGCGATATATGGACGGTGTAAGGAGGAAGAAGGGACTGCTTGTTGAGGGAAGGAATGTTGCCACAGATGCCGAGAAGCAAAAGACACTGAAGAGGTAGATGAGTATAGATGGACGAATCAGAAAGAATAAAACATGCATGTTACGACACAGATAGATATTGACCAGGACGGTATATGTGTATGCAATTGTCAGTTGCAGAAGTGGCAATGCAACATAACATGAGATCTGATGATGCATACATCCAACATTAGTCCAGGCACGAACCATCATGTTCAATTCTTGAAGAAATCACTAGACTAGCTAGACCGATTTCAGCTTGTCCTTCGTGTTCATAGCACCTTGCATATAGTGACCTTGATAGACCTGGCAGATCGAGACATCCACCTGGACTCCTCTCTATCCTCATTGAGATTCTCGTAATGTACTCGAATGGCGCAAAGACTCCCTACTCAGAAATCCTTGAAAACTCTTTTGGCGGCCGAACGAGCTGTAGCTTCCAAGGTTGTGTCATGCAAGTTCCAGAAAGGCTTCAACCACGCAGTCATAGAAGACCCGATCCGTTGATGCCTCACACTCTCCCTACAGAGCAAGACATAAGACAGTCGTCCATTGTGAGCACACGTTGTACACGTTTTGTAGTGTCTCACCACCAGGTCGGGATCTTACTTCCCTCACATGAAATTCGCCGGTGGCTAAGCTGAGCCCTCTTTTCTCTCTCATGCACATCGTCGATTTATGACGAGATTCTTATGCACAGCACCTGGAGCTGAGGTCTCTCTCCCTCGTGTTCCAGGTCGGATCTAGAGGCGTTTGACCAGTCAACTGCGCGAAGAGAGACTATCATATTTCGGCCCCTGGACTGTCTCAAATCTACTCCCACACACTCGGCACTTGCTCCACGCTTTTCGGCAGCTAACGAGAAGCCGCTCATCCCCGGTGGATTTCTGGAGCTTTTTGTTGCTTTTTGTTGCTTTTTGTTGCTTTTTGTTGCTTTTTGCCTGTCTTTGCCCCTGCCACGAAACACGACGGCCCGTGAGGCTTTTCCCTGTTGGGATGAGATGCATATGAGCGATCCTTCTGGGCGACCGAGTTTTGCTTTTCTGGAGAAGAAAAAAAAACAGGTACGGACCTGAAAGGTTTTTTTCTTTCTATTCGTTTCTCTTCCGGTGGGCGAAGTGAGGGAGAGCAGAGCTCCAGCTGGAGGTTGGCTTTAGAAACATGGAGCTCTTTTGGTTGCAGATCTGGAGATGGGAGCCCTAAAAAGAAGAAAAGAAGACTACGACTAGATCTGTCTCGTACGGATACGCACAAGTTCAATGCGGGTTCAAGGAGCTCGTATTACAGTTCATTTGTCATATATCGCCAACTTCCCGTCCCGAGGGACCGTTTCTAGCTCTTGTGCTTCACATATTGGTCGTCGTACATAGCATGTACAGATAAACTGCAGTTTCATCATGGGATCCCCGACATCTCTAGAAGATCACGCTTCCACAATGCAGAGTCTAAATGTCTTCAACATTGAGGCCTTCTCATTGCTTGGAATCGCCGTCTTGGTCACGGTTTTGCGGTGTTACGTTCGGATCAGTACTGTCGGTTGCAGGAACCTCTGGGCAGATGACTATCTTGTCATTCTAGCTGTTGTAAGTCTTAGAAAGCACGTTCCACAAGAAGCACGCTGACAGTATTAGGGTATATATGCTATAGAAACAGGTCTGGCATATTCTGTCGGAAATATCGCATACGGGTTGGCGAATAACTCTATCACGGACGAACGACGGGCTTCTCTACAGCCAGGCGATAGGGAGTACCAAACTCGGTAGGCTATAACTGGATACAGTTCTTTGTTTTAGTACTAACAAGTGCAGTGTACTCGGCTCCAAGATTCAACTCGCTTTATGGGCAACTTACTCCTCCCTCCTCTGGGTCCTCAAAGCAGCCATGTGTACATTCTACTACCGGTTAACAAAAGACCTCCAAGGATACCGAACCCGAATCACGATTGGCTTTGCTTTAATCATCGCCTCTTTTGTTGTTGTACAGATGAATCTGCTGCTGAGCTGTCGTCCTTTCAACCACTGGTGGCAAATATATCCAGACCCTGGAACGCATTGCCATGCTGCCATCTCGCCTGGCTTGATATGGACATGCCTTTCCTTCAACCTGATCACAGACCTTTACCTAATTATGATACCCATGCCAATGCTTTGGAAGGCTGCTATGCCCTGGCCCCAGAAGGTCGGCCTCATCACACTCTTCAGCTGTGGATTGTTCGTTACCATTGCTGCTATCCTTCGTGTAGTCCATCTTGTAGCTGTAAGTTTCCTCAACCACCAGCCATGCAATACACATCTAACAGTAGTAAGAACCCCATCAATGGCGCCCAGCTTGCTGCCTCTTGGGCAGTTCGCGAGACTTTTGTCGCGATAATGACGACAAACATTCCCATGTTGTTCCCAACCTTCAAGAAATGGGCAGTTCCCATCGTTGAAAGAGCCAGCACATCTTTCAGCCCTTGGAGCTCTCCTCAAGGCACCCTCACAGACTCCAGGTTCTCTGGGGCGTTCTCTATGGATGCTTGGAGACGAAAGCACCGATCAACATCTCGTATCCTATCCATGGGCCTCATGTCCCCCACCCGAGATGGCCAAGAACGCAACACTGATAGCGTTGGTCTCTCTTTTATCATGCTTGACCCCGCTGTCAAGAAGCCTGAAGCTTCTAAACCACCCCATAAGACCTCCGCTGTCCACTTCTCCGACATTGAAACGTCAGCCCAGCCTGAAAGAAACCATGCAAATGGTCGACTGAGTACTAGAAGCGACACATCCATGATTTCTTGGTCTGAAACATTGATCAACTCACCTCAATCCGATGGAACCGAACATCTCCTCGGACGTGTCCACCACGACGGATACAGCAAAAATGTCTAATGCCTTTGTCCACGAACATCAATAATGCCTTTGTCCTCAACGACTTTACGACAAAGATGATCACGCTTTGTACTGAGCTTACACGATTATGATTTTACGGTGATAAAAATAGATAAAAAGTTTTTTCATAGATTTGGATTTGGGTTGGTACGGGGCTTTCCTGGGTTCCATTATTAGGAGTTACGTTGAACTTCATGCATGGGGGGTATTGAGAGTGTATTTTATCGCAGATTTTATGATTCATGACTTTAGTCATTTGTATTGGGTAGAGATATTTATACACTGTATTTACTGGACTAGTAACATGGCTCCAAATTATTACAGTAGGTCACTGACGAGAAGTTGTTACAAAGTCACAGCATTTACTTGAAGACACACCAATTACCGATATGATGCTCCTTTGTTACCTCGAAGCCTTGAAGACCTTGATCCCAAGAATTTACAAATATCTTTCTTGACGTGGTTAAGATAATAAAATACTTTACAATGCAATCGTCGTCTTTGTCTATACTCAAGTAAATCTTTTCAACTAAGATAGAGATATCTTTGATGACGGAACACTGTTTCGATGTTCGCTGATGTCAAAGACTACTGCATCAGAGAATCACCAGGCCCATACTTGAAGACTTGGTACATAAGGGCCATGGAATACTACAACATCGAATATACTTCAAGTCATTTCAAACACAAACAGCTCTAATACACTAATAACAATGGTTACTACGCGTTCCAAAACCAAGACTACAGCAGCTACTACAGTTGCTCAAAAGTCACGAACCACACCCACCCAACCAAAGCGTCTTTCACAGGCTAAAACACCTGGTGCACCCTCGAAGAGAAAGCGAACCAAAGCACATGATGACAGTCCGATTCCATGCAAGATCATAAAGACAGAACACTCATCGCCTCAAGCCCCCGACTGGTTACCGGACTTCATCGATGAGGAGGCTGATGAGAACCCTTTCCCTCAATCGCCTACCGGATCAGGCTACGAGGGCGATGAAGAGGCTTCAACCATCGAGGAAGAATATGAGGAAGAGCTTGACTTTGGCATCAAATCTTTCGGCCAGGATACTTTTGCCAAGGATTGGTCAGAGGCTGAAGCCGAGAAGGATCTCGAGTACTTCCAGGCCTATCCTCATGACCGAGACGCAACTCTGTGTGTTGACCACTTTCTCGAGCTTGCAGAGTCCTGGTACTTCCGACGCAAGCCCCTGGTCAGCGAACAACTACGCGCTCGTCTGAAAGGACACATGTCTTCCAAACCTGACTTTTCAGGCTTTGCTCTTCCCATTGACGAAAACACGTGGACTATCAAGACCCTAGAATCATTCATGGACGAGTTGCGCAAGAAGATCGAAGACGCTAGTAGTCGGATGCATAAAGAGAAGATGCGAGTCGTTGAGCTCACCCTCTCATACCCTCTTTGTGAACTCGGAAACAGAGAGAACCCGATGAAGTGTGCAAGATGCCCCAGGCGGTCTATCGAAAACTCTTCGGACGACACTACGCACAGGGCTCTTCCACATTGCCGTCAAGGGCGGCTATGGGAGCACGAACCAATCGTTTCTTTCGATCTTAAAGACCGCCTGATAAAAAAGCTTCTCAACTGCGGTCACGAGTCACCTACTTTGATTCTCGGGGGCGACTCGGAGAACTATGTCGAGTGCAGCGATTGCTTTTCCACCCAAAGAGATTGTGGAATTTCCTTTCTCCGGCCATGGAATTCTGTAATCAAGATAGCAGGTACCAGCCTTCCAGTGGCGATTACACCAGCCAGCATGAGCATGAACAGTCGACTCGGCCATGTCGATGTTGGTGGTTTACATATCGCTGTGGACGCCTGCGCAGGAGTTCATTTGATCAAGTTTCGGTAAGTTCAGGTCCAGATTCTTTCACGATCCAGTGTAACTAATCAAACTTTTAGGTCGACTCTATTTTCATATTTCCATGAAAGAGAAGGATTTGATTTCCACCTGGAGGATGACGTTCAAGTGGCCTCATCCTATCAGTCGGAGGGCAATGCATATTCTCGTGATACTACCATGTTGAATACTGTATACCGGATGGAGAGGATTTTCGATACAAATGACTGTACCGATCATTTTTAATATTGTTCTTGCGAATAACACATGAACAATGTAGATCAGATAACAATCATGAGTTCTCGTTTTCCTCCAAACAAAGAAGTTGAGTCTCGCGGAGGGCACGTGATTCCATTGAGACTAGGTGATTAATCTTCCAACAGAAGAAAGAAATTAGAAGTAGAATACCTACAGAGGAAAGACATGAACGTTCATAACCAGCCAGCTAGCGCCCATCCAACTGTTGTACAAAAGATTCCTCATGTGATCCAATCCAGGGTAAGCTCCCTAGGCTCCTTCCAGGCATCCATCTGCGGCTGAAAGGGAAAGCCCCCACGTGCCCAACGTGTGGTCTCCACCGCGAAAAATCGAACCACTCAACGCCTCTCTTTCAAGGCAAACAAAAATCCAGGGCAGCGGACAGTTACAGCGGGGACTCTGCCTAGCCTAGCGGCCTCCCTCCAGGCCAGGGGACCTCCTGCAGCGTGCATGGCCCCTGCTTGATCCCCCTAGCCCCCCCCAAAGCCTTACATCAGCTGGGCCTGGGGGGGAAATCCACTCATTTAACAAAGGCAGCCACTCAGCCATTTCGTGGTGGATGCCCAAACTTCGCCTCGAAACTTGAACTCTGCATATCCTTAGAGTGCCACGATGCGATACTGAAAGAGTCACGACATAAACAGACCATCCTCACATCTGACCGCTAATATTTCTACTCTCTTGAAACATTCCGACATTTTACTTCTCACCATTTTTTTTCTTGTACTCTTCCCCCCTGTTATTACCCTTTTCTTTAATCTAGTTCCTACCCGTTGCGCGACATTGCCGGAAGCCCGAGACCAGACACGCCCGCCACCGCGAACCCCTCCATCCCTGACAAGCACAGTCAGACCCCATCTTCGCTCCTCACGACACGTCAAATCACCAGGACTGGCCTCCTACTAATACAAGATGCGTCTATTTGGTAACAAAAACAACAAATTCAAGATCGACCCGCCCAAGATCAGGATCGAGAAGGTTGTCGTCGACCGACCTGCCCCGAAACCTAAACCTAAGCAGCCGAATGCCATCTTGAGTGGCTCAGCATCTCGCTCCTCGTCCTCTCACCGTCCATCTCCGAAACCTCTGGCACGACAAGCTAGCCACTCGCCGTATCCCTCGTCTTCTGATGAGAGACGACTGGAACGTAAGCGTAAGGCACCGTCCGTGTCGCGTCGATCACCGGCCAGCGACCGCATCGAGTTCGACAAAGACAGCGATGGCGAGGATGATGGATGGATGACCCTTGATACTAAGCGACAACGCAAGGGCACTGAGGATGGTAGCTTTGTCGACCCTACACGCAAGTTGAGGAGTGCAAGAGCATTCGAGGATCGTATGGACAGCCGAAGCTTCATTCACGCCGTCGATGTGGCTTCGCTTGAGCACAAGTGCGTACCTGTCATGGGCGCCCAAAAAGAGGAGGTGTCTATCAGATTACAATACCCCAGTCTACAACCCCGTGAGAAGTGAGTTTATCCTGCTACCCCACTCAGAAACCAAAGCTGACATCATTATAGATACGAACTCGTATGGGGAAAAGACAAGATTGATGCCGTCGAAGCGAGCATCAAGGTGGTTCGCCATGTAGCCGAGACATACCTGACCGAGGAGGAGGCTGAGCCTTTTACGAACCCCAACGGTGGTATTATCCGAAGACTGGAAAAGGCATCCAACCGCAACATTCAGGATTTGATGGGTTTCAAGGCAGCCTTGCGCGAGTACAACGATAAACTTCGTGCTCTAGTCGAGGACGGCGTAATTGCCAAGAATCTCGATAAGATGCACGAGCTCCCTCAACACCTTGTGGCTTTCATACTCGATCAGATCTATGACCGAACAGTGGCCCTCAAGGTGGAACTTCTCTCCAAGTATGAGAATGGAACCGACTATGTCTATGGCGAACTCTTACACCCATTCATCTCTAAGATTTTGGTAGAGCAGACTCGAATGACCTCAGGCCAGGTCTTCGTGGATTTAGGCTCAGGTGTTGGAAATGTGGTTTTGCAAGCGGCGCTCGAGATCGGCTGTGAGAGTTGGGGCTGCGAGATGATGGAAAACGCCTGCAATCTTGCCGAGGAGCAGAAGAAGGAATTCGATGCACGATGCATGCTCTGGGGAGTCCGACCAGGCAAAGTGCATCTGGAACGAGGCGATTTCCGCAAGAATTTGCATATCCATGAAGCTCTCAAGCGAGCCGACGTGGTCCTGGTCAACAATAAGGCCTTCACCTCGCAGCTGAACGACGACCTTGTTCGAATGTTCCTCGATCTGAAATCGGGTTGTAAGATCGTGTCGCTCAAATCTTTTGTCGCCGAAAAGAACAACAACCACAACATCAACGATGTTGGCAGCACCATCCTGGAGGTGGAAGAGTGCATATACCCCGAGGGCTATGTGAGTTGGACTAATGCAGGAGGACCGTACTTTATTTCGACGCGAAAGTAGACTATAGAAGCTTCATCAGCACGCAGTGGCAGAGAACAAGTTGTAAGAAGGTTGGGTTGGACAGACGGGCATACAGCGGGATAAGGACATGTTCGGACTTACAGGATACTCCATATAGCACTTTGTTTTTCGTGATATCGAGCATTGTTTTTCAGAACCATTGGTTATTCGGTGGATAGCCGATTATCGTCCTTTCCCGAGGATGGGCTCGTTGGCAAGGTTCATAGCGTCTGCTTCCTGTGCCATCCTCTTCATCCACCTGTCCACCAATTCCTTGTTTTCTTTCTTGACTTTGTCTCTTTCTTTCTCGGCCATTGACATTTGAAGGTTCAGCGCAATCATCTCATCTTGTACTTGCTGGTCCGGTGTAAGTCCTAATTGTGGCATTTTCCAGTGGTCAGAATCCATTACGCACCTCAATAAGCTTGCGCTTTTCCCTCAGTTCGTATTCCCGATCTTTTAGCCTGGTGGTAAGACCACTCCTATCCGCCGTAAGGTCTCGTATCGATTTCGTATCGATTTTGTGTTTCGATCGCGACTGCATCAACTCTTCCTCGCTTGTTCGTAGCCTCTTCTCCGTGACGCCTTTTGATCGCAGGGCTTCGGCGAGATCCTGTTTCAGCTGGGCGACAACAGGATCGTTGTTTGAGGGTTCGGTGGGCTGTGTAGACGTCTTTCCGCTATTCGCGACGAGCGCTTCCAGTCCATTCTTTTCAGCTTCAAGCGCAGATATGCGATCTGCCATTTGCGAGCCTTATGAGCATCGTCAGTTCAATTCTATGTGTATCTTGGTTCCCTTCGTCTGATGATGTCGCAACAGAAGGAGGGGTTCAGGTGGGGGGTAGTTTTACGGACAGGACTGAACGAGCTCCATGTTAACGGGATTGTTAAGCTCTACATCCTTGATGGATGAGAGATACTCATCTCGCCAGTTCGGCATTGCAAGAGAATGAAGATTTCTGTTGCGTGGAGTAGATGAAGATAGTGTTGGACAGATGATGGATGAGATAGGACAAGGAAAGAATGACGAGAGATTTCAGTTAAGAGAGTGACTTGCACCGCTCATTCCTGCCATGTGAGATGATGCAACCCGACCACTAAAAGTAACCTAAAATTAACGGGACAAAGCGCCTACCCGACCGCTAAAACAGCCCGGAGAATAGCCGCCCGTGTGCCTAGCAACGTCCTACGGTAAGGTATGATGCAGCCAGCACTTAAGCTCGCAGCTCTCATTGACCGTATCGTATTGTACATAGTGCACAGCTGACGAACAGTATTCAGCTGCAGGCGCGTCTTTATTGCAACCAAAAGAATTCTGTTGCAACATGAGATAACGCGACATGGACACGCTTCACGCGAGAGCCGATTGGGAGAGTGTCGGGGACAGGTGGTTCCGCAAGACGCAGCAGTATACAAGTGTCTTTGACCAAGATCTCGACTTGGATAATTATATCGTTACTGGAGCTCCGTATGCTGGAGCCTTAGGTGAGTGCGGCAGCTAGGTTCCATGAATTTTAGTCATCATGAGCTTCATTGACTACTCATCATGAGTTTGCCTTCAATGTAAACATACTGACCTTACTCAGCACTATGGCGCGACGACACAAAGCTCCTGGCGTATCAACCAGGACGATCAGCTAAACCAGCAATCGATATTTACAGTCTTGCTGGCCAGAAGCTTCGCAGTATTCCTTGGGACAAAGGTACCATCAAAGGCCTTGGATGGTCCGAGGATGAGACTTTACTTGTCGTTACTGCTGATGGTACAGTCCGTTGTTATGACCTGCAAGGAGACTTCACACAGTTCTCCTTAGGCCATGGTGCCGATAATTATAGTGTTGAGTCATGTCGGTACGTACTCCGAAACATCCACAATTGTATTCTTATAGCTGACGAGACAGATTCTACGATCATGGCATGGTAGCTCTCCTAGGAAACAACTCACTTGTGACAGTTTCATCATACTCAGAGCCCCGACCCAAGGCTCTAGCTCAGACACCAGAGGGCGAGATTCACGCATGGTCTATCGTCTCACCAAACCACACGTTATCTAGGTCTGTCGAGGTGCTATTGAGTGTCGAGAAGACTGTGTACGTTGTTGATGCCACCGATTGCGAAGACCGCTTCCTCGATATTGGACCCTTTAGCCATATCAGTGTTTCTCCAGATGGTCGATACGTGAATCTGTATGCTGTAAATGGAAAGGCCCATGTCATATCGAGTGACTTCCAAGAACGGTTGTTCGAACACGACTCTGATTCCCAAACTCCGCCTCTGTATGTCGAGTGGTGTGGAACTGATGCCCTTATTGCTTGGGAGGATGAAGTGCATATTATTGGGCCTGGCGATTCTTCATCTTCATACATCTATGATAGCACGCGAGTCCATGTTGTCTCTGGTATGTCCTCTGTTCACTACCATGGTACTCTGCTAACATCTTACAGAACACGACGGTGCTCGTCTCATCACGAATGACTTTTGCGAGTTTCTGGAAAGAGTGCCACGAGACACCCTTGAGGTTTTTGGTCAATCTTCGGATTCATCCCCAGCTTCAATTCTACTAGATGCTGTGGGCCAATTGGAACTTCAGTCTCCCAAAGCCGATGACTATATCCAGCTGATACGACCTAACCTTACAGGGGCGGTGGATACTTGTGTCAATGCAGCTGGACGTGAGTTTGACACTCATTGGCAGAAGCGTCTACTCAAGGCCGCCTCATTTGGCAAATCTGTGCTCGATATTTATAACAGCGACGACTTTGTTGATATGTGTGAGACCCTGCGCGTGCTCAATGCTGTGCGATACTACAAGGTCGGCATGCCACTGTCCTTTGAACAATATCACCGTTTGACACCAGAGAGTCTCATACGGCGACTGCTTAACCGCCATGAGTACCTTCTTGCGTTGAAGATTGCGGGCTATCTCAAGCTACCCACAGACCGGATCTACGTACATTGGGCGTCGAGCAAGGTCCGTGTAGGAGGCGAGGACGATGACACTATCTGCCGCTTGATTGTTGAGAGGTTATCTGGCAAGCCTGGAATTTCCTTTGAGGAGATTGCACGTGCAGCATATCAGGAGGGAAGAGGACGACTTGCTACGGAGCTTCTCAATCATGAACCTCGTGGTGGTCGGCAAGTCCCGCTTCTTTTGAGTATGGAGGAAGACGAGCTCGCTCTGGACAAAGCGGTCGAGAGTGGGGACACAGATCTAATGTTGACAGTCCTATTGCAGCTCAAGAAGAAGTTGCCCCTGGCTGCATTTTTCAGGGTTATCAACGCACGACCGACAGCAACAGCTCTGGTGGAAGCATTGGCTACGGAAGAGGGCGATAATACGCTTCTGAAAGACCTTTACTACCAGGATGACCGTCGAACAGACGGTTCCAACGTCTTTATTCGCGAATCACTCAAGCAGCCTGATGTCCGAACATCATCTGATAAGCTCACTCTGGCGGCAAAACTACTCGCAGACTCTAAAGAGTCCGCATTTGAGGTTCATGCTCTGAAAGAGGCTATAACTCTGCTGCGCATGCAGGAGGCTTTTGACCGGGACCTGACGGATACCTTTACGGGTCTAAGCGTCAACGAAACCATGTTTAAGCTTATTCGGCTTGGCTACCAAGGAAGGGCTAAAAAGATCCAGAGCGAGTTCAAGGTCCCTGAGAAAGTGGCATGGTGGACTCGGTAAGTGGACCTGTTTCCCAGGAGCCCCCTGGCATCAGGAACAACGTTCACTAATGGCTAACTTCGTTCCTGCAGATTACGAGCACTAGTAGCCAAACGAGACTGGAACGAGATCGAAGAGATCTCCAAGACAAGGAAAAGCCCTATTGGCTGGGAGGTGAGCTTATAGCCTGCAAGATCGATGAAGAGTGGAACCAGTAACTGACAAACCATAGCCCTTCTTCAACCTCACTCTCCAAGCCGGCAACCCACGGTTGGCATCTGTGTTTGTTCCCAAGTGTACAGGCTTAGAAGCTGGAGAGACGATTACTATGTATGAGAAGTGTGGCATGCGCACAAAGGCGGCGCAAGAAGCTGTGAGACTCAAGGACAGCGAGTCGTGGGAGAGACTTCTTGAGGAAGTGGGTAGGGGGACACAAGAGGGACGAGAGATCGAGCGATTGGGCCAATCCGTTTTCAAGAAGTAGAGTTAGCTCTGCCCGCCTGTGCTGTAATTCGTTAGAGGCACACATACAACTCATTGTTTGACCGTATTTTCATAATAACAACATTCAAGGACATGAATCGCTATCATGACGACGAGACAGTAACACAACAATTCATCGGAAACCGAGTTTGACGCCCTGGCTCCATACGTCAAGCCAATGATTGCAGTGGCTGTATAGTTAACGTAGAAGCAAAGGCGGTTTTCGAATATTATTCCGACAGTCGTTTTATTGAGGCGTTCCAGTTGGACCCCCAATACAGCCACGCACTAACAGACTGGGCTGTCAAGATCGGCGACTGTTTCAAAACATCATGATTTCTTCGCGTGATGACTTGCCCATGCCATGGTCTCGTGACGTTTTAAGAGTCATGTCTCTGTTGGTGTCTCATGATGCTCTGGTTGAAGTAGAAGCGGAACTAGCGGAATCCACTAGAATAGAGTAGAGTACCTAGCTAGCATAGAAGGGTTTCACCTGCGATATGACTGATACTGATACTGATTGTTTTGGTTAGATTAGTACAAATAACGTTATATCGGAATCTCCCGAAACCTTCTTCATGGTGCGCAAAGCAGACGATGCCTGGTGGTGGCATGACAGTTGAGTGTGAGGGAATAGAGAAGGGAGGGTATGATGATGATATCATGGGTTACATTCTGCGTTTTTGGTTCCGATGTGGGGATGACCTCGGCAGTACATTGAGTACCACAGAATCGGGGACTTTCTTTGGATATTGGAGGTGATTTATCGTGAGCCTCAGGGGGGCCTCTAAAGCATCAATTCACAGCAAAATCCCCTTTTGCCATTCGAGTTTTTCTTGTTTGCCGCATTTCAAGTCCGGTTGGGTACGGGCGCTTTCACTCTTCGGGTCATGGTCCAAAGGTCCAGAAGATTCTGGTGGCGGTCTTTTAGATAGGTACTTGATGGTCTGGTCTAGCGGCGAATATCTTGCTGTGTAGTACAAACCCGAGTGAGTACGAGGTGTAAGTTGAGTTTAAGCCTCAGTTGTCGGAATTTTGGAAAAACGTTGGAGTAAAAAGTCCTTTTCATGTTTTTCTAGAAACAAGCTAGGGGCATCTTGGTTGAGATGGCTTACACCTGGATGAGTGCATTGGATATTGAGTAGGAAATTGGAGAAGAGTAAGTAAGAGGAGTAGACGAAGGCTTGGGACGTGGCATTAGGATTGAGAAGTCACTAAATAGGAGAAAAGTACTACTCTATTTCAGCAGTATGCTTTGAGCACTCGGTGTTGATACGATATGATATGATCTTACCATACGATGGTTAAAAACTCAAACTCCGTTCATAATACGACCTTTGCCAAGTTTAGATAATGGGGCTGCGGTCTAACAATTAAGTTGCATGATATCAGTGAGTATTTCCCGCTTTAATAAATCAGTCTGCGATGGCTGGGTTTGTCTTGGTTTGGGTGTTGATGGAGAGATGAAAGATGGAGAATCTATGTCATGATGGATATTCGCTTGTGGATCATACAAGGATATGAGCGGATGAGCCAGGAACGCATGCTCTGTATGCCGATGTCATATTAACAATTAATAAAGCGCATTTCTAGACATTCGACAACAAAAATGGAAAAGAGATCACAAAGAATGACAATTGCTCGTGTCAGCAAATACCATTACCTATCCTAGTACCTACTACAGTACGTGTACGGAGTACGGTGCATGCAAGTATTTGGCCACCTGCGGATCCCGCCGCCAAGACACCCTTTTCGAGTTTGCAGTGCAGTCTGGACAGCTAGGGTCCAGAGGGTCTTGGGCAGAAATGGAGCTGAGATGGCTCTAGAACGGCCATGCCGAATCACGCTGAACGCTGAACCGCAGGTTTGATCACTTGGCCTCGTGCGTGATCTCGCCTTGCAGTAGAGTACAGTAGAGCATGGTAAAGTACAGTGCAATGGTCTATCCGTACCAGCCTTGTTGATGTTGCCCATCCAATGGACCCTTGTCTTGTTCGATTGTCCACTTTGGCACTACTGCACCTCCATCTCGGGGTCCCTCGTTGTTGGATACCTGTATGAAATCAAGTTTGGCGAGAGTTTAAGGTGGAATTGCCCGCTTGGTGCGCTAATACACTAGAGAGACCCTTATTTTAACCATCTCCAAATCCCAGCCTTCCCTTTGTCTTCGGGCAATTAATTACGTCTGTCAAAAAAAAAACAAGTTCGTTTCCCTGGCTTTTATCGTCGGGTCCATGCTGGTCTTTACGTCTTTCCGGTGCTGGGGTACCCCCCTTTGAGTCTCTGTGTTTTGTTCATCTCCTCTTCTTTTCTGGAGAAGTCGCCCCCTCTCAGACACTCCTGTCCAATAGGAGATAACTACCCCTGTCAGCACAGCGCGTGAACCCCTGTCGCCATCCCCGGTTCGCTTGACGGGGTCCATTTATTCTTTTTGCGAAATAGCGCCGCTGCTGCTCTTTTTTCTAATCCATCGCATCGCCAAGCCAAAGCGTAAATAACCCAACCTCCAGATCAAGGTTCAGCTTTCCATCTTATTCCTGTTCCTGTTCCTATTCTTGTTTCCGTTTCTGTTCCTCCTCTTTTTACACTTTCCAATTACTTACATTGGTCTTATTGCCTTGCTTTTTTCTATCCTACTCATCAATGTTGTCGGATCCTGCGTCGGAATAGAATCGTCCTCTCCACTCTCGTAACTCTCTCCATGCCATTAACGGAACGAACCATCGCCCCCCAGTCTAGAACCGATCTGCAAGGCAGGACAGAACGTCAAAAAAGGCAATTCCAACTTCAACAATCCATATCACCGAGCTTTTCCCCCGCCCTCTGTAGACGAATCGATAGTCTCCTCTTGTCTGATACGTTATTCGCCATCATAAGACCTCCCTCTTGCTCCGTACTCTTCTGAACTCACACTGCAACGCCGAGCAAGCGTTTGTCTCAGCTCAAGGTTTCAGTCACGTCGCCGTCTGCAGCCAGTCTCAGAAAACAAGCAAGCCAACAGAGAAAGACAACAAGAAACAGAAAGCAAGGGCTTGGTGTGAAATTAAACCGACTCTTCTACTGTACAGGCTCATCGCAGTGCAATTCTCTTTGACCGTATCCGATCTAGATTGCGCCGCATTGTGCTTCTCCCTCTCCTTGGACCCTTCTAGCTTCGGCTTAGAACCATTAGAGTTGCTCAAATACCATTGTCTGGCACTTGCATTTCCCATTCGCAATCCTCCCTCCCCTTCTTTCTTGCTTTTTACTTGAAAGCCATACATACCCTTGCAAGGCACCCGCCTAACTGTTCCCTGTTCTTGGCTACACAGGCTGCAATACAGCACCTAGACCACCTATAGTGCCTTGCTGTTTGTTTTTCTTTTTCCATTTTTGGGTAAACTGCCTGATTTATCACTCTCCCAAATGTTCACCCAGCCAGTTGTCTCCCCGCCTGCGGGCCCTTCTCAGTCGTCTTCGACTTCGACCTCAAGACCTAGTCGTCTTAGAGGTCTCAGTTACTTGCGCAGCTACACACAAAACCATTTACTCTCGCGCGACAACCACCATGGTTCCGGTGCAGCAGTCAGCGGCACAGGCACAGCAAGCGCACGCAGCACGTCCCCCAATCGACATGGTTTTAGCCTCACGCGATCCCTCAGCCATTCGCCTACCATGAGTGGACCTCCCACTGGAGCCCAGAACACCAACTCCAACCACTTGACCCTCGTCAGTTCGACACCCGATCCCGTGAGGAATTTGACATCAACTCCTGCGACCACCATAACATCGATACCCGCGCTACCTCCAACATCGGTTCCTGCTTCTACTGCTGCTGCTGCCGCCGTTACATCTTCTCCTGCATCATCTATCGCGCCTATTTCTGCCCCTGTGCCATCTTCACAGCATTCTGCCGACATTAACGACCCCACTACCGTTGTGCCAGAAGCCCCTACCACCGCAGACACTCACGCCGCCGCAAACTCAAATCAAGACCAGAACACGATGTCGGAATCTCAAGCAGCCACCGGCGATGGGGGATCGTCAACCCCTGAGACTGCCCCGTCAATTCGATTCTCGGCCTACTACGACCCGCGCTCTACACGCCCGTCCTTGACCTTTCCCCCCATCTCCAGGACACTGCCTACAGGCTCTGAGAAGATCCGTGTCGGACGTTACTCAGAGCGCGATAGCCATGGCATGTCAAATATGCCTGGAAACCAACCATCGGCGGCACCGGTGGGTTTCAAGAGCAAGGTCGTGAGTCGTCGCCATTGTGAGTTTTGGTATGAGGATGGAAAATGGTACATCAAGGACGTCAAAAGCTCTTCAGGCACGTTTTTGAACCACATTCGTCTGAGTCCTCCTTCACAAGAAAGCAAGGCATTCCCTATCAACGATGGAGATATTGTGCAGCTTGGAATCGATTTTAAGGGAGGAGAGGAAATGATCTTTCGATGTGTAAAGATGCGCCTCGAGTTGAACCGTGGATGGCAAAACAAGCTCAACACTTACAAGTATGTTGTGGTTTACAACGTTATTGAACTTTAATGCTAACTTCTTACCAGCATGGCCGCACACAAAAGGTTGCAGACAATGGCGTCCAGTGGGGCAGCTGGTGCCAACTCTCAAGATTGTTCTATTTGTCTGAGCTCTATTGCTGTAAGTTCATCTTTAATATCGATGCCTTATTCACGTTTACTGATTATTTATTTTTAGCCCTGCCAATCATTATTTGTGGCGCCCTGCTCACATACATGGCATTTCAAGTGTGTCAGGTCACTACTCACCTCTCCCCAATATCCTATCTTTATCTGTCCCAACTGTCGTGCTGGTGCCGACTTGGAAGCCGATGTGGATGAACTCGCCGAAGAGTGGCAGCAGCTTAAAGACCAGGCCGAAGCGGAAGCGTCAACCCCAGCTCAGGTTGATACCGAACCGGAAACCGAAATAGCGCCCCCAGCCCCCGACTCTGGAGCCTCAACACCCGAGCGGTCAAACACGGTGGATGACCACATGGACGTAACTGTCAACATCACGCCCGAAACGCCTCGACGAAACGAAGTCAGCCATGCTATCTCCGAACCTTTGCCTATCAGAAATGCTGTCTCAGGTGCCCGAAGATCGAGTCAGCTCGGAGATAGCCGAACGCCATCGCCTCCAGGCGGCAATGAGGGCCCTATCACCCCCCGTAATAATGTTGGGCCTTGGGTGTTCGATGGCAGCGCCGGCCGTACAGTGAGCGCCACAGAAGGCGAAATGACAAGTATAGATGCAGCAGCACAACCGGATGCGAGCGAAGCCAACACCACATCTCGATAAGGATATCTTTTTGCGCACTGTTCGAAGGTCTTGTGCATAAAGAATACTCAATTGCCCTCTATCACAGAGCGGCGTTTGGGATTCATCTACATACATATATGGCGTTATGATGGTTCGTCTTGTTTTCACAGCAAAGGCGTTGATGGAGTTTTACACCACCACCCGCAGTGGAAAACAGCGGAGCTTGATTATGAAATTGACAGCGTTGTTCTGTTTGGGTTTCGTTAAGGATATATAAAGAGAATTTAGACACCAGAAAGCGTACGTTGCTATGGCATAGGATGCAATTGTTCAACACTGGTTCATGAATAGGATTTAATTGAATAGACATGCCCACGGAGCAAATGAAAGAACCAACGATATTGTGTAGTTTATTCGTGACTCCTGTTCGCTGTTTATGACTGGTATTCCAGTGCCAATCTTAACAGGATTTTATCTATTTCGCAAAATGCTATACAGGCCCTCAAGATAACTACTAGAGATAGATCCTCCTAAACTCAATATCTGCTAGAAGCCAGATAACGCTGCAAGCATAGCAATAAAGTTCTTGTAAGCCTGCAATCATTCAATATTGATGCTCCTGCCATTATGTCATCAGGGTCGCCGCGCTCCCGGCACCGAGATGATCCGGCTTAATCGCCGAGTGCGGGCGGATTGGCCGGGGTGCGTGCTAAATTTCGACGGCTTTAGTCGCAAACTCATTCGCCAGCGACCATAGAACAAGGAATCGTTTCTTTGCATTTCTCTGTATTTGCTGGAATAGGGTAAACATTTATATTTTCTTTCTCCTTGCCCACTGGCGCATTATAACAATGCTACGACAATTTAGCACAGGCCTGCCATCAAAGGCCCGGGCCTCGTGCTCGCGAGTCCTGGGTCAAGCTTCCAAGTTCTCGTTGGCGCGGAGGCCTATGTCCACGGTCGAGGTGAAGGGTATTGAGAAGGTATGGTTCGCAATGTTTGCTGTAGTTGTGCCTGGGAATAGTTTGCTAACTGGAATCAGGATCCTACAGAACTTGACCGAGTCACAACACTTCCCAATGGCCTGCGAGTTGCTTCAGAAGCTCTCCCCGGATCCTTTGCCGGCGTGGGTGTTTATATCGAGGGCGGATCTCGGTTCGAAAACAACTCCCTTCGTGGCGTCTCCCACATTATGGACCGTCTTGCTTTCAAGTCGACGTCGAAGCGCTCCGCGGACGATATGCTCGAACAGGTCGAAGCTTTAGGTGGAAACATCCAGTGTGCCTCGTCGCGAGAGAGCATGATGTACCAAGCCGCTACCTTCAATAACGCCGTTTCCCCGACTATTAAACTCCTCGCTGAGACGATCCGCGATCCTCAGATTACCGATTTGGAAGTTGCGGAACAGATCGAGACAGCACGATATGAGATTCGAGAGATCTGGAGCAAGCCGGAGCTCATCCTGCCCGAATTGGTGCACACTGCTGCATTTAAGGATAACACACTTGGAAACCCGTTGCTGTGCCCGGAGGAGAGATTGGGCGCTATTGACAGAAACACCGTTCTGGCGTACCGGGATCTCTTCTACCGACCTGAGAGAATGGTTGTGGCATACGCTGGAGTCGAGCACAACGAGGCAGTTCGGTTAACAGAAGAGTTCTTCGGTGATATGAAGAAGGGCGGACAGCGAGTCCAAGAAACGACTGGGTCCGAGACAAGCGAAAGCGAACTATCAGACAGCGAAGCCAGCGCATCTTCAGCCTCCTCATCACCACAGTCATCTTCTGGCCTGCTCTCACGATTCTTCAAGACATCCTCCCCCGCTTCTCAGAACCTCGAAAACCTCCCCACTCAAAGCGATATCGCGCTGCCTTCAAAGTATACCGGTGGCTTCCTCTCACTCCCCGCTCAACCACCTAATCTAAGCGGCCAACCTACTTTCACACATATCCACCTCGCTTTCGAGGGCCTCCCAGTTGCCTCTGACGACATTTACGCCCTTGCTACACTTCAAACCCTTCTTGGCGGTGGTGGCTCTTTCTCCGCTGGTGGACCTGGCAAGGGCATGTACTCTCGTCTGTACACCAACGTTCTGAACCAGCACGGCTGGGTCGAGTCATGCATGGCCTTTAACCACTCTTACACTGATTCCGGCCTTTTCGGTATCTCAGCAAGCTGTCTCCCCGGCCGTACCGCCTCCATGCTCGACGTTATGTGCCAGGAGCTCCGCGCCCTGACACTAACAACAGGCTTCTCCCGCCTTCAACCGGCCGAAGTCGCCCGCGCAAAGAACCAACTACGATCCAGTCTCCTCATGAACCTCGAGAGCCGCATGGTCGAGCTCGAGGATCTCGGCCGATCTATCCAAGTCCACGGCCGCAAGATTCCCGTCCGGGATATGTGCCGCCGCATTGAGAACCTAACAGTAGAAGACCTCCGTCGCGTTGCTACCAAGATTGTTGGCGGTATGGTGAGGAACCCTGGCGGTGGCAGCGGTGCGCCTACTGTGGTGCTACAGGAAGCTCAGGCGTATGGCGTGAGCAGCCATACCATGAGCTGGGATCAGATTCAAGATCGTATCGACAGCTGGAAGCTCGGCAGCTCGTCGTAGATTTCACGTTCCATTGCACCAAGTGATGAGACTCATGGCCTTTCCCGCTAGTTACTCGCAGGACGTTCTCCAATGATGAAGGAGGTGTATAATAGAGTGGGATTTCTTGTATAGCATATACCGGGTTGCGGCGGGCATTGGGATGGTTGGAATAGAAACGTGATGATCCGGAAGACATGTATTATATGAGCCCACGCGACTACTCTACTAGACTCAAAACACTGTATATCAGTAAGCTACAGATAAATGAAATATTTGAAAGAATCTTTCCCAAGTGTATCATTCTCTATGAAAAGTATTGCTACCAGTAAACTCCTGACTAAAATGCCTCCCTATTCTGGGTATGTAGTTGTGCCGTCTACGCAATGCGCCGTGTTTCCTGTCGCTCGCTATTCAAAATATGGTCATACTTGCTTTAATATCAATCATGGCAGTTGCCAATGTTTCCCAATCAAAGTTTAGATCGTACAGCTTCAAGACGATACTTGACATCCTTGAGGGCCTTGTTGGTTGGCTTCCAATTGTCAAATTGCTTCAACAGTTCATCCGCTTCTGTGCTCAACTCGGTCCGCACAAAGTCCTCTTCTAACAAGCCACGCATAATCCATGGTAAGACATATGGATTTTGAGAGGTCAATGGGCCCTCACGCGGTGAAATTGTACACGATGGAGGCGTTGAACCAGCTGGTGCTGTTTCAAGGGCGTGCGAGATGGCAAGGTCGTATACTGCATCGTCGAAATAGAGGCGAGAATGTCCGGCGCCAGAGTAGAGAGAGCCGGCAAGAGGGGCAGATAATTCACGGATCAAGCCATGGTCTGAAACGCCGAGGTTCCGAAGCTTAAGAGCGAAGCCGATAAGGTGAGCAATAAAGTCAGGGGCATGAACGCGCCCATCGATGAACACAGCTCGGTAGATGTAAGGGTGATTTGCTGGTGAGTAAACCGCAGACTACTGACGTTAGTTGATCCGAAGTTATCATAAGTATTTGGTCAACTTACCTCCATTGGTACGAGCTGGTCATCAATGCTGCCAATGAATGTGATGCGAGCTCCGTGGTCTACTGCACGCTTGAGAGCGTGCTCGAAACGCCTGGAGTTTTCGCTCTCTGGATTTCCAAAATCCCATAGCTCAGCAGCGGAGCCCATCAGTAGACCAGACTTATAGTCAGGAAAGGGGCCCAGAGCAACACCAGCCATAGCACAAACACCGACCTTTGCATTGGTGATGATGCCAAGATCAATGAGTTTTTCAAGCAGCATAATACTTACTGGAACGCCCTGGGAATGACAGGCAAACAAAATAAGGTCGGCGCTGCGGATTTGATCAATCCAGTTGAGCATGAGTTTCCATAGATTGTCTACACGGTCTTTGATTTTCCCTTCTCCTTCGAGGGCGACCTTTTCGATCTCACAGTCACCGCAGCCATGTGATTCGGCCCATCTGCGAATGCCCTCAGCTCCAAGAGCTGCAAATCGTAGAGATGTACCCGTTGGTTGACCGATCATGGGACGAAGGTATGTTGCAGGAAATAGACCATGGACGCCAATCGCAATGGCCTTTCGAATCTTTGGGGGCGATGCTACCCGAAAAACATGGTTTGGAGGAGCTTGTTGTGTGCGAAGAAGCAATTGTGTGAGTTGCTTAATAATGGACGGGTTCTCCTTCATATGGTAAGTACTCGAGAAGGATGGTAAGAGTAGATTGCTTGATAGTTTAGTTGATGATTCCGATTCGGCAATTGAAAGGCCCGAAGAAGCGGCCTTAGACACCGCCTTATCACTATCTTGGTTCGGGGTTGACGTCCTTGTTGGTGTTGAAGCGCCAGATACTGAAGGAGATGGGGGATCTAAATCCATCGACTGAGGTCTAATGCGCTTCTTCTTCATCCATCCTGTCTTGGCGGGCGTTTGTGCGTCTTTCGCCTTTGGCACCTCCTTTGCACTGTCTTGTGCTGGTGAGACATCGCATTCTGCTACAGGCTGAGGATGAGCTTCTGACACTTGACCGATTACTGCCACTTCTCCAGACTGTAGCGAAGGTGTATTGTCTTTCGACTTTGGCGATTCCCTTGACCAAAAGGCCCAGGTTGAGCCAGACTTAGGCGGGGGTTCGTTCTGAGGTGGGGGAGGTGGTGCATCTTCCATAGTGACATCTTGTGAGGTCGTTTCAATCTCTTGCGGTGGCTGAACATCCGGCTTATCATCCGAGGTATTGGTGGGTTGGGCTGGAGGGTACCAATACCTGAGCCAGGACGTGGGCCGGGAATCCTTGACGCTCGATGGTGGTGATAGTTGATCTTCAGGTATTGCTTCAGCTGGTGGAGTGGCAGGTCGAGGCTCGTCAACTTCCTTGGTAGCTTCAATATCGGCCGTTGGTGTCTTGTCCGCTTCTGTAACTGGAGCGGTCTGTATTTCAGTGAAAGGTGTTTTAGACCACCATCCGAGCCATCCTGAAGAGGGTGCCTGTTGTTGAGGCTCTATTCTTGGTGCGGATGTGTTTGGTTGGACGTCAGCCTGAGCGTGAGCATTGGTAGTCTTGGAGTCTGGCGCTTTGGGCGTTGTCGACCCTGTAGTTCCCAAATCTTTTGGTGTCTCGGGAGCTTCCGCAACCGTAGTTGACTCTCGCGAAGATTTGATGTCCACTTTCTTTTGGCTTTGCGCATCGTTTTGCGCGTCTTCTTCCGTCATCGTCATATCGGATTTGTTGTCGGAAATCTTTGGCATCGTCTTAATCGTCCCAGCCGTACTTCGAATACTGGTGTTGTCGTCGCTTTTCCTGGATTCGTATCGACTTAGATCTGATGATTTATTTGACTTGACACTTCCTCCAAATATGTTTTCCTTTGCAACCGAGGTTGATGCCGAGGCTTTAGGAGCTCGTGGCCAAGAACCATACCAACTCTTTGGTCTGCGAGTCTAGATGTTGTTGTTAGAACAGAAAGCAAGCTTTGGGTATAGATAAGAATATTCTTACGTCCTTGTTATTTCTCTGCGCCGCGACATCGGATTCAGCCATGGTTTGCTGTCTTGATGGGGCCTGTGGGTTGCTGTTTTGATCTGCTCCTACTGCAGGTGACGCCTTTGATGCCTGTGATTGTGACGTAGGGGCCTCTGTTGTTGAGTCGCTGACCAGGGTCTGAGAGTCGTTGTTCGCGGCCATACCCGCCGGATTCGGACGGTGCTTTTTACGTGGAAGCATTTCGAATCAAGAGTCGCGTTGATGCAACATTGATTTGAAGAATTAAACAGAATATGCCCGCATGTTTGTGGTTGTTGAGTTATCAAAGTGCTAATTTCGAGGCTCTTGTCATGTGCTGAATTAACGTGCCGGGGACTGCCTAGGCCTTCCATAACGTGAGAAGGGCCCTCCACCCGGCCCCACCAGGAAGGGAAACTGTTAACAAGTGGGGCTGTTCTCTTATCTTATCGGGAAAAGAAAGACTCGAAAATTTATTTCGACCCAGCTTCTAAGAAAGTTTGTAAGAGACAGAGCAGTTGGTGATGCGCCAACCTCTTTCACAATGAGCAACCTCAAACGAAAAGACGCCCCTGGCGGCAATCCGCCCGCCAAATTGGCTAAGAACACAAAGGAAGCTCGAACTACAACAAAAGAAAATGCCGGCAAAGATGCGAAGCCCGCTCCCAAGAAGAGCGCCGAGGTACCTGAGAAGGCTCCTGTCGTGTCGCTGTTGAAGGAGGAGGGAGCTATGATGCCTCGAGGCGGCGCCAGTATTCTCACTCCTCTGGAGCACAAGAAGATTCAGCTTGAGGCTAAGGCTGATGCTATGCGCGACGAAGAGTTCAACACTGGCGGCAAAGTCCTACAGAAGAAGAAGCGGAAGACGGCGCTGAAGGGTGACAAGAAGACAGATAAAAAGACCGGAGAGGAGGAACAGGCAGTCAGAGTTGAGAGTCTCAGCTTCAAGGTAGGCTCTGAGTTCGATAGCAAATTTGCGTCGGTAACTGACATGGTCTAGAACTTGGTCAAGGGCTCTCTCGTCCTCGTACAGGTCACACGAATCAACAACCTCGATATCGAAGTCGCACTACCTAACAACCTTACTGGACACATCTCCATCGTCGCCGTTTCTCAACAGTTGACAGAGCGTCTTGAGAACGAGACTGCGGAGAAGGACAACGAGGATGAAGACGATGCTGACGATGACGGTATCGACCTCAAGTCTATCTTCGCCATTGGCGAATACTTGAGGGCGTACGTGATATCTACTGTCGAAGAGAATACCGCCGGAAAAGGCAAGCGACGCATTGAATTGTCCCTGCGACCCAGTGAGGCCAACACTGGTCTGGAGAAAGACGATGTTGTTGTAAACAGTATGGTGATGGCCTCGATTGCCAGTGTCGAGGACCGCGGTTTTGTGATGGATACCGGTATCGAAAAACTCGGTGCTTTCCTCGCCCGAAGCGAAGTCGACAAGAGCATTGATGAGCAAAGATTGCAGCCAGGCTCTGTATTCCTGTGCCAGGTCATCAGCAAGGGTGCCAATGGAAAGATTGCGCAGCTCACCCTCCAGGAGAAGAAGATCGGCAACCCCAAGAGCGTCCCGGCCGATGCGACTACCATCAACACTTTCCTCCCTGGTACCATGGCCGATGTCCTTGTCAACAATACTGATCGACGAGGTCTTTCTGGAAAGATTATGGGTCACCTCGATGTTACTGCGGACATCATCCATTCCGGTGTTGGTCCAGCTGGTGTGAGCCTGGACACAGCTTACAAGATTGGCTCAAGGGTCAAGGCCCGAGTTATCTGCAACTTCCCAGGTGCTAGGGAGCCCAAGCTTGGAATCTCCCTTCTTCCTCATATTGCCACCCTCGAGAAGAAGCGCCCTACCAAGTCGACCGACTCCAAGAAGAACCCTACTCAGGTGCTCCCTATCTCATCTTTGGTGGAAACCTGCACAGTCCGTCATGTTGAAGCCGAGATCGGTCTATTCGTCGATATTGGTATTCCTGGCCTGAGCGGATTCGTCCATATTTCTCGAGTCAAGGATGGCAAGGTAGATGCGCTCTATGAATCTAGCGGCCCCTACAAGGTTGGCTCTGAGCACAAGGGTCGTGTTGTTGGTTATAACGAGATTGACGGTCTTTTCCAAATATCCTTCGAGAAATCAGTGCTCGAGCAAGAATACCTCAGACTAGAGGATGTTCCCGTCGGCGCTGTTGTGACATGCAACATTGAAAAGGTTGTTATTGACGAGAAGGGAGTCAGCGGTCTCATTGTCAAGGTAGCTGAAGGCATTACTGGTTTCGTTCCTGAGCAGCATCTTTCCGATGTCCGACTGCAGCACCCGGAAAAGAAGTTCCGCCAGAACATGAAGGTCAAGGCCCGAGTTCTCTCAACCAACTTGGCCAAGAAGCAGATGCGCCTCACCTTGAAGAAGACCATTGTTAACTCGGAGGCCCCTGTCATCAAGTCCTACGATGAGGCCAGTGTTGGTATGCAGATCCCTGGTACCATTATCAAGATTCAGTCATCAGGAGCCATCATCCAGTTCTTTGGCACCGTTCAGGGATTTTTGCCCATCTCCGAGATGAGTGAAGCTTATATCAAGGATCCTCATGAGCACTTCCGAACTGGTCAAGTTGTTAGCATTCACGTCCTAGATGTTGAGCCCGAGACCAGAAGACTTGTTGTGTCTTGCAAGGATCCTTCTGCCTTTGGCCTTGACAAGCAGAACGCTCTCAAGAAACTCCAGCTTGGTGACGTTGTCACCGCCAAGGTCACGCAGAAGACCGAGGATCAAGTCTTGGTTGAACTTGCTGACTCCCAGCTCAAGGCTATTCTTCCTGTTGGACACCTTACTGATAAGTCAACATCCAAGAACCAATATGCCTTCAAGCGTATTGCTGTTGGTCAGACTCTTTCCGATCTTGTGATTATTGAGAAGAACGAGAACCGACGTGCAGTTATCCTCAGCCACAAGCCCAGTCTCGTCAGTGCTGGAAAGGAGAAGACTCTTCTCACTAGCTTCGAGGACGCTAAGGAAGGCAAGATTGTTGCTGCCTTTGTCAGAAATATTACTGTTACGGCTGTGTTCGTCCAGTTCGCTGGAAACCTGACTGCTCTTCTTCCCAAGTCCCGACTTGCTGCTGATATTCAGGAGCAGCCTGGTTTCGGCATGCACAAGCACCAGTCAATCGAGGTCAAGATCGTCTCTGTCATTCCCGACCACCGCCGCATTGTGGTGGCCCCGGCCGACTTTGACGAATCCGCCGAACTGGACAGGAAGAGCAAGGCCAACGATAAGCCTGCGGCTGCTGATGACATCGAGTTTGGAACCGTGACCAAGGCCAAGATTACTTCTATCAAGGATACACAGCTCAACGTTCAAATCGCCGACAGCAAGGTTCAGGGCCGAATTGATGTGTCTCAAATTTTCGACAAGTGGGAAGACATCACCGATCCCAAGGATCCTCTCGACAAATACCACAAGAAGCAGGCCATCTCTGTACGCGTGATGGGAGTCCACAGTGCCAAGGATCACCGATTCTTGCCCTTCTCTCATCGATCGCTACACTCTGTGCTTGAACTTACTGCAAAGCCCAGCGATATCAAGGCCAAGAAGCTCGAACCCCTCAGCCTCGAAAGCCTCGTTGTCGGTGAAACCTATACTGCCTTTGTCAACAACTCCAGCCCTCAGCACCTATGGGTCAACCTTTCCCCTTCTGTCCGTGGTAGAATATCTGCCATGGAAGCATCAGATGATCTCTCACAGCTCAACGACCTTGAGGCAAACTTCCCTGTGGGATCGGCTCTGAAGGTCAGAGTGACTGGCGTGGATCTTCGCAACAACCGCCTCGATCTCTCGGCTCGTTCTTCTAGTTCATCCGAGACTGTTACATGGAGCGCTCTGAAGCAGAACATGGTTCTCCCTGGACGAATCACCAAGGTCAACGAACGTCAAGTTCTGGTTAAGCTTAGCGAGGCTGTTTCAGGTCCTGTATATCTCCCTGATATGTCTGATGATTTTGACACTGTCAACACTCTCAAGCATAAGAAAGGCGATATCGTTCGTGTTGCCATTGTGGAGCTGGATTCGAGCAACAAGAGACTTCGACTATCAATCCGTCCTTCTCGTATCATGAGCTCTACCCTTCCTGTGAAGGATAAGGAGATCAACGACGTTTCTCAGCTGGACGCTGGTGAAATTGTTCGAGGCTTTGTCAAGAATGTCTCGGATAAGGGACTTTTCGTTCTCCTCGGTGGACAGGTGACTGCGCTGGTCAAGATTTCCAACTTGTCAGATCGCTACCTGAAGGAGTGGAAGGATCACTTCCAGGTCGACCAGCTTGTCAAGGGCCGAGTTATTGCTGTTGACAAGTTGACTCGTCATGTGGAGCTGAGCTTGAAGTCTTCTGTTGTCGACGAAGACTACACGCCTCCTCTCAACTACAGCGACATCAAGGAGGGCCAAACCGTGACCGGAAAGGTTCGCAAGGTTGAGGAGTTTGGCGCTTTCATCTTGGTCGATGGCTCTGACAACGTCAGTGGTCTTTGCCATCGCAGCCAGATGGCCGAGAACCCTGTCAAGGATGCCACCAAGCTTTACAAGGAGGGTGACGCTGTCAAGGCTCGTGTTCTTGAAGTTGATGCCAACAAGCGTCGTGTCACATTTGGCCTCAAGCCTTCACTTTTCGAGGATGCTGATACTGACATGAGCGACTCTGATGCGGGTGCTGACCTCAATGCTGAGGTCAGTGATGACGATGTGGATATGGATGACACCGATGCCCTACTCCAGATCCTTGGCACAGACAATGCTGGAGATTCAGACGATGACGAGGATGACGACGAGGACGAAGACGACGAAGACGATGAGGATGAGGATGGAGACTCTGATGAGGATGGAGACTCTGATGAGGATGGAGACTCTGATGAGGATGGAGACTCTGATGAGGATGAAGAGATGGAGGATGCGCCTGTCAAGAAGTCAAAGGGTCTTGGTGCTGGAAAGAAATCTGAGTGGTCTGCCGATCCCTTCGATGAGCCAGAGTCCGAGTCTGAAGAGCAATCGAAGAACGTCGAGAAGCCCAAGAAGAAGAAGCGAAGCAGAGACGAGATCCAGATCGACCGAACTGCCGAGCTAGATGCCAACGGTCCCCAAACCTCTAGCGATTACGAGCGATTACTCCTCGGACAGCCCGACTCGTCAGAGCTGTGGATTGCTTACATGGCTTTCCAAATGCAGGTCGCAGAGCTTTCCAAGGCACGAGAGGTTGCCGAGCGAGCTATCAAGTCCATCAACATCCGGGAAGAGACAGAGAAGCTCAACGTCTGGGTGGCTTACCTCAACTTGGAGGTTGCTTACGGAACCAAGCAAACAGTGGAGGATGTGTTCAAGAGAGCTTGTCAATACAGCGAGGAGCAGGAGGTCTACGAGAGATTGGCCAGTATCTACATTCAGTCTGGAAGGCTCAAGGTAAGCTCCCTCATGTTGCACCCCGCAGAACATCAGTTGCTAACTTATTCACAGGATGCCGACGCCCTCTTCGAGGCAATGGTCAAGAAGTTTGGCGCCAAGTCTCCCAACGTCTGGCTCAACTATGCCCACTTTTTGCACGTTACCCGCAAGGATCCTTCACGAGCTCGTGCTCTACTACCGCGAGCCACTCAGCAACTCGGTAAACAGCACAGCAAGAACTTAGTGAGTCGCTTCGCTGCTCTGGAGTTCCGATCTCCCAACGGGGAGCCTGAGCGTGGCCGCACCATGTTCGAGGGTCTCTTCAGTGTCTACCCCAAGCAGGGTGATCTCTGGAGTCAACGCCTCGATCTCGAGATTGGCCTTCCCGAGTCCGATCCTACCGCTATCCGCGACGTTTTCGAGAGCCGGACACGTGTCAAGGGTCTCAAGCCTCTGCAGGCAGAGAAGTGGTTCAGACGCTGGGCCGAATGGGAGGAGAAGCTGGATCCTAAGGGCAAGGGCAAGGGCAAGGACAAGGTGATCGCCAAGGCTCAGGAATGGACGGTCAAGTTCAAGGCGAGAAAGGAGGCCGAGGCTGCTGCTGCGGCAGCGGAGGCGGATGAGATGGAGGAGTAGAATACTCTCTCATCTGTATTTTAATTTGGGATACCATACTATGGGGCAGTCAAAAGTTACTACTAAGCATAGAATCTGATTCAGTATACAATTATCAATCATTGGCCTCTTGTGACAGAAGTGAATGTTAGCTTTGGATATCACGAGCGTCAGCCAAGCATCAACACGAGATGATATTCCTGATGCAGCGGGTCTCGGCACATGTTGACAATGGAATGACGAAGTTATATGCTATATATACTAGTGGTATAGGGGAGTTGGGCTATGTAACAACGCTTGGCAAACTAGGCTAGCACTAATAAACTTGTAGTAGCCTCATATTATACATGCACAAAAATGTGGCACTGTAGTGTAGTACTTGATTATACCCTATCAACCCGCCCTGAAAATAAGTACCAGCGCTAACATGTCCACTTCAGTCTGACTGGGGAATAGTGCGTCATGCTGAGGTGACATGGCGGGAATACGGCCTATGCTGAGAGCGAGTTATACACTGTCTCTCTCCCACTTATCGATCTACCAATCGCTGAAAAGTTTCCCGCATAAAACCCCCGTTGAATAAGCGGAGGTTCTGCCCTGCCATGCTCACTGCTGATCGCTCGTATTGGCCACGGCAAGAACACCAGCAACGTTGCTTTGATTCCAACGGTGAAGACCGCTAGATGTGAGGTCCTCATAGCGCCTCCTGCGTAAAAAGAACATTCTGGCGCAGCCACAAAGAAGCCGTAAGCTATGCTAATGTTAGGTCTCACTAAGTACCTAGTACAGTAAACGGCAGTCAGATTGAATAGCTGCCAAATTTGGCCCTTGCAGCGCCATGTGTACCCCGAATTATCCGGCGCTGCAGTCAAGTGCCGGGCTGAAGAGGCGGCTTGGATCGATGAGGTAAAAAGTGATCGGCATTGCACAAGTTATGACGGGTCACGATCTGTAAATAGATCTTGGCGCAGGGTTGTCTATGTTTTTTCCCTGGTGATGAGACTGTATTAATGACATGATATTAACCATCAAGGCGAGGTTGGGTATATATAAGGGTAAAGCAGCGGCTCTTCAACAGCCTCATCATCCTACAACTCTCAGCTCAACTCATAAAGACATCATCCAAACTCCTCCTTACCCAATCCAACTCACAAACACTTCACAAAACCGCCAATATGCGTTTCTCTATCGCCGCCGCTTCCACCGCCCTCCTCGCCCTTACTGAGGCCCGCATCACCGGTATCAAGGTCCCCAAGGAGATCAAGGTCGGTGAGGCCTTCGAGGCTATCATCGTTCGTGAGAACTACATCCAGAGCGTCTACGACTCCTCCATTGTCTTCGGATACGCCCCTGAGGGCGCCTACCCTGGCACCATCGGCCAAGTTGCCGATTCCTTCAACCTCGGAAAGAGTAGGTTTCCTTTCTCTCTTACTACATCCTCCTAAATATATGACTAACAAGAAAAACAGAAGAGTCAAACAAGATCGAGCCTCTCAAGGAGACTCTCACCATCCCCGCGGAAGCCACCAAGGGCAAGGGTCTCGTCACCGCTGCTCTGCTGAGCATCTACGGTGCTTCTGGAAGCCCAACCATCACCCAGTACAACGTCACTGTCACTTTTGGAGACAAGACCAGCAAGGACTACGTTGAGAGCAAGGGATCCCTATCAAACTACTAAATCATTAGAGTTTGATTGCCACAACTGCTAAGGTTCTGATGGTGGAACCCCGACGTTGTGTTTGAAATGGAGACTTGATGGGGACCTGGACAGGTTCTCCTATCCCACATAGCATGCATGAGCCGTTTGAACCTTCTTGATATTTATTTTACGGATTAAAATATATAGATTATGCTTGTATGAGCGCACTTGAATATACGGTACGAGTCTTACAACAAAACATGCATAGCTATTTTGTGCTGTTGCCACTCATCTTTGAGTATTCTCGAGTGTATAGGACCTGTATATTTATTTACAAGGATGCCTATGGCCCTTCTCACAGCTTGAATTATGCGAGATGGGATGTTCTAACTAGGGTATCACTCTATGGCAAAAGGACGAACTTGATTTAATCTCCCTAATGTTTATGTCCATGTCTCTTATTATCCACCTTCAAGCCATTGGCGCTGCCCCAGACACTGGCGCTTACTTTGGTTGGAATCTTGCGTCCACGAAGTCTCTGGTCGATCAACCACATACCAACGACGAAGTCTGCGCGTCCCAGAACGCCTTGTCCCTTGCGGTCAACCAAGTCCCAGACTTCGGCCAACTCGTCTGCTGGTAGGCGAGAGCGTTTCCAGATCTCGCGAACGACTGTGTTAAGGACGTACTCTGAAGAGTCCCCGTCCATAGCTTCGTAGGGCGCGTTAGGCGTATCCAGCAATAGGCCGCGGTTCGAGGCCCATACTGCCTCATAACGCTTCCGCTCACGGGGCGTCACCTCTTCTCGCCACTTCTTCCGCGAGCCTTCATGATGTGCATGCTTTCCTTTATGGAGCTTTAGACCCTTCTTTTTGTGACGATCAGCATCTTCTTCCGTAGTTTTGGGCGGCTGCCGTAAAGTTTGCATCAAGCGAGGTGATTTTTGTCGCCGAGGCAATGGTGGAGCAAGGCTGCCTCCAGTATTATGAGGTGTCAGACGAGCTGATGCAAGTGAGCCCGCCACAATAGCACTTGTGAGAGACTCGAGTGGGAGGCTTGAGACCGATGAGCTCTTGATATGGCCGCGTCTGAAATCTCTCGTCGGTGAAGGTGGGTTGCTACCTGTAAAATGTCGTCTCAGCAATGGCGGAGGCGACTCCCTTACAGGCGACTGCACAGATGACGCAGACACGAAAGTATCGTCTGAAGACATTGTAAGCGCCGAGGTTGGCCTTGCCTCTGTGGGAGTAGGCGGACTAGGCCTTCGACGAGATAAACGGGGTTCCAGTTGGGGAGCAACGCGTTTTTGTGTAATAGCCATTGGTCTATCCTGTAAGACACTCTTAGACTCGACTTTTGGTTTGCTTGCTCCTCTGGGTTGTGGTGGGGTTGGAGGCCGTTGCTTCTCTTGCACTATAGGCTTTGGACTGCGCTTTTGAGGATCCGGAGATGGAGTTGAGAGGTAGTGAGTTGCATGGCGTGTGATGATCTGAGGTGGTGTTTGTGGCCTCAAGACAGGTTTGGGGGGGCGTGTTGGCTTGGGTGATAATAACTCCGGAGGTGGTTTGCTGGGCGTTTGCGGCCCTGGTGTCAATGGACGGGGTTTTGGTTTTGGTTTTGGTTTTGGCTTCAATTCCAATGAAGGAATGTCTTGCGAGTATGATATCCGTCCTTCTGAGATGCTATCGACCTGTTCCTTGGGCGCTTTGACAGGGGTTCTCTTGGGGGTGCTTCGTTTCACAGGATCGCCTGTACGACTCTGCTCAAACATCGAGATAAGTGACCCAGTTGGTGGAATAGACCCCGAATCAACTATTTCACCGCTGCTTGTCGAACCTCCAATGCTAGTCTTCCTCCGCGGTGTTCGAGCTTTGGGACTTGGACTAGCACTTCGACTGGCCGCCAGTGTCGCAGCGATGAAGCTTGCGCTCTTAGGATCTGCCCTCCCGGCGGCTACACTTGGATGAAGCTGACCCGGACTAGAGCCCAGCTGTCTCAGTCGCGCCGCTATTGAGGCCCCATTCTGACCTTGGGTGTATTGCTCGTTGTCGATTGTACTTCCGCCTGTGCTCTGTGCTCCGAGCCGCTTTGTAGGGCTTCGGGGACGTCCAGCTGACGTCGCAGCTGTCAGCGCGCCATTGTCCTTTGGTGGAGGTGGAGGTGCAGGTTTTTTCTTGTTGAAAGCGAGGGTTGCGCCTCTGAGGGCTGCGGCAGCATCGGAAGAGCCCGTCGTATGGGCAGCGACGGGAGGCATCACCGTCAAGGCGACATTGACATTGGATTAAGGTAAGTTAAGGAATGCGATATGAGGTCATTCAAAGCATGCGTGTAGGGGAGCTTTGTTGATGATGTCGTGTCAGGTGAAGGTCGAAGAAAGCAGTTCAGAGGTTGTCGAGTGATGGTAGAGAAGAGGTGAGATTGGACGAGAGATTATCAAGATCGAGGAGGAGGAGGAAGAGGAGGGTCTGCAGGGTTCACGTCAAGTCATGTTCGCGGGTGCAACGGAAGTTCCATTGAAGGATGCCACGAATTCCAGGGACCTTTTAGCTGGATGTTCCACTTTGTCACACCTAGTGACCCAAGTCTCGGGCCAGTGAGAGCACTAGAGCCTCTATTGGCTTAGCGGACGTAAACGGTAGCTCAGTGCGAGGGAAAAACCCCTGACTAGGTATTTTTGGAACCAAAAGGTTACCAAGGGGACGGGAAAGCTGCGAGTAATTTACTCTTAAGATTCGCGAGTTTATGATATTACGCTCTTGGTTACTGTGGTAAAGAAGAGTCTTGTTCGTTCTGTAAATTTACTGAGAATCTCTGCTTCTGTTCCACACTCAGCTACTATATTTAAGTCCCTTTGCCAATCAGCTTCAACTACTGTCATGTGTTCGCTATGCAGACTATAGAGCCGTTTAAGATATCAAATTACAAGTCATCTCTTAATCTGATATCCGTAGTTGAAGACGCGAGTCTCCAGAAAATCATACTGTAGCCGAGATATGACCAGGAGGTTGGTTTTGGAGGTTGGTTTAGAGCTATGGCCACTCAACCAACCTCATCTATCTAGCCTTGAATCTAGAAGTACAGACTATTTGTTCACTGGCTTGCACGATGAACCAGCCTAACCTGAACTTGGGGTCTCTCAAAGAATACCGCACGCCAGATAAAGTCAGCATAGACTAACTCCTATCATAGATAATGCTGGACGTTAAGTAGTACAATCAGCTCTACTAGCCACGAGAAGGGAAGTCAATGGCACAATGTTCATAGTATCGGTAGACAAGTCAGTATAACTGGTTTACTCTTCGTCCCGATCTTTTCCATGAACAAGTCGTCATAAACACTTTAGTCGATAGGAAGCAACTATTGGTTAGACTGCTCATGCACCGAGTACATGAACACGATATCAACTTGTCTCACAGGTGTCTTGTATGTAACACTACCACCACAAACAAATGATTAGCGGCTATGTCTCTCGGGATATCTGTTTCTGGAAACCTAGAAAACCTGCGCCAACCCTTTATCCATTCCAAACAGAAAGCTTGTTTGTTGGGTTCCAACTCCGCAGGTCGAGTCACGCGGATAGACAGAACTGGAAGCATATAAAAAGTATAAGTAAAACTAATAGTAGCTGCAGCCATTCAAGTAAGCACTTAAAACGCCTTTTCTTGCGAACCTACCAATCCTCATCCTCATCCTCAACCCGTCAGGCCCTCTCTTGTCTTTTCGCATACCCGTACGCTTATTGCTTATTTCATACTAAGTATCGCCCTTTCCACTACCAATCTCGTGGATCTGGACCACTTTCTCACCAGGAGCCTCGACCAGAACGGGAGCTGATGGGTGCTGGAGGGTGGGCGGAGAGGGGGATTGTTGCCAACCTGGAGGGGGTGACGCTGGGGGCCAGTCTTGATAGGCTTGAGGATACATTTGCTGCTGTTGTTGCTGCGGTGCCATTCCGTAAGGTGTTTGCGGCTGGGTATGTGTCTGATCAACCATTTGCGCCTGAGGAGCTTGTTTCTTCTTGCGGTCTCGGCGAAGGATGAAGAAGATGGCGAGTCCTGCACCAACGATAAGAGCAACGCCTCCGACGACACCGCCTGCGATGGCGCCGACGTTGCTCTTCTTCCCGTCGCCTGTGTTGCTATCCTCACCCGCTTCGCCCTGTGGCACACCGGTAACAGTTGTGGTTGGTCTGGCAGTTTCTGACTGGGCTGTATCCTTGGAGCTGGGTTCTCCTATGCTTGATGCCTCGACGATTACCGAAGTGGCAGCCGCCGGGAAGATGGCTACTTGGAGGGATGATTTCTCGTAAGTGTCGATACCAGAAGGGAACATCATGCTGGTATATCCAGATTTCGTGTGACAAGCATGCTTTTCGATGTTGTTGGGGAAGTTGATGATGTAGCATTCCGTCCTGGTATTTGCGGTACTGTTCACGATATGTGTAAGTGAGTGGCTTTCCAATTCTTTTGCGTACATAACCTACCATTTCTCGATATTGGTGTTTCGTCTGCAGTCCTCGTCACACTTATCAATGTTCAGGGCATCGACACTGTTCATGCAACCCGTCTTAAAGTCCCTCTCACCGCAAAAGGCAACATTGTACTTGACGTTCTCCCACATACACTTCGTACCGGGGGTGCAAGTGAAGGAGTGCTCAGTATTTGGGGTGTAGAAACCACAAATATTGTCCGGAGCTACCGTGATACTAAGGGTTTCGGTGGTTGAGCCGTCTGCACGTTCGTACAAAGAACGAAGAGCTCGGATTCTTGCTGGTGAGGTTGGTTCTGGTGCTTGAGGGGGCACATCAACGGCATTCGTTCTGTCGATGAAAGAGCAAAACACAAGAGCTGCTACAGCGAGGCATCTCATTGAGGAAGCCATATCTCAGCAAGGGTATGGATAATCGAAGACTGAGAGTGCGCGAGAACAGAGACAAGTTGGGAGGATATGAGGGTAAATTCAAAGGACAATCTCGACAAGACATTGATATTTCAGCTGTCCAGGAATCAGCCCTGGCTGAGCAAAGCCATCGCCACCATTTCCCTCTCGCATGCAAAATAACCAACAAGTTCATCTCGTCAAGACATAGCCTGCGCCCTTGACCACATCAGAAATGCGAACGGCTGAAGAGCCAAGACCCAGAAATTAAGAATAAGCACTTACTAGCGCCATCGAGCTGAACCGGGCTTGCATCATTTCCTAATCAATAGCCCAAAAGCCAAATCTTAACCTTACGTTGATCGTGTGAGTACCGTATGGCCGTGTTGGTCGTCTTGAGGCTGCTCACCTCGTACGTTTTGAGCATAACGACTAGGATACCACGTTGTATGTAACCACCCTTCTAAGGCTGAACGAGAAGAGATCTGATCGAGGGATTTGAGTCATCCCATGATTTTTCATGGCTGTGTTGGCGTAAAGAGGCTTGCGGGGGTGTTTATGTTGGCTGGATAGGGAATGCAACAATCGGCAGTCCTCCTACTCAGTGAGGATTGAGATTTCAATAGAATCAATTGGTTAATTTGGAAAATGACTAAGAACATCCAGAGTCTAGTCTCGTCTTTGGGATATCAAGAGAGTATCAGCTGATGGTGCTCGCACTACATTATGTTACTCAAGGGACCATATGAGACAGTATCATGACCGTAGATATACTTGGTCAACAAGTCACAGATCAACACCCGAGTGATAAACAATATCAGTGTAGCAAATATGGACTTTGCCAAATCCTCAAGTTGTTGTTGTAAATACCCGAGTTGTCTTGTCGACACACTACGGCATCCGCTTGTTCTCCTCCTTGCTGAACACTGTCTTGCATATTCTGATCGAATCCAGCTGCTAGTGGAATCACCATTCCTGTTTTAGGTATTGTAACGCAGTCATGCAAATCCTCTCTTCGGAGGTTTATGTCCAGAGCTGCGATGCTGCCAGCCACCACTGAGTAACTCTCCCTTCGCCCTTTATGATACAACTTACATTGTCACAAGCTACATGCCATTCGTCAGAATGGAACTAAGATATTGTTAAATTTGTCTTTTTTTCTTTCTTTTCATCCTTTAGTTACCAGATCCCTGTTCTAGTTCTTTTCACGGTCCTCCTTCAGAGAGACAATACGGTTAAGCACAATCTTGTCGTCTGTGGTATCCAAATCCATAGCCTGTACGATCGTTAGTCACTGTTCTTGAATCGGTGCGATAGATACTCACAAAGTAGGCAACACGCATGGCCTGGAATCGAACACTCTCAGGGCCGCTGACCTCACTTGTCTCACCAGCCGTAACGGGCCAAGGAGCCTTCTCGCGCACCTCCTTGAAGCCCTCCTCGACCAAAGCCTCGGGGTAAACGACCTCACTGTCGGGGTTGACGTCGTTCAAGAATCCTCCCTCAACGGCTGTGGGGTCGTCGGACTTGAATAGAGCGCTGTGGATTCGGGCCTCGACCTTGATAGAGCCTTCGGGAACCCACTGGATGTAAGTCTTGGGTTTACTCTCCTTGTCAAATATGGCCTTGATGCTGGTAACCTTGCCAGAGTCGTCCTTCTCGAACGAAGTTGCCTTGATAGGGTGAGGGGCATTAAGGAGACCAACGGTCTTGCCAGGAGCAAGTCGGAAGTATCCCTTGATATCCTCCTCACGGAAATCGGATCGGTCAATGTAAACGGTCTTGGTTAGACGGACCTTGTGAGTACCAAACTTAGGGTCCTTGGGAGAGTATGGAACCTCGAGTTCCTGGGTTTCCTCAAGATCCTCGATGACAATAGGAACCGGATCCAACACAAGCATAAGACGTGGGACTGTGTTCTCGAGGTAACGACGAACAGTCTGCTCAAATCTGGCGATCTGGATGATTGTCTTGGCTGTGGTAACACCAAGCTCGTTGATGAAAGCCAGAAGAGCGCCAGGGGGGATACCTCGTCGCTTGATAGCGATCAGTGTGTAGAGACGGGGGTCATCCCAGCCTCGAACAATCCCACCCTCAACGAGCTTCTTGAGGGCTCGCTTACTCATGATTGTTCCACTGACGTTGAGACGACCTATAAAGTATTAGTGCGAAATCTTGAAGCAGTCAGGGAAACTTCTCACCAAACTCTCGCTGCATTGGCTCGTAGACCTCTAAGGACTTGTTCAACCACTCGTAGCTTTCGCGGGACAGGATGAACTCGGTAGTACACAAACTGTGTGTAATGCCCTCAAAGCTATCGCAGAGACAGTGTGTAAAGTCGTATGTAGGGAAGATCTTCCACTCAGGGGCTCGGTGGTGAGGCTTCTGCTTCTTGGGTATTCTGTAGGCGGCAAGATCCCACATCTGGGGGTTACCATTTGTGATATCCTGCTTCATGCGAAGAAAAGCAGTCTGGGGCTCGTATTTGCCGTCGTGCATATCCTGGAACTTCTGGAGGTTTGTCTCAACGTCCTGCTCAGCATGCTTGCATCGGTAACGGGGGCCCTCCTTTCCTTCCTTTCCACCGCGCTGGAGCTTGATCTCGGCCTCGTTACAATGGCAGACGTATGCCTTCTCCTTCTTGATCAGCTCCTTTGCAAGGTCGAAGAGCTTCTGGAAGTTGTCGCTTGAGTGTGTGATGGCGCTGGGCTCGAATCCTACGCGCATTTGACGTTAGAGCGGACGGTTCGCATATTATGGACATGGAAATTCCTACCGAGCCACCTAATGATCTTGAGAATCCATTCGAAGTATACTTCCTCCTCTTCGTCAGGGTTTGTGTCGTCGAATCTGTCTCTGGTTAGCTACAGTATTAGATATTTTCAATGGCACCATACCGTAGGATCTATCACATATTAGCATCTTCTTTAATAACTTCCCATGATATTCTAGCTTACCGTCTTGCCACCGTGGAAGCGGGCAAAGCCAAAATCAATGGCAATAGCCTTGGCGTGACCCAAGTGAAGATATCCGTTCGGCTCGGGAGGGAATCGCGTAACGACAGGCGTCACAGGTCTCTCCTTGTAAACATCGGCAAGGAAACCCTGCTTGAACATGGCATCGGGATCGAGCTGGGTAGGTTCCTGGGCCTTGGGCTTAGGCGCAGCAGCAGGCTTAGGGTTGGCCTCCTGGTTCTTTGCCTTCTCCTCTCGTGAGGCCTGGGCAGCAGCCTTCTTGGCTCGCTTCTGGGTTCGCTTCTTCAGCTCGTTGCGCGTGACCTGCTCCCCGGTCACCTCGTCAAGTACGAGCTTGACAGTGGCCTCGGTGACCTCTGCGACGGGGTCGGACATGATATCGGTCGGCGTGGGGTCGCTATTCGGTTTTGTTTGATATGTTTTACGATGATTTGTTTGGCTTGAAAGACGTTTAGCTTTGTTCGATGTTCGAAGCTTGTGGTGGGGTTATTTTTGGCGGTGGAAAGTTATCATCGAGAGATGTTGGTGGGGGAGGGGTGGAGGGGTCGTTTCCGAGACCGCAATTGGACAGCATTGAGTCATAAGGGGAAAGATAAAAGATAAGACAAGAAACATCGTACACCAAAGAAACAAGCATCAGCTTGACGATCTATTTAACTGAATAGATCGGTAGATCAAGTATCGTTAAGTTCCAATTGCTCAGCAAGATATGATTCAAGATGCAATTGAGACCCATAACGATTGACTCATAGTAACATAGCAATGCTGCCCGCCATTGTAATACACAATACCAGATACTATTGCTATCACTTGTGCCTCACCAATCTTTTCGCATCCTGCCCTTCAAAATCATTAATATTTACTGCCAAATGAACTGTCCTTTGGGAATACAAAGGAGATGTCAACACAGACAGTTGTGCGCTGATTGGAAGGTATAAATTCGAGCTTTTATCCGCAATCGTTAAAAGTCCAAGTTCTACATAAATCAACCTGCAATCCCTCTCAATTCATTGATATCTATGTATTGGCTACATAGGGACATACTTCATCCAATGGTTAAGTGATGTCCAACATTCATATTGTCTACCATTGATGTTGGATTGCTTGTGAGTCAGCTACCCTAGATCATTTAGATGGACTTATCTGTCCCTGTCGAATAGTCAAAACTGGACTATGAATAGCTCAATATTAGGGTTTAGGTCTACATATTAAAAAGGAAGATTGCACTTTCTAACACGGAATGATTCACTCCTTGAGTATCAAAACCAACAAAGTTGGGAGTGTAAATAAGTTGGCTGGTCATATACACCAAAGCCAATGCTAAGCCGCGCAGACTTGACAGTTATCTTAATTTGGCCAACGTTCGATGGATTTGACGTCACTGCCAAGGGATCAAATTCAATGGGTTACACTCCTGTCGGGAAGTGGGCGTCTTGTTAAACATTGAACATACTTCGCCTGTAATAATCACCAGGCGCATTGTGATTGCGGGGAGCTTGCAACGGTGTGACTATTGAGGCTAAGACGAATGTGTCTCATTTTCCTACGGATCCCAGCTCTAGGTAGTAAGACGAAAAGTGGCTGGTGTCTGTCGTCAGATGAAGAATTGACAATGGTGAACATTGTTACAATATGAGTGGGGGTCACCCCCTAGAGGCTCCTAAGAAGATATAGAGATTTGCAGCTTTACGTATCGATTTACAGGGGCATTGGTTGGCCAGAACATTACCCTGGGCCTGGGGAGACTTGATAGTGGTTCAAAATTCCGACATCCGAAGTCCCCGTCGTTGAGCGTGGGATGCTTCTCCAAAGAGTATCCTCGTCATCTCTAATGCCAATGTCGTGATATGGCTGACAGCGGTTACAAGGGTTTGAAGCCCACATAGTGCTTGATTGACGGTGGCTCATGCGTGCTCTAGACTTCATTGGGGCACCTAAATCAATCTCCCCGAAGACTGAGTGTGGCGTGAATCCACCGGCTATACCTTGTCCACCGATCCGTCCTCTGATTGCAAAGGGCCCTCGCACGCAATCGGCTGCTCGCCAGCTCGCCATGAGCAGGGCAGGGAATTGTCTACCGTAGGCAGATTATACAGTACCTAGTTAACGATGGAAGAAGATCGCGGCCTCATTCCTCGACCAAAGACCTCGCAAAGTCTTGCTGATACCGATAGCGAGAGCCTCTCCAGTCTCAACCGCATCGTCATGGGCTGCCGAGTCTGTCGCGCAAGAAAAGTAAGTGGTGTATTTATTCTGCAGCCAGCTACTGACATGCGATAACCCACAGGTAAAATGCGATGGCCGTCCCAACGGTTGTCGCAACTGTGAACGTCTCCAACTCGAGTGTGTTGATGACGACGGATCAAAGTCTGGCAGTCGGCGCGGATCAGCTCCTGTCTCTCTGAGAAAGATCCGGACCTACCGCTCATGTACCGGCTGTCGCGTCTCAAAGACAAAATGCGACGGCGACCGCCCGAGGTGTTCACGATGCTGCGCCCGTAATCTCGAGTGCCAGTATGACGGAGGCTCGGCTCCTCGCTGGGCGCGTAACCTCAGCAAGGCACCGACATCAGGCTCAACCGAGGAGGATTTGGAGTCTTCCTTGGGTACTTCTTCAATCGCTGGGGATAGTTTGAGATCCCCTAGTCTCATCCAATCCCGGGAAACTGATGTCGCAGCATCTCAACGGTCAAACACCAAAGATACCAGTATCCTTGACCTACCCATAGACTTTTCTGACGATACCGAGTTGTCAATTCATTCTTGGTGAGCTTAGGAACAAAGCACGGAACTCTGATTTAATCTTACTAACACATCCTCGTAGGCTCGTATCACCAGATCTCCCATCTGGAAACAACATCCGTACTGCAGTTGACCACTACTTTGCAAACATCCACCCCCTCCGATGCTTTGCGTTTGTACATAGACCGTCGTTCACTCGACAGTTAGATAAGGGCTTCGAATCCGAAGATGAAAGAGCATTGCTACATATCATTTGCGCCCAGGGTGCCAAGTATGATTTCCCTCTCGTCTTAAGTGAACATGATACTAATTGTCCAGGTTCTACGCTCTATCCATCAATGTGGAGGACCAAGATGCCAAGGCGAGCTTGATCCGAGCTGCGGGCAACGGCTGGGCACAAAAAGCTGAGCTGCTGGTACTTACCAACTTTGGCAAGATCTCAGTCCAGAGACTAATGGTATGTTTCAAACAACAAAGCTCATAATAACAACTGACCAACATTGCTCAGACATGCATATTGCTTTACGATTTTCATTTTAGACTAGGCGAATACACTCAAGCTCTCATGTTGAGTGGACTTGCCGTCCGCATGGCTCACGCTTTACAACTCAACGTTGAATTCTCACCAGACATTCTCTGTGCCGAAGCCAACGAGTCTTCTCCACCAGCTGTGGAAAAGGAGAGCCGCCGGAGACTTATGTGGGCTTGCTACATCCTGGACGCCTGGACGGGTAGCGGTGTCGACCAACTGACACTCCTCCGCGAGGCCGATATCAAGATCCAATTGCCGTGCAATGAGCGTAACTTCCGGCTTCGTATTCCTTGTGTGACTGAAACACTTGGCGTAGGACACGTTCTTCAGTTTCTACCGCCGGCGATTGTTCCACGGAGACCGGCTGCCAACATGGGTATCATGGCTTACTACATACGAATCGTTACCCTTTGGAAGCGAGTAGTCAGGTTCGTTTGGAGTGCGGAAGTTCCCTTTGATAGACTCAAACATCTAACCCGAAGACAGATATGTCAAGCATCTGAACACGAGCCCACCTCCATGGCTTCCTGAGTCCGACTTTGCTGCTCTTGATGCTGATTTGCGGTCATGGGGCCGACACCTCCCCGAGTTCATCTCATACTCCACTGATACCATCTACGCCCGTCTTGAATCCGATCAACTTGGCTCACTTGTCCTACTCCATTGCACATACCACCACAACCTCTTAGATCTGTATAGAATATCCATGCCGGATCTGTTCAAGCTGATCAAACCTTTTTACTTCCCTCCGAACCAAGAGGAGTTTCTGCAGTCTTTGCAGGCCGATTGCTTCTACCACGCGCAGCAGATTGCTACCATCTTGGCCGAAGCTGTTCAGCATGGCGCACGGTACTTGGCTGACAGTCTATTACCATGCTTTGCTTATGATAGCAGTCGGGTGATGCTGTACTACATTGCAAGGCTGCTTGATCTTAGTAGACCTGACGCTGAGACCATTGTTGTGGATGCCATCAATGCCGTGGAGAGCAACAGCAAAATCCTACGAACCATGGCTGCCCTATTTCCGCTTGCTGATTCTCTGGTATGTGGAACCATTTGAAGAATAATAATTGGGATAACTTTGCTGATTGGGATATTAGGCAACTACCACAGAAAGATGGTTAGCCAAGATCCGCAAGACATTTGCCCAGGATGAGCATATGAGTGACCGGCCCTTACATGGCGATGAGGAGAGGTAAATAACATCCACCTTTCGCATTATTTTGTGTGCTGACATTATAAATTAGATCACCACTCTCTGGAAGTCCGATTACCAGCAGCCCCGATGAGGCTCTAGGAGCACTCGGTTTAGCACGGCTCGCCCAAGGCGAAAACAGTGAAATCAAGCACATAGACCACGATGCTTGGAATAAGGTTGGAAGTGGCTCCTCGAGCGCGAGCAAAGTCGGAGCCGGATCTACATCAGGGGCCCGGCCAAACAGCCAACCTGAAGAGACACCGGCGCGATCCAAACTACAGCACGAGCAACCAGTATCTCAGCGAACACCTCCCGGAGCTACCACTTCTTACATGAACCATAAGGCAGTAGATCTGAGCGATCTACAGAACTATTTGACCTGGGACATGTACGGCATTATGGAGATGAGCGACAACGGTCTGAAGGCTGGTATAGAAGGCAACGGGGTGCCCTCCTGGAGCGCGATGTGATTCAGAAAACCCTTGATTTGTGTTTTTGAGGTACAGCCTATTAGCGGAGACTATCTGATGCTTCGAATATTGGGTTTCGGCGTATAAGGATATGGAGGAGGCCTTCTCAGGACATTTCGGCCTATGGACTTGGGATACTGTCAGGATGATTACGACTGAAGAGCTCCACGGCTATCACGGAACGAGCGGCCGTGCATTAAAGTGACAGATGTCACGGGGATTTGTCCCATATTAACTTCATGTCAACGTTTGGACCTATAATTTCATACTTACGGGACACTTGGTGCTAAGAGCGGCGACTCCGATGGAAACTTTTTGGGCGCCAACAATTTGGACATAATCAGCCTCGAGTCCAATATTCTTTTTTTATTTACTTGGATACCCGATGAACATTGAGAACTGGCGTTGATGCCCGTGGACTTCGGTTAGGCGCTGCTTGTTTCACTAGAGGGCTACAACTTCTCCCTTCAAATATCAACAATATTGCACTAGGAACCCCCGGGCAGTTCAACCAAACTTATGGCTTTGGTGAGGTACTAGTGAAGCTCTGGTACATGATCGATCGACCTTGAGGTGAAGGAGCTACACGGTCTTTAAGGTCTAGAAGCACTCCAGCAGTCAACTGACCATCCTGTTACAAGGAATCGTGCGATAGTTAACGGACAGCGACAGAAGGAGATTAGTGGAAGTATATGGAAGGATCAGGGCAACACGTCATCGAACAAACGGCGGCTCAACTGAGTGTTACGGGGGGTTTAATTGCCATAGTTAGCACTGATCATATGAGTGCCAGGCGTCGAGCACGCACAGGTTTGTTACCAGGTAGTTAGGTGCTAGCAGGGAACTCGTGCAGGAAAGACGGTAATGACAGTTGTGATAACGACAAACACCGTTAAAGCTTGGGCCTTGGACACAATCAATCAATTAATTAATCATTAAAAAAAAGGCACTCAATTATTGTCTCTCGGAAATCGATCACGGGTAGGGTTCAAGGGGCTTCGGAGGATTGACGAGCTGAGGGGTAGCCATGGCAATCCCAGGGAACCGTTGTTATGTTACATTGTTTACATGCGCCGCAGTAAGAAATAAGAAGAGGAGGGGAAAAAACCAAGATATTGGCTTACAAGAGCTGTACTATAGCTGCAGCTGCGGGATTTCTCGCCAATAAAAGGCTAAGCTCTGAAACAGTTGTTTATAAGAACCATGATTTAAGGCCAGTAAAGCCAGCAAAGCCATGGATGGATATGGATGGCGTCGGACGATGGCTGTGATGGATACCCGGTAACTACGGGCACACAGACTTTTTTCTCTTTCCTTACTCTGATCGGATCGGAGCAGGGGAAGAAAAACAAAAGACTATACTATCTAATTCGTATAGTGGTGTAAAAGTAAATCTCTGTTTGCAGCTGCAGCTGCAGCTTAGTGCAGTGTAGTGCAGTGCAATCGTTCCTTGTGATACAAAACATGACTGGTTTGTTTTTTTACTTTTTGTTCCTGCTGTTTGCGGAGTTCTCGATTCGATTCGATTCGCTTCGCTTAAGCTTGTCTGTCCTCTTAGACTAAAAGACTAGATGATCGTGTTCCGCTTCTGCACATGCAAGTCAACGAACGATGATCGATCAACAATGCAAGGAGCTGGAGCAAGACGCCAGACACACTTACTTGCGTTTACCTCACATAGGCAGGTAAGGTATGCTTATGCTTGTCTTGGCTTTGACTTGAGTTTTGAGTTTTGAGGAACATGGGAACATGGGACGTGGTAAAACAAGGAATTTAGGTGCATTTTGCATTTTACGGTGAAGCTTAGGCCTCGGTAGTTGAGCTATTAGTTAAACGAATATCCAGGTACGTACCTACACCAAAGATCACTTTAATCATTCGATCGTAATAAGGCGACAAGTGGGAAACAGCATCATCGAATTCCATCTCTTCCAGGTTCGCATCGTGGACGGGCCAGAAATTGTCCCCCTTGGAAGCGAGCGCATTCAAGGATAACAAGATAAGATGCCCACTTCAGGCCAATCATGGACTTTAATTACTGGAGCCCTGCTGCATTAGTTGATCAGCCGCGCTCCAGCAATCCCTTCAGTGGCCTCAAAGCCCTGGAATATCCCTGCCAAAAGTGAGCTACAGCGGGGTAATAGTGGTGAAACACTGGGGCACCCGAAATAGCCCGCCAATTGTGAATCGCCTTACTTGAAGGGAGGTTGCTGTGGCAACTCGCGACTTCACATCGTTTACTTGCGCCCCAAAAGCCAAAAGCCCTTTGTGTGAATACTTCCATGGCCCGATCGCCAGACTTTGACTATTTTCCAGTTGTCTCAGCCGCTTTCACGTCTCTCTTTTTTTCCCCTTACCTCACCTCCAAAAAACCCTTCATCACGAACCCGCTTTTGCGGTGCATGGCAGTTAACACAACATCCTTTTAGTTTTCGCTTTGCGCATAGGATGCTAAACTCCGCCTCGACGACTTCACTCCACTGCTCGATGACCGCTAGCGAGAGAAAGTAAACAGACACAGACACGATTGCATTATACCCGAGACCACGATTCACGCTTCACGCATCGCATTTTTCAAGAACAACACTTCTCATACGTTCCGCGCATTCATTTACAGGCTAGCGCATTTCTTCCCTGCCCTGCTTTCCTATACCACCATCGTCTGATCCACGTTATTGCTCCTCGGCGACGGCGTTCACGGCCTAGACAAAATGGTGGACACAAGTTATCTTGCGCAGCAGGTCAACAGCAGTATCGGCCAGCTGCACGGCCTCTTTGACGAGATCGGCGTCCCTGATCATGAGCGCGAAGCTCGCGAGTCTGAGGTATGTTTATTTCGATCGCGATAGCAGACTGTCGTCCGCTAACTCCAACAGCTCTTCTCAGCACTGTCCGAGGCACTCAACAGCCAAGTGCGACTCGTCAATTCAGAAAAGAAGGAGATGGTCGACGAGGCCAAGAAGATCATCACCATCATCCACCAAATGGAAGCATCACTGGACGACTCAAATCGTCGCCGTGACTACGAGGGCGACGATGAATTGACCATCACATATCCCTTGTCACGATGCCTTCAACGCCTCAAGGAGAAGCACACCCAGATCAGCCGTCTCCACAAGGAGCGCTTTGATCAAGTAAAGAGTGCGTATCTATTGCATCATCGTATATATATCTTCGTTTACTGACACCATACAGAGCTCGTAGTGGCCCTGGAGTCCTACTCTTCCCACCTGGAACCCACATTTGTCCAGATCCCTTTGCCGCCTACAGGACCGAATCAATCTATCCCCGCCAACTTTGATCTCTCCTCCACATACGTTGACAAGCTCGACAGCGAGTTCACGCGAGTTTATGAGGAGTATTCTCGTCGCATCGCCACTGTACAAGCCCTCGCCGACCAGACTATCGGTCTCTGGGCGGAACTTGGTATCCCCCAAGCGCAACAAGACGGTGCCATTGTTAAGTACTACCGTGATTCCCCCGAGCAGCTTGGTCTGCACGAGGAGGACATCAACCGACTGCGCGCCAAGCGCGACAGACTCTCAGACGAGAAGAAGAACCGAGAGAAGAAGCTCAAGGAGCTTAGGGTCGCGGTTGAAGCTCTTTGGATCAAGCTCGGCGTCGATGAGAGTGAGACCAAGCCCTTCCTAAACGCGAACCGCGGCTGCGGTGTCCGCCAAATCAACGAGTTTGAAGATGAGCTTGCTCGCCTGAACGAGCTCAAGCGCCAGAACCTCCATCTCTTCGTCGAAGATTCCCGCATCAAGCTTCAAGAACTCTGGGATGCGCTATACTTCTGCGAGGATGAAATGCTCGAGTTCACACCTGCCTTCTCCGATGTTTATAGTGATGCTCTCCTTGAGGCTCATGAGCGCGAAATTGTCCGTCTAGAGGCCCTCCAGGAGCAGCGCGCACCTACACTCGCCCTGATCGACAGACACAAGAGCCTGATCAAGGAGCGCGACGACCTTGCAGCATCCAGCCAGGATGCGTCGCGACTCATGGGTCGTGGCCAGAAGGGAGAGAAGCGAGACCCCGGAAAGCTTCTTCGCGAGGAGAAGATGCGAAAGCGCATTACCAAAGAATTGCCCAAGATCATTGCAGAGTTGCGCAAGTTGCTCTCTAACTGGGAAGACGAGTATGGACGACCATTCCTCGTGTTCGGCGAGAGCTACTTGGAAGAGCTTGAAGCCGCGGAGGGATCAAGAAAGAACGTGCTACCACCGCGTTCCAAGACACCCGCTGGCCTACCTCCTTCGACTGTCAAGGCGCCCAAGTCAGTGCCAAACCTCCGGGCTACAACCAGATCCATCCCCCCTCGCTCTATGAGTAAGACACCTACAGCCGGTGCACCTCCTCCTAGACGACCTGGACACCAAACCACCGCATCCACATCTAGCATCCCACAAAGCCCTTTGAGGAGCCCATCGCGAATCCCTGCCCGAGTTCCTCTCTCCAACATGAAGCATGGCAACAATTCTCCCGAGCGACCTCGGGCTGAGTCTTGTGCCGACGTCTTCCGACCGGGTCCGCCGTTGATGAGAGCTCCCCCTCCCAAGATGCGTGAGTTGATGGCCCGCGCCGAGTTTGAAGCCCCCCCAAACCCTTACAAAGGAGCTGGCCTTGGTTCCAGCATCGTTCGTCAAGTTGAACCTGAAGATGTTTACGATGACCGTCCAAGAACGGCTCGATCCAACTCCAACAACTCTCAATACAGCTACCCAAGCAACACTTCCCAATTCAGTCACCCCAGCAACAACTCACAGCTCAGCCAAACAAGCTATAGTGACGAGAGTTATCATGATCCATATGCTAGCATCCGTTCTCAAAGCTTTCGTAAGGTTGCTCCACCTCCGCGACAGATCTCTGGTGAATCAATGGCATCAACCAATATCTCTGGATCTGAGAACTGGGAGACGTATGACGACGACAACAGCGAGCCTGAGCTTGACGCTTCTGATGCCTACTATGCTAAGCTAAGAGCTACGCAAACCAAGCGGTTCTCGCCAGAGCAAAGTCTTCGGCCTGCGAGCAGCCAGTCCAAGCGCATACGCGGGATACCTCCAACAGGGTCGTACAACGGGCCAGTCATGATTGACCAGGACGGTAACCGCATCATCTCTGGCAGTGAGTGGACTGACGAGGATGGCTACTAAGCCCTAGTCGGCAGCATTCTTGATCTTCCCACATCCAGCATTTTGTCCACGAATGATGTCAAAACAAAGCAATCATACCGTTCTGAACAATGATGGATTCACGCAAGTCTTTGATGATGCAGGCATCTCGCGACCCTTGAGTGAGCCAACAGCAGAGCGTCGCATAATTAAGCCTGTCTGGTAGCAATACCTATGCATGACTGAATGTCTCCATGATAATGCCAGACAGTAAGGAGTCTTCATACTTCCACTTCCTTTGGACATGTTTTGCCAGCAAGTTTTTCTTTTTTCATTCTTTTTTACCCTTCACTTTTCACCTTTTCTCTCTCTTTCTCGTCTTTACCCCGACTATTTGCGCTACATCTCGCCCGGCCCAACGCCAGGAATTCCTGTATTCTTTTTTGTTTTTTATTCTATGTTCGAGACGGGCACTGTACACATACAGCCTTTTCTTTAAGGAGGGAGGCCTGGTGACATAGGCAGCTTGCTTGCCCTAGGATAATAGGGGACGTGCATAAAGGGGTCGAGGGCGCTGGAAAACTGAATTGGGAGGGACTGGAAGGTAGGCAGGCGTCTAGGATTGATCTTTGGCGTTTATTAATTAATGTATATCCGGATTTGGCCGATCGAGCTGTTCGACCAAGTCTTCAACAATGTTACTTGTCTTGATTTGATATTGACCGTTCTAAACTGTGATTGTTCCTAAATGTGAAGTATAGGCGTTTCCCAATAACCCAGAGCAAGTCCAACTACGTGGTGTGTAAAAGTAAAAGTGAAAGTGCAGGTCCAGACCACAACATGGCAAGAGCCACAACCACCTTTAAGCAAGTCTTCTACCATCCATGGATGTCTCCTCCTGGACTCGCCAACTACATACTAAAACTACAACAATGACTGTCGCTATCTTTTAATATCCCTACAAAATCAATACCAATGTCTTTGAAAACCTACGGATACTGGTCGGGCAAGCTCAAGGGCGTCGAGCTCCCCGATAATGCCACAGATCTCCACGCTCTCATCGAGTTGGACACTTCAACCGGTCAAGAGGCCACCCATGCTTCCATCAACATTCGCTCCAAACTCTTTATCGAAAAATCTCGGCTCGTTTACTGGCTTTTTCAAGGGTTCCAAAAACCAGACGACGCGTCTTTTCTGGAACGGGGCTGGCATGAGGTTATCCAGCTGGCTTGTCTAAATCACCGCGAGACCAGTCTCGACTATCTCCGGCTTGACAAAGGTAGCCATTTAGAAAGCGCGGAAATGCTCCGTAGAGCGGATGATATCGGCGATTATCTGGAGCATCTTATCAATAACGCCATTGAAAAGGACGCAGTTGCTCATATCTTCGGCCAACTCGATCGCAAGCGGAAGCTGATCCACGATGTTCACATGAATCAAGGGAGTTGCGACGAATTCTAGAAAGAGAACACAATTCGACAAGATGGTGGCATAATGCTTGAGTTTCCTGATGGGCATATGGAAATTCTGTTCTTGGCTTTCGCATCACAGGCTTCGAAAACCGACTTAAATGGCCGGGCCGACGGGCCGACTTTGGGGGATGTTCTTGAGCATCGAGAGTCTAAAGCAGGTGCCTCAAGCAGTTCAAGCAGCTCAAGTAACCAATCCGCCAAAGAAGAAACACCTCGCACGAAATACCCAGCCATTGCCATCATTGCGCTGCTACTCAGCCCAGGCCACGTCGACAACGGGAAAGCGCCACTGCATGAGATCAGCCTGCGAAACATGACTAACAAGGAGGTATCTACTTCTGGGTTGAGGATAACCAATAGATTCAAGGTTGGCTATGAAATCAAAGAAGCGCAGATGCATCGGAAGGGGGGCCGCTTAAAGTTCAGAGTTCCAGAGGACATGTTCTCCAAGGACGGTGGCATGATATTCTTGCAGGATTCGAAGGGTAAAGCGATTGATTCAGTGAGTTATACAAACAAGCGGGTTGAAGAGTCAGGAAGACTTATCTATTTTGGCCGACACCAGGCAAGATCGTTGTCTTAGGATGACTAGACTAGCGCTCCATGTCGACACCAATTATGCGACGAGTTGGACAGAAGATATACAAGGTAGGGATTCAAAGCAGGAGTACAAATAGCGTTGTCAAAGAATTAAGATTTAAGAATTAAATCACACCACTCTAGTGGCATATACTGGTATACAAAAGTCCCATCTCCCTAATGCTAACTCATAGATCCAAAACGCCGTCCCTACTGTAGCCAAGCAGCTGTTCAAATAAGAGATACCTGAGGTTAGTGGGAAATCATGGTTTACCACCAGTTGAAGATGGTGTTCCAGGTCTTCCAAGGGCCACGTCGGGTAGGAATCTTGTTCTCGGGAGTAGAGATCTCGTAACCATCATCGATATCCTTGGAAACAGTCTTGGATGTGTAAGAGTTGTCGTCGCTCTGGAGCCACTTGTTGAATCGACCCTTATCCTTGTGGCGGTAGGAATCGACGGGCTGGGGGAGGACCTTGGTGCACTCAGTGAGGCTGTTGATGTTGTTAACACCCAGGAGACTGAGACGGACGTAGGCACGGGCGTAGTCCTGGTTCCAGGCTGCCTGGCCAGTGCTGCCACTGGCGAATGCTTCAAAGGCAGGCTTGGTGAGAGGATGCGCGGCAAGGGCCACATCACTCTGGAACTTGTACACGCGCTTGGGGGAGTTCTGGTCGATGGTCTGCTGGTAAAAGAGGATATCCCAGACACCAGGGGTGCTGTCCTGGGGATCACCATCACGGTCAATGTTGGTGTGGTGCTGCTGGGAAGTAGTGTGGGCACCGATAAGGGCAACGAGATCATCAGGGCCGATGGTCTTGTCCTTGAAAAGGTTGATGAGAGTAAGGGCATCTGAGCTGACTTTGGGCAAGAGACCTCCCAAGTTGGCCTTGGTGGTGTCCTTGCGGCCGACGAAAGAGCGCACTCGGGGACCGAGGGGGCATGTAACAGCGGCAATGTTGGAGCCCATTTGGATCAGATCAGCCATGGTGACCTGGGAGAATCCATACTGGTTGCGGTACTTGTCGTAGATGGTCTGGTAGTACTCTCCAATCTGCTGAAGACCCAGGTTCTCGCCGCGGGTCAGCTCGTCAGAAAGAACGATAGAGCCATCAGCACCGCCACCCTGAGAAGCGGTCTTGAGGGACCAGGTACCGGCATCATGGAACCCGATGCGCACGGCATAGCGGGCCCATCTTGTGCAGCGGCCAGCCTCACCCCTGAATTGGTCTTCAAGCTCGTTAGAGATGTACTGCCACACACAGCAGGTATCACGCTTGCATCGCTGAGAGTTCATGGAAGGGCAGCCAAGGTAACGCTCACGGCTTGTGGGGTTAGCGCTTCCTTGGAGGATCTTCTTGATATCACTTCCAACTGTAGTGAGAGACTTGTCGGGGACGGTTTTAAGATCACCAAGAAGGGAGTGAGCGTCAAAGCTGTCGCCAGTCCAGCCACCCTGACCTCCACCTTGGCTTCCGCCCTGGCCTGCGCCGTTACTCCAGTTGTCACTGGGGCTGCTCTGGCCGGGCCATGAAGATGAGTCACCTCCGCTACCGCCATTGTCCTGTCCAGGCCAAGAGCTTGAACCACCTCCGCTATTCCAACCTGAGGCCGGCGATTTGTTTCCACTGCCCCAGCCGTTACCCCAGCTTCGGGCAGCGATTCGTTCGATTTCCTTGATGGTGTCTCCCATTCCAGGGTGAGCAGCAGCCTCCGGGATAGGCGCAGCAGCCAGGGCGGCCGCGATGAGGACGGTAAACTTCATAGTTGCAGTATAAAGAGAGTGGTAGAATTATGGGTGGACTATTAGTAAAAGAATGAAGACTTGTAAAAGAGAGAGAGTATTATGCCTAGTGGCTTTGTAGTAAAGATTGTATAAAGCAGATAAAAGAGTGACTGCTGAAAAGAACGAGAGGACAAGCGAATGTCAGAGTGATAGGGAGCTCACTGCTTGGCGGACTTGAAGAGGACGAGAGAGAAGCATACTGTATATATATGCCAGAGACCCACCAGGTGTTTAGTCGAGTTGCTCTTGAGAAGCCGCCGAGGACTCTCGGCACGTCAGTTCCTGACCCCTGGCCTCTGCATCTAGCCTTGGTTCTAGCTTTGCGACTATCAAAAGCTCGATCAAGAAACAACCCAAGAACAGACGCTTAGAAGAACCCTGCACCCCATCATCGGGAGCGGCCTGTTGTCTAGAACCCCGTCGATATGGGACCCACAGGGCTATAACCATCAGTGCGTAGTATCAACTTACCCGCCACGCGACGTTGCAATCTCCTCCACGGAAGTGACGAAAGCAAGAGATTTGCTTTCTTGTTTGTTGCTAATTAGAGAAAATATCGTTGCAGGTTCAGCAGAGACGTTTAAGTGGTAGAAAGTGGATCCCTCGGTTACACAGGGAGCGTTGAGGCGTTCGCGCATGACGCCTCTTCCTGTTAAGCAATGGTCCAAGGTTTTTGATGTCGGCTGAGCCGGTTGATCTTGTGAAAGAGGCTACGGAGCTCGATGGGCCGAATCTCTTGGGAGCGGGTTTAGAGCGGATACGGTTGGGAATTGGTGTACTTTGAGCTTCGCCCGATGGGATATGCTGTGTACATGTTGTCGACGTCGTGTACTTGATCCTTGGTATGGCAATTAGTTGATATGTTTAAGTCGCAATCTCGAGAGAAAGCCTATATCTGTTTCCTCATATGTTGTTTATCTCCAGGGGCACAGTACCTGCAGCGTGTAAGATGATACGTCCGTGAGTACCCACATGCCGATCTCATCACCACACATGCTGTAGCATTCCCCTTTTGAAGACCTGGGCACAACGGCGCGATTGGGCTGGAGGGTTTCTCAGCTGAGAATCACATTCTTCTTATTGGCTGTGGAGTGGAAAGAGAGCGAGAGCAATATTGTTTCCTTTTCCTCACAAAGACAAGCGCGAGACGGCAAGTCTCGAATTGCGGTGGATCGAGGATCACGGAAATGATCCTTGCTCAGGTGGATACGAGTCCGATAGACGGGGAAGTTGAAGACTCTCGCTAGTCATGCCAAGAGCCTGAAGCATTGCTCAATAAGTGCTCTTTGCCTCTTCTTTTTGGACCGTGATGTTTTTCTGGTTGGTAGAGGCCTCACTTGTACAGAGTATGTTGTCGTTAAGTGGTCGGTCCAGTATTGAAGGAAACAGGAAGGGGGTTATGTTATACAGTGCCTTCCTTACCTACCTAGCTCGGCCACCCGTCACATGACTGACTTACGGCCACTTTGGCCTGAGATACAGTGGCTTGCAGGCTCATTATGCTTAATTACCTTCGCAATTAACTCTACTTCTTAGACGTTCGGTGAATACTCTTCTCTTGAACCGACGAACAATTACAAATCCCAGAGTCGAGAACTCGTCACTCTTCACCCACAAACCGACGGGCCAGAGTAGCGGAGCGAAAACCCAAGGAACACCCAATCACGATATCCTGAAAGTAATAAACTGACTAGTGAAGCAATTCGGAAATTTACCCCTGGCGCTAAAACGCAGTTGTGGCAAACCAGAATGAAACGAGCTCTTCCTTTGTTGGGATAGCTCCATTCTCCGTTGCACCTACAGCTCTTCACCTACCGTAGTTGAACGGTGAATAAGTCAGCTACTGCTCCTTACCCAGCTGAAGACCTTTTTCTGCAGCTCGTGAGGTGCTACTACTGTCAACTGCGCCGCCGTTCCCCTCGCACTTACGGATACAACTGAACTTGAAACAAAAAACTCGTATCTTCCTCACAATTCAAGACCCGCGATAAAGTCATAATATGACATGTAGCTCGGCTGACCGCCGCTATAGCTGAGTCACTTATGGAGTACTTTTGTTGACCTTCCCTTTCGGACTCAGTTGAACACAACTCTGACCGCTCTTACTGTATCTCATATGACAAGTAAGAATGCCCTGAGTTAAATTTGACAGGATTCAGACAATTATAGAACACTCCTTCATGTTCCTTCACTCCCCTGAAACTATCAACCTCGTCGTGTTCATATCTGCCTCCCTATATAACCTTATTATACACGTGAATCCTTACCACGGCCAATACCATGTTTTTATGATTAGCCACATGGTAAGTTATCTTTACATATGGGAAGGACAATAGTGACCACGAAGTTTTTGACTTTCTTTTTCGCTATCTGGAATGCGCTATGATAATTCTATTGTTTTTTGTTGTTGCAGCCAACCATCTTTCATTACATAGAGAACCTCCTGAGTGAGCTCACACCCGCGGGATCAGCCGATACATAAGCGTCCAGGTCCAAAGCAGCGCTACCGTCTCCTTCGCTGACCTTCTCTCCCCTCACAAGTAACGCAATACTCGTGCCTTCTCGCGTACGACAAACGCCCGCTCCCACAGCACCCTGAATGGCCCGGATGGCATATGAGTGAACCGTCAGGGATATGAATTCGCTGTCCCTTGACTCGTTGAAAATGTCTTCTAGAGCCTGGTGTTTCCGTACCACGTGCTCCTCATCCTCCTCTGGCTCGGTTCTATTCGTAAACTGATCCTCCTCCTCAAAACCGTCTTCAATCCTGTAGCTCGGATAGTTCTCAGCTATCCATGTACGACTCCTTCTATAATCACAAGTGTGTCGAGTAATTCTCTCTCTGAGTAGCTCTTTGACAATAGGTTGAAGGGGAGGTGTCTGCGAGGTCATGAGTGAGGAGAAGACGAGATCTGTGGTTTGCAGACAGCGCGCTAGAGGGCTGGTGTAGAAGACTTTGGGAAGTGGTGCGCCCTGAACATTGATGAGATCGGTCCAGAAGGCTTTGAGCTCTTGAGCTTGCTTTTCGCCCACTTCAGTGAGAAAGGCGTCAAACCAGGTTTCCTTCCCGTCTCCGTTTTCGAACGATATTCTTGTCTGTTGGGATTAGCATCTTACTCGAAAGTGACTGGTAATGATTACATACATTCCATGCTTCTGAGCCCACTTGAGCGTGCATCTTGTTATGCACACCGAGACCATGTCGAGTCAAGTATAAGACTTTATAACAGACATTATGGGAACTATTCTCGTTAAGCCATTTTACGTAGGCCGCTAGACGAGCCCAATCACGCTTATCTGGGGCGTTTGGATCATCCGAGGGGTATGTTTGGCCTGGGATGAGGCCCAGGTTGGGTTGTGTGGTGACCTTTTCTCCAGGGTACTCATGAGCGATGTCGGTGAGCTCAACAAAGACACCTGGCTGAGCCTTGAATATCCATCTGTCGGCCATTGCGTGATGGCTTTGTGGCACAGAAATATCTTGAAAAGGTCGGTGATCGCGCGTGCAGTCCAAGGAGTTCGTAGAAGTTCTCAACCGTCAGACAAGGGTATAATAGACGTTGTAATAACGATACTCGATGAAATGTGATGATCTGCGAAAAATGGTATAGCGTGATTCCGTATGTATGTGCTGAGTGTTTCTGGGCTGCAAAAGTTCTGCTGAAGTGACTGATCATGAGAAGACAACCAACCCTAGTAGGTAAGTACGAGGTTTGAGCCAATGACGTAGTTGGCAGAGATATGGGGCATCGCCGTCAATATCGGGGAGTCACGACGTAGGCAAGTCCACTCGTAAAAGAAAGAAAAATTGCACAAATTATTATGGGGAAACTAACTGCTATATCATTTGTAATGTAGTTGTTTGTATGATCAGTAACTATTTTATAGCTGGTTTGTATCACGACGTTTGTTGTATATGCAGTAACACAAACGAGAACCGCACATACTGCGATTTAAGACAAAGGCTAAGCATATAGCGGGAGTATAAACGCAGGGAAAAAAATTATGTTTGTTTTTGCAAGCAGTAAGTAAGTGCAGAGTAATTCTAACCAAAGCCAGTAATTGATCATCATGAACTTCTGAAAGAATTGAGGTGAGGCTCGTGATTAGACTCAGCCCTGATAGTGGATCCTGTTCTACACTGACGACAAGAGAGTCCAAATCAAACACCAACAGTCTTGTATCACTAGGAATTTATGAACATTGAAACATCTTGTTTGTCTAGACACAAGAAAGTCTAAATTCTGACAGCTTTTGGAGCACAAGGAGTTCTGTACTAGTTAGTCAAGGGTTATCTGGGTGAATGATTCATCAAAGTACAAGTGCAAATTTCAAATTCTATATCAGCTGTCTATAAGCAAAGAGTCTTAAACTAAATTTTTATGAGGACAAATCAAAGATAAAGGATTTGCTATGCAATGTACTTGTAGACTTTGCGTACCTTGGAGTAAAGTGTCCATCTCGGTACGCTTTCTCACTGTAGTTCTGGCTGTCCTCCCTTCCTCTTATTCCAGTCATACCCTGCTCCAGCCTTCGTGATGCCCTACTTGATCAATCTCAATGCTCACAGAAGTTCCATTCATGTGATCTAATGTTGCTGTCTGTGTCCTTCTGCTGTGCCGACCTTTCCTCCATGAGCTCTTCCCGGATCTTCTTAGCATCCTCCAAACTGATGGGGAAGTCCAGATTGTCAACTACCATATTCGCCAGCTCTGGCGGCAACTTTCCCAAACGGTTGTTGTCCTGGAGCACTTCCTCGGCAAACCAATGGCGCTGCTGAGGCGGCACATTGGCGGTCGAGATAACGGGCAACAGAGGGTCAACTAGGAAAAGAGCTAGAATCTTGCGGTGGCCCGGTCGCGACTTGTCGACGAGCTCGAAGGGGCTGACATGGTGCTGGTACACGTTGGGGAAGAAGAGCATCCTATCCTGGCGCGTGAGGACACTGCCGATGTCTTGTACGGTGTCACCGTACGATTCGATTGCAAAGACGTCCTCGATACTGCTGAAGTCGCCTTGGTCATATGACAGGTCATCCGTGAGTAGTTGTGGGTCTGCAACTGTGCGGAAATCGAGATGAGAGTCAGTGATATTCTCGCAGTCGTAGTAATAGAGTGCAGTCGCGCAGATGTGCTCGTTCAGCTGGCCCTCGATATGCCAAGAGCCGCCGCCGTAGGACGGCTTCTCTGGGGTGAGATGAATGTTGGCAAGCTTGACGATGACCTGCGCACGAGGAGCATTGTTGAAGAACCCAGTGGTTTTCACGTCGCTGGAGTTGAGCTTGACAGGTTCTTCCAAGTCTGTCTTGGGGTCTGGACGGTTTGGGGTATGGTACTTCCTGAACCATTCCCCATCCCGCTCTTCGCGTCCGGATTGAGTGTACCATTCAGACATGTTCTCATCCTCTTCACGAGGAGGCTCGTCTTCATCCACAGGGCGGTTATCCTCACAGCAATATTTGTGCGGTTCACATACGTGTGGAACTCTACACACATATCTGACATTGTCAGTGAAGACTCGCTGAATTTTAAAGTCCTGATGCCATCTGAGGATGAGGTCCCAAGCAGGGAGTGATAATCCGATGAACTTCTCGATGATGGGGTACAGCTCAGCTTGTTTTATGGGGTGTACATTGTTGATGTAGCTGTCAATACGAGGCTGCTCACCGGCCAGATCAACGTCGCAAGGGAGCCACTGGAAGCGCTTGGAGAAGGCACTGACGTGAAACATATGGAAGTCGTAGTCTTCTTGGGTCTTTTCGCCCTCAAAGTCGGTTGGAGGGTCTCCGGGTATGACAGTGCTGGCTCCGCTATATGTCAGAGCTTCTTCAGCACTAATACGCTTATCTGTGAGGATGCGAGAGCGTCCATAGACTAAAGGCCAAAGAGACGGATGCACAATGTCGAGAACTTTTCCATCGCTACCAGGATGCCAGTCTTTCAGATCCTCAGGGACGTTCTCCAGAGGAGCGACGGCAGCTTTGAGGGCTTCGCGAAGTTCTTGGGGAACTAGTTTGTCTGACTTGATAGCAGCGGTATCGTAGTCCATGACAGGAATGAGGCCTGTTTTTTCGTAAATTTCTGCCTTTTTGCGTAGCTCATCGATACACTGACAGAGCTGTTAGTATAAAGTAGCCTATTATTTGGGCGAAACCGGTGTTTTCAATCATCAGATGGAAGATAGCCGTGCACGCATATAGATTATACTTACAGCATTAGCCATAAGCTGAGTAAAATCACCGTTTCGGCGATAGTCTGCCCAAGGCATCGCCATAGCCTCTTTCACCCATTTGGCCGCAATATCTGGGTCGTTCACTTTGCGCCACCATTCAGGCTTATTAGTGAGTTCCTCTATGACTTTGAGCATGCAGATCTCTCGAATGGTCAAAGTTGTAGCCCCCCAGACATTTGTGTTGTCCGGGTTAGAGTCAGAGAGTATGACAGGAAACGGCTTTCTAGCAACGTGATAGTTGAGAGGCAGGCCGAAACCTGGAAGTTTTGTTCTGGTGCTGGCCATGTTTTTTATACTTGCAAATGGAAACTTTGAGCAGGAAAAATGCCAAGATCAAAGGAGCATGAAGGGAAGTTTATATATCTCGATCAATGGAAAGATGTTGGAGTAAGCTGAACATCGACCCTTGTTAAGCCAGCAGAGCAAGGCAACAGCCTCCACTTGAGAAGTTGAGACTTGCCGAAATAGGACAAGAGTACAGTTCAAGCGTTGTCGCCAAATTGTTGAACTTCTCTATTGGAAATGATCATAACCTAAGAAGTCATGGCATAGTTGCGTTCGTCCCTAAATTTATTCATCCTAATCTTCTTCGAGAATGAGCCTTACTGAGATACTGATGGGTAATTTCAGGGCAGTCTGAGAGAAAGCACGATTGCCTTATCCAGCATCGTAGAAGTGGATGCAGCCAGGCCCACGTGGAGCTTTCATTCAAGACAGCACCAGCTTGAGGCAGCATAAAGGGCTATTGTCAAAGTAAAAAGTAAAAGTCGGGATAGCGAAGCGATAGTGAAGAAATTAACAGGAATGCATTTGTTAGTTAACGCGGGTAGAACACGAAGTCACGTTACTCTTGACCGCTAACAAGGACAATGACAATGACATGTGATTGTTACCTAGTCCTTCCAGTTCAGTCTCAGCCCTGATGACGAGCCTCAGACGAGGTAAGCGTAGGCGCAGTTTTAGACGTCGGCTGGTGGCCCGTAGCTCATTGATCCAGTCACAGACTCACAGTCAAATAGGAAATGTCATTCTCTGCATGGGGTGAATCTGGCTTCAGGAGAGAATTGCCTATTTTGGCCCACAGAGATGGCATATTCCGTTGCTTGTCAGTCAAAGAAGAAAGCGATGAGAGATCCAATGGGATATATAGTATTTACTCTCTATAAATAGGATATTGATACCTCTTCTCGACAAACAACTACGAAATCCCTCATCTGTTACCAAACTCTCGTCTTTGTCCTGACTACAAAACTCCATCGAACGTTTATTAACCCTGTGACCCTGTCCCTGGCCCTTCTTTCGGGCCTTAGCAACGAATCACATCCGTCAAACTACCGAGGCACGAGCTAGCCAAAGCCCGTCGTTACGGAGCTTTCACCTGCGGCCTCGGCCAACACTGCGATCTTTTTAATCTTTAGTGGGCTTCTCTACTGATTGATAAAAAAAATCATCCCCCCAGGCCCCCCAAAATTCCCACAGTTCCCCACGTCCATCCGCTAATAACCAAGGTACACACTCTCTGACTTGGGTCTCCGTTGATATTTCGCGGCTTTGCTTAATTTTATTTTATTTCTCACTTGATCATCTGATTCTCTGACATTTTCTCTTCCTTCCACACCTTAACTTCCCCCCCAAATGCTCACCGTGAGCTTCTCCTTCCCGAATCATCCTCCGCCATGAGCGAGACCGCTGTAGAATCTCCCGCCGAGGCCATCGTCATTCCCTCGGCGGAGCCCGTTCTCGCCGACACACCTCCGGCCCCCGAGACCTTTGAAAAGAGCCGCGAGATCAACAACACCAACAACAGCAACAGTAATAAAAATAATGTTACACCTAAATCTTCTCCTCTTGCGCGACTCCTCAAGTCGCCCTCTGCCATCGATGCCTTCATCCTGCACCTCAACCGTGTCATCAAGACGCGTGGAGGCACAGACACCGTCCTCCTCTTCACCACATATTCCGCTCGTTTGATCGGTGCTATTCTCGATATCCTCGGCCGAACTAGTCTGCGCCACTCGGCCCGCAAGGTCGTCGAGATGGCCTTTAAGCTGCCGCCTTCAACCTCCGTCGTCCTGTCCACTGCGACTGCACCGCCGCTCGCTACCAAGGCTCTCGCCTTGTCCAGGAATATCCAGGGCTTCACCTCCATGATGGGCGAGTGGCGCACCATGAACCGTCTGTGGGGCATCATCGGCACATATCTCGAGGCTAGGGATCTCGTCATGCGTTTGCGCGGTCAACAGCTGGATGAAAATGGCCAAAGGGTACCTCCTCCGGACCGGGTCAACACTGCCTTTGCTGTTGTGCAGATCCTTTTCAACTTCACATACGCCATCGGTGAGGGTGCTTGTTGGTTGACCTGTAAGGGCGCAATCAACCTGTCGCAAAGCGTCAGCAACAAACTCGGTCTTTGGGCAGCTCGCTCATGGGCCGCCTGGGTCGCCCTTGAACTCGTACGTTTGCTGGTTGAACGTGTGCGCAGGACGTCAAGTGGTGATATCGCTGTCGAGGAGGAGTGGAAGACGAACTGGAACGCTGCCTTCCTTGGCACGCTTCCCTGGATGCCTCTGTCGGCGCACTGGGGCACCGAGACTGGCTTCTTGCCTGAGATTGTGGTCGCGGCTATCGCTACATGGCCGGCTTCCAAGGCGATGAAGAGCGTGTGGCGTCGGACAGCTTAGAGTGATGTGTGAGACTGTGCGCGCCTGACCAAGAGCCTGACACCTGGCGCACTTTTGAGAAATGGGTTCGTGCTCTTGTATACCACGGCGCATGAGATAAACAAGGGTCGGAGATAAATTTGCTGGAATCGCGAATTGCATTGCAGTTCATCAGACTGATTTAGTAGCTTTCGCATTTAGAATAGTGATACCATCCCGTCGTCAAGGCGTGATACCATACAGGGAATTATACACGGGCGCTCGGAAACCTGCGATTTATGATGTACGTAGATTAAGAGCTAAATAAAATGTCATACAGGCGCTTTCATAACCATTCCATCGGTCTCATTACCTCACATGGGCATCCTCGAAATCTCTTCCTTGGTCCAATATTTCCTCATATTGTTCGCTCCCAGCGTCTCAACCTCTTGGTCCAGATGCTTCCACAACACCTCGCCCCAAGGCTCCATCTTGGTCTTGAGCACACTCAACTCGAACTCCTCGTCGCCAGTCCTGCACTTCTTGAGGTACTCCTCGAAATGGTCCAGGCCTGCGTGGATCTGTCTGTGCTGGCGCAGCAACTCAGCGCGTCCTCCACGGAACTCGGGCATCTTCTTAGCCAGCACGGGGAAGATGTACGACTCCTCGATGTTGTGGTGTACAGTGAGATGTTCGGCGAATTGCAGGCCTTGCATGATGAACTGCTTGAGCGACATACCCTGAGGTCGGCGGTTATCTGCGCAGGCATTCCACATAAGATTCCATGACCTCCTGAAATTCTCGTGCTGGAGCGCATTGGTTAGTGCTTCTCATATGACATACAGTAAGCGGATCTTACAAAATAGTTCATATGTTCGGCCATCCGGTTATAAGCCTTGAAGTCATGGTCGGATAACGGAGGAAGCTCCTCCACTTCTGCCTTAACATCCTCGACAGGCTTTACGGCCTCTTCGAGTTTTGACTCAGACATGGCTGGTTTTTGGTGAAAAGTCCTCGATAACAAAATTCTATTCGAAGTATAAGGTTTTGCAGATATCGCCTGATGAAAAGAGGGTGTCGCAAATAGTCCAAGTGGCAAAGTTCGAGATTTAAGTGTAGCGTTATTATAAAGGCGTAACCGCAAAACCGCTCTCATTATTAAAGAAAGAAAAATAACTCCAGAAAACTACACTTGAGAAATGTCTCTAAATAAATAGAAAAGGAGGGAGTCTGCCTCATGATGTCCCCAGGTTTTCGGCCCTTTCGACCACTCAGAAGCCATCCATTTCCACCATGAAAAAGTCGACCAGATTGGAAATCGCTGACTGATTGAGTCCGCCTGGAGCGCGCGCCAACTTAGTCATCGCTCGTGTTTCGTTGGTTGAAGTACAAAGTCCGAGGGTAATGTCCAGAGTTGCAAGTTTCATGAATAACATCTATTGAAAGGTTGATACTCGTTTACATCTTTCGTGTCTTAAAGGACGTTGTCGCTTGTAATGATGGGTACGTGCTCAGCGGCTTCGTGCTCCGAGTATATGACCGGTAAGAAAGCCGACCTCGATGCAACTCTTACCATACTCGCCCAAAGGAGTAATTTCTCAGAGGCCGAATGTTACCTACTACCTATTGCCTATCATCTTGCGAAATTACATATCCTGCCTTGACAAATTCCTTTGGTATTCACATGTACCTTGGTAGGCGAATATAGTGGTTTGCAGTATGCCTCCCCAACATTTCGCGGGACACCCATCACAATAGCTTGGTCTAAAGATTTTTGGTCTCATAGATTTTGCGTGCTTAAGTACTTTTTACATACTTTTCCCTCTTCTTCTACCTGCAATACTTTAATGCAAACCTGTCACCTCTTATAGAATAGCACAAGCACAATGTTGACGAGTTCTATGTTTCCTGATTCCGTTTCGACCTAGTGACACGTAGCGACTGCTTCCGCATCATCGCCCCTTTTCATTAAAAGAAACCATCCCATGCAAAATGCAAACGACTAAGACGCCTCATCTCGTTCATTCTCCTGTCCCGATTCCTAACCTCGGACAGCCGCACCCAGCGCGCCACCCGTGAACTGTGTTCCACCAGCTTGTCGCTGTGTGTTACCGCCTGTGCGAGCTCCTCCTCGCTGGCCACCACCTCGCCCTCTTCCTCCTCGGCCTCGGCCGCCTTGTCGCTCAAAGGCATTTGAAGTTCCCTGTGTCTTCTGCTCCAGAGTTCGCTCGTTGCTCTCAATGAGCGCACTGGCCTTGTCTGATAGGGCCAGAGCAAGGGACTGAAGACGGCTGAGCTCGACACCCTTGCGGAAGATAACGGTGGATGTGACTTGGTCCAGAGAAGCAGCAAGCTCCTCGTGGCTGATCATCTTGCTGATAACAGCCGCAACCTTGGTCGAGTCAAGCTCGAACATGGCGCTGAGGGTCTCGGTGGAGAGGGTGTCGTAGAAGGGGGCGTAGGTGAAGAGGTAGGTGCGCAGACCCTCCTCCTGGATCTGCTTGGAGAGCATGGTCTTAATCTCTTCAGCACTAGGCATGAGGTCCCAGATCTTAATGCTGTGGATGAAGTCAATCGACTTCTTCCACTCACCAGCGGCCAAGGCCTTGGATGCTTGCATCACGTGGTCTCGGGTGTTCTCAGGAGGACCAGTGAAGATTTGTCTCTCGTGGTACTCGAGCATGCGTCGGTAGGTCTTGCTGATAACTCTCTTCTTGACATCGGGGGAAGAGCCAGTCTGGGCCAGCAGAGGGATCTCGAGGAGCATGCTGCATGTCAAGTACACACACTCGAGGAGCTCGAGGTTGATGTGCATGTGGAAAGGCAGTTGTCGCTGCTTCTCGAGGCGCTCCTGCTCGGGAGACACCTGGTTGTATCGCTGCATCATGACGCCCTGGGCGAGCAGCTCCTTCTGGCGGCCACTGCCGCAAATCTCCTGGAGGGTGTTCTGAGCCTCGTAGACGAGACCCTGGCGGAAAGCACAGAGACCAACTTGGACTAGAGTTCGGTTGTAGAGGATCTGACTCTGGACGTCGAAGTTGGGGATGTTCTCCTGAAGATGCGACATCAACATCATGTCACGAGCCTTGTAGTACTCGCCGTGGAGAGCGAGGAAGTAAACCTGGCACAGCATAGCTCGGGCACGAATAATGCCGTCGCTGTTGCTGAAAAGGTAGTTGCAAAGAACGTTGACGAGGTTGCCAGCGTTCTGAGCCTGGTCACGGGGGGTGATGACGGACTCGATAGACTCGCCGACGGTCTTCCAGCAGTTCTCCTCGAAGGTCTTGACAACCTGGGCGGGCTGGAAACATGTTAGTCACTGATAGATATGTGGCAAAAACGAAACTTACCTTGAAGTAGACGTGTTCCAAACGGCGCATAACAATTCGGTTGACGCTATCTTGAGGAATCTCAAGTGAGTCGTCCTTTCGGAGGTACTCGTAATAGAGAAGGCCACGGAAGATGATGTTGTAAAGAGAACCCTCGTCTTGCAATCTCTCGATGTACTCGGAGGTGTGGGGGTCAATACTCTGGAGAGAGCGGACGAGCTCGTCGTCAAGGCGCTCGATGTATGAGACAATGCTGCCAGGAACCTTGATGTGCTTCTCACCATCCTGCAGGGTAGGAGGCTTCTCGTCGTCGTCCCACTCCTCGGCGTTCTCAACAACAACGTAGTCGTGGTTCTCCTCAAGAACTTGAAGAAGGCTTGAAAGCTCCTTCTCGGCGGCCTTCCAGTTCTCAACGGTCATGGCAGAAGCGCCACCAGAGCCAACATCGAAGCGGGTAGAGACAAGAGTAAGGAGAACGCGGATCTTCTGGTAAGGGGTGTTGGCAATCTCGTTCAGCTTCTCCATAACCTTGATCTGCTCTGTTCGGTCGGTGTTCTTCTTTCCACGAGACTCCATGATGGTTCGCAGGTTCTTGAAAATGCTCTCAGGGGTGTACTGGAGTGTGCGGCCACCCTTACCAACAGTAGCGAAACCGTCATCATCCTCATCCTCAGCAGGAGCAGCATCGACCTGGAGAGAGACCTTCTTGGACTTGGTAGGGGCAGGAGCAACAGGCTCGTTGTCTGAGGACTCCATGAACCCATCCTTGTCGGCTCGGTAGGCATCAATCTGGCTCTGGTACTCCTTGTTGGTCTTCTTGACCTTTTGCTTGACGGCGTTGAGGGATCGGGCTTGGATAGCGTTCATCTTCTTGGGGGTGACCTTCTGCTTGGCGAGGGACTCGTTCATGAAGTCCTCAAGCTCGGCAAGGATGCGGATGTATGGCTTGGGGGGTCTGCTGCCAGGCAGCTTGGCGACCTGACGGTTGAGCTTCTCATATTCTGGTGCTGTTGTTAGTTTCTACAAAAAGAATCCATAGATAAATTGTATCATACCGGCAGAGATGAGTGTCCAGTCTCCGTTCTTTTGGCCGTTCTCGATTTGCTTGATGGACGACTCCAACTCGTCTAGGCGCTTGTCCTTTGCGCTCCTGACTTTGGCTCGTACATCATCGTCGCTGTCTTCGCTATCGGAGGATGCATCTTTCAAGAACTTGTTGATTCCCTTTCCACCCTCCTCGTCGCTGCTCGAGTCGTCGCTATCGGCCTCGGAAGATTCCTCCTGGGAGTCCTGCTTCTGCTCCTCCTCCTCCTCCTCGGAGTAGAGCTCCTCCTCGTCGCTGGAGCTGTCGGTAGAGCTGTCGTCGCCGCCGCGGAAAAATCGAGACATGTTGGGCGATTTCTTTGACACTAAAACTTGTCTGCTGGCTCAAATCAAGTTCGCGAGTGAGTGCGCGGGGTTGTTCAGAAGGAAAATTCCCTAGATTGTGGGAGTGGGGCTAGGTTAACGAGCAGAAAGACACTTTTTGCACGGCCACGAGTGGCTGAAAACTATACGTCAAAGTATCTCAGTCAAAAATGAGTCACAACTTATACAGTTGAGTATGGCTTTTACGTCAATTCTGGGAGGACATACCTTATTCATTTCCATTACTGCCTAATCATATTATTGCTTGATTTGTTGTAGCTCGAGTATTGTAGACATACAGCTACTGGCCTCCGCTTTGGATAGAAAGGTTGCCTTTTCACTGTGCCCTCTCTGCTAAGTGGGGGACAAAAATGAACATTGCCTGGATGTAGATACTAATGCCTGATAGTTTACATTATGATCTCACTTAAACTGTGTGAAATAGAATGAATAAATCAAATTTGAATGATTCATATGGCAGATGAGTCAACGCCTCCTACCTGTTATTAATATTGTATGATCATTCCTACTGTTCTCGTGTTTTCTGTCCCGCAAGGTGGAGGACATCAAAGGTCTGTCGGTACGTACCATTTGCCTTCTGAGCCGGGTTTTCCCTCCAGGTTCGTTCGGTCTCCGGTCCGCAGAAGAATTTCGAGGTCCGGGAGGTAGGTGGATGAATTCGGCTTTGGTATGGATTTCTCAGCATTCACTACGTAATTCCACTCACCACCATCCTCATCCATCATCGTTACAGCACCGATTCAGTCCAGCATTTACTTCCACAATGGCCCGAATTCACTGCGCAAATGCGCAATCCACCGTCGCATCCTTCATACAGCTTGCACAACGAAGCTACTCAACAAAAGCTGCCCAGGCTTCGGCACCTCTCGAGTTCCTTGTCCCGCGATGCACTCCGCCATTTGGCCTCCGAGCTCCTCAATTATACGTCACACACTCTAGAGCATATGCCCATCCAAGACGGTCGTTGGGTTCCAGATCACACGAGATATCGACACGGCAATTCTCGACTTCCGCTGTCCGACAAAAGACACAGGCTATACTGAATCCCCAGCAAGATGAGGATGGAAATGAGATGCTGCTAGAGATCACCGACCGAGCTGCAAAGGTATTTCGACCCGATTACTGCACTTCAGGGCACTACTGACGTTTGAAAGCGTCTCAACAAGATCATGGATAAGGATGGCAACCCAAATCTTGCCTTGAGGATTCAAGTTGAGAGTGGCGGTTGCCATGGCTTCCAATATCTCATGAGCCTTATTACCCTACCAGCCAAAGAGACTGCCGAATGGTCATCGATTGTTAACGAAGACGACACGATTTTCCAATATGTCCCAGACGACGCTGATCCGGCTATTGCCTCGGAAGATGGACCGAAGATTATCCTCGATGAGCCATCTCTCGATCTACTCAAAGGTAGCAAAGTGGACTTTACAATGGAGTTGATCGGCTCGCAGTTCAAGATTGTCGACAACCCGCTTGCTACGAGCAGTTGTGGATGCGGCACAAGCTTCGATATCAAGATGTAATATAACGGGTACACCAAACAATATGTAAGAGTCGATAGCACGCATAGATTTTAAAAGTGGTCCCTCCACAAGTACAAATCACATTATTAATTCCTCGACTGGGTGTTACCAGAGGCACGTGTGATATTTTCTTCGCAAATTTGCACATGAACGGTCACAGACGGATAAATTTGAAAGCTCGGGTGTCATTAATCACGGTATCAATTGCCTTTTCCCTGTCATGAATAAGAACGCCGAGCAGCCAATGCAAATCTTTTTTGAATCCATAAGGTCCTATTGACCGATCCCTCAAAAGCCTTTTTTAAAAACAACCCTTTTAGTTCATCTGGCGGACGAGAGCGTTGATAGCCTCCTCGCGGTTACCAAGGTCACCACCCTCGATGTAGTGCTTGAACTTGCGGGTGCGGAAACCACCAGTGGGGTTGGAGAGCTTGAAGGGCCAGAGGAAGTTGGCGGCCTGCTTGAAGTTGGGGCCGACGGTGAAGATCTCGTGGATGAGATCCTCAACACAGACAATGCCGTACTTGCCGAGGTTCTCCTCAACAATGGAGTTGTCGGTAAGGGCAACGCGCTGCTTGTTGACCTTTCCGTAACCACGCTTGTAGACGAGCTCCTTGACGGTCTTCAGGTTGGGGTAACCGTAGGCGATCCAGGGCTCAACAACCTTGAGCATCTCAGTGATGGCCTTGGTGACCTTGACGAAGACACCGTTGTTGATCTGGAGGAGACGGAGAAGCTGGAGGATCTTGCGGGGCTTAGGGGGCATCTTGTTGATACCCTTGATACGGACGACAAAGATCAGGTTGGCCTCAGCGGGGACGAAGGCAGAGTCCTCGCTCTTGGCAACGCGGTGAAGACGAATCTTCTCACGCTCAGCGGAGCGGTACTCCTGGACGTACTTCTCAGCACGCTTGAAGATGACCTGACGCTTCTCCTTGTTGGACTATTTGAAACTGGTTAGTCCATGTCATTCAAGTTGATGAAGAAATGATTGTAATCAGTCAGGCAATGTCAGACCCGAAAGAAGGTTAACTTTCAACAGCATCGACCGAAGTCTAGTTGAAGAATGTGTGTGTTTTCCATCATAGTGCCAGGGTAAAAGAGGGATAACTACTCACGGCCTTCTTCTTCTCGACGGCGTCGGTGCGCTCAGCGCGAGCCTTCTCCTGAGACTTGCGCTTCTTGAGAAGGGTCTCAGGGACCAAGATCTGGTCGTTGGTAGGAACGCTGTATATCAGATTAGCTCGCAGTCCACAGTACCACAGGCGTGGTATGGAACAGAGCGCCGGTGCGAGAACTGTTGCGATGCAGCATTCTCTGCTTGGCTAACTCGAAAGATGATTTTGATCGGTGAGCCAAGGAGACCATGACACAAGTGCCTTGGCGTATTCCATTGACCGCTCATCCGACAAGACCTCAAACGTGAAGTTCAAGAAAGATACTCGAGAAATTATTGCAAAGTGCATTCCAGCGACCATGCGTAATTCAACGATAATGATTTTAAGAGAGAAGAGTTTTCATCTTCATCTCCAACACCCCAAGCAACGTCTCTCAATGCCCAAACTGTATTCCAAGCCGAAGCAATTGAGGGAGAGGCTCGAGAAAGATCGAGCTGGCAGATCAACAATCTCATTTAAGAGATCGCGACTTTCCAGCGAGAGGACCACGGCAATCTGCAAAAGAAATCTCGGGAACCAGGGCGACTGGCCATATCGTCCACGTCCTCAGGGAGGATTAACGTACGTAGCACCCATTTTGTCGGCTGGCTGTTGGAAGGCTGTTAGTGTTGTCGAAGAAGCGTGGGATAAGAAAAAGAAGAGAAAGGAAGCTTCAGCTAGGTAGGTAAGAAAATTTTTACGGCAGGAACTGTGGGCCGTAGGGTTTTCGGAAGGAGCGACCCACTGCCGAGTCCCACCGCCTGCCTAAATGGTCGCCCAGCATCGCCCAAACTATTATCGCATCCCACAGACTTCCCCTACTTTTTTGCTTCATTCTCTCCGCCAAGTGACGAAATAACCAGCTGTCGCCCGATTCTCAAAATGGCTCCCAAGAAGACCACCACCCGCGCTCCCCAGGAGAACATCTCCCTCGGACCTTCCGTTCGCGATGGTATGCGACCCCTCGACGAGATGCGAAAACAAAAACCAGAAAGAAAAAAGAATCGAAAACTAACAAGAATGTTACTATAGGCGAGCTGGTCTTCGGCGTTGCCCGTATCTTCGCCTCTTTCAACGATACCTTCGTCCACGTCACCGATCTCAGGTTCGTCAACCCGTGAAACAGAGGCAGCAGGAGCTTGGAGAATTTTTCTATGGACCAACGAGGCTAATTTGGGTGATTCCAGTGGCCGTGAGACTATCACCCGTGTTACTGGTGGTATGAAGGTCAAGGCCGACCGTGACGAGTCCTCCCCCTACGCTGCCATGTTGGCTGCCCAGGACGTCGCTGCCCGCTGCAAGGAGCTTGGCATCAACGCTCTTCACATCAAGATCCGTGCCACCGGTGGTATGTTCAATTGAGTTCCACTCACTATAACAGTCATGCTAATTCATATATAGGTAATGGTACCAAGACCCCCGGTCCCGGTGCCCAATCCGCTCTCCGTGCCCTTGCCCGTGCTGGCATGAAGATTGGCCGAATTGAGGACGTTACCCCTACTCCTTCCGACTCTACCCGCAGAAAGGGTGGTCGCCGTGGTCGTCGTCTCTGAGCTGCTCACTCTTGGGTGGCTTGGATCGAACAGGAGTTTCGCTATCTGGTTTCTCTCTGGCGTTGAGAATCACGAGGAGAACGGCTTTTTCGCCTGGTCTCCAGTCTACACTGCAGAGCCTGGTCTTGCTATGTGTTAGGAAGCAGTAGACAGTTATGAATTCGCCCGAAGAAGGCCTATGAATCATCCTGCCCCAGACTTGTTTCTTTTTGTGATCTCTCGCAGTTTTACAGTGAAGTAAACGATACTAAGCAATTTGTGCATTCGTAAGTTATGGCGTAGTATAAGTAATAAGAACGCTCTCCTAACTCCTCGCCAAGTAGTCCCTGTTAGGTACCTGTTTATTTTACTCCGGGTTTCAATGTCCAGATTCCTCTCCCCGCACCTCCCGTCTTGTTCAATACTGCAACCTTGTCCAACGCTGCTTTGAACTCATCGCTTTGCTTCTTTCCAGGGCAGTGGGGGTTAAAGTGGTCCACCAACATCTTGCTAGGGACTCGACCATTGTGACGATTAATAAACGTCTTGATCATGGCCACAAAGTCCTTGGACTTCAGGTTATTGTTTGCGCCGGGCGTTCCTGAGCGGGAGCTCCTCCCACTTCCAGGGTCAAGGCCTTGACGATCTGCCAGGTTGCTCATGATACCTGCTGAGCTTGGTCCTCCCCGGCGACGATTCGCTCCAGGCCGACCAGCCTGTCCAACCTCACCAGTCCAAGTCACAGTGCCTATGGGAACTCTTCGCGCTTCTGCGCCGGCTTGACGAAGGTGTGCTGCAGCTTCACGAGCTACCTGATTTGCCTCGTGTTGAAGTACAGAAATGTCTGCCTTTGCTTTTTGTGGCCCATTGACAATGGCTTCATGGTCGTAAGCGTTGTTGACTGATTTGGCAAAAATACCTTCCAACATGCGCTTCTCGTCATTAACAGACTTGTCTTCTTTGAATTCCTCCACAGCAGCCACAATGCCCATATGTTGGAGCTCTTGGCCTTCTACGTCGTCGTCGTGTTTTACACCGCCAGCGGCTTGCAAGTTTGGTCGTACGCCCCCATCACCATTGACCAAAGCCACTTCGGCTTTTTTGAAAACTTCGCTCCTGCTAGCACTTGCGTTTTCACCCGTATTGAAGCTGAAGAGATCATACAGGTCTGACAGATCATAACTGCTGCGCTGCTTTGGATCCTTCAGGACTTTGTTCGTCATGAACTGCTTGAAAATCTGGCGATGGTATATCTTTTCCTCAATAGTCCCCTCAGTCATGAGTCGGTAGATCTTTACTGGCTTCTTCTGGCCTAGTCTCCATGCTCTTTCTCTGGCTTGTAAATCAGTTGAGGGATTCCAGTCAGGGTCAAAGATGATGATTCGATCGGCACCCGTAAGATTTGTTCCCAATCCTCCGGTTCGAGTCGTCATGAGAAACACATGTATACCAGGAGTTTCGTTGAATTTGTCAATCATTGGCTGACGATGGTCCACAGGGGTCTCTCCGTCCATGCGAACATACGAGATCCCGCATTCACCGATGCACTTTTCAATAATGTTGAGCATCTGTTTGCCTTGCGAAAAGAGCAGTGTTTTGTGGTCGTTAGGGATCATGACCTTCTGCAGCAAGTCTTTTGTAAGCTGAAGCTTTGCAGACAATTTGGGGTTGCCAAAGTCATATCCGGCCTTTTTCCCTAAAGTCTTATCCAGCAGATCGGGGTGATTGCAAATCTTGCGGAGGATGTCAATGCCGTAGAGTGATTGCCGTCTTTTGTTCAAAATAGCCGAGACCTCATCCGATCTGATAAAGGTCTCATACGCCTTACGTTGGCCATCAGTCAACTTGCAGAATAGAACTTGCTCGGTTTTTTCAGGAAGATCGGCAGCAACATCGACCTTGAGACGCTGTAGCAGGTATTCTCCAATGGTTTCCTTCAAAGCTTCTGCGCATTTCTCTGCTGTCATAACCTGTAGGTTGGAAGCGTTTGCATATCCACCCTGACGAATGGGTATCTCAAATTGGGCTCTGAAGTTCACAAGAGTACCCAGTCGCATAGGGTAGATGAAATCGAAAAGTGACCACAACTCTGTGAGATTGTTTTGAACGGGTGTTCCTGAGAGAATCACGCGGTTCGGCGTGTTAAGTTCCTTGCAAGTGACAGTAATCTCAGCATTTGGATTTCGGATCTTGTGTCCTTCATCCAAAACAGCGTAATCCCACTGAACTGGTAGCAGAGTTTCTGCGTATGTTTGAAGGCCAGTGTATGTCGTGACTAAAACGTGTCCGCTTTTGACTACTCCGTTGACGATTTTTCTGGCAGCCTTTTCTGACTTGGTGGCAAGAGGCTGGAAATGGTCAAGATCATATTCATCTTCGAACTTGGGGTTCATCATGCCGCTTCCCGAGGCATGTAAGATGGATACACGAAGTGGTGGCCACCATCGATGGAATTCGCTTACCCATTGCCGAAGCAGGGTAGCTGGAGCAACGACAATGACAGGACGGCGTAGCTTCTTACTGTAGTGAAGTGCTGCAACGAAGGCTATTAGTTGTACGGTCTTGCCCAAACCCATTTCATCGCCAATAATGCCTCCAACATTCTGCTTGTAGAGTTCAGCAAGCCATTGCACGCCTGTTTTCTGGTATCCAAAAAGTGAAGGGTGGATATCTCCAGGGAGTTTCAAGCCATCGCCGAAATCGTAATCTGGGAAATCAGGCGCAGGCTTGAACCACTCTTCTTCATTGTCGTCACTCTCGTCAGCATCGACAGAAACCTCAGCTGTCTGTCTTCGGGCCCTTCTCGCGCGGCTTCTACGAGTCACCCAATCGTTCAGTCTCACCTTGAAATGTGCCTCGTTGCCATCATCGATCTTACTAAGGTCAATCTGCTCCTGATCAGCAACCTTGGCTTTAGCTTTGGCCTGACGGCGTTGCTCTCTGATGAGATCGTCTTCATTTCCTTGTTGCCAGACGTCATCATCATGAGACTCAGAGCCAGATGCTTCAGGCTCAAAATCGGCAGATGGGCTGCGCTCTCTTTCAACACGCTGTTTCTTCCTCGGCCGCAGTGAAAATTCACTCTCAGCAATTGGGACCGGACGGGCTGGCTCAGGCTCAGAGTCGAGTTCATCGGCGAAACCGGGTCGTCGAAGTCGTTGATGAGATGCTGGCCCCTCAAGTTCTCCCTCGAGCTGTTCTGCTGCCGCCTCCTCTTCAGCATCCAGGATTGTGTCAGCAAGCTGACCCTGAATTTCGGCAGGCCTTGGTCCTCCAATTTTTGCAAATGGAGTGATTTTTCCAGTTCGAATTAAGTATTCGCGATTGCTTTCGCCCGGAAGTTTGGACGACTTGGACTTTTTGGGATCTTCAACCAAATTTTCTTCATGACGCTTGTCTATGCGGGTTTGAAAATCCGTAATGTCGTTACTAACTTGCCGAATCTCGTCGTCCAATTTAGCAATCGCCTTCTGGACGCTTCTAGATTGGTAGACATTGCTGGAAGCGACCCTTTCGAGCCTCTTCTTCTCCTTGTCTAGTTGAAGTTGAAGCCGATGCTTGGTCGCTTGCAATTTTTCAATACGGTTCTGATCCTTTTTGTCCTCGGCTTCGTTCAGTGCAACATTGGCTTGGAGCGTGATATCGCGCTCCAACTCATTTTGGTCCCTGACAGTACCAGTCAAATTCCTTAGTGCATCTTCTTCGTTAAGTCCTTCAGTACTCGGTTGTTCTTCTTGGCCATCGTCTTGCGAAGCACTTTCTTGTGCAGCAGCGACCATTCGATCAAGAAGCGCCGCCTTGTCGACCTTTCGGTTTTCGGAATCTGCATCCTCCGATGCCATAGTGAGCGATAGGTTTGAGGAACAGTTCACAGGAGCTGCCTAATGTGCCCTGGGCTAGGATGAGTGTGTGTTGGACCAAAGGCTTTGTCAAATAAAGAAAAATAGCGGTTCTTTGGAGAGTTACCGCCAGTGACTCATCGTCGCCGTGATCTTTAGAGAGTGTGTAGAATGATGAAGTGCTGGGAATCGTCTCGGTGTTGGAAACGTGCGTGAATGAGGAAAACCCGGACTTGCAGTGATTACTTCATCACACGGTGGTTGCACTCTACGAGCGACGCTAAACTTTGATAACGGACCTGAAGGTCCTGCTTATGGATCCGAGATTCTGGAAGAGAGACGACTATAACTAGGTAATCAAGATGCGAGAAGTTGAACGGTTGCGCGTGTTGGTACGGAGTAGATAGAATTAATTAAGTATAATGACGTAGAAGAAGTGAAGGCGAAGCTGGAAGGAAAGGACAGAGGAGCTAAAAATGACTTACATGCCTTTTATTGGTGCGCACAGGAATCCAGGCACCAAGCGGGTCCTTGGCTCGTGAGAATATTAGGTAGAAACCTACTTAACCTAGAGAAGCAAAAATTAGATAACTATAAAGGTGAGTGGTAACTATTTTGAATAAAAGGTTTAAATGACCTAAACTATTACTTTGTAATCCACGTTTTATCCCATGCCCGCATTTGTAGACGGGTTTGTGATCCTTGCATGCATTCTCCAGTTCTTCAAACCAGATAATCGATTCCCTCACTGGCACTTGGAATTGCTTGTAGGCAAGCACTAAAGTTAGTAATTAGGTACCTAGGTAGGTAGTGCTTCCATTCTTGCTTCCTTGTTGGCCTGCAAGATTTGACTTTCATACCAGCCGTTGAAAAGGTAAATGCACAGCAGGACATACCTACCTACCTACCTTCCATCCTCTATGTGCACAGTGTGTAGTTGCGAGTCTATACCTCACACTGTAATACCAACTCCACCGCCCCAGCATTGAACTCAGATCACCAGCCTCATTCTCAACTTCATCCAAAGTAAAATCGGACCATGCATGACACGCCATTGTTCTTTAAACATTACACCCAATGGTACTGAATCACCACTCTTTGGCCCCTATCGGTCCGATGATTTCCATTGAACTGGACCTTTCTGAGCAATTAATTGTTATCCAGCCCAAAAACATACGACACCATTGCATCGCCTGACAGCATCAGATCTGATCAGAAAGCTGTCCCCTGGAGTTGCCATTATAACTGGGTATACTATAAAACTAGCTCTCCCGAACTGCCACTCCAGCGATGAGATCTATCTTATTCAAACTGAATTCCTCATCTTGTTTCAGACTTACAGCTCACCAACAATTAAGCTGGGCCAGGGTTTCAGCTAGAATGTACTCTCAAAGACCCTCATGGCTAGAAGTATGCTGTAATGATACAAGACCGACGCCGACACTGTTTGCTTGGAATCTATCCAACATCCCTTCCTCTCATGGTTCTGACACTTCAACATCTCGTGCTTCCGGCAACTCCGACAAGCGTATATACGTCCTAGGAGTTGGCAACCTGGGCCGTCTCTTCGCAAGTTCACTGGCTCAGGCTCCTGGCAACCCTCCTATCACGCTGGTTGTTCACAGGAAGGAGCTGTTGGAGCAGTGGATCGAGGGCCAGGGTATCGAAATTCTGCGCCAAGGCAAGCTTGAGAGAAGTAAGAACTTCGATATTGAGTGGTGGACGGAAACCGAGCCAGATGTTGGTCCTGTGCGAGAAGTCGCCGAGGGAGATAGGCTGAAGAACCTCATCATCACGACCAAGGCTTCAGCTGCGCTGCCACAAGTGGACCGAGTCCGGGGGTATCTGGATCGAGACAGTACTGTTATGTTTGCGCAGAACGGAATGTCCAAACTGTGGCCCCCTCATGGACAAGCCTATGTTTCTCATCGCTATCACAGCAGCCATGAGCCTAACTTCCTAGCTTGTGTGGCCACACATGGTGTGACATCTCAAGGAACATTCAAGAGCCTACATGCTTCTCAGGCAGATGCAGTCGTGGGATCTGTTCTTCCAAATGCCTTATCTGTTCAGAAAACAGCCTATTTAACGAAGCAGTTGCTCGAAGCGCCTCATTTGGATGCCAGATCAGCATCTAGAGGAGAGCTCTGGATATTGCAACTAGAGAAACTAGTTGTGAACTCGGTGATCAATCCATTGACAGCTATCCTGGACTGCAAGAATGGTGCACTTTTTGTCGAGCCCAATGGAGTGCTTGCTCAAGTCATTGACCAGCTTCTGGTCGAGGCAAGCCAAGTGCTGCAACTTCTCGTAGCTCATGAGAGCAGTTCCGACATCATTGGACAACAGGAAAACCGGCCATCGGCACGGCCTGAGACAACCATCGACTTCTCTCCTCAGAATATGCACGAAAGATTCTCTTACTTGCGGCTAAAAGACATGATCTATCAAGTGGGTCACAAGGTTGGGGAAAACACAAGCTCCATGCTGCAAGACGTGCGCGCCGGCAGATCAACCGAGATCAGGGACTTCAACGGCTGGCTAGTCGAGATGGCAGCTTTTCTAGACCCTGAACTAGAGGTAACAGGCCACAGCATCTTGATTGAGCTGGTAGAGGATGGTAGGAACCTAGATGTGGATCAGCTCGGAAGATGCTTCAACTGTTCCGGGACAGATGCAAGGAAATGATGACAGAGTCATGGCTGTGGCTCTGGCGGAGATCTGGGGACGTGCCCTGCCATCGGTTATGGTAGTGTGGTCAATCCAACTCGTCCTCCGCATGATGGGACAAGCATGGGCCATAAGTGCTGTGCAAAGACACACCTGCCAGTCTGGTTGACCAGGGTTAGGGATCGGCTCCGGGCCAACGTCGTCAACTTGGCAGGGAAAAGAGCACAAGATAATATACCAGCAAGGTCCTTATCCGCATTGGGGGATATGTCCTTTCGCATTTAAGCAACGCGCTTGGGAAATTCCGGAAGTGGCGTGTTTCGTTTCGTTTTGTTTGGTCCATGTTCGTTTCTTGCTTGGTCTCGAATACCAGGGGTATCACCTTAACCCAACTTATAATATCTGAGCGATATAGGCCATAACACAGGTGACTATTGCGTGCGCTAGCGGGCTCGACAACTTCTCTGCCAACCAGATGAAACAAACCTTTTGAGGGCCATTTCTCTCGTGGGGCAAAGGAAAACATGCAGGCATTCTAACCAAGTACAGCGTTACAATGCATCACCACCAAAACGCGCCGTTATCGACCCAACCTCTGCACCATCGCCGACCAATGCCACCTCCAAAGCCCAGGCCATTATAGCCCTAGGATGAATGAAGCTTTCGGTTCACGGTGTGACAAATTCATGACCAAGACTGAAGGGGGTGTTGTGCCCTAACTCTATCACGCATCGTCAACGTAGCAGCCGGGACTTGAATCCAGTTTCAGACCTCCTTTTGCACCGATCGGGAAAGTTTGATTCATGGAGATATGCGCATGCACCGTTCTATACAGTACCTACATCGAATCAAACAATCTCAGCCAGCCATAATGCCTCGCTTAGAGACTACATCTCGGAGATTTCCCACGACATGTTTCAGCGGCGGTAACCTTCTCTGTTCCCCGGCTTTCCAGCATACACTGTACTGTGCGGCCTGTGCTGTTGTCCGGGCAGTCAGCTACCTCTACATGCGGCAAAGCAGCTTCTCCTCCTCAGCTCTGAGATGACTTCGATAGCCGGAGCCGACACGCAGTCAACTACAGGGCTTAAAATTGCCCAAACCGAGCAAAATACGCGGTGCCTACCTTGTGTTACCTCGGAACCTTCAGGCAGTTGTTCTTGATGTCTTGTGACCATCCTCCGCGTCTCTTCTAACCGCGTACACACATCCGAACTCTCACGTCTGCTCACTCACCACGTCACAATGAGGCACCACCTATCTCACCACAGAGTTAGAGTGCACCCTTCCGGTACTGCACTCGGGTAGCCCACCATTCTCTATGACCTCAGGCTCAGAACCGCTGCAGTTTAGCGCCGTGACTCGCGTGCTATGCGGTGTAATGGAACGAGATAACCACCGCGATGCGGGTCTTGTCAAGTCAGGGCTGTCGGGCAAACAGGAAGCGCCAGCAGCTCATCACTGCCAAGGGCGGGCCTGCTCTACTCTTCTGGTCATATAGCCTGCCGACAAAGTATTGGGATCATGAGGGCACCGATGGGATGGGCCCGGCCGCCTTAAAACGGGTGACATGACACCTAACGGTTAGAACTATGCGCTTCACACTTCCGTTTCATCGGCTCCATCCGCTCGCTGGCAGCCCTCTCAAGTACGGCTCCTGGGCGCCCGCCAGTCGGCAACCATGGCAATTGTGCGGTACATACAGCTACGTGGCAAGGTTCTGCTGTCCCTTACCTATATCATGACGGATCGCAGCCACCCCTCTATATCTCAAGGGGATGGGACGCAGAGGGTGACAGGGATATAGAGCATAAACGTTTTCGTTTCGTCTAGCTCAACTGTGGAGATCGATTCCGGTGAGACAAAGCGGACAGGGGCTATGAGCCAGATCCGAGGGAACCTTTGCAGTTTGGGCGTTATATCTTGTTTCAAGGCTTCAATTATAGGCTTCAGGATTTGCAGTATGGCGTTGAAGTAACAAAGACTCCATTCTCTCACTACTCTAGTGTTACTAGTCTGAAGCTCGAGAGGAGCTTCATGGCGTGATTTTGATGATGATCAAGCAGATCTTTCTCTTTCATTATCTAGTGCGGTCTTCTTCCAAGGCCGACTGAATTTTATCCATTCCCAAGGTTTTCTTTTAAACACCTTAACAATATCTGTCGCACGCTCCATACACTCCCGCTCTTCTGTATCCTCCTGTGGTATTAACAAACACCAAATTATGCTCATGTGTCTGCCCTTCATTTCACCTACACAAAGCCGAGAATACGCTGCGCCAGAAAAGGAAACCTGCTCCGCTGATGATCCTGCTTTTGCTCTCCTACAGGTATCGACAATTAAGAGGTTGGATATAGTAATAAGATAAGGGTTATAAGTGACAAGAAAATGTGATCAGCCACATATCCCAAGCGATTGGACAGTTTCCCCTGGCTGAAGGATGGGGAATATTAGGTGCATGTAGATAATTCTTTCTCCTTTTCCGGGGTTCCCAAGTCTAAAGTTTTTTTCATGAAGCGACATAGGAGATCATAGACATTCGGAGACAAACATGTAATACAAGACATTTCTCAAATAATAGAAAAAGAATGGGGAAGAGAAGTATGATTAATGTTGAAAAAGAAGTTGTGACAAAAAAGGCCAGTATCGAATACGAAACAAAATGAAACGGCCTGTAAGCACTGAACAAAAGAAATTAATACAGGGGGCGGGTAAGGTAAACAAAGTCGTGGGTGATGTGCCCTACTGGGGCTGGGATTGGTGTGATAGGATTGATAACTCTAGAAGAAGTGTCGGTTGAGACGATGATAATACTTGTCGTTGCGTGAATTATGTTGGCTGAGAGCAGCTGAGTGCAAGCGAATGTGTTTGATGTGGGCCGAAAGATCGTGAAAGAATAAGAAACGCGCTGAAAGGAGAATGTGATGTGTCTGATGTGTCGATATTATTTTATAAACCCTCCGCTGTCTTGAATATCTCTCTTTATTATTGAAGCTGATGATGTGAATATAAATGTTCATCGGAATCCGCGTTCGAGGCCATGGCCGGTGATAATGACTGTGACAAAGCCGCCAAAGTTGCTGGATCCTCAACTATTAGTTGCTCAGCCCGTTCTCGACACGCTGCGGGAGTGAAGCCAGTCCCAACTTTATTGGCGACAATTCTCCATTTCTCGTTCTCGTAGTCCTGAAGTGCGGTTCGAAGCTTTTGGTCCTAGTGTGAAAAGTTAGAAGATTTCCTTTGCTGTTGATACAAAGAGTTACGTACTGTCTCATCAGTCCAATTTGTAGTCTTTGCTTTTAGCTTCGTACAGTATCGGACTTGTAATGTGCCTGACGATCGTCCGGGGAAGAAGTCTGCAATTTGCTTCCATGTCAAATTCTTGTTCTCCTTAAGTTCGATCAAGAGCTGGTCGTCTTCTGGTGTGAACTTCAGCTTTGGTCCCCGTGGTCGTGGTGCTGGATCTGGCATTCCAACTTGTCCCACAACACTTGGGGCGCCTCCTAAGCCTTCGTCGCGGCGCATCATCTTGGAAGGTGGCTCCGAATCGGGAAGATGGTGGTGGTGATGTATAGGTTGGTGTTGAGACTGCGACACGGCCACAGCGGCAGCGTGAGCATAAGCAGCACCCAGTGGTGTTTGCTGCATGCCACTAAGATCCGAGTGTTCTAATTCAGCCATACCGGCAACTGATAGATCGAGGTCACTTGGCCGCGGCCTTTTGTTGCTAGAGCCGGGAACCGAATGTTGAGGATGATTCGGTGGCGTTGGAGTCGAGAGAGTCTGGTACATGGGCCCCATAACTTGACCTTGAGCTCCAAACTGGGGCGGCCCGAGTCTATGGTGGCCTAGATGGGATGTATCCATCACCATCTGTGGTGATGGATGTTGATGGTGCTGGGACATAGCGGTGTGCTGAACATGAGGGTTTCCGTGATGCGGGTCGGGGGTGCCATGAATACCAGCAGCCGAGCCTCCAGTCTGGTGAATGGAGGCCCGAGGCTGCTGGTGTCGTGAACGCTGATGGAGTGATGTATCATATGCTTGTTGATGTTGATTTTGTTGTCCGGATGCCTGGCCTGAATAATCCACGGTATAATCCCCCACTCGATAGGTGCCCGCCAGCGTGCCTCCGACGCATGAGGTCCTCCAGAGCGAACCGCTCTGGACGGCCGCTGGGCTCTGAATGGAAAGAATTTGATAAGATGAAGCCCTTGCGGGCTACGGCGTGAGAGAGAAGAAATTATCTAGTAATGTACACGACGGTGTGAATTTGTGTGCGTCAAGTTAGACTTCTGGCCTTATAAGGAGTATGGTGTGTAAGTCGATAGCGTTGTTAGCTACTAAGCAGCTTGCCACATATAATGTCTGAAATTTCAATGATTGGTACGCCGGGTCAGAAGCTTTCCCGTTTCCGTACGAGTAAGACGTTGGTGCTGGGCGCGGGAAGGCTGGGCTGGAGGGGGTGAGCTCAGGCCGGAGTTGTAATGTCGTAGTGGTGGTGGTGAGATGTCCAAAGGAGAGTGTTGAATGCGAATACAATTCCAGGTTGCTGTCCTCGGCGAGGGTAAAGAGAAGGAGTTAATTAAGAAAAGAAGTATTATTTCATGCCGCCACAAGAACCAAGTCAGACTGTTGACGAGAAGGAGGGTTAGTTGATGCGGTGATGCCAGACTTTGTATAATAGGATAGGTCCCTTCACAAGATCTTTTTTAGCTCCCGGCCTGGGGTTACTAAACGTATTTAAGACAAGACCTAGTAACCTGGCAAGCGTTTCCAGCACCAGGGCCGGCCTATATCGTCTGATGACGGAGTAGCTAGAGCAGGGTAGCAGAGGGAGTGGATCACTGGTATTGCTGTGTTCATGCTGCAGGTTAAAGCACTTGGAGATTTTGCCCAGTCCGGTATGAGAATGATCCCCGTCAGACAAGTGCTGGGCTGCGGAGACCACCCCGTTAACCAAGGCCAGGGTATAGAGGGTGGTCAATTTGACGATCTTATGCCCATGGCAAGGTCCCCAGGGTGCCTGATATAGAAACAAGCGCCACCCCTGGCATCCATCATGACTAGCAAGGATAAAGGCACAATGCAATAGCAAAGCTTTAAGGGCATACTGCCTAGATGGTAATTTGCCATTGCAGCGCCCCTGCACACGTACAGAGAATTGTGAATGTGTCTTCTCTGAGTAGACGAGGTGAGAGGGCGCTGGGTGGTGGTGCTTATTGGGGCACGAGTCGAACATGAAACGCGCTTCGCTTGAAGAGCACGGGACTAGACCAGACTGAGCTGGCCAAGAGCGACTTTAGAAACACAGCAACAAAATGGCCAGTGCCAGGTTTTTCGCCGCCTTTGCAGGTAAAAGAGCCACAGGTAGTGGGTGCCGAGCTGATGGCGTGGCAACAAGCGAGAAAACAGCTCTGGTTCTTGTTGCAGGACAGGATGTACCAGTGTGGAGCAGAGGGTTATAACACATCCAGGGTTTGATATATTAGCTGGCTCAGTCAAAATCATGTCTAACAATTAGACTAGATCGCAATCAGAATCATCCCCACATCCCGGGAACCTCCGTCTGGCAAATCTGGATGGAAGAGCAGGGAGAAGCCCATGATGGGAGAGTGTGTGCGTGCCGGGTAGTCGGGGCAGGTCCAGATTTGATCATAGCGAGCACGCACGGCATGATGTTGCTCTCTTAATCTAGATCGACATCCCCGGTCAACAGTGGATGAACTCTACAAGCTCCCGTACTAAACCCAGGGAGTCAGGGACCAAGAGCGTGCAACCATCAGTCAATCATTGGCCTAGAGCCAGAAGTAGTCTCGGGGGGCATAGACAGGGCGCAGATGGGCGCGTGAGTATGAGCCAACCAGCGGGAGAATCGACCCTGCAAATTGATTATCTGCTCAGAGTAGCGTTAGCTACATCCATATCAGATATGGAGACCGAGATGAATCTACTGGCGATTCCCTTGGCACAGAGAGTAATTGCGGAAAGGAACTGCTGGTAAAGGTCACGAACTCCGAAAAACAAGGAAGCTCAGACATATGCGCATATGCTGGATTGTCTGAGAGTCACGGAGCTGTATACAAGACTGTACCAGGCTGAGCCAAAACCATAACCAAACAGGGCGTGAGCCAAACCCAAATGGCATGTGTCTTGGCTTGAAACTCGACAATATCTTAACGTCGTTATCGCCTGTGGCTGGGTTGTTTGAGCAGCCCTATCGTGAAAGGCCAGCAGTTCGTGGTTTATGTTCGGAGTGTCCAAGATTGCACGCGTCAATGCCTAATGCCGGCCAGCCAGATATGCTCAGGAGAGGTGCATCACGTCAGGTTCCAGACGTTTTGAAATCGAAACACGCATGATCTCGAAGCCAAAAATGGCCCTAAGATCCGGCAATACGGTGTTCCGGTGGCAGCAGCGCATTGAAGGGAATCTCCTGTCGTGTTTGTGACAAGTCAAGCGAAACGGTTACGGTTATTGTCGTCATGAACGTCAACGGGGGGGATGGGGAGAAAGGGATCGGATTCCAGGACCCTGGTTCAGGAACAGGACAGGCACAAAGTGTCGGGGGTGGCCTTCTAGAAGAACCTTCTAGCGCGTACAGGGCGCCCTGGGCCTGGGGCCTGGGGCCTGGGCGTCCCGGGCTAGCGTAGGGACCCTGTCAGGTCCATCTGTCTGTGAGACCGTGGGTGGAGCGGAGAGAGCAGGCGCCGCGCCGAGTGTGATTACATATGGGCACAGGTGGGTGGGAGACGTCGGTCGGTGACTCCTTAGGGGTTTCCGGCGATGAATGGGCTGAACTTTGAGTGGTGATGGTGGTGATAACTGGTGACACGAGATGAATGTGAGGTTTGGAGTCAAGAGTATGGAAACTGGAGGCTTGGCTGATAGGTAGAGTAGTGGGGACGAAGGGGGAAAGAGTATCGGATGATGATATGACCGGTTTTAACTTTTGAGTGAGAGTTTGGAAGGGAAAGAACCACCAGCCCAAGCCCAGGCCCAAGCCGAAACCAAAGATCACAAAGAAGGAGCCATGGAAGGTTGCCACCTTCGGCTCCGGGACTGGCTTCAATTCATCTGTCAGGTACCTAATTAGAGTACCTACTAATTAGAGAGTAGATAGATATCTTGCATATTTTAGCTTGCTGAGTAACTAAATACTAAGACACTAAGACTGTCTTGTCGTTGCAAGCCAGGCATGGAAGTGATAAGGTAGGTAGCAATTGGAATGCGACAGTAGGCCTTCGTTTCCCCGCGATAACAGCAACCTAGGAAATCTGAGCTATATCCCGCGATACTATTAGTTAGTGTTTACCATTTTCAATAGGCCGTTGCAAAACAACAGTGCTACCAAAACCAAGCTAGATCGTAGATCTATCGCTACCTACCTATATTGTCATATTTTAACCTATTGCGAGGTGTGTGGTCAGTGCCCAAGGGTTTGTCTTTCACCTGTTTGTTCTTTTTTTGTGTGAAACAGCAAATATACTGGATCCATGATTTAGATTACTGGTTGATATAGACTGGACGATCTATAGAACTCTTACTATATCTATTACAGAAACATAATAAACCTTAACTTGAATATGACTCAGATATGAACTGTTTGTCTTTTGTTTCTCAATTGGTCATCTAATCGGGTTCCGTGTGCTTGACTTGCAGCACGCACTGCAGCCATAAGACTAAAGTTTAAAAACGAATCGGATTGAACTATTACTACAACAACACATTATGCACAAGCGCGTTAGGACAGCTACCCTAAGTACCATAAGGCTACCACTGCGTGATGCACGATGCACGATGCACGCACGATGCACACGCCATCGACATTTGTTAAGGGCCTCTTTACGACCGCCGTTGAGTCCGGAGCGGGAGCCGGGCCCGGAGCCGGAGTCAAAGCGTGCATTGCCTCTACCAGATGATAGCTCAACGGCCCGGAAGCTAAAAGTGCCGTGCCCCTTGGGACCCTCCCCTGAGCAAAACTAAGGTACTGTAGACAGGTCATAATTAGTGGGCTAGGAGTAGTGTTAGGGGCAAAGGAGGCTGGGGGGGGGGCTAGCTGGGCTCCCTCTCACAAACCGCAAAACACCAGGACCCAATTCTGGGGGGGATCGTCCATCTTGCCGAGTTTGAACAGGCCCTTTTTGACGCCATCTTTCGCTTGCCACCGCCTGGCCTGGTAGCCTGGTAGCCTGGTGACTCTTAGCTTTAATGAGCACTACGTAGTACGTACTCCGTACTCCGTAGTGTCTAGGTGCAGGTACAGACGTCTTATCCATGCGGGTCACTGTCAGGGAGGGTCATGACATCCATGACATGGGCTGGGTTGGCATGATAAGAATAGAAATCGACGTCAGCAACGTTCACTGTAGATCTGAGATAACCCCTGAAGAATGAAGACCCAAGTCCAAAAATAATCAGAGATTTGCCCAGCATGCCCGTTCTAATGCCAATTGCCCCACAGCACAAAAGATGAAAGATCTTCGATATGTATTTCCTACTACAGAGAACACACTCCAGTTTATCGTCATAGGTCGGTTTATAGTACGTGAAATATAGCTACAACACAAGTTACTCTCTGGACTAAATTATCCTAAATTAGAAATCTTTTATAAACTTTGAAGTTTTTTATCTGACCTGATCTAACTAACCTAAAATTTCTACGCCGCATACTAACATAACCTAAACTCTTCATAACCTCGCTTCCACTCTTTTGCATGAATGCATAAACCGCCAATTTTACTCTCCCCCTCGCACATGCAGCTCACGGCGCGGTTCCACGCCCTCGGTGAAGCCGCTGCCAGTGCCAATGCCAATGCCAATAAATTATAATCAGTCTATTCCCAATTCTATCACTAGCACTTTGACCATTGACTCCATTCCCATCTTCCATCTCCATATAGGGATATTCTCTTTCCGTTTCCTCTCTTTCTGACCCAACAAGGCGGTCAAGCGCCCGGCTATCGATGTGGGCCATCCATGCCAACCCTTGCAAATCATCCGTCATCCCACTATTTTTCCGTCTGTCGATATCTTCTTTTTTTGACCTCATTGCGTCAGCCAATTGTAGAAGCCGTCATCACCACATCAGGAAGTCAATCCGTTATTGCATCACTTGATCCATTGCGTCGGCATTAACAAACATTTCTTTCTCATATTTTAGCGTAGCTATTTTACAACAGGTTCAAAAAATACACCCAGTCCGCCTGGGTTACCAATCAATTACAAAAAGTTGCTTCCATCTTTAATAAAACAACGCCCTTTTACCCACTTCTTAAGCAAAGTTATCTGATCGATCCACCCAGATATCCTCCAGTTCCGCAAAACTGTGGAAGTGCACAGGTCTGTGCTGGTCGCTGTAGAATGGTAGCGGCGTATCCAGCTTGACGTGGACAGACTTCTTCTCCATGCCAGCAAATGCGCTTCCCATAAAACTGTAGTTCCACTTGCCGTCATCCGGCACCAAGAAGAAACCTCTGAACCGTGGGCTCAGCAGAAGCTTGCGCTTCTCACCCATTGTCGTAGTAAAACCCTGGGGCTGATCACTCTGTGTGTCCTTGTTTTCAGCTCCCCACTTGTAACCAGCTGGGGTAAGACCCCAAGCTGACAGAGATACACTACCAGGTGTGAAGGCCACTGAGACCGTCACAGTGTTGGTCTTGTCCCATTCATTGTGCGCGTCAAGAAGCTTTGAGTGTTCGGTCACATCCATAGCCGACATGTAAGGAAGCTCACTTCCAGACACGGTGTGGATCACACCCAGAGGCTCCATACCCTCGAGGAACTCGCTCTGGGGAAGTTGCTGTGGCAGTTGAACATTGCGGAGTCCTCCGATCTGGGGGATCATGACGATACATTTGACCTCCTTGACCTGGTCGTTGTCTGGTGCCGAAGAACCGTACAAGTAGCCAGCCACCTGCACTCTGAGGTCTGCAATTGTGATGAAACGCTTCAGAATGTTGTTGGGCATGACATATGTGACATCGTCAAGATCGTTGTCAACTGACGACACGTAGATGTTCTTGGCTCGAGTGCGCAAGTTGGATGTTGCGATGGCTCGTGTTCGCCACTCAGTCTTGGATGCAAATGTCTGCTGCTCGAACTGCGACGTTGTTGTCACGATAATCTCCTCACCATGAACGTTCTGGGTCTTCGTAGTCACAGCCGTGAGCTGTGCCTGCTCCTGCTGCTGCTTCTCAATCTCGGCGGCCTGTTGACGCTGCATCGATGGTGCTGAAATCTCCATACCCAGGATGATGTCTCGCACTTCACTGGTCGTCAGACTAGAGACGTTGACATTGTTCTTCTTGCCGTAGTCATTCAGGATAAGATCTCGGAGCTGCGTTTCAACCTTGATCCAGTCCTCATCTGACAGTGATGGCCAGATATGATGCTCATGTGTGATGACGGTCTTGTCAGGTCGAAGAATGAGCTTTGTCTTATCTGGGTTGACGTGGAGCGCACGTAGGATGAGCACAAGACGAGAGAAGGCAGTGTAAGATGAGATACTCTTGAGCCACTCGTCATACAGATTGAAAAGAACCATCTGAGGCTCCGTAGCACGCAGAATCATATCACCAAGCTTCTCAACCTTCATGGCGGCCTGGAAGGGAAGCTGAAGCTCGGATGCTCGAATGGAAATGTTGGGAAAGTCGAGCAGGTGGACTTCGAGAGGGTCCAAAAGACCCTTTCTTGTGACAATCAACTGCTTTGGCTGTTCTTCCACAGGCAATGAACGAATCAGAGCAGCAACTTCTTCGGCTGTCTTCCATTTGGCGAGCTGGCCTAGACGCTTCTGTCCCGCCCAGACACTTGTGTGAATGACCTTGAGGAACAGCTGACCGGTTCGCGGGTTGAAGATGAAAATAGCACCATTGATGGGCTTGGTTGTCAAGTTACCCTCAAAGGTCTTGTGGATGGTGACACGGTAAACGTTCGTATCGTCAATGAACAATTGAGTCTGGTTGCTGAACAGTTCCGAGTAGTTCTGAGAGTTCAGGAACTCCTGGGAACTCTCTGAAGCGTAAAGTTGCAGACCCTTGCGAATACGTTCACGCAAAACATACAAAGCAGGGTTCGCCTTCATGATCTTGGCCATAGCCTGTTGAACCAGAACCTTCAGGCCAGGGAAGTACATTCCGTAAGCAGAGTACAGGTTGTAGGCAAGATCAATGCCAACCATGAGACCAGTAGCTGAAGGATAGATACTGGCACTGTCAGTAGTGTAGTCGAGATACTTGGCACGTGTGTATCGTTCAATATCATGTGAGTCGTAATCGCCATATCGGAGCTGGACATCGATCCAGAATTTGTTGGTAGTGGTCTGCTCGATCACGTCCTTGGTGTCATAAAGGAGTGATGGCCGAGTAACATTCCACTTGTGATTGGAGAACAGCAGGATGTCAGCACAAGAACTGTTCATCTTGTACGACTTTCGGGGATGGATTGTCTCCTTCTGAACTGTCTCAATGCCCAGAGATTCTAGTTCCTGATCGAAAACTTGGCACAGATCCATAACGACCGACTCGTGGATCTTCTGCCACAAATGGGCTCGGAAGATCTGAATCAATGAAATTTTCAGAGTAGGAATCTTTCCGTGCAAGAAGATACCAGTCAAATCAAGCTGGACTTGGAAACCCACGTAGACGTTGGCTCTGTTGATGGTGGGTGACCACCAAAGTGTGAATCGACGGTTCGGAATTTGGTTCAGACCCGAACGTTGAGCGTTTGTCAACTTCTTGAACTTCATACTGTCCTCAAACCCACTGGCTCTTTCCCAAAAGAGGCCTTCCCAAGATGGAAATCCGGTTGCCTTGAAGAGGGTGTGTTCAAGAATGGTCTCAACACCACCCAAAGCCTGGATCACATCGGTTCGGTAGGCGTTCAGGTTCCACAACTTTCCGTCATGACGTTGACTAGTCCACCAGAAAGGATTGTTCTTCATCAGTTGGTAGATCTTAAATTCAGCTCGTGCGCGGAAACCCTTGTCGAAACTCAGGGTGCTTCGGTCCTTTTGGAACAGAGTGTTGATACGGGGCAGACCGCGGTCCCAACTATCCTCGAGGTCCTCAAGAGTAAGACGACGATTCTGTTGATTGGCTTCAAGTCGTTTCTGAGAATATTCAGTCCAAACTCGTTGAGAGTCAATGAACTCAGCCTCCCAAGGGATAATGTATCGGAAGATGTTGGGGATGAGGGTTTCCTCATCGTGGGTCATTCCTGCCCTGTAGTGAGTAACGCCGGTATCGGTCTGCTTCGACCAACGCTTATCACTGGCAGGAATAAGGATGTGGGAGCCCGAAATCATACCAAGACCACCAAGCTCTTTGGGGGTGTAGAAAACTGCAGGAGGGAAACGAGAAGGCATTTTGGAGTTCAACCCAATCTTGACACGGGTCTGAATCTTGGTCTCGCACTTGACAATAGTATCAAGCAGGTCGACAGTTGAAACAGCGGCCTCGCGGTAGTACGTGAAGAGGGCAATCAATGCAGTGTTCCACTTGTTCGCAATTTTGGTGAAGGTGGTACTACCCGACGACATGAGAATTTGACGAATACGGTTATTGAATTTCTGGATGTCATCCTCGGTAACTTGAAGGAAAGCGTGGGCAGTCCTCTCCTTGGAGGTGTTGTCGACAAGGGACCAAACACTGTCCTTGACCGGGAATTCTTCGTTCTGGTTGCGAATCTTGGGAAGAATGCGAACCTCAAAACCGCACATAGAGAACAACAAGTTGGGGTTATCACGACTGTAAACACTAACGAAACTGTCATCCCAGTCTATCGTTGTCACAGATCGAGGAAGGCGGTTCTTCATGTCCCAGAAGACAGCTCGGCCAAGGTTCACGTCATGACGCATCAACCGCATGCGAGAATCTCTAGGCCAACACTTCTTGCTCTTGTAGCCGATGACGTTTTCGAAGTTGGGATCAGGTTGCTCAGTGAGGAACCGTTGGATGAGGTCTCGAGATTCCTCGGCAGTAAATCGGAGGAAGATCCAAATCTTGTCAATGTATCGGGTGTAAAGTCGGATCGGGTGGCTAGACTCAGTCTCGCGATCACGGAACTGCAAGAAGTCGTTCGGGCTCTGAGGAGGACCAGCAATCTCACTGGCTCGCTGAGGGCCCAGAAGAAGAAGATCCAGAACAAGACCGTAAAACTGGAAGACGAACGCAGAGAACTGCAGACCACGAATCATACCATAACTGTTGACATGGTTCATGTCTTTGTATGTCAGCTGGACGTTGTTCTTTGCCGTGATGTAATCCGCCAAGTTGTGGTCCATAATCAACCTGAGAAGAGAGTTCAAGAGTGTAAGCTCCATCTTCTCGTAAACCTTAGAAAGCTCTGTCTCGATCATGACATTGCATTCGCCATTTTCAGATTGCCACACTCCGTCAAGGTTGTTGATGCCCTGAGCCCACTTGTAAACCAGCAGTGGCGGAACCTCGGAGTCAGAGGGCTTAATCCAGGCAGGGAAAAGATGTCGTTGGTCCGCTTGATACCACAGGTACTGGTCAAGATAGGCATCGCTGATCTTCTCGATAGGCTCAATATCATAAACAGGGTTGATAGTGCTATAGTTGTCGTTCATGTCGATGTTCACCTCCTTGAAAGCTCGCTGGGTCAGCAAGAAACGCTTGATACGCTCCAGTGTAGTGCCAGGGCTGTCGTAAGCTTGCTCAATCAAAGCCAACTCCTCTCGCTGACTTTGGTTAAGACGACCCTTAACAGAGTAAGCCTCCCTCAACCGCTCAAGTGCGAGAATGAGGATCTTGGTGTCGTGCTTGTAGGAAACACTGGGGAAGGGGATAGGAGAAAATTTACGAGACTCAAGCCAATGCACAGTAGTTGTGTAGATGGCAACAGCCTCTTCTGAAGACACGTAAGGACCATCCTTCATGTGGTTGTGCTGGCGTTCCTGCTCAGCCTTGAGCCAGAGTCGAGTCAAACGACCAACGTTCTTCTTTGCTACAGTCTTATCAACCGTAGCTCCTCGTCGAATACGCTCACGGTTGTAGTGAGCGACCGAGATCCACCAGTCGGCCTTGGACTTGACATATCGAAGAATGATGTTCTCGATAGGAGCAGGCAGGCCAGGAACCTTCCAGGGGATGTTACTCTTCCAACATCTCCAGGCCTCAGACAGATGTTGTAGCACGGTATTAACCTTGTTTTGCTTGATACCCTCGGGCATCATGTCCATCAGATCAGCCATAACAGATGCTCGGAGCTCGAGATCAAAGTGAGACTCCACACGCTGCTTTGTGACAGTCTTGGCAACTCCCTTGCTGTGTCGACCTTCGAATTGACGGGACAGAAGATTTCCTAGCCATCTCTCAAGTAAAGGAATGATACCTCGCATAAAGAAGAGCCAAACCCTCCAGGCAGGAGCCCAGAAACCACAACCTGGACCCTTACCAACAGGACCGGAATTAAATCGGTAGTAAATAAGATGCTTCAAGTCCTTGCAAGTTCGAATCTGGTGCATCAGTTTGTACTTGTATCGGTACATACCCGTAAGCTGACCGACATGGTTGAAGGCATACAGGATACCGTCTGCAAGCTGGAAGGCGTCGATGTTTCCAAGTCTGTACTGAACTTGGGCATCAACAATAAGCTTTGTGAGTCTCAAGATTTCTCGCATCAAATGGAAAGCGTTTCCGAAACGGGACTTCTTTCGCTCCTTGGTGGTTAGAGTCTTGACAGGTTTCAAATTAAAGTTGTAATCCAGGTGAAGATATGTCAAGTTCTTGCGATGGATGAGAAGGTTGAGCATGTTGAAACCCTGGCGGCAGACCTGCAGACCAGCCTCGACCCAATCAATGGTAGTCTGCTGGAAGAACTTGGTTTGCTTAAGAGATCGCATCAGATTTTGCTTGTTCTGCGCCTTAGGCTTCTTCTTGTGAAGCTCGTTCAGGACGAAGTTCTTAAGAAGCTTCTGGTATGATACTCGGACCTTGACAGGAGGTCGATCAGAGGGAGGATGTTCAAGGTAGAACTGTTTGACTAGGGGCACATCTTGTGCTCGAACCATGCGTCCGGATCGTCGGTCGAATGGGTATGGTGCCCACCAGAGGTCGACAGCAGACGATGTCTCCTCATTCTCGATATCCTCATCAGCGAGGAACGGCTCAACCCCAGCCGGTAGTTCAAACGCATCCTCTTCAGGCTCTTCAACGTTACCCACCCCGAATATTTCATCCTCGTGAGGAACTTCAACGTTCTTGGGGGCGACGGTTCGCGAGGAAATAGGGTTAATGCGACGATCAAAATGAAACGTCGGGAGATCTGGGTCGTCCGCTCGGTTGAAAACAACTTGGGGGTGCGAGTGCCATGAGTGGAGGACACTCCTTGGCAGAGAATTATAAAGGAACGGGAATGCCACGCGGAACTCGGTTCGAATAGGGTTTCGGAAGATAATGCGGTCAATGGCATTGAACTCGCCAAAATCCTCGTCGTTGGGGTCGATATCCTTATACAAAGGCTCGAAGCGAGGTCCACCTGGAAGAGCAACATTAAGAGCCTTGGCTGTTAACAAGCTCTTGAGGTCGAAAAGGTAGAAGTAGTTCTTGTCGATAACATCAGAAACAAGCGGTCGACTAAGACGGAACAGAGTCGCCATCTGAGGTAGTGTGAGGTTCCATGCTTTGTAACTGGGTCCATTCACGTGAGGTGTATCCAGAAGGGGCCTGTGGTCATAAAACCATTCGTACACAGCTTCATCATCGTCCTCATCAAGCTCCATCTGGATGGGCTCAAGGGGTTCAACATCCTCCAAGTTCTCGGCCCATGACAGAGGGGGCTCTTCGTCGTCAAAGGGTGGGAATCGCATACGCTTGAATAGTCGTCTGTCGGCCTTTTCCTTTCGCATGAATGTCCACATCATTGCCCACTGCGCAAAGAAGACAGGCTCGATAACTCGGGGGATTTCGTTGACCAGAGTCAAACAACCATTGACGTGGTAAAGTACTTTGACCTCGCGCGCCGATTCCCACGGCATTGGCATATTCTCAAGCAGCTTCAAGACCGCGTGCGGCATGAACTTCAAGGCTCCAAGATAACTTCGCTTATCATTTGTATATTTCTTTTGCGAGACATCGCCAATATCCTTCACAATCTTTCGAAGATGTTCCGGGGGCATATCTGCCTTCTGTGTCTGAACAAAACCTCCCTTGCGCTTCTCCCCAAAGCGATTGCGTTGAGACTTCACCCATTCTTTCTTCTTCTGGGCGAACTTGGCAACTTGGGGATCGGTCGGTGGGCGATAACCAGGAGGAGGCGGAGCTGGTGTCGACGGTGGAGGAGGGAGTGATGATGAAGGAGGAGGAGGTGGTGGTGGTGGTCCCCAGCCGGGGGGAGGAGGTGGAGGGAGCTGCGACATGATTGTTTGCCGATGCGCTCGATGAAAAGATCGTGTAGTTGTCGCTATATGGAGGCTTGACGCCGTCGCGCGAAATTAGGCGCGCTTCCGATTGCGACACGCTATATGTATTAATTATTGTAGTAAACTCTTCGTCGCGGACTATTGAAGATGGAATTGATGCTGGAGTCGCGCAAAATCTGCGCGCAACGACCAGGGGGATGATAGTAAGGAGCTCTTGAGAAAGTCGCCTTCAATCGTCACGACAAATTTCGGGAAACGCGCTAGGATGAAGGTAGTGGATCCTCGCACGTGATGCTTGAACAACAGTGTCCATGGAATGGGCCGATGGATGGACATAGGTACCTAGTCTACGGAGTACGGAGTATGTGCAATGGAATCGAACAACTTGCTGCTTTTGAGTATGTAAATATGAATAACTAGTTCCCTACGTTGGTATTACAAGTCCCTTGTTGCGTACGTGACTATCATCTTACTCATATTTGTTATTAACCTTTTTGCGTGTAAGGAGTTTTCCGTTCCATTTCCACGACAACGAGTCAAGGACTTACTCTTTGATCACAATACGGCATACTCTTTTATTACCAAAAAAGTATTTTAACAACTACGCATCCAGTCTCGGATTTATTAAAGGCTACGAAAATATCACATGCGTTTTTATACTCTTATGACAAACTACAGAGCACCATATTTTGGTAATATTTGTTGTCTTTGCAGGATTTCGAGAGAGGCTGAGGATCATTCACATACCACGTATGACTGAAGCTGAATAAATAGTGTAGATGCCAATGGTATTGCACTTAGAATACAATGGAAATGCCATTTTTCTTCAATAATACAACAACAACCCAGAAGTGTAACGCTTTTAAACGTGAGGACCGAGGCAACGAATGGTGATACAGGGTAGTTAGTCTGGATTCGAATACCACACACCTGTCCAATCATAGTCACTATAATAGAGTTACTACATTATGTAAGCACCAGCTTCAATCGTCGTGCAATGTGAACCATCATTCAACGCGATCATCACGACAGCCAATTCGTCACGCCAATCACTTTAGCAAGACTCCAACTGCCATCAATCAAAATGGCACACCTCAGTAAGTCGCGTCAGAGATCTAGCTATTGAAGCCTGCTAATCGCTGACTTACAGACGTCAAGCCGGACCCGGCCTACCTGAAATATGAGGGTGCGTGACTTCTCCCTAACCACGACGGCGATCACCTGCGACTCGAGCCTATTCTGACATACTGAACAGCTATGATGAAGAAGCGCCATCATTATTTCCGATGGACGCCCCGAACTGCCAGAATCACCTTCATCTACGTTGCCCTGATCCCCGCCATGATGGGCTACATCGCCTACAAGACCGACGTAAGTCTGTATCTAGAAATTCCGACAATACAAGGGCTGACAAGTGAAGGGACTTTGGGATTTCCGAGCGAAGCGAAAGGGCGATCTCGTTTACGAGAAATAGGTCGACCAAGAATAGGAGATGTGGGATGTGTACTTATGAAGCGTCCTGCCTGGGATAGAGCCTATGGTAGGCATTCAATTGGACCAATGTCAAGCATGAACGAACAATTGTTGAATTTGTGAAATATCTCATGGTCTCAAGGAGAAATGGGTATAATCGAGAGTGAAGCCATCAAAATGAGCACTGTATGTCCTCCTACCGCCTCCCTCTACCCCTAGGTCGCCCACCAGGAGCATCTGGTAATCTCTCACCTCGCCTCCACTCTCCCATAGGGAAATCTCCCCCAACGTCATCTCTCCAGCCGCCACGGCCTCCCCTAGAGGTTCCGCGGTCGAAGCCATTCTCTCGTCCTCCTCGATGACTCGCTCGAGCATCATGTGAACTTGAAGCCTGCTCCCTACGCACGCTTGAGGCTGGTGCCACTGAGCCGTCCGAAAGTGGTGGTAGTATTGCGCAAGTGATGTAATCGCCGACAACAAATCGCGCTTCGCTGAGGGTCTTACATCTATCGTCGGTGCCTTTTACTGTGGCATCCATGGACACATCCCCCGACGCGTCTATTCCAGGGTCGCCGCCCATCACAAGGCTGCCGAGATCCTTAACCCCATATCGAGGAGGAGCGTTTGCGACTGCGGTAGTGTTGCGGAGATCAGGAAACACCAGCTGGAATACCAGGCGACACCCTACAGAAGGTGACGGAAAAGCCGAAGGCTTAGTAGCTACAAGATCTAGAGCGAGTTCATTTAGAGTACAGTCTGACCATGTGTACACCGAAATGTGTGGAGGAAGTCCGTTGAACTCAAACTCATCCGGTCTGATACAGAGAATCAATGTCAATATTGTAGCACGTAAGCGATATGGCAATGGGCAACTACTTGTGTACCTACTTACCTATGAAGTGCTCCTGTACGGTAAAAGAGCTGAAGTAAGAACGGGGTAGTATCTTCGCGGAGGGATTTGGGCGGAGGAGAAGCCATTTTGTGAATGAAAGGTACAAAATGCGGAGAGTATCCTTGATATTATATCTTGAAATGAAGCCTGGTTGCCAAAGTCGCAAGTGATAGAAGCGGCATCGAGGACTTGACTGTATCCGAATTAGCCGATATCGCTATAGCCGTAAACCATCATGACTTCCCAACCCAGTCAACTCAAAATTCATCAACTTACAACTTGCGACAGCGACTTATTCCCAACCGAGAAACAGAAGTCTTTCGAAACAAGACGCGCAAATACAAAACCAGACCCAAAATCGAAACTAGTCTCTCAGCGCCGAAAGAAGAACGACACCTCCCCGATAACCCCCATTTATCTCCATCATGGATTTCGCGGCTTTGATGAACAAGGAGCTCTCAAAGAGCAAGAAGGGCTCAGGCAATGACGAAAAGAAGTACCTAAAACGATCGGAAATCGAAGCGCAAAGAAAAGAAGCCTACCTTGCCGAACAAAAAGCCATTGAGGCCGAACGCCAAGCTAAAGCCGCCGCCAAACGCAAACGAGAAGAAGATGCCGCCACTGAGAACGCCGCACGCGAGGAGAAGCGTCGCAAACTAGCTGAAGATATGCGCAGGAGGCGCGAAGAGCAAGATGCCGAAGAAGAGCGCGCCCGAAGGAAGCGACTTGGTTTACCCGAAATGGTCAAGGCTAAGAGTGAAGATGCTGAGGATGGCGTTCACGCGAGCGACGACGTTCCTGAAGAAGAACTTGTGGAAAAGCTGAGAGGATTGGGCGAACCGGTTGTCTTGTTCGGTGAGAGCCACGCTGCGAGGGTTAGAAGATACCGCAGATTGACGACAGTGGTCTCGAAGGGACCTATTCCGACAACGCTAGAACTTGTGGACGAAAAAGATATGAAGGTCGACAGCGAGCTGCCGAAGGATAAAGAAGGCAGGAAGTGGCTGTTTAGACAGCTGGCGAGCTACTTTACGATGGTTCTCACAGAATATGAACGTGCTATGGAGGCCGAGAGACGAGATACAAGCGCCAGTAAAATAGCATACAATGCGATGGTGCAGACACGAGAGAACATGAAACCGGTAAGTTCCATCTCACTGCATATTGGAACATAGTAACTGACATATCCCTTCAAAGCTTTTCCGCAAATTTGAACAGGGTGAGCTCGACGACGATATTCTCAAGCCTGTCATAGAGATTGTCCAAGCTCTTCAGGAGCGTCGTTACGTCGATGCCAACGATGGATACCTGCGTTTGAGTATTGGCAAGGCAGCATGGCCCATTGGTGTTACCATGGTTGGTATCCACGAGCGCAGTGCTCGCGAGAAGCTTCACAATGGAGAGAAAGGCCATGTTATGGGTGATGAGGTTACACGCAAGTATCTGCAGAGCATCAAGCGTTGTCTCACCTTTGCGCAAGTCCGATGGCCACCTACAGACTTGCAACAGTTGATGGGCTAGGGAAGTATCTACTTTCAGGAATACTCATGAGACGGAGCCAAGAACTCGAGGTTTAATAATGATACCCCTTGAATACCAGAGACATGCACATGCATACTCTACTCTAGCATACCATACTTCAGCGTTCTCAAGTGAACGGTCATAATTAACAAACCCATAACGCCTAGGCCTTGATGTCGACGTGCAGTCGATTTGCTCATGATTCAAGCCAAGTCTCTCAACTTGGCCTCAAAGTAAGAAGCCTTCAACCCCATTCTTACGGATTTTGCAGGTGCTTAAGTTGTCAAAGTTCTCGAAGCTTCAGCTTGGCCAGGCCCCTTTGCATCATCATACCACTGCTCATCGATCCCCCGGCCAGCGTGGCCAGGGTTCGGTTGCCTCTTACCCACTACTTCTAGACCGGCGGCAATGATATTCATTCTACGAAGCCTTTCCTTGGCCTCCCGTTCGTACTCCTGGGCGACATTCAGAGCTTGCTTCTGCATCTCGAAACGAGGATTGGGTTGGACGGCAATCAGAAGCTTCGAAGGATTAGTACATTGCACAAAGAAAGGAAAAGGGTTGTACTTACTTTGTTCTTTGCGTCCAGGCGGGCTTTGAGTATTCCTTCACGAATCATGGAGACCAACTCTGCCTCGACAGACCCCCCCTCTGGTGCAAATGCTTTGTTCAAGGTCTCCAGAGTGACACACGAGAATGGGACAAAGTATTGTACAATACACTTGTTCCTAATTTGCGAGTATAGCGTGGAGATGTGGCGCTGCAAATACACATCCAGTAGATAGTCGTTTCGAACGGACTCAAGAATAGATAGGCAGTTCGAGTATCTGCCATTGACGAAGAGACTGATGGCCTTACGGACATGTGATTCGTTTTCCAGGAATGAGCGGAAGGACTGATTTTCTAAAACTCGAGCCTGTAATTCCTTTCTTTCCATAGTGGCCAGCGCAAGCAAGCCTCCATAGACGGCGATATCGTTGGGACTTGCGATGTGGTTGTATTGAGCGGGAGGCAAAGTAAAATCGATTTGAAGGAAGCTATTGGCAGCATCTTTGTAGTGCTTAAGACCCAGGAGCGCAATTCCAGATACCAACTTGGTGTATGTCTGGTAGGTTCGCTCCTCATCACCACTCTGGACGCCAATAATCTTTCCCAGGTTGTTGAGAACCATGGTCCAATCGCGTTTGGCAATATAGACATTGACGAGGTGTACTCCGCAGTCGATGATGTGCTTCGTGGTTGTCACGTCCTGGCGCATGCGGTTGTATGCCTCAAGTGCTCCATCTAGGTATCCGGTTTTCTCGTAATGCTGTCCCATGTCCTCATTACCCATCTAAAGCTAGGTTAGATAAATCAGGAGAAGATATGATTAATTTTTGCACGTACTCGTATGCTCTCCTTAATCAGATTATGACGGTATTGTTTGAGCTGAGATTCAAGTCGTGCTCTCTCGGCTTTGTTTTCGCGCTCGACTTTCTCGATCCATGCTTGGTCTTTCTGGGATTCGGGCTCTTGAGGGGCAGCAATGCGAATGCAGTTCCAAGCTTCGAGGTAGAGTGTTATATCAGAGCCTGCCTTAGCTTCGACAATAGCAGCCTTGAGCGCATCGACACATAGTGGCACCGAAGACTTTCCTATTTGGATGAGACGATCGATTCTCGTTCGACCTACAGAGCTGTTAGCAAGCTCTTTTGTGTTTATTGACAGGATAGGTGTGACGAACCGGCGTAGTTCTGAATATATAGATCGAGGTCGAGCTTGGGTTGATCTAGAAGACACAGGTTAGATTGGTATCCGAAGCCGCTTTGAACCGTGATCACGACTCTGACGACATGAGTATAACGAACCTGGGACAACGATGCCACCCGAGTTACTCATCTGGCTAAAAAACGCCAGCAAGGAGCTTGATTCAGACATAACTGCGGTAATGGCTTATCTGAAAAACACAAAGCGTAGCTATTTCGAGATCGATGCGGGAAGGATGCAAAGAGCTGTACCTCGACGTGTGGTTTGGTGGATAGCAATGAGTTGCTGCTACCTCAGGTACAGTACCTCTACCTCTAGGCTGAAGTGGGGGTGGGGACACGCTCGGTGAGTTTCGGTGAGAAACCTCGGTGAAGCAAGGTGTGGTTTTGGTGGATGGCCGATTTGGTCCCGACTCCCGAGCCTTCCTTCTAAGTTCTCAGTCATCCATCACCCACTCTGTCAGCATCACTTCGTTGTTCTGCCAATACCGAATAATATCGTTTCTGGCTTAGTAGGCAGAGTGAGCGAAGACTGAGCCAGGATGTTATGATTACTGATGACATCCACCATGACTTTCCATCGAATAAAATCGAATAAAAATAATGCGACGTCAAGATGTGTGCTTTACGTACATTCTTTGTACCATGACCGAGATACAGACGCATGTTGAACGTTGGGAACGCTAATAGGGTTTTGAGCAGGATTTCTATATCTACTTGCATGAATTCTGAACATTATATCTTTACTACGTAACACCACTGCTATCCTATGAATTGACCTATGCGGGAGTAGAGGACGTATCTGAATGGAAGGGAGGGAGGAATTCTTGTCAAAAAACCAAGACTATGTATTATAGCCTTCGCAGAGAAACAGGGACTTCCTCAGTATTTAGTTTGTGTAAAATTTAGACATCATCGATGGTCTAATGTCTGCTGGACCCTTCAGACAATCCTGGTTGAAGAGGTTAAAACAAAGCTTTCGCGCCAAGACCAACGCCAAGATCTATCAGAAAACAAATCCATGGCAGATAAAAAAAAAAGTGCTTCTGACCCGACCTTATCGGCCGAATATTTGAATCAAGGAGTGACGACAGATTCAGCTGAGTGATGGGAATTCACCCCGTAGGGAGACTTAGAACGGCCGGCACCTTTCCCACCAATAAATTCACAGCCTTTGTCTGATGGATCCGAGCCGGGGGAGGCAGATGCCAGATGGCCTGTATTTTTAGGCCGTTGGCTCTAGTTTTGTTTGATCCACTGAATGTCGACTTCAACGCCCTCTAGTGACGATGGAGGTACCGATCAATGGAGTGAGTTATCAGCAGTACCTTCATCTTCAGTGGGCCCTCGGTGGGATATATGTATCTTTTGATACTATGGCTCTTGCTGGCATAACTCGGTCTAGTATACAGTACAAACTATCTATCTCCTCGGGTCCGAATGGATTCTCAGCCCCGAAGACGCGAGAGGGCGTTGCAATTCGGGTGTGCCGTCTGCCGTTTGGAACTTCCTACTAACCTTATCTAGTAGCAGCCCTGGCGGAGGAAACCCGGGCGAGAACCGGAGATTTGGATCCATGCTTCCTCTATCGTTCCGCTCAAGATGCTGCTATAATGGCTAATGCGGCAGTTTTGTTTAAATGATGTCATGCGCTCAAGTTCTTTTTCCCATCTGGGAGACATGCTGCCATTATGCGTGTGGCGCTTCAGTCTTTGGCGTTGTGGCAGTGGATGCGGACAAGAGTCTCGAGCCTCGAACCTCCAGCTTCCGTGACATCCGGAGCCGATGCAATGGTGGTTTCTAAAGCCAGCTAGGTAATGATGAGACAAGCTGTTTTGTCAACTCGACGGAGGAGGACCCTGCTTTTCAAGGCGACCAGACACTAGCTAATAAATCTTCTAGTATCTTGACAATCGAGCTTGTTTGCGCTTCTGCAGCTTGGGTCACATTTTAACCAATGTATCAAGCAATTTAAGCTGTAGGATAAGGTATGAACAAAGTTAGGTCCGTCTATGGCTGCTGCGAATAAAGTTGACAACTGGGTGGGAATTGCATGGATCTTGGGTTTATGTCTAATAAAAGATATTGCCGTACACACAAGTTAAGAAAGAAGATTCGCCGTTACGTGTGAGTTGGTTCGCAAGAAGGATGTTTATTGTCAATATGAGATATTCCACAGCTACTGGGTAGTAAAGCAATCTCGACCACCATGCCCTTGCGTGTCTTTTTGGCTTAGCTACCAAGTACTCTGTAGTTTCAGAAATATCTGTTTTACAGTACAGAAATATTGGTTTTAGACAACTCATATACTTAGTCTAAAATTCTGTGATCTTCCTACGTTACCTCCGCACGCAAAATAATAACGGCTACCATTGATATCGTCATCATCACCACTTTGATATCTCGCAACTCTGGCACCTCTTTGACCTCGTTCTCTTTCGACTTTCCCACCACAGACTTGACTTGATCCACGCAGATAACACGGCAACAAAAGCCGGTACCCACAATATTGTACGGCTGAGACTCAGATTTGCTCTAGTGCAGCCATTTATACGCCCGCCAGCGTTCCCATGCGAGTTTCGTCAGAGTGGGTGCGATCTGGCTAACGGCAAGTCGGGCAAGGTTGGTCTAGAGCGTTTTGCGTTTTGCCCGTCCGTTCGCTGCAACCCTCGTTTAATAGCGGGTGCTTAAAATTAGTAGGTACCTCTGAGGAAGATACTTCCATTGACACTTGAGACGTGAGCAAGCCTGTCATGTTCCATGTACTATGAGGTGAGCAACAGCAATTGATACGTAGTACGTGGTGATATGTCTGTCTTTGGCCTGGATAAAAATTCACCAGAAACTCCCAAGTTGAACCACCATGAAATACCCACCCATCTTGAGTCTGGTGTTACAGCTTGAGCCTCTAACTTGTGCATAGGACGGCGTCGAGCGGTTGTTCTTCCTAAGGGGGCCGGTACCTGAGACTGCGAGTTTATTTTGCGGCCGCGCGGCTTGGTTCATGGATGTACCCGTCCACTCGCAGGGCTCTGGCCAGTGAAGATGCCTTCTCTTTGCTCAGATAGTAAGGTCGCCGTCCCGTCATAGCCGTGATCCGGTTGGAATTGCATTACGCGTGAGTTGGTACTGCAATATATTATTCGTATTTGTTGGACGAATAGAGCCATCTGGTGAAGGAAGGGCTTCAAGCCAGCCACCGACGCGTTACGAGTCGGTAGTGTAGCTGTACTTGGAACGTGACTCATTCAAACGAGGTGCCAAGAGTTGGTTCTGAGTAAGTGATTGCTGTAAACTGGTCATATAAAGAGTATCGGTTTCCAGCAATGGAACAGAAAGTTGTTGATGAGTTGTTTTTGAACCTCGTGATGAGGCTTGACCATTACTTATCTTGACATAACGAGGGGTTCTTTTGTAAGTGATCAAACGTCTCCATGGCGAGGTATGGACTGCAGAGCACGGAGTACACTGGGCCCAATTCAATTCAATGTTACATTACCTCCCTGTCCTGGTATAGTGGAAGGCCAATCCCCCTGCAGTAACAGATTGACTTGTGAAGTACAGTGCGAACATTATAGCTGTTCATTTCTTCATTTCCATGAGTGGTTTTCGTTTCTGAGAGCCGAGAAGCAGAACATCATTCTTATAGATAATTACATGTAATTATATCGCAATTACAGTGGTATTTAAGTTAATTCTCAAATATATCTTAAATTCCTCCTTCTAAATTCCAAACGAAACGTTTTGTTCACCGATCGCTACACCTACAACCTTATCAACTCAATTCAATTGTTCCTCGCTCTGGAGACGCCGTAGTCAAAATGATGTTCTCTTGTACTAGCCAGTTACAGTATCGTGGTATCGCGGAAATAGCCATTCGCAAACCCTATGATCCTCCTTGAATATCCGTAGTTAACATTACGATCGAGTATATTGCGCGTCTCTCTCCTAGGTTCTCCATATGTCTCTCTCAGCTGGCCCTTAGGTCCATACCACACAAGTTATCCACTGGTGCTTGATTCCCCTTGGCTTTAAATCTTGGCTCGCCATATTTTGTGTCTTGGTATTGCTTGGCAGTTGAATTTTCAAGCCTTTTGTGTCTCATCGTCCCTTTGATGTTCTTTGGTTTACTAGCCCCGAGTCTTGGACAACTCTTAGCATCTGCCACTGTCCATTTGAGCGCTAAAAGAAAAGAGCGAGGGACAAGCCGTACTGTGCCGATAGTACGGTGCCGACCGGCCTCGCTTTGTCAAGCCCAGGCTTCTAAAAAAGAAGCCTCCAAAAGCCCTGGCTGGTCCTTTTGAAGAGCCAAAGCCCAAGCCAGTCCATTCATGTACCGTCTCCACAACCCGTCGCGCTGCCACTCATCGCTCGTCCCCTCTCACTTACTCGCCCAAGTCAACTTTGCCCGCCGGCTTCTGGCTTCTGGTTTCTGGGCTTCCTCCATCCTTTCCCTATCCCTTTTGCTACCACTTGGAAACGGTTTAGTCTGGTGCCGTCTAGTCCTCTTTAGTGCGCTCCTGCCCGTACATACAGGACAGGACAGGACGCTACGGTACTTGGTACCATCACCCAACACCTGGGCGCTTTGTCCATCATCACCATTTCATTTCATTTCAGTTTTGTATTATTCTACCCCGACTCTATTTCTATTCTTGACCCTTGACATTTCTCCGTGGGGATCTAAAGTGACGCCTCTCGATCGCTAATGGCCTAGGTCGTGAGTTTTGGGGGCGATTGGATATGGGCTGCCACAGGCCTCACTACTTACGCCTACGACGACCCTGCTACTCATTCAATCTGTAGACCCTTCGACTCGACTCAACTCAACTCAACTCGACTCTAATCACCTCGACCACCCGCCTCAACCTCAATTTCTGCCGCACGGCGGCGGCCACCACCAAGACACTCCCTTTTCTCCTTTTTCGCTCACAATAATACACAACCCGCTATTTACGATTTGATCGCGGCCGACAGGCCTATCAACCAGTGAGTGGAACTCTACAACATCACCCTCGAGTCGCATTCGTCGTTCTGGCGCTTCGAATCGCACACCCGAACTCCCCTCTAATCATTACACTTGCTTCGATAATATTCGTCGTCTTTTGCGCTGTAGTCTTTTTGCGAATTGCTTTGTTAGCGAGTTGAATCGCCGATGGGGCACTAGACTTTGCCAAAACTCTCAAGCCTTTTAACTTCATTACCTTGTCATCTTCAAAACTCGATGAAGGAGGCAATTTAATTCATCGTTCTTTGCTGACTCAATTAAGTTCGCCATGCCACCCGACGCCGCTGACCATGACGGCGGCCAGTCGTCCCATGACTGGCAAGATGATACTCATTCGCCTTCAGCGAGCATCAAGTCCGACAACGAAATGGACGATGATGGTAGCGGGCAGCCCGGCGCGTCATCACAACCGATTCAAAAGCGACGACGAGTAACACGCGCCTGCGACGAATGCCGACGGAAAAAAATCAAATGTGACGGCAAGCAGCCATGTACACATTGCTCTGTTTATAGCTATGGTATGTGACTGCCGTGATTCAGCGCTTAATCACCTAGATTCAACGTCCCCTAAGACTCGCATCGTAAAAGTTGAGGTGGCTGACTGTTATTGCAGAATGCACATACGATAAACCTTCAAATCGGAGAAGAAACCCAGCGCCACAATATATCGAAGCCCTAGAGAGTCGACTGCAACGTGCGGAATCTCTCCTGTCTAAATTTATGCCCGATGTCGACTTGGCCGACCCGAATCTCGATCCAGCCATTCAACAGGAATTCCGTAATCGCGAAACTGCACGTTCTCAATCTTCCAAGTCTCGACAGCCTCCACCAAGTCAACCCGACCCAAACGACGCTCATTTGACTTCCATGATAGATTCAGTGGGCCAACTCGATCTCGACGAAAAAGGAAGCTGGGACTTCCATGGAATCTCCTCTGGCGCTGTGTTTTTGAAACGCATGAAGGAACACTTTCGAGGCATGCTCGGTCCAACATCAAAAACTCCCTTTTTACCTCGCGCTGAACGACCTGCTGGCCTCGAGTCACCTTCGCTATCTTCTGTCGGAACACCCTTCTCAGCTGTTCCAAGTTACCCCGAACTTCCACCTAAGGATGTTACCCGAAAGCTCTGTTATTATTCTCTCAGCTGCGCGACATGCCTCGTCCGCATCGTGCACGTTCCTACTTTTTACGAGCAGATGGACAAAATCTATGAACTACCCTTGGACAACCTATCGAAGGAAGAAACGCAATATCTTGGACTCCTCTTCTCTGTTATGGCTCTTGGCTGCATGTACAACAATCTTGACGACAGCGGCCCCGGAAGTATGGCATATCAAGACGCAACCGAGGAAGGGTTGAAATATTATAATGCAGCGCGATCCGTATTACACGATATGACAGATTGCCGTGATCTGATATCATTACAAGCTCTATTGTTTATTATTCTTTTTCTCCAAGCCACCTCGAATCTCAGCAGCTGCTATTCCTTCGTTGGTATAGCCCTACGCTCGTCACTTCGAATAGGTCTTCATCGACATCTGCAGCACGAAAAGATGGACCCTATCGAGCAGGAAGTCCGGAAACGCGTATTTTATGTGGTTCGACAGATGGATATTTATGTGTCCACGTTGCTCGGCTTTCCTCTCCTCCTCAATGTGGATGATATCGACCAACCGTTTCCGTTAGAAATTGACGACGAGTTCATCACACGCGGTGGTATTTTGAGACCGCCTCCTGGATCGCCATCATTTTTTCAAGCGTTTAACGCCCACTCAGAATTGATGGAAATACTGTCGAAGGTCACGAAATACGTATATCCAACCAAGGGATTGGGGCAAACTGTTACCAAGGATAATAAGCCGGCCTCCACCTATCTCATCAGTTACGGCCGCATCAAGGAAATTGAAGCAGAGCTCCATTCTTGGTTCGAAAGGCTGCCCCAGCACTGGCGCCCCAGTGGGGAGGGCCCAATTGAGACGGTCAGGTAAGTAAAGAGAGAATCCCCCTGATACCCAGTGAGACAGTGCTAATATCGTGCTTAGGATTCGCCATTTGTTGAGATTTGCCTACGCCCATGTCCAGCTTGTGCTATACCGACCATTTCTGCATTACGTTTCTCCTCGTTTGAGTCAAGGAACGAAAGTTGATGAGCTCTCGTATGCTTGTGCTGCAGCTGCTATCAGCGTTTCTCGTAACATTGTGCATATTGGTCTCGAGATACGCAAACAGCGGGTGCTTAGTGGACCGTATTGGTTTATGTTGTACACCGAGTTTTTTGCGGTCCTTTCTCTCGTGTTTTACGCCACAGAAAATCCCGAGAAGCCAGGTTCTGGAGAGGTTCTAGCAGATGCTCGAGCAGGAAGGCAAATGATAGCAGCACTAGCGGAGAAAAGCATGTCGGCTGAACGCGTCACAGGTGCTCTCAAAGTATGTACCAAAGCACTCGAGGATTTTAAAAAATTCCAGTTACTAATTTGGTTGAAACAGGCTCTCTTTGATCAACTACCGGAGCAGCTGGATGCTGGAGCCGTGCGACAAGTGCCGTCGAAGAAGAGATCCGCTCCTACAGGACGACCCTCATCCGTCTCATCTCACCACACCCCTATTCCTGCAAGTATGTCGTCGATTGGAACAGCCGACTTCACGCGCACCAGCCAAATGTCGACGAGTTCGTACCCCACCACTTTGTCCCAAGGCACAATGGATATGCAGGCAGGAGGTATGGCAGCATTCAACGACAATACTTTCTCTGTCGACTTTGGCGGGTTCATGTCTCCTGAGATGCAACGGAGCACACCAGAATCCACTAGCAGTGCTGCGACAAGTACTCAACGATTTCCCTATGCCGGACAGCAAATGGGCATGCACAATCCTGTCAACAAGCTCGACTCACTTATGTTTCCTTCTGAAGACCCTTTTGCTTATCCCAACCAGCCTATGATGGAACTGGGATATCCCAGCAAGACAGACCAGCCTACCAACATGAACGATTCAAACCAGGATATGCAGCTCTTCCTGACTGGAACCTTTGATGATGTAGAGAGCCAAATCTTCGGACAGCCGCCACCTTATATGGTGCATCAACAGGGCCAGGCCATGATCAACCCTGCGGGACAACCCATGTACGCCAATCCATCTGCGATAATGGGAATGCCGCCCAGCCAACCGATGATGCAACAAAGGCGGCCAGTGTCACAAACGCATGCGATCCATCAAGGACACTCGATGTCAAGTCGACGAGCGAACACACAGCGGCACCAAGAAAGGCAAATACAACAGATGTTTACAGAACAGGGAATGCAGGCGGATTGGGGAGGCTTTTTTGGCTCAGGCAGAGGAGGATTCCAAGGAATGTAACGGTCGCTACATTTGATACCCATTTATGATAAGAGAAGGAGGGAAGCGCGCGAGGCGTCGGCTAGTGTTTTATATTTTATTTTATGGGACGAGCGATTGTGATTTTGGATGGAGTGCTCGGATTGTCAAGGACTCTAGGATACCATGGGATGAAGATGATGGCAAAGGAATGCCTGCGTTTTTAGAAACTGTCAACGCACATTAGACGGCGGCTTGATTTGGTGCTGTACATATCAGTGGACTGTGATCAGACAGTCAGCTCATGACTGTGACTTCGGTGGAGGGAGAGTCTGAAGAAGTGTAGAAACACGGAAAAGAGACTTCTTATAAGTACTACACAGTTCTAGTTTTGATGTAGTGAGACTCGTCGTGAGGTAATATGGAGAGTTATAAATCTCAAAGCGATTAGAAGACACGTTTGCCACAATCAAGAACTGCTTAACTTGAGGCTCAAATTGACACCATTCAAGTGGTTCCCGGGAGTTATAGCATAGACCAAACCGTTTCTTTGTTCGTCTGGTTGCGTCATGAAGCTGATGGATTGGTACATTCAGGGTTATAGGGCGTTATCGTGGCGCTGCGATACGTTGGGACAAGCCCGATGTGTACCGTAGCGGATAAGCCTAGGTACAAACTTACCTAGTAGAGGTAGTGTAACACTACCCGTATCTGTTAATTGTGTTATCACATGGAAACCGACTCTCAAAAGCAACGCATATTCCTGACCTTGCGCCTGCAGCCAACTCTTTTTGTTATTCTGACTTTTTTATAACACGCTCGCTTGTTTTTGTGTTTCCGCGTGCCGGATCCTATATACTCTCAGTGCACTCAAATGGCACCGCCGATAATGCTTCCGAGGCCTGTCTGTGGGGAAGAAAGGCCGCAGTCACGCGAGAGATCGCTGAGTTACGAGTTTGTACTTGAGGATGAGTTTGACGCGCTGTGAGTCGGCATAAGCACTGCTACATATATGTGATTCAAAACGACATTCACATTGCTGACAAGATCATGGAATAGCTGCGTTGAGGTGAAGACGAGTGATGATGACTCTAGCGGTAAAAGCAGCAGCGGTAACAAGTATCCTGGTATGTAAAGACAAGAGACTCTGTCTCTTGTGACCCGAAAGCCTGACAAAATACAAAATACTGACTATTTCTGTAGCAAAACTACATGCGCGCAAGGTTGTCAAAGAGCTTGGCGTTACTGATGGCCTCATCTATCTTCCTGGTGAGCCTACGCGGCTCTATGAGGACTCGGACCAATCACCTCCTTTCAAGCAACGTAGATAGTATGTATCTCAACCTCAATGGAAAGCTTTTGCTAACAATATCTCAGCTTCTATTATCTGAGTGGTGCTGACTTTCCCGACTGTGCCGTCACTTACGAGATTGCTACTGACCGTCTCACCCTCTGGATCCCCTACTCTGAGCCGCGTCAGGTCTTGTATCATGGCCCAACTCCAGACGCCGCAGAGGCTATGCGCAAATACGACGTTGACGATGTTCGGTACACAGCTCAGTTGTCCAAGTTCTTGCACGGCCACCTTCGCCCTGAAAAGACTCTCTACGTCCTTCACTCGGATCAGGCTCCCAAATTGAACGATCGGCCTCGAGGACAGACCCAAATCAACTGCTCCAAGCTACGTCCTGCCATGGATCAGGCTCGTGTGATCAAGACGGAGTATGAAGTTGCGCTGATCCGCCGTGCCTCACGCATCTCTTCTGCGGCTCATCGTGCTGTTGCTGAACGTCTACTCACCATGCGCAATGAGCAAGACGTTGAGGCAGTTCTCCTCGCAGCTTGTACTTCACGCGGTGCGCATGCTCAAGCGTATCCTATCATTGCTGGCGCCGGCATTAACGCTTCTATCCTCCACTATGGAGCCAATAACCAATCCCTTGAGGGGAGGCAATTGATTGTTGTCGACGCTGGCTGCGAATACCAATGCTACGCCAGCGATATCACTCGCACCCTTCCCGTCAACGGAAGCTTCTCCAAGGAAGCCGCTGCGATCTACTCTATTGTGCAGCGCATGCAGGAGGAGTGCATAGCGCGCGTCCGACCTGGAACGGTCTACTATGAGCTCCAGCTTCATGCCAGCGACGTGGCTCTTCAGGGCTTGCGCAAGTTGGGTCTCTTAAAAGGTAGTTTTGAAGAGATCCAGAAGGCGGGCACTGTCGCTGCCTTCTTCCCTCATGGCTTGGGCCATCATATCGGTCTCGAGGTCCACGATGTTACTGGCTCCGAGCGTCTCTTGATGAGGGATAACTTCCACGTCGAAGGCGGAAAGCGTGAGATGGTGACAGCCACGGCTTTGGTGGCCATGCATCGCATGGCTTCGGCTTCGGTGCCTACAAAGCCAAGACAAGCTCTCCAGCCCAACATGATTGTGACTATCGAGCCAGGAATGTAAGTATTCGTTCAACATTTGCATCCGTGGACACATGCTAATCTGTCCAAGTTATTTCTGCCGCCCTTTCATTGACGGTTATTTCCTGAACAACTCCACACATGCCAAATTCATTAACAGGGAGCTCCTCGAGACGTACTACCCCGTTGGCGGCGTGCGCATCGAGGACGACATCCTAGTCACACACAATGGTTATGAGAACTTGACTTCTGGCGCGCCCAAGGGCGATGAGATGCTTGACGTGGTCAACGGCAGCTTTGAGAAGATTTAATGAGTCTGCGAGGGTTTTGGATATTCGCTGTGGCACTGGTAATAATATGAGCTAGCGAGCCCGGTATGTGCAACGGTATAGATGTAGGGTCTTTTCTTTCTATCGCCTTTCTTGAATAGGCTTGATAACGTCGAGCTTCTGGGCCTGGTAACGAGAATGAACGTGGGATATATAGGCATTCAGCTTTACGATTTTTGAATTACAACATCTTCAAACTATCTTGCTCATCGGCTTTTTGCGCCAACATAAAGTCTCTCCCATGTACGCATGGCTTATGCACCTAATCTACAAAACACAATGACACTAATGAAAAAGGCGTGAAGTCATGAAACCTCACTCTGCTACATACAAAAGTTCCCGCAAGATCAAAATCTTCCTCCTCTTGACTTTTTTCTATATTGTTTACAGGTACTTCTTGGGCATGGATGCGCGCCGTCTCTTATAGATAACGTAGGCAGCAACAAGAAGGCACTGAGTGCCGATGATGGAGAATATGAGGAAACGATGGCCAGGGGTCTTGGCCATAACCGTTTCTGACAGAGAGGAGTGGTGGTCATTGAGGGTGTCCTTGAAGGTGCGCTCAGTGGACTGAAGCTTGCGGGTGAGCTCCTTTCGAAGGCCCTGGACATCCTTCTCAAGCTCCATGATACGGCTCTGCAAAGCGGTAATGTCGTCAAGCTTGCGCATATCGCCACGGAGCTGGCCGATAAGAGAAGTCAGGTCGTCGTGGCGCTTCTCGTCTTGCTGCTGGTGGCGGGAGGAGGTGCGCTGCAGGGAGGCGAGTTGGTGGTTGGTGTTTTGTAGACGGTTGTGTAGGTCCATGAACTGAGACTTGGAGCTCTGGAAGATATCGGGGTCCTCGTCTACATACTCGCCGTCGTTCCTCTTGTTATTGTTGTTGTTTGAGTTGTCCTTGGCAGGTTGGCCGCGGGCCTGGTTCTGGTTCTGGTTCTGCTGCTTGGGAGGAACAGCACCGCTATCGCTGTTATCGGCCATGACAACCATCTTAAAGACCTCGAAGGAGTCGGGGTTATCGGGGGTTGCAGCGGTGACACCGAATTGGTAGCCAGAAGGAATACTGATCTTATCCGACTCAAAGCACAGCTTGCCATCCACCTCAACACTGAATGTCTTGGCGTTCTGTCGGAGCTTGATCTGCGAAGGTCGACCGAGGTTGCGGTAGTTGTAAGGACAATGTCCGAACGAGAGCTCATCGACGTTGCTCTTTCTAGCATAATCGGTGTTTCCATCGTTAAGAAAACCTCGAACCATACCGCTTGAACCACCAGAGGTATCGATAACCAGAGCCAGACCGTCAAACTTTCCAACAGTGTAGATGCTTCCAGAACCGATCGTAGCAGGGCCGTTGCGAACAAGCCAGATGTTGAGGTTACCACGGCCGCGATCGGGGCCGTTGGCTCGGAAGTCGACGTCGGCGATCCATTGGGTACGGAGCAGAGGCTGCTGGCCCCAAACGGAACCGCGCTGGTTACCAGGAGCGATAGGAGTCAGGATGATTCGGTTTGAAAGAACCTCGGGAGGGTTCGGGTTGCCTTGGATTGCAAAGTTGGGGATCTGCCCACGAGCTTCGGGAGGGCTTATTCTGAAGAGGCAGTGCGGATTAGCAACGTTCCTGGACGGTACAGTATTGCACAGGTACAGAGTGTAGGACAAACCTTCCAGCATGGCCAAAACTAAGCTCACTGATAAGATACTGGGCCTGGGACAGGCTTGCTGCCAGCAGCGCAGCCATAGAGAATGACACCTTCATGGCTGAAGTTGTAGGTGGCTTCAATGGATGAAAGACGAAGAAGAACAAGAATAGACCAAAAGATCAACCGCAGAACTGACACCTGCAGAAGCACTCTTTCAACAAAACTATGTCGTTGAAAAAGAGCTTGAAAAGCGAGTGGTGTGAGCCAAGTTGGTGGAGGCAAGGCTGAGGACACTTTGCACTATGCAGCCCCTGGAACAAGCGTGCAGCTCAGAAATAGAGGTTGGAGGTTAGGTAGAGGTTGGAGAGCGGGGAGCTAGTGATAGATAATTGGGGAAAAGAGCTGAGAATGAACAATTGCAGAAAAAGATACAAACAACGAGCCACGAGGTACAACGAGTCTATTCAAAAAAGAAACAAGAAACTCAGCAATTGACCGTCAAGACTTGGAAAGTCGGGAAGTGGGAGAGGAAAAGAATCTCATGAGAAACTGGAGAATGGAGAATGGACAATGGGGGTTGGTGAAGCCACATGTGAGCCATTCAGCTCAGCCTTGAAGGGGTTTTGTGGCGTAAGTAGTGACTTGCAGTTGGCTACCAGAGAATGATTGGTGGATTTGATTTATCATCAAGAAGTAGAAGCTGGGGAAAGACAAGCTCGGGCCATCGGTATGTGGCTTTGGCTGGGTTTGTATTCGTAGACGAGAGCCCCTTTCATATCGGGCAATTGGCCGGTAATTAAGAGGCAGAACGAGTTACAAAATTGATTGTTCTATTCAATTGATATTGTATTGATCCTGGAACCTACGGATACTCCCTGGATCGGTTGGCTTCTGACGGACTAGCTGCTGAAACTCAATCTTTATCTAATCCCTGCAAGTTATAGCTCATACAGCTGGTGCATCATTGAAGACAATGAAGTTTGCTGAATAATGAACAAGACCTCGATCGGTTGAAGCACTGTATGATAGTTGACCCCATCACTCAACAAATTTGTGCTTTTATTCGACATCTCTGTTATAGGCCACTTTGTAAAGTTACTCTATCGTCTTTTTAAACCCTGACATATGAGCTGTCAATCAAATCGAACAAGGGTAAATTTTAGTGGGGACCTGGTCAACCACAGTCCACCATCCAAAAAGAACACGAGCCAATCTCCCTGGAGCTTCTCGTCATGACTTGTAACAAATCTTACTGAACGAAGGTCATGAGGCCCTCTCTCAATTTCAGCGACAACAACAATACTCAACGCACATCATGAGTGAGAATTACCCAACTCTAACGCAGACCGCGCTTGTCGCTGCCGCCTTCAAAGTTCTCCTGTTCCCCGCATAGTGAGCTCAATTTGACCTTGTTCCATCATATCTGTCGCGTCGCTGATCACCGTCAACGCAGCAAATCAACCGACTTTGAGGTTCACCGCAACTGGCTTGCCATCACAAACAGTCTTCCTCTGGAGAAATGGTACACGGAGAGTACCTCAGAATGGACCCTGGATTACCCCCCTTTCTTCGCCTATTTCGAATGGGTGATGGCCCACGTCGCCCGCCTCGTCGATCCCCTCATGGTCAAGGTCTACAACCTCGACTACCAGAGCTGGCAGACAGTTTACTTTCAGCGCACCACCGTTATCATCACGGAACTTGTTTTGGTCTGGGCTCTTCAGACGTTTATAGACACAGCCCCCCTGAAGTCGCGACGTGCAGCTCAGGTCGTTGCACTGTCCATCATTCTTTCTCCTGGGCTGCTCATCATTGATCACATTCACTTCCAGTACAATGGCTTCATGTACGGTATTCTTGTCATGTCCCTTGTCCTTGCGCGCCATAAAAACGAGCTGTTGTCCAGTGGTCTGATCTTTGCTACTCTGCTATGCTTCAAGCATATCTACTTGTACCTGGCACCCGCCTACTTCGTCTACCTCCTGCGGGCCTACTGCCTATCATCCAAGTCTATCTTCCGCATTCGATTTCTGAACTCTATCAAGTTGGGCTTGGGAATTTTAACGATCTTTGGAGCTGCTTTGGGCCCGTTCGCTGCCATGAATCAGCTCCCTCAGCTCAAGGAACGACTCTTTCCTTTCTCCCGTGGCCTTTGCCATGCCTACTGGGCGCCTAACTTCTGGGCTCTTTACTCCTTTGCGGACCGAATCCTGATTCACGGTAAGTCTCATCTCAAGCAAACCCAACGTTGGTGTTTAACATCATGCAGTTGCTCCAAGACTTGGTTGGGCCGTCAATAAGAGCGCGTTGCAAAGTGTCACCCGCGGTTTGGTCGGAGACACAGCATTCGCCGTACTACCTGAAATCGGTACATCAATCTGTTTCTTCACCACATTGTTCTTTCAGATCGTGCCTCTTATCAAGCTCTTCTTCCAACCAACCTGGGAGACCTTTATTGGTGCAGTCACTCTTTGTGGTTACGCCTCTTTCCTCTTCGGATGGCATGTTCACGAGAAGGCTATTCTTCTGGTCATCATTCCCTTCAGTCTGATCGCCCTTCGAGACAGACGGCATCTAGGAGCCTTCCGTCCGTTGGTTGTTGCTGGCTACGTGTCACTCTTCCCGCTGCTATTCACGCCGGCAGAGTTTCCCATCAAGACCGTCTACACTATTATGTGGCTGGTGGTATTCCTCATGGCGTTTGATCGCCTCGCCCCCGCTTCCAACAAGTCCAGGATCTTCCTACTGGACCGATTCAGCACGCTGTACATTGCTATAAGCATCCCACTCATTCTCTACTGCTCGCTCCTACATCAGGTGATATTTGGAAAACGCTACGAGTTCATCCCGTTAATGTTCACAAGCTCGTACTCTGCCATTGGTGTGGTTGGAAGCTGGATAGGCTACGGGGTGGTGTATTTCACAGCGTGAAGGTAGCAGAAGTTAGGATACCCATAATAGATTTTCCATATCGTTCAAAATCCGCTGAAGCAATATCCTGGTGTCGTCATTGGAGTTAATGGAGCTTTATATCTATATACTAGATGTTAATGAATTATAAGATCTGTAGTATGAAGAGCCATGTTTATGCAAGGGGAAACATCTGCTTCATGATCTCTGACATTGTCAAAGCGTTACACTGATTCAAGTATGGAGATTTCATCGACATCTCAATTATCAAAAGAGTACTGTGGCAGGCAGCGGTAATGGCGATCCAAAATGTGGAGCTTCCTGATATGGATATGAGGCTGCTCGTGGAGGATACTCCAGGTTCGGCTCAGAAATGGCGTAACAAATTCTGGTGTGATGATGAGACATTCCACGATGATACAATCCTACAAAATAACTATAACATACCAAAAAATACAATATGGAAGTGAAAGCTTTCTATCTAATTGTAATATGGCTTACACGGCATATCTGAGCTAAAGGTTGGTGTACTGCATAACCCTATGTCATGATGGACTGATATAGCAAGATTCTAATGCAATAATTTGACATTGATCTAATCACATAATATTCAAAAGTTCTGCTGCTATTATTCGCCGTTCGTTGTTGCAAAAGGTCAGTGGTGGTTGTATAAGAAGCTTACTCTGCGGCCCAAGATGACGGTCTGCCGTGTCTCCGGAAGGATTTCAAGAAATAGATATACTACTGATAGCTCCGTAGTACTACTTCTTCTACACCTCAATTAGTACTCGTTGGGTGCAAAATTATATGAGGATTATAAAGAGTCCAAGAACGTTGGCAAAACATCAAGTTGCGCTTGTTTTATAGGCGGACAAAGTTGAATGATGGATCTCGGGCTACGAGGAGGAGAGCCGGCGGGCCAGCAGGGGTTGAGAGGAACGGCTCCATGAGGTGGGAGCTAAGCTAAAAAAGAAAACCGGGCTGGAACATGACATTCGGACGCGCTGAGTCGATTAACTTTTGATAATGCGGGTTGCACATGTACCAAATATTATAATACATATATATTACAGCAATTTTGATGATTCCATTTTTGCAGACCTCTCTCATATCATCCTTTCTCGGGTATCTGCAGCCACACTCTTTGCCCATGGCATAGAGAAGAAGCCCGCGAACCTGGTGCACTAATGCAACCAGGTACGGCATTGGCTAAAAGTACAGGTACACCAGAGTTACTGAATCATGCGCCTGAGGCCTAGTGGCGGCCCGGGTATCTCTCAGCTCCCAGTGACCCCACCGCCCCGACCCTGGCTACTAGCCTGGGCACCTGGCAGGCTGGCACCGCCGTTAAACTCCCATCGCGTCTACGGGTAGCCCGCTTCTTTCCTTCCAGTCCTTGCTTCCTTTGCGTCTTCTTTTTCTTCTCCTACATCCTTCTCCTCACTTTTGTCACGTCCGCCAGTTGTCACTCCTCCCGACTGCTCGTGCGCATTAGACAGAGGAACTGAAATATCATCTTTTTCGCGTCTTATACCTACATCCGCCTCCGTCGTGTAAGTCGTTCATCGGGGTTTAAGCACCAGCACAAGCACTCGCGACAAACCCACCACCACCCCCCGACTTCCCACCTGCGCGCCCGCGTTCTTCTCGATCCGCCCACGAAAACGAAACGACCCCAAATTCCGCCTTTGCACGATTCGTCACCGTCGTGTCTTCCACCACAATCCTGCTCGTGCTCATGCTGCGATATACCGGCATACTCAAACGACATTCTTGTTAGTGGGGGGAGGCTATATCTCAGCCTTGTAGCTGGTCTCTCTTGCACTTCCGAATCGGCCGCTTGCGCCTAGATCACTAGATCATGGTACGCGCTTCCACAGCTTGTCTCCCGGCCACAACATCTCTACTAAACCATCATCACCAGGTCCTCTTTAAACGTAAACCCGTCCGCTTCCTGCCGGCGGTGGATATTGAGGATGAGAACGTTGAGGTATGGCTACGCTCACAGAGCTGCAGTCTTGGCACAATAACTAACAATGCTAGGTCTGGCATATTCCTCAAACGGGAGAGGTCTTTACTTCGTACGAGGATTATCTCGACCGGTAAGTGCAATACATTGCCAACTTTAGATACATTTTGCTCACATATTCCTTAGCATGGATTTCTACAAACAGGTTAGCCATGATATCTGGATATGTACATCAGGATCTCTTACTTACCCATCTCACAGCGTCGCTTCAATGATCAAATCACTGGTCACTCAGGTTTGACCTTTTTTGAAGCTTTGAAAAGCGAGGTTAGTTTCGCAAGCCTTAATTGGGGTTCAACGGCTTACACTTAGGTTCAGCTCGCAGGTGGCAAAGAGGTTGAAGCTTCGTTTCCCGAAGCCTTGAAAGGTCCTATACTGCGTAAGGTGCAGTTTCAGATTGTTTCACGGCTCGATAACCTCGTTGACCAAATTTACGACGAGTTCAAGCATGACTATTACCCTGGTGAAGAAGTCACAGTCACCATGAAAGGAGGCGATCGCGCTCACGGATTGGTCCGCGACAAGACAACTTTCGGGCCCCGCGCTCTCCCTGACGGAAGCCATTCTTTGCCGACGACCCGTTATCTCGTGGATCTCAAGGATTCGGAAGAAGAGACCATAGTGACAGACGAACACATCTGCCGAGACCGAGGTATCTTTACCAAGGCAATGCTCAGATCCTTCATCAAAAAGACAGTCACTCGCGATGCATGGAACGGCGCGCCGTGGTTGGTAAAGCACGATTATGCGAGCCAGTATCATATTGATACGCGCGTTCCTCCTCACCTTAGATATGATACCAAGGTCATGGAGCGCAAACAGCTCCAGGCCCAGAAGAGAGCCCACGTGCATCATGAAACGAACGGTCATGACTTGACTAACGCGCTTCATTCTGGGCCAGTACGTCTGCCGGAACTCAAGCCTGCTCCCAAGAGCAAGGCAAAGCCGGGACAGCAGGGAGCAGGATCCAAGGGTATCAAATGGCCTCTCAACATGCCTGTTCATGGCGGAAACCCATTCAGTTCACCATCGGATTATGGCATTCAGACACCTGTGCAGCGTGAACCTACGCCGCCACCACCCCCTCCCCCTCCTCCGAAGTACCCCATTGAAGATTTGCAGCTGGAGCCCCGTGAAGATCGCAAGCGCCCGCCGCTGAAGTTTCTTTGCAGAAACCCTCCTGCCAAAGTTGAAAACGACAACATGCCACAGAGCGAGTTCTGCGACAAGATCAACATGGAATCGATCGGCCCGTTACTCGAGACGTGGGATACCCTCAATGTGTACTGCGAGGTTTTCAAACTGGACTCTTTCACTTTCGATGATTATGTTGAGGCCCTCTGTGTTGCTTCAGAGCAGGTACCAATCCAACTGCTTGACGAGATTCACTGCTCCGTATTAAAAATCCTGGTCGACTCTGAAACCGACGGTGGCAAGGTGCGAATCAACCTACCCGAGGTTGATGAAGAGGACAGTGACGAAGAAGACAGCGACGATGGCAGCGAGTCGCCGGCCCCTGAACCAGAAGTCAAGCCCGGAAGACGAGCCACCCGTAGCAGTCTTGCCAAAGCGGAGGCTGAGAGAATCGCTGCTGAGGCAGCTGCAGCCGAGAAGGAAACAGAGGAAGAGACGAAGCATCGCGCCGAGCAGCTTCTAAAGGATTATGACTGGATTGAGCATCTTCGAAAGCGAGATTTTCCCAATGGAGGCTGGGAGCGAATCCTGGTTGGCCTTCTTCATCAGTTGTCAAAGAACGAACGGCAACACGACGTTTGCGATGAGCTCTTACACCTGTTGGCCCCTGCTGGAGTCGATGCTACCCAGGAAACAGTCAAGCAGCGATATTCTCAGCTCGACATTAACCAGCGTGTCAAAGTGTTACAGATTCTTTGCATGTTGATCACCGAGACTAAGGCCATGCGAGGTTATATGGAGGATTGCAGCGAAACCATGACCACTTACCGCAAGGAGAGGATCGAATGGCAGCGGCAACGTAAGCAAGCGTAAGTTGAGAATGTTTCTGAGAACAAGTATTTGTTCCATGCTAATAACTTTTACAGCACTGAAGACCTGCGTCAACTCAATGAACAGAGGAGGATTCTGTTACCGGATAACATGCCTCCTTCGCCGCCTAAGGAAGATGAAGAAGACGTGAAAATGACTGAACCTGACGATTCGATCATGTCCCGGGAAGCAGATGGCGAAGAAACTGAGGATGATCCATCGGCACGTAAGCGTCGCCGACCTCTAACAGCTAAGCAGCGCAAGCAAGAGGAAGAGCAGGCTCGCAAGAAGGAGAAGGAGAAGGCTGCTAAGGCCGCCAAGACTCCCAAAGCTCCAGCTCAATCAAAGCAGTTCACCAAGCTATTGAAAGATATTCAGAAGAAGGAAGATGTCATCAAGAAGTGCGAAGATGAGATTGCTGTCATCGAGAACGACCTGCGCGAAGCCGACTGCCCCCGAACTCGAGTGCTTGGAAAGGATCGCTTCTGGAATCGGTACTATTGGTTTGAGCGGAATGGCATGCCGTATGGTGGCCTTCCCGATAGCTCGACTGCGTCGGCGGATTATGCCAACGGTCTCATTTGGGTTCAAGGTCCTGACGAGCTTGAGCGAGAGGGATACATCGATCTTCCTGCCGAGCTCCAGGACGAGTACAAGGCAAAATTCAACATGACAGTTCCTGAGCGAAAGGCTATGGAGGAGGCCAACACCAGCGTATTCAATGCACATCAATGGGGCTACATATCGGAGCCTGAACACGTTGACGAGCTTATCAAATGGCTGGATCCTCGTGGGTTTAACGAACTCAAGCTCCGAAAAGAGCTCTTGGCATTCAGAGACAAAATTGCCAAACATATGGAGAGTCGCAAGACCTACCTCTCTATCTCTAATGAGGAAGAGGCAGATAAGAAGGAGGAAAACCAGAAGCGAATGAGCACACGTATTCGGGATAAGACACCTGAGACACCCAACTATCGCAGTCTCGAGTGGGAGAACACGACTGCTCTGGAGGAATTAGGTCACCTGCACAGCGATCCCCCGCCACCACCAAGATCTCGAAAGCAAACTAGAAAGCGGGAGGCTACTAATGATGCGCCCGCCCCAGCAGCAAAGTCCAGAAAACGATGAAGAGAATCCATGTGTCTTTTGTAAAGCGTTATTCGGGTTCTACTACTTACGGGGAAAAGATGTTGCTCTATTTGTGTATGGATTTACTGCTTAACAAAAGACATGATGGAGAGAGACATCCAAAAGGATACCGATGATTTTTTTTTCGCGACAGACTAGGTGGTGGTACCTTGGCATGTTGATTTGGCGTAAAGCATGGATTGGAGGAGTACGACAGAGCATACGGCGTTTGGTTGCCATATGGATATCTTTGCTTTTGCGAGAGGGTTTCGAGGGAGGCAAACACATCACATTACACTACAAGGCGACTGGCAGGCAGCATGAAGGAGCGGCATAGAGCTAGCACATAGACTCAAGATAAGGCTTGAATATAGCTAAAGCCTTTTTTGTTTGTATGACGAATCAGAAAATGTTTGTTACATATCATTTAAGACCTGGTCAGGTCAAGCAAAGCAATTGAAGTTGGGAATCTGATAGATACCTAATTACATACTCGGCACATGTGATGTTGATGTGGATCATGATCGACATCGACCAGCCAACAGCAACAGCCAATTCGTTATGATGTCGTATGCCGTGTCTCGGCTCGCCATGCATATTTGGAACCTCGGCCGCTACTGGTTAATAAGTTGCATAAATTTGACTATCTCCCAGACCCCCAGACTTTTGTCGCGAATAGTCACTGTACCATTTCTCCCATTTTACAGCTACATATATTGTGCGTATATATTAGCATCACTGTAAATACTTCACAATGGCTTCAAACGAACTCCCCAATGTCAAACTCTTCTGGTACTGTCTTGCATACTCACCGTCACTCACACTTGCCATGTTACTAACCAATTCAGGCTTGAAAAGTCGCGATCTCAGCGCATTCTCTGGCTACTCCAGGAACTTCAGCTCCCCTATGAGCTGGAGATCTTTCACCGCGACAAGGAGTCGATGATGGCGCCTCCAGAGCTGCAAAAGATTCATCCTCTGGGCAAGTCGCCAGTGATTCAGATCAAGCCTGCGGGTGCCAAGGCAGACGCAGAGCCCGTCACTTTGGCTGAGAGCGGCTTCATCACACAGTATCTTACGGAGAATGTGCCTGAGGGTAAGAAGCTGATGCCTGAGCGATGGAAGGAGGGCATGGAGGGCAAGCTTGGAGGCGAGACCGAGGCGTGGATGAGATACCAATACTATCTGCATTACTGCGAGGGTACTCTCATGCCTCCTCTAGTCATGGGACTTGTTGTTGGCGGTACGTTGACCCAATGCTCACTAAATTGACACTTACTGACTCACTCACCACAGCTCTCAAGTCGCCAAGGGTTCCCTTCTTCATCCGGCCCATCTCGACGCTACTCGCCAACCGCGTCTTCTCCACGTTCATCTTCCCCAACCTGAAGGTCAACCTCAAGATGATTGAGGGCCACCTGGCCACCTCAGGCGGTTCTTACATCTGTGGCCCCAAGCTAACGTCGGCGGATATCCTTGTGAGCTTCCCATTGATTGCAGCTGAGCCAGCCCTGGACAACTTTGGTACCTTTGAGGGCGGCTCGTGGAAGGAGGAGTTCCCCAAGGTTGCGGCGTATGTCGAGATGATTCAGAATGAGCCGGGCTACAAGAAGAGTGTTGAGAAGATCATCGAGATTGATGGCAAGTTCAAGGCTTCTTTGTAATGGTGGGACATCTTATGCAGGATTAATTGTGTTGATACCAAATAGTGACACATAGCTAGCTTAAATAATGATTGCTTTACGACTTGTACTTTATTATTAAAATGTTGACATGAATGGACACCAGTTCTGCGTATCAACTTACCCGGTACAAAGCACACCGAACTTTACCGAGGCGGTATGCTACCCGAGACTTGATTGGCTGCACACCTTGGCGTTGAGCTCACCTTGAAAATACCTAAAGAAGCTCAACACGTTAATGTGGCTACGAAATACAATCACCCACCAAAGCCCCCGCGGCCCTTCGACATGTACACATCTAGGACAGCCTGTTCAAGATGCTCGTCGCAGATGCGATCAGCCTCGGCCTCAGCCAAGCGGCTCGGGGCTGTGTCTTCTTATTCCACTGCAGCTGAGGTTCCGGATATAGTGGGAACAATATCAGGCTCGCACTCAGGAAATACAGGCAAGAAACCAAAGGCACGACAGAATGGACCTAGAAAAGGAGTCAATGCCTTCAAACATGGAAAGAATTCCAGTACGGACCCAGCATTAGCGCTCTTCAGAGAGATCGTGAGCCCCAAGAGTGCAGACACAGCTGCCACAACACATTCTGCTGGTGTTCCCATCCCCGTTTTAAACGAGCTAGAGATTGTTGCACAACTCAATGAACTCATGGTGAAAGGTGTCGATCCGGAAACGCGCTTCAAGAAATTCCAAGAAGAGATCTGGCCAAGTATCCGAGAACTCACTGGCCCAGTCCCAAAGCCTATATATATAGCCGCAACCCAACTGCTCCGCAGTGAGCGCGACTACATGATTCAGAATGGCCTCTATCAAAACAGTGTAGAGATAGCACAGAAGTGCAGTGCTCTTGGGATCTTTGACCTCAGCATTCGGAACGACCTGGTTCTCAATATGTGCGCCAGGATTACTCAACAAAAGAACACATCGTTTCAACGCGGTGCGTTGAAAGAGGAAATCCTCAAGATGTGGCAGCATATCTCTCAACTTAAACGACCCAGCGAATTCAACAAACCGCTGCGATTCGCGCTGCCTTCCATTGCAGACGTCGACAAGGATATCAAGTACGTCAGGGATGATTTGCCTGCACTCAAAGAGACACAGGCAACCCGTGCGCTGGCCTCTATGTTTCTCCAATACCCGCCCCCTCAAGCCCAAGAGATTGTTCCCTCACTTTTGGCGACTCTCGCCATCACGTCGGACCAAAGATTTTCAGGCCTGGATTACGCACAGCAGATCTCGCCTCTCTTAAATCTTGTCCGATTTGTGTCCAAGTACAGGGTCACTGGGGCTGACATCGACGCCATTGTGTCAAAGTCGTCCACCGTCCCTCCTGCGAGACTCAGCAAGCTTAGGGAGTATGTCATGAAGCAATGGTCACTTGCAGAAACCTTGATAGCCGGCGAAGTCACCCCTTGGGCGAAAGGAACATTTCAGGGCAGGGATCCCGAGGCCAAAAACACGCTCACTCACTTCCATAGACAGCTGCGAGAAGCCTACAGAGCACGCAACCCAGGTGCTGTCGGCGCCATCTGGCACGCAATGACGAACAAGTTGCAGGACAACCCAGGCCTCCAAACGCAGCTGGCTAAAGACTCGGACTTCCTCGACTTTTGGATATTCGTGTGGTGTGCGATTCGTCGACCGGCAAGGGTGCAGGAAACTGTTGATCTGATGCGGTCGCTCGAGGTCGAGCCAACAGTCAAAACCTACACAAGCATGATGCACGGATGGAAGATGTGTAAGGACATTGGCAAGATTGAGGCTTTGTGGAGTCAGCTTGTAAAAGCTGGAATAAAACTTGATGCCGTTATTTGGACTGAACGCGTATCGGCTCTCATTGAGCTTGGACAACATCAAAAGGGTCTCGAGGCACTTACAGAGCTGGTAGGAAAATGGCAAGAAGCGGTCAGGAAAGGAACCCAAGCACAGGCTGTGGAACCTAGTATAGAGGCTATCAACGCTGCCTTCAAAGGCTTACTGCATAAAGACCCGACTGCTGCTCACCAACTTCTGGCTTGGGCTGGCCAACAGGGTCTTTCACCTAACACTCGAACCTACAACATCCTTATACGCGAGACTCTTCGCATGGGTCACAACGATGACGTCAACGAACTCTTGCGTTCCATGCAGAAAGAGGGCGTCGACCCTGACTCTGCCACATTTACCATTCTTCTAGAGGCTGTTATAGGCCGTATGGAGGATGCCAGCGCTGATGAGCAGGTTACTGCTATCAAGAGTGTCTTTGGTGATATTGAAAAGGCAGGACTCAAGCCCAACCTTGAAACATATGGCAAGATGCTGTATGCCCTTGATGGGCTCCCTAACTGCTCTGACGATGTTATTGCAGCTTTGCAACAGCATATGCGCAGCAACGGCTTTGGCTCTGTTCTCACCCCACACATGATTACGATTCTGATCGAGCGTGCGCTCCGTCGCGATCCTCCAGATATCAACAAGATCCGCTCCTTGCTCAGGGATAACAAACTTACAAAGGTGTCGACCGGCGACCAGACGCTTTGGGAGCGTGTCATGACCGCCCACGCCATCAGTGGTGGAACCAAAGAAGCGATGTCTATCTTTGACGATCTCGCTGCTTCAGGTCGCCCTGTCACATCACTCTCGTGTCTCAATGACCTGATGCATGCACTCCTTGGGGAAGGGGATATAGACTCTGCCAAGAGAGTTGTTAGTGTTGTGTTGAAGCACAAGCTGCACGATAGGGAGGATAAGGAGGCGAACGAGAGGTATTGGAAGCATCACTTTTGGTATCTGGCTCAGCATAATGGCTTGATAGACAGTCAGAAGCTGAGACAATACGCGCGTGCATAGATGAAACATAAGGGAGACATGAGGAAGCAGCCGGTTACAGAACTCTGCAATGAAAAATGTACGAACAGTAGAGGTGATTATCAGAGGTGATTTCTTCACAATATAGATTATGTACTTTCTGTGCTCCGAAGCACATGCTTTGTATAGTAGAAACCTGGCAGAACTATCACCGCCTGTATTTAAATCGTGTCCTCTTTCGCTGAGTAGCCTTTTATGATAGCAGCCCAACCTGCCATGTTAAGTTTGTGTTGTTCATTTATGATTCATCCATTGGTTCTCCCTCACCACCGGCTTCGCCTGTTGTCGCTGACTTTTGTCCTAACATACCAACTACTTGCTCCAACCCCTCAACGTCGCCCCTTGTTATTTTACGTCCTTCACCCTGCCACTCACCATCGCGCACCTCACCCTGCTCGCCAAGCTCCAGACCTCTTGCTGTCTCGAGATACTTCCGTGATGCGCCCTCAACATATTCCACACGTTCACGTCTCCATGTGCGCGAGCCACTTCCAGCGTCTTCCATGGAGGTGTCTGTATCTGCTGGACCAAGATCAGGAAGCAGTGTGCGTAGTGATGTCGATAGGGCGCGGAGGGCCTGCAGTTGAGAAAGTGTAAATTCGGTTGTCGTCGCAATAGGTTTGTCGGCTCCGGCGTCTTGGAGACTCGCCTTATCACGCAGAAACCCAAAGGATGAGCCATCGGCTGCTGTTGTGGCCTGTCCCTCTTCTGCTTTCACGTCACCGGGTACAACACCCAACACAGAACGTAACTTGCCGAGAAGAGCATCGTTTCGTGTGCGCTCAGCCTCGAGTGCAATGTGCAATCGCTGACTAGCTTGCAATCTCCTCCGTAGCGCAGTCACCGACTCTGTTGTTGGGCGATCTGGGCCTTCCAATCCTGCGAAATCCAAGCCTTCGTAATGTGCCAGTCGCATATAAGGCTGATCATCTGGCTTGACAGTCAGGATATTGCGCATAGCATATAACTCAAACAAATCAAAGTTCTTGTCGATGGAGGCGTTGAGCAATGTCTCGAGCTGATGCGTGCCATGTTCGATCTCAAGCTTCGCTGCTTCGTCTGGCGGTAGGGCGGGTGTGCCATCTTTTGGAGCGTGTTTATTAGAGAAGCCAAGAGATTGTGGTGGGATGGAGAGGAGAAGACGTTCGACTGATTCGAGAGCGCGGTCGGCAAGGACGTTGACGGTATTGATGATGTCGTCGAGGAGGGACTGTGAAAGGGTTAGCTGGCGATGTAAAGCTTTGATTTAGGTGAACAAGCATACAACTGGAGGATATCCAAAGTGCTCCGTCAAGAGCTCATAGTCTGAATTCTGTTGCGCTGCCATTGTACCTTATAGATCGAGGTGGGATGGAGTGGTAAAGAAGTGTTTAATGGATTGACGCGTCTAGTCGCGTATTGCGAGAATCTCTAAATTCAAGCGCTAATGGAGTTTTGGCTGCTGAGGTGCGTAGAACTCTTATGTATTGATTGGCTAGACATAAGAAGTTGAAAGAGAGCATTCATTAATATTTATGGGGTTTGAGGAACGTCAATTATCGTTGACCGGTTCTTGAGTTTCCTATATGAACTGTATGATGTTCAAATAATTGACACCTGAATCGCAAGGTGTCAGCACTACCAGCTGTCAGTGATAGACCCCGCCAACTTGTGGCTCACCTTCAGTGGCTCGGCTGTACGTCACTCACTCCCGTGCCCAGTGAATCTAGGCCCAATGTAAAGTCAACCTTGAACGACCGGACTTGGCGGTTCCATCCTCATTGCTTCAATACCAACAACAGGATCCTCAAGCCGCCGCAATGTCAGGAAACAAATACAAAGACCTTGTGAAAAATGGTTGGCACCCTGAAAAGTCCGGCGGAGGTTTGAGGGGCCAAGTTGTAAGCAATTCCCTCTTCTTACCGACTATCAATGGCTAACACCACTGCAGAAAGGTCTTGTTAGGAGAGGAAAGTCTGACGATAGTGATCGAGGTGACCATGTCTCTGTTCCTCTGTCACAGCTCAAGGATCCTTCAAGCTTCGCACCACCTCCCAAGCGTACCGGTTCCGGCCTTATCCCAGCGGCACCAAAGCCAGAGTCGACACCCCGAAAGGTCATTACTTCTCCGTCGAAATATCAGGATCCGCGCTCACCGGTCTCTCAGGAGCCCATTTATGCTGAGCCTCAGGAGGAGATAGAGGACCAACCTCAACCACGGGGCCCGTATCGTGTGAATACTACTGGTTTGTCGACGGATAGCCTACCCAAGCCACCTGGAAGGAGAGATGGTGCTGATGGGCGGACGGGTCAGCCTCCATCATATCAGTCTGCCATGGCTGGTGTAGGAGCTGGAGGAGGAAGACCTGCACCTCCCAGCTTACCGCCACGTCTACCCCCAAGGACTAACTCGGCAAACACAGTATCGAGCTCGCCCGCTGCTAGTCCTACTCCCACCGGCAACGGCCTGATAAATCAAGGAGCAGTCAGCCGCCTCGGCGCCGCAGGTATATCCGTCCCTGGCTTCGGTATTGGCCGCTCCAGCCCGGCCGCTGCTTCTTCTCCAAGCCCGCCTCCGCCTCCACGCCCGGGCGTTGCTGCCCCTCCTCCGGCCCCCGCCCGGTCACACATGGGTGAACTACAGAACCGATTCTCCAAACTTGGCACATCTTCAAACAACAACGCATCAGCACCTCCACCTCCTAATGAGGGAACTACATGGGCACAGAAACAGGCTGCTCTTAAGACGGCCTCGTCCTTCCAGAAGGATCCCTCATCGGTTTCGTTCTCAGATGCCCGAGCAGCGGCTGGGACAGCCAACAATTTCCGCCAACGTCACGGTGAGCAGGTTGCAGCTGGCGCAAAGACGGCAAACAACCTCAACCAGAAGTACGGTCTTATGGAGAAGGCACAGAGTTCCTACTCTCGTCTTCAGGGTACACAGGGCCAGGACCAGAACAACGACGCTGTTACCGGAGCTGCATCCCCAGGTTTGGCCGGCGTGGCAGGCAAAAAGAAGCCACCTCCACCTCCACCCAAGAAGAAGCCGGCTCTCATAAGTGCAGCTCCTCCTGCCGGCGATGAACCACCACCTATCCCCATGGCAACCAGGCCTCAATTTTGAGTTTTCAGGACACAAGTTAGACAAATAAGCATTGTTAGGCGCGCATGGAGTTTTTGTCATTACTATCACGGTCCAGGCAACCTTGTCCATCACTCCACAAAAAGCGGGAATACAGATTGGATGGAACTCATGACTCCTTCTTCTTCTTTTTTGTTTCATCTCATCGCTGCATCTCGGAAGTATACCAAGTGCCGAGAACGAGGTTCATGTGGCTCGTAATCTAGATAACTGCACGTCCGTCTATCTGCTGTCACAAAGAGAGCAGATCCTAAACATCACCGCAGCAAAAAAAAAAACATCTTAGACCTTCATCTCGGTGACACCGTGCTTCCAGATGGTGACATAAGGAGTAACACCGTCCTCACGGTAGTTGAGGAGGACAACCCTGTAGATTAATGGTCAGCACTCTGGAAATCATGGTAATTTTTGGGTGTTTAGAAAGAGCATACATTCCGTCGGGGTTCATGGACTCGCCGGTGTAGAACTCGAAGTCCTTGAACTTGGGTAGGAGGGTGTTCTTGACGTAGGCCTGGGCACCCTTCTCGAAGGCGGTGATGGTCTCGGCATCGGCGTTCTTCTCACTAAGAGCAGCCTTGACAGCCTTCATGTAACCTGAAAGGTATGTTAGCAACATGCGGTCTAGTAGCGATCGCCCGAGGCTTCTTCTTACCCTTGAGGTAGGTGAGGAAGCTCTTCTTGTCGAAAGAGGTGCTCTGGAGACGGAAAGAGTTGACGATGTTGTTGACCTTGACGGCCTGGTCATCAAGATCCTCGGCGGCCTCCTCGGCGGAAGCGTTGGCACCAGTGTCTAGAAAATGCCGTGTTAGAATGAGAGAACTCGGACTGCAGGGCCCTCGGGCGCATATGCCACCACGTACTAATGCTGACAGCACCCTCCTCGATCATGGCACAGTCGGCCTCGTAGACGATGCCATCGACCTCCTTGAGATCGTAGGAGTCGGAGAGGAGCTCGTCACCGGTGAGGATATCCTATAGTACCAGAGATCAGCGACAGATCATGCGAATAAGGCAAAATTCGAGGGCGGGGTAAGGGTGCGCGGGGTAGTGAGGATGAAGCAGTGAGCTCGTCGTGATTCGTACCTTGAAGATAAGCATGATGGCAATTTGAGTCGATTAGACCTTTGGAAATGGGATGGGATAGAGGAGAGGAAAAAAGAAGCTGATGGGACTGACAGAGAGGAGCAAAGCCAAAGGGAGAAATAGAACAGAGCCTGATGATAATAAAAATCTAAGGCCAGTGGCGGGGTAGTGGGGGCTTCGAGTACATTAGCGGCATGCAAACTGAAAAAAGACATTGCTCCGCGCCATAACATTTTTCCGCTGCCGTAACTTGTCAGCCAATAGATACCTACCTAGGCCAGAGAAAACAGCAATTTGTGTAACTTCAATATCTGCAGAATCACCTCGTGATGAGTGTGAGTGTAAGTGTAGGTGATATAAAGTTCACTAGACGCAAGTGGAGAGATGGACCACTGCTTCTTGGAGGTTCATCTCGGATCAGAAAGAAAGATACTTAGTCACAGCTGTATTTGTCAGTTCAAAGTATCGTCTGGTGTCTTTAGTGATTGATCCCCCTGGCTAGTGAGCGAAAACTACCAAAGCTGACCACCAAAGCTGACCTGGCTGTGTACAAGTTGACGAGTGGTTATAGCGGACGACGACCTACACATACCAATGGGATATAATAGGCCAGCTATGGTCCGATAGAATTACATGACGGAACTGAAGTCTAAGGCTGATTATCCCACCCGTCATCTAAACACGCTGCCTTGCATGTATCGTTTGACAAGCTTACCTATGTATCTTCCATGTGCTTTGTAGTAGTATTTTTCAATAACAAGATCATGTCTTTGTTAGAGCCTGGCCGCCCATTCAAACACATACTCAAAACCAGGGCATAACATCCGGAACCCGCGGTGGCCTCAGAAGCCTAGGAAAGCCACTGTATGATCTTCAAGGCCTGACAAGGTCAGTCAGGGGTCAAGTTTGCCCCGGATTTATACGCGGATTGAGATGCCTCAAATCCAGAGACAGCGAATCTAGCCGACCATGACTGGCATAATTTTTAGAGGCGCCCGATTAAATTCATTTCAATATTTAGACCATGCTCAATGTCTTGAAACAACCAACGCCAGTAGACATATGACCTGTTGGTGACGCTTCAGTGGCATGAGCTGCAAGAAGCCTCGCAAGGCTTGGCCTGCACTGAAGGCATAAACAGGTGATAAAGAGCTAACGTGAATTGGCAGGAATGGTAGCATAAGATATTCGTACGTTTTCTCGAGTTTATTGAGCAATGGCAGATAGTGAACCCCCCGACCCCCTTTGAACATGGCAGTAAAGTGTCTGATCTTATATTAACACATGTGATTTGACCAATGCCTGTATATTGTTAACGCGTGGGCTGATCCGCCACTCCCGATCATGATGCGACCTCGGACAAGGAAACTGCTTTTCAGGAGTCGAGAATGATGATTACCTATGAAGGGGCACGTCTGTCTACCTGCAGAGACGCGTTGAACATCATGTTTAATCAGGTAGCATGTACAATAAAGAGATTGATTACAGTCTCTTGGCGCGGGACCGAAATACGTATGTACGCTCAAAAGTCGCACAGTTTGATCACCTCCGAAGCTCCCGAACAACGCAGGGCGCACCACAGGGCTGCCTCCGTGTCTGTACTGTAGGCACCACTATCATCAGTCTTTTTTCGCTTGTACCTGAGGTGGGTTGCCACTTTAGAGGCCCCAGCGGCGCGAGCGATTGGATAGACACGCCTTAATCTAAGCTTCCGCCCCAATTCAGGTTTACGTTAGTCGACTTTTATTAACTTGCCATCGACATTGACACTCCCTTTTCTTAAATTCCTTGTATCCTCCAGCCTCTCTACCTTCATTTTGTAAAACCATCTCCAGTTAATTGTTTTCTTCGTTTTGTCGCTCATACTGACTCTGCTGCGCTCGCCATTCTCGCTCAGCCGTCACCTCACACTCCTTCGCCCGCATCAATCACCTACCAAAAGCGACGCATCGACACCTAGCAAAGTACTTTACCTTAACTTAATATCAACCCGTCATGGGCAACGACAGCTCCATCCTCGCCGACGGTTCCGCCATGGCCGCGCCCGGCACGTCATTCAACCACACGCTCTTCGAAACAGCTCTACCACCGCTGCCTGTATTCAGTCTTGAGCTCCAGCCCGACCTATTGTCGTGGGTGTCCGACTTCTGGCTTAACCTTCTACTGCCCGTTTTCGTTTACTGGGCGCTGTCTCTGACCTTCCACGCCATTGATGTCTTCGACTGGTTCCCTCAGTATCGACTTCACACGCCCGACGAGATCACCAAGCGCAACCACGTCTCCCGTTATGAAGTCGCCCGCGATGTTATCCTGCAGCAGGTCATCCAGGTCGTCACTGGCGCTCTTCTCGCCTTGTCCGAGCCTGCCGAGATGATGGGCAAGGCCGAACATGACGTTGCCATCTGGGCTACTCGCATTCGTGTCGCCCAAAGAGCACTCCCAACTGTCCTTGGTCTCGTCGGTTTCAATGCTACTGCCATCTCAAAGAGTCTGCTCGACTCACACCCCCTGCTGGCCGGGGCTGTCGCTGGTGGCTACTATCCCTCGCTCATCAACGCGAACTCCGAGCCTGCTTTCGCCTCGTGGGAGATGACATTGGCCAAGGCTATCTACTACTTTGCGATCCCTGCTGTTCAATACTTCATTGGAGCTGCCATCATCGACACTTGGCAGTACTTCCTCCACCGATTGATGCACGTCAACAAGTGGATGTACAGTAAGTTCCGTACCGGCCAGGCGTTGCCAACTTGCTTGACAACCCCGCCCTTAATTGAGTTTCGCGATCTCTAACTGTTGTTTGATAGCCCACTTCCACTCCCGCCATCACCGTCTTTATGTGCCTTACGCCTACGGTGCTCTCTACAACCACCCTGTTGAGGGATTCCTGCTCGACACCCTTGGCGCCGCTGTTGCTTTCAAGGTCACACGAATGACATTGCGCCAGGGTATTCTATTCTTCTCCATGTCCACAATCAAGACTGTTGATGACCACTGCGGCTACTCATTCCCCTGGGACCCTCTTCAACTGGTTACCAGTAACAACGCTGCCTACCACGACATCCACCACCAACACTACGGCATCAAGACCAACTTTGCCCAGCCTTTCTTTACTTTCTGGGATACCCTTCTCGACACCAAGTACAAGGGCTCAAGGACTAACAAGCCCGGTCAGAAGAAGGCAGCGATTCAAGCAAAGGCTCTGTAAAATCCTTTCGGGTTCAACATGAATTATCTTATTTCGGCATAAGAAGCATATAATTACACATTTCAAGACAACAAACTAAAAACAATACTGTTCAGTTATTCGGGAATCGCCGGTATGCGATCGGTTGTCAGCACTTAACAAGAGGCGCTTTTTGTTCAGGTTTTCTTTTCGGATTGGATAGGTTGGGACATGACAGCATTTTCAACATCGACACTTATCATCACCGCTCAAAGCTTACAGAAATACTGTCACCTTAAATTCACGGATCTAATGAGGCGCCTGATGGACCAACTCCCTGGGCATAATACCTACTTCCTACATTCGTTTATGTTCGAACTATCATTCTTATTCTGCCACCAGCAAGCGCCCTATCACTCGGTGGAGTGGTTGGTGGAACGGTGACAAAGGCTGGTCTTCCAAAAACTGTGACATCGAGTCTGGAGGGCTATCATATGCGAGCTTTACACACTTGGATTTGCATTGTATTTGGGATGAAACGCGGAAGCTGGTCTTGACAGCAGAGCACACGTATCTGTGAGAATCTCGACCTTGAACGTCAGTTCTTTGCAACCAATAATGAGTACGGTTAGGGGGAAACGAAACGCGATGGATGCATATTTGTGCATATGTATATGACCCTGTATCAATTCAAATTCCATAGCAGCCTTATGATGCAAACTATTGCTATTTATTATCGTTACATATCGCCGCAGTATGCTTACCGTCGTGTGATGTTTGTCTCGCCCGGCTAGTTGGATCGTGATATATATCGGTGAATGAGGATCTTACCTGATTGATAGAGTCAAGGAGTGTGGGCTTTCTAAGGGGTATTGGGAAGCAGCCAATCTCATTGTATATTGTGTGCATCCAGTAAAGATTGGAGCATCGAGAATGCTTTTCATACAAAAGAGAATCCCATGTTAAATGCCCTATAAATCGACCTATAAGCTTTCTTCCATCGTCTGAAGCACATACGTACAGACTGTCACCGTCATCCCTGAGTATATGCTATCGTTGGAATCAAATTACCCAAAACAGCTACAGTTCAACAGCTGAACATTCAATGGTTACAGGGAGGAAATGTTATATTAACAACATACTATGAAGGGGGATGGGAACTGTATGGATGATTTCTTGCAGTTTCGATACACTTACCCTGTAGTTGCAGTGTACTAAGGGCAATGTTCTTTAACATCGTCATAAGAGGTCGTTGATAAAATTGGTCAATAATTTGTCTACGGCGGAAACTAAAGTATTAACTTCTTTATTTTTATCTGACTGTGCCCGTGGGAGATTGATTGTGAGTCGATGTGACAAGTAAACATCTGAGCATTGCATCTAGCATCCCCTGAGCTATCGGATATCATAGACATCACTCACTTCCGCATCGTGCACTCCACATCTCAGCTCCCTGGACAATCTTCTTGACTCACACGAGCGTTAAGATAGCAGATGGAAAATAGCAATACACTAATACCCAGTCAGGAAGATATGCCGAGAAACAATGCTCCTATTGCCGCGGTGTGCGAAACGGTGAAACAAAAGCTTTGATCAGTTGAAGGCTTTTCACGCGGGGGAAACGATGGAGTCTGGCCAGCCTTGAAATTGAATCCATGGGGCAGATAGAGATTGAAAGTACGGTAAGTAGGTACCTAGTCCAGTAATCTGCAATAAAAAATCATCATGTGGCTGTTTCTTCTTTGGTGAGAGTACGCGATCAAGTACCGGGCCGAATGGTTCGGCTTATGAAGCTGGAAATTAAACATAAGGATGATGATAGTCGTGCGTACCTAGTTGAGCATATATGTCTTTTGTGTTACGCTTCACTCAACCAACAGGCGGGGCGACATGGCATAATAGGGGAACCATTATCATTGTATTGATGCTTGTCTCAGACTTAAAGAATTTGTACAATCGTCGTACGCACAAACTGTGCTTCAGATAGAAGAGATTGTTTCACAACACTACGGTAAAAAAGTTCGAACCAGGAAGATGGCTGCTTGCCTTCCGTCTTGGCGGCCTGTCAAATGGATCAGCTAATTAATTGTCGAACATTTTTTTCTCGATTGTTTATCGATCCCCTTGTATCCACATACAGGGAGAGAGGCTCGAGAGGGAGAAGCAAAATCTCCACTACAAACCGGGCTGAGACATAAAAACTTGGATAGAAAAGCAGGAAAAGCAAGAAATGCTTGACTTGGCGATGCCAATTTATTGGCAAGACTGAGATATTGGAACAGTTGTGACGTGATTCACCACAGGCACGAGAAAAACAAACGTTGGAGGGACGATGAGATGCGATGTAGAGCGGGTTAGGCCTGATGCATCCGAGACAAAACAGGAAAAAAAGCAATACAGTTGATAGCATGCATATCTTCAGTTGTGTAATCAATTAGCTGTGCATAATGCAGGTCTCAACAAGGTCAAGGAAGAAGAGAAGGCGCTTAAGAAGAGTATCTTGCAGCGGTTGTCAGCGGTGATGACTGACGTGGTTGCGATAGACACCAATGACAATGCATATGCGGCTGTAAGCTACCTATTCTCAGCTCTCCAGCTCATTTCTTGTTTTCCAGCGTCGATGCACTCGGCCCATTCTGTCCGCTTCTGGCCTGTTTTTTCCATAGAAACCCACTGTCTCCCTCTTCTCCCTCCCTGGAGGCGCCCTCCGCTAGATTAATTCAGGCCGCTTCTCAGGTCAGTCCAGGCGAGTTTCAGACGGATCCTTTCCATTGTCCGTAGCTATTAGTGCACACTAACAGGACCCTGAATGTTTGATTGCAGAGGCGCCCAAGCCTATCCACGGGTGGAGGTTAGCCAGAGGTAGCAGGTGAGTATGGAACAATCATGTGTTTTAGACCGTGCTAAATTGATGATACTCCGTGCTCTGGGGGAGGAATAGACTGCCTAGATTGAGTTGATTTCGCAATGCAAGAGAATACTGCATGATGTTGTTTACACAAGCAGGCTGGCGCCTCTCACAGCTGACTATTGATAACTTGCCGAGTTGGATTGCAGATATGTCTGATCAATCTCAACGGCATCCGTCCCTACTCTTTGGTGATTTGCCAAGGCATGGCAATTGGCGACATGATGTCGTCAATAACTCGAGCGAATCGCCTGCTTCTTAACTGACGAAGATGTTCTATCTTTTAAGACGCCCTCTCTAGAGCTAGGGAGTTCCAGAACCCCGGTCAAGCTCCATGCAGAACCCTGTCGGTTGGAGATCCACTCTGCCTCAGGCTGAGAGCTAGAGCCTATATAGGCAAAGCGGATCAGGTGCGGTTCGAACTTCGATGTGGGCAGTTATGTATCAGCCAATCGCGTCTGATAATCACTGAGAATACTAGGAACCCTTGTTATGTGCGATGCCCGTGCATAGGGATCGCCTTTGTTCCCCTGAGGTCTTTATTGCAGTGTCTTTGGTTGTCTGTAGCACAACCTTTGTCTCTGACTTTTTGTATGGATCTGTGTTCGTTGTTGATCAACAACTTCCAACGAGACAAACCCCTTCGGTGCCGATCTTCCACAAAGCCGCATGCGTCTGTGCTATTCCATTGGTGATGATCAAAGGCAATAAATATTCCATAGCGCAAGCCCAGCAAGCCAGTAGGCCAATAGGCCAATGATAAAACAGCCCAATGCTGCTCCTGGACGCCTTGTGCAAGGTTTAGGAGCCTCTTAACCTCTCACGATCACCTCTCAGCTGGTCTTACTGGTGAGCCAAATCACAACTGGAAAGGTCGATATTGATGCGACCTGGGGGTCTCTCGCCCTCTTCCAATGGGTGGGCTGAAGGGATTTTCTTCTTCTGTTAGATTGGCGAGTCCCATTAGCTTACGGATAGTACGTCAGGCATACCTAATTAATGTGAAGAGAGGAAGGCAGGCTTCTTTCCCCATCTGTAACTGGGTCTGCCCGCTCTTTCCGTAATCTCATATCCAATATTCTCCCCCATCAAGAGTCTCACCTTTCGTTTCGGTTTTCTGCCCTTCCTCAAACTTCCACTTGCATCTCTCTACGTCGCCTACGCCTCCATCTCGACTCCCTTGTTTTCTTTTCCCCATCTCTTTTCCGAGACCTGGACCGCCAAAAAGCAAACTAACGCGAGCCCGTCTCTCATCTCTTGTGTCTCGTTTCTATTAGTGGGACCAGCTTCTGCGTACCTTCGGCAGCATCGACCACCCTTTGATCACGACTGCTACTCGAGCGTTGCAGGCGACGGCAAAGGTAAAGCAAGCAAGCAAGCAGAGCAAGCAGCCCCAGTAGCCGCCCTCAATTCGTTGTCGCTGTGTGCCCGACTGTTACCGCTGCTTCGCCTCGAAGCCGAATACCCTCGTCCCTCGCCTTGCCAGCGCGCGCTGCCCTTTGACACTTTACGCTTAAGCGCCCGACGTTGATCGCCTGGTTTAAGGCGGTAATTCCAAGACTCCGTCGAGGCGCTTACAGGACATCGTATCTCAGGGTTTCTCCCCAGGTCATTGGCTGTCATCAATCTACAACCAAATTCACTGTAATCTGGAAGTCTCACATCCAATCATTGACAACCAGTGTCGAGTCTCTAACGTCTAACGCTACCTTGCGCCTGTCTGAACATGCGACAAACGCCTCATGGTGTTTCATCAGTCTCCTATCATTGCTTAATCTCGAATTGTCCGAGTTCCTGGCACCTAATTCCATAGGCGCTATCGTGGATCTTTGGCAGCTTTGCCATATTAGTCCCAAGCTCTCCAATAATCCCTACAGCGACCCGCGGGCTCCTACATATTAACTGAAGTGAGGACCCGTTACCCGTTCGCCTGTCATGGACCCATCAACGACTCTGTTCACCTTTTTACTGTGAGTTTGGGCCATTTCTTCTTTCTTTTGTTATTTCATTTTATTTCATTTCTTTGGTTTGTTTGCCTGTTTGCTCCCTTCCTTCGCCTCCATCTCGCCGGTCGACCCTTGATCCACCAGTTACCTACTGCGGATCGCCTTATACGGAACCACTGAGTCGGTTTATATCGGATTCATCCATCAATTATTCTTCTATTCACGCATTGGAGCATCAATCTCCCAGCATTCCCTTTGTGTTTCAATTATCGAACGCTATCATTCCACTCTGTACCCCGGATCGGTACTCGTTACCTAGAAGTGTCTTATTAGCCGTGGTATGCTCCAATTGTCTTATTCTCAATCACCCTCGCATGAAAATAATCCGAATCTGGCTTTGCCCCCGACCAGCCCCCTAGTGCTTAAGACACTTTGCCTGAGGAGAGCCAAAAAGTTTGAGTCGCATGTTTTCTTCTTCTATTGCGGGCGCGCAAAAGGCTGAGCTGAAGTCAGCGTCGGGCCTCCTGTATCTCAGCCAGCCTTCAGTTGCAATTACCGATGCTGGGTTTATTGCAAGCTTCTATCTGCCGGAAAGCAAGAAAGAAAGCCAGCAAGCCCTGTGATCGATCCATGGGTTCCCTTGTCTCCCCACGATTGCTCAGCTCCATCATTTCGTACACAACTCCAAAATTGTTTCTCAGCTGTTACCCTACCTAGTACCTGCTACCCACTACCCCTTGGCCCCAGCGGGCGTGGCTGGCTGTCTGTTGCAATTTCCCTGCCCTTTTTCTTTGCTTCTAATCCCCTTCTATGCCGTCACCCGATAGCTCTGAACAACCACTGACAAGCATCCCCAGTCAAACTCCCCCCTCGATACAGTCCGTGCAGCTTATTGGGTCGTGGGACAATTTCAGCCAATCTCACCCCATGCAACGAGACATCCGGCGGGGCCGTGATCAGTGGAGAGGTTGCTATTCTTTTCGTGACATTGTCTGTGACGACGTTTCCGTCTCGGCTTCTGCGACGTGCGCTGGCGTAGGCTTAGGCGCTGGAACAAGCTCAAGCTCAGGCACTCGACCTTCGCATCCCGTTAAGAGGCACGGTGGTCTTAAGATGGGCCATACCTATTATTACTACGTATGTCTCCCAGCCGTTTTAGTACATGCTATTCGTATTGCATCGCACATCATTTCACAACAAAACCATTCCTCTCCCTTGCGTCAAACTAATCAACCCAAATACTCATACATTCTTTCATCTACTCTCTTTTACCCAACCACCTAAACACATTTAATCAACCTCCTCGCTGTCACTTCATTCACTTCTCCAGTCTCCCCTTAATACATCTTTACTTAATTCAGTCATTCATTCATTCTAACAATGGGCTTTCAGTATGAGCTGGATGGCTCCGTCGAGACACACGACCCAGCTTTGCCTTCAACCACAGCATGTCCATATCTACCGGGCCAAACAGTCAATACTTTAATTGTCCCTGTCGAGCAGGCTCTCCGGCAGCGCAGTGCTTCCCTCAACTCTATGTGTGAGAGCGATCTCAAGACCATGAATCCCGAGTCCAAGTACAACACACCTCGACCCGCTCCCTCAGCACCAGCCAACCACATCCCTTATCGGGTGGGTTCTTCTCCTTCACTACACCAAAAAGCGTCTTCTCGATCGTTATCACCGGCCCCGGCGGCATGGAAACGCTTTTTTGGTCGTAAGACAAATGGTTCGGAGGGTGAGCGCGGTCGATCTCCTGTTCGCAACGAGATGTCTGGCTTCGTTGAGGACACGGATTACCGCTGTACCACACCATCAGACGGTACCCGCACAAGAGACATCTCGCCTGAGTCTCTTCGACGGTTCCTATCTGATGATGTTCCCCGCCCTGGCTCTAACCTAAGCGAGAGACCATCATTAATCATCCCCGAAGATGTTGTCGAGGATAACGAAAACGAAAACGACGACGACGACAACTTCGCGACTTCAGCAGTATCTGAGGGCCAGGCTTACGTTACTGGCCTTTCTCCGCCTCCCTTCAAGCGATCTGTTTCCTCTGAATCTGTTTTGGCAACTACCATCGATTCGAGTTCACGGCCACTTGTCTCTACGAAGCCATCCAAACAGTCTCTACGAAACAACACCGACGTACGTGCGTCGGCCGTAGCACCCCCCCGTCCTAGACCTATCATGCTTCGAGCACCCCACACTCGAATCAACCCTGCCACCAGCTTCTTCCTATCACCGGCCACACCAAACTTTCCCGAAGATGATGGGATCAACTTCTTCGATCTCACCGATGACGAGGACGATGTAGTGTCAAACACTAACAGTGAGATCCTCTCATTTCAACCTGCTTCTGGGATGCCTTCTACCATCGACTCTTTCGAGTGTTACAGTCTTCCTGAGTCGCACGAGCACGGATCTAAGATTACGGAATCCCAATCGACCTTCGCCAAGACTGACTCCCCAGCCTTGATGCCTCGAAGCGACTCCGCGTTTGCAGTGACCGAAAGCAACTTCCTCGGAGCTCATATCGATACAGGACTGGACAATTTTGCAGCTGAGTTAGGTTGGATGGCCGACATCATCGGCTCCAGCACCAACTAAGTGGTCCCAATTGAACTCACGTTTTGGCTCGACGAAGCACACCAAACTCATCTACGAATCACCATGCAACATCTACCATAATCAACATCATTTCGACAGCGTTTTACATTGTGCTTTTTATTTGAAATTTTGGGTTCAAATCTGAGCAACTTAGACACAGCGGGTTTGCATTTTGGCGTTTTCAGGACGAAACAAAAGGGGATTGCACAAGCATAGGTAACTGATCGAGGCCTGTGTATATATCAGTGATAATATGGAAAGGATCTGAGTGCAGGACTTAGATGGGTGTGTAACAAGAGATTTTTAAGGAGCATTTGAAGGAAGGATGGTATGGTTCATGAGACGAACGACATGGTAGCCATCGTGACACTATTCTCATGGTCATAGACGAGGCCTATAGTCAGGTCCGATCTGCTACGGATTGCAATACTTACATATCAGTTAGCAAGTGGTACAATCGTTATAACTTGAAACAAAACACAAGAAGAACTACAATATTGATGAATCAGTTACACACATTCCCATTCGTGATACGATGCTATTATATGGGTGCTCGCCATTCTTTTCATCTTTAGTTTATACATTTTGTGTCTTGATTTGATATTTAATGGTACGTATATACATGTTGCTGCAATCGCTGTCGTGTTTATCATAGCAACCATCCTCTTGGGGATCATCTACTCTGTTTATGCAGAAGAAATATTATACAAAAGTGAGATCCTATTCTAGTCGTCAAGAACACTACTGGGTTGGTTGTATTTGTGTAGTGGGATTTCCTGTTGTAGTTGGCACAAGATCCGCCGCAGCTTGGGACTTAGGCTCTGGAGTAGGCGTAGAAACCGGAGCCATTACCACTGTATTTGCGGTATTTGTAGGCTCGACGACTACTGGCGGAACTACATTGGGCTGTGCCGCTTTGTTTGATTCGGACTTTGGCGTTGCAAGGAATCCTGGTTTCGCCCCCGCTGGTTTTTCACTGTGAGTTGAGTCACCAGAGATCTCTGGTTTTGATCCATGGATTTGCTCCGGGGGCTTATTAGCTTCTTTACCATTGTCAGGTTCGCTGGGTATAGCCTTTTTCTCTGGGCCCTTCTTATCTGGGTTCAGGAAGCGCTCGGGGACGCCCCTCGCAGCAAATGTGCCGCTGCCGACCCAAGCACCGATGATGTGACTCCACCGATACTCGCCACGAGTAAGGCGTTGTATCTCGCGGTACGCGTAGGCATTGTAGTAAGGGAGACCAGTGCGTGGATCACGATATCGAGCAGGATGGTTTGTGATTACGCAAAGAGGCGCAGGAGAAGGTTCTGGAGAAGGTTAGTATGAGATCACGTTCTGCGATCACCGAAAACTTACTGGATAGCCTGCTCATTTTGCGGCCAAAAATGATTTGTGTTTGAACGGTGCGGTCCTTCAGGGCGTTGTCATCGAAGGCCTGGAATATGATAGCATTGCGGGCTCCGGTTGAAGGCTGGGGTTGGGTATTGAGAGCTTGGGATACAGCAAGAGTACCAGGAATTATGGAGCTGGCCGGAGGGGCAGGTGGGTTAGAAACGAGCTGAAGCTTCGCCGTAGAGGAAGCGGGCATAGCCAATGTTGAAGGGTCTAGTTGAGAGGTAGAGGTAGAGGGAGCTGATGGAGTGTTATGGAGAGGGGTAGTAGTAGATAGTGTAGGGGGCATAACACCTTGAGAAGTATTCGGGGGCGCGAGGACGTTAGATTTGGGGTTACCAAAGCCCATCATCGATGGTGCAGCTCCGTCGATGCCAATGCCTGGAGGAGGAGCAAGAATAGGCGCTGCAAGCACACCAGACGGTTTCGAATCCGAAGGGCGGGACAGCCCTGGCGGAGCGGCCATAAAGGAAGTTGTTGATGCTGGGCCCGTGGGGGTAGGGTTAGGAGTAGGCGAAGATGGAGATGGTGCTGTGAGACCACCCGGAGCACTGATAGATGAAGGTGGGTTTGGCGATGTGACAGAACTTGGAGGCGGGGGAGCTGGTGCGGCCAGCCCATTAGAAACCGTAGGCGGTGGATTGGATGGTGGTGGTATTGCCGTTGAAGGACGGGCATCCTCGGCTTTGAGAACAGCGGGAGGAGCACCATTCCTAGCAACTGAAAGTGTGCCTGCAGGTTTTGAACCATCCTTGTTGGTTTCTGACGGAGTAACTTCGTGGGCGACTCTGGGTTCTGATAGCACAGCCGGGTCTGTTGTCGTTGTGGTCGGTGGTTGACTTTGCGATGGTTGCTGTTCGTGCTTGGCCTTGGAAGCAGCTTCGCCTGCAATAGTCGCATCACCTTGCCCATCCTCTTTCTTATCCTCTGTCGTAGGAACCTTGTCCACGTCTTGGCCTTTGTCCTTTCCTTTTGCCTTCTCACCCCTCTTCCTTTTTTCCTTTGCAGGCTCCTCGATCACCATATGCCTTCCCATCCACTCTCCAATGCCACTCCAGAATGTGATTACAGGTCCCTTTAGCGTCCTGTTGTGAAGAGCCGCCAGTTTAGCCCGGCGTTCCTCCTCGCGCTGCTTCTCAGCCTCTTCCCAACGGTTCAAACTCTTGCTGTTACGCTTTTCGACAATGCCCGCCTCCCGTAATCGCTCCTCCTGTGTCATGGGTGGCTTCTTCATCGCCTCCAACTTAGCAGCCTTCTTCTGCATCTGCGCAAGCTGTTTGATTCGACGTGCCTCCCGCTCCACCATTTGCTGATGCAGTTGCTCCTTGGAAAGTCGAGTCGTTTGACGGGAGGAGGCTCGAGTCGGTAGATCGGCGACCGAGGGCAGCCATGAAGTGCGCTCGGATTTCTTCTTAGGTCGCGGTTCGGGTCTTGTGAGTGCAGATGGAGTCCTCGTTGTTGGATCGATGCGGACTTTCTTGCGGAACTTGGCGGGGATCGCTTCTTGAGCCTTTCGCTTGCGTTGAGCGGCGCGACGCTCCTTGGCCTGCTTCTCCAACTCCTTCTCGCCCTCGAGATCATCGTCGTTATTGTTGTTATCATCTTCATCGTCTGAAGAATCCATCTGAACATCTGAACCATTTACTTCGGGGTCGGAGAAGCCCTGGTCGTTCTCGTCTTCGGCGAAAAGCAGCTCGAGGTCTGAATCAGGCTCCTCATTGGCGAGCATCGACTTCATTCGGTTCCCGGCAGTCGAGCGCCGCTCTCGGGTCGTAGCCAGCCATTCTATCTCTTCTACATTGTTGGCTTGGTTGTTTATGTCGTTGCTGGTGACATTATCCTTCGGAGCTTCGGTATCGCTGTCACTATCGCTGAGGCTGGACAAAGCGGAGGACAAGGGGGTTCCCATTTCGGAACGTTTTGATATCGGTCCCATGACGGATAGTGGAATATCGAAACGAATCGAGTCTGTATATATCACATGGCGTCTTTCACACGATATTTAAAAAGAAGCAGGGGGTTGTTGTAGTGTCACAGCTTTGCGTACTGGAATTTAGTTAGAGATGTACGGATAAGGCAGACGCGTTTGGTGGGGAGAAGGTGGATTGTTTTTTTTTTCGTTGCTGACATCACAGCAGACAGTGTAATATGATAGGTGCATTTTAAAGAGCACCAACGATTGACATGGATACAAACAATGGTGCTACCTTCTATGGTATTTTTACCTCGACTTATTGAAACAAAAAGAATGCAGATAATGTGTAATATTCGTGCTAGTGTTCAAAAGTTGAAGAATTATCTAAATATACGATACGACCTCTTAGATGTAGATTTCTTATGCGTATAGCCCTATTCGCCAATCTTCAATCAAACGCCGTGTTCTCCAAATACCCAAGTCAATAACTCCTTCCTCATGATCCTCATGAGTGCCATATGAAATGCTCAACAAAACGTAATCGCCGGGGTAGAAATCTTATCTCACAATCAAACATGCCTGGAGGCAAAACAGGGCCAAATTGCTATTGGGAACCTGAAGTAGATATAGGAGATCGATTATCTGGTGGCCAAACTCTACATCTCATTTGGCGTGAATTCCAGATCCTCGACAGTCCATCCTTTGCACAGCCCAAGCCAGTTACGGGCAACACATCTCTGAGTTTCTGGTACCGCCGTACTTGGAGCATCATCCACTGCACCTGTGGGCGCAGCAGTAACGGGCATGTTTGTAATCTGACCAGGCTCGGCAGTTGTCGTTGCGTCCACATCGTCGCGACACCCCCAGAATCGACCAGGGGTATGACAGGTCGTTGTCGTCGAAGCCTCAGTAGTTGTTGTAGTGATACTCTCACTTGTTGTCTTGTCCTTGCACCCGAACCACCCTGGAGTTTTGCATGTTGATGTCGACGAAGAAGTGGTCGATGTTGTGGTCGTGACCGGTGTGGTCTTGTCAAGGCAACCCCACCACCCTGGCGTCTCGCAAGTTGACGTACGGGTCCTAGTCCGAGTACTCGTGGAGGTAGAGGGCGATGATGTTGTTGTGGTGGTTTCAGTTCCGTTGCTCTCGTACATTTTCCACTGCGCACAGTCTCGGCACTCAGGGGTCCGTCTACATTCGGGAACATTGTCGTACTTCTTGATGACGTCGTCAATGACGGAGCGGATGCGATGTGTACCGATTCCAACCCTCCATCCCTTATCAGTGACGACGTCGTACATACATTCATAACCGGCATGGCAAGTACTCTCCATGGCATAGCCGCCATAGGTGCAAGAAGCTGTTGCGCCATTGCATGTGCCGATATAAACGGGGTCTGCATTGTGGCCGAAGTGGAATGTGCCTGTGTTCTCTCGCATTTGGGGATAATCGGCACTAGCGCCGGGAGGAACAGGCAAGCCCAGCCTGGAAGCCGGGAGAGCCTCAGGAACAGCTTCAAACGTAACAACAGGCAGGCCGTATGTCATACCCAGCATCGACGTCACAGCACCACCAAGCGAGTGACCTGTTAGCCAAACTTGAGCATCAGGATAGAGCTCCGTCACATTTGAGTAGAGTTCGCGGGCTGCGCCGTAGTACCGATTTTCTTCCCTCAGTGCTTGAACAACGCAAGTGTTGTTACAAGAGTATGTGCCTGTAGCACAGTCGCAAACCTGGTGCCAAGTCCACTGGCCTTGCTGGGCGCAGCAGCAGCTAAAAAAAAGATTGTCGTTGACCTTGTCGTTAGTAGTGGTGCCTTCTCCATCGAAAACAGCAGTCGTGGTGCCTTTCAAGCCGATGATGATAGTTGAGTTCGTATCGTCAACAAAAACATGTCCGCGGAGGCCGTCAGACTCCCATCCGAAATCGGCGCTTCGGTTCCAGCGTTCTCCAACATCCTCCCAGTCGGCATCGGTTTCATGCTCAACATATGCGTTGGCTGTCATGATAGCCAAGGCCAAAACAGTGTCCTTATCCCTAATATCCGGAGAAGAGACTTGATCCATGGTCCATGCCGATGCATCAAGAACAGCAGCGTAGCCTCTCTGCCGAGACTCGGCGACCATGGGATCGACAACTGATGGTCTTCGGTCGACGAGCCTCTGGATTGTGTCAGGGCGACTCTTGGCTTTCAACCGGGAGACCTCATATTCGCCATATTCATCTTCGGCAGCCAGGTAAACTCTCGACTGATCATGAATAACATCTCGTCTTCTGTGAAGGCTGGGGTGAAGGTGGGTGCCATGATGGTATATGTGTCGCAAACTGAACGTATGCTCGGCGGGTGAAGGGACTTCTGGAGGTGATGGAAGAAGGGGTCCAGGAGGTAATAGTACGTCGTCTTGGAATCGACTGCCGAGGTTGCTGGACGCAGAAGATGGCGAAAAGGCAAGGAAGGATAACAATAACGAAGCGGTTACGCGGGCAGTCGAGGCGCATCGAAAGCCCCATGGGCGGAAGTGGTGATTTGCTGTCATGACGGTATGAACCATCCCCGTAGGTAGGGACCAAGATTCATGCACGACTGTGATTGCGATTGTTGGTGATAGGAAAATGATGATAATGGAGATGAAAAGGCGAGGTTGAGAAGGCGACTGATACCGTAGGTACTAATCAAGCCTATGATGTTATGCACGCTATCGCTGGTGGGTAAACGCCGAAACGGTCACATGGGGGCGACGTAGACCTGTTGGGAAAGCCAAGTCGTGCACGGGGTCCAAGCACGCCCATGACTTGTCTAGAATAACTGTCTGATCAATACGGAGAAGTTGCTATGGAAGTTGCCTGATGATAAAAAGTAACAGTGAATTTCTAAACGGGTTGTTTATCAAATTCTTGGAGTGTGTGGCACAAGAAGCCATTCATCAACACAAAGCTCGTGCTGTTTACGTCCCTTGGCACATGCCACGACAGGTGGGTTGCTGTAAGATGCACACGTCTGTGTACATTGTCATGGACTGTGTTGACTAGATACACTGGCTATAACTAGCGAAAATGGAACATAAAAGATAGATGAAAGGACCGCAATAGAACATGTTTATTGGTAGGTCATTGACTGGACCAGCCCTGATGAATTCTGTCAGGTTGCATCTCAGATTCTCATAAGGAGCTCAAACAGGTACCTACCACCTAGAGGGTAGAGGTAGGCAGTGCGGATTCTGTTCTGTAACCTGCATTGAAGCTCTACAAAAGTGGGGCTTTTATAGTGGTGATTGTACCTAGATAGGTTGCCGCGTAAAGACGCGCCGCGGTGAGCGCAAACTAACCTTTGGGTTGAGCGGGTGTTCTTAAATTTCCAGTTACAGACAACCTCACTGTGCTTTTCATCGCAATACATCGTCACCTCAACTGCAGGACAAATACGACATTTTATAACACAGCATATCTTCCGAATCTCGAGATTTCTCTCAGTCGGCGCAATGACTGCTATGTACGCTTCCTACCAAAACATCCCCTTTTCCTACCGGCCAAGCAGAGCTAGAGTTTTCTTGACTTGCGCATGGTCTCGCAAACATTGCCGCAGCAACAGCTAATCAAGTCATCAATCTACAGCGAGAGCTTCGATAATATCTACCTGGATCTTTCCAAGGAGAGCGGCAAGTGCAGATTCGCCGAAACCGGTTTCGGATGGAAGCCTGTCGGCGGCGGCGAGACCTTCACCCTCGACCATAACAACATTGCCTCGGCGCAATGGAGTCGCGCTGCGAAGGGCTACGAGATCAAGATTGTCCAACGTGCGAAATCCGGCATAATCCAACTCGATGGATTCCTGCAAGAGGACTATGATCGACTGGCCAAAGTCTTCAAGAACTGGTACAGCACAGTCCTTGAGAACAAGGAACACGCCCTGCGCGGTTGGAATTGGGGCAAGGCAGAATTTTCCAAATCCGAGCTCACCTTCAGCGTTCAAAACCGACCGGCATTCGAGCTGCCCTACTCAGAAATCGGAAACACCAACCTTGCGGGTCGAAACGAAGTGGCTGTAGAGATGGCCCTTCCCGAGTCAGGTGCCAATGCCCAGCTAGGTGGTGCCCGGTCCAAGGGGTCAAAGGCTGCTGCTGGTCGAGACCAGCTTGTCGAGATGCGCTTCTATATCCCAGGCGTTACCACCCGAAAAGAGGCCGAAGGGGAGGATGCTGGCAGCGACGCTGGCAATGATGAGCAAGAAAAGAATGCCGCGACTTTGTTTTATGAGACTTTGATCGACAAGGCTGAGATTGGCGAGACTGCTGGCGATACTATTGCCACTTTCCTGGATGTCCTACATCTTACTCCCAGGTACGTCCCGAAATCCAAATATCAACTTCTACAGCTTCGTGCGTGTACTAATATGCCCCTAACAGAGGCCGTTTCGACATCGACATGTACGAAGCCTCCTTCCGACTCCGGGGCAAAACTTACGACTATAAGATTCAGTATGAGGCTATCAAGAAGTTTATGGTACTTCCCAAGCCAGATGAAGTGCACTACATGCTTGTCATGGGCCTCGACCCCCCTCTGCGTCAAGGACAAACACGTTACCCCTTCGTTGTGATGCAATTTAAGAAGGACGAGGAGGTGACGATTGATCTGAACCTCAATGAGGATGAGCTCAAGAGCAAGTACCAAGATAAGCTGGAGCCTCATTACGAGGAGCCTCTCCACCAGGTTGTTGCCAAGATTTTCCGTGGTCTAGGCAACAGGAAGATTTCATCTCCTGCCAAAGACTTCATCACGTACGTTTCCCTTATTATGTTGGTTCGTAAAACTTCTAACTTGTGTGTCTAGACATCGCAGCCAATACGGTATCAAGTGCTCCATTAAGGCAAGCGAGGGTTTCCTCTACTGCCTGGAGAAGGCCTTCATGTTTGTGCCCAAGCCCGCTACGTACATTGCCTACGAACAGACCCAATCTGTCACTTTCTCGCGTGTCAGTGGAGCTGTCTCAGCACTTTCCACATTCGACATTACTGTCCTACTCAAGAACGGTGCCGGGTCATCCCAATTCAGCAACATCAGTCGTGAAGATCTTAAGGCTCTTGAAAGCTTCTTCAAGTTGAAGGGTCTACGGGTGAAGAACGAGATCGATGAGGATGCCAACCTCCTCGCTGCTGCGCTCGACCAGCAAATGGATGATTCTGAGGATGAAGTCGTCGCAAAGGCCGATCGAGGCTCGGCCGATGAAGATGAAGAGAGTGTCGATGAGGACTTCCGCACCGACAGCGAAAGTGATGTCGCTGAGGAATACGATAGTGACCACGAGAGTTCTGGCTCAGGTAGCGATGAGAGCAACGTGGACGAAGATGAGGAAAAGGATGGTGGCGACGGAGACCAAGAGGAACGTCCCAAGAAGAAGAAGAAGACAGGCTGAACGTAGTGTCAGCTTTGAATCGTGGGCCTTATGTGCTGTCAAAGTGAGGTATATGGGCAGTTTAATGGGAGCGGGCAGGACTGGGAAAAAGCTCTTGGTCTGAAAGATCACGAGATATCAAAGGCGTTCGGGCTAGAAAGACGGTTAAACACTTCCTTCTGGGTTCATGCAGTAGTAACTTTTTGCAATATACAATCATTCTCGTATTCCCAGGTTCTTGGCCCACTGCTTACACGACTCATGTTCGATATGGCTGTGCGGTGAACATTGGTCATAACATAGCACTAGGTCAATTTAGGCTAGGAAAAGCATTTTGACACATGAGTTTAAACATGTACGTAGTATGCCATTGCATTGCAAAAATTCGAGTTGAATAGCCTCGGATGTCGTTTAGCCTGTATACGCAGTAGCCTCAGAGCCTGTAGGTAGGTATTAAGCCACACGTAACTGATCATATTATACCTGGTGGTCCTTGTTTCAGACCGCTACCGAGGGGGTAACAGAACGGCAATATTTTGATCGTCCATTGCTATCAGCCGCAAAGGACTAGGTAGGAGAGTGCCCCATGTTTTGTTCTCGTGCTGTCAGTTCTACTGTCAACGTCACTATCTCAGTGTTTGTTCTGGGTGAATGTGGTATAAAAATATGCGAATGCCAAGAGGGATACATAGCCAATCCTGGCTGGTGAAAAAGAAACACTGATGGGTATTCTCAGGAAGGCTGCTGTAGATCATTCTTTCATGTATGTACCTGTGTTTTCACCTGCGCATATTCCATACATGCATACTTACATAGGCATGTATGTAAAAAAATTAAAAAAACCCTTTCTGTTCTTACAGGTGGATACTGACAGTTCATTCTCGGCTTGGATTCGCCGATCAGGGGGCCCTTGATCGGCGATGGTAGCTAGGACAGGTATTCGAGAAGATGAGTACTTGCAAGCCAATTGTGCAGGATTGTTATTAGTGGTATGTTGAAGAGTGATATGATATTGGCTGAAGTCTCGCCGTGATTCTGATCATGTTCGCTGACCATGGGGCGATGACTGATCCAGATTGACCATTCTGATTATGGTAAAGGTAACGAGTTCCAAGGTCGAAACTTATCTCTTTCCGCATTGGAGCTTGGTGGGCAAGAAATCTGCCTCCTGAAGCACTATACCTTGTCGATTAAGGTTTGTACAAAGATCAGATCAGCCGGGATGTAAGCGAAGTTTTACTTTTGCCGAAGCCCAAAGGGACAAAGAGACTGAAAGGTAAGATATTTTCAATATTTTCCGAACGTGTTTACGACAACTCACGCACGACGGCTCCGGCGTGGATTCGAGTCAGGCCCGGAGATTGATCCGAGTCGAAACCAGCGATCCGCTCTCACTCGTCACTTTATATGCAGTGGTGACAGCGATAATGCGCCTCTTGCAGCAAGTGTGGCTATTCGGCCCTGCGGCATATCGTCAGGGGTATGTACGGTAGTACAAATACCTGGGTCCTGTTACGACAGTCCCCTCAGCTCAGGCATGATCTGATGGCTTGGGGCATTCCGCGAGAACTGGACCCTCAGTTTGTTTGTTGTATTGAGGACGAACAGAGTTTGAGCTGTGTCGGTATTTTCTTGTGCGAATCAAACTGTAACTACTAAGGGTCTCACGGAGTGGGAGATGTAAGTGGCAAGGAAGTTGACGTATGGTCGAATCTAATAAATCTATAAATCGCCCGTCCTGTCAAGCTCTACCCACCTCAAGTAGGTGCACGCGTAGACTCTTTTCCTTCCTTACGCCTCACCAACCACTACCTATTACATCCTTCCTGCTTGAACAAACTGATCCACATACAGATGCGCACCTACCTATGCGTACATCGTGTAGTACCTGGCATAGGTAGGTAGTAGGCAAGAAGGGTATCCGACTTGTGTCGCACCTTCCCAAACATTATACTCCTCATACCACATAGTACCTTAGTACCTACAGGGCATGGCATGGCAAGCGCAGGGTTACCTCAAACGACGCCAAACTACCAGTACCTATTAACCTATCCGTATCCCACTACCTTAGTAGGTACTACCTAATAGTGTTCCGTACCTATGTCTTGGTTTTGGGAAAGTGCGGCTCTCTTCCGAAATTAACATCCTTCTGCTCCTTCTAAATGGCTTCCCATGTGTCGGTAAGTACTACCCAAGGTAGGTACTAACTTGGATGAATGGCACCATCTTCTCTCCAACAACCGCGGCATCATACTCACATCAACCACTTCTCTTAGTAGGTGACTACATGGAGGAGAGGGCTGAATGTGAGATATCCAACATGTCAATATTGGATGCCAGGGCTGGGCAAAGCCACGCAGGGCGCATCATGCACCCATAGGAGAACCAACTCCGAACGAACGACCCTTTCTATCAAGTGAGCAGGCAACGCCAGGTATTCCCTTCTTTTCTAATTGGGAGTTCCTTGGTTCTTTCTCGGCAACATATCACTTCACAGGATTCACAAACAGCAAATATCACTGTCAGTAATGGATCAACAACAGACCACTACCGAAAAGAGGAAACAAGGCCCGGATACGGATACAGTGACGTTGAACAAGAGAGAAAACCCTACTGTAACAGACAGTTGGATGAGCAAGGGCATAGCCAAAGCCCACAAAAAACCGTTGCCTTTCATGTTGGCTAACGCCGCCCCCTAAAACGACATATCAGCTCAACGGCCAACAACCACATTTGGTTCCATTAGTCCCCAACTCACCTCGAAAAGTCTTAGCTTCAGTGTCCAACATGAGTTCCTTTAGCCTAGGGTCCTCTTTTCCCAGGCACGGCATACATTTTCGTTGGTTGGGTGGCAGGCTTGCGGCCCCCCCTCCCCCTGGTTGTAGCCAGCCACCCCCCCGCTCCTCGGTTGCGAACTTAGGATCAGACCACCATAACACAGACATATTCATACAGAAATAAGTGGCCATTACGCGGTCTGACTTGAGCCAGAAGCCATGTGTGTCTGGCGGAGTGGTTCCTGTCACAAATGTCAAAGCAATGATGCTGTCTAGTTACAGTATCATCTCCGTCCAGCTGGATCCGAAACAACCGGTTCACGACACAGAGGCATGTCTAAAAAGAAGCTTGTGGTGTCATCTAGTATCTTCATGGCCGTGCCTCCCTTACCAAGGTTGTTGTACCTAGTATTACCAGTTGCGTTCCCGAGTCACAGGTGCTATATCCCCTTATGGGATACCTGAGCACCCGGGCTAGTTTGTGCTGGGAACTTGACAGAGCTAGTGAGCTCTTATCTTTTACAAGATGATGGATAATTATGTCCCTCTTTATGAGCAAGGGTTTAGAGGAGGGTTTAAGAACAAACCGTTCCTTGAGAACCTAGATCTAATCGTCCACAATTGCTCCATCCATATGATTCAGCATTGCTCCAACCCAACAAGGCGCAGAGACTAGGGTTGGCAAGGAAGATATATACGCCTCTCCATGCACCTTTCTGCGCTTGACATGTGAGCGGTAGGGCTTGTCATGACAAGATGTCCAATAAAGGTTGGACTGGCAAGGACTGGATATGCCGATCACAAGTACATACCACTTGCAGTCCCCGTCCCCGTCCCCGTCCCGGACCTAATCCCAGCCCCGGTTTCCTGTCTCCTCCCCCCAAAGAAGCCCACTTGCTTCCCAGGTCAAATTCCAGCTCATATTTCCCAGAATCTGTTCCCAAGTCCCCTCCGAGCGGTAAAGGCGGGGACACTGGCCAATTTGATAGTCGAGTCATTGCAAATACAATCAAGGCGTTGACTTGAATCCACACATGGCTCCTCCATCACCCAGCATTGGCTTTCCCACGGCCACGGATTCAACCCAGCCACATTCTCCCATTGGAAGCCTAATAGTTCACGTGGGGAAGGGACGAGAAGCTTGTCTTGTATTGACACGACACTACCAAGGAGCCCTATGTTATTTTTAACAAAACGGAACTCACCTCATTCGATACCAAAAGCAGATGCGAGAACACACCAGAGTGTAGTCATCAAGGGCCTCGAACCACATTTTGTTCGTGCCTCGGGATAACATTGGATATCCCCGTGACTAGTCACTCGACTCTAACAGCCTCAGGGGAAGAGGCAGCAAACGGAGAAAAGAAGGAAAGAGGGTCGTTGACCGAAGTACGAGAGAGGTCAAGACCGTGGGGAGGACCAGGCAGTCGATAGTGCGGCTGAAAAAGAACTTTGTGAGTAAAGATGTGACGATCTGAAGAAAAGTCACCCTACCCAGCATGTGGTATGGCGTTAACAATGGCGCGCAGGAGGTAGGCTGAGCGGCAGTGAGGGAGTCCTTGATTGCCGTAGGTGGAAACAAAGGCACAGCCATTCATTCGTCCATCAAGTGAGAACGAAGCAAGGGCTGGAAAGACATTCGATCCGCCGATTGAAAGTTGACCGATAGTCTCGTGGTGCCGAGAAATCTCTTCAGTGGGGTGACATTTTGTCTTGTGTTTGGTGGGAGCACGAGACCACCACCCAGCATTGCCCCTCTTGAACGAGAACCGTGCCTGCGATTCTCTTGACGGTTTGTTCGATGCGAATCGGCGCGGTGGCGCTAGAACGTTGAAGCAGACTCTGGTGACGTCGAAATCTGCGGCTTCGAATTGTCGTATAAGCACTCGAGGTCCCTCAAACCACAAATCCTCGTGGCGAGAACCGGCGCCGGCCACAGGCCCAGGCCGATTGATTTAGAAGAAGTTGTTTATCAAGACGTTCACAGATCGAAACTCAAGTGTCCTCCCATCGATATCCCATCCGAAGTCCCACCCCCAGCGACGAGCAGTTGCTATCATAGTGGCAGCCAGACACGCCTGGTTGCAGACACAAACGATACCCGATCCACCCTTCAAGGCATCTAACGCGGGAGCCGGACGAACACCCAAGGGGCAACCGAGATCCCCGATCTGCTGCAGCCCTCAATCCACAATCCCTACCATGGCGGGGGATCATACTGGGGACCAGTCGTTCTATGACTTTCTCATAGAAGAACCAGAGGTATGTCAACCGGTGATGACAGTAGCGAGGAGGAGTTTGTTCGTTCTTGTCCATCCCTTTGTGCGAAGTGAATCCAAGGTCTTCTGAAGCAGTGGGTTTCGTCAGTACGAGATGTTGCCATCACGTAAAGGTCAATGCGTAATGGCATGGTTGCGTTGCTGTAAAGCAACTGAGACATGTCAACACCAAGCATCGGGCCAGTGGCTGAATCTCGACCCTCTGGGGTCCGTCCCTATACCATGTCCCCTGAGCAATGACTCGAACCATGGCATCATGGCTTGTCGTTGTGTTGTGACATGTCATGGCATGGTGTTATGGTATGGTACCACAGAAAAGGTGCTGTGTGGCGATTGAGAAGCCTAGGGACTAAAGAAAAAGGGAGATGAAGGAAGGCGAAGCGAAGCGAAAGCAGAGCGAAGCGAGAGAGACAGAACAAGGCCCAGCCCGAAAGAAGACGGAAGAATAGCGGTTTGTGGACAAGAACAAGAAACTAAAGAGAAAAATGAAGCTGGAATCGAGTCTAACGTTTGGTGTTTCCGTTGGAGCAGATGATAGCGCCGGCGCCACCCGGCCATTTCCCACATCAACAGCCCATTTCGTCGCCGAATCGAACCAGCCGCGATGCGCCGCCACGGACAGAACCGACCGAGATCGAGACCCACCACCACGCGAATCACCCGGCAACCTTACCGGTACTCGGAATGCAACTGCCGGGAACACTACCTGACTCGTCACGTGCTCAGTCACGAGCTCACCTCGACCTTAACCTCGACTTACACGCGCACCCTCACTCTCACTCTCACGGGCCGCATCTTTCTCATGGCGCCCATGGAATTCAAAGCCACGAACATGGACATGCGACTCATCCAGCCCACAGTTCAGCGGGCCTACCGTCCGCTGGGTTTGCAAGTCACCTCCCTCCCGCCTCAACTAGCCCCATGACGTTGGATTGGAATATTTACAATGTTCCTCCAAATTTACAGCTGAATCCGTCTCACTTTAATTTTGAGGTTCCAGGACATATGGGTGTAGTTGGTCATTCGAGCCATCTGGCACACGCATCTACAGATCCAACGGCATACGCATACGGAAGCAATCTTGTTTCGCCGTCGTCAATTCATCCAAACAATGCCCATTTCGATACCAGCGCTTCAACCCAATGGGATGATTCTCTGGGCCATGATTCGAGCACCCCGAAAGTGCGTACCCCTGCTCAGCAGATGGCCAGCAATCCTTGGGCCGAAATAGAGGAGCCCCCGGGAGACAACAAGTCAACCGCTGCTTCCCGTCCACGAAAGACTCCTCGACCGAGAAGACAGAAGAAAGAAGCTCGGAAGCTATCGGAGGATTCTCAAGGGGCCAGAAGCAGTAGTACCGGTGGAACTGCACACTCGGTATCTGACGCTGCCAGCCCTAGTACCGCGTCACAGAATAGCCGCACCAGTGTTGGCTCCAAATCTGTATCTATGGCTTCCACGGTTTCCGTATCGACCGCTTCAGCAGTTTCTAGCCGCCAGAGCAAACTTAGAAGTGCCTCTCGAACATCCAAGAACAGTCGAGATAAACCCAACGATACCCCCGAAGATCGTCGAACCCGAGCTTCTCATAACCTTGTTGAAAAACAATATCGAAATCGACTCAACGCTCAGTTCGAATCACTACTCAGTGCACTTCCCGAGCAAGTTCGACACGGTAATGGTGGTAGTGAAAACGGAAACGGAAACGGAAATGGAGACAACGAGTCCGATCAAGCCAACGATCCTGACCGACGTGTTAGTAAGGGTGAGGTGCTTGAGATGGCTCGCAAGCACATTGAAGCACTAGAACGCGAAAGGAGTCAACTCGAAATGGAGAATCTCGAGCTTCATGGGAATATACGACGACTCAAAGGATCAAATTCCGAAAGCACAGAGTCCTCGTTAGGCCCAGGAAGCTCTGCCGAGCCCGACACGAACAAAGATCAAAAGCAGGCTGATGATGGAAACGATCGGAACGAAAAGCCATAAAGGAGCGAGAATGTGCAAGTAGGGTGTGAAAAGGACATAGCACAGGCCCCGAGGTCCCATGCTGTTTATTGCGATGCATTTGGGGGTATAGATTTCTTCTTTACAACGTTGTATCCATCTCTCTTCCGACTCCTCACTCTCCTTGTCCTTCCATCATTCTCTCAGACACTTTCATGGTCGGAAATGCTTTGGTCTTTCATAGAAACATGTTTTATCTTTTTGCTGTTGTGTGTTTGCTTTGCTGTTGCAGTCTCATGCTTTCACTCAAACATCTCCTTACTCTTCATCACTTTTTGCCACGTCCATCACTCAACTCATACGACATCGGGCTCCAGCACAGGGAGAAGTCAAGAGACCCTAGATGGGCTGGAAGGGTGTTGCATCCATGTACTATGCTGTCACGCTGCTTTAATTTCCCTCTTCCTCAACTACAGTCACGATTGGGCATCAGTATTTGATAAGAGGTTTCGGTGGTTTAGGACTCTGAAACGAGTAACGGCCTCGGTAAAGACGGGAAAGACTTGAATAATGGGAGGAACATATAGACACTGTGTTTTGAACTAGGTTATAGGCCATTGATTATGGAAAAGCATTCCTGTGATTGATCAAACTCGTTAAGCAAGACCCCTTAGTAGCACTTTGAAATTCATTCCACGGTTATGTAAGCCACACATCTTGGTATTGGGTTTAAAGGTCAATGTTGTTGGAACATGTACCTTGAATGAGATAGAACAAAATCAAGCTCATGTTTTGTATGGTCATGTTTGATAATGCTACGAAAGCATTCACGCAGCGGCTCTAGCTCCGATCATGTCGTTCTGGTACCAACCCCAGTCGACTCCCACCATTGTTGGAGGGTGTCATATGTTTATATAATCTGGAAATAAAAGTATTAATCCTACAAGTGTAGGTCATCCATGAGTAGTAGTAGTAGTAGAAGTAGCTAGGTAGGCATCGGACACTTTGTAATTGTTTAGTCATTTTTAGTGCATATACAAAAAAGTAAATATCCTAGTTCTAACATCCTTTGCAGAAATGCAGATCGGCTATGATGCCGGTTTATTGTACAAGATAGCGCGCTGCTACTGTCGCTGGTTTTGTCTAAAGTTCATAAATCCGTCACTCATCATAACTGGAAACTATCCAGGTTTATCCCCAGGACTCTCGGAACTTGATCCTCGAGTTCGAAATTGCCCAACCCCTCCTTGGTCGACACCAAATGACCAACATGATAAAAAAAAATAAAAAAATGGTAGCAATGCACCCATGCCTTGCTCAGCTTTTGAGTACCACCCCAATGCCCAGGACTGCCTTCTACAGAAACAACAGTACGCCTTCAACGACCTGTTTACCAGAAACAGAAGACCGGGGCCCAGGTCTAAAACCAGACCTTAGGACTTGAAGCCCAAGTACAGGATGTCTTTTTCATTGAAGTTCGAAAGCCATACAAAAGAAATGCGATCAGGGTTGACAGCCCCATGGGTCTAGTATAGAAACAGTGAAAGCGGCATCGAAACCGCGTGCAAGAGATATACAAAACGAAAAAGGAAACGCTACCTTTTAGAGGTCGGTGTGAAAACATGTAAGAAACAAATAGAGAACAAGGGGGGCGGTTGGATCGCTTTAAATGCGTTCACCATTGCCCTTGGCATAAGCTCGGGGAAATAGAGCATATTGTCCAACAGGAGGCATCTGTGTGCTGAGGCTCGTTGTCCTAGCGCGAGAGCGTCGGGTCTTGGTAGCATCGACCGACTTGTTGGGAGGCATCTCATCCCTAGCAATGGACTCGCTTGCATGGCTCTTGTGAGAAGATCTCTTGATAACAGGCAAAGAGGGGAATGGTGTAAGCTCGGGTACGGTATCCTTCTCGACGGAGGCAGGGGGAGTGGTCTCTTCTTCCTCACTATCGTCGTGAAGCTTGATGATTTGAGACTCGCGAGATGTGTCGTTGGCCTCGACCCACTTGTTCAAAGACGTGCTGCTTGTAAGACGCGTCAGGTTGGTCCAGGTGGAGTTGGTAGAGACGTGACGCTCTCCAGTGGAGTCGGACAAGGACGTAAAGTTGGTAGCGGTGGTAGAAGTGCTTGCGCGTTGGTGACACATGGTAAGAGAGGTATGGCTTGCAGCGTTGCTAGGATTCTCGTAGGGACGGTTGGAGTTAACGATACCATGGACAACGTCATACTCGCCTGAACAACCCTGCTTTTCGGCCTCATTGAGGAGCATTTGCTGGTGGTAGTCGCCAGGAATGAGCAGCGAGGGCGATAGGGTAAACCCGTATGACTCTTTGAAACTGGAGGCTCTAGAATCGTTTCGACAATGGGTGAGATTGGGTGGTCGGCGACCCTTCTCGCCACGTGGGAATGAGAAGTTGCTGGTCACTGCGACTCCCGTACTCGGAGTAACGATCTCGAAGGTGCTTTCTGGCGAAGCCTGGCTGGCGGGACTTAGAGCCGGCATGTCAAACTGGGATGCGGAAAGCATACCGGGGGAGGACTCGGCGGTACCAACCGTTGGTACCTCTCTCAGCTCTTCGTCATCGAAGAAAGCCACCTGAACCCCAGGAGGAGCCTCTTGGCCAACGTCCATCGACGGCCTCTCCCATTCATATTCGAAGTTGGCGTCGGCTTCGTGCTCGTAACAGTAATCGATGTCATCTTCCCAACTCTCCCTGATGGAATGGCTATGAGCGGCACTGCCGTTGTAATGTCCAGCACTACGTTGGGCAGCAGCATTCTCATTAGTCTGGGATCTTCGAAGAAGAGGGACCGATTGGCTAGCACGGAGCGAAGACCTGGTACTGGCGGTTTTCTTGGGTGAGCGTCCCATGTGAATCACATGCTCCTCCTCCTCTGGCACATCTGGCAACGGTGGCTCATAGTTTGCTGTGGCTGGTAGCGGCCAGGCTGCATCGTCAGGAGTAGTTATCGCATGTGAAAACCGATGTTCGGCCACGGGCATTACTTGCTGTTCCAACGCAATGCCATATCCATTAGACGCTGGCTCCATGATCTCTTTGGGACTAAAGGGTTGAGGATGGCGGAAGCCTCCGCTGGTCTGGGGACGATCCCAACTTGGCATTGTAACCGAGTCATCATCGCGTAGAGCTGGTTGTCGACTTGACCCTCTTGGAGGTGGTATCGGGGCACCCAAGGTTGGAGAGTGCAATGGTTCCATTGGAGGTGATCTCGGGGGTCGGACTGGCCGAGGCGGGCTGGTACGAAGTTGCTCCTGGGACCGAGCGTGCTTTATCAAGCGGCGGGGACGGAGGGAGGCTCTCGAGCTACGTGGTGATATTTCATGTTCGGTGACATGTTCTGACGAGGAGTTGGAGAATGTGTTTGTGAAGTGCACCTCTTGTCCAGAAGTGCGCGGCATTGGGTTGGTTAGCTGTTCCCGTGGAGTATGCGTCACATGTTGGAAGTTGAAAGGTCCAGATATTTGAAGCTTTTTCTGAAGAACTGTCTCATCGCGAGATGATTTCCGACGGGCGAAGATGGTAGGCATGATGGTGTCCTTGAAAGTGTTCAGAGAAGTTTCACTGTTTAATTCAGTAGAGTAGAGCGAGCTTCCTGACGAGCTCTGGGCACTACTCTCGCGTTTGGATCGACCTGACTTGCTCGACTTTGCACGACGATGGAAGATGTTCTTGCCCAGCACTTGCACACTGTCGGGTCGGTCTCGAGACGAATTGCCACTTGTTGTTGATCGTTGTGAGGAACGCCGAGTAATGCTCATGTTGTCGAATGTTTGCTCCCATCCTCGCTCACCATTCAGTATTGACGAAGACCCAGATGTAGTACGATGGCTTCTATTTAAGTGAGACGCATGTTTCATCTGCTTGCTCAATTGGCGGATTCTTTCGGGAGATGGGGGGCCTTCAACGGCTGGTACCAAGTATTCGTCCAAGTCGAGAGGTGCATGATGATTGGCAGGAGATACATCGTGATAGCCAGGCATGTCGTTAACACTGAGACTGGCATTGGACTGGGCATTCTGGTTGGTATCGTGCCTAGAACGATCCGACTTATATTCTGAATAGTAAGGCATCGTGGCGGCCCACATGATGGCTGGCACAGAGCCTCCGAGAGGAGGGCGACGTCGAAGTGTGCCCTGGATGTAAACAATGGTTGACTAGGCTGAGCTATTCCACAATTGTTGCTGATATAATCCGTATCTGTATGCTGTACGCAGGCAGCAAGTAATGAATGACGTTGGAGTGGTATGTAAGACTTAAGGAGAGACACGGGACAGGGCAGACCAAATGCCACAAAGTTTCAAATTTGTATCGAATCAAGGAGCAAGACGGTAACAATAACGAGGAAGCAATGTATGATATAACAAAATTGCCCGGGAGCAAGAGATTGATGCAATCTTGGGGCAAGGCAACTTTGTACCCTCCCAAAGATTAGACAGGCCCTAGGGACTGGGGCTAAGGAAGACTAGGGCGGTGGTAAGGGGGGACCCTCGACAGGGCTTGGAGTGGGTTGACCAGGTTGCCTTGGGCTGTCCCTGGAGACTGTCCCTGGCCCGTCTCGGCGGGCACAAGCCCCGGGAATCTGGGGGGGGTTCCCTTCACTGCAAGACCCAGTCGCCAGACGCCAGTCCCTTGCAAGGGTGCATTGGAGTGTTGGTATCGCAATGCGTACTGTGCGAGTGCCTTTCCGTAACCTCAGACGATGCTGGGGCTCGCTACACTCGTCGTAAGGCAACATGAGGTCCGTGGTGGTGCGATTGGACGCCTTGACTACAGAACCTTCAGCGACAGAGTGGGTGCAACTTGTTTGACCATCAGTGTCCAGGTGACAAACATGTCAATGTCAGGTTAAGACAACAAGAAACAACACAGGCTAGGCCAAGCCAAGCCGTTTCGTTGCACACGATAACTTACGACAGAGAAAGAAGAGGCCCAGCTCGTCTCGTCTCGTCTCGTCAACTGTGCCATGAAAAGTATTCCAACCTGCAGAAGCAACGAGGAACAAGTGGATGCTCAATGCATAAATGCAATGGGTTGCGTCAATACGGATAGACAGGCCAGGTTTGCTTTGCCGGCGACTTGGAAACGAGATGCAAACTTCGAGGCCATGACCCAAAAAGAAAGGTGTCTGTAAGTAGATACTAGGGCTAGGACAGCAATGACAGCACATCTGTTCGGACTGTTCCTGAACTCTGGCTAGTTCTCGATTGGGATCCACGATAATAATGTGGTGACCTGCGTATTCCTAGGTCTAGTCCAATCCAACACAGAGAGAACAATCGGTCACTATACGGATTAACTGACGAAACCCGTCACGCTGTTGGTCTAACACTGTAGACTTTTCGATTTGCAGTTTGGTTGATAACAGGACTTCATGGTGATACACAACTCACAGACCGTGTCAAGCCCGCTGGCCTCAGTGCAATGATGGAGAGAGCACCAACGCCTGACTAACTGTTCTCTGTTAGTCTGTAGTTTTAGGAGGAACCAGCTCCCCTAGAGCCATGCAGGAACGAAGTCGTCCATAACCACTCCACTCAGGTTGGGTGACGAATGAACCCACAAGTACGGAGTAGGCTGCGTACTTTCTTTACCATTGACGTCGTGGGAACTTTCAAGGTCGTGTATGTACGTACATCGTAAACCGGTCCAGTCGATGTTAGAATATTCCGTACAAAGCCTAAAGATTGAGACATGAACCCGGCAAGAATAAATACAGTATGGCGGCGGGTGCATAACTGGCAGTAGGGCAGTCTAAGCAGCTGGGGAATTCTTTCAATCGCAAGAGGAGAGATCTAACAAGAGGTTGAAATTACGTACCAAGACCTACTCCGTAACCTCGCTCACATGGCAACATCCATCTGTGTGGTAAAGCCAATGCAATGGGGCCAGAAGAGAACAGATCTGTCAAAGCTGCCAGGGTCTTCTCAAGCAGTTCGTCCCCACTGTATTTCCATCCGTATGCTTGGAGCCTTGGTACGCACTCCCTTGGTGCTGCCCCAGGCATACCGGTGTGATTCTTTTAATCCTGATATGCTGTGCCATTCACATGCCTTCAGCGCGTTAATCGGGTACAAGACTTCTGATATCTATGTTACCACAACAGCTGCCGTTCACGTAACGTCCTTTTGTCTTGCGTGTTAGTACCTTGAATGAACGAACAAGCTGAGCTCAGGTGCAGAAGATGACGAGTTACCTAGCTCAAGACTATTTTTATGGGTCATTAGAGAAACGCGTCTGGTGTTGCAAGCTCTGGGAAAGCCGCTAATCATCTGTGGAGTTATGGACTGTGATTCGTTTTAGCGTCGGGGATGGCGACAATGGACAGGCCGTAGCTAATTTTAAGCACATCTTCAGATTGCTTCATCTTTTCCTAGTTCAAGGGGAAATTCTGTCGTTGCACCGAATCAAGACTACAGTGGTTTCAAGAGAGTCAGTCGAAGACAAAGCTCAACCACAGCTGTCACAATTTGCTCGGGAAATGCGCATGATCTGGTGAATAAGTGTGCTTCTCGACACGATCTGTAGACTTCTTCATCCGAGCCCGTTAGGACAACTCAGACAAACGTCATTTCAGCCTGGGAATTTTTCAGTAACGAGATCAACTTGACTCAGGTGAATGAGTCCCAGACTATTAATATGGGGAGATTATTCATTCTATCAACTGGCGTTCTTGCCAAGACACGTACTGATATTGATGGAGTAGGGGTTGTTTCCATTTTTGAAACAGGCGGGAGAACAATCATGGACTGTTTCTGGATTGTGGCCCAGGGGGACGAGATTTCTCATCTAAAGTTAGTTAGAAGTCGACAAACCAAGCCCACGAGAGATAAGGGGACAAGGCCTGAGCATGGGGAGAGAAACCGGACTACAGCAGCTGGCCTGCTGGGCTAGCCTAGGGCCTCAGCTAGACTGTCTCTGTTGCAACACACAGACGGCACGGCACTCGGCCTGTGCGTTCAGGTGAGCTTGCACAGTCAGGACCAACACCTCAAACAACAAAAACAACTTCGAATTTCATTCTGAGGAAAAACTAAGCAGTTGCTCAGAAATTCGAGACCTGACCCGCTGCAATGGGCCGGGCCCCAAGCTGTGGGACGACGACGTGTGCGTGGTGAGTCCCCGAAACTCGGGTGAAAGAGAGGATCGCCGCGTGGATGACGTGGAGAATCAGCCTGATGAGCGAATATGAGGCAGAAAGCTTGATGCCGATGCGACAAAACAGACGCGGTGTGCCGTTTTTTTCTGGGACATTGCCGCGATCTTGTTGGCTCTCCAACTGCTTGCATCCTGAGTTAGTTAGTGTTCCAGTTTGAGAGGGTCAACGACACACTGAACCCGGGCCCTGCAGCGACGTGCAGTAGTGCAAGGGCCAGAATATCATGCTCGTAAGAGGATGGCAGTCAGGGGTAGGGATGCCGGCCCTACGGATTCACTGAGGCCATCAAAAACGTGTGTGTAACAGAACTCAATTTGGGATTCTGCAAGTGTCCTCTCGGTCGAGCTTTGGTCTCTTTGGTTCGAGTCGTACACAAGCGCACGGAAGAGCCCCCTCTTCCTCTCGCGATAAACTCATCTTGGATCCAGGAACCGATGACCAAGTGGCTTCTAGTTCCTGTCCGATACTCCACAAGACGCTGCACCAGTCTCTGCTAGCTCAACGACTGGCTAGATTAGCAACGGCCTGCGGATGTTTGCCGCCATTGACCCAGAAGCTGCATGAGGTGTTTTGTGGCTTGAAGAACCCGAGACACTAAAGTTGAACTTGGCCTACTAAGCAAGGCCAGGTGACGCCAGAAGCCGCGATGGAACCTTCGATTCTCACTTGTCGTAATAGTTTCCTACGAATATTGGTGCAGTGGCTGCGGTCAACATGACGCGGTGATCAGTTGAAAAAGATGATTTTGAATAGGGATATTGGTTCCCATTCAAGGTTCAGTCATTACGATGGATGCATCAAGGTATTCATTCCTTCCATTACTACCTCCTAGGTAGGCAGGCAGGTAGGGAGGTAGTACCTAACTACCCCATATCTTCTAACCATCAAGGAAGGTACGACGTACGCAGTACGTAGACGAGCTTCGCCTTCCATCAAGATCCCAGTAGTAGACATTTGTTGGGTGGTCACGTCTTACCACATGCGTTCGGTCCCGATTTACTGGGTTCCGGGTAAGTACTCCGTACATTCTCCCAAATGTTGATTTTCCTCATCTGCCAAAAGTTCCCTCCGTACCTATTGTTAATTAGGCGATTTAATCATCATATGAACTGCGGAAATTCTGCATCCCAGCATAGGGTAAGCTCTCATATCAGTACCTGTCTGATGATTGGGTATGAGCACAGAAACCAACCCCTTCACAGCCAAGATGCGTAATCCCGAATGGCATGCAATCAAACCACACCGCGAGACTATACCGAGTCTGATATCCGACGAAGGCTCTAGGATTTCGGTTTGACTTGCAGCGGGTATTAATCGGGGCAAAGAAACGCCACCTGCAACGGTTTGACATGAACTACCACTTCACTTTAACCGTTAGTTACTCAGTTGACAGCAGGACCAGGAACAGGAACAGGGACAGGGACAATGTACCTTATACCACCAACAATCATTTCGATGCCTGACCTAACGGGTAGGTTGTTCCAACGATCTGTGCTGAGATTGTCGAATTCGCTCACAGGCAGGCGGGAGCTTGACTGCTTTGGCTGATACTTGCATCATGACCTGGTAGACAGGCCAGACAGGGGATCTGGCGTGCCTGGCGTACCTGGCATTCAGGATCCACGGCGGATGAATGCAAAGCTTACTCCGTACAATTACAAAATCTGCACGCGGGGGAGCTTGGGGATTGAGGTCCTTGACGATCATTTATCTGCGCCTTACGGAGTATTCCGCGAGTCGATACTTCATACTCCGTTCCCTTCTGAGTCAACAATATAGCGGGGAACAGTCTAGTGAGTTTAGAGTGTCATTCGTTGAGGATATTAAAAACATACTGATAGCTGTCTGCTCAATCACCGTTACTTGAATACAGACCGATGTGGAAACCTGCTACTACCGGGAGTGCATCCATGATGGGTTGTTTTCCGTAGTAGCATGTCCCTCGCCTGATGCTGAATCTCTGGAATAGTAACAGTTGATGCATAATAATCTATCTAGGGATCTTTGCTTTTGAGTGTATGGGTACTGCTTCATCATGATCCAAAAGGGTAATACTTGCTTGCGAGCTGACTGTGCTCCTGTCAAAATTCATTTGGGACAGTTGAGCCAATCGGCGCAGACTTGGCTGTGAATGGAACTGGAAATGGAAATGGATGGTTGATGGATCACCGAATGCATATGCACTCTCGTCCTCATTCTTTATTATCCTTCTTCTTCCGCAATCCTGCACTCATCAACCCCTGCGTGGGTGCGCGCCGCGAGGCGAGGTCAATCAACCCATGGCACATTGCGGATACCCTCCATTACAGATAGGACAGGTCAAGGTAAAGTTGCAACGGCCACCCACAGACTTGGGCTCAAGCTTAGGCTTAGGCTTGGGCTTGGGCTTGGGTTTCGGTTTCGGTTTGATGAATGATATCGCACCGTTCCGCCCACGAGCATACGCCATAATACGGCACATCAGCACGGGTATGATATGCGCATGTGGCAGATTTGTTACTTGTATTCATCCGTACCTGCTTTTTATTTTTCTTATTAGTTTCCAATGTCCATTCGTATCAACAACCACACCAGCAGCCAACTCACAATGCACTAAGCATCCATACTACATATGCGACCACGGACTGTACGACGTCGAAATTCATGCGAACCCTGGACTGCAAAATAAGTCGGTGTGACTATCCCGAGTTGCCATGCGCATGCACATGCGTGTGAATCCCTCGGGTCTTGCAGGTAAAAGCGGCTTATGGTTTTTCTCCCTCTTCTCTTTATTAGCCATGGATACATGCCGATAGTCGACTATATCGGTACGTGCGACGTGAAGAATACGACGCGACACGACGTACATACGTAGGTAAGGTATGTGTAGGTAAGCGGGTGATTACGACAGGCCGACGCAGGCCTCGGGATGAAACAGGCAGGATGGCTCATCGCCCTCAGAGGCTCAATTGACCAGGCTTGGTACAGTGTGGATGAGTTCATACAGTATCATCACCGATCTGCCTCGTGTCTTCCTGGGGATCAAGAACCCAGAACCCAGATCCCAGAACCGAGTTAGGTCCTGTCAAAAACAGCAGCCCCAAACACAAGCACCCATGGATCCATTCTCTTCATCGGATGTTGAGCCTCTCTGGACCCCTGCGGCATAGGCTTGGGCACAGCAACTGCAGTGGATTTCGGCCCTCTCTCCCTCCCTTCCCGCCGCTAAATAGCCTGTCAGTTGCTGGAGGTTTAGCGCCGGGGAACTATTTATCGTCTTCCGTTGCTGGGCTTCTCGGCCTCATTGTTTTTCTACATATTTATGTTTGCCATTTCGATTGCCGCGCCTCAATCCATCTCGGGGACTCTACCTTGCTATGCACCGTCAGTCTTTTACAGGCAGGTGATCTCGTCAACCTTTTACAACCATCTAATAATCAATTGTAACCCTCTGTATCCGTACCTGCTTCATTTAACCTTTGCACTGACAGCAGAACAATGTCCCCAGGAATCAAGGACAGGGATCTGCATTACTTCCCTGGCCTTTCAGTTCCTGGCACCTGGATGATGGATCGGGCTGGCATCTGGCTGGGTCTTGCAAACTGGCCGGCCTAACTGCCTTTGCATTTTCAGTGTCGCTTGGCATCAGAGCTACCTGGCTGTCGGTAAATGAACCGTCATTATTTTAGATGGTACGGAATACCTTCACACTGATATTGCTTGACTTGGATTGCAGTATCATCACGTATACTTTACCGAGGTGATATGGCACAAGATTTAACTCTTGGGTCATTTTACGATGAGTACTACTTAGCATTCGTCCTATACTCGGTGGGTAGCTAATGCTTGCGAATTGACTCGGCCTGTCCCTACTATTCTACTAATGAATGTAGTGGCTTGGAGCTTCTGACGAATAGAGGCTACTTATCGGCCAGTGAACTCAAAAGCAGCGACTCCGTGGATGATCCCTGTGTGAGACGGATCACGCACGCGGAGGTCCCCATCTATGGAGCATGGTCGGTCGGCTCACGGTTCACACGCAGACGCAGCGCTCGCATGCTCGGAAACATCAGGACCTAGCCTACGGAGTACTGTAGTACCGTACAGTAGTACAGTAGTTCGTTGGCCTGGCCCAGGGCCACGAGAGCCGATCGTATCCAAATTAAGGTGATATAACCTCGGAGAATACAACGGCTCCCTGTCAGGCTAAACGGGGAAGGGGGCCTTTTTCCTTCTCGTGGCTTGGACTTAGTACCTTAGTAGGCTGGCAGAGAAAGCATTGAGTGAATGTACAACATCCACTTGTTGGTGCTACTACGACACAGTAGCACAACATATGCTGGAGTCAAGCGATTATACCTATACCTCAGTTGTGTATTAGTGGTATGTTACGATGATATGCATAGATGCGCTGAGTATATGTCGTTCTTCGGCTTTGCTCCGTTCCTCCACTGCCGCTGTCCTCAAGAGTCAACCCCTAAGCGAATGAAAGCTGAGGCAGGCAAGGCGTCCACTGTCCACAGTGCCTTGCCTACAGGGAGATAGGTCGGGTGGTAGCCATGGACCTTAGTAGTACCTACCTAGGTAGGGTCTCACGATATCGGGTTTAGAATGCGACCTACTACCTAGTAGTCCTACGCGGAAGCGAGCGACCACTCCTCTGTCCTATTCCAACCAATTACGGCACTTGTGACATCTTCATGATCGACATCGACAACGTCCGACTGTTTCGTTTCAGGCCTACCCTACCTGGTAGCTTTCCAGCCGCGTTTTACGGTCAACACCAACCTCAGGATATTAAGTTAAGCAATCGTTATAGTTCAAGATTAGGAACTTCTCATAGAACAATCCCTACCAGTCAACATCTTGAGGTTACACCCACAACCCCTGTCAAGGTACAGTACATACTCACTCGCAAGGTGGTGGAATAACCATTGTTTCATAAACACGGAAGCGATGCAATACTACTAAACACTTGTCGTACCCAGAAACCGAGCTAATTTCTTCCCCCTACTCTAAGACCCCAAACGCCAACGCTAGAAGCCTGGATAACGAAATAACCCCGGCGCCAGCACCAACTGTAATATGCTAGCAAACGCCGGCTTGTAACGCGTGTAAACTTGGTTATCAAATGTTTGTTGCCCTCATTATACTTCTCGGTATCCCCTTTGTCGATCTATCTGATCGCGACCCGCAGTGGCCCCTCCTATTGTGTCGTCTTCGACATCGCTCGCGAAATAGCTATTATGGCGCTTCTTGCGCTTGACACCAAAAAAGTCGCCCAAGGTATCACTAACACTCCTTGACCTCCGTCGCGTTTGATCATTCTCGTCTGTAGGCTCCTCAGCCTCGTCCAATACAGCTGGGAGGTTTTCTACTGAAATGGGAACTGCTGAACGTGTGTGCAAGGCGTTGGGCCGGCTATTGTTATTGTCGACGTCAGCGTCCTCGTCATGTTCATTGAAGAACAGTCCGGCGCGAATGGTTGAACGTATGCGACGCATTGAGGATTGGCGCACACGTGGATCGTCAGAGGCGCGCAGAAAGGCGTCCTTGACAACAGCTGTGACTGTCGAAGAGAGGGGAGATGGGGATATGAAAGTCCTGGATCGGGTTCCGGAACCAGCTGGCCTCGTAGGACTAGCCAGCGCACGGGGAAGAAGTGACCCATCGCTAGCGAGAGGCTCTCTCAGCGGCGTCGTTGGCTGGGAAGCGAAAGCTGTTGAAACAGTAGCACCTGGTGCTGCAAGAACCGAATCGGTAGAGTATGTTCTAACGCCTCTTCCCGGCGGTGTTGATGGGCCTCCAAAATCGTCCCAGGGGAAACCAGAAGCCGATGTCTCCTGACCCGGAGACATTTGCGAGCTTAAAACCTTGGCTGATAGGAAGTTGTTATCATGTTGCGGCGTGGCGGCTGCGACTGATACTCTGTATGCATCGGAATAATTGAGAGATGATATATGACTAGACCTTCGTGATCGTGATTTCGAGGTGGGAAATCCCTGACCCTCTGGAATAGTTGACGTAGCGTTGCCATCGTGATCTGCGAGACCAATAGTGTCCTCAAAATCGCCATCTTCAGATAGAACCTCGTCATCGTCATGGCTCTGCTCACGACCACTAGTGATGAGGAAGACACCAAAAAAGGTAAGGAGACATCCGCCAACAAATTTGGTTGCTTGCTCGGCATTCGTTCGTTCAAAATCGCGGTAAAGAACGGCGCTGCCAATAATCACACATAGAGTAAACATGACGAACTGAATTGGAATAACCTGTGTGGAGTCGAACCGCTGTAAAGCCTTGTTGACGTAGCGTATCTGCATGACAGCCGTACCAAGAAGAATGACAATAAGAACATACGTAACAGGAGTTGCAAAAGCGCCCCACAGAGTAGATGATAGCATTGAAGAGACACCTTTGGTTGCAAGGGCAGTGTAGCCGCCTATTTCTTGGGTCAGTGATTGTCAGACACACTCCATCAAGTTACATACCGAACAAGCCGACAAGTCCCAAATCGATGAGAATGGTGTGTTTACCATATCTAGGGCTTGCCCACATGAGGCAGATTATAAGAGATATGGTCACGGCAAGGTAAATCTCAAAAGCCAATGTCGTGATGGCGTCCCATACGTCATGAGGGTTCAGCTTGGTCTCCTCCTGCTTCGCACTTAGAACAACAGTTACAACACCACCCACAGCAATAACGACCCCCCAAAAGTCGCGATGGCGGAACTTTTCATTAAACATGGCCGGCGCAATGATGCAGTTCGAGATCAAGGCCACAACGCCAAGCGGAGAGACGATTGAAGCTGGGGCAAATCCGTATGCGAGGAAGTTACCCATCTCACCAAGCGTGATGAGGACTTGGCCCAGCCACCAGTAGGGAGATTTGAGATACGAGGATGAGGTTTCATCGTCGGCATCCTGTTTGCTACCATTTCTCCCTGATGGCTCTGAATGTAAAGATCCGTTGAGAGGGTCGGTTTCGCAGCTCTCGTCGACGCCATTTTCCTCATTTATAACGGTCTCATGGCCATTGTGGCATACAGGCCCATTGCCGCCCCCCCCGATAGTACCGTATGAACCACCGTGGTCTCCGAGGTGGCTGTGTTTTAGAGCCTCCTTTGCTCTCCTTCGGTTCCTATTCCGTTGCTTATGAAGCCGAATATGGGCGTATCTTTGGACATTGAGCGCAAGGGCGATGAGTACATTGCCTACAATGGCAGTGACGATGCCAATAAGTGAAGACCATTCCTGTAGCTTATCACCGGGTTTGCCGGGATCGTCATGATGGGAAGAGCTGTTGGAGGAAGTTTGCGCCAATATCCCGACTACCATCAAAGGCCATGGCGGTTCGGCATTGGCCTGCCGCATCGTTGGGCACTGGCGGACTGGGAAACAAGATAGAAATATTGCGCAACAGTGTAGGAAGAAAGGTTGCGGCGGTTAATATAATTCGAGGGCGTCGGACGCCAGAAAGGCCGAAAATCGATTACCGGAGCGGAGGATATGATGGCCGAGCTTGCACGGATAAATCTGGATTGGCGTCGTGGAGGAATCGATAATATCGGTTGTCGCATGGGAGCAGCAAATCGTCATTACACAGCGGCGTGAAAAAGGACATGGCCAGCCGTCGCCGACGGAGGAGCAGATAAAACGGTGATAACGATTTCTAGGAGCGAGTCATCAGAAAAGAAAAAGAATGATGTCGCCCAAAAGAGGTGCCGTGGTAGAAGCGACAAAAGCGAGCTCCATTACAACCATCCATGTCATCTTGCAGGATAAGGCAGCAAGTGAGGTGTCAACCTACCTACAGAGTACAGTGGGGCAAATAGGCTAGAGCTCAGGGTCTTGGGGCGTCCTTACCAGCTTAGGTCATGATCACCTCATTGTCACATGGCTTCTCCATGTTGGAATCATAACGAATCTCGTAACTTTTCTGGCATTTTCTAAATGATCAGTTGCATCCATTGTATTTATTTAATCGAAATCAACCTTCCTTCTTCTATCGCAACCACTTTGAGTACTTGCAATAGGGAAACCGGCAATTGTACCAAACAGTTCTGAACTCTATCTAACTTGAATTGAACTGCCTTCAACTGCAACTGCAGCATATCCACCATGCTTGGCCCTTTAGATCTTGGCTTCAGTTGGCCAGCCGAAGAGGGCATGAATGCAGTCACCCAATCCTCTTATTCTCCCCTAGCTCTCCGCGATTTGCCCCAGCCTAGGCCAAACGACGCCCCATCCGACCTAGACACTTCCATATTTACATTTGAAGACGCTTTCGAGGACCTTCTTACTGTATCGCAAGGACAACCACTCCCTGATATCAAGTCACGATATGAGCAAAGAAAGCTTTTGCGATCCATGTTTCCAAATGGAGAGCCAGGATACTTCTGGTTACGACGGTTGAGGTCACAAGGCCTTGTGGAGGAATCGGGACCTGCCAAGTTATTAAAATCGGCTGCGAACCAAAATTGGGACCAATTCCACCAAGAACTCGATCGCAGTGCTCAAGCGGTCTGGCGCAATGTATTAAACGACGACAACGACGAAGAGGAGTCAGGAGGCACATTTGGCAACCATGAACAATATGACAGGAGCAAGCGAGGTAATACAGTGAGCAGCCACCAACGAAATGAGGAGAGATATCGCCACAACGAACATAATTCAGCTTCGTATGAGATGGACGAACTTCGCGATGAGCTTCACGGAAATCAGAATCGCCAACGACAAGCCAACGACTTTGACGACTTGTTCTCTGCTATTCAGTCGTCCTTTGCCAATGGACACTCAGCATGGGACTCTTTTATCAAGTTGATCAATGAGGATCGCCCCGCGCCTTCGAAGAGGGAACATCAACAATTACAGGAACCTGAAAGCGATGAGAAACAGGTAGTCTCCAAGGATGAATACGTGGATCGGTTCGGCTACCTACATACGAAGACACTGGTCAAGACGCTGGATGAAAACGGCGACGAGATTGGAAGTCACAGCCATTATACGGTTCGACCAGCTCAAAGGAACAGCGAAAATGCGCGGATTGGAGAACAAGACAAAGAAGGCCAAGAATCAGGGTTCAAGGCAACCGGAAACCTGGACATAAAGAAGGGCTGGTTTTGGAAATAAATTATCCTTCCATCCATATGATTTAACGAGACTGGGAAGTCGACTCTAGGTTTGATCTCAACTCAACGACTGTATGATATTGAAATGTAATGTTATGATGAGTTTGCAAGTTCTGGAAGGCTTCAGATTACCGTAAAATGAACAGCTGATATCTATTGCAACACATCCCCAGTAATGGAATGTCTAAACACTTTTAAGGACGTGAGGAGGTATTAGAATACGAGCACCTATTTTCCAGCCCGGCCCAAAGCCTTCTTCTTCCGCATGACTCTTGACCGTTGGATCATCCTGTGCTTCAAATCCTTGTCCTCCTGTGAGTCGGTCTTTTGACCAGCCTCTTTCTCAACCGGCTTGCTGTCTACCTTCTTGACAGCTGTATCACCCTTACGACCCCTATCACCCTTGCTGCCTCTGTCACCTCTGTCACCTCTGTCGCCCTTACCGCCCCTGCCTCCCCTATCGCCTTTGCCACCCCTGTCAGCTCTGTCACCTTGGCGAGCACGCTTCTTGTCGTCCTTCGTATATTGGGCATTTGTCTTGAACTGGCCCTCAGTCTTTGCACCCTTGTTGTGCTCTGGATTCAGCTGCCGAGACCTCTCCTCATTGGCACGTCGTCGCTGGATGACCTGAGCGTTCTCGATAGCGAACTCAGCAATCAGCCTCTGCTTCTTGCCAACTTCATTCTCGAGCTGATGAGCGTTGAGGTATCGAAGTCCCATTAGTGCCCAATGATGCGAAGTGTACTCGATGAAACCATAGCCACGACTCTTACCGCCGTCCTTCTCTGACATCTTCTGTCCTTGACCACTTTCGAAGACAATCTTTGCTTGACGAATGATACCCTTGCCCTTGGCCTTGCGTTCATGCTCCTTCTCCTTGGCGTCCTTGCCATCTCGTGCATTCTCCTCCTTCGATAGCGGTTGTCGGCGGCCGGCTCTGACATCCCTGGCAAACTCGACAACAGCCTTTCGTCCAAGTTCCTTGAGATCCTTTGAGTCCATGTTGCGGGGGATGTTACGTAAGGCCAATCGAGTCAGACTCAAGTGCAGACTCGGGTTACCCTGGACAAGCTTCTTGCGCTGAGCTGCACTGGCTTCCCGCAGCTGCATCTCTGGAGCTGTAAGGAGGTTGAAGAGAGGTGAGCTTCGGTCGATGACACCCTCGCTCAACAGGAAAAGCTTCCGCTTGTCCTTTTCGTTGCGCTTAGCGAGGGAGTTGTCGGCAAGGTTGGTGGCTTCTTGCTTGTTCACCGCCTGTGCAATCTGGAGTAGACGTCCATCGAGCGTATACTTTCCATCAGGATCAGCACTCTCGTCTTGGAGGATCGAAGTCTTGGCACCGCTGACAGCCACAGGTGCTTGCGGGCGAGGAGCGTTCTTGATACAGCTCTTGGCTTCGTCGGCATCGAAGAAGCAAACGAATCCGGTACCGGCAGGTTTTTCAGTAACCTTGTCCATGACCACTCGGGCATATCGAATTTTACCGAAGTGACCGAAAAAGTCCTTAAGCTGTTCGTCCGTAGTAGTGAACGGCAGATTGCGAATGAAGACAGTCGACGTATTGTCTGTCATCCTTTTGGGGGCCAGGACTTGTAGCTCTTTCTCAATCTCCTCGTCGTCCTCGTCTTCGTTGTCCTCATCTTCGTTCTCATCGTCCTCATCCTCGAGATTCTCCATATGGTTCTTGAAAAAGTTCTTCAGATCGGCGTCCAACTGATCGTCTCGATTAACCTCGGCACCGCCCTCCTTGTCCTCTTCGTCATCATCCTCATCCTCATCCTCGCTTCCATCTGAAGATGTCAGGTCGTCCTCATCTTCCTCCTCGTCTTTCTTTGCTTGTTCTTTCTTGGCCTTTGTATTCTTCTCCTCCTCTGGCTGCTGCTTATCCCAAGTATCCTTATCAACAGCCCAATCGACAGCCAGAGTTCTTCCGTCGATTTCCTTGCCGTTGATGGCTTCCAGTGCGCGTTCGGCGTTCGGCCTTCCACGGAGGGTAACAAAACCAAAGCCCTTGAGCTTACCCTTGTCTTGGGGAAGATCGGCAAATTTAACCTTTCCAAAGCTTCGGAAGAGATGGTTCAGTTGTTCCGAAGTTTTGATACTCCAAGGCAAATTGCGCACAATCAGCTTGTTGGGCCTTTGGATTTCCTCCTTGCGAGCCTTATGGGCAGGGATCTCGCCAGTAGTATTGTTTCTTTGTCTTGGCTCAGCAACATCGATGCGGATTCGTCGTCCGTTCCAGTCTTGGTTGTTCAAAGACTTCTTAGCCTCAGCAGCGTCCTCTGCGTCGGCGAGCGTTACGAAACCGTAACCTCTCGATTCCTTGGTTTTTTGATCGACAACAACGGTAGCGTGCTTGACCGGGTAATGCTGAGAGAAGAAGTCGGTCAGGCTTTCACTTGTGGCGCCAGGAGGCAGCGAGCGAACAAAGAGCGAACGTCGGTCCTCGGTTCGGGCTCTCTTTGCGGTTTTCGATTTCACATCGCCATTGTCGCGGTCTTCGAAGGAAGCGGGATCGAGCGCCTCGGCTTCGGTGTGGGAGCGCTTACGGTCGTTCTTTGCTTCACCCATTTTGCTGTACGTACAGTAGAGAGTGTGCAATTTTAGGGACAATGTGTAGATCCTGCTACAGACAATTGCGACCAAAGGAAAAAAAAAATTAGATAAGGCCTTATCGATTAACTTAGCTCCTTCTCGTTTGGCTAAGATAGGCCAGGCTTTCCCTCCACGGTGCGCCACTTCAGCCCCGCCGCTCAACTTGGGACTAAGCCGTAAAAGGAGCGTTGGTAAACAAACAATGCGCAACCTCCTTTAGTGAGACTATCAGTCAACACTGTTTCTTCCTTCACTACGACTGTTGATGGACCATAATAACACAACAAGATGCCCGCACGAACTACCGCCCGTTCGAGCAGAACTACTGCTGCGAAATCATCGCCAGCTGTCGAAGTAGCAGACACCCCCGATAATGCTTTACGGAGCAAAGTTTGTGCCATCTTTCGGGATGCACAGAGAACAACAGCAACACACCGAAAGCTTGTTGTGAACCTACGAAAGATCCAAGAATCTTGCGCTTATGAGCCGACGAACCCCGATGAATCCCAAGCCAACGAGTTTGATGAAGATGCCTTCAATCACGAATTTATACGCTGCGTGAGCAAGATAATGCCAATCAAGAAATCGGAGAACGTGGGGGAGAAGTCAATCCGCTTTACAGGCCTGTTCCTACAGCATGCGAGTGCGAAGGACAATGAGCTCTTGGGAGAGATTGATCAAGAGGCAAGCGTCATGCCAGAGACTCCTAGCACCCGCCTTACCTCGCAACTTCTTGAGGCCACTCTACCTCTGCAGACCGCCAAGGACAAGGTTGTCCGTTTCAGGTCAACTCAGCTCATCTCCCACATCATCAACTCGCTCGATGCGATAGACGATGATCTTTTCCAGAAACTACGTCATGGATTGCTTAAGAGGATTCGAGACAAGGAGGCTATGGTCCGCTCTCAGGCGGTGCTGGGTCTTGGCCGCCTTGCAGGAAATCAGACAGAAGGCTGCACCAACTCGGATGATAGCGACGACAATGATACTGGGCTGCTTGAAAAGCTGTTGGAAGTCCTTCAGAATGACCCTAACGCTGACGTGCGAAGGTCACTCCTGGTCAACCTCCCTATCTTGCCGGAGACATTGTCAGTCCTTCTTGAGCGCGCACGAGATCAGGATGCAGCAACGCGTAGGGCCGTCTATTCCCGGTTACTTCCCGCTCTAGGTGATTTCCGTCACTTGTCTGTCAAGATGCGAGAGAAGCTTCTCCGATGGGGTATTCGCGACAGGGACGAGAACGTTCGAAAAGCTGCAAGCAGACTATTCCGCGAGCGGTGGATCGAGGATTGCGCTGGTGCACCGCCCCAAGAGGACGGTGTGCCTGCAGAGCCAGCGCCTCCCAACTTTGACGGCCTTTTTGAGTTGCTGGAGCGAATCGATGTGGTCAACACTGGAGTTGAGAACGGTGTTGCCCTGGAGGCAATGAAAGGTTTCTGGGAGGGACGTCCAGATTACCGTGAAACGGTAGAGTTCGATGATAACTTCTGGGAGACCCTGTCTGCCGAGTCCGTCTTCATGGCAAGGAGCTTCAACGAGTTCTGTCGTCTCGAGAGCGACGGCAAATATCTGAACCTCTTAGAAGAGAAACTGCCTGAGGTCACTAAGCTGGCTTTCTACTTAGAACGATACCTTCACGTTCTGATTACGGCTGTTAAGAGAGTAGCTGAGGCAGACGAAGAGGACGAGGAGGAAGACACTGTAGAGCAGGAGTTTATTGTTGAGCAAATGCTCCAAATCGCCTTGACTCTCGACTATTCCGACGAAGTAGGACGACGCAAGATGTTTACCTTGCTTCGGCAAGCCATTTCAATCCCCGATCTGCCAGACGAAGTCACCAAACTTGCCGTCGAAGCTCTCCAAGGCATATGTTCTCCGGATGCTGCCGGGGAGCGAGAGTTCATTAGCATTGTTCTCGAGTCTGTGGCAGATGTCCACGACACGATTATTGATGACCCTCCGGCAGACGAGGCCGAAGACAGCTTCCATTCAGCCAGATCAGAGGTCAGCGGCCAGAGCACGCCAACTAAGGGAAGTAGGCGAGGCGGTACCCCTGAATTGAGCGAGGAAGAAGTGCGCGATAAGGCTGTTAAGGAGATTGTTGTTAACATGAAGTGTTTGCATATCGTTCAATGCATGCTCACTCATGTTTCGAGCAACCTTCAGGACAATACCGATCTTGTGGCAATGCTTAACAATCTTGTCGTCCCAGCAGTCCGCAGTCATGAGGCACCCGTCCGTGAACGAGGCCTACTATGCCTTGGTCTTTGCGCTCTTTTGGATCGCTCGCTTGCCGAGGAGAACATGAGTTTATTCATGCACTTTTTCAGCAAGGGTCACAGCGCACTTCAGATCACAGCCCTGCACATTCTAACAGATATCCTCAATGTGCACGGCGCGCAGCTCCTTTCGTCCACGCCTGGGCTGTTGAAGGTCTATGTCAAGGCCGTCAAGGGTGGCGCCAAAGCACCTGAAGTTCAAGCTGTCGCTACTGTCGCAGCTTCAAAACTCTTGCTAGGCCGTGTTGTCAGTGAAGAAGCTGCATGCCAGGACCTCCTCAAATCACTCGTTGTCGCCTACTTTGACCCCTCGTCCGCATCCAATCAAACTGTCCGACAGGCGCTGAACTATTTTCTGCCTGTATTTTGCTTTTCTCGACCAGAAAACCAAGATCTTATGCGGTCCATCGCACTTGACGCAATTCACTCCTTGTTCAATCTTCGCGAAAGTTTGGAGGACGACGACGTGGATGTTGGAGAAGACATGGTCAGCATGACTGCCATCGGAGCTTGCCTCGTGGACTGGACCGATCCACGAAAGTGTTATAGCCCCACGAGTCTACTGGATACCGACAAGAAGCTTGTCAATGGAGATGTGCATTTAGAGTTTGCTATGGATATCATAGACAAGTTGTCAGGCAATATTACAAGTAAGTTGACATATTGGTCTGAAAAAAGGCAAATGCTAATCGATCTGCAGAGGAGGAAAAGAAGCTTATCGCCACGCTTCTTGGAAAGCTTCACGTTTCTCCTGGATCAAGCGAGGAGAAGCTTCGCGAGGCCTATAACGAGGTCAGCGTCGCTGTTCAGGACGGCCTGCTATCTGATACTACTAGCCGTAACGCGCTCTACAAGATTCATGTTAGCTTGGGCAAGATTGTGAACGCTCTTGATGAGCAACAACCAGCCTACCGACGTAGCAGCAGGAGCATGTCCACGACTCTAGATCAGCAATCACCCGAGGAAGACAGAACAACGACTACAGAGGAGCCAAGCATCAAGGAGGAAGATGAAGAGAGCGATGACACCGTAATTGCCAAGGATGATAGAGAATCACTGGTAGACGACCTCTTATCTGATGAGGACGTAGAGATGTCGGGGGTCTAAAGTATAAAGAAATGATGAAGTAACGATCTAGGGCTTAAACGATTTGGTATATCATGATATTTGGGCGGATACCTGGTGGGCTCAAGGGGAAGGTTCTTTGGGGTTGGCGGTGTATTTCTGGTTTACTATTTGCTCTGATTATGGCGTGTCTGTCTCATTGACACATTGGCAGGGCCAGCGAGTCCTTGTCTAGCTCTCAAGTATCTATACATAAAGATACCCATCATCTGTATCATTCACATTCATGCTAGTTGAGTGTCCCCAACCAGAACAGCATGCCCCCAAAACCAATGTTGATCAGCAAATGTTGTCCGAGACTCCAAGCCATACAGTAAAGATACTTAGGCGAGAAGACGGTCCAGATAAAAAGATGTGTCCTCAAGGAGGTACAAGCTGCCATAACTAACGTAACTGCAGCAGAGACAAAGAGAGTCTGCAAGGTAATATATTGCCAAAAGGCATTACGTTGACCCTCATGATACTTGCGCAGCAGGAGGATATTAGCAGCAGAGGTCCAGAAAATCGGACCAGCCCAGTTGCTAACAAGGGTGAGGAAGCCCACGGCAAAGAAGTTAAAGCCGCCAATGCCATTGTACGCACTGGAAAGGTCGACGGAGGAGATGGCGTTCGAGCCGCCAAAAGCGAAGAATGTTGTGTACTGAAGAAGAATGGCTGTGATGGCAATTCCGGTCACAGAGAGGTCAGTGGCCTGGAGTGAATGGAAGAGAATATCGGAGAGGAAGAAGAGGGGAATGTTGGTAGCACGAGATTGGGTCATGCCAAAGATGGTGTAGAGATGGTGAAAGAGGTATGCTATTTCGAGGTTAGTGATCGCCATAAGATGTACTGCAAATGAGGAGTTACCTGACTGCCGCTGGCCGTTTCGGCCGCCAGTGAATGAGCGATAGATGCCATAACCGAATAAGACACCGAGGAGGATGAAGGCTGTTCGAGCCCTCCAGAGCAGTGACTGTCCTACGAATAGGTCGTTCAAGGTTCTGGCGAAGCCAACGACTAGCTCTGGGGCATCCTCGCTGGTAAAGTCAAGTTTGAAGCTATAAGCAGACATGAGCAGAACCGAAGTGATACTAGTACTAGCCATTGAGGGGAGGCTCTTTAGACACGCGAGAAAGCGGAAGGACATGATCATATACCCAAGGGTAAGAATGCTCCAGAGGAGTTGAGGGTGTGTGACGATAAAGCTTTTGACAATGTCTGGGCTTCCTGCAAACTTTTGGCCAGTTTGGTTCCAGCCTCTGGTCAGTCTCAATACTACAAGAGCAACAAAGACCCAAGCAATGTCCGCCAGACTATTTCTTCTATGACTCAGTCAGTATAATGCATGGGCCATCGACGACATGGATAACGGTTACGCACCTGCGGACATGGAGTACACCCTGGATCACAAGCCAGATGCTCGAGGCCCAGTACCAAAAGTGCTGTTCCTCCTCGACATAGCTACTTGCGTACATCATGACGCCGTAGGATAGAGTAAGGAGAGCGAACGGCAGAACTTGTCCGTCCCAGTGAGCCCCTAGACGTACAAGGGCAATCGCACTCGCAATGGCAGCAGCAGCAGCAACTCCCTGGCCGATGAACAGTTTGGGCATGTCGTAGTTCGAAGCCATACTGCTCATCAAATCTTGTGCGCGACGGAGCCACTGTGACATATCATCAAGCCATTGTTGATCCAATTTGTCGCCAGCTGCGAGGACGTGGGCCTCCTTGTTTATTCTTTGCCATTGACAGGCCAATTCGTTGATTTCAGTTTGCTCCAAAGCACATGGGTCAGTACCACTCTGTGCGTCGAATAACTCATTGCCGAAAGCAGCAGTGACAATGTTAAGAATTTGGCGAGCATTGCGAACCAGAATCTGGATCTGATCGCTGGTTTTGTGCCAGAATGGGAGGAAATCCGGAATGAAAGCCCCCAAATTGTTCTTGGACACTGGGAAGCCCAAGAGGGCAGCAATTGTTGGTGCCAAGTCGGATTGCTCAACCATAGAGTAGTAGTCGAACTCATCCTTTGGCTGAGCTGGCGCGGGAAGTTTTGAGGCGATTGTCTTTAGTTTTGGGGACATAAAAACCAAGGCGGGCGATGTTTCACCAGGCGAAGAAGCGCCATGGTTTCCAGCATCATTCATGCCATGATCACCGCAGAGAACGAGCAATGTCGAACCCAAATGAGGCTTGGACTCGATGGCTTCGAACAGAGTTTGGACGATACTATCCATTTCACGCTGCTTAGGAACCATGTTTGAGCTTCATGGTGTCAGCTTTCACACATCTACCAAGGGTTCTATGGGGAATACAAACCTTTTGGGCCCAGCCTTGTGCCCAATATGATCTAAGCCAAGGTAATGAAGAACCATGAGACCCCAGTCGCTATTCTCCAACTCAGGAGCAACGTTCCTGGTAACATTATTGTCTACCTCGGTGAAATCCTAAACCAGAAGTTAGCTATGGTGGATGAGTAAACAAATTGTGAGTAACAAACCGCTACAAAGAAACTAGAAGTTCCATCCTCGCGATCAAAGGTGTTGGGAAACAGCTTCAGCCAGGTGTCATCGCCATACATGAGAAGCTTCCCCATCTCCTTTGCTTTGATCTGGGCTAACCAAGTGTCCTGAGAAGCGAGGGTCGACGAAGTGTCCGCTTCATCAAAGTTCAATATCAGATCAACAAAGGAAGGAATTGAGCCAGTAGTCATAGACTTTATTCTCGGCATAGTAACCGTGGGTGACCGGGCGTTGGCCGTGAAGGGCATTGCGCTGCCATCTCGGATGAGGCTAGGATTATGTGAGTACAGATGCCAACAGAAGGGGATTTGATTGGCTTGCAATACTTTTGAACATATTCAAAACCCGAGAGGTCCGAGTACACAAAATCGCTATGAGTAGGGGGTCAATTGAGTGTTTAAAGTGAGATAATCCGGGATGGATCGAGGCTATACCTTCTCAAGGCATCAACAACCATGAAAATTAAACGATCGAATGGCGCATCGGGAGGCGACCCAAAGTCGAGAGGTTCGAACTCTGCAAGTCCAGGCAAAAATGGTTTATAAGGGAAAAATCCCAGTGCGAAGACGACAATTGAGGCGGGAATTAGAAGATTGGCTGCGACAAGCAGTAGAGTACGCAACAGCGAGCCGTTATTAGAGGACACCATTATTACAGCCAATTCTAAGATAAAAGATAAACAAAGGAGTGACTGAGACGAGCTCTGAAGAGAGAAAGGCTTGAGCAGATAGGAATTGATTATTGATGCGCCATGGATAATAATTAATGAAATGGAGTCAGCCGCAAAAGAGATGGACGTGTCGACATGAGCGCGGTTCGACCATCCATGTTAAGGTAGGTAGCTGCTAACTACTCCGTATTCCTAGTCTGATAGCCTTGCCAAGACAAACCAAAGAGGTGATGGTCACAATAAGAAGTATGATTGGCTAGATCAGTTGGTATTAAATGTTGAGCCACACAAGGCTGAGGGCCAAGTCAAGATGCAAATTTCGGGTATCACAGATTCAGATTGACTTGGATTTTGCTGCTAAACGCCGACGATAAAGAACCAGAACCATAACCAGTCTAAACAATTTACTCCAGTTTAAGCGCTCTTCTTCTTGCCCTTTGATCGAGTACCGTAAGGCTTGAAAACGATCTTGGACGACTTTTGCTTGCGCTTGTCGGGTCGCTTCTTCTCAATTCGTCCACTTGAAGGCTTCTTCACTGAGTCCACATCCATTGCTAGATACATATGTTAGTGACTATGGCCGAGATGTGCATCTTCAGCTGAACTTACTTGTCTCCTCAACCTCCTGGGCGCTTTCATTGGCATCGTCTTTGATTTCCTCATCTTGAGCTGAGTCTATATTAGAATCGTTGCCTCAAGAATTTTAATTTTTTCTGATCTCACTCACTGTTCATGTTCACATCTGAGGATTCAGGCTTGGGCTGCTTGGCCACCTCAAGGAGTTTGGCGGAGAGACGCTCATTTCGGGCAGCCTCTGCGGGTCCGAAAACGTTCTTTACAAGGCGCCTGTTGTTGACCTTTCTGGTGCTTGCTCGTGCGCTCTTTGCCATTTTGTCGATATATGGTTGTAGATGGATAATAGGAAGAAAGTCTTTCTCAGAGCCAGTCTTTGCTACTGAGAAAAAAAAAGTTGGGACGGGACGGGATGCGCGCGAGGGGCGGAAGGTGTGGCGGTGCGTGGCTAAGCTACCTCCACTGAGACAGCTGGAACTTTAGGTGCTTTTACTCCGTACCCAGGTACTAGGAGGTAGGTAGGCCCCTGACCTGCATGTGCCAGTGACCACCGCCTTCTATTTTCAGGGCTAAGCCAAGTTATGGTCTGCCCAGGCAAACATGACATAGGGTAGCGTGAGAAGGCGACGACAACCTTTTAACGTTAGAGCACGCGTGGTGGTAGAGGAAGTTGAATATTTACCTACGTTAGTACTTAGGCATTCTTGTGTCTATCGCGGGACAGTGATAACTCTACCTATCGTCTGGTTACGCGCCTTCTCTTTCGCTTGTGGTGCAACTGGCTATAGTTCTCTTTTCTTTCCACTCCATCTTCCGTCACTCGCCCACGGAGTCTCTTTCCAACACTGGCTGCACTTTGCCTGCGCATCTGCCTTGGATGTAGTTGCGCGACCACTACAAATTCACTCTTCGCGCCTGAACCTGGAACCTGGCTGCACCTGCCTCAACACTGCTCATAACTGTGCTCCGGATCAACACCGACTCCGATAACAATACCGATACCGACAAGCTCCGATCTTGAATTACGAACACCGATCGATAAGCGGCAGGTGACACCCTCAATATGGCTTCCTCGACCTATGGGTCGGCTTCGGCCGCAAATCCATCCTCTACCCAAGGAACTGGAAATTTGAGATCCGAAGCTGGCGCGCTTGTGCGACAAGTAAACCGTCTGTTGAACCGCCAACTCTCGTCCGTATGCCAGATCAACGGCGTTAAGAGCACTGGAATCAAGGCCGAGTTACAGGGGCGCATACACAACCGTAAGTTTACGGTCAATTTATACACGGTTTCGTTCTCGCTAGCTCCTATACCTCGCGATAGGGGGTTGTACACGCTCCCCCGTTTCTTTCACTCTGATTCACTCTCTCAAACTGCTTGCACTGTAGCTTACCATGACCGCTTCATCGTTTAGTCATCCAAGGAGCCGTCAACGCCAACGATCTCGTGCGCCTGCGGCAAATTCACCAGAGCGTCCAGAATACTATTTCCAACTCTCAAAGCGGATCTTCACCTTCTCGATCGAGTCTCCCACTATCGCATGGTCATGGTCCGTCGACGCCATTTGGTCTATCCAGCATGTCATTCCCGAGTACACACGGCAGCCTGTCTAATGGCCAGCGGTCCAGCACTGGTTTCGGGGGGTCACAATCATTGGTCATCTCCTTCAAACCGAGCCCGTTTTACCAGATCGAGGCGCAAGCTGGCGATGTGAAGGCTTGCGATGGTAAGTCCTGTGCCTATGTTCTTCCTCTGCCTGTGCGGATTTGTATACTAACATCACTGTCAAGTTATGCAATCACATCGTAACACAGTGACTTATCCCATAAGACTCGAAGACCATCCCGCATTACAGAAGTGCGTTAATGACACTTCATATCGTGTGATGGTGTTTTGCGCTGGAGATTGTCTAGGTACGCAAGAGATTGCATTTCCTCATCAGTCAGAGCTTAAGGTCAATGGTGGTGAGATCAAGGCCAATTTGCGTGGTTTGAAGAACAAACCTGGCTCTACGAGACCGGTTGACATCACTAAAGCGCTTCGGCTTCGTCCGAAATATACCAACAACGTTGATTTTACATATGCGTTGACTTCCAAGGCAGGTCCCAGTCAAGTCAGGATTCCCCGTCAATCTTGGCGCATGCTTCTCATAATCAAATCTAACACGTCATAGAAATTCTATCTCGTAGTCAACATTTGCAAGACAACGTCAGTCGAAGACCTCGTGGATCGCATTGCTAATGGGAAGAGGATATCGATCGAATCCGTGAAGCAAGAACGTAAGTACTGCTCATACAACGATCAGGGACAACACCTCTAACATGGTACAGTAAATGCCAAAGCACAGGATCCCGATGTGGTTGCTACTTCTCAAGTGCTCTCTCTCAAGTGTCCGTTGTCGTACATGCGCCTGTCTCTCCCATGTCGCGGTCTTAGTTGCACACATTTGCAATGCTTTGATGCTACGTCCTATCTTCAACTCCAAGAGCAGGGCCCGCAGTGGCAGTGCCCCATATGTTACAAGTCCGCGACTTTTGAACAATTGGCTGTCGATGCGTAAGTCTCAAACATACATCAGGTTAATGACGCTCCTGCTAACCCTGTATAGGTATGTTAAAGACATCCTGACAAGGACATCGAAAAGCCAAGAAACCGTTACTATCGAACCCAATGGTGAATGGCACCTCAAGAATTCCGATGATAGTAATCAAGGGCAGACAAACGGCAACGCGTCTTATCGCGATAAGTACGAAGATGACGAAGATGATGACTTGGTGATATCAGAGGTCAACCCTGTCAGTGCTCGCCGTATAGAGACGCCCAAGAATGCCACACCAAGCATCAGTACGCCTATCACAGCAGGTCGTGATAGCTCTTCGGCGGGACCCAGGGGCATAGCATCTACCAGTTCCAAACGCCCAATGGCCGCTATCATCGACTTGACACTCTCTGATGATGACGATGATGATCCGCCTCCACCTCCCAAAAGGCAAAACACCTCAACGAACGGGTACACCATGTCCAGTACATCCCCGATCTCGTCAAACGGAGTTGGGTATCTGTAGGATGATGCCCGTCCTCGAGGACGAAAGAAACAAAAGGGACGGAGGCGCAAGACTTCATAACGCGAACGTTACAGCACATTACAAGAGGTAGTTTATTAGACTGCTTAGTATTGGGGGTGTTGGTTGATAATTTCTCTTTTTTTTGGCATGTACGATCTGGCGTTGGAGGAGACGGAAAAAGATTCCCCTGTTACCAAAGGTTGCGGTGACTCGCATTACTAGCATTGCTATCACGGTTGTTTTCGCGAGGTGTAAGGGAGTAAACAAAACGAAGAGGGATTAATCTTTATGGGGACAATTTTACTTCCGCTGAGAAGGGTGCGGCATGAGGGGATCGGCCTCTATCGCATCAAGGGGCACATAGAACAGGATAGGCAGCATATTTCACTCCCTTCTCACGTCAGAACGAAGACGGCATGATAAAATATGCCTTTATTCATCATGTTCACACCGGGAAACTTAGGCGTCAAAAAAGCAGATAATATTTTTTAATTCATGTTGCGTGGGTTGGCTTTGCGAAATATCATCTCAAGCACGCCTTCTATCTCATCCTCAAAACATCAAAATCTGACCCCAGTTTTAAACTATATTCCTATTCCATCATGACACCCAGTAGACTCCAAAAATTGCACATTCCGTTTTTATTCCTTTATCCAATTACGCTCCAATATCCTTGCGCTTGCTAGGCACCGCGGTCTCGGCTTTCCACGAGTCGACATTGTGGATCAAGCAAGCTTCGCCTTGGTCACGGCGAGTGAGACGTCCGATGCGGTACACCTTCTCACCAGCATCGGTAAGAGCCTGTGCAACTGTGTCGGCCTTGGCGGCATCGACGGCAATGACCATGCCGACACCAGAGTTGAAGGTGCGGCACATCTCGATGGGCTCAACGTTACCAGCATCACGGAGCCACTTGAAGACAGGAGGGATCTCCCATGAGCCGAACTCAATCTCGGCAGCGAGTGAGTCGGGAATCATGCGAGGCACGTTCTCGACGAGACCACCGCCAGTTATGTGAGCAAGACCCTTGACGTGGGGGAGAACAGGGAGGAGAGACTTGACGTAGATTCGGGTAGGGGTGAGGAGAGACTCGCCAACGGTGGTTGACTGGTCCCAAGGAGCAGGGTCAGTGTAGCTGAGACCAGCACGAGACACAATGTGGCGAGCGAGGGAGAAACCGTTAGAGTGCACACCAACTGAACCTAGACCGAGGAGAACATCGTCCTGGGCCATGTCGTCCTTTCGAGGGAGCTTGGCATCAGCAGTGACAGTGCCGACAGCGCAGCCAGCAGCATCGTAGTCATCCTTCTGGTACATGCCGGGCATCTCGGCGGTCTCGCCACCAACAAGGGCACAGCCAGCTTGACGGCAGCCATCAGCAACGCCCTGGACGAAATCAGCAGCCGTGGAGAGATCCAGCTTGCTGCAACCATAGTAGTCAAGAAACATGACAGGAGTAGCACCCTGGACGACAAGATCATTGACGTTCATCGCAACCAGATCAATACCAACGGTGTCGTGCTTCTTCATCTCCTGCGCAATCATGAGCTTGGTGCCAACACCGTCGATAGCGCCAACGATGATGGGAGCCTGGGGGTAGCCAGCCTGGGAGAGGTCAACCTCACCACCGAAGCCGCCAATCTCAGCATCAGCACCAGGTCGCTTGGTGCTGGCAACAGCCTTCTTGATCTTCTCGACAAAGTCGTTACCGGCTTGGATGTCAACTCCGGCCTGGGCATAAGTCATGGAAGCCTGAGCGGTAGAGCGGAACGCTCGGTGGGCAATATCCTTGCGATAGAACGCGCCCTCGAATTCAATAGCCTTGTTGTCCAGAGCGGCATAAGCAGCATCAACAGCGGCTCGGAGAGAATCACCAACAGCGTTGATAGCAATAACACGACCACCAGATGTCTTAAGGCCAGTGCTGTCGAGTGTGGTACCAGCGTGGAAGATGGTGCAACCGGGAGGCGGTGTCTGAACAGACATGGCCTTGCCCTTGGGGTAAGAGCCGGGGTAACCACCAGAAGCAAGGACAACCGTGGCGCTGAATTTGTTCTCAACGGTCAACTTGCAGTTGTCAAGGTAGCCATTGGCGCAAGCGAGCATGATATCGGCCAAATCGGTATCAGCAGAGAGAAGAGGGAGGACAGTCTGTGTCTCGGGGTCGCCGAATCGGACGTTGTACTCGAGAACCTTGGGGCCCTTGCTGGTGATCATGAGACCAGTGAAGAGAACACCACGGAAAGGCTGCTGCTCTCGTCGCATACCGGAAATAGTGGGCTCGAGAATCTCGCGGTCGATGAGCTCCGTGAGCTCCTTGGTCGCAATGTTTGTAGGTGCGTAGCAGCCCATGCCACCAGTGTTAGGGCCTAAGTCTCCGTCGAAGATGCGCTTGTGGTCCTGGGCAAGGGGAAGGGATCTAATAGTGTATCCGTCGCAGAAGGTAAGAACACTGAGCTCATCACCAATGAGAAGCTCCTCGATGACAACCTCATCTCCAGCGTCGCCAAACTCCTTGTCAACCATGATCTGCTTCAGAGCAGCCTTGGCCTCCTCCTTGGTCTGGGGAAGGATAACACCCTTGCCAGCAGCGAGACCAGTGGCCTTGATAACAACGTCATGGTCGACATTATCGACGTAGGCAACAGCCTTGTTGTAGTCGGAAAAGTTCTCGTAAGCGGCTGTGGGAACGTTGTACTTCTTCATGAAATCCTTGGAGTAGGTCTTGCTGCCCTCAAGTCGTGCAGCCTCCTTGGAGGGGCCGAAGCAGGGAATGCCAGCCTTTCGGAACCATTCCTCGACTCCGTCGACAAGAGGAGCCTCAGGACCAGGAACAACCAGGTTCACGCCATTCTCTTGAGAGAACTTAACAAGGCTGGCGAAGTCCTCGGCCTTGACTGAGGTGATATTGGACGTCTTGGGGCATCCAGCAGTACCTCCGTTACCGGGGACAGCAAAGATTTGCTCAACTCGGGAAGATTGACTAAGCTTCCAAGCCAGAGCGTGCTCACGGCCGCCGTTGCCGATGAGCAAGATTCGAAGGTCTGCCATGTCCGTTTGTGAAAATATGCGAGAGAAAAAGGAATCGAATGAATGCGATTCCGAGTTCGGCGGAGGAATCGGTCCAGTTAGGTCTCGACAAAAGGGCAAGTACTGCTGTGAGTAATCAATGTTAGAGATGTGTGCATATGTATTTGATGTGATACTTACTTCAATTGGTTCACCCTTGAGAGAAACCAGCTCTTGGAAGAGACAGAATGTTGGTGGTGGGCTGGAACTAACTCTGTACCTAGACTGACCATTGAAACTTTTTTTTTACTTTTCTCTGCCCCTCCAAGAAAAACAAACCCCGCGTTGTACTACGTACAAAGAGGGTCCCCAGCCTTATCAGTTATCGTTATCAGTGATCTGCTGACTCATTCACAAGAAGCTCCCTCTGAACCTCTGGGGCCGTCTGGGGAGAGCTCAGGAAGCATATCCCTTAGAGCTTGGCTAAATCAACATCGTCTGCTACCAACTACTTCAGAAACTGCAAAGCCTTCATTCTCGCAAACTGTTGTTCTCGTATTACGCGCACTTCTCTCCCATATCTTGACCTCTCAATTAATAACAGGAATCCTACAACTCGCCCATCATGTCTTTCGAGCCCGTCATGCCTCCCTATAACTCGAGCGATCCATCCGCGAACTTCCTCAGCTCCTCCTGTCTTGACTTTCTCCTCATCGAACTCGTTCCTATGGCCTACCGCGTCACTCACGAGAGGGATGCTGTCGCGTCAGACTCAAATAGCACACCTACCGATGTTGCCTCTACCAGCCACGCAGTCAGCTCCAACGCTGCTGGCATAATGGCCGGCACGGCGACACGGAAGGATGAGGAGGAAGATATGGATGCGGTGCATTATCGACTTGAGATGCTGGGCTACAGAGTTGGACAGGGTCTTGTAGAGAGGTGCGTATCAGTCTTTCGAGATACATTGCGCCTGATGACTTATACTACAACAGATTCTCGAGAGACCGGCCACGATTCAACGATACACTCGACGTCATTAAGTTCCTGTGCAAAGATCTCTGGACATTGGTGTTTGGCAAGAATATTGACAACCTTAAGACAAACCATAGAGTACATCTCCTGGCACCAACGGTTCGTGGAGTATTGCGCTAATGTTAATCCAGGGAGTATATGTATTGACCGATAACGTCTTCCGACCCTTCTCTCGCATGAGCACAGAAGCTGGGGGCCAAGCTATTGTTCGCGCACAACCGGTATGATCACATGGATGTCCTCATGTTTGCATTTCTCACACTGACCGTCTGTGACTTTTAGTTTCTATGGTTCCCATGTGGTGTCGTTCGGGGCGCATTAGCTGCCCTTGGAATCAATACCAGTGTCCAAGCTGAGATCAACGAGTTGCCGGGAGCCGTCTTTCAGATTAAAACCATATCAAACAAATCCTAAGAGAATTGTCCGCCTAGTTATAATAACATGATACCCTTTCACACAAAGTCCGGGCACAGCATGCCAGTTTCCAACCATCAATTGTCGTAAACGCAAGAGCTAAATATCGCCATGCTTAGACCAACCCTTGACCAAAACTCCAATCATACCTGCAGCAGTCCCTGAGATTCAACATCGGGACCCTAAAAGGCATCGATCGTGAACAATCGCCCGGAGCATTTCACAGCCTGTGGAAATCATATCATCAGCAATCGTGCTCATGACTCATATTACTATGTCTAACGCCATAGCTATGGGCCTCCTTAAGAGTATCCTGGCCTCCTTAAGAGTATCCTGGCCTCCTTAAGAGTATCCTGGCCTCCTTAAGAGTATCCTGGCCTCCTCCGGAAGCCTCTTACTGGGTATTAGGAAAGGTATTAAACTTGGGGTATTCACTTTTGGGGAGGGTTGTGGACAAAGCTGACACCCTTGCTGATGTTGCCCTTCAGGCCGTCGGTGGCCTTGGCCAAGAGAGCCTTCTCCTTCTCGGTAATACCCTCCAAGGGGTTGATGGCCTTCTCGGCACCATTGGGCTATGTTGCGTTAGCAAATTAGTATAGTTGGAAAGGAACGAATCCGAACTTACGCCAAGCTCAATAGGGACAGAGAAAAAGTCGTTGCCAGTCTCCTTGGCAATGCCCTCACCTCCAGGAACACCAGGGAGGTAGACGTAGCTAGGCTCAACGAGACCCTTCTCGCCGTTGACAGCACGAAGGACCTTCTCGGCGAACCTAGAGCCATATTAGCAACTGGTTAAAAAAGAGGAACTCAAGCTACAACATACCGGAAGCCAGCATATGCCATGGACAGAGTAGCGGAACCGGCACCATCCTTGGCCTTGACGACCTCATCACCTCCAAACTGGATACGGTTCACGAGAGCATCGTACTTGTCGTCAGGGATCTCAACGGAGGGAGAGGCCTTGCTGAAGAGAGGAACAATGGTCTCGCCAGAGTGACCACCGATGACAGGAATGGTCAGTTCCTGGGGGTTAGACCTGCCAGTGACCTCAGCAACGAAGGTCTCGGCACGGACAATGTCGAGAGTGGTGACACCAAAGAGACGCTGGGGGTTGAACACGTTCTTGGCCTTAAGAACCTCTGCAGCGATAGGAACAGTAGAGTTGACTGGGTTGGAGATGACGAGGATGAAGGCCTTGGGGGCGACTTCAGCAATAACCTCGATGAGTCCCTTCACAATGCCAGCATTGATGTTGAAGAGGTCATCACGAGTCATACCAGGCTTGCCTGTGCGGGGAGACTGGTCAGTATAGTAAAACTGGGGAGTGGCTCTGGGGTCGATCGGACACGCGGGAACCAACGCCGGATGTCCGGGGTAGGGCCTTCACATACGGGGAATGCCAGCGGGGATGACAACAATGTCAGCGTCCTTGAAGGCGGCCTTAGCGCCATCGTTGGCAGGAAGGTAGCCAGTGGTCTTCTGTAAAGGGTGTGAGCAAGTAGTGGTTTCGGTAGAAGGGAATTGCGAAAGCTTGTCCGGGGAGAAGCTGGGGTTGACTCACGGCGCGGGATGAGATGTGGGAAAGGTCGGTGGCAACACCTGGGGTGTTGACAACATCGTAAAGGGCGAGCTCGTCGATGTGAGGAGAGGTCTTGAGGAGCAGAGAAAGAGGCTGTGAATCGGCAAATGTTAGCTTGCGCAATATCAACGTTTGAGTGAGCAATTTGCACATACCTGACCAATGCCACCAGAGGCGCCAGCAACAACTAGGAGATGTGTCAATTGTTTGTTACAAAAAGCTCTCGAAAGAAATATCGAGGCGCATACAGCGCAGTCTTCACGGAGATGGCAGACATCAAGGTGAAGCGGGGTGGGTGAGACAGTGCTCGCTCATACGTACCAGCCTTAACCATCTTGACGAGTGTGTGTAAGTGGGCGTAAAGTTTTGTAAGGAGCAGTTACTCTGTAAGGATGAGAGTGAATAAAGAATAAGTAGGAAGGAAGAGACAAGTTGATGGAAGAATGGAGAGGGCAGAACCTGGGTTAGAAAAGAGGTGGGCAGAGGGTTAAAATAAGTAATGTAGGAAGCAGAGCTCGAGGCAGCGATGACTGGTACAGTACTGCGGCAACCACCACGGCGATACCTGCCGCACTCTACTAGTCCGTCATGCCGATACTTTTCTGAGACACTGCGTCTTGGGTCTTGGGTATTGGGTCTTGGGTACTGACCTAACGTTAGACCTCCTAACCTTACCTACCTCTATAATACAGCCTCAATCACTATTGGTACTACATCACCATCACTTCTCCTACTGTGTCCGACATAATCTCGCTTCATCTAATCTAACCGGGAACCTGCGAATTGACGGAACTAACGGAGACTCTTGGGGCATTTACATGTCCGAGACCATCGTCGCAAATACAAACATGTGCGACAGCCAGGCTATGGATGGCGAGCGGGGAAAGCAACAGAGCTGTCGCGGTATCCGTACAACTCTGGGTATGGAAGCTCTAGTGGGGGTAAGGAGGGGTTTGTTCGCAAGGGTCTAAGGATCAATGACAATCAACAACAATTGAGGGGCACCATCCACAATCTAGAACCCACTGCCCACTGCCAGACCTGTTGAACAGGCGAACCAAACGGCGCGGCATTATTATCTCGCCTCTCTTTCGCCAGCTTCGGATTGCTTATTACCAGCTATCATGAGTTTCCATTTCGAATAATTACGTTACGATCTCAACAGAATTCACTGTTTTTGGAAAACTCCTCATCACGGCAGGGGACCTTGAACAATTCTCATGATATCGCCTCACGGACTATCCCCTAGACCTCCACCATCATGGACTTTCTTCCTTCCATTCACCCATCAACATCTCCCTCTCGCCCGCCCACTCTAACTATACGCAATGGCGATCCGCTCCAGTTGTGGGAGACCTGGCACATCACTTGGCGCAAGGCCTTGTTAGGGGACTGGTGCGCAAGCGCTCTCATCAACTACAGCTCCTGATGGAGACACATAATAGTAATGGGCCCCGAGTCCTAGCCCTCTTATGCTTTTGAGGACCCGTTGCCAATTGGATTCAGCCGGCCCTTAGAGCCGCCAATATAACTTGAGGAGGAGTTCCATATGCCCAGATTGTTTGCCTTGGGCTTGGATCTGGTTCGCTTCTGAAACCCGACCTTGCGTTTGACGGCCCGTGGGGAAAGCTTGCAGTATTTCCAGGGACCAAACAGACCAAAAGCTCCCCTGAAATTGAGCACCTGGGCTCACCAGGCCGCCCATTTGTCGCAATCCCGAGTCCGGAGCGGTCTTTACCCCGACCCAACTCCGGTGAGAACGCCATATCCAAACTTAATTCTCCGACCAAGTTCCGCGGTGGCGTTGAAACAAGTCGCTCATGTGAAAACATTGGTAATTGAGTCGTGTAAATCCTACACTTCTCATTCTTTGGTTCGAAACTCTATGTGTCCATCCTTTATTCGTCTATATCATTGTACTTGCAGGAATGTCACCCAACACCCTGCATTTGTCTCAAAGCTCCAACTTCACTAAGACTATGTGCGCTTCATGTTTTCTGTTTTCACAAGTAATCACCACCAGGCTAAAAAGAACCATAGCTCACAGATATTGCTCTACACATATCAAACACAAGTTTGTCTGTCCTGCTAATTCTGGTGCATTAAAGCTTCCAGCCTTTGGATCTTGATCGTTTCCATCGAGTTATCGTTATACAATTACTAGCTTCGGCGAATGGATTGCGTCTACTGTGCCAATCAAATCGAGTTCTATGTCTTGACCTGCTGCGTCTGGAGATTGATCTGCGGCAGCGTCAACAGAACAAACTCCGACTTACGGCTATTAGAGCACCACGTCGTCCCGATATTTTGATGAACTTAACAATTCAATATGTTGTTCCGGGGTCGACCGGCATGGTGACGTCTTACTTCGCATCATGAGCATCCTCGGCGACCTTACGCTCGGCATGATCCTCGGTATCTTGTGGTACCGAAGTCATGACCCGATATCTGCCGCTTCGCACTTGTAGACCCAAGCAGCATCATGAGTGCTCGTTCAAAGACGCACATGTATGTTAGTAGAGGTTTCGTTCCGGCTTGTTTGTCAGTGCTTGGCTAGGACTATTAATTACTCCGTGGCCATATGCGCTCCAAGAACAATGGCGAGTGTCACAGGCGACATTGGCATAAGTTGATATGGGTTTGTTCAAATGATCATAAATATGCACCTTAATGTTCAGTGACACAATTTTTTGGGTTGCCGACCATGTGGCCGACGGAATATTCATTCATTTTGAGCTCAATAACTCCAGCCGTGAATGACCCAGAGGACCTCGGTTCATGTGCTTTGCCCACTCTGATCCTATTTTCATCAGATATGGGCTATGCAGCTTACCTCCCTAGCTCCATACCCCAGCCTTCTTCACAATTCCTTTCTATCTTGACAACAGACAGCTTAGTTCTCCTCGGTGGCAGCAGCGGCCTTCTTGGCCTTGTTGCCACGGAGCTTCTGCTCAGGCTCGGGCTTGACGGGCTTGTTGGTTCGCTTGATAGCGGAAACACGCTCGACAGCAGCGGAGCGGAGGTCAGCACGGTAGCCGTTCTTGGCGGTCTGGTTGGCAACAGCCTGGAAGGTCCTGGAGAGGAGTTCATGGTCAGCCCAGGTTCGCAGATAGTTGTGATCAGTCTTGTACTCACTTGCGGTTGCTCTTGGAGCCGCTGTAGGTGGTGTTGACAAGGTTCTGGGCGGGCTTGTTGGGCTGGGCCTTCTTGGAGGTGACAACAACAGCACCCTTCTCGCCGGAGGAGATACCGAGGGCCTGTTAATACCAATCGTTTAGCTTCGTACGTTCATTCATCGAGATGGTCTGTTTCATCGCTATATTCGTGATCGTACCTTGTCGTTGACGAAACCGGCGTGCTGTAAAGCGAGTTAGCCCACACGTCCCACTACAGTCCCTCGAATACTCAAAAAGGATCAAGAGTCGACAATAGGATCATACCTTGCGGGAGGTCTTGTTGGTCAAGTTGAGGGGGTCTCGGGAGAACTGAACACCGCCGTTCTTCTTGCTCTTGGCAGAGAAGCAGTTGTTGTCACCTGCGCAATCGCAAAAACGTTTCAGTAATTGGTTCCAATACCAGGCGCATATCGCAAGGCCCTATGACTTCAATTCAAAATTCGTCGGAGGGAAACTCACGGACGATCTCCCAGATCAAGTCCGAGGAAATGTTGGAGAGCTCCTGAGCGGTAGACATTGTGACTGAGGTTTTGGCGTGAAAATTGACCGGGGAGAGTGAAGCTTAAGGTTGTCGTCGTGATATCCAGTTCCAACTTCCAAAGGACTCTCTATTCACCAGTTTGAATGGAAATTGTGTGCGCGGCGAAAAGGTGGGGCTCGCCTAGCATGCCAAACAGGGCTAGACATGGCTTACCAAAGGGGCCGAGTGGTGCCCCTTAGAATACTGGGCCAGTGGATTGCAGCATTTAACAGTGCAACGTGAGAGTTTGGAGACGAATGGACGGGAGTAATCCCTGATGTCATCCGAGCCCAACATTAGAAGGCTCATGTGCTAAGTATAATCTTCCTTAATATGACCAACTATAACTATTTGTGATAATAGAATCCTCTTGTTAGAAAACCTACCATCTTTCAGTCTCGAACTTGCGTGTCCCAGTGTCCAGTTGCGGCTGTGCCAAGCCAATTACGCGTGGCTTAATTGATTGGGAGAGGGAGCCCGAGGCTTCGCAATCAAAAGTCACGTCAGCACCACGTCCCCCATTAACATTCCTGAGACAAAGGGAACAAGACTGGCCTTGTTCAAATCCGGATCTTGCGGAGGGCAAATACTGACATCCAACGACATTTAAACTCTGCGCTTTGCGACTCGCGACTCTGAACTCTCGATAGTCCCGTCTGAATAGGACCAGAGGCGTCTTATCATGCGACTTTGACGTCCCGTCCTCGAACCCTTCTGCACGCCTGCAACTTGACTGCTTCTCTCATTTGTACCCGATCGCTTCAGCCTCTTCTCCTTCTTTGCACCAAATTCATTCGCTCGACGCATTCCATACAAGTATTCACTTAATACAAAAGCCGCCCACCATGTCGTATCTTCTCTACTCCGTCTCGCTCTTCACCATCGTTCTCGCCACGGTCCTCTTCTTCACCCGAGCCCACTGGCTCCCCCACGTCCAACATATGCGACCCCGGCTCCCAGGCGCAGACTACATCTACTCGCGGCTTCCGAATAGTTTCGCGAACGATATCGAAGCCGGTCTATCCAGCAGCACTTTCGATCTGTCTGGAAATGTCGAGTCAGGTGACTCTCGCGCAGGTCTCGATGATACAGCCAAGAAGGAGGTTCTGGCCATCATGAAGAAGAGGAGGATGAACTTTGACCAGGCGAGAAAGGTCTACATGGAGAACCGATTCAAGGCCAACGGTATTGGCGCTGATGGACTACCGAGAGATCCGAAGTTTGTGAGCTTCTCATAAAGAGCTGCTCACAGGGTCACGAACTATCGACATTATTCCAAGCGCACTACGATGATATCCGAATTCGAATTCGATTCTCCTATTACTACTACTCTACGATGATTCGTGTCACCAATAACATCATCTTTAACACCTTGTTACTCGCCAGAGCTTACATTGCTTGACTTCCGATACACTTTTACATTGGCACACCAGATGCAATTTCCTATACCTCCTGAGTTATTCTTGCTTTCATTTGATCTATCATATTCTCCTTTGCTCTCATATGTCCGGATAGCGTGTGTTTGGTTTGCCACAAAATGCGATTCTTATCAGTGGCCTGTAGTCAGTTTTGACCTGCACGGCAAGGAGTCTGGCTGGGATGCGAAATGGTTATTATTGTTCATTGGGAACGGCTCTTATATTCCCATGCGGTTATTACAGTTTCTCCAAACGTTCAAAACTAAATGTTCAATCGATGAATTATTCATAATCATCGCAATCTCCGTCAAACGCCATCAGAGTGTAGACCATTACAAAGCTGTGAATATATGTACAAAAAAACCATCAACTTTAGGCAGGTAAGCTAGTAAGTTGTTGAAGCGGAACGACCAAACATGTCGAGGCTTATAGGTGTAAGTTATGTGCCTGAGAACTTCAAAGGCTTGATCAAGACCACAGGCCTTAGACAAAACCGATACACGGTAATATTGGCAAAGACTTAGGATTAATCCCCAGCACTTTCACTGCGTCTTCTTTGTGCTGGACGAGCCATAGGTGCGGTTGTCAGAACCTTCGATCTCTTCAATGAGCTCATCCACCTTCTCAATCTCCTTCTTCCATCGGCCCTCCGACATCTTCATGTCACGCTCGAACATCCACTTTTCAGGCATGCGGTATGTGCCACCCATACGATCAAAGGCAGTGAAAAACTGGCCATAGTTGACCTCGAAGCGAGAATGATGCAGCGAGTGACATGCGGCCCCGTTGACGACAGGGTTGTCGGTGAGGTACTCGCCGTCGTGAATCATGACAGACCAGAGGTTGACAAACACAAAGAGCGCAACATAGGCCATCTTCTGAAGTGGGAAGATGAAGGGGAAGATATGGTAGGGTAACGACTGGGTGAAGCCGTCAAGGGGGTGAAAAGCGTGGCTGGCAAAGGGAGTAGGCATAATCCACTTGTGGTGAAGCTTGTGCAGATACTTGTAAACCAGGCGGTGGTGAAGCCAGCGATGAGCCCAGTAGATGCAGAAGTCGGTAAACAGGAGAAACAGCGGGAACTGGAAGAAGTTGTACCAGAGTCCAGGCCCATCTTCAGTGGTATCATAGAGCTTGCCGTAGCCACGAACTTCGAGAAGGAAGAAAGGTGCTGTGATGATAGCCATGACAGGCATGGCCTTGTTGGCTGCGATGATCTCAAGGCGGACCTGGTTCTTGATAAAACGCGGGTGGTTAAACGTTCTCTTGTCGAAGATGAAGATGTATGAAAGCGATGCGACAATGAAGTAGACAAGAAGGCCAAATATCCTAGGACATGTTAGCTGAGTATGTGTATGCGACCATCAACACATACCAGGTGATGAGATATAAAGTAAGAGCCTGGCGAAGAGGATTATCACGGTCCCAGGCGCTCATGTAGGCTTCCTCTGGAGGATCAAGCGTAATAAACTGAGTGGCCGGCTTATAAGTCCATGTAGAGAAGGCTTTGGCCGAGGTATTGGTTGAGTTGGAGGGTGTTGGAAAGTCATAAGGGGTCGGAGGTTTTGGGTGAAAGTAGGCGTAGGCGTGATCGGCGACGAAATAATCGACGACCTCAAGGACGACATCCATGATGGGCGATTCGAGCTTACTCAAAAGTTGTGAGGACCTAAGTAAATGAACGAGTGTTGATTCTTATATGCGTGTTGTGGAAGGCTGGTGTAAGTAAACAACAGCAAAGATGCAACACCACCTCAAGGGACAAGCACGCAAGGCATATAATGACGGCAAACCCTCTCCAAAGCTGAATGGTTGAGAAATCCGACTCACCAAGAAATACGGCATTCGCCTTCTTTTATCAATGAATCGACCAAGGGAAAGAAATCACATTGTCTGATACTACCGGGGCTCGTCGGCGGGTTGCGGCGCGGGGCGGCTGTTTTTGTCAGGGATGCCTGTGCACAGAAGAAGGGGTCTTTGGAACTCGCTTGATCCAATTGGGAGCTTGGGAAGGAAAGCTTTTAGTTGATCTCATGATGAGAAACGTACGAGAAGAGGAACCCTCAGAAGCACGGTCTCGGCCACTCAATTGATATAATGTGTGGTTTATACATGAAGCAATGCCCAAAACACTGCATTCGATTTGAGAACGAGAATTAGAATGAGAATACGAATACAGATCACTTAAACCTCCCATTGATATGATTAGTCTCTCTCAATGGCATGTGAGAGTGGTGGAATTCGTCAAGGAACGATGCCAGTAACAGTCGTCTCTGATCAATAATCGCATGATGAGCTCCGAAGTGGTCCGGACGACGATCTACTGGGACTAATTACTGTGTTCTACTTGGTTTCTAGCTCCAGATTCACTATGGGTATACGTATGGGTCTGGATCAAGGGGAAACAAAAACAAGGGTCGACAATGATAGATGCTCTTGTTGATTGAAGTGGTCTGTTCCGGCTGCTCAGGGCCCGAGAGCTTGTCAACCAATGGTAATTGACAATTGGAATTGGTGATCCGCTTTGCATCAGGGACCATTTATTTTCCGACATGACGAAGACGATATATCGAACGATTCGTGCTTTGATCATTCAGCCTTTTAATCTGTGTAGATCCTCACCGCAACAACCACGCCCAAGATATTTGGTTCACTCATATTGAGGTGTATTCGGTAGTCTGCCATGTATCCGTAGGTAGTGCACTATGCAGTGGCCGTTGAATAGATATTTTCTTTTTAAAGTCATAACCCATCAGTATATATGTATATGGGGGAATTGTCCCTTGGAAATAAACATCAAGGCAAAGTGCTTGATCGATAGCTGAGCCTGTTGAGATACGGTTAGATGGTGCGGAAATACGGAAACGAATACGTCGGGGAAACCTTGGAAGTTGGGGTTATCCATTTTCCACGCCAAACCAGAGTCTCACACTAAACAAAAACTCACCTAACCCACGGCCTCAAGACGGGTTTATCACTCATGTCTTTCGGGTATAAGAGGTGACGTCCGTCAACTTCTCTCCCTACTGAGTACAACACAGTATTTAAACCCTGTGTATCTGTAGCTCCCCGCCTCTTCACCTTTGATCCAAACAATATTCCCACGCGGTCTAGAACCTGATGTGTTCTCATTATTGGTACTAAAAAAAAGTTGTCTAATTCTAGTTCAATTAGGTCGTATTCAGAGTTATGGGCATGTATCCCATGTTCTGCACCCTCTACGCATTAAAGGGCTGACATCATACGGACGGTTGTTTTCTGTCAGTGGCTCTCGATCAACCTTGGGCGTACTACGGATACTGAAGTGGTCGAGTAGAAGGACGCTGTCAATTTGAACCATGACAGCCCCAATCTTTTGATTTGTTGAACCCGACTTAGACATCAACCATATGAAATGCGCGTCTACGTTTATTTGCAACACTACTCATAATCCACTATCTGCTATCATCCAACCTCAACACTGATTTTGGCAATCACCACATTTGCTGACTTTTTGTGTCGGCGAGGGATTGGTTAGTGTGTGAGGCACCAGTCAGTCACCTGTGATCAAACCTCGCACAGATGTTGCACAAAACTGTTCAATCCAACTAGGAGCGTTACTTGGTGGGTGGTAACGCGGCTCTGTTGTCATGCAAGAAAGGCTGACCACATATGATTCAACCCCAGTTGGTTCGGAGGTACAGTTTTGGGCTAACGGAGACAGTGGCAATCGGCTGTGGGAAAGGGTTGTTGTGAGCTGGAGAGCTAATAATAAACTTAAAAACCCGCGTGTTTCTCCATTTCTTAGGTACAGGGTATGTTGTCGGTTGAAGCTACTACGTACTCCGTCAATCTTGATACCTAAGGTACCTAGGTAGGTACCTGATGTTCGCAGTGTATTATAGCTTTAATGGTTTGCGGTTTATTTCAGTGTGAGTATGTGTCCAGTAGGGGCCACGAATTAGAGTTCACATGCAGTTAAACCAGGTGTGGTGATGATGATGGTAAGACATCGTGTTTTTCATGGCATCGGAATATCAGCATTTTGTTCAGGAAACATGCGGCTCAACAGCTGCGCCAGAAAGTATGAGATGTACCTAGTGCTTGGTGGTGGCAAAAGCCTTTGGCCTCTGGCCTAGAGTTTCGGTTGACGGTTCATGAGGAAACTCATCATTCAAGACTGAACGTTGATAATAGATGTGGATATGATGCTTCCCAATAAACACTCCAGGATCTGTTGCGGCGCGCCAAGCGACCAAGGTTGGGTTTGTGACAGGGAGAGGAAGAAAAGGGGCGTGCGCTAACTACCCGTCTTAGTGCCCATGCCGTCGTCGAAAATGGGAGAATGGAGGGTGTCACAGCATCGGGCGAACCAGCAAAAAGCCCAGATCAGTGGCGTGCACAATGCTGAACTCACCCCTCTTTAGCATGGACCCACCTGTAAACCCCTGGTGATTGCCCCCGGACCGCCCGTTTTGAGGTCTAACTCCCCTGTCGAGGCTGATCTAGGTGTCCAGTCTTTCCTACTTTTTAACCCCACTCATTTGAAGAGCAAGAGCTACACCTAGCGTCTTAGCCCGCTTCTGCTTCCGCTTCCTCCTCGGCTGGGCCTCTCTTTTTTTCTTCCCTCCTCCCCTTCCATCAAAACCATCATCGCGCCTAATCCACTATCACTGGAATCGTCAAGTAGCGGCCACGCATCTCACTGTCGCAAGTAATCCGCGACCTCAACCACTAACTAGCCTTTGTCTATCAGGGGCTTTTTCCATTACACATCGCTACTCTTTTCGTCAACACACCCGGTTCGCGATCGCGTTAGCTGTCGTTGTCATCAGCTTGCCTTGGCACCCAGCCTCGCGCTGTCACCGACTTACTGACACGCGCCTACACCTGGTTGCGCCCGATATACGGAGCATCAAACGCGATTACTATCTTATTATCGATTTCGCCGAACACCTACCCTCCTCCTTTCGAATTACACTGAACTCCCCGTCGTTCAGATCTGTTTTGCGCCATGTCGATGTATCCGCATCGCGCCATGGGGGGCGGCCCCCAGGGTAATTCTACTCGCCTGAATGAGTTGCTCGAGCAAATTAGGGTTGAGTTTGATACTCAAATGCGTACGACTGAAAACTATGAGCATCAGAGTATGTCTACTACTCCAACGTTGATGGTTTATATCGCGTCATCTCCTTCCTCCAAGCTAACACATGTGTATCTTTAGTTGCCGCGCAAGTCAGCGAAATGCAAATGGTCCGTGAGAAGGTCTATCAGATGGAACAGACTCACCTCGCTCTAAAGCAGAAGTAAGCTAGTGGTGTGCTGTTAGCCAATTCGGATATACATTAACCAGTCAACCGTAGATACGAAGAAGAGATTGCCGGTCTGCGACATCAGATCGATACGGCCAGAAAGAACGGCCTCCAGCCTGGTATCCCGGGCCCACCTCAACATGCTGCTCCCTCACAGCAGCCTCCATCCATTGCCCCCGGCAATGGTCTTTTCAGCGGCATCATGGCTGGTGGCAGTCAGGGAGGTCTTGCCCCCCCTCAACAGGGCCAACAGCAGAGCCAGCAGGGCCAACCCCAAGGTGCTCAGCAGCAGCAACAATCGCAGCAGGGCCACGCCCCTCCTCAAGAGCAGCCCCTGGGACCTCAGCACCAGATGGGCCAAGGTCCTCCTGGCCTTCCTGTCCCTCCTCCTCACCCTAATGCACAGCAAGCTCCTTACTCTCAAACCTACCCTCCAGGTCCTGTCTCTAATGGAATGGGGCCTCAGCCGCAGAGCACTGCCTCACCCGGTCCAGGTAGAAGGGGTGTTGGTCGTCCTCCAGGTACTGTCGGCGGTCCTGCAACCCCCCAGATTAATACTCCCGTTCCTTACCCTGGAAGTGCGGCTTCGCCTCAGGTTAGCCACCCGACTCCCGACCACGGTCGAATGGGCGGGCCTCATGCACCTGCTGTGGGAAACGCACTTGGCGACCTTGAGGTTGATGCTGTGGCTCCCCACAACAAGAAGACTGGCCAGGATTGGTACGCCATCTTCAATCCTCAGGTGCAGCGAGTCCTTGATGTCGACCTCGTCCACTCTCTCAACCACGAAAGTGTCGTTTGCTGTGTTAGATTTAGTCACGACGGCAAATATGTTGCAACTGGCTGCAACAGATCCGCTCAGATTTTCGATGTTCAAACCGGTGAAAAGGTTTGCGTGCTTGAAGATCACAACGCCTCTGATATGAGCGCCGATCTCTACATTCGCAGCGTTTGTTTCAGTCCTGATGGCCGCTACCTAGCCACAGGTGCCGAAGACAAGTTGATTCGAGTAAGTGTTTTATTTGTTTTATTTCAAGAGTGAAATTGCTAAAGGATGACAGGTCTGGGATATTCAAACCAGGACCATCCGAAATCACTTTTCTGGTCACGAACAGGACATTTATTCGTTGGACTTTGCTCGTGATGGCCGAACCATCGCATCCGGTAGTGGTGATAGGACCGTCCGCTTGTGGGATATCGAACAAGGCACAAATACCCTCACACTCACGATAGAGGATGGTGTGACAACTGTTGCCATCTCTCCCGATACCCAGTTCGTCGCTGCAGGCTCCCTAGACAAGAGCGTGCGGGTTTGGGACATCCACTCTGGCTTCCTTGTTGAGCGCCTTGAGGGACCCGATGGACACAAGGACAGTGTCTATTCTGTTGCTTTCTCACCCAGCGGAAAGGATCTCGTTTCTGGTAGTCTGGACAGGACAATCAAGATGTGGGAGCTCAGCGCACCCCGTCAAGGAAACCAGCCTGGTCCCAAGGGTGGCAAATGTGTCAAGACATTTGAGGGACACCGAGACTTTGTTCTATCAGTTGCTCTTACTCCTGAAGCTAACTGGGTGCTTTCTGGTTCTAAGGATCGCGGTGTACAGTTCTGGGATCCCAGGACAGGAACCACACAGCTCATGCTGCAAGGACACAAGAATTCCGTCATTTCTGTTGCGCCAAGTCCTCAGGGCAGGTTCTTTGCCACCGGCTCTGGTGACATGAAGGCTCGAATCTGGTCTTACCGTCCTTACCCTTGACTAAGTAAGGAACCAGCTCAATGGGTCGCTTTTTAGAAATCTCACCTGGAGAACGACATGGTTATGAACAAAAGCGAACTGATGCACACGACGGAGACAATGGTCATTAGTGGGAGCTGTGCTGGGACGTTATCCAAGGGAGACATTGTCTAGGTGGTGGCCAACGCGAGGGAGCGACATATATTCTTGTTTCTTGGGAACCGGACATGGCAAGGGCTCTCCATACCCTCAACTTTTGGGGCGCGATGGAAGGTCCTGCAATGCAAAGAGGCGCAAATGGATAGGGGAACCTGGGGAGGACATCTCTTGCATTGGTCAAGATGAATGCAATATGCAGGGAAGTCGTGTAAGGATACTCGCTAGCTCAACGTTTTTTTATTTATTTCTTGCGCAGAGTCCTATAATGTAAGATGACCAATTTTCCAATGATATTTGGTAGTAGTCACTGCATCTGTGGTTTATTACATGGCAAGCCAAAGGCCGTGTACTGTAATGATCCTAAAGTGAGCCGAATAGACTAGACAGTGCGTCGCCACCCTTCTTCTTCTTCTTCTTCGGCCTATCTTTGACATCGCCTCTTGATGAGTGTGTATGGGTCTCTGTATGCACAATCTTGGACTTGCGTTCCTTGGGTTTCTGATCCTTCAAGCGTGTATCTGATTCTGGCATTGTCCTCCGAGACAGAAGCAGCTCGTCACGCGAAATGGCTACACCCATATCTAGTGTGGGACTTGGAGCCTCTTGTACTGCTGAATCTGATGGGATAGATCTTTTTGAATTCGTGAGTATTGGTTTCGTGATAGCAGAGGCCGAAGGCTCGTGGTTGTGACCGGTGGGAACAAGGTGGGATATTATAGTGTTGACGCGAGCGAGGATCGATAGCAGGAGTAGGCCCAGAGGCGCATGCTGGTTATCGGCAGCTAATTGTGAGAAGGCACTGCACGAAGCATGCGATTAGTTATGTTGAACACTTTGAGGCGCATCTCGAGCCAAACATTGACTTACACGAATGCGTCAGGAACAACATGGCGCATCATCCATTTTGCGCGCACGAGAGCCGGATGGCTTTCCCGCTTAGCATTGCTAGGTTTGGTCTTCTTGGGACGCAAGACAAGGTCGCCGGCCAGGTTCCGGACTGCGCGGCGCAGTACAGAAAATGAAGACCACCAATGTGTAGAAGAGTGCTGGTTCTTGTGGCGATGGGCAAAGGCGTTGAGGATTGGGAGGAGCGGCGCAAGCGTTTCGCTGTTGGTGGTTAAGAGGGCGGTGTCTGTGGGAGTTGCCATGACTGAAGGTGGATGATGCCCATAATTGATAATAGAAGTTGTTCACCTAGTCAATGGCTTAGGTCCGAAATTCGGCCGAGGGAAATATTAGTGTCGTTTTGTGGTTGCAGTGATGTTGAAGTTGTGATATGGATCATCATGACTGTGGAAGTTTTTAGTTACGATAAGATAAGGGATATCTCTGTGCCTTGAGCTTGGGAAAGAAAAGTCACCAGTTGCCAGTGAATCGAGGGAAAATGAACATATCCCATTCGTGATCGGAATCTAGTTAGGTATTCTTCCCTCTCAGATATGTGGATATATCCTTATTTTCGAATTGTATCAGAATTTACTCCGTATTGCCGCGTGCCTATAAGGCCACTCGTTGGTGGGTTAGGTGTCTGGAAGGTGCGTATGTGTAACACAACCACAACTGCATGCAATGATAATTACTACATGCGTATGTCTAATTCTTCTTTCAAATTTCATGACAATCATCATCTACCTCAGCAATTGCGCCCGCACGATTCCTCCAGTCGGTTTCAGTCTCACATTCCCATTAGTTATTCATTGCAGTACATGCTCCGTACCTCCTCCAAGCTGGTCTCGTGAGCGCAAAAGCCCCCCAGTCGTGTCTCCACCGTCCATCATCCCCCCCCCCCCATACCCAAAACAAGGCCATGAACCGTCAAGCCTGTTATAGAGTTGTCGAGGCGCGACTGCAGACTGCAGACTGCACAAAAGTTGAATTGCAGGTGGGGTTAGTGCGACAAAAGAATGCTTGAGATGCATTGAAGCGGGTACAACCGCAAAACCCTGACCAGTCTAGACAAGTACATGGAGATTGAGATTGAGATTGAGGACGTTATTGTCATACAGAACCGCGAGACATTCCTTTGGTGTTGACTTAAGGTCTGACATTCCAGTCACTTATTGGTCGCTTGGACCAGGTCCGTCATCTGTCCTATCATTAGTATTCTCCGGCAGTTCGCAGTTCGCAGTTCGCAATTCGCAGCTCGTGCTGCTGATCTGATACCACCCTCCTTAACAACCACGAGAAGAGACTACTAACGTTAGTGTGCTAGGTAGCCCTCTACTGCAGCTATCGAATGTACTAAGGTATCGTACGGAGTAGGGTCCCTGGGTCCCTACCCAGGTCCTGGAGATTGAGACGACTTACTTGCATGTTTAGTCAAACGTCTTATCATACTCACGAACGGGTTCTTGGTATTATCAGTAACCCCCTGCTTCTGCTGGACCAACCCAGCCAACCCAATTACAAGCCCAAGAGCAAAACCTCAAGGCCCCAGAGGAGGAGCCGCAGGCCGCTGACCATCGGCTATCGTATCGTGTGCACAGGGCACAAAGCAAGCTATCCTTGGCTGCGATAAGCGTCATGTCCTTCGCTCTGTTCTGTTGGCGCGCCCGCGCCCACTTCCTTGTTGAGCCGCGTGCCATATGACCCTGAGCCGAATCTGCCCTATTACTAGTATCCGTACAATAGTCAGGCTTTTTGTCTCTTCTTCCTCTACAACTGACTATTCAGATCATTGTCAAGGGCTGGTGAAACCTCATTTTGACCGAGTCTACAGACCCTGTCCGTCACTGCATCGCCGACCTTGACCTTGTTCGCAACCATCCTTCCAACTTTCCAGAGTTTTCTCCAATCTCCAGCCTCCGCCACCCAGCCCAGCCTGGCAACAGACAATACCGGCCGTGAAAACATCGAAACTCGGGCCTAATTGGATAATACGGACTACTATCACTACCAAAAAAACAAACGTGAAGTTGGCGACGTTACACAGCTATAATGTCTCCGGCGCGGAACCCTACGGGTTGGGATGATTATGAGGGTGGCCCGTCACCTCGGGGAAGCGTGACCGACAGCATGCTTGAACGCGAGCAAGCTCTTGTTGACGACGACGACGATGCGGGCGAACACGACAACGAAGGAGGATTGATGAGGCGACGACGTCGGTATGTTTGAATGGAACGAACCATCAATTGGTCTTTGTAGCTAATCGAATTAGATCCTCTATTACCAACCAGTTGGCAGCAATTGCAGACATCGGCGGCGTGAACAGCTTCCGTTCTTTTGCTCGTAGTTGGCAGCGAGCCGCAGGATTCCACGAGGTCATTCCCCGTCGACCGAGTTTTGTTCTTGCGCCTGATCAAGAGGCAGAAAACCTCCAGTACAGCCGCAGCCAGTTCCAGGGATCGCCGCTACCCCAATCAGGCCTTTTGCGCCAACATCTCGAAGCCTCGTCCTCACAGGCAAATGGCGAGTCTAGCTCGGCCATTGATTCGTCTCCGAGGGCGATGAGAACCTCTCACCGCGACGGCGAGACAAAACCTCTGCTTGATGTTGAGGCCGCTGGCGCATCACCATTTGGGTCGCCCCGGTCAAGCATCTTCGCCGTCCCACCTCACCTCGCGGCCCCCGATATTGTTGGCAGCTATGGTTCATTCCGAGACTCTTCTCCCTTTGGGACTCTGGAAAGAAGCACGCGACATCGCATTTCTTTCAGTGAAGGGAGCGGCTGGGGCGTTGCTGATGAGGACGAAGGCGAAGGGGAGGATGCTGCGCATGGCGAACACCAGCCCATTCTTGTTAAGGAGGTAAAGCAGGGGAACAAAGTTGTGCTCGCCGTCGAGGGCCAGAGCACTCTTCCCCAGTCTGTTTTTAACTCCATCAATGCTCTTATCGGTGTAGGACTGCTCAGTCTTCCTCTGGCTCTCCAAATGACCGGTTGGATACCTGGTCTGTTTATCCTCTCTCTCACTGCCGCGGTTACATCTTACACGGGCAAACTGCTGGCCAAGTGCATGAACTTCGATCCTAGCCTCATCACATATTCTGACCTGGCGTACGTATCATTTGGCACTCGCGCTCGAGTCATTGTGTCAGCCCTTTTCAGTCTCGAGTTGATAGCGGCTTGTGTCGCCTTGGTCATTCTCTTTGCCGACTCGCTCAGTCTGCTGCTTCCGGGTCTTGCAACTGTCAACACTTGGAAGGTTGTGGCTTCTGGTCTGGTACTGGTATTGAACTCGTTGCCTTTACGTTTGTTGAGTTATACCAGTGTGGTTGGTATCTTTTCGACATTCTGCAGTGAGTATATCATCGCATCCTCATATTTTATTCCCTTACTTACATATCATAGTTGTTGTGATTGTGATTATTGATGGTTTCTACAAACCTAATTATCCTGGTTCATTACGAGAACCGGCGACGACGTACCTTTTCCCAAAGAACTGGCTCGTTCTGCCTCTTGCATATGGTCTCCTTGCCAGCCCCTGGGGAGCCCATTCCGTCTTTCCATCGGTATGAACACTGTCCTTATTTTTGAGCTCGAGACTAACACATTCAAGATCTATCGTGATATGCGCCACCCTTACAAATGGGGCAAAGCTGTTAACATCACCTTCTCTTTCTCTGTAAGTCTTGACATGGTTTGGAACTTGTCATGGCTCTTCTAACTTGCTCAGTACGTGGTAGACACTTGCTTGGCTGTAATTGGCCTGCTAATGTTTGGTGATGGTATCAAAGATGCTATCACCTCCAACATTCTCAAGTCGACTGGCTATCCGGATGCCTTGAAGATTATCATGTGCATTTTCATTGCCATTATTCCTTTGACCAAGATTCCCCTCAATGCCCGCCCTATCATCACAACTTTGGATGTTATTTGTGGTGTTCATGAGCAGCATCACCATCACGAGCAATCGCACAGCCAGCCCTCTCGATACTCTCTTATTGTTACCAAGTCAGTTAGAGGTCTTGTGCGCGTCTTTGTGGTGGTCCTCTTGCTGTTCATCTCCATTGTCTTCCCGGCCTTCGACTCGGTGTGTGCGTTCCTTGGTGCAGCTCTTTGCACACTCATCTCCATCATCCTGCCCATCTCCTTCTATCTGAAGTTGTACTGGAAGGATGTATCCTGGCGGGAAAAGGTTGTTTCGGCTATACTGCTGGTCGTGTTTGCCATCTTGGGTACGCTTGGAACAATTTGGACATTCTTGCCCAAGCATCTCATTGGCGCTGATTAGATCATGTTTCTATTTGGTTCTGTAGGCATTTATCGGAGTTGCTTAGCATTAGTGGTGCGTTGTACTGAAAGTGTCAGACTTGGGACGACAGAGATATGACGAAAATAATATGCTTGCAATATTTCTTGAATTCATGTCCGGATAGTTCAATGTCGATCCCTAACTCTTTGTGAGATCACTAGGGAGTGTTTCACCGTTGCTAAGTTGGCACACTTGCATCAGTTTGCAACCTCATGACGGCACCACAGTGCAAGATTATACCATTGGCTTCCCATTTATCCGTGCCTTGGCCTGTGATGAAAGCCAAGCATCCTTTTGAACTTGCTATTTCAAATTCAATGAACGAATAGACAAGACCCCCGAACCAGGACTTCAAAGAAGTTATCAATAGGCACAAAGTCACTTACGTAGTACGCGATATTTCTATGAAAGACACTAATATGGTATTACTACCATGTATCATCATATATCCCGTTGATTCTATATCTCACAAACCAGTTTCCCTCCCGTGTCGCTCGCCCTCACTTCGCTGCTGATCCCCCAACTGCCGCTCCTTCAGCCTCAGCCCCTCTCGCCTTGTTGCGTCACGCCATACTACCATGACCTCGTCTACTCCTGTCCAATCCAACATTCCAACACATGGGGGAATGGTAACCACGGTCAGATTTCATGGTTCTTTTGAGTCTCCGAAGCAACTGCTCATTCGGGACGTTCGGGCGAGCAGCGAGTCATGTGCCTATTTGAGTTTAGGTAAGTATCGCTGAGAAGACTAAGAGTAAACGATCTTGTAAAGTCTGCCGCGAGTCTGACGTCGCGCCATGCTGTTCTACAGTTCCGTGTAAAAGTTTCGACAATAAGCCACAGGAAATACGTATATTGAAATAAACTATATGATATATACTGTAATTAGAGGGCTTCATATATAATCTGAACATAATGTTATATAAAACTATATTAATTGAAAAAAAGGTAACGGTGGTTTCTATAATTATAAAAATAATTTAGAGTATAGGAAATTGTCGGAACTTTTGCACGCCCACTGTACTACTGCTGTACTGTTGACGGAGAAGGTGGGATTTGCGGTTTAGTACTAGACATGACGTTATCATGGTTGCGAATTGAGCCAACCCTTTTCTGGTAGACCTAGAGACGGTGCCAAGCTTCGACAGCATCAGATAGCAATCAATAGCTGGTTGATAATTAGCAACAGGTAACTTCACAATGATGAGATGGGGAATAATGGTTTGAGTAGGTACTTCTGGTATTTGCATTATTTCTAGAATATCCTATACACAGAAAGCGAGTAAGGCTCTCGTCATAATCCAAGCAACGCCCGAAATATCTTCGAGTATCGCGCCAGGGACTCAAGACGGCCAAACTACATTTGAAGGTTGTGGAGAATCAATCCCATTTACCAACCTCCAACCCACTCAACGTCACCAAGATCGGCGCGTCTATCCCGACGCCAGTTCCAATCTCTGCCCTTGTTCCAGGGACAGTGTTCCTTACTCCCAGACCGTTCTTTAGCGGCCCCAAATTTATGATGATAATTAGAATGATCCAAAACGCCCGCTTCGTAAGATTTGTTGTATCCAAAACCAAAATTGTGTCGTCGGGGCTTAGCAAAGTCCACCGACTTGATAGAATCCAAAGTCGCAGTTTGTCCACGACGCCGCTGGCCCAAAGCCGCCCACTTGTCCATAGAATTACTCGATTTGGACATGGGAGAATGCGAATAGTGTGGGGTAATAGTGATTTGTTGAGGCTTGGATGCCGGGGCTTCTTGAAAGAAGAAACCATCAGCAACCAAATCATCATCGATATCACCCTTGATGTCATGGGTATGCAACGCCTGCTCAGGTTCAGGCTTGAGCAGCTCGATCTGCTTGACCTCCTCCTCTTCCTTCTTCTCCTCCTTGCTTTCCTGGCTCCAGGTTCTAGCGTTGAGCTCCTGGAGAACCTGTCGCTGCTGTTCCATTTCCTCCTCTTCCTCATCCTCATCCCACATGTCGCTCCAGCTCTTAGACACAGCATCTTGACGACGGCCAAAGACCATAGACATAGCTGGCATGGGCTTGGCCATATTGATTGGGAGAGAGCCAGCAGTAGCCGCTACACGGTTGAAGCGAGCTGTTGGCTTGATGGCAAGCGACTTGATGGAAGCACCCAAGTGCGAGTCATAAAGAGACGACATAGGAGTTTGCATGTTACCGGAGCACCAGTCAGTAGTAGCCTCTGACTTGGGGAACAGCTCCTCAGTGTAGCTCTCGTCATCGGGAATGACACTGAGTTGCCGGCCAAGGTGAGTAGTACCATGAAGAGCCTTAGCCCAGGGGAAGGCACCGGTATCGACGGCAGGAGACTGGATTGATGGGGTGCGGAGAGGCTCGCGGTTGGCAGTAGCCACATTGGGAGACTCGGCACCGCAGTACTCATCATCTTCCTCATCGTCGGTGGTGAAAGTGATAACGCGGAGTAAAGCATCACGAGCACCTTCCAACGAACGTCGCCTGGGGTCAAGGTTCATGCACTGCACGAGCACCTCATAAGTATCCTGAGACATGGAAGGAAAGACATCGAAAAGGGACTGCTTGTCCCGAGAGTAGTCAAGGAACAAAGGATCAGCCTCAGTTGGTGTGGTGAAAGGGTTGCGGGAGAAGAGGATGTTGAGCAGACAGATGCCGATGGCCCAAATATCTGCCTCGGCAGGCGAGTAACCGGCGCCGGCCGAGTCGAACTGTTCGGGAGCCATGTAGCGATCGCTGCCAACAGTCATCTCGTAGGACCACTTCTCTGTAGTTGCCAAACCAAAGTCGCCGAGCTTCATGGCACCATCCTGGGTCAGGAAGATGTTCTCGGGCTTGATATCGCGATGGTGCACTCCTTTAGAGTGCATGTAATCAACGGCATCGATAAGCTCGAGCATAAATTGGCGAACATGCTCGGTCTCAAGAGGACCATGGCCTTTTCGGATTGCTTCGTAAAGATCACCCTGGCCACAATACTCGAGAACCAAGTAAGTGTGCGATTCGGTCTCAAAAGAGTCAACGAGATTGACAATGTTTTCGTGAGCTCCTAGACGGGTGTGAAGCGCCTCTTCCTCCGACTTGTCGTCAATGGCGAAATCGGAGTAAGCTTCGGAACAGGCAGTTCTCTTGGTGAGACACTTAATAGCAACAGGTTCGTTGGTGATAAGATCCTGCGCCTTGAAGACCATACCAAAAGATCCATGGTTGAGAGGGGAGATGGTTTGATAACGTCCCTTGAGAAGGGCGCCGCCAACAAACTTATTCTTGAGGCATTCCATTGTGAATAAAGGGGAATAATAATGTTTTCAAAAAGAATAGAATAAACAGAAAAAAGGGGGGAATAGTCAGACAAACGATTTTTTGATGTTTGCGAAGAGCCGGTGATATAAGAGGTTCCGGGGTACGATGAAGTTGCTGAAAACGCTAGAGTTGATTGGAAAAGATATGAATGTTTCGCAGTATGTGAGCAATGTACAGTATCTCGATGAAGAAAAAGCAAAGAGCAGGTTCGATTTGTTGATGTTGTTGATGGGTCGTTGGTATTCAGAGGCTCATTTGAGGGTATTCGATAGGTTTGACAAAAGAAATGGTTATCGAATGGTCGTGATGGTGAGTTGCGGAGACCGACGCGGCCGAAGGCGGTTGAAGACAAGGAAAATGAAATTCGTTATAATGACATGGGTACGTTTTTTGGAGCTTTGAAAAAGAATGACTCTGACGGTGAGAGGGTGAGGCCGACTTGGGACGAGGTCGACCGGAGACTTGGATGCTGGTCAACACCAAGTGAAGGCGGAGTAATAGGGGTATCCGGAGTCGACGATGCCGATGAATCGACGTGTCGGACCAGTCAGACTGGCACCGGAAGATAGAGAGCGGAGCTTGCCCGGGATAAAGTTCCTAACGCTCGGTCGGGGACGGTTGAGTCACGCGGGCCTGATCGGCCGAGCTGCGAACGATTGAGACCGAAAGTTAAACGCAAATCAATGAGGAAAACCTCGTCGACTCAAAGTTGCACAAGACAATCTATGCGACGTGTCGGACGGTAGATAGAGCTCTTGTTGATGATCACGGCTCGTAATGGTCAACTTTGAAGATATGCGGTAACGGATCGATGTAATAGGAGATCTAGGCGAACGACTTGAGGTCTAATACGACGACAAACAACAAAAGTCAAGGACACTTCTTCTTCTCGTGATGGATTGTATAGCCCAAGCTAGGTGATCGATGGATGGTTGGTTGTTGTTTGATCACAGCGATAAGCGTTTGTTTGGTTGCTTGCTTGCTTGGTTCGGATGAGGTGGCGAGGCGGTATCGTTCGATGTCAAGAACGGAGATGGATGGATGAGTTTGTGATTGGGTTGGGATTAGATAGGAATAGACAGAAGAGATTGAGATAGTGAGAGAAGAGTGGCAAGCTCGAGAAGAAAGAAGGCCTTTGAAGATGAGGAAAGCGTACAAATGAAGGGAAAGAGAGGTGGAGAGACGATGATAAGAAAGCAGGGGAAAGAAGACAAGAGAAGAGAGTGAGTTAGAGGGAAAGGCGGTGATGGAACTAGGTGGAGAGGGATGGACGGGGATGGATGGCCATGGGATAGGTAGGCTGGATTAGTGATGTGAGTGAGTGAATGAGTGAATGGGCGAGCCAAGTGAGTGTTCAGGCTGTTTGGTACACCCAGTCAAAGACACGGCCCCCTTCCAAGGCAGGTGCGACAGCGAGTAGTAGCTGGGTGACTGGGCCTAGAATGAACGGGGGGTGTGGCTCGAGCCTAGCTTCCCTTCTGTTGCGTTGCAATGCTCCACCATTTCACCTTGCACCTGCACTTTACCAAGCAGCCCAGGCCCGGGAGGAAAGCAACTCAGTGACTCCACTGCTATAAACGACATGCTGTCGTACCTTGCGTGCTGCGTTGTTGTTTGTACCGGACTAGCCAGGGTGCTGGAGAGGCAGGCACAAAGTGAACAAGACAAGACAAGAAGGACAGGGGGGGAGGCGAAGCTAGAGGTACTAAGGCAAAGGCAAAGACAAGTACGTACAAGTTATGCACACACATGGCAGGACTACGACAACTATGGCAAGAGGCAGGTACGGTACGTAGCGAGACGCACTGTGACCCTGTGTTTCCCGTCCCTTTTCTCCTCCACTCAGGTGCCAGGTGCCAGATGGCTCTGGGGACTGCAAGCCCAACGCTTGCCAACTTGCATCGTGGACGAACCGCGAGCAAAGAAGGAATGGCGCTACCGTGGGACGATACTACGACAGGCAAGGGAATGGAATGGCGGCATGAAGAAGTCAATCAAACAGTTGCAGTGATCAGAAACATTGATGGCCCGGGATTGGTGACGCTGACACCTAGTCGTCTCAGAGTTATGAAGCATTGCAACACCAGACAATCAAAACATAACAAGTAAAGACCAAAGACGCGTTATCAGTTATCGAGTTGTCCATATAGGTACTGTACATACAGTGTTGTGGGTGGTTGCATAACCCGTATAACTGGGGATAACTCACTACGTAGCAGTTTATGCCGCGTTATCAAAGTTAGTTATCCATTCGATTCAACCCGACGCAGCCTCCCCCGGATAACGAGATATGACGGAATATCCAGTTTAACCTCTCTTGGCATAGATTGAACACTGTGCTATCAGCGAGACGGCGCTGGTTAGCGCAGTGCAAGCAAGAACTCACGCGCACTGAGAGTGGAGTGTCTATGTCGTCTTTGCTTTGGCCAGATCACTCATCAATTCGATTCTTGACGGGAGTCATCAAGGGGCCGGTGCCGGGCTTCAGCATCAGTCATACGGACGAGTACGGGGCCCCAGCGCCGAATACAGGTGGCGCTTCGAGTAGCTTCTACCACCGTCCCGCTGCCGACTCGTTCCTATTTTCCCACTCCGCGGTGGGTGGTCGGTGGTCGGCGGGAAATGACATGTTGGTCAGCGTGATTCTACAGTGTGCGCCCATGGCATTGAACCGTACGCTCACAGAGACGGGCTTAGACACTGGAAATGGGATTTGCGCTTCTGGGCCTTCGTGGATGCGACGCTGATAGCGCCATCACCGCCCGATACTCGTCTCAGAGGTAGTTTCTGCATCTTGAGTGCTGTTACAGAGACTGGCCTCATGAGTATAGCTTGATGCCGATCACAACAGACTACTACCGCTGGGCGTAGGCAAGATGGTGTACTGCCTCGAGGTGTGAATGGGTTACTAGCACTGGCTGCAGAAACGGAGCGTAGCAGCGTACATAGTGCGCATATTGCGCGTGGCACCAGTGAGCTTACGGATGCAACAGCGATGCCATCCCCAGGTTTTACTGGCTTGGCTCCGTAACATCAGAGAGGCAAAACAAGAGGCAAGGGTCCTCTCCCCCAACGGATTTCAACAAGGAAATGTAGCTTCTGATGTCCTTCTCTGTCTGTCTGTCCGTCTCGTGGACCGGAAAGTGTGCCCATTCTTGGCATCCCGAATCCGAAAGAAATCAGGGTCTTAATTTGATTTGTTTGCTTTGTTTTGACACCGTCTCGGTTCATGGTTTTGGTCCGTCGGCTTTTTAGGTGAACAATAGTCAGTTATGGTTCTCAGCCATCATTGCAGTCGAGTCGATAATCAAAGCCATCTTCGTCTCCGACTACGCAATTTAGACTCAATTGCACTACCCACACGGGTTGTTTTGGTCTCTGCCACGTTTCTCTTGGTTCCTGGGCTGTAGAATGGAGATTAGAAGCCCAGCCAATTCTTCGATTGCACAAGACCCTTGCTATCAACTGTTATCAGTTCAAGTCTCCAGCTTTTGCCGCCATTTCTTGTCGATCACCCATCTTGACGCCGTACAGTACAAGTACAGTAAGGCTTGTACCCTTGCAGTTGCTAATCAAGGTTATCGGCGAATTGGTCCGGCGCGGTTACTGGTTATGCACTCCTGAGTCCTGCATTCCAGTGGGCATGCCCCAGACGGCTCAAGAACCCTTTCGTCTCAGGAACCAGATAAGCTAAACCATCAGACCCAAGACATTGGCGGTTGTAAAAACCGTATGTTTACATACGTTTTCTGTGCCTTCAACAGCCGCGCGGAACGTTCCATGACAATCAATTCAAGGGTTGGAATTATTCTTGGAGATCTTACGGGCCGTACTGTGTTGACGTTGGCGCCGTAAATAGAAAAGGGGCGTGCGTCAGTTAGAGCAGGCTATGCTTCCTGGCTATCCAAGGCTATGCACTCTGTACGGAGTAAATAAACGTACCTGTCGTCAGACTTTATTAAACGTGACTGGATAATTTTCCAAGGGTATGCACAAAGCCTGTGCAATTCTTGATAGTGACCAGGGACTTGTGCACAGATAACCTGGCTGGCCTGGTTCTGGTTTGCTGATCAGGACACTGTATTTCGTAACTTGGTCCCTTTTGGGAAGAAAAACAACAAAGCAACGTCAATGGAAATTCGAGACACGAAATGACGGCATCTCATCTCCATCAGGGCGGGTTTTTTCCCAATACGTGGAAGGTGGACAACAGGAGATATTACGATACCGGCAATACTACAGGAATATCAGATTACGAATCTCGCTATGGAATTCTTCGAGATTACTCACTCTCGCTGACGGTTGATAATTGACCTGCTCCATTGTTTCAGTCAGTACATGCATACATGCAGAAACTTGGGCTGTACGTACCGTGCGGGTCCTCGGTATCCTCGGTATCCTCATGAGATCTGGTGTTTGCTGTCACATTATGGAGACGGCAACAAATATGGAGACTTTGGACACGATATCGGCATTCCCAAGGACTGTGACTCAATTGGAATTGATGAGCTGGATTGAATTGAGATCTTGGTCATTCTGACTTGACCTGACGTGGTCGTGGTCATGTCGTGATCACGATGATCAAGTGCTCATCTCGTTTTTATCCCGACCGCTTGGTGTCAAAGTTCAACCAACGTCTTGCGCAATTGTTAGACATACAGTGCATGTCTAGACCTAATAAGACTCCCTGTTGAGGCGGACCCAGACCCCGTTTGTCTCACGTCACGTCGTTTTCGGATCTGATTCGTCGCTATATTGGAAACATAATATTTACTTCACTTTGCGACACCACACGCAATTACACTGCAGTACACGTACAACTCGTCAAGGGCGGGGACCGAATACGTCAACAGGGGATATCGAGGGGAAGAGGGAGATGGAGTTGAAGATCTCAAACTCCGGCTCATACCCAGATAGAATCTCCTGACTCAACAGATTTGGAGATTTACATATCGCCCGATAGTCGCAGGCCTGACAAGTTTTGTCCAGGGTAGCTGCAATCTGCGGTCATGGGATTAAGCTAAATTGTGACCCATCCATCATCTGGTCTGTGAGGTGATGGCCCTAGAACATTGGGACGGGGACCCTTCTTTCATCTCAGAGTGACTAGACGACAAAGTGACATGTGCAGCGGGTGGAGGGGCCGCCTGGTTCTAGGTACCCCATTCTGCCCGTCTACTCCGTAATACCTCCACTCAAGTCCGGTGAAAGGGTCCTCTTTGCTTGCTCTGCGAATGTTGACAACAGCTGTTTTTCTCTTTCTTTTCCTCTTTGCTGCTGTTGCTAGGGGTTGTACTCGCTGCGCTGCAGTCCGGAAGCTAAGGTGCATGAACTGACCACTTCAGCTCGGGAACAACAGGGGGGTTTGTTAGAACAGCTCCATAGTGAGCTGCAGCTTGGGTTACTTTGCCTCGGAACTACAGGCTACAGTACAGCTTAGGCGTGTGTTAAAATTGTAGCGTTCGTACTCCGTACACCTTGGACTACACCTCGAATACGAAAAAACCCAACCTGTCCTCATGTTGACAACCTGTGACTGATGATTCTAACTGCCACTTGTCACTTCGAACAGGTTTCTAATTAGAGATCCATTAAACCATCTTCAAGCTGACCGCCAGCCACGCCCCGTAACCCCTGTCCCAAGAGCCAATTCATTATTCTCAGTTCCTTCTGATCTTTATTCACTGCTCGCTGTACAAATTCGTTGTCCCCCTTACCCTGCAGTCAACCAAAAAACATTCACACGCTATTGGCCAGATCCTCTTAGCCAACCTGCTAAAACCAACCTCACATCTTGACCGCCTTTCCTCTAATTGTTCACATGGCCGCCAACAACTAACAACCAACAAACAATCCTCCATTTCCACGATTCCCCAGTCCCAATCCTGTCTAGATTCGATCTACTGTTGCACCTCAACTCAAGTTCCCGGCTGAATCGAGCTCAAACGGGGTTGATTCAATTCCTCCCAACTCAAGGATCTCGAAACTCCAAGGAAATTATCTTCCAGAAAAAGGCGCCAAGCTAGATAGCGGCCCGCTCAATCCAGGAACAAGGACCTTTTGCTGCCACCGCCGATACTGACTTTTTCCCATCCCTTCCCTTCCCTTCCCTTACTCACATCAAGATCGTAGCAGGGATCCCATATCGATATTGCATCCAAGTATTGCAGAGTTTTCCTCTCAGCTGCTCCTGTCGGTCTGTTTTACCTGTTTCATTCCTCTTACTTCTCAGCACGTGTTGCTATCAGGCCTGACCGCTTCCTTACGAAAAAAGACTCATTTTCACAATGACGCTCAACCTCAAAGACTTTGACGTCCTGGTGTTTGATATTGGTAAGATTAAGCTAGCTCCGCAGTTGTTGTTTAGTGGCTGCGTGCTTTGACGACCGCAAGGACTGTTTTTGGACTGAGTTTATTGTTATGATATTTGTATATCCAATGTTTATATTCTACTTTCTCGTTTTTTGAATACCAATACACAGAATAGCCATAATAACCCATACCACAGAAGGAACCGTCTGTCCCATCTCCTTTGTCAAGGACGTTTTGGTGAGTTGTCCTGTCATACCGTCTTGTCTTACTTCGCAACTCTTCCGTCTTTTTTTACTCCCCTTACCCTTGCATGACCTCCGTCCCTCCCTCCCTGCCGCACCCGGGTCCGGACCTCCGTATGGATACCGCCGAAATTCGTCCCAGCCTCCTCTTCCGGGCCTCGTCCGTCCATCTCTCGGCCTTGGTACTCATCTCCCGGGTGTCTACGTTGCCGAACCAACTCCTGCCAAGTCGCGCAGGTCTCGGGCGTGTGCAGCTGGCTTCTCGGGCCATGCACCTTTTCTCCCAGCCCCTCGACCCTCTTCACCGACTTTGCCCCGTTTTGCGGTAGCGTGTCCAACGTCGACAGCATTGCAGCCTGCTGACCAAGGTCTGTTTGTTGTTCCCAGTTCCCATATGCACTCGATGCACTTCCCAATGTCCTTGACCAAGAGTGGGATAGCCCAGAGTTTGCAAAGTACCGCGATGCCTTTCCGGAAGAGTACCGCAACTCTCGCTCAGACTTTGAAGCGCATGTCCGCGATCTCGTGAGGCGTGATGTCAAGATAGCCTACCTCAAGTCGCTCCAAGGATATCTCTGGCTGCAAGGCTACAAGTCGGGCAACATCGTAGCTCCCCTCTTCTCTGATGTTGAGTCCTTCTTCAACGAGGCCGTCCGAGATGGAAAGAAGATTATCATCTACTCTTCCGGCTCAGTTCCTGCGCAGAAACTGCTATTCTCTCACACAAACTCCGAGAAGCCAGACATGACGCCTCTCATCGCCGACTACTTCGATACCACGAATGCGGGGCCCAAGACCGAGGTCGATAGCTACACGAAGATCATTTCTAAACATCCGGAGCACAAAGACCTCAACAGATGGCTCTTCCTGAGCGACAACATCGACGAGGTCAAAGCCGCTGTTGGGGCGGGTATGCGCAGCCTGCCCGTTGTTCGTCCTGGAAACGCGCCCTTGCCGCCAGACGATCCTCTCTCCAAGCTCGCCATTAACGAGTTCAAACACTCCGAGGTCGCTTCTTTGGGAGTATGATAGACAGCTGCAGGCAAAGGTCCTTGAAAGGGTGGGGAAATGATAGTCGTCGAATAGCGTCGCATGTTCGTGCGGAGATGCAAGAGTAGCGACTCGCTAGGCATTTCTAGTCCCTCAAAAATCCGAGACCATCGTCCAGCTGATCTTGTCCACTGGTGATCTGGCGTCCCCAACTGCATGAGTGCTACCATGCTCCTTATCAGTCGTGCGACGTACCAAGTTGCAGATAGTCGATCCATACTGCACAGTAGATGCTCGCCAAGACCGTGTCGATAAAAACATCGTTATCGATGGTATCTGTAAACACCCGTATCGTGCCAGCTCATGGTCGCGTGTTCATAACGTCAAGCGTTTTGCGATGCTGTTGGTTAGTTAGGTAGTTGCGCATATTATAAGCAGATCGTCAAGGCCCCACGCTTTGTCGTGCTTCCTCTCATCGTTTCAGTTTGAATGACTCGTCGAAGCCTTGAGCGTCATGACAAAGTTATTCCGTGTACGTCCTGGGTTTACTTCCTTCTTGGTAAAGTTCGGTCGTTTGTCGGGGACGGTGCCAATTCTCTTCCATAGGGAATATGTCAGTTTCTGTGTCATCTTGGTCTTGGTGCATGCGTAGCCAAGGATCGTCATCAACTCTTCAAGCCGGGCATGCGTAAAGTATCGTGAGTTGTCCACGCAGCTGCGAGGGAGAACCACAAAAAGGCAGGGGAACAGCTCGTCAGAAGTAGTTGAAGGCTCGCTTGCAGCTCGAAGAAAAGATAGCGTCCGAAGGAGCATCTGGCCACGCCCTTCCGCCTCGGGCACGAAGTTGAGCACTAGACTCAATGAAATGATGTCGAAAACCTCGGTGTCGTCCTTGGGCAGAGGCCGCTCCATGAAATCTTGCTTTGTGATTCCTGGTTCCTGGCTGTTGAGGTCGATGTGCTGCATTGTAAATATACCACTTGTTGAGCATGCGTTTCGAGTACTTAGTGCTCCAACCTCCAGCATACGAAGCGGCTGAGAGCGCTTCTTGAGGTCTGCCACTGGAAGCCATTCAAGGAGCACCCTCGAGGTGTCGCCTCCTCTATCGAGGCTCTGTCCTTGCAGACTCGCCTTCTGGTAGTGATCAAGCCCGCCTAGTTTGGATAGTTCTGAAGCAAGACGATTTTCAGTGACCTTGTCACCATTGGCCTCGGCTTGCCGTCGCTGCTTCTCCAGCTGATGATGCGTGTTGATGAGACTTCTACTAGCTTTCCGGGACATGGACCGCGAAGATTTGACGGTTGGCGGACGACCAGCTGAAAGGCTTTTTAGCCTTGCTTGCTTCTTAGCTACCATGGTAAAAATCTCTGAAGGTTGATTGCTTGTGTTGTTGACCTTTGAACCCCTTGATGCGTAGCAATCTGAAATAAATTTCATCTTAGTCTCGGTAATGAAGAGCGCGGTATCCAGACTCACCGCTTCAACCCACCACAGTATCGTTCAGTCAGAGTATCAGAACATAATAAGAGACACTATGGTCCTTGAAGATGCATCTTTATCATCACTTGAATAAATTGAACGACTCAAAGTGCTTCTAAACTGCATGTATCACCCATCCTCAATAACTTTCTCAGAAATTGGCTTACCTAATTGAAGTGGCATAAGAGCTTTCGCCAATCACAGCTCGCAGCAGATCAAAAGCGGGGTCTCGATTAGCTAAGTGGTCACTCAACCCTAATCGAAAAACCAGTGAATCCACAGATAATAAATATTCTGAAAAAGGCCCAAACTTTTTTCAAACCTTTCGACCCGACGACAACCAGCACAACTCGACAACTTCGTGCCCGCGACAACAATCGACACAATGGCCGGAAAGGACACCAAGGGAAAGAAAGGTACGACATGATCAGGAGTCGACAAGGGAAAGAGGAGTGAGGGGAAATAAGGGAAATGGCAGACGGACGGAATATTCTTTGAAGCGAAATCGAACAAGAAAAGAACGATTGCAGTTGACGACTACACGACTCGACCGATGTTTCTTGCTCTTGCTCTTGCTTCGATACCATCATACCGTCGATGGGATTCCGACCCGATCCGTCTTCCGATATTTCCTCTCGCCTCTTACTCTTCGAAACTCCTCCCCACCGCATCATGCAGCAGCAGATTTTGCGAGTTCTTTATTAAGGGCGATTGCTGATGCTTTTTGTGTGATATAGCCGCCCCCAAGGGGTCAAAGCAGGCCAACGCTGCCGCTAAGGCTGCTCTTAAGGGTGTACGTTACGAATAATCTTTCCCTTCAGCTTGTCTGGGTCTGGAAAAGAACTGGACTTGATTGCATTTTCACACGAAATCACAATCGTTCTTTTTCCTGTGCCTCAGACTTGCTCCTTCAACCCAGCGTCAATAACTAACATGTGAATAGACCAACTCCCACAAGAAGGTCAAGGCTCGCTTCAGCACCTCCTTCCATCGCCCTAAGAGTATGTGTCTCAAGTCCGCAATCTTGAAAGCTACAAACTAACACTGCTACAGCCCTGATCACTGCTCGTCAGCCCAAGTACCCCCGTCACTCCATTGCTCGCCAGCCCCGTCTCGATGAGCACAAGGTCATCATCCACCCTCTCAACACTGAGAGCGCCATGAAGAAGATGGAGGAGAACAACACCCTCGTCTTCATCTGCGATATCAGTACGTCTAACCTCGCTTACTCTTTCCCCACAATCTACGTTTTTACTAACCCACCCAACAGAGGCCAACAAGAACCAGATCAAGCTTGCTCTTAAGAAGCTTTACGATATCGACACCATCAAGATCAACACCCTGATCCGACCTGACGGTTCCAAGAAGGCCTACGCCCGTCTCACTCCCGATGTCGATGCTCTCGACATCGCTGCCAACAAGCTCTCCCTCGTTTAAAAACACTCTTGGGCTTGTGGGTTTCTGGCGTGTCATTGGGTTGGTTTCTGGTCTGCTGAAAATGCAAGACATGGGCATAGGAAAAGGCGTACAAAGTGCTTCTCGATTAGAGTGCAAATGATCATGAATTCAAAACCGCCCAGTACACTGTCTGTGCCTCTTCGTCGAGTACAACATATTGCAAGATTTAAGTGATGTCTCTGTTGAAGTAGTACAAGTGAACATGAGTCAATTTCGTGACAGCCATTGAAATGCCGATGCTGTGCACATTGCACTCTCAACCTTTAACATACACTCGTTGTAATTATCCATACCTACGGTCACAAGTAGATGTGCTGTGTGCTATTATATAACCATTTCGTTTCTTTTGAGGAGGCGAAAAGTCGCGAGTTCCTTTTCTCTTATATTATACACGGCTACGTTGTCAAAATCTTCAATTGACAATGCCGAACCGGTCCCAGTTACAGACTGAATTTTCCTCATCAGCCCATGACCCGTCTATTTATACAAAAAGTTCGTAACACATGGTTGTGATAATTCTTATCCCATTCGTAAGACCGGTTGTTTAGTTTCGCATGTTGTTGAGATGCTTCATCGTCAGGTAGTTGACGTCAAGAAATCGCTCGACGCAGTTGGCGAGACATGTTTCCTCGGACTTATCGAGCTTAGGGTTCTTGATGTTGCCAGGAACACACTTGTTCCAGCACATTTGGGTCAAGCTGTGGGTTTCTAGAGACATCGGTCAGCTCTACGGTCTCTCGGTATGCATCTCTTGTAGCTGGACGTACGGGCTTGGATCTGAGAGCGCTGCTGCTCGTTGGCAAGGAACTGGCGAAGCTCGCTGCGATCCTTGTCGTTGAGCTTTTCGAGGTCGGCGTTATCGATGTTAAGCTGTTGTGCGCTCATTGTGACGGTTGCGAAGGGGCTGGAAGTGTTGGGCGTGGAGTGAAGCTAGTTTGTTGCAGTTTTGCATTCTGGCTTGGAGTTCAAGATTTTTGATGATGCGCAACTGTTCAGAAAATTGACCAATGATAAGCCAATAATTGCCCCGCCCGCAGTGTTAGCTAAGTCGAAGTTGTCTACTTTCCTATGTCCAATACCTAACACAGTGTTGACAGTTTTGATTGAGGTCTTTGTAACATCATCAGTTAAGAACAAGCGCAATACGCAATGATTTTCCTGCTATTATATGTTCTGTATACCGTCGAAGAGACTACCATAAATGTACCGATCCAACTCCATCACCAACATTTCAAGATACTCAGACGCCATATGCTTCTATAAACAGGATCTAATTACCAAGTATCAAACATTCGCAATGCCACCGCTACATGCCGCTACACGTCTGTCCCATCTCTATAAAGAACACCTCGCCAAATATGCATGTAGCCCCTCGAATCTATTGAAAAAGGAAAACCTGATGTAAGGACTGGCTAGGTTCTCGTAACCAATCTGAACATGCAGAGTTACATGCAGCGCTCCCACTAGATGTAACGCTTCCAACGTGCCAATGCCATAAACAAGATACATAAAAAGGCCATGAACCCTATGATACTGAAAAACGGAGCCAGGTTGGCTGGGGAAACGGTCGCAAACGGAACGGGCACGTTCATTCCAAAGACACCGCTGACCAGGTTCAGAGGAACCAGGATCGAAGCCAAGAAGGTGATCTTGCTAAGAACCTCATTGGTGTGCGTTCCCTGCGCGATGCTGTTGATAGAAACTGTCGCGAGGTAGTTACTGTGCGCTCGGGACAGAATCTTCTCGAAATGACCCAAGTTGGTGGCCATGGTCACAACGTGATCCTGGATATCGCCCAGGTACATTCCGATGTCCATGCGTGGTGTGACTTTGTAGTTCTCGTTGCATCGCTTTGTGAAACCACGGAGGACATCTGCTTTTCCACCGAGAAGACGAAGCAGAGCCAAACAATTCTTGCGAACTCGGCCAATACGACGCAGAAACGAGTTCGAGTCATCCTCACGCATGACAAACACCTCGTCCTCGATAGCATCCGCTTCAAGCTCAATTTGTCGGATGACAGGGCCGAAAGAATCGACAATGTCGTCACTATCAATAGTTAGAACAAGTCCATAAGTCACATGATGAATCAATCAATTTACTCACATCAAAGCATAACAGATCCAGTCGCTGCTGAGAGAGACGTAGTCCTTAAGGGCAGTGATTCGCTTGCGAACCTGAGCAGCATGCGAGTTCGGCTCAAAGCTGAAACTCAGAGTACCCTCTCTAAACACAATGACATATGTGTTAAAAGCCTCATACTCGATGCCATCAGGCTCCTCAACAACTGAGAAGGAACGGAAACAGGCAAAATAGTAAGAAGGGAAAAGTTCAATCTTCTCGCGAGCTTCTTGGGTGATGATATCCTCAATTGTCAAAGGGTGAATACCAAAGGCCTTGCAAATGCTTTGGACCTCTTCCTTGGAAGCTGCGTTGACATTGAGCCACCAGACACCATCTTCCTCTTCATCAGGAAGCTCGAAAAGACCTCGAAGGTCCTCCCCTGGAAGCACAAGGTCACCGAAATCGGCAGCATGGATAGTCGACTCCCATGCAGAGGAGAAGAAACTGAACCGATTCGGATCAATGGGCGCAGGTTGCTTTTCAGCAATCGACCCTTCCGTATGTGTCTGCGCTGTCTGGTTCGTCTTCTCCCGTGTCATAGAATCATCCGAAACGGGCTCGAGAATATCACCATCAACGGTTACCATCCGCTGAAGACGTGATTCATTCTGCTGAGCTTGCATATCCTCAAAGCTCTGCTTGACGGCAGCGGCAGCATTGCGCTCGGCCGTACGCTCTGCCGCACGTTCCGTCGCCTGCTCGTTGATGAAGTTCTCGAGGTAATCGAAATCGATGTACAAGTGATCCTTGTGGTAGCTCTCCTTGACGGGGAAGCAGACATCTTCCTCTGCAGTTTTGTTGGTCGAGAAGCTAGCACCATCGTTATCAATGGTATGGGGCTTGCTTCGGTAACTGCGCTTGCTTGACACAGACATAGCTCGGCTGACTACATCCTCAATGTCAGGCCTGTTGGCTTCAGAGACTGACATGTCCCGTTCTCGGCGGCGAGCCTGGGCAAAAGCCTTGACCGAGTTAGGTGGCGAGATAGAGCGGTCCGTAGAGTCCACGGTAGGTCGGCGGCTGCGACGAGCGCTGGGAGAAAGATCACCGCCTTCTTCGTCAATGATGGCCTCCTCAAAGTCGCGAACTCGGATGGCAGGAGGCGAGACGGCTTCAGGTTCGATTTGACGGGCACCGTACAGGCTGTCAAAGGTGCCGCGACGAGGACGCTCAACCCTGGTTGAAGCAGACCGGTGACGGTGGTCGTCGAGCTCCGGGACAGGAGTATCGTACCCAGTCTGGGGGACATATTCTTCGTGGTCAGACATCTTTGGTTGATTGGTAGCTCGACCTGAAGTTTACTAATTCTGACAACGGCCGGGTATAGGAGATGGATCTGAGTCTATCGGAGAGGGCGAAAGGTGAATTTTGATCTCGGTATTATAATCCCATAGCTTATTGTTCCAATTGCTGGTGTTGTCTGCTGTAGGCAATTATAGACGTCGCACCCGGCGCGGCATTGGCGCGCCGAGTTGGTGTTTGTTCAAAATTGATCGCTACTCGGCGATGGTCGCCTACGGCAGATGTTGATTCGAAGAGGAGATATATACTGGCGCAAGACAAAGGGCGAAGAGCGTGATCTAAAGACCAGTTACGGGGGTTTCTTGTTTACTCCGCTGTAGACCCAGAAGCTGGGACCGAAGAGCGAAGGAAGGGAAACGTTTGAAAAAGCGAGTTGAGCCAACTTGAAAACTTGTATGGACAAAGGCAAGACGCCGTTGTTGAGTAGTCGCGAGGTAAAAAAGGGTTCTCGGGAACGCTTTCGATATCAAAGCCAATTGAAGTGGGAGTTCGTTATGAATCGATAAGAGGATGATGAGCGGCGATAAAGTAGATGCAGATGGACTTCAGGAGTCAGGCGTAGTAAAGTAACCGGTATATGTTTGGGGCCTGAGCAGGGAATAAAGGCAGGGTGCGATGCTGGGGGCCTCTCGTATGACGGGTTATAACAAGGTCGAGGGGCCAATTTCGATACTGGCACGGACAACCAGACGAGATATCTCTCGTGGTTGATTTAGAACCCGGTTATTTAATGTGCACGGGCAGGTGTTAAAAAAAGAGAGATTAGTTGGGTACAAAAAGGAGGTTGTAGGTTGTCGGGGAGCGACGTTGTCAGGGTTAAGTTGATTAAAGAGGAGTTGAGGACTTTAGTAGAAGAAGTGGGAAGGGCTAAAAAAATCTCGTCTTGGTGGTGTCGGGTACCGAATCGCCGCGTATCACAAGCAAAAATAGGTAGCTGGATGATATTCATATTAGTTTTTACAGGGGGGAGAGGCCGCTACTCGCCTGACTTCCACGCACTTGTCCTGCAGGAAGAGCTTGGCCATCGGCCCCTTCCCCGTGCTCGATATCCGGTTCATGGTCTAGGTAACTTAAGTTCCAAGGTTCCAAGGTGGCCTGGGTGTCTTTGTTGATATGCGCCACAGTAAGAAAACATGTCTACGCCTACGCCACAGATGATGGATTTGCGGAATGACTGATACGCCGAAACACTGCATTGATTCAAATGATAGATACCTGGATTAGTCTTGCAAGTATAGTGTGGTCATTTCATGATCAATTTTGGAATATCAGAATCATATCATACATTTCACCTGTTTGTTACCTTATGTCCCATTTGTCACATCGCCATCATTCTCGATAAAGTCAAGCTCGTTCGCCCCCAGCCTACCAATACCGAAGCCTTGGTTACCGGAAACGGCATAGTCCTCGAACCGGGCTCTCTAACAGCCAGGTGTCGACACCAATTCCGACTTAACACTATTAGCGACCGCATTGCATCAGAACGTCCTCCGGCCACAACTTCACGTCGCATTCATTCACCCAATTGTCATTCATTATGGCTGACCAAGCACTCGATCAGATACGAGACATCGTCGATGGCCAAATTGTACATGATCCTACTCCTCCATTTTCCTGATCGACATCTGACCAGGCTCCACTATAGGACTTCGAAGGCCAGAAGCTTGCTGAGCTCCTCGCGACAGTTCTCCTCGTCGTTTCTGGTGTACGTTCTCTACCTCCGGCTTTATCATCTAGCTTCTTCGAATCCGCTGACTGATCGTAATCTAGCTGATCTCGTTCGTCGTCGGTTACATCCTACAAGATATCAAGCTCGCTGTCTACCTAGGTCTCGGAGGTACCGCGTTGACCTTCCTCGTTGTGGTACCGGCGTGGCCCTTTTACAAGAAACATCCCGTCAAGTGGTTGCCGGCGGGTTACGCATACGATCTTGCAAGCAAGGGAAATCAATAAATTGTATGGCCTGCCTTTGACTAGGCCGTGTCATAACTTCTGCAACTATCGAAGCTGCTTGTAACACCTAAATAATCCCCTTTTGTTGATACTTGGTTCTTTTCCTCATAAAACATGATGCTCGGATACGTCGTTCGCATTTCCTTTATCGTCCGTACTTCTGGAACTCCCAGTCGCGGTTGTCCAGAGGACAGACGGATCGAGCCTTCAGCCATCTCGAAATACAATGGAAATGGAAAGCATGCTGTGTTCTTATCAGTCGATAGCCGTGAGATCAGGGTCAAGTGTGACTTACATTGCAGATACCCCAAGCCACGGTGCACTCTTCGCTGGTAGCGGAAGCCTGGTTGGCCTGGCACTCAATACCTGATGGAAACTGTCAGTATTTTGACAGGATGCCGTGAAAGCCCTGAGTAAACATACAGAGATCCATGATGTGGTTTCGACAAATCGCACAGTTGTCGACAACAATATCCCAAGCCCATAGAGCTACTGCATTCCACTGTTCGTTTCCGGTCAGCATGGCTTCGGGAAGCTCAGGACCTGGAAGCGTGTACCTTCTTGACCTCAAACTTCTTCTTGCCTTCAACACTCTTGCTGCTAGAGCCCTCGGCCTTTTTGGCGACAGGCGCATCACTCATCTCCACGTCGGCCATGATGAATGCTGGATTTGAGGTTCGGTGACAATATTGGGCTCGTTTTATACGAAGACGCGCACTAGCTCACTAGCAACGGTTAGATTGGTTCGTAAGTGGTATTTAAGCGCTGCGGATGGATGCGGACGGAGCTGTGTATGCGTGGGTTGCAATCGAAGGTGGAGGTGAAAGACATACGAACGGAATGTCGGACTGTTTTATATGCTGCAGTGAAAGCCTGTCGCTGTCAGCAGGAAGAAAAGCACGGTTTGTTTGTTGGAGACGCACCTTGATGGTGCAGAAAGCAGAAGGAACTTACCGGTGATTCTGGGTGCTGGCTGAGTGAGGTGATGATGCGGCTCTGAAAGCACGAGCTGTAGGCTCCAGTAGTAGTGGGATGCAATATAGATCAGCCTCAGGTCTGCTCTCAGTCTGAGTGGAGGTGGGCGGCTAACTCGTTGCAGACCACCTTGCGCTGTAAGCCTGGCCACAACACACCTGGAGGTAACCTAATAGAAGCCCAGCGAGCAGCGGAGGTCACTTACAGCGGGGCAACGGCGGGGTTGATGGCGAAACACTCCAATCGCTATCAGTTCGATAGGAGATAACCAAGACAACATAGAAATGGCTTAATAAATGGAAAGTTTCGCAAATAAAAGTGAGCAACATTTATACTACGTAAGGTCTACAATGTCATTGCCAACCAGCCCAGGAAGACCTTTACCCTTACATAGCTAGCTACCTTCAACTGTAGATATCTGACACAACCGCCTTAAGAAACAAGAAAGTAGAGGTAACCAGGTGTGACATCAATGCGCTCGCGCCCAATATCCACTAGCCAGATGTGTTGGACCAGTTACACTGAAGTCTGGGCACTGGGCTCCTCCAAGCTTGCACTGGATTGCACTGGACTAGACCGGCGACTCTTATTAACTCGGGCTTCCCTCCTCTTTCTTGTCCGCATTAGTTACTCATTCCTTGAATCATCCATCTCACTTCCTCCTACAACCATGGTCAGATTAGTCGACTCTCTCTCCACAAGAATAGTTGCTTTGTACTCAATCGTCACTCCTGCATCGCTGTTATCTTCACTTTCATACGACCCACCAGAGTCTTAATTCATCAGGGCCTTTGAGTTTCCCTTCGCGACTGTCGCAGGCACGCACAATCGCAAACCACAACAAACGACCAGTCTAGTCTCACTCGACCCTCAGTCTCATCTCCTCCCTCGTGTTTAATCGACATAACCTGTCGCCTCCGACGATATGAGTGAAACACCATCTCAGCCTACAACCACTCCCGCCCGCCGTCGAAACGGTCGGGGGAACGGTCGCCCTACTGCCCAGAAGGCCTACGCTTCCGAGAATGATGTTGCCACCATTGATCCCGCTCGCTACGACCGGGCTCCACGAACTCCTCAAAAGGGAGCTGGTACCGATTCACCTCATGCGCAGCTGAGCCATACCAATTCGAAGCAACGGTCTCGGAACGGGAGCAATAATAACAACACCAATAACAACAACAACAATAACAAACATCGGGGCAAAACTGTGCCCCATTCGCCCGAGTCTGCTCGCCCTGGTCGTCATACTCCTCCGCAGCAGTCTACCTCCATGAAGTCGATTTCTGCTTTCGCCGGTGCCACTTTCCATGCGTCTCCTGCGCCATCTGCGTTGCCTCTTCCTAGTTTTGTCTCTCGGCCAGCTACTGAATCGCCTAGCGTCAGCAGGACCTCACGAGATGTTGTGCAGGAGCCCTCGCCCCCTACCGATTCCGAGGCACCAACTCCTCTGCGTCAGAGTGTCTCGGCTGTTCAGGAATCTCCACTTGACTTTATGTTCCGCGCCCATCGTCAGGAGAAGGAACGTCAACGCAGCGAAAGCACCAGCAGCTTCCGCCCCTTGGGCCTCGTCAACGAATCACCCTCTGGACAATCTCCCTTTGGACCCGGCAGTGTCCCCAAGCCAGCAACTCTTCCCCAGACGGCTCGTACCCAAGCCCGCTTTCAATCTGGTGGTTTCGACAGCACGGAGCTGGACGGAACTCCTGGCCGGCCTATGGGACCGGCATTTTCGACACCTTATCAAGAGCGTATCAGAGCTGCCCGCTCTAACTCTGCACGGTCACCCGCCGAGCTATCTGCCGATCAGCCAAGGAACAACACTGAGCCTGACGATCCCACCGAGGCTCTGAAGAAATTCCTATTCAACGGAAATGGCACAACTGCATCTCGTCCTGCTTCCAACGGGTTTGCGCCAGCACCAGCACCCCAGGCTCCGCATTACAACTATTCTAGGGCTGATCATGTTGTACCGGCTCCTTATGAAGGCCGTTCAAACAACCTTGAAGCCATGGAAAATGACCTTCGACGTATTCTCAAGTTGGATTTGAGCACCGGTTCTCCCAGCACGGAGCGTCGTTTGTTCTACTAAGGAGTTGACGTCTCTGAGCGATTCGTATTTCAGCGTTTTCATTGCTCCTCTTCTGCATATCTTTTCGACTGCCGGCAGTCTACATACGGCATCAACGGAACGTGACATTTTGCGGGACGGTTTTCAATGTTCATTGATGAAGCGGCCTTGTCTCTGAACTTTGGCGTTATCAGAGAATCGAAGACATATCGGAAGGATTATTGATTGGGTCAGGTTTTTGTGATTCAGTTATGGGGTACCTCGGAGTCATCTATTTGATTTTTATCTGCACCTTCGGACTCTTTGCCTTGCATAGGAGTTAGGTCACGATCATGGAAATGTTTATTTCCAGAGTGACAGAGGAGCGAACGGAATGGAGCGGATGTACGTTAGGGTTTCTGGCTCGTATCACGGCATATCATCTTCTTTTTCCGACTGGTTTTTGATGATACCCAAGAGCTTTTTCTGTCTCTCTTTTCGGTCTTGATGAAAGCAAAGCGGTTTGGGGATGATAGACGCGGTGGCGGTTGTGATGTCTTGGTTTCGGAAGCATCTAGGTAGCGATCACTACGCTCATTAAATATAACCTTCATTGCTTGTTTCGCGAGACCAGTATGTGTCATGGCAAGTGTGACGACTGCTCACCAGACGAATTACCGTGGTTTAGTCTATATCTGGAGTGAAGAAAAGATGTTTGCATCAGGGCTCATTCTATTTTTATGGAACATTTAAGAATCGTTTACAATGCTAGATTCATCTCACGTAAAGTATCACTCATGGCCTACCAAACGGTATGATCGTGCTTATTTGATCTCAAACAAGGCCGTAGTAATCCAACCGTAGGTATAGAAAGCAACAACTCTTGAAAGCGCGGAAGCGTGCAATGTTAGTGGGTGTGCAAAAGCTCCAATAGCTTCCTCTCTTTTAAATTGTATGTAAGATAACGTGAACTATAATAAAGTCTTTTATTTATCTTCTACATTCTTATGTGTATTCAGTCAACTCGTTGTCGGAATTTTCGCACGGGACTGTACCTGTGAGCTGTAGGAATATTAGCCTTCAAACGGCATGATATCAAGGCAATGATCAAAAGTGCTTAATTAGCGTTTCTAAAAGATCGAGGGAATCAGCGCCCTTTGGGAAGCCGTCTTATAAAAATATTACTTTACGATTTTATTCAACGGCATGGTACTAGCAACATATCGGGTGTATACGAATTCTAACACGTACATGCTTGTGCATTAACGAACGTTCATAAAACTGTATTTTGAAGTTTCTGTAGGGTTACTATCTGGGGGTAGTATCCTCCTTCAATTGGCGCCAAACTCCAAAGCTAAACAAAGTAGAAAAAACAAACTCTATCGTCCAAACGGCCCTATAATTGAAGAATAATCGGCAGACTCTGTGTTTGTTGAATGAAAGACAGTCCGATTGCATCTGTTCCCCAATAATCATCCGCGCCGAACTCCAAAACTAAACAAACCAACCCATAAAAGACTGAGCTGGCAATTACTTCAAAACAGTCCCTCTGTTCAAAACTAAACGTCCAGAGATCTCAGTCTTATACTCACACTATTCAGGATGACTAACAACAGTGACCCTGAACAAAACATAGTCGATTTTACTGCATCTCAGTTTCGTAGTAGTAGTTGTTTGCGCTCCGGTTTGGGTCCTCAACCTCGTATTCCACCCCCCAGTTTTGCATATGGCTCGTTTGAGTTGGCTGGGGTGGTGGTGGTTGAGAATACGGCGAGAAATTGGCAGGCACGTATGGTGGTTGGACTATAGGATAGTGGCCGGCCGGGTTAGCCATTGATAGGCTACGGCTTGGTGGTGGTAGATTGTTGTATGTTCCAATAGCGTAGTCCGGGGAAGGGTTCAAGTGTTGTTGGTATAAACTCATGCGCTGGTCATGGCCGTGCATGGGACCCTGGCTGTGAAAATGGCCATTGACGTTGCCATGGAGAGAATAGAACTGATCCGAGTTTTCGACCGGTGAACGGAAGTTCTGCTGTGTGAGGAGCTCTGTGCGAGGAATTGTTCCTTTGAGCACTGGGTGCATGGAGGGTGCCAGAAGACGTCCGGACCTGACATCTTCCACGCTGTAATAGCTTACAAGGTGGTGAGGCACTCCTTGATAGGTGATGCTGATGGTTTTCTTGATAAGACCACCCGGCTTGAAGTCGTAGGAGTCGACAAGCGAGCCGACTAAAGAACGTTCAATCTCGTCAATTGGGGTGTTGTTCCGCCTTACCTCCATACCAGTAGGCAGTGAGGTACTTGTTCGTGGGTGTTGATCTTGTGGCTTGTTGATACCCGTTGACGAAGGCTTTTTACCCTTCTTCAGGGCACGCTTTTTCTCGCCAGGTGGGAAAGGCCTCTCCAGCTCTCGGTAAATTAGAAAGTTACCAAGAATGCGACTGGGACTCCAGGAGAGACTATCTGTCCAGCGCTTGATACCAGACGCGTGCTCTTCATAGATGAAGACGTTACCGCTTTTGATTAGATCTTGACGTTCGCGGTCATGTGGCCGTCGGGGGACATGATTGCAACGACCTGTAAAGGTGTTTTCGAAGATAATACTTGCATCAAGGGTGGTATTAATGAAGCCATGATAGGTAGGTTGTAGCGGTGGGGTTGACGACGACATGGCTTGTGATGGTGCTGGTGCTCAACCTCAAGCTTGTACGTGTGGGTGGTTAATCAATGAATGACTGTTGTCAAGTCTTTCAACTTTGGGATTCTTGGTAGAAGGGGAAGTTTCGTTTCTTGAGTGAGGAAGTGAAGGGTCCTTTATATATGTGTGAGATTTGGCAGAGTGATGCACCGAGCGCGGCTTCACTTGGATGAAGGTTTTCCTGTATGGGCTTTGAGTTTGTGGATGTTATTCCACCAGTTTGATTTGCAGCACGGCGAGCGCCTCCTCTTGATGTTGACTGAGTGATAGTCTGCTCAATCTGACGGAACATGGAGAGGGGGAAAAGGGCAAGCAAGTAATGGGGATGGGATAATGAAATGTAATGAAGTCAAGTGTAAGTGGTAAGTGGATGGCTTGGATTTAATGTACCCGAGTAGTTCAACAAGTCGACCTGACCCGACTAGACTTACATGCACTAGGTACCGTACGGAGTACAGGCAAGGGCCAAGCTAGGCTTGCACTTGCAATTGCACTTGCACTTGCTTGGACTTGGGGCCAGGCTTTCGTTGGCTCCCGTCTCCGTCTACTCACTACTACTAGTAGTGTCTGTATCCGGCCTTTCTCAGCTTAAGGTACTAGGTAAGACAGGCAAGCAGACAAGGTAGGTACCTTCAGCACCATACTTACCGACCGTACCTACCTTACTTCACGGTACCCGCGGCCATCATCCTCAGGGATACGGCAGTGGTCGGTGCATTGCGTTGGTACGTTGGTATTGGTAGGGCAGAAGCGAAGATGAAGCCAGGTACGGTACAAAGTACGTACCCCCCTCCTTCCAGGTCTAAGGGAACGAAGGGACGACTGCGACTGGGCCATGACGGGACTGGACATGCCGGGCTCTCCTTCCAAGCCTTGTCCTGTCCACGTCTCCAGGTGTATGTATGGAAGGTACCTACAGTACCGACGGCAGGTGTCTCTCAAATTTCCCAACTCCACTCCACACCTCTCAGGCTCTCACCTCTCATGGATGGTGGTGGCTGGATGATGGATCTGCTATGCGGCCGAGAAGAGAGGAGAAGGAGCGGAGGGGGAGGAGAGACCACGCCAAAGTGGGAGAGACAGTCTGTGGTCTGCAATCTGCAATCTTCAAAATTCAATCTGCAGTCAGGGCCCAGCAGAAAGGTTACTGTGCCTGAATTCAAGGCTATATTTTTTGTCTCACTCTAGAAGAATTCAATATATACCTTGTCTAATTGATATCGAATCTCTAGCGAATCGTAGTTTTACAGTTTTTTAACGTTCAATTAAAAGAAGCTCTTCACTACGAAATTCAAAAGACACCCAAGCTGGCAGTTACTAGATCGACCTGCCCACCTTTTCTCCAACTAGACGGGACCTTACTCAACCCAACCCTTCCCACCCTTAATCACTCCCAAGTTTCGCTCCCTTCTGGTTGCTTGGAGGTATCCGTGCCGTCAAAAGTGAGCCCTGTTTAATAGAAACACGCCTGGGGCTGCACTCAGACACGCCCCTCCTTCTTCCCTCGTCTCCTTCCGTAATATGCATCTGTGACGCACCATACCGTTCTTTCTCGAGGATATGCCATCACAATGCCCTTAGTTATGATTTTCGTCTATCTCGATATCAGGCCTGTCATGTATGTGATGTGTCTTATTTGGCGCTGCAGAATCCTTTGGAACAATGTGTCCTTCTTTAGCTTGAGTCACTGCAGATAAACAATGTTTGAGGCGTCCTATCATGGGGTTGAGCATCTGCTTTCTTTGTCTGGTTCGGCGCGATGACAGACAAACCCCTCTTTCTTTCCATGTGCTCTGATATCCACATCCACCCGACATCAGAGGAGGAAGAAAAAAGAAGGCCAAAGCACCACCACAGCCTCCATAGTGACAACCATCACAGCACTGTCAACTCTTGGTCGGCTCTTCTCTACTGGGGGCCCTGAACGCCACGAGACTACGAGTCCACATTCCAAACAAGGCACGCCATCATGGCTGGCTTCCAGTGTGCTGTGTGTATAACCCCGCACCGTGCCGTATGTACTGCAAATGCCGGCAGAATTTAGAAATGCTGCCTTAGCACGACTGCGATTGCGATGCGCAGCGCAGTGCTGCGCTGCGTCGCAATTTGCAGGTTTTTAGTTCGCAGCTCGCAAGCCATGTTTGAAGTTGGCAACAATAAATGAAAATAGTTCTAGTAAGGAACAGGCTGTCATGAGCACGGTCAACATGGCTATGTATGTGCCCTGCACTAAGGTAGAGAGAGTAATGGCACTGCATCGCATCGCATGGATAGCAATGGTATCCTACCCTGCCCGGAACCCCGGAGGCGGCCGAGTCTTCCGACGCCGGCACCAAGCCCCCGACGGCAACGCTGTCTCGGGTTAGTAGATAGTAGATGGCACTACTCTGCAAAGAGAGTGCTTTGGTGGTGTTTTTTTTTCTGTCACTTCTTGTTTCCGGCCGCAGCAACACAACGTACAGTAGTCGTAGTGTGAATGCAGCCTCGATGATGTTGCATCCCATCTACTCATACTAAAACAATCCATCCATGCGAGAGAATGAGCAACAAGAGAGTCAGACGGGCGTCAGAGACAAGATCGCATGCAGTAGACTAGTGTTTTCTCCGACGCAACCGTTATTATTCATTTCATTATTCCTATTCCAATCATTTCTCTTTATTGCAGGATCTACCTACTACACTACTACCTCCTCCCGGTTTTTGCCAGTAATTAGCTAGTGCGTGCATTGTAGTATTTGCGATAATTGATATTACCGTCTCCTACGGATAATTACACATCTCCATGGTCCAACTTCATGTCATCGTCAAGACTCCAGTCGTCTACGTACTGCTAGCCTCTACGTTACTAGCCTATGTTGCTAGCCTTGTTACCAAAAAAGACAAGACGAGACAAGAGAAAGGATCATGTTGGTTCGTGCGCATTCTTGGGGGTTTGCAATTGTGATTCGGTTTCGCAACGCAAAAAAAAGAAAAAACTGTTCAAAAGGACGAGCGCAGCAGGCCCCAAGCACGTGCCTGCGAGCCTGAGACGACAGCCAAGATGCCCAAACCTTAGTGAAGATCATTTAAGGGTCTCCCGTCTTACGTACCTAATCACAGTCACGTACATACAGGTACAGAAAGTATGTACGTTGGGTACCGTACTAAATCTATCGTCTACCATCCATGATTCAGCTCAGCGCAACCCAATATAATATCATGATACAGACAATGCAGATTATGATACAGTACGGCACAGGATGCAGATCAAGGTCGGTAGGCAATCTGGTAATCTGGTAATCTGGTAACTTGGTGATTAGTCTGCGGATACGGATGCCAGAATCTGGTCTAGAAAGAAGCCAAGACAATGTCAGTGCAACTACATTAGTTAAGGAGGGGGGTTCGGTAACAAAAGGTCCTTGACATTTTCTGGTTCATTTGATTCGATTTGCATCGTATTGGCTTGTATCGGTTTGGATGGGGCTCCAATATTTCCTATCCTATCTCTTCTGGAAACGGGCAAAGGAAGATGCCGTCGTCACAGTAGTTCAACTAAGGAGGCTGAGATGGATGGGATACCTCCGATCCTCTACTGTATCCTTGTTGTAGTCCTTCTTTCTGGTTCTTGGGGTGTCAGTGCCTGGCTGATCCCTGTCGTCTCTTGGGCCGTTTCTCGTCTCATCCTAGGCGAGCTGTCTAGGCTGTCTAGGCTGTCTCTATCTTCTGCTCGTCTTGCTCGCCTTGCCTTAGCTTACCGTGCCAGGCGTGCCTTATCCTGCCGCGCGTCAATTGAGTTCAGATCATGGATGCACTGCCTGCATCATGGGTGGCATATTCCATGTCATGTCATGTCATGTCACTGCACTACCCTGAGAACTGTTACACTAATTACCCCATGAGTAGACGTCTCAGTGTACGAGATGCCCGTTGCAGCGTTGTTGAAATGATTCCATCCATGTCGGTGGGTTATGTATGTCCCCGGACCGACAGCTCAGACCAGTTTTTAAAGGTACCTCATTAGCATTACCTGGTTCTCCTCCCTTGCCAGCAGAAGAACAATAACGGCAGCGAAGTTCGCGGGCATGGGCATGGACATGGGGGATGGACCTGAAAAATGATGAAAATAAAAACGAATATGCATGGTCAAGGATTCTCACTCTTCTCTTTGGACATGGTCATGGTCATGGTATGCAGCGACCTCCGGCATTGGCTTTGGTGCCTGTCTCGTGGGTCTCTGTGGCGCTCTTAGTGTTCTCCACCCGTTCCTTCTCCCAGGTACCTTTTGCCAGGCTCTCATTGGCTCATGCACCTGCCGTTCTGCAGACCATCTCTGCCGTCTACCGTGATTGGCTGCTAACTCCAGTTCTCTTTCTCTTCTGGTCTGCAACACACACACCCCTGCCTGCCCTTTCCCTTTTGTGCTTCATGTCGAGGAAGGGAGGACAGCAAAAGTGGGAGAGCCGACAAGGCGGTACTTCAGCTTCCCATTGGGTGGGATTCTCCAATATGCCTCTGTAATCATGTGTCATAATTGAGGCCTATTTACATGGGTTTTATTGTCGCCCGCCAAGTACCGAAATACCTGGTCCTAGGAGTCGTGATTTGATTTGATTTGATTTGCAAACAGAACCCCAAACCCCCAACTCTACCTAGTTCCAGTTCCCATCTCCAAGCGACAAGGCTTTTGAGATGCCCGATTCTCGCTCCGGCTTGCAATGACCAGACTCCCCAACGTACCAATGTCCCCATCTTATTCTTGGCACTCTACCTATCCTATCGCATCCTATCGCATCGCATCACATCGCCATGGTACCATTTCGCGATTACGTCTTCATCCTCTCTAGTAGCATCTCGACAATGATCTAGACTACATGGTACAGTAGCATTGTCGGTTAACAGCCATTCCTATGCCTCCAAGTTCATGTCGAAACACGAACATGTGCTTACGCAGAGGCCACCAACGATCATACAATATCTTGCCATATTAAACTGAGACTGCAGGGTTATCTTCAGCAATTGTCAACTGCCGTTCTCAAGCCTCGTCCATCCCACTGCCTTCTTACTCATCTTGATCGCTTAGTACCCCAAAAATGGTCAACCAAAGCGCCCTTGTCGATCAACCCTGGACACTGTAAAACCAGGGCTCTTCGCCCGCGCGGTAGCGTCGTCCTGGTCGTTGCATTGGTATTGGGACTGTGCCCTCAAATGCAATGTCAGTGTCAGTGTCTGCGTCTGCGTCTATGCCTGTGGCTTCCTCCCCATCTTCCTGCTTGTGTTTCTGTTTCTGTTTCTGACTCTGTATTTGGCTGTGATTGTGGTCGTCAATATGCTGGCTCGTATCATATCCCTTGTCCGGCTCCCCCGATATCTTCCCCGCCTGCAGCGATGACCGTGCCTGGACCTCTTCCGCCTTGACCTTGGTACTGGTACTGGTTCTGGCGTTGGTGCTGGTGCTGGCGCTGGTGCTGCCACTGAAGCTGGCGGGTACGGTGCTACTGCTTTTGCGGTTGGCAATTTGCACTACAACACCACTCTCCCAATTGCGACAACTCATTTTAGGCTGTCCTGTCGCTCGGTCCTTGACAATGCGGCCCCTGTTCGGCGCACCATAGCCGCAACCGTCAGCATTAGATTCGAAAAGATCATCACAATTGCGTCCCAGTCATTCTCAAAATATCCTGAAGAGGTAGCTAGTAGCGCACTACACAACCGCACCATCGCACTGGCCGTTGGTGCTCGCTTCTTGCCTTGCTGTCTCAAGTTTCCCCATGTCTTACAGAAAAGAGGGGGGAGGGGGTTCGGTAAAGGGTCTCTCACATACCATGCGCTCTCTGACAGATTTGCGCTGCCGACGTAAACCCAGCCAAGAGATGTCTCTGCCGCTTTCGGCTCCCCTGAAATCCTGGTCGGCTCTTGGTCGCGTCGCCGCGGCTCCGCTCGCGTCTGCGGACGCGTTTGCAATTGACTTCCCGCTTGCATCTGTATCTGGGTATGTGACACCAAGATCATCTTGCTATGCATCAAGAGTCCGCCTCTGGTGTTAACACAGTCCCGCACCAGTTCGGTGGGGAAAGTGGGCGAGCGCCACCATTTGGGCTGGACGCAGATGGTGCCCGCAGCCTGCAGCAGCGCGCTCAAGAGTTAGCGTTGGCTTATCATTTTGGGCTGGTTTCCTCGCATGTGAGGACTGTCCAGTTGTTTCAACATCAGCATTGCACACTCACATTACGCCCGCCTCTACTCCTGCCGACTGTCTCATCCGTCGGAAAATATATTCGGAAACGGTCCTTTAGCTTGTCTTTCCACGGGTTCGTCACCTTGTTCTTGGTCGTGCCCGCTCGGCCGGTCCTTGACTTGTATTCATCCAAGCCGTCGTCTCCTGCGAACCGTCAGAGTCGTCACAGTACACATCACAGCAGGTCATTATCATGTGTGGGGTAAACAATCAAGGGGGGTGCACAGTATCAAAATCTCTTTACCTTGACATGCATTGTATATCGCGCCCACCAAGTCGTAGTTGAGTGATCCAAGCGAGGCGCACTGAGGCAATCACTCATCGTTAGTATCAATGCTCCATAGGCTGGTATGGGACTTTAAGGGCACCCACAACAAAATCTACATCGATTAGGTCGTCGGTGGCTAGTCCGAGAGAAGCCACGCTGGTACCCAGCCCGCTGTATCCTGGACAACATAAGTCATTAATGCCCAGGAATCGTCGAAACCAAGCACGTCCACTGACCTATTCGCTTCAAGGAATCTCCTTGATGTCCTCCAGGGCTAGAATTTGTATCAGCGCATAGCTCGTGCGGGCCCAGACATGATCATCAGGCCATGGGCTCATGTCACAAGTACTGATTGGCTTACATGGTGTACACAAACCGAAGGTGCTTAGTTCGCGAGAAATCGTAATTACCAAGGCTGTTTATCATGCTCTCACCAACGCCAGTTGCTGACAGAAATCGGCCGAGCTCGGTGCTGAATGTGGTTGGCCGATAAAGCGCGGAGTCCTTTAATCGAGGGAGGTCGATGAGGAAGACCATCTGGAGAATGCGTTAGCAATTCGTTGTCTCGAACGCCATGAAAAGCGCCTCGGCTCAGCTACCGACATTCTCCATGACGCCAGTTTCGCCCCAGTCATAAGGGACAAGATTGGCTGTTGGGACCACAACTCGAAGATAGTCGGGGTACTTTAGCAATTGGAGCTTGGAATGCATCGCCCCAGGCCCATTCATCGCCGGAAAGACGAACTTGATGCCCGGTGGCGCGTTGGATCGCATCTCGGATTTCTATGGAAGAGTTCGTCGTCAGCATATGGGTCCTGTCCAGTTTGAGGTATCCAGCGAGGGATATCCCGAACGAGTCAGGGTTGCTGATTGACACACACCTGGGCTTCGTTGTCGGCGAATGCCAGGAGCAGCAGCTTGGTCTTTCTCAAGTCGAGTTTTGACATGAGCCATTCATCGTCCCATTGATACGAGCTGAGAAGAGCAAGCTCTAGCTTATCCTTCTGAAGTACCTCTTCGATTTTGATATCCTCTGAAGTCCGCGGATAACCTTTTGCCCATGTTCGTTTGATAGCACCGTTAGGGTAAGGCAGTAAACTGGGAGGCGAGAATCCTGCTACAGTTCTTGACGGCTCGGAGGGTGTCATCCTCTTTGCAGGCGGGACTTGGGCCATATCTTCGTCGTCTGTAGGCGAGCGGCGCCGCTTGGCTAACCTCTGTAGCCTTTCCTCTTCCATTTTCTTGCGATCAAACGAGAGCAAACTGAGGCCTGCCCCGCTCGAACCAGTCCCATTCCGGCGCGAATTCAAGATTGGGGCGCTCGGGATCTGCGAACTTTGCTCGTCCTGGACCTCTTGTTCCTGAAGAGAGAGGGCAATAGCATAGCTTAACGCCTCATCCTCGTCCATGTCACTCCCCAATTCGACGGGATCATGGCGGGATCCAGCCATCTTTTTGTGGTTTGACTCCAGCGGTTCCCAGGAAATGATTTTGGTATGTTCAACTGAGTTTCGGGTGACGGTTTGGAAAGTGTTTTTTTTTATTCTGAAGGGTTCAAGATTAAAGATTAGACAACTGTTTCTTTGTATGTCGTTAAGGTAGTTGATATCCCTGTCGAGAATCCTTGTCAGTGATTGCTAAGACTGCATGGTAACGCGGGGTCACGTGTGGCCGCGTCAAGCAAGCGGCATCACGCCTACCCTGAAGACACGGCTCCAAAGAACCGATAATGAAGAAGTGGCTGACACCTCTTTCGCCATAGTATGGCCATTTTCCCACACCAACAGCGTTGTTTCCAAGGCGATCCATGCCAGTGTCCTTTGTATCCTAAGTACTGTACCTACTCCATGTTGCAGGACGTTAATGACCCGTTTATGGTCCGATATTTCATGCAAAGTGTGAAATGCAAAATGATGACGTCTTTGTAACAGCCACAGCTAGTGTATCAGCCAGTCAGTAACAATCGCTTACAAGGCATGACAGCGCCTTAGACTGCGGAGTGATACGAGAATTACCAGTGACCCCGCGAAAAAGCAGAGCGTGTCTGTACTGCGCAGTAACAAGCTGCAATGTACCTAGAGTACTTACGTAGTAGTAGCCATGTCGTTTTCTGTGTCGTACAGCCACCTGCACGTAGACACCGTCTATCTCCGCTTCACATGGAAGCCCCATCGTCTTGCGAACGCCGATAATGAGGTCCAAGGCGGTTCTTTTCGGGGAATTGCAACGCCCCCATGCAAGAGAAAGTCAATTGAATGACAGCTTTACCATGGAGGGAGCCCAAGAATAATCACGAGTATCAAGGGCACAATCTGGTTGACACGATGCAAGTACTACGTAGATGTGCTGATATTTGAGGTGCACGAGCAACAGGCTTAGGGTAGGTAGACCACCACCTTTTCGTCAAATACTCTCTGTTCAATCGACATCCCTCGCTAACAGTCATGCCAAGAAGCTCTGTTGTTCGATGCTAGTTATTTGTAACTCTGTGGTGTTATGTATATGATCGGCTTGAAACAAATTATGGTCTTTCTTCCGAGTTAATACTCATGGTTCAATTTAAGAGCCAAATGTTAAATGATTACATAGGTCAAATAGTGGGGATCGAGACAAGCACTTTGCCAATTTGACATCGATGAAATAATCAGAACACACACTATCTACAGTAAAAACAAGTGCTGGAGATAGTTTATCTATTATTATCTATGTTACCCAACTGAATGGTCACCAAGAGATGAAAGGCAGTGCTCGTATTTGCGTAGAATTTATGTGATGGTCGTGGGTGACTGACACCTTATTCAACCAAACGGGGCCTGGGATCGTTAACGGGTTTTGTCGGATTCCCCAAACCATGCTTCAACTCCATCAACACATATCCAAGCTAAAGAACGTATCCTTGCAGGCGATTCCGAGCGATTGACGAGAGGGTTTGGGCAGCGCCCGATCATCGAAAAGAACAAGTCGAGTGCAGTGATGAGTCTCTCCGCGAGACTGGCTTGGCGGGCGACGACGAGGTGTGCTGCGATTGCAAGACCTGCTGCCACAGGGTTTGCGCCGAGAGCGACCATAGCTGCATCGTCACGATGCCTCTTCTTCACGAAAGCGCAGTCACAGCTAGATCATAAGACCCAGCCGAAAGTGCCAGAGGAAAAGCGTGCTGTGTGAGTCTGGATTGTTGGATTCAATTGACTGCGCTGACCCAACATACAGACCACCGTCTGTGACGCAACTTGATGCCAAACCATCCCGCCCTGCCGCCGTCCTCCACGAAGATATCTATACGCTGCCCAACATCCTGACCTTCACACGTCTCGCTGCCGCCCCCGTGATAGGCTATCTCGTCTTGCATGATCAGCACGCATGGGCCGTTGGCCTCTTCGCCTACGCAGGTATAACCGACTTGCTAGATGGATGGATTGCGAGGCGATGGGACAGCAAGACTGTTGTGGGTACCGTTATTGACCCCATGGCCGATAAGACACTCATGACCATCCTTACAGTCTGTCTTGCTGTGAAGGGTGCCTTGCCAAGTACGTGCTCTCTCTATTCTGGCCCATCATAACAACTCAAAGCTAACGTGCATGAAGTCTGGTGTGCGGGCATCATCCTTGGCCGTGACGTTGGCCTTGCTATCTCTGCCATATATTACCGCTGGATCTCCCTCCCGCCGCCAAAAACATTTGCTCGCTACTGGGACTTTTCACTTCCGTCAGCTGAAGTGCGTCCCACGACAATCAGCAAATACAACACCTTCCTACAGCTTGCCCTCGTCGGAATCACCACTGCTGCGCCTATCTTGACATATGACCTGGCATCTGCACTGACAGTCATGCAGTAAGTTCCACTAAGTTCTCTTTCTCTTTAAGCTGGACTTTCGCTAATGTTGATCAGATATGTTGTCTCTGGCACCACTATCTGGAGCGGCGCAAGCTATATCTATACAAAGGATGCGGTCAAGATCCTTAATAAGCAAACTCCTAAAAAGCCTTAGAGTTTATTGTGCATGCGAAGCTAGTGACGAACGATGGAAAAACCACGATGGAAACGGTATGACGATACGATCTGGCTCAGTTACATACGGCTTAACCCTGAGTCGAGTTTAGGGGAAAGGCAAAAAGGGGAAGATAGTCTAAGGATAATGATCCACGGCTACGGCCCGTAACTTTGAGCTTGTTGTGTCTTACATATACCCCTGTTGGGTAGCAACACCTGATGAGTCAATAATAACAAATCCAAACTCAAACATAGTCTCTGCATGTATAAGTTAACCTTAATTTGAGTATGTTGAGCTTATGACCCATACATATATATACTTTGCATCCTGTTTAAAACCCCTCTGTTCCGCTTCTAGCAGATAAACGCCGTGCCCATGCATTCGTCCCTAATGATCGTACACTGAATATTCTTATCACATGAATTTCGTTACATGTAAGCTTTGAATTCATATAACCTCTGTCACCTCTGACAATACATTTCGAGCAGGCTTCCGTCGAACGTATGCGAGTAGACGCAGACTTCCCGAAGGAGTCACACCCTCAACACGTCTTGCCTGTGCTAGATTCTCCGGCTTTGCAATTTTAAGCGCCTCTTTCTCTGACAGTGCAAGACCAGGGATATCGTCGTAGTCGAGGCTGAGGGGGATACGCACACGCTCGTCGTTTGTGAACTGTTTGCGCTCCGTCTCGGCGATTTTGATGTACGGGGCGTAAAAGGCCTCGATTGCAACACGGTTCCGTACACGCGGCGAATAGTCCATAATACTCGGCACGACTGATGCAAGCTGCTCAAGCTCAATGCGGGTAGTTGTGCTTGAAAGACGCAGCATGTCGATGCCATCTCGACGGGTAGTGTTGCGTTTGAGATAAAAACCCTTTTCTATCCACTGGGTTGGACTAAGGGATACTGACTGCAGGGCTTTTGTGAGGCCATCCATCTGCTCTCGTTCATGACGATAGCTACTCCAACGCTTGTCGGATATGACACCCCATTCATGGCCCTTTGACGTTAGGCGGAAATCAGCATTATCGGCACGTGCTGCCATGCGGAATTCGCTACGAGAGGTAAACATTCGGTAGGGTTCTGTGACACCTTTCGTGATAAGGTCATCCACCATGATACCGATGTATCCATCACCTCGTGCAAGAGAAACACCAGGAAGACCCTTTGAGGTACGTCCTGCATTGATACCCGCGAGAACACCCTGGCCAGCTGCCTCCTCATACCCTGTTGTACCATTGATTTGGCCCGCGAGGTAGAGGCCGCTAATGGCCTTTGTCTCTAATGTCGACTTGAGGCCACGGGGGTCTATGTAGTCGTATTCAACCCCGTATCCGGGTTGAAGCATTTTGGAGTTCTCGAGCCCTGGAATTGTGCGCAAGACCTCTTGCTGCGCCTCCTCAGGGATAGTCATTGACAGCCCGTTGGGGTAGATGACAGGACTCTCAAAACCTTCGGGTTCAAGCCAGACGATGTGTCGTGTCTTGCCTGCGAAACGGATGATTTTGGATTCGAGAGAGGGGCAATATCGCGGGCCTCTTACGGTCTCTCGAATGTGGATCGTCTTGTCGAGGTTGTCACGTACGACCTTGTGGGTTTCTTCGTTTGTGTACGTCACACTACATGTGAGCTGCTCCTGGACTGCCACTGTCTCGTTGAGGTAGCTGAATGGAGATGGTGGGTCGTCGCCATACTGCTTCTCCAGAACGTCAAAGTTTATGCTATCTCGGTCGATTCGCGGAGGTGTGCCTGTCTTGAGTCGTCCGAGTTGAAAGCCTGCATCACGCAGCGATTTGCTCAGCCCGAATGTGGCCGCCTCGCCAAGACGGCCGGCCGGATACGCATTTAGGCCTATGTGTATCTCGCCTCCGAGGAAGGTTCCAGTGGTTATGATGACTTTGCTTGTTGGGAGAACCTGACCTGATTCGAGACGGACTCCAGCAATGCGACTCGATGCGCCATCTGTCGAATCTTGAGGGGTAAGAACGATATCGGACACGCTGTCAAGTACGATCGAAAGGTTCGGATAGGAGGAGAGCTCGGCCTTCATGTGCTTCTTGTAGAGGTCGCGATCGATTTGTGCGCGGGGTCCCTATTGCGAATCTGATTAGCCATCAACTCTTGTAGCACTCGAATATGTTGACAAACCCAGACAGCAGCGCCCTTCCTTCGATTCAAGACGTGAAATTGCACGCCCGACTTGTCGATAATTCTCCCCGCTAGACCATCAAGCGCATCGATCTCTCGGATAATTGTGCCCTTGCCGATACCGCCGAAACTCGGATTGCAGGAACACGTTCCCAGATTATCCATCTTGGGCGTAATCAAGGCTGTTCGCGCGCCAGCTCTCGCAGCAGCAGCACATGCCTCGGCGCCAGCATGACCACCTCCGATAACCACGACATCATAAGGTCTACGGTGGACTGTTAGTAATTATTTGCGACGCCATGATGGGTGGCTAGGACTCTCTGCACGTACTTTGAATCGCCAGAAACAGTTGCAAGATATCGTCGTCTCGTGACTGACCATTGATGCCGTATCACGGCCGCCCTAGGTCTCAATAATAAACGCATTTCATTATAGTGAAAGTTGTAAAATTTGCCTTCATGACGACTGAAGTTCGAGTTTCGGGGTGCTCAAAGTACGTCGCTAGAGCGTGCGCTGAAATTTTATCCAATCAAAATGCAGAATTAACATGCTGTCCCTTCTGTATGATTGGACTTTGCTATGATGAAGGATGAAGGTATCATTCTATCAGCACAGAATACAATCTTAGATCTCGCCATATCAATTAGATGTCATTAACGTAGAATTGCTCAAAATTATCGCTGCAACTGAAACAAGCTCTCATCTATTTATGGTGTTTACCTTCTGCCTCGACTCTCGGGCCATGAACTCACAGCATCATCCACCTCTTCCAGAAACGTCGCCGAGTTATGAATCGTTGTACCGCCTAAAACAACCCGTACGCCCGGGCTTGACGCATTTAATTCTGCAATCATCTTGGCCTCTTCATAAGTGGCACCGCCAACGATGAATACAATAACATCTTGAGGTTTATCTTTAGTAGAGCCACCGCCCTCCACAAAGGGATATTGTTGATCCTTCAATCTTCCCTTGATCAAGTTCTGTAAAGTGGTCTCTAAGAGCGGACTGTGTTGTGTGTAGACATTCTCTACTCCCTTGAGTCCCTTGAAGCGGTTTGAAGTAGCAGAGAAGATGCCTGCCGACTCAAAGATTTCTGAAATTCCACCCTGAGACTGTGACGCCTGGAGGGATGTGTGATACGCCGTCAGCTTGCCGACCAGATCTGCTTCTCGTGGGGACACATTTCCAGCAGCAACAAGAAGATCTGTGAGCATAGCCAAAGAGTTGGAGGGGTGTCTATGATAGCGAAGAGCGTACAAGGCAACAAGGCTCATTTTGTTCTCTGGTGTGACGTTTGGTGATTGGATGAGACGTTGAATATTCTGGTACTGAGTTAGCATGCGGTCAGTTTTCATGTGAGAGAGACAATACCTTTACATCTGTTCCATGGTTCTCATTGCAAGCTAGGCTTTGCTCCAGCTCGCTCACTTCTAGCAGGTTATCGGCTGCCACACGTCTGCTGAGCTCCGACACCAGAGTAACGTGCTTGCTGACATTGCCAGAGAGCTTGCGAAACTCTGGATATTCCTCGATAAATCTCTTCATATCGGATATTGAATCAATGTTCTCATTATTCTTTGTCTTGGATTGAAACTGACCAACGTATTCCTTGATGTTACCTCCGAGATCACCGAAATTAAGGAACATGTTCTTCTTGAAGAACGGATCTTGATCCTGGGATAAGACAATTTCCTTTTGCTCTGGACTGATGTCCGGAACATCACTCAGATCAACGCGCCCGTTCTGGATGCCCAATAGGTGATGAACCATAGCCTGATATGTCCATTGCGTAAGCAGCGGTGTTACCGGATCTTCGCGGCGATCCAGTACAAGAAGAATGGGAGGGGTGTCGACTTTTCGAAAGTCAAATAGGGAGTTCTCTTGTGTCATCAGATATCGAACCTCTGTCGCAAGTTTCTTCGCCAAGGGACTCGTTTTTTGATATCTGATAAGGGGCTTCTTCTTCAGTGAGAGCAGCACAGCAACAAGACCCTCTGAGCACCGCTGCAGTGAGTCGGGGTTCCATGTATCTGGACCCCCAGCCCAGATGCGTTGTTGAGGAAGAGTAAAACCAAAGGAGAATAGGTCCGGGTTGATAACATTATAGTCGGCGAAATGCTCTTGTACCAGCTTGACCACCTCATGATCATCAGCCTCAGCCAAGCGTTCCAAAGACGACTTTTTGACAACATTTGTGAAGTACAAATGATACTCGCCATACTTTGGGTCTCGCAGCTCATCTATAAGTAGTTGGATTGATTCAGGTGATGGCCGAACGAAAGACAGACATCTCAGGTGTCGCATCTTCTCGCGAGCTGTATTGTCAAGGCGGTCGATGAGATAGACCTCATGGTTGAGGAGGGCTGACTGTGTGACCGCAGTTGAAACGATAGAGACAGTTTCTTTGTCGAGCAGAAGGATTTTCATCTTGGAGGACGACGTATCGCTTGTCGCAACCACCTTGTTGATGTACCCCGAGACTGCTTGAGCGACGTCCATGGTGATGGTTTAGCAGCTCACCGAGGCCGCGTAGCGTAATACTCTTTGCTCGCAACTATACGATATGTCGGTAGCAGAACTAACAAACGACAATATTTCTTGAATTTGAAATCGTAATTAGGCTGTGATTCTCTGTTGCGCTTGTCGGTGATAGCTGTTGTTGCCAACCTCGAAGGACACCTCTGGAGGTGAGAGGTAGGCCCCACAACGTCCTGCCGCCCTGACACATTACATAATACAAAAGCTAGCTGCTCAATGGCCACAACTTCCTTCATCACCAGTGACATCAGAGCAATATTGAATACAAAGCATCGAAACGATGCCTTTCTTCTCTTGATTACTTGGAGCTCAATGCACCAAAATAACACAAAATAGACGATAATAGCTCTGAGTAGCCTGTCTGTTTCTCAACCCACAGTCATGGCTGACGATATCTGTCCCCAGTCAACTGAACCGACGTAAGTGAACCTGGGAACCTTGCATCATGGGAAGTGCTCAACAAGGCTGACATAATACCTTGCATAGTTTGTCTTTTACACAGGGTCTGATAGTTGGGCAAATCTCAGTGGTTCTGGTGTTGGCTGCCTTCATCAAATTCTTCATCTTTGGTGACCCTCCGTCACCAGATGTTACAGCTTCTCTACGAGCTACTGAAAGACGGTCAAGGACACTTGCTCATAAGCGCTCGCTGCTAAGTCTAAGAAGCTCTGGGAACCGTCAAGATAGAGAACTCAGCCGCAAGAAGTCAACTGTCCTTAGGAGCCCTCCTGCACTTACCATTGGGTCAATCCTAAGCAAGACGTACTACAATGTCGACAGCCACCAGCCTGAGAGTTTGGACTGGTTCAATGTTCTTATTGGACAGACTATTGCTCAGTTCCGCAGCGATGCCCAGCATGATGATGCAATCCTAGACTCTCTTAGTAAGGCCATGAACGGGGGATCAAGGCCGGACTTTATCGACGAGATCAGGGTCACAGAGTTAAGTCTTGGCGAGGACTTCCCAATCCTGAGCAATTGTCGAATCATTCCTGTTGATGAGGATGGTGTGAGCCTGGGTCCTGGAAAGAAGTTCGACCCGGACACTGCAGCAAGAGATGGTACGCGTCTGCAGGCGCGGATGGACGTTGATTTAAGCGACATGCTTACCTTGGCTGTGGAAACAAAGCTTCTCCTCAACTATCCGAAGAAACTCTCCGCAGTACTTCCTGTCGCATTGGCTGTCTCTGTGGTCAGGTTCAGCGGCACTCTTTCAATCTCTTTTATACCAAGCAATCCCTCTCAGTCCACCCCCACAAGAATGATCTTCAACTTCCTGGACGATTATAGATTAGACTTCTCTATTCGAAGTCTTCTCGGCAGTCGTTCTAGATTGCAGGACGTCCCCAAGATTGCCCAACTGATAGAAGCTCGTCTGCACCGTTGGTTTGATGAGCGAGCTGTTGAGCCGCGATTCCAGGAAATTGCCCTTCCAAGCCTATGGCCGAGAAAGAAGAACACGCGAGGGCCGGATGACGGCCTCGCCGAAGGAAGTGTTCCCGTTGGCCGGTCAAAGGGTAAGGATAGCGGTAGGGACCCGAGGGAGGAGACACGGGGAGGAGATGCAGAAATTAGGGATCGAGGAACGATTCGGCAAAGGCGAGGAACGAGAAGTAGTGACGGAGATGACTTCTCGATGCCAGGATCTCTCCCGGGGTTTCAGATAGCAGCGTAATAGGTGGATGGATGCCTCCAACAAAATACAATCTCTACTCGAACCCTGAAACGATTGCTCGATCTCCATCTTGATGATCCGGAGGATGCGATGGACTAGTTGTTTTGACGTTCGTAGCAATTGGAAGCTCATCTCACGCACAGACACGAAGCAGAACCGGCCTTTTGGGTACTCCGGTCCTGCAAGCACTTAGTCAAATATGTTGGAGGGGCCAAAATGTGGCCCGTGGGGGATTTCTATTTCTTTTTCATGCAACATAACATGTTAAGATAAGTTTCCGATAAAATGCATAAGTTAAACAATTTTAGAACTCGGCCAGCGACATGGATGTCTCGGTCAATGAATATAGGTTCTGCCACCAAGCTACTAGGCCGCCCACTAGGAGCACGTAATAAACGCCAGTCCAAATCTTTCTCGAAGATGCGACGGACGGATCACCCTCTGGTAGCCAATACGGATCAAGCTGTCCCCAGAGACGTGGGAGACCCATGCAATTGCAGAAAGTGTGCACGAGGACAACACCCAACAAGCTACCAGTTCGTAAGAACAGGAACGTGGCATATGCACCAAATAGCGAAGTATACGACAGCTGGAGCAAAGACCGTGCAATAGCAACGGGCAGGGGTGTACGAGGATGCGTGATGCGGAACTCGTAGAAATGGTGAAGGTGAGCTAGACCGAAGATGAGCGGCGACATGAAGATGGTACCAGTGAGGCTGGCTCCGGAGCGGAGGAGAAGAGGAACACTAGCAGAGCGGAAGAGACATTCTTCGGTGATGGGACCCTTAGAAGCAATTAGCACATGGATTGAGAAGCGATATAATTAAAGAAGTGGCCCAAAAGGAAAAGACTGTGGGGATGGACAGCTGAAGATTGACAAGGGAAATACGACAGGATCTCAATAGCGATATCAGAAGTTTCAGATTGCACGTACCGCTACCAGATTTCTCCAAGTGGGCCAGTCAGTCCACAGATCCCTCAAGGGCTCAAGACGAAGCCATTGATGAGCCGCGCCATCAATGACGAGAGACTCATACAGGGGACCTGCGAACAGCAGGGCAGTGAGTCCCAGAGCCCGAGCAGCATCGACAAGTCCTAGTGGCCAGTAGCCCATGAAGTGCAAGGGCTCGCGGACGGCTACAGCGCCATGGGCAGAGAGCAGATACAGCGTCACGAGCGAGCAAATGGCCGTCGAGAGCGAGACGACAAAGATGCGGGCGCGGATAGCCTCAGGAGCATCTCTAGAGCGTGTAGGTGAAGGCCTAGTTGCAGCTGAGAAGTAGAGAGGGATGACGTAGACGAGGCAGTAGACGACCTTCAGGTATGAGTTAGTATAGTCAAAAGAGTCGACTGAGTCAGGGTTGGATATTCTGCTGTGGATTGGTTTTGAGTGAGGCTCACCAGCAAGGCTGCGGCCTGAGGCGGTGCGAACCCCGACAGGCTCATGATAGACATTGCAACGTCGAAAGCGATATTAGATATTAGATATCCGTATCCGTAGTTTAGAGGTTTCGTTCAGCGATATGAAATGTCTTATATGAAGAAGTGGAGGAAGTTGGGTTCAAAGAGGCTGGGGCCGAAAGGACGTTTGCGGGACTGTTTGTTCCATGGGGCAAACAACGAAGTCAGCATTAGAAGTGTTTTTTCTTGTTTGTCAAACAGACGAGACTTATATAGAAACCAACCAAAACTACTACTAAGGAGGAAAAGAAACCGTGCCTTAATCAAAGAGAGGCCCTCACCAGCCACATATTGGGCTATTCCTATTGTTCTCAGAACTATTGTTCCTGTCGTGTGTGTGTCCTCAAATCTGCTTACCCAAGCACCCGTTCCAATAATATCTAGACTTCTGACTCGCTGACATGGAAAAAACGAAAGTTGTGCAGGTATCTACGGGAACTAGTGAAAGATCGTCAGGGCATTTTCTCCTCCACTGGGTCCTGCTGCTCTTCATTTTACTCTGCATATCGCTTCATGGGGGTAATGCACTGTTGTATGCGGTGAGCTGCGTGGCACAAGAGCTATCGAAAGAAGCGAAATTATGTGGAGTTGGTATAACACCATGGTCATGGATAAGCCAGACAAGACACGGTTATTAGCTGAATTATCACATAAATGTCTTTATGAAAAAGCACAAATATTCATCAAATATCTGTACTCATGATTGAGCAACGGGACATCATGGATGTTCCTCATGCTCAGCCACGATATCCCCCGTGCCCCTTGGCTAGCGAGGGCAAGGTCACGAATCAAGAGATCCCAGCCCAGACGGTACCTGCATTAGTGAGGTCCAACGGGATACCAGTGCTAAGGGAGACGAGTTTCGCAAGGACAGAGCCCATGATGTACTGGCTATCCGTAGACCCCTAAGTGAAGATGACCGTCTTGGATAAGGGTGCGACGATGATCAGAGCTAACATGACGGTATCGACCCGGGAAAACCACGACTAAGTCGAATACATGACGGTGTGAACATGAGACAATGTTGTGGTTACAGAGGGTTCCATTGGAACCTTGGAGCTGGGTTAGTGGTAGATAATGGTATCAAGTTCTTTACTTCTTATCTCTGATGCTGAGAGAAACGCAAAGTCGCAGTGTTCTACTTTGTACTCCACACAGCTGGACTCCTGGAGGAGACGACCCAGAAAGTTGTTAACAATCATCTAACGTTACGGAATACTACCCCCTTGTTCCGGAGCCCGGAACAGATCGAGGCTCTGAGAGACTGAGACCCATCCATGACGGACGCTAGATCCAAGAGAGACGCGACAGAATCAACGCGAGCTCGACACGTTTACGGATAGTGGTAGACGAACGGATGTTAATATTAGATTGCGCGCGGCAAAGTCACTGCAACGGCTCCAAAGCTTAAAAAGATGTGTGGCTAAACCATCGATTGCCGTCGAGGAATGGCCATCAATGTTTCTAAGACAGAGTCAAAGAATGCATCTCGCAGCCCTTGCGGCGACCTGGTGGAGAGGATTTGCATGTCTTGACCTTTCTGCAGGTCTTTGTTTCGAGAGGCGCTGCTCCCCTCAGCGGAACGGGCGCCGAGACAGAGCACTTGGCTCGGAGGTACTTGCAGATAGGCTGGGTTTGCTAGATGAGAGATGTATCTTGCCAGCTCAGAACAGCTGGAGCACTTTAGGTAAAACAAGCGCCTGGAAGAAGTAACACAGAGGTGGCCAGTTTGCGGTCATCGAGGCCAGCTGTACCTGAAAATTGGGGTTTTCTAGACCACATGTCGAACCTTTCTCAGGATTTCAGTCGTTCGAATAGCCGGCAATAGCTGAGGATGCGGATACGGATGCGTTCAACTCTGCCGTGATCTTCATAAATGTGTGCTTGGCTGCATCCATGTTCCGTAAATAAGCACCCATTGATGACCTGCCACTTGGCATAGGTGGTCCCAGTAATTTCTCCAGGCCTTGACACTTGCCTACGTTATCCAGCTCCTGTTTGCATCGCACAAAAGAGACAGAGGCTATTGGCAACTTGCGACAGTATGATACGGTACCTAGCTGGGGGGTTGTTGGTTGGCACACCAAAGAACCCTTGTCTCCGTAATAGCGTCGATGGTCCAACCAGCTCGGACAGATCCGATCCACAACGGCACAACCTTCAAGTGCAGTTCTTGAACGTTATTGTAAAGGTGTTTTTGAGGGACAAATCAGAGCTCGTAGCTGGTCTTGAAAGAGAGTCTGTAGATCCCCTATTCGGAACTCGCCAAGTTGATTCGCCATGTCCTTTCACACTCGAGTATCTTGCAAAACGCGTGGAAAACTCTGTGTTAACAGAGATAATTAACCAATTCACCCTGCTTCGTCAAAGTTGCGGTGTCGATGTCAAAGTCAATGTCTTGCCCATGTCCTGCCCTGCCCTGTCTTTTGCTCAATCCTCAGTGTCAGAGCGCCCCTATCTCCCTCAGGTCTCCTAGCTTGATGACTTGGTCAAACCCCCTGTCTCTACTACTCTCCTCTCCAACGGTCCCATCTCCGTCCCCATCGCGTCTGCAGGAGTAACCCTGTTGCAGCAAGGTAATATCCCAGGACCGCTAGCTGCAGAACTGGGTGCAATGGCGCTTGCAAACCACTGGCTCCGGGCATGTTTACCCACTCCACGTCACTGATCCAATTCCATTCCAGCTTGTTGTAGGCTGTGTCTCCAGGCCTGAAGGTCGGTAGACTCTCTAGGAGGTACCTAGGTAATTAGGCTCGACTCTGTAAGGGGAGGCAGGAAGGGCCTGTGTGTTCGGGTCGTTCCATACCCTCGTCGTTTCCCTTCGTCTGCGCCTTTAGTCAGTACTAACTAGGTACCGCACGACCTGGAACAAGGAAGGCTGGAATTATACCCGCAATACGGATGCAGCTTGCTCTTGCTGGTTTTGCTCATCTAGCTTTGCCAGGCTTACCCAGACTGGCAGACTGGCCAGACACAAGGCAGGTCGCTCCTTCGGCCGCTAATGGCCAATGGTCGCATGTGGAGGCCCGTTGTTGCTCTTTTAGCTACCTTACCCGCCCGCCGCTTCCCCATGATCCCATTCATGGATCTCTCGTCTCTCTCTTTCTGACTGTCGTTTCGTCTTTTCCAACCAACCTACATACACTCACTATAATCGGCCGCAGGCCAGTCACTCATTCAGCCTTTTGGTATTCCACACACTCTTTACACTAATTAGTTATTGCTTGCTCTTGCTCTTGTTCTTCGTTCTCATTCTTCTTGGTAATTTCCATTTTTGGCGATCCAATTCCTCACTTAATCAACCAAGATCGAGTCGTTTTTTAATTTTCTGGCGCCCAAACACCACGATCCACATCGCGATAATTCGACAAACCCCAGCTTGTTTCGCATTGAAAAACCTTGATATTTGCTCAACATCTTTCTTCGGAACATTCGGAGATCCATTAATACGATTCAACTTCTGTGGTTCTCAATTGCCTCCTCGTCTTGTCCGATATCTCGGCCGTGGTCCTCTAGTCGACCTCCGAATTTCTCGACCCACCTCCGGCCCCGATCCAGTTCAGCATCACCGTCGACAACTTGATAGGATTCATAATCCGGATCTCGGTCTTGAGTCAATTGTCTTGCCAATTACGAGGGCAAGCGTTTTGAAAGTTGTTTTTGGTCTTCCCATGTCCTGGAAAGCACAATCATTGTCGCCTTGTGCGTAGAGCATGTCGGTCTCACCGTCCAGCTCTTCGCCGCGCAAGGCATTACATGAGCGTAGCAACTCTCAAAATAACCGTCTCGCAATTCGAGTAGTTCCTTACAGCCCCCCTCGCGTTGCTTCGGATGGTACCATCACGTCCAAGACTGTTACACATGCTGGTGCGAGTACCGAGACCGATGGAGAGCTCGATCAGACACGTTCCTCGACGGCGCATTCCTCAAGTTCTTACTCTGAAACACCAACACCATCCCTGCAGAGAACCCGGACTCGAACTAATACAGTGCATTCTCCATCACCATTGAAGCGTCCTTCTCGATATCCGTCCTCAGAGTTCGAACATGGATCTTCCCCCTGGGCGCCGCATTATGATACCGATGCTGATGATCATACTTCTTATGCTTCACGCCCACCTTCCCGTGGGCCCTCAGCATCACCAAGGCCTGCCTCTCGTAAGAAGGTTATCCATGTTAACGCCGATAAAACCTTTTCCATACAGCCTCAACATGCTTCGATGTCGTCAAGAGTCGAATCTCTCTGGTCTCTACCTCCATCATTCACCACTGGCAACACTTCTTATGGTCGAGGATCAATGGGCACAATCGGTGATGATCGCCACAGCCGTCCAACATCACCTTTGACTCCTCTTACGGAACGAGACCCCAGTTCTCCAGTTGTTTCGTCTCGCCTTCAAGCTCCGTCTACCCCTGATAACTCATCACCATGGAACTACCGCTTGTTTGGAGGTCTGCGTAAAGTGCCTAAAACTCCCGATGTGAAGCAAAAGCAGCCCCAGACACAAGACTACCCACCTGAGCTGCCTCTACCTACCCTGCCTGAGGTTGATCTTCCCAATCCTGAGACCGGTTCGTCCTCTCAGTGGCTCAATCAAAAATCGTATCAATCCTCGTTGTCATCACAAACCAGATCAACTTTATCTGAGAGAACCAACATCAAAACCTACGGGCACAGCTCTCCTGCTAACATTGCAGACCTAACTAGCCTGCCGCCTTCGTCAATTCGTTCCAACGTCGAACTGATCGGTTACCCTTCCTCAGCAGAGGCCTCTCTGTATGCCAGTACTCGTCCGCAAACCGAAGACAGCAACGCCAACTTCGTAACCCACGGCGGCCACTCAGCTTCCTCCTCTATCGTTGCTGTCAGACAACGTGTGGCCCCGGAATTTTCTCAAGAAAGCTTGGTTGTTCCTCCTCTGCGTCCACGAAAGAGGAGCTCTTCGGAAAGCTTTGCTCTTGCTGCGCGTCGATCCCGTGAAACCCTCCGATCACGATCCGCTTCGATAACCTCATTGTCGACCATCTTCACTCAAGAGGCTACGCGCGCCTTATTCGTCGGACCACCAACAATTCTGCAACAGGTGGGTCCATCCTGGCAGGACCTGCAGAACCGGTCGCAATCTCGTGGTCACCAATGGAGTGGCCAGCTGTCGACAGTGATGTCAGAAAGTGAGGGGGGTAGCGAGCCTGCCTCCCGGGCTCTGTCACTTTCTTCTGCTCCTGGCCGACGTGGCAGTGGCGTAGGAAGCAGAGACAGCAGACATGTCCTAAGCATGACTTCTTCACTTTTCGGCCTCGAAGAGCACGTCGAAAGCCCTTCCCATTCAAGAAGTAATTCGATGGAATCCCCCGCTGCAACGTACGCTCGAAACACACCACGCGATCCAGTAACTGGTACTATTCGTTTGGTCCGCGATCATGATGAAGACGGCGATGGTCTCGCTGATTTAGGTCTTCACCATCGTTCATCGCGAACCCGGATGGGAAGATTTTTGTCAAGTTATGCCTCGGATCGTAGTCTTAGATCATCTGCCAGCTTCAATGCTGCTGTCCCTGCCTGGGCTAGGTAAGTTTCACGACAAGGCACGACACAATACGACCTCAAACTGACCGATCATAGGGTTTACTATGGCAGTGGCGAGCGCAAATGGCTGGCTGCCCAACCTTCTATGGACTCCATGTACTCTGACTACAGTGACGGCCAGCCACTAGAGGCACAACTCAGTCGGTCGCCTAGCCAGGATGCAAACGTTACGAACATACGCGTCCCTAGACGACGACCCCGCGACCATTTCCCCCGACAACCTTCAAATGCAGGCTCTATGGATATCAGCTCAACACCAGCTCATCCTGTCATGGCAGTTGTACGCAACATCAAGAAGCAAACCTCCAGCATCTGGTCACCTCATCTGGCTCGAGACCGGCGACCTGTTGAGCATAGTATTTGGGAGCCTCCGGCAGCCGAGTGGGAAGCACAGAGCGAATTGACAGGGCGACGCAACGCTCAGGTTACTATGTTTGTTGTGGGATTCATTTTCCCATTAGGTATGTTTCAAGACAACAGTGAAGGAAACCTTTTCTAATGCAACTTAGCTTGGATGTTTGCCGCATTCATTCCCATCAAGCCGGCTACTCCATCCAACGATATTGAGCGGAACGATAGCTCGACCAAGCTGGACAAACAAAACAGCCAAGATGATGCTGTTTTCACAAGTGCTATCTGGTGGAGGAAGGTCAACCGAGGCATGTCCATCATTGGCTTGCTCATCCTTGGTGCCGTCATCGCACTCATTGTGATTGGCGTCCAACAACGCTGGGGACATTGATTTCTTTCACCAAAAAGATATCCCGTTTCGATGATTTGGATCAGAAAGACCGGCATGATCCTAAACTCCACCATGACGCTTCACGGCATCTCAACGATTGACGACGCATTACGATTCATTTTCTATTTTGCTCGAGCCATTTTGATATTTTTCAAGACTCACGATCTTTATGCATTTTGTGTCGAAAGACCAACGACCAACGATTTCTTCCCAGGAACACCATTACGAGGGGCGCGGGTATTTTACACTTTGTTTTTGTCTCGACGTTCCGACGGCGTACGGCTCTTCATTCAGACGTCTTATCTACGTTGCGGTACGCCGCTTTCCTGGATATTTTGTTCTGATGAAGACCTGGACAAAACGACCTTTTTTGAACGCCCTTAATGGGCCATTTATATACCTAATCAAGCAACTCATCATATGCACGACATATACACATGTACAACTATGTTTGGAATTGATAGCGATGCTGATATGAGATGGACAGCTTACAGCATAGACACTCATTTCACGATACCATGTAATTCAACAGCACAGAGAAACAGGCTGTACAAGGATACTATTACACATTAACCCAGATATACATAGACTAATGAAATGGAGTATAATTCTGCTAATATTGATATGTGTTTTCATCAACTGATTCGCGGCCGTTTCCTTTGTCAGCTCGTAAGCCCCCAGCACCTAGAACCGCTCCGTATTCCAGGACGCGCTTGTCGACATTTAGAATTTGAGATGGTATATGCCATTGCTAATGATGGACTCAAACTCGTATTCTTTGTCATCTTGGCATGCCTGAACATCTGCCTAATGCGATTCAATGTTCACCTTGGCCTTTCTCTGTCTCATCAGCATCTCGGCCCTGATCTCTTCGACAGCTTCGCTAATATCACTCTCAGGATCCTTGGAGATACCTAGAATAGGCTCCTTGCCGGACAAGCTATCAGTAGAGATGGAGTGCTCAAGCTTGACACTAGCACGGCCTTGACGCTCCTCCAGCTGCTTTTTGAGGATAGATTTACCAGGAGAGTTGAAAAAGATGAGAGATAAGACGGTCCAGATAACAGCGTAGAAATAAACACGGGACCAAGCAAGCAGTGAACCCTGAAACTCGAGAATGAGGAAGGGCGTTGTTGCGAAGGTGAATGTCAGTTGCGTAGCGAGGTAGGATGCGATGTCGTAGTATCTCTTCTTTGTGGTAGGTTTACTGGTGACAGGATTGAGGAAGAAAGGACGGACATTGCGGCGGAAATCTGTCACCGTTAGTATTATACAGATCCTGAACCAGGGAAACTCACTTTTTGCGACAGTCTGAATCAAGCTCGCAAGGACAAAGCTTAGGTAGTATCCAGGGTAGAATCCGTGCCAGAGAGCACTCGTGCCAAAGGTCATAAGACTGGCACGGAAACCAGGCTTCTTGCCCCGAGGCGTCACACGAAGGTAAATATAATTCCTCAACCAGTTGCTCGTGTTGATATTCCAACCTCCAAGATAACCTCGCGGGTTCTGCGCAGTCTCGACAGCCCACGGGTCAATGTTCTGCAGCCTGTTCCAGAAGACCTTGCCTGTAACAGGATCCACGCCATTGTAGCCCATGCCTGCGAGGATGCAAGAGCCCTCGGTGAGATACCATACGCCATAGTACTTGAGTCGTGCAGTGAAACTAACCATGTGCATGACCCAGACACGGCGGAGGAAACCATACTTGACATAGATGTCAGATGTTAGCAAGCTAGGGTAGTATGAGCCTCCCAGACCCATGAACATTGCGATACAGAAGAGACCGCTGGCTGCTTTCCAAGCTGCGGGACCGCCGCTCCGAGGGATCTTTCGCTTCTTCCTCGTAGGGGGCTTCTTTGCTGGGTCGACGTTGGAGACATCGAACATAGTGGTGTCGAGCCATCGACGATAGTCGGCGAAGTCGAAAGATGGGCCGGCGAAGAGCGCAGGGAAGAAGAAGACCCAGCCGGTGTAGTCAAGCAGAGAAGGCACCTCCTTAAGCATGTTCCTCTTCTGGAAGTCAGACAGCTGCTCCTCAGGAAGTTGGCCGTCGGCGACGTTCCAGCAAAAGGCACTCAACTTCATGAGAAGCACCATCTGGGCACCTGTGACATCGGCAGTTGATGGGTCGTTATTGGCCTGCCTGGCGATATGGCTAATGGACATGTGGCCCATTGTGAAAGCGAAGCCTATCCATGGCATATAGGGACTCGTTCGGAGGAATTTGGCGATGCAGTACGTGCCGCCTGCACTGATAAGTAGGGTTCGAATGCCATCCCACAGGTCAAACAGCCCGACGAGGTAGAAGAGGGACACGCTTGATGGGCAGGTTAGTAGGACTATCCATGGGTTGAGAGAAGGCTGTTGGCGTACCCAATGGCAAAGAGGTTCTTGACTTCTGGTCTTGAGTCGGGGATTCGTTTGAGAAGAGCGGCGAGCGGGAAAGATATTAAGAACGAGGTAACGAGCTTGACTGGAATGGTGTTAGAGCTTGGTTTGAGCTGTAGGAAGAGAGCTGTGGGAGGACTCACGATCATCTGGGGCGGCACCAAGGGTGTTTGCCAAGGCCACAAAAGCTGTACGAACACGTTAGTTAAAGAAAAGGAGCTATGGCAGGATGGTTGAAGCTCGAAAACTTACGCCTATGCAGAAAGTACAACATCTTGTTGGTGGTTGAGTACCATACAAAACGGGGTATAGCCAAGAATAACCTAAATCCAAGGGAGGTAATAAATAATACAAGAGATAGTTATGTATGAAAAGAATTCAGAAATGTGCGTGATCTGTATGTGTGAGTCCCCCGCTAGATCATGGCGTGAGACACACAGCTGTACAAAAAAGATTGATGGAAGGGTTGATAGTGATAGACGTCATTCGCATCCCTTGTTTTTGAGTTTAAGAAGAGGTCCGTCCCCCAACATTTTTGGAGAAGAAGCAAAGAAAAAGAGCTGGGATGTGACGTCCTTTGAGCTTGGCCTGTGCTGCCCCACGTGGGGCCGTTGTTTTCGTATTCGCACGTGTCGATCTCTAAACAGGAACATGACCTTGAAGGTGATCATGAGGATCTTACTTGTTTAATATTATGTGCCAATAGGAAGAGAACGTGTTTCAACTTATACGGACATGGTATGCTTGGCTTTTGAACCAACTATAATTGCGGAAGGACGATGTGTCTGCACATCTCTGTCAATCTTACCCTGAAGTCACCGTGACTTTTCCAAGTACCAAAAAGGAAGACGATTTCAAAAGAGTGAGACTCTTCTGGCTGTATTATTGGCTGCTCACGTGGCCAGATGATACTTGACCATAGAAGAAAGATGCCCCGAACCAATAGTGATTAGAAGCATCAACTGGTTCGAATTGCATCTCAACCAATGCGGCTAAAATATGTTGAGCTTCAAATTCTGCATCTAAGCGAAAGGCTTCCACCAACCAATGTTCTCAAGAGGCTTAAACCTAACAAAACCATGTAGCTCCTCGCATTATTCACTTGATCTTTCTCTAAACTAATTGATCTATATTTTTTTAGAAACAAGGTGCCCTGTCGTGCTCATTACAATAGTATAACCTGGGCTCTATAAAATGTCCCGGATCTCTTGACCCACAAGAGCTGCATTGATCCACCTCATTAACGCCTTTGACAATAAACATCCGGAGGGTGCGCCTTGTCGCATGCCGTCTAAGAATTGGCATCACGGTTGCTCTTGGCACTGGCACTCATTGTAGGTCGTACGGTAGGTAGTGAGCCTCCAGACGACATTGATTGTCGCACGCGAGACCAAGCGTAGACGAGCCCACTCACGAAGCCAATGAAGATGGCAGACACGCTGCCGAAAGTGACTGGGGCCGAGAAGAAGACAAGGCCGCTGATTGCAATAGGAAGTTTGTTCAGGGCGCCAACCATCGAATATGTGGTTGAGGATGTGACGCGAATGCACCAGGCGGAGCAGTACGAAATGAAGATAGCGGCAAGGCCAGAGTAGATCATGCCAATGATGATCTTGTTACGGGTATCGTCAGGGAAATTGCGAGAGAAGTTGTAGGCGGACCAGTCTTCGGTGAGAAGCGAGCAGATAACAAGAACAGGGATCGTCAGGAGGTTGTTGTAGTACATGGCTACACGAGATTAGTGCTGGGCGCATCACACCGACAAAACATAACTTACTGTCCCAATCCTTAAAGTTCATCTTTTTGATGACCTTGCGCATGCCGAGCACGTAGGCCGCACTGCATAACACGTTCATGCCCATCCATGCGTACCCAGCGTTGAGCGTAGATACAGCAGCAGCAGAGTCACCGGTGCCGAAATCGCCGTTTATTGCGCTCTGGATATCGGCCCAAGCGGCGACGATCGAGCTCAGAACCATGAGGCCGAACGAGAGTAAGGCCAGTGGGGTGACGCTGCCACCAAACCAGAGTACCTCGCCATATGCAATGACAATAATGGTCAAATTCTTGAAGATCGTATAAACGGGGACCGAAAGGAACTGCAGCGACTTTGTACTAGTGTAGATCATGCCGACGAGGAGAAGAGAGATAGGGAACCCTTTATCGTGTTAGTTGCCAGAGCGTAGTCTGCTGGATTGCGAAAACGTACATTTTCTTGCGCGGTCGATATCGAAGGGAGCAAGAACCTTGATCATGCCTAGCTGCTTGCAAAGAGTAATTGTGCCAATACACACAACAGCCTATGTAGAAATCCATGTTAAAATCCACCCATAGTGACGAGTTTGCGAACATGATCATACCTGAACAGTCAGATAGAAAAAATTGAGGTTCCAGAAGCTGCCTGAAACCACATACTTGTTCACAACGGTCATACTGATCGAAGACAAGCAATAGGCCGCGATGGACAAGGGCGGGCTCTTTTCTATCTGTTCGATGCCGTTGATTGGGCTTGACCCATAAGCAGCCGGAGGCGATGCTCGAGGCTTGAATAGAGGCTTCTCGTTTTTATCATAGTTGTCGTCGCCCATACGGACGACATAGTCCTCGTTCTTCTTATCGGTCATTATGTGAGTAGAGGGGACGATGAAACGATTGTGGGAGTCAAGTCGGGGATCGGCGCTGGGATGTAACGGGAGCACTAGGTCGAGCTATCGATATCGCAAACGAGAGGTTGTGTAGTCGATTTCGTAAGGGGAAAAGCTTTCGGTTCGGAAGATGTTGTAGGCGCAAATCTGGGGAAAGGAGTGAGAGACAGCGCGTTGCACAAACCCTCAGCTTTTCCGTCGTTGGAATCTTTTTCTCCCTTTGACAAGCCAAGGACAAGCCACAGGGTCGAGGGGCTCAAAGGGGAGACGTGGAGTACCTAATTAATTAAGGTACCAGCGCGTTCCTGCTGAGTCATCCGAGAACAAGGGTTATTTGATGATGTCTGTTTGGCTCTCTCGTATAGCCGTGATCTAGTGTCCAGAAATAGCCATAGAAGCTCGTAAAGAAGCTCGTAAAGAAGCTCGTAAGAATCTGTGCATTGAATAATTAGTCTTCCGATAGCCGTGTTGTCAAGTACGAGAAATCAACGGTACCTGCGCATAAGCTAGTCCTCCGCTTCCAAGACTCATAATGTCATTTACACATCATGAAGTGGCCTCATTGGCGGCATCAGGCGCTGTAGGCTCATCACCAGCCTCTCTCTCATCCTCCGGTCCAGCCGGAAAATTGAGGTGTTTCCAATCCTCCAACTCTTCTGTCACAGATCGCATGCGATCGCGGATGCTTTCAATCGCATAGCTCCCTAATAGTAGTCGTAGTGGTGGATACGAGCAGTGCCCAAGCTGCCATACTAGCTCCGCACATTTGATAGCGCTCGTGGGTCGGTATTTGTCGCCGAGCCATTGGACAATTCGCCGCGCATGTAAGGCTGGCGATGTCGGATGGCTATATGTCTCGCTTGGTGGCTTGACAAGAAAATGACCCCAGGATGTAGGAAGCGTTGTATCTTGCATCTCAGGTTCTCCTTCTGGCCTTACGTGACCTGGTTCAATGAGTGTGGCTTTGATGTTGAATGAGTCCGTCTCATAGAGCATGGCCTCAATCAAGCCCTCGACCGCATACTTGGTCGCACAGTAGGGGCCCAAGCCAGGAACACCCAACGCGCCAGAAGTTGAGCTGAAGATGAGATAGCGACCGGCGGCTTGTCGTCGGAAATAAGGCAGAGTAGCGTGTATGATATGAAGCGTGCCCATAAAGTTGGTCTCGAACTGGTTGCGTATATCGTGCTCGTCCTGATCCTCGCAGGCGCCAATAACACCGTATCCAGAACAATTAACAACAATGTCAATGCGACCAAAGCGCTGAAGTGTGCGCTCAATGACCCGATTCACAGATTCACGAGCGCGAACGTCGCACAACGCGCCGAGACAGTTCTCATGGATATTCTCCATGTCTTGAAGGCTGGTCTCAAACACGCGACCAACCGATGTCACCAAATCTCCATGTGCAAGCGCGCATTTAACAAGAGAGTGGCCCATTTGACCTGTGCCTCCAAAGATCTGTACATAGTAAGTGTCTTGTATAAACAGGCAAGGCTGAGGACAACCATACCACCCAGACCAGTTGCTTTACTGTAGCATTAGGCTGTGGAGGGTCACAGCTTGCAGGAAGCTGTGCTATTCGTGGTCGTGAAGATGTCTCAGTAGCATCTGAGACTTCTGTGCGTGCATCCATGATCAATACTGAAGCTGAAACTGAGCAATTGAGCAAATTGCTTTGTCACCGCTGTTGTTTTAGGCTGATGTTAGAGGAAGATTTACTTTGGACAAGATAGGCGTTGTAAACCATGAAACAGCAGGGTCCCAGCGGGGTCCAAGCCTGGACGTATCGTGCCGCTGCTAAAAGGCATCAATTTGGAGGAAGTGTACATGTCCCCAGGTAAACATCGACTCAAAACACGAGATGTGTTAATTGAGTTTTGTTCAGATCAATCCAATATTGCTCGTGAAAATCAATACTAGGTAGAGCAGTAATGTCTCTTGTCTCAGCATGTCTTGCTCCGAGTCGTGACCACGATGCTGGGCGACTTTTTGTGCTAATGTTAGTGAGTATGAAGTTGGAAACACTACGTCAGGTGGTCAGAAGCACATTTAGAAAATCCTAAAGACACGATCAGAAATAGAGACATAAGGCAGCCATACGACAGGAATTTTATGAGCGGTTACAAATGAGACGTTCAAATAATAATAAAAAACGGTCAAAAACGGTCCTTTACGGTGTATTGCATCTCTTAGGTTGTGACGCTGACTTGGACATCTCCACATTCATTAATGAGCACAGAGCCAATGCCATGAGCCAGAATCTGCTGACCATGGTGAGATCATACTTGCATAGCGCTCTTTATTGTAAACATACTTCATGTGATTTTGAAGAAAATCTCACATGTAACAAATTTAGGATTTATTGCCAACGAAAGACATGATATATTTAGTAGATTGCTGCTCCGTACATGGAACCGGATTTCTCCAAACTCCCGCTAACTCGTATCTGCTCAGAAATAAATCATAAAATAGGTGGAGCGATGGACATTCGGGTTTGCTCAGGCGGCTATACTGGTTTGACGCTCTTTGTTTCCCCGTCTGGCAAAACCCATTCAGAATCGTATGTTGGCGACCTGCAAAAGAGCCATAACATCTCAAAAATGACGTAAAGGAGCATCCAGATCACGTCAACGCTGTGTTGTCCCCTCACGGCGCAGTCCTGTCAAAGGAACGGGATTTACGGTTGGCGGTTCTTCAGTTGGACCGGCAATGTGCTTGTTCTCCTGGTACTTAGCCCCTGCATTCAAAACTGGCTCGACTCCCACGTGGGCCTCTTACTGGGCAGACTCAGCAAGGAATTGCTTGACGTATTCCTGTCGGTGCTCGTTCTTGTCGACATCGGGGCCACGGTTCAAAGGCGTCCACTTGGGGTCCTCCTTGAACAGCCTCATAGCTTGGACGAACTGCATTTAGTCAGCATCTCGCAACCTGGCATACCCTTGGTCGTAACTCACGTTGCTCTCATCGGTGGTGAAGCGGTGGTAGATGCCGGGAGGGAGAATGAGCAAATCGTCCTTCTCGAGCAGAATGCGCACCCAGTCGTCGTCCTGGCTTCGGACATCGAAATAGCCACGACCACCACGGATGTAGCGGATCTCCTCGTCCTCGTGTAGATGCTCGGCGAAGAATGACCTGACCTTGGTCTCGTAGACGTCACCCATGGCCTGAGGAGAGACCGTGATTTCGTCGCGGTTCTTGTAGTCACGCTCGCGGGCAAGGTTATCGACCGACTCGAGCTCAGGGAGATGGTAGTAGTAAACTCCAATGTTCATGAGGTCGTCGACGCTGACTGGCTTTCCTGAGTTGTGAGGTAGACGCTGGTCGCCCTATTTTCTTTATTAGTCGATGGCATATTGCAGCGGAGATGAGTATACTGACAGGAAGACCGTCGTAGAAGTAAGCTCGCATGATGATTGTAGAGTTATGCTTGATAAGTAGAACAGTAAAAGGATATGAGAATAGCAGAGTACAGTGGTGTTACAAGCCTGAATGGTCAGTAGAAAAGAGGTCTTTTTTGAAGCCTGGAGTGGCCGGGGTCTATAGCTCTTTATATACGGTATGGGTAACAGCACATCCATCTCAACCTAAGGTTCCATGGCGGCGGGGTCAATTATGGAATGTCCGGTAAAAGCTAGCGACGTCAGCATCAGCGCTACACCAAAGTACAAGGGTCCGGCTGTTGCACTGACATCAGAGCATAAGCCTCAGATCCTCAATGGGTCGGCTTGAAAATGCCAAACTTTCTGAGTGCTTTGTATTCCGAAGAACTTCGCAATTGGTCTAGTGCTTCTGCCCCTGACATGCCGATGGTAATAATGGGAGTCCTCCGCCGAGCACACCTCAATGTCATATCATGACACGGCATCATGATAGCCACATACACAAGAGAACAACACTGGGCAAGCGATTCATCGGAAGGACTTAATATTTCCGTTTACCAGAATACGATAATTAACGCCGTCCGTAATTCCAGGGGCCATGTCCAGGACCATGCTAGCAAGGTTACCTACCATCAACGCCAAACATCAGAAAATAAAAAGCATAATGACCTGATAATTCGCTTTAGGCACAATATCGCTCGGTCTTTGTAAATAAGCTAGTTTCCTTCATCATGGACCTTGACTTTCACAGCTCGCGAGGCGCAGCTTCTCTAGCTCCTGCGACCATAATATCATTTGTACTGTCATCCGCATCGCCGCGAGGACGGGCCTCAAATATGCGTCTCCACCAGCCTGGGGGGTCGAGAGGGCGAGAGCCGTTGTGAAGCGGCGGGTATACATCTGAGAAGAAATACCAAACGTGTCCAATAACCACGCCCATGATCTCGTCCTTAGGGATAGTGCCGTGTAATACAAGGCTGAAGCCCATCAAAACCCAGGGAAGATATGGAGCGGTGAACACCAAGAGACCCAAGAAACTAAGTCTAGTCTCAGGGTTGCGCCGGGACCATATGTAGACGAGCGTCGATGAGAGCGGATGGCCAAGGAAAGGCATCGAAACAAGTGGCGACAAAGCGATCAAACTGGCCATTGCGTATAGCAGTAACCACGAGAAATGCGCAGGCGATCGACCCGAAGACTCCTCTAGCAATCGAGCATATCGTTGAAGGAAGTAAACGTGGAAGAGTAAATCGAGGGAGAAGGGACCAAAGTATAGGAACGTCGTCAATAATCGCCAGTACTGTGAGAAGGGCACACGTCAGTTTGAGTATTCACAACACAACTGCGCAGCGGCGCAAACAAGATGATCGATGGTTCGGGAATAATACTGACCTGTGATTTCACAAACACAGCGCGAAAGCTATAGAACAACTGGAAAGGCGTCACCATCTGGCATTGAACCAAGGCGCTTGTAAAGATTGTCGCAGCTGTCCACCAACGAGTACATGTGGGCATTTCCCAGAACCACGCCTCGAGAGGCAATCGGCCTCCGTCCATAACTTGATCCATCGGAGCGGATTCAAGACCGCGGCTTCTCGTTATGTCGTCTCTCGGGTGGTGTGTAGTAAGTGAAGGAGCCAAGTGATGATCGGTGAAATAGCGATGGGTTATTAAGGAAGAAGAAAGCAAAGGGACGTTTGCTAGAATAAATGCACTCAAGAAGAGAAATGCATTAATCCTTCGTTGAAAAGGAATGCTTGGATAAAGTGTAAATTAAGTTGAGTTGTTGTTGAACTGAAAGATGACGGAATAGGACGGCCACGTTGTAAATGAATGGTACCTGTCCAGGTCCGCTCAGACCCCCACTACGGAGTAGGTACTGTACGGATACTGGCGGGCAAACTAAATCCTTCCGGTGGTCGCTGAGGTGGCTGCGCGTGTCTGTGGCTGTGGAGCACAGACGGGTAGTGGCTGAGAATCAATTAAAACAATCGCGGGGCTGGGGAAAGCGCGCTCGCACGCTCCCATGCCGAGTCGAGTCGCGGTGGTCCCTTCCCACCTGGCGATTCCTTTCTCTCGTTTCTCTCTTTCACAACCCCCTCTGGCGAGAATTACATTGATCGAATTCGAGCGTTTTGTGCAGAATACTTGCTTCAGTCTTTTCGCATGCTATTATCCTTTAATGTTAAGCTCCTCTAGCTACTAGCTACTAGCTTCGTGTACTCCTTCCTGTTTGTCCAACACGCTCTTTCAATGCCTGCGAAGAAGCGAATTTCCGGCGCGACAGCCGCCAAACGCTCGGCGCGGCCAAGTGCTGTTCAGGGTACGAACCATCGATGAATCAAGTTTGTAATAGGGAATCGTTTGACTAATAACAATTTTAGCTGGCGACCCTGTTCCCGTTCGCGCAAAGCGCCGTTACCGTCCTGGCACTGTCGCTCTTCGCGAAATTCGACATTACCAAAGCGGCACCAAGCTTCTCCTCCGAAAACTTCCATTCGCTCGTCTTGTTAGTCACCTATAGCCTGGGTCGCGCAAATAGTTACTGACTGAAGGTCATCAGGTCCGAGAAATCGCGTTGACGATGCGTCCACGAGACGAAGGTCTGCGCTGGCAGAGCCAAGCCATCATGGCCCTTCAAGAAGCTGCCGAAGCCTTCATGGTTCATCTGTTTGAGGATACCAACCTATGCGCCATCCACGCCAAACGCGTTACCATCATGCAGAAGGATATTCAGTTGGCAAGGCGGATACGCGGCATGTGGGGTGGACTGGGCTAAAGAGACGACGCTTGGGAAAAAAGATTGAAAGAATCTGGATGGGTACAAATGTGATTTTGGCTTGGGAGTATGGCTGGGCGTTGGGCGCTTCAAGATATACCTGCTGGCTTGTTGCTTCTGTTGTTTTACTTGGCTTCTGACATATATAGGGAGTATTGGCTTCACACTCCTAGAGCTATCAGAAAGAGCTTTATGTACGAGTGTGGTATTTGCGGACAATCAATTGCAAGAATTCAATCATTTTTTCGCGGAAGCAATCCCTTTGACCTGAGGGTCTCGAGGGAGGTGGAATTTCTTTGTTCTCCCCACGCTGATCAGCCATTGGCTGAGAGCTCATGACGGTTAGAAGGTCACTGACGTAATGGCTTTAAGCTTCCGTTAAGCTCTGTTCCTAGAGTCACCACTTGAATTTACATCTCTCAACCTACCAAGCAACTCAATTGTGCTAGAGAAAGCTACGTCAAACATAATGTACCGCGCATTCAACTCTAGAGTAGCCCTCCGGGCCATGAGCCGAGGCATTGCCCCCGCGACTTGCGTTGGAGCTTTCATTGCAACTCGACCTGTCATCCGTTGCGATGCGCCTACGCTTGCTACAGGACCTCCCCCACGCCGAAGCCGCTCCCTGGATGTGTCGCCGGATACTGTTCGTCAGCTCTCAAGTGGAAGCATTGCTGGTTTGTTGTCTTCACCTGATCTCTCAGTATCACGTACTCACAGAAGTTCCTAGGATTTGGAGTCGGCGTTGTAGTCGCCCTTTTTTCGCGAACCCTTGCATTCCTCGCAGGATTGGTTGCTTTTTCCGTCCATGTAAGTCATCCTCTGTTAAATATTCCACTCAACCTCTCATCTCACATGTCCAGGTCGCTTCTCGCTGGGGCTTGGATATTCCTCGAACTCTTGGTCTCGAGAAGTTATTGAAGAATAGCTCTATATGGAACAAGAGCAAGAACAGGCCGCTATTTACAGCGTCTTTCCTTGTAACATTTATCCTAGCTACTTTCGTGCGTCTATAGTGTTGCCCAGACTGGCGCCACGTCCTCAGTCAATTCGCACAGTCTCCCTCTTAAGCCAGGCCAACGTCACATCGTCGCCCTCAAAGTATCCTTGTGTCTTTTCCAGAACTTTCTCGTTATAAGTGTTGAGCCACTCCTTCTCTTCGGATGTGAGCAGTTTCGTATCGATCAGGTTCCGGCAGTACGGCACCATTGTGACATACTCAAAGCCCAAGAAAGGTTTATCACCAAAGGAATACTTAGCCTTAACTTCCTTAACAAGAACCATGTTCTCTATTCGAATGCCGTACTTTCCATCTTCGTAGTACCCTGGCTCGTTCGATAATACGTTTCCTGGGGCGAGTGCTACTTCGGCGTATTGAACACGAGTACCGATTCCGATGGGGCCTTCGTGAACGTTCAAGAATGACCCAACGCCGTGTCCAGTGCCATGTCTGTAATCTAAGCCGTTTTTCTATGCCATGTGTTAGATATTGCGAGTCACATCTTTTGCTAATTACTAACCCAGAGATGTTGTCTCGCCAAAGCATCGAGAGCAAAGCCTGTGGTTCCCTTAGGGAAGATAGCTTGATCCAGCGAGATGTGACCCTTTAGGACCAAGGTGTATGCTTCCCTCTCGGCATCGGTAGGCGTGCCAAAGTGCAAGGTACGAGTAGTGTCAGTGGTACCGTCACGGTATTGAGCGCCGGAATCACAAAGGTAGATAGCCTCAGGGTCGATGGTAGCGCAATTTCCACGCTCAGGACCGTAATGAATGATTGCAGCGCTGTGAGGTCATGGTTAGCATGAATCAGGCAGGATTGGATTGTCATTGACTGGAGGATGACAAGTCTGTCTTTGTTCTGTTTTGGAATACTCACTTCGCACCAGTGGAGGAGATGGTTGGGAATGAAAGACCAACAAAATCCTTCTTTTGCTTGCGGAGCTCTTCAAGCTTGTCGGCAGCCTGGACTTCATCAAGGGTGGTCTTCTTGTTTACCAGCTGGTCCTCAAGCCAGGCAAAATACTGAATGAGTGAGGCGCCATCTCTGATATGACATTCCCTCATACCATTCAGTTCAGCCTCAGTCTTGATGGCCTTTGCGTCACCAATTAGACTCCTGACTTCGTCAACCGAAGAATCCCCTCCAAGAGACCGTTTGAGCGCCCATGAACCCTTATTCGAAATGAGGAAGCTTCCAGTAGGAGCCTTATCGTTGGACTTGCTCTTTTCGGTAACAGCGGCGTGAAGGGCCTTGGCGTCATCAAATATCGAGTCGTATGGCTTGATCTCGACCTTGTTCGAAACAAGGTGGGAACGACACTTATCATCCAGCTTAGAGTCGTCAATGTAAAGCTTGGCGGCGTCAGGAGTGACGGTAGCATAAGCAAAGAAGACAGGGTTATAAGGAATGTCGTTACCACGCAGGTTGAACAACCACGCAATCTCATCTAGCATGGAGACGAGGAAGCCGGGCGAATGCTTCTTTTCCAACTCCTGACGAAGCTTGACAAGCTTATTGGAGACAGACTCACCGGCAAGCTCGTCTGGCTGAATGATGACTTTTTCTGAAGGTCGTGCAGGGCGTTCATCACCCCAGACCAGGTCAACGAGGTTTCCATCAACAGGAACTAACTCAGAACCACCATTCTTGCGAATCTTCTCGGCGAGATTCTTGGCAGTGGAACCAGAGATAAGGGTTGCGTCGACACCAACATTCTTACCATCAGAAGACTGTTCCGCAGACCAATCCTGCCATGTCGGAACGTCTTGAAGGCCTTGTTTGAGAAGTGTCCAGTTATCATCGAGCTGGGATGTAGCCTGGTTGAAGTAGCGGCCATCAGTGGCAAGGGCAGCAGAGTCGAGAGTCACAACAGCACAACCAGCAGAGCCAGTGAATCCTGAGATATAAGCACGTCTGGCATCGCAGTCTGCGATATATTCAGAAGAGTGGCTGTCCTCGGAGGGGATGACTGTTATTCCTTGTTAGCACTGCATTGCTTCAAGTGAACAGTGTATGACAGTTTTACCATAAATATGCACATTGCGCTCCTTCATCAAGCCCCTCAGGCGGGTGAGCCTAGAAGTAGTGTCAAGCTTGGCCATGGTTTCGGACGATATCCAGCGACGTGACGACAGGCGCGAAGGTGTAGCGAATCGAGGTGGAACTGAACGAAGGAGTGAAGTCGCAGTCTGGAGAAGCATTGACAATCAGACGCAAGCAACAGGCACACCTCGAAAGGGGGAAATACACTCAAGGCACGAATAGTATGAATGGTCTAGTTGATAGCACAAAACCAGTGACTTTGACAACTAAAGTCAGTACAGGTTCAACGATGAGACTGATCCAAAGAGATAATTGGATGGAATGCAGGTAATTTGTTAAAGGCCCATTTTCATAACATGGCACCGTGAGCGTTGTGTAACATAACGAGGCGTCAAACGGTAACAAAGTAGGCAGCGGGAGAATAATGAGTAGAGTTGGCAATGAGGGGCATGGGAATGGATGGATGCATGGTCCAGAAGTTGTATGCTTGGGCAATCATCTGTTACTTACCTTGATGGGACAAGTTTGAATCAGAGACACACAAGGAACTGAAAGGGAGAAAGAATATCTCAGAGAGTAGAATAGCTTGATCAATTCATCAAAACCTCAGTGAAACCGTAATCGAGGTATGAGATCAAAGAGTATCAAGCCTCACGAGACCTCCATCCCCCCAGGCTCCATGAGTGCGGGCAATCGTGGCGTGGCGGGGCAGGAGCAAAAGCGGATCTTTGGAATGGCCGCTGCGCCGAAGGAAGCCGCTGGGCCATGGAGACGAAGAAGGTCCATGTCAGGTCAGGTCAGGTCAGGTCAGGTCCTCTTACCTGCTGGACTACAGTGCGTTACTACCTATCATGTACCGTCTATAGTACTCGACCATCCCTAAATGAATCAGCACTGATCTGATGGATAAATGTAAACTTAGGTTCCATTTGTTCGTGAATGGTGGGGGCATCAGCATCGTCTCTGTACGCCTACCACAGTCGCTATTGGCCTTGTATGGATGTACCCCACTTCAGGTACAGGTACGGTACTGTGCCTTTCAATCACTTGCCTTACCTTGGGTTTCCAATATCTCACCACGCTTGGATGCTTTGAGCTCTTAAACCAGTTGTATTTGCAACTTAAACGAACAGATTGTAAGAGCGTTAATTCAAGCCTTTTACAGCGGAGCCAATTTCTCTTTTTTAGTTTCCTTGATCAAAGTTTCTTGTCTTGCTCTTTCACAATATTGCCCCTCAAAAGAGTTCCCATGCAAATTACACCCTAGCAACAACCCCAGCAACAAAGTCGGCTCTCATCAAATACTCCAAAGCAACCTTTTCCCGTAGTCTTTACTACATCAGGCAGACCCAAAGCTACTGCCGTTCACTTTCAAGTATTATTCGTCCTTCTTGTAACGCCTAATTGATTCTGACTGGCACAAAGGCACATATCAGAGATTTTCTGCAAGGCTGCAAAGGACCGTGATACGGAACTGCTCTTCTCTATCTGGTCCCTTATAGGACACCGGTAGCTCCTATAAGATCCCAATTAGAGGCAGCTATTGTTACTTCTGAGGCAAAGCTTCAGATTAATGTATCTGGTTCTCACTTACCCAAACGCGAAGCTGTCGACCAGTTGCCAAGAAGGAAGGTCACCCTCTTCCCAAGAGTCCAAACTGCCATTGTTCCAGCCCTCAAACGCTCCATAACTCTTGATCCTGCATCGGAGCCCATATTACTTGCGAGTGTATCTCAAGTATACACCTGTCAGACACCCCTTCATTCTGATTAGCAATGTCGGAAGACCCCATCCCCACATCAATAGCTGAGATTGAGAATGTGCGTGAACCAAGAAGCTGGACCCGTTTAGACAAACGAACTGAGCCCTAGACTGAAGCGTGCTGACTTTCCCGTAGCTCATTCTAGCTATCCATCAACCAAACTCGCAAGAGATCATTAATCGCGGAAATAAAATATTGTACCGACTACAAGATTCCCCTGAGGCTTGGGGCATCGCTCGCAGCTTGCTGGAGAGACCCAATGAATTAGTCAAGTTTCATGGTGCTCTGATCATCGTCATCAAGCTCAACAAGGAGAGGTATGACTATCTTTGTCCAGAAAGTATACCATTCTGCCGCTAATACTCACTTTCTGCAGTTCCACTCTCACCTCTGACGATGCAGCCGACCTCCTTTTGATGTTAATAGAGAGATACTTGGATGCGCTGCGCCATGGAAACACATCATTAGTTGCCAAGAAGCTAGCCACGGCCCTTGCGACCTTTTTCATTAACTTCAATCAAGTCTGGGAACGCTTCATCCATCACCTTGTACTCTGTTTGGTGTCAGATCAACCATATGCACCGAACGCCCTGAACGATGCTCCTGACATGGCCTCACTTCTAGAGCGCACAAGTCCCCCGCAATTGCAGGCTGTCCTGTGGGTGTTGGGGAATGTGCTGGACGAGGTTGCCAAATTCAACCTGAACACTCCTCAAAAGTGCGTCTCCTTGTCAAGATGATACCGTGTCTCTGTTACTAACCTTTTGACAGTATCGGAGTATATGAGGCTATACTGGAGAACCTCCCCGATGCAGTCAACTTAATGAGCCGCAGCATGTCACCCCAATTAACTACGGAAGCGGTTCACGAAGATGCGATACGGTGCCTACAGGTAAAATCCTTCTTTACAATTTTTGGCATTCACTGACCCAACATACAGTCATGGGTTTGGTTCGCCCAAAAGACATCGTCTAGAGATACTAGGCTTTCAGAGCCTATCGGGCCCCTAGTCACGGCTGTCATAACATCCCTGACAGTGGATGAGCTTTACAGCGTTTCTGTGGAGTTAATGGTAGACTTGCTGTCTAACTGCTCAATGTTTCTATCTGAGAAGCACTTCGACGATCTTGCTTGTCTTTTTGACTCTGGCTGGTCCCATGCACGATACCAGGAATTGGTCCAAGGGGACTTCGACTTTGACTCTGTCCAGTTCGGCCAGCTTCTCCTCGCTTTTGGAGAGTCCAAGATTGACAGGCTAATGCAGAGTAATGATGTTCAGAGCCAGAATCTGCTCTCTAGCCTATGTGGTCTGCTTGCCGCTCGAGGATATCTTGTCGAGGAGGATATCATTTTCGTCCCGGCCCTCGAATTCTGGTTGACCTATGCTGAAACTATGACTGATCTTATGTTTTCGGATCAGGAATCAGCTCATACTTGGGTTCCGCGTGCCCGCGCCCATATCCTCCAGGCTGTATCCAATGCGTGGCAGAAAATCGTCTACCCACCTACTGAAGAGTTTGCCAAATGGGATTCTAGCGACCGAACAAGCTTTCATGATGCTAGGAAAGATGTTGTTGACCTCCTCCAATCTGTATTTACCTTGGAGGGACCGCAACTCGTGGCCACATTCGCAGGCCAGGTGCTCAAGGCTTTGTCCGAATCATCGTGGCTACAGCTCGAGGCCGCAGCTTTTTGTCTTGGTGGACTTGCTGATTGTGTCAGCGAGGACAGCAGATGTGATGATGCGCTAGCGACTGTTTTCAAATCACCCTTGTTCCCAACGTTACGATCTGGGCATTCAGAGATCCCGCCTAAAGTGCGGCAGACTTGTGTTTCCCTAATCGAGCATTATACGGAATATTTTGAGCGAAACGTGTCAGAGTTACATCCTGCTCTGAACTTCATCTTTGCTGTTGTTGGAGAGCACCCGATGGCGAATGCTGCAGCGAAGTCCATACTCCGATTGTGCGGATCCTGCCGAGGTTATCTACATACTGAAGCTCATGGCTTCCTCAACGAATACCAGAATCTAGTATCTGGTAAACGGCTTGACTGCGGAGCTAGTGAAAAAGTTCTGGGCGGTATTGCGTCCGTGGTTCAAGCGATGCCCGATCCGAACCAAAGGTACTCTGCTTGTGCACGACTTCTAGCCTTTGTCCAGACCGACGTACAGCGCGCTCTGGAGTTACTGCACTCGCCTAGCGGTACCCCTATTCCCTGCCACGTTTCGCCCGTTTGCTCATATGCTGCTCCTGACGAGAATCCTGCTCTTCATACCGCACTGAAGTCACTCAGATGTCTTGCTAGCATAGGAAGAGGTCTCCAAGCCCCCTCTGAGCTGTCAGTTGATTTGGACGGCAGTAAGCCGATCCCCCAGACCGTGGACCCACTGCTCGCGCAGCTTCAGGAAAGCATCATGGCTATCATTAGCCAAATTCAAGAAGCATTCAACACTAGCGGAGAGGTTGTAGAAATCATTTGCAGCGTACTGCGCTGTGGCTTCTCCGAGTCTGAACCTGGGCCCTTCGTGCTTCCGCCCCATAGCGTTGCGCTGTACTTGACAAACCAAGGCCTCCAGACACCGAGAGTTGGCTTACTAGTCAAGACAGCCTGCTCTTTTGTCAGTTCGCTCGAGCATGATGGGCTTGCGAACCAGCAAGGAATGCTCAATTCCGTGCTACTTTGGGTTATTGGACTACTAAAACAGCTATCTAGTAAGTTTTCTGACGCCTCCGCAATAATATGTTCAGGGATCTGATTCGTGATAGATGATGAGCCTGATCCAGAAGTTTCACAAAATGGGATCGACTTTGTTACACGCTTGTTGAACAAACGACCAGTCACTCTACTTCAGCTAGAGCCTTCTTCTGCTGCAGAGTTTTTGTTTCTCTTCACGCTTCAAGTATTGGATGGAAAGGAACCACTCCCAAAAGCAAGTGCAGCAGAATTCTGGGTAAGTCCAAATCACATTTGCTGATTTATCCTGTGCGTATCTGACGTTGAAGTAGTCCGCTTTTGTTAGCATTAAGTCTGACTCCCAGGAGCTTAATGATGTGGCTCAACAGGCCATGCAAACACTGGGCCCTCTACTTGCAAGAAGTCTTGCGAGGAATATTGGAGGCAATGCCTCTAGGAGCGAGCTTGAAAAGTTGAGCGAGCCCCTTAAAAAGCTTGTGGTCCGGTATCCTATGGCTAAGAGCTGGCTCGAAGATGGGCTTGTGCATGAAACATTCCCCAGCACCAAGGTCACACCACAAGACAGGTTGATATTCTTAAAAAAGGTTATCAGGTCAGTTATCTCCCTTCCCTTGAACTAATAGAGACTGATAATTTTCAGTTTGAGAGGTGCTCGAGCCACGAATCAGGTTGTCAGAGACTTTTGGCAGTCAGCACGAGGTTCTAATTTTGCTTATGCGTCGTAAAAGTAGGGGTATGGAAATGTTGATAGAAGGGAAATTAGATAGCGTCAGAAAAGTTACGGGAGTATGTGATGATATATGATTTTATTTATACAGATCTCGATATTACAATTCCTTCTTGGGAAATGTTAGAGAATGCATGATAGTACACATATAGAACAATGGGGCCGAGAAAGGTCATGCTCAAAGCCCGACAGCATGTCGAACAATCTGCATAGTATCATCTGCGCTCTTCCGTGCTTTCTGAGCACCAATCGACTCCACTGAGTCAAGGTACTCACCTCCCTTACTCAACAACCCAAGGTATCGATCCCGAATACCTCCTAGGCCGCCAACAACGGCGTCAGTGACCATGTCCTTGAGTTGCTTAGGACTGATATCACTATACTGCTCTGCCAGCTCAGCCCCCTTCCTACCCTCTGGATCGAAGATAGATAGGATGTCTAGCAGGTTAGAGATACCTGGCCGTTCGGCCTGGTCGTAAGTGATTCCAGGTATAGAGTCTGTCTTTGCGGAGCTGATCTTAGCCTTGATATCCTCAGTCGAGTCTGTGATGAGAATGCGCGACTTCTCAGATTTGTGAGACTTGGACATCTTGGAGGTTGGGTCGTTGAGTGACATCACTCTGTGGACAGGAGCTGTACTGGGTGAGTATGAGATGACGGTCAGGGAGGGTGAGGCTCACGGATCAGGGTTTGTGGGGAGACGAGGTGATCGCCGTAAGCTGCGTTGAAGTTCGTCACGCATTCTCGAGCGAACTCAAGATGTTGTTGCTGATCATGACCAACAGGGACATGTGTTGCTCTCGTGAATATTAGCCTGCATCTATGATGGCTTTGGAGTGTGCAATGTTACCTGTGGACAAGAATATCGGCAGCTTGGAGGACAGGGTACGAGAAGAGACCAAGTTTGAGACGAGAACCAGCTTGGCGATCGTCAATGGATGACTTTTCACCGAGGTTAAGTTTGCTCTTGATAGCTGTTAATGTTTAGGTTGGTTTGTCTTGTCAGGGAACACTAACCTTCCATTGAGTCATCCTCGAGAGATAGCCCACGGATGCAGTGCAGCTGAGAATCCACATGAGTTCTGAATGAGCCGGGACCTGTTCTTTATTAGCACGAATTGTGGTATACGAGTGTTTGAGAACTATGTAAGTCGCCAGGCTATGAACACTGCCTTTAATCATCTAGGAAGTATAAGACCACACTCCACTCACAGAAGACTGGTAAAACAGCGTCGCCCTCTCAGGATCAATACCAATAGCCAGCAACGCCGCCAAGGCCTCTCTCTTCCTCTTCCTTAATTGTTCCGGCGGCTGAGGCATGGTAATGGCGTGAAGATCCACGATGGAGTAGATCAGTTTCGTATCGGGCTCGCTGTGCTGAAGCTGCACCCATTGCCGTAGTGCTCCGACATAGTTACCCAGGTGTGGTACGCCCGTGGGCTGGATGCCCGAGAAAACTATCCGAGGATTGGGTATTTTCATCTTGGGCATTTTTGATACGATGTTTTTCAAATTAAACCGACTTCGTGGGAAGGGGATTGAGATGTGCTGTAGTTGAGGTTGTGAGGTGAAGAGTTCAAGTTTGTATGCATTTACCGGGGCGGAGATTATCGATCCAGACAATGAGGGAACAAATTACAGATAGCAACAACTAGACTATGTCTTACTTATAATGTAGTGTCGTGCAGTTAATTTATATAACACTGTCATGGTAGGTTGACAATTGATTGCTACTGTCCTGCATTGAGCAAACATTGACCATCATATCATCCAAGATTCAACGCATCATCTGGAAGCCTTGACATATTCCAGAGTGCTTGCACTGAACAAATCCGTCACTTCTCTCGTAGACCATCAATGAACTGTTTGACTGTTGTTATTCCGAAATGCTGATTTTACAAAGCCCAAGCCTTCTATGGCCTATTGTACAACTCAAGATAGATACAGTACTCCTCTCATCTCATCTCCGGTCAAGGCAGCCACTCTCGCCAGAGCACTGAGTTTATTCTTCCACTATGCCAAACCGTTTCTTTTCTTACACGCTCGTCGTAGGCGGCATCTTCAGACCAGCAGCCTCTTGGAACCTTCGCTGGTTGAGCAGCTCTTCAACCTTCTCCACTGTACCAATTGTCTTGGTCTGTCCGAGGTGCGACCACTTTGCGTCGATCTCGCCCTTGTCCGCCTCCGGCAGCGCATCCATCTTCTTGCCGACGCTCAACTCGCTGAATTCCCACATGTTGGCCTTCATTCCCACACCGTAGAGTTGATGTTTGCGCAGGTACGCAAGCCACAGCTGCACGGTCTCTGGGTTTCCGTCACGGATCTGGATAAGTCGACGCAATGTCTTTCGCTCGAAGTTCTCTTGCGACTTCTTGAAGATGAAGTTGTCTCGGGGGACTGTCCAGCGCTCTGTGATGCGTGGCAAAGGTACGGGGCCGTAGGCGGGGAGACCCAGGTAGTAGGCGGCTCGCAGGGCGAAGTCGGAGAAGAATTCAAGGGGTTGTACGCTGTAGGATCGTAGTTGGAGATCGCATGAGGGGATACCGTGCTCTGCCTCACGCTTTAAAGGCTTGAGATGTAGGGCCTGGATGGCTCGAGGGTATCGGGGCTCGGGAGTGGCCTCGGCTTTGGCCTTCTCTGGCTTATTCGGAACAAGATCTCCTGGTTTAGCCCTTGGAAAAGTTAGTATAATTTTGCTCGATCGTTGCATTCGTGGCCGTAGAGATGGTATTCGTTAAGGAAGACGTACAGAGAGGCCTGTGTTCGGCGGGCGATCCATGACACTTCGGACTGGTTAGGTGTTAGCCTGCAGGTCAATTGATGATTTACATATATTAGAGAACATACTGAGAAAGCCCGTAAGGGTCTGGTACTTTGGCGCATCATCTTGCCTGTCCCTTGGCGTCGACAACGATGAGGCTCGAAAATTGGTTCGAGATGCTGCCAACCAAAAATCGTCGGCTCAACTTCAACGCACGGACCACTAACGTGATTCGGCCAGCATCCGCAGTAAGCGCGCGTCTACTGGGACTGTTCAGCCAAACGATCTTTTTATCTGTGAAACCTGCTGTTCAGTAAAGGTTTTGTTTGATCAGTCTTTAAATGGCCTCGACACCCTGAAGATTGTATAGTTAAATTCTTAAAGATGTCTAATTGATTGGGCATCTGCTCTTTGCGCCCAGTAAACTCGCGATACCCTTGATGTGATCGATGAACGAAAAAGATATGAACTAGTTGAGCATCATGATAAAAGAGCACAGCACTAGTCTTTTTGGAAATCATTTAGTCAGTGTTCTGTATCCTTCCCGTCTTGAGGATTGTACCTGTTAAGCCATGGGCCAATGTGTTGCAATGATAAGAGAATTCAGCATGTTTAATATGTGTAGAGAAGTTTGCCGGCCTGTATTGGGTAGACAGAAAGCCTTTTCTTTTTTGCTCAAATACAGATTCTTGTCAACATGCGACACACAAGAGTTACGTTCATGATTAATGACAGGCATCACATGGACATGGTAGAGTGGTAGAGAGCGACATGATCGGAGAAAATTATTATTTAATTACGTTTGCGACGTTGCGCGACTACGCCCTTATAGAACGCCTTCTTTCCGCTGGTCTTTTGCTTCTGGATACCAGCGTACTTGTCGGTGAACTTGTGGTTATCAATGCCACGTGTGATCTCCTCCAGCATGGTTCCCTTCCTCTCCTTGCGCGTCAATCTAGCGCTGAAGAATTCTGTAGGTCCGGCAATGATCTCACCGACCTGGGAGTATTCGGGGGCGCTCGCGCGGAGGGACTTCTTCTGGTGCTTAGGGTCCAGAATGCCTCGCATACGGAGGGCTTGCCACTCCCGCTTGAACTCGGGGGTCATGTTCGTCTTGGGAAGATCGAACCAGTCGGAACCTGCGGTAGACTATTGCAAACTTGTTAGCAGGATGCTTCAAGAGATTTCTCGATTGACTGTAATAAAGTGTTTGCGCGAGGTAAAAGTCAGAGTAACTATGATATAAAAAAAGATCACGTTGTCATGGTCCTATGATCCAAAACGGATCTGTCCCATGTCACAAAAAATTGGGATAAATTTTCTTCATGCAAAAGGCAAACGTTGTAGTAGAGTTGGTGGAGGGTATTGTCGCTTACCTTTTCTTTGACCTTAAGTCCCGAGAGCGGTTGGGGTGGTGCTCGAACAGTCAGGCCATCTTTCTTGCTGCTGCTGTCGGAAGTTTTTTGCTGCTTCGCATCTGCGACAAGGTCACCAGCAACGGTTGGGACTACAGCAGTAGAAGTTGTGGATGCGATGCTTGAAGCAGGGCCATTTTTCAGGCGCTGCTCAGCCTTGCGCAGCAGCTCTTCGACCTGATCATCTAGGATGTCTGTCATGGTCTGCTGTCGACCAAGAAGAAAAAAGAAGAGGAATAAAAGTGAAAGAGAGACGGTCGCAAAGAAATAGTTCCAAAAGATCAGAAAAAAGATGTGGAGACAGGGTTGGTGGAGATTGATCCGAAGTGGGTGCTGTGGCGCAGTTTACCAGCCACCCTGCCACCCACCGGAGCTCCCATGTCGTGTGAGAGCTGACTTAGTGACTCCCGCGGTACTTAGCATCACCGCTTGGTTTGGAGGGGAACAAAGTATATCCCCTAATGTGGTCAAGTCCCAGCCCCCACTCGCGCCCCATTGCTGTCCAATCCCTCAAGAGAATTCAATAGCAGCCCAACTCAACGTCACTTTCTCATGTCAATAACAACACCGCGAGCTGAAGACGATATCCAAGTTTCTGAGTTATTGATCTTCACACTTTTAATCGCGAATAAAAAATCACTCACTATTTCTGTCGCTTCAGCTAGCCGCTGCTAAAATGGATCCACAAAACCCTCAAGCTGCTCAGGGTCGATCAAGACCTGTATATGACCCAAGTCTGGGCGGTCATTATGGTGAGCATCACATCGCAACTTACCTTTCGCGTCTCAGATTCTAACCCGCGTCGCCCAGGTGCCAGCGCCGCAGTAGGTCCCACAGACTCCCCGAGCTCGGCAATTTTGTTTTTATAATTCAAGCCAGTTGCTCTTGCTTTCGTTTTGAATTTCCGCTTATGCTCGTTCCTTCCAGCTTGCTACTCAAGGCTTCGCCCCCAGCGAACTTTACACCGGTCCTTGGGCAAATGTATGTTAAACTCAACACCATCCAAATATCACCACGCGTTATCTGGCAATGACTGACAGCAGCGACGATCAGGCTCATCAGGGTCTTACTGGCCAGTACAAGGACATCTTGACGACCTACTGGCAGCATACCATCTCACACCTTGAAAATGATGCCCATGACTACAAAATCCACCAGCTACCTCTTGCCCGCATCAAGAAGGTCATGAAAGCTGACCCAGAGGTCAAGATGATTTCCGCTGAGGCACCCATCCTCTTCGCTAAGGGCTGTGACATCTTCATCACAGAATTGACCATGCGCGCCTGGATACACGCAGAAGAGAACAAGCGAAGGACATTGCAACGCAGCGACATTGCTTCTGCATTGGCTAAATCCGACATGTTCGATTTCCTCATCGATATTGTCCCCCGAGAAGAGGCTTCGTCTCATGCCAAGCGCACGACTCAAACTGCCGCTGCACAACCAGTACCAGCCGGTCAGCCCATGCCAGCACAGCACGCCATGGCCCAGGCGCCCAACCAAGCTCATCCTATGGGTGCAGAATACATGGCCGGCCATGGTCTCGCGCCTGAGCAAGATTACCGGAACCAGCCCAACATGTATCCAGGAGAGTCGGTGCCCAACCCAGGGCCTGCTTATGGACAGAACCAACCGCCGCCTAACATGAATCCCTATGCAAACATAGGTGAGATGTACGGGTATTCTACCATGCCACCACAACAGGTAAGTGTCTTGGAATACTCATAACACCAAAAATGTATGCTGACTTTTACTCAGGGCAACATGAACAACGAAGAGTTTGAACAGTAGTCAAGATCAATTTCTTTACAGCTACCTTGCAACGGCCTATACCAAGAACCTTTCGATAGTCCTTATTCACGCAAGACCGTGACAGTCGCAGCTGTCTTATGAGAGGGAAGTCACGGGTCTCAATTAGAGATAGGAGAGGAAACAACATGATGGGTATACAGGGAGGGATCACGATGGCGGACCAATAGGCTTTCTTTTGAACTAGTTTATTCCCAGGCAAATTTCTGGCGCAACGACGGATTCCTCTTAAACTTCAGTTATTTTGTGCCTCGTATTTTGTACGCCCAAGAACTTCCAAGTCGTCTTGATGATCATCGTGGTGCTATACTATTAGCGGTTTATGCCGAACCGTGATGAGAAATTAGCTAGCGGTGCGCTTCTAGCGGGACTCGCTGCCACGGGTGTCAACCTGTAACTTGTTAGTAATCCGAAGCAGTGATGATCGTGTAATTGGACGTACTTCTCCAACAACATCGGTCCATTGAGGGCGTCTACACGCCCGTATTTCTTGTTACGTGTGGAAATGTCAAAGAACTCATCTTGGTTGTCAGTTTGCAGCAGAGCAATGGTCTGCGCTAGCTCGTCGAGGTTCTCTCTGAGCATTTGACCATTCTCAAGGCTGCTGACAAACTGTACAAGATAATCTACGTCTAGCGCAAGGGCTGCTACGCCATTAGGGTTGATGTGCTTGACATCAGAGGAGAGGGGAAGGGCCTGCTTGAGTGAGTAATATGTCGTTTGACGTCAAAATAAGTGCGTACCAGAATCTTCTCCGATGTGTGGCTGAGGGCGTCAAAGTAAATAAGTTCCTTGATCTCCCGAGGGAGACCCAGAAGAGTAGAGTTCATGATGTTGGATAGGTACCGGGTCAAAGTCTGCATGTAGTTGCTCGGCTCCTTTTCGACTGTTGACGCAGTCCTGAAAGAGAGTCAGTCAATCGAACACTTCACGCTGAATCATTATTACAAGAACATACCATTCGTATTCTGCCGTGTCAATCAGATCATCAATCTTCGAATTGACAAGCTCGAATATTCGTTTCTCAGCGGTCTTTTTGTTGTCGCGGAAGAAATCCGTAGCCTTAAGTTTGACCGGGCCGCCTGCAGATGTCGATGAGCGCGCTCGGATGAGCAGCTGCTCGAGCTCTTGGCAGGCAATCTCGAAGTGCTCCAAGTTAATGAGAATTTGTACGATTTGACCCAGATATTGGGAACTCAATCGCTCTACCAACGACTTGCAGACCTTTTCTGTAAGAAGTTCGTCCAGAGACTGTAAATGTGGTGAGTAAAATGCCGACTAATTTCCAGAGGTGTTTTACCTTTTTGAGCGTTTCATCGATGACATTGGGATGTTGGAAGTGATCGTCGGAGAAGAAGTAGAACTGGTTCAAGAAGTTGCGGATATCTATACAGCACATGGGGTACATTTGTGAGAAGGGAAGTACACATGGATACCTGTTCTGTCAGTTGATGTGGCTTCGCTCAAGGTGGGGGAAACCTACGTAAGTTCTTCCATTGGCTTTTCTTGTGCGAACCAGCTGACGTTGACGACCTTTTCGTATTCCGCTGGGGTATTGATGGCCATTGGCATATAGTCATCCGTTGACACTATCTATCGACCTGTGAGCCAATTGCGTACGGGAGTTGGCATAGCACTTACCTCTTGGAAGTCTACGCTGAAACGTTTCTTCAATAGCTCAGCATACTTATCGAACAACTTGAGGAGGAAGTTGTCCAGCATTGTAACAGCATATCCCCAGCCCTAGGCCATGTCAGTGCGTTCGGTTAATGAACATGCAAGCAAGCCTTACCTCCATTGTCTGAATGAAAAGAGCTATAATTGTTTTGATCTTGATCAGGGCCTCCGCATCTTCGACGTCACTCAGCGACTTCGAGGTGAGATTTATCACAGCCGTGCACATAGACTCCCACAGTTCTTCCACCTTTTGATCGTGTTAGTTCAAGCAGGTTGACACAGGTACCGCTACTCACATCGTTCGATGAGCGCAAATGTGGAATTCTTTGCATGGTCGCCCTCTCGATGATGGCAAACCCTGCTATTCCTTCTAGCAAACTACTCAACGAATGTTCATCTTCCGCCAGAAGCTCAATATAGCTCGGTAGTAACAAATCTTTCTGTTGACGTCGAGTCGCACCATATTCTGAGCGGAACTTTTCTAATTGACCAAGAGCTTCATGAATATGAAGTGCTTCGAGCAAGGGTGTAAAATCCACCTGTAGTTCTTCGTTGTTCAACACATCGAAATCTTCATTCTCATCGCTGACAAGCTCAATGGCTGAGTTGAGCTTGAAGTTAGCCAAAAACGGATCATCTTCCACCCTCTTCTTCTGTCGCGTCCTTCTCATTTCGGTGTGGTAAAATGCTACCTCGCCTAGGAACTGCGACGTTTCTCGAATACGGAACAGCCATGTGTTCAAATCCGTCATGACAGCTTCCGAAATCGCCTTCTGAGACGCGGGTATAGACTTTTGGATGACATCGGCCAGCCGATGTTGCGTAGAATAGCGATTCTGGATGATGGGTACGAGATGCTCATTTTGAAGATCGTCGAGGGATTTTAGGGCGGCGTAATAGTTCTTGCGACGGACAAGTTCGTGTGCGTTGTTGACGGCGTGAAGGATGGTGAGGGAATCCTTGAGGGCGCCGGTGGCATCGGCGATGTTTTGTCGTACGGAAGAGGTGTTTACCAGTGCTTCCTTTTGTGTTGCTAGCTTTTTTGTACTTCCAGCAATCGACTCATTCAGACTCAGAATCTCTTGCGTCAAAGTCACTGTTTCTGCCCGGACGGTCTGTAAGTGGTTGATGGAATCGAGGAACTCTTCGTGCCTGGTCAGGCCAATACGCTCGATCTCGGCTTCTCGGTCTTCGTAGTATCGACTTAGACATTGAGTCAAAAGAGGGGTTCGGTTCGAGTGGGTAGCATCTTTAAGAACGGGGATCAACTGGTCGAGGAACTCGGCATCTGAGGAAGCGAGGATGACCTAGGTGGCAGGTTAGCGCATTGTTTTGGAGAGAGTTCATGCTGCTGGGGGCTCACATGCGGCACGGCGGATGCATAGTCATCCACAGCTGGTGGACGTCGCGGCATGCCTGCTATATTGAAGTGACTGAAGCTATTTAGTAGCTAATGTTGATTGCTCAGTGTTGAGCGTCGCGTGTCGCAAGCTACCCGTAATGCTCCCTCCCACTAAGTGACGATACCTCTAGGCTCCACCTGAAAGCTCAGATAAGATAAGAGGTTGGCTTAGTGCCAAGCCAGGAACATGACCCCTGACTAAGCGGAAGCCCCACTCGCAACGACATCAACCTCAGCTGCCAGTGAATAAGTGGTGTTTTATGCAAGGTATGATTTATGCCACAGGAATGATTTATGCCACAGGAATGAGATAATCGTCGATTTCTGCCATTTTGCATTCCTGTCACAAGATAAAAATTTGCTGTGAAAGTTTAGGGTAATACGCAATATGATATTGAAGCTCCGGCATCAAGATAGCTCGAGACAAGATATTCTATCATTATATGACGATAAGCTTGCCAAAGAGTGATGAGATATCACAAAAGGATTCTAAAGTGCGACCGATATTGTCTAAGGAGGAAAGGACTGGAATTTGCATGTCAACATATCCACAAATGGATACTTTGATCTAATTATTGACAAATACTTTGCCTTCCAGAAACTGGAAAATTCTCGATAGAACAGCTATTGACGGGATATAGTAGATAGAAAGACAAGCTTATTGCGAACATAGGCATGCGAAACCCACCAATTCAGCTCCTGGTGCAAAGTGAGGGAGCACCATACTAAACAACGGCTATATCATACTTAGAAACGAACAGCCAGGGATACTTTTTCGATAAAGAGTGATCCTTGCAATTGCGTATTGGGCCACTGACGAGGTTTGTCGGCGGTATGAAAGAAGACAATGCTCTGCAGATGGTTTCGAAGAGTGAACGACTTGTGGTCGAGGAAGAGGTTTTGTAAAATAAATCGTATTCAGTAGTTGTAAAGTTCATATCCGTGATGTAGACACTAGTATTGGTAGGCAGTGAATGAAGCCGAAAAGATAGAGGAAACGATATAACCTGAACTCCATTTTTTGAGAGTGTTGTGAACTGCCCTTATGAAGCATGATTCATGATTCATGCTGGTTTACCTTTCCAACAGGTTGTAGTAAAAGCTTTCCGGGAATTCGTGTAATATATTCGATAATAAAAGTATTACTCTTAATACTAAAGGGGTTCACAGTCCCGAGAGGGTTAGAATGACAGTTATGAACGAGTGGAATGCTACTTACAACAATAAGTATCACATTTTGCCATCGCAATGTTACATATTTGCTGGCAAAAGAAATACCACTGCGTCCAAGTCAGTCTCCTGGCATCCATACTGGCCACACTCAGTATGACCAAGGATTTATTCTGAATATTGTTAGAGACAGCAAAGCCGGGATAATGTTACATGTTGTTGGCCTCCCTAAACTTACTTCCGATAAGAGACTCGGGTTGATTAATATCCTCAAGTGAAATCTGTAGCTTAGTCTTCCAAGTTTCGTATCTGTTGGAGCAAGCCATAGTAGACCTTGTTCAAGGCCTTACGGAAAGTCTGTGGATTATGGTGACCATATTCCTCGCAGTCCATTTCACGCCCTCACCTCAATTCCACCGAATGATCTTTGTGTCGTTATTGTTGGTCAAGACAAAAGCCGTTATTCTCTTCTACTCGTCGTACCCTCTGGAACTCGTGGCACTGATTGCAATCAGGGGTATAGCGGACTTCGAGCCTCATCTGTAGAAAAACATTTGAACAGTGGCACAGGGAGATTCAGGGGCAGATACTTCAGCTACACGGCGCAATGTTGTCGGAGAGCGAAGCTAGGAAAAAGAAATATCAGAAAATGTCTGTAGCAAGGATGATGGAGAGGGAAAGGAAAAGAAAGTCTGTCGAAAGATATGGGCAACGGATTCACAGTTGGTCGGCTTGTCTTGTCAATACCAGAAATCTGAGTAGTAGTAGTGAAAACGATAACGTTGACGACCCTGAACGCAATACGTTGAACTCTAAGATGGCAAAAGAGGCCATGCCTGCACGTTCTTTTCCATCTCTTTATCTTTTGAGGCCATTGACACGTTGCAAGATCCCGTACTTGGCTAGCTAGCCGCCTTAGATAATCGTGGAAGTAGAGATGGCGCCGTTTGTGGATGAGCTTAACGCTCAATAGAGGCTGCTTTGGCTGATCGTGTTCATCCTCTGGAGGGGTCTGATATATCTGTGTTTGAAGTTGACTGTGTTAGAGCGGGACAATGATTGCGGGGGATGTGGAAACGGTATTACTGAAGCATACTGTCTGCAAGAACCCAGGTCTCCAAGTTAAGCACGACAGATATGAGAGTGTTGGTCGTACACCTAGTAAGATATGGCAATGTAGGACAAGTGGGTGCCAATGATTCGAACCCAAGGTCACCTAATAAGATGAGCGTGGCTACTTCTTCTCGAGCCTGTCGAAAGGTAGTCGGGAAACAGAATCAATATCAAGGCGATAAGATACGCAATCCCCATGTCTGACAAGGTTGACTCATATGAAGCTCCCAGTAGCAAATTGCTTTACAGGTTGATCAAACTACCTGGTTAGGATTCGAGAAGAATGAATAGGAGTACGATGTGGCCAGCCTGAGATCCATGCGAGTATGATCCTCAAGGCGATGCATGTTGTAGATTAAATTCTTGGTTCAATGCTCTGCCAGCTGTATGACTGCGAGGTCTCAACCTTGGCCCCTAGAACTTCGGGACGGAAACTGGTTCGTGTCGAATCCTGGCTGTCGGTCCGGCCTGATGGGTCTTTCAAGGTAGAATCTGTCCAAATTGGGCTTATCAAGGGTGGTGGCCATGTGTGTTTGATGATGAGAGCACCACAGGATCCAAGTTTGGGCTTCTGGAGGATGTCGAAGCTCGCCACTCGATGGGTTTGTACTGATTTGAATGCAGTTAAATCTCCATGGTGACTTTGGGATTTTCAACAAGGAAGCCCTAGCGTAAGGTGGTAGAATGACGTTGGTGAGTAGAGGTCTCTGGGGAAAATGACCCTGCAATTTTCGTCTTTTCATTAGTGGCAGCCACTTCTTCAATAGTGGGATAATCCCAAGCAATTGTTCTCTTGCCGGATCATGCAAGGCCGTGATGGGCCTAGACGATGAGCAAGGAAGGACACCGAGCTTGCTGAAGTAGTGGAAAACAGTGAGGAGTGGCGGGAGTTTTCGAGCAGAAGTCGTGATAAACGTGTGGATGACTGGAGGAATAGTGAGCTATGAGTTTCCCATAACTGGAAGATGTGATGGCTTTCCTACCTTTGTGCATGTGCATTTTCAGTTCAAAATCGATAGCAAAGCTTGTCCTCTGAGTTGCCTAATGACGATTGTGAACGAGCATTGAATCTGAGGCCGATAAGAGATTGGTGATATTCTCATGTGCGTGTCAAAGGGTTTGTAGCGTGTTGTATCCACTGATGTATGACCCTAGAAATTGGAATTGTTGTTTGTTGGGTTCTTTCTTTAGATGCCCCCCTATCTCCTGTAGACAGCCTTCTTATCCCGCCCTTTCATTGACCCACTTGTATATCACCTAAAACCAGATATTTACCAACATTTCAGCAGGCCGATGCTAGCTGGTCATTCATCTGCCTACCGCCTCCTTTTCACCATGGATGACTTCCGAAACTACTTCAGTATTCGCCCTGGAGCCAATGGCCATCCAGCAAATATTCATGATCTCCGATCTTGCAACGGCTTGTTCAACCATAAGCCACGGATCACAATCATGCCAGATACGCCTCAAAGAAGGCCAACCGGGTTATTACTATCAGCAAGTAAGTCAAGCCCACCAAGGACTCCAGTAGAAGTGTTGAGACCATAACACCAGGACTAAAGAGCCAGAACAGGATCAAGACCAGCTCCGTAGTAACGGTTCATCGCCAATTCGTACAGTGACAAGAACTAATTCGGGCTGCAATTGCTTCTGAGAACAATATCCGAACAAACCAAATAACGAAACAACGTCATGGTGAACGAAAATTCCAGCGGGTCGATAATCAGAGATTAGGCCATGAGACCAGTGAGGCGGGCCTCGAGTAAGTTCAATCGCACCCTACATTGTGATAATTCTGCTAAATCACATTTCTAGGCAAGATCTCCATAACTAGAAAGAGGGCAAAAGACAAAATCTACATCGAGAGTAAGACTGTCAATACTATACAGACTTGACCCCAAAGAATGTCAGGGCCACTTTGAACACACCAGATACGAAATCCCTGAATCGAATTTGACACAGAGCCTTTACCCCAAAAGAAGGCGAGGATTCTTCAGTACAACGTATGACGAGGAACCAACCCATTTTCGAGATGTACGTCATGGCACCAACGATGTTGATGAGTGTTTCATGGAATTGCTGCCATTGCAATGCAACGGGGTATTCTATACGATACAGATACATCAAGTTCTCAGCTCATGGGCAAAGAAGCCCAGAGGAAATAGTCTGGTGGATCGTGCTTTAACCCCCTGGTTATTCGTATACCAAGCCCCATCCTTTTGATTGGCCCCATTTGAATCTGTCAGTCTGGAGTTAAGGCCTTATCCAATCTATTGCTAACCATGTTGGTATTCTTTTACAGACAATCCTTCCGATTCCACAAACAAAACAATTCGTATGGAGTACAGCATGTATGCCGATGTTAGTCAACAAACAAAGATACAGGGTCATTCTGAGAACACCAACTCCCTTTCAAATTATGGCTCTAGCTCCTACTCAAGATCCCATGAATATTATTTCTACAAATCAGACCACCCGCTTTGAAATAACGATTAGAAGAAAGCTCGGGGAGAAGGCCTCAATCGGCGGGATTCGAGAGCACCAGAACAAGGCACGTTTTTTGGGATGACACTAGTACAAAGTTCTTACAGTTAAGAGGATGGAATCTGTCTACAATGGGTCAAAGTATGATTGGAGCGGGCCCCCTGTTTAACCTGACTTCAAAGACTCAGGGGGCGTATCCCTCGAGGTATAACTGAGAATTAGTTCTGATCGTAAATACAAAACATATAGTCATTGGGTAGGGAAGAGGACGAAAATGAACTTGAAGGGGTATATAGTAGGAACAGGTTTTGTTAGAAGTATCTCGCGAGGAAATAGGCTTTGATGAGCCAGTTGATGGATCATCGACGATTGATTCGGCAGCCTGCATATCTCCGGCGTAGCACCACCAACTTTACGGCCAGTACCGAAATGACGATATCAAGAGCTTGATGTAGATTAGATGCAAGCAAAAAGGACAACAGCACATTGTTTCATGTAAATTTCCCTACACAAAGACTTATCTTCATGGCACAATTCAGAATTGACAAAAGGGTAGGTATAGCGATATCATTCAACAGTGTTTGAGAAACACAACTGTCAAGTTTGCGTAACTATTCGAATTCAGTGATATTTGTTTAATTTAGACATCATTTAGAGAAATCCCAGAGCTTTGAAATATCCAACACTCCATATTTATCTTTACTTATTACAGACGAATAATTGCGAGGCTGGTAGCCGCTGTATTGGTGGTGTAGATGATTTCGTCTTACCTAGCCTAGGCAGCCAGCCGCTGGCGCAGCGGCCTACAGAATGTGACAACCGTTTTTCAGTTATCTGTGGCCAACATCCATGGTATTGGATTTGGCAAGGCTGACAGCCAACCAATAGCCTTCCACTTTCTACATAGCCTTTTAGGAATGGCAGTTCTCGATAACATCCAAAAGTCAACAGCCCCTATACTTTCGTATTTACAAATCAACTCAACCTCAGAAGTATGTTGTAAGCCCCTCGAACTTTTGCATTACCGATACTGACTTCTATATGATTTACAGGGTTCTTCAGCTTTCCAGAGGAATGATGACTTGCTCACGTCACGACCAGCTCACTAACTACGTCGTCCAGCCATGAGTCTCGTTTCAAAGCGCCCCTGTACGAGGAACAGCAGATCTACGAAATTGAAACGACTGTCGAGGAATTTCTTCTCCTCTCCACTGCTATGGAACTCAACATCGTACCAATCAAGTCCTTTGTACACAGCTCCTCCCCCTTTATCTATCCTGAGCCGTGATGGCAACACTAACATTTGGAGAAAATCAGGCACTCAAGACTCGTCCTATCTCCCCATCCCTCATTTCATAAAACGACTACTCCTTGGATTCAGCTACGATAAATGCTGGCATAAGCTTGGGGGATCAAGAGTCAGTGGCAGCCCGGATAGTCGGATTACCTTTGGCTCTCACTAAGCCTACCAAAACCCCAGTTCCGAGATCTACATCACTACATCCATATCCTAGATCCCTAAATATTCCTACATCCATCAACTTCTCCACCAGTCTACCAACGAATTAGGGGCTATCTGTATCGAATATCGCTTTTACTTCACCAGTCCTAAGCTCGGCACTTGTTCTCGATACAAAACAGCCTCCTGGAAACCCCTTGTCAAGTTTGACCACCACACAGTTAGCCAACCCGGAAGTGAAGCTGAGAGGTGCGGTGATAGTAGTCAAACTTACTTGTTGTCTACCACGATTGCCTGGATACGGCTTGGTTCCCGTCTCAAAACGAGTTTCCCATGTGCTCATCGCAAGTGGATGAGCATACCCCACGACAACTTCCTGAGCGTTTCTGGCAGTATCGTCAATATTCTCGCGATTTCTTTCTGGAAGTTGCCAGCAAGCAAATTGGTAACCAGTCAGATAGCTAGAATTTCGGTGGTAACTAAGTTAGCCCCTATGTTGCCTCGGTTGTCCTGGACGCTTGCAACAAGGCATATCGCGGGTTGGCAACGTGGTGTGATGCTATGATGTTGCTCAGAATCTTTTATATTTTACAAGAGCATTGGAGTCTGAAGCTGATTCCGTGGATGGTTGTGATTCAGGAGGTGATTGATTCAGAGGTTGAGTAAACCTCGAGTTTAGATCTACCACTTCATTTGAAATAGTCTCAACACCAGTGGCCAATAGGCTCTACTAGAGATTAATATCTCGCAACCCAATCATTACTATGTCAACAACCTCTACGTGTAAGCTGTCTACGCGAAAGGAAGGTAGGTTAAATTCAACCAAGAGCTCAAGTAAAGCGGCTTTGGAACATGTGCCCCTATTTCCCGTTCCGAGTAAAGCAGACCGCTCACACTCTTGAATTGACCAAAGTACCCATGCTTCCTGACGATGAATCTATCTTGTGTAGGCGTACTAGCCCTTGGGATGGAGCCAGAGGGTATTGCATATCCTGTGAGCGCGTAGACGGACCAGAGTAGCGAGCCCCTGTTTGATGAAGGTTGCACTGTTCTGTGTTCATGATCGATTTTCTTCTTATAGAATAAGTCGGTAGTGTAAGACGGAACTAGCTGTGGTCGTTTTCTGCCATTAAATGGGTTCTGAGGGTCGGCCGGAAGACAATCACCTGTAAGTTTCCAAAGTGTGTTAGCCAAAGTCTATTCTCCATTTTGACATGTTCTAACTTCAACCCACGCTCTGAACGGCTGTAGATAAGATTCTGAATACCGAAGGGAAATACAAACAAGTGGAGATGCAAACCTGAATATTTGAAAGTCGAACCAGACCAGAACCTCGCCCTCCAGATGAAATGGGACCCAAATCAACTGGTATTTCGTCCCAATAAGTCTCAAGCTTGAACGTCGATTCTCAATAAGAATTGACCCGGCTGTACCCTTGGCCCTCAGTTCTGGAGGTATGTGCCACCCCCACTCTCTAGTTGGTCGTCACAACCACAGCCAAGTGGATGGATGCTGATGACCCGGAGCCCATGGTGTAAGATGATTGGACCGTGGGCTCCAGTCTTTGAAATCATGTATACTTAGACGGTCTACCTTTGGGCCACTGTAAATCCTGGCTCCTGGCTCCTGGCTCCTGGCTCCTGGCTCCTGGCTCCTGGCTCCTGGCTCCTGGCTCCATCTTCATCTTGCACGAAAACCCTTCCAGTTTTACTGAGTAGCACGAAGTCTGTAGTTGATTTCAAAATGCCTTGGAAAACCTTCTGGATGATGTTGTAGCAGTCTTTAGTCCTTCCTGGGCGTGTGATCGCGATGTTTGGTTCTGGAGAGGCAAAGGGGATGAGGTGAAGAACCAGTTACCTGGAAGCAGGGCTCAATGGTCGTGTAAATCTAGCAACCCTGGAAACAAAGCTGTCAGCTTGGTTTGTAATTTCATGATAACCCAATGATTTCATGGTCTCATCGTAGTGCGGTTGATCTAGGGGCCAGGCTCCCAAGACTTCTCCTGCCAACATAGAAAGAACCTGCACCGGCAAGAATAAGGGGGAGAGCTAGTATCTTCTTTCCTACCTGTAAGCGACCTATTGGTGACAACTGCCACTACCGACCCTGTTGTACTTGTATATCTGCCTTGTGGGAAGTCTCGACTCTTCCTGACTATGGAATGCCGAACAACGTTGAAGTGCTCACTGACGATGGAATGGGTGGTGGCGTTGGGTATGGTTGAGGATATCGTCTTGCTCTTCGGTTAACGTCTCACTACCTAAACTCTCCTGCTACCCTTTCCATCAGTCTATGTCACAGGTCCAAGACTTCTGAGATCGTGCTTGACATCACGTACCTAGTTGGGTGTACCTTCTCGGACTGGACATCATCGAGTCTGTGAAGACGTTGAAGGATCTCAACGGTCAAGGGTGCGGGACGTTACGACTCTAAGTTGAAAGCTACCCTCCGAGCACATGGTAGCCACGTTTGGCGTTTAACGATGATGATACATAGGTAGTTTGCGTTAAGAGTCAATGAAGAGATTGATATGTGAAACATGATGACCAAAAATGGACAAACATTTTGGACCAAAACAAAGAATTCGGCGATATGAAAGCATGAAGGCATCGGAATAACGGGCGAACGAAACAATACAGTGGGCATGTACGGGTTGTGGTGCCTGATGTGCCTGTCTATAGTGGAGTGACAGTGACGTGGGTAATTTCCAGGGGGCCAAGCGTTGCGAATACCCTCGCCCGCCTAGGGAGACACTCGACCACGACTGCATCACAACAGCATCCTAATGGTATTAAAAGAAACCATAATATACTTTAGATGATTAAGAATGAGCGAGTGCATATTATTCTACATTTGCATGCAAGTTGGAGCAAATACTGCCAAGTTACATGGTATGCATGTCTAAGACTACATGCAGACCACTATCACGAAAAGCCTCAACACCATGATGATATTGTGATCAATAGAAAGGTAGAGGCAAGAGGGACTCATTAGTGCGGTTATGGATCACGATATCACGTTACGAGGTGGGGAATATCAAACAACCTCATCGGCACCGGAGGTGTCAACAGCCGAAGCCACATCGTGACCTCAACATGGAAGGCACTCGAATTCGTCTGATGTTGAGCACACAAATAATAATTCGAGAGCTTCGTGCAAAAATGAAATATGCAGGAATCAGTATGCAAGTCCATGAGGGTTACAGAACTGTTGGCTGGGTAGCAAGATGTCGAGACCGTATCGCTGTTGGGACGGACAAGCCAAGCCAGATATATATTAAACTTGGTAGCGAATTAGACGAGTTTACTATAGCATATATAGGTGATAGTTATCCGAGCTTTACTTGACTATCATCCCCCGTGTCCCTATTATCCAATTACTTTGCCCACTACGTCTTAGCAACTGGTGCCCCTGAGACCAAATACCCCTCTGAGCTTGTAGGCAGGCAGGCCATCCGCACCTTCCATTGCATCCCCCCCTCGGCAGACAGGGCTTGATATCTCTCGCACGCCTCCCCACTTTTCCTTACCTTCTATCCCAACTCCCTCCCATCTTGCCTCCCCTCTCCTCTCTCTTCCTTTCTCTCTCCCACCGAACATCAACATCACCACGTTCAGAATTCCATTGCATCTTGTGCATAGAATTCAACCTTGGCAACCTTGATCTTGTTCATATCTTCTTTCATTTCAGCTTCTACCTAGAGGCATCGCATACCCCGAACCTTCACTATTTTACCTCCCATTTTGTTCACACAAATCCCCCTTCAACTTGGTACCATGGCTTCTCGCCGTGATCCCCGTGCCTTTGGCACTGCATCTTCCTCTCCAGGTGGTATTCCCTTTGACTCTGTCCAGACTACCCCGGATACTCAGCTTACGGCGTTCTCGCGTGAGTCTGCTTATGGCGTTCCTGGCCTCGGAGGCTTCATGCCCATGGTCACCCCTCAGCAGGATGTCTTCGCTGGGCCATCTTACTTCCCCCAAGCTCATGTAGAGAACCGTGGAGCTTCTCACTTCGATCAGGATCCCTTTGTCGACTCCAACCCTGGCCTTTCTGCCGCCGCGACTTCTTTCCAGCCGGGTGCTACTTACTCCAAGGGCAAGGCTGTCGCTACTCTGCTCCCTGAGGGTAGCCCTACCGTCTCCAGTGCTTTGAGCCATGACATGGAGATCGCTCACCGTCTTGAAGTCTGTGATACACCTATTCCCTCGGTTCAGGATGTCGGTGACTTCCTCACTGTAAGTAAAACTGCTCGTTCATCAATGTATGTGACTCACTGACATTATCTCAGGAACTATCTCGCAAGGGTCAAGAGCTCTTTGGTAGCCGTAACCTGGAGAACTCTGATGGCCACATCTATGTGTGCTTCGAAGATCTCCGGGATGCTATTTGGGCTTTCGGTGCAATCCGACAGGCCAAGAAAGGATGGCTCCCTTCCTACGTGAAGATCAACAAGGAAAGAGTAAGTCACTTACCTTGAGTCCTCGCTGCCTCCTGTTACTGACTTTCTCTCCAAGCTGGATATGGGGATTGTCCGATTCTCCGAGCTTAGACAGCTCGACGTTGAAGTTTCTATTACCAACTTCTCAATCATTGACCCTGGACACGTCGACGAGATCGTTCAGCAAACCTTGAACCGCTATGGCAAGCTTTTCGCCCTGGTGCGCGTTGTCAGCCTTCCCGATGGCTCCTTTCGCGGTGTTGCGCAGTATTGCAAAGCTGCTGATGCCCACTATGCCTTTCAATCCTTCAACAGCTTCACCACTAGCGTAAGTCTTTTCATCCCCTCACTTGGCCCTCTCATCTAGCTTCATGTCTGGTTCAACCCTCTGACCACTTTGATAGAACGTGAGCATCACTCTGAAGCAGCCCCAGGACGCCGGAGCTGTTGTCGGTCTCAACAATCTCGTTGGTGGTCTGCAGGGACTCTCTGTCCAGGCCGCTGGTAACCGATACCAGCAGACGGCTCTTTTCACCAACCCTCCCTACAATGGTAGCATGTTTGCTAACGGACGTGCCCCTCAGGGCAACCCCTTTGCTGCACCTGGTGCTTACCAGTTTCCGCCCAGTGCACTTCTTCAACAATTTGTACCACCCTCGCCAGCTTTGACTGCTCAGAACAGTCTCATGCACTCGCGTGGATCCAGCCTCTCCTTTGGAGGAATGGGTGGGTTTGGCCCCTTTAATCCTCGCCGCAACCAAATCTCTCGCTTCGGTCGTAACGGTCCCAACCGTGGGCTCAACAATGTTGTTGACCTCAACGAGCTCATTGCCGGACGTGATGTGCGCACCACTGTAAGTTCTCGAAACCTTTCACTACTAGTGTCACGTCTGACCTACTTCCAGATCATGCTGCGAAACATTCCCAACAAGGTGGACCAGCCCCTCCTCAAACGCATTGTGGACGCCTCTTCCTTCGGCAAGTACGATTTCATGTACCTTCGCATCGACTTTGCCAACGATTGCAAGTAAGTACAAGACACACCGAAGTATCACTTCAACACTGATCATCCTTTAGCGTCGGCTATGCCTTCATCAACTTTGTCAAGGCCGAGTACATCATCGATGTGAGTTCCCTGCAGTTCAGTTTGATCTCCTGCACATACTAACTCTTGGCCAGTTCGTCCAGGCACGCGCCAACAAGCGCTGGTAAGCTAGTCATGGCAAGTGACATGTCTTCATTCCTCTGACTGACATGAACAGGAACTGCTTCAAGTCTGACAAGGTCGCTGAGGTCTCCTATGCCAGTAAGTTCAGCCTTCTTTTTCTTAGTGGTCGCCACTGACAAACAATAGCTATCCAAGGAAAGGACTGCCTAGTCCAGAAGTTTCGAAATTCATCTGTCATGCTTGAGGCGGAACATTACCGTCCCAAAGTTAGTACCTCTTTGTGTGCTCTTGTCAGTCTTCAACTGACATGCATAGCTTTTTTTCACTGTTCATTGCGAGGACAGTGATCTCGTTGGTCAAGAGGAGCCGTTCCCAGGCCCTGATAACCAGTCGAAGATGAAGCGATCGGTTGAAAACGCGGAGCATGTCGGTATGTATCCTATTGTAACTAGCATCATGAACTTGCTCTGACCAGCATGTTGTAGGCCTCTTCACCCCTACCGCGGGTCAGCAATTCCGCGACGAGCAGCGACGCCGCCACTCGCAGTACGATCGTGGAACCCGCCTTGCGGCCCTGGAGGAGTTCTCCTACGAGACCTCCCTCGGTCCCTACTACGGTCGTTACTACCGCCAGTAAGCGTTGGACACTCCTCGAAAATCATCTTGATTTTTGATTTTTTTTCAAAAGTCATCTTGAGGTTGGTGTGTTAGCCTTCTTGGCCTATGGCACGATGCGCGTATCTTCGGAGGCCTTTGGTGGTTAGAAAGGTCTTGTCTCTACAGTATCTCGGTTGGACCTTCGAATAGTCCCAAGTTGTACCAGCTATAACGCACGTAGATACTAGATACATGAAAACAGGGGATAGAATTCATCTATCACACTTTGAGGCGCACTGCACAGGTGAAACTTTCATGCTCGTAAACAAATCACGTATGGCTCATTACCGTTACTTTGGCAAGCCCCGGTAAAAAAGTTCAAAGAATTTGATTTCTAATCCTAGCTAGGTACATCATCCTGACGCTCACGGCGACGATGGATTCTCAGGCAACGCTGGTAATGGTTTACGTGAATTACCTGCATGCATCGCTGGTAAGCGACGTAATGTGATCGGCTGGGTTTCATGAGGTGGTGAAAGATCTGACGATGAGGCATAGCCGTCAGATCTTGGTGTCGGTGGTGGCGAAAGCTGTTCACGTTCAACTCGCTCATTGTGCAAGTCGTCGATGAAAGAAGCGCGATGATGCAGCTCAGTTGAGCTTTCATCTCCCGCTTCTGCGGACACAGGCATATATCCAACTCTTTGGCGATCTGCACCCCCATGTGCGTCGTAAACACCCCCATACATTGCTCGAACGCGAGAGGCAGGCGATCCAGCATCGTAAGGAGCCAGACCAGCCTGGTCGATGAAAGGTGCCAGGTAAGGAAGGGATCCGCTGCGGGAGAATATGACGAGGAGGAGACACGACAGAAGCAGCACGGCTTGTACTATGGCCATTCGTTTCTGAAAGACTACCTCGTCGGCGAGGAGGTTGAGACGAGTGCTGAGAGCAAAGATCTCGCGGTTAGACTGGTCACGTTGGCTTTCAAGGGCAATGACTGTCGACTGCCATATCTGGTCGTACTGTTCACGAACGGAGCGTAGCTCGGCTAGAACGGTTTGGTTGAGATTCTCGAGGAACAGTGTTGCCTTTGAAATTTGCTTCTGCTCTGCACGGTACAAAGTCTCAGACATATGGCGGGCTTGCTCTTCGACGTATTTCAAAGAGAGGGTAAGGTTGGTCTCGACTTGTATCAGACGCTTGGATACAGATTTGAAAAAGCCTTCCTGCACGGGAGGCGGGGCGGGTGATCCAGAGGTTGTTCCTGTGCTGCCCTTCTTGGCATTAGCAGTATTGGCAGGAGAGGGTTTTGAATTGGCAGGAGAAGGTTTCGGATTGGCGGGTGAAGATTTCGCGGTAGATGCTGCCGTTGAAGAAGATGGCGTGGCTGTTGTCTTGGAGCTTGGTACCTGGGATGCTGGTTTCGAGGTTGGTTCGGTATTTGAAGATGACACGGTGGACGGGCTTGTCGGTGATATGGCCGGTTTTGCGCTTGGGGAAATGGTTGTAGAGGATAATGAGGATGTAAGCTCTTCACTTGCTGAGTGTTCAAATCTGGAGATATGTGGTGTTGCAGTACCCTTCAGCTCTCTCTCATCTTGAGAGTTGGGCATGGAGGCAGCGCTGGTAACGTCTACCGAACTCTTGTGGTTTGATGTCGTGCGTGATTCATCGAGTGACACGGGACAGAACAATGGCACGAAGAGGACCTGTGACGTGGCATTGACTTTGCAGTATGGCATCTCCTCTATGAATACCGGCTTGGCAGGTTCAGGGGGCTTTTCTATCTGCCGTGGCTTGGGGGACTCTTCTCCTGAGGGCAATTCCGGAAGTGGTTCTTCAACCTCCTCATCAGGGTTCGAGTCTTCGTCGCGGGCTGGGTCGGCGTTCCATTCGTGATACGGTTCAATCATGCGCGATCCATGGATTCGAAGTAACGAGACTGGGCACCAGAACTCCTTTCCGGAAAAGTTGAGGAATTCGATGCGAACGTACTTTGAGTAGATTTGCGGGTTCTCAACCAAGAAGGGTTGGAGATCTCGCGTATTTCGTGCCTCAAAAGTGCCAATTTCTTTCCATTTGTCGATCTTAACTGGATAATGGTCACTAACACTAACAGTAAAGCGACGGACCATGCTGGAGAAGAACTCGAAATTGGCAAGGACGACAGTATCGATGAGGACGTCGTCACTCAATTCGACGATGAAGAACTTGCTTTTGGCGCGGCACTCGAAGAGCATGTAAGAATCTTTGTTCTCGACTAGAATGCTTTTTGCTTTCTGGGCACCGGGGCTTGCTTTGAGAATGGTGGCGCCGGCGTCGAACGAAGCGTAGTTGAAACGTTCCTTGCACGTCTTGCCAGCATCTTTGCTTCTGTAGATGGATGCTTGACCGTCCTCATAAACGACTGCCTTGCCTGATCCATCTGTGTAAGCCTTGTCAACGTCTGATGGGTGGTCTTTTGATCCTCCGGTGTTATCCAAATAACTGTCAAAGTTCAGGGATATTTCCTCTTCCTCTCCAAGGCCAGCGTGTCCCATGTCTGGGGGTGTCCTGTCCCGAGGTTTTGCGTTTCGGGCATTGAGATGTTTAGGGTCCTGCCCTGTCTTTCGTAGCATCATTACCTTCCAGTCCTCAAAGGACATGAAGTGTTTCGCAGCTCCATCTCCAGCTGCATCTTGTGATTCATCTTGGGCGGTAGCGGTGGACGCTGGTTGTTGGGATTGGGACTCGCTATGTGCGTTGTGGGGTGGCGCATCGCTTTGTGTCGTGTTAGAGGAGGCGTCTGCTGTCGAATTGGGCGCCGAGGGGGTCGCGCTCGCAGTTGTGCTTGTCCAAGAGCTCGTAAGACAAGATTGAGGCAGGGTGTGGATGATGTAGTTGATGGTTCGGGCGTCGCAGGTCGAAACTGTCGTGGAGGACTCGTTCAGAGTAGGGACAGCATTGCCGGGGTCGTGAGCATGAGAATGAGACTGGGCTTGAGCTTGAGCTTGAGTCAATGCGGGAGTAAGTGCTAAGATCCGTAGAATGGTCAAGCCTAGCGATGGCATCGTGATCTCGCGGGTTGGCGACACATTGAAGCGCGCTGAGGTAGAAATGCCCTGTATGAATTGGATTGTGGATGGAGGTTGGTGCTGGAACTAGACACGGAATGGGTGTAGGCTGTAGGCTGTTGCCGAGACTCGTCTAACTGAAATCCGATCCACTGACGTGGTTAGATGCAGGTGATTGGTGGAACAGCAAGGTTTGATGCTGTACTCCGTAGGTATGTAAGTGAACTCTGTTATAAAGCAGCAGCAAAAAGAGGGTTTAAATAAATAAATGTTTAGTTATTGTTGTATTTCCATGTATTTTATCCATTGGTCAGTGTAATCTCAACATCTCACCAGATGGACAGGAGTCACAGATGGTGCCGAATTTGGGTCGAGTACGACAAATTGAATGAGATGCAACATCAAGGATATTCTTCAACCATTAGTGAAAGAGGATCTTACGAAAGTGTCAAAGAGCCTTAACCTAGCTATGGAACGTAGGTCTCCAGCATATAAGTGTCCGAAAAGTTATCACATGTATTGCAATTACAATATTATTCATTGCCTATTGGAATGGAAATGCTCTGGTGGTTTGCTCTCCTTCCTTTCCTACCTTGCTCAATTCCAACATATTTGAATAAACTACCAAACCTATTTACTTTGTTTCTGAAAATCGTTTTTAATCTTCTAACTAGACCTAAATTCCATAATTCTAAATCCTTATGAAAAGGCCGGTGCTCTATTACGGGCTTGCGGGCTACAGCCAAGAGTCAGTGACGACTGGTAAGGTAGAGCGTACCACGACTGTGGAGTCAGATTGGGATGCGTGCTTGACTTGAATCTTGCACCAACAGCCATACAAGTAACCCGCAGGACCAATCTTGCCATTTTCAGCATCACTCAATCAAATCTGATCCGCTACATCTTCCTCAGAGGTTGATCTCATACTGGCATATACCTGATCCCCTCTCGCCTGACTATGGTGTGCTCTCACCAGACTTGCTTTTGAAATCCAACCCCTAAGAGCCCTTGACGATCGAATACTTCAGGTAAGTTCTGTGGGAGGAACTGTAGGCAATATCAACTGACACAATAAATCTTCCAGTTACTGCAGTCATCGCTATCTACCATAGTATCGAATACAGCTCAAGTTACGCCGAGATACAACTTGCGACAAGCCGTTTCCTTTGAGCAAAACAGGCAACGACCAAAGGTAGATACAAACCAGAATAGCCGACAACAAGTAAGAGAGTCAGCTGCAAGGTAAGTTACCATTCTATGAATTGTCAGCCCTCGCATAGGTATAACATATCAACAATAACTAATCTCAACTGCAGAAGCCAAGCGTTATCCGATGACAGCACCCTTGCAGAATGAGCCGCTACCCGAGCCAAGACATACTTTTGTTCCTGAATCGCTCCACATGCCAAGTAACAAAACAGCACAAGACCATCCTTCGCCACGCTCTAGAGTTTGTTAATAATTAACCCAAGAGCTTCGATAGAAAACATCATGTCCAAAGGTTAAGCTTGGTCGAAAGACAAGGCAAGAGAAATACAGGTAACGCTTCATTGTCCGACACTTTGCCTATCTAGCATCCTATGAGCGTCGGTCTGAATTTCAATTTCGTTGGATCCAGGAGCCTTCAGGTCTATCTACACAAAAGCCTGACGTCGAGAATGTGGAATAAGTGGTCTAATTCTAGGCGATCACATCAGGAAGCAGCCGAGATAAGCATCACAACTATCCTTGTCAACCATCTACTCACGCAGTTATACCGGGCCAATCGAGAGAGTCAACAATGTCTGTCGTCTACTCATCCAATGCTTGCGCCGCTGGTGAGGCAGATCAGACCCACACACGCCAAGGACACTTGGTGGGCGGGTTAAAAGTCCATGTTGGATGGTCCTTGGCAGACACCGTATCTCATGGTAATAAGCTACCGCGTTTCCCATGATTTTCAACCTTGACTGGCTGCCCTGTCCTTTCTTAAGAGACCCCTAATCGACGATGGGCCCCACGGACTTTGAACTTCAATCCGTACGGACTGTCACCAACAATGATCTCGACGACGACCCTCCGCGACCTCTACAACCAGCAGGTCTAGCTAAGGATCCGCAGGTTCTCCGATATCGAACCCGTTCGATATGGATCTTCATATTCTACATTTTGATACTTCTAGTACCTTGGTTCCTGACCTGTGCTTCCATGATCAGACCAATAGACAGGTATTCGTACATTGATCAGTCAGGATCAGTCACACCAATGGAAGCAGAAGGATGGAGTAGGATGTGCGTTGCCCTTAGTACGCTCACCTCAATTGCTGGTGTTACTGGCCTTCCCATTGTTTCTTGCCTGCTTGCCCATGGAGCGGTTCTTTACACTCAGAGACGCAGCGCAGGCCAGAAACTCAGTGTTTTGCAACTATTCATGCTGGCAGATAGGCAATGGCTCGACCCCGCGTTTCTTCTGAAACGCGAAGATAATTCCAAGCGCCAGAGGGCACCGATCTATCTTTGGCTGGCGGCTGGTCTCATATTGATAAGTGAGTTCGGAAACCCCTAGACAGTATTTTCCCAATCCCATGAGTCCCTGCTAATCTCTTGGGGAAGCCGCTGTTCAACCACCCATTCAAGCTATACTTGTTCAGGACGAGAAAATCAACGTTGTGACATGCAAAGGACACCCTAGTATGCATCGCAATTCTGACGTGAAGGCTTGCCAGCTCCCCTTTGGTGATAACAATACCCAAGTTGTTGCTTATGATTCGGAGCCTATCAAACTCAACTTCTCGCCGCAGAACTTGGTTGTCAAGAGAACGAGCCAGAAGCTCATCAGCGCCACAGGGCATGATATTCAACCCTACTTGTGGTCTGATAGTGCTTCTTCCTCACGGCAAAACTATCACATGGATACGAGTCGAACCCTTAGCTGGTACTACGAAAAGTCAGCTGATGACGCTGAAGCGAAACGCCTCTACTTTGCCTCCCCAGTCGCAAATGGAACCTCAACGGGGGTTTACCGTCATCACGCGGCCAGAATGGACTCGACAGCCAAGTGCTTCCAGGAGGAGAGCTTCCCGAAACAGTGTGAAGGGAAGAAGCCGTTCAAAACCTCTCTTTCTGCTGACTGGTTGAATATCGATATCTGTGTCGAAGGAAGCTTTGATACCGTTCCTTGGACCACAAGTAGAGATAAACAGGAGCATTCTGAGAGGATGTGGCTGTCTCTGCGGTGGGATGTTCCGAAGGATGATGAGTACTACCCATTCGCCAAAGATGAGAACTGGGTGCTGAGGTGCGAAAGCGTATCAAGAAGAGGTTGGTTCGAGTTACCGAATAGCGTCAACCCCATGCCGGGACCCCTTTTGGACGAATGGCCTTCACTACGAAAGCTCGAATTAGAGTATAACGACTACTATCCGGAGGGCGCATTCCGAGAGGCCAGGTACCCGGCCGTAGAGTATGCGACTAGTCATCCAACTGTATCTTTCTTTCTCGTTACCAAAGGTTACACTAACTAATAATTCCCTTTTTTAGAGTCTCAGATGGAAACTTGAAGAACCATCGCAGCTTGGCTTCAGATTTTGTGGCCGATCCCTTCAACACAGAAACCTTCCGGACCCCCGGCCCTCTCATGACAACCGTCTTGGCGATGTTCGGAAATACATCATTCTTCTATGCCGCCAATATATCTGACAACGACTCATCGAATCAGACTATCAATAGCATCTGCGAGCAGGCTTCTTTACCATTGACAGGACTTGGGCTCCAAAAATACCAACATCGGTGGTGCAACAGGGCGAGCTTGGGAAGCTACGAGACCACGCCTAGTATTGAGGCCTTTATGGCCTCCTATTTTGAAGGTTTCAGAGACAGTGCCCAAACTGAGAGGATGCTGGAAATAAGCATGTTCTTTGCGAACGAAGCCCTACTCACAACCGCGGCAAGCGAGTGGGACGCTCGGCGCATCTACTTCAATCCGGGGACAACCATCACTAAACCCAAGAAGGACATGGCAGCTATAATATGTGTCTCGGTACTGATTGGGTTGCAAGCCATTGGTCTCTGTGTCCTGATGTGGTACATTCTGCATGCTCCTACATGGACCGGCACTCTCGACGCAGACGCCCTTGCGCAGATGGGGGGCCAACTCAAGGAATGGGGAGAGCTAAGGCCAGATCTCACACAAATTTCTGGTGTTGTTGGAGTAGATTCAACTCGACACAATGCGGATGCATCATCTGTCAGACTGTCGACAGCGCATGATACTTCTAGACACTCAAGGCACATTCATCTAAGCCTTGGTGGTGAAGGTTTGATAACGAGGAGTGCCATGAAGAGAATGGGCACAGACTCGACCGTGGTATACATTTAGAAGACGTGGGAGATTTTTGACTTGTGACATATGATCAAGATTGTAGGGCAGAACTTATATGTAATGTGAAGGATTTGATAAAATCTTGGGGTGAAATCATCCAGGATCGTGTAAGTTTATTAGAATTTATGATTGTTCTTCAGTATAACCCCCTGTAAGAATAGCATGAGATTATCGGAGCATTTGCATACCTGAAATAGGTACTGACTTGGTGAGATTGTATAGACACAAATAACCAAGGAGGCTTTTCTAAACATTCATATTATACTTCCATAATAAGTTAACGAAGATTCGCAGCGGTTTGCACTGTGTACCTAGTCAAGTTCCTGCGCCGTAATGGCAAAGAAGGGAGTCGGATATAATGCATCTATGCTTATTCCCGCTTGTAACGCGGCTTAGAATACCTACGAGTCGTCTACTGGCCCCACTTAAATCTGACCAAGTTCTATCTACGAAGGTTTATTGATCCCCCTTTCACTGGACTACGTACGCCTCTGGAACTTCCATTACAGCATCTTTATCTGCTCATTATGAAGGGTCCCGTAACACTTTACAACCAAGCCCTGCGAGATCCACGACGAATATTAAAACTATTGGCAGTTTTCGTGGCAGTTTCAATATGTCTTGTTTTCGGATTCAAAATGGGTCGGCCCTCTCAATTAGATATCAAGGCTCTCCCAGCAGATGACCCCAAAACGATTACACAGATCGCCAAGTTTTACATCGATAACCCAATAGAAGCACCCTACACAGACAAGTTCTGGGAGATAGGCCAAAGATCCAAAATGCTTGGTCAGTGGTTACAGAAAGCAGATACCTTAAAGCCCAGGTCGAAAGAAAGAAGAGAACTCGATGCTACTATAGAACAAGTTGCTCAACAGCTTTTCCCATTTCTTCAAAACCCTCCACGGAATCAAGGATCCAAGACACCGCTGACTGATTTGAGAAAATCCTATAAGAAAGGATCACGCGGTATCGTCATTCCCGTTGGCGGAAGTGAACAGTCTATTCGATTTGCGAGCCATTTGATTATTTCTCTCCGTACAGTACTTGGTTCCAAGTTACCAATCCAGGTTGCCTATGCAGGCGATGAAGACTTACCGGAAAAGAGTCGAAAGAGAATCCAGGCACTAAAAGGTGCAAGTAACATCGAGTTCCTGGATGTTTGGAGTGTGTTCGACGACTTCACACTCAAGCTCAAAGATGGAGGCTGGGCTATCAAAGTTTTTGCACTACTCGCGTCCAAGTTTGAGAAGACGATTTTGCTAGATGCTGATGCAGTCTTTATGCAGAAGCCGGAGCAGTTATTCAACCAGAAACCCTATATCGACAAAGGCGCATATCTATTCCACGACCGCTTACTGTGGCAATATGCTTTCCGGCCGAGACATCAATGGTGGATCGATCAGATCAAGGAGCCTTCAGCAGAGATGGAAAAGTCGAAGGTTTGGATGGAGGACTATGCCGAAGAATGCGATTCAGGGGTCGTGGTCGTTGACAAGTCGCGAATACCGGTTCTTGTCGGCTTACTACACGTTGCGTGGCAGAACATGTACGACGTCCGAGAAGAAACAACATACAGGATGGGCCATGGCGATAAAGAGTCATGGTGGATGGGCCTCGAACTCGCTGGATCAAGTTACGAGTTCGAAGCGCACTACGGCTCCATGATAGGCTGGGGAGATTCTCCCGCTGTGAAGAACGTCACACAAGTCTGCAGCTTTGTGATTGCGCATCTGGATACCAAGGATCGGTTGCTGTGGTACAATGGCGGTTTGCTGATGAACAAACTCGAGGATACAAGCAAATACAAGGTACCGAGTTATTGGATGATGGATGGGAAGTGGCACAAGGGACGCAAGAAGACTGATATGAGCTGCATGAAAGAGGCCAAGGTGAATAGGTTATCTGAGAGTGAGGGGAGGATACTCAGCAGGAGTATTGAAGTGGCAAAAGAGGTGGATAAAGCATTAGCAAAGCAGTAGCATATTAATATTGATATCATGTATTTTGTATTGATAGCAGGATGGAATAACCAAGCAGGCAAGGATACGATAACGTTACATCAACCTCTCAAGTTTTGATGATGTCTGTCTTGGCTTTCTATTGGTCTCCTACTCTGTACACTGAGATCACTACAGGGTAAGAACATGGCAGAATATCATGCTTGGAATAATCCTTAGAATATGATGATTTTAGATCTTAGAACGATTATTAGTCAATAAAAGCATAAAAGCTATTAGAAATTTCCTAAACCGACATATTTAAGTTTTATTACATGATAATTGGCTCTATTCTCCCCAAGTTGAGATAGTCTGTCGACTGCTGACTGCCTGCTGCAAACCTCACGCAACTCTCTGTGACTTCACACCAGCATCAGCACACTGCCCAGCAACCATCAAACCTCAAAACCTGTTCACCTTCGATATACGTGAAAAAATCAACAACACCATGACCGAATTTCAAAGACTTGGCAAAATGCCTTGGCTCTCCAAACCAAGAATGGTCGACGGTATCTGTTATGAAACAATAGCCAACGTCCAGCATGAATCCGTCTGGGTCGACTAGTAATTGTTTGTAATCTCTATTCACTTCATTATTCTTTTTCCTTTGTTGTTTCCGGCACTGACTCTTCCGTTACAGACGTGACACATTTACCCATACTCCGCGTTAATGCCTGGCGAGCTACTCACGAGCTGAGACGCGACCTGTCAGGACGAGAGGATTTCTGCGACAGACCCCTGTCCGTTGAAGAAGCATAACGGCAAGCTTAACTTGAATCAACATTTCTTAATGCTGCTGTTATTTCTTTTTATCTGCCAGAATCTGAAACTCAGCCTTGCCAACCGCACAGTTTGTCCCGTCTTTTTCACGAATTGTCTCGTTGCAGTCGCGATATGAGATCTGCAATGTTTCGTCCATGCGGGGGGTCGACCGGATGAAAAACAGCCCAGCTTGGCATCCCTACATTCCCGGCATCTGTCAGATCTCGTCACTTCTGAAGCTTGGGCCCAGATATAGGCTCATAGGGTCTGATATCATTTCTGCAAAGTATCGTACGGCACTAGCTCCGGGCACCGAACTTCCCGATGAGAAGGGGGTCCTCCGTTGCTGTTTGATATTCAGGAACGGAGCGGAATCGGGGAATAGATGGATCATCAAGGCAATGGTGCCATATTCTTGGAAATTCTGTCTCTAAAGAGGATGTATAAAGACGGCACAGCTACTCGGCAAACTATCATTCATTCTCCAATCCAATCCAATCTCAACATTCCTTCCAACTTTCTATTCTCCAGTCCTTTCCTATAGAGGTGAGTCTTGCTCTCATACAACGAACTGTCTTGAAACTAATATCTATCTCTAGCTGTGCTCTTTGGCTTTCCTTCTTTCAACAATTTCGCCTCCAGAGCTGTGCTCATACCTTTTATATACCCATTCATTATTCTGGTCTCTAATTGACTAACACAAACCAACCAACGACTCATTCTTCGCTCACCACACACGAACGATACCAACCTCCTTTTACTTTACCAACATGAGATTCTCAGCCTTTTTAATCGTCGCATCTGCGGCCATTGTCGCCGCAGCTCCTAGTGTTGTCCATCCCTTCTCTCAAGTGCGTGCCGCGCTTAACGAGACGGCCCCTAGCCCCGACCGTGAGGACGGCAAGGGAGATCTACTTGCCCCTGGACGCGAAGAGGACGGCAAGGATGGCCGCGAGGATGGTGCAGAGGACCGCGAAGATCGAAAGGATGACCGTGAAGAGGGCCAGGATGACAAGAAGGACGATGGCCGCGATGAAGACCGTGAGGACCGCAAGGAAGACGACAACAAGCGTGGCGGCCTTGCCTTTGGCCAAGTCGACCTGAACTATCTGCTCCAGGTCAACGAGCTCAACCTAGTCAAGCTCAAGCAGCTCAGCGGCGAGAACAACTTCGACATCACAGTCTTCGCCGACCTCTTCGCCTCCAAGGACTTCAGCCTCAAGCAGCTCCTGGAACTTCAGCAGCTCTCAACCGTGCTCAAGATTGCCGAGACTGGCATCTTTGACGAGTTTGAGCTGTCCAGGCTGGAGCTCGGTGGTCTCAACCTTGGGCTCATTGATGGCATTGCATCCATTGATCTCACAAAGTTCATTGATGCTGCGTTGAAGCCCAAGATTACCATCATCGCCAAGAAGGGTAAGTCATTAGCTCAATCGTATTCCGAATCAGTACTAATTACTGTTTAGTCACCAACGTTATTGTTATCTAATCAACAAGACGATTGTCAATATCAGAAGGTGAGGATGCTGGCAACCTACACACTGAGGGAGCAGGTATCCCATTGGACGAGGTAGACTTCAGGTCAAGTCCCTCGCAATGATTTACGATGTTGTAATGAACTATGGTCTTTTGGATTGGGCCGGAAGTGGAAGTGGAATTAAATATGAGAAGGACTCCGCGCGTACTTGATGGCCACTGGATGGCTTGCGCAGGAATTATCGTATTATTAATGAGACATATGCCCCTACATCCTCGGTTTATTGTGTGGCCTGCGATTGAAACATGCTAACTAGATCTACACATACACATAATGGCTTAGGCTATTGAAATCAAACTTAATCGTGAGTGGCGTTGCCACGTTCAAGCAAACATGTGCTAACTAGACTAGACGGACAAACGTAGATCAGGCTATGAGCAAACATGCACTTGGCGCACCCAGTTCTGGTTTAAGGCGCTCACAAGAAAGCAAACTCGAATGTGTGCGCAAGCTTCACTTTTACCGATCATCAAGTCCTTCCATATAATGCGCAGATCGGTCTTCCTGTCTAGCCTAATTCATACCGTCCCGTAGTCGGCCTCCCATCCCAATCCTCCAAGCTGCTACTCGCTTCAAAACTTGGCTCACTTCTTCTGGATGCCCCGGCTTCCAAGTCATCCAACGGGATCTCCGAAATCGAGGGACAGTGTTTCGGGCCCCTCGAACTGCTGCTTTGGCCTGTTGACCCGCTGTGGTTGATGCCGGGTGCTCTTGGAAACGGGCTCTTCCTTTTGAAAACGTGGAGAAGAGGCCACAATGTTGGGACACAGGCTGCGATGATGATGACATCTTTTTCAACCCTGGATATTTAGTTAGTGACTGTCGCTATAGAATGAGCTGGGCTGAGGGTCTTACGTAGCCCAGGTGATCACTGGCACGACATCGTAATCTGCAAGCAAACAGGGTCAGTCAACTTGGTAAATAAACAGGAATCACGCTGTCTTTACTCACTCAAGTCGACACCGCCAGGACCAAAGTCTTGGGCATCAAAGAATTTGTATATGTAGTAAACTTTCATGGTGGTGAATATCGCTGAAAGAAACGTCAAGCCCAGCAAGAATGTAACCTCGAGCTTCTTCTGCAATCCCATCTGCAGTTTCCAGAAAGCATGGATCGGCACAATTGCAAGAACTATGTCGGTAAAGATGGTGAAGCAGTTCGCGGCGTAAAAGGTGTAGTTGAATATCTTGTTATTGCATTCGCCGTCGCTGGAAAGCTGCCACAATGCTTCGATCACCCGGCACTGGACGTACTTGCATATCACCGAGGCTATAGCCAAGATGATTTGAATGGCTACTGTGATGCGTAGAAAGTTTCGAGAAAAGGTTTTGGTTCGACCGGCCAGTCTTTCGATGAGGATCAGGATGGCGACATTCGGAAGACTGTATGCAATCACCGTAAAGGCTTTGTCTGTTAGTCTCAAGTTACTCTTCCACAGCAAACATGAACTTACGATATCCATATGTGTCCAGCTTGACCATTTGAACAAACTTTTGAGCCCCTCCGACCTCAGCGGCCACCGCCATCCATGGCCGCCCAAAGCCAAGGTTGATAGAAACCTGAATAAGGGACGTTGTAACAAGGCTTGCAATCATGGCGACGAAGATCATCAAGTCATCCCAGCCCGGCGTCTTGTTGACAAAGACCGTTGTAACGAGCTTCGCGATGACGATCGAGGTGGCCAGGCTCGTGAGAACCCACGATGTGATGCAAAGCTGCAGTTGGCGCGAGTGATCATCTTTGTACTGATACTGACCCGTATCCATTGTGGAAATAGAGAGCGAATAAACGAGTACAGATGCCAAGATGCATGGTCAGTTGGTTGTCTTGGTCTACCTATATACATCTACATATACTGACAACGAGTCCTCACCACAGAAACTAGACATGTTAACAATAGAATGCCAAGCAACGCCACATAGATCTAGTGGAACCTCGATCGTGAAGACCCAACAACCAGGTCGAGTTCCCCGAGCCATAAGTATTTACCGGTGATCAAACAATAGGGCTGGCTCATTTCTGGTGTAGTATAGCGTGGAGTAGTGTAGCGTCAAACATCTATTGAGATCTGTGGTCTAAACCGGGACAAGGCGATCTGACTATACCCGAACCAATCACGTAAAGGAATTGCTCTATCGGACATGAAGTTGTTGGTAAGTGGAATGTATGTATTCACAAGAATGCGGATGATGCTTTTTCTTGGCTCTACAGATTACAGCCTGCAGTGACGTTGAACTGCGAGATGAAGACTTGATAATGTCACTAATAACGTCAGTAAAAAGGATTCCGAATTTTAAATCTTTGACAGACTAGTTCGGACAGTTTCTTCCGCCCAAACGCTTAATTTTAGTTTTCTAGTCTAAGTAGAACCTCGCGAGTCTCCCCTAATGATAAGGTTCTTCTTACAAGTCAAAATGAAAAGGCTGTCAAGGGATTGGTTGAGGAATCGATGAGGGATTAAGCACATCTTGACCAGTGATAAATACCATTAAATTTAGAACAACCCCACGATGTTCCTTCAGGGCTACAACTTCAACTTATACACAAGACCCTATCATCGGCTAATCATGTGGGAACTCTTCGTCGGATCTCAAAGCTCGATATCTATTTCTTCTGATGCAGGCGTCGCCGAGCACGTCAACACGGTCCCGTCCATCTGAACTCCTCCTGTAACTGAACCACAGGTGACTTTTGCAGCACAGCTCCCACAGGCCCCAACACGACAGCCATAGTCCGGTGCCATACCAACAGACTCGGCGAGTTCCAGCAATGACATGGGCTTAGTTCTATCCCATTCTGCAGTCTTGTTGGACTTTGTGAAGCGCACTCTGGACTTCTTCAGATCGCCGATGACCTTGCCTGATGCTGAGAAACTCTCGCTATGGATGAAGGGCGGTGGAATCTTGAAGGTTTTGAGAATCTCCTTCATGTCATTTTCAAAGCCTTGGGGCCCGCAGATGTATACCGCCGAGAACATGGCTGGCAAGTCTATATCTGCTGTACCAAATGGATTGATCTGGTATGTCCCTCCTAGAAGCTTTGTCAACGTCTCCAGGTCCGGCCTACCCATATAATCATAGTCTTTCCCAAGAGTATCGACATCTCGAGGCTGTGTCATAAACACAAACCTCTTGATTGGTTTGCTCTTAATTTGAAAGAATTCATCATGTAAATGCAGACTTCTCCCATCCCTGGCCACATGTATCCAAACGCCTGGCACCTTGGCCATGTTGGGATGGCTTGCGTGAGCCTTTATCATGGTAAGAATCGGTGTGACGCCAATTCCAGCAGATACATATATCTGGCGAGGAGTGACTGGCTGCGACCAATCCAAGAAGAAACGACCCGCTGGAGAGCGTGCTGAAAGGATAGTTCCTACTGTGCACTCGTTGCACATCCAAGATGAAGCTTTGGCCGCTTGCTTGATAGTGAGACGGTAGTACTCGGGTTGTTTACGACCAGGCCAGTCCGATATGGTCCAGCTTCGAACGTCGCCAGTCGGGAGTCGTACAGTTAGAAACTGTCCGGGTAGATACCATGCCAGCTCTTCATCCCCTGTTGGATACAGACAAAATGACTTGACCCCATTGCCTTCGTCGATGATTCGCTCAACTCTCAGGTCTCGCCATCCTTTCCAGGCATTTCTACCCATGTTGACTTTATCATCCATGCTGGTAAGTTTGCGAAGCACTAGTAGTTTGTTGAGTCTGAGCAGAACCTCGTGGTTGGCAAGTAAGTTGAGAGTGTCGCGCGTCTTCAGGTCCGAACTGAAGGCCAGTCGTGTAATGGTGGCTACATCCATATTGTCCCCTGATGAAGACTCTTGAACTGCCACATCCCCAGGATGGATACGACCTGAGGTGAGAACTCTCAGGTAAATGCCCACTCGGCCAGTATCAGATAAAGTCTTGAGCCAAGAGTCTTTCTGTCCACATCTCCAGGACAACTTCATGCAAGGGATACGGGATCCACAGACCTGCAGACGAACACTATCGCCAACTCTCCATACATCGCCGAGCCGAAAGTCTGATTCGGTCAGCTTTGTATCGGTGCATTTGAAAGTGATATTCTCTCCCCAATGACACCAATCCCACTCGGATCGATCAAGTCCCAGCTCTGTGCACCAATAGTCGTAGTTCTCGGCGAGACAGATATACACAGGCCCATCGTGGACCGCTGTAGCGTTTCCAACAATTCCATTCTCACTGAGCTCGATGTACTCGGAACATGATTTCTTTGGGGTGTGTATGATGCTGGTCTTTATCTCTATGCCGTTGACGTTGTGTACAGCTGGTAGAGATTGGCTGACAGCAACAGCTTCCATCATGTAGGTGTTAGTATTTATCACCGAAATTACTTAGAGTAATAATAACAATAGTAACAATAGTAACAGCAATATGCAAACATCCTGTAAAGGAAAGACAACTAGCAATTGTGAATTACTTTTATATCCGACTTTGCAATAAGTTCGGGGTCGGCATACGGAGCGGACATAAAAGTCCCACTATTTCTCGGGGTTTCACGGTGTAAGCCGTAACTGTAAAGCGTATGGCATGGCACACTCTAGCCATCTGATGTGCCATGAGCTGGCCTATTGAAGCCCGAAAGTATGAGAATACAGTGAACGAGGAAGAGGATAATCTGATAGGAACAAAGATTGCTCATATGGAGCCTCGTTCTATTGTAGGGTATAATAGTAGTGTAAGAGTCTATAGTTATAACACGCCCAAAGACCAGTCCATACCATCCTTAGCTTGACCTAGAACCCAAAGAACTTCTCGACAGCAGCAGTGAACTGCTTGGGGTCCTGAAGCGGCGCAAAGTGACTCACACCAGTGAGAATCTTCAACTGGCTTCCCTTGATAGCACTCTGCAGCTTCTTGGGCACATCCCGGTTAACAGCCTCCTCATGTTCCGCACCAACAATAATGACTCTGCTTCCGTCAATAGATCCAAGCTGTTCGCTCGTGAACTGGGGCAGCGTAGCCTCCAGAGTGAGAACCTTGCTGCCGAACAAGGTAAAGTTGGCGTTTGGCTGCAGTTGAGCGTACTCGGTGCGACTGCGCGAAACAAATTCCGAGAAGATGGCTGTGTCTGAGAAGGTAGAGTTGGTCTGTTCCGGATTGGCCGATCCGCCAAAGATGAAGGCTTTCTTGATAGGCTTTGCGGTGACTGGGTTGATGAGCGCCGAGAGAGTTGTTATAGCACCATCAGACCATCCCACGACGTTGTACTCGTGCACGCCAGCGGCCTTGAGCTGATCGTTGATATCCTTGGCGAACTGATCATAAGTAAAAACGTCGCCCTGATTGAAGGTTGAACGGCCGTGACCGCGACGATCAACGGCAATCACATAGTGGCCTTGATCAACGAGACGTGAGATGACAGATCCAAAATATGCTGAGTAGCCGAGTCCGCCGTGGTCGAAAACAACTGGAATTCCACCTGCGCCTTTATTGTACTCTTGCATCCAAAGATGGACCCCATTGATCAGGCTTGTTGTGGTGCTGATGGGCGATGGCAAGTCTGGCGTTGGTGGGAGTGTTAGCCAAATGGGCTTATTCTCGTTGATTGCTAGACCATGAGCCAAGCTCGCGAAAGCTATGAAGTTCTTGAATAACATGTTGATCGAGTTTCTATGTTGAGCTTCTTTGTTGATAATTCAAGATCTGAGAGCCAGTGAAAGAGAACAAGCAAGGCATTATATAGACTACTCACTGGCCCAAGTCAAGCTATGGCCAGGCAAAAAGCCCCTACGTACGTACAGAGAAAGTACGGTAAAGCAACTACCGATAAACCTTAAACAGCAAATTTACCAACGAGGTTCTAAAGACAGGGGATCTTAGTTCCAACAATATGGCACTATCCTAGGATGTCCTGGTATATATACCGCCATCTCCTTGGTGGATAGACATCTGGACGGCTTCTCGGAACCGTTACGAACTTTGCGAACTCTATCCCTCGCTTAGCGGAAAACACCGAGTCGGGAACTGCTGAATGCCTGTCGTAATTTACAAGGTTGGAACAGGCCTTCCGGAGCTTCCGCCGAGACATCTCGAAGTCAGTCTACATCATGGAGAGAATGGCGATTCGAGGTTGTCTCTAAACCACTAGTTTGAACCTCAGCAAGGCTATACTGCATACTCCAGGTATGCCAGGTTTGCCAGAGTTCCGGCAAACTAATGCATATATATTCATAAAGTTATATGAGCTTAGGACAATAACCTGTATCACACGTTAGCCATTCCACTAATAGTATAGAAGCTTCGCCATGGATACATCCCAGTGGTAATATCATGCAGGTTCATTTCATTGTACATTAGATCTACATCCCAGGGTTTTCTCAACTCATTCATACAAGCCGTCAACGCAATGCTGATATCCATTCCCAAACCTTCTTCGCCAAATCAAACACCTAACCAGCCCGCATTAAGAGGCTTATTTCTATGTCCTCATCTACGCCGCGACAGAGGCCTGCCGTCTTCCCTGACTATTGCCGCCAGTCTTCTTTTGGCCGCCAGGACGCGCCAGCGTGTACTTGGCGAATGCTCTTGCGAGGGCCTTCTTGCAACTAACCTTCTGGCTGCCCACGAAGCTATCCACCGTCACAGCGATGGCGCGATCGATGTCCTGGGACGCGCAGTACTCCGAGAGACGCATGCGGCAGAATGCCTCACTAATACGAATGATGGCCTCAAGATGTCGCACCTGCGTTTGTTAGTTTTTGTGTTTCTACAAGTTGGTAGTAGGGTGTGAACTTACTGTGATGGGATAAGCGCCAGTGGCAAGGGACTCACGTCTCATGTCGGCAAAGAGTCGTGCAATCTTATCCTCATCGATATGGTAGAGTTTTGGCGAGCAATGCTCTCGGGCGTAGAGGATGTATTTCCTTAGCAGCTCTTGTGGAATCTCGCCCTCGGGCTTACGGGATGGGGCAGCGCCTTGAGTCTCGGCTTGCGTATCATGCTCGACCTCCATTGAGTCCTGCGCAGCAGACTGGCTTTGGGGGTGACTTCGACTATGCGATCCCACGATGAATCGAGCCAAACGTTCATCCTCTTCAGGCTCGACAGTGTCACGCACCACACACAGGATGTCGAAACGAGACAAAATGGGTTCTGTCAATTCGACGTTGGAAGAAAAGGGGGCCGTGGAGTTGTATCGTCCACCAATAGGGTTGGCGGCAGCAATGACACCGCAGCGGGCTTGTAGAGTGGTCACAATACCAGCCTTTGAGATGGAGATGGTCTGCTGTTCCATGGCTTCGTGGATAGACGTTCGATCCTGGTCGTTCATCTTGTCGAACTCGTCGATGAGACAAGTTCCACGATCAGCCAACACAAGAGCACCACCCTCCAAAGTCCATTCACTGGTAAGGGGGTCTCGTCGAACACTGGCTGTTAAACCAACAGCACTAGCACCTTGACCTGTGGCAAACACAGCTCGGTGAGCCGTCTTCTCGGCATACTTGAGGACCTGGGACTTGGCTGTACCAGGATCACCTAGGAGGAGCACATTGATATCACCTCGAAGATGATGAGCACCCTTCGTCACCTTTGCAACACCGCCGAAGAGCGACAGAGCAACAGCAGTCTTGATATCAGTGTGTCCGTAAATACTGGGCGCTATCGAGTTGATGATCTTGTCCACAATATTAGGGTCGCGGGAGAGCTTGCGGATGGTATGTTCGTCCTCTTCAGTCATTCGGAAACCAGCCAGCTGGTCGTGAGACTTGACGACGTTGTTGGCTTCAAGGATAGTGGCAAACACAGGGAAGCCATTGCGATTGTTCAGTTGGGCGTCATAGTTATTTCTGTAGGTACCAGTCACCTCAATCTCCTCACCAGGCTTTGCCTTGTCAATGAGATCCCACAGAAGGATAACCTCACGAGATCGAGGCAATCGACCCGCAGGCACTGTACCGGGAGACTCCTGGAGAGTGAGTTTCTGGTAGTTTCGGTAGACCGTCTTTTCCGAGTTGAGAGTGAATGGGCCTCTTGACTGGCAACTTTGGCAATATGTGATCTTGACTTCAACGTTGGATTCCTGTTGGAAGGGTCCAAGGGTCACTCCGCACTTAGAACAGTCAAACTTGACATATTTGAGCTGAGGGAAGACACCCGATCGTCGAGTAACAACACCGCTTACTCGAACAAGACAGTTGAGGTGGGACTGACGGAGTTGACGAAGAGTGTAGTGCACAGGCAGGTCGAAAATACGAACGTGAATTTCGGAGTGGATACGCTCGTAATCGGGGTAATGGAGAAGGACGACATCCATGGCAACCTCGTCGAAGAGTTTAAGCATCTCAGCAGGCGCGTTTGCCAAGAAGTAAGCCAGAATGGCCTTACTTTCGGAGAGATGCTCATATGAGACCTCAAGAGACTCGGCATTGATCTCACCGAGTGTACGGATTCGGTTGCCGTAGACGGACGAGCCAGAAGCATCGGTATAGGATGTGAGGAAAGCCTTGAACTCGCGTCTGATAGTTCGCTGGACAGCAGGTTGTGACACCCATTCGGTCAAGTTGGATGCTTTGACATCACCCAGTGCTTCAAGTGACAATTCCTCGTTCATGATATCGGTGTCCATCACATCGTCGGGGTCTTCGTCGTAGTTGTGGCGGCGACGACGGGGTTGAGCAGTTAAATCGATATCACCTTCGTCGTCTTCCTCAAGATACCTTGTATACGCCGAAGATACTCGATCTCTTCGATCGAGCACACGGTTTACACTTTGGTACCCATCTGGTCCCATATCGGCGTATTCCTGGTCGTCGATGTCAATACCCTCGTATCTATCGTTTTCTCTCTCCTGGTAATCGGCCTCGTATCCTTCGCGGAACAGATCGACGTCGTCTTCGGCCATCTCGTCTAGCTCATCGATATCGTCTTGAATCTGGGCTTCTTCTTCGATGTCGTCGTCGTCTTCAACACCGTGTACCATATTGAACGCGGCCGGCGGTGATGAAGGTATCATAGGGCTCGAGACCATGCCCGGTGATAGTCCATCATCTCCTCCTGTCCGCGAGCGCTTGCGGCCCTGACGAGCTGAAGATGGATGTAGTGGGGAACTTGGAAAGGTCAGTTGTTGCTTAGATAGTGGTATGGAATACTTAGGGCGAGATGTACCTCATGCTTTAGCTATTGGATGATACCTTTAACTGAATGAGGATATCGTGAAAGAGTGACTGAACAGCACTCAGAATTTGGTTTGCTTTGCTTTGCAAGTGTCAAGATTGAGGGGCTGATTTCGTTGTGACCGTTGGGACGGAAACCGACTTTACCAAGTGGAGGCAGTCGACAAGGGGTAATTTCGCATGTCATAGCGCGACGCAACGCGTAAATTGATTAGCAGGGACTTAACACGCGTAAAGTGGCTTCCTACTTATGACAGAAATACTGGAGTCAGTGCCTAGAGCAAACATTGCATTTTATGCTCGCGTTATTGTTTCACTGTCTCCCAAGCTTCACCAGAGTTACAGCACCATAACCATCATCATAGCTGACCTTTCTCCTCATCTTGCTTGTGTCTTTATTTCCATCATCCACCAATTCTGACAAATTCGTCATTCGATCCTTAATTGTTCTCTTCGTACCAACTCATTTTCTTTCCCATCTATCTATCCTTAATACCACAAGAAGCCGTGCTCTTTCGCAATCATGTCGGCAGACGCTCCCTCAGCTTCGATGCCTTCGCAGGATGCGCCGCAGCAAGAATCTAGAGCGCGCAAAGACAGCTTTTCTGGAAAATCGCAAACTTCAGAGACATCACAAACTGCCGCAGAGTAGGTCCGAGATTAATCAAAAATACGTGATTCCATTCTAATTATTTCTCAGATTCATTCGATCGCAAGAAGCTCTCGAGGCCGATGCCCGCGAGGCGTTACCTTACGTATGTTCCCCCCTACTTAACTATCTTGCACGACATGCGCTTACGACTCCCCTAGAGCATCGATACATGCACCAAAATCCTCGGACCTTTGCGACAGGCTGTCTTCGCATGTTTGACCTGCAACCCACCTCCCGCTAAAGATGGCGATGATTGGACACCTGCCGGCGTCTGCTACGCATGCTCTATTCAATGCCACGGTGAACACAACCTCGTCGAGATTTTCCAGAAGCGCAACTTCACATGCGACTGCGGTACCAAGCGTATCCCCTCGACAAGCCCATGTACCCTGCGCTTAAACGAGACAACCAACACCAGAGGCAGTGTTCACTCCGAAGAACCCGATGTGAACAACAAGTACAATCACAACTTCCGCAATAGGTTCTGCGGTTGTGACTGTGATTACGATCCATTCCAGCAAAAGGGCACAATGTTCCAGTGTCTCGGTCTGGGCACAACTGAGACTGGCGGGTGCGGCGAAGATTGGTATCATCCAGGGTGTCTCGTCGGCATGGGGCCAAAATGGTTTGAAAAGATGGATAAGCCTAAAAAGGCAGCCCAAGAGAGCGCCGAGGAGGGCAAGTTGACAACGATCACTGAAGGCAACGAGGAGCAACAAGATACTACGGCACACGCTGTCCAAGAGAAGCCCAGCACCACTGAAAACGTAGTCGAGGAAGAGGAGGACGAGGAAGATGTTCCCATGCCCCCAGGATTTCCAGAGGAAGACGCTTTCGAAGCCTTCCTTTGTTATAAGTGTGTTGAGGCGCATCCGTGGATCAAGCGCTACGCTGGAACTTCGGGCTTCCTCCCAGCAGTATCTCTCCACCAAGCGGATACTGAACCAAAGGTTGAGGCAACCTCTGAGAAGGAGGAATCCACTATTAAAGCCGAAACAATCACTACTTCCGAAGGTGCAACGGAATCACGAAAGCGCAAGGCCGACGATGATGTCGAGGCAGCCTTAGAAGTCAAGCGTGTAAAGAGTGAATCTTTGCCTGACCAAGACGAAAAGTCAGTAATGGAGACAAAATCAACAGAAGAACTCCCTTGCAAACTAAATAACCTGCCTCCCGCACCTCAAGGCCAATTTTCTCTCTTCATGAAGGAAGACTTCCGCGAAGCCTTCTGCCGCTGTTCATCCTGCTTCCCCCAGCTCAACGCCCATCCCCAGCTCCTCGAAGAGGAGGAAGTTTACGAGCCACCTTTGTCCGAGGCAGGCTCCCAAGCAGGCGGCAACGGCGGTGGCTCTCACGGTAGCGGTAGTCTTTTGGAACGTGGCGAGAGCGCACTGCGCAACGTAGACCGCGTGCGAGCCATCGAGGGTGTAATGGCTTACAATCATCTCAAGGAGCGACTCAAGCCCTTCTTCCAGCAGTTTGCCGAGAGTGGAGAGGCCATTGGCGCTGAAGACATCAAGGCGTACTTTGCTAAGCTGAGAGGTGATGAGAAGGGCATTCAGGAGGCTGCTGCGGGTGCCAAAGATGGAGAAGGGGGTGGAAGTGATGACAAAGATCAACGAAAGGAGCAGAGTGGTTTTTAATGACTTTAATCGGAGATTCTGCACGATCTACATTGACGTGGGGTGTTCACAGGATTGGACGGACAAACGGGGGCATGACTATAGGGATGTAAGAATATTGTATAATATCGACTGTGCCTTAATCCGACAACTGAGATGATGAGATAGCAATTCAAATTTAGGTCCCAAAGACAAACTCCAAATGCGGGAGACGCGAATCCACACTTTACATCCCACAGAACATTCGCTTCGTTATCCCTATGAATATAGTTAATACACTTCTAGGAACAATACTACATATCAGCATATTTCGGCGATGGACGGACGCTAAATTGGGAACACATTACGGCATAGGCTATTAACTTAAGCAATTCGGGCCCATACAGTCGCTTGATACCCAACAATAGCACTTGAAACTAGTTCATCGACCTGTGTACAGCTTTGCCAAAGATTCATCCCTTTATGGTTCATATAACGCCTATGTCTCCAATCCGCATCTCTAACAGGCGTACGAAGGTGATGGACGTTAGGTGCGATCGATAGGACAAAATATTACCTTCTAATCCACCAAGTATAACTTAGGTAGCTCTATTGATACCTAGCACAAACTCGTCGTCGTCATCCTCACCTTACCCAATATCGGTTCAAGATCTTTCAACCCAAAAGAGCAAACTGCTCACGAGCGTAACACATGCTAACCATTCATTCTTATATTACATATCCATTCATGTCTTGGGTATCGCTAAATCAAAACATTCCCTTTTTTCTAAACCCCTTGCGCTCCCGTCAAACTTTATCCTTGCTGTCCCGTCGACCCTGTGCTTGACGCTGCACTCGATGGCCGAGGGGGAAGTGAAGGGACACCATGTGAAGCTCCCGAGTCCTCTCGCTGCATCGGAATACCTCCCATCATGCCCATACCGATTCCCATTCCAGGTAGCGGCAGCTGCGGTGGTGGGCCCTGGCCATCACTATCCTCAGCCTGGCTGTCGAGCTGCTCCTGAGCCGCCTTAAGGTCGAGTTCGTGAAGACGAACCTTCTCGGCAGGATCAATAATATCGTCATCGTCACTCCAGTAGGGATCATCGTCATCGAGCTCGGGCATAGCCATGCGCTTCCAGAAACGCAGTTCTTGGCGATGCGCCTTCTCGTCGACCAGTCTGTTCCAGCGCCCCTCGTCCTCGTCATACTTGCGTCTGTATTCACGCAAGTTCTCGTTGGCTCGGCCGGCGTGTGCCTGCATTTGCCAGATCTGCTCGCGCAAACGGGCGTTCTCGTCGCGCGCATCCGCGAGCTGCTTACGGTACGAACGGTGCCAGGAGGCTACGTCGCTGACGTGTTTGGTCTTGTACTCGTGGAACTGTCGAAGCAGGTTGGCCATGGCGTTGGCGTACTGGGAGAGGAGCTTGGCGTTGGCATCGCGACTGAACTTGGCCTTTTCGAGGCATTCGGTGAGGAGGGAAATATGAGCATCGATATTTTGTACTTGTCCTGAAGTTGGTTAGGTGGCAGTTCATCGAGGACTGGGCGGGAATCCATATACCATTTATATCTTCTGAGGCACCTTCAATGACCTGTTGGTTGTTGGCGCCATGTGTCCTCGCTCTGTTCCTCACTCTTCCCAGTCCGCTGACAATATCCTCTGTAACTCGGCGATTCTCGGCCAGCTGTCGACTAAGCTCCTCGACCATGCCATAGATGTAATTGAGTTCAGCCTGGTGGCCCGCAGGCGTGGGAACAGGCATTCCCGCAGCCATATTGGACCCATTCATGCCGTTCATCATAGCGATCTGCTGTTGCTGCCACTGGTGCTGCGGTTGCGGGGAGTATTGGTTTGAGACCTGCTGTTGGTGCTGCTGCTGCTGATGTTGTTGCTGTTGCTGTTGGTGCTGTTGTTGTTGCTGCTGCTGTTGTTGGAACTGCTGCTGCTGGTAGTGACGTGCCGTTGAGTTAGGGGAAGGCGCGGGAGCGGGAGAGGAGGGCGATATGAGAGATGGGTCTTGGGGGTTTGGCTGAAAGCTCATATCTTGTCTACCCGGGAATCTGGGTCCTGAGCGCTGGGGTGATGTTGGTGTCTTAGCTTGATTGTGGATGGATGGAGCTGGTGGACTCTATAACTCCTTAATTTGGATTAGCCTATTCCATTCCACTCCAGTACCCCCCTCATATTGAACAACGTTCGGAGCGGCGCAAACGTTTTGCCGACAACAGTGGATCTTCAACAACTGTCCAAAGAGAACTTCATTTGTATTCACAATCATAGTAACACTTGCGAGGCTCGGTTTATTTGCTTCTTAGTTCGATCAGTGGCTTTTATATCCTTTTACACGTTTCTCGTAAACTCCAGTTGGAATTTGGTTCCAAGGCAAAGCCTTGCAAGACTTGGTCCGTCAGTGTAGTCTTGAGAAATTCATCTAAGCGAGTGACTGGGCAAGGTAGCGACCGTCACTACAATAAGAAAAGAAAACTGTATGAAATCTCAGGTCATTTACGTCGTTTCGTCATTTCGTTGGAGTGCATTGCACAAGTTTCGTAACATGGGTCCTGTAGTCAGTCACCAACCAAACACCTGTTTTCACTCAGGAGTGTCAACCTCCATCCTGTCTTCTGAAGGCTTTGCGTCCATGATCAACGATTCTTCCGGCTGTGTCGGCTCAAGTGTCGGCGTCGAGATCAGAGTTGGTTCTTTCTGTTCAAACACAGGGTGGGCAACTCCGCTACTGCTCCCCGAGCCTCCACTCATGCCGTTGCTGGCTGACAGTCGGTATTCGCCATCTGCCTTACGCTCAATGATACCTTCGTCCAATGCCCACTGGGCTAGAAGACCGTCCACTCCAAGTCTGCCGCCTTCACCCTTCTCCATGTGTCGGCCGACATGTTCAGTCCATTCGTCCCAGGATGATGGACCCTCAAAGATGCTCTGGCAACCTTGCTTCGGACATGCTGAACGTTGCGGCGGCAGCCGACGCTGGACGAGACAAGACATTTGCATTTCTTTGACATGCGTGTCCCACTCAGACTGAATCTTGCTATCGCCCTTCGCGATTGCCCTCTTAATCTGGAAAGGTGCGTGCATCCGTCGCAAATGTTGAGTGAACAAGTCTTTGCGATTGAACTCGTTACCTTTCCCCTCTGCAGTGTTTTGAGGACAAGAAGAGCAACGATAGTATTGGAGACAAAGATGCTGTGACGCGATATGCCGCTTCCATTCGTTCTTTGACCCAAAAGTGCTCGTGCAGCCGGCAAACGAGAAAGCGCATGGGAACGGCCTAGTATGAGCTGCGGCAATGTGCTTTCTCAATGAAGACGAATCCTTGAAAGGAGCGTGGCTGCAATGATTGCAGCGTGTATCCTGCTTCGGGAGTGAACGTCGTGGAGGTTTAATCGTCGCATTGGCGTTGCGCAGCGTCGCGAGAGGGTCATCGTTACCGTGCTCATCGGTCTCCTCTTCTGGTCTTATTTCAGGCAACCCATCAGGTAGAATCGTGCGAGGTCGGTTGATGTTTTGAGTTTCGTCACTTCTGTGCCGGACATGGCTCAGGGCTTTCAGTTGTTCAGCAGCTTCTTGCATTTCCGCAGAGTCTTCTACTTCGTCTTTGGGCTTGCCATGACTCCCTGTTGGGTTGGCAAATGGTGGGGCTGACGGACTAGTTTGCAAGATATGCTCCTTTCGCTCGGCAGAGTTCGGCACTTCTCTTGCAACCGGGGAGTGAAAGACATCATGGCCTTCATCTCGTCGGACACGAGCAGGTGTGCTGAACACATGATCTCTTGCTTCAAGAAGGATCCTGCCATCCTCAACTTCCCGAGGAGAGGGCTTGATCCCTGAAGAACCTACAAGCCGGTGGTAGAGATGAATCATGTTGTGGGAGCTTATATATCCTAAGAAGCAGCAGACTTTGTCATGCTGTACCACGTTCCATATAGAATGTGGCATGGAAATGAGAAGCATAGTGGGAGGGCCAAGAAACATGCCTTCCACTGCAATTTTATCCCCAAGGGGTGGCGTGCTATGCAGCCATTGAGAGAAGAATGACATATCTGGGCTCGCATCACCAACAAAGGTAGTACACACAAGAACTCTATGCTCTTCAAATCGAAGATCGACAACAGACTCTGGGTCAATGACTTGTTCTTCGCGATTACTCTGGCCATCTGGGTCGAGTCCGTTCTGAGAATCTGTCCGAGATCTCGAAGGTAGTGGCGCAAGGGCAATACTTTGACCTTTTCCTGGAGTAAGGGGGATGAAAACAGGATGCTGCGGAGAAGAATGTGTGTTTGAGGTGCTACCGTTGGTTTGCCGAGGAGTTTGGATCAGTTGCTGCTGTTTTAAAGATAGGACTTCCTCGTGCAGTCTTTGTGTCGTAAATGGTCGTCCACTGCTAAGCTTTTGAAGAGCCTCAACCAGATTAGACGTAAATGATCGTTCTGCGCTCTCTGGACTACGATCCGAAGTGCAGGCAGCAATTGCTTGCTTAACACCATGGCTACCGGCCATAGGAGGATCAGGTACGACGCATGTATCGAGCAATAAGAGGATATCCGATTGAGCATCTTCGAAGAGGCAACGAACTCCATCCCATTTTAGTTTTGCAGCATCTTCTCGCGCATTGCTATAGGGGCTGTCAGAGGCAGGAGAACAGCACATCTGAGAAACTTCCAACTCACCAAGCCCAAAAGAGCTGGCCATCAGAGCTTACGTAGCCATGGCCAGCATAGTAGATAATGAGAAGATGGTTGGCCTTCGCGTTGTCAAGAAAAGAGGCCATCTGAACCCCAAGCTTAATGCTGGGGTTCGGCACTGTGGGAATATGCCATTTCTCAGTCCGATATCTATACTGCTTTTGCAGAACCTGCTCAAGGGCAACAAGATCCCCATCGACAGACTCGTCCTCCTCCCATCTCAAGAGTAAAACAGAGACATCAGTGTATGGGTGACGCTCTGTCTGCCTCTGGATGAGCATGGCAGCATCTTGAAGATGCCGCGCAAAGGACTCAAAGTCATGTCGTTCGGAAAGAGGAGCAGGGGCAGTCTCCTGTGCTGGATAGTGCTGCTGAGGCTATATCCCGAGCTCAGGTTAGCAAGAATGGCACAAAGAAAGCTGAAGAATCAAAAGCTGACCGATTCGTGGGGGAATTGTGTCGGCGGCGGCGGTTTGCTAGGGGTTGTGGCGTTGACCTTGGGGGCCAACTTTCGCTTTTTGTTCGAGGGTTCCATCGACAGAGAGGTAAATTGGTCGAGGTGAGTGCGGTCGTCAGCAAAACAAGCCGGCGAAGGTCATTGATCCGAGGATACTTTTGGCAACGCGCGATCGAGCATACAATCAGCCAGGTATCAATATCTGAGCTGTAAAGTTATATCGGCTATTTAATATTTTGGTAAAAATCGTCTTGGTCGTGTCGTCGAAAGAATTGCTGGCGGGGGCGGATGCGAAAGTCGAGGCGAAGTATACGACAGAAGTGAATTGAATCGAACGATGTGTGGGTAGACTCGGTCGGCGGAGGTTAAAGGAAGGACGGAGGGAGAAGTCAATGGCAAGGAAATTGCGTGAAGCCAAAGCCACGCCACCAAGAAACAAGAATGTCGAGTCTTGAGGACAAAAATGAGTAACAAGAATAAGAAGTAAAGAAGCAGGCTGGAGTAGGAGACTGAGCCTCGGGGCGAGGCTGTCGTGGCCGGAACCCACGCAGGGGGGGAACAAAAAAGACTTGATGCTGCGATCAAGGTGAGAGAAACATTCAAACAGAGAGTGCGCACTATTCAGCACAAAACTGTCGTGGTATTTCTGTCTCTAAAGCTATACGTTGCTTATGAGTCTCGAGTTTTTTTGGGATCCGATAAGAGTGTGGGGTCCTGAGGGATTTTCATTGGCTATTAACCGAACGTGCCTAAGAGTCGAGTCCCCAAAGAGAGCAACAGACGAAGGGCAGATGCAGACGGGACTGAGAGTTCAAAAGAGGGGCGGTCTCCGCTGTCAGCCTCTTCTCTCTTGTTAGACTCTATGGATACGTCTCGTCTCAATAGAGCCTGGGGGTCAGCTGCAGACTACAGGCTGCAGACTGCAGTGAGCTGGCTGAGTTGGGGCTGTTGGCCTCGTACAGGAGCACAAGAGCACAAGAGTACAACGAGTATACAATGGTTTGGGCCTGTACTCACTCGAACAATACCCAGTATCAGGCTTATCTCACCCCGTCCACGTATCTGTCTCAGTCACTCCTCGGGCCACGGTAGCTGGACGAGAGCTTTCTGTGTATACTGTAGTAGTATGGAGGGGTTGAAAACTTGAAACTGAGAGGAGGGGCTTAACAAGCAGAACAGAACAATTGGAACCCAAGATGGCAGGAGGGCTTCACAAAAGTTCTCAGCTGATAAAGAAGGAGGAGAAGTCTAGATCAGCATTACATTCAGCACCGTACTTTGAGCTGCACAAATCATCAACCACACAGCTCACTCTCTCTCTCTCTGTCACAAAGACAACACAACCGGCTGATTACGGCTTCTCAACCAATCCAAGGCTCTTCCCCTCTCGTAGTAAACCCTCACCATCACACGCATCGCACCTCCAGATTCATGGGGACGCTAGCTACGATAAATAACACTATGTACTGTACAAGAGCATCTTTGTGGGCCACTCTCAGAGACCCTGAGGTCTGCTTCGTGGATGCAGCTTTGTTAGCTCAAACTGCTGAGCTTTCAAGGTTTCAACGGCGTAAGCCTCTCAATTGCCTGCCCCCAAACACTTCCTATTGGCTTCAAGTACCTCTCCATCAATATTTCAACTCTAAGCATATTCCCAATTCAGAGCAATGTAGGAGTGAGCCTCCAAAGTGGAGTAACCCCCCTCCATGGCGGGCGACAACTTGTCAACACGGCTGTGGACGACTGGACGAGGCCTGGTCGACGACGAATGAATGCAAGAAACGGACGCCCTTACCCTAGGTACCCGCCACGGTAACACCGATTCTAGAGGCACAACCTGTGTCGCCAGTCGTGGTAGGCTGAGCCCTCCGTTCCAGAACCATACAACAGAGCTCAAGAGAATGTCTTGAAACGTGGTGGATTGGTCGCTCTGATCTGAGACCAAGTCGGACTGCAGACGTGACGAATATCATGTCCAGTGTGTCGCAGCCTGGCAATCTGAGCTGCGTCTGTAGAGTGGCACCCAACTGGAGTGAAGGTAGGTTTCTCGGTGTGGGCAGGGCTGACACATGAAAAGGAATCCCACTGTATCCGTATAAGATCCATCCTTGCGGTTCATCAAAATTTAACCGCCCGAGTTGCAGTGTAGAAGGCTTCGTGTAACTTTTATCTAGTTAGGGAACGGAAACGACGCGAGGCTTACAAAACTGTCTCTGATATTAGTAATTATGCTTTTGGGTTCTTGTAAAACTGTCTTCGAAATGGCTGACACTATCTCAAGTTGAAGCATGCCAACAGCTTGGATAGATGTTTTCTTTATGCTGGAGTGGTGGTTAGCACACAATGTAAGGCGTTACTAAGCCGGATCTTTGGAACTCTTCAATTTCTATGATTGGGTCAGTAACAAATTCCACAAGCTTCGGTATACGTATTGCAGGGGAATTAAGTAATACTTACCAAGGGGTTCCGTGGGCTTGGTTGTTATTGTAACCCTCTTCTGAACAGCCGATGCTAAGTTCCTAGAGTGAAGCCATTGGATGACAATGGTCTTTTCAGGTAGTAAGCAAAATTGCTAGGCTCTTGTTCTGATTACGAGATTGACTCTGCAAGTCTCGTATCCCAGTGAGCATATTCGAGTAAGGTACTAGTAGTAAGAAAAGACCACGCGTCTGGCCGAACACTTGCATGGTGACACGCAGCGTTTGTGCCGTATGCCGAGGAATTGAGCGTCTAGATCGTTCAACAACCCGCCGACTTCCGTGAAAGCCTGACGTCCCCGGTTAAACCATGCAAGTCGATGGGCAGAGTGGTTCTCCTGAATATCACTTGGCTCCCTTATGAGGATTCAAAGAATCGGTATTCTAGAAGCCCAACTGTCTCCATAAGTAAGGCGTCGAGATGTTGCAGCCCTGGTTCTAACATGCGACCCTGAACAAATGACGGAGCCCTCGGTTAAGGTGTGGCGAAGCACAGCCACAAGTGCCGCGTTGTGCAACCAATAAGAGCCGTTAGAGAGCTGACAAAAACCTCGCCTTCAGTCATTCTATTTCCGTGCCCGGCAGTACGTAGCAAATCCCATCCCAATTTGTAGGAAATCCCAGAAATGGCAAATGGGATTTCCGACGGACATGTTTCTTCCCGTTGGTTCGTTTCGAAGATCACAAACGTGGACGATGCTTATCTGCAAACCACAACCCAAGAAGCCAACTTTAAGAGGCGAAAAGCCCAAGCTTTTGGAAATGCCAAGACAAGTGAGGGAGCGAGAGCGAGGATTGATGCCAAGGGTTAGAAGAGCCAAGCCTACACAGCCACTCTCCCCAGTTGTCTCGTGTTCTAAGCACAAGGTACGGGACGTAGAGTATGGATGATTAGAGTGAATCCGTACTTCTCTTTCATCGTGGTCGATTGGATCTCATTGTAGGAACATGAGAGGTAATCGCTGATCTGGTCTGCATCACCCATGTCCTACAAGACCATTAACCGTGCAGTAGCCAGGACGTAGATGATCAACCGCCCAACCGCCATTCATGCCGTCAGGACCTTCGGTGGCGCGCGTGAGTTCCCAGGCTGCCAGGCCTGGGACAGGCAAGTTCCCGCGCTTTCGACTCGAGGCTACAGGGGTTGAAAGGCACAATCTCACTGTTCCCAGCAGCGGGAGGCCAAGATTTACCCACTAGTTAATGAGCCCAAGTCTTGCGCTCAATTCCGACAGGCCCCGCGCAGTCGTTGTTGCGTCAGGGCTTTCAGGGATCCCAAAATGGACCTGTGTTACGTAGTGGGTAGTGCGGGATCTTGGATTGTCACTTAAGTTACCTACTGCCAGCCAAGAACTACTATGACTGCCTGGGCTGCTAAAATCTGCCTTACCTTGATTAACTGAGCTCTTTACTTCTCCAAAACATCACGAACAACTCATCTTAGCGCACGCGATTTGATCAGAACTACTGCCTGTTTACATCACCGCCCGCCCACTTGATCTCGATTAGCGACAGCAGCCAAGACCCTCAACTTCTCTCCAACTTCTGCGCGACACTGCCACCTTTCAACCGTCAGAAACTCCCATACCTTACCTCCCGAACATTAATTGAAGCGCAAGTCGCATCGGAATCACGTCTTCTGCGCCCATGGACTCTGGCGGAGTCAGGAGGAAGGATACAACCAAAGGCCCGCCTCTTCGAGTTCTATCACTCGGTAAGCGCCCGCCAGGATGACGTCTGCTTTGTTTGACCCAGCTGCTAATACCCGCCGTAGATGGAGGAGGTGTCCGAGGTTACTCCATCTTCATTATTGTACAGGAGCTTATGCACCGAACTTTCGTCGAGATCGAAGGCCGAGCTCCCAAGCGACACGAAATTCCCAAACCATGCGATCACTTCGACCTCATCGTTGGTACCGGCACGGGCGGACTGATAGCTCTAATGTTAGGCCGGCTGCGCCTCGACCTTGAAACCTGCAAAGAGCTCTACGTTCGCATGACGCGCATGGTTTTCCAAACAGACAAGACCATCGCCGGAATTCCCTATCGATCAACTCTATTCAAGGCGAGCAAGCTTGAGGAGGCTATCAAGGCAGCTGTCCGGGAACACACTGTTAAGGAAAGAGAGGGTAATGACAGCGTCGAGTCTTCCCTCAACAATCCTCTCAACGCCGCACTTTATTCAAGCGCTGGCCCTCGTCGAAACCAGAGCAATGCAAGCACCGTTAGCTTTAGCGCACGCAGTCCTGCCTCCCAGATGGCCCAACGGCCCACAACCAACTCAAGATACGGCGACCCCAACGCTCGTCTGTACGATCACCGAGAAAACCGCACCAAGACGTGAGTCATCCGCCTACAATGTCATCTTCAATGTCTGTAGCGCACACTAACACATTTTACAGCGCCATAACAGCAGTGTATAAGGGCTCTCCTCGAGGCGCACCGGCTGCTCTTCTGCGATCCTACGACTCTCGAAAAGAACCCCCTCCCGAGTTCGACTGCAAGATCTGGCAGGCTGGTCGAGCTACTTGTTCAATTGGACTCGCCTTCAAGCCTATTACTATCGGTCAATCGGTTTTCCATGATGACGGCGGAGGCACCTTCAACCCTAGTCCAGAGGCCCTGGACGAAGCTGTGGTCAACGAGTGGCCCGGTCGTGAAGTGGGTGTGTTTGTTAGCGTTGGTACTGGCAGACGGCCCAAGGGTAGCGATCAGAATTCCCAGCAGTGGTACGAAGGCTTCTTGGGCGATTTCGCGGAGGCGCGTAGGAAGTTGATCTCCAAAATCGAGGGTTGCGAGAAGATTCACGAGTACATGATGCGCGAGCACCTCGGGAAGCGAAACGTCAGTATTGACGCCTACTACCGTCTTAACGTTGAAGTGGGTGTTGGGGAGTTTGGAATGAACGAATGGAACCGACTAGGCGAGATCAGCACCGGTACTCGAAGGTACATGTCGAGAGAGGCCGAGCAAAAGATGATCCAGGGCATCTCATCAAAGCTGGGTAAGATTCACCGAGCCAAGATCCGCCATGCGCGAGCTCCCGAAGGAATCCCGGAGCTTGTCAAGTCAACATCAAGCACTTGGGAGACGCCCATGGCATTTGAGCTCGCAGGAGATATTCCAACTACTGTGCCTCTGCCTCATAGCCCTGCGAGTCGGTCATCATTCGAATCAGGGTCGGATAACCTGCACATCAACAACCATAATGGTTCACCTCGAAGCTCCAACGAGCGCATGCATTATGAAACTCCCGGCTCTCCTCCACTAGGACCTCGTGGACCAAGCGCCAGTGCCCCGACTTTACACCCGGAGGATCGTTTAGCAGTGTCGTCACCGACGCCAGCGCAATACCGTGAAGGCGTGTCTGGCCAGGATTTGATTGCCATCATGAGCCCAGACGAGTATCCTAGGCCACCTCCAAACATGGCTGCACCCCCACCAACCCGGATCGAGCCGCCGCCGTTACCACCCAAGACGCCTCTCCCCGAGAACCAGCAACATCATGGTGGTCGAAGAGTGCCAGCGGCGGCGCCTCCGTACCCGTTGGACGACGATGAACCTCCACCAGTGAACATGGCTCGTAAACCCGATTATAGGGGACGTTAAAACCCCGTCCATTTCTTGATTTTTCAACCGTCTTTCTTTTATGTGCGTCTGGAGATGGAAATTCGACGTGGAGGGATCCCACCACAACCAAAACAACACCTGATAAGTATAAAACAAGACTGGCGTTGCGAATGGAGGAATTAGTGCTGTGATGATTTTATTTCTTATGCTTCTGCACAACTAGATACCACCTGGTTTATTTTGACACGAACCTTTGAATGATTGGACGCTACGAGATTGATGAGATGATGCTGGGGCTCATAATATACATGTATATATTGGATGATGGTCAATCTGGCTGTACTTCTATACCGAGAATCTAGCTTATTGTGTCTCAGAAATGCTGCGCTTATGAGTGATAGTTGTGACATGAAGGTGGGTGATGACTTAACAGTATGACAAGGAGGTATTGCTTATCAGTTCCTAGGCATTTTGAGATCAAAATTCCAGTGCCTGTTTCAACACACGGGTAAGCAGATCTCTGTTGATCCGCGGTCCCACTGTGATGCTCCCGCTAGAGGCGTAGGCCAGCGTCGAATGATAAGCTAGGTCGTGCCAAACCCCTGTCCGCGCTGTTTCTCTCTACATTTATCTTAGGTAGTAAGGAGTGATTAAGGGTCTTATAGGGCTTTATACGAAATGTCGCACTATCGTGGACTCGGTAGCTAGGTCTAGTTCTAGAGCGGTCGATGCAAGGAGATGGCCTTCCATTGACTGTCACCTTCACCTCACTGAGACTACTGAGACTACCTTAGTACTGAAGGATGGATGGAATCTCGAGCTGGATCTGGCCCACTTCCCCATCGGCGTTCGCGATTAAGGCCTGCCCGTTTTAGGGTAGTTTCGATGATTAACCTTCGATTGATCTAGACTTTGCCTGCTCCTATTGGCGAGTTTGCTGTAAACGTTTCTGGCAAGGTGCTAGTGCCTTGTCCCAGGCAGTCGAGGCCTAACTTAGCAGAAGGGTTCTAGGTCGATTGCCGAGTCTAGCATGGAAGGTGCAAACAATCAAGACTATAGATCGTAATTGCTTTGTTGAACGGGGCCTAGATTTGCTTCACCATTTTCCCTCCTGCTCTCTCTCTCTCTCTGTTACAGTCTCGTCATTATTCGTGCAATTCAAGGTTCTCCGTGCCCCCAAGACCCCGCCAAGCGAGAAGAAAAAGCAATATACTGTCACTAACTTACGACTGGATCTATCCTGTCGTCGTCCCTACGGGAGGATCGCCCAACCCTGGACCTGAAGCTATTGAGCCACCACGTTTCTTTGTTCACTTCGAGTAATCAGACTTATATTGCCGAACGCCGCTGAAGAACTGAGAGTTTTCATTGTCAACACTCGGGTTCGTGGAATATACCGATCTCCGAATTCACTCACACGCACGGTAAGGTGACATCGGAGTTGCATCTCACAGCTGCACCTACTGCACATCTTCACGCCAGCATTCAGCACCCAGCACCACTTCAAGCAAGGGAGAGGAGAGATCCCTCCCTGCATTTGCCAAAAGTCGCGCCATAGGCACGTATATACCCACGCATTTGTACAGCACAGTGCTGCAACGGGACAAGCTCGCATCAGCAACCTTGACTGCCGCCCTTTGCCGCGTTTAGTCAACAGGCGACGTTGCTCGGTCCTCGCGCTTCATTCAGATATATTCTGTCTGTTCTTCCCATTTCGTTGCCGATCAACATGGCTTTCTACTAAACTTTCCCTGTCACTTTGGAGTCTAGTCGTTGAGCAGGAATATCCATCTCTATCCTTATTACAGCTTGGTTTGGCCTAAGACAAGCAGTTCACATTCAGCCCTCCACAACAAGATCCGCCAATTTGGACAGAACCAACAGCTTTTTGTTAACCAACTTCCGCCCATCCTTGTCAACCCCTGGCTCTTTGTCAACCAACAACCTCACTCAGTGTCTCTGGCTGGCGCTCATTTGGGGAGTGCTTGCCCTGCCAGAGCCAATCAGCATCTCGAGTCACCTCAGGGGACGGCACTTATTGTTAAGTCCCCTATTATAGCCTGTCGACTCAGTCCGACTTTGGGCCTTGCGAATTGGTACTGCCGGGCCGACGGTGGAACGGTAACTTGAGTACCATGTTGCCGGTATCTGAAGCCATGCAGATGCAAGCCGCACCTCGAAAGCGTGCTCAACGGCAAACGTCATCATGCCACGAGTGCCGTCGTCGGAAACAAAAAGTGAGTAATGTCCCTTGCTTAGTCTTATGCCTATCAAACCTCTGTTTCTTGCTGCTCCTGTGTCTATGAGGTCTCTTCTCTTGACTATACATCAAGACCCCACATTGCCCCCAATGTTGCTCGTCTTACACAACATACACAAGCCTTCTCATAATAAAAGTTCACACCAAACCACAATTGTTAACCGCCTCATAGTGTTCTCAAGGTCAACCGTGTACAAACTGCTACCGTCGCTTTCCCCAACCTGACTGCGTATATGAAGTCAAGTCTTCCAAAAGGTCAGTTCACGTAGTCCGCTCTTGAGCGACCCGTTTGTCTACGCTCTATGGAATATTTCCCACTCTGCCGCGACTAACATTCTTTTAGAAATATACCTGTGGCTCCACGTCTTCCTTTGCCCTCAGTCCTGGATGTACGAGAAGGACCATATTCGCATCTGAACCCTGCCACCATCCATGACACCCTCTCCTGTCTAGATGATGAGCCTTCGGGTTCGTCCTCTGAAGCGGACTCTTCCGTTATAACTTCCTGTTCAAGGCCACGAACCAATATCTGGAAACCCTTCAATGTTGCATCCACCGAAAATGCTATTAAAACCATTACAACACATGGTATCAAGGCAGCCAAACGCTCCTTTTCAGAGGAGCCGGTCGTCAATCAAGACATTACATCTGATGAAAGCTATCGTCTCGTTGCTTCACCAATCGGGAATTCAACGGCCCATTTGCAGTACCTGCCCATGAGGCTCACAAAACTAAACAAGGAATTAGTCCGCATTCGTAGGTATTTGTGCACCGTCCGATGATTTTCAGTTACTAATTCTCTGCTGATAGACTTACAACTGCTGTCACGCTTCAAGTGCGCAGTAGATGGGGATCCTGACCCGAGAAATGATTTTATGAACACCTGGGTTCCCGCTACTGTGCAGGATCCCCTTCTTCTCCAAATTGTTCTATTTACTTCGTCATGTTTCCTGTCCGAGACTGGGCATATCTCAAAGTCCTTGCAAAATGGACATAAGTGGCGGGTGATCTCAATGCTCAACTCTCAGCTCAAGGACGAAAACGCCAAAATGACCGACCCTTTGATCTTGGGTGTTGTGCAGATGATCGCTGACTCTTGGTACTGGGGTGATACACATGACCTCAAGTGTCATCTTGGAGGCATAAGGGCGATGATCACCAAGAGAGGCAGCCTAAACAAGCTCGGTATGCGCGGCCATCTGGCCAAAATGATTCTCATGTAAGCTATACACGACACTCTTCAGTAGAGATGGGTGCATTCCGGGTGACAGCTCGAAGTGTCTTGGATCACACTCTCCTCAGATAATTGACTAATCTGTAACAGTAACGATATCGGCATGGCGCTAGCACATGAGATCAAACCCTCTATATATGGACGCCCTGGCTTTACATTCCATGATTCTCGAGCAATGCCTTTCAAGACCACATTCAACACACCACTGATATGTAACTGGCAATCTTTCAGGGAGTGTTCGAATTCTTTGCAGTTACATCCTAGCACCGCTCAGATTCTTGACGATATGAGAAGAGTACTTGCGGATGTTCTGGCGCTGCCAAAAACTCCAACTGTGGAAGAAGTTAAGAAAGTTAGGAACACCGCCAACTGTGTCTATACGAATATATCGGATCTTCCAGACGATAAACCGCCCCTGCGAACCCCATTGTCGAACTCATCTCGGTCAAGCTCAGCTGAGAGTCCAGAATCTACTACAACTGAGACCCAGGATCTTCCAGATATCGTGTATGATGTTATCCGGAAAGTTGCTCTGATGTATTGTCGAGCAATCCTTACCCGTTCCCCAATTAGTTCTACTTGCTCCGAACAAGAAATTACGAAAATATGGCATGATATCTGGCGTTCCGGCCTGCCCACTTGGAAATCAGTACTTGGTATCTTTGTGTGGATTATGATCGCACTTGTTTCCAACTGTCACAAGATTGGGCCAGGTCGTCTTATCAAAACCTTAACAATATCCACCATGATGTCCATCGGGATGGAAGATTGGCAGACTTTCACCCTAATAGTAAAAACATCCTTCAGGCTACAAAGGTATCTGGCTGGAGGAGACCATGGCAGAACAAGCGATCTCATTGGAGGGGAGAAAGTGGTAGACAAGTATGGGTTTGCGATGAAAGACGTTCTACCAACCATTGATTTGCCAATCGACGGCAAATTATGATGAATACACACTCACCTACAGCTGGACTAGGATGTTACAGTACGACGGTTACCATCCAGTCGCCTTCAACTACAAGTGATGTAGATGGCCTCCAATTTTGGAAGGTCGTCGCTGTTCGGCTATTCAATGACGACATGTCTCAAATCGACCAACAATGCGTGCAGGAGCTACGCCCGTAACTTGTGCGACCATAAGACTATTAAAGAGTCGATTCTCCCTCGCATCGGCAGCTGACTGCCTCTCACTCCTTACTTGTGAAGGCTCTCATCTCAGGTCGCACAACGTCAAGCGGTACAATGAACGACTTCACTCGACTTCGTGAGAGTATACCACACGGTGAGGTTTTACTTCCTGGAGATGCAGGCTACGAGGAGAAATTGCAGCGATGGAGCGCAGCTTGTGTGAAGAGAGCGGTATGTTGGGTAGTCATATCCTCAGACAGTGCTAATACCTCATAGGCAATTGTTGTCATGCCATCGAACCCCCAAGAGGTGTCTTCTGCAATCACATTCGCTGTCTCCCAAAACATAGCCATGGCCGTTTGTGGTGGCGGGCATTCTTCCAGCGGTGCCTCTTCAACCGAAGGCATAGTCATCGATTTAAGGAAAATGCGGAAGGTTGTAGTTGACACGGAAACTCTATCAGTTGAATTCGAAGGAGGATGCCTCTGGGAAGATGTCGACACTGCCCTTGAACGACATGGCCTAGCGACAGTTGGAGGTGTTGTGAATCACACAGGGGTTGGGGGGCTGACATTAGGTGGAGGGCATGGCTTTCTAACCCCCCGTTACGGCCTAACTATTGACAACTTGTTGAAGGCAGAAGTTGTTCTAGCGAACGGAGAGATAGTCGAAGTATCTGAAGACGCAAACCAGGATCTATTTTGGGCTATCCGAGGTGCCGGTGCACAGTTCGGGGTAGTTACCCGCTTTGTATCCCGAGCCCATCGACAAGGCAAGGTCTGGAGTGGCACGTTGGCATACTCGGCAGACAAGCTCCCTGGTTTACTCCAGTTTGCAAACAAGGTGTTTGGAAGGTCTAATCCTGAAGGGCATTGCCTCACCTTGGGGATTGGCTTTGGGCCAGATGGGACGACTCGTGCTGTATCTGTCATTCCGTTATTCCATGGCCCGGACGTGGAAGCTAGAAAATACTTCTCTGGTCTTCTTGTGCTAGATTCTATCGCTAACGAGACGGGGATGATGACAACAGCGAAAACGAACACCCTTTTGAACTCCGTCATGGACCACGGTGTTCGAAGATTGATGGGGTCAGGTAACATCACGATGCCTCTTGACACTGAACCGATGCTACAAACCGCAGACATGTTCTGGAAGTTCTGCGAACAGCACGATGGAATGGGCAAGTCCGTCCTTGCTATAGAGTTTTTCTCCACAGATAAGATTCGCGAGGTCGCTCAAGAGGCAACAGCCTACGCCAACCGAGGAGACTACTACGATGCCTTGACATCGTTTGCATGGGAGGATCCGAGTCACGATGATGAGATTCGGCAATTCAACAGGCGTATTTGCAAGCGTATTCGAGAGACGAACGGCCACCAAAAGGCCGCAGGTAGTCATTGGAGCCAAGGGCCGGTTGGCGTGTACATCAACATCGAGGCAGACAGCATCTCGCCCCAAGATGCCTGGGGAGCCAATTTGCCCCGTCTGAGGGAGCTGAAGAAGAAGTATGATCCTCAAAATGTGTTTGATAAGTGGCATGGCATCGCCGAGGGTGCAGCTGAGCCTGCATCATGAGATCGGATATACGTAGTCAAAGACACAATAACGACGTACAACCATCCCATTAATTGAGCTAGTACGTCAAATCTGTTGACACCAAAGTTCCTATTACAAGTAAGGGATCAGATTACTGGCCCGAGCCCTCTACTACATCCATCGTGACATGTAGTACAAAAACAAACGGGGTTTGTTACAGTGATGAAACCTTTTAGAGAGCAAGACTCAATTATCTCACTCACTACCCTAAAGCCCCAACCAATATGGGAAAATGGTCACACGAATTAGTACACCTTATGACGTTTATATAGTATTTAAGAGTTCATGAAATCGCATATGTTTAAACGGTTTCATCCATCTGTCAGTGGAGAGGATACCCTGTGTTGTCGTAAACCATCGACGTACACTTGAGTTTCATCATGCTCACAATCACCACAGTTGGCCCTTACACTGTGCCACGATCACTTCTAAGCTTCAACTAACATCCAGGACAACATCATCGTATTGCGTTATACTTATGGTAACTTGTAAGGTTGCTTAGAACACTTTTTAGTTCATATACCCTTTAGAACCCTGAACTAATGCAGTTCATCTAGTCGTATCATGAGATATGTGGGTTTCGTTAGAAGCGACATGCCACGATTAGTCTAGATACAGTGACCACTAGACGGGAAAAATAGAGTTAAGAGGATGAAAAGAGGCCATTGAATTCAGTATCAGCTGTTTCAGATTACGACGTACAGGAGCTACCAGCAAACTAACAGTCTCCATTGCGATGTAGCGGCACGTCAGTCTCGGCCGCCAAGCCCAGGAGGCCGAAAGTCTGGCGCCAGAAGCGGGCCTCGCAAAGGCAAGATTGGAATTGAGTTCCCCTTGCTCGTTACTGTTGTTGTCTCCGTATCCGTAGCTGGAATTCTGGTCATTAACCTCAATACTTGGCAACGATCGCGAGGTTGGTCGATAACCATGTCAGTCCGGGGTGAATTGCGACAAATTGGCATCCAGTAAGACCCCCCACCAACGCATGCATCCCCTGGAGAAACGGGATACTCAAGGCTTAGTGCGTGGGATGAAATGAGTGGCATGTCGGCACGACAACTATGGATCAAGAAGGGCCGCTTACCAAGGTTTTGTGATATGTCATACAAATGAGGCCGCTTGGTGTTGAGCCAGGTGAGGTGAGGTGGTCGTGAGGCGCCCGAGGCGACGAAAAATGTTGTCGAATGTCAGCTTTGTGGGGTCACCGGGGGATCTACAGGGGAATATTTGAATGTAACAGTGTAGTATCCGTAGTTTTTCCATGGTTAATGTCATTTATTGGGCGTGTATTGGTAGATTAGGTATTGGTATAGTGAGTCGTGTTCTATTATTGCATTGCATTGGGTGGTGTCATACAATCCTGGATGAGGCTCACCGTATATCGATTGATGTGCGACAGGGAGCCGTTACGAGGAAAAGCAAAGGGGAAGCGTTGAACATTTCTGAAGACTAAAAAGCAAGATGCCACTCGAACACGCATCACCAACTCAGCTGAAGGGAAGTCATATCGAACAAGGTGAGGTGAGCGGAGGGGTGCCCCAGAAAGGAGTATAACTGCGCCAAGCCATGTTATAACTTGTTTGGTTGTGTTTTGCGCTGCGCAGCTTATACTTTCCACTTTGGGACATGTTTCGCGGTAGTTGAGGCTTGAGCAAGGGTCTTTTTCTTATCTTGTTAATTATGTGTTTCATGGTAGTTGTTGTTCTTCGTTTCTGACCTGTTCAGACCTGTTCAGGCCTGCAGAAGCAGGATAGAGATGCACACGCCCCGCCACCGCGAGTTACTTTTGGCAGCTCATGCGCCCTTCTTTCATGCGTCCTTCCAGCCTTCTATGCATGTTGGGCGTTCGGCCTCGTCCGTATCACGGCGGAGAGGTCTCCGGGGGGGTGGGACACCGCGCACCGAAGCGAAGCAGCCGCCGGGGACGGGAAGAAATGACGTCAGGATAGTAGCGGCGGTGAGAAATACATATGCAGTGTTACACGACGTTGGATAGAGTTTACAATCTATCATTAATTGACGCGGGTGAGTTATCTCCGTGCTTTGGAACTAAATCATGGAGTAGCGTTTACATGGAACACGTAGGGCTGTTCTGGCATGTGCCCATTTACCATATTAGAGAGAGCTATGACTGTTAGCGTAGTCGTCAACTACTTTAACCAAACCTCCAATACCAAAATAAAAGAATACTACAAAACAGACAGAGGCCGAACAAGTATGCTGACCACGCATATTTTTAACTTTTTTGTAAACAATTGTAAAACTTGGAGGTGTATACAAGGTGGAATCTATAGTGGGGAAACCCCGCCTTGAAGACATCATCACTTCATTTCTCTCAAGAACTGCCGACAGATGATAGCAAGTTACTTGCATCTAAAGTGACAGATTCAACCTCAAAACAGTCCTACCAAGCACAATGGCTCCTATCGGCATCGCATTGATCGGCGGCGGCCTATTCGCCAAGCAGGCACACATGGTGCGAAACCCTCCATCATGACCCAGTTTCGTATGCAAAATGCTGAATAGGGACTTCCCAGCCTGCCATCATGAAGGCTGAGAACCTCGCTCTCAAGGCGATCTACTCCCGATCCCTCAAGTCTGCTCAAGAGACAGCGGCTCTCAATACCCGCTCTGACCAGGGCCCGGACTTGTACTCGGCCGATTCGGGATCCGGCAAGTCTTTCGATGACCTCCTGGCCCGTGACGACATTGAGGCCGTTATCATCGCTCTGCCCATCCCGAGCCAACCAGAGCATATCAGAGCCGCTCTCGCTGCCGGCAAGCATGTATTAGCCGAGAAGCCTCTGGCGCCCACTGTTGCCGAAGGTAAGAAGCTCATTGAGTACCACCGCAGCCTGGGAGGTAAAGCTACCTTTTCCATTGCCGAGAATTTTCGCTTCAAGCCGTCTTTCGAGTATGCTACTTCAGAGGCCAACAAGCTCGGAAAGCTGCAGCACTTCGGCGCACGTGTCTTTTTCTACATGAGCGCCGACTCTCAGTGGTATAGCACGGCATGGCGCGCAAAGCCCGAGTTCCAGGGTGGTTTCCTGCTCGACGGTGGAGTGCATTTCACTGCAGCGACAAGACAGCTGCTCACTGAGCCTGCGGCCGACGTGTCGGCCTTCACAGCGCAGGTGCAGGCTCACCTCGCCCCCATCGACACGGTAAACGCTGTCATTCGACTCAAGAGCGGTGTGAGCGGCACATATCAGCAGTCATGCGGAGCCAAGATGTCCACGTCGACGTTCCAGTTTGGGTATGAAAAGGGCTCAATTGAAGTCGATGGCGACAAGGTCACCGTGACGCCGTGGGAAGGCGAGAAGAGCGTCAAGGAGTTTGAGAGGACGAGCGGTGTGACGGAGGAGGTTGCTGCGTGGGCGAAGGCATTGGTAGACGGCAAGCCGAATGAGAAGCAGAGCCCCGAGGAGGCATTGGCAGATCTTGAGTTTTTGGAGTTGATGTTTGAAAGTGGAGCTAATGGAGGTGAGGCAAAGAAGTATGAGCACCAGTTGTAAGCTCTTGCATCACTAGAGTAATACTATGTAGTGTGTCAGCGAAACGCGAGTTGAGCATCTGAGTCCCAAGTCTATTAAACTACATGACGTATTGGCTAACACATAACTATAGCTCAATTGAACGTGCTTGTTAAGAAATAAACTACATCTTCTATAATGGTGGTCGTACTAGGCTTGGCTTTGTGTTGTTGGCCTGTAGCGGGATTGTAGATGCTAATCATTCTTGGCAGCAAAAATAGTAGTCCTCGCCTATAATACTACTATTATTATCGATACCACGGTTCCCAATCACTCTATGTATCATATACTCATAGCTTGGACTTTGTGGGTTCACCTTGGTCAACAAGCAGCTTCTGTAGCTCATCTCGGAGCGATTGTCCCATGCCATCCTTTAGTGGTCTGTTCGTCGCTCGATCAACGTAAACCTGCACAAACTCTCCTACAGCCTTTACCTCATCCACGCCCTTCTCGAAGAGGGCAGTCTCGTACGTCACACTGGATCGGCCGAGCTTGTTGACGCGCAAGGCAATCTCGGCGACTGCAGGATACGCAATAGACGCGAAGAAGTCTGTGTGGGTGTGCACACACATGCCAAACTGTGGTGCTGTGGGAGGATGGAGACTGCAATTCTCAATGAGGTATGCGTTGATAACAGAATCAAATCTATGCATTGCAGATTAGCTAGACCGGAGCAAAAGGTCAAGAGATAGATCGTCGCCTACAGAAAGTTATAAACTGAATTATTCATGTGGTCATACATGTCATTGTCGTTCCTATTGGTAGAAATGGAGTCAGTTTATCGGATCGTTAACGCTTCATTCCTTTTTAAAATATCGAGATGTCACTGTGGCAGACGAGGCATTCCAGAATTGGAAAATACCGATCTGATGAGGTGCATATCGCCCGGACAAAGGGAAGCGGGGGGCATGAGAAATAAGGAGTTTCAAAGGTCGAAAGCGGTAATGAGTAACTAATGGGCAATGGGGCGTTACTGTAAACTCACCATCGCGTGCGGTAGTCAAGGAAGAAACGATAGTCTTCTCTCTTGCGGGCCTTCAGCTCCGCTGGTGATGCCTTGTTACTCATTCCGCGAATCAATTTCTGGGGTAGGAAGCGGGTGACTCTCGCTTTGTGGAGAGCAGGCAGATGTTCTCGACCGTGGCCTTTTCTTGACCCTTTCCTTTTTCTCCTTTTGCGTATGTATGCTTTCTACGGATACGTCGTCCCTTCTTCTGGGTGGGTTTGAACGGTAGTGCCGTCTTGGCCTTTGCAGAGGCGTGAAGTTTATTGACGATGCTAAGAAAGCGAAAATGACATTCAGAAGAAATGTCACGGAGATGATCGAAATGTGGTGTTTTACAGTCTGGACCTGATGTGTCTTGGATGAGCGGAAAGGCCTATTGTGTTCGACAATCGAGAGAATGGGGGAGATCGCATATAAAGATGAATGGGGAATGAATAGATGGGAGACATGAATTCCTAGACTATGTATCTCAAATTGCACGAGTTCCGAGGCTCTGCATGATCCAGCCAAAAAGGGGAAAGCCGAGGTTTAACTCTCGAACACTACAATGTTTGTTTGCCCGGCCGGGAATTGATGTTCTTATTTGTTTAGCACTGCGGTTTTAGGTTTGGGATGCTTGCGGGGGAGGCCCGGGGGTTTGGGCGGGAGCTTTACTGAACATTTCTCTAAGATCTTAGGGCGTTGCCGTTGCGTCTGGGTGCACACGTCGCCTGGAGCACCCGAGATTCGCGGGCAGCCTGGACACTCACAGGCCATCCATAGCGGCATAGCCCTATCCGTAGGCCCAATCGCAATCGCTAGCGGAGCTCTCTGTTCATTGGGCGCGGGAGGATCTTGAAACCACCTGCACCTGCCACCCCGGACAAGTGACGGCTTTACCTCAAGGGTCCACACACAAAGCGTCAAGACCGCTCAGGCAATTATGACCGAGGGGTCATTCCTGCCGCATGTCACCGCTCGTTTCTGCCGTGGCCAACCCACAGAAATTGTTCATCAGATATCACCAGAATTCATACCTAACAACCAAGACATTTGTTAATTTGACCCTTGTCCCATGCATCAAGGGGGAAACCGACCATTGGTGTCACTACACATACTTTATTTTTTAACTTTTCAAACACTGCTCCGCTGCCTGCCGTGAAAAAACGCCGCTGAAGGCGCCGCATTTCCCCCCCCTCAACTGCAGCTGAGGAATGAGGGCTGCTCTTCGCCTCGGCCCGCACTCCTCCATCTTGTGTAGATCAAAATCCCTGCCTTTGTTAACCCCTCGCGAAAGACGCCCCTTTGCAATGGTCTCGCCCTCCCCTAGGCCGGAGGATTTGCCCTCTGATGAGCACATCTTTGCGAATGCTTTCCAGGATCTTGACTTTCAAAGTGAGAAGGTTAGCCCTGCCCCAAGCCAATCAATCACCAATTCACCCCAAATCGCTACCGATAAACAACAAAATCCCAGACGGCCTAAGCAAAAGAAGAAGCAGGATCCGCCTCCCATCTCGGAGCCGGACGAGCCCCTCATCACCCCGGTTGGAGATCCGTGGCCCAGACCTTACCACTTCGAAGGCGATGGGCTCCGCCGGGTGGCCCCGTACCACTTCACTTACAACACCCATTGTAAGGAGAGATGGCGAAACAGGCCACTGCTAGACATTTACGAATCTGAGTTTAGGGACCGGCCCGTCGAGTACTATCGACAGTCGATGTTACGGGGAACAATATTCGTTAACGGTCGCCGTGTTGGACCCGAGTATGTCCTGCGCAATGGTGACCTCATTTCCCATACCTTACATCGTCATGAACCTCCGGTTACAGAGGACCCGGTTCAAATCATCCACGAGGACGAAGACATGATTGTTATCAACAAGCCTGCCGGTGTTCCCGTTCATCCCGCTGGTCGATACAACTTCAACTCGGTTGTTGAGATCATGAAGTCAGACCGTGGTGCGACATTCTTGCCATATCTCTGTAACCGTCTAGACCGTCTTACAAGCGGTATCATGTTCATTGCTAAGAACCCAGTTGCCGCGGAGGCCTTAGGCGTCAAGATCAAGGATCGCACAGTGAGAAAGGAATATATCGCTCGAGTGATGGGCGAGTTTCCTGAGGGTGAGGTTGTCTGCGATCAACCCATTTTGCAGATATCCCCCAAGCTTGGTCTCAACCGAGTGCGCGCCAATGGCAAGAGTGCGCGAACTGTGTTTAAGAGACTGGCCTACTACCCTGCCGAGGGAGAGGATGATATAGACGAACGCCCTAAAACTCCTGAGCAGATGCAAGATGAGAAACATCGCCCTTGGGTAAACACGAAAGGATATTCGATTGTTCGATGCCTGCCGGTTACAGGTCGTACGCATCAACTGCGTGTCCACCTTCAGCATCTTGGCCACCCTATTCAAAATGATCCCATTTATGCCAACAGACGAGTTTGGGGCATGGATCTCGGACAAAACGATGCTGATGCGACTCAAAACACAGACGAAGATATCGTTAGCCGACTGTCTCGCATGGGCAAGGACGAAGTGGCCGAAGCTGTCGCCTATTACGATGCTATGGTGGATAAGTATGAAGAAAAGAGGGCCGAGAAATTGACTGGCACCCTCTGCGACGTATGCGCGACACCACTATACTCAGACCCTGGCAGTCATGAGTTGTCGCTATGGCTCCACAGTCTTCGGTATGAGGACGCAGGAGGTAGTTGGTCTTATGTCAGTCCGTTGCCTCGATGGGCGCTGCCACCGAAGGGAATGAGCGGCCCAACATCTGTGGGAGGATTGGAGGAGTTGGTGGAGGCGGTTAAGGATGAAGTCCCCGAGATAATATGAGAATGAATTGTCATTCCATTCACCAAACACCAGACCATTTCACATACATACATATTATTACCAACATCGCATGCACAGCGCCGCCAAAATAGAACGAGAGCGCAACCCCTAGATACAGACATGAACAGCTGAACGCATAATCGACACTATGCATCTCGGATAAGAGATGCTGTGCTGCCGAACCTATCACAGACTGGATCAGAGAGGAAGCTCAAGTCTAGGTCCAGGGTGATCAGGAACCGACATCCGGCTAATAATCCTGTCTGTGGATCTGTTTTAAGCAACCAGGGTCAGCACATCCCCGTCAGTAGTATCCGTACAGGCAAGCTATTACTATTTGGTTTGTGCATGAGCTTCCCAGACTGTACTGGAGGCTGACCCAAGATGAGTCTTTCAAGGGCTTGCCCTCGAGCAATCAATTTGGCAAGCCTGGCACCTGGATATTATGATCCCGAGTAAACGACCGAATATTTGTGGCGCCTGGGTGTGTCTACCCGGGCCGCTATATTCTTAGAGACGAATGAAAGGCCCAAGACAGCTCAGTGGATTGATGATTGCAATTAACGGGCGGCTGCTCACTGGTTGATGCGAGAGGCTGATGCGAGAGGCTGATGCGAGAGGCGCGTTGTGAAGCAGCCAGATCCGAAGCCACTGACCAGCAGACGTATCCCTCGACCCGGAAGGTATTGTTCCCTGAAGGACTCAATATCAATGATCTCGGAGGATTGGCTGAATTGAAACTAAGTGCCGCAATGTTTAATGGGACAAGGAACCGTCCAAGCTGGGGCTTTCAGGGCACAGGCTTTCAACACATTCCACAGTGAACCCAAGATCAGGACGTTTGGACCCAGAGAAATGGACCCTGTTGTCAACCACGATGTCGGTGCCAAGAGTTGCGCCAGTGGACAGACGACAGACAGGGACCTAGGCCGTCATGGCCGTCTTGGCCATGAGACTTGGAAAATAGTTCGGGATAGCTTCGATGATGAGACGGGCCTAGCTAAGAGGTTCCGCTCCGGGGGCCGGACTCTTGGAGTCTCACTGGTTGATAGGCGTCCTTCCGCGAGATTGAGACGATAGAACACCAATTTTCGAACCTGGACTATGCATGGGGTTAGGGTCATGGGGTTATTGCAGATCAACACGAGGATATTGGTTCGAGCATTTATTACACATATTGCATGCAACATGGCACTTCGTATGAAGCCTCACTAAGCGCTTTACTGGTCAAATGGAGTGGTTCCAGCCTGAAGATAAACAGCATGGGCCCCTGATATCCACTGACTAGAACAGAAAAGACCAAGTTGATCACCTCACGAGGCTCACATCATATTCAGCAGAGCTCCACGGCTGCATGGGTTTGGCCATCGTTGGCGAGGATCCATCCTCTAGCACAACAACGGAATTGTGGCTGAAAAAACATGGATCTTCCAGCACGCAAGCAAGCCAGCATGTAGCCCTGCTTTTCATTTCATTTCCTGGGGTAAGGGAAGAAAAATCATCGTTCCCGACTATCAATTATTTGCTTTTTACTTTCCTTCTCCACAGGTTCTCTTGACCCTTGCCTATGAATTCAAATTGGTCAACGGTACGACCGTATTACCGGGTTCGCGGTTGATTTGCCAAAGGCAGTAAGGAGGCTCTGCTTGGCGTGACAAATTTAAAAGTCGAATCCTTCTCTTCAATACGACGCTGCGCAAGATCTTTGCAAGATTCAAGCCCGTGGGAGATGGATTTGCGCTGACGGGGAGGCCCTACAAGGAATACTCTTAACCCGACGTCATTGATGCGACGCAACGCATGACTGAAGCAGCGAATATCCAGTTATACCGTTACAGAGGAATGGGTTACTGACGAATTTCAGCTGAGGTATGCGTATCAAGATCATGTCAGCTTCCAACTGCCGAAGTATGAGACATGTCATGCTGGTTGTTGCTATCGCAAAAAGGAACAAAAGAAAAAGACAGAATTGGCGAAGTCGTTCCGAACGTTCTCCGACGCGCGCATTGCACAGTGATCCTCACGAGCTGACGCGCCTTCCGGAGATGACGCCATTAGGGATGTTTTGCTGTAGGCATGCAGGGAGCGAACCCAAAAAGCAAAGAATGGAAAAAAAGAAGAATCTTTTTTCCTTCTGAAAGAGGGAGCTCACTTGCATGGCGAAACTCAAAGGGCACAAATCACCTGTCACCAGCGGCTCAACACGGCCTTTGGTGCTTGGGGACACCCTTAAAACCGCTGTGCTATGCCTCATGGGGGGAGGCGCCTCACTGAGGCTGCTGAGGCTGCTGTGCCGCAGCATAGACTTTTGACCCTAGAGCTCCTATTGCCCTGTCTTGCTTTTTCTTTGGTGTCTTGAGATTGCGAAGCCGGCCGCCTGTCCTTTCGTCCGGTTGTCTGGACGTGTGTGAAGGTTCCAACTTGCCACGCTGAAAATGCGCACTGCACTTTGAGGGCATCGAATCAAAGTAGACTGGCCGTTCGCTTGTGCAGTCCATATGACTAGACTGCTTGTGCGCTGCAGCAATGTACTTCTCTTGTCTAAATGGTACTGTACCTATCCACGGGGGGATCTGCAAAGTGTGGGTTTCGAATGTTTCTTCTCGACGTTGGCGGGGAATCCGAATGGTTTACGAAAGAGGCAGAGAGCTCGCCATGTGCACAGGCTTCTGATCTGGGGATTGGTCGTTGAACTGACCGCAAGATGGCCAACTACTATTGTAAACTGCAAGAGTGGGAAGACCAACACAGGAGCCATGATGATGCCATATGGGGGCGGTTGGGATCGACGCCGTCGAGCACAGTAGCATGAGAGGAGACGACTCGCGATAGATGGCTTGTACCGTTCCACTCGATGGCAACGCTCCCACGTTTTGTCATATTCTGATACTGTACTAACGATCATTACGGGCGCGTGGTGGTTTGCTCTGGGCTTCCTCAGATTGATCCCCCTCCCCTGGTTCCACGTGCTCCACCGCTACACCAGCCTTTGTACATAATTAGCATGGGTCCCCATCTTCAGTGCTCCGAGAAGCGCAGAACGCGCTAACATGGAAGCCCAAACCCCGTTCCCAACTACGCCGGATATCGGCTAGGGTACAGAGGAAAAGAAAGTCTATTCCTGCAGGGGCTACAGTGGGGGGAAGGTGATAGGGATTGGCTGTCGATTCAGTGCTGCCGAGTTAGAGAGTGTCATCTCACTGCCCTAGGACTTGTCCATTTTCCCGCGCTTCTGGGGGAGCTCCCTACGGACCACGCTATACTTCGCACTATTAGCTACTTTTTGGGTGTTCAGGTTCAACTTCAGGGCCCATCATAAGTTCACCCCGGGCTTCTGAAATCCGAGACACCACATATCCTTGATTTGTAGGACACACCAAAGATACAGATTGACAGCCATAGTCGCAACGAATGACACTAGATAGAGGTGAGCAACGAGAGCATGAGCATCAGATATGGTATTGTATGGCATGGCAAAAGAGCAACGCCCGTCAACAGGCCCCACCGCTAGACTGCCAGTGACATTTCACTGCATTGCAGGACAGATGATTGGATTTATGTATACGACCATGGCTATCGGAGACGTTACTGTGAAATCGATGCCCTGCTGCGGCGAACTTGGGACGGCCAAGTGCAATCAAGAAACGTGTTCGATGCATCGGGGTCTAACAGACGTCTGACGGTTCTAACCAGCAACGTGCCGTAAGAGTATCTGAAGCGAGGGCCATATTGTGATACTTGGCTCGACAGCCGGAGGCCATATCCACAGCGAATTCCTAACTATCCGTGGTCGCGGTGCTTAGTTCCCTATTTCTGCTGCAGACAAGGTGAGCAGTAGGTAATGGTGGCAGTGAACTTCAGCTGAGCTCGCTCAGCGCAGGAGAAAGGGTCCGAGAGCTTGTTGTGGAGCGTCAATTAATCTTGAACCACAACCACGAGGAAGAGAGACCCGCTGAGATTCTTAGCATCCAACGCCTAGAAAGTGGAAAAGAATGAGGGGGGATGTTATCAGGCCAAACTAGACTAAACCAGAGCCAAGGTCCAAGATAACGAACCTCTGCTGTTGGGTAAGGGGCTATTCATTTCAGTGACTCTGTCTCCAGGTCTCTACGGAGTACTATCCGAGAGATATACTCTTTTCCTGCTCTATCCCAATCCAGGTTTCGGTATGGGGCTCTGGAGCGTTGGGTTGGCGAAACACACAGCAAGCAAGAGGCAAGACACAGACAAGCCACCCCGGGCTCAAAGGCAAAAGAAACAGGAGGCAGCAAGATACAAAGTACAAGGTTGAGGTTCTCAGTACAAAGACCAAGTACTCAGCCAACCTAACGACAATCGTGGCGTGCCGGACCGCGCTTCGACCACAACATCAGCACCAGGACACCAGAAGGGACCAACGCTAATACCAATAAGGAGTGGAAAGAATAGTGTTCAAAGTTGCACTCTAGGGGAGTCCGTCTAGTCAGCCTAAAGGGTCCGTCATGAGAGTACGTACTGAAGATCCACTCACCTCACTTGATACACACCTTGGGCAAGGCGAGAAAAAAAGAAAAATGGGTTCTTTCTCTACGCCAGAAGCGCGAGAAGGAAATGGTTATAAACAACCCCCCGGTCCGTAGATCAAGTCTAGTAGCTGGGTCGATCTATGCGAACACTTGGACTTAAAGACGACAAGGACTCCACAGACTTCAACAGCAGCTTTACTACAATCATCTCATCTCAACTCAATTCTTCTAAATACTCCAGCCCAAGACCCATCCTCCACGCCTTAGGGGTTCCTCTTCTTCTCATCCTTCGAGTTATCAATCATTTGTATACCAATTGCACAACATATAAGTCTTAGCAAGACCACTTATATATACCCACTTCACACACCCACTCCCAAGCTTGTCTTGCCGACTTGACATGATCACTTCGGTCTCATCATCTATGCCTTACTCTACTTCACCCGACTCATACTCACACTCTCACATCAACAACACCGACAACATGGTCCGTTCATCTTCAGCAGAGCCCGGAAAGAGCTCCAAGCGAAAGGGTATGTTTACACAGTCACTATCAGCTGCACGGCACAAAAAGCAAATACACCGGCAGCAAGCAATCGACCCGAATCACACACTAATACACTACAACAACAGGCACCCGAAGCGTTTCCACTCTCACACCTTCACAACTTGCGCGCAAGCGAGCCAACGACCGAGAAGCTCAAAGGGCTATCCGGGCGCGAACAAAGGAGCACATTGACCGTCTGGAGCGCGAGCTGGAGGACCTCAAGAGCAAGCAGAGTCGTGATCAGACCGTCCAGGAGCTTCTGCGACGGAACCAAGCGCTCGAGGAGGAGTTGATGCGACTCAAGGAGAACATGGGTGTCTCAATGACCTCGTCGCCTTACTCTGCACCTGGTACGGCTCTCTCAGTCACAATCCCAGTCTCAACAACATCACCACCTCACCACAGTATACTGACTACTCCCTCAGTATACGATGATAACCTCAGCACTGGCAGTGGTGCCATCCCCAGCCCTCGTGGCTCCCCTTACCCTTCTGGCGACTACAGCCCTCTTCCCGACTATGGACAGCAGTATGTCCTCCCTAACAACTGCGAGTCATGGGCCAGCACAGTTTCTTGCCCCGTCCCCTCCAACGTCTCCAGCCCTTCCTCCTCCGCCGACGACTATAGCGCCGGTTACATCCCTACGAGCGTGCCTACCTCAATGCTGCCTTCCAACAACACAAGCTCTTCAAGCATCAGCGCCGTCGGTCACGCTCACAAGGATGTTATCAAGATGGAGTACGAAGATGTTGACTCTCACGGTACGGAACCCCAGGAGCAATTGCTCCTCAATGCGCTCGCAAGACAGCAAACTAATCACACTCAGTGTCTAGACGCCGGATTCCGTCTCAGCAACCATTCGCTTCAGCCCGTGTCCCCCCATACTTACATGGCTCAGCAGCAGCAGCCCGCTTGGAACATGTATCCCGTCTACTACCCCCAGGCTCAGTCTTCGGTCCACTGAAGGACCAACCCCAACCGGGCTTATCCTGGCCGGGGCCCGTTTTAACTACTCCGCCGGCCTGTCGCTTTGACGAGCTCCTGGTCGGCTTCCTCCAGGACTGTCGCCGCATGACAACCGTGGAATCGCTTGCTCACACACTGGGTCCGCCTCAGATAGATGTGCGGTCCGTGTTTCGCAGCCTCGACAGCCACGGCCAGCTTGCCTGCTCACCTTACCCCATTACTGATCTCATCCGGAGTCTCATTGACACGGCAGGCATGAGCAGGCTGACTGAGCGCATCGCCATCTTTGCGCCTCTACAGACTACAATCTGCTGGCTCGCTCAGCCTACGCCGGAGAGACGCGCGCGACTGTGCGAGGACTACGTGCCGCGTGAGTGCCAATTGACAACCCCCCACCCGCAATGGCTCGATCTGCTCCTCTGGGGCAACTTGCGCGAGACTGCGATCGAGCGACGGGATCTCTACGCTACAGAAGAGTTTCAACGGGTCTACTTCGACGCGCTGCGCCTTATCAATTGGCCTTGTCAGCCGCTAGATGACCTAGTCACCGATCCGCAGACGGGCCATGTTGGGCTCACGGATGCTCTCATGGCCCATGCCATGAACGGATCCAACTGGCGTCTGAGTGCGACCTTTGCGCAGCGGTACCCCGAGCTTTGTGGCTTAGTGGCTCTGGAGTAGAGTTTGTCTGATGGGCCTCTCTCCTGACTCTCAACCATACTTCAACTTTTCTTCACATGATTCGATCTTGACTTGTATCCTATGCGATAATGACGGACCATATGCTCGAGGCATGACTCTGTGGGTGAAAACGGCACCACATTGTCGATCCATTTTTGAAATTAAAAAAAGAATGCTTACCGCTGGCATTCTCCGCCGCGGCAACTCTCCATCCCACTTCCACCCACGTCGATCATCCCACTTCCAAAACAACATACCTACCTACAACCTACACTACCATACGAAGAAACGACATCACCCTGTTTTCTCTTACACAACACAAAAACAAAAACAAGACATGACGCAATAAAACTTTAGAGGAGGAATTCAGGATACTCCACACACATCTAACGGCCACACAATTGTATTGTAATCTTTTTGGAGGAGTTTTATTATTTATCTTGATACTCAAACTACACGAGGGCGGAGGCGTGCAATCTGGGAACGCAGGCATCTATTTTTGCATTGGGAATTCAAGGGAAATTTGGCGACACGGGGTCTTCATTTTAGAGGAGTTATACAAATTACATACTGGAACATCATGGGCATGACACTATTGCATCACCCATTTTACACCTGACGAATCAAGATACATGCATTGGATTCTTCAAACTTACTCTCAATCTCTCGATCGTGATTATGATGACTTTTGTTATTGCTGTTGCTATTACTACTGCTCTTAGCACTCCCACTAGTTGTCAGCCCCGATATGAAAATCCTCTAGGACTCATTTTACCCCATACGCACTTGACCTTGGTCACCTTGTTCGATGACATTCCGCAACCCTGTCTGGACCCTTGTCCAATTTCAAGAGTGCATCGCCAAGGAGGGGTGTGGCAGGCTGCTGAATCGTTCCTCGACACGTCTGCCTCGCGCCTATGCTTCTTTCTGCTGTCTGCCTCAATACAGATGCGCCTTTACACATGTAACATACTTAGTAGCTATGCATCTCCACCGCCATGTTCCCGTCAGGCACATGGCCCGAAGCGAGGGAGACGGAGAGGGAGGGGGAGTGCACAAGTCGAAGACACATAGATAGATGCCCAGGCCGCAGGGTTCCACTTGTCAACAACTTCAGTTGTTTTTGCTGCGTCCCTGGCGATATCTGATATCGGTCCAACGCTTATACTGCTAATAGTTTAGTTGATAGTCCCTACCCCATGCAACAGGAGGGGGCCTGGTAGGAAAGGAAGAAAGAAACGCGTTTCCAACAAGAGACAAGTGCACGGTATTGTTAGATTGGATCTCACACAAGACGGTTGGAAAATGGAGTCGGGAGATATCCGCAATCCATACAGTACCTACCTATTCTCCTTCGACAAACCTGACGCTCATACAGAGATGCTCACCGCGTACCTCACCTGCCGACAGACGTCAGTTGTCCACATTGACTGCGACGATATCATTCTTTTGCAGATTCCATCCCTTGCTAGAGATCCGACCGCCTCAAATACGACAGGTTGGTTCCCTGAGCCGCAGTGATCGAGACTTTGAACCGCAAGTATCAAAAGTACAGTGACCTCCAATACCTCTAAGCCTTTTTTTCTTCTATTTCTTCTCTTTTTAGGTGCATTTGCCTCCCATCCAAGACGGACTTAATCCTGCAAAGGATCTCGGAGATCGTGGCGAGAAAAAGCATGCGCACGTGGCCGAGGGATGCCTGTCTTACAATGACAGCTTGACATATTCTCATACGGCCGAATGCGAATCCCAGCATGGGAATTTTGACTTTGAAGTCGACATAAACTCTAATAGATTCCTTGGTGGTGTATGATGTACCTACCATCAAGAATCGAGATGGATATGCCGTGCTCGTCCCGCTCTTTTTCTGTGCAAAAGCCGGGTGGCGCGGCCTTGATAGCCCAATTCGGTGATTCCCATCTATCGGAACGACACCGATGTCTCAGCTTCCCCTACGTAATGGCTCCCTCACGTCCAAACCTTACTTTGCTGTGCCGTTTTGTACTTGAGGAACTTCCGTGAATGTTCCGCGCAGTTTCCATCGGAGAAGGCGTCAGATAGTTCCTAACGTTCTGCAGGATAAGCCCGTTCGGACGTTTGTCTTATTTGGCTCGCGACGGACCTCGGTATCGAATTGAATCAACGACGAGCGAAACAAAAGGGGGTAAAAAAGAAAACATTCGCGGCTCGAGCCTCAATTCGTTAAAGACGGTTTGTGCCACTGGCCATGGGAATTAATCCAACGGAATCGGAACGGAGAAAGCGAGACACCAGCCGACTCATCCATCACGCAATTCCACCTCTGATCAGCGGTCCCTTCTCCTCTGTCTGTTTTGTCCATCTCCGCTGGATGGGTCTCCCTGCGCTCTCGCACTCTGCACTCGCACTCTGACTCTGCACCGACATTCAGGTGAAACCTGCGACAGACATGATCGGCAGCTATAGCATCTCCAGTCTGATGCTTCTAAACTGGGCCGGGCGGTAGTTGTAGGTTTGCGGCTTTGCCGTTCAGAGTATGCACCTCGCCAGTGTCCAGGAAATAACATGCAGCAATTAGCATTGACCATCAACAATTGACAACGGTAACTAAAAGAAATATCCGACAAGGCGGGCAGTGGGTAGGATTCAGTGATTCACAGGGCAGATGCCTGCGGCAGGCATTGATTGTATTGGTGCCTAGGTGGCTGCGACAGCGTTTGTCGTTATCTGATTCCGTTCATGTTTTCCTTCGCATTTGAGAACCCGTTACAGTTTACGGCCGAAAGATGACATGCATCCATCCATGATCCATCCAACCCCAACATACAGTACTCATGCGTGTTGGCTGGCTGGTGCTTTGCGGTACGGTGAAGACCCCGAACCCCCAATGTGCTGCAAACGCCGCAACGCCTGGCATGATGAGGAGAGACGAATCAGACAACAGGCTAGAAAACCTAGAAAAGGCCTGGAAGGAATTTGGGAAGCTTGATCGAAGCCAATGCAAGGTGAATCTGCAGGTAGTATGGCACCGGCACGTGTTGTGTGGATTCAGTAGAATAAGCAAAAGCAAAAGCAAAGAGTAAAAAGTAAAAAGCAATTTGGGGGTGTTGACAGTAGGTCTCCGTACTGCACAGCCGTTGCTGACCTCGGTTGAAGATGATTGCTGAACCACCGTACTGGGCAAAATAGCGCGGCCTGGCTACCTGGCTAACCTGGGTGGAGGGGATTAAACCGGGATAAAGACTTGTGAGAGGCTCAAATGCGATCAAGCAAGCTAGACTTGCAGAATCAAGGGGTTTCGGAGGGTGGTAAAGTTTGCGCTAGAAGGCTGTTGTTGCTTCCATGCGATGGGAATAGGGAAAGTACTCCAAGCCCACTGTGATCGAAGAATCATCGACAGCCAAGGGGCTTATGCAGGAGCAGCGAGACATGAGACATGGTGGTATTACGTCAAAAGAAGATGGAAAGAACTCGCTCCGCAAGAGAGGCGTCAGCCCAACATGTCCGTCCATGTCTCTTCTTCTCCTCGTCAGTGTAAGGGTGTAGCGTGTACTCACCAGCGTCGATTACCATCATGCCGCCGTTTCTGTCGTGTCGTGTCGTGTCGCCCATGCAACCACACAGACACACATAGCTAATACGGCCTAATGCTGGCCCAATTGCCTTGGGGCTGACTCTGGGAGATGCCACAATTCGTCAAGATTAATCACCGTACTCATAGTGGACGTGGCCATAAGCAATTCTGCTGTGACCGCGCTTCGTGTTGCTGTGGAGAGCTTAGGGATAAGAATGAAACTCGTGAGTTGGACGACCAAGACTGACTGAGTTAACCGCCATCAGGGGGTTGGTCATCATAGCTCCCCAATCAATGCCAGAAGAAGCCGTTCCGCAATTATGGCATCCTTCCCGAGGAAATGGCGATGATAATTGCATACTGTACAGATATGAGCAGCCTGATCGTCAATCAAGCAATGCACAGTGCTGCGTTATGCTCTTGTATGCAGAAACACGGCGCTGCTGCCAGCACATCATGAGAAAGATATTCGACTGTTTTAGTCGTAGGATTGAATAATGGCGATCCGCCTCAAGCCGTTTGGGATAATCCTGGACGCAAATTACAGGCTTTGCCGCGACCCCTGGGCCGTTCACCTTCAACCCGGTTCACACAGAAGGGGAAGTGGCTTGCAGGGATTTGACACAGGGATTCGGGAGATCATGACGCTAGTAGGGGACCCTAGAAGTTTCCAATCAGACAGTCAGCAAATAACGTCTCGGTATATAACTTGCGTCTTGTGCGTGGCTACTTTGCTTGGGAGACGGTGAACGTGAATCGATGCAGCCAGCAAAAGCAACGAGCATGTGAGCACTGGTATGCCAAGAGGTAGGAGCCGTTGACCCATTGGTACGGTGATCGTCAGCTACATGGTCAGTTAGGCTCCAAGCCAGGGATGAAATTGAATCGTGACAGATAGCGTGGCTTGTGTCGAGCCCAGTACCCAGACCTCCAAGAGCCAGGGTTTGAACCCAAGTGGGCCACGCAGCTTCATCTCGGTGTTCCATCAGTAAGAAGCAAGATAAGTTAGCCCCATCTTGTAAAAACCACGAGGCAAACAAGGATAATGCTCCAAGATACTGCAGTGACAGGACACACAAATGGTGCGAAGTCCCTGTGTGGCACAGACATTGCTGCAGAGAAGGAAATCGATATTCATTGCTCGGGCGACGGAGGGGCTCTTTTGCATCTGTCTGTTCCATAGAACAGGGACATTCTTGAAGATCAATATCTCATACGTAAAAGCTTCAAAGCTGATGTGAAACTCTCATCACGGGCATCTGCTGTGGCTAAGAGTGAACTTCTTCGAGAAGATAATAGAGTTCACTCTTGCAGCATCTGAAGCCTTCTCACACGCCCCCTCCCTTCCCGTTTGCCTTTCAGGCACGTGGCGAGGCTGGCAAGCCATGTTTTGATAGGAGTCGCTCAAAGGCAAAAAAGGGGGTCCTCAAGAAGTATCTCAAGTACTCAATACTCTTGCGCCAAAACCCCTTCGAACGGGACTAGACACAATTCGACGGTACGTAGCTTCTTCTCCCACGGGAAACCATGTGGACTTGACACGCGTGCACAGCAGGGCTGGACCATTCTGCTGCATTATTTCCGTACACCATTTGACTTCTATCTTATTCTTCATCCAGTGAGCTACTCGGATGAGGCGTACACACATGCTAACTCTTCCACACCGCGCTTACATAGTATGAGTAAAGAAGAACGTGTGGCTGATGACGTCCTCCTCAGCAGCGGGAGCGGTTCCAAGTGCCCATTTGGGCTGTAGAAAACGGCATTGAGGCTGTCTGTCTCACCTTGCAGCCTCAAGGACGAGTCTTGGCAAGACATGCTTCCTTTTGGAGTGTGCCGCCAAGATAGATCTTAGGCATTATTCAATTATTCGTTCGGCCGTAAGGAAATGGTGAACATTGTCCAGAAGGATGAGTGCAAGGGGTTAGGATGTGATTCCCAGGAGGATATCGCAAGGTACCCCTCAAATATGTGCAATGATAAACATAGCATCGTTTGGAGTTGGAGGGCTTCATTCTGGCGGCTCTGGATTGGACAAGAAAAGCGCTTCGATGCTGTGTGGTGTGTCATGCTAGGCTATGGAAGCGGTCTGTAAATATTCCATGATCAGCGAGGATGGCATGTCTTCAACACTGTCGTCACTTGCGGCAAGAAGTCCTAGTGGTTGTGTGCCAGAATGAGTTAATCCTACTTACAGTTCATATGTTCATATGTTCAGCTGTGGCTGAAACCCTGGCTATCGTGAGGCTTATGGAGACAGGACAAGACTGCGTACGTAGTACTCCGTAGTCTCGGCATCAACAGTAAAAAGATAGGGCCGGTGGTGTTGGCTGGCCGTTCAGGCCGTTTCGATTCTAAATTCAGGGCACATTGACCATTGGGTTGTAGTGTAGAATGCCTGACCGAAGTGACCGAGTGCACCCGGCAAGCGCGGTCCGGCTCTAGGCCGTGACTGAGGGTGTATCCGGTAGTCTCCTCTTTGCTCACAGCATGAAGCTGTGGTTGCCAACCGTCACTGATATGAAAGTGATCGATCAAGTCCCTTCGTGCTCCATGGCCCAGAATTCTTGGCATGCGACGGACTCGGTCGCGAGGAGAACCGGACTCGATGGCCATGTGGGACCTTCTATGGGTCTTAACAACTGGCGTCAAATCAATGGGGCCCTTCAATGGGATTTGACCAGGGGCCTGGTTCGGGGAAGAGACTTGCCGGGCTCCAGGCTCCGTATCCTTCGTTCCCCGACTCACCCTAGCCATTCATCGTTCATGGTGTTGAATTTGTCCTCATCTTCTTTCTGTAATTTCGAAGCCTTCTCAGCCTTCAATGATTTAGTTTCGCACTAGTCACCGTCAACAAGGCCAAGAAACGTGCGAAACGTCGGGGGCCACGGGTGCATGGAAACAGACTTTCGATCAACCAACGGACCGCATGGCACCTTCATCGGATAGCGTGTAGAAACAGAGTCCATTGGCGATCCAACAGGTCTAGCTATCAACTCCAGCGCAGGACAGGAGCCTAGAGACCGTTGCCGTCATTTCGTTGCAGACCCTAGGTGCTAGAACTAGATATCGAAGCTATGCATGTCACTTTAAACCAGGTTCATCCAGCAAGATTGTTGATGATCATGGACACCGAACCCCGCGACCTCTTGCTAGGAGTCAACGCGATACTGAATCGAGTGAGCAACTCGTGGTAAAGTGGTGTTTTCAAACACGCCCAGCCATTACTATGGCTATCTGACTCTGCACGAGCCTCATGTAAATAGACGAGTCGACAGCTGATATGAAGATCAATGCCGTTGAAGATAGGAACTTCTGTAAAACTTGGTGCGTTACCAACATGCAACAACCATGAAGATGCACAAATGGCGGTGATAATTCGACCATTCAGGTTCTGCGGCACAGGTCGTGTCAGCGGTAGTCACGGCAGACATAGGTTGGTGCTTTCATGAGTAGTTTTGCGTCTGTCTGTAGCACAAAACTTCTCAAGGTCCCTGAAACCGTCATGCATTACCGGCTTTCATGCCGGAAGCCAACCATCGACGGTAACCGGCACTTATGTGATCTAGGGTATTCTGTTCTGATACTTGGCACTCAAAATCAGGGTTCTGGGTTCCAGATTGGGACTGGCCGCGGGACGATTCGAACTCGGTCCCGCTATACAGGATTTAAAATTCTGCCACGGCTTGTCGAATCCGGTTGGCGGAGTCGAAACATCGTTGTTCAACCTATAAGCCTGTCTGGATACAGCCCAGTCTTGGCACTCCCATGAATGACTGTTTGATAGACTGTCAAGTGCGTCACGATGCAAATGATTATCGAGAAGGGATCATGATGCTTCGATCCAAGTTCGATGCTCGCTGATCAGCGTTGATAATGATTTCTCCTCTGCCTTCCATTGTTCGATCATCGAGTGGGAAGCTAATCCGAGGTCGAGTAATCAAATCACAGTGCTCGTATGAAGCAAGCTGTGGAATGATTATTAAATGTGATTCAGCTCTAGTCTTCGCACCGTTAAAGAGATTAACTTTTAGCGGTATCACCGGAGAAATACCATGGACTAAAATCCGTGGGTCCGGATATGTTCCCGGGCCGTCTCCGGGAGTCCGATGTACCTGACCGAAAACCGGTGCCTTCGGTTCGGAAAGGATCTTGAATCGGAGAATGTCCAGAGTCTAGAGTGTAACTATTCTGAAAAGACGGGTCTCATCCGTGGCCCCTTTGCTAAGGCTCGTAGGTTCGCGGTGTGGAACCTCAATAAATTAGGCTCAACGGAACTTTTGCCTCTCCGTTCGTGAGATCCAGGCGCATGGTCCTTGCGGCGACGATACCATGGTCTTGGGAGGGAGTGAACTTTTTGGCTTATTTGATGGATCGCAGGCGGGCCGTCTGGGTTGAGATCTGGTAGTGGTCTGTGTATGTTTGCAGGATTCTTAGTCTCGGTCCGTTTTTTCACGGGCAGTAAGCACGGGATGGTCGGATAGAATAGGATCCGTTCTGATGAAATGATCGTTGCTGATTTTCTTGGCGTCTTTGACTCGAAGATTTTATGTTGATGTCGAGTTTGGATGGATTGCGATGTCGAACTCTTGATGATTTCATTTCCGCGTTGTTTCCACCTTCCTCTGCCAATCAGGCTCACACATCACGTGCACACTCACATGATCCCCAACACCGATCGGTAAAGCTTCGGCTTGTAGTCTTCACTGTCTTCACTCACTCTCCTGTTTCGTGATAGTTGAAGGCGTAATTCATTGTTGCCTTATCCCCCGCCTCGTTGTTGTTTCTTGCCCGAGGTTCATCAGACGGAATTTCGTGCCGATGAAGCGACAAACCTTGACATGAGATCGTGTTGATGGGCTTTGATTGGAGGATTTAACGGTTAAACCGTGGCTAAATCGGACAAATCCATCATCCGAACTGCCCAATATGCGGCTTCGTGGGGCTTCACCACCAACTAGAGGCTCATCTGATATCATGAGAACACTTTATACTGCTCGATTGGCAAATGATGAGCGGAATGGGCTGCTTTTTCACCCGTATGGCGCATCTTTATCAGGCAGAAATGATGGCCAAGTGACTGCGGGGTTCTTATTTATCCATTTGGGTTCTTTAGTTGATACCAGCAAGAAGTATTTATCTTTCGACCAGAGAGTCTGTTCTCTCTTCAATTGACTCATTTCCCCATTCTCTTCACTCTCTTCGTTCTTGTCGTGATTGATTTAGTTACAAAGTGACAAAAATGGCTGATATTAACGTCGAAGAGGTGCTTAAGAAGCTCTCTCTCGCTGAGAAGGTATCCCTTCTTGCAGGTTAGTAACACTAGACATCGCAATTTACACCAACAGTAAATAAGCTGACCCTTCTGGAAGGTATTGACTTCTGGCACACAAAGGCTTTTCCTGAGCATGGAGTCCCTTCTCTCCGTCTCTCGGATGGTCCCAACGGTGTAAGAGGTACCAGGTTCTTCAACGGTATTCCTGCAGCATGCTTCCCCTGTGGCACTGGTCTTGGTGCTACCTTTAACCAGGAGCTCCTTGAGGAAGCAGGAAGGAAGATGGGCGAGGAGGCAATTGGAAAAAGCGCACATGTGATTCTCGGGCCTACCATCAATATGCAACGGTCACCTCTCGGTGGACGTGGCTTTGAGTCCATCGGCGAGGACCCTTTTCTCGCTGGTCTCGGTGCCGCTGCCCTCGTTCGCGGAATACAAAGCACCGGTGTACAGTCGACAATCAAGCACTTTGTATGCAACGATCAAGAACACAAGCGCATGAGTGTTCAGGCCATTATCACCGAACGTGCCCTCCGTGAGATCTACACTCTTCCCTTCCAACTCGTTGTGCGAGACGCAAAGCCCGGCGCTTTCATGACATCTTACAATGGTGTCAACGGAACCTCTTGCAGTGAAAGCAAGAAGCTGTTGAAGGATATGCTCCGTGGAGAATGGGGTTGGGAGGGTCTGATCATGAGTGATTGGTACGGCACATACAGTGTTACTGATGCTATCAAGGCAGGCCTTGATCTTGAAATGCCAGGCCCAACTCGCTGGAGAGGTGATGTTCTTAACTTTGCTGCTGCTTGCGAGAAGGTCTGGGGACATGTCATCGATGAGCGCGCCCGCGAGGTTCTTAAGTTTGTCAAGAAGTGCGCGGCTTCTGGTGTCAAGGAAAATGGCCCCGAGAAGACCCTTGACACACCTGAGACTGCTGCTCTCCTCCGCAAGATTGGAAATGAGAGCATTGTTCTTCTCAAGAACGAGAAGAATCTGCTTCCTCTGGCAAAAGACAAGAAGACCTTGGTCATCGGACCAAACGCCAAGGTTGCGACCTACCACGGCGGTGGCTCTGCCTCGCTGGTTGCATATTACGCCGTTACTCCTTACGACGGCATCGCCAAAAAGCTAGGCAGCCCTCCCGCCTACAGTATCGGCGCGTATACACACAAGCTGAACCCTTTGTTGGGCGACCAGACCAAGGGCCCTGATGGCAAGTCTGGAATGAGCTGGAAGGTTTACAACAAACCGCCCAATGACTCATCTCGTGAGCTTGTCGACGAGCTTTGGTTGACCAAGTCTGAGATGCACCTCGTTGATTACTACAACCCCAAGCTCGAAGACCTCTGGTACGCAGAGCTTGAGGGTATTCTCGAAGTTGAAGAAGATTCTACATATGAGTTTGGAGTTATTGTTTGCGGAACTGCCAATCTATATGTAAACGATGAGCTTGTTGTTGATAACTCCACCAAGCAGATTGCCGGCGATGCCTTCTTTGGAACGGCGACCCGTGAAGAGCTTGGCCACAAGGAGCTGAAGAAGGGTGATAAGTACAAAGTTAAGATTGAGTTTGCTTCTGCCCCGAGCTTTACACTCAAGCTCGACAACCCCGTCGTTGGCCATGGATCTCTTCGCGTTGGAGCCTCCAAGGTCATCGATGCCAAGCAGGAGATTGAAAGATCTGTCGCTCTGGCCAAGGAGCACGATCAGGTCATTATCTGCGCTGGCCTCAACTCTGACTGGGAAACTGAGGGTTCTGACCGTGAGAGCATGAAGCTTCCCGGTGCGCTTGACGAGCTCATCTCTGCCATCGCTGCTGCAAACCCTCAGACGGCCGTTGTGATGCAAACTGGTACACCAGAAGAGATGCCCTGGCTTGCGGAAGTACCCGCCGTGGTCCAGGCGTGGTATGGCGGTAACGAGACGGGTAACTGCATTGCAGATATCCTCTTCGGTGATGCCAATCCATCTGGCAAGTTGTCGCTTAGCTTCCCCAAACGCCTGACCGACGTTCCCGCATTCCTCAACTTCCGCACCGAAGCCGGCCGCACACTCTACGGCGAGGATGTGTACATGGGATACCGATACTACGAGTTTGCCGACCGAGAAGTCAACTTCCCCTTCGGCCACGGTCTCTCCTACACCACGTTCGCCTTCTCAGACCTTGACGTCTCTTCCAAGGACGGCAAGCTTACTGCCACTGTTACTGTTCGCAACACAGGCTCTGTGCGCGGTGCAGAGGTTGCGCAGCTTTACGTGCACCCGCTGCAGGCCGCCAAGGTCAACCGCCCTGTCAAGGAGCTCAAGGGTTTCGCAAAGGTTGAGCTTGATGCGGGCGAGTCCAAGACTGTGACCATTTCCGAGTTGGAGAAGTATGCTGCTGCTTATTTTGATGAGGAGCAGGATAAGTGGTGCGTTGAGGCTGGTGAGTATGAAGTGATTGTAAGCGATAGCAGTGCTGTGGGCGACAAGGCTCTTAAGGGATCGTTCAAGGTTGAAGAGCCTTACTGGTGGTCTGGCATTTAATGAAGAAGTGTTAAGTATGAGGATAAATGTAATACATTGTTTTGAACTTTGTACCTCTGGCAAATTACCTTTGACTATGGGTTCGATGCTATGATGAATCACGCTATATGAGATGACTGGTGTTTTCAGCTTGATAGCCGGTTGGTTAGTTTACATTAAACGGCGTTGTCATTTCATCTAAACAGATATTGTGAAACAAGGTGGTAATATTCCTATTTCTTATTTTCCGTGTACCCGAAAGCTCTATCTATCTATTCCCATGCTCATTATTTGTCTCTCGAAAGATCATGACTACCACTTGGCTGCCTTGAACTAGCCATCTCACCACAAAGCGGCTGCCCATCATCAGGACATATCCACGGCTCTGCATCTCCAAATCTCTGTGCTGTCAATCCAGCATTACCCGGACTTCCCATCCCAGCCTCAAGCTGCCTCCTGTACGACACTTTGCGCAGCCTCTGAGCTTCAGCAGGCGTAAGACGAAGATACACTTCGGCAGCGATGACGTGAAGCAGGAGAGCAAGCCAGGCGCTCGCACCGAACGCACTGTTGAGGCTGGCTGCGATCTGATCAGGGCGTCCGCCTGCAGTTCCCTTGATCATGACGCGCTGGTCGGGGGTTTCGCCGGTGTAGAAACTGATGCAGTCAGGGTACAGTGCTTCAACAGCGGCTTTGTTATGGTAGAACATTGAATCGACAACTGCGCATGGAGCAATTGTGTAGTAAGGATCCAAGTGGCTGGTAATCTTGGCCATTATAGCTGAGATGGCTCTCATGGTGATGATGTGCCCGACCTGCGATATGTGAGCACTTTTACTATAGTAACAGTGTCTGGAACTTACTATTATCCATCCTCGCAACATCCACGCGCGGTGTTGCTCAAGCTGCAGCCTCTTGATGTTGATGTAAGCCAAGACCATGCAAACGGTGAACATGATGCTCGCAGCACCACTCACGGTCTGCATCTCCAGTGTCCCACCGAAAGTGTGCCTAGCGATCATGAAGACACCAATCATTCCAACTGCTGAGAGGAGTAGAACGATGTAGCCATTGATTCGATGGACAACCAAAGCCCTGTGTCGAATTACAGGCATGAACTGGAATACCACCAACACAGCAGCCGGAAGAATACCAGCTAGATGCATGATGATACCTGCTTTGCCAATGCCGCGCCTATAGTAGTAGCACTCTCCAGGAACTGCCCCTCTCGAGCCGTATATCCTGTTGGTTGGTGGCTCGCTTGGGCATAATCGGCCATCAAAGTCAAGGTATATAAAGCGAGAAAGAGTAAAGCCCAGGAAGGCTCCCCCAAAGAGGAACCATATAATGAAGTTGTAGCCCTTCGTGAAGCCCACAGAACGATAAATTCGTTGCATGCGCGTAGAGTAAGGTGAAGATTGAATGCGTTTATTTGCCATGTTGTAATGTTATATAAGTTAAAGGAAAGGATACGGGGAATGGTAGTAAAATGCAGGTTGTCCAAGACAAACCAGCGCTGCTATTTATGACCAAACACGAAAGGTATTGTTTCTAAGCATCTTCGCAGAGTGCAAACATTCACTGATAATATCGACTGCGAATTGGCTTAATACATTCATCCCAGTCTTCAGCACTTCATTCAATCATGAATGATCGACAACGCCATTGTGTGATGCGTTGGTGATGGCTATTTACATGCAGCACAATAGCTCGCCACCAAACCACCGATACGGTTGCAGACATTTGCGTTGAGCTGTCAATAGTCTGATTGGATATATCACAAAAATAGGCTTAAATTTCTGTGTTGGTTCTGTCATGGGGCTTGTGCGCCTTCGGGTATTCAACCTAGGTCAACAGATGATAGCAGGCACAACACTGGTCTGGCAAACAACCTTTCGCGTATGATGTCACTTAATAGTGAACAACCATTGATCCAGAGCTCTTATGATTCGCTACCGACGAAGGAGAGTAATGCAGCAGGGCTAAACAGAGTCTCAGGTATGGTAATTTACGCGTACGCGAGATGAAATGGCAGGCTAATATGTGAATCGAAGGTAGCACATAAGCCAATTCATTGGGACTAATCACCGGATACCGTACCAAATATATGTATAAAAGCCAGACAAGGCTCAAGAACCATAGGTCAGGCCCGGCAAATAACCCGTTCAGGGGCGTACAAACTCAAGATTGACATAATGGCTGAAGGGGGATGGCTCACTGTTAAGCTAATAACGGACACTTATTCGTTCATGCCCGCCGTTGTTCGAGATTTGAATATGTGTACAATTAGATCAAAGGCTTGGATTATCGCCGGAGGCTTTTGTCTCAGGTGGTTCAAGTTACACCGCCTGTAAATACCTATGCCCATCATGCCCATCACCGCCTCAAACGCAATACCTGCCCTAGAGTAGCTAATTGTAGAGAAGTCCTCCTACAGCCAGCTTTCTTCCTTTCAGATGAGATGGCGAAATTTGTCAATCTGTTAGGTACTGAAGCCTGGCCAGACGTGTCTCCCAGAAGCAAGCCGCAGGCCGTGCACGTCTCAGCAACAAGGCTCGGGTTCGTCGCCGTTTGTATCAGCTACATCTCGGGAAAACAGCATTGTAGAACTGTGTCCTCCTGTCAACTGTGTGTGATCATAGAGATTTGGACAGCTTATGCGTACAGCATCGATTCTTTTGGGCTTCCGGTTTGCTGTTCCCCTTGCACCCTGTCGTAAAGGAATGTCTACAAGACAGTGAGCGACTCTTGGTGCTATTCTGAAAATTTCGAGCTTCTACATGCCACATATCTCAGTGATAAACGGCAGTTGCTTTGGCTCTAATTTCATGACGGAAACACCTTATTATCAGCAAGAAACTGATCGACGCGCCTCTTCTGGCCACGAGCACCAGTCTCCGCCAAAGCGACATCCTTGGAAGCACCATTCGGAGCCTCATCGGGAAGCGCATGTACACGACCACCGACTCTGGCCAGTAGAAAGCGCATCTTCTCGAGTTCTTTCTCAACGGGGCCGTTGCGAGTCAGTAGGTTCTCTTGAATGCCGACGCCGTTGTCAGCTGTCTGAAGCGGCTCGACAAGTGACTGGAGACGCTTCAAGCGCGCTACCTGCTGCCGCAGTTGCTTGCGCTGATCGTTAAGCTCAGAGAGTTGGTGGACGGCGTCTGCATAGCGCTTGGTCTCCATGGGGTGGTCGCTGACATCCTTTTCCAGATACCAAGATGAGGGTAATGATTCGATAGCCTCACTTCCAGCTGCTCAAAGTCAGTTTAAAATCCCAAGAGAAACCCAGAAAAGAAAAGAAACTCACTCAAATCAAGCTCTCTGCCAATACCACCTTCAGTATCGGCGGGTCCTCCCAACTTGCGCTCAGCATCTTGGGTGTAGACACTGTCGATCTGCTCGGCGATATTACGACTAGCCTGCGGAGCATAAACGCGCCGGCAATGCTGCTGAATGGTATGGTTGAGACTATGTAGGACGTCTTGCACAACGCGATCGGGGATAGCCTCATCTGACGCGTCGTTGGTGGCTTGCCATGAGTGGGATGGGGTAAGGGGCTGGGCAAGAAGTGTTGTTTGGTTGATGAGGAATGATTGCTTCAGAGACGGTATCGTCGGCGCGGATGTACGAGTTGACATTATGAAAAGTCCTGTCGAATTATCACATTTACTTGAGATTGGATATTGTGATGGATAACTTGGTGTTGTTGCTCACCGAATCACGTGAAGGCTCGGATGTCGAATTAGAGGGTTGACCACTGAGGACAGCCAAGTTTTAGCGAATAAGGCCCTGGAATGAGGTCCGAAGCTCAGGCCTGGATCAACAACTTCAACCCAGAGCATCCAACACAAAATCTTGATTTTTAGTTTCAGCCTTTTGTATGCCAAATACAGGAAGTTGGTGACCCAATTGCTCAATTTCAGCCTCCAGAAACCAACGAGAAACGAGTTATGTTTATTCATCTACCCTCAACATGGCTCATGTTAGAGACTATCGAGATCAAAACGACTTAAGATCCAGTGATAAGTAAGGCCAGATCTGAACACAATATCATCACCACAGATGATTTGCTTGGCTCTTGAGGAACTGTTTGGAGCAAGTTCATCAGTGAGTAGCAGCATGACTCCAATTATTGTACATATCTGGGTGAGTCACCAGAGACTATTTGCTCCATCTTCAGATTCATTGAGAGCCAGTGTCTTGTTTGTATCAAACACAATAACTCTTAATACTAATGCATAAACACTGACTCTTCTGGCTCGCATATTGATGTCTGAGATCTCTTCACCGTCAATTGTCATGTACTACCTCGGGCTGTAATAGCCTATTCTTTGTGATTCGAAAGTAGCACAATAGACGCCAAGATTCAGCCAACAGTAACACACCGGAAACTCGAGTCTTAAGCAGCCCCGTCACCCGCAGAGTGCCATAGACTTCTATGTCACTGATGGCATGCTTCCGCATTGGGCTTGTTTCGTTTCGCTTTCGCTAACATGGTATCGCGAGGTGTGAGTTCAGTACCATCAGCCTCTTCAACGTGCACCAGCACAGCACCCCATAGTCCGTCTGATGGATACCACAATAATGAAAGGATTATTAGTCCCCTATTGCGTACCTGAACACTTGACCTTTCCCTCGCCGTCTTCAGCCCCTGATAGGCTAGATGAAGCGACCGGGGCGGAAAGATGCCGCACTTATACACCGACCGCAAAGAACGAAGCACATATGCGAATCCGAAGCGAAGGCGCAATAATATCGACCACTAGCTTCAGCCCTGGGGGAAATTTGTTTGTTCTGAAATTGCTCATGTGAGCTATTTCGTGGGAGAATCCTTCGTTGTGGAAGTTCCGGGGCTTAGTATTATGGATTTCTGGTGCGAAACCTGGTTTCATTCTCCATGTTAGCGTCATTGACTTTGCAAAGCGGATGAGCCGTTGTGTCGTCGCATTTAAACATTGCCATCAGGGTTAAGCAACCTATGGTATTGGAGGATTTACAACGGTCTCAATTTCTTTATTTGGGAATTCTTTGATAACGACGTTGAAGCATTAGTTGGCATCTTCACTTACAGTGCTCTATTGTTAATAGCGTCAGCCTAGGCCACGCCTCATCACTGCGGTGGCATTGTCAAGAGAGCAAACAAAAGGCACAATTTTCATAAGACCAACACTTCGTCTCATTTTACTATATGAAGTCGGTCTAACCTTGCACTTGACTTCATGGGAATGTTTCTGCAACGAATATCCTACCGTTACACCTTTGTCCCCTAACACGTATAACAAATCGTCTCAAACCAAACAGAATCTTTAAAGAGAAATACTTTTCTACTGCTTGCTCTTATCAAATTGTTTCTGTTATGGCTCTCAACGGTCCTGGTGTCTTTCGCCGCACCCGCGAGCACGAAGAGGAGGACTCCTCCAACGTCACCAAGAACTTACTCGCCGAGTCGTGGAAATCATGGCCGAACGAAGCCGCTGTAAGTTCTTTCGAAAGCACACATTACTTCTCAAACTCATATCTTCAGTTCGATCGTCTTGAAGAAAATCGTGGTCCTCTTCTCCTCACCGTCAAAGGCTCCATTCCCTCTTGGGCTGCAGGTACTCTATACCGCACTGGTCCTGGTCAAAGTTGTGTCGAAGACACCTCTCGCGGCACGCATTTCACAACACACTGGTTCGACGGTTTTGCTCAAACTCATCGCTTCGATATTGTTCCCACAGAGAGTGGGGAGACGCAAGTCTGGTACTCATCAAGACGGCAGGCCGATGAGTGGATTGCCGATGTCAAGAAGAAAGGGTGGCGGTCGGGCATGACCTTTGGACAAAAGGCTGATCCTTGTGTTGGACTCTTTGCAAAAGCCATGACTATCTTTGAACCAAAGTTGGGGAACCACAACGTTGCTCTCTTGGCCAATGTGCCTGGTCTACCGAGCGATGGGGAGAAACGCCAGTCGACAGAACCCATCAATGGATCTTTAGGTCACCGCGTGAATACCAATAACTTGTTCATTGCTACCGACTACACAGGGATCCGTCGCATCGATCCATCAACCCTCGAACCCCTTGGCGAAGCTACACAGAGCCATCTTCATCCTTCACTGAGCGGCCCTTGCTCCTGCGCTCACGCACAACGCGATCCCATCACAGGAGACCTGTTCAACTTCAACCTTGCTTTCGGCCGCGTCCCTACATATCGAATCTTTCGTGTAGATGCCGCTTCCGGAAAGACAGAGATCCTCGCTACCATCTCTGATCTTAATGTCCCACCCGCATACATGCACAGTTTCTTCCTCACCGAAAACCATGTGGTGATATGCATACCTGCGTCACAATATGCATGGAGAGGGTTGAAAACGCAATGGGAGGGCAACATCATTGACTCGATGAAACCATTTGATAAGAACAGAAAATGCAAGTGGCTCGTGGTTGATAGAAAACACGGAAAGGGGCTTGTTGCAACCTTTTCAACACCGGCTGGATTCTTCTTTCACAGTGTCAACGCTTTTGAGGAGAGCATCAAGGTAGAAGAAGGAATTGAGCGTACAGATTTCTTCCGCACTAACCTCTTCTTCGATCTTGTCAAGTACGACACCATGGATATCATAAAGGGGTTCTACTACGATGTCATCATGAACCGCGACGATGCTGCTAAGAAATACTGGTTCGAGAACGAGCGCTACAAGAATTGCGCACCAACTCTCACGAGATACCGCTTCACGCTTCCTTTGACGCCAACCCCAGATATGACTTTCTCGACCGACGCCGAACAAGTTTTTGCCATTCCAAGCCCACATGCCGGCGAACTTCCATCTATTCACCCTCTCCGTGTGGGCAAGCCATATCGCTATGTCTACAGTGCCGCACTGCGCGGCCTAACAACCGTGGTCGACGCCCTGGTCAAGACAGATCTAGATACCGGTGATGCGCTTATCTGGTCAGGGCCTGAGGGTCACACACCTGGTGAGCCGGTGTTTGTCCCAAGACCTGGGGCGGAGGATGAAGATGATGGAATTATCTTCAGTCTGGTTGTTGATGGCGTGGCCGAGACAGCATATATCCTGTGCCTGGACGGCAAGACGATGGAGGAGATGGGGAGGGCAGAGGCTGAGTTTACTATTGGTCAGGGATTCCACGGTCTTCATTTACCAGCTGTAGCTGCGTAGAATATCATAAATTGCGTGATGGCATGGTACAGATGGATATAGACATTACAAAGGGACGATGGAGTACATGGCATCTAGTTGGGTGTTAGCAAATCATTGAGATATTTATATAAGGCATATGTCCCACTAACGGCCTGTGCTTAATAGTAGTTGTGCTTTCTGATCGCATATTGTCCACCTCAATTGTGTTGTGCTGCTAATTCATCGTCTAAGTGATCATTATGAATCTATGGTGTCCCAAGAACCTCACCCAACACTTTTTAAAAAAAAAAACGATTATGATAAGAAACCCCACAATGATCATTTAATAACTAGTTACCAGATCCCCGGGACCGAAATATCGAAAGCTACCCCGGGAAATACAACGTGGTGGCTTTTTCTTCTTTTGGTGGAAAATGGCCTGATGCTGACGCGCTATGGGGAATTGGTAACATACTGGGCCTTGCATGAGTTGCGGCAAGGTACGGCAGATCTCTTGTCTAAGTTTAGTGTTAATTATGTGCATATTACTTATAAAAGTAGGTATAAGCATGGGTACTTTTATGCTCAGTTTTACATGTTGGTTCTATAAGATTCCTGATCACCATGCTTTCTGCGGTGGTTGATAACATGCCTTTTGGGTAGGAAATAGGATGAACTAGGATTACTGTCCCCAGTGTGATTGCACAGAATGGATATATGATATGGAGAACCAATATCAAGACGGCTGAGTATCAAGCATGGAATTCAAATCAGTATTATTGCAGCCTAGCACAACTCATGATAACCAACTGCTCAAGTCACCAGTTGGCTGTGAAGCACGACGTCTTCAAACACCAACTTATCTCACCTAATCATTAGCAAACGACAGCCTAAACATTATGATCCAGAAGCGCTTAGGTTTCATGCTTATAGCTATTTGTTACAGTCCGTCTCATTCAACGCTCAACCGGTCCCCGCACCTCTGTTGATGATATCACTCCCCAGTAAGCCCAATCACAATCGATGTGATTCGGGCAAAAATGCAAAGTAGAATCCTTAACTCCCCCAAAACTTGTTCCCTGTGAACGTGCAAATAGAGAAGGGGCGGCGAATAATGGCATCTATCTGACAGAATTGATTCCAGATTAGATCCAAATATACTCCTCTTCGTGCAATGCCGAACGTTCTTTTCATCCTGCCTCAATGAGGGTATCATTTCGTATTTCCCAGGCGTTGTGACATGGCGTAATGGCAATGTGTGCTTTTTCGTCTTTTTTTGGTGTGGTAAGATTATCTGACCAAGCTTGCCCTTTAAGCAGCAACAGCATCGGCCTCAGGAAGCTTCATGCCTGTGCCGCTGAGGTTGCTGACCTTGGCGTTAGGGTTCTTGGTATAGTAATCTGAGATAGCTGACTTGATTGCGTCCTCAGCCAGCATGGAGCAGTGCACTATGTCCAAATTAGTATCGTGCGAAAAGCTATATGCCGCAATTGAGCAATAGTGAGGGTAACATACGCTTCACAGGGGGCAAGCATAGCTCCTTGGCAATTTCGGTGTTCTTGACCTTGCCGGCGTCATCCAAGCTCATGCCACGTACAAGCTCAGTGAGGTAGCTGCTAGAGGCGATGGCGGAACCACATCCGAAAGTCTTGAACTTGACCTCCGAGATCTTCTGAGTTTCAGGGTCGACACGAATCTGGAGCTTCATGACGTCGCCACAGGCGGGGGCACCGACAAGACCAGTTCCAACATCGGCGTCCTTCTTGTTCATAGAACCAACATTTCGGGGTCGTGAGTAGTGGTCAAGAACCTTCTCGTGATATGAGCGCGAGGCGTTAACAGAGACGACGGGAGCAATCTGTCGGCCAGGAAGGATGGTAGGGCGGGCGAGGGGAGCGACGAGAGCGGCTCGCCGGGAGACAGCGCGGATTCCTCGAGCGAACATTGTGAATATATATATTGTGTGTAAGGGCGTTCGTTATATCGAGCTCAACGGTAACGGTAATATCAGACAGGAGATATGTTGCGTGTAGGACGTAGAATCAGGATCGTTGCGTTTTTCGATGATATGAGTGATGATGCAGGATCAAAGTTAGTTGTCGAGGGGCGAAAAGCGATGACGGAGGGAAGGAATGAAGTAAAGAATCTGGGGCTTTGGTAAAAAAGATGCTTCTGCTTCAGCGGGCGGGACTTGAGGAGTGATGGCGATTTCGGGCAACGGCTCGGGGTGGTGTGGGTCTTATCTGAACCAATGGCTTAGCTTGGATTGCTCGGCCATTACGTCTTGATTAGCTCGGTACTCCTCGGAGAAGAGACAAATGTTATGACCCGCTCGTTTGCCCACTTCTTTTTTTTTGTTTTATCGATTGACTTCACATGATATCGAATCGAGCTCGAAATTCTTCTTGCACTATGCTCTTTCTATGGTTATTCTCTGATCCAATGCCGTAACGATCATACTACAGGTGTTACAGCCCTCTTCTCAACAAAACGTAGTAGGCAAAAGCTCGGGCAATGTTCTCCGATTAGAGTGGCAGGTGAGGGGACCAGACCTAGTCTGCATCTGATAAGATGGGAGTGGACACCAAACACTCATTACTAATGACATGCCGAGGCGAATCACCGTCGTCATGCATGGACCAGCACTTTATCCGGTCTTTTCACAGGCGATGCGTCGGCTTTCAACTCCGTACTCCGTCGTCCGTATTACACTACACAGTACAGAAGTGCAAAGTTGGACCGGTTCTTATGTTTTGTTAGCTATTGAAAAGAAATAAATCATAAAAGGCATGCTCAATTTACGAAATCTTGCCATCAGGACTTATCGAATACCTCTAACTACTTATTATTTCAGGAGGATTTGGGAGATCCAAATCTTTTGTAGAACTGTAGTCTCAGCCCTAGTACAACGCCGTATTGCAGATCGATTTCTGACTGGCCGAATGAAAGCCGGGTGATAGTTAATTAAGACTTGAGAGGCAGTAAATTCGGTGCAAGTCCGGCGACATCGGCGTTGATATCCCAGTGAGAGAAATGATTTGTCAACCTGCATGCATTTTATCCATCTGATAAGGCCAAGAGATTGATAACGCACTCCGTTTACAATCCATGGAGCGAGATCCCACGGTCATAACTCACACAGTCGGGTAAGACGATGTCAATTACCCCGTTAAAAATAACATGTCAATTGAGCAACGGCATGCCAACAGTTGTCAGATGTCAGATGACGGGCGCAATGGAACTTTGTGGATCATGAATTTCGGTCGAGAGAAATCCCCGCTCGCTGTTTACACGGAGTCGGGGATATGGGCCGGACATTTGGCATTAGCTCAACAGTTACCATGGATCATGGTCATTATGATCTAAGACTTGGAGAACCCATCAGAATAATGATCCTGTTTTTATTGTGATTTCATAAATTCGTATGAACTATCATGAAATATTAGAAACTTTTACTCGATCCCTAACAGCATAGTGAGTTTGGCCCTGTTCCAGAGCTTCACACAGCATGCACTTATACACAAAACCTGTTGGGTAAGGTACTGATGCATTTTGATTTTCCGGTAAGTTCAAAAAGCATATTAGAAATGAAATACAGAATATTTTGAAGAATAAAATTGAGAACTAAAAACCTTAAAGCTTGATCACTGAAACAGCTCTCGGGTAGGTCGTAAGATTAGAAATGGGAGGTTTGGCTCGTCTTATATTAGCTTTCCCTATCTATAGGACTTGCACTGCGTGGAAAAAGACTATCAGGATAGGTAACTTCTGAGCAAATTCGAAAGTCGCATTGTGGTTATAGAAAAGAATTTTGATCGTGACTACCTAGTTGTGTATTGATCCCTGTTGGGTAGTAAGCAGTTAGCTTTAACGATGCAGTGAAGGAAATTTATCACCTGCTTCACACTAATTGTAACCAAAGTTTTAGGATTTATGTTGACGAAAACGAGACCAGATAGATACAAGCATCTGAAGACTTTCTACTAGAAACATAAGGAATCATCTTTAGGTTGGCCTCTTATAGACATTATCTTTTACTCGACGTTGTATCTATGCATTGTTGAAGCCCAGATTGAGGAAAGTTTGTCAGTGAAGCCACCCCTCTTTCGAGTTCAATTATAGCATCAACTTCTTAATTGAGTTTTATTTGCAGTAAAAACCATGACCGAAATATGGAATCCGTGCCAGTCAAGAGTTGTCAGTGATGGAATCAATAAAGTAAAGACGCCACAGCGACCAGTTCTAGGTGTGGCTAGTAGGAATGCCCCGCCGCCTTCATAAGCTCTAGTGACGTGAGCTACTGCCCATCACTGGAAGTACCTGAAGCTTTCACCTTCCGTGATGATTCTTTAGCTAAACTTTTGATTCCACATCTACATCTACAACTCACTTTCTTGTCCCTAATACTTTAGAACCCCATACTTCTATAACGAACAAAGAGAGAAAGCAAAAAAACTGCCCATCATGGCTTGTCCCCATCTCGACTCGATTGGTATGTGAACCTCTAAATTCGACCCCGCCATTCAATCTGTCTGGGCATGATGGCTGCGACAAGCTTTTAGGTCAAGATTGGCGTAACATTTCGTGGACTGACTCTTTCATAGGGCTGTCACCTCCTAATCCCACTCAGTCCGTCTACCGCGAAGACTGCACTCAATGTTTTGACTCGATTGTAAGACATGCCAGTTGTTGGATTCCCAAGATTCCAACTCATTCGCAAATCAGCTTGCTAACCCAGTACCGTGAAGGACGATCCTGATGGTCTTGACGTTTGCCTCCAGTGCTTCAATGGAGGTTGCGCTGGCGACCGAAACCATGACCGACTTCACTATGCGCTGACGCAGCATCCTCTCGCTCTCAACATCCGTCGATCGAGAAAGGTTATCGAACGAGACGAACCCCCCACCAAGATGTCCAAACTGGCTATCGCTGCAGAGACGGAAGAGGATCGATATGATACAGCACTGGCAGTCAAGTGCCTCGATTGTAACACTGAGCTCGACCGTACACACCCTAAGCTTGCACCCATGATCGATGGCATTCTCAAGGCCAACACATTCTCTCGTAAGGAGGAGGTTAAGGCTTGGGAACAGGAGCTGACGAGCTGCGAGCACATCCTTATGCTTCAGCAAGCTCCTGCCAAGAAAATCGAACAAAACGATTTGAGCCACTGTTACGCTTGCGATCTGCCTGAGAATCTTTGGCTGTGCATCGAGTGTGGCAATCTGGGATGTGGTCGCAAGCAGATGGGAGGCGTCGACGGAAATTCGCATGCTCTTGCTCACGCCAATGAGTCCGGCCATGGTGTCGCCGTTAAACTTGGATCGATCACGCCTGAGGGGACCGCTGATGTCTACTGCTACAAGTGTGATGATGAGAGAATTGACGACAACCTGGGCGAGCACTTAAACCACTGGGGTATTGTGCTAGCGGAGCGCCAAAAGACCGAGAAGAGTTTGACCGAAATGCAAATCGAACAGAATCTTAAGTGGGACTTTAGCATGACGACCGAAGATGGGAAGGAGCTGAAGCCCTTGTTCGGCCCTGGTCTCACTGGTTTGAAGAACCTTGGAAACAGTTGCTACCTCGCCAGCATAATTCAATGTTTGTTCGACATGCCTTCGTTCCAGGAGAGGTATTTCCGACCCGGCGACGACCTTCCTATTGTTCAGGAACCCGCTGCCGATCTTGAGACACAGCTACGAAAGACAGCAGATGGACTTCTTTCTGGACGGTACTCGAAGCCCGACGCAGATGTCTCTGGAGAGGGCATTACGCACCAGAAGGGTCTTGCACCAGCTATGCTCAAGCACCTAATTGGCCGAGGGCACGAAGAGTTCTCTACGATGCGACAACAGGACGCCCTCGAGTTGCTTCAGCATCTGTTCAAACTGATCACCCGATCCCCACACCCCGAAGGCAAGGACCCTACGGAGCCGTTCCGTTTCGTCCTCGAGCAAAGACTCCAGTGTCTGGGCTGCCAAAAGGTGAGGTACAGCAGTAACGAACAGGATAACATCTTCATCGATGTCCCCCTGGAAAAGCTTCCCCGTAAGGAGGGGTCAGATGGCCCAGATGCTTACAAGCCCGTGTCACTTAAGCAGTGCCTCGACAATTTTACAGCGGCGGAGAAGGTAGAGCTGACGTGTTCTGCTTGTGGTAGCAAGGACGGCTTCACCAAGCGCTCACTGTTCAAGACGTTCCCCGACACCCTGGTAGTCAACGCGCGCAAGATGACGGTTGTCAACTGGGTTCCTATCAAGGTGGATGTCCCTGTTCTTGTGCCGGATGACGCCTTCGATCTGGATGTATATCTCTCCAAAGGACTGCAATCCGGGGAGGAACAACTTCCAGATGAGCCCGAGACAAAAGCACCCGCTTTTGAACCTGATGCCAGCGCCCTCGCTCAATTAGAGGCAATGGGCTTCCCCCGCAACCGTTGCGAGCGGGCACTCCATGCCACTGGTAACTCCGACGCCAACACCGCGATGGAATGGCTATTTGGACACATGGAGGATCCTGATATCGATGCGCCTCTTGATCTAGGTGGCCAAACTGGTGGAGGGAACACAGCTGACCCCGAGAAGATCGAGATGCTGGGTGCTATGGGTTTCGGTGCCCCTCAAGCCAAGAAGGCTTTGAAAGAGACCAACGGCGATGTTGAGCGGGCTGTCGAGTGGCTCTTTAGTCATCCTGATGATCAAGGAACGTTCGATGATGATGCTCCTGCTGAAGCAACCGCATCCACTGCCAAGGGACCAGCTGGAAGCGCCGATCTGCCAGCGACCTTTCAGCTAAGATCAATCGTGTGCCACAAGGGCACAAGTATCCATGCAGGGTAAGAAAGAGCACCATGGGAAGATTTCAGACTTGCTAATCGATCATAGACATTATGTTGCTTTTATCCGCAAGGCTTTGGGAGATGGTAATGCCTCGACTTGGGTTTTGTTCAACGACGAGAAGGTTGTGGAGGCACATGATGTTGATGAGATGCGCAAGTTTGCGTACGTGTACTTTTTCAAGCGCGCCTGATGAGAACATCGACGAATAGCAATAGGTGAGGCGTAGACGGTTTTGAGGGCAATTGGGTTGCATAAGATGGTGTATGGCGTGAGGTTGATGAGAAGAGGTTGATTTTGCGGTTTCGACTCGTGCCGCTAGCACGCGAGATTAGAAATTAGCACATGAGATACATCATGCGAAGCCGAGTGGATATATATGTATGCATGAATTAGATAACAAGATATCCTGATACGTATTGTACAAATCCATCATGGCCGTTGAATATTTAATTAGACAAACAAAGTCCCCATGGCGCCTTGTAACGCCTTCCAGGATAAGTCATTCCTGAGATATGCCGAAAATTCATAAAAACAAACTCTTTCCTCTGTTATCTCCCGCTCTTGAGCCCAAATCCGTTCAGGCTAATCTGAGAATCGATAGCTAACTAAGGTATCGACACGGTGGTTCGCCGTGCTGAATCCCCTCAATTGCACCTTTTCTCCATTCTCGATCTCCTTAGCATCTGAGTCACCCCATTCGACAGGAACTTCGCTATCGGCATCGGCGTAGACGAGCACGTTGAAGGTGCAGTCGCCGTTGAGCTGAGGCAGGAATGTAACAGACGCTGTTATCTGTCGGAAGATAGCGGCGATTTCGGCTTGGATCTCGGGTTCTGTTTTCTCGGGCGCTGTAGGCGCGGATCCTGCGGACGCGGAGTTTTCTTGGTCTTTGGAGGCTGATTTGGAGGACTTGGACTTCTTGACGGGTTGGAAGATTTGAACCTGCGACTGTCAGCTGATGTAGAGGTGGTGTGGAAGAAGAAAGCGCATACGTCGAATTGCCAGCGCTCGACGTGCTCCCCTGTGTCTTTATCTGTAATGACGATGACGAGCTTGGAGATCTTTCCGCCAACCATCCACTTGTCGAGCTGCGACATGATCTTCTTGATGTAAGCCTTTACTTGGTCATCGGCCGAGACTTGACGGTGTTAGCAGTGTCGCTAGGTGATATTGCGCAGCATTCGGGTATTTACCGAGCATGTTGAGGCCATATTTCTTGACGCTGGGTATTGTTAGTCGGATAGTGGACGCGGGAGGTCGCAGAGACGTACACTGTAAAGTCTTCGGCTGGGTAGACTCCTCGTTGAAAGCTAAAAGACTATCAGCAAACGTCGCAGAATATTGAAAGATTCGATTCGTACAGAATACTGTGGATAGAGTATTGGAACTACATTAATTGGACAGTTAGCAAACTCTCGTGGATAACAGCTACTAGACGTACGAATTCGGCGACCAGGCGGGCGCTGCCTTTGAGAGAGAGCTTGTGGACCTTGGACTTGTCCTTATCCTTGTCCTTGCTCTTGGAGGTCTCTTTTGATGACATTTCAGCAGTAACTGGGATATCGGCAGGCACAAAAGGGTATTTTGCGATGACGATGGAGGATTGAGGTATGGAAACTGACGGTTTTGTTTACTTGCGGTTGCGGGGTGGAAGGGGTCCAAGGTCTGTGCGGCGGGGTTCACCGAGCTCACCGAGCTTCACCTTGTAATGAGTAGAAGAACAATTTGATTATCGCTATGATATTCTTGATGATTTATCTCCAACGTGAAATATGGACTCCTTCTGGCCAATGAGGTTCTTGACTCTCCTGCGACCAATTCGCATGGTTATAGTAGTTGTAGTTGTAATTATACACATTCCTATTGTCGTAAGGATCATATCCATATACGTTGTATCCATACGGGTTGTACACATTAGGACTATATCCTTGATAAAACTGCGCAGCATCAACCATCTCATTATCCAAGGAGGTTGAAGAAGATTGAGGCGTTGGCTGATCTTCGACAGCTGTACTGTAAGTGCCACTCGCATAAATTGCCAATGATCGCAAAAATATACCGACGGTGAGAAGTAGCGGAAGCAATTGCGTGATAGTAGCAAAGTCGTACACGCCTTGGACGTGGTTCCAAATAATGGGAAGCTCGATAGCCAATAGCAAAAGAGTGAATACTATGGACCCAGATAGAATGCGAAGCTTTCTGAGCCGCCGGATAGTTCTCCCTCTGAAAATGGTCAGTTGTAGCGTTCGAGGAGTTGCAGAAACAACCTCCTTACCTATTCCTTCTGTGTCGAGAATCTGAGTGACTGATTGGCGAGCAGCAGGATTTCAGGAAGATGAACCCTCCAATACTGATAAGAACTCCGATGTAAAACACTGAACCGATAATGATATACCCTTTATTCTCCAAATTCGTCCTCCCAAGCATGAATACAACATCGCGACAGTCTCGATGAAGGTGCGGCAGGAAGATTGTATGGTACCATGCCCCGATTGAAACATTGGCCGCGAGTATAGTAAGAGTCATAAGATAGTAAAAGGTTCCATGAACCTCTTGTGTAAGGAGAAAAGGGTCTAGATGTTTTTGACACCTTGTTAATACACGCCAAACGTGCAATGGCATCAAAAACAAGAAGAAACCCATCGAAAATAGGAGAAGGAAGTAAATATCAAGTGGTTGAAGTGCTCCGCAAGCTACTCCTATGACAAGAGATATCGATGCGGCCGCAGAGGAGAAGATGCTGATGAAGCGCATATCTGAGAGGTCATCTTCAGAGATATACTCAATAAAAAGTGTTCCAAGCCATTGTGCGTAGAAGGCGGCGCGTATACCTACACCGTAGATATCAGGACGACCTGTAAGGGAACAAAGACCCTCACTTGACGTACCCATGAGATGGAGACTGGCGGGAGTTACTGGAAAGATGAATGCAAAACGTAGGGCGTCGCATTCCAGTTATTGGGGTCTGGCGTACACTTGTATACCATCTGCCGTGTTGGCAGCAGACCTGAGACTTTCCTTCTAAGTACAGTGATGTAAAGAACATGATACATATTCTGGTTCGGGATTCCACAACCGGAAAGACGAGACTATCATGAGGCAGCTCAACACCAAAATCCCAAAACTCTTGATTGAGAGAAACACGAGCGAGCTGCAACGCTCGTCTTTGACCTAAAAAGGCCTAGCTAGATAAAAGGTATAGGTCATTCACAATGGCGAAGTATAGACTGATCAAGACCAATTCTGGACTTTCATGCATCGCCCGGTAAGTGAGGCGTTCATGTAACTCAATCCCCAACTTGACAGAACCATACGGCAAGTTGCATAAGGAAAGCCTTGTGATAGCTTTGCAGGTATGACACCTGTGCATTGTGTACTATGGCTAACGGGAAACATATACGATCGTTACGCATTCGAGAGCTTGGAGAGTTCAGTCTTTCGTTTAGGGCGTTGATGGTTTCTTGAAGCAAGACACGACAGGACATACGTGTCGCTGACTGCTTCAACGGTGAACCCATCTCGGTCGCAACTAAAGCCAAGCATTGCAGTTATAGTGCTACTAGCTCAATATGGCAACATGAAGTGTTCACAGCACATAATTGGGAAAGATGAAGGCATTCATAAGAGTGGTTGATATCAGGGTCCTCCGATAAAGGAAGCGGAGTATGTACCAAAGAGCCGGGGACAACGGAAAGTGGGTCCAGACTCGAAGGCGAAGCGTTCTGGCTTATCGATAAGAGACTTTTTTTTGCTGTCTCTAAAACATCCCACCCATTTTTACGTCGCAATTTGTTTCCTAGCCACTCTGCGATAACCTCAACTGCCTTTCGAACAGCCCATCCCCGGTCGTTCCAATACACGCAATCAATCACTATGGCTGCTACAAAGCATCTTCTCGCCGACAGCGAGGAGGTCGCCGTCGATCGACCCTCCAAGAAGAACAAGGTCACCGACCTTGATGAGAAGGCTCGTTTGAAGAAGGAGAAGAAGGAGCGCAAGGAAAAGAAGAAGGACAAGAAGAGCAAGACTGAGGAGGAGACCGAGACCCCTGCTGAGAAGGGTGACGATTCTGAGGCCGAGCGCGCTGCTGAGAAGGAGCGCAAGAAGGCCAAGAAGGAAAAGAAGAAGGAGAAGAAGCTAAAGGCTGCTGAGGCCGAGGTGCCTGCTCAGGTCGCTGAGGTCGCCGAAGAGACCCCCAAGGAGAAGAAGTCTAAGAAGTCTAAGAAGGCCAAGGCTACCTCCGAGTCTGCTTCCACCGAGGCTCTCTCTAACGGCACTTACGCCCAGACCATCAGCCTCTCTAATGTTCCTCAAGCCGAGATTGACGCCTTCCTCGCCAAGGAGCAGATTACCGTCACCGACCCCAAGACCGAGACCGTCACTCTACGCCCCGTCCTGGAGTTCCACCAACTTCCCGCTACAAACCTCCTCGAGAAGAAGCCTTCACCCTTTGCCAACTACAAGGCGCCCACGCCTATTCAGTCCGCCTCATGGCCATTCACCTTGTCAGGTCGTGATGTGATCGGTGTCGCTGAGACAGGATCCGGAAAGACCATGGCTTTCGCCCTCCCCTGTGTTGAGGCTGTTTCTGCTCTCAAGCACAGGAACACCAAGGCTGTCGTTGTCTCACCTACACGAGAACTTGCCATGCAAACCTACGAGCAGATGGCTTCCGTCGCTGCGCTGAACAAGCTCAAGTGCGTGTGCCTCTACGGTGGCGCTTCCAAGGACGATCAGCGAAACCAGCTTCGCCGCGGCGCCGACATCATTGTCGCGACTCCCGGTCGTCTTAAGGACTTCATGTCCGACAACACTGTCGACCTCAGCCAAGCAGCTTTTGTTGTCCTGGATGAGGCTGATCGCATGCTTGACAAGGGTTTCGAGGAGGATATCAAACAAATTCTGGGCTCTTGCCCTCCCCGTGAACAGCGCCAGACACTCATGTTCACAGCTACATGGCCCCCGTCCGTGCAGTCTATTGCATCCACCTTCATGGTCAGCCCTGTCAAGATCACCATCGGATCCGGCGGCAAGGAGACGGCAAATGGCGCATTTGAGCTCCAGGCTAACCAAAGAATCTCGCAAAGAGTTGAGGTTGTTGAGCCTAGAGACAAGGAGTTCCGCCTGCTGCAACTTCTTAAGGAGCATCAAGGAAAGGGCAAGCAGCAGAACGACCGTATCCTGGTATTTTGCCTGTACAAGAAGGAGGCTACTCGCATAGAGAACTTCCTCCACCGCAAGGGCATTAATGTTGGTGGTATTCACGGTGATCTGCGACAGGAGCAGCGAACAAGGAGTCTTGAGGCTTTCAAGTCTGGAGCCACCCCTGTTCTTGTTGCTACTGATGTCGCGGCCCGTGGTCTGGATATCCCCGAGGTCAAGCTTGTCATCAACGTCACAGTATGTGCCTATCAAATCACCTTTGAGCATTCGCTAACATGAGTAGTTCCCCTTGACCATCGAAGATTACGTCCACCGTATCGGACGAACTGGCCGAGCCGGCAAGACCGGCGAGGCCATCACCTTCTTCACCGTTGAGGACAAGTCGCACTCTGGCTCGTAAGTGTACCAAGCACCAGCAAATGAACATCTACTTACTCTCTTCTAGTCTCGTCAACATTCTCAGGGGTGCCAACCAGCCCGTGCCCGAAGACCTTCTCAAGTTCGGAACCACCGTCAAGAAGAAGGCTCACGACATGTACGGCGCTTTCTTCAAAGATGTCGACATGAATGCGAAGTCGACCAAGATCACTTTTGATTAGAACTATTATAAATGCACTATTGTTTGGCGGCTTTGCGACCGCGGACCGAGTTTAGACACTCAAGGATAAAATGGCGCTCGAGGACCAGGCTGCGATGATTAGATGTGTCAAAAGTCTGTTTTCATTTGGAATTTGAATTTGGTAGACTTACATAAGAAGCAATAATGGGATGGCCGAGCCAGCGATCTTGATGAGAGATTTGATCGGTTGATCTGTGTTGTCTACGACTTTTAGTTGCTTGAGAAGAATGGCTGTGGCAACTGAGACACCAAGTGTGCTCCCAGGAAGCAGAGTCTTGATGTTAAAGTTGGTGCCGTGCCTTTTGAAGAAGCTCTTGATGAATGTTCCACTCCACACAATGCGGCATGCCATGTTGATCATATTGGCCAATACAAGGCCAATGGCACCGAGGGGATATACTCTCATAAAGAGGTAGGCCGAGGCAGCAAAGACGACGGAAAAGGCACCCATCCAGCCAGACTGCTTATGAACCTCAGCCTCCGTAGCGACTGATGCTACAAAAGATTCTGTAAGACCGTTGAGTCCAAGGAAGGGAATGTAGAAGCAGTATGCTGCCAGAACATCTCCAGCCCCTGAACCCGCCCACTGTTTGCCTGCCACAATCGACAGAAGAGGCGGGGCTGCAAATGGCCCAAAGCTGATGATGATTGACGATAGAAGGATATAAAGTCGAAGAAGAGTTTGCAAATTTTGCTTCGCTTCGGTCACAGTCGGAGCTGGCTTGCCGCCTTCTTTGGTAGGTGTTACAGATGAGAGCAATCGTGAAAAATAACTTCGGCTGCTTTCCTCAACGGGCTGGAAGAGAAGACGGGCAAGCAAGCTGCCGTAGTTGTTTGCAAGCGCGTATGCGCCTTGGACATTGGTGGATGCAAGTAAAGAGATGAGAAAGGTGTCACCCTGGGTAAGGAGATGCTTCACCACACTCTGGGCCATCATACTTCTTGCGAGGCTTATTGTTGGCCTGTCGAACATGGAGCCCCAGAAGCGGTTGTCCTTTGAAGGGATGGTTTTGGGTAGAAGGGAGAAGCCAATTGAAGACGCGAGACGATATCCTGAGATAAGATAGACGAGAAGTAATGAAGAGCCGTAAGTAATTTGCCCTAAAGCGAATGGTAAGACTCCGATATCGTTGTGCTTGGAGGCCCAGACTGCAGAACCAAATACAATAGCACAGCGTAGAAACGTAGCAATAGACTCCGCGGCAGCCCGTGTGCCAAACTGCAATCGCGTTTGCATAAGGACAAAACACGGCTCAGACAGCAACTCAACCATAGCCGCAAATCCATAGATGTACAACGACTCGACGAGATACGGCGTTGAGAGCGTAGCTTCAGTGGCATACGCAAGATACATCCATCCCAGACCAAGACTGACAAATGTGCCAAGTCCGATGGAGAGATATCCCAAGTTCACAACAGCCTGGCTCTCCTCTTTAGCTTTAGACCCAGCATCCCTCCGCTGAATCGCCACGCGGAGACTTTCGCGCGCGAAGAACAGGACAGAGAGATAATACACCTCAAGTTGCGTAGATAGGCCAAGAAGAGGCGCGGTGAGGTAGCGCAGGAGAAGTTGGTTGGCGATGAAGGTTATGAGGCGCGAGGCGAGTTGAAGGATGATGAGGAGGGATGCACCTTTGATCATGGAGGGAGCTGGAAGACTCTCGCTTGCGGGAGAGGGAGACATCTTTGGCGGGTTGAGGGGAATGAAAGAGAGGCCAGGTTTGAGGATGATGTGAGGATGAAGGTATCGCGGGTGGTGGTTGACACGTGTTGGTGAGAGGTGCGATGCCGTGGGTTGTTGATCAGTGGACTCAGTGGATTCTAGTGAATTATAGGGGTCTTGCAGGCAGGCCCCACCTAACTGCATGTAGTTTTTATACACCCTGATGAATGTACGACGGATCTTGAATAAACTTATATCAATAGCTTTTCTAATACAAACGATCATAAGTATTTATTTCTATTTAAGTTTACTTCTCATTAAATTTAAAATTAGGACACCTTATCTAATCTGAGGTGAACCAAGGGACTATGTTGTACGTCCCAACCCCTACGTAACTATATGTGCAGAGGATAGGAGATATCAGGCCTTACTCTAGGCAATATCATTCTAAGAAGAAACGATTGTCGTTGTAACCATACCCAAATGCTAAGGTAGTATGGTGTTGAGAAAGGGACGAGGTATAACAAGTATGTCTTATAGTTAACTTTATAGTGCTTCCCAGTATTTCTTCATTATATTTTGTAAGATGGAACGTCTATAACCTTGTTAGTCTTGTGGGTATATATGTTTGTATGCTTGCGTGTGTGTTTGTATTCATGACTGGATGAGGAGTTCCCAGCAAGAGGTGCTATTCTGCTAATGTGAGGCTTAGAACCATCTGAATAACACGTGAGCTCTACTCAATTCAGTGCAAGCCTGGTGATATCGGTATAGAAACCAGGCTTCGAAGTTAAGTTGATCCGAGTTGCTTTACCAATTCCTCAGAATATATGCGTATACAACATAACTTTAGGTGTTCAGGATGCAGAATCAGAAATACAACTCTAGCAGTGAATCACTAGGTACCTTCCCCACTTCTATGCCGGTGTTGCTCTCTTCTCTTTCCTTTCTAGTATCCCTCTCTATTCCTTCCGTCTCCCCCCCTTCCCTCCTTTCCTTTCTATTAATTCCTTCCTTTATTCATCCTATCTTCTCTTCTCTCCTTTTCTTTTATTCCTTTCATCTTTCCTCTCTATATCCCGTTCTCGCCTCGCTCTTCATGACAAGAGGCTATCGACTTACCCATGGATCAAGTAACACCTACACAGATGATCAAACATCACTGGCCGGATGAAGTGATTTCTCGGTTCCCGAAAGCTATTGTTTTGACCGTAGCCCGATTTTATAAGCCACATATCGATGGGATTACTAATGATCGTCATCGAGCCTGGACACGCAACAAAATCACTCGAGTTGTCAACAAGTATAATGAACTACTGATGGGCCCTGTGCCCGATACTTGCAAGTCATATACTTACAAGTTCTTGACCGAGAATGCCGATACATGGATTCCCAAATCCCGTTCGATCACAGACCATCCCTTTATGCCACAGATACGCGATTCCAAAACGGCGTCTTTTCCAAAGTGGCTGGTCATTAGTACTCTATGGCCTCGCTTTAAGCTGATGGCACCTCTTGTACCCATGATGTCTGTTTGGTGGGGAGTCAGTTTCCCTCCTACTGGACTCTTCTACCCTCCTGCCAGCTACTACAGTGTAGAGAGGTATGAGCGACTGTTCGAGGGTGACCAAATGGAGAACACCCAGAGCAAGGACGATTTGTTCATAGCTCATACGCAGCAAAAATCTGAAGTCGAAGTCGAGCCTGGAACCCCTTCTCTGGAGAAGACGAACGACGCTCCTTCTTCCCAACCAGCATCTCGGAATGAAACTACTGGTTACTCGGCTATGGCTCCCGAGTTGATCACTGAGACCTTCGAGCCCATTATCGAAGATTCAGCTTCGTTGACTGATACAAATAGCTCCAACAGCGTTGTGGATGCCGAACCCATGGATACGCCACAGAATCAGAACTCGCCGGAACCCCAAGCTGTTGTCTACTACGATCAGCTCGTGAGAGATCTTGAGAAGCAGCTGGATGAAGCAAAGGCCAACCAGCAGCACGCTCAAAGAATAGCCTGGCACAAAGGTCAAGCTGAGCATCACATGCAGCAGTGCGAATACCATACCCGCAAATTGACGAGGATGTAGCGGCGTTGAAGCATCAAGAAAGGCCTCGGAAGATGCGACGAACACTTTACCAAAACTTCCAATGGACGAAGATGAGTTACACCGAACATATTTCGGGGATGTGCATTGTAAGATATGGGAGTTTGGGACTTGAGATTATTCACCATTCGTGATGGATTACAGGACGAACTCTAAAAAGGTTATCAAGAAGACAGGCGATGCAAGAATATTGATAAGTACGTATCTTTGGTGTCATGGCTTGGCAGTTAAAGGGCCTGAGGAGCGTTGTGCGCACTGGTAGTTGAGACTGTTGCTTCCTTAGGCAGTCAACCTGGATGCCAAAACAAGCCACCTCGGTAGATATGAAATATTTCTCTCCTCTGATGGAGCTTATCCTGTCTGCTACATGATTGATAGTGAAAGACTAGTCCTGTGTTAAGAGACTCGCTGATACATGCGTGAGATATGGGTCGATTCGGTATTGTCTTTCGTGACCTCCGATTATAGCAAGTATTAGTTCAACGCACATGAATAGACAATTGAGTTTCTCAATCATACGCAAACCGCCTATTTAGAGGCCACTGCGACTGAGTCTACAGTGTCCAATGGGACGCTAGCGACCCATAGAGACATAGCCCTTCACTTTGTTTGAATGCGTCTGGCGTCTACTAGGGTGCTGAATAAAATATGGACTTTCGATGTCGTATATTCTTCCTCTCAGAAACTTGCATCATTCACGTAGACCTAAATATTGAAGACTCTAGCTATCTGAGAAGAGACATCAGAGCCTACATACCAACACTTCAACACTCGGCGAACCAACACTTAATCCTGGAAGGAAAAGTGAGAACGAGGCTTAAGGCAAATATACCGGGCCTAGTGGGAAGCCTCTTGGGAGACGAACAAGAACGAACTAGACATGGGTAATGCATGAAGTATACACGCACCTATAACTCCAGGCAAGGGTTGCGAAAATAAGCCAACTGGGTACGTATATAAGAATAGAGACTTGCGAGGTATGGAATATTCAGGAGGCAATCTACTGGAATAATTTATAGAAGAATATATAAATTGGACAGATCTTATTGTAAGTTTATACAAGACTAACTATATAATTTTAGAAAACTTTGTAAAATAAGTGGATTTTATCATAATTTCTTTAATAGAATATAAAACATTAACGGGAAACAAACTACTAACTCGTACACACCTGTCATACCTGGTGGACTGGGAGCCCATTATATGGGATCAAAGAGGCCAAGGAGAGTTGCTTGAGTATCACCCCGAAGGAGCTGTCTTCCTGTAGAATGCTTGCTCGTTCCAAGGTGCTATAGGGATATGCAGGGCATAGCAAACCTTGTTGCACTGCGATAATCGCGATAATCGCGATACTTCAGTGCAATTATTGTCAAGAAATCCAACAGCGTGAATGGTAAAGGGCCCCCACCTTGCACAGGTGGTTCCATATGGCCAAGAGAACAAATACGTACTAAGCGAGTAGACTTGCAGTGATTGTGGTTCATTTGTTTAGTGGCATGGACTTTGAGCTGCCTTCACTATGTACACGGCTTAGCTCTAAACTATGAAACCACTCTGAAGAGTTCTAGAATGCATGGAGAAGGGCGTATGGATGTGAAAATAGTGAATTCATGGATATATATGCTGTTTCGTGTGATACGTGTGATAATCATAGTCCTTCGGCCTTGTGGGGCCGAGCCGGAGCCGCTAAAAGTGGAGCGGAGTGCCAGCTAGAGGACTTCCCAATCCGGCAATTCCATCAACCAAGGTACTAGTACTTTGTAGTGATATAATTAAGCTGACACCTTTCAAGCATCGTGCTTCTCGTTGTGTGAAACCTGTCCCTCTTCGTTTCCGAACATCTTGCCGCCAGGCCCGGAGACGCTCTGGCGGTGCTCCCAGGTCTCGGTGGGCTTCCAGTGCTTGGACTTGCTGGCAACGGTAACTTCATCGTAGAGCTGGTCAACCTCCTCGAGGGAGAGTCCTTTGGTCTCGTAGATGAAGAAGTAGACGAAGGCGATGCACAGGAAACAGCACGCGAACCAGATGAAGAAGATCTTGGACTGGAGGTTGGCCTTTCCGCTGCCGTAGTCGACGAGGTAGGGAGTAGAGTAAGCTGTGTCGAGTTAGCAACTGTAATTGAAGACGCTACTGTGGGATTTAACTTGCCGATAGCCCAGTTGAAAAGCCAGTTGGTAGCAGTGGTCATACTGAGAGACTTGGCACGGGTCTTGAGGGGGAAGATCTCGCCGGTGACGACCCAAGCCAAAGGTCCCCAGGTAGAGGCAAAGAAGAAGATGTAGATACAGACAAAGGAGACAGCAGCCTTTTGTCCAGCCAGGTTCTTAACAAAGATGGTTCCATCAGAGTTCTGGCCTGTGGAGAAGGTACCGGCCATGGCGACGATGAACTGAGAGACACACATGCCGACAGCACCCCAGAGTAGAAGAGGCCTGCGACCCCATTTATCGATAGCCCACATGCCAGGGAGAGTAGAAGCAACATTGATAGCTGATGTAATCATGGAGATGGTGAAGCCGCTAGAAATACCCGAATTTTGGAAGTACTTGGTTCCGTAGTAGAACTGGACACATTGTTAGTCAATTCTCAACACCACAATGCTATAGAAGGGCTGAACTCGCGATGAAGTTGATTCCGGTCAGCTGCTGCAAAGCCTGGAGTGCACAGCCTGTGAATTGACGCTTCAGAATAGGTGGTTTGAAGCAATCGATGTACGAGGCCTTTCCGAGGGTCTTTTCGTAGTCGTGGTTCGCCCTGACCTCGGAGATCTCAGCCTGGATGGCAGGATGATCGGGACTAAGACGACGGATCTTTGAAAGAGCGCGAGCTGCGTCTTCGTGGCGGTCTTTCTTGATGAGGAATCGAGGAGTCTCGGGGAGGAGGATCATGCCGCAGAAGAGGAAGAGGGAGTAGGCGAATTGGACGGCGATGGGAATGCGGTAAGAGCCTGTGTCGTTACGCTTTCCTGTGGAATTGTTTACGATGGCTGCGAGTAGTAGACCGATTGTAATGGCCCACTGGTATGAACCGACGATGGCACCTCGAATCCATTTGGGGGCTGTCTCGGACTGGTAGAGAGGAACTGGGGGATATTAGCCTGAGGTTTCCACAAGAGAATTGGTGATTTGAAGGCATAAACAATCTGAAGAGCCAAGCATAGCTCTCTTTGTGTTTCATAGAATTAAGCTGCTGTGTGGGTAGATGTGTAACTTACTGATAGCGGAAATTTGACCAACTCCGAATCCTGCAAAGAATCTGCCCGCCAAAAACATGGGAATGGCAGTAGCAGCAGTCTGAAGAATGACACCCAGGTTGAAAACCCAAGTTGCAATCATAAGACCAGGACGACGGCCGATATAATCTGTCATGAACGGGGAGGACAGAGCGCCGAAGAAAGTACCAGCTGAAAGGATCGAGACGATACTCGATTCTTGAGCTGTTGTAATGGCCGGGTTGCCCTTGGCATCTGTGTAGCCGGTGCTGAAAAGGCGCTGCCAGTAGGGCATAGCTAGGATACCAGAGATGGTACCTGTATCATAACTGTAGACGGTGGCTGTTAGTTACCTGTCTAGACGGTAGACTGGAGGCTCGACATACCCGTAGAGGACACCACCAAAGGCGACGAAACAGCCGATGGCGATGGCAGGCCATGCCTTGCCTGCCTCCTCAGGCTTGCTAAGGGATGCTCTTCGAAGAGTATTCATCTTGAAGATGGCCACTCCCGGAGACGAGTTTGATTGAGAGATGGGAAGTATATAAGTGAAAGAAGAATTAGAAAGCCAAGCTGGACAATGCTTTCTGAGTGAGTGATGACCTGGGAACAAAACTCAATCAACGCGGGAGGTGGTCTCCTTTTAAACACAAACACTGGCTGATCACAGGTTCAAACCCAGGCGTATAATGCAAACGCTTATTGCTCACACCAAATCCTTGACGCGTTAAGCTTTTGGGTAACATGGGGTGACCAGCCATGCTTCCCCAGCTCTCGTTCTCCCCATGCCACATCTCCAAAGACGGCTTGGCCGAGGATGTGGAGTAAGAGCAATGACAAGAGCTCCAAGATGCGGAGCAGCCGCACCATCAACTTACGATGGTGCAGATATGGAACTAAGGGTAGTAAGTGGTGGGTGGATTTGAAGCTGCGGGGGTCTGGTAGGTTGAGCTTCAAAGCTTGAGCTCGTGAGGGGGGATCAGGTCACGCGGCCATTGGTTCAACAAGGACTACCAGATGTCTCCTCCCAGGGCAACTCTCAATCCATGTCGTCACAGCGGAGTTGTCGACAGCCTTTCAAGGTGGGAGAGCTAAAAGAACGGGTAGATGATGGCGTTGTCCTTTCCTACTGTGAAGTGGGATCGTCAGAATGACATTGCAGAGAGCTGAGAGGTGAGTTGTGCAGCAGTTTAAAATGACTACGGATACTTTGAGTGTGATCGTTACGAACCAGGTATACTACTGTACTGTATGCACATGTTTTTATCTCCCTTGCATGGCATGCTCAAACATTTGCCAGCCCAAGCAATTCTCTACAAGGAAATAGGCTTTCCCCAAGACGAACGCCTCCCCCATTTCCCCAGGTCTTTTGTCCTCGTGCCCCAACATAAACTGACAGGTTAAGTTGATTAGTTAGTCCCCCACAAAAGCTACAAGGAAAGGAAATACATATTTTGGAGAATAGACCGGGGGCGGGGGAAGTTGAAAAGTGGATCCCCTTCCCCGGAGGCCAAGACCGGGCCAGGCCGGCTCGGCGACGCAGAAGCCGAAGTATCTTTTGGTGTTGATTTCCTAATTGGGTAAGTTCTGTTCAACCCTCGTCTACTAAACGATTGTGTAGTGAACAATGTTTGCCACATATCAAGCGTGTCATATCTGATAGTTCAAACCAAACCAAACCGAAGCCAATGTTTAAGTAAAGCAATTGAGATTTGATGGTGTTTTCTGCTTGTTGTACATCTCCAGCAAACCTATAAAAGTATTAGCAGCTGACGTTTACGCCCTGGTGACCCTCCGAAGGCGTCCCGCTATAGCGCGCGCGCAAAGACCACAACATCTTCGGCCCTTTTGTGGGAGTGTTGTTGGGTCTGTTGGCGGTTTCAACTTTCGACTTCGCTTCGGTGTAATAGAAGTCTCAAGTTCATCACATCATTCAGGTTATTCGTATGTATAATTAGAGCAGAGTCTTTGAACATGTTACAATATCACCAGATATTTACCCAAGTTCAACATAGTAACAAGTTTCCATAGCCTCATTAGCTGAGTTCAGACAAATATTCTTTAATCTCCCATGTCCATGTAGATGTGGTGCTTTGATGTTGAGATAGCGGCTCGTCCACACCCTCAGGCGATGAGGCGTTACAAGGCTGAGCGGATGGTGCGGCAAGTTTGTTTGGAGGTGGAAAGAGCCTCTATCTATGGCTCTAACCTTAACTTTGCCGTGTTTATGGCTTGGAGATGCATGTGCATATGAGGCACAGAGTTGTTTATTGTCGTGGCTATACCGAGACAGCGGTTGATGGTGAGCCGCTCAGCTTATACTGACTGCCTGTCACAGTGCATAAACACATCAATCTTAGATGTGTTGTGGTGACTAACTCATCTGTATATCATGGCCATCTACGGATATGATGTGCTTCAACTCACCTCATCAGCGGGCGACTTGTCAATCCACCATGGTCCAGATCCCCCCCAGACGTCAAACCCCATGGGTATTGAAACCCCCCGCATGTTAGCGAGACCATCCTCTGCTCAGTCAGTTAATGATCGTCGTGCTCTCACCAAAACTCAATTTCCCCAGTTCCCAACCCAGTTAACCCTCAAAAGCTCAGTCCACCTCCACACCTTTCGCCTCCAAAATCCCACCGTTGTCGGCCCGGCAATCGCTCCAGGCCCTTGTCTAGCGTTGAGTCTCGACGATGGAAACACCGAAAACTGCACCGTTTCCTGGCTCATCCAACGGCTATCGGCATATCGAGAGACATGCCACTCACCACTCCTTGTAAGCAGAGCTCTCCGTTTCCCCATCTAGGACAGGGATAATCGGCACGTTTGGGGTGATTGAGCCAGCGTTTGAACGGGCGCGATCCTGTGAAAGACCAAGCAGACGGGCCTAAGAAACAGCGATTGGTGCCCTCAGTCCGGGGTCGACGATCATCGCTGATGGTTGCGGAGGTGGACGAATGGGGTACAACACCCTCTCAGCTTCTTTTGTCGGACCGTTGAATGCTTAAAACTTACCTGTTAGGTGTAATAGTGCCGACTGCAACCTCGCGCTGCATGTGAGTCTTACAGCAAGTCATCCCGGTATACAACATGATCCTTCTATTGGTCTAAGTGCTGTCTTTCCACGAAATCGTCTCTAACACCGTCGTAGTATGCAATCCTGGTGCGCATGCTCGATCGTAATAAGAAGGTCGCCCTGGGTTTTATTGGGGTCTTTGAAACGTTACAGCCCAACATATCGATAGTCTTACTGCATCTGGGCTTGTTATCGCCATTTAAAGACTCAATTTAGGTGTTGCGAAAGCCATGGATTCCACGGGAAAATAAGACACGCCGAGATGCCGAAGGGACCAGAACATCCATTGTAAAAGAAATATAGGGAGATCCAGTGTAAGAGAGGCATTATTTTACCTCGACGTAAGGCCCACCGTTTGTTCCACATACCGGCTCACCCGGCAAGTATGACTTGAAAGCCATAAAACGAAGCTTAGTAGTGAGTTCGAGCAACCTACCAGCGTAAACAAGGCTGTCATGAAGTTCGGAGAGTGATGTGGACATGAAGGATGATATGTATTGTATGCTTGAGGGTCTTGTGGTAGATGAAACTTATTGCTAGTTGTGACACATCAAGCTTACTCCAGTTACCCTTGGATGCTGGTTTAAGTCATGTATAACAGGAGCTAGCAGAAAAGCAACCGAAGTATTGGCTCTAGAAGACAAACATAACTCTACACTTTTCAGTTGGTTTATCTCGGGAATAAAAATACATATACTGTCCAACTCACTTAACACATATAGCATCTGACATGATATGTTAAGCCAGACCCTTAGTCTTTTCGCCTCTCTAGATTGTAATATGACTTTTAGTAAGTACTTTATAGCTTACTCTAGGTGGTTTCTATTAATTTTCAACTCCTATTTATGTCCTCTATTATGTTATAAGCCTTAGTATATCTTAACTTATAGTAATAGGTAGAGGGGGATCTTGCTAAATTTATAATATGGCTTTATAGAGATACATGATAATATTGCTCTAAATGATACTAAAGGTTAGCATAAGTTTAAGATAAGCCTACTTAGGTTTTACTTAAAGTATGATAAATTAGTTGGAGAATATGCTGCTCATTATCTAATCCCATCTAGTTGAGACAGGCTGTGTGTGAACCGGTGCAAACAGTTCTTCCTCCTCACTAGACACACTATTCAAACAATTTACTGTCTTGATTATTAGCACACAGCTGATATCTTAATAATTCATTGAGAGGAATGTTGATAGCTTTATATAGATACATAGACTTCCAACGAATAGCCGCCAATATCACTGTCTCAGCACGTCCCATTTCTGTATTTCCCAGCGCATGTTCAAGCTTCAAACCACCAACAACTCTATTCCCTCAAGCAGATGCCTCCTCTCCAGCTTTTCATATACCCTCAAGCACCGCGCACTCTCTTGCTGGAATGCTCATCGTCGTAGTGATCATCGCTGACAGGACGCTTGGTGGCTGTGGTCAGACTCTCGCAAAGGGCTTCTGCCATCTTCACTGCTGTATCTGCATGTCTTTGAGCCCGGAGGGCATGTTGATGGATGTCCTTTGCTTTTTCGCGCGCTTCTCTTAGACGGCTCTCGGGATCTTCCTCTGCTCTGATGGTATTAATCTGTAGTTGGTCTTGATACTTTGAGAAGTGTTGCCCGACGAGGTTCCCAACACGGTGTTCGAGACCTCTCTGGGCTCTAGCCATGCGGCGCTCGAAGTTTCTCTCTAGTTGAGAAAAACGACGCTCAAAGGCATGGTTTGTACTGAAATTGTGGTTTTCGGCTCTGTGTAGGAGGTTGTCATCATTGACAGGTTCTGGTTTGATGATACCGGTCGTACCACAAGTCTCTTGAATGCTGCACGATTGCTCACCGTCATCATAGGAGCCGACAACTGGGATCGAAGCAGATTGTGCGTAAGGATCTTGGAGTAGCCTCGGCTTCGGTGGTTCAGGGTATACTCCCCTCATTAAAACCAGCTCCTTCTCAGAATCTTCAAGACGAGGGTAGAAAGGCTTGCTGGGATTGATTTGGATACCCCAGTGATGCGACATATCCAGGCAATATTTAATGAAACAACCAGGAATGGGAGCACTTTTAGACCCGAAGATGGCCTGGACGACGAAAAATCGAGGGTAGTAGAAACTTGGATATCTTTCGTAGCCGCGCTGCTGCTTCAGAGCTCTGTATGCGATACTATCACTGATGCTCGATCTTTCGGATATCCATCTGCCGGCTTCGAGAAACCTACAAACGTGATGAATCCCTTGTCGTGACATGACTCGCTTCGCTGCCTCAAAAGACTCGAGTACCCTGACCACCTGGATTCTGCGCCAGTGTGTATCGCCCATGGCGGTCTCATTTTCGAATTGAGAAGGGGTAAGGGTGTGTTTGCAACCGGGTATGCATTTCGAGGAGGTGAAGTCCATGGTGAATTCTGAAGATGGATATCCGACGCAAAGAAGAAAAGGTCGTCAAGCTGTCTATGGCTAGTTCAGGATAAAGGGGAAATGGAAGAGTAGGTAACTCAAGATCAATACCTCCAGGTGTTGGACGAGGTGTAGCACAGCCGATGAGATTTGGCTTGTTTGAAGAATGAGAAGTTCAAAGAGAGTGAAGAGGACGAAGAGGATGAAGTAGAGAAGAGAAAGGAGAGAAAGGAGAGGGTAAAGAAACGAAGTTCTTCAACTGTGCTTCTCCGCACGATGTAGGAGAAGTGTTACGCTTTGCTGCGTAAAAGAATTTGCAGTGGTTGTTAGAGATGCGCATCAGGCCATGAGTGATTCACCATCGTTCTAGAATTTACAATGGCCCGGTATCTCATTTGAGTAGGCAACTTTTCCTCCCAAGATTCTGTTTATCAAGCAATCGATCCAAGGTCTCTAACGATGTCAGGGCCAGCCGACGAAAACCTGCTTCAGTAAGTTGAGTTTCGTTTCAAACTTGCTCATCGTGTTAACTGGTATCCAAGTCCATCCCCTTTTAGCTTGTAATCTTTCTTTCATGTCACTCTTTATCTTTGCTTAGCGCACCCTAAATCTCCCTGACTGCTTGCCGTTATGACGATTCCGCTGGCGGCCATTCAAACCGATATCATCACCCGCCTGATGCCCGTAAAACTATTATATATGTGACTATCACTATATAATTAAGTCTGGTCAGTTTCTCCCCGTGCTTTTGTTCTTTTGCTCGAAAAAAAGAGGTGCAGTGGACTAAATAGGGACGCCGGGATACAAACTGGCTTGCGCAGCTTGTAAGAAGCAGTAGAACACCACTAGTATGGCTCCCAGGGACGTTAGGATCCGATGAGATGTCTTCAACGTTAGGCCATCGATTTAATGCGTTGGTCAACTTTTGGCATATCCCTCGTGCTTTCTCCATCGTGTAGATGCCGCGATCCAATGTTGTGAACCTTCTTGCGGCAACCAGCTGGCGTGTAGTTGGCCTCCAGGGAGTCTTTTGTCGTTGTAGATGAAGCTGATTGAGTCTTGATGAGGATCGAACTCTGAACTATCACCCTTTTGCGGTGGCGCCAGAACGTTTCGTTTCAGTTTGATGTGTTCTAGTTGCGCGGCCACAAGCCTTTCGTATGGGCCTGTAGACTACTGCTTGTCGAACACGCCATGTACGTATGGTAATGCATTGGGATCAATTACGTCGAATGTTAATTCCATTTTTCTGGAGAACAACTCGAACTTACGCTTGAGCCTTTTGGCAGCTGGAGCCCCGCGGTACATCTCGCTCCAGCTCTTGTCTGGTTGTTCGAGTGGTGCCTTAGTTTTACCCTTGTTTCTTGTTACAGTCTTTGGTCTCGCGACTGTTGCAGGTTCTTCACCTACTGCATGGTGTCCAGGGTCGGGTGTCTCTTCCGGAAATAACTTCTGATAATGTGAAAGCTGGTGTCGAAGGCGATTGGACTTAGCATACACCTCGTCGAGCCGTATTTTGTTGTTTTGTAGAGAAGTTGAATATTCCGTTTCTTTACGGCCTGCTTCCTGCCGAGTTGCTTCCGAAATTATCACTGATCTGCAAGTTGCTTAACCTCTCCTCGGAGTGGTGCAACATTATCATTTGACGGCGATGGGGATTCGGCCGAGAAGGGATGAGGCAGGGGACTGCTTTTCTCTTTTGAAATGTGGCGATCTTTGTTCAAGGGTGACTACTTGCCCGAACTGGCAGCAACTTGCCGTGCGAACATATCTATATGCTAGTCAGTACCACATATCGAATAGGGAGACAGGATTCCACAAACCACGAATATCCATTGTGATTTGGCCCTTAGAGGCAACAACAGGTCTGTGATGCCCTGAGATGTTCTGGGCCGCACGCGCGTTACACTGATGGAGCCAGCGAGTACTTCACTGTCCAAGAGGTCTGGGTAATCTTGTTAAACTCCGAATCAATAACCTGCTGCCGATAAAGAATTTTGTCAGGTCAATATGATAGTTTTACGGAACGATGGAACATGTCAAGTCGCTTTAGGTTCAAGTTGTGTTAGGTTGAAGTCGCGTTAGGTCGTGTGGTGTTGGTTGCCTACTGTTTATTCTATCTGAACACTTCCATGGCAGGTTATAAGGATATAGAGGCAAGAGGCCCGGAAGACCTACTGGAGCCAACTGCGTATGTGGCCTAGGCTCCTTACATATTGGCGAAAGGCAGCTCAATCACTACATATCAAATATGAGAATGATGAGAGTTTCAACATAAAGTTATCTAATATTATATTAAATTATATAAATTATAGTATGTTCTACATAAAGTTGTATAATGTTAAGTAAATTACAAGACTTTCATATAAAGTTAATAAATATTTTGTTAAATTATATAAATTATAATATATTCTATAAAACGTTATTTAATATTATATTAAATTATAAGATTTCAATATAACGTTATCTAATATTATACCAGATTATATAAATAATGACATTTTCGACATAAGGTTTTTTACTATTATGTCAGATTGTATAGGACAAAAAAAATAGGAAACTATTAGACATTTACACGCCCCCTATAAAAAGATGTGTGTATTCAGCCAAACCCGTATGTATGTCCTCCACTGTAAATCAACAATACGCTATGAAATATAAACAGGCAGCCTACTGCCAAACAAATCCCCTTTGGGAATTTGAACATCATCCCGATCAAAGTCGTGCAACATGAGCCAGCAGATCATGCGTAGCACAAGAGTACACCATACCTCTTTCGAAGTCAAAATATGCGCTGCGTACTCGGTTGCCTGGGCTGCTTCCCCTTTGACAATGTGGAATTCCGAGTCAGAGGTTTTGACGGCGAAAAATGCTGCTGATATGGTCCTAAGCACTGCGGGGAGGATTTGTTGGAAGTAGGCCTTCATGAGGAGATCTTCTTTGTCATTCGTGTTTGGGCCTTCAAAGCGGGGGAATGCCGTGGTAGAGGACGCAGGACTGGGTTTGGTGTTCATTTGGGAGAGAACTTCCTGGAAATGCGCACCGAGGATGTCTTGTGTAAGACGCGAGCGTGAAGTGTCAGTCCCCATGGTAGAGTTTGGTTCGAGAATGTTGTCAAGTTGATCGAGAACCGAATGGAGGGCGTCTTGGGTTTGCCAACTGTAGCTCTGAGACGTTGTGACTTGGGATTGTATGCTTGTCTTGGGAGATAAGAGTGTATTTACAGGGATGGGGAGTTGTCCGCGTGCCATATCCGGATCTTCTTGGAGATACTTGAGATACGAAACAAGTAGTCTCTGTAAGGAGAAACCTCTCGTGCTCCAAACGCAGTAGCACGGATTCGGAATGTATCTGAAGCAAAGATCTTTGATGTGGAAAATCTGGCCGACCATGCCTATAAGCTCGAACGTGACTGAAGAGTTGTTAGCGGTTGTCTGCATTGTGTGAGGAGAGTCTTACTGGGGAAGATGTGGGAAGTCACAGCGCCATCTCGTAGGAAGTAATTGGCTGATTTGCGGTCACAGCCAAACGTGGCCAAAGTATCTGCGATGTCTGTACGACTTCCGAGACGAACGGACTGGGAATCGTGGGGTTGTTCGTTGGCTGCAGCACGCCCAGATGGGAATACCGTTGGAAGTCGGCCAAAGGCGAGTTGACTTATTGCTTGAGTTGGTACAGGGCGGTTAGCCAGGAATACAGCCTTCTCTAAAGCTTGGAAATGGAACATGATACCCAGGCCACTGATCTTGTGACCCTTGACAAGGAAGCCGTTCCCTTCAGCTTGGTAGACGTGGTATGTGAAGTTGAAGTCGCGCCAGTATATACCCAGCATGGCAAGCATTTCTATCAACTCGCTCATAGTGGTAGTTGCGTAGGGACGGTTGATAGATGCAGGCATGTCATCCCAGCTTTTCCTCTCACGCTGCAGCGCAACGCCAAGACTGTGTTTTCCGGCGATGGATGTAAGTATGGCTGTCGCGCTGGCTGGACGAGGTCTCAGACCCATGATCTGCTGCCTTGTCCAGTTCTGTGACTCGTTCTCCATCTTCTGTAGACTAGACAAGAGGGTGAGCCAAGTGGCACGCTCGTTCTTTACCATGCGGCCTGATTTGGTCATGGTACTCGCAGGAGGTGGTTCAAGGTCAGTTCGAGTATCATCGAGACTCTTCCTAGTCCCGTCGATTGCGTAGACTTGGGCTTCTGGGATAGGTCCGTTTCTGGACCTTGAAGAGACGAAGATGACAGGGACTTCAAATTGAATCTCTGTACGGAATTCTTTGGGCCGCCAGATCTTGGTTCGTGACTGATGCCATCGACCCATGACATTCTCACCGCAGTTGGGAGGGGATCGGAACTGCTTCAGGGAGAAGGGCGCCTCTGGGCTGGGTTCAATTGGAGATTTGACGACGCTTCGTGTGGTGATGGCTCTCATCAGATCTCTTGATATACGTTGGTTGCCGCTCATGTGTGCGTAGTACTCAGGATTCTGCAGCTCTGCCCTGCTCATTATGGGGAATGCTGAGAGGATGGAAGAGTCGTCGGCGAGACTGAAGCTGGTCATCACAGAGCCTGCGATAGACCTAGTACGGGAAGAATATATGGAGAAGGCATCTGTGGAATTGTAGACGCGCTGGTAAACTCTTGTCTCTCCCAGAGCCGCCTCAAAGTCACGGCGTGGTTTTGGAATGGTGCCATTTGCAGTGGCATTGTCCCCTGAAGTTGAACGCCTGAGTTTGGGCAGGCCTAGTTCTGGGACGTTTGCTCCCGTGGAAGGGAAACTCAGTGATCGCTCTGCGCTTGGGTGGAAGCCGTTCCAGTCCTCTTGGTCGTGGTCTTTTCGTGATGTGAATACCGACGAGATGTCTGTAGAGTCATCTTCTTCTCTCCACTGAGCCAGTGTTGGAACCATGGAGGATCTGTTGGAGGGATACAAAGTGGCATTATCGGCGATAAATTTGTTGAAGAGCGCTTCCAAACCATCGATGCGCTTCTGGGTTACTTCGCTGGAGGCTAGGACGGCATCAATCTTGAGACCGAGTGCATGCTGAGACTCGGCGATGACTACGTCTGATTCACTTCTTGAGGTCAGCAGTGAAGATATATGAGGGGTATTGAACTGTACCATTGCAGTATGTTCAAGATGAGAGTAACAGAGCCCTTGTGAGCTTGCAATTGCCGTATGTACTTCACCACATCGTCCTGCACTCGGAACCACTTTATCTTATCCCACTTTGTGAGAGCCAAAGAACCATCAGAGTTCAAAGGTTTAAGAGTAGTAACGAGGCGATCGCACGTTGTAACTAACTCACTGATGGTAACAGTCGCATCATGAATACCAACCGACATACGAGCAGTTTTGGGCACTGAATCAGGGTCGTCGATCAAGCTCTTGAGTCTCTCAATAGCCCACTTTATCTCCTTGGCCTCGGCGTGCGCCCACATGACCGTCCGGGGACAGTTTTCTATGCTGGATTTGACGGTATCGAAGACTTTGATGACAGCAGCTGTAGCCGTCAAAAGACCAGCCACGCCGCTGGCGATACTGAGGGGATCCATGAGAAGAGCGAGAGGTTGACGGAGAAGTTTCCGAGGGTTGTTTTGCGAGGCGTATGCATGGCGAGGAGGGGTTATAGGGAATCCTTAGCTGAAAACCAGGCTGCGGCTCCTTGGACGCGATAGGATTGATGCGCCACACTTGTTGAGCGATATTGCCTCCATGATGTAGTGATTCTGTCTGGCTGGTATACGGCTGGGCGATGCATGTTTCCGGCTTACAAATGATAGATTCAGAGCTCAATCATAGTGAGTTATGTGGCGAGAAGTAGGTGTTGTAGAGTCAAGGACTGTGTTGTTTGATGGGTTCTAGATGAGACAGTAGAGGTGCCTTGTAGTGTGGCCGTATTAGTCAGAGGATTTTGATAACACCTTCTCCCAAGATCAAATTATATTATATGAGTCAGGAAGAGTGTACTATAATTTATGTAATTTTATATCTAATCTAGAGAGGAAATCGTCAGAACTTTTGCACATCTGCTCTACTTGGCAATATCACTACCCTACACCGATATGAAATGTCCTTGGCAATAAGCCCGCCATCCTTCTGAGCTAATGTGTCTAGTGTGTGTATGGTTCCTTTGAACGCTTAAGGGTTTTTGTAACACATCCCTTGCATATGATATATGTGATAGTCTAGGCATTACTGAAAAGCCTGCCGTCAGCAGTCTCGATGCCCGTCTATGCATAATCAGCCGCAACAGACAAGGATCCTCAAACGCGATTACTGCTCTTCACCAACGCGTTTGTTTTAATCTCCACCAAATAACTAGCTCTTCCCTTCCCCTCTCCAGCCCTACAAGCCTAGGTGGGCTGACATGTTACACTTTGGGCGGGGGGAGGTACTTTTGGGGGCCAAGCTTGTTTGTCGTTGGACAAATGCCACTCTGGCTACGGAAGCGAAACCCTTGTTGGTTACATCTTTCTTGGGAGACCAGGGAATGTCTTACTGCTGTGCTAAGATGGTAAAATATCAGGGACTTTAGTCCATACAAGTGCAGCCGTTTGATGAGTTGGCTGCTGACAGGGCTGAAAGCTGAAGCACGGTTAAGCGCTTCATTTCTGGGCATGCATATCGGAAGTTCGGGGGTTCATTAAGATAAAAGGTCGCCATGAGCTCGTCTGCTTACCCCGTGTTTCTTCCCTTTTACTTCTAGTAAACCAATTCCAGCTCTTCTTGCTCTGAGAGAGCTGACAGTCTTGAATATACCGGGGAGAAAGACTACACTAACCACCAAGATGTCTTTACCCTCTCGTTCATCTTCACCCAGCAGGTCGATTGCTGAAATCGCAGCCAGCGTCTCTGATCTTGGTGATCGATCCAAGGTCACGCCCCAGCAAGTGATTGACAAGTTCTGGAAACAATTTACTACAAAGAAGCCAGGAAAGGGTAGGCTTTACAAGACGCGCACACACCGAGGGGATGTGACTAACAAACATCAGCCACAACTGTGATCCCCTCAAACACATACACTGAGTTTGCGGCCAAGAGAGGTAACCAAGTCACTACTACAACCACAGAAGCTTCATATGAAGACGCCGCTGCGACATGCCGCGCAAAGGTTGAAAAGATCGTCAAAGAGTGCCGTCGCATCAACAAGAAGTATCGCGACCCTCACTTTGACATTGAAGTTGATCTCAAGCTCAACTGCAACGACTGTCTTTACTCCCTATCCAATGTAGAGGGCTACCAGCCTGGTTTAGACCTTACGCCTCAGAGTGTAAAGCGTGTTGGTGACATATTTGACAAGCCTCGCTTCTACATTGACGGCGCAACTGCCAATGATGTTAGACAGGGGCGTGACGGAGACTGCTGGCTCATGGCTGCTTTGTGCACGCTTAGTGAAAAGGCTGGCCTGATCGAGAAGCTCTGCGTTGCTCATGATCAGGATGTGGGTGTCTACGGGTTTGTCTTTTACCGTGATGGCGCGTGGATTTCCGAGATTGTTGACGATTTCGTACGTATTTCTCTTGTCCTATTTCAACAGGTGCTGACAAAACTCAGCTTTATCTTATCAAGTCTGATTATGATGAGGGCTGCTTCGATAGAATTCTCTTCGATGACATCGAGCGTGTCGATGCAGATGAAGCCTATCGTCGTATCTTTCAATCCAACAGCAGCGCCCTTTACTTTGCCCAGTGCCAGCACCCTCAAGAGACCTGGCTGCCCCTCCTCGAGAAGGCGTATGCCAAGGCGCACGGAGACTATGGTGCCATTGAGGGCGGATTTGGAGGCGAGGGCATCGAGGATCTTACTGGAGGTGTGACATCTGAGCTACTCACCTCTGATATCCTCGACAAGGTACGTTGCACACTGCCAGTGTCCGGAGTGACCGCAGCTGACACATGCATGTGCAGGAATACTTCTGGACAGAGGAACTTATGAAAGTCAACAAGGAATTCCTCTTCGGCTGTAATACCGGTATCTGGGGCCGTGGCTGGGGTGAGCGCAAGGGTATTGTCGAACTTCACGCCTATTCTATCCAGAAGGCGGTGGAGATCGATGGCAAGCGTTTGTTGAAGCTCAAGAATCCCTGGGGTAAGGGTGAATGGACTGGCCCTTGGAGTAAGTGATCCCAACCTTGTGATACCGAGTTGAAGCTGACCAGTCCAGGCGATGGCTCTAAGGAGTGGACGGCCGAGTGGCTTCAGAAGCTCGACCATCGCTTCGGAGACGATGGAGATTTCTGGATCTTGTATGAAGACCTTCTTAAGAAGTATCAGGCCTTCGAGAGAACCCGTCTCTTCACATCAGACTGGCGAGTCAGCCAGCTGTGGACTACACTGGCTGTCCCTTGGGCTCTGGACTACCACGACACGCACTTCTCATTCACCCTTTCCAAGACTGGTCCCATTGTTCTTGTTCTTGCTCAGCTCGACGACCGCTACTTTCGAGGACTTGAGGGCCAGTACAGGTTTGAGTTGGGATTCCGTCTTCACAAGGCTGGCCACTCGGATTATGTTGTGCGAAGCCAGACGCCTTACCGAATGACTCGCTCCGTCAACGTTGAGCTTGAGCTTGAGGCTGGCGACTACGAGGTCCGTGTCAAGATCAACGCCACACGTAATCAAGACATCTTGCCTATTGAGAAGGTCATCAAGGACAACGCAAAGACGCGTCGCGAGAAGCTCTTGCGAATTGGCCTTGCGTACGATCTAGGTCACTGCAAGGGGCGATTTGTCGAGACTCCCGAGGAGAGGGTTGCACGTAAGGAGCAAGAGGACAAACTCAAGCAGAAGAAGAAGGATAAGATCAGGACAAAGCTCATCAAGGAGCGCGAAGAGGAGCATTATCTGGCCACCCAGCAATTCCAGAGGAGTGAACACAGGCGACTTAAGAACAAGGAGAAGCTGGCGCTGAAGACGGCTGCGCACAAGGCAAAGCTTGAGGCTCGTAAAGCTGAGAAGGCAGCTATCAAGGCCGAAAAGACTGCGCAGAAAGCGCTGGCTAGGGCAGAGGCGGAGGCCAAGGCCAAGGCAGAAGTTGAGGCAGAGCTTGAGGCAGTGAAGGCTCGGAAGGAGGAGGAGCCGGTTGTTAAGACAGAGGAGAGTGAAGTTACGAAGAACGAGAGTGCTGATGAGAGCAAGGAGAAGGTTGAGTCCAAGCCGGAGGAGCCTATGACTCCGGAGTCTACCGCTGATGAAGACCATGAGGAGAAGGCTGAAGAGGAGAAAGCTGAAGGAAAGGATGCCACCAAGGCTGAGGAATCAGTTGCGGGAGACAACGAGGAAACTGGGAAGGCTGAAGACTCCTCCTCCGAGGAAGAGGACGAGACGGAAGTGAGTGAAGACGAATATGTCGAGAGCGTCGGTTCTCTCGCCGAACTGGCCGACCGGGAGATCTGGATCCACGTCGACAAATTCCCCGGCACCGTGTCCGACTCGGAAGAGGATTCCTCGTCGGACTCAGAGGCCGCGTCGGAAGCGGAGAAGGACCCCTGGAACGCCGTCGTGGTCGCGGGCATCCGCATCTTCCACACGGGGCTGGGAGAGGGCGAAGACGACAGCGACATCAACCTCAAGGCGATCCGGCCAATCCCGTTCGGCAAAGACGATGACGAGATGGACCCGGAGAACAAGTGCAGCACAAAGGTCCTCGACGTGGATGACAGCGCCAAGGATGCTACGCTCGTGGGGGATGCGCAGCAGAAGATTCGGTTCATTAAGGGGGATGGTGCGAGGAGACGAACTGCTACGTCTATCTTTTAGGAGCATATCACAGCATTGCGAGGATTGAGTTAGCTAGCGAATTGAATGTTTGTTCAGGTCTGCTTGAGGTTTCATCGTGATGTGATGCGAGCGTGTATGTTGTGCAGATGTAAGTGGAAAGTGGCGCGTTTGGCCTGCATGAAGAGGGTGACATTCTCTGATTGATGGATCAATTGAGTCTGCATATATATTGAAAATGGACCTCTATTTTCTTAGGACTTTTTATCACGATATGGGGGAATATAGGACGAGTAGGCACGGGCCCTATTCCTATGCAGCTTATGTAGTGTGATCGTCGTCTAAGCCACGATAGTGGGATGACGCTGGGGGCTAGACTTCAAATAGCGCTGTTGTTTATATACAGTTCCGTGCAAAAGTTCATTAGAATAGAGTATGTTAAATATATTATAGGTAGAAGAGTGTATGTATAATTTCTGAATACATTATATTAAATTATAAAAATAAAGAAAAGCTTATACTAAATTATATAATTTTATACAATCTGGAATAGAGGTGTGTGCTACGGATAGAAGATCTCAACACACCGCAAAAAGGAAAGGCTGTGTTGTGATCCAAGTGTCGTGGAGCCTTGGCAACGGATGCTGACAGTATCATCCCAGTAAAGGAACCCATTTTGTGGATCTGTCAGCAACGGTTCCACCTTTAGGGGAATGAGAGGCGAAGTGCAGACACTTGAGGGTTGCACAGAAGACGTCAATGGTTACAGTATTAGAGTGTGATACACTCACTATATTGTGAACTGCAAAGGGAGGTTGATCGTGATAAACTTCGGGCTGTTGGATGCATGAAACATCGAGGCGTTCCTTAATGTGGCTTTGTCTAGGCACTATCCAGACTAACTAAGATAAGATTTACAGGGGCTGGCCAGAGACAACAGCTATGCTTTACTGTAAAGGCAAAGAACTATTTTTACCTAAGCTTAGAAGATGAAAGAAGTGCTTAATGAGTAGCCCTGCTCATCTGCTAATCCATCGTATATTGATCCACCAAGAACTCGGTCAGCCTCTCCCCTTGAGAACCCACCTCAAGACTCAGCCTTACTGTAGGCTCAGCATTTGTATTTAGTCTATTATCCTTGCTAGACACTGGGTCCTCTAAGCTCAGCAATCCTTCCGAGAACTCTTGGCATTGTTGTTGAGAGTGAAGGATGAAAATATCGAGTCTATTTTCTTTCCCTGAATGCAAGGACCATCTGGTGTATGAAGCTTAATTGCGCACGTACGATCAAGCCTTTTCTTACGGTGAAACAGCTATTCTTTTTGTTCTTTCTTTGTTCTATTCCACGGAGTATCCGTATTTCCTCTTTTTCTTTGATCAGTGCTTCGCTTTGCTTGCGCCACCCATCATCCCTATCCCTGTTCAACTAGGAAATCCTTCATGACAACGCAGGTCTGACAGGAACTGAACATGGGCATGGGGCTTGCAAATTGATCCCAGCACCAACATCATCAAATCTGTAGGCGCATTGCATTGCGTTGTTGGGTTCTGATCAGCAAAAAAGAAAACAAAAAAAGGAAAAGGGAAAAAGGATCAACCCCCTCGCTCTCCGCTGCAATGGCAGACCCCTCTTCAAGGCCTCTCTACTCGGACTACGAATACCAGGACGACAACTCTCACACACAGCAGAGGAGAGCCCCTGGCATAAACATCTTTGGTCTCAGTAATAACAATAGCAGCGGTGGTTACCATCTCATGCCGTCAGGAGGACACGAGATGGCCGATCTCAACGATTCTACTCCCGGACTCGGAATCTCCAATATGGGATCGGCCTCCAATGCCCATTCCCAGTCTCCGGATCCGACTCATCATGCCAGAATGAGTCCACCCGAGACACCGCATTCCTTTCACAACCTGCTGGGCGACTCGACCAATGCGTCGCCGAGACATCAGCCAGACCCTTCTTTTAGTCCGCGGGTCGCCAATTCTCAGGGAACTCCAGAGCCGTACTCTGAGATCTGGGCGCCCTCTATGCCTCGCTCTGCAAGAAACTCCAACACGGATCTCACTGATGCTTCTGAAAAGATCAAGGAAATGCCCACGACACAGCAACGCGAGATCACGCCCTCTTCATCGAGTCGCGATGGTCCACCAATTCCCAAGATCGTTGAGCCTAGAAAGGATGAGATGGACGACGAGTTTGACGATGAGATCTTTTACAAGAAGTTTGGTAAGTTGCCTTATCCTTGTCGATCCTCATTAGGCTTACAGATGAACAGCTGAGCCTCCAAAGGGTTGCTCTTCAAGCCGAGATATTCACCAGCCCAGATTGAGTTGGCTGTCCATCACAATTTATGTTCTCTCTGTCTATTCTACTGTCGGTAGTGGCATCTGGCTAGTAACTGCCATCCTCCAACCTCGATGGGGCCACAAGATCGCCTCAGGAGCCTCACTCTCACCTTCTACAGCCACGACACTCGCTGCTCTTTTAGCCAAGACCATCGAAATGTCTTTCGTCACCGTCTTCGTCTCATGTATCGGCCAAGTCCTCACCCGAAGAGCTTTCATCCGCAAAGCCCACGGAATGTCACTCGCTGAGATGACGATGCGCAACTGGGTCATCCAGCCCGGATCTCTCATCACTCACTTCGAGACGCTGCCATCCTCGTCACTGACTCTTCTCGGCATGCTGTCTCTCACTGCCACCCTCGCTGCGTCGTTCTACACCACCGCCTCGGACGCAATGGTCTCGCCGAAGCTCAAGTCTGGAAGCTGGGAGAGCAAGGAACTGACGGGCTACGTGCGCGCCTCGTACGCCAATGCGGCGTACGTCCGTGAGGATTGCCCGTATCTCTTCAACTCGACCGAGGACATCCACGCCGCCGAGTCTTGTATGAACGTCCAGTTCTCGGGACAGTCTTACCGAAACCTGCTTAACTATATGAATACGTGGACGGCCATAAACCGCAACGGCACCGTAATCTCGACTGACTTGAAGAAGCGACCTGGCGGAACTACCCTGCTCCACGACAACACCACCATGCATGGTTCCTGGATCGAGACCGAGCACGGCGATGTCGCAGCGCAGTTCGAGGACTTGGGACGCATCATTAATAATGTCACATTGGCCCTTCCTCATCCTGGCGTCTACGCCGCTTCCACCCTCAAGCAGAACGGCATCCTTCAGCCCGACGATCTCGCCGGTGTGGGAGAGTACACCGTTCGGGCTGGAGTCGTTTCGCCTTCTGTCAATGTCTTGTGTGTCGATATGGACAAAAAGGAACTTGCGCCTCTTGTTTACACCCAGTGGCCACACTCCAAGAATAGCAACACTGATGTGCCTGGGCAAAAGAAGGGATGGGCCGGTTGGACTGGCGAGGTGCCTCAGCCGCTTGATAAGAAGGGGAAGGATTACTACCTCAACCGAACTGATGTTGATGATATCTTCAAATGGGGGCCCAAGTACGAGCGTCGCCCTCCGGTTTTCCAGATGGTAAGTCATCCATATGCCTTGGAAGTTTGCGTCTAACATGCCATAGTACCCCTTTGATTTCAATCTTCTCACCAACGCCACTGTCTACGCAGCTGATTCTATCTACACCCTTGGCAAAGCAGCCACCAGCACAAACTACACTCTCTGCCAGCTTCGCTCCTGGGTATCACCCAACTGCTCTACCGAGTTCAACATCTCTGGAACTGCTGGTGCAACCTTGAAGTCCCACTGCGAGGACGACAGTGATGAAAATGCCTATCGCAGGTCATTCCCTGCTGACCAGGGTTGGTCTCTTCCTTCTCTGGACTGGAAGGTAAGTTCACTCATACCCCATATGTGACCAGATCTAACCGTGAGTAGTGGCTCGCCGATCAATGGCGCTTGTCCATGGATCTCAACGGAGGCACCGTTAACAACAACGCTTCCAACGCCCGTATCCTTACACAGCTCGCCTTGCACGAACCTGAGTTGCCCGCTTCGCAACCCTCCATGGCCGAAGCCCTCGCCGTGTACTCCAGCTCTCTCATCATGATCAGCGCCATCGACACGCCCTTCCGCCACTACTGGGACCAAGACCCGGAGAAGTACCCCACCAACGTGATCCCCGAAGCGCCCGGTTTCGCCCAGACCTTCAACGCATCGCTCATCACGCAGGAGTACACGTCCGGCCACACCCAGGGCTGGCAGAACATCTTCTACGTCATCCTCGTGCTGGTCTTCGCCATCAACCTCTTCTGCCTGGGCTACTTCATCATGCGCTCCGGCCTAGTGACGGACTTTACAGAGCCGCAGAACCTGTTCTCGCTGGCGATCAACAGCCCGCCCAGCAACAGCTTTCACGGCAGCTGCGGTGGCGGTCCTGAGAAGAGGCACCTCGTTGTTCCCTGGAAGGTGGCCTATGCGCCGAGCGCGAACCATTTCTTCTTCCAGGATACGTCCACGGGCAAGGAGACAGAGATAGAGACTCCTGGGGGGTTGAGTACGGGGGCGGAGTATGAGAAACCGAAAACGAGCAGTTATAAGAGGCTTAGTACGAGTAGGACATGGTTATAGACTTTTAGGCCGTATATGTAGATATAGATATAGTGCACATATAAATTCTAATACTTTCTCTCTTCTAAAGTTTATAAAAAGTAACATGAATTATAACAAACTCTCCTATCTCATACATATACGTAGTTATTCTAAGATTATTATGTAAGAATATTTAAAACAGAATAATTTTATTATAATTTTAGAATATAATTATCTATATTATTCCAATACCTATATTGTATGATCTAAGAATAATCTATAAGATACATACTTATAGGGTATTCTAAGATTTAAACAAGGCTGATAATCATTATAATTCTTAAAGACTCTAGCTCGTATGCCATTCGACTTCGAGTTTACCATATCGATGAGAAAACCCTCAAGGATGCCGAAAACACAGCTCTGGCTATGGATCTCTGGAAGGCTGGTGTCGTTACAGAGACGTGAGATTTATTGCTGAGGAAACGGAGTTTGGGAAGAATTGCCTACTGATACTCAAATGGTGATCTGGGCAAGAAGTCGACACGAAGGTCAGATTTGGGATTATTACTATTTCCATATTGCTCGGCAGTTCTGAATTAACGCACATTGTCTTCAGCCCCATCTGTGTAAAGGTAAGGGAAAGTGACCATCCGACGAAAAGGCTGAGAGTTAACCAGTTCAATCACTACCTACCTGCCAGGCCCTTAGGTTACACGTAAGCTCACTATGGAGATAGTGAGCTTGTCATTAGAACTTTTATACGGGACAATATGTAGTCTTTGTTGCAATAGTTGTCATTTGTACGAGATTAGGCATAAATATCCTATTCTTTACCACATTGCCTCAAAACGTCGAGTCAGACCTGATGAGAAACCAAAATCCATACTACCAGGACAAGTCTGAGATACCTCAGTCACTGACTGAGCTATTCCCACTCGAACACCAACCATGTTTTTAATCCAAAACGCCAGGGCAATTGTGTTCCTGTCCCGTGTACCAATCCAAGGTATTGCCATGAAAACGCCAGTCGTCAAACTCAATACTCATACACATACTCGTACAATACAATCTCATGCATCAACACATCTCGCCACACATCTTGTCTTGCTGATGCCACTTCGCTTCATTTGGGGGGGTTATGGGTGCGTATCAAATCATTTACAACTCTTCTCACTGCATCTTTCATCTGTCACTAACCACCACTGCAGCCTCCCTCCTCCTCCATCACATCCACATCAAAACCACAACCACAATCAACAGTCCTTTTGGAAGAAAGGAGGGCCTCCATGCGCAAAGGCTTCCCTTCTCGTAGACTGCATCATCTGCCTGTGTCTGTCTGCTGTTCTGTAGGACGCCATTCTCCGCATCAAACAGATCGCTTTTTGCAGCATAGCAAGTAAGCAACCCATCGTCCACAATAAGCAGCATCTTATCCCCTATGATCATCGATCAATCTGGCCTTCAGCCCACCACTTCTCACGCACGCGTCCACTGGTCTTTTCTGCCGCTAGACGGCAACAAAAGCTCTCCCGAGGCTTGATCTTACCCACTCGTTAGTAGGGACTTCTTCACTGATCAAAGCCTGAGTCTCTGCGCTTTTCTTTTCAAAGCTCAACAACCAACACATCGCCTCGCGGGGTATATCCTTCGCAGGGTGCCGTGGAATTTTCGAAAGTCGTTAGAGCCACGTGACAGCGTCTGTCGTTCAAATCGTAGTAGTAGTCCTTGGGTGAAAGATCCAAGTTGTTTCTGAGGAAAGGTGCCAGATACGGAGATACCGTCTAGAGACCCCCTAGTAACCAAGGATCCATGCAAACAAGTCTAGGTGAATGTTGGAAAAGGAAATTCGTTGATAGGTGTCTTTTCCTGTCAAGCTTCGGGCTTTCACTTCGGATTTTGTATGCCAGCAATAGTGCTGCCTGTACGATGCAAACCCGCCAGAACTGCCCGAACATTGCTCAGGGAAGACAAAAAGAGGTCCAAAGATGAATTTAAACGGATCGAAAATGTCGCGCGAAGCCAGGGCCAGACAAACGATACTGACAATTGCATGCTTCGGGTCAAAATAAACAAGAACCGGAACAAAGAAATAATACGAGGGTAAGGATAGGGTGAATATGTTCACGTGTCGGCATCAAAAAAGAACGGCAAAAAACAAATCTCGTGGCCATCCCAGGCCAAAGCCACAAGAACTGTCAGCTCTGGACGGCCACTGTTGGGTCAACTACCATCCAAGGCGTAACCCAACAGATATCTTCATTGTATGCTCTAAGCCACGGGGGCAATGGAAGCAACCGGGGGGGCAGGGACGCTGCTAATATCGACCTCAGGAGGGATCTCTCCAACTCCGGGGGCGCTCTTCTGGGGGCAATCGCGAGAGATGTGTCCAGCCTCGCCGCACTGGTAGCATGTCTTGCCAGCAGTGTTGAGGGGACCGCCGTTGGGAGCGGTGCAGTCTCGGGAAATGTGACCGAGCTTGCCGCAGGCGTAGCACTTCATAGCCTGAGCCTGGCAATCACGGGCAAAGTGGTTGGGGCCACCGCACTTGTAGCAAGTGGCAGGGCGAGGGCCACCGGCGAAACCACCTCGGCCGTAGCCACCGGGGAAGCCGCCACGGCCCATAGGAGCACCACGACCCATAGGACCAGGGCCAACAGGGTTGGGGCAAGCGCGCTATCATATAGTCAGTTATGCTTCAAGATCAACAACAGGCTTGTCCATACAGCAAGATGACCGGGCTGGCCACAGTTGTAGCAACGGCCGCTGGTACCAGTACCGCTCAGGCGGAGTGTAGGGCAGTCAGCCTGAACGTGGCCGAGACCCTGGCAGTGGTAGCACTGCTTGGCCTCGGTGGTTCGGGGAAGAGGGCATCCGTTGGACTCGTGGCCTTGCAAACGTTAGACATGTATTGTGTGCTTGATACAAGATTGACATACCGGGCTGCTTGCAGTTATAGCAGAGGCGCTCAGCAGAAGAGCAGACCTCAGCGTAGTGGCCAACATTGCCACACTTGTAACAAGCACGTCGAGAGAGGGAAGACATTGTGAATAGATGAGTCTAGGGTGGAACTAGTTAGTAACAGTTCTTAAAAGAACATTGCTATGTGCAGTGTGAAGCTGCCGTTGCAAAAGTGTCGCCCCTGGTCATCGATGTTGGTCTCCAGTTGTCAAGTAGCATAATTGTCGAGCTCGTGATTTGGTTATAGAATGATAATTGAGTTGTTGATTCAGTCCATCACATCGTATAGTGAACACGAGGATACCCAAGCTGGCCGACGACGAGGAGAGTATCCCGGATACTTGAGTATCGGTGATTGGGAATGTAGCGACGAAGGTACTAAAGACATTGCTCAAGCTGCTCTTGGTTGGCCAAGGTTGCGACGAGTAGTTCGTAGGTATATTCATCGTTGACAATCGTCATAATACAGGTAGGTGTATTTCCGGATTGCGAAACCCCGCACTTGAGTCTTGCCGAGGGGCAGCCAGCGCCAACAGCAGAGCTCTCGAAGAAATCGCGGCATCGAAGATATTCCCACTCGGACCGGAACCGTTGACGACCGGAGATTGCGCCGGGATGTCGGGTCGTACACGGAAGAACAAGACGGAAAGTATTTGTAAATGTGTTGATGGACGAGCGAGGCATCAAACGCGGGATTTCTTGGATCGGCGATGGCAACAGCGAGGAGGTGCGATGCAGGCGAAATAGAAAATCGATATTGATGCCATTTTCAATAAATTCGAGTGCGAGGGGCCAAATGTCTTCGATATTTGCGATAGCCGAGGCGGTTTGGATGCAGGCGTTGTTGTCGCGCAAATGGAGGGGCAGCAACACAAAGCACAGCACAGCGCAACACAAAAACCAAAAACGCAATGTAGCAGCTTAGCATCAATGTATCGACGTACCTTTTTGGGTCCTTGAGGAGCTTGATGGGTAGGTGAGAAGTGAAAGTAAAAAATATGATCCAATAGGTGGATTTGCAAACAAAAGAGGTATCGAGAAACCGAAAATGGGCACTTCAACACCAAGAATTCTTCAGAGTTGTTTGGTCTTTGTTCCCAAAATGAAATGGAGATAATTTTTTGATTAAAAAATTTTCAAAATGAGGGGAGCACACACAGAAGGAGCGAATGACATACTGCCTGCCTTTCTTCACCTTACGACTGGACAAACCCCCAGGCCCGGAAAACGACACTAGGAAAGCGCACCGAACTTACCACCAAAGCCCAAACCCGAGTACCAAGAGCAGCCGAATTGGAATTGAATGATTGGACTGCAGATTGTGGATTGTGTGTGGATTGTGGGGAGGGGCGACTCTACTCAGCGGCGCAACGCCCTGAACCTGAAGTGGGAGTAGGGGGGAGGGGAAATGGCTCATGTCACTTTCAACGGGAAGTGAGAACTGAGCAACCACTAATTACTCGACATGACGGACAATGAATGAGAGTTGGCATTGAGCGTGATGCAGAGTTGTTGAACAATGACTTGATTGACCGACTCTGATTAAAGTACAATAGATTTCGACATAAATTTGACGGATCCTCGTGGACGTACCTTTTTCTTCAACCTCGCTTACACTCACGCGCTTGCAAGCGCCATGGGACTAAACCACATACGACAGAAGCCATTGGCTGAGGGTCTACGTCTTTACACAACCCAAAAGATGATGAACTTGACCTCGCTTCTTTAGGAAAGAATGAGAGGAAAGATGTTTCCAGCCGTCGCTAGTATGCCGTCTTATGTGGTTGTGGTACCTGCCAAACAAGCTTTAGGAATGCTCACTAAGAAGTTAAAGTATGCACATGATAAGTTTAATTCTTGAACTGGCCTATCAAGCAATCCGAGTTTGAGATGGCTTGAATGAAGATCCAAGCTCAGGTCCTTACTTTGAGTATCTAGTTGAGAACTTCAAACGCAGCCGCAACTGGCAGGGACCAGAAGCGCGTGATCCAAAGCCCCCGGCCATATCATCCACGTCTAGGATTCTGCCTTCCGAGACTCGTGATCGATATCCCCTGCTTGAAAAAGAAAGATGGGCTGATATCGGAATTGATGGTAAATATGCACCAGGCGAGTATCATCGAATCTGGGGCCTCATTCAGACCAACACGCAATAATCCCATGGGAAGATTCAGATAGCATGGAAGCCAACTATTAAGATATATAAAATAGACAATAATTAGAATATTTTATAAATAATCTTAACCAATGATTATATAAGATAATATAAAATAGTGTATTTTAATATAATTTAGATCATTTTATATATACTCCTATCCTATAATTATTTAAAATTATATAAAATAGAATATTCTATCATAATTTATATTATTTTATATAAATTTAGAAGAGAGGATCCGATGTAAAGTCGGGCGGGGTGCAGTGCCAGCCGATCAGAATGGTGTTACAGCCATTACGATGTAGCAGCTTATTGAGTTGCTTTGTTTAATAGATCCGACAACTCTTTGATGATATCCTCCCTAGGTAGTTTGTCGTAACTCTGCGTTCTCCTTCCTCTGGGCCTCAAGTTCATTCTTCACGGTGTCAAGTTCATTCTTCATGAATCCGTTCTCGTTCTTCACGGACTGAAGTTCTTTTCCCATGGACCTATTCTCCTGTTCTGCAGACTTAAGTTTTTCAGATAAATACTGAGTCTGATAAATCTGTTCTCTGGAAAGTTTCATCTTTCTCTCTGTCCTCGTTGGTCTAAGGCCGAGCATACGCCAGCCCGTGCTGCGAGAATCCTGAAGAAGTCGGAGGCAACGATTTGTCTAGCAGTGACCCATTTTTCAGCGATTTGCGGAAGTCAGCTCTTATGGGTTCTTTTTCGGGGATAGGTGACTTGAAAGGGCCAAAGGCTGGCGCTTCGGAAAAAAGGAGTTGTTCTGTGCAAGCTTGTTGCCATGTGCTCGAGTCTGGTTGTTATTATACGACTGCCCAGTTACTGGGTCCCTTGGAAGCCCATACTGGTGAGGCACTGATGATGTCGTTACAGGCTTGGCCATCTTGTCCACGTCTCCGAATAGAGACTTGCGTTCACATCCAGGCAAATAGTTGACAACACCCTTGGCTTTTTCGTCCTCAGCCTTGGTCTTTTCCGCTTCAGCTTTTTTAATGCGTGATTCACTGTCTCATCAATTCTACTTGAGCAGCAGTTGGATGCCAGTCGTTTTCCTCCTCGAGTACTGGGTTTTGGGTACCAGGTGGCTTCAAAGACTTTCGTTGAGGGTCGGGAGTCTTTGAATGTTGGCCTGGCGGCATCGATACAGGGTCAAGTGGCTTCACTTGGAGTTCAGGAGACTTTGGTTGAGGGTTGGAAGTTTTTGGATATTGGCCAGAAGGCATCGATGTGAGACTAGATGCCTTCACTTTAAGGCCAGAAATGTTCGCCTGGGGTTCAGAATGCTTCGCTCCAGAATTGAAACCGTCAGCCGAAGCAATATAAGGAATGTAACCATCAGACGGAGGATCGGTGCCCTGAGGGGGAGACGGAAATTGTGTTCTGTGTGACGTGTCAGCGAAAGAATTGAAGTTGAACATCCCAGGCTCCTGAGATGATTTTGCGGCAGGCCGAGAGACATGCCTTCGTGTTAACTTTCCCCTGGGTTTTCGTTTAGGCGTTGTCTCGGGTTTGTGTTTCTTTGGAGTTCGTAAAGTGGTTTCCGATAATAAATAATCCGTCTTCCTCTTGGTTGCCGATTTGTCTACCCCTGGAACAACATGTGGTGGAGAGGCGCAAACACTTCCGCCGCTTTTGGACCGCCTCTCAAAGAGACGCATCTCTTGTTCGGGGTTAAGACCTGAAGGATAGCTAGGTTCTGTTGTTGAAAACTTGAACCCCAGTGCTTGAGTAGTCATCCACAAGCTTGTCGACGGTCTTATTACCCTTGTATGTCGCAAGGATAATAATAAGGCCAGGGAAATAAAGGATGGATTTGCCCCTGTTTGCATTTCCTTTCGCTCTTTTGTAGTGCTCGTGGGCAGCGGGTGTAGCTGCATTCTTGGCCCATTTCGTACTCTGGAGATAAGTAGTTGTAGAAGAGACAGCCTGCTTCGACATCATTGGGCGCAGTTCTTCAAACCAGGCGAGAACCCTTTCGACTGAAAAGAAGAAAGAGGGAGATAAGTGGCTCAGGGGAGAGAGGAGAGGTTTATATACCGCGAAGGTCTCCAGTGAATGAGGAGGCAGTGAATGAGGAGGCAGTGAATGGGGAGGCAATAAATCACTGCCAGCAAACAAGGAGGCAGTGAATCACTGCCAGCAAACAAGGAGGCAGTGAATCACTGCCAGCAAACAAGGAGGGAGTGAATCACTGCCAGTAAATAAGGAGGTAGTGAATTACTGTTAGTAAATGAGGAGGCAGTGATTCACTGCTAGTAAATAAGAAGGCAGTGAATCACTGTCAGTCAGGTCTAGGCAGGATTCTTTTTTTTAAGAATCACTGTGGTTAGTATTTATCCCCTGCTCGCAGAAGAAGGATAAGCTGATATTGTAATCCATGGTGAACATTAGCCTAGCGAGTATTATATAGTAAGATCATGGTCATGTCACTGTGTTCTCGCTGTCGCATTATGATGGGTGTTTCTGGCTGCGGGATACAGGGTTGAGACGCTATCAAGAGATATGTGGTGTTTGCTATTCAGTTGGTACCCGAGCCACGCGACCAAGCTCCGAAGGATGCATTGGAAGAGGCACATCAGACGTTGGTGCTGTAGACCGAGGTTCCGCCTCAACTACATACGATATACCGTCCTCGGACACATACGATGGTGGCCGAGGACCAGACCGGGTATTGGGTCTTATCTGAGAAATATCCACGTCCTGGTTACGTTGCCAAAATAGACGGTCCGGGTCGACTCGCTGCTGATTGTTAGCGTCATGTATTCAGTGACAAAGAAATCTGCACATACCACTGTCTCGCGCCAACGACCATAGGCTGGAGGTAGCACCTTTGTCGCTTCACTTTCCATGCCTACAGCCTCTTCATCTCGCGCAAGAACAACGGGGATAGGAACAGGGGGCACTGCATATCGTGGAGCACGATACCGAGGAGGCCGATTTGCTCGCAGAGCTGCTTCCCGGTTCCCTCTTATTATCAATAGGCAGAGTCGGATGAGACTGTGGAAGAAGAAGGCAGAGGCGAAGAGTATTACGAGGATGAGCATAATGTTCATCTCACGGGTATTAACCTTGCTGGTGAGTGAGAGGCAGAAGTCTGAGATTTGGTTAGCATCGGGGTTCAAACCTATATCACAATTGGGACCATGACTTACAGACAGTGAGCAGTATTATCAGAAAGAGACCCGAAGTCATACATCTCAGGACCTGTGCTCTCATGCGCCTTGACCGAACCCAGGGTATACAGCCCAGGAAATACTTTGGTTGTTGGTGACTCCTGTGCGATCGCTGCTGGTCTCTTTCTCCATCATGATGTTGCCGCCTCCTCCGTTGTCGTCGAACACTGGGCCCGCCAAGAATTTCAGAAAGATGCGCCTCAAGAGGATCATGAGGAGTTCGATGGCGACGTGAGCGCCGTGATTGATGGGATTCTGAAGGAGTAGCCACAGGCTCCGGCCTCGTCGTCGGTGTAGCTTCAGTTATGGGCAGCAGCGGCGCAGGAGATGCAGTGGCATTGCGAATGTCGTTTGTTGACGTGTTGTTGTTACGGCCCCATACTCGTAGGAAACCAGGAAGTGCGAACCGTCGAGAAGCACCAGGCCGATTCGCATTGGAGTCTTGGGATTTGATGCTCTCGATTTCGGCGAGCTGAGGTTGCCCGGTCATTGAAGCAGGTTCTCCACGGTTCAACAGCTGTGATAATGGCGCTGCACTTGGGCGAGTCTCTTGTATAGTGGGCTGACGCTGTCCGGCCTCGATATCAACATGGACGTCGACGTTGGCGACGCCTCCATTCGGACTACCACCTCGCTCCATACGTGATCGTTGTATAAGATCAGCGCGCAGCCTCTCCATGTCAGAACCTTCCATAGGCATCTTGTCTTCAGCGGGGACCGAAGCAGTATATAGATGAGCCGGACCGTTCCGCGGGTTACGACTCAGGGAAAGCGACTAAGTGGGCGCTATCGTGAAATTTTAATAAGGTAGCAAGAAAAGACATACGATTAAACACGCTCAACATGAAAAGACTTCTTGTTGCATCACCTCGGACATCATCAGCAGAGGGAATAAACAACAAGCTTGAGATAAAGATAGACGAATTAATAAAACAGAAAAAGAAAAGAGTTCAAGAGCCTGTCTTGAACACGCGACTTGAGACAGGAACTGTACGCAAAGGGACGAAGACAGGGAAACCAATAAAAAGAGGAGACAAAGTCGATAAAGCGATGCAAGAGGCAAGCCCAGGCGATGTTATGATCTAAATTACCTACTCTAGTGGGCAGCTGGTGTTTGCAGTTCGCACGAGGATCCCTTTCGACCCCTTGATTGACGGACGACCCGTCACATCACGGCCCATGTCACGACAACCTAGCCTCTAGCCTTGCCTAGTTCAAGGAACGGACCCTCCGAAAGGGACAAACCGTACCAGGGATCGTGAGATCCTGAGCCTGCCAAGCAAGGGCTTGTTTGTGGGTTCAGTGCGATAGGAAGTCATCCAAAGTAAACAACAAGGATCTCTTTGCTTTTACATTGAGAAATGTGATTCACAGCAGTGTGTGGCTGTTTGCGGAAGAAGACTTTTCCTCTGGTTGGCTTCCAAGAGATCAACACGCTACACATAGCAACTGGTATGAGAAAAAGGATTGGACATCGCGTGCAGGAAAAAACGTGGGAGTCCGAGCACTATCCAGGGGTAATTAAAAAAAGAGCTTCGAGCTAGTCCAGATGCGGATCTCGACTTGTCCCCTTGATTCTGCCATCAAACTTGGACGTCTCGGGCTGAAGCATGTCTCCATTTTGCTTGGAGCGCATCGTAGCCAACCAGGTTTTGCAGTAAAAACATGAAACTCTCTGTGGTTTACCACTGCATGGCCAAAATGCAGAGTTGAGCAACTATTGAACAAGAGCGACAAGGGGTGCAGACAAAATAGAGGTTTCTAACCCCAATTGGATGAAGATGCTCCCCTGCAGTTTGCTGGTGTTTGAGTGTGGCTATCTTCAAGGGCATGATAGAGATCTGCTATTCATCGATTATTTGCAGTTGCAGATAACAGACCACCTCGCAAGTCAACACATCTATGCGTGCCCCCAGCTGATGTCTCATGTTTTGATACAAGCCATAACGCCTCCTACACCCTTCCCAAAGTTTGATGAAATTTGTACAATACATGTATGCCGCAATTCGCTTTTCTAGCCGTTGGTGTCGGCTCCCTCGGTTTGAATATTGCTACTCCCTGGCAATAGACAAAGTCGCAACAGAACTCCCTACTTTCATCTCATCTTAATTGCTACACTATTCAGCCTTGACGAGGATAATGCCGATCCCTTGTCACGTCCGTCTTGGAGAAAGGTTGTCAGTAAACCAATTCCGATATTCGGTTGCGCAACTCTCTTGACTCAATATCGCCAGGGAGCCATAGTAAATTAGAATACGGGGCTGTCGCTGACTCAACTCATTTTAGCTCGCCAAGAAGCATCGTGCGGTCCGACGATGCGGAAAGTACTGCATCTCGTTAGTTTCCTGACTCGAAAACGGCTGTCAACACTTACGGATAGGCTCATCTCCAGGCGAAAACTCAGCACAGTTGACAGTGCCCTTGTGACCAGGCAGCTTGTAAGCGAGTTTGCCTGTCTCGCTTGACCAGACCATGACTGTTCCATCGCCCGACGCTGCAGCAATTCTCTTGCCGTCCGAGTCCCAGCTTGCTCCCAACAGGTTCTTCTCCATGCCCATTGTCGCGCCGTCAAATGTTCGGATGTGTCTTTCTGTAGGCGCGAAAGGTCGGATATCCCATGTTCGTACAGTAGAGTCCATGGCGTATGAGACAAGCGATTGAGAGTCTGGTGAAACCCTCAGTGAAGTGACGGTGTCTGAATGGCCTAGCATGGAATATACCACCGACTTCTTTCGCAGGTCCCAAACTCGAATATCGTTGTCGATACCTCCCGCATATATCTCGTTACCTGCCTCGGACACAGCAATAGCAGTAATAGGGAATTCGGTCTGAATGTAGTCGACAGCATTCTTCGATCGCGGATCCCAGATTCCAATGGTCGAGTCGTCGCTACCACTGACAAGTATTTCTTCTCCTCGTCTGCTGATGCCCACTGTGTTGATAATCTCCTCGTGTCCAACATATCTGCGGATTCGCGTGCCTGACGTCAAATCCCAACTCGCAAGATGCATATCAGCGGAGGCACTGTATAGAATTTCTGAGTCGCGTGACCATTGCAGGTCCAGAATGGCACCCCGATGGCCATTCAATATGCCGTAGTTTTCGCAATCGCCGTAGGTTCTCCAGAGCACTACTAAAGTCAGTCTACTATCGCACCAAGGTCATGATCTTGACCTACTCAAAGATCTGTCCATTCCACCAGAAGCAATCAGGTTGCCTGTTGGGTCGAATTTGGCTGCGAAGATCTCGCCCGAATGCCCTGAAAGTTCCATGACAGGAGCTTGCAGCGCGCTTGTTCTCGGTGCCTATACCAGTCAGTCCACTGTCTCTGGGGACAAACGTTTGTTATACTCACAGACTGTACCAACGCATTGCTTGACGCGTTAAGGCGTGCCAGTGCGCCTGTAGAAGAGTTAACATTCTGTCGCTTTACAAGCGACTGAGACGAGCCGGGCTCGTCGCTGGCGGGACGCTTTTCGGTCATTGTGAAGTTGGGAAGATATTAAACAAATAATTGAACTAACGCGACGCCGTTTATGTGAATGCGCCTGCTTTTTGTCGATTTCTGGAGCTATCAAGTGAGCTTGGAGCTTCCTGTTGCTTCACTTTTGACGATGGTGGTGGGCTTCATGCAAAGCAAATCAAAGCTCAGCGAATGATTGGTGGTCGGGCCGAAAATTGTTCCTGATGTCGGTGGTTCAACGCTCCGTCCACCGACTTCCTAGGGCGGTGTTGGCGCTTGCTTGACCTCCCTGGCATAGCTACATTGACACAGCTCGGCCTACGTATGATATTGGACTGTGTGCACTTACATCTTCTACTCAGCTTCTACAAATACTGAACCTGGCTGTAAAGCTTGGTCACCGTCCCTAAGTAATTGCCACAAGTCTCGCGCCATCTTCTTCCTACAGCCTCAACCATGGCTGCGAACAAAGCGACCCGTGTAGGGGAAGAGTATGTTCATCATGACAACGATCTACTGGTGGTTTCACATATATGCTAACTCTACTCCAGGATCTGGAAGTATGCGATTGCTTCTACCTCCCGAACCAGAATGTCCGTCTGACAGAATGACAGAACCCGAATCGACAAGGTCAACGCCGAGCTGGTCACTTTGACTTACGGAACGATTGTCGCACAACTATGCAAAGATTACGAGAGCGACTACGCCGAAGTGAACAAACAGCTTGATAAGATGGGCTACAACATTGGCCTGCGACTTATCGAGGACTATCTCGCCAAGTCGAACACCATGAAACGATGCGCCAACTTCCGCGAAACGGCCGAGATGATCTCACGGGTATTGATATTCATTATACGATCATTGACACCGACTGACAAAACGATCAGGTCGGATTCAAGATATTTCTCAATATCACCCCACAAGTTATGAATTGGACTAGTGAGAATGACCAGTTCTCGTTAGTGTTTGAAGAGAACCCCCTCGCCGACTTTGTCGAGCTTCCTGATGATGGACGAGCGCAAGACCAGCTTTGGTATTCCAACATTCTATGTGGAGTACTACGAGGTGCACTAGAAATGGTGCAGATGCAAGTTGAAGCTCACTTTGTCAGCGATGTCTTGCGGGGCAACGAGAGCACAGAGATGAGGGTTTCGCTAATTCGATACCTCGACGATGAACTGCCACCTGAGGACGATTGAGAGACCTGAGGAAGGCAGTTACGAACGTGACGACTATTTGGCATTGCCAACATTGACGGATGACCAAGTGGACATCTACCTAGTAGTTATTCACGGAGAGGGAGCTTCTCCCTAAACACCACTCACTGGTGGCATACATGACGATTTGATGTCGATCAGAACAACTGGTATGAAAGCCAAAGCTTGGGACGAAGTCCGTCTATCAATCTTATGAGATTTAGCTAGGGAACGTGGCATAATGTCAAATAGCCATGGTGAAGGAAAGCTATCAGCCACGTGCTAAACTAGATACGCACGAATACAAATCCAGCTCACGCCACAGCCATCGGCGATGGCGCGATGATGATGATTCTTTATTTGTCATTTGGTGAATTGTGTATCACAAACGAAACCTAAAACATGTATTCGTGATATATCAGTTTTGCATTCTCGTCCAGTGAAATCGGCACTAACTGCCAGGAGGCATTATTGTGAGTAGAGTACGGATAGGAGGGCAATAGTTCCGACAACTCCTTCTCTTCTTTTCTAAACTTCATATAAGATATTATAAATTATGATAAAACGTCTTACTTGTATAATTATGTATAAGCTTACCCTAAGATTACTTATAAAGTGTTCTAATTATTCCAAATTAATATATCTTTGTATTCCTCGCTAGGTTGTTATCGGAATTCTTACAGGGACTGTAGATTGATAACGTCAGATTCTCCACGATATGTCAGACGCATCTGTTAGTGGAGGTACAAGTCGACCCCAGACTGATTGACGGTCACAATCATGCCTGAGGCAATCGCTTTTTCTCTGCTCCTTTTCTGCCTCCAGCGTTGTGCCTCAGGTCTCAAATCTGGTGATTTTCATCCATCATTCCCAGTAGTACGCACCTTGGTCTGAAAATTACGCATCCAAGCGCAACGCGCCAAAATCAGCGCGCCAATCGCGTAGATGGCCGTCTAGAAAGGGCACGCGCCTGAGAGATCAGGGTCAGGGTCCAGTCCGTTCCAATTCTGTGGGGTGACGCGACTTGATCATTTGTGTCCGCTAACAGCTAACATGGTTGCAAGTGCAAACCTTGAGTGCGAGCCCCTGAAGAGCATCCACTACCAGCCGCGGTACAGGCCGCTAAGTGTGCTGAGGTGCGCTGAAATACTGAGCCTCATAGGGCCCGGGCAGTTTGGCAGCCCTGTGGTTGATCCAGCCTCCCGGCCCTGGTTAAAGAAGCCGCCTCTTTCTGTGCATGTTCCATGTGCATCAAACCGGTCTCGGTAGTTTGGGCCAGGTCAAAATTTCTTTGAACGATAACGTAGAGCAGCCAGATATTAGATTAGCAGGTTTCTACAGTATCTTGCTTCAATCACCGTCTCTATTCTTATCTACTGTGCCAGATTCGCTTACATGCATTCATTCTCTACCACATCCATGATCGACCGTCCAGAGTTCTTTTAGCTGCAAAGAGGTAAGGCATTTGGTGGATCTTCGCCCCAGGTCCAGGGAAACCTAAACTTTTGGCAACTGGTGGGCGCTGCCTTGTACATAGTAATGCTGTCTTTTGCCGTTTTGGACCATGGTTTGGCTTGCTGTACTTGTACCTAAATTGCATGCGTCTAACCATTGAGGTGCATCACTGTAGATCCAAAATGCGGAGAGGATTAAAATCACGATACTGTTGGCAAACATGCTTGCGTTGAGGATGCAGTTTATTGAGTTACATGGATGTGACGGTTATTCATGAATTCAATTGAACGTATCAGTGTTCCACCTAGGGAGGGAATGGAAGGGAATAAGAGCAACAAGAAGAAATGTACATACGGATATCCCGTCCTCCCAATGCCACCCACCGCCCAAATCAAGGACCACGTTTTTCACCCACAACCTCTGCCTTGCTCCCTTTCACTCTCACTCACACCTTTTTTCCTCCATCAAACAAAAACAGCACCTCGCGAATTGCTCGGCTTGACGCTGCTTGGTTTTGCAAAACTGCATCTCCATCTCCAAACCGCCTGAACTGTCGCGCTCGACAAACTCAGCAGACACTGGACTCTGACGTTGACAACACCCTCAGTATACTGGGGCTCCCGGCCTCTCCACTGTTCCCGTCCGTTCCATTTGGTGTTTGAATCTTTTGCGGTGCCTCACGTATACGGTAGGGAGGTACCCTTTTAACCTCTGGGTCGTTTCGTTGGATTGGATACCAAAAGGTACCTACGTTCTGCCGTGTCCAACCGCAGGATCCCAAGTACCCTCCCACCCCTGGCAAAATTGCCCAACCCTGGACAGTCTCCGTCTGGGCAGACTCTCTTTTTCTACGCTGGGAACAACTGAGGCAGCGGCCCATCACCTCAGGAAAGCACAAGCCCAGCGCCCACTTTCCACTCCCAGTTACCTCGACACTCCGCCAAATCCAACCTACACCAACCACACCATATTCATCCACCATTACTTTGCTGTCTTCAGCTCATCACCGCGACATCGACCTTGGGTCGGCTATCGCATCGCATCACATCGCACTTCTATTTGAGTGTTTCTTTATTCACTTATAGTTACCTGCGACATACGTTTCCGCCCATTGCCGACGCCTGACACGATCTTCCAATTCCCGCTACTCTGGCTCGCCTCTTCTCCTAGTCTCGTGGTTCTCGCGATCCTCGCCCCCCCACCCGACCGCGCGCCTGGCAACTTGGACCGCGTCCACATCTCTTCGCTGGTGATTACTTCACTCGCGCCTTTTGGGTTTACTGTCCGTCACGCCTACGTCGGGAGGCTATCCAGCGCCGATCCGCCTGGTGGCACGCCCCCGTGGCTACACGAGCCCCCGACTGCTGCCGCTGCGGCAGAGCCTCTAGGCCTCTCTCTGCTTTCTCACCAGTCACCTTGAACTGTTACGGTCATGAATCCCAACGTGAACATGGCCAACATGAACCCCATGGGCGGCCCTGTTGGAGGCGCCCCCATGCCCATGATGAATAACGGCGCCATGAACCCCCAGGCTGCGGCTGCTGCCGCCGCCGCGTCTCGCCAACACCAGGCCAACGATAACCAGCGCAGCGTTCTCAACACCTATATTTACGAGTACTTTATCCGCATGGGCATGTACGATTGCGCCCGCTCTCTCCTTTCCAGCGATCAGCAGGTCAACGTTCTGAAGGATGGCGCGAACCGCCGTCGCGACGAGAATGGCAATCTCATCAATGGTGTTGGGGAAGATCCTATGGACACCGACTCTAAAGACGATATCGATTCCAAGCTACCCGAAGACTTGCCTCCGCCGAAGCTCCCTATGCCTGCTTCCGACACTTCTTTCCTTTACGAGTGGTTCTCCGTCTTTTGGGACATCTACTACGCGCAGCGCGCCAAGAGCGGCAACAATACCATCAATCAATATGTCCAACACACTCAGGTAAGCCTTTCTTTCATATATCTAAGTCGCAATGCCACCTCGGGCACGTTCAGTTGTGTGAGCCTCTTTCAGTCAATGTGAGATGGCGTCAGATTAACTGCTCCTGCCTCTAACCTTTGGTAACCACTTGGGTTGGTGACCAATGCTGACCCTTGGTGGCAATGTAGCAGCAATCCCGGCTAAAGCAAAATCAACAGCAGGAACTTCTGCGTCAAATGAGACCAGACATGTCCCAACAACAGCAATATCAAATGATGCGAAACATGCAAAACGGCAACATGGCCATGAACATGAAGCAGAACAACCTCGCCCGCGCTGCCATGGCCAACAACCAAAACAAGTGAGCTTCTTATTTCTCATCTTATTGATAAGCCCCTCGCCTAACCGTGATATCCAGCCCTCAAATGATGCTACAGCAGGCCAAGCAGAACCAGATGCAGCGAGACCCTTCAGGCATGGATGGCCAGAACAGGCCAACTTCACCATCATCAGGGGACAACGCTCCCTCGCCTTCCAAGCGACAGCGCATCGATGGCGCGCCTTTCAACCCTAACCAGCCCAGTGCTATGATGCCTAACGGTCGTCCTGGCCAGGTCATGCCCGGCCAACAGATGCCTGGAGGACCTAACACCGCCGCCGCTCAGCAAATACTCACCGCCAACGGAATCAACCCTCACTCGCTACACCCTCAACAACTGCAGAACTTTGCCAACGCTCCACCCGCCGCCCAGCAGAAGTCGATCGCAACCTACTCGCAGAACCTACAGCAACACCATGGTACGCAAATGGGAGGGAAGCAGATGCCTAATGTTCCTCAAGGCCAAGGATCTCCAATGATGGCCCAGGGTCCAGATGGAACTGCTCTCAATGCGTTCTACAACCCTGGCGACATGGGTGGCCCAGGCGGTATTCGGCCAGGACCTAATGGTCCCCAAAACGGAGGGGGAAGCAACCATGCCCTCCAAGACTATCAAATGCAGCTAATGCTTCTAGAGCAGCAGAACAAGAAGCGACTCATGATGGCCCGCCAAGAGCAGGACACCGTCGGCAACGGCATGCCTCGAGAAGGCCAACCTGGGCAACCCGGTGGCCCACCTGGGCCAAACGGCCAGTTCCCGGATACATCACCTCAGGCTATGCGCCCAGGTGCATCGCCCAACCCTGCTGAGCAGATGAAGCGCGGTACACCTCAGATGAACAACTCCGGTATCCCTTCGCCGGTTCCCGAGGGTGGCCAATCTCGTGGCTCACCCAACCCAGCCATGAACTTCATGGGTAACCAGATGGATCCCAACATGGCACCTCACTTCTTCAAGGGAATGGAAGGTAACATGGGTGGCCAGCCTCAGATGAACGCTGGCATGAGACCACCCAGCTCTCACCCCGGTCAGCCCTTTAACGGACAACAGATGACGCCACAGATGATGGCCGCCGCAAGACAGCAGCAACAGCAGCAAGGACAACCAGGCCAAGGGCCACAGGGAAATCCCCAGCAATGGCAACAAGGGCCTAACGGCCAGATGATTCCTCAGCAGATGCAGCAACAAAGTCCTCAAATCCAGGGAACTCCTCAGCAGCGATCGATGCCTCCTCCTCAGGCACCACCTGCTGGCGCAAACGGAGCCAACAGGACGACAGCATCACCTCAACAAGCAGCTGCGGCTCCGCCAACACCTAGTCAGACTAACAAGGCTGCTCCCAAAAAGAAGGAGTCCAAGGCCGCTAAGGATAAGGTGAATTTTCCTGTCGATTTTTTATTCCCGGTAGAGACTGACCAGTATACAAGCGCGCTGCCGCCAACAAGAAGGCAAACCAGAATCTCAACAACGCTGGTGCAACCCCTTCCAACGACAACAATGATTCACAGGATACGCCTGCTCCTGCCACGCCTATTCAGAACGCCAATGCTGCCAACTTCAACAAGAACGGCCAAGCCGGAAATGCTGGTCAGAATGGTCAACCTACGACTGGTGCAGCTGCTAATGCTCCTGTAGCTGCAACGACTGCTCCGCCTCCCGCACAGCCTGCTCCTCAGCATGATCCTAATCAAATGATGGGCATGGATAACAGCTTTGGCCCATTGGTATGTGTAATTCTAACATAATTCAAACATAGTACTAACAAAAACCGCAGTTTGATGGTGGTGGCATGGAGTTGGCTAACCCCCTTAACTCGGGTGACGTACTCAACGACTTCGACTTTGATTCGTTCCTTCACGACCAAGACGGTGACAACTCTGCCTTTAACTTCACAGAAGCTTTCCCGATGGGCGATGAGATTGGAGCAGATTAATGACTTGAGAGAAGAAGAAGGTATGGGTTGGCTGGCATTACACACACGGTCTTGGGTCAGACTTAATCAGGCATCATTTGTCACGGCGTTCTGAGTGGAAACTATATCATGGTCATTCGGCGATCAGGTTTTGGAGGTGATTTCCCTCTTATGTGGTGGTTCAGGGGAAAAGAGCACTATTTGTTTTGGTTTATGTTACCGACGCTGGTTGTGGTGTTTGACTGAAGCTGGTTCGACACGCACTCTGACTTGGATTTTTATCCGGAAATCGCCAGTCGTGCCCGTCTCTTTCTCTCCTGTTGTTTTTGTTGTTGCTGTTTTTCTTGCATTTCTGCTATGCTCCTTTCGGGTACTGCTTTCACTCATGGCTACACGGTGGAAATCCTGGCGAGCTGTGGGAGGTATTTAAGATGGAGGTTGGTAGGAGCGGATATCCATCTGTGTAAAGTGTCGAATTTATTTATCTGGTGTATCCCTAAGTTCACGGCGAAAAATTACATACCACGCTTGCTCTCTCTTCTTTTTTGTATGTTCAAAAGACAGGACTCATTCATCCCCCAAATTTCCTTTTTCATTGGTTATGTTATTTCTCCTCTTTTGGTGGTTACTTGCGATTTGTTTTACGAGAGTTGATACGGGTGTATCGACAGACATTTGTCAAAGATTAACACATTACATGATGGTTCTGTCTTTAAGATTATGCAATAAAACGTCCCTTTGTCTTATTTCGCGATACCGCGCTGTGAAGTTGTAAAAGCTGTTATAGAAGGGTTTTACTCGCAAGGGGTGAACGAACTGGAAGTTAAAGCTGTCCAACACGGTAGTCCAAGTCTATTCTGGTATTACCACGCCATTGTCATTTCTCAAAACAGGTCCTGTTTCTTCCTTACTTCTTTACTTTAGTAACCATGTGCGTTAGATGCACGTGTGGCTTTACCAACTCGCCTACTCATCGCTAATCCCTGACGACTGTCTCTAGCGTCATCACTCTAGGGTTGTGGCTACGATCGCTCTCAGAGTGTAGAATAAAGTCTCACCCTACGCTCAAGACGGTGTTGGCAAAGTATCGGCTCTGGGAGGAAATAGGGTGCCAAGATTGCTGTCTACTAGCGATGAAATCATGCATTGCTTGCCCATCATAAATTGGCTGTGATTAATGTTCCTAGTATGCGGCCCAAAGACGCAGCAGCTGTTATGGCTGAGACCATATGAATTATACTAAGCTATTATTAGTTCATATAATCTTGTATAACTTTATCCTAAGACTATATAAAGTCGTCTAAGCACAGCACATTTAGTATCTCTATTCTGTTATGTATGTAGTTGGCTACCTATGCTAGGTAGTTATCGGAACTTTTGCACAGAATTGTACATAATTTTTCTTGGTCAAGGTTTAGTCATAACGTCGTGAATTTTTATCTTTGTATCCAGATATCTATTGACACCGATCCGCCATACGGGTGTTTAACCTTGTGTATCCGCCACTTCTGAGACCAGCGGGAGGAAGAACAATCAAGACAAGTCTGGGTACGTACACCAGAATCTGAAGGAGAAACAACCATTGCATGAATCAAAAGCCAGTCTCGAGATATACTACGATAATTGCGCCCTTACTACGTGTAGCAAGGGTAGAGAAGTGAAGAAGAGTGCCGAGAAAAAGCTGGCAGAAGAAAGAAGCGTTGAACGCTGAATGGAAGAAGACCGCATCCATAAGGGAAACTACTTGGTGCCTTCGTAGACAGCAACGTAGGCCACCTCCATCATGTTCTTGTAACCGGTCTCAGTAGCCTTGTTGGGGTTACCCTGTGAGTTCATGTTAGTATCCTGATACCCCTTTATGAATCACTCTAAATAATGGGATATAAACTTACAGGCCAGTTGCCGCCAACAGCGACGTTGAGAAGAATGTACATGGGAGAATGGGCAAGGGTTCCCCAGGCTCCCTCGTCGTTGAGTGTCTTGCCCGAGATGCTGTGGAAGGGCTTGCCGTCCAAGAGCCAGGTGATGGTCTCCTCCTGCCAGGTTCCAGGACGTCGGTCGATAACCACAGACCAAGCGTGGAACTCGTTGTCGGGAATGCTGATCGGCTGGCCAAGACCATCGGGTTCGTTGCATGGTCCGCCGCCAACCTCTCCGCAGTGGACGGTACCAAAGCCAGTCATATCACCGTTGACTCGCTCGAAGATGTCGATCTCACCGCAGCGAGGCCAGTCGGTACCGTGGCGGAGGGCATCGCCCAGCATCCAAAAGGCAGGCCAGATGCCCTGCTTACGAGCCGAGTCGCCCATTCGGATGCTGGCCTCGACACGGAGGACCTTGTTGTCGTCCGCATGCCAGGCCTTCTTGGACTCGAGACGTCCAGAGGTCCATTCTCCCTTGGCGTCCTTCCAGGGGACGAGCTGGAGTGTGTCACCGCCCGAGAGCTGGATGTTCTTGTTGGAGGTGCTGTACACCTGGAGTTCGTTGTTGGAGTTGACGTTGAGGGCCGTGTTCCAGTTGTCGTCCTTGGGGGTACAGCCCTGACAGCCAGTGAACTCTTCCTTCCAGACGATCTTGAGATCTGGGCGGTTGGGTACACTGGTGGCAGAGGCCAGAGAGGCGAGGCCGGCGATGATGGGGAGGAAGTTTCGCATGGTGTAAGTCGGGAGTGGAACTTGTGGTTGAAACGGAGAGATGAATTGAGAATGGAGACTTCTAAAACAATATCCAGTTCTTGGAAATGAACACGATGCTTTCTTGTTTTAAGGTTATAGTTATACTTTGATATAAGCCTTAAGATAGAGTCTTTTCAAGAACAAATGTCACTCAGAAAGGTAGATAAGGAATGATATGCCTCCAGGGCTAAAGGAATGAAACCGGAGAGACTGAAAAGGAGTGTAATTCGAAAAAGAACGAAAGCTTGAGATAAACTAGTATCTCGAAGCAAGATATCAGAAAAGAATGTGAGTGAGTGAGAAAAAGACTGGACGTGGTGGAGAGCAGCTTAGAACGCTGGCATGGTGGAATGATCTATATATACCCCCTACTTCATGCTTTTCTACAGCAGCCAAGGACCCGGGTCTTACGAGTGGAGTCCGCAGTATGTTATTACTGGGAGACAGAAGGAAACGAGATGTGAGGACCGGACATTAAGTGTGCTTAGAGCGTTTCGGGGCAGAGTTCCCCAAACAGGCTATGGAGAACATGGGGTAGGAGACGACAGACGAGTTTACTATGGGGCGGGCAGCATGAGATCGCATGAATGAGTGAAGGCTTAGCAGACTTAGCAGACTGGGATCTGCGAGCCAGACAGGGCGGCAGGACGGATGATGTTCAGGTACGCGAGCAGGCTAGACGGCTAGACTGGATGGTTCGACATGATCGGTTTGTGAGACTGCAGCTAATCAGCGGGAGGGGCTTGGGAGGGACGCTAGAGAACTTGTTCGAGTTGGATTCGTTCTCCCACTGTTAGAAACTTGATATATATATATATGTTGTCTACTGAGGCCAGCCAGTCTACTGCTGATGCTGCTATCTGCAGCACCCATCGTGGCAATCTCGGTCTGTATCCGTATAACGCAGTTACTTCTCAACCAGGAGACCTAGATATCATCAGTGGCAATCTTGACCAAGCATTATAGAAGCAGACGTGCGCGGCCATGTAAGAGATGGGCCGGGGGTATACTAGTGTATCGGATATAACCACAGGGGCTTCTACTATGGATTTTCTCCAGTGACCAATCCTAATCCTGGAAAGCACCTGCTATAACCACTAATCAGCAATTCGGAGATGAACGAATAAACCGGCTTTCCTATTTTCTTTTTCTTATTATGGTTCAAGAAACACAATACATCGCCGGGCGCTTAATGGGTGATGGGAACAGGTAACATGGTTATTGCTTGAAGCTTGGCAATTATATGAAACAAATGGAAAGAGAATCATTAACCAACGAGGAAGGCCATCGTACGCGGCTCAAGAAAGGAGGCGACAGGGGTGTAGCATCTGAAGCATCCACTGGCAGGGACATGCTGGGTTTCTGATGGTGTAGAATATCGTGGTCTCGAAAAAAGGATACGATACATTGTGCATCGATAGCTTTATTAATCTTGACAGCTAAATGATTCGGAATGTTTCACCGTCTCGTGTGGTTGGTTTAAAGTGGTTGTATTTTTAGCTGGGTCATGCACGTCGTCGTATCGCGATGCTTCTTGACCACATTGAGAAAAGCGCCATCGCTACGACGTGTCGATTACCCTGGAACTTGTAGATAGAGTTCATGCTATCGAAGATCACAGCAATCTACGGATATAATTATACTTTTATTTATATTGATTAAATGCTTGTATTCGTTTATTTTTGCGATAACTCTGTTTTGGTAGTCAGGAAGTTCTCTGGAGTGATTAATTAAATATCCGACTTCATGTGTTTCACAATTCAGCCAACCATCTTTTTCAGCCGATGAGGTAGGATTGGAAGCAACACCAAGCGATTTACTCTGGCAGACGTCCCATCCTATCATATCCTCATACTCCACTGATCTACCATCTCCTGTCGAGCGTTGACCCCATCCCCAGGTTTTCAGACTGAGCCTTGGTTATTCTTCTACCCGAAGGTCCGACCTCGTGAATGTGTGAAACGACCCAAAGTCTTGGTTCTGCAGCCGAATGCCCTTCATCAATGCATGCACACAACCCACGGCGGTTGACCAAAATGGTGCTCCCCAGTTGCCCTATCAGTGCATGAACCAGCATGAAACCAAACTATTCCATGTGGTCGTTCGAAGAGGCATAGCAGCTAAACTGCCAAAGTGTTTCGTTTCTGATTTAGAAACACTTCAATCGGCAGACATTTGCAATGGCTCGAGATCGCCTAGCCTCTCGTTGAGGTGCACAATAGTCTTCTCAAAGACCCGTGCCGCATCCATCTGCAGCATCATCTCGTCGTCGTCCTCGACGCCGCCCCACCCCCTGATAGCAGGTCCCTCCATATCCGTATCAGTATCCGTCACCGGCTCTTCATCTTCCTCGTCTTCCTCAGTGGGGTCTCTCATTACCTCGACCATTAGTACACGGCATTGATCAACTAAGCTTCGACATCGGATCATTTCTGTAGTCGTCAGGCCGCCACGCAGTCCGTTCCCAAAGCCCGGTAATGTCTCATGGGTCTCGATATCCTGGCCTGAAAGCAGACTGGCGAAGCAGTGATCCATTTTGCGCAATACGGAGAAAGACGCCTTTGGTGCAGGTGGGAATGACCGGACATATCGAGTAAAATCACTGGTGAGACGTAGTAGGAAGGGAATTTGAAGTGTCGCTGTGATAGCTATTAGTCTCGCGCTGGAGATCCTGAGCGTAGAAATACTTACGAGTGCCTGATCGCCATAAGACGTTGATGATACTATCCAAGTCGCGACAGACTTCACCAAATCTCTTATATCCAACCACCGAATCACCTGGTTCAGGGTTACCAAACTTCTTGACGTATCGTCGCGTAATTAGTAAAAGTTGTTCTTCGGCATATCGTCGAACCATGAATTCTTTGCTGGAGTTTGGCTTTAGTGACTTGCTTCTTGGCGCGGGAAGACCCTGGATGTTTGCAAATGATGAAGTTGAAGAGGGCGCTGGTGATGGAAGACCACCGTGAGTTGGTATGAACCCGCCTGGGCCGGGAGAGCTCATATCGCTATCCATAGTCGTCGTTCGATAGTCAGATGTAGTATATGGGTTGTGAAGTAAGTTGACACAATAGAGATACCTGAAAGTGAACTTGAGGCGAGTGCGGCTTAGAGCCTTACACAGTTGTCTTTAATAAGGTTTCCAACTGGATTCTGAGATTGATTAAGATTCCTGTAGACCTTTTGAGTCTCTCAGCCGTAACGCATAACGATCAATCTGACAATTCGCAGGAAAGAAACGACAAATTATGTAAAAACGATTACTCGCTGACAAAGAAACTCGATTTACATTTGATAAGCTCGCGACAAAGAAATGACGAAGCTATTGGCGATACTCTCAAGCAGTCATGGTGGGGTAACTTGGAGTCGGTACGTACTTTTCGCATTATGGCGTCAGTTCTTTAAGCGCGTATCATGTGACCACAACCGCTATCGGGCGCGCTATCAATGAGAAAGCTTCAGTTGGAGCTGTATCCGAAAATTTCCCTCGAATTCGACGACCACATCAACAACTACGCACGTCACCATACGCCCGCTGATTCTCTGACACGCAGAGCCCATACGAACGTCTTCACCTCAAATATCCGATTTTCATATTATCGCAATGGCTCCCCCCAAGCGCATCAATGTTGGAGGCTCTGGCCGCCGTGCTCCCAAGGGTGTTATCGGCTCCACCTATGACGCTCTTACCTCCCCCGAGAACGCCGCTGTCGTCCGCAGTATCGCTATCTTTGGTGTATGCTTGATCTTTTTTGGCTAGAATTATTGAGACGAATTGGTACTAACGAAGTAAATAGGCTGCTGTGACATTCCTCTCCAGCTCTTGGGGTGAGATCCTTCTACCTCCGTAAGTTGACCCTTCCACGCTCGACCTTCACGAACCACGGACTGACCATTTAACAGTCAGTAAATTACGCCGTAACGATACGCGATCAAACGAATGGGAGAGAAGGATACCGGTCATGAATTGGGTAGCGTCTACGGGCCGCCCTCCATGTACTATTTAATCGACATACTTGTACATTAGCTGGAGTCAGTGTACGTTTAGACAAGATGGAATTTCAATGTTAGCCTGTGCCTAGATAGGGCATTATGATATGGGCTGTGTAGAAATCGAAATGGCGACTGCGGCTAGGGTTTGGATATGAACTCGTCTCTTCAATCACTTTTTACTGTTTCTGGATCTGGACAAAGCTGTATATGTTTGCTTTTAATCCTTCTACTACCAAACAGTCAGATGTCTTAAGGCGACATCGGCACATGCTCATCTGCAGGACCACACCTTCCTCATGGAACCTCAAACCAGCGAGGGAAGGCTCCTTCCGTCTGCCCCAACGTCCTTGTGGCATCGAGCTACCACATTGACAAGGCTTCTATTGCTTTTACAATTCCATCTTCAGGCCCAGACTACATCCTCATCCTTTGAACAGACTTTGTCGGCATCAGCATTTGATACTTTCGCTTGGGATACGCACATGACGACGTGATCTTGATTAGTATTACCGCCTCAAGACGTCCTTCCAAGACCATTGCTTCCGCTACGCCAACATGACCACGCCGCCGTCTTCATTGAAAAGTTCACCACGCAAGATTCCATCCGAGATCTCGGATACTCGCAGCTTAGCATCGAGTAACTTCGCACAACTTCTCTCGAAATTCGAAGTGCTTGATGCCGTGTCGCTTAGCAATTCGTCTCATGCTTCTCCAAAAGTGAAACCTTCTGCCATCAAACCTCCTTCTATCGTTGGACAAACTCTATCTAGGTCACCAAAGCGGTCGTCCCAAGTATCGATCAAGATACGAGAAAGAAGTTCAACCGAGTCCAGTCAGTTCTCATCTGTTGGTCATGTCCCCCCAAAACAGAAATCTCAACAGCTACGCCGAGCGCAAACATTTGGTGCGAAGGCCCCTATCACATCGAGCGATAATGTGGGATCGAAAACAAGACAAATGTCTGTTGCTGAGAGGAGAATGATGTTTGAGACAGCTAGTCAAGGAGACAGTAAGTATGCGGCCGAGCTGTCTGGAAATAATGTTGATCAACCATGTAGAAAGTCTAACTCCTCACACCTCTACAATTTCTCGCTCAACTCAGAAACTGGCTCACTCGAAAAGCTGGCAATCGATCAAGACTATACGTTCTGCTGGAGAACCTCATAACAATAACGCTCCCATTTTGCAGGAGCTAACAAGCGACGATCTGGACTCCCCCTTGAAAGCAACCCCTCTGTCATCCCCTGTTGTGCATTCTCCTCGGACCCCCCTCGCTTCTGGTGAACCTCTAGGTACATGGCGATCTCCTTTGAACCGACCTGTCGACTCATGGCCTTCCTTTAAGCGTAGTAGCCTCATCATGGCTCCGCCCGATACTAGTCCAAGCTACACCAAGTCTCAATATACTGGAATGTCACCACACTCGGTACATACAGTAACGAAAAGTCAAGTCAAGATTGACGCTGTACCTGACGATAAGCAAAACGTCTTAATCGATGAAAGTCGGCATCACGGCTGGGTACGAAACGCTCGCAAGATAGCATCTTCGTTGTCGAACACGGTATCTGCGGGAAGCTCAAGCCTTCTAAACAGGTCCCGTGAATCTCAAGATGCTTCCAGTCAAGCTTCCAGTGGTACCAATGGTTTCATGTCGTTTAAGTTTGGGACGGAGGGGACGGTGAGTCGCCCGAAGCTGCCACGGTCCAGAATCGCAAATCTTCGAAAGAAGTTTGACCAGTCAAAGGAACAAGCGGCAATATCAACTGCACCTCATGAGATAACGCGCCGTGAATCAATCCTCGTCAAGACCGAAAAATTCAAGTCGCCATCCAAGTGCACACTTCTGGAATCTTCTGTTTCGTCAGAATCGGGACCTCTAAATACACAAGCATTTAGGTCCAAGAGTTACGCCCCTTATAGAAGCCAGGTTTCCTTCAACCGATCACTACCGCAATCTCCTATCGACCGGCGAAATACAGAGAAGCACGTTTCACCTTTGAAGCAAAAGATCGATCTCTTTAAGTCTCTAGATCATCATGATACTATTCAAGACTCTCCAGTTTCAACTCCTGTGGGGAAAAGACCTCTTTTACAGGGCGCCCAGCGTCAAGATTCTGTCATAGGACCTTTGAGAAGTTTCAAAGGAACCTTACGGAAGATTTCTACATCTTGTCGAAGGGTATCATCGGAATGGAGTACGACAAGTTCGAGGGAGATTGGTACATCTATACTCAGAAGCTCTGATAACAGTCCAGTGACACACGAGGATCAGGTTGTGGGAACTGCAGTTAAAGAACCACTGTCGCCTCTCACTCTTGACGCATTCCCCAATCGTCCCATTCTTAGCCAAACCTTTCTCACAAACGAAATATCCCCCCTGGCTCTAGAAAAACCTTTGTCTCTACCCCGAGCCTCCATTGCTCGTGCAGGCTTCAATATTGATGGTGAGGCTGGGATGAGTGGAGCACCGCCTCCTTTGTTCGCAGAACCTCAAAGACGATTCTCTTACACTAGGCACGCCCTCTCGCGGGTTGCAAACCGATTTTCTCTGCCCGACGTCGGAAAGGAACTCGAATTCATCGAGCTTCTCGAGGATAACCTCAGGAACAATCCATTTGTCTCTAGGTCACGCTGTGAGTTGGAGCAACCTAGACCAGTGCGTGCGAATAAGGTAAGGCGACTTGTCAGTCTGTGCAAGGACAAGGTCAGAAGGATTTCGGCCGGCCATAGTGAGTGAGTAAATGCCTCGTTGTACGAGGTGAGCTGGAGAAGTGGGCTTGGCTAAGGATGTTATCTCGTGGGACTGAGGCTTGGATGGCAGCTGTTATACAGTATATAGTGTCAATCAGTTACATCGCATTGCATTCACGACCGTCTTACCAGGCCACTGACCAGTGACGACATAGCTTTTTGAGACTTGATACGTCATTTCGCAGCCCGGTATACACAAGAAAGGTTGACAATCTGAGTGTATTCATCACTACTGTGCGCTTGAGCGCGTGACTATTCTTGAACGCAATAAGAGCAACCCCCAGGGGAATGTCATCCCTGATTAAAAGCCATTTGATCCAAAGGAATAACACGAAATAAAGAGAGTTGGATGCGAGATATCTCGAGCATCAACAGCCTGATTTGGGTATGAAGACTGTTTGCATTGTGAAAAGGAAAAGAAGAAACATGAGCTTGCTGATATGCCGATGCGCCGCGCTAGATTTTGGTTTTGTGCAAAGCATGTAACGCTGAGTTGCAAAATGAGACATTTTGGTGAAGGGGTATCCTGTGTGCTGTGCTGACGGGGACGAAAAGGGAATGAGATGTGCAGAAGGATGAGGCTAGATTCGCTCCTCGTGCTGAAGGAAAGCTCTTTCGACCCGGACGTGATCACAATCGGCATCGATCTTGCCGAGCTCCACATCGTGAGGGTTGATGTGATCGCGGGATGAGGTGCCGGCCTCGCAGCGAGCGTATACAGAGACGCCAGGCCTGTCGGTGGCACCGCTGCGGTGGGTGCTGAAGCTGGGAGCCTTGAAGCCCGTGAAAGAAGTTGGGCCGCTGACGCCGTAGCGGATGCCACTTGATGCGTTGGAGGCGATGGGGGTGTTGGCGTTGCTGCTGGCGATGCGCTGGGCGGCGAGGGTGCCGAGAGGGAGGATGACAGCAACGGAGGTGAGGGTCAGGGATGCTACTTCAAAGTCCACGAAATGAGCCCATTCGAGAGAGGCAAAGATGACTTTAGTGAGGTTAGCTGATTGTTCCTGACAGCTTGATAGTAAGAGTGAAAAGTACGAACCTGGGATGATCATCAAGATACCATTGGTCATGATGAGCACTTCCATGGGAGTGAATGTCTTGTACGAGGGGAGGATGCCGCGGTTTGAGATGAGATGCCAGACGAGCTTGATATTGAAGATCAGGCACCACCATGCGATGGAAACAACGTTCATGATTACTGTCCACTGCGACAGCCAGAGCCAATGCCAGGTAGCTTCTACAGCTAGGTTTGACTTGTTCTGCAGGACGGTAAAGGCAATTCGAATACTGATGGTCATGAGAGACACGACAAGTGATGCTCCAGTGATGATGTACTTCCAAAAGTTCGGCCACAGTCTGACCATGGTCCAGGCCTGGCTCATGAGCATCAGCTCAGTGGAGATGACGAGACAGAGCGACATGGTGGTTCCGGCGATGGATGGGGCATAGCTGCTGAGTGGGATGTGACTGAAGTCATCGGAGTAGTAAGGGTAGAAATCGGTGAAGCTCGATATGAAGAAGAGACAGAGCAGAACCATTCGGACAGAGCAGATAAACAGACTGAGAAGCTGGAGGACCATGAAAGGCCTTCGGAACTTCTCTTTGGGGACCATGACCAGCAGCACAATCAACATGATGAGGCATGCGCCAAGCTGCGTCGCATAGTTGATGGTACTGTTGACTATTCTGCGACGCAACTGATCAATCACCGGTATAGGAACATTGATCTCAGTCTTGCCATCGGCGGCGAAGAAGGTGATGTTCTGAGTGTGCGGATCAAAGGCAGACATGGTGTCTGACGTTGAAAGGTAAAGAAAGAGGAAAGCGTCGTTGGTGAAAGACTATCTGAGCGATGATCTTCACTCTTGACAACGTGGTAGTGAAAGATAGTTCAAGTGAACGGAGATACGAGAGGTCTGAGCTCACGATATATATGAGACTGGTGAGAGGAGTAGTATCCGTAAAGTCTTGGTATATCAAGCTGTGGCAGATCAACGATGAAGAGATGAGCAAGTGGCAACATGGTTGACGGATCACAAAATAAAGCTCCAAGATTTAGTTAGCACAGGCGAGAACGAGAACGGTCTTGAAGACAAACAGTAAGCTAGTCAGGGAAAGATAGTATTGTGCGCGGTAGGAAGAATGTGAGTAAGTCAGGAAAAAGCACTGCACTCTAACACAGGATTCAAAAAAAAAGGTATCACATCAACTAAGAATGCCAAGGTCGGTGGGGGTGAGATTGGCCTTGGTATTGTTCTTGCATTTGGTGGCGTTTGAGGCTTAGTATTGTTCTTCCTGCCGCTAGACTTGTTCAGCTTGATTGCTGTTCAGGGATCGATCCGTGCATAACTTGACAGGTCGAGAGCCTCCAATGGAGAAGCGAATTGGCCGTGGGTGTGGCAGTGGAAGCGACGGATTCGTTTCTTTTTCCGGTTCCTGACTCCGTGCACGCAAACTGCCGCGATGCGCACAGTAGTAGCAGTAGTAGTACTCTGTGGACAGTATTTGATACTCATAGCAAGGGGCTGCCCGCTCTAGTTTCGATCGCCCAGACTATTTGAAGCAGTCTCAACCGTTTCGGGATCTGTAAGCCGTGTCGATGGCTTCAAATTGCACGATAGACTTCAGCGCCTCCATCTAGCCCGTTGTCCAAATCGATTGGCCCCGTTTCAGAGCTCATCGTAGCCCGCCTCGTTCTCTTTCTCTTCCTCCTTCTCGTATCTTGTCCAGTGCCTGGCACATCTCCTCCATGCACAATCTTACAGCTCTGTCAGCTAGGACAGGAACAATACCAAACCCCGCTTGGCAAGGGAGCTGCGTCACCCCACGTATCGTATGTGATCATGAGGCCAGGCCCATTCCTTGTCCAATCTTCCGCACCAGTGCCTTTTTCAAATACCACTCTCGAGATAGATGTCTCGTCATTTTGGCAAACACTGCCGGGGTAATGCGCCCGCGCTCAACAGCCCGACCAAGCATGAATATGGCGTCACCGAGAGCTCTCTCCTCTGCCACTAGTGCGTATAACTGATTCGCAACCACTGTAGGAGCTACAAGCAGCTCATCAACATCCGGCATAGGGTGGCTTTTGGAACCTTCAATCACTCCATCCGCTTTATGAAGAGCATCGCGTAGGATATTAGAGTTTGACGTTAGAACGTTTGAAAGCTGGGCCAATTGACCCCCCTCCGCTTGGAAGGCAGGTATCGCTGACAACATCGCTGTTCTTTGTGCTTGCAAGCCGTACATACTTGAGTCGTTCTGCTGACGGCTCCGCATTCTAATGGAATACAGTGTTTGTGCTAGCTGTCGCAAGAGCGCATCTTTTTCGGGATTGGGCGGGATAGGGGGTGCCGCTACAGTATTATTCGGTAATGCCAAATCTAGAGGCTCATCGAGCAGATCAGGGGGTGGAGGTGGTTTGACAGGGCCTTGTGGTGGTGGAGCAGATTGGGACCAAGCCGGGGGCTGGGGAGGTTGTTGATATTGCTGGTGCTGAGGTGGCATTTGCCATTGTTGTTGAGATGGGGGCATAAATGACTGGCCATCGTTCATGTATCGGGGTTGCGCAGACATTGGCGGTTCCGCAGGCGGCATATGACGAGTCGGATACTGTTCTTGAGGGCGAGAGAATCTTGGGTTCTGCGCACTTGGACTACTAACTTGAGGAGGCAGAGGAGGAGCTGAGTCGTAGCGTGACGTGCGATTAGACTGTGCAGAGGCTCGTCCTGGGATTGGAGGCAAGGGTGGGCCATTCTGTGATTGTATTTGCGCATGCGGTGCATTCTGGGGAGCTTTCGGAGGCGGAGGTGGAGGGCGCGGTTGTTCTGAGGGGTGAGGATCCTGGGTCGCGGGACGTGAAGATGATCCCATACCAGGAGGCAAAGGCGGGACAGGAGGTGGTGTCGGATTAGCTTGGGGAGCAGGCGGTCGTGCTTGTTGTTGCCGAGCCACAACTGGAGGTTCTTTCGCGAAGACGTCGGTTAGAATGTTGAGGAAGTCTCGAAGATTGGACTTCTGTACAACTCATTAGCAATCGCATCCTGCATGATAACTGCGACTTGGGGGTACAACGCACATCCCAAAATTCAGCCCATCCCACTAGGTACGGATGATATACGAGGCCTTGGGGATCAATATGCTGCCCTGGTCGGACCATCATCGTCTCGGTCGGTACAACGTATATCATGGGTGGTTCTCGCGGGTAGGCATGCGGTACCCATATCGACACGGGAAAACGATAGGTAGTTCCCCGAAAGTTCACGGGGAGAGTTCCTGATAAATGGAGGAGTAGGGCATTGGCGCCATTCGAGAAGGCTGGAGTGGTCAATACTGAATGCGACAAGTTGAAGGCTAGAGCGCGCGACCTGGCGGATAGCTCTCATAGCTCTCAGGCGGAGGTTCAAGACGTACTGTGCACATCGGTTCGAGGCGTTAAGGAGGGAAATCGGTCGAGGGCCTGCGCGACATCGTTATAGGCACGATTTACATCGTGATATTCCTATGGAGCGCGTCAATAGTTAGCCTCCGAACTTGGTAATGGTCATAAGCGGGGAATGGGGAGTGGGAGGAGAGGGTATACGCACGCTGGTGAGGACGCTGTAGAGCCAGTTAAGCACATGTTGCGGGACAGGCATTATGTATCTGTCCCTAGTAACGCGGGATTCTGCTAAGATATATCAAGGCAATGACGGAAGAGGAAGCTATTCGCATCTGAGGTGACCTTGAAGGTCGTTGGAGCTTGGCTGGTGGTGCGTGCGTCCCGTTTGGCAGCATTGAATCGACGTAATTGAGTACGTACCGTGCACCTTCCCAAATCGACCCGTGCCGCAGATAGTGGGGGTGGGGATTTAAAGATCAGGCATGCATTCCAGGCTCAATAAGGATTCAAGGAGGATATCTCGAATGTACGTAGTACAGTTAGAAAGCTATTAAGTTGCCTCAATAAGCAAACTGAGATTAACCTGCCTCCACGGCTATTGAGCTATGTTTCAAGTTTGTTTCTGAAATTAGTACGTCTAGTCAATTACAATGTCACGAGGTTATTCCCAATCCATGTGCGCGATTGGTGCCTTGCGAAACAAATCCCAGAAATGATCAAGGCTCAGCGATGTTTATGTAGATGATACTAGATTTTTGTTAGCTTACAGTAGACTATATGAATTATGTTAAACTTGGTTTAGTTTGGATAACTTCATATCATCCTAAGATTATATACAAAATCTACTAACTATGAGCCATTCAGGGTCGTGTCAAACTGGACATAGACAACACGCTTGCGAACCATGAGATACACGTCAACTACCAGTAATCTTGACTAGCATCTAACGTTAAAACCTAAAACATCCATACTATCACATGCAGCATTTCATTACAAATGCACTTTATAATCATCGGCCGAACACGGAGCCCTCATGGATGCCACCCAACCGAGCCTCAAGTCCATGGAGAAGCCGGCAGCTCCGTACATCTTCAGCACTCACCATCTTCTGAGGAAACTGAAAAACTTGTTATGCGCGCTAATTAAAACAGCGCCGCACCTTGATGCTCTAATGCGGCGTCTAGAACCCTCTGACGGTTCCATTTTTCTGTCTTGACTTGACTGTCCACTCAGCCGAATCGGCCAATCATAGTCTCTGTTGGACCGTTTCGCCGCAAAACTAGCACGAGAAAACATAGGAAGAGAAAGAGAAGGAGTCATTTATTACTTAGAGGCTACAGCTTGTAGCCTATTCCCAGACTTTTCCTCTGATTCTCTCTCCTTCATCTCCATTCTTCTATCAACTACCGACCTTCGCTTTTAATACCCCAGAGTTTTACAAGCGCTATTGTCCCTTACTGAGGAGGTCCCGGAACGGCCCCACTATTCCGTCCCCGGTTCCCGGCCGGCTTCTGCTATTGACTTATCACACCATATTCTCTCTCAAACGTTTCATCCTCGCAACTTCTCCTCTCTCATAAATTTGCCTAAAAAGCCTCACGGAAATCAAGAGAAGCAATAACCACAATGCTTCCCTCGATTCCTGTTCTGGCCGAGTATGGCATCTCCCCTACAAACGGCTTTCTTCCGGATACTCTACCATTAACTCGTCTACCGGATCCTTACTACAACAAGTGGGAGGCCATCGCTGCCAATCTACAGGCTCTTATCCTCAGTCGCAGGTTGCGTGGTGTTATCGATAGACTACCGGTTCTCTCTACTACCGGTCTTGAACATGACGCCGAGTGGCGACGCGCCTATTCCCTCCTAGGCTTTATGGCCCACGGGTACATCTGGGGAGGTGATTCACCATCAGATCGTCTGCCAGCCTCCATCTCAATTCCGTTTCTGCAGATTTCAGAGCATCTAGAAATACCGCCAGTTGCGACGTACGCCGCCGTTTGTCTCTGGAACTTCAAGCCCCTCTTCGTTGACGAGGACATTGACAACCTCGAGAATCTCGCCACTCTCAACACATATACTGGAGCCCTCGACGAATCATGGTTCTATCTTGTATCAGTTGCTATTGAAGCTCGTGGTGCTCCAATAATTCCCCTCATGCTAACGGCCATTGCTGCTGCCCGCCATGATGACTCTGCTGCTGTGGCTCGTTGCCTGCGCACTTTTGCGGAGCGATTGACAGATCTTACAAATATCCTTCAAAGAATGCACGAGAGTTGTGATCCTACTATCTTCTACCACCGAATTCGGCCCTTCCTTGCTGGAAGCAAGAATATGGCGGAGGCTGGCCTTCCCAATGGTGTTATTTATGAGGATGGCTCTGGGGACGAGACATATCGACAGTACAGTGGTGGCAGTAACGCTCAGAGCAGTCTGATACAGTTCTTTGATATAATCCTAGGAATCGAGCACCGTCCTACGGGCGAGTCTCGTGACCCTTCATCTGATACCGAGCGTGGCCGAGCTTCCCACCGACACAACTTCATTATGGAAATGAGGCGTTACATGCCCGGACCTCATGCACGATTCCTCAACGATGTATCCTCTGTCGCCAACATCCGCCAGTATGTTGAGGAGCACCAGTCAGACAAGCAACTATGTCTTGCCTACGACGCCTGCCTGGCCATGCTCAGCGCATTCCGCGACAAGCACATCGCCATTGTCACCCGCTACATCATCAACCCTTCCAAGCAAGTTCGTGCTCGTAGCCGTTCAAGAAGTCCCGAAGTTACCAGAAACAAACTCAACCTGGCCGTCGCATCACGCAAGAACAAGGAGAATCAGAAGGGAACTGGTGGTACTGCCCTGATTCCTTTCCTGAAGCAGGCGAGAGATGAGACAGGAGAGCCCGCGGTCGAGGAGTGGACGAGGCGATTCATGAAGAGAAAGATGCAGACAGAGGGCAGGAACGATTTCTTCCTGGGTAAGAGTCTCCAGGAGGATGTGAGCTTAACGACAGATGTGGAGATCAAAGGTCTTGCTGGATCATGGACCATGGATGATGAGATCGGTGGAATTTGCTTGCACTGAGTTAGACAACAGCTGGTAGAAAAGGTTCATGATCTAGTGGGTATACTGAAGGTCAAAAAGTTGTGGTTAATAAGAAGCTAATAGCAAGGGGGCATGGATATCTTCTAGAATTGAGCACAAGCATCGAGAACTATTTGCTACTCCACACAGTATTCCTATGAAGAGGCCATTATATCTGCATCATTGAGCATGACAGTTCTGGACTTTATTCGGTAAAAGTTTGCAGAATATTACGCATCTCTAGTCACAAAGGTATTTATCATTGTGGACAAGCTTGTCAATCATTTGTAGTCAGTTGGTCGCTGACCTAGACTACCTAAATATATACAGAGAAGACCAAACATGTACAACAAGGGTTGAACACTGGGTCCAGGATGCCATGTTGCACAACGACAATCCTGCTCACGAGAGGACCCCTCCCAGGAGACTTTTCACAGGCCTCCACCCAATTCATGGATCAACCACTTAGTTGGGGATACACTGAGAGTAGTACTCGTTCATCTTGACACACTTGCTTCCGGAAACGCAAGAAAGGCTGCCATTGGGATAGGCGGACTTGGAGCCACCGCACTGGTTGTACGCAGCGACAGCGGACTTAGCGGGGGCCGCGGGCTGAATAGTTGTCTTAGTTTTGCTGGGGCAACTTCCACGGGTCTTAGATCCACCAACCTTCTGGGTAGCCTGGGGCTTGTTGCTGACTTGGGCAGGCTTGGTAGCAGCAGGCTGAGGCTTGGGGTTAGATCCGTTTGCTGGGGCCTTGGAGGGCTGCTGTACCTTGGTAGCAGAGGGCTTCTCGGCGGCCTTGGTGGACGTGGGCTTCTGGACAACAGGCTCGGGCTGCTTGGTCTTCGCGGGCTGAGCAGCGGCACTGGGCTTGTTGACGATAGGCTTGCTGGCCGAGGTATCACCCTTGAAGGCAGGGAACTGGGCGTCGTCGTTACGCTTGCAGCCGCTGACATCGAGGAGGGCCTTGGGGCACTGGACCTGCTCAAAGGTGAAGTCGGGGTTGTCGGCGTTCTCGAACCAGTCAAATCGCCAATGGCAACCGTCCTTGAGTGTCTCAGGGAAGCTATCGCACTCGCTTCGGGAAGAGATGCCACCGTACTGGGCACCACCGAGAGCCTTGCCGAACTGAGAAGTGCAGCCGTCGAAGATTCCAACACCGCCACCAGGCATCATAAGATCGAAGTGGTTCTCACCGAGATCGCCTCCGGTGTTGGTGGACTGAACGACCATGGTCTTGCCCTTGACGGGACCGGTGGTGAAGGTAAGTCTAAAAGAATTGGTCAGTACGAAAGAGCGGGTATATACGCGGGTTCAATGGAAGCATACGCGTAGCAACCACAGCACCAGCTGCTCTCGGAACCACCAGAAAGCTTGGTGGCAGCGAAGCCATAGGCAAGGTTGTCATTGACCGCCCAAGGAGAGTAGTTGGTGCAGGCGAAGGCAGAACCACCACCCTCACAACCGTTGACAGCGTTCAAGTTTGAGATGGGGTTGTCCTGCTTGTCACAGGTCAAAGCAGGGGCGCTGACAGCAGCCTTTCCGCCCCAAGAGCAAGAGGGCTTACAGCAATCCCAGTATCGAGTAGAGTGTCCGCTTCCAGAAGCAGCACTCACGGCGAGAGGGCCGGCCAGGGCGAGAAGAGCGTAAGATCGCATGATTGCAAAAGTTGGTCTTGTTAATGAGTGACTGTTGAAAGAGAGTGTGTATAGTTCAAAGAACGAACGAATGAATGAATAAATGAATGAATAAAACGAATGAGAAGGTAGTGCTTGAGTGTCAAGTGAAGGAATATGGAGCTGCACACCACCATCTTATATACTGCAGCCAGAAGCTTTGGCCCAACATTCCAGCCCTTGCGGCGCCGTCGACCGTTACAGGATCTGAGTTAATATCATGAGCACATTCCTTCAGACGGTAGGTTAGCTTAGTCGACATGCGTATTCACTAGTGCAGGTACACGATCAAGGGTTGTCCAAGTCAGGACGAAGAGCTGATGGTGGTCCAATGTACTGGTCTAGTCACCATATCGGGGCGTGCTAACTAACGGACTGAGATCTCCCACTAATAGGACACTCAGCACTGGTGCGAGGAGCAAGGGACGGCAAGGCTGGACCGAACGACTGAAAGATTAAGGCAAGGAGACTACGGTTTCAGGAACAAACGGTGGGGATTTGACAGCTTCTCAGCCGACTCTCCCGAAATTGTGACAGGGGTACTAGGAGTGAGATTGAGAGTAAGATTGGGAGTTGAACGATGGAGGCGACGATGCGAGTTCTAGAAAGGGTCAAGACCGCCGCAGAGTCCAGGTGGTCAATATCATCGACCGTAAGTAATATACCGACTGCCGTGGATGCTAAAAACGCTCCAATTAACCTAACGTCTTCTAGAACCCCCCGATCGCTTAGCGCTCGACCGTTGCGTTAACGAGTACTGATAGCGCGTACCCGCGTGGAGATACGAAGGCATGCTTGCTGGCATGTCACTACCGGATGGAACACAGCACGAATCGCCAAGACTTGAAACAGATACAGTCGTAATAGCGGATGCGACGGCCCGACGGCAGACCTGTATGTACTCATTGTGAAGCCGCGATGGCTTCATGTTTTGTGGTTGTGTTGGGATAGTACGCTCCCTTGCATACACAAGCATGGCATATCAGCCCCATCTCCTATTCCATCTCACAGGAACCAAAACATCGCCGCTCACCTGCATCAGATTTTGTTGTTGTTTGGCTTGGGGGGGTTATTATGATCAGATTTGCACAGGGATCCTTTGATGGAAACGACCAGTGTTTTTGCCAGGGTTGGGGAAAAGCAAGAATGTGGTATACTCTAGACTTGATCAAGACTAATAGTCCCGTGCATGACATTATAAACAGAGACTCGAAGATTAAATATATTGAAATATACTTAGGACATGAGAATACGATGCTAGGGGTAAAGATGGATGTTATCAAATTATTGAGCAAAACATGTAAAGAGTCTACCCTGTACCATGATGCCCCAGGATTTAAGTTTGGTCTATGCCGCCACATGCACCGCCACATATACACCACCACAAAGGCATTATTCATCAACGTGGCGGCTACTGCCCCGCTAACCATATACAGAGTAGTGCATTCTGGGCGCGTCTCGTCGCCTCAACCTCAGGCTCCTGAAAGCTTAGTTAGAATTCATTGTCTAACAAATTCATCACCTCCACCGCAACTCCTTCACCTTGCGCATTCCTTTAACGTCGCTCCGTCTCCTGGTTTGAGATAGCTACCTACTGTCGAATTTATCGGCAGATGCTCACGGGGTGCTTCAGGTGCCAGGTCCAGAACTGACCGCCCTGACTTCGCTGTCGAGCTCCTTAGTCTTTCACTGAATATCCTTCGAAACATCTGCCTGGGAGTGCATTTGTCATTCATTTGATCAACATCGCCTTGTCGCCAGACTGTCACGAACCCGATAACCCGATCCCAATAATTTAGCGACCAATACCGGCATCATGGATTACGAGAACGATTCCGACTACGATTATGGCTACGATGAGGGCATCACCCCCGAGGACTGCTGGATTGTAATCTCCTCCTTCTTCGAAACAAAGGGTCTTGCTTCCCAGCAAACCGACTCCTTTGACGATTTCACACAAACCACCGTCCAGGATCTCGTCAATGAGTACTCAAACATCTCTCTCGACCAGCACAACCCCCCTGGACCTGCGGGAGTGAACATCGCTTTGCGCCGATATGAGATCAAGTTTGGAAGTGTGATGGTTTCTCGACCCTCCATCAGCGAGACCGACGGTACCATCACCTCACTCTTGCCTTACGAGTGTCGTGACCGAAACCTCACCTACGCCGCACCAGCTTACCTAAAGATCTCCAAAAAGGTGTCCGTTGCTGTGGACAAGGAGATTCCTCTCCATGAGATGGACGATGAGCAGCAGGCAGAGTACAAGCGAACAGGCGAACACCCCACAAAATTGGTATGGGAGGTAGAGGAAAACAGCGAGGCCATGAAAGGGGAGGATGACCAATCGGGTATGGTCTTCGTCGGAAAGATGCCAATTATGGTCAAGTCGAAGATTTGCCATCTGAGCAGATTCCAAGAAGACGACCTCTTCATGCTCAATGAGTGCCCCTACGATCAGGGTGGATACTTCGTTATCAACGGTAGTGAGAAGGTCCTGATCGCACAGGAACGCTCCGCCGCCAATATCGTTCAGGTTTTCAAGAAGGCTATGCCAAGTCCTTATACCTACACTGCCGAGATTCGAAGTGCCCTCGAGAAGGGTTCACGTCTTATCTCAAGTCTTATGATGAAGCTATACGGCAAGGGAGATTCTGCGCGAGGTGGTTTCGGCCAAACAATTCAGACTTCGCTACCGTTCGTCAAATCAGACCTTCCCGTTGCTATCGTCTTCCGAGCTCTGGGTGTTGTGTCCGATGAGGATATTCTCAACCATATTTGCTACGACCGAAACGATAGTCAGATGTTGGAGATGCTTCGACCCTGTATCGAGGAAGCTTTCTGTGTTCAGGACCGAGAGGTTGCTCTCGACTTTATCGGAAAGCGTGGAAACAGAGATCAGGCCAGTCTTGGTCGCGAGAAGCGTGTCCGTGTTGCCAAAGATATTCTCCAGAAGGAGACCTTGCCTCATATCTCCCAGACAGAGGGTAGCGAGACCAGGAAGGCTTTCTTCTTGGGCTACATGGTGCACAAGCTTCTTCAGTGTGCTCTTGGACGTCGTGAGCCGGATGATCGTGATCACTTCGGAAAAAAGCGACTTGATCTTGCTGGTCCTCTGTTGGCGAAGCTCTTCCGTGGTATTATCCGCAGGATGAACACTGAGCTGTCCAACTACCTAAAGCGCTGTGTTGAAAGCAACAGACATTTCAACTTGGCTGTCGCTATCAAGCCAGGAACATTGTCCAATGGTTTGAAGTATTCGCTGGCCACAGGTAACTGGGGAGATCAAAAGAAGGCAGCAAGCTCCACAGCTGGTGTCTCTCAGGTGTTGAACAGATATACCTTCGCCTCTACTCTGTCGCATTTGCGACGTACCAACACCCCCATCGGACGAGATGGTAAACTGGCCAAACCTCGTCAGCTACACAACACCCATTGGGGTTTGGTTTGTCCTGCTGAAACGCCTGAGGGACAGGCTTGTGGTTTGGTCAAGAACTTGTCTCTGATGTGTTACGTGAGTGTGGGCTCTCCTGCGGATCCTCTGATTGACTTCATGATCCACAGAGGTATGGAAGTGGTTGAGGAGTATGAGCCAACAAGATACCCACACGCTACCAAGATTTTTGTCAACGGTAGCTGGGTTGGTGTTCACTCTGACCCCAAGCATCTTGTCCACCAAGTCTTGTCCACCCGACGAAAGAACGTCGTTCAATTCGAAGTATCACTTGTCCGTGATATTCGAGACCGAGAATTCAAGATCTTCTCTGATGCAGGCAGAGTCATGAGACCAGTCTTTACAGTACAGCAGGAGGATGACGACGAGACTGGTGTTCAGAAGGGACAGCTTATACTGACCAAGGAACTGGTTACCAAGCTCGCCCAAGAGCAGGCGGAGCCATCGGATGATCCATCAGAGAAGCTTGGCTGGGAGGGTCTTGTTCGCGCTGGAGTTATCGAGTATCTCGATGCTGAGGAAGAAGAAACGGCCATGATCTGCATGACGCCCGAGGATCTCGAACTTTACCGCGAGCAAAAGATCGACGAGGCGACCCTCACAGTGGAAGAGAGGCAGGCCAAGCAAGAGGCTGAGAAGAGAGAACAAGAGGAAGAACGCAACAAGAGATTGAAGACAAAGGTCAATCCTACGACTCACGTGTACACACACTGTGAGATTCATCCTAGTATGATTCTTGGTATTTGTGCCAGTATCATTCCCTTCCCTGATCACAACCAGGTATGTCAGGACGCTTAATTTTGGTTGATCCTCGCTAACAACACACAGTCTCCTCGTAACACCTACCAATCTGCCATGGGTAAACAAGCTATGGGTTTCTTCTTAACAAACTATTCCCGACGTATGGATACCATGGCCAACATTCTCTACTACCCTCAAAAGCCCCTTGCCACTACTCGATCTATGGAGCATCTCAAGTTCCGTGAACTACCCGCTGGTCAAAACGCCATCGTCGCAATTGCTTGTTACTCAGGATACAACCAGGAAGATTCCGTTATTATGAACCAGAGTAGTATCGATAGAGGTCTATTCCGCAGTCTGTTCTTCCGATCTTACTCTGATCAGGAGAAGAAGGTCGGTCTCAACTACACAGAAATCTTTGAGAAGCCTTTCCAGCAGACAACACTTCGAATGAAGCACGGAACATACGACAAGCTTGACGAGGATGGTATTGTGGCCCCTGGTGTACGAGTTTCCGGTGAAGATATCATTATTGGCAAGACGGCGCCCATCGATCAGGAGAACCAGGATCTGGGTACCAGAACCCAATCGCACCAGCGTCGTGATATTTCGACACCGCTGCGAAGTACAGAAAACGGTATCGTTGATCAAGTCATTCTGACAGTCAACGCCGACAATGTGAAGTACGTCAAGGTTCGTGTACGAACCACCAAGATTCCCCAGATTGGTGACAAGTTTGCTTCTCGTCACGGTCAAAAGGGTACCATTGGTGTCACCTATCGACAGGAGGATATGCCTTTCAGCAGAGAAGGCCTGACTCCCGATATTATTATCAACCCTCACGCTATTCCCTCTCGAATGACAATTGCCCATTTGATTGAGTGTCTTCTTAGTAAGGTCTCAACACTTGAAGGTATGGAGGGTGATGCAACGCCATTCACTGATGTGACGGTCGACTCCGTCTCAGAGCTTCTAAGAAAGCACGGATACCAATCTCGAGGCTTCGAGATCATGTACAATGGCCACACTGGACGCAAGCTCCGTGCTCAGGTGTTCTTTGGACCTACCTACTACCAGCGACTTCGTCACATGGTGGACGACAAGATCCACGCTCGTGCTCGTGGTCCCGTTCAGATCATGACCAGACAGCCTGTGGAAGGTCGTGCTCGAGATGGTGGTCTCCGATTCGGAGAGATGGAACGTGATTGTATGATTGCTCACGGCGCTGCTGCTTTCTTGAAGGAGCGTTTGTTTGAGGTGTCGGATGCTTTCCGAGTCCACGTCTGCGAAATTTGTGGACTCATGACACCCATTGCGTAAGTCCCTACTACTGACACCGATAATGAGGTAATGCTAACATATATCCTAGCAACCTTTCCAAACAATCGTTCGAATGTCGACCATGCAAGAACAAGACCAAGATTGCTCAGATCCACATTCCCTACGCGGCCAAGCTTCTCTTCCAGGAGTTGCAAGCCATGAACATTGCCGCCAGAATGTTTACCAACCGATCCGGAGTTTCAATTCGTTAAATGAGATTGATGATATGAGATCAAAAAGATTGTCGGGGCATAAAAGCATATTTAAAACAGGAAGCCTCGAGAGGCGACGCTGGTAGACATAGTTAGCCTCCCAGCACAGCTTAATAACGCTTTGTAATATTGAGAGGGGATTTATAGTGTACAGTTTTGACAGCTCGTTAGGGTAGAATATCAGAATAACGAAATGCATTGATGCAATTATATCTAGAATGGAACCATGGTATCGTGGTCGTCGCGAGAGAGGAGTATGGTGATAGTAAAGTTTTTATTTGCGCTCGCCGGTGCAACGTTATCGATTCGGAAGTCCCTTCTCAGCCGCTGCTATCGAGTCGTGTACCGTCTGCTCGCGCTTGAACTCTGCCTCCAACTGCTTCTGCATATCAAAGTCCAATTGTCTCTCGCGCTTGATTCGCTGTTGTTCCATATCGCGGACGACACCTTCGTGCATGGCCTGAGTAGACGTCATGATTAGTCTCGAAAGTATTGAAGGCGACGAGTGCTGTGTTGAGGGAAATAAGTGAAGTTGGTCATAAACGTACCTCTTTCTCGGACTTTTGCTGGAAGTGTACAGCAAAAACTGTGCCGACTGCTAATAGCGAAGTGCCCAACAGAGTGAGCTTGGATGTTTGTGACATGACGCCGAGTCTTTCAAGGTGAGTCGATTGAGGTAGATTGGTGAATATTTGGCAATCACAGGGTTGGTACTGGTCCAAAAAAGTTGCCAGAGGGCCAATTGATTTATTTCAGATGAACCGAACCGATATATGGACAAGAAAAGACTATGATCAAATTCGTAAAACAAGGGACCTACGACATCAGCCCATGACGTGAAACCGCATCGCGGCTGATGCGCGGTTATGATACGCGCTAAGCGCTGTAGCTTCCCACTGGAGCAAAGCCCACCGCCCAGAGGTACCTAGCGGGTACGAATCAGCGGACTCTCAGCACCTGCCCAAGCTCAGACGTAATCCTCCAAGTGCTATTGTAGGTACCTTGCTTTGCCGTGCAGCCATTCGCAACTCCAACTCCATCAACATCGACGCTTTACCATCGCATCACGAACCGCCCTCGAACCTCTTTTTCGCTTTAGCCCACGACCGACTCGATCGCTATATTTCCACGCTTCCTTATATAACGTCATCATGGTTAGCTGCATCGCGAACATGAGCAACGACGTAGTTGGCTAACCTGGTCCCGTAGTCTGCCCAAAACTCGGCCGGCATCCAGCAGCTGCTCAACGTAAAGCATCCTTTGCGCCTCGACCGTGTCTGAGTATGTAGCTGACGTATCCCCCCCAGGCTGAGCAAGAGGCGTCCAAGATTGTCCAGAAAGGTAAGCTCGATTGACCTACATACCCCCCCGCCTTGTTCAGATCGCTAATTCAACGATGATGCGTAGCCCGAGAGTGTAAGCGCCATTTCTTTCCGACCCGATGATACATCCGTCTAACGCCGTTGAACGACAGACCGCACCAAGCGCGTCAGGGAAGCTCGCGATGAGGCCAAGCAAGAGGTAGCCGATTACAAGTCCAAGAAGGAGGACGAGTACAAGAAGTTCGAGGCCGAGGTAGGAGCATCTTTCGTTCGACACCGTCTTGGAGATCGCTGACGTCCGTGTAGCACAGCAAGGGCAACGAGCAGGCCGAGGCCGAGGCTAACAAGGACGCCGAGACTCAAATCAAGGGTATCCAGGAAGCCGGCCAGAAGGGCCAAGCCCAGGTCATTAAGAACCTCCTCAGTGCCGTCTTCGACGTCAAGCCTGTTGCCCCTAACCATTCTTGAGCGGGTGTGGTGGAATACCGATGTTTATAATAACGAGCGTTAGCTCTGCACCTTAAGAGACGATAGATTAGGTACGAGGAGGATTTGTTACAAGAGAGCAAGACCATGTGTTCTATACTGGTCGCCCTGCAGCGCTCCGTCAAGGGACGCCCTTTTTGATTATTAAGTTTACTGAACAAACTCGACTAGAGTGCTCAACATGTCCCTCAGATCCTGGTTCTCCTCCGTGGTGTCTAGCCCCTCCAGCTGCTCCTTTAATGTACGCCCAATCTCTGATACCTTCTCGTCGCGCTCGGCAAGTACTTGTTTGATCTTGCGTGCTGCCCCTGTATCCTCTGCTACCAACCATGCAAGCACTGTATCGATCGTTTGTAGTGTGAAGAGACCCGCGTCAATCCTTCGGGACAGCCATTCCAGCTCTGCTGCTTCGCGATCGTCTTCTGGAGTCGCTGCCTTCTCGGCATTATTCTGCTGCTCCACTAACGAAAGTCGAGCAATGTAGTCTCGTCGAAACTTGACAAGCTTCGAGATCTTCTCGTAGTCCTTTTCCACAAACTTAGCCAGCGTCCGTATTCTCTCTGCCGAGTTGGCGGGTAGAAGTCGGAGCATAGAGGCGAATATTTCGACTAGGTGTTCTGCCAGGCGGTGGTCTTGCGTTTTTATGAACATCGTGAAGAGGGTCTTTAGGCCACCAGCTTCAACGATCTTCTGGCAGATGTCCGCACCCGAAACGCCGCCCGCTGCGTGGTTGAGAAGACGCAGAGCAGGTGGTTTGCTCTTCTTGCCTTCTTTAAGCATGATGAGACAGAGTTCTACACCCTCGGCGTCAACGAACTTGGCCTTTCCTGTAGCCTCATCCGCTAAACATGTCAAAGATGCGAAGATGTTCTCCATGTACTCCTCCTCCTCGCTGCCCTTGTCAGGGTCACGTCGTCGGTAGGGTGCCACGAGCTGGAGAAGCAAATCAACGGCATCAAGACTTATCAGCTGAGTACGGTTGGCAACGGCTGTTTGAGCCAGAATGGCTAGGATTTCAGCAGCGTACTGCTTATTTTGGGTGACCACGTCTTCCGTTCGTTGGATGCGCTGGAGAAGCCATTCTATCAATTTCTTATCCTCGCCTACGCGCTCAGCAACGGATTGGCGGGAACACAGGTTTTCAATAACCCCCAAGGCATGATATATACCGTTGCGATCTGATTCGTCGTCTTCGTTCAAGCGGGAGAAGTTGGAAACCAGTAGACCAAGAAGATCTGCGTCCATCATGGCGTCTACCAAATCGTTCCAGTGCTCGTCCTCTGCTGAAACGTCCTCGTCGGTCAACTCGCCCATGACCTCGATAGCGTCGATGGCGATATCGGTGTTTTCGTGCGCCAGTAGACTGACAAGACTGGCGACGCAACCTGTCTTGACGAACTCAGGGTATAGGTCTGGATGCTCGGAAAGAAGGGATAGGCCCTTGATGTCGGCGTCCAAATCAGCCTCGCTGCTGATGAACTTGTGCGGCTCGTCTTCAAATTTAGCGCGAAGCTCTGCGTTCTTGTTGATGCGCTTCTCAAAATTCAGAGCTGTTTTGCGCAGCCATGCTGCGTCGATCTTTTCAGGCGCGTTGCCAGCGTCGGCTTCGTCTACGTAGTCGAGTATCTCTGATTCCTGCTTGGTGATCCCTCCGCCAAAGAAGCGGCCTTCATCATCATCGGGAGGTAGTTCGGGGCCGAAGTCGTCGTCCTCAGCAGGTGGTGGTGCTGGACCAGCTTCCATATCCTCGTCTTCATCTTGAGGCGCATCGTCGACTCGTGTGTGACGATTTGAGCCGTCGCCACTTATTTTTGCTGATTTGTAGATCTCATCTTGTAGCAATGTTAGTCAAAGCCTTCTGCGACTGTGTGATCGAGGTCGATAGGTCACTTACTTGGATCTCGGATAGGATCGAGCTTGCGCTTGCCTGAGATACCGGAGCTCTAGAGCTTGTTAGAGAAGATTGAAACTGGAAATTGAAAGTAAACAAACCTTGAAGATGTCGTCAACACTCGCCATGGCGGAGGGTTGCTAGAGAAAATGGATGGAACGATTGAAGAACTTGTTTCCGGCGAGATGATACTAAAATTATTTCTTCGCGATCGACGATATCTTTTGAGCGACGCGCTGGTCAAACGATTATGATGTCTGATGCTGGTTGAAATATTACATAAGGCCTTGTACGCGCTAAAGCTGAAGCCGACAGCGAAGCGGCGCAGGTGCCTTTAGGGAGATACACTTGGTACTACAGGGGAGGGCTGGCTAAAGTATCGGAATAATTTGACCACTTATATGGCCTCATATGGAGAGTCTCGTTAGCATAAAACAGCCCGAGTACCACTTTGACAGGGCCATCAAGGTAAATTCCTCGGTAATTCAACTTGTGACCATTTATACATATACTTAGCATTTGAATACATGTCCTTCATATTATCCCGAGTTATTGCAGGCTACTGGCTAGGTCGCACGGTGCTCGTCAAGGCGTGAACTGCTCGCAATCTGCCCTGCCGCCATGAGTCGATACTAGGGGAATACCTGGTCGAAGCCCTGAGGGATGACAGACGCACAGGTCAAGTGCCGGTCACTCAACAGAGTTTAAGTGATGCGCTAAGTTATCCATATGCGTATCCTGTCACAGATTGGAGACAGAGGAACGCGATCCCACGCAATCCCATAGGTAGCGATCCCTTAAACCACCAACCAAAACCCGAGATGCAGGAACGGCTCCTCCCCTCCATCCCCTGACATGGATGAGCTGAGTTGTTGCATTGGGCCTGGGCTGACTGGACTCTACTGGTGTGTTTCTGTTTCCACGTCTGGGACGAACTTGTTTTCTTAAACGCTTCACTCTGACTTTACATCCTCTTTTTGTTCCAGTGACGGCGAGTAACGAACGACCAGAGATTCGCGAAATGATAATGCGATTTCGATTCCACAATCACTACCAATTACACGCTACAATCACCAGCACTGGTACTGTCCTGTGCCTGAACTAATCGCGCCGGAAGCGGACCTCGCTCCCATTAGCTCGCGGGCCTTTCTCCACGGTGTTCAGTACCACCAGACCACTGCCAGCAATCTACCGCCAAACCAGAACCAAGCACCAAGGTCCAAGAGTCCAGAGAAAAGGCCCGGGCTTCCACTAACCTCCACTAACCGTAGCCTTAGCAGTCCCCTAAATTCGCTTGCCCAAAGACTGGAGTACAAGGGAAAGGGGGGAAATTGTTGGCTTTTGGTTCGCATCCAGTAGCATCGCCGGATCGGTTTAGAGTTTGGCTAGGCTTGGGAGAAGTCGACTCAAGGAGGATGCACGACGGCCAGATTTTGTCTTCTCGAAGTCAAAGTCAAAATCAAGACCAAAATCAAAATCGTAATTACAGTCACAGCCACTACCGTCCGAGCACGTCGCACTCTTCTGTTACGCCTTCAGCAACAGCAGCCAACGTTGCCGTTGCCGTTGCTGTTGTGCCGCCTTGGGCTTTACCTGCCAATCCGTCCTCTACAATACCCGCTTCCGTATCGACTAAATCACACTATTATCGCGACCCGTCGAGATCTGCGCCTTCGCCTTCTCCCTCGCTAATAAACGCTTATCCTCATCACAAACCCCCGGGGCCCCGTCTTCCTCGAACATCTTCACTTCTTCCACCGCCCCGTATCGAACCCTCGCCGAGAGCTGCAACTTTCGAGAGATCGGATCGCTTATCGCCCACTCCTGGCCAACAAGTCCCCCACAACGCCGCCGACAGCTCTTGGTTGTTGAATCGTCTGTCTTCTTCAACTGTGTCCACGAATTTCAGTCGTGCTCCGGCAGAATCTCCCCGCGCCAACCACTCGCGACTCGGCAACAGCCCCGGTATCGATGCGACCACTCCTATTGACAACTCTCCACCGCCATCCAAACCATCGCCTCGGAAACTCCGAAAGAACTACCGCCCAAACACTTCTCTCTTCAACGTCGACGCTTTTGCATCTGGGCAGCGAGAGGAAAGAAGCCAGTTACCGCAATCCCTCCCATTAATCGTCACTTTATCACCCCTGGAGCCGCCTGCCGCGTTCGGCTCTCTACTTAACGGCGAATCTGAAGGGGCTGGCCCTGGCTCTGGTCTTAGTGAGCCTGGGGGATCAAAGGTCGCCCGCCAAGAGGGACAGTCCCTGACGAAACTCAATACACAAGGCTCTCCAGCACAGTCCGCCACATCGACACCAGCTAGCGTGCGCTCAATGGCTTCATATAGACCCAACATGCCTTACGACCAGGACCCAGAGGTCTACGCGACCCAAAGAGGCCATTCCAGAGGTCGATCAAAGGGCAGCAATGAAAAAGTGCGCGTGGCCAAACCGCCATCCCAGAAAGCTATGCTACATCGTGCTCTACAAAAAGCGAATACTGCGGTACAATTAGATAATGCACAGAACTTCACGGGTGCAAGAGAGGCGTATGCGGAAGCTTGCGACCTACTGCAGCAAGTATTGCAAAAGACAACAGGCGATGAGGATAAGCGCAAGCTAGAGGCAATTGTAAGGACACCACTTGGAGGCGGAGGTTATTTTACTAACTTGTGCTTCTAGCGACGCACTTATACTAGTAGAATTGATGAGTTGGACCAGATGGCACCTTGGCAAGAAGAGGAAACCAAGGCTCTCCCAGCCCGTCCCGAAAGTTTGGCGCAACGTTCTGAGTCTGAGTCTGTGTTAAGGCTAGATGACGATGACGACCTCGAAGATGCCAACGTCTACGATACCGCAACGACTACGCGAGTAGATAGCCATAGTCCTCAGCCCCGACTGATGAATTCACCGCCACGAGACGATAACTCTGGCTATAAGAGACGAAGCACGCAGAACAAGCCACAGCCGATTGTCACAACACTCACTCCAGAGCCCGGGCTTCTCCAGTCATCTTTCTCACGCTCGCCGGTCCGTCTCCGAACACCCGAGCATCTTCTGCAACGACCTGTACCAGAACAATATATGCCAGCTCCACTCTCACCGAGACGCCCAGCATCCCCAGTCAAACCTGACCTCGATGATATGGATGAGCCTATGCGATCCGACTTTTCAATGAGCCATGACCAGCTTGCGGATCCATTGCCTGAACATAATACGTCGCACACTCATTTTCGGGAGGACAGCATGAACTCTTGGTTGGACCCTATCGATGAGTCTGGAGGCTCGACTTCATCGTCCCTTCACTCACGCACGTCGTCACTTGGTTTTAGAAGAAAACATATTCGGGGCGTAAGCGGAGAGACCGAGGCCGAATTCGACACAGCGTTAGACGCAGCGATTGATGCGGCATATGGTGATGAATACGAGCTGATGAGTCCAATGGAAAATGAACGAATGATGTCAACAGATTCTGGCGAAGAGGTTGTGGCCAATGCCATGCGCAAAGTTGAGCTTGCTCGTCAACGAGTGAGAGAGACTGGACAGGAAGTTTATGAATTAGAGAGGGATTCGCGAGCCCAACAACAATACCAACCTTCCTATGACGAGTATCAAGGTGCAACCAACGACTTTTACGACGATAACTCATCCGACGAAGAAGAGAGGATCCTGGACGAGATTGCTCGTGATTACGGCCTCGAGTCATACAGAAATCGACCACCACCTCGAGAATCCGACTCGAGCGGCGTGACTTCGCGTACCTGGCATAGCTCACAGGGATCGAACCCTCCTACAGGGGCCACCTCTCTATCTACAGTTACAGAAATGCCGCCACACATGAAAAACATTCCACAGGCACCAGCTGCCCCTCCGCCAACACAATCTCTACCCGAGATACCTCAACGACCGGGATCGTCTGCGCAAAGCGTGCGCAATCGGAGACTCTCGGGGCAGAACCCGAAACAACTCAAAATCGAAACGTCAAAGCTGGCCCTTCCTCTGCAAAGCCATGTCGACCAAGCGAAATCAGCCCCTATCAGCGGCCAAGGAGTAGATGCCCAGCCTGGTATCGATATGGGAATAACGAATGCACCTCATAGACAACCTACGCCCCCATTATTTGAGGCGAGTCCCACAGACACGACAGGAGTTCGACCTACAGCATCTCCATTCGGCCAATTAGGCTCGGAAAAGGGCGACGATGATGTTACTCTCTCACCTAATGCTCGGAAGCTGAGGAAGAACTTTTCGTCTTCAAGCCTTCGAAGCATGAAGAGTCGCAACATGTCTTTGACTCATTTAGAGGAAAACTCGGATGTATCTCCTGGAACTCCAGGAAGCAACCCTTTTGCATCTCTCAATGCCCCATCAGTCCCGGCTTTGCCTACGCCTCTTGCCACTAGCTTCCGAGAGCGATCAGAAACAAATGCAGCCGGCCTCTCTCTGTTTGACGATTACTTCCACTCCCCAACAAGCCCTACTTCGCCCAACCCGCTTATTCCGGATCTTCCAGCTCCTCTTGAGCCATGCCCTACCGATCTCATGCTCCGACCATTCTGGTTGATGCGATGTCTCTATCAGACTCTGGCTCACCCAAGGGGTGGTTACATTAGCAGCAAGCTCTTTGTATCTAGGGATGTCTGGAGGGTGAAGGGAGTGAAACTCAAGAATATTGAGGATAAGGTGGCCAATTGTGATTTCCTGACAGCTGCTCTGCTCAAAATTGCGCGGGTCGATACTTATGACGCGGACGCAGTCTTGGAGGAGATGCAGTCTTTGGAGGGAATTCTTGAGCAGGTTCAAACAGCATTGAGCCGCAAGTTAGGCAACGAAGTCGGCGTGAGCGGCTCTGGAGCACTATTCAAAGACGCATCTACTGGCGATGGGGATGCGTCCACAGGCGTGCCACGGTCAGCCAGTGTTTCTGGGAAATCATCCTTCTCATGGCGACGTCTGCGTTCCAAGAATTCCGCGGTTGGACTCGGTAACTCTTACTTGAGCCGCGTGACAACGGATTTGAACAAGGAGGCTACCAGCATTGCCAGTCTGCCGATGACACCAACTCCAACGAACCGACCGACCAAGCGGGATCTGACGCAGGTCCAATTCTCAGGTCCCAACGCAATGTATATGAGCTCATTAGCACGCCTGTTTGATGCAGCTCAAGCTATTGGTGAGTTGATCAGTGCTGGGAAACAGATCGCACTATTAACAAATGTAGATCAAATAGCTAGACAAGTGGAAGATCCTGGATTGCGACATGCCGACAAGACGCAAGTTGGGCTTGAATTATGCACTCGACATGCTGCTGAGTTCTTCGGATTTTACGTGTGCAGGTTCGTCCTGTCAGACTTGGGGCTTTTGCTCGACAAGTATCTGAAGCGTGGAAGTGAATGGGTTCTCACATGATGTGCTATGAAGGAGATGGAGAACAGTGGGAATTGGTAATTACGATGCATCGCAAGGAATGATGCACTCGGCTTGAACTTGATGAAGTAGTTAGATTTATTCGCATGACCGGAAAGGCTCGATACCCAAGCGATGTATATGTTTCATTCTCATTGAAGCTCTTGGTTCTGATATATGGATATGTTGATGTGACTGCTGGTGTTTGAAAACTGTGCATAGTATTTTAGATCACTATACAGTGGCAGAAAGATGTACAAACTATATAACCACCATCAGGATAAATTGTGGGTTCTCTTAATAGGAAGACTAATGAAGACTTGTGAGAAGCTCTCCAGAAGTGGCCAGATGCGGCATAGCGCGGTGTTTAAAACAGATGGGTATGTAAATGGTACGTACCCCCACCACGCCAGAGTGATTTCGTCCATGATGGGGAAATCTTCTGGAAGGCCAAACCTCGAATTGCGCTTCAACTCCCTCGACCGGCTTGTACCACGCAAGAAACGCCTCAGCCATTGAACAGGCTCGACTATTCTCTACCTGATAAACTGGCCAAATGTGCCCGAGAAAAGCCTAGATGAGCCTGGCTTGGAGCGTTGGCCGTGCCTGGAGTCGGCAATGCCTCTCGCAAGCTGCGGCCCGCCCATCATGGCACATACGCCGACCGAGAACATCGCTGTATAGTACAACTTTGACACCAACACTCCTCACATCGCTTCGCGCCTACGCTACGTCGAATAATAAGCCTACGCCCGCCCAACTTGAGGCTCGAATTGCCGCGATTCCGATCGAGCGATACCGCAACTTTTGTATCGTGGCGCATATCGACCATGGGAAAAGTACCCTGAGCGATCGACTGCTGGAATACACGGGCACGATATCGGCTAGCGATGCGAATAAGCAAATTCTCGACAAGCTGGATGTTGAGCGCGAGCGTGGTATTACTGTCAAGGCGCAGACATGTACCATGATCCACAAGTACAAGGGCGAGGACTATCTGCTGCATCTTGTCGATACGCCCGGCCATGTGGATTTCCGAGCCGAAGTTACGAGATCGTATGCCAGCTGTGGTGGTGCGCTGCTTCTAGTTGATGCGTCGCAGGGTATTCAGGCGCAGACAGTGTCCAACTTCCATCTTGCGTTTGCACAGGATCTAGCGCTTGTCCCCGTGGTCAACAAGATCGATATGCCTGCTGCTGATGTCCCTCGTGTGCTTCAGCAGATCGAGGACAGTTTTGAGTTGGATCCTAAAAGTGCGATTCTGCTGAGTGCCAAGACGGGCAAGGGAGTGCCAGATGTCCTGCCTGCGGTTATTGAGCGGATCCCCCATCCTGTGGGTGACGAGAAGAAGCCGCTGAAGATGATGTTGGTGGACTCTTGGTATGATAACTTCCGTGGCGTTGTGCTCTTGGTCAGGTTGTTCGACGGCACGATAAAGGCTGGCGATAATGTCATTTCCATGGGTACGGGTATGAAGTACACTGTTGGCCAAGTAGGCATTCAATATCCGCACGCCATACCCCAACCGACCCTCAGCGCCGGGCAAGTCGGATACGTCTACTTCAACCCAGGCATGAAGAAGATCCAAGACGCAAAGCTCGGCGACACATTTACCTTTGTCGGCTCCGAAGACAAAGTCGAGCCTTACCCGGGCTTCGAGGAGCCCAAGCCCATGGTCTTCGTGGCGGCATTCCCCACAGACCAAAGTGACTACAGCCGTCTGGCCGACAGTATCGGACAGCTTGTGCTGAACGACCGTAGCGTGACGCTGCAGAAGGACCACTCTGAGGCGCTGGGGGCTGGGTGGCGTTTGGGATTCCTGGGCAGTTTGCACTGCTCTGTGTTCCAGGATCGACTGAGACAGGAGCATGGACGGAGTGTTATCCTGACAGAACCGACTGTGCCGTCCAAGATTATTTGGCCAGATGGATCAGAGGAAGTGGTGTCGAATCCGGCGCTGTTTCCTGATACCAGTAATCCAAAGGTCAAGCAGTCTATGTTATTTGAGCCGTAAGTTCTCTGAACCCTTCTATTTATTCCTGAGCATTGCTAATGGTGTGCTTCAGCTATGTGACGGCAACTGTCACCATGCCTGAGGAGTATCTCGGCAGAGTTATTGAGCTCTGTGAGGCCAACCGTGGAGAGCAGAAGAGTTTAGAGTTCTTCCACACAACACAAGTTATTCTACGATATGAGATTCCAACAGCCCAATTAGTTGATGATCTCTTTGGAAAGCTCAAGAGTGTTACGTATGTATTCCTAGATCATCGGTATTGAAGCTTTACTGACGAGTTATTATAGCAAGGGCTATGCCACGCTGGATTACGAGGATGCAGGTTGGAAGCAGAGTCATCTGTCCAAGCTGCAACTTCTTGTGAACAGACAACCTGTTGATGCTATTTGCAAGGTTGTGCATTCATCGCAGGTTGATCGTCTGGGGAAGCAGTGGGTGACTAAGTTCAAGGAACATGTTGATAGACAACATTTTGGTAAGCCGTTCCGCCTTATTGCTCTATTCTATCTCTACCTAGATAGCAGCGCACAACATTTCCAACAACTTACTAATGATTGTTTATAGAGGTTGTCATCCAAGCTACAGCGGGCAACCGTATCGTGGCCAGAGAAACCATCAAGCCTTTCCGTAAGGATGTGCTTGCCAAGCTTCACGCCGCTGATGTATCAAGAAGAAGGAAGTTGCTTGAGAAGCAAAAGGAAGGTAGAAAGAGGTTGCGTGCCGTGGGTAATGTCATCATTGACCAGTCCGCTTTTCAAAGTTTCATGTCGAGATGATAGAAAAAAGAGGCAAGATAGTTCTGGATATAGCGTGTACTCATAGTGTAACATGATGATTATGGATGATAGATAAAAAAAGAAAGCCACATATCTTATGATTATCCAAGACTAGTCTTCATTGTGATGTTGAAACTATTCACCTGTCTACATAGTGTATTCTTTTATAGATATATGCATCCGTCAAAATGATAGGGTTATTCTTTGGCACTCGGATCAGCCTCAGGGTCCTCCTCAGGCAAATCAAGTCCAAGAGCAACAGGGTCGGTGAACGAAAGACCTAAACCACCAGAAAGCGTCCGGTCCTGTTGTTTAACTCTCAATTCGCCCTCGTCACCGCGTTCTGCCTCAAAATCAAACACACGGTAGTCACTGTTAAAGAACCAATATCCCACAACACCAAGTCTCAAAAACCCAGAGTGCGACACGACAAAGATGAGCTTCTCAGGTCTTTTGTGGAGATCCTCAAGGGCACGACGTCCTCGAGCCAAGATAGACTTCTTGGAGTATGCGTAGCGCTCAGCAGCTGGTGATGTCTTATCTGGCCACAGGGCATCGACATTGGACATGTTGACTTTGGGGAAGTCTGGCGAGACGGAAGAGATGGGGCTTCCTGTATCACAAGGCTTGGCCGAGTTTTCTATAAGTAAGGTGTAAGTTTGTAGTATTTAATATCAATATCAACAGGTGAGGATGTTACCCTGCCAGTCTGCGTTTCCTTCGATTTTAACGCCCCGTTCGACCAGCCAGCCAAGAGAAAGCATAGCTGTCTGGAGCGTACGCCGCATAGGACTCACGATGATTGCCACAGCATCAGGGTTTTCTACTGCATCGGAGAAAGTCTCGAGGAGGTTCTCCCGGAGGAGAGAGCATTGGCCCTCGCCTTTTTCCGTAAGCGGGGGATCTGGAAGGTCATAGTCTTGTAGGTGATTGTTAGTGATGCAGAAGTTCCGTGGTCAACGGGCAAACTTATGAGCAACATTATGGAAAGCCTGGGCGTGGCGGATGAGGACAATTGTTGGTGGCATTGTTGTTGTTATCGTTATTAGTGATGATGTAGCGGAGTTGAGGTGAGGGTCCGGTTTCGGAGAGGATGGATTGACATGATATTTGGGGGCTGATGGTCATTGGTGGATGATGCCACATACGACAACGACTTTGGATGGAATTGACTTTTTAGATGGATTAGTAAAAGAAAGATGGTTAGATATTTCCATGATGGGGTTTATGAGTAGACTTTTCCAAATTTTGCATACATAGAAAGAAGGATGTAAAATGCTCAGGTTAGGCTTGTTTACTAAGGTTAGGTCAAGTTGAGAGATCTGCCCATAAATACTAAATATAAAATACAGTCTGTTCCCTTTTTCAAGCCGAGTTGCTTCCCAACTACAAATAATCATATAGTAATTCCTATACAAGGAGTGATATCCCAATCAATATCACACTCAACCCGTCCAGACTCAAGCAGTCCCTTCAAAGTGCGGATTAAAATCATACGTCTGATGCCTCTCGTCATCCTCCCACACCAACTCCCCTTTCTCAGCATGAATCCTGAAATGTGACTCCTTCAACTTCCTAGCCGCATCCCCAGACAGACCTTCCATGTCCTTGCCGGTGTAGACAAGCGCCTTGTTGCGACCCTTGAAGCAGTCCTTAGTCTGGTCACCGTGGTTGTTCCCAGGCTCGTATGTAGAGAAGGTCTGAAGACGATCCAACAATGACTGGTGCAGGACTGCACCGCGTGGGATGTCACGGTATGAGCCACCGTTAGGAGGGAATGTTACTGCTTTCCATCCCAAGAACTTGACGTTCTTGTTGGTGGTGTCGTCAAGTTCCCAGCGGGTTAGGAAAGGAAGCCATTCTGAGATGCGTTAGTTATGATTTTAAAGGATTAGCGTTAGAGTCTTACCCATGAATTTCCACATAAGAACCTTGACGAATCCAGTTCCGTAGCCAAAGGCAAGACAATCATGCATGAATCCGTGAGTTGCTTCCATTCTCCGGGTGGAATCCTTCATGGCTTGTTCAAACGGCTCAAGACTATGACACCAATGCACTCCGGCCTGGAGGTTTTCATTCTTCTCGCCACACTTCTTGACCTCACGAATCATCCACTCAAGAGGAATGTCACTCATCTGCAGCCAATCGTCGTTGACGTCCGTACTCGCCTGGTCAGCCCTCGACGTCTTGAAGAAGTTCTTGATACGACCCCAGAGGGAAAGCCTCTTAGCTTCAGGCTTTCCATCGGGGGCTGCCCCATTGGTGTCGGATAGCAGGGGGGTTTGGGAGTTAACCTTTTGCTCCTCTACTACCTGGACGGGCCAGCCGCCGCCGACATCGCCGTGGTTACCGGGGAACCAGACCTCTTTGATGTCTTCCTCGGCAGAGGGCTTGTGGTTGTGGATAGCAGCTCTGATGTCCTGGGCGAGAAGAGCAGGCTTGAACTTGACACGGCGCTCATCAATAGCCACGGCGTGACGAACATGAGTAGCCGTGCCGGTAACAGGAACAGGCATACGAGCTTTACGCTCCAGAACAGCAACAGAGGCAACACAGTCCCAGATGCCCAGGAAGAACACCTTGATATTTTCCTCCTCACCATCTGCGTCTGTCTCCTTACGGCAGAAGGTCTGGCTAAAAGCATCAATCTCATTGGAAGCCTGCCTGGTCTCCTTGCTGACATCAGAAGGGTCCTGGCCGGGCAGACGAACAGTGTCAGCGGGGCGATGAGTATCTGCCTCTGAGCTGTCGTGCTTGTGGGCACACTGGGCATTCTCGCTGTCATTTATCTCGCCTTGGAGATGGCGCTGGTACAGACGGTAGGCAAAAGGGACCATTTCCTCGTTACCTTTGCAAAGAAGGCCAACCTTGTTGACCATCCTGGCGAGGAATTTGGCAGTGTATGCGCCTCGACTGAAGCCGAAGACATAGATCTTTGCTCCCTTATATATATTAGTATTGATAGCGAGGCACCTGAGGAGATCAAGCTTACAGGTTCGTAGTAACGCATGAGAAAGCGGTAGCCAGCAATAACGTGAGCGTCGAAAGTAGTTCCAAAACCTGAATCAATTGTCTTTGAAATATTACTGGCGAATTCACCAAGATAGGTCTTGTTCACCGACTGCTCATTGATATCATAGGTACCAATGCCCGCTAAAACATCATCAGCCCCGACATCAAGCAGCAAAGCAAACTCTTACTCTGATAGTAGTGGAACTGGCTGGGATGGTTACGATCCAACTTGCGAAGAATCTTGACCACATTTGTATCCGCATTAGAGCCACTAAAGGTATTCCCCGTGCCATCGAAGCAAAGGATGAGCTTCTTAGGCTCAGTCGAGTCATAGTTCTCAGCGTGAGGCATCTTGAAATGTCAGAAACAAATAGAACTTGAATTTGAAGAGTAGCAAGAATGAGAAAAGAAAAAGAACTAGGATTCCCCAGGTGAGACGAAGAGGGTCCTTCAGCGTCTCGGGGGCCAACACAGCTTCCTTTATGCGGACACGGCAAACTCCCCCTTTTTTCCCTCTTGTCTCATTAACCACCTCGTGTCTACTTCAAAGGGAACACCCTCGCCGAGTGGTGTGCTGCAGAGAGTTTCTCGGACTGCGAGTTTGTGTAGCCCCAGACATAGACGCTGACGTGGAAGGGAGAAAAGTATAGTAAGTACCTATGCGGTATACTGTCTACATTACATGTTATCACATGAAAAAGTCCCCTTTTTGGATTAACTGCGTTATAGTCTCTTGCCTCGTTGTAAAATACCTGAGAGAAACACATCATGTAGAGTTTCCCCAATCGGAGAATATTGATTCGTCATGCCAACGTCTCAATGCTTTCTCAGCAAGCCACATGTTTATAGGAGGTACTTTTTTCATGCCAACAGTACCTCTATTCCTCAACAAGAGCGAAAGGTTCAGGTAAGCCACAACGGTAGATCACCTTAGGAAAAGAGCACGGCAAAGAGTCCAAATGTCGTGATACGTTGAGCTGCAAGTTTTGGGCTTTTATCCGCTTACGAACGGTTGCAGTGTGTTCAGCTCGCCACAAACTCTAGATGTGCCTCTTACAGATGCGGGGAGGGCGATGCATGCATCCGCTGGTGAAAGTCGGTGACTGTGACACTGCATATTTAGTATTGGCACATTAAACATTTGGACCCTGATGTTTTGGTTTGCTTGCTTTGAGGAGGAGGATAAGTTCGGCCAGTCTTTAGGACTGGTTTGTGATACGTCTTGGGACATAATATTCGAATTGTTTACTGGTACCATCTCTTATTAGTAGATCAGTGGCTAGAGGTACTGCTTACGGGCACTCAGATGCAAGCTAGACTGAAAGTAAGCAGATCAAGCATTAACTTTGCTTTTTACAAAACCCGACAAATATCAAAGAGCAACCGATATAACTCAGTAAGACAAAGGGTCAATCGCCCTCCTCCAACAAGCAAATCACAACTTGACAAGCACGGCACAAAAGCTGCATGTCTTAGAACCCCTCACTTGACACCGATACACAAAGAATGCTCTCTACGAGACAGATTCCTAGGTGAGCGGCCTCTGTCTCACAGTCTTGCGAGGTTCACAGGTTCATCGGCCTGGGCAGTGGCACGGCTCAAAACGCCAGTCAGCAATATATGAGACACACCTCACGACGGCAGATAAACCGACCAATCATGGGCAGCCGGTATTTGATTATTCTCGACGACCCCGCGCTCTGTTATTGACCGGAACGGACCGTCTGCAGTGGTTGTTGTACTAAATAATTAGTGACGAGAGGGAAGCTCGGTGCGTGAACCGACTATTGATACAAGACTCAAAGTCTGTTTTTAGTGAGTTCAGCTGAGAAAAAGATCAGCCTAAACCAATCAGGTAATTACTCATGCCAAGACATGTAATAATGATGTGATAGCCAGGAGGGTAAACAATATGTGCCGCTTCGGTATCATAGCCGCCCAAGAAAGAGATCTGCATATGGCGTTGAGGCCCTTATCTCACATGCTACCCATTTGCTAATAGACACCCTCGTTTCCGAACTGGCTAGATCTTGCATCTCAGGGTTCCACGAGAGACAGCTTCCAAGACATGACACTCTGGAACCCCTCTTCTCACAGCTGGAGCTCCAGCTTAAGGAATTGCTGTCCGGGCGAATCAGACACAGCTGCAGGGCCTCGCCGCCAGACGGCATCGCCTTTGCTGCATGAAAGCGCAACAGATATTGGTTTTACAACAAGTGTCATTGGACAAGAAGATACTCGATATGCATACCAGGCTTTTGTTTCACGAGAAACTGCTCTGCTTGACACGCCACTTACCTCAATGCATCAACCGAGGGGAACCGAGTCCGCGATGAGGTTACCCATGGGAGAGATTGACTAAGAAGCTACTTACTATAAATGAAGATACAAAGATGCCCTGGCGAAGGACCGAGAATTCACTCTTGCTCTCTCCTATCCCCCATCCCCCATTCTACCCTCTTCCAAGTCAATTAGACTTGGGCCTCCATCATGTCGTTCGATGAAAAGTACCAGGCCGGAGAGTCTTACAAGACCTCCAAGGAAGACACCTCGAGTCTTCTGGACAACCCAGAGAAGCTCGTTGCGGACCTCATGAAAGACTTTGCTGGTGTTCGAAGCCAAGCCAGTCCCGCCGAACTCCTAGGTCTTGTCAAGCAGCTCCTCCAGAAGGGACAGCCTCTTGATGATAAGAAGGGGTAAGACACCAAACACCACTGTGATTCCAGCGTGACTAACGGATGCTAGCACAACTGAGCTCCTCATTGGCATCCTCACTTCCCTCCCTGCCTCCTCCAAGGCCCGTACAGCTCTCACCAACAAGCTCATTGACACCCTCTGGGGCAACCTCCAACACCCTCCCCTGAGCTATGTCGGCGGCGACGTCAAGTACGAAGCCGTCAACGAAGAGAAGCCTGCCCACAAGCACAACTGCGATGAGTATGATACCATCGAGTTCAAGGTACCCGGCACCGATGTTCTCCTGCGGGAACAGGTCCCCCAAGCCCCCAATGGTCTTCACCAGTACCGTATGCCTGACGGCAGCTTCAACAACATCCTCGAGCCTAACCTCGGCAGGGCTGGTACACCCTATGCCAAGTCTGTCAAGTCTGAGAAGCGCCTCCATGGTGTCAAGCCAGACCCTGGCCTGCTCTTCGATCTCCTCATGGCTCGTGACGACAACACCTTCCAAGAGAACCCAGCTGGTATCTCGTCCATGCTGTTCTACCACGCTGCTATCATCATCCATGATATCTTCCGCACCAACCGCACAGACATGAACAAGTCCGATACATCCTCATACCTTGACCTAGCACCTTTGTATGGCTCGTCTCTCAAGGACCAGCTTGAGATTCGAACCATGAAGGAGGGTAAGATCAAGCCTGATACTTTCCATGAGAAGCGTCTCCTTGGTCAACCCGCTGGTGTCAATGTCATGCTTGTCCTATACAGTCGCTTCCACAACTACGTCGCCGACATCCTGCTCAAGATCAACGAGAACGGACGCTTCACACTGGCGACACCTCCCAATGCTACAGACGTGGACAAGGCCAAGGCCATTGCCAAGCAAGATCACGATCTCTTCAATGTCGCGCGTCTCATCACAGGTGGTCTGTACATCAACATCTCCTTGCACGACTACCTCCGCGCCATCACAAACACCCACCACTCGGCCAGTGACTGGACTCTCGATCCACGAGTTGCCATTGATAAACAATTCGATGGCGAAGGTGTTCCTCGCGGTGTCGGCAACCAAGTCAGCGTTGAGTTCAACCTGCTCTACCGCTTCCACTCTTGTATCTCCAAGCGAGACGAGCGGTGGATCAACGAATTCTTCCTCAAGCTCTTCCCCGGACGCAAGGCTGAAGATCTGCAGGACGTCAGCTGGACTGAACTTGGCCAGGCTCTTCTCACTTTTGAGCAGAACACCCCCAAGGATCCCAGCGTGCGTACCTTTGATGGCCTAGAGCGTCAGGCAGATGGCACCTTCAAGGACGAAGATCTTGTCCGCATTCTAAAGACTGCGATGGAAGACCCTGCTGGTACTTTTGGTGCCCGCATGGTTCCCAAGGCCCTCAAGGTCGTCGAAGTGCTCGGCATCATCCAGGGCCGTAAGTGGCAGTGCGCTTCCCTTAATGAGTTCCGCGAGTTCTTCGGACTCAAGCGCTACGAGACGTTCAACGATGTCAACTCCAATCCTGAGATTGCCAACATCCTTGAGAAGCTGTACACAGACCCTGATATGATTGAGCTCTACCCTGGCCTCATGGTGGAGGATATCAAGCCTCAGCGCAACACAGGCTCTGGCATCATGCCGACATATTCTGTTGGCCGAGCTGTTCTTTCTGATGCTGTGACACTCGTACGATCAGACAGGTTCAACACCATCGACTACACCGTGTCTAACCTCACTGCCTGGGGTTACAACGAAGTACAGCAAGACTACAAGACCCTCGGCGGTTCAATGCTGTACAAGCTCATCCAGCGAGGTGTTCCAAACTGGTTCCCTTTCAACTCGGTTGCTGTGATGCAGCCCATGTACACAAAGAGCGCCAACGAGAAGATTGCAAAGGAGATTGGCACTTTTGACCAATTCACGCTCGACGACCCCAAGCCAGCCCCCAAGACAGCCGTCTTCACGACAAACAGCGCTATCAAACAGGTCCTCGGCAACCCCAAGCAATATGTCGTTCCCTGGCTCAAGGCGCTGAACAATCTCTACCCTGGAAAGAAGGACTACAGCTGGTTCATGCTCGCGGGCGATCAGCCGCAAAACTACAAGCACCGCACTGACTTCTCCAAAGCGATGAGCAAGATCCCCAATCTCCACGACGCCATCCACGAGTTCATCGAGCGCCAAGGTGCCAAGCTCATCAAGAAGGAGTCCTTCAACCTCAAGAAGGGTCTCGACCAGATCGACATCATCCGTGATGTCGCCATCCCTCTTAACACACAGCTCCTCGCTGATCTGTTCTACTTTGATCTACGAACAGAGGAGAACCCAGATGGTAAGCTCGGCGTCACAGAGCTGTACCGCAGTCTTCTCGACATCCGCATCTGGGGCGTCAACAACAACGATCCCGCTCAGGCGTGGAACCGACGTCGTCGCGCTCAAGAGGGTGTCAAGACTGTTGCCGAGTCCACAAAGAGACTTGTATCTGAGGCCGAGATTGGACGTCCGAGAGGTATTGGTCTGGTATCTGCCGTTGCTAACAGAATCGGCGCCAAATCATACCTCAAGAAGGACTCACTACGATCTTGCGGTCTCAAGCTTGTGGAAGAGCTTCTGGCGCAGGGCAACAACATTGACCAGGTTGTTGATAACCTCTGGCTCACGTCCTTTGGAGGTATCGGTGTGCCAGTTACTGCTGTAAGTCTGCTCCTACTTTCATATAAATTGACGTTTGTACTGATTGACTCTTGCGCAGTTCTACGAGGTGCTCTCCTACTTCCTTAAGCCTGAGAACGAGTCCATCTGGGCTGAAGTCCAAGCCATTGCGCAAAAGGGCGACGACGCGGCCCTCCATGCCTACGTTGCTGAGGCTCAACGACTGACAACTTCGCAACGCAACGTGCGCATCGCCACAGCACCAGGTGAAATTGACGGCCAAACCATCCAGCCCGGCACTGCCGTGGTGCTCCTCCTAGTAAGTCCCGCCATCCTTAAACAAGAGTGCGAAATATCTAACCATTAACCAGGGCGAGGCTGGCCGCAACACCAAGGAGACCCCTGACGCAGACAAGTTCAACGCCCAGCGCAAGAAGTCCGACGTTTCCGCCTTCAGCTACGGCCAACACGAATGCTTCGCCCGTGAAATCGCACTCGCTTTCATCGTGGGTCTCATCAAGCTAGTAGCCGACCTCAAGGAACTCCGTCCTGCGCCCGGTGCCATGGGCCAAGTCAAGACCATCCGCGTGGGTACAGAGAAGGCCTACCTCAACGACAGCTGGTCATACCTTAGCTTCGACGCCAACAGTAAGTTTCCCACGCCATCTATTTACCGTATAGTTGTACTGACATTGCGATAGCCTGGAAAGTGCACTTCAATGGCCATGGAAAGGGTACCTTCGAGGGTGAAAGGGCTCCTACTAAGAGTACGCCAATCCAGGAGTACTACTCTTTGCTTCAGAAGCGCAAGGATGAGTTTTTGGGTCGCTAGTAGCGTGTGTAGCTTATCGCTTGTTTCTTGATGGAGCGAGTAGACTGTGAAATCATGTCTTCAATTCGTTGAAGCATATCTGTGTGCCAGTGTCATTGATACATAAGTGATGAATCTCCAACCATGTAGAACTTCGAACAAATACCTTTCACTGTTTCTATGACTGTTTAATGAAGTAGAACATTTAGTACTAAGTAGATAGTTGTAGTTGGGTACCGTGGCAGAGTATGGTCCTGTGTACTAAGGCAGCGCATTGCAGCTCGTCCGTCAACTTTAAGCCTTCTATTGATAGAACCAGACCTTTACCAGCGATCTTTCTACCTGATATATCTTGCCTGAAGCATCGTTTATAAAGTTCTGCAGGCCCCTCTATCGGAATACCATGGATGTAGACATTTCCTTGAGTCCTCCATGTCGATGCAGAAACTACGACCGCCACAGAGGCCGTCTGTGCCCAAACCACAGCACAAGAGGTAGTTCTTTCTCGCAGAATAAACGTCGTGTTCCAGGGCCTCGTACCTGCCGACTCGAAAACCTTAGACACGGCTGGCGTGTCCTGGTAATGAGTGTGCACATAAGAAAGTCTCTCGTCCACACAGCTGAGGGCAGATATGCTTTTCCATCACAAACTTTATGCTACTCGAGCAGGTTAATTACCCAATCACACAGCCCGAGTTCAAGATACTCTGCCTTCAAAACAGCTACAGAAAAGCTCTCAAAGTCTTTTTTATACTCTAAATCTGCCTATAAATCAGTGTCTAGCCCAGGGTTTTCAACTTCAAATTTCTCTATCACCCATCGCTTCACCCACATCGTCGAATCAACATCACTTCGTCACTTTCTACCTTCAAAGACATCATCCACAACAAAATGTCTATCCCCTACCGATCCCATCCTCAGCCATACACTGGTTTGCCAACCAAAGCCGCTGCGGCCCCTAAACGCATCGACCTCGAGAAGGGCATGTCAGAATCTGGAGCCGACCCAGTGAACAAACAAGGAGCAACTGTTACATACGAGACCTCGATCTGTGGCATGTTCTATTTTACCACCACGAGGGGTCCACACGAACATACCCACACTCTGACAGCAAGCGCCAGTGGACTCGTCTTTTTGTTTATTCTTATGGTTGTTCCTTTGTTGATTTTGTCATTGGCCATGCTATTGCTTGTTCGGGATCTGCAAATCATACGTGGGCTCTAGTTAGCGGGCAGCCCAAGTACAACAAAGTCTTCTGGTCGCTGCATTTGGGGTGATGGAAAAGAAGTAGGGTTTCGGTCAAAGCGGGTTTTGGTTTTCCCTCGGCACAGCAATAAAAACACAAATTAAAGCGACAGACTCCAGACGATAGTTTACACGAGTCATTCAATTAATTAAAGTCTATCTTCTTGAACTCATCCATCCGTTCCTGATACTAAGAATTGGGTGTGGCTCTGAATGAGCTGTGACCTCTGACAAGATTGTACACACCAACCCCCTAAAACGCCGATACACCACAAATCCATCGATCGAGATCAAAGCCCCTTTAATCAATTTCTATGTTGTCTATGATTAACGGGTGGAATTCAATGCCGTGAGTTTCTGAGGTTGTTTTCCAAGCATTCCACGCTGCTTTACTCAGTCTGAACTTTTCCGGGTCCTCATATACTTTCAAGCCTTCGTAGGGGTCAGCCGCTTGTTTGTTAAAAGTGAACCCTTCAAAACCTTTACCTGGGAAGCAGCAGGAGAAGTACACTATCTTTGGCATATGGCTGACACTTCGTGCTGCTGCGAGAAGGAACCGATCCATGGTCTTTTGTCTGCGTTCGCGTTCACCGGCCCGCGTAGTACCACGGCTGTTGCCCTCATTACTGTTTGAGAAATCAGGGCCCTCAGTGTCTTGACCATATGTGCGAATTGGGTCTACAAGGTCATCCCCATGAACCATCAACTTTTTGTAGTGATAGTCGCTGAGGAAATTGATTTTGAGCTTTTTCAAAGTTGGACAATGGATGAGATCTTCTTGTGACCCCTGCGTGGGACAGAACATGTTGCTGTCGACACTGGCTTGAAGTGAGACCTCAATGATGCCGTCCCTCTGGATTAACCGTCGAACACCTTGACTGAAAATGTCGTCCGGCAAACCAGTGTGCATGAGCTCCCTAGCATGGTGAGAGCGGTTATATGGAGGGCTGAAGATATTAAGTTCAAATTTAGTGAGAGACTTGGGCAATAGATCTAGAGACCGGCCAAGATCTGGGGCAGAGTTAGACAGAGCTAGGTGTGGGTGGTTGATGGCGAAGGACTCACTAGATCGATCTTTGACTTGGGCAGGGCGATGTCGGCTCAGTCTGTCTCGCATGATCCAGTCTATTTGATCCAATCGCGTCATCTTGCTGGCGAGACGACAGTAGGTCTGGGGTGAAAGCGATGCCATATGATAGTAGAAGCAATTGAAAGACAACACCATAGGCAACTCGGGGAGATTTTCCCAGTTTGCATCTAGTTTGATGAATTCCACGTCGTAAGCCTTGCAGGAACTGCCACAACACTCTTCTGATCCTGTTGTAAGTTTGAGATGAGGTCTTTCGAGGCTGGGAAGTCTTTTGAGAAACTCGAATATCTGGTGAATACTTTTGTTGAAGTGTTCCTCAACCACTCGACGATCGAGTTTATCTGTATCTTCATCGAGGTCCCCATCAGTGCAAAAGGCATGGGGTAAGTCAAGAAGCACAGCTCGAGTGTTCAGTAGCCCTTCAGATGCATAATATTTGACTTCCAGGGCCTCCAAGACTCGTCGTGGCGTAAGGACGAGTTCTCGGAAGGTAATCCGTTCGATCAAAGGCTTCCATTTACGAGATACTGCAGCAAGTGGACCGATTGCGTTCAGTGACTCTGGGGGGTCTTCACAGGACAGAGAGGCTCCCCAAATGAGTCCAAGGATTTCATCAACGATCTCAGGCGGTAGGTGCTCGACTGGATCTGATGAAGGCATCGTGGTGATGCGCGCCTGGTGAGGGTTGTAGGTGCCGAGTTGAGATGGTGATAAGAGATTTTGGTCGTTGCTAGGAAAATATAAAGGTAAGGAGCCTTTGTTCTGGGCGACCTGGTGGCAGGAGTACTTAGGCAGCCGCGGTGAATGGCAGGTGCACGTGATTCTGCGGCAGCATGCAGGTCAGTGACATGAAACTGTAATATACCTAGAGTGAGGTAGAGATGAATGATGAAAGAAGTGACGTTAGTTTCTGAAGGCTTCAGGTTGCCAGTGGTGGGCAGTGACGGGGAGGTCAACTGGCCAGTTGTTCCTAGTTTAACTAGCAAATACCCCATAAACACTACTGAACTAGTGTGATCTAGGCCTTTGAAAGACGTTGACTCAAACTCATCAGCAGAATGCTTAAGTGTTTGTTACGTCGGCCATGTTTCCATGCCGTAATTAGCTGGACGGATCTGTGTAACAGGACAAACTGAGTACCCATGTGTTCAGCTTCGGAAGACGACAAAGAAGAATTTCCCTAATCAACCAGAATTTTCCAGCCGGGAAACAAGGTACCGGGTTCGTAATAGCGGTGTGTTGAGTTTGGCTGGGTTGACTCTTTGTAGTAGAGTAGGTGATTGTGGTCCATTCAAATCTGTAGAACAAAGACACTAATTCCATCAGCAGCCTCAACAACTCATCTCTGACGGGTGGACAAATCATCTACAGTGGTATTTATCGATCAATCATTTTCTCAACTCTATTCATCTAATTCTGTTGGCTGAGTTCTTTCGGAGATGGTTATCGTCCAAGGTAATGTGTGACAGTATCAATGTAAAGACATCGCGAATCCTGGTCGGCCTCAATGCGGCATGGCCGTGAAAGGCCACAATCAATACAGCAAAAAAGAAATTTGTAATTACTCGTCTGCCAGCTACCCATGTATACAGAGCCTCCCGGCACAATTGGCGGAAAAGCGCAGGCATAGTCTCACAGTGACACATTGCCAAACACGAGATGACGAGCAGCATAATTAGTCTAAAAGTAACAAGAAATGATCAATTCAGTTTAATTAACTACTTTTCATAACTTCATCACGTCCCTAACCGCAACTCCGTTATCGACATTAATAAGTGGTAAGGCTAGGCGTGCTGGGGTCCTGAGGGAAAGAGAACTTGGTCTCGACAAACACCTTCTGCATGCCATCTTCCCTCTTCTCGAACTTGTAGTACACCTTATCCAGGTCCTCGAGTCTAACACGGTGGGAGAGCATCTGGCCGGGGTCGAGCTCTCCCTTCTGGATCATCTCCAGAAGCTCGTGCCAGTACTTGTGGACCGGCGCTTGGCCGTTGCCGATGAGGCGAATGCCACGCTCCATGAGGGAGCCGATGTTGAAGTGGTTTGTCTAAGATTATTGGTTAGCCGCGATCAGATTGATTGTATGGTGGTGAACTTACGTATCCGACGTAAACACCAGTGACACCACAGCGTCCATAGTTGCGCACACCCTCAATCATCTCGTTGATGATTTCGCTTGTGTCTGTTTCAGCACCAATAGCCATCTCGAGCCAGTGCATCCAGCCCTTGGCATACTCGCCGGCCGCACACTCAATCGCGCAGTCGGGACCACGGTTGTCAGTAAGCTCCTTGAGACGACTCACAACAGTGGGCTTGTTGGTAACGCCGTGCGACAGTTTCTTATAGTCGACGAGCTCAAGCTTATCGCTGTGCTCGGCGGGCCAACGTTCGCGAATAAAGGTCAGGCGAGGCTCGGTATCGACAAAGATGATCTTGCTTGCACCCTCCTTCACGGCAAAGATACCAGCCATTTGACCGATAGGACCGGCACCAAAGATGGCAACTGAGTCGTTGGGGTAGACTGCTGTATCCTTGACGGCGTTGTAAGATGTCGCCAATACATCAGACAAGAAAAGACCTAGACATTTTAGCGCAATTCAGAAATGTAGAGACGAAGACTTACCCTTCTCATCAGAAACATCATCAGGAATCTCCAACAGGTTCACGTCACCCAAGGGTACGCGCACGTACTCAGCCTGGCCCCCCGCAAAGCCACCTGTGAAATGCGAGTATCCAAACATACCCGCCGTGCGTCCACCATACATGGCCTTCTCAAGCGTGTTGGAGTTCGTCTTCTCGCACTGCGACGAGAGCTTCTGTTTGCAGAAGAAACAGTCTCCACAGGCAATTTGGAATGAAGCGACGTATCGCTTGCCGACTTCGATGCCTCTTGCGCCAGCACCAGCGCCGACTTGGTCCACAACACCACAGAACTCATGACCGAGGATGTCGCCCTCGGCAAGCTCGATGACTGTGCCGTGGAGGAGATGCAAGTCTGAGCCGCAGACGGTGCTGCCTGTGACTTTGAGAATGACATCGCGATCTTCGATAATCTTGGGCTTGGGAGCATCGACTATGTTTGTTAGTATTTCGTTCCTCAGCGAGTGAAGAGTCTAACACATACCCATCTGAACCTTGTTCTTGGCAATCCATGCCAAAGCCTTCATGGTCTCACCAGACTCGCCCGTCTCACGGTAAGATGTGACATCCTGCGCCGTGACGGCGTTGTCGTCGTGTCCAATGGCCTTTTCGACCTGATAAGCTGCTTGAGATGCCATTTTTAAAGATATGTGTAAATGTTATATATGAATATTCACGGAACCTTGATAGCAGACTTCTAGCTATTTAACATAAAGGATTTAATTCTCATGACTTCATATCATATACCTCTACCCGTCATAGGTAGTATTCACTACCACAGCTCGTCAGCATGACAAAGTACTGTGGTGGAGTTGATGCATTCATGACGATCCATGTCTCGACGTCATCGACTTTTGCGAATGGCATCGAGAATCGCGGGGTTTTGACATAAGACGTTGAATTTTAGTGGACACCCGGAATTATCTTCTGAAATAAGCTTGTCGCCGGTGAAACGATTTCCTATTCTGTGCCTGTCATCTCGATCTAAAGTCATAGCCTCATCATAGTTTGAGCCGATCTGCTGGTTCCCGTTGCCAAGTCTCGGCAGCAACACCAACTTTTGCACTACGCCAGACTGGCCCCGTTCTGAAGCTCCGTCTTGGTGGGCATCTTGTTTACACGCATCAGTTCTGCACTCTGAGCCATAGCAGGATCTTTGCCCATGCTCGCCATGGCGACAACTGTCTCGCCCTTGCAGTAGTAAGCCACGAAGCTATTCTCGGCTGGGTTGCCGTCAAGAATCAGATCGTCCCATCCAGAAGCCATTGTGTTACCACAGTATCGGAGTTGAGCTCCCAGTGCTGACCAGAAGATGGGGATGAAGTGTTCAGTCTTGCCACCTGGGTTGACAATGTGATTTGCGACGACGCGACCCGCCTTCTGAGCAACGTTCCAATGCTCGATGCGTACGGGCTTGCCCTCGCCTCCAGGTCCATGGTAGGGGAACGTAGCAATATCGCCAATCGCGTAAACATCCTTCAGGCCTTCAATGGAATAATCTTCACCTGTCTTGATGGATCCGTCTTTCTCTAGCTTGATGCTGCTGTTGTTCTTGAGATATTGGGTTGCGGGGGCAACACCCACACCAAGAACGACCAGATCCGCTTCCAGTTTGGTACCGTCCTTGAGACACACATAACCGACCTTAGATGAGTCTGATGCGGAGGGTTCAGCTTTATCGACGCTTGCACCCATGTAAAACTTGACACCCTTGCCCTCCAGAGATTTTTGGAGACCCGCGCCGACCTTCTCGCCAAGTACTCGTTCAAGAGGGACGTTCTCCATACCGATGACAGTGACATCGTTGTCGCTAGCTGTAGCGACTGCCAGCTCTATTCCGATGAATGAAGATCCAACGACAACAATCTTCTTGCCCTTATCGCCAATCTGATTCACAATCTTCTTTGTGTCGTGAACATTTCGAAGAGTAAAGATGTTCTCAAGGTCCTTGAATCCCTCGAGAGGCAGTCGCCTAGGAGTTCCACCTGTAGCAAGGACAAGCTTAGTATAGTTGATCTTCTCGCCTCCATTGGTTGTAACGAAGCGACCCGAAAAGTCGACACTGTTAACCTCGCCATCGACAAACTTGATAGATCCACTCTCGTAGAAATCCTTGTTGCGCCAGGTCAATTTGGTGAGGTCGGTCAGAAGTGCCTTGCTAAGCTTTGTTCGATCGATAGGATGGTTCCCTTCATTTGAGATGACGGTGATACCTCCGTTGTAGCCGTTCTCACGAAGGCTCTCAGTAACACCGAGTGTGCCTGAACCACCACCGACAACGACGACATGTTCGTCCTGGACACTTTGGGAGCCCTTGCAAGTGACATTAGGTTGTCTCTTGGATGACTTGATCGCACTCTCCTCTCCGGTGAGATATACAGCACCGTCTCGTTCGGCGACTTGGAATACGGGGAGATGGTCGAGCGCAGGGGCGTCTTCGATGTCACCACTCTTTGCGTTGAAACAGGCTAAAGACGATCAATTAGTATACGCATAGATGGATCCAACCCAAATTCAGTACTTACCTCCGTGCCAGGGGCATGTGATGCGGCCATCGCTGGTCAAAACACCTTTAACAAGAGGCGCGCCATAATGAGTGCACTTTGCACCCAGAGCCTGAGTCTTTCCTCCGGTGTTCACAAGCAGGACCTTGCCATCTTCGATACCTTCAACCTCAACCTCCTGCTTGGAGCCGGGAGAGAGGGAGAGCGACGAGAGGCCCTTGAGCTTGTATTCTTGAGACATTGGTCTGTAGATGGAGAAAGATCTTGCTAGAGGAAGTGGGCGACGAGTATGTATCCGAGCTGTGCGAAAGCTTTGGAGTAATCTAGGGTACGGACGCATCAAGAGGTCTTAAGGACAGAATAAAGACAGGCTCTGGGATGGGGTGGTATGGAATCTGCGGGATACCGAGAGGGAGGAAAGGCCTGGATATGCAGAAGAGGGAACATGGCGCAATCAATGGGCAACCACAGAGGTTACTCCCTAACAAACGCAAGCATCACCATCAAAGAAGTTCCGAATCATGCATGCTTGCGATAATGTGGGGGATGACAATGAAAGAGACGTGAGTGGTCGAAGCTCTGACGTTGAGCTTGTGTATGACGACATGCCGACGTTGAGAGCCGATTCTGCTGTTAGTGCTGCACTACGACGACATGTTCGTGTAAGCAGAACCCCGCAAACACCTGTTAGTGAGGAAGCATCATACCATTATTAAATGCCGGCGTGAAATAGACTAGGCGGTGAATGTTAGGGTCATGATGAATCAGAGATTAGCTGCTAACTGCCGAGTTTACGAAAGGATTTCGTCGTAAAAGATACAGCTACCTACCCTAGACGATGGAGACATCAATCACGTGCACCTTGTCTGCTTATCTCACTTTGCGCTAACCTGTCGTTATCGACTCATGCCTAAAGCGGCAGCCAGAAAAGGTGTGACAGACACTTTGATCCAATATCCAATCAAGCGCGAAAGGGAAATGAAGGAATCGCGAGCGTTCAACACGTCTTCCCTGCAACCTTGACACGCTAACCCGGATAAGGTCCCGTGCTCCTGATGGAAGCCCAAGATTGATCAGAAAATTCGCTTGGTCCCCTGTACGAACAGCGCTGTGCAGTCGTTCGTAGCCTGTGAGTGTAACCCTGTCAAACTTGTATCTTGCTCACATGGCCTGTGGAAGTGGCTGGTTTTGGCCTCTTTGGCGGCCTCATCTTCCTTGGTTATTCAATGACATACGCAAACAGTACTCCCTTTGCTACTGTCATCGCTTTCTCTACATCAGAAGATTTATCCTCATAATAATAATACCAGAACAACTGTCGGCGAACCCACTAAGTCAGGAACAGAACCCACACCTACCGGGATTAGACTCGAGCGGGAGCCCACACCAATACCAATCAGAACTATAGTCCACAGCCAATTATACACAAAGACCCTCTTTGTTTGGCCTCAACAAGACGGAGTAAACACAGGGCTCCCATCAACACGCATTCGACCATCTGTGAGAGAACCGTTTTTGGGTCTCGGTTTTGTCTTGTCCTGCTACCAACTCAATATCGACGACCGACGAATCATGCTCTGAACTTCTCACCACCCCAAGTCGTTATCCCTTCTACCGACCTACTATCATGTTGCCGACCGATCTTATCTCTTCCTCCGCCGTGCTCGTTATTCTTCGCGAATCCTGCATCTTAATACGATAATCAAACCTTTCAAAGGCCTCTCCATCTCCCGTTTCGCTCCCGTCCATCATGGAGAGGCCGGATCTTAATCCGGAGCCGCACCTCCCTGAGATGATTTGCTGCTGTGGACGAATCGACTGCGCTCTTCTCAAGAAAAACTGCAGCATTCTGGAGACAGTGGAAAAGGATGTCCATACTGCTGCACAACTCGGCCAGGTAAGTTAAAATATACCAATCTTGGGGCATTCCTACTGTTTTATATGGACCGTTTTCCCACCGCCTAAACACCCGCGTGTGCCTGCATACCAGCCCCCGCTAGACACGTCAATGCCCCATCAGTCGCTGACTTGTCTTGTCTCCCTTGTAGGCCCTGCTCGCCCGACATGAAGCATATATGGCCGACGCCGAAAGAGATCGTCTTGGTTTTACATCCCGGATAGAGCATCTGGAGATGGCTAAGCAGGAGCTCGAGGCCGAGAATGCCCTGAAAATCGAGGAAAACAGGAACCTGCTCGATCAGCTTGAGCTGCTCAACAGTTCCGTTTCCGACTCCGACACCAAGATCAAAGCCCTCGAAGCAAGTTTGCTTTCTTCCCAGCAAGCCGTCCGACGACTCGAAACTGCCGCCTTACGAGCCGAAGATGCTGAGCGTCACATTTCCCTCTTGGAACTTGAACAAGATGACCTCTATCACGAATTGAGGACGAGCAAGGAAGATGCTCGATCACATGCGCAGCGTTGCAAGGAAGCGCAGCGTGGTATCATGGATATGCAAGATCAACTGGAGCGGATGGAGGAAGAGGCCCGCGAAGAGCGGGAAAGACATGCCGAAGTGGTTGGGCGAATGGCCCGGCAACGTGAAGTTGAAAAGCAACTCAACTCGGCCGCAGGCCGTCTCAAAGATGCAGCTGCATCTAAGACACTGCAGAACCCAAAGCCTGGTAACCCTGTCGTCAATCATTTTGTTCGAGATCTTCTCCAGGACAATGCCAACCTGCAGTTGGGCATGGCTGAGCTACGGGAGATGCTTCTCAACTCCAATGATGAGATACAGTCATTGCGCGAACAGCTTGTGACCCATCAGCCTCTTATCGAAAGTGGCACTTCGACACTCAAGGACGAACTGGAAGCTTACGAGCCTCCCACTACCCCTCGTGTTTCTCAAGAACTCCATATCCATCACCATTACCACGTCACACCCAAGGTCGACAAAACCAAGATCAGGAGGAAGCGTGCAAGCCTAAACTCGAGTATCTTCTCCGCGTCAACGGCCTCTGGCGCTTCCACGCCCAGAAACTCAGGACGATGGAGTTTGGGTCCTGCCTTACCCGCCATTGGCCCAATGAACACCCAAGAGCCCAGCTCTGTTATCTCAATGCCCAAACAGAGATGGTCCATGCTTTCGGAACAACCTTCTGAAATGGCGTCGTCAGTCCCCAGTTCCCCACGATCAAATGTACGGAACTCAATGTTCGACTCCACTTTTGGCGACAGCGATTATCCCACATCGCCCGCGACTAGCTTTGACCCCATGTCGCCTACCTGGAGGACTCACCGCAAAGGTCCATCAGACATGTCAGCCTTCAGCCTTCAAGCACCCTCCCTCCAACTTGACCCAGGCACACCACCTCAGAATGCACGTCAATTCAACGATGATGTGATTCATGAGGAGGATGAAGGGGAACATGAAGATGGTATGTCTCGCACTGAGACTCCGGACCTCGGAAATACCCCGTCAATTGACGAGAGCTCTATCGTTGAAAGCTCCGAAGACAACAGAGATGAGTTCATGCCACGTCCAAGAATTCACCGGGCCCTGTCACACGAATCCATCATGTCTCTTTCCGGCGGTCTTGACATTCATACACTCAAGGCCCGACCAAGCCAGCTCACACTTCGACCACTTGGTGGTGCTACGGCGGTTGTCACGGGCGTTATAGCACAGCCCACACTTTCTCGGGGTGCAGCCAAGCGTAGTAGTGTCGCTCTTCGAGACAATTTCGCTGGCCTTCCCGGCAACAGAGTTATATCCAACCCTATGAACAGGCCTGGATCACACAGGTCTGTATCACCTGCTCCTTCAGACACTACCCAAGGCAGTGCAGGAGGTATAGGAAAATGGGTTGGTTGGAGACCATGGGCCTCGACTAATAGCGAGAATAACCCCAAACCTGCCGACAAAGAGAAAGACAAGAGCCTCAACCGGACGCCGGGTATCAACCAGCCCGGTTCTATTCCTGGCTTTCATCAATATTGGGCGGCATAACAACGAAAAGGTGCCCCGGCGCAGGTTACCACTGTTGTAGTTGACCGCGAAGCCTTGGTGGAAGGCTTGCAAGAGTAACACCTCTACCTATGACACCTATTGCATTAACTGGATGCTGAACTTACTAAATCTCATTTGTGGCGTTAATCGATGGAGGAAACTTGGAGATAGCGATACCCCTGGCTAGACAAGCCTCGTCCCTTTGTTTTTTTTTGTCCTGGTATGCATTCGTTAGGTGTTTTAATGGATTATTTGGGTATAAATAAATATATATGTACACAGACATAGCGCCTCATTTACTTGGTTAATCTATACTATGCCCCAACCCTAACATGCTCCAATATGTAGTGTCCACACCTTGCAATGCCCAATCTTCTGGGCCAGCTGTAAAGCACGGCCAGTCAGAGTCCAACGCACAGGGTGTAGCTCCCTCAAAGCCACATGGGGTAGACAGCTCGCAATCATCTTGTCCAAAAACCGGTGAATTGAATGAGAGTGGGAACTGCGACATTGAGTCTGCAAGGTTGCCACTTGGTGATGTGTTGTTGGACGGCATAATTGTGGAATCTGGAGGCGTGGGACCAGGGTTGATATTCACTGTCCCCAAGAATGGGACTTTGAGGTGGACGTTTTCTCCGCATGTGCCAGACGGTCTCTGAACTATAGGCAAAAGCTGCTGAATTGTCTCCGCAGACTCAATGCAAAGCCGGTCGTTGTTCAGCGCTCCCATCTCCTGCATCTTCTCCAATGTCTTCTCCACCAGACCCCTATCTTGTACCTTCTCCGCCTCGTAGCCTGGCCATCGCCAGCCAAGATAGCCTAGAAGGAGTGTCATGGCTGCTATGAGTGCTGAATAGTCTACGTGCCGACCCGATACGGCTGTGGTGAAGCAGCTGCGGTACGAGAGGAATCGGAGCAGCACGTCGCGGCTGGCTTGCATGCATGTTGCGCGGTTGTACTCGTAGCGTCGCTGGCCGCGGTCGCGGAGAAGATACGGAAGATGGAGCAGGATGAGAAGGGAGTAGTGGCGTGCTTGGAGTTTTATCACGTTCATCCCATCACCTGAAGCGTCGGATGTGCCACAGCATATAGCCATATCGGGGAGTTTCCACCATAGCCCGTCGTCCATCATCTTGTAAGCCTTCTCAAGCTCAAAGTCTATGGATTGCGTAAGGACATAGGCCTCGCTGCCTTTGAGATCGTTACGATCAGAGATTAGACCGGCGATTTTGGCGTAGACCTTTCCGAGTTTATCGCTTGGGGCGTCTGATATGAGGCTGTCGTCATCGGCAAACCAATTATCGCGCGAGCCGATGGAAAGGCCCAGGACGAGAGATAGGTAACGGTCGTTGCAGTTGATGCGAAACCAGATCATTGGTGAAGAGGGACGGTTTTTTATCTTGAAGCAGGGATCGACAGAGCGGATTGCCTTTGCATTCTTGCGATCAATGCCCATCAGTTGAGCCATGTTCAGAGCACGACGGCATGTAAGCCATGCTTTTCGCAAATTGCCTGCATCGCTCTGGTAGAAACTCTGCAGGATGAGGCACTCTAGACCTTCCAAGCAGCCGACAAAGTCATCGTCTGAAGTAACCAGTCTTCCTGCAACAGCAACCCACTCTTCCATTGTTTCCTGGGGTGATTTACTCAGCCCGAGACTACTCCCGTCAAAGAAGGGCGGCATCTGCTGAAGACACACGGCCAACTGGAGGAGACGCTTTGCGAGAACGGCGGGATGAGATGTCGCAGGTGGAATCTGAGCGAGTGAAGATATCGGCTCGGGTTTCCCTTCGATTTGATCCTGCTGGGAGTAGAATGCTGCAAGGACGAAGCGCGCACCGGGACTTTGCTGCGATATGGCATAAAGGATTTGCTGAGACGGGAAAAGAGTGTGCAATTGGGCTGAGACGTGGGTAGCTTTCGCAGAACGGGAGGGATACGGCGCTGGTTGGCGCGTGACTATCGACGCATCAGGAGTATCGTTCTGCTCAAGTGTCATCCGCTGCACATTGACCACAGCGGAGGAGTCAAAGACATCAGCCATATGCTGGGTAAATTGCGTAAATTGCGCATTTTCTGGACGATCCTCTGAGCCAGACGGCGAAGGGATAGATGCCCGTTTTCGAGATTGAGGTTCAGAGCCATTGTCAACCAACTTCTCCATCAACTCCTCCAACCGTCCCAGACGCTGGGCAAGACGCTTGTCCTGCGTGACGGACGACGGTGTAGGGACATATTCTTGCGATACACAATTTTTTTCGCGCTGAATACAGCCTGTACAAACAGGATCGTCCTCATTTGTAAAGTGGCATTTTATCTTGCGACGACGGCCTGGAGCTGTTAGTGAGGGAGACGCTGGAGGGGCCAGAGTAAGACGTACATTCCCAGCAGCTCCGCGTGCCCTTACGAACCTTGCGGCGCTTGGTTGGCGGTTCGGGCATTATGGAAAATGGGCTTAATTCGGCCGAAGAGTGAGGAAGTATGGGATTGATAGTATAGATGAGGGTTTCTATGAGAGACGTGGAAGGGTGTTGTTGATGAGACGGACGAAAAGCGGACGAGATTCGGACGAAGGAGGGGTGTTGACTCTGTTGAGTGGGGTTTGATGATCCTCTCAAGATCCTTTGGAAGGGAAAATTGGTCCGTCTTACATGTTCGGCGACCGAACGGACGAGAGGATTAATAATGCATACTTTGCAGATTCAGTCATAAATGAGGAACTGAAGCAATGGGCAATAAAAGTGACTGTATAAGAGCTGATGCTATGACTTTTTGGACAGAATAGTTGTAACAAACCTGTGACTGGAGTTTTTTCTATTGGCGGTACGTCAATGAACGGAGATTTACAACAGGGTAGACTCTTGAGAGAAGAGTAGTTATTTGATGCGATTTGATCTCATCGACTATGTGATTCGTTTTACTAAACCAGCGAGTATGAACGTAACTCCTTGATGCTTTATCTTAGTACTGGGCTAAATAGGTACCGGGTAGCCAGCTACAGATTGCCCTTCGACATTTGCTCATTTAACATAGGTACCTAACAAAAGAAGTCACGTAAAGTATTACCACGTAGACATACCCAAAAGAAGTAGTAACAAGTACATAATGAGATTATTGATTGAGAATATGGGGCAGGCTTCAATCCTTTGGGAGAACAATTCAAATGTTCTTGCGTGAAGTCTTTCGTGCGCACCTGTTGATATGCTTGCAATCGAACCTCTGCGAGCATAAACACATAATTTACATACGAACCCGACTCTACAGCATTATCTTGAAGGGTTTCACTAGATATGCTATACATACTGGTAAGGTTTTGGCCATCATCTCCTGGAATGCTGATAAATTACTTGCCTGGTAAGACGTGCTGCTGCCAAACTCCGTGGGACGCCGTGGAGAGAAGCTATGCCGAGAAGAAGTGGACCGCCAGCTCTTCAGACTCCGGGGAAACACTACTCGGCGCCCCGGGGACAGGGCTTGAGGTAACGTGGAGATGCTTTCTTGGCTTCGAAATGCCCGTGGAACATTTTCCTCAGTGCAAAGTCCACCAACATGTCCGCAATGGAGTATCTGGCTCAAAAGTCCGACGCGCTATTTGGGGAGCTTTGTAATAATGTATACCTTCAAGTCAAATCACTGTCGCAATGATGGTTTTTATAAGAACCACCACAAGATGGCTTTCATAAGTTGAAGAAATACTCAGCATCAATTGCAAACATATCCAACACAAACACATCAACCGCTATAAACATCACAATGTCTACTCGCTACACCTCAAAGGACGTCAGTCCTGAGCCTCTGGCCCAAGAACTTCCCTTCCAGCCTTCCGGCCGAGTCGCAAAGAACCGTTTCCTCAAGTCGCCCATGGCCGAGGCGCTGGCAACATGGGACCCTAAGGATATCTCCAAGAGAGGTATTCCCACAGACGGGCACATTGAGCTGTACAGGCGGTAAGTCCACCAATGCACAAACCACTGGCTTAGACTGACGACTGCAGATGGGGAGAAGGCAAGAACAATTTTGGCGTCGTCGTCACTGGCAACATAGACATCGACCCCGAGTCCGTTGGCGGCCCTGCTAGTACCATTATTCCAGCTGATGCTCCTTTCGAGGGCGAGCGCTTTGAGAAGTATAAGCAATTGGCAGCAGCAGCTAAGAAAGATGGCTCTTTAATCGTTGCTCAAGTCAATCATCCCGGCCGACAGGTTCCCTACAAGATCAACCCTGTCGCCATCTCAGCTTCTGATGTTCAACTTGGTCAGTATTCGATCTTACACCGTTCCATGACAATTGCTGACTTTTGCAGAACCCAGTATGGGAATGACCTTTGGCAAACCGCACGCCGCGACGAAGGATGAAATCGCCCAGATCATTGAAGGGTTCGCGCACGCTGCCGAGTACCTCGAGAAGGCTGGGTTTGACGGCATTGAACTGCACGCAGCACACGGCTACCTCATCTCTCAATTCCTATCCCGAACAACAAACAAGCGCACCGATGAATACGGCCCGCAAACCATCGAGAACAGACTACGTCTCATCTCCGAGATCTCAGCTGCCATCAAGGCCCGCGTGGCGCCCAGCTTCATCGTCAGCGCAAAGCTCAACAGCGTTGAGTTCCAGGACGGCGGTGTCACACCCGACGAAGCGCGAGAGTTGTGCGAGAGACTCGAGAAGCTCGGGTTTGACTTTGTCGAGCTCAGCGGCGGTACTTACGAGCGCATGTCATTGTCGTGGGAGAAGGAGTCGACGCGAAAGAGGGAGGGTTTCTTCCTCGAGTGGGCCGAGACCATCACCAAAGCTCTTGACCCAGCACACAAGATGAAGATTTACATCGCCGGTGGGTTCCGAACGGTGGGTGCTATGGTCGACGCCCTGGAGATTGTCCACGGCGTGAGCATCGGGCGGCCTTCAGCAGCGGAACCGCGTCTCGCAAGCGACATCCTCGAAGGTCGCGTCAAGGGTGCTATCCAACCCACGGAGCTGAGCGAGAATGATCTCGGCATGAGTATAACTGTTGCAGGTGCTCAGATTGCGCAGATCTCAAGGGGCTTTGAGCCGCTTGATGCGAGCAACGCTGAAGCCATGGCGACATTCGGAAATGATATGGGAGCGTGGTATGAGAAGGTTGTGCAGGATGGAGATAAGAATGAGTTTGTTGGACCGGTTCAGTATTCGGGAGTTCAGACTCCGTACGGTACTGTCAAGGCATGATGGGGTGTTTTTGGAGGCATTGGATAGTTTTCTTAGAGTACGGATATACTTAGAGTCATTTATTATAGACAAATACGACAATCATCACATAAATCGACTCATTCTGAAATGTCTTTGTGGCTTGCAGTTCCGCATTAGTTAGTGCTTACGATCGCCAGATTAGCACGGGCTAGGCCTGAAGGACGTTGGACCCTGCTTCAACAGTGGATTTGTAAGCCCTGTATGGAGTATCTGATGTGGTATCACTGCATTGCCTGCGTGAAACGAAAACCTCGCAACATCGATTGTTCTGTTGTCACTCCTCGAATTAGCTCACGATCGGCCCTAGAAAGTCAATCCTTATTCCCGCCAGGTCAGGACCGTATTGCAAATATGGCAAGCCCAGAACAGACAGATAACACACCGTCGAACCGTCGCAAAGGTGAGCCACTTCAACAACGATTGCGCATGTAGCTAAATAGCCGTTAGCCTGCGACCTGTGCTTTACAAAAAAGATCAAGTGTGACATGCTAAAGCCCGATTGTTCGAACTGTGTACTCTACAATACAAGTTGTCGGACCAGTATCATCAGACGCAAGCCTAATGCGGCGAGAGTAAGGGCAGGGGCTAAACAGCAGCAAGAAGAGTACGTCGCCTTCTTCCATTCCAGCTCAACTCAACTCACTGTCGTTAGAATCGATGATAAGGAAGGTCTCAAGTCAAGATTGGCTCGCATTGAGGAGCAGCTTCAACTTGTTCTCAACGCCGCCAAAGATGCTCAAGCCGCTAGACCACCAGCGTTGTCTCACTCACCAGATAGCCACTCCAGCACAAGCGACTCAACAGAGTCAACGACCAACGGCAATTCAAAGAATTCCGAGGACCTGGCCAAGACGCTGAAATATTCCTGGAAGTTCGACCCTACCAATCCAGTCGTTTATCAAGGCGTTCATCCAGCATCACTTGACCTTCCGCCGCTGGATGAAATCCTGCCCGTCGTGGATCACTACTTTTCGGGCTTCAATACAGTTATTCCCCTCTTTTCGCAACACGACTTTATGAAAAGTCTTACAACATGGTATCATTCGCCAAGTACTCGTGACAGAGCGTCGTGGGCTGCTATCCAAACCGTCATGGCCATTGGCTATCGTACACCGCAGCTCTCTGTAGCCGCTAGCCAATCAGTCCACATCGAAAAGGCAGATCAATGTTTGAGGAATGCACAGAGCGTGGTATCAGAGCTTGTCACGCGAGAAGAGGATTTACTGGGTGTTCAGATCCTGCTTGGTATTGTTATGCTATTTCAGAATAGTCGCGATCCTAAGCCTGCTAGTGTTCTCATTGGCACAGCCGTAAGGTTGGCACATAGGTTAAGGTTACACTCGCAAGAAGCTACGATGGAATTCCCAGCCGCTGAGGCCGAGCAGCGATCACGAGTGTTTTGGATTGCGTATACTCTTGACAAGGTATGTTATCCGTTTGGTTTTAGAAACACAAACTCATGTCCACCAGGATATTTGTCTGCGAGCAAGCACTCCCTCATGTCAGTTTGATGAAGATATAGACATCAGCCTACCTACACTGGCACCTGCAGACAGCGTTGGTTTGATATGGACGCAAAACGGCCAAGTTCACTTTAACTACCACCGGCGGCGCGTTGAACTCGCCTACATCGAGGGCAAAGTCTACGATCTTCTCTACTCGAACCGAGCGAGCAAAGTGAAAGGACAAGAACGGCAACGCCGCGTATCGCGTCTACAGTCCATGCTAGATCAGTGGTACGAGCGCATTCCCACCGAATTTCATATCGAAAACGTTGCTGCGACGGTTGGACCGAGCCAGCTCGTGCAGATGACAAAGATGCACCACAGCTTTTTGCTAACAGAGGTTATGATCCATGGGATTTACAGTACTAATGCGGAATGGATGAAGAGGATTAGCTCTCTTGGCAGGTCCACGATAACGAATATGGGAAACTTTGACGATGGGGGCAAGGCCACGGGTACCAAGTGTCGGGAACAAGCGCCCCCCTTGCCAGAGGGGTGGAACCAATGCCTGAATGTTAGTCGAGGGTGTATGAAGCTATTCCAAGAGGCCACACCAACAGAATGTTTGATTTGGTAAATAATGCTACCCTCATGACGACCTACACCTAGACTGACTTTCCCTAGGCAATGCAGTTGCTCCCACTTCTCAGCTCTAATCGTCCTCCTCGCCAACATGACCCTCAACCCCGGCCACCCTTCCATCAACATCGACCAACAACTCTCCATCAAAGCCCTCGACCTCTTCGACAAGCTTCTCCTAGTGATTAACGACCGCCAATTCAGCGCCCTACGCATCGTCGTCGGCGAGCTCAGCCAAAAAGCACAGGCAGCTGTAGCGGCGCACAGGCGCGAGCTTTGCGGCATGATGAGGAATACCTCCGAAACGCTCGACGCTGAGGAAGCTTCAGTGCCGGAAATGGAGTTCTTGCCGCAGGGTGAGGTGTTTGATGGGCTGGATGGGCCGTTTGCCGGGTTGGAGGGAACGTTAGGTAGTTGGGATGGCGTGGGTTTGGAAGGGTTGGGGTATGAGCAGGTTCCGAATGATATGAATTTCATGGACGGAGGGTTGTTGGATTTGGAGTTTATGCGATAAGGTGTGCGCTCTTATTTGGGGAGAGACTGTGATACTATTCTGTACTGGCCGAGGTTACTGGAATAGTAGTTTTAGCGTTGGATAAAAAAGATAACATAGAAATTAGGAACGTTGAGTGGCCTTGGCCTGTATTAAAATCGGGCAAGGTTATCGCATTAGCAAAACAGCAATCACATACTCAAGAGTTTACATAACAGGGTTTTATCAAGTATCAAAACTCTATATTGAATACCCTCCGTGTACACTCCGTAAAAAGACGACCCAAGGAAAAGCTGGGGACCTGCCACATATCTGGACTGACACAATGAAATCTATCGCAAAAACCACAGAAGCCCAAGATCCCAGTACCCAAAATCTAAGCAAATGCAAAAGGAAACCCGAAAAACGATAAAACAGAACGATGCACAAAACCAAGCTAATGAACCCTTCTTCCTTGATGCCTCCCAGGGGCGACTTGTGTCAAAAGGCGATTGAAGAAATACGACTAAAGTCGTCCTTTCTCATTCGCGGTTTCGTTTGAGAACAGCCTCATAGAATCAAGTTGATGTCCTCAACATGTGCATCAGCAGGTTCTTTAGCTACCACTCTCATGGAGAGGTGATGTTGAAAGACCACTTTTCGATTACAGTTCCGGTGTCGCCACCAATGATCAACTCGCAGAAGTTGTTCAGGGGCACAGATAGCTCGATAGTCCGTGTGTAAACTCATCATGGTGAGGAACCACAGCGAGAGCTTCGCAGTCAGGACATTCGGCCCCGAGCTACTTAAAGGGATGGACTGCCACTCAACCTGACACGAGGCCCAAGAGCGAACACTTTCAACAGCGCTGACGCGCATGACAACGATTTCCTCATGAGTGAAGATGAAGCCATAGCGTGTGTTGGACTCTAGACAATACCGAGCCAAACGACGAAGGGGGATTAAGGCCTCACGGCTGTGTTGCCGCAACCTGTCTGACTGCCATGCGCTAGCGCAGTAGAAGCAACTCATAACCAATCTCGCTGGAGCTGTTCTGTTTGAAGCATTATCGCTGCTTCTCAGCGATAGACCGGAGACGTAACCCCGGTTACTTGGAAAACGATCATCTACAATGATCTCCACGTTCGGCGTCGCTTGGAGAAGTCGGCCGGCTATGTCATTTGTACCCTTTACCAATGCCTGGAATACAGGCTGGAGAATGTCTTTCTCGCATGCCGACTTGAGATGTTTGAGGGTATTGACTTCATCGGATTCCGAATCCGAGTCTCTTACTTGAATGTCAAGGCTCGAGGATAGAATATCGTCGTAGGCTTGTTTTAGGGATTCAATGTTGAAGCCATCCCAGTCCACAACTGTCATCCGTATGTTGGGGTAGACGGTTCGGGTATCAATGTGAGAATTTGCCCCTCTGTGCTTGTAATGCAGAGGACGATTCGCTGTAACCAGGGCGTCGTAGAGAGTGGGCAGCCCTGTGCGGTCTGAGGAGGCGAACTTGGAGGTGTTCATTTTGATGATCAGAGAGATGAGTGATAAGTTGTTCTTGTGGCGATATGAGTAGGAGGCTTGTTTCTTGTCAAGTTGACTGAATGGGAAATGCTGCGAGTTCTACAACCTGTACGAAGTCTAATTACTTATATGGCTGTTTCTTGGCTCTGTTACCACTTCCATGTTCACAACCATGATCAATCATGGTCACTTTGAAGGCGATAGAATCTGATTAATGACAGCATTGAAAGGGCATCACAGGGATAGCAGAGTTGTAGCCTTGATGTTATGATGCTGTCAATACGGCTCAAAGGTATAACCCTTGTTGGTCATGCAAGATCACTGCAGAACTTCTCCAAGAAATGAGCTATGACCCTCTTCAGCAACAGCCTGAAGCGCATATGATTCAGGCAGATGTCTCCGTGTTTGGCATGACGCTTTCTTCAAGCTCATTGAAGCCAGGTGGTTGTTCGGCGGCAAATCACAGCGGCGTGGGTATTTCTTTGTTAGATGCGTGGTACTAAAAATAGTGGCTTGAACATGGCGAGCTGGCTTCTAAGATTGGGAGTGAAGTCTACGTCAGCAACAAAGAATTCATACTGCACAACTGATTTCCAATTAACAAGGAATAAGTAACGGTCATTTTTCGGTCTCTCCGTTAGCCATTCTTTCCCCTGCAAATTAGATATCCAACAAGAGCTGAACCACATGGGTGCAAATACCTAGGACAAAACAAAAGACCAAGACAATGGTCAATTTCGTGCACAGGCTGCGTGCTCTTGGTGTTTTGTTCTGTCCTTCTTTGTAAGAATCACCCTGGTTGTTCGTCACACCATGGAAACCCATCCTCTTTGAGAATCGCCTACTGCACAGCCATGAATGTCCTTCAGTGCCAGCTTATTGCTCTTAAATCCATCCATGAAACACCAGATACAAAAAGACGACAGTTCTCTCGTTTTATATCCTTTCAAAACATTATACCAAGGACAACGCATCAAACACATCATTACATTCACATAAGCAAAATCAACACACATCTTCATCACCACCTGATACACATTGAACATGCCTACACTGGAACCACTTCCGCCCTGCCCAGGCCCGAAGCTCGAGGCTTTCACGGACGACATCACAAAGCACGACTTCAAGGTCATCGAGTGTTTTGGAGCTGGGTGCCACTCTGGGGTTTGGAGGGTCGAGCTGGACGGAAAGCTCTACGCCATCAAGATTGTAAGTTGACTATTCTACGTCCCTATCACTGACATGTTCAGATGTCTAATATGACTAAAGTTCAATCATGGCGGGACAATGTCCACACAATATAACCCGGGGGATTACTTCTGCGAAGGCTATCATTTTGAGGAACCTCCCCAACCAAGCGAAAGCTTGCCCCAGTCCGCAATTGATAGCCTGCTCCTGGACTCTTCTTCTTTCTACAACGAGTGTCGGGTATTTGGGCGACTGAAGGAGCTGGGCCGCGAGGATCTTGCCGTCAAAGTCTATGGCTACATACGCCTAGATCTGCAAGACAAGAGGGTCCGACAACCTTTTGTCGATCATTTCAACACTTTCGAGCCTGTTGTCGGCGACGCAGCCTCTGGAGAGAATGCGGAGAAATTCGACAAACATTATGTTGCGAGCATGGTGCATCAGGGCCCGCACGACATACCTGCCTTCGGCATTGTCAAAGAATTCATTCCAGGGCCCCCAATGATGTTGTCCCATGAAGCCTTACGTCGAAGATCTGTAAAGCAACTCCCCCGACTGCTAAAGAACCTGCACAGCATACACAAATCGGGCATTGTTATACAGGATCTCAAAGACTGTCAATACATCGACGGCCACCTCGTTGACTTCAGCCATGCATGGACAATCCCGCACACCTACGGCCCAGAGGGCGGTCTCCGGCCGCGCTGGATGTTTGAGAGCATGGCGGCGTGGGATATCAAGTGCTTCCAGGATATTATCGACGAAGAGAGAGCGGTGAACGGGGATCTTGGCCTAGATATCAAAATGCCCAGTGCTATGGCTTTGAGTAACCAAGAGGTCCTGGGGCGTCTCCGACCTCGAGCCCAGACATATGGACCACTTCTACCATATTTGGCGTATGATCTTGAAATAACTGAGCTTAGAACGCATGATCCAAAGTTCGACCCGGGACTGTTTGACTGGAGGGCGGCGCAGAAGAAGCCAAGCAAGAAGCCAGCTGGACACGTGACCAAACGAAAGGCGGCAACTGGACGCGTGACCAAGCGAAAGGCATCAACTGGCCGAGGAAAGCATAGAAAGGCCAAGAAAAGTAAGAAGACGGAGGGCGAAGATGTGGGAGGGGAATAGCTACTGGATTTTGATGGGATAAAGATAGTTTACTTCATTTTGGTGATATTTTTTGACATTTAGCATTGTATTTAGACCATAGAAAGCGTGATTTAATGAGAATATAGAGTATTAGACTGCTTGAAATGCGACTGAGCTACTTTACACGCTGATGGCCTTGCTGCAGTATGACAGTGAGAGTGAGATGGCTGATGAATGAATCAGATAAGATAAGGAAGATCGTGAGTGGAGTTGAATGATCTGCAAGCCACGAAGCCGAGTGGGTGTGCAGCGTGCAGCGCGTGCTGGATAAGAAAGAAATTGAGCCTCAAATTCTGGAGCTGTTACTTTCTGAGCAACACTTCCCCAGGAAAACCTCGTGGTGATCGCCAGCCTGCATAAGAATGGACTGCAATTAATCCCCGCAGAGTAGACAATTCGTCAGAGGCTTATCTGCAGGTAATTTCGTCCGTTTGTAGAGATAACAGGAATCTGAACTGACTCAAGTCCAGCGAATACACTGCGTCATTAAGTTCAGCCCAAATTCGATAGCGGCCAAAGGGGGGGACTATAGCAGTCTAGCAGTCAAACAGCGCCCCATGTGGTGTAAGTGATTGGCCCCAGTTCCGTTCCCTCTGTTGGTTGTTGGTTTATCTGCGACGGCCCGTGTGTACAATAAAAAAGAGGAGCAACTGACGTACCAGCAGATAAACTACTTTGGGCACTTTACTATGTACAATAACTGTAGGGCATTGAGCGCCAATGTAACTACCGCTAGACAGTAGATACCTTGCTTAGTTGAATATCCAATCCCTTGTCCAGCCTCTCACATGTGCGCTGCCTTGGCATTGGCTCTCGTTTGGTGGATGATGCACGTGGGCCACCAAAACGTTATCTAGCCGTAGTGGTGCTGCCGTGGCCGTGGCCCGTAGGTGGGGGCCATGCCCTGGCGACTTCCGGGGTGTGCACATGGAACAGAGTCTACCGGATGGAGGGGGAGACGGAGAGGGAGTGGGAGGGACGGCTTGTTTAAAAGTCGGGCCATCTGCTGTTGTGTATGGAGTGCATTGTCTGTCTGGTGTTTTCATCTTTTTTGGTGTTTTTCTACTTCTTATCCGCGTCCATCTCCAACGAAACTAACCCCTCCCGTCCCCTTCTACACGACCACTCGCGTAAAGTGGGAGAGACCCGGGCATCATGGAACACTCAACCAACGCAGCAGCATCCCACTTACCGACATGGCAAGACGATAAAACCAGCGACGAGAAACCTCGTATTCCAAGCGACAACGAAATGTCGTCTGCGCATTTACTCGAGAAAGGTCTAGGACTGGATTTGGATGCGCAACCAGCTGCGCGCGACGGGATGCATCTACGACAAGTCTTTGCCAATAGGGTCATGCCAGTGGCATTCGCCCTGCCGTGGATCGCCGGCATGTTAATATCCTGGATCCCTTTCACAAACATCAGCGTCTCCAAAGCCCCAGATTTCCTGTGAGTCTACCTCCAATTACGCCGCTATCGCATAAGACATATCTAACACACGGTAGTATTCTGGCTGCAGTCATCAGCACTCTAGAAGTCCTCAGCATCATCGCCGTTTTCATCTACACGTCCCTCCGCCCCGATGTCCTCGACAACGAATCCTTCCGCGGCGTCACACTAAAAGAAAAGGCCCTGCGAGCCTGGTTCTGGTTCCTCTTTGTCAGCCCTTTCGTCACAGGCACCATGGTCGTCCTCATGGCCAGCGACATTTCCTGCGACCCGGAGGACGACCTGGACATGCACCAGCCCATCTGCCAAGTCGGCATCCGACTCATCAAAGCCACCGCTTTGTGTCGCGCAGGAATCATGTACGTACTCGCCTCAATTGCATGCCTCCCGCTCGTAACTAACACGCTGCAGTGCAACATTTCTCTTTGCGACATCCTCATGGCTAGAGCAGCGACCTAAGAGGCGTTACTCGTCCGACTCTGCCTCTTCCAATTAATTTAGCACCTGAAATCTATGGCGTCATGAACTTAGCATAACATAACGATACCCCAGAAAGCATAAAATATATTACATTACATATCTCAAACTTTATTCCAGTTTCATGAATGGCTCCACATATTTATGCCGAGAACCTTCGGCACCTCTTAAGGATCACCTACAGCAAATTAGTGACGCGCTCTATTAAGCTGCTGCCATTTACCCAAGTCTAATGACGCCACGTTGAGACTCCAGCAGGGTCTCCATGTTTTTCCCCTCCCATGGTTTATTCTGTCTTATCGCGTCCTTTAGATTGTGACGATGCATTGCGTGAATGTGGATTGTTCGCCCACATCCCGGCAGTTGTCGCAAGCGCCCACATCACCGCGTCACGGAATGTGACGAGCAAACTTTGATTTAAGCATATCCCACCGGATGCGAACTTACGCCTCATCACCAGCCGTGACCGGCCGTTTGGTACACAACCGTCGATAGTTTTTAAACAGAGTGTTTTCATCATATATTTATGCACCGGAGAATTTCTTCCATCTAATGACCTTTGTCCTGTGGTCTTTATCCGCAGATGGCTAGACCTCCAAAGACCTGCTGTGCCTCTTCATGGCAGCTTAGACGATCCCCTCCTAACTGCATCCAGAGGGTTTGCTCGGCAATTCGTCTGCAGTACCGACGGGCACTATTCCCTAAAACATGGTCTTCCGTGCTCCGAGCTCGTTTGTTCCTTGTCGGACGCTGTACGCCCGCAGCGAAATGTCTGTTTGGGTCTAGTATGAAAATCAACGAGGCATTAAGCGCGAATAATGAAGTTTTTTATTTGTTTTTAACCGATGAATATTAATTACTCTTGTTATAGCTATGCATATAAACGTGTCTCGCTAGATATGTGGTTAATAGAACCTCGGCTAAGAAACGCTTTATTTTATAGCCGTATACAAAGCTGAAGCTCGTCAAAGACATGTAGTCTTCAAGTAAAGACAACAAAACTGTTAAGGGACACTTTTTTATAGTCCATCAACCAATATCTCTTGTAGTATTTCATAGCGCAATGTAGTAAACTCTATTTTGTCGCATCTATCTTGAAGGGACAAACGTCTGATTGACCTGCAGCAACAGCAACAGCAACAGCAACAGCAACGATATAGGGGATTTGTAACTCCTATTACTATTGAAACCTTAAATACACATTAACTTTTAGAAACACAATTAATTCCGTATAACCCCTTTCTCAGGCCACCCTCAAACCCAACGCCTGCTCTTAGGGTCAAATACTGCCTCTTCCAGGCACCCTAGTCCTGCTCTCTCCCTTACAACCGACAACAGTTTCTTCAAGGCCTCGTGATCTTCCTTTTTCTCTCCTTCCCGCACAAAGGATGAATAAGTTGTCATTCCATAACCCTCTGCTTCATCCCGTACTGCGTCCTCCACACCGACCCACCGCTCATGAAAGTCTGGTCCGTTGTCGAAGTAGTCACATATGTCTTTAGGTCGGTATTTGCGAGCAGAGTCAATACTCTTAAGTCTTCTTGGACCGCCGTGGGAAAATTCTGCATGTGTCAAGGCATGATTCTCAATTCTGAAGAATTTGAGGTTGGCCATCGACTCGGCCCAGTGCGAAAAGAAATGTTTCCATCGGAGGTGACTTTCAAGAGGCGGGGAATGCCGCGCACCGCCTTGAGATCCTGTGACATAGTATCCCTCGTTGGAAAACCGATGAATCTCTCCTTTTGAGTCTCGGACCACAGTGTCTGTTATCTCGAGAGTCCTTTGACGTAAGTTATTGTCTGAGCGCAAAACACCGCAATTAGTGAGGCGTAGCTCTTCGATAGGCAACGCCCCAAACCACTCTATCTGCCACCAGTGCGAGAACTGGTAGTTCCCAAGAGAAAGGACTTTGAGATTCTCTAGACCTTCGATGCCGATCACGCGGAAGTCCATCTTTGGTAAGTAGCCCCATGGGTACTCGGAGCTCAGGGATAGCGACTGGAGTTTGCTGGCGAGTTTGGGCGTGAACCAAGTACGGCCAAAGGCTTGCATAAGACGAGGCCTGGGATATGTCTTTGAAAGACGCCATTCGTCTCTCCCGGTTTGTATCTCCATACCCACCAGGCTCTTCAAGTTCATCACAGCCTGGAACGACCATGTATTGATGATTTCGTTCGTAAGTTCGTCCGTCACCTCGTCCTCCAGATCGGAAAGCTTGATTGTATTGATGGGAATTGGAGTCTTTGGAAATTCATTGGGAGACCTGGCAAACTCAAATCTGTGTCTCAACTCTTTCGACAGCTTTTCAGCAATGGTATCTTGAACGCCTTCGGTCCAAGAACCGGCTAGACACCGGAAGACTATGTCAAGCATCCAACGCGTCACAGTTCTTACTGTACGGTCCCATTCCTCATTATCCGATGCCCATACGTGCATACGAAAGGTGATATCCTCTAGGTTTCTGAAAAGTCTGATGTGAGGGAGGGCCATAAGGAAGTAAAATAAGTCAAGACAGGCCGCCCAGCTAGTTCCGGCGTGGGTACTGTCACAGACAATTTCCTTGACATGAACCCTGATATGCTCTGATTTGGAAATGGATAAAAATATCGCAAGGTCATCAGGATCAGTGCCCAAGGTCACCGAGCGGAACAACAAAGAGGCGGCTACATTGCTGAAGTATCTGTCGACAAACCGTGCGTTGAGAAGATCCTTGCGAGAGAGATGTTTTGTAATTTCGAAGATGAGCTCGTTGGGCAAAACCGCGCGGGGTGTTTCCCCCTGTGTGGTAGACATGTTGATATTGTCCGGATGCGATGCTTGCTAATGATTTCGACGACAAGTTTGGGCGTTTGAGATATTCGTGGATGGTGCTCGATCATGCGGAAAGAAAAGAATCCAGGGGGAAGAAGACCAAAAAAAAAAAGAAAAAAGAAGAGGGCAGGTGATGAAATTCTTATAACGACGAAGAACAACCTTATTCCATATCTCGGCCAGATAGATACGCTACGCCAGCGAAAGAACACAGCTTCTTCTCACATATGAGGACATTACGGTGTTTAATAGGGCGAAGAAAGTTCAGGAGTGTGGAGACTTAAGTTGAGGATATGATCACGTACAGCAAATGTGTGAGTTAAACTTCCGAGAGTAAACTCACTTAACTGTTAGGTGGATTAATAAGAGAACGCCGAATTCCGTATGTGACGATACTATGTTCAAAATTTTGAGAGATATGTCTGAAGGATTTGCCTGTAGAACCCTTTTGTGAGTCAAGAACTCTCCAGTGTCCCTGATGTGTTGACTGTAAGTCGCTCAAAGCTGAGAACTCAAGAACGAATTACACCCCGCATAACCTTCATGAGTGAAAAGTAAATATAGCGTAGAGTTTACAGATAGTGGTTGATAGCAGCAATCAGCATTCATCGTGGCTCCTGAGAGGGTAGATCTCTACTTTATAGTTTATACGCAGGCCAACCCTGACCACGACAGCGATTTGTCATGCTGAGATGTTCAATAAGGTTATTGAATCGTTGACAGGGTAGCACATCAAAGTTTTGTTTGAAATTGTTATCAATTATTTCCCGATAAGAAGACCTATCTAATCTTTTGTCCAATGGTACTGGGCAGCGGGATGATCAGCCGGTGGTCTAGCAACACCCTTCTTCCCATAGATATTCTCCCGATACGTCCCCCCGTCCACCGCATAATCGTCCCAGAACAAGCCCCTCTCCCTCAAAACAGGCAACAAATCCGATATCACCTCCTCGAAGCTCGATGGCATAAGTGCATAGGCCAAGTTAAACCCATCAACATCAGCCTCGTCAATCCATCTCTCCATCTCATCTGCAACACGCTCTGGTGTTCCAGCTACAGTGGCCCCTAGACCGCCGACTTTGATGTGGTTTGCAACAGTGTGCTTCGTCCACTTTGGTACGCCGGGGATGGACTTGGACCAAGATTCAACTGCGGAGCGGATGGCGTTGCTCTCGACATATCGGAGTTCTTCATCATCGCCGTATTGAGCAAGATCAATGCCCGTCCAGCCTCCAAAGAGAGCAAGCGCTCCATCCTCAGACCCATAGCCTACGTACTCTTTGTACTTAGCATCAGCCTCTTCCTGCGTCTTTCCAATAATGGGGCAGAACATGGCTAGGAATTTGATAGTTTTGGGATCGCGGCCGAACTGCTCTTGAGCTAGGGCGCGAATCTCGGCGACGTTCTTTGCGACCGTTACGGGGCTATGGCCGGCTACAAAGATGGCTTCTGCGTGCTTGGCTGCAAAATTCTTTCCGGCTTTGGAAGTCCCGGCTTGAAGAATGACAGGAGTACGTTGGGGAGATGGCTGGCAGATGTGTGGCCCGGGGACGTTGTAGTACTTTCCCTCGTGATTGATAAGTCTTACTAGAGATGGATCTGTGTAGATGCCCTTTTCACGGTTTAGTTTGACTGCGTCGTCTCTCCATGATGATTGCCTAGATATGTCAGCCTTAATTACCGCAGAGGGTGAACTACTCACCAAAGCTTGTAAGTGACATCGACGTATTCCTCGGCAATTGCGTATCTCTCATCATGGCTGGGCTGCTCAGTATGTCCGAGGTTTCGAGCTGCAGAGTCAAGATACCCTGTCACAATATTCCAACCAAGTCGCCCACCAGTAAGATGATCGACAGTGCTGAGTCTTCTAGCAAGGTGATATGGCTGCTCATATGTGGTAGCCACAGTGACACCAAAGCCAATGTTCTTGGTTGCCGCTGCCATAGCGGGCACAGTAGCTAGAGGCTCATTGACAGGCCACTGAGCGCCTGAAACAATGGCTGGGTCTGGGTTGCGAGGTCCTTTGTAGACATCGTAAGATCCCTGGGAGAATTAGATTGCGCACTTGGTCTTTAGGTTATGACTTACAAGGACATCAGCGATGAAGATACCATGAAACTTTCCCTTTTCGAGGAGCTGAGCAAGTTTAACCCAGTGAGTGATGTTATTGAAGTCCCATGAGCGATCATCAGGATGACGCCAGAGTCCTGGGGATTGATGACCACTACAAGATTCTACAAAAGCATTGATAATGAGCTGCTTCTTAGGCTTGGCGGCTGTGTTAGATATTTCGGACATATTGGAAGAATGGCAATATTCAGTCCTGAATATGGAAAGAAAAGATATGAGAGGAGGTCCATTGGAAACATGGAGATAGGTATCATATCAAAGCTGTCTTGCATATTCAGTCGTTGCGCCATCGTGTTAGTCAAATCGCGTGCTTGCGGAGATAGTGGGTCTGGGAGTGAACTGTACGACTGCTTCCAATTGCCGATATCTCGTAGCGTGAGTTTTAGACGGCACGTGTAACCTAATTTCAATTGAATACACTATCAGCAAGCTCCGGATAAATGGAGGTTTGGTAAATAACTCACTTGTCCTGTCAAAGCGTAAAGTATCCGTACATGCATGGGTGTAACAGGGTGTCGAATCAATAATTCTCTTGTTGAAAGTCAGGTCCAGAACAAAGACGATAACAGGCCAATACCAAGATAGTATGCAGGCAGATCTTCGTTGTTTGGACCCTGACGCACATCCCATCATTTTAGTGCCGTAAGACGCCAATACCCCAGTCTGGCATTAGCACCAATCACACAAAAGAAGCTTAACTTATTGAACTGGACTGTCATAGCGAGTGCTGACAAGGTGATGTAATTGCTGTAGCAAGCTCGCCATGAGCTAGACCAGTATGATACTCCCTCGTCCCGAGGATGTCGGAACCGTAGATAGCGGTACCCTTTTGGTTCTGTGTGATAACGATATACGAGCCTCTATATACGCAATTCGGGGTCCAAGATATTCAAATACTTATACTACGGCTCTTGAACAGCCAACTCCTACTCCAGTCACGATTATACTCAGATAAATTGTTGAAGTCTCATCTAAACCATGGCTACACCAGTCTTTGAAAGCTCCGACCCTACCGTCTACAAAGAGTACGAAGCTCAATGGTCCACCCTTCCCACCGACGCTGAAGGCTGGATCAAGCGTGCTCAGGATGTGGCCGATGTACTAGCCAAAGACGCACCAGCTCGTGAACGAGCAAACAAATCTCCCAAGGCCGAGGTAGCTCTTCTGAAGCACTCTGGTCTGCTAAAGATTCTTGGTCCGACCAAGTATGGTGGTGGTGAGCAGCCATGGAGTGTTGCGTTCAGAGCAGTGCGAGAAGTTACCAAGAAGGACGGGTGAGTGTGATTATGAAAACTACTGTAATACTGTCGTTAACTAGTTCTAGATCTGTTGGAATGCTGCTGGGTTATCACCTTATCTGGTCTGCCACCGCCACCGTCGTGGGCACCCCAGAGCAAGCTGAGCGTACGCACAAGCTCATACTATCCAACAACTATTTCGTCGGAGGAGCTGTCAACCCTCGTGACAGTGATCTCAAAATCACTTCGGATGGTGACAAGATTGTCTTCAACGGCTTCAAGAACTTCAGCACAGGCGGTGTCATCTCCGACCTGACTGTTCTAGAAGGTGTATATGGAGACAAAGAAGAACACATCTTTGCCATCGTTCCCACGCAGCAGCCTGGTATTCAGTTCAAGCATAACTGGGACAATGTCGGACTACGTCTTACTGAATCCGGAAGTGTCAACATTGAGAATGTTTCTGCTCCGTGGGCTGATGCCTTGGGATGGGATGCTGAGGCTAAGAAGCCTGATCCTAGTATTCTTGCTATTCCTTTCACGAGTCTTTTCTTACCAACGCAAGTCCCCCCCAAGATCATGGAAGACAAATCTTCTGACAGCCTAATAGGATTCAACTCAACTTTGCCAACCTTTACCTTGGCCTCGCCGCTGGTGCCCTAGAGTTCGCCCAGGCATACACTCTCAAGAACACCCGCGCCTGGCCCTTCGGCGGCGACGTAAGAACCTCCAAGTCCTCTCAATATCCATATCTAACAACCATCTAGAACAAAGAAAAGGCAACAGACGAGTTCTACATCCTCTCGACCTACGGCAATTTCTTCGCCCACCAGCGCGCCGCCGAAGCCCTAGCTGAGAAGGTCAACGCCCAGGCCGACGCCCTCTACGCGACGTACTCACAGAACAGGTCCGGTGTGACAGCCGAGCAGCGCGGTGAGTTTGCAGAATGGGTGGCCAGCCTCAAGGTTGTTACCACAGACACCGGGCTTCGGATTACCTCGGGGGTATTCGAGGTGACGGGCTCGAGAGCGACGTCTGCGAAGACTGGGCTGGATCGTTTCTGGAGGGATTTGAGAACGCATACTTTGCATGATCCGGTTGCGTATAAGAATCGTGAGCTGGGGAGATACTTTTTGTTGGGCGAGTATCCGGAGTTGACTTGGTATACTTGATGTATGTTTGTCGCAGAGACTTTGAAAACGCTAAGGCTGTTATGGAGTCCATGATATAAGTACATCACATTTCATGTATTTAACTATCAAGCTTCAATATTTAAGATGTGACGTATTCCCAAGCTCATTTGATGGAAGCATTGCAAAATCCTACCCACATAGTGGTGGCATGAGGGCATAATCATAAACCTTCCTGTCCAAACTCTCCAAGTCACAAACAGAAGAATGATTATGATCTACCCGGTAACAACATGCTAAGCCTTGGCTTTGTTTGTTTCAGGACCCGTGTAAGCTGCAGTCTCACCAATCTTAGTCCACGGCGCAAAAGCCTGATATCTTAATTAGCACACATCCATCAACTCAACCGCAGGTAATACTCACATTCTTGACATCATGCAACGGCGCAGCAAGTTCAGGGAAATGTCTGCACAAAACATCCTTCATAGTGTTATTTTGCACCCAGTCAATGCCTTCACGTGTGTAAACTTCAGGACACCAGCCATCTCCCGCGAGGAAGCGATCAGACTTGATTCGACGGGTGGCCATGAGTATAAAAACGCGGAAAGCAGTGTCGCTAAAACCAAAACCTTGAGGTAGCGGCTCGCTGAGTGTCCCGGCGAGAAGATCGACAGCCTCGAGGTCGTTCTCGTAGACTTCTTCGAGCTCAGCAGCTAATTCTGCATCGCCACCTGTGAGGTCAATGAAGCTCTTGGCGGGTGGCATGTGGAACAGGCGACGGAAAGCATTATAACGAGGAACACCGCGTTCACGATCGCGAAGAATGTCAATCGCGCCCATATCCAGATGTCGACCTTTCGGAAAGTCCTTGTCTCCTGGGATATGCAGGTCACGCAAGAAGTTGGGCATGTTGTGCGCTCTGATGGCACCTGGGTAGTTAACACCGAAAGAGTAAAAGACATCAGCAAAGTTGAGTTCAAGGCCCGTGTTGTCGTTTTCCTTTTTGGCAAAAGGCTTGCGAGCTGACTCGAAGGCGACTTCTTTGATGGGAAGGGTGCCTTTGTGCTCGCCGTCTTTGATGCTGAAGAAGGCCACGTTGTCGGGTATCAGAGGATGGAGGCGGTAGACCGAGACGAACTCTTCTGTGAGGCAGTAAGGGACGCCATCGTGGTCGACGTCTGAACCTGGAATGCCAGAAAGGACTTCTGATTTATTGTTAAAAAGACGGCCGAAAACGTGCCATAACTGCTTCTGAGTTAGCCAACTTTTCAAAGCCGGATTAGGGAAGTTTACCTTATCACCCAGTAGTCCCCACCAGTTCGCATCCATTCCAATCTTCAGCGCGGGATGCTGCAGAATACCAGGTGTCCACTCGGTAGTATGAATCTTGGCCATGAGGGCACAGTTGATGAGCCTCGCAGTATCGAAGATGCGATCACTCGACCAAGCAGGATTGGATTGGTGAAGCTGCGAAGCAATGGCGTTGTGCTCAAGAGCAAAGAGGGTGTGCAGAAGCTCGAGACCCAACCACCAGTTCTGACGAAATCCTGTCTTTGGGATTCCATCTTCAGCTCGAGGAAGGAATTGCTCGCCTCCGCTAGTTGTCACATCAAGTTGACCAGGTGTAGACTTGTCACACTGGGAGCGCAGAGCTCTTGTCTCGGCTTCGGTTGAGCCGTAGATCTGCGAGGCATCCCACCAATGTGTATTCTCATTATCATAAGCAGGAGTCTCAGCGTCTTGGCTAGATAAAACTTCAGATCGCTTGGTACGTGGGACCTTCATTTCTGAATCGGACCACCTGTCGGTTTTACCCAAAGGAATTTCAACATCTCTCTCACTATCTGTGTTGAAGGAGTGCTGCGCCCAATCGTGGACCTGAAATTGAATCCAAGCTGCAGCAAGGAGGTTAACAATCTCAGCAGGTTTAAATTTCCCTTCTGGTCGAGCAAGGATTCTCTCAGAGATGATTCTTGGGCTTGGAGTGAGAAGTTCTTGCTGAGTAGGCGGCTTGGTATACTTCCTCGGCACATTGCGACCGAATCTCATGCCCGCGCAACCCATCTTTGGTTCACCCAGATCATTAAATAGACCATCTGAATTCCTAGCGGCGATGAACTTTGAGTCGTTCATAGGGCATCCCTTCTTTGTGCCCTGGAATTCAGCATTGGGAGAAGTATCATATAAATTCTTCTGTCGGAGCTCATAGCGGAGAGCGAGGAGATTGAAGACGCCGAGCCATGTGGGGAGTTTGTGCCACTTGATAAAGGCATTGACAATTTTCCAGAAAGAGATGAATAAATATTTGAAGATAGGCTCAAGGGCGGTGATGATAAGATGGAATGGGCTGCTGAGCAGCGTTAAAAAGGATTGAGGAGTGGAAACAGTTTTTCCGTCCATGGCAGAATTCATTGTGTTTGTAGATAAATGATTGTACCCTTCAGAATATCCTGGGGGTGAAGAGCATTATATCCTTCCATAGAAGAGCTTCCAGGCTGTGAAACATATAATCACATGCCCAGCTGTGTTGCGTTAAACTCCAAGCCTCGTCTGTGATCAGCCAGCCACCAAAGCAGGCACACATGTGAAGCATTCGCCACTTGCGCCTCATGAGTCCTACCGAACGCCAAAACAAGGACTCATAGTAGAGAGAAACCCTGATGATGAGCTCAAACCTAAGTGGCGTTGCTGAACGTTCGATAGTTCACCCCTGTGGCGGGAGCTATCTGATGTACTAGCTTATGTCTGCGGTATGAAATGCGAGGCATGTGATAATGCCATTGGAATATGAGACTCTGTAGGCCTAGAACTACGGTAGTTCATTTTAGCGTTACTCTATCTCTTTATCGTGGCTACAGCTGAGGTCTAGATGCCAAGGCTAGCCTTATGGATTACAAGATGCTGTGTTTGATTGGTTGCGAATGTTCCAAAGTTGGAGAGGTTGCCATGCGGCTGAATCCTCCCTTCAATCACCCTCTGATTAGCGGCAGAGCCTAAGAGCTTACTCCCTTCTCAGCCGCATCCCACCGTTTTCGAAGTAATTATTATCCTCTTTGTCAGTTTGTACCATCAAGTGTTTTTTTATGGTGATTACAATCTTTTACTGGAGTCGCAAACATACACCAAAATTCTAGAGATGAGATAGAAGTTACTGATTGTCTGGCTGTTTTAAGCTTTTGATAGTGGCGACATGGAGACCACACGAGCATTGTCAACTTTGAGACCATCCTTAACCGTTTTGTGTTCACGTCAGGTGCGCTTCCAAAAACAGTGTCCTCTCATCGAACGAGACACTTTGTTCAAGTAGAGGGCTTTACGACCTTAAAGTTGTTGCCTATCCAGATCGACTTCAGGCTAGGTCTGCCATGTAGTCACAGGTTTTCGTGTTTCTGCAGGTATTTCTCGCCACCAAGTAAACGTTGAATAGTATAGAAGCCAGTGTCATCTATCCCACATGAGCACGGTAAGCCCAAAAGTTTTCGAACATACGATCCTTCTGACCAGATGTGAATTCCCGGTAGCAAGCATCCCCAGTATAGTCCATGTAGTTGAACATTGGATCATTCCCGGGCTGGTCAGGACAAGTATCACGTGGGTGATCACACCCAATTTCAGGACTTCCACCTTCGTACTGGGCAGGTGTATCATCTATCCCATCACCGAAGTTACATCCACCGTAAAAGGTATGGTACAGGCCGAACCAGTGACCAACTTCATGCGTTGTCGTTTTGCCCAAGTTGGCTTCTTTTCGCTTGCCACCCGGGACCGTTTGTGCGTCGACTGTGCAGCCATCCATAAACTTCGTGATATCAAATGTGGGATTCGTGCTATTCTCTGGGAAAGTACACTCCTATGATAGTTATCAGCACAAGATCAAACTTTGTGAAATAAGAAGATTGGCAGAACTTACTCCAAGACCTCCACCAACCAAGTGTGAGATAAAGTAAACGTTCAAGGTTTTGTAATCACCTTTATGAAGCTTCTTTTTCATCCAATAGTCATAGGTGTTGTTCGCCCAAGTCGCATTTATAGTCCAGTCAATGCCACGGAGCTTGAATTGAATATCATATGGATCGAAATTGTCGTTTAAAACTTCGATCTGCCGGTTGAGTTGATTATTGGTAATCTCATTTGGAGTAGTAGTAACGACATGGAAATACGTGTCGAGTAAAAGGCGGCTTTGATTAGCACGCACATAAGAACCGTCAATGTGGCTTCGTTTTCGGGGCCCTCGAAGTACTTGCGACTCGGCCAAAAAGCCTTCTGTAGGTTCGCTCTTGCAGTGGATGAGGTCATTTCCTGGCGGGTTTATGGCCAGGCCGGTAGTGATGAGCCCAGTGATAGCAAGGAGCAATCCACGCATCTTGTCCAGACTGACTGTGAGTTAACTCATTGAGAGTGTTGAGCTTTCAGGAAGGATGAAAATTGAATCATGCATGGGTAAATAAGCTCGCTTACAGGTATGAGTGGAGTTCTTGCAGTTACGTTACATGCACTATAGCAACGGTATTTCAAAATAAGGATAACAAGGAGCTTTTAATAGTATCACCTCGTATTACAGATGCTGATAGTATTACTAAGCGCCATTCAAAAGTGGGACTATCACTATAGTTATCCAAGTTTCCTTTAAAATGACTGTCTAGTAGAGCTATTCCAATTCAAGGCTGGTTGGGGTGGTCGATGACACCAATGTAACATTTCTTCTAACTTATCTCAGCACTAGGCTCCATGGGCGAATAACTCGCTGACCTTGACTGCAATGGCCTGGCTGTGTTGCTTATCCAAGTGAGGGCTGTGGCCACTCGAGAGAGTCACTACTCTAGCACCCGCCGCCTGTGCCATGGCAAGTTGTTGCTTAGCTGGGACTACCTCATCGTCTTCACAGACAAAGTAAACCTTTGGAATATCAAAATCCCCAGCTACCACTTGGACAGGTGTCTCAAGGCTCAATCGGCTTTGCTTGTTGAGTTCAGGCAAGACCTGATCTGATTTGACTCCTCTGAAAAGGGCCTCCCGAAACGTAGAAGTGGTGCCAACATAGCCATCCTATGAAAATTAGTACGGTAGCTTTCGCTAATGGTGCGATGATATCGTGACATACCTGTACGTCAAATATCGGGCCGTACTGTGTGCCATCAGGTTGGAAGACAGATAGCCCCTTTTGCGACAGAAGGAAAGCAGCGATAGCAACAAGACCCCTAATCCCACCCCTAAGCCCCTTCTCTGCTCGCTCCTGGACTGTGTTCCCTTTCAAAGAAGAAGCAGCCGGGACACCCCCATAACTGTGAGCGACTAGGACAAGTTCTCTGCCGGCATCCAGGAAGGGAGCAATTGCTTCCTGGATAACCTGAACGTCATCCAGGTGCGTTTTACCGATAACCTGCTCTATAGAGCCTGACGTAAGGTTGCGTGGTGTGACGATGTCTTGGAAACCTTCGTTGCGGCATGCCTCAACCAGGAGTTTGTAATGGCTTGGGTGGTGCCAGGCTCCGTGGACAAGAACTAAGACGGGGTATGAGGAAGACATATTGAACTGAGGTAGAGAGAAAATCTAGAGAATCTCTGCAAATCTGTGTTCGATTTATAAGGCGAAATGAACTTTAAATGCTTCACGTTTTTTCTCATTAGCTCGCCATCACGGCAACACAAAATCCCGGACCAAGTCAGTCCAATCGGATAAGACCTCGGAAACGGCATATAGCACGGTTGATGCTCATGACCATTTACTTGGTGTAGATTTGAGTCGAAGACCTGCGGCAAACGCGGCGTGGCAAACGCGGCTTGTGACGCGGCATAATCGGCATATAGTCAGTTACTATCCTCTAGTAAGGATGGTGTGAAAAGCAGTTTCCCCAGTGAAGACCATCGGGTTCACCTATCGAGCCGTGAAAACAAGCTTCTGCGCCCGTTATTCATCTTTTCATTGTGTCGGAAATCAAGCCGATTGTCAAATAGGAAAGATTCAACGTGGCTTTAGGAAAGACAAATTGCTCTCGACGAAATATCTACATTTCTACTAGTTATGCTGACTTTGAGAAGGTTAGTGACTGCCTGGAACAACGGCTTTTCCTTCTTCTTTAAGGTTGAGAGAGAAAAAACTGTGTTGAGAGGTATCAGGTATCACATTATATTATGGAGAAAAGGGTTTTTTTTTAATTCTTTTTTTTTATATTTCTTTTTATAGATATGCGGCCTTGATCTATCTCTTCGAGACATTGGGTAAGGTATGTATACAAGAGAATCAATCTACTGGAACGCAGACTAAGCTCTTTGAATGACGATGTCTACAGCCTCGTTGTTCACGTTTTTCTTCAGTTGAATTATGTCCGTCCTAGTGCTGATCTTGTATGCGCCAAGAAGCTTACGGTTTTCGTAAAGCCTGTATCTTCCCTGTCGCAAGCCCGAAATATCAAGGTTAACTCTAAAAGAATGTGTGAGAACCGAATTGCTTGGGGGGGGGGGGTGGTCTATCACCTACGTCTTATTGATCCCAGAATAGGTACGCATAGTAATGGCCATTGCTGCAAGACTTTCGTTCCAGGCTCCGCGCAAGAAGTCTACACCACTGGACAGATCGACATTGTCGATGAAGGGGTAGGTAGAAAAGTGCTCTTTCGTCCAGGGCTTCTCGTACATCTTGCGCTGGCCGTCAAAGACATTTAATCTCGCGTAGGGAATACCTGCGTTACCGCTTAGAGAATCCATTGGTTGTAGATCATCGGTTCTTTGCCCACTGGCCGGGTAAAAGAGTCCACCTTCTTCCCAGGTCGAATTGTAAGCCGTGTCAATGAACTCCAGATACTGAGTCAAAGCTGGCTCGTCACCAACTTCAGAGATCATCTGAGCTACGTATCCCGGAAGGGGTTTAACGGGCTTTGTAGCAGTGGATGTTTTCACCGGGTGGTCTGCGGCAGCCGAGTGGCTATAGTTCGCCACGGTCTGCAATGCCATCTTGTGTGCCGTCTTGTAGGCGGTGTTCGCTATCTCTGGACTCCAGGCATTGAGGAAAGCAGCAGCCCTATTCCTTATTAGTCTCGTTTTCCTTCCCACCCGTCTCCCATCATATAGGTTTCCGCATGTTGACATACCAAGCTGTGAAACCGGGATCCTGAGCATATGTTTTGCTTTTGTGTTTCGGAGAAAACCAGTCAATGAGGAGGCCATCGTCTTGGAACATACCCGTCGAGTTCCAAGCCTTTTGGTATTTTTCGAGAACAGTTGGGGCGACGTCGGTGCCCTTCCGCACATCGTTGTATCGCATACCAATCATCTTGGAGACGCGACGTTAGTAACCTACCATCTAGATGTCGTTGGTGAAGGTATTCATACCGGAAATTGATTGCAGACGATGAATATGCTGTTTGGCTCACAACAGACACCGAGCCAGTTCTCTCTCTCCATGTCTTTCAATATAGCTTCTTGCAAGGATGTGAGGTTATAAGTGAACTTTTCTGGTCCCATGCCCCAGAAGGTTGGCTCCCAATCAAATAAAAAAGCATCACTCTCCTCGTATCTGTCACTGTCAAACAGCATCGAGTACAAGGACACCATATGGAGGAGGTGACCAGAGTACTGCAGCTCATTAATTATGCACTACTCATATCGGTCGGACAGCTCAAGACCTACCATTATGTTCTCCCTTTTGATTGGATCCGCCCAGGGTTTTCGCAGCTCCTTGAGATCGGGGTCTACAAAAACACCGCTCTGGCTAGTAAGATACCAATAACCCCAAACGTCTCCTAATAACATCTTGGCGATGAGCTTCTCAAGTAGGGTTTGGAATAGTGATCTCAACAGAGGTAGTCGAAAGTAATGCGTTGCTCCTGCAGCATAGGTCATCGTCGCCAGTTGATATCGGTACCCGTCAAGTAACTCTTGACCGGCCTTTTGAGAGCCCATATGACGCCACTCCCCGTCTTTCTGCTTGACCAAGTTATGAAAGTGGCGTAGATGTCCTGCCTGTTCATTGGACATGATCGGGAATGCGTCGATGAAGCTTTCATCTAGATGCATTGGCTCCTGAGTAACTGAGTCCACATCTTCGAGAGGAACTACACGCTTCGTTACCATGGCAGATCTAGTCGATGTTTAAGACTTGTCAGATGATTCATGCTTGAAGCGAGCGTTCAGAAGTATTCCGAACACTGGGTGACACGTACGATGTATCTGCGATAGTGACCAAGATCGTACAGACATGGAGGATATTTTGGAGATGCATGATGATGGTGAGACGATAGTACTGAGGCTGCTGATGGTGTGAAAAATATGCAGAGTAAAGGATGGCTGAGTGTAAGAGTATATGTGGAATTGGAAATGGCTTAGGAAGGATCATATACAGAAGCGCCCTGATGGAGTCTCGGGGCGCTCCACTCCATCGGTGTCATCGGACCTCGACATGCCTCCGAAATCCGGCGTCAGAGCACCATGCGGACTTTAGGGAAAACAAGCATGGAGGCAACGGTAGTTTGCGATACCCATGACGTTTGAAAGTTCAACTTGTATGTTCGTTGACAGTAGAGACAAGGGCCGCCACCGTGGGCTTTCGTTGTTTGACCGAAGCCATCCTGTATTGTGACTGTTCTCTTAGACACAGGGCAAGAAGAAGACAGTCTCATAGCCCTCTGGAACCGGGGGATTTGCGTTTCATCCATGGCCCATCTGTCGTTGGTTATTTCGGAAGAATTGACATGGCCCTGATCATAGAAGCGTATTAGGACCAAAGCCAAAGCTGGTTACATTGCCAGGGTAGTGGTGCAATAACTTTCCTCTACCGAGAGTGCCTAGCCCCGCATCCTCATGGAATCAATCCCCGCTACGGATATGTCATGAGACTCTTCTCTATTTGCCATCTGCCGCTGTTCCATTTGTTCCCCAGTCACTACCCGTCATAGTTCTTCAAACTCCGACGGAGATTTGCCCAAGACCAATCCCACTTACATGGGAGCTGGGGGAACAGAAATTACTCGCCTGTCAATCTAGTCTTGATGTTTCAATTGCGACGTAGTCCTCGACTCCTCGGTATTCCGAATGATCCGGAGAACTGGCAAAGTATCGGCTGCTGATCCCTCGTGATTCAAGATTGCCCGGAAAGCTCATATATTAACCTAGAAGATAGGCCTGTAAATCAGACAAGATAGGCAGTTATAATCCTTATTTTTCTGTAATCTTCTGTATTTTCTAGTAACTTATGTCTTGGGTATAAAAAGCCCTGACTTCTACGTATATGAACTTTAGTATTGAATTATAACACTACTACGAAGAGGTAAATTATGTATAAATTAACTTTTTAACGATCTTGCTGATCATAGTCTGGTTTTAGCATGATCAATAGCTCAGAGCACCACAGATGCACCCAACATGCAACATATTAGCCGTAGAGATCCTGGCCAGGCCGTAGATACGGATCATCATCATAATGTAATAAATGAATAAGATTATTTTATCCTTTACACAATACAGCTAGAGGAGTTGGATGAAGGTCTATGCCGCTTACTCATTAGCGCCACTCTTTCATGACGTTTGTACCTAGACAGAACCTAATTTTTCCAGGCTTTAGGAAGTCGCTAACACTAACTAATTTGGGTGATTTTGTCCGCCAAATTACGGACTGACACTTATTAGACCGTTTGTTCGACAAAAGCTCGGCATTGTTCAAAGTGCCCCATCGATCTAGCCATGTACGGATACGGTCAAGAAACATACTACATGGATCATGAACATGATAGCAATACGCAAAAGCTAGAGAAATTACATGCAGTCTCAATCATGAAACTGGTCAATATCGTAGCTCCTACTATGTGAATTTTTAAGGGTATTATCAGATTATCTACGCACCCTCTTCGTATGCGCATTAGAGTAATTCAGTTGAGCTACTACAGCAATTAGCATCTAACATAGGCCTCATAGTTTCTTGTCACGCATCGCAGTAGACAACACCCGAAATCATGTGCAACGTGAAGCCAAAACTCAGTAAGTAACAAAAGTTTAGTCTTGATAAAGGAGGTGAAGAAATGACAATGCCAAGAGTTTACAATACAGCAATTTCGATACCCTTACTTCGTGCCACTTCATCCATGTCAAAGCAAGACGATCCAGCTTGCCACGCGTCATCCAGTATTTGAAAGGCTATACTTACGAGTTTATAACAATGGTTATTCTCGAAGATTTTTCTTGTATCATCCGCGGTCCTTTTCCATCTAGGATGCCGTTTCAGCAGTGGTACCTCCAGGCTGGCTGTTACTAGTGGAAATACCAATCCGTTTGTGATCAGCGAACTTTGATTCTCGGGCTGAACACTGGCACTTTGCAGTACTTGGATGGCTGCCATCAAACGGCAAAGAACGACTTCGTTGCATGGGATCTCTTTTGCCATTTTCTCCGTGGATACCTCGGGGTCCAACTGCTTTTTGCAACGCTCGCGCCTGCGAACGTCGAGAATACTTGCTAGCCGCCAAGCATCCCACAGATAGCACTGGAGGTACTCGCCTACTTCACCAGGCCATGTCCAGAGACAGATCACAGCTTCCTCAGTATCCATTTGCATCATATCAGCTAATATGTCTAGAAGACTCATCGGCATGCCTGAGAGTACTTCTATACCTTTCAGTCGCCCTTTCTTCCAGCGGTCCTGGCTATTGCGAAAGGTCTTCCATATGCCCATGGAGGGCTTCTCTCGGCCAAACACGAGACATGGTATGTCCATAACTCCAATGAATTCGAGTACATGTCTAGTAGCAAGATCATGTTCTGCGCTCAGGCTTGGCGAAGACGTTGGGTTTCCAAGACTGTACGAGTCTACCAGAAGTCTAAGGATTTGCGAACCGGGATGTCCTTGGATAAACTGAAAAGACAATGTTAGCCAAATGAATCCTGTTCTGCCGCTTAATCAAAGAACTGTCTATGCGTGTGCCAATAAGCATCAACTTACGTTGAGAACGCACAGTAACAAACCTGCACAGGCGGTAGCAGGATGAAAAGTATCATGGGTAGCAGACACTTCGGCTCGAAACATCTTCAAAGCAACATCAATATACTGCATGGAACATACTTGTGGATCGCCACCGCCCTCATCCATGTACAGCTGAATAGCTGCAGAGATTGCGGGAAGAGACTTGCTCTGCGTTGACATTTCGATCAAGAAGGGTTGTATCCACGAGCACGTGCATGTGTTGTAGAGCCGTGTGAGCCCGCTTTGTAAAACTATCGAGATCATGAGTCACCCTAGGTGCAGAAAATCTATATACCAAATGAAAAGCACGTACATTTGTGAAAAAGCGTTGACGTCAAACTGGTATCAGGTTCTGGGACGTCAGTCGGCGGGACGCAGCATGAAAAAGTACCTCTTGATGCTTGAGAAGTTGTCAGCTCTAGGTGACCTATGCTGGATGTTGCTTCTTGGGTGAGAGGCATTTCCACCCAACGCAGCTGTGTTGAGTATCCAGAGCACTGAAGGCCTCGACGTCTACAGGCAGCACACCATGGTCGCTCCTGGTCGCATCTTTTCTTCCGGTGTCTGCAGTTGGAGCATCCACCTCGAGATCGTATCATAGTGACAGCACTAGGACAAGAACAAACTTGGGAGCAAGGACTCGCATTTACTAGACACCAAGGACGCTGTGATGGTCAGTGGCCCTGGTACATAATGCGGAGACGTCACGCGAAGACATATTATCGGAATCAGCTAGCGTCGCTTGATTTTCGGACTGGAATAATAAGGTTTAAATTATGTAATCGCCTTTCTGATCATCTTGTACAATTCAGGTGCGTGTTGACCGTACGACTTCTGCGACCTCGGTAGCTTCGTCTCAGATAGAACGTAAAGCCTTGTCAATGATCCGAGCAGCTTCCAAACATTCCTCATCTCGAAAGCGTGGAGAGATTATCTGAATAGATCCTGGTGCACCGTGATTCGATTTGGCGTCGTCTGGGCATCTGTCAGCAGCAATCCACTTTGTCTGTTATTGGAAGAAGATGATGACTTACAGTCAGGCACAAACGCCATGTTCGAAGTCTGGGGCTCAGGGTCTTCTGATGCCGATGCATACCCGAAAGGGATAACTGCCGCCGGATACTATGTGGCCTCATTAGCCGCTGACTGACATAGTTAAGTCGAAAGTCATATTGTACTTACATCAAGGACATTCCACATAACCGTATAAACGGGTAGGCCATAAGTGTCGTGAGGCACGGCAGTACCTACAGCCCCTGGTGCTATTACTACGTCAAGCTCATATTCCCGCCACGCCTCTTTCCACGCCTCGCCGTATGCCCCTCGGGCTTCATTGAGCTTATGAAATTGGGTTGGGATATCCAGCTTAGGCGAGACAGGAAAGTCTCCACCAGAAAAGGGGTGCATTCCTTTAGCAACCGATGCAACAAATGGTTCACCCATGCTTTGGGCTATCACTGCGGGATCTGGACTTGCGATCCCGAAGAATTGGTACCCGATCCTAGCACCAAGACTGACACTGCGATGGGGATCTGCTGGGAGACGCACCAGTTTGTGACCAGCCTTCTCTAGGGTGTGAATAGCTTTCGCAAGTATTCGGCGGACCGGAGGATGCAAGAGATATTCTTCGTCTTCGGGTAGGATGCCGATAATAAGTGCTTTATGCTCAGAGTCTAGGGACCTCCATGGGATGAACACCGCTGATGAGTCATACTTCCAAGGCTGTAACCCTGTGACTACTTCCATGAACAAGGACAGGTCATCAACAGAAGTTGCTAACGGACCTGCGGCGGGCATCACGCTGGAGATCCACTGAACAGGAAACGGGGAAAGGGCTTGGCCTTCAAATGGGATGCGATCAACAGTTGGCTTGAAACCATATATACCGCAACAAAGTGCCGGTATGCGCACGGAGCCAGCAAGATCAGTTCCAACACCAAGAATTGACCCACGGAATGCTACGAGTGCGCCTTCACCTCCTGTAGAGCCTCCAGCTGTCAGTCTTGTGTTGTGTGGATTGAGGGTTCTTCCAAAGATGTTGTTCTCAGAATCTGCAGTCTTCGAGTTAAGTGAGTAGTTGAACACATATATACTGCTGAGCATTTTCCAGAGTCTGACATACCATCATCGTCTGGGAGACGTTGGTTTTGCAGTAGAGAATTGCTCCAGCATCTTCGAGTAGCTTGACGAGGGCTGCATTGCCCTGAGGTAGCGGTCGTTTGAGGAACTCAACGTAACCAACAGTTGAATGATACCCTTCGACGTGAAAGCTGTCCTATGTAATACTTAGCCTGGGGTAATATGTGAGGAAAGCGGGTTAAATGTACGCACTTTCAAACTAATTGGCAGGCCATGGAGAGGACCTATGACCTTACCTGTGGCTGTCAACTGGGCATCCAAGAACCGAGCCCTCTCCACGGCCTTGTCAAAAAGTATCTCAGTCAAGCAGGAGGTCTTGCGAAGTCAGCAGCTATCACAGAAAAGACAAAAGTCAACTCATTCTGAAGCTCACTTACTAGCTGCTGGGCAATAGCTGCTCGTTTACAAAACGCGACGACAACGTCTTGGGCTCTCAATGATTGGGAACGCATCTTTGTCAATAGCTCGCGGGCGGTAAAGGATTCAGTGATCTCCATTTCTCTTTGACTCAAGAGACCGGAAGCCTGGGCGGCTTTCAACTCAATTAGGTGACCTTCTTGTGGTGTTCCTGCGCCGGAAATCTGATCCAGCTTCTTTTGACTTAGTTTCCATGATTCTGGGATGGCCTGCTCTTGCTTTTCACGGTGTGTAGCGACAAATGCTTCCCAAGTCTCCATGGTCATCGTGAGCGTGTTGGATCACCTTTGGAAATTCCGATAGAAACAATTTAGGGCATTTCATCAACTTATTTTTATCCTCGAGTCTTCTTCCATGCATTATATAGTTTTCAAGTTTGTAACTGGCATAGCCCCGTTTCAACTTTGTGAGGCACAATGCGTCAACCTGCTTTTTAGTGGCGGTATTTCACGCCTGATTCGGAAAAGGTTTCCGCAGTCAGGATGGTTCCAATATCAACTCCACAAGGGCTTCCTCGGCTTCGGCATCTTACAAAGTGAAAGTGTTACTATGGAAGAGAACCAGGAAAGACTTATTGGTAAGGCAATAGAAGCTAAGGTAGCACTTTAGTTGGGGACGTTGCGAGATGGGAATGAGCCTAAAGGATACATCTCCATTGGGTGTTATCAGCCAGCATGAATCCAAATGGATGTGTTAGAAAGGGTCTCTACATGGCCAATAAGTCAATGAGCGATATCACCGCTGTGTTAAGGAACATTGCAGTCAGGAGCCCTTCGAACCTTGACCAGTTTTTCTAAGAGTACTATCGACAAATTGACTTCAATTGTACATGATCGATATCCCGGTAACAGACTCGATCGGAAGATCGCAGCGGTATGATACATATCGCGTGGCCCTTATTCTGGGATAGGTAGAAACACGAGAATTCTATCACCTCAATAGCTTCAAGCTAGAAACTACCTGTTCTTGCACGAACAAATGATTACCCTTACTATGACACATGAATCGATGCCTGTAACTCCGGTATTCTTCTGAAACTGTGGGGAGAAAACTCTGAGATGGAAACAAAATCGTCTTCTATGTTGCTGCCAGAGCCAACTTGGGGTTTTAGGCTGTTTGGTGTTCGCTGCTTTTGTTGGTCGATACCTCACATGTTCCACCATGCCGTAGCAGATACATTCCGCCATTTCGAATGCAAGTCCAGGTCAGTGAGCGTAAAAGGATGAACGGTGAACTGGGGTGGCCTTCAGGGAGAGCATGGTATTCAACACAGCACTTGCTCGTCGCGATGCAATTGCCGAGCTTAGCCTGCCGGTCAGGTCGACCATTTGAAATTAACCAAAATCACTGCCCATGGCACACGATGGAGACCGGAAGCTACTTAGTCCCGAAACCCTATTTTTGTAATCGAGTCGTCTCTGTAGCAGGGGAAGATTTAGGATAGTTGAAGTGGAGATTTCGAGGCGGAAACGCTGTCCAAAAAGGGCAAAAATGTGCGATGTTTCATCCGGCTGTGCATAAAGAAAGATGGGCCAATCAGTCATTATCTACCTCCGAAGTCCAAACTTGTACTCCGTACCTTCAGGCATATGGCATTCGCTTCATATCCCTTGTATGTGCTAACAACTATCGTGGGACATCCCGCAAGAAACAGAAAGTCGGGGTACGGCTTGCTAATAATCATACTACGGCACTCGGCAGGGGCACAAACCACATATATTATAGCCCTCTTTCTATGGCTGCAATACCGTATCAAGAAGGAAGAGTCAACCATAGCTATCTATAGAGAAGAACGCCATAGAGAGAAATCTTAATAATTTAAGTTTTATCTAAGGAATAAGCTCTAATTATAAAGTGATAATATCTCTGTTTTAGAGTAAAGCTATAAAAACTGTACTTAAAAACAGGTGTGGTGTCATGCTGAGTGCTGTAGTAGTAATCAGGCATGAAGATACCAGACCGCGAGAAGCATTGTGAAGACACCAGGCTGTGAAAATTGTGGTTATAAATAAAATGCATATATGCTCAGGGAATGTTACGATTTCAAGGACTCATTCTAACGTCCATTTGTCACACACTAGAATAGTTCTGAAGAAAAGACATCTTGGTTCTGCCACCCTTGTTTCCCCATTGACTCGACCAAGATGAGCTACGCCTTCTACAATGCCGCCATTTTTCTTGCCAAAGACTCGCTGAGAACCCTTGCCAATATTCTTAGGTTTACACAACAATTAAACTTGAGCACCTGGCCATCAGCCTGTCTTCACGAGGATAAGGTCCCTCTGAGCTTTCATAGAACTTAGCTTACTAGCTACTAATATAACTTGTTTGCCTTGATATGCCTAACCCGTGCTATTAATAACTAAGAAATATCACATCTCTACTACCGCTTAGATTTTACCCTACAGTCTTTTTAATATAAATCTTACTATAGCTTGATTTATATCTTACCAAATCTAATTGTTATCTAACTAGAAAATTTGACAATCTTGAAAGAACATATGAAGTTAATATATAGGATATTAATTTATTAACATAGGAGTTTTCATCTAATACATAATATATCTAGTAACGTTAATATTTCTGTGGGTTTGATTAGGACAGCTGGATCTCTTTTTTAAAGGTGCTACCAGACTCAATGTAAGTAAATAATATATCTAGTGAGGTGTTTTCCTTTTATTTTAATTATGTCGTAAAGTTAAGTATTAAGACTTATAGTATTATAGGTAGGTTAGGCAAGTCTAGGATTTCAGCCTATTGCTGTTGAACACGGGATCATTGGGGATTTTGTTTAATCACAAGTTAACTGTTCGTATTGCTGAGTAACCAGGCTAGAAATGACTTAAGGCTTCTCCGACGTACTTCGTACACAATTTTGGGACATACCACTCAAACGAAGCACTAAAGCACTAACAAAGTTGATTGGCAAAGGAGAATCTGGTGTGCCAGTCTTGTAAGACTCTGGTCCATTTAAGGCAATCTGGGGTATCGGCCGGTAGCCGGACTTGCAATATAGTCCGTCCACTCACATTCTGGCGGTGGTGTGCTGTACTTGATTATGGTTCGACTGTACGAAGGTCTATGTGCACTGAAGCCACAAACTGATTGAGCTTTATTGAAGAAGTAGGGTGATGGGAGTCGTGATGCACATCGCCAGAAGTACACACCCAATATTAGGCCATGTGTCAAGCCAAAATCGTCGAAATGGTCAGCGAATGAAACCTCACAAATCAAAGAGTAACCGAATTTTACTTAGATGCATTCGGACTGCGGAGCCCTTGAACACTCCGCCGTCGAATGACAGACCGCAACGATTAAGCTCACGCCTGTCACGCCACAAGACCACGTTACTAGGGGGGTTGATCTCACGACAATAAATGATCATCCAAGGATTCAAAAGGCGGGGGCAGTCGTCGGATTGGTCCTACAGTCTGACCCTTGCTCGACACCCCTGTGAAGGCTTCGGTGGAGGGGGGCTAAATCCTAACGAAGAACTCGATGGTCCCCAGAATTTTCGTGTTTTCGGATTCTGGGTTTGCTCTGCTATACGAAGGTGTAGGCAAGAGGCCGAAAATGCTTTCTTTCCGGACTGTGGCTTGAAAGTCTTAGGTTTTGAATTCGTATATGATTTTTATTCATAGATCTCGTGTAAGGAGAAGTCCGTTCTTATCTTTTCCAGTAACTGAGATAATCGCACTCTGGATGAAGAGCAGAACTGGGTATTGCCGAAAGGTCGAGGTAGTCTTGCTCAGAGAAGTTCCCAACAAGTAAACAAAGGTAAAATCAGCAACCAAAGATTGTACCACAATCAACGACAAACATTGTGCCGAAAATCAAAAGAGGTTGGTCAGAATTATTATCGAGAGTTCACCTCAAAAGATGCACTTCAAAGTGGTATGTTTGCCATTTCATCCATCAGCATTTGTCGGAGATGATACCAGGCTCGTTTTCCTCTCCAACTCCCCATCGTCGTGCGAACTACCAGGTGACTGCTCGCAACATTCTGGAGGAATATCCTCAGGCGTTGGGAGTCTTATACATGTACAATGCCTGAGAAGCTCCTCACACCTCGCAAGCCTCTCTAGAAGGTCTTGGTTTGGACGTCTGCGCTTCCTTGGCGGAGCTGGCAAGCTTGGAGTGCAGACTATTTTAAGCTGTCATGTTTATCAGTATAAGTATCTCCTTAAGAGTCACAGCAGCTCACCCTTATACAATTTGAACAAGGAGTCTTTCGATCGCATTTCTTTTTCCTTTGCTGGCAGAGAATACATGATAGTACCCTCTTGCTAGCTCTTTGCTTTGAACGTTCTGGATCTGTTGAGACGTTTGTAGATGACGGACTCAACTCGGATAAGTGATCCGTTTGATGAGAGATAGGACTAGACATATTCGTATGCTTTACGAAAACCAATCTCAACGATATCGTAACTCGTACATTGCAGAGAAGTTCGATGGCGTCTTTAAAAGAATACAGTTAAACTCAAACCCTGAGTCTGTAATTACTCCAATCTCCAACTCTAGGACCAGGGTACTTCCACGCTTCCACGCTACCCCATCAGGCAAATGCCGTTAGGTGACAATCCATACTTAGTAGGGTGTGCCACCTTCGGGCAGTCGGGCTCATGACACACCCCGAGAGCTCCCCACAATTCCCCGGGGCCGGGGGGTGCTTCAACCGGAAAATTGATAGACAGCGTATCCAGTTTTAGGATGAATATGAAGTATTGAGCTGAAAGTATGACGACCACGCGATTTCGGAAGGCGCAATTAATTAATTTCCCGCTGTTGGATGTTATAAGGCTGTTGGACTATGTGACAAGTTCCGATAACCATGATTGTTTTGTTGTAAACCTCTTCGTTCGTTCAAGAATTTATCTCTTATTGCGGGAGACTGTGAAACAAAACATCAGATCATTATGAACTCAGGCAAGTTGTAGTGACCGTTCATTGGTACTGTCAACTCGATTCCTCAGCAAATACCTGCTGTACTTTCAGACCATAGCAAATACGTGTCATATTTTTATAAAACTCGGGAAAATTATTATTGATTTTCGGAACGTCTACTGACCATGGCATCGACTTACATGGGCGGCACATCCATGCAGCCTGGAACCCTCCCCGGCATCACTCCAGATATATCGACGCATCAACAAACAGTCACTAGACCTCACGAAAGCCCTCATACACACACGGATTCAACGATAGCCTCAACTACCAGGAAAGGCTCACCAAACGAACCCACCTCGGCACTTAACAAAGACGCAACACCATACCACACCAGCACAGAAGATGGCGAAGACTCCGAAGCAGAACGACGAGAAAGCATCGTCCGCAACCTAGCCCGGCAGTACACAAACCAGAGCCAGCTATCCACCATCAGCGGCAACCCTTTCACCGCCGACGAAAACAGCCCTCTCAACCCACGAAGCAGCAAGTTCAGAGCCCTGGCGTGGGCAAAGTCCATCTCCAAAATGCACAGCGAAACAGGTTTCACAAACCGCAAGGCTGGCGTTTGCTACCAGAACCTCAATGTATTTGGCTACGGCCAGGCTACAGACTTCCAGAAAAATGTGGCCAACATCTGGCTGGAGGTTGCGTCGTGGCCGAGACAGCTGATGGGTTATGGAAAGACGCGCATTGATATCATCAGGGATTTTGACGGTGTTGTGAAGAACGGTGAGATGTTGGTGGTGCTGGGACCGCCTGGGTCTGGATGTTCGACGTTTCTCAAAACGATATCGGGGGAGACTAATGGGATTTATATTGGCGAAGATGCATACTTCAACTACAGGGGTAAGAAATACCAACTGCAGTTCTCCAACATATCAACTGACTTCTATAGGCATCTCGGCTCGTGAGATGCATACTCGTCATCGCGGAGAAGCCATCTACACCGCAGAAGTCGACGTCCACTTCCCCCATCTCACCGTCGGCGACACCCTCACCTTCGCAGCCCACGCCAGAGCCCCAAGAGACATTCCAGCAGGCGTTGACCGCCAAACCTTCATCTCACATTCCCGTGACGTCGTAATGGCCATGTTCGGCATCAGCCACACCTTCAACACCAAAGTCGGCAACGAATATGTCCGCGGCGTGTCAGGCGGCGAACGAAAACGCGTGACTATCGCAGAAGCCTCACTCAGCGGCGCCCCGTTACAATGCTGGGATAACAGCACGCGAGGTCTCGACTCTGCTAACGCTGTGGAATTCTGCAAGACGCTGCGTCTTCAAACGGAGATGTCTGATACTGCGGCTCTGGTTTCTATATATCAAGCCCCACAAGCTGCGTACGATATCTTCGACAAAGCCTTAGTCTTATACGAAGGCCGTCAGATCTACTTTGGTGCAGCCAAGACAGCAAAGCAATATTTCATTGATCTGGGCTTCGAATGCCCAGCTCGTCAGACCGTCCCAGACTTCCTAACATCAATGACAAGCCCCCAAGAGCGAGTTATCCGCAAGGGCTTTGGAGACCGTGCTCCACGAACCCCTGACGAATTCGCCGCAGCCTGGAAAGCCTCCCTCGCCAACGCCCAGCTTCAGCGCGAAATACAAGACTACAAAAACGACTTTCCTATCAACGGTCCTGAAGCAGAAGAGTTTAGAGCGAACAGGCGTGCGGCGCAGGCTAAGAGCCAGCGGAAGAACAGTCCCTACACGTTAAGTTACTGGCAGCAGACCAACCTTTGCGTGTGGAGAGGCTTCAAGAGGTTGATCACAGACCCGACTATAACTCTGACGCAGCTCTTTGGGAATGTCATCATGGCTCTGATTGTGGGGAGTATTTTCTATAATCTTGATCAGACGACGGCGAGCTTTTACCAGAGAGGTGCTTTACTCTTCGTAGGATGTCTGATGAGTGCGTTTGCGAGTGCTCTAGAAGTAACTATTCTCCAGTTGTTTGTGGCCTGGACATTTAATTGACTCTCTTAGATTCTCACACTATATGCACAGCGGCCTATCGTTGAAAAGCATGCTCGCTACGCACTATACCACCCATCGTCCGAAGCCGTGGCATCTATGCTCTGCGATCTACCATACAAGATCCTCAACGCCATCTTTTTCAACCTCACATTATACTTCATGACCAACCTCCGCAGGGAGCCGGGTGCTTTCTTCTTCTTCCTTTTCGTCACCTTCCTCGTTACGATCTGCATGTCTATGATCTTCAGAACGATTGCTTCGGCATCTCGGACACTCTCGCAAGCCATGGTTCCTACTGCTATCCTGATCCTGGCCATGGTTACTTTCACGGGGTTTATTATCCAGATTGATTATATGTTAGGTTGGTGCCGATGGATTAACTACGTCAACCCCCTCGGCTACGCTTTCGAATCACTCATGGTCAATGAATTCCACAATCGGCAGTTCCAGTGCAATCAGTTCGTCCCAGCTTATCCAAACGTAGATTCCGCGAATCGCGTCTGTTCAGCAGTTGGATCCGTCCAGGGAGACCCTATGGTCGAAGGAGACGCATACATCAATCTTTCCTTCTCCTACTTCCATGCTCACAAATGGCGAAACATCGGTATTGTGTTCGCATTTACTATTTTCTTCACTTGCACATATATGTTTCTTGCCGAGACAGTCAGCGCCAAAAAGTCAAAGGGAGAAGTCCTTGTCTTCCGTCGGGGACACAGGCTTGCAAATCAAAAGAATGACGCCGAGTCCAGCCCGGCAGGTCGCCAAACTGTCACGGAAAAGGAGGGCTATGGAGAAGGACATCTGTCAAACTTCAAATCAACCAGTGTCTTCCACTGGAACAACGTCTGCTATGATGTCAAGATCAAGAGTGAGAACAGGCGAATTCTTGATAACATTGCTGGCTGGGTCAAGCCAGGTACAATGACAGCTCTAATGGTAAGTTACCCAGACGTAGTTATATCAGAACGATACTGACAATTGCAGGGCGTTTCTGGAGCAGGCAAAACAACTCTCCTCGACTGTCTTGCCGACCGTACAAGTATGGGCGTCATCCATGGAGAGATCCTCGTCGACGACAAACTCCGCGACGCATCCTTCCAGAGAAAAACAGGCTACGTCCAGCAACAAGACCTTCACCTCTCCACAACAACCGTCCGCGAAGCCCTCAACTTCTCAGCCATAATGCGCCAGCCAAAACACGTCCCCGTCAAAGAAAAGATCGCGTACGTCGATGAGGTTATCAAAATGCTCGACATGCAGGACTATTCCGAGGCAGTCGTCGGAGTCCTCGGCGAGGGGTTAAACGTCGAACAACGAAAGCGTTTAACTATCGGCGTTGAACTAGCTGCCAGGCCGCCTGTCCTGCTCTTCGTGGATGAACCAACATCAGGTTTAGACTCACAGACATCATGGGCTATTCTCGACCTTCTCGAAAAGCTCGCCCGCAGCGGACAGGCTATCCTCTGCACGATCCACCAACCCTCAGCGATCCTTTTCCAACGATTCGATCGATTGTTATTTCTCGCCAGCGGTGGCAAAACGGTGTACTTCGGAGACGTAGGCGAGCATTCTCGCGCCATGACGAGCTATTTCGAAAGACACGGTGCACAACCCTGTCCGCTTGACGCCAACCCAGCAGAATGGATGCTCGAAGTCATCGGTGCAGCACCAGGTTCCGAGACGGACCTCGACTGGCCGCAGATCTGGAAAGACTCATCTGAGTTTGCTGCTACACAGGAACATCTCCAAGAGCTTTCTCACAACGTTGTTGAGAAGGCTCAGGACGAAGATCCGCACTTGTACGATGAGTTTGCTGCTACGTTTACGACGCAGCTGAAATATGTCACGAAACGTGTTTTCGAACAATACTGGCGGACACCTTCGTATATCTACTCAAAGACCGCATTATGCACCTTGATCGCGCTATTTATCGGGTTCGCATTCTATCAAGCGCCTAACACGGCACTTGGGCTGCAGAATCAGATGTATGCCATTTTCCAGGTTTTGACTGTCTTCGGACAGCTCACGCAACAACAGGTTCGTCCAGAAGCTTCCTCCATGTTTTCTTTCTAACTATTTAGATGCCATATTTCATAACACAAAGAGATCTGTACGAAGTCAGAGAACGACCTTCCAAAACATACGGCTGGAAGGTTTTCATGCTAAGTCAAATCATCGTCGAAATCCCGTGGAACACCCTCATGGCTGCACTTATGTACTTCTGTTGGTACTATCCCATCGGGCTATATCGCAATGCCGAACCCACCGATGCCGTCGCCGAGCGCGGAGCTCTCATGTTTCTCTTATTCCTGGCTTTCATGCTGTTTACCTGCACCTTTACAAATCTCGTTATCGCAGGCTGCGACTCAGCCGAAACAGGAGGAAACCTCGCCAACCTCCTCTTCATGATGTGTCTCATGTTCTGTGGTGTACTCGCACCGCCTGATAGTTTCCCGCGTTTCTGGATCTTCATGTACCGCATCAGTCCGTTCACATACCTGGTATCAGCCATATTATCGACAGCCGTAGCAAACACAAATGCAGTATGTGCGCAGAACGAGTACGTCACGTTTCCTCCGCCTTCGGGAATGACGTGCGGTAAGTACATGCAAGAATATATAGACCAGGCTGGGGGGTATCTTCTCGACAAAGAGGCAAACAGTACCTGTAGGTACTGTACTATTGGCGACACCAATGTATTTCTTGCTGGGGTCAAGTCTCACTATGGTGATCGGTGGAGGAACTTTGGATTGCTGTGGGTTTACATCATCTTTAACATCTTTGCGGCTTTGGCATTATATTGGCTTTTGCGGGTGCCGAAGAATAAAGGGAAGAAGGAAAAGAAGGAGTAAGTGGATGCTGTTGGGATATGTATTTTATAAGTTACTTGTACCTTTTCGTAGGGTTTCTTCTCTTGATGGCCTCCGAATTTAGTATCATTTCTCTTGGTTCTCTAATATCAGGCTGCAATAGTTATTTCGTGCCCTTCAGTACAGACAATATTATGAATGAAACAAGAGAGCGGAATATGCGTGTAGATTTAACCAGCATTAACTGTCATTCGTGTATTTGTTTATTCCTCATTAATCCTGAATGTGTTCCTACTTAGACTGACATTGACACGTCACTCTCTGGGTTGAATCCGCACCATGAGCTCAGACTGCGAGAAAATACCGCAGTTGAACACCTTCCAAGGATTCGTAGGATCACAAATCGAAAAGTCAAACCGGCGGAGTAACTATTGGATCAATCAGCATCAAACGTTAGCACAGCAGGAGTCCAACTTACCTCAACATAGACCTTGTTCAACTCCATCAAAGCCACCGGCCGCCCCAAACACTGCCACCGCCCATAACTAAAGATCAACTCCAAGGCACTCTCCATCTCTTTGAGTTTCTCACCCTCACTCTCAAGCCACCGCTCAGGACGAAACTCCCCCGCGTCGGAGCCCCAGATATCCTCGCGGCGGAAGATTCCCCACGCGCAGTAGCCTATCTTTGTGCCGCCTGGGATGAACTGGCCCTTCCAGGTGTCTCCCTGCGGTGGGACTTGCTTGGCCATGAGGCCAGCGACGGGAGGGAAGATGCGCAGGCCTTCTTTGATAACGGCTTGTAGGTAGGGGAGTTCGCGACCTAAAGAATCAGGGATGATGGATTCTGTGTAAGTGGTGTTGGCGATCTCAGCGCGGAGTTTGGCGTAGACTTGGGGGTTGGTGATGATATGCAGCATGGTAGAGCGGATTGCTGTGGCTGTTGTGTCTGAGCCGGCAACACTGACAACTTGTTAGAAATGACCTCGTGTGATCAGGTAGACACTCACATCTGTAGCAAAATCTCAGATTCGGCTTCTTTCTGGGTCAGACCATGGGCCACGAAAGAGCCCAACATATCTTTCTGGACCTTCTTATCCGGACCAAATCTCTCAGCTGTAACCTGCTTGGCGATTCTAAATGCACCATTAGCCATTTGGCGTCTTTGCAATCGATCGGTATCACTCACCCCATCAATTTCCCAAAACCAAGTCGATCTTTCTCCGAAGGCAAAAGCTTCTTGAACAGAGGCGAGCTCAAGACCTTGACCAGCCAAGGAACAACAGTGGTAACCATGACCGAAGGCAGCGTCTCTTCTGTGATCTGGATGTACTTGTACACATCTGAGTCCGTCTCCAGGAAGCCAAACGGCTCGCCAAAAGCCAAATCCGAAATGACATCTAGTGTAAAGAATTGAGCGCGACGTCCTAGGTCAACCGGCTTGTTGTTATCGGCGTATCTCCTCAGGAGCTGTATAAATGCGAGGATGTTCTTGTCGATCTTGGGCTCCAGGTCTTGCACCTCGCGACCGCCGTAGCCAGCGGACATTTTGGAGCGAAGCTTGAAGTGCTCGTCCTCATCGCGCCACGAGAGGATGTTGTTGCTGCCGGGGTTGAAACGCATGCCATCGTACCAATCCGAGCGACGGTATTCGGTGCGGACGTTGAGGATGTGCCTCATTAATTCGGGGTCGTCGGTGACGAGATCGTTGGGTCCGACACGAGCGATTGAACCTGTGTAGATCGATTGTAAGCTTGTGCGACCTGCGAATGCGCAACGACAGGGCTTCCCAAAACATACCATATTTCTTTGTAACCTCCCAAAAGTCCAAGTACGCTCTACCACCTCCGACCCTCGTTATTAACCACCATTTCGAAACCGCAGCTAGACGAGGCCCCTTGAAGTTGCTCAGTCGATTATACTGTCTCCATGTCGAGAGCGCAGACCAGAGTGTCAAAAACACCACCAGCAGTCCCGCAATTGCGATCGACGGACGAACAGCTGCAGTGAGGTCTTGCAGGCGGTTAATAAGGGGACCTGCGGCCATTTTTAAAGCTGCCAAGACCTTTCTTCACCAACGACTGTCTCATGCAATGCACGCCTTGGCGTAATGAGGTTATTGGGCCTGTACCTGTTGCTTCAAATTGTTGGTTCGTGGTGCTTTTGGTTTGCGTTCCCAGGGAGCCGGATGGGGGAGAGCACGGGCCGGGACCGGCGGGGACGGGAACGGGGGGAACATGATCACTAAAAATGAAGGAGACTTTACCCAAGGGATCGGAATTTGGATCATTAATTTTCCACTGTATCAAGATCAAGGTCTCTCTCATTTTCGCGGCTGGAATTGGGCGCAATGAAGGGAAAACCAGACAAGGTCTCTCGCTACTAGGTGTGCTCCCATTTCTCGTCTAGCTCCAGGATTAGCTGTCCCTGCTGTCCCATCACCGCTGAAGCACAAGCACTAGTTAACTAGAGCAGGACACCTAAGCTAAAAGCCCCAGCGCCCCGAAGCTAGAGCTTCCACACACGGCACAGCACCACTAATCGATCGTTCCAGATACTCTAGTTCGACGCTATTGTCTACGGCTGATGGCCCGCTGCGTTCCATCCAATAGAGGACTCTCTATTGGACCACTGTTTATCTCTCGGTTTTGCTGGGAAGAAGCCCCCGGTTCCAGCCTGCCAAGACTGGCTCCCAGTAAGGAATGTCGGAAAGAACGTCTCGTTCTGGGGTCCATGACCCGAGGATAAACGGTCATATGCAGGAAAAAAAGGTTAATCAGCAGTTATTCCACGGATCTTATACCTTGAGAAGTAGTTCTCGGCCTGTACGGTTAACAACACACGACCTAACATCTGACATCCAGCCACATAAAACAATCAACAAGCCACATTAGTGTTGTACGCGGATTAATCGCACTCTGAAGTTATTCCAGTAGCGAGATTTCTCGGCTCGCTCGCCTGTTCATCTCACCTTTTGCTTTGCGCGGACCATGAGGGGCGCTGAGGGGAAAATCTTGACCTCTTTTGTTTTCCTTTGAACATATCATTTCGTTCAATTGATCAAGAGTCTAACCACGGCAAAATAAACCGCAACCATCATAGCCTTATTATTGTGTTTTTCATTGTCGATCAGCGAGAGATAGGATCATGACGGCAGACGCAGAGGCTGAGAAGTCCGAGGTTGTCGCAAAGCCTGCGACTGGAACTGCGACTGCGACGACTACCGAGAGGCACGCGCCTACGACGGAGGAGAGTGATCTCCAGGCTGAGGTGGGACAGCTCTCGCAAGCCTAACATGAAAAAAATGGAGAATTAACGCAATTTTATAGAGTGAGCAGGACTTTCGCGATGACGATTCTGCTCTCGGGGTACGTTGATCCAGTGCCCCCAGTCTGTCATGCGACGCGAACTGGGGTCGTGTTCTCTAGTCTAACTTGGCGCAATGCAGGACGATGCCGCCAGCAGCACTGCGTCTATCAACTCGAGCATCATGCAGTATCGTACCGAGAACGGTAGAACATACCATGCTTTTAAAGAAGATAGTGGGTGTATTATGTCTCTGAAACATCACTCTACTAACACGTACTTAGTTAATTATATACTTCCCAATGATTCGGTATGAGATGGACACTCACTGTCAAATCTACATGGCTAATGCACAACGTCTCTATGCAGTCTGAGCAAGACCGATTAGGTGAGTTGAGCCGATATATGGAGCTTGCATGTGCACTAATTCATCTAGATCTGCAACATCATCTCTTCAACCTCACTCTTGGTGGAAACCTTTACCTTAGTCCACTTGGACGCGATAAGCCTGTGCAACGCGCTTTAGATGCTGGGACAGGAACTGGTGTTTGGGCAATCGACTTTGCCGATAGTCATCCTGATACACAAGTGCGATACCACAGCTATCAAGTATCCAAACAATGTGACTAACATATTGCAATAGGTTCTCGGTATTGATCTCAGTCCTATCCAGCCCAACTTGTATGCCTTCCACCACACCCCATATCCTTTCTAACTAACAGTCCCCAGCCTCCCCACAAACCTACAATTTCAAGTTGATGACCTCGAAGACGAGTGGACATACAGCTACAAGTTTGACTTTATTTTCGGTCGCATGCTCACCGGTTCTATTGGAAACTGGCCTAAATTCTTCCAGCAAGCTTTCGAGGGCCTGAACCCAGGTGGATGGGTTGAGTGTCAAGATATCACCTTCCCCGCTCAGTGCGATGACGATACTCTCAAGAAGGGCTCCTTCATCGATCAGTGGTCAGGTTACATGATCGAAGCGACCAAGAACTTCGGTCGTACTTCGCAGAGCGCCAAATTTTATAAGCAGCAAATGATCGACGCTGGATTTGTTAATGTCACCGAGGTTATTTACAAATGGCCTACTAACAGATGGCCTGCGGATCCCTACTACAAGGAGCTTGGTACGTCTGCAACCTTATTCTGCGGGTTCTGAGCTGACTCTCCTAGGATTCTGGTGCAACCATAACATAGCTGGCGAGCTTTCAGGTCTTTCCATGGCTCTCTTCACACGCGGTTTGGGCTGGAGTGCGGAGGAAGTTGAAGTTTTCCTAGCAAACGTCAGGTCTGATATGAAGGACCGACGCATCCATGCTTGGTGGCCTATGTAAGTTTTACTTTCCGTGGCAGTTCTTCATCAACTAACAAATTTAGACATGTTGTTTATGGCCAGAAGCCAGAGATTTAAAAGTGGCAGCGGCTATTGATTTTGAAATTAGATTTCGTAATGATTTTGATGATCAACAATGAACAATTCTGGCAGCTTTCATCACTTGCGTGCTTTTTGCACATTCACACGTGCAGCGAATGCTGTGCTTTACGTGCTACTAGGCTGTCACCTTCATAATCTCAGCCGACTAACTCGCGGGCAAAAGGACAGGCATTTCCACTATCCAAGTTACCAGCGACATCACTGCCGAAGCAACGAGAAGTGCAAAGTATCTGACCACCCTTTCAAGAACCTCGCTATTTCCGTAAACATGGATAGACAATTTGAGGAGACGTGGAAGATGCTTAGTGGTGTAGCGGCTCCTGCGGTGTTGCTGTGGCGTGTCAGAGTGTCACGCATATGTTCGCCATCCTTGTCGAGAACCTGAAGAAGGGATAGAACAAATTCATGTTCAGCCTGTTTTGAATATGACTCGTCTCAAGACAGCGGTACTTGGGGGTTTGTATGGCTCATATTTAGCGTTTATATTGGACGTCAAGTTGAAATCTCAGCATATAAATATTATCTTTAACGAAAACCGAAAACTTCCAGCAGTGTCCATAGTGCAAAGTCTGGAGTCTCAGCCTACCGCAGGTTACATTCACGCTTTTCAGCTCTGATTCAATCCGTCAGCAAACTGCACCCGTGATCAACTGCAACTGACCACATGAGGTAAGAACACCAATACGACGTGTCTGTTATCTGCTGCCAATAGGAATCTTGCTGCATTCGGGGACGTAATCAAGAAAATCCACGGTTTCCTACCGGGATATGTATATATATCACAGCACCGCAGTCACTAGCACTTAGGTTGGAGGTTATGATGACACACTGTTAACATCTACCCTCGACACATCACTCTGAATCCATCCCTTTGATCCTTAATTCGACTTCGCGACGATGGGGACAGCTGTTAATCCCCAGACCTGGATTGAGATTGGTGACCTTATCAGCAAAGCGCTAGACGCTCGGGAGAAATATCGAAAGGGCCCTCAAAATCAACGAACCATGGCTACAACGTGGAAGCCTATTGAGCGACTCCTCCACAAATTCCCTGAAGGCACATTCACCACCTACGACTATGACACCGTGTCCAACATTGACCCATACTGCGAAGAAGTCCTCGCTACTTTTACGGAAATCATCTGGGCTTTCAGCTCAGGTCCGGTTTTAGATGGGCTGGATTGTCCTCAGGCCGCCACTGATTACTACTCATACTTCGGCCAGGATTTATATCAAATCTGGTATCGTTCTAGTGACAACAGTACTTGGTCGACCCTGTTCAGCAGGGTGACGAATGACATTGCCAACTACAGTCTGATTACAACCGATACTACGTCGCGGTCGGGTCTTGTCAACTCGCCAAGGGCAGCTATGGCAGCTCATGCTTGGGTCATTACGAATTCTATGTGTGGCAGCGGCCCTGCGAGCCATGCAATTGCAACCAAGGCGAGGCAGCTTTGGGAGGATAGATGTGGCCATTTTGTGGAAACTGAGAATTAGCTATCTTTGAACGTCTGAGTAACACAATCATGACACAGAAGTTAACCAGCGTCCAGTAACATTATAACACTAGTATCAACTAAGATGTGCGGATATAGTTACCTATCAACCGTTTCAGATATACTAGGCTCAGGATACATAACAGAATCCCTGAACAGTATTAACGACAATACCAAACCTAGCTCTATGCTTCTGACCCAGTCTCTGGCCGTATCGCATACATCTTCATAGGAAGTAAATTTAGGTCCTTCACGACTGGGAAGCCACGCTGTATATCTGATTTCACAAGTCTGAACCCAGCCTTCTTGAAAAGCATCTGGAACTTCTCATCTTCTCTGATCAGACAGTCAGTGATTACCCTGGAAAGTCGCAGTAGTTGGCTTACCTTGTGACACTGCTGTCGAGTTCATCAAACTGATCTTCGCCCCATGTACTCAGATTCTCTTTGAGCACAATAACACCCTGATCCTTCTCAAGCACAGTCTTGCATGTCTCCAAGAACTCGAGCACCTGTTGGTCGGTCAAATGTCCTATGCACCACTGAATCCAAATCAGGTCGTACACAGCTCCCTCGGTAGGTTGCCATTTCTCCAAGCCAACATTGTGAATCTCTCCTACGCCAGGAGTTCCCCGCAGCTCATCTGAGAATTTAACCACGGGCTCAACGACATCAACTTGGTCTGCTACACTTAGGAGAAGTCCCTTTGTTATCCGACCGATCCTAATCGTTTCTCATCAGCGTTCATCTCCCCCGACAACAATGTTACCACTACTTACCCTGCTCCCCCTTCAAGGACTCTAGGAAGTCTTTGTCTGCCAGTCTTGACACCGACGCCTAATCTTGCAAGAAAGGTGCGTGAGCCCTGGAGATCAACGCGAGAAATGGATGGCATGAGAGATGGAATGCCGCCAAGCATTCCGTCGACGTCGGAGTTGATGGATTCCCAGTACTCCATGCCTTTTTCAGCACTGATATAGCTGTCGGGTGGAGGATACGACATTGTGAGGTGGTTTGTTATGCGTATGAGTGAAAATAGGAATTTACGTGGGTGAAATTTTGGCCACATAAACATTTGCTATCAGTGCCGCCGCTGTGTGCGTGGTTGCTAGTGCTAACCGAAGTAGCTCCGACGGCTGGACTGCGTACGCGATAGAGCAGCTGTCAATTGTTTTAGATTTAAGCATATTTTATTAGTCTAAAATAAGTTCAAATTCTTTATGTTTAGTCTTTTGACTTGGTACGAGGGAGGGAGCGATATGTTTATGGAATACCGGGATATCTTGTCCTACAGCTACAGGGTATCTACGATGTAGGATTTGACCACAGACACCCTTGCTTTGGAGGTATAATTTTCATAATAGAAAAGAATTGTTACTTGCAAACCTCCAATACTTCTGTTGTTAATTCAGTCTATCTTATTTAAACCTTGATTTTAGCTGTCATACCTTCTGTACAATGGTTTAGTATTGCCCAGCGGATTAGTCGTTGCTCAGTCCCATTACCAATTTCAAGCCTAGCGAGAATCGTCTCGGCGTGGAAACTAAATGCCGGCTTGGCAATGCTCGATGCTTGGTATTGTGGTGCGAATAAAGGGCTTCCTCTTGGCCCTCTCTAACCCCTCTGACAATTCTTCTCTACATAATAATTAAAGTGACAGATTCACAGCTTTGAGGAAACAGAATGGGTGAATGATTTTGTCTCGATAGTACTGATAAGTTAGATCCTAGATGCACACAAGTCTATGTATAAAATCCTTTCTTAGTTTAAACAAACACATCTTGACTCACCTGTTTAAAAGCATACGTACTCGCCGTCTGTGCACCATCCTTGGCGAAGCCATCCCAAGCCGAAATCGCCGTTTTTCCAATCTCCAACCATTAATTTTCGCTCCGAGTAACTGGCTCTGCGTCTGACAGTCACAGGGGGCCCACTTTCTGGCGAGCACGTCATGCTCATTCAGGAGAGGAAAAGCCTCAAGATTTCTTCGCCCTTTAAATACTTCTAGAGGCGCCAGCTGAAAAAATTGCCTCTGGCTTTTTTCAAGGCGTCATTATTCACGAGCTCATTTTGGCAATTGGGAAGATACACGCTGGATAAAAGACCCAACGAGCGAAGTTTCAGCGTTTTTCTTCTCTTCGGAAGTGTTATCCGAAATTTTTTGATCTCGGTCATCATGCCCGATTCCGCGAGCGACAACCCCGAAGTTGGGCCCAAGGGAGGCTCTCCAAAGCCTGCATCCAGATTTGCGGCAGAAGTCGATACGCGATGGGGAGATATCCTACTGCTCGTGTGCTTCTTCGTGGCCGGTCTCGTTGATAGTGCCGCGTTCAACATGTACGGATGTTTCGTCAGTATGCAAACAGGTCAGTAACAATATCATTCTCTCAATTGAGTTTGCAAGACTCACATCCAGTAGGAAACACGATCTTTGTTGGTCTAGGCGTCAGTCACCAACCGGAAAACCTGCCTGGGAAGGCCTGGTCACGATGTTTTGCCGCCATTGCCTTCTTCGCCCTCGGAGCTCTGTTCTTCTCTAACTTCCACCGCCACTTCGGTCCCCAGAAGCGCTGGGTTCTTATCGTCTCGTTCCTCATCCAGACGATCCTCACTGGTCTGGTAGCCCTTCTCGCCACCACCGGCGCCGTGTATAACCATCCCCATGGCCGTGAAACTATCCACGAAGATGGCTATATCACAGAGAGAATACAGAACTCATTCCCTGCATCCGACTACGCGGCTATCATCATCCTCGCATTCCAGAGCGCGGGACAAATCGTCGCAAGCCGTGTGCTCAAGTACAATTCCATGCCTACTGTTGTACTGACAAGTCTGTACTGCGATATGATGAGCGATGCGAAGCTTTTCACTGCGCCCATTACCGATAACGCTGATCGAAACCGAAGAGCTCTAGGAGCAATCCTTCTCTTTGCTGGTGCTGTTTCTGGAGGCTTCTTGTCCAAGTCTTGGGTTGGCTTTGCTGGTGCTCTGTGGATTGCTGCGTTTTTCAAATTGGTTATTACTGTTGCTTGGATCCTGTGGAAGCCCAAGTCTTCCAATAAGTAATTGTTCTGGGGACGAAGCGAATGATGAGAAGTGTTTATAGAGTGTGTTATTTGTGTTGGGTAACCGCCGATGATACCTGGTGCCGAGATAGAATTTAGAGATTCGGTGTTGGAAATAGAATAGTAATTAGTTAATCACCATAGAACAAGTTCATTTTCTCTGATCTCGTACAATAGGTCTTATGTTGAATGCTGCCTCGCCTTATCAACTTTCTGGCCGGTGTGATTTTGGACCCTCTAATCTGTGTGCAACACATTGTCTAGTCGGCCCATACCTGTTCTCGACGCAACAGCCACTTTCGATATTCAATGTTAGATCTTAATATAAGGCAGTTTTCTGAAAAGCGAATGAAATCTTATGATAGGCTTGGGCTCTTACCCTCGTTGGACTTTCAAGAAAGGACTGGTGGCTTTTTCTTCAACAAAATTTCATTGAAACACCTAGAAACCCATATGAGTGAAAGCAAGATCTGATACAGACTTCTCAAATCTCTATTTGAACATCACTCTACTTCTGTTCAATGTTAGTTCTGAAATTAATTTGACGTACTATATAGGGGCCATTGCCTTTTAGCAATAGCTAGGGAACCATTTATCGTGACTTCAACTTCACTTTTATCAGCTACTAGACATTCAACTTAGATGAACGGGCACTGGTTTTCAACTAAGGATATATCATGTGGCATATTCAAAAGATCCTCTTGACTTACACAGAAGGTGAGTAATTAGGCTAAATTGTCTATGTAGTATTCTCTAAAACTTAATGCTCGTAATTCAAGGATTGAATCAGCCTATTTAAACGGGTAGCACCGGTGAGCTTAGCTACATAACAACCCCTCATTGTCTTATGCTTCTCAACAAGATCATCATGCTACTATGACGATGCAGCAAGGGTTGTTCATTTAGCGGTCGAATCGGCAATATCAATTGTCAACAATGTCTTTCTCCATGTCATTTAGCCATTTGCTCCCCCGCAATAACCTCTACCCTTGTCATCATTGCCATTTTGTAAAATGTATAAATAACAAACACTATTCTTCAGCTGCTCTAGTGTCTGACCTGAGGGCAGTGTTAACTGAGGTTCATCAAAATGCTCCTTGCTTGGTTACTCTATCCCGTACTTGCACTGGGAAGTGCTCTTCCCGAGAAGAAGACAGATGTTTCCACGTACACAAACCCAGTTCTTCCAGGATGGCACTCTGACCCGTCGTGCATCCAGAAAGATGGCCTGTTCCTCTGCGTCACATCAACTTTCATCTCTTTCCCCGGCCTGCCCATCTATGCCTCTAAGGACCTGATCAACTGGCGTCTTATCAGCCATGTGTGGAACCGCGAGAAGCAACTTCCAGGAATCAGCTGGAAAACTCAGGGACAGCAGGAGGGAATGTATGCCGCGACTATTCGATTTCACAAGGGCTTTTACTATGTCATCTGCGAGTATCTAGGTGTTGGAGATATCATTGGTGTCATCTTCAAGAGTAAAACCCCCTTTGATCAAGATAGCTGGAGTGACCCAGTCACCTTCAAGCCAACTCATATTGACCCCGACTTGTTCTGGGACGACGATGGAAAGGTTTACTGTGCTACTCATGGTGTTACTCTCCAGGAAATCAATCTCGAGACGGGCAAGCTCGGCCCTGAGATGAACATCTGGAACGGAACTGGTGGTGTATGGCCTGAAGGACCTCATATCTACAAACGTGATGGTTACTACTATCTCATGATTGCCGAGGGTGGAACAGGCGAAGACCACGCAATCACCATCGCCCGAGCACGCAAGATCACAGGCCCGTACGAAGGTTACAAGAACAACCCCATTCTTACCAACCGCGGTACCTCAGAATACTTCCAGACGGTAGGCCACGGCGACTTATTCCAAGATACCAAGGGCAACTGGTGGGGTCTCTGTCTCGCCACCCGCTTAGGAAAATCTGGAGTAGCTCCCATGGGTCGCGAAGCTGTTCTCTTCAACGCTACATGGGAGAAGGGCGAGTGGCCCGTTTTACAGCCAGTTCGAGGCCGTATGCCTGGTAACCTGTTACCAAAGTCTACGCGAAATGTTCCGGGCAAAGGACCTTTCAACTCTGACCCGGACAACTACAATCTTAAGAAAACAAAAGAAATCCCCCCGCACTTTGTCCACCACAGAGTTCCAAGAGAGGGCACCTTCAGTCTGTCTTCAAAGGGTATGCACATCGTACCAAGCCGGAATAACGTCACTGGTAGCTTGCTATCTGGAGACGAGATCGAGCTATCCGGACAGCGAGGGTTAGCCTTCATTGGTCGTCGTCAGACAGATACTCTTTTCAAATACAGTATCGACCTTGACTTTGCCCCAAAGAAGGACCACCAGGAGGCTGGCATTACCATCTTCCGCACCCAGTTCGATCATATCGACCTGGGCATCGTCCGCCTACCACCCAAGGAGGGAGGCAACAAGAAATCCAAACTAGCCTTCCGTTTCAGAGCAATGGGACCAAAGGATGTACCTAAGCCAAAGATTGTACCTGTCCCGTCCGGATGGGAAAAGGGTGGAATCGGCCTGCATATTGAGACAGTCAATGCGACGCACTACAACTTCAAAGCTTCAACTGACCAAGGAGGGAAGAAACTCGAGATTGCAACAGCCTCCGCAAGTCTAGTAAGTGGAGGGATGGGATCGTTCGTGGGTAGTTTGGTCGGAGCTTATGCTACCTGCAACGGCGAGGGTTCAGGATTGGATTGTCCTAAGGGAGGTGATGCCTATGTCAGCAAATGGACCTACAAGCCTGTTGCTCAGGAAATTGACTTTGGTGTGTTTGTCTGATTGCAATACTAGTTTAGTAAATAAGGGTAGAAAAGACATATCGAGAAACACACCTTGAATTACCTTACCTACACATTGACCCATTAAGATGATATAAATCACAAACTCCCTCACACAAGAAGCACATATCGCCCAGGCTTATAAAAATTGCTCAAAGATTTGTTTTTATTTATCTACTATTTTCTATTTAAATGACGTTCTTCAAATCCTGCTTCGCCCTAAACCGTCTTAGGTTATCAGCGATAAGCCCCTCCGCACCCTGAGGTCGTCCACCAGCAGCATGAGGCGACACGATAGTATTAGGAGCCTTCCATAGCTTGCTCAGCTCAGGAAGAGGCTCAGTCTCGAAGACGTCCAGCGCAGCGCCGCCAATCTCGCCCTTTTCCAACGCACTCACCAGCGCGTCCTCATCCACTGTTGTACCGCGGCCCACATTGACGACCCACGCGTGCTTGGGCAATTGCTTCAGGCGCTCGGCGTTGAGGACGTGCTTTGTGGAATCGGCGCCGGGGAGAATCATGACGAGGGCATCGGTTTCGGGGAGGAGCTTGTCGAGATCGTCCTCGCTGTAAATTTCAATTCCGTTGCGGACACCCTTGTTGCGCGCGATGCCCCGAACTTCGGCGCCGAGGCCGATGAGCTGCGGGGTGAGCGTCTTTGCGATGTTGCCGAAGCCCCAGATGAGAACGCGAGCATCCCGCAGGGTGGTGAAAGCATCCTTAGGGCGATCAGGCTGAGGCCCGCCGAGATGACCAGGCCATTTGCCCTGGAGCTGGTAATCGCGCATCTCGTAGAAGCGACGGGCGGCGTTGAGGAGAAGACCCAGCGCATGCTCTGCGACAGTGTGGTCGTGCAGACCAGAACCAGTTGTGATTTTAATCTTTGAGGCGTCAAAGCCAGCGTTGAGAACATCGTTGGGTCCCGCAGCTAGGGACTGGATCCATTGAAGCTTTGTGAGGCGCTTTGCGGCGTCCTTAAGGTTATCAGCGGTATTTGTCCAAGTAACGAGGATCTCGGCGTCGACGTGCTCTTCGGGGATGTTCTTTGTGACATCGTAGGAGTGGAGATCGACCGAGAAGCCCTCGAGGCTCTGGATGTCGAGCTTGAGCGATGTTGGGTAAAGCAGCTTCATGATGAGTGAATTGGATGCGTGTGAAATGTTTCTGTATCTTTGCGGGGAGGAATAACTCAAAAGGGAGCGCGCTGTATATGTACCGATGCGTGGATATGAGCGCATGATGGGGAACATGATGCCATCGGAAAGAAGACCGGTTGTTCAGCAGAGACCAATCATGTCTTTTGTTTTAGGATACAAGCCGAGGCCGGAGGAGCCCCGCCGTGGGGGAGGAGGGGAGATTTTGGGGGTAGGGACAAAGAATTGACGGTTGAGATTGGTTAAACTACGACTCCATTTATAAAAACCCCAAATCCCGCGGGGGAACAGAGTTTGACTTATGATTCCCATTTTGTTGGGCTTGTGGTGTTGTGTGTTCTGAGAACCATGAACTATTAGTATCATGATGTCACTGAAGGCATTTGTTGCTTCGGTGTAAGTCCGATGGTTCATGACCCAGATCATGATGATGAAATATATTACGATATTATAAGAACACAAATAAGAGTATAAATCACGGAACGTATTCAATTATAAACTATCGGTCAAATATTTAGAAGCTTTTCTAATATCTCGGCACTACTTACCTGTTTGCCAATCAAATCCATAAGTTGGTGGAATGGATTCTGTCCGAGAATTTTCACATCACATTTTGGCAACTCAGCAAATCATGGACCTTTCTATTCGCGACTACATTGCCAGCGTATTTCCACCTTCACCTTCATGCAAATAACGTCCAAGACGACCGAGTATCGTGATAATTCCCTACGCTACAACCGAGATGACTCTCGTGGAGTAGAAGAAAACAGGATGTACACCGCCCCTAATTTCAAACCTTTTAATTCTAAAAACACTACTGCATGGGAGGATGTAGTCAGATATCGATGGGACTAGTTGATACTTGCAAACACGGGTTGTCCTATGAGCATGACAAGTGAGTCTTCAAGTTATGCCTGTGGAGTGGGCGGTAGGGAGCTGTTGGAAAGCCAGCGAGATTGTTAGGTGGCTGTCCGTATACCAATACTCCAATAGTTGCGGTTGAGGCGTCCAAAACTTTTAGGTAGTTGACTATAGGAACCTTATTTTGTTTTCTTCAACGTTATCAAGCCCAGGCTTTCCAATTCTCTGAGTGTTATCAACAATATGCGAAGCTTATACATGCTGACCGACTGCAGTCTGTGACAATGAAAAGAGACTCAGCCCGTTATGCTTTACTATCCATGAGAAGATAAATCCCACTCTCGGGCAGCACGAAGAGTCGGCACACGAAGTCCGTTCGAGATACATCTGTATTCCCAACCAACATGTTGTGTAACTAGCACGATTCCCGCTCAACCCCTCAACTGCCAACTTCTAAACTCGTGCAAGATTTTCTCTCCACCATCAACACCCATCAGCCACGATAATGTTCAACAGATCTCTCGCCCTGGGGGCTGCCCTCATTGCAGCACTGTCCATATTCCTTTCTCGGCCGAAACTAGACTTGCACCCGCCCTTCGTCCAAGGCAGAAACGGCACGGCGTTGTTCTTGGTCAACGAGCAACATGGCCTTTCCAACGTACACGTCGCGACAGCTTCTGCTCTGCTGGAGAACTATCCCGATGTAGAGGTCCATTTTGCCTCCTTCCCGAGGCTCAAGGCGAAGCTAGAGAGAATCACACAATTCGCCCAAAAGACAAATCCTGAAGCTCACATAGTCTTCCACCAACTCCAAGGTCCATCAATGTTTGACGCTCATCGCAACGCAGGCAGGACTGTAATGGGCTTTCTACATCCTCCAGGTATATCTGGTATCTCCCATTTCTGCAAGGAGTTACAGTTCTTGATATGCCCATGGTCTGCGGAGGAACACTTTTCTATCTACAACGAACTGAAGACTGTTATCGACGAGGTCGATCCTGCTGTAGTGGTTCTTGACACCGTATTCATCCCGGCGGTTGAGGCAACGCGCGAAAAGAGCCGCCAATATGCTGTCATCACGCCGAATCAGGTCATTGACAATTTCATTACTATGCAGCCATACAGGAGTATATTTTGGAAATATCCAGCGTGAGTTCACTACCGATATCTCAAACCAAGCTAACGATATAGTATGGCTTCAGGTTTCCCGTATCCCGTTCCATGGCGAAAGATCCCAGAGAATCTCTACCTCAATCTGCGGGTTATTTACAGTGTCATTAGGATGCCCGAACTGACCACCAGACGAAAGTGGCTCCGTGCCAAAGGAATCGCGGATCCCCTCAACTTTTTGGGTGCTTATCGCCATGATGTGCCATGGGTTACAGTCACTACTGAGGGGGCATCCATTCCCGCCGACTACATTCCGCCAAACGTCACTGCCACCAACCCGATTATTCTGTCTGTGGCTCCCGCTTCTGAACAGGACCCTGAGTTGGTTGAATGGCTGAAAAAAGCACCAACTGTTCTGATCAATCTGGGCAGCACCGTCATGGTGAGTAGTTTGACCAGTATCAGTCTCGTGCTAATGAAGCAGTACACCGAGGCTCAAGCATCAGTCATGATACAAGCAATTGTTAAAGTCCTCGACCAGCTTAATGTGCAGTTCTTGTGGAAATTCAACAAATATGGCAACTACTCCAACAACATTTTCCTACCGGTTCAGCGATCTATCGAAAATGGCCAGCTCAAGTTGGAGAGATGGCTCACTGTGGATCCAACCTCAATCCTCGAAACAGGGTTCGTTATTGCATCTGTTCATCACGGGGGAGCCAACTGTTACAACGAGGCAGTCTAGTAAGTCAACCCCTTCGTCGTGATCTAGCTAATCTTCGAAGTGCCGGTGTTCCTCAGATTGTAATGCCATTGTGGGCAGATCTGTACAACTATGCTGTCCTCGTCGAATCGATCGGAATCGGACTATGGGCGTGTCCGAACACTAGTCCAGACTGGACTATTGACGAGCTTGCTCTAGCCATCCTCAAGGTTGTTGATGGAGGGAAATCAAGTCTCTTGATGCGAAACAAAGCGAGAGATTTGGGAGACAGGGTCCAAGGCAGTGAAAAAGGACGTGATATTGCTGCAAGGAAAGTAGCAGAGCTAGCTCATACTGGAAAGTAGGGGGTGGTCTCGACAAATCTGGGAGTAGAATGATTGCTCTAGATTCATTGGTATCTTTCAACGGTATTCCGTGAGTGTGTGCGTTTATTGACACGTTGGCCTTGTTTGATGTGAGCTTCCTTGATCAACTGGTAAGTCAGCCCGTATGGGCTACTTAGTAACTTAGGGTGTGTGGAATTTCTTCTTATCAGTGCAATAGGATTCTACAAGGCTTATTCGAAATATTGCCATTCACTGACTGGTAAACTCTGGGTACAGACATGTCAGTTTGGGCAGAATGGCATGATTACACAACCCCTGTATTACGAACATTACTCCATACCCCTTCCAAACTCAACCTCCAACTCCCTTCCAGGTCAGCCCGCATGTGGTAATTTGCGACGAAATGCCAGTACACTTTGCTTTTGTCGTTCGTATGAAGTCTCCTTATGTATTTCCGGCCTTGTGGCTCCATTGCGACAATCTTGTTCACAAAAATGATGTTTACATCGAATACTGCAACAGTACTGTCAAGACTTAGCGACGGACGAATCAAAGACAGCCAGTGAAACTTACCTTCCAATAGATTGAGTCGATGCTGATCCCCGGGCATACTCGACGAGATCTCAGATTCTCTAACCCGCATTGGCATCCGCATTGCTGAACAATACAGGCAAGGGGTCACCAGGAGCCAGATATTCAGGCTTGGTAACAAGCTTGCCGTCTGGCGCGCGATCATCGTTATAGGTGACCCTCACCGCCGTGCAACTCTCCTTCGCAGCTTCGAACCTCTCATCGTTTATCAGATCCATTCTGATATAGATGCCAGTACATTCAGTACCCTCGCGCAAATATCCTGACATGCGCAAGATGTCTTCGTCGCTGGTGACATTACCCCACGCCGAATAACAGTCCCTGAAACAGAAAAACCTTTCTTGATCTTCACTACCAAGTTCAGTGTTGACCAGACGCCTAGCAGACGGTACTTCAGGATGGAAAACCTCAACTTCGTAGCTGCTGTCAATACGTGGTATGGGCTCCTCGATCTCGTGGGTGACACCATCTGGTGCTAGGCGAGCCTGAATGTCTTCCAGGCGGATCTGGAATGTTTCGAGTCGAGCTTGGTGCGCATCTATATGGGCTTGCTCTGCTTCTATCTGGTCCTGGATGTCTTCTTCCTCTCGTCGTAGCATTTCGGTCTCCAGAAGCTGAGGGTCGATAGGGCGTTCGCGGCAGGTGCTGCCCTTACGGGACTTTCTTTTGCTGCTACAGGCTCTGCCCATGTTGGATCACTAATTGCAAGGTTTCAGATGGTCAAAAGGGGTTTGTTTTGAGGCTCAGGTCGTTCAATGTGATGATGGTTGGTAGAGGTTTTGTTGTGCTCGAGTGCGAAAAGGATTCCCAATATGCAGGAACCACCTTCCACTTCTGCCTGAGGGTTTCTGGTGGCCCTTAACATACAGTCTCGCTCCTGCCATCTCGAATTGATTAAAAAGTATGTGTGCCTGGCGTGCTGGCCTATGCCGTCAAGTGGCAGGTTCAAACTGGATGCGAAAGGTATCAAGCTAAAGAACAGGGGCCTCCCTGGCATTAAACCATTGCAGAATCCAAGTTTCTTTCTGATCAAACAAGGAATATCAAATCATCGGGCTAGGTTCCAAATTCTGATGCTTGCACCTCCGAGTCCTGTAGCTTAGAATACGAGGAGCTCTTTTTCATCATTGCTAAAGGATACCACAAGGCTCAACTATGATGCGTTTGGACCGTTCTTTCCGTCTGAATTTAGTGGTGAAAGTTCTGTCTGTTGTTTGCACTGCCTGCCACTACCTATGGCATATTGCATCTGCATCTGCAGTGAATCACACTCCACTATTCTTCTGCCATACATAAATCATCTGCCTGCTTCCCCAGCTCGGATCTTTCTATTCTCTCCTTCATCATCGCCAAGTCATCGCCCATTTCCAAACCCGTATCTCATTCCACGATGGCAGAGGAACAAGAAACGATCAGCGAACGTGTGCACAAGACCATCGAGAACTGCAAGAAGGCCACCGGCAAAGTGTCCCTCAACGAACAAGGGCACCTAATCGTCAAGATCGACGAGGATGACACTGGTGCCGGTTTGTCAAGTGTGACAACAGAACACTTTGGCGATCAGCGACTGAAATACATGCTTGTACCCATCGGCGAAGATGGAGAGCTCAGGGAAAGTCCTGTGATTATCTTCACTCGTAAGTTTGTTGATGACTTGGTGGAAGCCTTACTGACGACAATCTAGCCAAGGGAAAAAATAGCAACGAGCAGAACAACTCCCATTTCACCGGACTGTCGCAACACTTCACACCCACGAAGGCTGAAGATGCGCTACGACAAATGGAAAATACCCGGCGCCATTTGGACAGCATCAAGGCTTTCATGAAAACAAGCCTGGCCTGTTTAAAAGCATTCCAGACTCATCTTGCACCTGGCATAGCTTGTATGACTGAAATTATGGCCCTTCTTGATGCCTTCCAGGCTCGTTCGATTGGAATCGAGGCCCTTTTTGAAGCATACAAGACTCGTCCTAAACCAGACCAAGTTTATACGGCTGAAATAGGAGCCCTTCTTAGCGCACAACAGGCTCGTGCGGTTGGAATCAAGGCCCTTCTTGACGCACACCAGGCTCGTTCAAGTGAAATCATAGCTCTTTGTGAAGCATACAAGTCTTGCCTTAAACCACACTCATCCTGAATCAGACCAAGCTTGTTTAGCTGATATTCAAGCCAGTCTTACGGCAGGCTATGCCAGGGTATTCACCGCCAACAAGAATGATTCGGGCATGTCTTGAGTTACCAAGAGCCAAAGGAGGGTGGAGGCTTGAGAACTCTCTTCAGTAGACAAGGGCTGCAACGCATCAACGGTTGACCATCCCGAATACAATTCGTTTCCGATTATTTGATTCCCGACGACGCGGATGTGGTGAAGTTGTCCAGTGAAGTATTATTCTATGATTGCTTTATGTCTTATGATATCCAGGGTATTATGAGATCTCCTTGCTAAGTTCCATGCGACCGCTTGTAATCCTCCAAGTCCAAAAGAAATTCAAACGTTGACCTCCCCACTCCGCATCAGATCTAAGCTTGCATCATCAAGCCTCCACACTCCTTTCGTTTCCGAGTCTTGCAACTCCCACTTAGTTCCTTTGGCCAGGCGATGGAACGCCTTATGCTCATCTCCTGGCATACTCTTGAAGAGACTCGGTTCCCACGTTTTCCCTTGGGCCTTTTCGTCCCTCCTCTTCTGCCGTTGACACTCCTCCACTTCGTGTTTCGCTGCCGATGCATCCCGATAGTTTCCTTGCTCAAGGGACGAAATGACATTTTCCCATGCCCTTCTTGATTCCCGCGGGTTTTGCTTTTCAACTGGGTCGATTTGCATCTGTGCAGACAAGTTCTCCGCATCAATGCTGTATGTTTCCACCAACTTTCCTTTGCTGTCAGTGATCTTCCATCCCTCGCTCCACACTCCTGAGAGCTTATAGTAGGTCTTTTTTGGTGTATCTTTGTGATATATGCGCGCCTCGAAAAAGTTTCGCTTTCCTCTGAACAAGCCTGCTCCTGAAAAATCAATCTCTGACACGTATCCCGAGCTTGAAACAATGGTATAAGTGCCGACGATCTCTGGATACAGACACGCAGACAGGAAGCCCCGGACGGTGACATCTGTTAGTGGCACCAGGTAGTCCTCGTTGAATTTGTCGAGGTGGATAATGGCGTGCCCTATTTGTCGAATGTTGATATTTCCATTGAAAGTCATTTCCACTCTTCCGTAACCATCTGCCCTAATCCTGTGCTCTTTGCTTGCGATATGCATCGCTGTGATCGGAGGATGGTGGCTGACCTGCTCAACCACCAGTTCCGTATTGCTATCCTCCTCACTCCACGACGCAAGGAAGAGTTCACCGAGGAAAGCATTCAGCGGCTTCTTGATGCTGACATTCGGGGCACCGGCGACGTACAGCTGACTCCTCAGACCCGCAAGAAACAGTTGTAGCACGGCTAGACTTCGTTTCGCCGGATCTTGCTCTTTTGTTGGCGCGGTGAAGAGACAAGGTCGTTTTGCCCAGCTGCCGGGGTTTTCAACGACTGAAGCAGGGGCTAGAAAGAATGGCGGAGCTGTGACATTTGCGAGATCAAGATCACTTTTGAGAGTTGATAGAAACTGTCCAATTAGATTTGTTTGTGATTGATCTAAAGCGGTGATCATACCTTGGCAAGATCGACAAATCGCCTCCCCATTGATTTGGAATCGTCGTGAATGGTGTTTTGTGTCTTGGATATCGGCTCCATCCTTGATTGATATTAACTTGAGCGTTGAGAATCGAAATTGAGCAATTGAATAAAACAGTAAATTTTCAATTAATCTACTCCGTAAATGCATCCCCTTATATAGTTCAACTCCTGGCATAAATTCCCCCGTCAAACTGCCGTCTCATCACATGCTTCAATAGCGTTTCGCTTCAACATGGCCGCGTCTCACTGCAGTGGACCCTTCTAGATGCTACGTCATGTCGGCCGCTGGCGTTTTAGCGTACATTACGGAAGCTGAATTCATCCGCCGCTGCAGAATTTCGAAACGGAACAATTGAATGCCGCCGGAAGCTCAAACTGCCGGTGCTTAGCCTCAAGGTGCTACGTTTCCAGCTCGGGATAATTTGTTTCTAGAATTTGTTTGGAAGGCAACGCAAGCATGTGATTGTCTGTAAGCTGACAGTTTGAATCCGAGTACGGATACAATATGCGAGAACGGTTGACCCAGAAGTTTGAGGGCGGACTTGGTGAAAAAGAGATTCGAGTTCGTTGTCTTGAATGCCCGAGCACATCGTCCACATGATTGAAAAGCAGGCTCTGTTAGCAAGCGAAACGTATCAAACATCCCCACGACACGGATCTATGGTCAGGCGATGAACGCCCGGCTGAAAGAATCCGGGGTAAAACTGAGCCTCGACCCCGCCAAGCAGCACACTACACCGCTCACGATAGCTTCACTATATCAAAGCGTTCGGAGCTTTATCCGCCTTTCGGAAAAGCAATTTGATCGCCATTGATTTTCCTCGTCAGTCTCGGAGATATTAATCATCTTTATATCGCGGACCATGATCTAGAGTCCGTCAAACCTCTCATGACGCCCGCCTCGTCTGCAAGGCTAGCCAGATATTCAAAGAATTCGGCAGATCCCCAGTCACCCGCTATTGTCCCCACGATAGTTCTGTGGGGATGAACATCTGCAATGCGGGCATGGTTATCATGTACGTGCGGTGGCTGCTGTGTTCCACCATAGTTTAAGCTTATACCAAGATTATCGGACTGATTTGTATTGACGGCAGTTATTATGATATCAAATGAGGCAGGATCAGAGCCTGGCTGTCTAGGTTTTGTTCAATTAAGTTCTTAATCCGTCATATCCCGCATTCGATTCCAGTATCACTGTCACAGTGTCCCTACGTGTCCCGGATTACCAATACCGCAGTGGAGAGTCGGAACTTTTCTAATGACGTGCATCGTCCCGATAAGCCTCAATTCGCCCAATAAGTTTAATCATTGCTGTTATTAATGTCTCAGACGCGTCAATGACTCAAGTTTTCCCTCTGCTCAGCCACCTCCGGAACAAGAGATCTGCATTGCTGACTCGTCATTAATCGCGACTAAGATTCAAACCAAGTGGGATCAACGACGATCCTGATAAGAAGACGCCAAGAAGAGAATAGTTTTCGTCTGACGACATTGTCTGTGATCAAGAATTCACATGCCTACCTGAGACAGCCGTTGGTGACACCATTGATAAGGTTGGAAATAGACTTAATTCATCATCGGCGTTAAGCCTCAAAGTCAACTAACGTTAGTTGTCCCGGGTCCGTGAACATCCGCTCGGACTCCGTTGGTTACGTAGATGGATTCACACTCCACGAGTCTGCTTATGTCTGCACAACGCTTGGCGATAATTGATATCTTACATTGTGGATAAGGACATACTCAGAGTAACACAATACAGTATCGTCGAGGCAGATCATTCTAGGCCAACCAACCAGTCACGGAATGTCATTTTAAGGCTATAGATCTAGCTGAATGTCCCCTGTGGCGGTCAAGTGCCGTGATCCACACCTCTCCCGCGGGAGAGGCTGTTTCTTGGCCAGATCAGCAAAGCTGCATGTGTAGTCACTTTGGTGAGACGGCTTGGCGAACACAGAACAATTTGGAGGAAACAAAACATTACACAGGCTGCCTCTTGCCATTGTTACAAAGGGAGCCAAGGACCACAGTTTCAATATACAAAAGCAATTCCATTCCCTGTATGCGTAGCCCGTATCAAAAGCCTTAAAGCAAGGGTGTTTAATTACTGGGCTTAACCGAACGGTTGGGTTCTTATCAGGCCGTCATAATTCCATGGTCCCCCAGTCCCCAGGTATTATAATCAGTTGCGGGCGGAGACAAACATGCCCCGTCTTGGCACTCTAGCACGGCATCTCCAGACCCACTCAATAGTCTTCACAGCCTCAATGACTACCTACACTGCAGTGTCGCCTCTTGATCACAAATTCAAACCAGGTCGCAAACTAGGCTCAAGCAAGGAGGCCCTGCTACGTGGCTGCCCGATCTCAACTGCAACAAAATCTGAGATCTGTCCTGGACCAATCAAAAAGTTCCGTCTCCCTCGTGTCAGGCTTGAGTCTTATCAACAGCCAAGGGATACCGGACACCGGACAGCCCAACTTCCCCTTTACCATCTGCGACATGCTGGGCAATATTGAATTCAGGGACCTCTCACACATACTGTAGTCAGCTAGTCAACTAGTCTAGTGTCAAAACAAATTACGGATACTGCTAACTTGATCCACTCCAAGGCTCAACACCAAGGGTGATCGCCGTTCTTGGGCGCCTTGGCGGGCAACACCAAGAGGAATTGCGCGTCTCTGACCAAGGCATGTTTAGAGTACAACGAAGCGGGTCTGTGCTCCATATCACAAAGCTAGACGGATACTGCGTAGAATGATTCAGAACTCGACAGGGCTATGCAAACTCAAGTATAAGGATGCAAGCCCCAGATGGGATCTGGATAATTTCTTCTATCCATCCTTCACAAAACAATCAAGATGACTTCCCTATTCTCTCGAGAGGAGCCCAACCCTGAGCTATGTGTCAAGTACGCCCACTTCGCCTCGCACATGGTACGATGGCAGTTCAAGATTATCTACTGGACACTGTTTGTGTCTAATCTTTTGGTCTTATTTATCGCTTCGTGGACTTACATCAGGTACGTTGATCTTTGATTCTTTTCGACTCGTCTAACGATAGTAGAGGCCAGACCGCTCTAGAAAAGCTAGCTCACAACCCCGGTGCTCGAACAAAACGGTTGCGGCAGTGCGTATACATGTGCCTAGCATGTGTCTCAGTCTCAACGGTCATTGTCGTCATGGAGGCGTATTCCATCCTAGCTCTACAATTCTGTGACGGCGAAGATCTCATCTCTCTGTACTGGTCGACATGGACTATGATCCAGATTGGATCTCTGATTGCCATGATCGGTATCATCCTTGCACTGGCTCATACCCTTCGCGGACGACAGCATCCGTAAGTCCCGGTTCCGTTTCTGTGTCACTTCTTCGCTAACAACTCAGACCATGGGCTCTTGCTCTGGGTACACCAGTTCTCGTCATCGCCGGATTCCTCCACCTGTTCCATGATATCACAAAGAAGCGAATCAAGAACCATCGTCGAAAGAACAACTTTGACGATATGATGGGGCCTCCCATGAGCCAAGCGTAAGACACCCGTCCGATGTTACTCAAGAATCTCACTGACGTACATAGCAACACCATCTCGGTCAACCCGGATGAAGAGCAAGACATCGAGTACAAGGCTCAAGTTATTGGACTTACATTCGATGGCGGTCCTATTATTCGATTTACCGACGCTGTCCCAGAGACTCTTCCTGAGCATGCGCAGTTGTTGGGTTACTGCCCCAAGAACAAGCCTATCGTGTTTTGTACGCGGCAGTCCATTCAGTTCTTGATGGACTCTCCAGCACAAGTCCCACGTTCGGCATCCCCCAGCTTCCGAAAGGGCAGTTGAACAAACAATTCAGTGGCCTGTAAGCGCCAAGTTGAGCCAACAGTTTGAACTTTGAACAGGGGTTGGCGCAAAGGCATGCCAAGAAAGGAGATGCGCTTTGACGTATGCTTTGACATTATGCTGTATTATGTCCGTACTAGCAGGCATTATTTTCTTTTTCCTATATTTCCTTATCTGTTTATTTTTTGTTTAAGGAGTTGGATCTGAAACCCAGGATAGGGTAGCATGGACGGTCGGAAAAGGCTTGGTCATGGATACTGGAAGATACCCGGACGGATCGCGACGATAGGATAATTAGATGTTAGATTTAATGAGTTATACTATACACCTTGTTCATTCGTCTTGTATTTGGATTGTGTGTTGTTGACTGTATGGTAGTGATGGTAGTAATTGATAGGTGCCGACTACGGAAGCTTCAGTGCTATCGATAGCGGGGTTCAGTGAATGCCCCTCATCGTCATCCGGTTCGGCCAATCTCTCCAGCGGCTTAGTAAATAGCTTTCTAATCAACATCAATTGAAGGCGAATTGCTTCATTGTCGCTTCACTGAAATATCTGTCTCATTCACCCAAAGCATCATTTAGACATTCACTGCAAGAAGCACGACACACATACGCACACACAATGGGCCTCGCAAAGGTCAAGCACATCGTCCTGGTATGTCCCTACCCTATGCCAGCTTCTCAACTGACACAATCAGGTCCTCTCGGGCAAAGGAGGAGTAGGAAAATCATCAGTCACTACACAACTGGCTTTGTCGCTTGCATCGGCCGGTCATTCGGTTGGTATTCTCGATGTGGATTTGACAGGCCCGTCAATCCCACGTATGCTCTCGATTGAAGAGTCCAAGGTCACGCAGGTCCCAGGTGGTTGGGCTCCAGTGTTGGTACACGAAGGCGATGAATCCAAAGGATTAGGCAGTCTGCATGCGATGAGTTTGGGTTTCCTCCTCCCGAAAAGAGGCGATGCAGTTGTTTGGAGAGGACCGAAGAAGACCGCCATGATTCGGCAGTTCCTCAAAGATGTACTCTGGGATGAAACGGACTTTCTACTCATCGACACACCACCCGGAACAAGCGACGAGCATATCTCCCTTGCCGAGACGCTCCAGAAAGATGCAACACCAGGACAAGTCGCAGGCGCAGTAGTGGTTACAACACCCCAAGCGGTAGCGACAGCGGACGTGCGCAAGGAGCTCAACTTTTGCAAAAAGACAAATATCCGGGTTCTGGGAGTTGTGGAAAACATGAGCGGTTACGTGTGCCCGCACTGTTCCGAATGCACCGACATCTTTGGATCAGGAGGAGGAAAGTCCATGGCCGAAGAGTTCAACGTTCCATTCCTGGGGTCGGTGCCGATGGACGCACAATTTATCGCGCTGCTTGAGGAAGGTCGGCGACCTACCTACCCGTCAGGTACAATGGTCAACGGGAAGGATATTTCGTCCCCGGAGAGGACAGACGGTGAGGGAAGCTTGGTGGACAAGTACCGGGATTGTTCGCTGTCTCATGTTTTTAAAGATATCACAGACAAGGTCTTGATTAACGTGGCCAGCTAATTGCTCTCACCCTGTACACCCCAGTCAGAAGTACAGACAGGCCGCAGGAGTCTCTCAAGCCACCGGCAGATTTGGTCGAGAACACCAACGAACATTTCGACCACATTGCAGGACCGCATATTACGCTGTTAGACTGCAATGCAGCATTCCTACAATGACGAAATGCTGTGGCCAACTTGCAAGGATTATAGCCCTGCCCCATTAAACCTTTTCGCCAACCCAGTCACAAAACGTCTTGGATCACCCAATTTAGCCCAGCGTCGGTGGATTTTTCCAGACAGCGAAAATCTTGCATGCACCCGTCTCCTTTGGGCGTCAACCACGAGAAAAAAATAAGAAAAAAATCAGGCAAAGCCCAGAAACTGGGGACACCTCTTCCCCCCGGGGAGAGCACCCGTTGAGCACTGTACACACAGAGGTCCTGTACCTGGCTTGTGCTAGAACTGTAACCTAACGGGCCACAGCCGTTGCTGTAACTTGACGTACCTGTACATAGTGAGCCTGAAATAGCACCGCCTGATTGAGACCTTAGCACATTGGATCGGAGATGGGATAGAAATTTACGGCTGCCTCACAAAAACAACCCACCAACCCCCCTCTTGTTTTTTGCCAAAAAGACCCAAAATTCTCTCACCGACTGAGTTGTAACAAAACAAACGCTGTCCTTAAGTGATTTGCTTTCTCTTCAGATCATCTCTCGGTACAAAGCTTCACATCACGCGACTGCGCCGTTGAACTTGGCTGAAGTTCAATGTCGAATAAACGCGTCTAAATCTTCCACACCCGACGGCTCCAAGGACCGTCACTGACCTTTCTGGTATCTTTCCTGGGCTTCTATGCGGCCGACGGACCTTCTGCGCTTCCTGTTCTCTCGACCTTCCAAGTACGTATGCTGCATCATGATACACGGCCTTGACTGACTTCCTCAGGCCCCGATAGCACCCGCTACTCATAAACAACGCACGATACATCGCCGACTTTGTCACAATTCCGTTACAGGAGCGCTTATATAACCTTCGCGCTCGACCTCCTTAACGTCCCCGAGACGTTAGACCCCCCCGATCGATTGCTGCTGGCTCCGCCAGCATCTGAATAAGTCCCCGTACCTGTGGGCCTACTCTCTCAAACAGACGCCGCATAGTCTGTTTGAGCGGCAGCTAGTGCTCCGCGGACTCTGCCATCTGGGCAAAGAAACAAATAAACCGCCAACATGCTGTCCACTTCGGTTCCCAACAACTGCACCTTTTCGCCGGCATCGGCCACTCCCCATCTGACAATCAACCATGATGTGGCCGCCGACCTCGACTCGACCAACGCTTTCGAAGGTCCTGAGAAGCTCCTCGAGGTTTGGTTCGCCCCTAGTCCGACGACTCTTCCTCCTTCCGCTCCTGTCAATGGCCTCAAGGCTGTTCCCGCTGATACTTGGGTTCCCATGCTTGATATGGTCAACTGCAAGGTCTTGTCTGTTCTTGAGTCTGACAACATGGATGCTTACCTTCTCTCCGAGTCGAGCATGTTTGTCTTTCCTCACAAGATCATCCTGAAGACCTGCGGCACCACCACTCTTCTCCTTGGTCTTCAGCGCATGCTTCACATTGCTGCCAAGCACGGATTCCCCTACCACAATGCCAATTCGGCCGACGACATCCAGGCCGCTGCGACCCCGTACCGCGTCTTTTACAGCCGCAAGAACTTTCTCTTCCCCGAGAAGCAGCAGGGTCCCCACCGTAGCTGGAAGCAGGAGGTCAAATATCTCGATGACATGTTCGACGGAGGAAGTGCCTATATGGTGGGCAAGATGAACGGTGATCACTGGTATTTGTACCTCACTTCACCCAACCAGCAGGCTCTCACGCCTCCTCGTACTCCCGAGTCTGAGTTGGAGATTGAAGGTGCCAAGATCCCTGTTGGGACCTCGTTCAATACTGTTCCCGGCAGTTACCACGACGAGACCCTCGAGATCCTCATGACGGACCTTGATTCTGAAAACGCCAAGCAGTTTTATCTGTCGCACGCGAGTGCGGTCGCCAGCGACAAGATGGCTGCAGAGGCAAAGGAAGCCCGTAAGGAAGCCATCAACAGCCTCGGAGGGCTTTCCGAGGATATCGACGAAGTGGACGTCTTTTGCAACGAGGATCCCGACAGCAACATGCTCGACTCTGTCGAAGCTCTCACCACCGAGGGCCATGCTTTGGGAACTGTTGTCTCGGAGAGTTGCGGCCTCTCCAGCGTCTACCCGACCTCCAAGTACCCCGACGCACGTGTCGATGCTTATCTCTTCAGTCCTTGTGGCTTTTCTGCCAACGGAGTTGTTCCTCCTCCGTCCGGCGGCAAGGGAGAGCATTACTTCACCGTCCACGTCACACCCGAGCCTCACTGCTCTTTCGCTTCATTCGAGACCAACGTCCCTGGTGGCCAGAGCGGCCGTACCACGACCGAGATCATCGAACATGTGGTCGAGATCTTCAAGCCCGGCCGTTTCAGCGTGACTCTCTTCGAAGCAAAGGCAGCAGCTCACAACCCATACTGCATGGGAGATGACGAGTCCAACAACTGGGCTGCCAAGCGTCTGGTTGATCCTGTGCGAGGATACCGACGTGTTGATCGTATTGTCCACGATTTCGAGGACTACGATCTTGTCTTTCGTTTCTATGAACGTGAGGGATGGGCTGGAACCAAGAGTGCCCGTGTTGGAGAGCCTATTAGTCCTACCAAGTGATTTGGATAGCCAGTTAGCACTTTGCGTAGTTTGCTTTTACATAGTGACGCTCATTTTGAGATTGAAATAAACATTGTCGAATTTAACCTCCAATTAAACCTCCCATAAACCTTGCAATGATTAAAACCAAAGTGAGACCTGCTTGTCGCATCCCGGTCGGCTGCATATCTGTGGGTCCGATAACGATAAGCCTCGCACGTGACCTCAGCCCCGTCAAAAATTTCTGTTGCTTCAATCTGAAGCTTCGCCAAAGCTGCCACCCAAACATCACAATCAGTCAATCAATCACATCACAACCGCCGCAATGCATCTTATGTACACTCTCGACGCTCAGGGCAACCGCCTTTACACCCTCAAGAAGGTTGCGCAAGGACAAGTCACAAAGTCCGCCCACCCTGCGCGATTCTCTCCCGACGACAAGTGGTCGCGCCAGCGCGTTACCCTCAAGCGAAGATTCGAGCTTCTCTTGACTCAGCAGAGTAGGTCTTCCCGCAGCGATTTGCTCTGGATGCGTGCTAATTTGTACAGAGGAATAAATTTGCGAGAACAAAACTACCGAACTACTGAGAAAGACTCGACGGATGGCGTTACGGTATCAGGTCATGGGCGTTTAGACAAATGTTCAAAATCAACTTTTCTACCTAGTGTTTCTTCTTGGAATTTACGTTACGTCCTGCTCCCACGCGAATCTTTCCACCGCCGCCAGACCGATGCCCTGTTAGAATATCAGGAAGATAATCTTGATCCATAATGTCCTTTTTGCGCTGGCGCTTCTGCTCAGTCTCTGCCCGTGTATACTCCTTTTGATCCTCTGCCAGAATCAGAGTCGTTCCCCAATTGTTCTTTCCGCCAGCGTTCTTGGCAAGACGCCCGTTGGACGAGCCGTGAACAGGCTTGGGCACACTGTAGACATTGCCGCGAGTGTTCCACTGGAAGTTCTTCTTGAGATGCAACTTAAAGTTGCCGTGCTCGTCGGTAGAGCAGCTGGTGCGGGTGAGTGTAGGTTGACCGCACGAAGGACAGAACTGCTTGTCCATCTCCTTTGTGACCTTAAAACAGCCGTGACACCTAAGGACCCAGTTCTTGAGATGCGTGATGCGCGCGAGCGAGGGAGCGACAAGGTTGAGGTTCATTCGAAGTGCGACGTTCTGCATGGCGTAATCGGAGGTGAGAACGGCGGCTTGTAGGGTTTTTTGAACGGGTGTTGAAGGTGCGGCGCCAGTTGTTGCGGCTTGATGTTTCTTCAGGTTGGAGGGTGTGATCCAGCCGCCTTCGTCGTCGGAGGGTTCCTCCTCGGAGGCTTCTTCGACAGCTTCAATTGTCTCGTCGGCCTTTTCGCCAGAGGCTTGGGTATCTTCAGTGTCTGCAGTTGGGGTATCGGCTTCGGCAGTCTCTGGGGCTGTAGTCGCCTCGACTGTGTCCTCGGCTGCTTGCTTGGGTTCCTCGACCGTAGGCTGGGTCTCGGCTGTAGGCTGGGACTCCTCAACTGTAGGCTTTGGCTCTTGAACAGTCTCGCTGGGCTGCGCAGGCTGCTCGACAGGGTTCTCGATGGTCAAGTTATCGACAGCCTTCTCCAAAGACTCCTCAGTCTTCTCAGACTCCTCAACCTTCTCAGACTCCTCAGTCTTCTCAGATTCAGCAGGTTTGTTTGGCTTTCCGTTGACACCCTTCTGGCCAGGAGTTTTCCTCAATCTCCAGTCACCACCATTTCGTTCGCACTCCAGTTCATACCCCAGAGCCAAAACGTCAATATCAGGCTTGCTGAGAACAGCCAGGTCTCCTGTTCTTCGCGCAAAGTCCCGAATGACCTTTACGCTTGCGGGGCCGGGCGATCGAAGGGTGATGAAGGGGAGAAGAGTCGTCTCTACTCGCGATCGAGTGGCGGCATCTCGAATTTCGGAAATGATAGACGGGAGGGTGTAGAGTATTTCGGCTTTCGCGCGGAGGGTGTTGGCGGGAGGATCGTTCTTGATGAGAGGGCCAGTGTCAAGGACAAGGCTGTGGATAGGCTTGTAAGCCGATGCGTCTGAAGCCATGGTGATGCGTTGACCAAGACTCATTTGGAGGTTTGGCCATAATTTCTGTGGTGTTCATCGCGGGGCAAAATTAATTTCACGATAAGATAAGATAAGATAAAGGATAAGATTTAAATTTGCATGCTTGCATGTGCATGTGCTTTGTGCGTGAGATTATTATGATGCGGGTTCAGCGCATAAATTAAAGTGTTGCTTTCTAACTGCCTGTCACTTGTGCATATTCCCCAACCCAGTCATTAATTGCGCCATCCATTAAAGAGTCAGCGTGCCAAAGGGCGTTGACTAACATGTCGTTCACAGGGCGTAGACAACAGGGAGGGCGCTGGCGCTGGTGGATTAATAATGGAAAATTCCGCACCTTGAAGGCCTCGGGTGACAACCCCGAGAAATAGCTTTCACCTCGCGTAAATCTGTGGCTTTTTTACATCACCTGGTGAGTCAAACAGATCGTCTAGACAAGAGACTAGACAGGTTTAATTGCTGGCCGACCTCGGATTGGACATGGATGTGACACGGAATCTGACAAATGTAAGATGACGATGAGACTGGAGGTTCACTTCTCAGCGATGAGGATATGGACAGCGATGAGATTGACGAAATAGAGTAACAAAAAATGCATAGAATACACAGAATAATACAGTCTAGTCAACTGATCACTCCCATCACTCGACTTTTACGTACAAAAACTGAAAAGCCCCGCTGAACAAAACATCTACAGTGGGTCAACGTGTGGAGGAATTGGAGATTTGGGGTTGACATGGACATGTACTCTAAAGTTATCAATCGGATAAACGCCCGTAAGCAAGCTGAGAGACCCCAGACAACTCACAACCCAATTTGAATAAGCTTGACCCTCCAGCGGCCAACTTTCCGCTGAGAAATCCCTTGACGCCATCGCTATTTCGAGCGCCCGGGGTCGGATCGGATGTCACTTTGCGCCCTACAACTTGTACTTGTCAAGCTCCATCAGTCACAATGGGTCAATCACAACAGGGCGTAGGTGAGTGCAAATTCTCAAAGAATATAAACCCTGGGGTCGTCAGCTTATTTGTTTTGCAAGAAATCATTAAGTTCTGTAAGTCATCAAGTCAGTCCTATAAATCATCATACTCGACTCGCAATGACCACAATGGCGTTCTCTGAGAAGACCCTCCCGTCCTTCGTTGACGTTCAGGTCACCAAACTGCCCATGACTCCTCCAGAGTATGAGCATCTCGGCATCCATCGTAACGGCGGTGCTCAACCTTGGGGGGCAGCTCATGCGTTGGCTTCTTTGAAAGGAAAGATGTCCAAGAAGCCTGAAGTCAACATCGCCATCAACGGCCACTTCAACTCAAAGGTCTATACCACCAACTCTGAAATCTCCGGAGAGGTTGTCATCACACCTACCAGGACCATCCGATTCGAGCATGTCGATATCTCCCTTGACGGATCGAGCCAGACACGCAGGGATGGACCAGACATGACACACATCACAACCCATCGATTCCTTCGACTCGAGATGCCCATCGACGACTCCGAATATCCTACATCTCGTGTCCTCGAGGCTGGAAACACTTACAAATTCCCATTCATCTTCAATGTGCCAGCTCACCTCACCACAAAGGCGTGCAGCCACAGGACCGTTTCGGATGATGTTTGGGAGAAGCACATGTCACTCCCCCCTACGCTCCGCGGCTGGGAGAAGGACGACATGGCTCCTGACATGGCGCAAATCAGCTACAGTGTGAAGGCATATGTTCTCACCCGAGCTAAGCACGATCTCGACATTGCTCTCGGCAACTCCCATGCCATCAACGTCATGCCGTCATCTTTCGAGGAGCCTCCTCTGAATGTCACCGAGAGGGATGATCTTTACAAGATGGAGAAGTCCAAGAAGGTGCGAAAGAATATCTTTTCTGCCTCGCAAGGCCGGATCTCTGCTGTAGCAGCACAGCCATCAGCCATCCACTTGAGCAAGGAAGGTTACGAGGCTAGCGGATCGTCTGTCCCCATCAGCTTCACCTTTGAGCCATCCTCCGCCGATGTGGTTCCCCCTCAGATCACTTCTGCCTCCGTCAAGATCCAAGCACACACCTGGTTCCGCGATCAGCCAATGCTGAACCTACCAACAATGGGCTCCCAAGTAGCCAACTTTGGATATCCATGCTCGGTGGCACTTCCCAAAGTCCAGCCTGAAGTCAAGTGGACGCAAAACGTGGATATGCGCAACAAGACCTCTCCTGTTTTCCACACTGCCACGGTTGAGATTCCGTTCGAGCTGCCTACTTCGGATAAGATGTTTGTTCCAACATTTCACTCTTGCATTATCTCGCGGGCATACACCATCAAGCTGGTTCTTGAGGGCGATGTCAAGATTGATTTGATGGTTCCAGTTCAAGTGGTGATGGGTTCCCCTGATGTTTGATTGGTTTGTTAAGTCTAATTGGTTTTTTTGGTTTCTGTTGGCGTTGGATTCGGGTAATGCTCAGTTGATGAAGAGACGAAAAGATATCCAGGCGAGCATTCTCTGATAGTTAGTTTGTTAATAGTAATAATTTGTTTTATTATATGTTTCACGTTTCCACAAGATGTCACGAGTTAATGCAGCGGATTTGGACATGCCATTCACATTTGGTGGTCTACAACTACGTCAAAAGCCATACCAGTATGGGCTGTCGTATTTCTATCATACAGCGTAAACAATCTAAATTGTTAGCGATTGAGGCTAGTGATCCTCACTCAGCTTACGCACTTTCATTTTCACTAATACACTTTGTAGACAACCACAGTATTGATAGCTCCGTTACCGGCAACAGTTTTATACACCAGAGCAGTAAGTAAGCGGCCCAAACCCAAGCTCCCGGGTCCTGTCAGAAAATGTCGGCAGTCTGGTGGCAGCCGTTATTACCGAGCGGCCGTTGACTCTTACATCAGACACATGGTAAAGCCACGGCGATTCGTTTTGTGGGAACTAATTGGATCATAAGCCAACACAATACGCGGTCTCTGATGATATGTGAGGAAACACTGTAAATTGTGGTGAGAGCTAGACATACACGTTAGTTAATTAATCAGCTGACGATAGACACAGTTATCGTGAGAATGACAGGATGTCTACATAGAACAAAATACATCTAGACATGATGACTCTTCTCGTCGTCTATGCATCGAAAATGCGACAACATTTTGCGCAAGCTACCCTACATCGACCGATCGACAGCGGAGCTGCCCAATTAGGCAATTCCCTTAATGACGCTGGAAAACAACTACCGAACAGCTGAAGGACGGAGGCAAGACAGGTGGGTCAAAGTGTAATACGCACTGAGGATATGTTGACAAAATTCATGCGTCGCTCTCAGCCACATTGAGATCAAGTCTTTCTGTCAGCCTTACTTCATATGCGCATGGGCGGTAACTTTAACCGCGATAATCTCTTGTATACGCAGATATCGAGTCTAGACACTTCTTTACCAGGATAACCCCAATAGCATACCTTATATCGGGGTCGGCCGTTCACGGAAGCTTGACTCAGTTTCCATTAGAAATTAGCAGGACATCAAAGATGGTAGTTTTCAGTGGACCTCTCGCTCCACAGCGATCAGCATTACGAGAAGAAAACACCCCCGGAGCCAATACAAACGCGGCGTTACCAATTGTTCCCGTTTCAATGACGGATTACAATCTGGCATCTCTAATTTTTTATCAAGATAGGCCTGTTAGATAGGCGACAGAGCGGTGCATTGATCCTTCTATAAAAGCGAAGGGTAGGGGACGCCGAATACCGACTCGAGCCAGTGTTTCGTCATTTAACCGCTGGGATGATCACTCGGGATGGCCTACTTGATTTGCAGTGTGTCAGTGGCGCATTACGTGGATAGAGTTTACTTAGGCGTTGAGAATAGACATCAAATTTACAGCGTCCATGTGCCTGTCTTGCCGTGATAAGTTAATAGCGCATCTACTAATCTTTAGCCATTGCCAACGCGATGTTGTGTCTTGGGCGCCTTACGCTCAGTCTATCAGAGTTTTTCATCCATCGTACCACTCAATACGAGCCACTGACCCCCCAAAATGAATGACCTACGCATAACCCCGACCTCCGAATCACATAGCCGTGCGCTATCAACGCCCCCAGCCTAAACGCGGCCAATGCTTATTCCCCCCTGCAAAGCTTTATCATCCCCCCAATCCTACACCAATTGACCTATGCCCACCCCTGCACTAGCAACCCTTCGAGAACATTTCCAGCGCGCTTTTCATCACTTTTTCGAGGCAAGCCGCGGAAAATTCTTTCACATGCGGCTCATCGTCACTCGTGTGATGAACACAAGCCGCGCCGGGCCGTCAAGTGCCGGTGCCAAGAGGGTCTCTCCTGAGTATACCACGTCTTCCACCCGGCACTGCTTTAGGTGCTTGCTTCTACGCATCTACCGAAGGCAAGAGAATCTGCTCCGCATTCTCAACGTTTTCAGTACGTAAAACATACCGTCTTCTCCTCAACTTAATCTCTCGTCTTTGCGGAGAATCTCTGGGGGACGGGTCCCACAGGTCGCGAGTCGTTCCATCTCCAATCTCCATCACCAGATGGGATAATGCAAACCTTGCAGCAGGGTAGAAAAAAAGCGGGTTTTTTGACTAATACTAACATGGCTGCAGCCAAGCAAAAGCCCGCATGAGGCTCTGTCCGGGTCCGCTTTATGTAATCGAAAGGTGTAGTCTAAGTGGGAGATCCACTGAAGGAGTAACACTACCACAAGCTCGAGCCTCACGCGCGGAGTTTCGGCACAGCACGAGACATGTAGTTATCACGTCCGTTGAAGGGGGCACATTTCCAAGCATGTCAGTGGAGCTTCCTGGGGATGTCTTGGGGTCTGGGGTAGTCTATGGGCCTCGGGGTCTTGCGTGAGGGAATTCAACATGTCAGAGAAACAGGTTGAACCTAAAGACGTTGCCTCCGGGATGTGGATCGTGACGAGACCCACGTTCTCAGGACTACAAAGATCGGCCTCATTCTCGGTTTCTTCTCTTATCTCTCTGTCTGATCTGCAGTCTGGTCTCAGTCGTCTCAGTCTATAATACCCTCTCCTCCCTCCTCCTCACTCACCTGTTACCTACTCGTCAACTCACATACCCAACAACCCATCTCGACTCACACCAACCATGGATCAAATACATCAGTCTGCCAACCAGGCACCCATGGACAAGAAGCACCACGAGCCAGTGCCAGACATGTTTGACAACAGCGCTGGCGAGATGGCCGAGGTCGACATGGAGAAGCAAAAGGCCGCTGAGGGCAACGCTCACTTCCACCGTCTTGGCTGGAAGCGATTGACAGTTGTCTTGATCGTCGAGGCTATTGCTCTCGGTTGTCTGTCTCTCCCCTCTGCCTTTGCGACTCTCGGCATGGTCGCTGGTGTCATTCTCACTGTTGGTCTCGGCTTCGTCGCCATCTACACCTCCCACGTCGTGGGTCAGGTCAAGCTGGCTTACCCCCAGGTTTCTCACTACGCCGACGCTGGAAGACTCATGTTTGGCAGAGTTGGATACGAGGTTAGTACTTCGCCGTGTCGTCTCTAACTAAACTAACTAACTGTTCAGATCGTTGGTGTCATGTTTGCGCTTCAGCTCATCTTCCTTGTCGGATCCCACTGCTTGACAGGAACAATCGCCTTCCTCAACCTCACTGACAACGGAGCATGCTCTGTGGTGTTTGGTGTCGTGTCTGCGATTATCCTCCTCCTCGTCGCCATTCCTCCTTCATTCGCTGAGGTGGCCATCCTCGGTTACATCGACTTTGTCTCTATTGCTCTCGCTGTTGGTATCACCATCATCGCCACTGGTATCCAGGCTGGACAGTCCGACGGCGGCATGTCCTCTGTCGACTGGTCTGCTTGGCCCAAGGAAGGACTCAGCTTCACTGAGGCCTTTATCGCCATCACCAACATTGTCTTTGCCTACTCCTTTGCTGTCTGCCAGTTCAGCTTCATGGACGAGATGCACACCCCTGGTGACTACGTCAAGTCTATCTGGTCCCTTGGTCTGATTGAGATTGCCATCTACACTCTTACCGGCGCTCTCATCTACGCCTTTGTCGGTTCCGAGGTCAAGTCGCCCGCGCTTCTGTCCGCTGGTCCCCTCATCTCCAAGATCGCCTTTGGTGTCGCGCTTCCCGTCATCTTCATCTCCGGATCCATCAACACCACAGTCGTTGGTCGCTACATCCACGGACGCGTGTTCAAGGACTCCATCATCCGCTACATCAACACCAAGATGGGTTGGATCAGCTGGTTGGTCCTTGTCACCGTCATCACGATTGTTGCTTTCGTCATCGCCGAGGCCATTCCCTTCTTCAACGATCTTCTGTCCATCTCTTCATCCCTGTTCATTTCAGGCTTTACCTTTTACTTCCCTGCCATCATGTGGTTCATGCTCATCCGCAAGGGACCCTGGCACTCCAAGGAGAACCTTCTCCTCTCCATCGCCAACGGCCTCATCTTCATTATTGGAATGATCGTGCTTGTCGGTGGAACATATGCTTCAATTGACGACATTGTAAGTTACTATACCTCCACATCTCTTTGCAGTTCCCTGCTAACTGATCCAGATTCTCAAGTTTGACCACGGCGATGTCCGGGGTGTCTTTACTTGCGACCCCATTGCTTAAGCGACGATACCATGATTTTAGCGATAGTTAGTGTACGATTGTCAATTGACGTTATGAGAACATAAATCGGACCGGAGTTGCCGTGAGTGATCATCGTATGACCGTGAAAGGCTGTGAAAATGCCTTCAAATGTGATGTCATTGTCGATGACGACGTAAAATTGCTGAGATCTGCAACGTTCCATACTGGCCTTGATTGGGAAGTGGATTCCACAATTGGACGGTTAACGGGACGATAAGATATGGGAATTGGTAGGGAATAATCGCAGGGATATTCTAGACCCCATTGAAGTTACTTCAGTTTATGCAATACCGGATCCCGATATCGCACCCCAACATTAATCTCATCATCACTGTTGGCAGCTCGACTTGTAGCGGATTTGTAGAAAACTTTCAATTAATACTCCATATATACACTAAACTCCCCGATCCTGGCAATACTTATTCACCTCCTTCTGCAGCTGAGCCTTCTTAGTAACCACATTATCCATGATCTTCTTCACCAGGATAAAGTCCTCTTGAGACAAAGAACCACCTCCATTCCAAACCCCCTCCTCCAAAACTGCCCAAAGCCCCGAACCCTTTGCAACATTCTCCATCAATTCCATAACCGCACCGAGCTGGTTAGGCAACCAGGTGATAATAGGACTTCCTCCTGTGGCGGTCGGGTGCATGGTGTGCTTGAGGATGTACTCGCGGGTGAACATCCAGTGTCGCCAGCGGAAACTTCGGATGTGGTCGAGGACCCGGAGGTACAGCACTGCAAGACCGAGATCGCCAGATTTGGTGAGGAAATCTCGTACGCCGACCTCTACAGCTGTCTCGCGGACGTACTTGAGGAATGCGCGGTGAGGCTTGGGGCGGTATTCGCGGAACTCAATGAGAATATCGGTAAGAGGGTTCTTGGGCATTGGGATCTCGCAGATGTGATCCAAGAGAGGAATAATGGCATCGTTGGCTCCAGATTCTCCACGGAAGAACTGAGGCTTGTCGTCGTATTGTCCCTCGTAGATAACGCCATCCGGGAACATGGACTGCTTGGTGATGCCGTAGATAAAGGTTCGGTAGGTCATGTAATCTTTTGGAAGGGATTGAGTCCACATACCCTCCATGTTAGACTCGATGATCTGCATGGCGTTGAGGATGAGTTCCAAGCTAGCCTTGGCCTCTGCGATCTTGCTAGCGCTGTTGTCCTTCTCGACAGCAGCTAGGAGATCTACTGCTCCTTCAATCAAGCCGCCAGTCTGGGCAACCATGTGGATGTGGGTAAGGATGAAACCAGCCTCTGAAGACTTTGGGTCAAGGCCTTTCTCGAAAGCCCGAACGAGGCGGATGTTGCCATAGTCGTCGTGTCCCTGTTCTGGGTGGACGAGCCAGTAGTTGTACAAGGCGTAGGAAGCGGCATAGGACATGAATGCGGGAATGTCGAGACTGATTTGTTAGTGGAAGTTGGATCGAATTGGAGGGGTGCTTACATCTCGGCACACTTGACTAAAGGTCCAGCAATGCACTTGGGGAGTGTTTGACGACCGAGGCCATAACCGCCGTCTGTGCTCTTACTGTAGGTCTCCCAGCAGGGTTCTAGCAGGTAAGACGAAGCAATGAAGCTGTAGTCACGGAAAGCAGCAGTAATAGCAGCCATATCCCTCTTGTCTGTGCCAGGAACGACAAGGTTATCAATCTCGGAGGTCAAATCGGGAAGAGCTCCATTGTCAATGAGCGGTCCGAGTTCAAATGTGGCCAGCAACCCAGGAGTGCCATCTTCTTTTTGGATAGGGATGTCGTTGAGAAGATCAGACACGGGATCGAATTTGGAAGGGAGTTTTGCAAGAGGGAGTGAAAAAGGGAGGTATCCCGTGCGAGTGGTGATGGTAAAAGGATCTTCACCCTCAGGAAGTTCTGAAGGGTCCTTGCGAAGGTAGGGGAAGAGGGTGTTTGCGGCAGACATTTTGATTCTGATGTGAGGAGTACTTGTTGAGAATAGTACTTGATGGAAGAAAGACTTGATGAGAGCCAGCCCGGGAAACGGACTTGTCTATATACAACGAGGCCGGAATTCCTATCGTGGCCGGAAGGCTTCCGTGTACGCCTTTTGTGAACAAATGTTGAGCTCATAGTTGCCGATGATACCCTGGCCGGTAGAGACTCCGATGGCTTGGACTGACCGCCCAATCTAACAAAGACCATTATCAATGGTAATGGTCCCGTGGATGCTATCTATCAGACTAACGGCACGGCCGGCGTTGGGCCCGTGTTATCCACTACCCCGCGGTTCATTTTTGTTATCATGCGGTTGTTTCTGTTTCTTGGTATTTCGTATCCTATAGAGGTATTCTTGGTGTTGATTCGACCGTTTCAAGGTATTGCTCAATATTCTACAACCGCTCTTCCACGATACTCATAATTTTACAGCCAATGCTACAGTCACAGTTTCATCTGAATACAATCAACAATGCTCATGTGATCTGATAAGAATGTTCTAGTCGGAGGCTCGGCGACAGACGTGGTGGATGTGTGGGGAACCGCCTTGTCGTGACATCCGCCCTAGTTTGACAAGCTAGCAGCGCCTTAATCTGACAAGCTGGGGTAACAGGGGTAAAAGTTCTTTGAGAAACAATGTACGCGTACAGTGTAGGATCTATCGAGTGCGCCTTATCTGGACTTGATGATGAACTGCCGGCTGAGTGACAGTGATCGTTATCTCGACCCTGGTTGATCTGCTTCCATTGAACCCTGAGTAGATACGGTACGGACCGTGGTACTTGACACCATCAACGAATAATTGTCAAACTCATATTACTAGTAAAGCATAGATAACCTCAAGATACCGTTCCCTAATCTAATCTCTACGCGGCGCTTCTTCAAAGACCTTCTGCAGTCTCTCATCCAACCATTTCACATCCTCCATATTCCCAGGAGGACCCCCAGCCCAATGTCCCCAAATCGACGGATACACATCAAGTTCTGCATTATCCCCCATGCAGCTTACCTCATACTCAGAGTCCTCAGGCCTACACTTGTTAGTAATCATCCACAAGACGGTGGTTCACTTACGGAAAGTATAAATCAGTCTTGCTTGGCAGAACCAGGATCCTTGCCTTGATCCCCGCCAAGGCCTTTTCGAAATCGCCATTGTAAGGCTCCTGCTTGCTCACATCCCCGCTCTGCCACGTTTGTAGCATCACAAGTAAATTCTCAGGATCTTTGCTGAGCGCCCACTTCTCCCAGAAATCCCGCATGAACGTCTCAAGATCCGAAGCATTGTAGTGTTTCTTGAAAAGCTCGTGGCGATAAAATGCCTGCGAGAAACCCCAGCCGGCGTATCCTCTTCCAAAGGCCTTGAGTCCGACTTCTTTCTCCTTGTCAGACCATTTCCTATCCTTGCTGTCGGTCTCGACTCTGCCTTGGATACTTCCAGCCGAGCTAACGCCTTTGGCTGCTAAAAGCGCTGACTTGACACCCTCGAGGAAGACCTGGTTGTGGAGAGAGGTCCTTGCTGAGCCGCAAAAGGGAACGCATATGTCCATAAAGTCGGGGAATTGTGTTGCCCACTGGAAGCTCTGCGCGGCACCCATGGACCATCCTAGAACTGCCCGTATATGTGTGATACCGAGGTGTGTCAGCAACTGATGCTGTGCTTTGACGTTATCATAGAACGAGATGTCGGGGAAGGGACTAATATCCGAGTTGGAAGGGCTTGTGGATTGGCCATTTCCGAAGAGAGCTGTTATGATGATGAAATAACGCTCTGGATTGAGGGTTTTGTCTTTCCCAATGAGCCACTCGTTGTCTGAGATTGCCCCAGAGAACCATGAGGGGTACAGAACCGCGGGCAATGTTGGATCGCCGAATGCCTTATACGCAATTGAGGCGTTGGGCAGTATGCTGCCACTTTGAAGCTGGAAGTCGCCCAGAGAATGATTTTTGATTTGATCCATGATTGTGAGCGCCTCGGATGTGTAAAGTATACTGTGGGCGCCTTGAATGTGTAAAATGATCTGTGTAGTGAAGCTTTATGTGCCTTCAAGTCGATGAGATTGAGGGTGTCGTCGCGTGACTTGGTAGGCTACTGCGAGGACACCCTCATATATCTGCCATCCAATCGCGGTACAGTGCTCAACCCTAGCATCACTGTATTAAGTAAAACGTCATCCTACATTGTCTCTAGTTTCGCCTTTTGTCGACATGCAGCCACCTGCTCTATCAAGCGCGTCACAAGACAAGGTGTCTTATCTGCTATCTCGTGCGGAGATGTGCGGAGGTGCGGCATGATAACAACGTCACTATCTTTATCCTCATTCTTATCTATTACTGAGGAGACGATATAAAGAAAGACATAATACATCTATCGCTCAATTGAAGAATTAACTCAAGTATTAGTTAACAATGCCTCGCATCCGTACTGCTCAAACCGTCTCTTTTGATAAGCCTGCCTCTGAGCAGCCTTACCTGCACAACAGATGGCATCCTGAGGGTAAGTTGATTCCCAATTACAGTTATGAGGCAATCACTAAGTATCAGTCCCGAGCATTGCCGTGGTCGAACCAGGAGAGACAGTCAAGATCGAATGCCTCGACTGGACGGGTGGCCAGATCGGAAACAACGACAGCGCCGATGACGTTCGTGATGTCGACCTCACAAAGATCCACTACCTCACAGGCCCATTCGACATCAAAGGCAGTGAACCGGGTGATCTCCTCGTCGTCAACATCACAGACGTGCAGCCATTCGACCATTCGCCGTGGGGTTTCACTGGCATTTTCGCAGAGAAGAACGGCGGCGGCTTTCTCGCAGAGCACTACCCCGACGCTGCGAAAGCAATCTGGGACTTTGACGGTATCTACTGCTCGAGCAGACACATTCCCGGAGTTCGCTTCGCTGGCTTGATCCATCCGGGGATTCTGGGCTGTGCTCCGTCGGCGGAGATCTTGGCGGAGTGGAACCGTCGAGAGGCAGATCTTGTGTCTTCTATGGCTGATTCGCACCCTGGCAAGATTGTTGCTCAACCACCAAATGTGACCAATGCACACGGTGGACAAGCTGATGGGGATGTATTTGAGAGAATTGCAAAGGAGGGTGCAAGAACGATCCCTGGTAGACCCGAGCATGGAGGAAACTGTGACATTAACAACATTTCACGAGGATCGACAACATATCTGCCAGTACACGTTGCAGGAGCCAAGTTCTCAGTGGGAGATCTTCACTTTAGTCAGGGCGATGGAGAAATCAGCTTCTGTGGTGCAATTGAAATGGTACGTCTATGATCCCGTGACAACTCCCGCTAACAATTCAGGCCGGCATAATTACAATCAAATTCGACCTCATCAAAGGCGGCATGAAGTCCAGAGGTCTCAAGAGCCCCGTATACAGACCCGGCGACATGGGTCCCTTCTTCAGCCCCTCACGCTATCTCATCTTCGAAGGCTTCTCTGTGGACGAGCAGGGAAAGCAGCATTTCATGGATGCCACAGTTGCGTATAGACAAGCATGTCTTCGAGCAATTGAGTACCTCAAACAATTCGGTAAGACATTCCCTGCTTTTGTAGACTTTGCTGACAATCCAGGATACTCTGGCGAACAAATCTATCTTCTTCTATCTTGCGCACCCATCAGAGGCGCCATTGCGGGAATAGTTGACATTCCGAATGCGTGTACAACTCTGGGTATACCGATGGATATTTTTGACTTTGACATCTCTCTCGAAAGTGAGCCCGTGGCTCGGAAGCTGGGAGCCTGCCCGATCTCTCCCTAGGTTGGAAGACCAATGTCTCGTTTGAATTCTTGTAACCACTCGGCGTTGTCGACGGGTGTTTGATTCCAGGGATCGTCGCTGTTATTGTTAGCAAATGAATTCTGTATTGGGTACACTTACTCATCGTATAAAATCCACCGTGCTTGATATTTCAGTTCGTCGTCACTTGGGATGTGGCGATTAGGATTGTTTGGTGACAGCGTGGTCATGACGAATCGCGATAATTCCCGTTTCAGGCGCCGATAGCTGTTGTTGTCGTTGATGAAGAATGGCGTAGCTGTTCGTACTTTATCTCTGATGAGAGTTCGTGGATCTGGAGTTAAAGGGATTGGTGGCAATTCGGGTACTCCTTCGGGAGACAAAGATCGATTCTCTGCCATCCATGCACCCTGCAAAGAAATGTCCAGATCCATCGAAGCATCCAAAGGCAACGCCCCATCCCATAGAAAGTAAGATTCGTCGAGTGTTTCATTCGTCAACGACATCAAAGCTGAAGCACGCTGCCGCAGAGGACCCAACCACAGTGTAGAGCTCCACACCAATCTCATCAAAAAGTCCAGAAATCTCCGTGAAGGATTTGTCGAAGACGTTTCTGTCCGATTGAGAACATTGCAAGCTTCTTGCTGTAGTTCGGAATCAGACGGAACATGTCCCATGGAAGTATGTGCCGACATGTACTGCTGCAGTGCACCCTCTAGCTCGCAGTTCTCAAAAATATTCCTCTTCCCGTTAATTTTGAGTTGACTTAGTCGTGATTCTGCCAATTGCTTTGTTGGACGCATTGTCGCTTGATTGGCGATGTCAACAGCTGACATGAAGATATCCCACAGCCAGGAGGGTGTTGAAGACGCTGGATTTATTGAAGCAATCTCAGCACCCAAAATCACAGAACATGCTTCGAAATGAAGCTCTGCATCTGGAGGCATGTCGTGTTGATGATGACTTGTCATATAATACTCCAACTCTAGTTTAATTAATTCGTAGGCGCTTGTAGGTGTATCTGCCGGTCCTCTTGTCGCAGCGAAAGGAAGCGGAGAGTTACGTTCATAATGTATAAGATCTGTCGGTCAGCTTTTGTCACAACCTGCGGAACCGTGCTTACAAGGAGGCATAGCATTGTCGATTCTATCGATGATTTTCGCTTCAAAACCCCAATCTCCCTTCCAGTGCTCCATGGTACTTCCAGCCTTGAAATGATCCGCGAGGTGATCAACTCGACTAGCCCAGGTCTTCAGATCAATACCGCAGAACCCGCAACGGGATCGAATTTCTTGCGTCGTGACTTTCCATTCGTCCATCGGCCACTTGAGGAATTTCGACATGTGGACTAGTCTGAGGTGTTGCTGAAGGTGGTCCTTGCGGTGGTATGTTCGTTCTTCAATTGGTCGCTCGATGCAAGCACTCTGGTTATGACTGTCCAGGTGAGTTTTATCGGGGTTTTTGATGCCGCAGAACACACAAAGAAGCCCCTCTTCTGGATGCATTGCAGTTGGTCCTTTTGGCGAGCACACCCAATTCTCCAAAGACAAATGTAGAGACTTTTCATGTCGCTGCCAGTCGTATTTCGTCTTGAATGTCTCTGTGCAAAATGTGCACTGGTAGGTGTTTTGAGTCTGCTGCAAATTCGTCCTGACTTCCTGCCGCCTCATTTTCGTACGTCTCCGTCGACTATGTCTTTTGAAAATGTCAAACGAAGTTGAAGAGTGTCGAGAATGAGCAGAACTGTAAGACCCAGAATCGTGACTAGACACAGATGTGCCTCTGCTGCTTATTGACGACCCATTGCTTCGAGACCTTCCCTGCCGGTCCGAAAAGGCTGCAACAGCTCGCGTGATATCATCCACAGTCGCTGCCTCATGCTCTGGTGGTGAATTTGCCCATCTCTGCAGCGGGTTCATGTGCTCGAATGGAGCAGGCGTTCCGCGTCTCCGAGGCGTGTCAATCGGGGTGTGATGACCTGAAGAGTTCCCAGAGTCGTCATTCCGAAACATCGGCGACGTCGGCCGAGAAAGATGAACCTTTGCTCGTCTTCTTGCATTCGCGAACCAATTGACGACCTGCTGCCTATTAAGTCCCGTCTGCTCCTGGAGATCCTGGACTTCTTGAATAGTAGGATACGGGTGCCTTTCGTGAGTCGCGAACCAGTTCCTCAAAATCTTTACAGACTCGGACGAGAAGCGATTGCCGATCTTCGGCGGGGCTGACGCTTGTAATATTCCGGGGGAGATGGTCTCTGGTTCATTGGGAGTGTCAGGTGTAAAGTCTGCACCAAAGTCGTATTCCAGATTCGATTGGGACATGTCCCTTGAAATTTCTCCCGATTCTGCCATGATGTTTTGATAGAGTTCAACAAGATTGAGAGGTCATGGGCTACGGCGAAGACTCGGATTTGTCCAGAAAGGGCGGAGATCCACTTGTTTCGATTGGTGCGATTGATGAGTCAGGATTAGGATAGGCTCCGTATTGAAAGTTCATGATTCTAGCAGATTGGGAATAGAGCAGACTAGTTTGTATGCATTTGGATGTTATGTAAGAATATTGAAGATTTCAGGGGACTTAACGAGTAGCCAGGTCCAAATTATCCTGGAATCACAGTACCAATATTCAGACGATCTAGTTTTGATAGAACTGTCAGTATAACACAGATTTTATATTCGTGTATGGCTCTACCTAATGCAGGTAGTTGTAGCCTATTGGGTATTACCCCAGATGATCACACATTGTCGCTGCCATGATTGCGGTGGCTCTCATACCCCCCTCTTCCATTATAAGGGCATATCTTTCGCGAGTGATAGAAACATGTACGCCCTGGGCTCCTTATTTCTTATGGTTCCGTCTTTAAATTCATGGTCCCCAAAGGAATTAGGCTAAAAAGCTGTCTTGAGTCACACACTGTACTGAGTCTTTGCTATCGCTGGAATTCTTCATGTAACTAATTTCATCCTTGCTGAGTCGTATTCTGGGAGAACTAATCTTTACTCTTCGTGGAACGGAATGACAATGTAAACAAACACATCTGGTATTTTTCTAGATACTTCGCCGCACAGCTAGGAGTAAGTGCGCTGTGTCTAATCTATCAAAGGCACTCAAAGGGTAGGTGATGTACACGGTCCCTTTTTACTTCTAGCTGGGGTCACTGCATTTTGCTTCTCCCGTGGTACATTTGTCCCTGGTTACAGTGTAGACAAGATGACTTTCAAGAGTCTGTATGTAGGGATTGCCCAAATTGCAGTGCCAATGGCGCCGTAAGCTTCAATTCTCATTTTAGACTAGGCACCAACTGTATGTAACATTGTCATATCTGTGAATTTCGTTGCATTAGTAAGAATTGCTGGTACAAGTGCAACTATCTAGGGGCTTCTGAGACACGATATTCAGCACAGCCTGACCAATCTCGGGGTGCCCAAAGAGATACCCAATAAGGTAAGTGACTCTCATAATGACGTTGCTCAACCCCAGGGCATTTTCAAAGCATAGCAAGCATGTATTGCATCAACCACTCATCAAAATGGCCCTAGCCGTGAGCCACATCAGGGGAAATTCAATTCGGCCACAGTAAACCAACCAGCTCACCAATGATCCAGGTATCTGGCCCCTTTTCTCCGGGGTCACAATGCTACTCCTCGAACGCAGCATTTAATCCGATATCGCGGGCTAGTGGCGGACGTAGCGCATCCCATGGCGACGGATGACACGGGAATTGGGCCAAAAACTTGCTGAACGCGGCTTAGCCTTATCATCCCCAGATTTCAACACATAACCTGGCCGCTTGGTCCATAAGCCCTATCATCTTGCTACATCTGGAGTAGCCAAATTACCCAGTATAGTTATCCTAGTATTAAACCTGGCTACCATCTGTTAAAACACTGCTCGTTGCCTGTACAATTTGCTTGTCAATCATCACAATGTCTAAAATGTCTCCCAAAGCTGAATCTACATCTTCCCAGATCTACCGGACGGAGAGTTCATCTCCTGGAGCTGTCCAAGATGTTTCGACTCCTCAATTACGGAAGAACCGATCCTTTATTTCAGTACTTGGAATGTCCCTCGCCATCACCGCCGTGCCTTATGGGGTCGGAGGCCCCTTGATGTCTTCTATATACGGCGGTGGACAACTCTCGATGTTTATAGGCGTGTTGGTTGTCGTGTTTCTCCAAGGCGCTGTCGCATTGTCCCTAGGAGAACTCGCGTCCCGCTACCCGACCTCTTCAGGAGTTTATTACTGGTCCTACAGACTCACCGAGAACAAAACATACCAGCACTCCATGGCCTACTTCACCGGCTGGGTGTGGCTGATTGGAAATTGGACAATCGCTCTATCTGTCAATTTTGGATTCGCCTCTTTGATTGTTGCGACCGTCACCATGTATCAGCCCGAGTGGACCGCCACACCGAACGAGACCCTATACATCTTCTTTGGAATCTGCGTTATGATATTCATCCTCTGTGCAGTAGCCGACAAAGCTCTGCCTCTTGTAGATACGGCAGCGGCTATCTGGAGTGTAGTGACGATAGTGGCGATTCTGATTGCTCTCAGCAGTACTGCAAAAGAGGGAAGACTCTCTGCCTCATACGGCCTCACACACTACGACACCAGCATCTCAGGCTGGGAAGGCTTCTCCTTCTTCATTGGACTGTTGCCTCCTGCATATGCCCTCTCGGCTATTGGTATGGTTATGTCCATGACTGAAGAGTGTGCCAAACCAGAGACAGAAGTACCTCGAGCAATCGCCATGTGTATTCCCATTGGTGGAGTCTCTATGCTTGCTTTTGTTCTTCCTATCTGTCTCACTCTCCCACCCCTGGAAGATATCCTCGCCGCTCCGTACGGCCAAGCTTTGCCCTTCATCATCGATACTGTCACTGGATCAAAGCCTCTCAGTTTGGCACTTTTGATCATGGTCTTGATGGTCACCTTATTCTGTTCTATCAGCATTACAACCACAGCCTCGAGATGCACGTGGGCTTTGTCCCGAGACGGAATGTTGCCTTTTTCTCGAATCTGGCAGCGAACACTCTACAACCAGCCAATCTATGCCCTGGCTCTTGTCACTGTCATAGAGGTTTGTCTAGGCTGCATCAACCTCGGTAGCACCAGTGCATTCACAGCCTTCGTATCAGTGGGCGTGATCGCCCTTGCTTGTGCATATCTCATCCCTATCGCCATCAGCCTAGCATGTGGAAGAACGGAGGTGTCAAAAGCAAAGTGGCACTTGGGAGCCATAGGTAGAGTGTCGAACTGGGTGTCAGTTTTCTGGATCCTCTTCCAGCTCATCCTTTTCAGCATGCCCTCAGCGCTCCCTGTAACACCAGAGACGATGAACTACGCGTCAGTTGTTTTTGTGGGATTCCTTGCTCTATGCGGGGTGTGGTATTTTGCGTGGGGAAAGAGGAGTAAGTTCGTGTCCACCCATATTCGGAACCAAGCTAATTGATTAGCCTTTACAGAACCCAAGGTTGAAGCGGAGTTGATGATGTACTAGCTGATAGATTAGATGATGTAGTAGTATTATTCGTCACATTGACTAACTGTATGCGGCAACTATAGTGTCCCATGTAAATGGTTATCTTCCAAGCCTAGTACTGTAGTCTAAACGATTGTCATGATGTTTGAGTGATGTGGGGTCTAGTCACTCCATTTCAAGCCATCATACGATACAACAAGGTGGTTCTGCTGGCCTACGTGACCGTTGGGCTAGTGAAATCATGATCCGTATCTTGGAGTTCTAGACTTCGATCTACAGTGCGGCCATTATCAACTATGGCTCTTGGTTGGTGTTAACACGAATAGCGACTGTTTTTTAATACTCAAGGTGTTTAGAAAGTAACTAAACATGTGATTTATTAACCGACATTGGAATGGCCACTACACATGTATTTAGTAAGGAAAGCTCCCCTCCGGAATCTTCTCCAAAACTCCCGCCTTCTTCTGCAACTCATCTTGCTCATGTAAATACGGCAGCAAAATATTCGCCCAATTATGTTTGCCCTTGTATGTCGAATGCTCTTCATCCCAATTGTCGATCGCTTCCGCCAAGCGCCCTGGAACATGTGGTTCCCGTGCAATTGTGGTAATGGGCTCAAAGTATGTACGGATCGTGAACAAGAGAGCCTTGGATCGAGGAAGTCGTCGAAGAGATTGTCTCTCAGAGCGGAAGTACAAATCGTCGATAGTTAGTCCTTTGTTGTTGGCCGATTCCCAGGCTAAACTATTAGAAGGGTTCTCTGAAGGTTGGGTTTGACTTACAGGCTACTTTATTGCTGCTTTGATCGCCCATGCGGTGGGACCAATGGAGTCCATCGTCGAGTTGAATGAAGAACTACATAATTAGAGGCGTTCTAGTCCAAGTGGATGTGACTTACGTTGTTTCGAACAACAGCCTTTTCAGGCAGCATTCCTTTGAAGAAGCGGTTCATGGACTTTTGGAGTTTCGCTTGATAGTGTGGAACCTTTGCTTCGATGTGCAAGGTATCCAGAGACATTCTGAACTTCTCGCTCAAGCGCCAGAATCCAGGGAGACATACAGCTCCAGCATCAAGGTGGTATTCGCCGTCTAAAAATTAGCGATGTAAAGTAGAAGGACTAGGCGACTCACCCTCTTCTTCAACCATGATGACTAAATCGTCTTGCACGAGCTTCGCTGCAGTGGCCATCGCCTCTTTGGGGTTGCCTAAATGGTTAGTTAATCCTCTATAGTAGGGGGACTACTTACTGGCTGGGTAGTCGAATGTTTCGCCGGTAAGAGTGTTGCGCAGAATGCCGTTGTTCAGTTGAAAGATCTTGGGGTATCGTGCAGTGAGGTACGCAGTCAACTCTTCCAAGACCTCAAAACAGGCATCTCTAGTGACAGCGTTATCGACATATTGAACATGAGCGTCAATATCCTTGTTTAGTTCAGAGACTTTGAGATCGTGATACCAAAGGAAGTTGGAGTCCATCTCAATCCAATTGTTCCAGTCCAGTTTTCGGATCCCCATGGTGACGTGGTTTGGTCCATGACGACACGGTCGGTATAACTGGGGGGTTTTGCTGTCCAGATCAAAGTCGATAAGAGGTTTGGGTGACGGAGTTTTCCATGCTGGTATTTCAGGTTTGGCTGAAGTGTTAGTTCACGTCATCTATCGGCTTGCTGAACATACCAGCTTTACTCTTGCGCATCCATTCATAGACAACGAACCAGAAGATACCCGCCGCAATAGCAACGAGGGCAACTTCATGGCGGAGACCGAGAGATTCGAGTAATGAAGACATGGCTATCGAGTGATTGAGTGATATTTCAAACAAGATACGAACAACATTGCTACTTATATTTCTGTGGCGATGATAACCGTGGACTGGAAAGTTTCCGTTTTCGGATGATCGCTTAGTGTGGCCGTATCATGACTGATGTAATGAACTATTGGTCTAAACTACATGAGGCAATTTACCACGATCACTCCACACCAAAACCCCACGGCGGATCTTGTGGTCCGATGCGGGGGACAGTTGATAGAGAGTCTCTGTTTGACTATCGATTAGCTATTCAGGGACAATCGGCAGTAGATCTTATCGACGAGGAACATTGAATGCAGTATCAATTTGACCAACAAGCTATCTAAGGGCTCTTTCCAGTCTTGGCCGTCTTAATAACACCCTTCTTGTGTAGGGCCTCGATGATATCCAGAATCACAAAATCACACCCCCTACCCGACATGATATTAACAGACACAGGCACCGTCTCGTTCTGGAGAGTCGAGTTGGAGTACACCCCGAGGTCAAACATGCCCAACGAGATGGAGTAATCTGGGATTCCTGCCACAGAAGCCAATCTGGCGAGTGATACAGGGTCTGGCACGTCGCTGCTACCAGAGTCTAGTGCCTGCTGTGACTCTTCGCATGCCTCTTCAGATCCAAGGGTGGAGTTGCAGTTGACTGTGGCGTTGAGCTGCATGATCAAAGACTCCTGCTGCGAGGTGGTGTCAAGAATTTGTCGGATGTATGGATTTGAACCACTACTCTGTTAGCACCGAAAGAGAACGTGGTAGGGGACTTACTCTTGAGAAACATCCGGCTTGTAGGATGGGTTGCTGTATGACATATAGACGTACACAGCGTTTGAGCAAGTCTTGTTGTCTGCAGTTAGAAGATTGCTAGAAACCCAATCCTCGACGCCTTTCTTGTACGCCAGATCATCTTCATGTGTCTCTTTGGTCATTGTCTCGTTGGCATTTAACCATCCCTCACGCGTGCCGGGGACCATGTGAGGGAACGCGCCATCGTGGGAACTCATGTATTCCTCCACATAGTCCCTGCCGAACTCATCCCACTGCTCATATTGTGTCAAGTTACCGTAAACACTGTTCACGACAGTGGTGATGGGCAAGTCCCCGAAATCCTTTGGTGTGGAATTGCTCCAGGCATCATCGGCAGAGAAGACTGTGGCGTTGACTGATAGTAGACTGGACAGGCTGTTCAAGAAATCGACCACTGCCTTTGCTGCCTTTGGATACTCATCCTTAAGCTGGGAGAGAGTCTGCTGACTACCCACGTCAAAGAGAATTTCAGATGGTAGCTCAGAGTACTCTTCCGTTGTGTCAGCGTACAGCACCCGGTTGACCTTGGACCAGATTACTGGATCCCGAGCAAGAATACCGGAAGTATCCATTGCTGACGAAAGAGGAAGGGCGCCTGTAAGATTAACAGCGTCCTGTGAAGGTCTATTTCCATGGATAGCATTCTGAGCTGCAGGTCCACGAATACTTCCTCCGGTATCACTGCCCATACTGGCATCGAGCCAATCGTAGGAAGCAATGGATGCAGCAGAACCTCCAGAGCTGTCGCCGGGTGAGTTGTAACCATCCCCGCGAGGGTTGAACGGGAGGAGATAATCGATATGCTCAGTCACATAAGGGCCCGCAAAGGCAAACTCAGAGAGCTTATTCTTTCCAATGACAACAGCGCCAGCGTCGATAAGCGTCTGGACGCTGACGGCGGTCTTGGTCTTGACTTTGCTCATCTCGTACAGAGCTCTGTTACCACCGCTTGTCTTGACACCTTTGAGGTCGTAAAGGTCCTTGATGGCGATTCGAAGGCCTGCAAGGGGCTTTGCCTTGCTTGGAGTGAAGTATAGGCGTGATGGAACGGCTACGGTGAGACCACCAGCGGAGAGGGCGGCAGCGCGGAGGGGATGATGGGTTCCAGAGGGGTCTTGGTATGTGGACTATACTGTCAGCGGGTGAATGGATGTCGAAACATGGAACTTACCTGGATGAATGCTTGGTCTGTATCAACGTAGAGGCGGTATGCTTGGTAGACATCGCCGGTGTAACGATGAACAAAGTATGGTCCAGCAGGGACTTTATCTTTCCCAGTATAGACTTCCGAGACATTGAATTTGTCGGACTTGAACTCTGACAACTTCTTCGAATCCGATTGAACATATATAGCTGAAAAGATTAGATAAGTCCATAGTTAACTCGTATTGACTCACCCTGAGCAAAAGCCTTCGTCCACACATCGTCATCCTCGTACTGCTTCAAAATAGAAGAAACACGAGCCACATTCGCAGTCCCATTCAGCTTCACCACAGTAAGAGGCGTAAACTCGTCGTGCTCAGCCGAGACGTTCCAAGAGTCCAACTTCCATGCTGGTGTAGGAGGAACAAAGTATTCATGTTTTCCCAACTGAATCTGTCTCGAGACCGAGGCAGACACAGCTGCGGCGTAAGAAATCCCTAAAAGAAGTGTTGAAAGCGGCATCTTGATGGTTCTTGTCAAAATAAAGGAGACAAGCTCGGGAGCTGAATCCTTATATTTGACTCAGCTTACTGCCAAGGCTGATCTGCAGGGTGTACCATCGCACCGCAGGCCAGGACAGGGATCCCAGCGAATTACGCAGGCCTGTTCAAAGCATCTCCACGTCAGTGATACCGTCGGGAGTTTCAATCGCGGCTGAGCCGAAGATCGTCTGGTCCTTATTTCTGGGAATCTTGAATTAGGCCTTCAGCTTCGGCACTCACGGATGTTAGTGGTGACGTGTAGCGTGGACCAAGCCTTGCTACAAGCATTTACCAGTAGCTTACTATTCGAGTCTACCAAGACCTAACCATCCCAGTTTAGTAATTCACATGAGGCCCTTGCCGATTAAGCCCTATTGTAGTTGCCTATTTGTCCCGTTTTGGCTATTCGTGTTCGAGAGATCAGCCCTACGGGTATAGTAACGGGGCGTTGGGATTGACAGCGTTAGATTATGGGGATCGTCAGTGCGCAGCTTTAGCGGTCTCAAGGGTTGGAGGTTTGATTGCCGTTTTGGGTGTGGGGATCACTAAAGCTTACTCTAACACTGCCTTGTTTGTCGGTATGAATCATTACAATGAGGCAGTGCCTGTTACGTGTAGTCTGTAGATGACTTTAGCTGTGTATGAAGTCAATTGGCCGCCTAATCAATTCGCTTTTCGTCCAATTCAAGTCAATGCTTGCCAATCCTTATATCCCATCACTGGTAATTCCAACATCTTTTTTAAACGCCTCAAGCCAATCCTTATTCTCCGCAATTGTCTGGTTGAACGGATCATCACTAGAAATATCAGCCAGGTCACAAAATCACTCACGGAAGACTTACTCGTTATAACTAACCCACCGAGCATAATGCTGTATCTCCTCATCTGAAGGGACTCGACTGGCTGGGTTGTGTGGCGACATGATCGCAGCTACCCAGCGTCGTAACTCCTGTGTAAACCATCGCCAGTAATTATGATCGTTGAGGAATGATGTACTTGTTTTTAGAACGAGCGATCGAGCGGCCAGGATGTGAGGATCTGGTCGTAAGGACGGCGTTGCGCTCCACGGTTCAGTGGTTTCTGTCGATGTAGAATGCCGTTGTCGAAAGGCTGCTAACCAGTAATCGTCGTCGGCCGCTGTGTGAACCAGAGTAGAGTCTGAGCCATGGATAATAACACGGGCCTGCCGGCGGAGGTCATCATCACCCGGCTCCAGACCAATAACCCTCTGCATGTTCAAGTATGTCCCTAATTCCTGTTCCAGACGCGTATAATCTTGAATCATGTTGTTCAAGTTCAGACCTTCGGATAATCCAATTAATTCGATACCCGTACGTTGCCGAAACGGTGACAACCAATCTCCCGTGGAGTGAATGACTTTGATAAGCCAATTGGCGATAAAATCAGACGGCGTGGCTGAAACCTCTTCCAAACGCCCGACAATCATGCAGCACTCCTCTCTCAGCTCGTCATCTTTGATACTCAGCCCTAAGAGCTGCTTGGCTTGCACAAATTCTTGAAGCTGCATCTCAAAAGGACATCCTTCGAAAATATTATTCTTCCCGCTGATTTCCATTGACGAAAGTCGACTCTCTGCATTGGACCGCATAGGTCCGAACTGCGCTTGTTGGGAGATCTCAACGTTGGAAAAGACCAGATCCCGAAGCCACGAACAGCAGACCAAGTCGCCGTGGGACAACGGTTCAGAAGCAAAGAAAATCCGACACGCTTCAAGTTGCATTTCATCTGCAGTCGGCATTCTGGCATGCTGGTAAAAGTGGTTCTGCATGAAATATGCGAGCTCCAGTTTGAGAAGCTCATAAGCCGTGCGTGGTGTTTCGACAAGCGCCCGACTACCCTCAAAGGGAAAAGGACTATTTCGCTCAGTTTCGATAAAGTCTGCATTGTTAGAGTGTTCATTCTGTCGGATGATTGACTTACAAGGTGGAATTGAGTTTTCAACAAGTTCAAGAATATGCGGTTCAAACCCCCAGTCGCCTTTCCAATCTGCCATGGTCTTTCCTGTCTTGAAGTGATCTGCCAAGTGATGCACACGATCGATCCACGTTTCCAGAACAAGATTACAAAAACCACATCGCGAATGAATAGGTGGCGGAGGCGCTTTCCACTGCCTCATCGGCCACTCGGCAAACTTCGCATTATGCACTAATTTCAAGTGCTGATTGAGATGATCCTTTCTGTTAAAAGTGCGTTCCTGGACCGGTCTGTTCTTGCACGCGGAGTAATTGTGGCTTTCAATATGCGCATCGTCAGGGTCAGCATGGCCACAAAAGACACACAGAACCTCTGAACTGTCCGTTTTCTGTCCACGGGGTCCGTCAGGGCTGCACACCCATCGCTCGAGTGGCAGATGCAAGGAATTCTCATGGCGTTGCCAATCGTGCTTTGCTCGGAAGGTTTCAGTGCAGAACGTGCATTGGAAGGCTTTTCGAGGCGTGGCCAGAGATCTTTTCTCCTCTTTATAAGCACGTCTTCTTCGACGAGAACTTCCTCGGCTGAAGAGTTCATTGAGTCCAAAGGATGATCGGCTGGTGTGTGAGTTGACGGAGCTTATGGAGCTGGAACGTGAAGTACCCACACTCCTTACTGACGGGGTTCGCGAAAGTCTTGTATATGGACTCGTAGAACCTGGTTTGTTAGTTTGGTTCATATTTGTTTACTTACACTCACCACACTCACCTGACGACGGTTTCACTGAAGCCACAGCTCTTGCAATAGCAGTCACAGCAGCTGGCTCATCTTCTGGCGGTGAGTCAACCCATCTCTGCAACGGATCCATATCTGAAGTATTCCTCACAGCAGGCGTCCCTGGCCTGGGCGGTATATCCATAGCCTTTGTATCGCTGTGATGAGGTGATGAAGCGCTGGAGGGTATTTTTCCTCTCCGACGAGCGTTAGCTAACCAATTGGATATCTGCGTCTTTGTGAGCCCTGTTTCCTCCTGCAGCATTCGTCTCTCGGGTTCCCTAGGGTATGGATGGTTCTGATGCGTCGCAAGCCAATTCTTCAATATCCGCACTGACTCCCTCGTGAACCTTCCCCCAACTTTCGCAGGCGGCGTTGGAGTTGGCTGCGCATTCTGTAGTGCAAGCGGGTTAAATGCATCAGAGGCAAAGTAATTCTGCGTGGGATCTGTCGCGAAACCAGGCGTCACGTTGGAAATGCTGGGGCCGGAATCGGAGACATAGGGTGTCAAATCGTCACTCATGAAACCATCCAATAGGTCCATGTCTGTAAAGAGATTGGGGTTCTGGTAAGTCATGGCGAATTGGGGACGGATTCACAGGCATTCCCGGGGCTGTAGGGTTGTATGCAAGTCACTGTAAAGGTGAAGAGAGGAGAGGTCGAATCCGTTTGAGTAAAGGTCCTTCAAGTGGCGGCCAGCAGAAGCTGATTTTGATTGGCTCGATGCTAGTGCTAACCTTGTCATCGCGCCCTATTAATGGGGCGTCATGTGAGCGCATGAGGGGCAGAAAATCGAGTTTAATTGTAGGCTATTTCTGGGTGTTTCTCTCAAGGTTTTGGATGCATCGCCTCGTGCAGCTGAGATAACATGACGGGAACTGGTCTGTGGTTGATGTAGATGTTGTCGAAGAGTTTGAGGACGTCGGGGTATGGTTTGAGGCAGCTCCTAGCCTCCCAGAGGTATTTTTCTGCCTTTGGAGGTTCTGCCGTGTTTTGGAGCATCAAAGTGATCAATCCCTCGTGTTTGTTTCGTTCGTCTTCGGTGAGATTTTCCTAGCAAATTAGTAAGGTCTGACAAGACAGAAGTGCTGCGCTCATACCTTGATGTCGAACATGAGATTCATAGTCGGCTCAATTACAGTCGATTTGAAATCCACATCAGGGTGTTCCTTTTGAAGATCCTTTGTTCGCTGGTCAAACTCGGCGATTGACTCCTCTCGGGTCTTGTGCATCGGTATTTTATCCCACTGCGTCATTTTGAATTTGAATTGTTGGATTGATTGTGATGAAAGGTTGATGCTCGAAAATTGATGAAACTGTGACCCCTCTATTCAGGGTTTGAGCTTTGCAGATCATTCAGGTAGTTGCATAACCACTGAATTGCACACTCCACATAAGTATTTGGGAGTTGTATTGCCACGTCAATGACTCATGAGGCCAGATAAATGTTGATTGTCCAGTATGTATTGGCACCACGTCTATGGATACTTTCAATACAATTGGTATAAAACCAAGCCGCAGAATAACGCGTGGCTGGCTAGGACAGTACCTCAAGTCGAGGTCTGAACCACTTTTATGAGGTCATACTATTTAGCCAACGCACCCAACAACAGACCCTGCAGTTCCTCAAGACTCTGTCGGCTCGTCTTTTGACTGGCCATGACATAAAAGACATTCCCCAGAACCCTACTGTGAGCGTTCCAAGACCCAGTTCCCTCTCGAAGATGCGTCTGCAGTTTCTTAGCAGCCAGACTCTTATACCCAGCACCATCGTCGTCTCGAAGACTGATGGCCAAAACACTCCCAAGAGCCCAGACACCCAAGACCTGCGGATCATGTGAAAGCGTGTTGACAAAGTCGCGAGACCACACAGACCAGACCTGAGGCTCCCAGTCCTTCTCTGCCCACTCCCAAACCCCCGTGCTCTCCATACTCTGCATCTCTTTCACCGACTCAACAGCGACCTGACACCCAACCGCATGCGCCGTGTAGCTATGTCCATGGAGGAGCGCATCGCTCTTGTCGTCGCTCTTGAAGGTGTCAAAGATAGCCTCGGAGGCCATGGTGGTGCACAGCGGGACGAGACCGCCTGTAAGTAATTTAGCGTTGACGGAAATGTCGGGGTTGGTGCCGAGAAAGGACGCCGCCGAAAACCGTCCCAGTCGGTACAAGCCGGTGAAAACCTCGTCGAAGACTACCGGGAGTCCAGACCACGAGAGTGGGTCTAGTGTGTCACCGTTGCCGAAGAGGTGAGGGGATCGACGGACCACATCCACCAGCGCTCTTTGGAAGAGGGGATCACTGGAAAATTAGCCGAGTTGAAGCAAGAGGTGAGTGACTTACACAAATAGCATGCCTCCTGCGCCGAGAATGATAGGCTCCATCATGAGAGCGCCAAACTTGCGACCAGCATCTTGTAGTTTCTTTAGAACGCTCTCGATGTAGCTTTCATACTTTCGGTACTGCTCGGTCTTAAGCCGAGCCTCGACATCGAGAACTTCCGAGATGGATTTGAGATGAGAATCTTGTCCGAGGTCACCGCGAAGACCTTCGGGCACCTGGACAACCCATTCTCCCTTGACGCATTGGATGGTAGGATAGTCAAACCAGTATCCCTTACCCTCGTACCATTCGATCTTTTCGTTGTAGACACAAGGTTCAGCACAGTCCATTGCGCCAATTGTATCTCCGTGATAACTTCCCTTGAGTCCAAGGATATGAACATTATCATTAGGTCCCCAACCATATCGGAGCCTTGCAGCTCTCAGAGCCATCTTGACTGCAACCTCACAGCCTGTGCTTCCATTATCAGAGTAAAACACCCTCGAGAATCTCGGATTCTGCGCTCCCTTCAGAAGCATCTCGGCTAGGGCTAGAGCAGGCTCGTGAATAGCCTCGGCAAACATGACGTGTCCGTATCGACCAGCTGCGTAGGCCGCGGCAAGGGTAAGACGAGAGTTTGCATGACCAAGACCCTGAGACCACCAGGAAGCAGAACCGTCAAAGGCAGGTTGCAGAAGGTTCTGGGAGTTTTTGTTGAGGACCTGGAAATAATCTCCGTGGGCTGAATCAATTGTTGAAATGGTGTCTGCCGAGACGAGCTTTTGTTGAGTGAATGGGTACCAAATGTGCTTACTTGCCTTTTCGCTCATGGATTCAAGACGTGCAACTCGTTCTTTGCCTCGTTTATCCAGACTTTCAAGCACATGCTGTACGCTGCCGTTGCTCAAAGAGGCGTAATACTCCTTCATCTGCTCGATGTCGTCTTTCTCATTGCCCAGTCGCGTAGGCGGCTCAGGAAGAGTGTCAACTGGAATGCCGCCCAGCTTTGTAAAGTATTCCTGGAGGTACTGGTAGTTCTCGTACTTGATGTCCTGGAACAGAAGAATCGACTCAATATTATGGCCGCGCATTCTCAACGACTCGTACGCGGAGATGGTCTGCGAGATACCACCAAGCTTAGAATCACCAACGAGAATTACAGGCGCACGCAATGGAGCGTACAGATCTGCCTGTGGTGTTCCAGAGGGACCGGGAGAGTGAACGCCCCCGGCGGTCTCTAGGAACAACCATCCAGGGCCTTGAGATGCGCTCTGCGAAACAGATGCATGGATTCTCGCGAGAACAGCTTCGTCGGAAGGAATTGGCTACTTTGTAAGCTTGGTTCAACAGTCAATTGATCTCGTACCTTGCCAGAAGCTTTAGCAGCTATGTGCGGGCTGCAAGGGATGTCGTATTGGAAGAGGGTTTCGTGGGTAGTCGACGGAGCATATCTTTGTATATGACTGATTTGTTAGATTCTTAATTTCACACAATGGAATTTTCATCTGTCACAGTTAGCTTTGATCAGCACCCAATTGCGATACATACACCAGCTATCAGCTTCATGAGGCGCTCCTGTAGAAACAGGCTTCAGAAACCACGTCCTCTCGCCCGATTTCGCCGCCGAATTACACAAAACCGTACTGAAAATGGTCTTCCCGACATCTGTGTTCGCACCATAAACCTGATGAACTCGCAGCGAGCGCCACAGAAGAGCCGGCACAGGCGCCATTTTCTTTTCGTCGATGATGGTAGCTGCAAGGTTAAAAGAGGGAGGCGGCGGTTTATACTCGGCGGGAGGGTCTAGATCGGCGTTAGATGCCGGCGGGGAAATGGAGCTCAACAGGGTCTAAACCCAACAAAAATTACAAGATGAGAGGTTTATCTCTAGCATCATGTCGAAATTGGAAGAGCAATTGAAAGCTCGATTGGCAGCTCGTGAGAAACGATCTCAGCTACGGAAATTGACGACTTTCCCTGCTGAAAACGTCGATTTTTCTTCCAATGCGTACCTGTCACTCTCTTCAGTCCCCGAGGTTCGCAGCGCCTATCACTCCCTCGTTGAGAACCACGCCGCACCACCTCCACTGCTAGGCTCAGGCGGCTCACGGCTGCTCGACGGCAATTCGAAGCTTGCAGAGGATTTAGAGCGCGACATTGCAGCATTTCACAACGCACCGGCGGGACTGCTTTTCAATTCGGGGTTTGATGCTAATGTTGGGCTCGTGAGCTGTTTGCCGCAGCCTGGGGATGTGATTGTTTACGATGAGCTTATTCATGCTAGTGCTCATGATGGGATGAGGTTGAGCCGGGCGGGAGAGAAGATCTCTTTCAAGCATAATTGCGTGGAGGGTGATGGTGGGCTTGATTCTATCCTCAAACGTTTGGGACGTGAGAGGTCTGTTTTTGTTCTTATGGAGGGGGTCTACAGTATGGATGGCGATGTCGCTCCTCTGAAAGAGATCGTCGACTGTGTCAAAGGGCGGCTACCATCCAATGGCTATATCATCGTGGACGAGGCACATTCCACTGGTATTTTTGGCAGCCAAGGGCGAGGTCTCGTTTGCGAATTGGGTCTCGAGAAGGACATTTTCGCACGATTACATACCTTTGGAAAAGCTATGAGTTCTTTTGGAGGTAAGTCATAAGCCGATGATGTAGGAAAATGCTAATTGTGCAGCCATTGTTTTGTGCTCAGAAATCACACGAGAGTATCTAATCAATTACGCCAGAACTCTGATATACACAACCGCAATGCCCTTCTCGTGCCTCGCGAGTATTGGAATATCATATCAGTATCTACAGAGTGGGCGAGCAGATGCTCGACTGGCACATCTATGGGACCTAGTCAGTCGTACCCATAAGCTACTGTCCTCAGTAAGCTCAACAACTCAATCGATTCATGTCAATCAAGCGCCAAAGTCACCCATAATTCCTGTGTTCACATCAGACCCACGGGGGCTGGCTCACTTTTGCCAAGACAGAGGGTTTACTGTTCGACCTATTGTGGCGCCTACAGTACCGAAAGGTAGCGAGAGGGTGCGAATATGTCTACATGCAGGAAATACAATTGGAGAGGTTGAAGGATTAGTTAGAGCTATCAGTATCTGGGTAAAATCGCAAGACGGTGGTGCGAAACTATAGATGCTTTGAAATAGACAGGCTGGGAGTAGATAGTCTGGTTGAGGTTGTATATAGAAACGTAATGAGTTCAGCCTCTGGCCCTGTCCGACTTCTCGCCTCGCTCTAGCGACTAATCAAACTCAGCCGCAGCAGTCAGAAGTTCAAGTCCCCCATAACTTGGTTAACTGTAGATCAACTGACCACATCGCTGGTGCCTTTAGAGTGGTTTTCTGCCCCAAATGAAACGCATGGGGAAATACGCTCCCGTTTCGTTCAACTCAATCTCCAGATCCTTCACAAGCGAATCCAACCGCTCATCAGACAGTGGCCTAACAGATGAATCCAAAGCTATATCAATCAGTATAATGTCTCATCTGCGCATCACAACTTACACTTCGCACCCGCCGCAAACCCCTTCGCAATGATCAAATCCGCTTCAACTCCCAGTCTCCCCAACTCCTCATCCGAATTCCGTTTCCCAACAGCCCTCATCGCAGTCCGTTCGTGTACACCCTCAAGCCCCGCCTCCAGCAGCCAAGACTTCATCTTTGGCGCCTCAAGAGGGTCCAGCCCGGAAGATTGACAGACAGCTCGGATACACGCGAACATATCGTGATAGCGTGGATTTTCAGATTCAGAAGTCGGGCAGATGCGATCACAATCGCCAATTTGAATCCAACCGCCTGGTTTGAGAAGTTTGATATGCTCATTGACAACAGCGCGTTGAGCGGTGCCTGAACCAGCGGCGATAAGAATCATGCGAAGGTTGATGAGATTGAAGGAGTCTTCCCAAGAGTTTGGTGTTGGATCTTTGATGTCTTGTTTCACGTATGTGATACTATCCGTGTTGGTGGGGAAGAAAGAAGTATTGATATCAGTGCCGATAAAGGTATGGTTACCTTCACCTGGAGCGGCAATTGCGGATTGAACTTCCCTCATCCAAAGACCATCTGCGGTTCCAACATCCAGTATAGATCGAGGCCTATTGGAAAAGTCAATTGTTGGGAATACAAGAGTCCCGTCAGTTGCTTGCTTGAACCCAAGGTGATAAACAGTCAATCTGCCTATGTCGCTGCTGACGTCCTTGTCTTGGGCCTTGAGATACCACTCAGGTGTCGAATATACAGGTTCTGACATTGTAGCTATACTTGAAAGACCTTTCACAAACTTAGGCGGTTGACGTTAAGGAGCTAAACAATAAGTGACTTTCTTGTAAGGACTGGAAATATGCTCTGCTTACGTTGGTCTCAATCTAGGCTGACATTTGATTACACATCTTGATCGGCAGCGGCGTAGCAGCTATTATTACCGCAAGTAACCGTATACCACATGTTTAGTGCCATGCCTACGATTATTCCAAGTGTGATTAGAAGTTCTTTTCCATACTCGTTCTATCTGGACTCTAATTTCAAAACAATTGATGATTTGCAAGCCGGTTAAAAACTCCATAAACCCAACCTAACTCAGTCAGACAACTCTTGCATTCCGTCTCGAGTTCGGTTCTGGCTGATACGCTTGATCAACACCATGCGTTCCCCATTTAGTCCACCAACGGTATCCATAAGATAGTCCCTTTCTACGGCACCAGTGGTTATTCGGTGCTTTTCTCTGCTTTACCCTTCCGTGAGTGCCTAGGCCGTATTAGTAAAGACAGATAAAATGCAGACAAGATGACCTACATCTCCCATTGTTCTTCTTCGACCTTGTTGTAAACAAGTTGCAAGACCCACAGTACTTCCTATCCCCCATCGAACCACGTAACCGTACGAACAATGGACAAGAAATACATGTGCAGTGCTTCTTACACCGCGGGATCTGACAGGTGGGATGCTCTTTTGAATACTGTCTGCAGCCCCAGCAAATGGTTGTATAGTGTACTTCGTGACATTTTCGACGATGGGACATCGGGGAATACAATACTTGTTTGTCTTTTCCAGATAAGCACATCCCATGGCCTGTTTGCCCAACACAGGGTGAGGAAGAACCGGGGGTGAATCCAAGTTGGTCGACCCAGGTAAGCCGTGGTTTGCCGCTGATCATTGGCATTGCGAGAGCTCGGAAATCAGGGCTTGTTATTGAAAGACAGACATGGTCGAGTTTGGAGCAGTGATTTAAGATAATGAGTTGGATTTCTGCAGGGAATTTGAAGAATAAAGTGAATGGTTCTGGAGATGACATCGTGAACGAGATGGGGGTATCAAGTTAAAGTTTAGAGTTTATAATGAATCTGCATGAGAATGGCAGCTCAAAAATGATACGGATATCGCAATATTAGTAGTCTTATCCTTTTATATATCCGTAGGATCAAACGCGATCCTTAATCTTACGCCGCAATCTTAGGCAGCACTGCATGGGATCCTGGCACGAAATCACGTGCTGAGTCCAGCTGTTCCACTGTGGGGGTTTCTGCCTATTAGTTAATAAGGCTACCAAAAGGCATTTTAGTGGTTTCTAAGTCCTTACCCTGGGTAACCTTGCTAATTCATTTGGATACGGTGCTCCATCAGATGGTTATTGACGTTCAATTTACCGTTAGATAATTACTAGGTATAGAGAAAAATGTTTAAATTTCAAGCAAGGAGACACTTCGTAGGCAGAACAATAGGGTCTGTGGACACATACGATAGCAAAACTGACCCGAATTTGAAGAGACAATCGATTCATTTTTTCTTATTTATTTTTCAAAGAGAAAAGAAACTCTCAAGACTGTGGCGAATCGAAACCATCCTCCTCAACTTAGTACAAACACCAACGGAATATCAAAATACACGAGAAAGCTCTGACCAAGCACTCAGAAGTACTCGAGGAAGCGGAGCCGCCGCTGCTCATCGGACATCTTCCCAAACGTTTCGACCTCCTTGTCCTTGACAGATATGTACCACTTCATTAAGTCCTCAGGGATCCAGGTCTTGAAATCCTCGTCGTTCTTCAGGTGGTCCAACGCTTCTTTGAGAGTTGTTGGCATGCTTCGATCCATCCCATACTCGGCCCGTTTCCTCTCGTCCATCGACTGGGGGAAGAACTTGCAATCCTTCCATAGCAACTTGGTCTCACTCTTGACTCCGTCCAGGGCAGCAAGCAGAACGGACGCGACAAATAGATATGGGTTCGAGGTGCCGTCCATCATGCGAAACTCCCAGTGCAACTCATCAATCTTTCGCACCGGCAAGTCGCGGTTGTCTGTGCCAAACCCGATCCATGATCCGGTAGCATCATCCACGGAGCGCACATAACTGTCATAGTTGGCCATGCCAAAAGCGCATAGCGAGCCCATATGGTTGAGAACGCCGGCTATGAAATTATCCCCGGAGCCACCCTCCAGCTTGCCGAGGGAAAGATGGAGGTGTAAGCCGCTCAGCGGTCCCGTCAGTGTCGGGTTTGGAGTCATGGTTGCCCTGAGGTTTCGGCGTATGCAGATTGTTCGAATCGTTTCTTGGGCCATAATCAGCGAGTCTATAGCTTTCAATGCAGGCTCGGCCGCTAGAGCAATCTCCAGCTGATCCCAAGCCTCTGCGTGAAAGTGATGGATATTGATGCCGGACTGCTTAAGGGCATCAACAATCTCCTCAACGAGGTCCAGCGTCTCTCCCCGTAGTCCAGCGGGCCTCGAGTATCCATTCAGTCGATCCAGTGGCTTGATGATGTTGTTCGACTCATCAAGGAGGACAAATTCAATCTCAAAGCCTACTAGGACGTCTGCACCCAGTTCTTTCTTGAGGCGCTCAAGAGTGTGTACAAGAAGTGTGCGTGGACACTTGTCGAATCTCGATGCGGAGTCTTTCTGATCGACGAAGCTCATGACCGAAGCGTGATTGTTCTTGAAGCCGCAGCGGCGCAGGGAAGACCAGTCTGGCTGCAGATTCCATGTCTCATGGTAATCGCCGATAGAGAACATTCGTGGAGCAGTGGAGATAGGTATTAGCATGCTGTTCTGGGCGAGGCGGAGGGTTTCGTTGTTTTTAGCGATTTCCAGGCAGCGGGAGACTGGGAGGAAGCGAGCTCGCAGCACACCTGAGTAATCGACCCATTGAATGCGGATGCACTTGATATATTTGGTTGCGTAGGAATATGTCTTGAGAAAGTTGTTGAGTAACTCTTCGTTCGACGGCATCATGAAGGAGGCGAATTTGGGTATCCTGGGTAGCACGGTTAAGTCTGGATGTTTGGTAGAAAGGTAAGGAGTTTAGGAAATACGGGAAAGGGCATTGAGATACGGGTGGGGGTAGGCAACAAAGGCGTGGAGGCAGTGACGCAGCGGTGCACCAGAATCTGGAAGGGCTGAAGGGCAGGTCAGGTATTGACCTGTCACCTCGTCTAGCGCCTTGTATAGGGCTGATCAACGGATTTAGTGTATTGCCTTTTCTTTGTTCCCTGCCAGCCTCCCATGTTACTTCTTGGCTCACCTTGATCACAATCGCCAACTTTCGTTGTTCACTATGGCTATTCCACTCATTATCGTATGTCCCATGCCAGAGAAGCTGCCTTGGCTTCAGTTCTGGGACTGAACTCCAATAAAGTAGTGTGGAGTGATTGCCATATCATCTGGGACTCTTATGCACTGATTCACGAGACGGCCGAAGATGGCGTGAGTCGACCACTTCTCCAGGCGTACACATGTTTCTTTGTTCTCGCCCTTCCCATTTGCATCCCCTTTCACTGACCGAGAACAACAATTTAGGCAGCCATATTTGGAGTGAAAGGCAAAGTCATCACACCGCATCATGAGCTTCTTCAATTCTCGATGCGACACTCCCTAGACTTTGAACGACAACCAAAATATCGATTACATGTCGCCATGGAAGAGAGATCAGGCGGTCCGTTCTGCGAGGTTTGTCTCGAGGACAAGGATATGGCTACGGGAAGCGATCAAGCATACTTCCGAACCATTGTCCTAAGCCTGACGGAATCGGCCCATGCCGTAGGTCTTGGAAAGGCTGTCGAGCTGTTCTTGGCGCTGCCTGAGAATAATGCACACCCACGCCTGGTGTGCAATGGGGTTTCTGACTCTCGGAACACATTGACTGAAAGAACGATTACGAACTAGAGCTCGTGCAAGGAATATGCTTGCAGGGTTGACGCATCGCGTGAACCGGTTTTGTTGATCATGTTAAAGGGAAGGCTAGCGCCAACTTTGGTATACTAATCATTCAGTCTTTAAGTTGGCTTAAAAGGGTGTAGACTGATGTCGATGATTAGCTGTAAGGTGCTGAGTAGATTTCTGATCGGCTGAACGCCAATGCCTTAAATGAAACTTTACTGACTGTAAATATCAGCCTGCTCAATTTCTAGTTATGTTCACCATCCCTCTGTAAGATGCCGAATTGGTTTCGACGTCATTTCCCATCCACATCCCTTCAATGGTGGGTCACAGCCGAATACTGCAGGATCCTTCTAGAACCATTCGGCATATCCTTACAGGGAGTGAAGCACTTAGTAAATATGGTTGGTATATTGAAGATTAACGAGTATGTTGAGGAAAATTTCTACTGAAGACCTAACCATGCATCTCCGAGGCCTCTCATGGCTTTTCATATCCCTGGCCTTTGGATGTAAAGAATGTGGATACGTGTAGCATACATAGCGTGAAGACATTCAATCTTCAATGGGCGTCTTCAAAGAGGCGGCTTAATCGGCACATTGGATAGTATAGCCTATTCGAAATTAGTAACATCCAACAGAGAAATAGACGTCAATAACTCACCCTCGGCGTCCACCAAGCAGTCATCCTTGTTCCAGTAGACATCACCATAGTCGGCTGGCTAAGTCACAGTGACAAGAGTTGGGTTCGCGTCCAGCTCGCATAGAATCTGAGCTGTATTGCCGTTGATCGAATACGCGCCGTCGTCTGCACACAGCTTGTGTGTACCGCCAACCATGATGCAGCCAACATCAACATGCTAGTAGTTGTCAGAAGAACTACACTCCTTACTAGATATTCATACTTACAAGATTGGTACCGAGGCTGGTGGCAGCCATGGCTGTAACAATGAGAAATGTCTTAGCGAACATGTTGAGTGGTAGAGGAGATTGACTGTCTCTGAAATAAGATACAAGGTGTGTAGTAAAGCTTGATGATTGTAGAATAGGCTGATGAGTCTGGAGAATAGAAAGAAACTATAGACTCGTACATGCCTTTATATACCTACTTCTTTGATATAACCATGATCCTCCTATTCACGACCTGATATTGTCCAATTGAATCACTGCTCGGGCTATGTAACTCTACTTCGAGTCCGCCCGCGACGACCACTGCCATGATTTCGTTACGTTGTAGATCAAGCAGGATGACAACTCCTCAGATCGTCCTTCGTCTCCTTTACGAGAACGACGCTGACTCTACTTCGTCATGGTGTAGGTCAAGAATGGTGCGAATTACACAGATGGTTGCAACTCTAGAGCAAAGCAGTGGGATATACTTGGTCATTCTACAGATGGCAGATGAGATGTATGGGTTGATGGTAGTCTATATACGACTGGCCTTTTGACCTTGGAAGGGTTATTTTTATTGTTGATATCATTGAGAGATTTGGAAAGCCTGGGCTTGATCAAGTTGAAGGTTAAAGCAAAAAGAAAAAGAAAAAGACGACTGGCCTTTGGAGACATGGCCTATATAAGGAAGCTGTCTCCAAAAACCTGATTCTCCCTTTCAAATTAGTAGCCCGATATCTTCTATATTCTTCTCATCACTCACTCAACCTACACTTCAAACATTCCTCAATGTTGAAAGAATATCAAGTCCGCACGTCGCGCTACGATATCACTAATATCTTGTCTTTGTCACATCACATCGTTCTTCAGTCGTTCTCAACTAACTCACACTCCTCCCTCCATGGTTCAATCAAGCGGATCTTTGTTTCCATTACGGCTGCGGTTTTGGCTCGGCAGGTTACTTTTTCATCCCCTTGGTCCCACTACATTAAGGGTAAACCTGCATCGCGGCATCAAGGTACCATGCGATCCTCCTGAGGTGGAGGCCATGCAGTTCGTCGCCTCTCACACTCGCATTTCAATCCCTAGACTCTACGTTGTTCACGTAGAAAAGGAAACCGGTTCTATTTTCATTGAGATGGCCTACATCAAAGGCGCATGCCTAGAAAGTGCCTGGAACCGCTTGTCGACAGGCGAGAGAGATACCGTCTTCGTCGACATCAAACAGCATCTTTCCTGGCTTCGCGAGCTACAACCTCCAGCACAGGACATAGTCTCGTCTGCTTATGAGAACCTTGCCTATAACTGCCGGATCGGAGCTCGGTCTTTCGGTCCTATGCACCAGCACGAATGCCATTCATTAGCACGAGAGCATATTATGGAAGACGTCGCGCCGTTCCTTAGCCAGAAGGTATCAGAAATCCACAAGATCATTCAGGCGTAACCGAGGTCGGGACTTGACGGCTGGAGGTTTGGCGAACTTGGGCGGCCAGATTGTCGATGAAGTGGAACGCGACAGATTTCGCACCACCTCGAGGCAAGTTTTACAGCTAACTCCGACATCAATGAGCAGAAGATTTGACCCAAAATTCCCAGTGAGTACGAAGCCTCCGATCACCTCTACAGTGTGCACTCCGACATTTGTCAATCCAAGCCCCGTTACGGAGGCATGATACACGTACTGGAGCAATTTGAGGCCAGTAACCTGTCAATATGTGCACGTCCAGCCTTTCTGGCATTGATACAGCCTACGGTGTAAAATAACAAACTATCGCGTGCATATTTAACTCAAATTAACTGTTTTTAGGATAGCATAAATGTTCAAGTCGCTGTCGCGTAAATTGAGGATATCGTAATGATGAGATCTATTGTACATAAACGAAAAAGAGAACATGCTTAAGCAGCATTATCTCCACATGAAAAGACACCACGAACGCCTCCATCAGAGTTGAAGATGTCAAGAAGCTCAGTGATAGATGCCCACAGTCCGGCTGCGTTCATAAAGAGTGACATAACAATAAGAAGCGCGTTAACAATCGTGAGACACGTCTTCTTCCAGTCACAGAAGTACATGCCCTGGTTCATATGGAACCAGAAGACGGCACTGAATCCATAGGTAAACCACGAGATAGTAGTGGCAGATGTGATAGAAAGAATAGAATCGAAAACAGGGATGGCGTTGGAAAGGATGAAGACGACGATCCAAAAGCCAGTCACGGAAGCGACCCAAGTTGACCAAGACTTGACAGAGTTGGACGTGACTTCATTCAACGAGCCGGTCCAGCGCATGACGTTAACGAAAATGTACTTGGAGCCGATGTGACCGTAAGCCAACCCAGTAGCGAAGATAGCAGGGAGGGCCACGCCGTAAGCAGCCTTGGAGAAAGTGGTAGAGGTTGATCCCAGAATGGGAGAGGTGGTGTACTCGGCTCCAAGGCAGTAGAAGATGACGGCAAAGACGACATACATGGTCATGGAACCACATTCGAGGACAGTAAGACAGAACTTGAAGTCCTCAAGAGGGGAGGTCATCTCAGCGAGGTATCCCTATTCTCTGTTAGTTACTGTGACACATTACTGGTCCCATTCTGACTTACCACAAAGCTAAGGTTGGCGGCATAAGCAAAAACAATCTTGAGGCAAGCGTTGAGACCATCTCGGAAAGTAGGATTTCCAACAATGACAATCTCTCTGTGCCAGTCCTCCACTGAGTCGACTCCTCGAGGGCCCTGGATACCAAGAACAATCATGACCAAGATACAGGCAGCCAAAACGCTGAGGGCATTGGGGATTCCCAGGTGAGACACAAACTTGGTGGTGCGAGGAAGACAGAAGAGGTAGCAAGCAGCGCATGAGATGAAGATGAAGACGACGGTGCAGGCTGCGTGGCTGCTGATGGTGTTGAGGGCGATTGATAGAGTGACCATAGCTGAGGCGGCGACGAAAATGACTTGGATCATCATCATCACACCAGCGATGCTTTCCAATGTTCTTCCACCGACGAAGCGGGTCATATCAACGATGTTTAGCACCTGAGGGTGGAGTCTATAGTATTGCAACAGCTCATAGGCTGTATACCACGAGATGACTCCAATGCCGATGAGGGCAATGATTCCGGGAACGAGACCCAGAGTCTTGAGCGTAGAGGGCAGCGATAGAATACCGAGACCGATTTGGTTGGCGAAAAGGATGAAGATTGTATCCCATCGCTTCAGTGTGCGGAAGTTCTTGCCACCTTGCGAGTAGATGTTGGTGTTGTCGACCGACTCGTCGACTGTTTGGAAGTCGTGGCCATTGTGGGAGCTGGGCTCGTGCTTGACGCCATCACTGTCGGATCCAGTATCGTGGAACTGGCCAGCAGTCTTGGTGTTTGGCTTCTCCATTGTTGCTGATTAGACGTCGAGATTGGTGAGTTGTAAGTGAGGTGGAATTGTCACCAGGACAATTGACAATATGTGATGATATATGTGATTGAAGGAAAGGCTGAAGCTGAAGCTGAAGCTGAAGAGTGATGAAAGGCGGGTGGAATTTGCCCCAGCTTTATACCGTTCGCCTCGCGAATCTGAGGATGCGAATGGCGCAGCATCTACGCGACTTGTGGTGTGACGGATAGGGGCTGGGGCAGAAGCTGAGACGTCATAGTAAAAGGCAAGAATTGCCGCTTTCGAAATCAAGGCTGCACTACAACTCCATTCTTCAACCGTCACCCCAGCTCGGCGTCATGTCAGGGACCAGCGCCCCATGGGGGTAGAATGAAACGGAGTCTGCCAACGGTTCCCACATCGGTCTACGCATATGCTCGTTTCCTATTGAGAGATATACTCTTTTTGTCTCGGCAAGACTCGGCCATTCATATGATACAAACGTGTTTTAATGGTGATATCCACTGAGGACGATGCGCCGGGCCAGTCGGATGGCGACCAGAGAGTGCACAGCTCTCATGGCGAGCAAGCTCAGAGTTCCTTGGTACGGAGTAGACTGCTTCAAATGAGTGAAATTTGGCCGAACTAGAGTGTAGTCTGTGCTTCGCCTCGGCCGGACTCGCCGGGATTGACGTCAGGATCATTGATTACGGGATTAAATCTTTTGAGCCTCATTCAGCCGCCAACGTTATCACGACGACCGTTGTAGTTTGGAGGTATGATATATAGACTTCAACACTAGATTATCCAGTCAATTATCTATGATTATTTTCTTTTTCCCCGTCTGTTTATCAACATCTTCCGCGTGGATCCTCTCATTATTAAATCTGAGGCAAACGTCGACTTTCGCTCCTTGGCGCATTGTGGGTTGAGCGTTGCTATGACTAAAGTCTCTCCATTCTGGCCTTGGCGACTCCATTCTCAGAGGTCGATCCCCATATTAGCCCACACTTCAGGTCCCTGATTCCCCATGAAATCACCAGACACGATATTAAAGCAAAGCGAATGCTCAGGGTGAAATTATCTGGAGTTGGTGATGAAGTAGTTTTCATTAGTGATGAGAACCAGAATTTCTGCAAAGCCCCCATGGGGAAGGTAGCTTTTCCCCAGACGACGGTTTTGGTCTGGAGATGTTGAACTTGGCATTATCTGATCATGTTTGTAAGCTTTACGCACTGACTGCCACAATTCGCCTATGGTCTGGGAGTAATCGGTAAGTGAAGCCGGCAGGCAATTTCGACCGTGTCCAAGATATCTGCCAGCGCACATCACTTTGATCTTCCCTCGATTGATCTGCACCCGTATGCAAAACTATGTCATATATGCACTTTAAATTCTTCTAGAAAACTTATTTGTGCTGAAGGAAGCACCATACGTGGTTAGCATTGCCGCCGCTGGCCTGGTCATTGCTTGCGCGGCTATAGACCCTTTGGCAAAGATCTGCATGATTAGACCAAGATGGTCATGACGCGAGTAATGTGCGCCAATGCACTGATAGAAATCAGCAGACCATTGGTGGTAGCCTTCCTCATTAAACCAAGATAGGATGATCGCCATCCCTTGGATTGAGTCAATGGAACATTACGGGTATCAGCGATAAGGACTATCCCAGGAGACATCTCAATCAGCCAATTATATAGCCCAAATCTATAAATGTCAGGTTGGTCTAATATTCTACAGGGACAGCAAAGCCGAGATAGATATTCCTCGGTCCTAAGCTTACATCCCGCAAGGGCACTATGCACGTCCCGAATTTAGATCCCGACTCGTAGACTAGATTCTTATGCGCGATTTATTCTAGAATTGTTCCTCGCTGTTTCATTACACATTGATCAGCTGTTTCACGATTGGGCATTCATGGAGAATTTCCAGCGCGGCTACGGTATCCCGCAGGGAAACAAGGTCTTATGTTAGACCAATCGCACCACTCTATGTCTAGGCGGAGTATTAAAGTGGCTTGATTTAAGTATTAGCCTGTTATATCATGATTAGAACTGTGGTCCAGGCTGCATTCAGGCTGTGGAAGTGCCCAAATGTGGGAATGGAAAGAGACCGAGATACGGGAGCTTTCCTATAGGCTATGAGATATGATTATCGGAATCCTTCGGGAGCTGTGACCACGAAACTATTCACGTTTGGAAATCTGCTGGAAATGGGAGAGGCATGGCGTGGTGGAGTGAAATGCTGGAAAGCATGGGACAGCTTGTCATATCATGGGAGATTCAGTGCACAGGCCCATCAACTTCAAGGACAAGTAACAGGTGAAAGCTGACTATGGCTTGGTTAACCGCGATATACATGATTTCCTGTTTCAAGCCTGGGATCTAGTGTGAGTGGAGGGAGATCTCCCACATTGTATATGTTTGGCTTATCGGTTGTTCTGTGTGTCGGTAATGTGGTACGAACGCGAAAAGGCAGTGGAGAAAGGCTATTCATCTAGCTTGACAGCGAAATTATAACTTCATTTTTTCTGGAGAATTGTTGAATGCTCCTCGGTTTGCAGTACGTAATAAATGCTATGTTCCTCATTTATCTGCATTCAATGGTGAGGAAGTAAAATCTACTCAGAGAGACATTGTGATTCGACTACCCTATTATAACATCACATTGACTGGATAAAATACAAGCTTGATTTTGTTTAGCATCTCAACTTGGAAATCAATGCAATTCTCTATCACTTATCTATTAGAACTGTTAGTTGTTTCTCGAATTTGTAACCCCAATGGCAAAATCCCAGCACCTTTATGACCCAGATGCTTTGCCTGCATTCGCCTCCGGCTTCTTTACCTCCTCCTCCTTTTGCTCCTCCGGCTCTTTTTGATCCCCCGGCACCTCCTTATACTTTAAAACCCTCTCGATCGCCTTCTTAGAAACATACGTAGCCTCCTTGTTTTGAATCGTCTCAACAATTACCCAATCGCGCACAAGGTCCAGAAGTGCCATCGCCCTATATAGATGGAGCGCTACTGCGCCCTTCATTTCTTTCATGCAAGGAATCGTCATCTGGAGCACGAGATCGTTCGCTCGCATCTCCCAGGTCCACGTCTCATTGGTAATTTTGATGAAATCTACAATTCGGTCAAAATAGTCAGGGTGTGCGTTTTCTCGTCGGCGGAGGAGAATGTGGCAGAAGGCGTTCGGGTGCTTAGGATCAAAGTCGTGGCCGTGGTTATGATCGTGATCGGAAAATTGGCCGCGTGAGCGTGATTGACTGTGACTCATATTGAATAGTTTTGGTGAAATGCTATATCTTTGTTGGGTGTGTGTGGTCCATAGAGATGAAGCCATCTCCAATATATAAGTGAACCTGTGGCCTCGTTTGAGAGATGTGATTAAGACTTCTTTAATGGGATTCACTTGCAATGAACGCCATGCTGTCCTAGATGTGTGATTATCGGCTGTGAATATTCTCAAGAGAGTCCACTGGTTCACAGCTTGAACTGGTAGATATACCGCATCTTGGTCACTGAGTAAGATTCGCCGTAGTACTTGAAGAATCGAGGACATTGACAATGAATCTGTTGAATTGTAAGGCTTGGGCTGTTTAATTATTAATTATCTGTATGTCAGTGCGAAGTTGCATCTAAAGGTTGTCTAATAATGCTGGAAGTTGAGAATATCAACGGTATATTTGGAGAATATGTACTCTATTCAATCTTTACTTGTCACATAACATTATCTCTCGATGCAAACTTCTATCCTCGTTACCTTAATCCACGGGCAGATGTTCGTAGGATAAATAAAAAGCTGATAACATGAGGTTTTGCCTGACATTCATTGTGAACGGTAACACATTCTTGGGAACTTATCACAATACGGTCAAATGAAACTTTTGAATTAATTCTAGCTATTAGTAAGGCTCAAAGTCGCTTTCATAAACAATATCATCGTCAACCTTATTTCCCTTTAATCGCCAGTCATCAAAAAGTCCTGCCTCCTCCATAGCAATATAAAGCTCGTCGAAATGGTTAATCTTCTTCGTCTCATCATAAGGAACGGTCAGTTGGAGAATCGTATCATCTTTGTGCATTGTAGGTCTGTATTTTCCCTGGGTCTTTTGGAGAAACTGCTTGAGTTTGACTTCGTAGTCTTTTACCCAGCTGAATCTCTTGAGGATGAAATGTTCGTATTTTCCGGGCATTTTGAGAGAAGTGAATACTAGAATCTGTAGGCGTAGTGTAGTATCTTGTCGGTTGGCCTTCATGGTGTATTGAACATGTGATACGAATATGCTTATATGGATGTAATTGAGCCATGAACAGCACGTATTCACCTTGATCTACAAGCACTGATTATTGCACAGGAATTCATTTCCTCTAAATCACACAAATGCCTTTAGGCGCGTGTACGTGATAGAGTTTCAGTCACTTCGTGATTGAGAGATTTCATTAAATGCAATTCAGACACAGTCAAGTAATTCTCTTTCGCATATTCAACGTACTTTCCTACTCTACTACATATACATTTGCCCTTACCTCATCTAATCTGCTATGGGTCAACTGCAGTGATTCCAAGAAACACGAATTAGGCGTGGTTTGAGTGAGAAAAGCCAGTCTATCTAATCTAAACGACAAATTCCAATGTCCAACCCCATAAACTCTAGTAGGAACCATGGTCTGTTTCGTCTTCCGCATGAATAGCCCAACCGAAACCGGATCGAGACATCAGGTGACGATGTCTGGACCCGCGATAACCAGGGGTTTCTCCTTGGCATAGACCACTTGACAGCCTTATTGGCCAGTATTCCATGAAGAGGGGTCACGCTTAGGTTCCAAGGTTGGAAACAGCCGCAATGCCAAAGGCCACAATTCGCCAATCCTCGAATCTCATCCTTGGCCGTACGATCGCGACTTACGGCGCAGCAGAACTTCGCCGCGCAAGGCTGAACCTGTCAATTTAGAAGTAGCATAAAAGGGTCGAGGCGTCACCTACCTTTTAGATAGATCACAGTCTCAATGGCAAGCGAAAATGAATCCCCCTTCTCTCATGGTAAACAACTCGTTAGGCATCCGCCTTGACCGCAGATCCTTCGTTCCTGGAGATACCATCACAGGACACGTCTTTCGAAGTACACCCATCATCTGTCCCGATGCGAGGTTAGAACTTTGGGTGCATGGAAATGCGGTGTCCAGATCGGGTGCATCTAAGGTGTCTTTTGACCTTCTCTACTTCAAACAGCACCACGCCGTATTATACGATGGTCCATTGCATATTACGCATGGCAGTGGAGAGGTTCGGTGGAGTTTCAGCATTACTCTTCCTCATCGCGTCGACCCAAGACTCAATAGAGGTCATACATATCGCAGTTACATATCGTTGGACTCGAGACCTGAGCTGCCGGCGTCGTACCAACTTCAGGGCTATAGAGAGGGAGGTGCATTTATTGAGTATCATGTTGGAGCGAGACTATTGCTCAAGGGCCACGGTACAACGGAAGAATTGGGCTCCATACACCCATTTACAATTGAACCATTTCGTCCAGGTCCTCATCTGGTGGATTTTACAGTTCAGCGATGGCGATATCGTCGGAGTGTGAAAAGCCGTCTACTCATTCCTGGGGTGGACGATACCAAACTATCCTTGAGGCAGTCATTTAAGCAATCCTTCAATACGCCCAAGGACCCAGAATTCAAGTTCAACTTCTATGTAGAAGTACCCACGGTCACTCAACTTGATAGTCCAACACCCATACCTTTCAGGATGCTTGTTGCTCCAGACTGGAACGATACTAGCGAGATCATACGAGACGTCCCGCAAGAGGTCAAACCGCTGTCTATTCAGTGCTGGGTAGAAACCCACACCCAATATATAACCGAAAGGTCGGATGTAATGGATAGGGTTATTGAAACTGACCTTGGACTTCGCCGTGCTAACGTCCATGGATTCATGAGGACTCGTATTCCTTGTGCGACTGCGTGGCAACCTATTGACATGGGAGAGATACTCGACTTTCAGATTTGCAACCCAACTAGACTCACATTTTACAACAATCAACCGAGTCTTACGCATAGCTTTTGCACGTTCAACATCAAGGTGAAGCACAAGTTGAGGTGGGAGGTGAAGTGCTCGATCCAGGGTGAGAGATTTACGGCAGAGGGGATATCGGATTTGCTTATAAAGATGCCAAGTAGAGAGCGCGTTGTCGAGAGTGGTTCACCCGAGTCGATTGAGTCGCCGGCACTTGGGGTTCAGGAATCTGTTCAGACATCAGATGAATCGTGGGTTAGGCCTCCTGATGAAGACGCGCCGCCGACCTTTCTAGAAGTACAGATCGAGGATCTACGAGCAGGGAGGAGGAGCTGGACGTAACTGCACAGACTCGCGCACTTCTTTTGTACAGGCTTAAACAGCTTTTCAATATCTAAATACTAATTCACCAAGTACACTCTTCCCTCGAATGGCAACAGAACTCCAGGCTGTTCCTTTCCAGAATGTGTCGACATAATAGGAACCAATTTAAAGTCCCTCCCATCGAGTCCCAGCTCTTCAGCCGTCAGCGTAGCCAATGACTTCTTCTCGGTAGTAAAGTTAAGAACAACAACAACCTTGGAGTTATCCAAAGGCGACTGCTTGACAAAAGCGTATATATCCTGATCGTCCCGCCGGAGAAGCTTGTAGTCGCCATAAACCATCAGGTCAGAGAATTCTTTCCGGAAGTGAAGAGCTTTCTTCCAGAATGAGAGCACGCTCTGGGGATCGTCTAGCTGAGAGGCGACGTTGATGTCGCTTGATAGAGGGTGAGATTGCATCCAGGGCTCCTTGACGGATTGACCTGCGCGCTCGGCTGCTTCTGAGAAACCTCCGTGCTTGTTATCGCTCCAACAAACTGGAATTCGAGCATGGTCTCGAGCCAGGTGCTGAATGGCATTAAAGGCTTTATCAATCTCAGTCTCGTCGTTGTTAGATCGCTCTTTGACCATGTCGATAAATTGATAGCTCTCGATATCGACGTAATTCTTCAATGGGTAGCTCTCCTTTGGTGCATTGACGGATCCAATTTCTTGTCCTTGGTAGACATATTGTGTACCGCTCAGACAAGACTGCAACAAAGCGAGCAGTTTGGCTCCTGAAACGCGATACTCAGGGCTGTCGTTCGTAAATCTCGAAACGGAACGGGCTTGATCGTGGTTCTCCATAAATACAGTCGTCCAGGCATCTGTGCCCTGGATCAAGCTCTGTGTTCGACTGACAGCATCTTTTAATTGAGGAAGAGTATAGTTTTTCGGTGTCGTTTCGTATTTGTGCGTCTTTCCGAAGCCGGTGTCCACAACGTCGAATTGGAACACCATGTTGAGTTGCTTTTCCTTGGCGCTCACGTACCGCAAGACTCGCTCTAGGTCAGGTGTATGAGGGAGCTCTCCAACTGTGATAGCGTTGTAGCGTTCGAGAATTTCGCTCATCTCGCCGAGGAATTCGTGCATTCGGGGTCCGTTGCAGTATAGAAGTCCGGCGGGTTGGTAAGTTGATTTCGGGTCGGTGATGGGAGCGTCGGGGAAGCTCTGGATCTTGGAGTACATGTTGACTGTATCAACTCGGAATCCATCGACGCCTCTTTCGAGCCAAAACTCCATTGAAGAAGCATAGATGGCTCGACGGGTGTCTGTGTTCTCCCAGTTGAGATCTGGTTGTTCTTTGGCAAAGAGATGTAGGTAATACTCTCCGGTCAACTCATCCCACTCCCATACACTGCCGCCGCCAAAGTTGGAGCGCCAGTTATTAGGTGGAAGACGTTGGCCGTCTGGGGAGTATTTGGCTGGTCGCCAGATGTACCAGTCACGCTTAGGGTTGTCTTTGCTGAGTCTTGACTCTTCAAACCAAGCGTGTTTGTCAGATGTGTGGTTGATGACTAGGTCGAGCATAATCCGCATACCCTTCTCGTGGGTTTTGCGAATCAGCTCTTCCATGTCCTGCAGAGTGCCATATGGGGCGTAGACATCTTCGTAGTTGGAGATATCATAGCCCATGTCGACCTGAGGACTGTCGTACATGGGACAGACCCAGATGACATCAACTCCTAGGCTGGCAATGTAGTCCAGCTTGGATATGATGCCTTGGAGATCTCCCATGCCATCGCCGTTGGAGTCGCAGAAGGAGGCGGGGTAGATTTGGTAGACGATGGCCTGCTTCCACCATTGCTTAGTGCGTTTGTCGACAGTCATTTTGATGTGAAGTGAGATGGTGATGATTGAGTGAAAGAAGAATGGTGAGAAATGGGAACTAAATAACATCTGATTCTCGAATACGTTTCACCATGGAACCGTTTCCCCACGATGAGCTTCCCCATGCCCCATTCCCCACACATTGGTCGGACCGAGATGATCTCGGGTGAATTTAACAGGGAACTATTGGAGGAGACGAACCGAGAGGAGTGAATTCGTACGATTGAGGAAATGTCTTAGTGCGGAATTGGTCACATCGTAATCTAATTGGTGCAACCTCGGACCGACGACATCTACACTACTTCATTGGTTGAAGCCCGGACCGACGAGACGCTCCAAGACTAATACCTCACTCTCAACTCCTGTTGGTGGCACACGATCCGCTGATCAAACGCCACAGCTGAAGCTGGAAGCGAGAGAAATAACAACGCTCAGACGTTGGAGCTCGGTCCGATGAACCCCAGATTTGTCTCCCCATGGGGACATGTGCCTGTTCCACACATTAACCTCCTCAGACGATGCCGCCAAGTGTCTCGTCTCATTGGACAATTCGCCCCCCGGTCCGACATGATTCTCTTCAACACCAGATTCTAGTGCCGTGATGGTTCTAGGCCCGGCCTAATCACGGCCAACCCCCGCCTCCGCGTCGGTAGTACGGCTCAAATCTCATCATCGACAATGTTGGGGACGTGTTTCTTGCTTTGACTTTAACTTTGAACACTCGACGGCTTCAACACTTGAATCGTCCAAGTATAAGATGTCGAGCTCCTCTCGCTGAAAAACAATCTCAATCAGAATCATCACCACTCATCTCATCTTCTCAACTCCTTTCTAGTCTTCTAGATCAATCATTCACAATGACTGCCGATTCAAAGGCCGACCATGGCATTGCGCCTCTCCCAGCCGCAGTCGACGCCAATGTCGTTCATGAAGCTGCCGCCGCAACAGAGTCGGAGCAGAACATGACGCTATTCCAATCCATCAAGCTCTACAAGAAAGCCTGTCTTTGGTCTGTCTTTCTGTCCATGTGCATCATCATGGAGGGCTTCGATGTTGTCCTTCTCGGCAACCTCTTCGCCTATCCTCCTTTCCAGCGCAAGTTTGGTGTTGAGCAGCCTGATGGCACTTACCAGTTGACGGCTGCTTGGCAGTCTGGTCTCTCCAACGGTACTCTATGTGGTCAGATCCTCGGTCTCTTCCTCAATGGTATCATTGCCGATCGCTTCGGTTACCGCAAGACCCTCATCGGCGCTCTCATTGGGTGCATTGGCTTCATCTTCATCATCTTCTTCTCTGAGACGCTTGTCCAGCTCCTTATTGGAGAGATCTTCATCGGTATTCCCTGGGGTGTCTTCCAGACCCTCACCACCACCTACGCCTCTGAAGTTTGCCCTACCCACCTCCGTGCCTACCTGACCACCTACGTCAACCTCTGCTGGGTCCTCGGCCAGTTCATCGCTTCTGGTGTCCTCCGTGCCATGGTCAGTCGCGACGACGTGTGGGGATACAAGATCCCCTTTGCTCTTCAGTGGATGTGGCCTGTCCCTCTCATCATCGGAATCTACCTTGCCCCCGAGTCCCCCTGGTGGCTCGTCCGCAAGGGGCGCCTGGAGGATGCCAAGGTTTCTCTCCAGCGCCTCACCGCCCGCAACAGCGCCAGCGACTTCAACCCCGACGAGACCATTTCCATGATGGTTCACACCAACGAGATGGAGAAGGAGGCCCAGTCTGGAACTTCATATTTGGACCTCTTCAAGGGTACCAGTCTTCGTCGAACAGAAATTGTCTGCTGTACATGGATGGTTCAGACTCTCTGCGGTTCTACCTTTATGGGATACTCTACCTACTTCTACCAGCAGGCGGGTATGGCTGTTGAGAACAGTTTCTCCATGTCTCTTGGTCAATACGCCATCGGTGCCGTTGGAACTGTCTTTTCATGGTTCTTGATGAGCTGGTTCGGCCGCCGCACCCTCTACCTCTACGGGCAACTCGCCATGTGCGTTGTTCTCTTGATCATTGGCTGTGTCGCCTTTGCCGGCAAGGATAACGTGGCTGCCCAATGGGTCATTGGCTCTCTTCTTCTGATCTACACCTTCACCTACGATTCGACCGTCGGCCCCGTCAACTACAGTCTCGTCGCCGAGCTGAGCTCCACCCGTCTCCGAACCAAGACCGTCGTCCTAGCCCGAAACGCATACAACATTACCGGAATCATGACCAACATCCTCACCCCCCGCATGTTGAACCCCTCTGCTTGGAACTGGGGTGCCAAGGCTGGCTTCTTCTGGGCCGGAACCTGCTTCCTTTGCGCCATCTGGACTTATTTCCGTCTTCCTGAGCCCAAGGGCCGAACTTATGGTGAGCTTGATGTGCTCTTCGAGCGTGGTATCAGTGCTCGCAAGTTCAGCTCTACTGAGGTTGAGCGTGTCGATGCTGAGCTTGATAGTGCGACAAAGGAGAAGGCTTCTGCTGTGTATGTTGAGCAGGTTAACAGCAATGCTTCATAAAGAGACTGTTGGGATGTTGAGATGCTGGGAATGGGTAGTGTTCTAGGCGATAATATATCATAACTCTATACAAGACTGTGCTATTTACTCTACAACGACTACCCGCATCGTGATATTTACAAAATTCAGGTCCAGTGCTCGCTCACCAATAAACAAATTGGACCTGGCCATAGTTTAACCCTAGATGTGGCGCTGTGGGGTTCAATACCAGTAAAACTTATTAGCGGCACATCCCTCGCTTCATCTCCGCACGTATCCGTACTTCCATCTCCATCCTTCACTTCCTTTAAAATGAGCGGCCGAACAACACGAGCATGCGATCCCTGTCGCTTGCGCAAAGTTAAATGTAACGGTTCATCTCCATGCCATCAATGCGGTCATCTCAATCTGGCCTGTGTCTTCTCGGCACCGCCGACAAAACGCAAACCAACCATTCGAGGGAGGCTGGTGGCTCAGATACGCGAAGGGGCCAGACCTGATGACAAGTCGGACTCGGCTTCACCGCAGACTGATGATCCCTCACCTACGTATATTCCTACTAGTACCGGGTCGAAATATCCTCCAGAATTCTTTCTAAGTCTTGTGCCGGACTATGAGCGCGCTGTTTTTCCTGTTAACCCTATTATCCTCCCCTCTGAGATGATCACCGCGATTGAGGTCATGGATCAGAGCCTTGAGAATACGGCAATGGTATACGCATTTGCAGCTTCTACCATAAATTTATCGCGAATATCGTGGGACGTCGATGGAGATATACTTGCCCAGATAACGGATCTCGCGAACCTGGGCTTCAAAGCGCACAAACAAGCCGAACTGGGATCCGGTATCCAACACAAACTGACCGTCAACATCAAGCGTATCGTGACTTGCATATTTCTAGAAAACTGCTTTTTCTTATTCAAGCGATTTGACCGCGGTTTTGCCATGCTGCGAGAGGCTAGCGCAATGATACAAATGATTGATCTGGATCGATATACAGACGCGTCACTCAGTGATCACGAAATTGCAACAAGACAACGAATCTACTGCGAAATATCCATTCACGAACGTTTCCTTACAATTGTCACGGGATATCCGTCCGTGTTGCACCCGTTGCCTTCGGTCATTCCGTTGACAGACCACGAGCTCCCCCCACAAATCAGCGAAGGCTTCAACCGTCTGATTGAACTGTTTCGTGTATTGGACGACACGTTCATGGCTCACTGGAAGGCTCAACAGAATCCGCAGTTTACTGCTCCGGAGATGACGGCGGAGTGGATTGAACACAAACAGGCTCAGTTGGATCAGGATGAAATCGACGCCGCTGAGACTGACGATGCACTCATATCGAGCGGATGTGGAGGGTTGACGGAACTCCAACAGGCGGATCTGTTTATCACACGACTCTGGATGAGGATTCTTATATGGCAGCTTGCTTTATCACAAGGACTTCTACAGTCCGCACCACCACAAACCTCCCACGAGGGCTTCTGCATGCACTTCCCCGCACGACGACTCTCAACCCAACTCCGGAATTTAGTCGGGCGTTTGGAAAACATTGATAGCATCGCCCTACATGGGCCTGGCATTCTGCAGAAGCTGTTCGAGATCACGAGTACTGTGGCGGATGTGTTGGCTCTGCCTATCGGACCGGGAGAAGAGCAAGATGCTGAGGCAAGGGTGGAAGACTTTTTGTTTATCGTCACATTTCTACTCAGTTTCAACAGGATTCAACAGAGTCAGAGAGAGTACTTGAAGGAGAAGCTGAGTACGCTTCAGAGGGAGCATGCATCAGGGTTCCAGAGTCTAGCCATATATAACTTTGAGATATAGGTAGTTGTGTCATGGCTAATAATTTTATCCTGATGACTGAAATTTCCCATCAAGCCCAACTGCTTATACAGTTCTATACAAAGCTTCTAAATAAGTGCATTTACCATTAGTTCTTTACAAAACTAATTAAATCGAAGCTTATGTACGGCAGGGATCAAAATTGTAACAGCTAATCTACGTTGTTTTTAATCTTTATGTTAAAATGTAGGAAATTGACTTTCAAGTTGTTCTGCTCTCTTCCATCCAGCGACTTTTGGATAATGATATTACGTCACTCTGGCTACCTAAAAGCTCACTTATTCAAGTTGAGAGATTCGTTAAGTCCAATTTCAGTAACTACATCCATGGTTCCAAGAACTTCGGCGCCGTCATCGGCGTGACGGTCAGAATCAATCCCGATATTCCGATTGGTAGTAATATCACCCAATAGCCAGAAAATCTATCACATAAAAATAGCTTTGGCATTAGACTGGAAAGAAATGTTGTCGCAGGTTGCTGGGACTTTCGGTGATCATGCTGGGGAAATTTTCGAAAATACCAGGATGGAGATAATGGACGGTTAGCAGAGTACATAAAGGCTGAGGAGGCGAATGCCATCCGTGTGCCAGACCTGAGCTGTAACCAGCGCTAGGTACTTTGGATGGATACCGTTGACTCAAGTCTCCTGAGTTCTCCAAGGACTCTTTCATTTCATACTCTTGATCGTGCCCACAGTCAAGATGGGGGAGGCTCGATGTTATCGCCATCTTCTTCAAAGACAAGGTGAGCAAAATTCACATCGCCCTTGGAGAGCTGATTTGTTCACGCATTGTTGAGAGTGCTTGTTCCAATGGTTTGGGTATCGGCCGATGAGGCTACCATGAGACGAAATCGAAAATATTGGAATACTCCAGCAAGGTTAATTCACCAGCTTGGTTTATGCTTACACTAAAGTCAGTGTCGTGCTGAGAGATACATTGCTACTGGGGATTAAATTTGCAAACGGTTTTAAGTACACGACTTTCTCAGCAACATCAGCATGGCCTAGCCAGACTTTACAGTGTAGAAATTGGGAAACTAGACAAATAAATATATGTCAACTTCTAACTACAAGTATCCCGCCCTGACCGCCTAGTTATACTTAAGTGATTACATACTCAACTGAAACAATGAAACCTGCTAGGCCCTATAGGATGCAATTTCTGGTTCCCTCGAGAGCCCTGCTTCCATCCTCTCATCGGCATAATGAAGTGCCCAGTCCTTAAACCCATTGAGCTCAAATTGCGATGCCCACCTTTTTCTCTGGAGGGCACGAATTGCATCTATAGCCCTGGTCACACAGCTCTGTTGCGGATGGGTATTCTTAACTGGCAAAGGAACAGTCCTAAACAAAGTTTCGAGCTGGGCATTAGATATACCATCTGGAACTTGTCCGATGATAATACGCCCAAGGAGCTTAGTACTGAATTCAGGATCACTTTCGTCTTTCATCCGCATGAACCAGTCCATTGTTGGATTGTTCATCCGAAATGTGGCAGGGTCGATAGTAGATGCATCGGTGGCTTCAAAAGCGATGCAGTCTCGCTCTTGGCTCCCCTCGGACATAATGATAATGCCCCAGTGATAAGCCTCGTAGCCAAAGATTTGTCGGGCATTCCCACGATAAAAGTAACCCCGATCGTACAAAGCCAGGGTGATTAGACGTGACATGATAAAATGCTAATGTAAAGCATCTGTTAGTAGTTTGACGGTGTGTTACAGTGTCACCACTCACCAGTTCTAGTATAACCCTGGTTTAAAAATCAAGAAAGGGTGTGGAAGGCGGTGTACTAGAAGAAGGGTGCGATATGCGCGTTGATGATGCTAGACCTAGGAAGGCCCCAACAGAATCAGACTAAGGGAAGTCAGGGCCTGAGGCACCAATTTCCATGAAGGGGGTTTAGTTGTAAGGTCACAGACAAGTGGTTCTTGATATGTAGTTACCAAAATCGCAAGTATAACGACCTCGGGCTCTTATACATACGTACAGGCGGTAGTGAAACGTGGGTTTATCGTTAGGACTAACAACAGGATACATACCAGAGCCCTGTATTGAGTCCTTGCTAACTGGAACTTTGCCTAGCAGTTTCTATAATTAACTTCTTAGCCGCTCGACAGTATTTTGGTAATACATGATTAGGGACTGTATGTGCATATTAGCCGCGCGACATATGAAACTTCGCTTACAGAGGGTAGGCGTCTACGTTACAACATGGAATCATCCTAATTCCCTCACCTATACCCAGGCTATAACTTGACTAACTACCAAAGGTCTGTTGATTAGTGATCTTTTCTTTCATCTAACCAGGTTGCGGAGGGGCTCGAGCCTGGGTGTTCATGACTGACCCGTCGCGGTACGCAATATACCGTGTACCCGGTTCCAGTATCTTCTCCCATAGGACCAGTTCTGCCGTGAGTTCCGCATCATAGCAGGGGAGAGCGAAACGAAGGTAATCGCACCAGCCTTCACCCGGGAAAGGGTTGTAGTTCGCCTTGGTGAACTCCAGTATTCTGGATACCATCCTGTAAATTCCCAATAGGTAGATGCGTGCACTTTGGCCACTCTTCCTCGTACGAGGTTGCTGTTGGTCTGCAACGAGGGGGGGTTTCTATGTCCACACGAAACAATATCATCCAGCCTTTGCATCACTTCGTGGCCTGATCACCAGGTCTAACTCCTATAAGTTCGTCACAATCTCTCTGTATTAGGCGTCCTGTTTCAGTTGCCGTAGTTGGCTGGCAGCCTGTTCGGATATGCCCATTCTTTTTGTCCTCTGAGCTTTCCCCTGTAAATTCCATTCGGCAAACAGGGCAATGTTTGCCGCGGAGTAGGTGACATTGCTTCCATTGCTGTAAGACACAATTCCAGCTGATCCGGATCAAGCTAGCACAGCTATCATATTCCACATACTGAAATTTTAAAGTAAACATACGAACCTTTTGACAGTGACCTCCTGGTCTTCTATACACAGAGCTCTGCGGACTCCTCCGAGATTCTGATTCTCATCTTTTCCGTTTCTTCCATTGTAATCAACAGTGTTATTCTTCTGGGGAGCTTTGTGTTTCTTAACACCGGCGTTTTCTCGTCATCCCCAGAATTCCGGCGCTTGTTAGCTGACTCTGATGATTTATAGTTTCCAACCCACGAATGCGGCGTGAAATCCTGGATAGAAAAAATTTGACACTTGAATTGGTGATCTGAGGACAAAGGGAAGGCCCTGTAATAGCACATGGCCCTAAAGCTTCGGTACCATTGGTGTTCAATCTTAGAACAATGGATTCTCACACTATACAACGAAAGCAACTGTAATGATATGCCGATTTTGAGGCATTTCGGAGAACTCGACTGTACGTTCAACGAGTCGCCGAGCAACTTAACAGGGTATAATTCTTCAGCATCAGCTGCTGCTACCCTCGAATCAAGTGGATGTTCAGAACCTCTATCTCACCGATCGAAAAAGCAAAAGATGGAGAGGTTTTATGTATGGAAGTGCCACCAATTTGACTTTCAAGACAGCTTTACCTCTGGTAGAGTTTGTCAGAACTATCCGGAATACTGTGAACCTTCCTACTTTTGGATAGGCGACTGATATATTTGTTGAGACTATGTAGGAAGACTGGATTCGCGTTGTGTATCATCATGTTATTGAGCAAATAATCATTCTAAATTGAAAAAAGTATTCTAGAGGCTAAGGTATTATGTCTAGGTTTCTACCCTTGCATCTCAGGTGTATACCAATATTAGCTTTGATCATTCTTTTTATGTCGTACTAGTGACAATGATTGTCATATTTTATCTAAACAGTCCTATCTATCGGGTCAATACTGCTTGTAAATGATTGCTGCGAGCTAGGTATATCTAAGTTGCTAATACAATTGTTACGAGAAGAATAGGGGGAATAGACACAAAAAGATGAAAACAAAACAAAAGCAAACTCGTAATCGTGTGTTCATCATGCCCCGGTTACACTACAAACCCCTGACTTTTGAGGACTGCTTCTAACTCCTTGAGCTTGGCAGGCTTAGTGATAAAGAAATCTACACCACTCCGAGTAGCTTCTTCTCGCGTGCTCTCGGATCCCAGCCCGGTGATGGCCAGCACCACACTCGCCGGAATACCATGGTAGCTCTCAAACGCGCGTATTTGTCTTGTTGCTTCTAGACCATCCATGACAGGCATCGAAATATCCATCAGGATATACAAGAACCGCCCTGGGTTCTCTTTATAAGCGGCAACAGCTTCCTCGCCGTTCGTTGCCGTCTCGTATTGTTGTTTGAGTTTCTTCATAAAACATGTAAGGATCTTAAGGTTGATGGGATTGTCCTCTACTAGTAGAAACTGGGGTATCTGGAAGTAACCCTCGGCCGGAGTTGCGTTTCCAAACGGACTACCTATAACTGATGTATCGGGAGTCATTGTGGGGCCCGGTGACGTGGTCCCAGAGGGGCTGGGTGGCGTTTGCTGATCTTGTGGACTTTCTTGCGATTCCCCCCAGAGGTTCATGACTCTGGATATAGCCCTTTCGAGCTTAAATGGGCTTATACTGGAACATATTTAGCTATAGATACGGCAGTCAGATAATCAGAACTTACGGTTGAGAAACAAATCCGTGGAACTTTGTATTGCCGGCAGGTGTAGGGGCCGACTCATAATTGTGTACAACTAGAGCATTAGGACAAACCACAAGAACAGGCAGCTCTCTCCATGATCGATTTGACTTGGATGCATCGTATACTGCAGGGTTCGTCATAATAACATCAGGCGCTAGTTGTTCCGAGTCTTTTTTGGAGCAGAGCTTCAGCCCAAGATGGTCGCTACACAGCATATCCATCACAGAATCTGCCGTACGGCGTTGCTGTGGAGGGTTATCAATACCCTCAACTGAGTCGATCACTTGGACGCGTAAGCCGCGGATTGGTGACTGTATCCTGACGGGCTGGTCCGCTAATGGGTCCCGGGTTATAGAAACACTCTCCAGAGTCATAGGCAATGTCACGGTGACCTTGGTGCCGAAGTTGATCTGACTTGTGATGGAGATGCTGCCACCAAGCTGAGCTACAACTCTCTGCACAAAGCTCAGCCCCAGGCCTGTGCCAGTCGCCAGTTGATTCTCTTGCGAAAAGGGTTTGAAGATGGTATTCCGGAGAAATTCTTCGCTGATACCTTTTCCTGTATCTTCGATAACCAATGTGACCGTGCGTTCCTTGCTGTCATCTTGTGGTTGATCCTGGGTCATTGTAATCTTGATGAGACCTTTTGTTGTATACCTGAGGGAATTTCCGAATAAATTCATAACGATGCGGAGAATAGCCCCGGGAAGCGTTCTGAAATTCCATGAATACGCCGGGTCGTAAATCAAAAAGACAGATAGATCCTTGTTTTGTAGTTGTTGTTGATTAGCATTGCTACCTGTGGGGTTGAGTTCCTCCGCAGCCTGTATAGAGTCTAGTTGTCGGATAGCTCGGGTATCAGCATGACTTCGAACCTTGGAGTGGCTGAACATCTGCGCTATTGATAGCTGTTGGTAATTGTGGCCGGCGTAAACACTTTCCATCACATCTTCCAAAAGCAGATCAAGATGGACAGCTCGTGTTAATGGATCTGCGGCCATCGTATTCGGACCCGAGTCTCCTTGAGATCCATTAAGTAGCTTTTGAGGCCGTGCAACCTTGTTTACTTTAGAATAATCCAGCAGATGCTCTGTTGTGTCCGATAGAGTACGACAACACGTTTCGATCATGTGAGCTAAATTCTGTTGCGCGGGTCCCAGACCAGAATCATTCAATAACTCCATGCCCAATGTGATTCCGTGAAGTGGAGACCGCAACTCATGGGATATCGAGCCAAGAACATCTGATTTGGACTTGTTAGCCGCTAGTGTTTCTAGGCGTAGAGCTTCTGACGCTGCGAGTGATCCAATGGCTCGTAAAAAAGGCATTTCGCTGTTCGCGTCGAATACGTAACGAGGCGTGTTAGAGCATATGAAGCCGCCAATGGACCACGCCCCTGTTTGAGGATCCCATATAGGAATGAAGGCGACGGTTCTTGCACTTGGGAAGACGTTAAATATGTCCTTTTCGTCATGAATGTAGTCGTTCGTCATGTCTGTATTCTGTCCACCAAAGTCCGTAACGCCTTCGATGTGAGCATCATCACCCAATGCCGTGGTAGCAGAAGGACCTTGTCTTTGGGTATCGCTGCCACCATCGAGCTTGGTAACATGATTGGACAAAGAATCAAAAATGCAACCTTCAGGATACTCCTTCAGCATCTGAGATAGAAGTAGCTGTGAAAGGTCACCGTGTTCAGCAGAGTTATGCTGGGCAGACGAGCCAAGTGTCTGGCAGGGTAACAGCGATTGAGCAGACGGACCATCGTTTCTACTACCTTCACCGCTGTACACGCTCGTATTGCGTGATCTTCCATGCGACACGTTGCTTCCACTTTCGGTTTCAGGTGAGTGCATGACATGCAGATCGTGAGAATCGCCGCTGAAGAAAACGCAGTCATCAACATGAAAGGCTTCCTTGATAATATCGGCTGCTTCAATGAAAGGGTTCGTGGGTGTAGGCTCATGGCGATTGATGTCCAAAGTACTCAAGCGGGAAGTATTTGTGGCGGATGCGAGTTCATGAGAATTTACTCCGGTGTGGTTAGAGTCAAGACTGCTCGTGTTTTCGCTCGAGGGCGCTGTATCCCTAAGTTCCGGGTTCTTAATCCTCTCTGACTTCTCAACTGTATTAGGCTTTGTCTTGGAAGATAGTAACCGTCCATCCGAAAACTTGCGTAGCCCAACACTCATCTGCACGTTACGCTTCAACACACTCTTCACCCGGTTACCTTCAAGATGGTCCATGACGGTTTGCGCCAAACCACGCAAGACATTTGATTGCTCCTCGTGCCAGTCGGCGCCTGGAGTCGAATTAATCACGCATAAAACGCCAATATTGATACCACGAGGAGATCGAATAGGCACAGCCGCGTAGAACCTAGCAAGACTTCCGGGCTGGCAGTACGGACTTGATTCAAATCGCGGGTCTGTGACTAGATCTTGGACGACAACGATGGGCAACTCGTCAGAGCCTTCTTCCTGTAACGTGTCCTCGATGGCGCGTAAGGTGTAGTCACAGACCCCATCGTTACGCGCAATATGTGTACCGCAGAGCCAAAACGCATCATCACCACTGGTCCTTGTGCTGGGTATCAAAGACGTCGTAGGAGTGGCCTCAGCAACGATGTACTGCTTTGACTCGTCAAACAGAGATATCAGCGAGCGTTCGGTTGTGGTCCGGCATGTGGCTAGCTGAGCAAGACTGGTGAGGATCATATCCGGACACATTGAAAGATCTGCAGTTTCGACCTCTCCAATCGGACGACATGTCGCGCGTAACAACTCATCATATCTAGGCAAGCGTCGTAAGCAGCTGCAGCAAAGGTGCCTGTGCCTTTGTACCAAACATACCTCGTGGTCTCATACTCACGAATAGTTTCGGATAGCTTAGTACCGGGCATCTTGCCATCTACCTTATGATCGTCGCGCGCCAGCTGAAAGGAAGACGGTCAAGGGTGTAGCACAAAGATTGCCACAGTGTGGGAGACGAATGCAAGAAAAGCCGTTGCAGGTTTTCAAACGGAAGCTAGCGGCGATAATTGCATCCGGATCCTCTTGTACCCCGCTCCGAGTTATCTTGGCTAGCCTACAGGTCTCAGGGGTCCCAAAACCCATAAAGTGGTTTCGAATCTACCAGCTTTTGCCACCTAAGATTTTATATATTAATCTAGATAATAATCTCTAACTTGTATAAAGTGAAAACTGTGCCATCGGACAGCTCCTTCTCTTCACAATAGAGTTAATTGGGAGCCATATAATTAATCTTTTTATTTTAAATTTGCTGGGTTTTCTAACCCCTACGACGTGTAATTCATTTCCATCCCTTACTTGAGCCAACCAATGTGATCGCCTCCGCCAAAGGCCTCCAGGTCTAGACTTCAGGTCTCTTGTGGTCCAGAACCACTCTTTTGTCTTACCCAAGTATAGTTAGACTATGCAGTCTGGCGGCGCGGACTTTGGAAGAACAAGTCCGTGCCGCGTAGTCTAATCGTACAAGGGTCTTAAGAGCCGGGGGTAAGCCGTGGCGGTCCAGAAGTGATTTGGTAGAAAAGAATGTACCGCATTAACGCTTCTATAACACGGAATAATCTCAAAGTGTCTTGTCGATAAAGTAAATCTCCAGGGCCAGGGGCAGGAATTATTCCGGCTTTGATGTGGGGTATTCTAGCGTGGGCTGCGTGGCGATTTGTGGCTGTGTGAGAATTGGTTGGATGCAGTAGAGATTCTTACCTCTCTATATCTGGTTGAATATTTCACATTGAGATACAGAATACTTGCCTGTATAGTGGCGAGGTTTGTTTTTAATATTACCTTAACTAAAAGTCTGTTTGAAAAGCAAGTTTCGCTTTTCCTTCTGGGGCAGCAATTGGTTTATATAGGTTTGTAAATTATTCTTATTCTTGGAGATCCTATGTTGGCTGCTGTATATCCTAGAACTTCTGTCTTGTAATTACTTCCTTGACTGAGCCATTTAAATATCTGATTGGCCTCAAACGTGGACGCTGGTTCGAAGGTTGAGGAGGCGTTAATCAAGTTTCGATAGCGTCTCTCAGGATAAGTCAGAGAAAAAGAGAATTCGCAACGCTATAGGCAAATTGGAAACATGGACTATGCCAATGAAACGTGTAACACCGTATGCAATCTTCGAATCATATACCATACCCTGAAGTCAATAATATATTAAGAAGCTAAAAGATGTAGCTCTTTATCTTTCGTTCACCTAAGATACTTATACTAAGTTACCCTATTCACAAGATGTTAGAAATATTTTTAAATCTATTTTATAAGTGCTGCTGCATTCTATGTCCTCTCTGGTGTCTATGGAATATGTAATAATAAGGTATATGATGTTAACCAAACATGTCCTTACTCAATCTTGTTTCATTACGTCTCCCTGACGCTCTTAAGAGAAGACTTTTTGATGACCTGACTACTATGTCACTCTGCCCCTTGCTAGGCTCTTACAATATTGATCATTAAGACCGGAAAGAAGCACATGCTCTTGGCAGAGAATTCTTGTTATTAAGGTATGGTGCATAATAATGATTCATCTTTGAGGCTCCTGGACACCATGACGAAATGATGGCGAACACAGAGGTAGCTGGAAAAACAAGATTATGCATCTCAAGACTTGATCTGATTGAAAGGCCCTCAGAACAACAACCTCTATGTTGGAGCAAAACTACTGCTGTATGACCGGTTTACCACACCGGGAAGCTACACCGCATAAGTGCAAAGCCACCAAAGTTGCAAACTGAGGATTACCGATCCCGTATGAGTGAAACGTATAGCGACGATTAAAACTCGAGTGTCTTTCTATCGACATCATAAAAACCATGGTATACAAATATGCATCCCTAGTAGAGTATTGTCCACTTGTTCACGATAATAGTATAGGCAAGCAAGTTTAGCAGATGGCTATACTTTAGGTTATGATCTTCGGAGGATTTCAATAGTGTCAAACAAGTGGCTTGACGAGTGCATTTTCCTTATGGGGCTGGTTTTTCGTGGCATGTTCTATGGCTGGGGAAGCGTTGGACAAATAGTTGGCAGTGGCTTTTCGCGAGGAACGTGGTCCAATGGTCGGACCACCCATCTTGTTGAAGTTTTCAAGTGTCATCGAATTTCCGCCAAAAGACGGAAGCGTCAAAAAAGAAAAAGAAGTCCCTCTTCAATCACCTGTTTTACATGTCATTCACATGGTTGAGCTTCATGAGTGACAGGGCCGTCTGAGACATACATAGCCCGGCGACTCTCCGGAGCCAGGGAGTCGCCACGTTAACTAGATATGACTAGTTATATTAGAGGACGACTCTAAATAGAGCACTAACAACTATGCAGCATATACCCACTTCCGTTCGAGACTCAATGGAACCTGTTTCGGCCTAGGGATGCATAGTCGGGTCAGGAACCTTGCTGAACGAAGAAGCAACTTGCTAATAAGAATTATGGCAAGATTCAGTCACTAACTCGAGTTTGTTTCCTCCTACAGGACTTATTCTATGCCGCCTTGACATTCACGGTGTTGTTTTCGTACAAATGAAGTGTAAATTAGACTGCAATGATCATCGCTGCAAAGTCACAGGTGTAAGACCTTAACAGATTCTTAATAACTGGGACCAATAGAAGACATTCTCAACTCCCTGTCCTGGACACTCCCGGACCATCGGCAAAAGGTCATATTGGCTCAGCTCCCCAGAGCTAGCCAGGAACGCGAGGTCCCGGTCGGTAACAAATTGTACGTGGGTCATGTAAAAAACAAGCATGTCCAGGATTACCGGTTTCACACCGCACACATCATATTCTGACTAAGAACGAATCAGGATGCTTCTGAGGTTGCCTCACTTGTCGTTGACGACGTGGCTATTCCGAGGACCCCTGCGTTGCGCAGGAGCAGTCCACTACATCCCAACGTCTATGCTGTGTTTTTCAGCTGGCTCACTCACACTTCTGTATCACTTCTCACGCAGTGCTGGAATTTCGTTCCTCGTGTGTCACTGCAACTTCATCGCAGACCAACAGGCGAGAGAGAGCATGATCCATCATGTCATGACGACTAAGTCCCGGAGAAAATAGCCCGCTCTCCCCTGTTGTATGGGGCATCTTTTCATCAAATGTGTACTATTCTAAGTATTTCTAGGGATGGCTGCGGGCGCTTGTCACGATAATGGGGCCATCCGCGGGTGGCAGATCTGTTGGTTAAGTTACCCGTGGGATCCTGGCAGTATTCGGTACTAAGTTAGACCCGTAGCGTTCCACCAAAGTATAACGAAGTTCTGCGCGCAATGCTTGCTGAGAAATGGGCGTACGACGTGATTTGAGGTGATGAAAAGGATGTTTGCAGTTCCACTTGTTGCCGTGCGCTAGATGAAACATGGGGGTATGTTCTGGAGATCTACCACAGATGCAGCGATCGTCGCGACTTTGGACATGGGGAGAGTTCAGCTGCGCATGGTGCTGTTGAATATCGTGACGTTGACTCGAGACAAGACTAGGCGAGCTTCGAGGATGATGCTGTTGGACTAGGTAATATAGTGACTTCATGAAAAGCATCCTTGTCTAAGTGAAATTTGTTGAGTAAATTTCAAGTATAAAGAGCCTTGCTTCCCTCCCTCCAAACTTCAATTTCTCACCAGCAATCATCAGCATACTCAAGCACCTTCAACACTTCAACACTTCAACCACTTTCCCAACCCAACTTCTTTCCAATCAACTCCATTCAAGATGAAGTTCGCCACCATTGCCTCCGTCCTCGCCATGGCTACCGTTGCCATCGCTACTCCCGCTCCCGCCGACATTGAGGCTCGCACCGGCCCTGGAGGCGGCAAACCCTCCGTCTGCTCTTCCAAGACCAAGCAGGTCTGCTGCAACGGTCTTCTCAACTGCGTCGTTCAGGTTCTTGGCGGAAGCTGCGGCGGCAACTCCTACTGCTGCAAGACCAGCGCCCCTGCAGTAAGTTTGCCTCGGGCAAAGACACGACCGGTTTCTAATCTTTATAGGGTGCTCTCGTCAATGTTGCTCTCCTCAACTGTGTCAAACTCCTCTAGAGGATCAGCACAAAAGATGTCTCTTGAAGAATGGGCTGAGTTGAATATTGGGGATATACGCTGTGGAGGATATTGATGGGGAGAGCTAGTGCTAGCTACTACAACAGGACAACGATTGTTGATCTTGTATATACTTCGAAACTCCAGCTACTTGAGAAATAACATAGTTGGATTTTTCATATTCTGAAGAGATTTGTGTTTCGTGATATGCCGAGAAGTGGTTTGATCTGTATGATCTCATGATCATTGAATTTGCCTACTCGGCATCATGGTATAAATATTCTACAGCCTGGGCTCTTATGCTAAGTAGATTTCCGGACGAACAGGGTTTGGCTTGACATGATGATGAACTAGATGATAGATCTAAGTTGCAAGGATAAAAAGCACAGTTTGGTTGTATGCTTTAGGCATCATTACCTTTCAGGTCCTGCATTAAATGTTTTTGAACTGCATCGCATTAGTACATGGACAATGCATTGAAAAGGCTTTCCAAGTTGAACTTTAAACTAGTCTAAGAATCATTAATGCAATCCCGTGCTGTAGCTTGCGTCAATATGACGGATGTTTCGGGTACCTGAATATAACGCTCGGCTGACTCGGAATATTCCGTCTGGGGCATCCTTGTATCGGCAGATGAAATAAGACTATGCTAAAAATTATAAACTCAATTAAACTTTATTATTCTATAAAAGAAGGTGCACGTTCTGAAAACTATTAAGGTCGTATCCTTGCTCAAATAGATCATTCCAGGCTGTGTCGATGCTTGGCGTAGGATACTCCTGTCTAGGCGGAGGATTCTGACTTTTGACTCCAAACCAAGACATAAACTCGGTATCAATTTCACCCTCGGCAAATGAACTGTTGTCAAAAATAGACAGCGTCGCATTACCCAACCTGCGGATGATCTGGGTACTTCGTTCGCCCACAGTCTTGCCGTGTGATATCTTGGACAACAGCCTGACGCACGTTTCAATATTAGACTCGACGACTTCTCTTGTTAGTTCGAGGCGGACTATCGAGCTTGCCCGAATGGAGTAGAGCATTGTGACAGCAGCCATGAACAACGAGTCTAACGCCACAAAGGTGTATATTATCTTGTTCTTGGCGTACAAGGCGTTGTAGCAGCTGATGAGGCTGATGGATGAGTCGGCGCACAAGCGAATAGCGTCGGCACTGCTCACCGGCGACGCATGGGATGGCCGGTGTAGGTTGATAACGGCCTGGTGGTACGCAATTTGGAACCACTCCGGTGTCTGGTACATGGACAGTGGCGCAAGATATCTCGGGGCTGAAAGAAGCCACGCGTTGAGGCGGGTGTAGTGCTGCTGGCGTATGGCGTCGAGGTTTGCACTCTCGAGATTGGCACCTCCGGCTGAGTGCAGCGCTGAATAAATGCCAGCATTGATCTGTCTGAGTTCGACGATGTGGCGGAATGCAGACATGTCTCTGACGTCTGGGAGGAGATTCGCAATGGGTTGTTCGGATGGCCCTGCGATTTGCCCATCGGTGAGCACCAGCGGGAGTGGAATTGTGATATCAGCATCTTGGATACCCAATGGTCGGCCGAGAGACATAGAGACACTACGATCCATCGTGTACAAACTCCAGAATAATCGTTTTCTCATCTCCGCATCCAAGAGGGTCTTTTGTGCTAGACTCTCTTCTCTGTGCATATCAATGCCTACTGCAAGCCGCAACGCCATGCCAACGGTGTACCACAGGTTTACAGACTGTGGTTCGTTGCTGCCAAACAGACAAAGCAAGGAAAGACAACGTATGCAGTCAAGGTCGTCTGCCGCAAGCACGCTGTCGAGATCGCGTACTGCGGCCTCGAAGAAATATTCGTGAGAGATTGGTGCATCCGAGCTTATGCGCGCTTTCTCTGATGCCCCGATTGCGAGCACCATGTGTACTTCGAAAGCAGACAATCTGTTGTTGATTTGGCCATTGCAGTAGGGTATAAAGTGCTGCTCCATGAAGGTTGGGCGATGCAGAACCGGATATTGCGGCCATCTTCGATCGAAGAATACATCTATCAAGCCCAATCCATCCTGGTGAAGCGAAAATGTGCTTGACGTGACCGTTGGAGGTGTGTCACTAGCAGACAAGCCATTCCACAGCTGCCAAGGACCGCTCTTGAAACCAGCCTCAGGGCCATTAGTACCCAACCCTCGGAACGTCGGGAGAAGCATGCGCCCAGTATAGCCTCTCTCCAAGCTTGCTACCGAGCCATCGGGTTCTTGTCGATCACTGAGACGTGCCTCCGCAGGCCTGATCTGCAGATGACTGTCCTGGGAGAGCGCTTCCGACGGCAATCTGGATTGCATCGCCAGTCGGGTCTGCAGCTCGTTGACTCGATCCTTGAGACGCTCTACCTGGCCTCTGAGATGGTCACACTCGCACTCCCTGTCAACTTTGACAACGAGTCTATCTGAGGGTACACAAGGGACATTTGCGGTCGCACAAGACCCGCAAACCGGGTGTCTGCCGTCACACTTGACACAAATCGTCAGTATTATCGTACGATTGATGCGGAAGCACATACTTTCTGTTTCCGCCGACGACATCTCTGGCATGCTGCAGAGATCCTCTTTAAGCCATGACGCGGTGATTTTATCCTGTCAGTGTCACGGTCGGAGTGAGTATCGTAGCCGACTGAGGTGGGCTCGAATACGGCGGGGAGTTCTCCATCGTCAGGGGCGGACATTTTCGTGTTGGGTTTTCGCGAGCTGTGGTTATTAAGGGATAAAATGCGAAGTCAGAGTTAATGGTGGATCGCTTTAGATAAGCACAATCTCCGATTCATTGCCGGCATTGCCGAAGTGGGCCTGTAAATCGGCCCTAATAACAAGCATGAATCAACAAGCAATCATGCGATAAGATAAAGTGCTTACATAGATATGAAGGTCCATATAAATGGTTGTACCGATTTCAACGAAATTCCTTTTCTTATAGCCTCGTGGCTGTCTGTCTCTGCCATCCCGGTCGAGTTTTAGCTAGGTCTAACAATGTTCTTGAAAAGCCCCACAACCTTCGGATGAGCGGTTCTTATCTGATCTACAGGGGGTATTCGCAATATTCAAGGACACAATAAGCTATCTGTAAATATGCGTGAATGTCGCAGAGTATAGTAGTAGAATTAATTGGTATCCCGAAGCTTAGATGTTTGCTTGGACTTCCAGGAGCTTCATACCAAACTCGTAACGTTTTCTACGTGCTGTGACCATTTTTGACAACGGCATCTCATTCACCCGATGTTGCCATCCAAAGTGTTTACTTGCCAGAAAAGCCTCGATCTTGTAATATGTATGTTGTCCATGCCATGGCCTTAGATATAAAAAATAGATCCCTGTTTTAGTCTTGATACCTTTAACAGGGTTTAATATAGACTCACAGCCTGCTCATATCAAATGAGTCCAGGGTATGCGAAATTAAGCGTGTTGTTATTGTTAAGTGAAAGTACCAGACGGGCGGATTAGCAAGGAGGTTTGATGTTAAGAACGATTGGTAAATGGAAAGATATTGATAGCATTGTACGTACTAAAATTTCAATTAATATATGTTAAATTCAGACGTTTGGAAAGTCAGTCGGTTTGTCATTGCGATGACGAGCCCCGGCCAATAGCGGGCCTTGGGCATGTATGAGTTAGTGCACACGTCGCAGTTTTGACTCGACAACGATTTGCAGGTTATCAACAGCCTGTAAACGTTAGCTCGGGAGCACTGCTACCCCGCAAATTGAACCCTGAGCAGCCTGAGCAAGTCGGTAGATAGCGTCCCAGCGCAGTAGCTTATCAGCTGGCGTCCTACATCGGAACGCTTCCTAAGTTTAGGAACAGTCCTTATCTTTACAAACTCACCAAACAATTGAATCCAAAATGCCTCGCGCCATAGTTCCAGCGCATCAGCGACAAAGAGCAGCCGAAGCGTGCAATTTATGTCGCGAGACCAAGAAGCGATGCAGTGGCTCTGCGCCGTGTACTCAATGCGTGCGTCGCGGCCTGGACCAGCAATGCTTCATCACCTACGCTCCTCGGGGATCAAGGACGAGGGCGCGTGCAGAGGCTGCTAGTCGAGCTGCTGCGTCGAGTACGAATGATAGAATGAGTATCAGCTCGAATCAGAGCAGTCAGCCGAATTTAGACACAAATGAAGGATACAGACCGTTGTCGCCTTCGCATTCTCAGCAAGATGACGAGAAGGATGGCCAGACTGAGGCGTCGTCTACGAACCCACCACGGATGCTGCTAAATTCACGAGGCGAGCGAGGTGAGACGCCCTATTTAATCCCATTTACCAGTTGCTAAAAATCATAGTTTATATCGGCAGTGCTGCATCTATATCATTTTTGCAAATTGTGCGGAATCTGGTCTCCCAGCAGATCGGACCGTCGGCCTTTTCTCATAACGAGAAGAGCGACACCATGCTTGAGATCGAGTCTCCGACAGCTACCACCCGCGATGAAGCAAGTTTATTAATACTAGATACGGAGCAGAAAAAGAGATATTTAAGGTCTTATCACGTAGTGGTATGTCTGATACGCCCCTCGTCAACCAGATACTAATGATTCAGACGGAAGCGTTGATCCACGTCTTTGACGCGTCGGAACTTGAGCAACTGCTCGGCACAGACAAAGACACAGAAAACTTCTCTCCCACAGCACTATCACCACTAAAGCAAGCCTCGGTAGACTTGGTGATTGCCATTGGTGCTCAATGCGAGTCCCTCTCGAGCGCGCGAACAATAGGACAGGCATACTTCCGCAAGGCTCGCACCCAAGCATTTGTCGGGTTTCTAGAGGACCCTGATCTGGAAATGGTCCGCACATTTATCCTCATGGCATTTTTTATGCTTGGGGAGTGTAGAAGAAATGCTGCGTTTATGTATCTTGGTGTTGCTGCGAAAGCTGCCCTTGCTCTTGGACTGCATAGCCGAGAGTCATATGCTGCCAAACCAGATTTGGGAGATCAGTCAAAGTAGGTCATCTGTCTTAAATGTTACTCCCAGCTAACCGGGATAGATACCGCATATGGATGAGTGTGTGTATCGTTGACAAGCTCACCAACTCTCTTCTAGGCCGACCTTCCGCCTCGGCCCAGATCCGATCGGATAGCAGCAGTAAGCTGGACGATGTCGCACAGCCTGGGGATCGCATCACAGAATGCCTTATGGCTGCCAACAGAGTTTCTTCAATCATAAACGACATCACAGACACGCTTTATGACCAGAAAAAGGTCACCACTTCAATTGTTGAACAGTTTTTACAAGATATTGAACGCTGGAAACGCGACCTTCCTGCATCTGTCAGAATACCAGCCGGTGACGCCGGTTCAAGCATGCAACATGGAACTATTGCAAAGGTGCACGTCTCGTGTCTCTACTATCTAGCGGTTATGCTAGTGTCAAGACCCTTTCTGATTTCTACCCTGACAGCAAAGCCGCTTAGCAAAGGAGCCCATTCACAATTAGCTGCGGCATGTCTTGATGCGGCTATGTATCTGTCGCAGACATGTGTAGAAGCCCTCAACGCCGGTTTGTTACAGGGAAATATGTGTATTATGAAGTAAGTTTCTCGACTAGCTAAACCTGCAGTTACTGACCAATATCAGAGCCCTCGTTTTCGCATCGGGGCTGATCCTGGGCTTAGAGATCTTCGCAAAGTATCCAGTTGAATCGGACATCAACAACGCATTCCAGGGCGCCAAGGAAGTTCTCAAGCACTTGTCAACACAAAGTCCACAAGCAGCGCATTACCTAGATATTCTTACCACCTTATCTGGCGCAATCGACAAGCGGCGATCTACCGAGACGTCCACTGGTAGAAGTCGATATGTGTCCAAACTGTTCAGTCTGGATACACCGACGCAGGGTGCAGGGTCACAAGCTGGCCAGGAGATGCTGGATACCATGTTTCCCTTCACAGATGGTCAGCCTGGTCAGATGGTGGATGATGCGATGCAGGATTGGGTGTTTCAACAGCCTGAGGATGGTGATTTTAGTTTGGACTGGGAGAGCTTGAATGTGTCTTTATGGGATACGTATCCGTTTCTATCATAGCTAAGCGTGCAGTTTATATGGGAATTTTTTACAATGCCATCAATCTCTGAATCCTTGTCTTCATTTCGAGCTTATCGTCCAAAGATGGGCATTCAAGCAACGTGGGAGCCTCTCTTGTCAATGCCCGCTACCGCATACCCTTCACTGCGTACTCAACAGCACAATCACTCCCGTCAGCGGCCTTAACCTACGGCCACTACAACGGTCCGCTTACACCTCCACCACGAATTCAGTTATGAACAACCACTTTGAACCGCTAAATGATCTGCACGTACTCCGCAAGAACCACAAACGCGGATGTTATCAGGTGCATTACCCGACGCTAGCGGCTAAGGTACCACATCCGTGGACGCGACATCCGTTATCTCAAACAACCTATCGTCTAATCCGAAGTTCCGAAACTCGTCAGCCGCAAGCGGTTGAAGATTGGATCGTGCTTGTAAGGCGGATATGGACTCTGAGTGGCTAGTTATCCAAGGTAGATAGCGTTCAGTCTTGAACAAGCTAAATAGTGATGGCTGCTCAGCTTTTGAAGTCATCATTCAATTCATTCAAATCAACTTCACATTACCACTCAGACTCGTGATATCAATCATATTCCATCGCCGCAATGATCAAGGACGACAAGACCACCATGCCCAACTGGAAGCGCCTCAGCGTTGGTGTAGTTGGTGGTGGCATTGGTGGCATTTCAGCAGCCATCGCCCTCCGCCGCGCAGGCCACCAAGTCATAATCTACGAGCGATCTGACTTCGCTGGAGAAGTCGGCGCCTCAGTATCTTGCGCCGCCAATGGAACACGCTGGCTTCACGAGTGGGACGTTGACGTCGCCAAGGGAGATCCCGTCGTTCTCAAGAAGCTCATCAACCGCGACTGGAAGACGGGTGAGCCTGTGAGCGTTTACGATCTAGAGGATTATGAAAAGAGATGGGGTTTTGTGTATAACATGTTCCATCGACAGTATATGCATGCTATGTTGAAGGATACTGCTATGGGTGAGGGAGAGGGCATTCCTGTTAAGCTGGAAGTCAAGCATCGTGTAAGTGGACCGCCCCGATTGTCAGATTGCTCTAACAGAAAAAGTGCTCTGCCATCGACATTCCCACAGGAACAATCACCTTTGAGAATGGAGTCACCGCCCAACATGACCTGATCGTTGGCGCTGACGGCATTGGTTCCGCCGTGCGAGGAATCTTGGGCGTTCACCCAGAAAAGAAGCCTTCTGACCAAAGTTGCCTCCACTGCAACGTCACCACCGAAGAGGCCGTAAAGGCTGGACTCGTTGATTACTCCCTAAATAGCGCCCTCGAGTACTGGGGCGGCCAGGAAGGAAAATGGGACAAGATCGTCCTGTCTCCCTGCAACGGCGGCAAACTCCTCTCATACTACTGCTTCTTCCCTCGAGAGCAAGGCGACTACACCACACAGGCATGGGGCTCAGACAGTCTTCCCGTTGAAGACCTCCTCAAGCCGTATCCTCAACTCGATAGCCAAGTCCTCGGACATCTTGCAATCGGCAAGGAGATCCAGCCCTGGCGATTGTGGGTGCACAAGCCTTATCCCTATGTCCAAAAGGGCAACGTTTGCCTTATCGGAGATGCTGCCCACCCTATGATGCCTCATCAGTCTCAGGGTGCATGCATGGCTATTGAAGATGCTGCTGCCTTGGGAATTCTGTTCAATAAGAGATACTTCAACGGAGATATTCGACAAGCATTGGCTGTATATGAAAAGGTCCGTTTGCCCAGGGCTACTCGAGTCCAAGCAGCCGCGGCCAAGGCAGCCTATAACATCAACGAAAGAATTGGTAAGTAGAGTCTCATCGTGATCTGATCAAATACTAACAACTTCAGGCTTTTCCGTCAACAAAGACACTTCTACATATAAGGTCGAGAACGAGAAGGAGGTTCTCACCATCGAAGAGATGAACACGTAAGTGCACAACCCAATTGAAGATAAGGATGACACTAACTTGAGAAGATATGATATGTACCGAGATATCGAGGAAAAGTTGGCAAAGGAGCAAGGGGACAAGTACAGTGGAGGCTTCATGAATGGCTTGCCTCTGGGATTGGAGCTACCTAATGGAGTTGTTATTGGAGCATAATTGTTGATCTGTTTAGCGTTTGGGTGGCCTGCGAAATATCATGTCTTTAGTATCAGGGTTTCATATAAATTGTGAAAGTTGTACTCCATCAGCAGTCTGGCCCGGTGTAACTCCAATATGCGTTTGAACCTGGTTCTGGAATACTTTGGTGTCCTCATCAACCTTAATTTCTTACCCTTCTGGTATATAGTTAATTACGCAAATACAAGATACGGATACACATATGTTGCAGAAATAGTAGCCGGCATAACTTGTGGGTTCTTAGTAGCTACAGAGTAATAGCCAAGCGACCAAGCTGCCTTCTCTAAGTCGGTAGAATCACATAGCGTGTATTCATTATCAGGGATACTTGTATTAGAGACTTGGTTGTTGATCTTCACCACGCAAACTTCAACAATCTTGATATCTCTGTCAGTATACTTACGGTAGACAGGCGATCTCTAATGGACTTTTATGGAATGAATTTGTATGATTTCTTCAACTGTTTGACAATCTCTCTCTTATGGTCTATGGAAAAATCACCAGCTATTCTCGTAATATTTTGTTTTTGACCTATTTCTTGTAAGCTGCTGCAGCACCAGTATCCTAACACACGTCAGCACAAATCCCTTCCAATCAATATCTAAACTCACCAAATACACCTGATAAAACTTAAGCCGATACTTGCCGTCCGCACTCTTCTCCAGCTCGGCTCTCCCCGCCCATTCAATATCTGCCGAGCCGCCATTCTTGAGCTCCAACGCCACTGACCCGTGCAACATAATCTCATCCGAGCCTGACCCAAAAGGATAGACCTTCTGAAGCGTGTGCTTACGCGAGGCAACGGCATCCCACATGCCTTGTCTCAGCGTGGTGATCTCTACAGAGTGTTAGAGGTGTTGAGATTTGGCCGTGATTTCTTACCTGAACGTCCCGAGGCTTTCTTGGAGGCGACCACGAATGTCGCGTCTTCTGTGAACATGTCCACATACTTCTCGGTCACGTCGGGAGTGTCGGAGATGGCGTAGAAGGACTGTAGGAATTGGATAACGTGCGGTTGAACCGACTGATCCGAGGGACTTTGCACTGAATACGACTGTTCCATTTTGATGTTACTGTTGTATAGACTTGAATTCTATAGAAAATTTGTGATAGACTGTCTCTAATGCCTAATATTTCCCACAGTGACCCCACAACCCTGCTTCCGACTTCCGATGGTGACTTCGGCAGTGTCGATCTCTACCCCGCAGATTCGGATCGCGGATATGTTCCGTATTTAGCGACGGTAGCATATCATGGTGCATTAGCCGCTTATCCAAACGGAACTTCCGTGGGCGGGTGCATTATCCGGGGTAAGCTGGTATGCTCAGCGTAGTATTATGGAAAGTATCGTTGCAGCTATGTAGGATATATATGTCGTGTCTCTGAACACAAGACCAACAATACAATCAGTCTTCACATTATCAAGTTATCTCTCTATTCTTAATACTACCACAAACTCATCATGTTCGGAAAAGTTGCTCTAGAAGAAGCCTTTGCCCTTCCCCGATTCGCAGAGCGAACACGGTGGTGGGCAGGTCTCTTTGCCGTTGACCCTGATAAGCATGCTGCTGAGATCAACGACATTACAGAACAGCGCATCAAGTACATGAACGAGCATGGCGTCGGCTATACAATCCTCTCATACACTGCGCCTGGTGTGCAAGATGTGTTTGATGCCAAAGAGGCTCAGGCGCTGGCAGTAGAAGTCAACGACTATGTTGCTGGAGCTATTCAGAAACACCCTGACCGTCTGGGTGCTTTTGCGTAAGTCTTTTCTCAGATTACACTCAGAAACATCCGTTAACATATTTAGTACCCTTTCTATGCATGACCCCAAAGAAGCTGCCGAGGAACTCCGAAGAGTCGTCACCAAGTATGGCTTCTTAGGTGCCTTGGTCAACGACACCCAACGAGCTGGCGCCGATGGAGACGACATGATCTTTTACGATGGCCCTGAGTGGGATGTCTTCTGGTCAACAGTGACAGAACTCGACGTCCCATTCTATCTTCACCCCCGCAACCCAACAGGCAGCATCCACGAGAAGCTGTGGGCCAAGCGAAGCTGGTTGATCGGCCCTCCCTTGAGTTTCGCTCACGGTGTCAGCCTCCACGCTCTGGGCATGGTCACCAACGGCGTGTTCGACAGACATCCCAAGCTTCAAGTTGTTCTCGGCCATCTTGGAGAGCACATTCCCTTCGATATGTGGCGTATCAACCATTGGTTTGAGGACGTTAAGAAGCCTCTTGGTCTGTCGTGCAAGTTGACTATCCGCGAGTACTTTGCCAGGAACCTTTGGATCACAACTAGTGGTCACTTCTCAACATCTACTCTGCAATTCTGTCTTGGAGAAGTTGGAGCGGACCGCATTCTCTTCTCCATTGACTATCCATTTGAGTCGTTCTCGGACGCTTGCACATGGTATGATGGGCTGGCTATAAATGATGTTGATAAGAGGAAGATTGGAAAGGATAATGCGAAGAAGCTATTCAAGTTACCTCAGTTCTACCAGAGCGAGGATTAAGTTATGGGATTGGGTTTATGAGAAATACTTAGATTACATGGAAATAGCATGAATATATTGGTTAAAACATTTCGAATTCCCTTGATTTCTGATCAGTTTCACGCCCTGTTTCTTGAATATGAATGTGGGATAGCTATCACTTCACAAGCTAGCTTTGACCTTATGTGACTTGGCTCTGACACCTTTGCCACCCAATGATTCACCACACATAATTTTCTGCAACCTGAAGATAAACCTCCCATGAATTCTCCACGTTCTACTCACATCTTACTTCCGCAAGACTTAATCAGATTGATTAGATTAATCAGAAACACATTTCATCTCAGTTCCTCCTGTGCCAATCTCCATCACATCTTAATAGTGACAGTGAAAACTCAGGCTCGTCTTGACAATTACCTATGACCAGCTGTCTCAAACCCTAGTTCTTCAGCACACTCAGTTTACCGCCTCCTGTGCCTTCTCCTCCGCCTATCTCTACATCTCGCACAGAGATCTCTCCTGTGCAACAAGACAGTGCGGACTCTTCCACACTCCCCAAAGAGCCCTCCGGATGTCGTGCATGGATATGTTTTGATATACTGTGAGAGGAGGGCTCCACAGACCTCGCACACTATACGGCAATGTTCCTTTGTACACATGAAGTATGTTGGTAGCTAATCGTCTAACAAACGGTTGGGTTAAGAAAGTGGTTGGGTATTGATAGTGAGAATGTATAGGTAGTTAAAAATAGTTTGACATCGGTAAAGGTTCAAGGCTAAATGTGGCCCATTTATAGTGGGATTAAATTAATCGAATGGGGAGCAGCACATGAGGGACACAAAATTTGATGTCTTACCAGTATCACACAGGTTTCTAGTTAAACCGACACTTCATCGCTGTAGGTGTTAATGCACATTTGAAAGTGCATCTAGTAAGATACTCTGATTTTCAATTTTATCTGATAAACTCTTTCCCGTGTGAATAAGTTGAGGTCTGGTAATGAGTGGGTGCCATCTGTTCATGATGGTCTGTGGCAATACCCCATTGTGTAACAAACAAACAGCGTGTTCGTGTGTTCACCAAAGCGACTCCTCTTCTGATTCTAGTAACATCAGCAGTATAAATAAACGATGTCTCCTTAGTCTACTACAAACCCGAACCAGTACAAACCCGATATCTCAACTAACGCTTTCAACAACACAAACTCTCAATAGCTCACATCACGATTCAACCAACAAACCATCAACAAAATGTGTATCAGAACTACTCATATTACCCACTGCATGCAATGCACAACGCAGTTTGAGGAAAGAATCTCAACAACCTTTTGTGATAAGGCGGAAGGCGAGCTGGGAAAATGCGGAAAGGTTGACGATATCGTCAGTGATAGGGAGATTCTGTGCGCGCGTTGCCGTTACGAGAATAGCAAGAAGAGCAAGAAATAGACAGAGTTGAGAGTGTTACTCTACTAGGATTAGAAAAGAAGCCTGAAGAGGATTGTTTAGACTTCACCTGTTCCAAATAAAACTCCTTTCACATTACTTCCGAGTCAGGTATTGCCACTGTACCGATGAGACTTGTGACTTCTCCTTGAATAGGTCTTTGTAGGCCCCACGAGACGGTAATGTAAACAAACCTAGGTAGATATCATCAAAGGTTAGAGAAATCGATCAGTGTGTGTTGTTGGATTCTGGATTAACATGTAACTGAAATCGCAGCAAGCGACCTTTCTACTGGATATTTGTCATAGCTGTGTGTGAGAAGTCTGTGTAAAATCCATGTCAAGTTTTGTCAGTTATCACGTAGCCTGCTTTTCCGGGATACTAAAGGTGCCATTCGTCAGATTCTTTGCCAATTGCTTGCCTTAACACAATCTCATTATGAGTTTCGGTGAGACTCAGGTATGAAGGTGAGCAATTTCCCCAGTGTTAATCAGTGGAGGTATTCTGTGGAATAAATCCAGATATATCGATCTATAAAGGAAACTCATTCTATAGAATGGTGGAAGTGTTCATCTGCGGATCAAGAAGTGATTCATGTTGTAGCCGTAACCCTTCTGATATTAACTGACGAGGCTCAGTTTCCTCCGGAATGGCCGTTACGGAACATTCAAGACCAAACTGTGTTAACAATCAGGTCTACGTTTAGGGGATACGGCAGATCTACAGGATGTAAGCTACATTAGAATATGTTAAAAGCCCCAAAGGTGTGTCCTTCGTGCGGTGGAGCCAAGACTGCCTGAGCCTATGAGATATGCTCAAATTCGGTTTTCCGTTTGAACGCCCGTAGAAACCAATAATCGAGGCGTCATCTGGAGAGGTTTGCAACTTTGTCTCACAAGCAGTTCCATCTCATTGGTTATCGGCAGGAGGCAGGCTGATATCTCACACAACCCGCGAAGTGAGGTGGGACACACCAGCACAAGCACCAAAGCAGTGAATCGCATGTGGGAGGCCTACCAAGTGATAAATATAGCAAACACAGCAAACGAAGCAAACGCAGTAGGCATTTTGAAATATAATAGTTGCACTATCCGCCTTCGTGATTAGCAAGAAGTTCTCGTACTCTCCAACCAACTTCTCATTTCTCTTGCCCAAGAAACCCCAGCTGCAACGCAAGATGTACTTCGATGCTGGCTTTGATATGGTTCCCCAGTTGTCTCGGACAGAGGCCGACCACAAAGCTTGGGACCTCTTCATCAACGAAGTCAAGGACAAATACAAGACCGATGAACGAATGGAAATCAAATCAAACTACTTATCCTTCAAGGCGGGTGAAGTAACCATCCTCCCCTTTGAAGGTTTTAAGTTCATGCGCTTCAGCTCTAAATTCACTGGTCGTAGCCGTACTACCAAAGGAGTATTTGATATCGTTCTGAATGTCACCGCAATCGCACGGTCAATCTTCGGTCCACGTGTCCATCGTTGGTGTGAACCAGTCGATGATTTCGGGCATTATGACTGGAACGAAGTCAATGATTCAATCAAGTTCTATGAACAGGTGCGATCCCTACTGTGCTGTTAGGGAATAATGTGAAACTAACTTCTCATTTCTTAGGTCGACGGATGGGAGCAGGGAGGAAACTTAGTTTTTATTTGCCGAGGTGGATTGCCGATTGATGTTGTTTGATGCGCCTGAGGCTACTCCAAGTCCCTCTACTGGTTTGACCTCTTCTAAAGATGCCCAGACATCATTATGTGAGGTTCAGTCAGTCCCAGGCAGAGGAAAAGGCCTCGTAGCTCTTCGGAAAATCACCATGGGCATGCGCATTCTTGTCGAGACACCTATCCTCAAATCAATGAATGCACCACCAGCCTTACTAGAGCCTATTATCGCAAGAGATCTGAAGTCCCTTACAAAGGAAAAACAACGTCAATTTCTGTCGCTGCACAATAACTTTCCGGGAAATTATCCCTTCAGCGGCATCATGAAAACTAATTCATTGCCTTGCGGGAGTGAGGCAATGGTTGGTGCAGTGTACCCTACAATCTGCTTCATCAACCACAGCTGTCGTGCAAACGCTCACAATAGCTGGAACGAAACTCTTGAGCAGGAAACAATTCATGCCATCAGAGATATCGAACCTGGCGAAGAAATCACAATCTCCTATGATGATGGAGGTGCATATACAAGTCGAAAGCCGTGGCTGGAAGAGAAGTTCGGCTTTCACTGCGACTGCTCGATCTGTCGTCTTCCACCCGTCGAACTTGAGAAGAGTGACAAACGGCGAAAGCAAATCAAACAACTAGACAAGGACATTGGTGATCCATTCCGCATGATGAGTAGTCCCAGCGTCAGTCTTTCGAACTGCCGTTCCCTACTCCAGGTTCTGAAAGAAGAATTCGAAAACTGTACCACTATCTTGGTAGCCAGAGCCAATTATGACGCATTTCAAATTGCTGTTGTGCACGGAGATGAAGCACGAGGATCGGTATTCGCAGAGCGAGCATACCAGATTAGACTTCTCTGCGAGGGAGGTGACAGTCCAGACACGGAAAGGATGCAGCAATTAGCTGAGAATCCAAAGCTTCACCCAAGTTTTGGGGGTCATTCCATGCGCTGGAAGACGAAGAAGGGACAGGTTCCTGGAGAGTTGAAGGGGGATGAGTTTGAGAATTGGCTGTGGCGGCAAAAGTAGGTCTGCAGATCGCAGTGAAGAAGTTTGGGTCATCTTTAAAGATATTAAGGTTGCGGATTCTCCAGTAAAAAGAAAAAGAAAAAGAAAACAAGGACCATGAAAAGTATCGCTGGGGATATTAGGGATGACCTAGTGAATCGATAAGTTTGAGATTATTTTAAATGAACCGCGAACCCGTGTATAAACATCGTTACTGTAATTTTGTATACCGCTAGAACAATGGTATGAGAAGCATGAAGTCTGTAAGTCAAATGACCTCTTATTTATGTTTATCTTACACCAGCTCCTCTCTGTTGTACCGTTATCTAAACAGCTGCAAACAGTAAATAAGACAGCCCAGCAATGTATAGATGAACTCATCGGACTCATTACAGTCCTGCCTCCTACATACCCCACGACGGTTATCTCAGAGCCGATTATATCGACATCGCCGACAGGCCATGATATGGCACCGGCGACACTCGAAAATGTACGAAGGAAGCGTATCATAACACTCCTCACATTGGTGTCGGCCACTTCGGTGTCTCCAAGCTATGTGCATGCATTCATGATTCTGTATCAAGTTGGCTCTCTCTCGTTCGACCCGAGCCTGGCGCACAGCCGCGTTCATACGGTTGGCATTTCCATCTCGGTCCACGACGTCGTTTGCCCGGCTGATAAGGCGATCTTCATCCCATTGTGGGCAAGAACAAGTCCTCCAAGGGGCACCACAAAGGTAGCAGAATTGGGCGTTGCAATGACAGGCTTCGATATAAATCAGTAACACGAAGACATATCAAACCGCACTGGAGACTTACTCATATGGTAACATCCAGTACCCAACTCCACAACTCTGGAGCAGGAATAGCACTTCTGCCAACCATTCTCGGCTGCAAGTTGCAGAACTTGCTGTGAGGCGATATCGCTAGGGCAGACACCTGTGTGATACGCCCCTTTGCAGTGGATGCAAGTCCTTCGAGCGCATCTGGGACAAGTAGCCGTCTCACCATTGATAAAGGGAGGTGGTATAAACGTCGAACAGGATGGTTCGCTACAGTATGTACGATTCGGCGTGTCAAACTCCAGTTTCCTGGCTTGAAATTGACCGACGAGTTGTGGAGAGAACCATCGGCCTTGCTCGACAGGGATGGTTTGGCCACAGCATCTTGGAGGAAACAGGCTCTCATCTTGGAGTGACGAACGAACCAAGCCCAAAAGACATGACCGGCAGTACTCGTGGGAACATGAAGACCTAAGAAGGGCCAGAGGTGGGAATTGGTCGTTGCAGGCAACGCATTCTCTCGTTTGAGACTCCTTACGCGACGATGCCCAAGTCGATGACTCAGGTTGACCCGACATTGAGTCTGGCAAGTCGCCGAGGTTCAATGATCTCAGTAGATCAATCCAGCCATCCTCTTCCTCGCCCATTGGCTGTTCTTCTCCGGTTTCCACCGTGATAGGCCTTGCTCTTGCATTTGGATCATTCGAAAGAGCGAGAGCAAACTCGCGATCTCTCGCAGCCTGTTGTTCAACTAACTGAGCTTCTCTAATGACCTGACCATCAGAGTCAACAGCCCTTGCAATGCTGAGGGCCAACATATGGTCAGAAATATGGGCCGTCATCGCTTCAAGCTCCTGACGACATGCCTCAAGAGCCAAATCCACATCTGTGAGTTCGCCTTCGCGCTGTTTTCCCTTTCTCGACTGTTCCCAGAGGTCCAGATCTTGCTGCTGTAGCTGAAGGGCTAGAATGAGTGACGAGCTCTCCATGCTGAGTACCTTTACTTGACCTGGATTGATTCAACAATTGGTGATGTATGAATTGAACGCTTATCCCATGGAGTTGATGTGTGAGGCGCATAACTTAGACAGTGGTGGGCCTCCCAGGTGGAGGGAACACCCCGCTTTTCCACTCCAAGCCATTAACGAGGTTGGAATCTCTTGCACGTGGCTTGAAGCCTTTAGAATTCTTAATACACTACACAATAAAGCGGTTGAAAACACCCACATTAGAGATTGTAGCTTAATTAAGGGCCAGGTAGCACCGTGAACTTCATGGTACTTAATACTAGGTCTCGATGGTGGGCTATAAGCCCTATGCCTCGGATGAAAAGGCTCTGCCCAAATAATGAAAGTCAGGATATTTTTAAGGGGGTTTATTTTCAACTACCTATGTGTAGACTTACTGGCAGAAACCAGGGCTATAGCTAGATTTCAACACACCCATCACCGCGTCTCCCAAGCCTTGCTAGGATCCTTCCATGAGTCCCAAGGCCCATTTTGAGATGCTTCCTTGCGGATCTCTCCTGGTGTTTGGCCCTCACGATTCTTACGCTGCATAAACTCAGGAGGAGACATTTCTACCATATAGCGCCATAGAGCATCAGGCCAGAAGTTGGAAGCAGCTAGAGAGAGTAAAGTCTCACCATCATCATCGATAATTCCGAACTGTCGTGTTAGTTCTGTTTCCTTTACAATCCTTTGTATGATTCTTGATCCTTCCACAATGGCGCGAACCAGAATACTTTGACCAAGGTTGTTTTTGTGTTCCCTGTTTATACCAGGGTAATCGAACAGAGTGTTGAATACATCGGTCGCTTTCCGATGTTCCCAGAATTTGAACGACGCAACTATGAGAAGGGCCGTATTGCCGTTTTTATTTTGTGCATTGATATCCAGCTCGGGTCTTGACAGGAATAAAGCCATTGACCCCAAGTAGTTGTTCCCCTTGGTCCTTGAGAATTGCATAAGCTTCATAAAGGGTGTGTTGCCATTGTTGTCGCGAATGTTGATATCAATCTCGGGGTGGTTAAGTATGAGCTCAATCATTTTCTTATGCCCGGCCATAGCGGCATTGTGAAGAACAGTATGACCGCGATAGCCTGCTGCGTTAACGCATATTTCTCTTTGGGCGAGGAGCTGTCGAATCGCTTCGAGGCTCATGGCTTTGGCGGCAAGATTTAGTGGTCGATCCCCATTCGAACCACTAGAATTGATGTCGGAATAAGGTATCAGAGCAATCGCAGCGTCATCATGGCCATTCTCGAGTGCTATCTCCAACGGTGAGAGGCCAGGCGAATGTACTGCAGAATTGAGTTCGACATTCGACCATCGCAGCACCTCTTTGAGCACCTGGGTGTGTCCAGCTTCGGCGGCAAGATATGTGGCATCCCTCCCATCTTCATCCCTGTAATTTCTCTCTGCATGGTCCCGCAACAGTTTTACACAGTCTGCATGACCACGATAGGCGGCGGCGAGAAGTGGTGTCCAGCATACCCTCCGCTGTTCTGCGAGGCCGTGGCGTGTGTAACCCTTGTATTCGCAATTTGTGTTGGTCGTAGATTGGTCAAGAAGAAGAGACACTACGGACTGGTGTCCCTTTCTGGCCGCGATGTAGAGGGCTGTCTGGTTCAAAGTGCCAACCACATTTGGGTCTACCCCATTGTTGAGTAGGACTCTGACCATATCATGATCGCCATTCGCAGCCGCTATAATAAGTAGGGAAACTTCTCTTATGAGATCATCTTCCAGCAGTTTAGATCTTCTTCTGTCATTTCGTGGTAGCCAACCATAATTCCATATCCAATCCGTATCTGAGTCACTTTTGCCCCACTGATTGCTCGATATGACAACTGGACCATGATCGTAACGCTTCTCTGATCCAGTGTCTGAAAATCTTTCATGAGCCCATAGTGGTATTTCTCTTCCACTTTCTGCCTCGTACTCACATGATGATTTTGAGCATGTATCATCATCCTCTGATGTCTGACACTCCCCTGGAGAAGAAACTGCAGATCTACTCTGGCAAGTAGAAAAGGACCGACTTGAAGGAAGATTCAAGTCGTAGTTATTGACTGAGATCAGAAGCTCTACCAAGGCATGTCTTCCTTCTCGGCAAGCCTTCACAAGTGCAGAGTGTAAACTTCCAGCCATATCTGTCGCCAGAAGGCTGATTGCCAAAGTCGACAGCGAATGTAGGGTTGATAATGGTTGACTCTCCTCGATGTTGTTGTTTGTCGCTTTAGGAGCGTCATCATCTCTTTCAGCGCAACGGGAATGGTAGGCCCAATTGATGTCTGCGTATCTCCAGAAAGGTGGCCACGATGCTTCAATACCTTTGTCAAACCCTGCTGTCAGACTGGTGAGAGCCATGTATTTGAGGCAAAGACGTGCCATCACTTCGCTGGCCTTTGGGAACCATCGGGCTTGGTTGCGCTCGAAATATTCCTGTGCCGATTTGTGTACGAGCTTGACGATATTACTTTGCTTGTCGATGGTTATGAGACCAGCACATACACCTGCCACATCCTCAATGTCCGGTATGTTATCAGGATCAATGGTTTCACTGTCAGACTCGACAGATAATGCATATGCCAGATCTTCGGTATGCAAGGTTTCCCGGGCACAGACTAGTATAAGTAAAGCCTCCCTGGCAAGTGCTTCTGACTCCATACCGGAACCAGCAATCCTCATCATAGCATTCTCGTATACGTCATCGTAGGCATCTGAACCAACTGACAGTTTCGCAAGAGATGATCGTAGTGCCTTGGGTGACCTTTTATGCTTCAAAGACCGCAGATGCAATTCTGCAAGAAGGAACCTGTTCAAAATTAGTTACAGGTGTATCACAAAGGAAAGCACAACAACTCACATCCCTGAACTTGCTTCGGTGATCCCTTTGACTATTTCTGCTTGGAGAGCCGTATCTCTCCCAACAAACCTAGGCAAATGAAACAATGAATCTTCCAAGAACTGATGAATATCTTCGTCGCTTGCTCGAATCTCCACTATCGCCGCGCCACTTTCGGCAAACTGATGTTGTATCTCAGGAATGAGGCGTGACGTGATGAAGAGATTGAGCTGACAACACTTTTGTAGTTTGAGGAGCGCTGAGATGAACGGCCGATTCACCTCTGTCGGGAGTTCATCCAAAGCGTCTACCAGCACGGTTACCCTACCAAAGGAACAATATAGTGTTTCCAGAAGCTTGATTGTCTCGTCTCTAAACAGATCCTGTTTAGCAGCCCGCTTCCGGTCACACTGCGCGAGGACAGTTGCGGGGATAGTGGCAACCTGCTGGAGAGAGTTGCGTAACAAGCTGCGAAGCAGGCCCTGGACGTCTTGATCCGGCGCTTGATACGTGCAGTACACGTAAGCGTTGAGAATATCCGGACTGTCCTGCATCTTTTCCTGTAGCGTCTCAAATACAATTGCTGTAGTGAACGTTTTGCCGGTGCCTGGGTCTCCCGGGCAGAAAAGGGCCCGGCCTTTTTGGTTCTGCCAATCCTGGTACTCAGCCGCGTCGAACAGCCACCTTCTTGAGTTTGCTTGCAGTCGGCTGACCAAGTGATTGTGCTGTGGAATATAGTCGATCGAGCTTATCCAGTCCAGAATCGCTTGTTGCTTATCACTCTCATTCTGGCGAACGAGTTTTGCAACGTTATAATTTGTCGCATGGTCGTTGTAGGCGTTCAAGAGAACAACATTAGACGTAATCTGAGCTCTTAGATGAACGATCTCCTCAGGCTCCCACCTGAGTCTCTTCCATAATCTCTGTACCGCCTTGCCTTTGCGTGGCTTTGAGATGACGCTCCACTTGCTCATAATATTCTCCAACTCTTGGAGAAGATTGTGACAGGTCGTGAGAATCTGGCCAAAATTGGTGATTTGATGTTCAGCCAGCTGGTCGACATTGGCGTGGGCATCTTGAATGACAACGGAGAGCGATCTGATGTCTTCGCTAATACTATTGAACTGTTTAGGTGCTCCCTTGAAGTCCTTGCGGATCTTGCTAGCCAGTGTCACGACAGCGATTATGTCGCCCACAGAGAATCCAAAACTCATGTTGCAGTCGAGTGGGATAGAAATTTAGATTGTGTAGTTGTTCGGGGCAGCTTTAGGTAAAGGAAGAATGTTATTTAACCACAGTTAAAACACACAGCCTCACCAGGCTAACAATCGAAAAGACAAAACAGACAGGGGTAACGCGGGAGCCTTACCGACTAACCCCTCACCGCTAGAACTATCCAGCTGTACAGAGTAGATCGTAAGGGTGTATTTTATTACATTACGCCCTGACCACCAGTGTTCAACCTTGGGCGAAGTTTCAATTGGTGATAGCTTTGGCTTTGCGCCAGTCGGATATTCATCAACCCCTTACTGCAGGGCTGCCCCATCATGACCCTCACAAAATTTACTCTTGTAAGCTGAAATCAACAAACTAACAGCCCCATCACATACAGCTAATGGCCTGGCCTTACTGCGTAAAACTGACATTGACCCGGACCGGCGTTACTGTCAACCTAGAGCACTTGACAGAGAATAAAGTCTTGGTAACATGGAGGCTCATGGTATATTTCGCAGTACTTGGTAGGAGGCTTTAGATTATTATTTAGTAGTAAAAAATAATTCAAGTGTAAAACTGTTACTCTTAACAATTTAACAGAGGAGTGCGTTGAATTTATACTCGGGCGGCCTAGCTTCAAAAGCACCCACCTTATAGGTTTACTATATTTTACCGTATAGGTTCGATTATAAATAGATGAAATCCAGCGGGCAAAATAAGTAGAAGATTACAATTATGTAGCAAAAGATGTTAGAGAACTTTAAAGGTACACTCTAGCATTAGTCCATTGCCATATCCAAAATGATATGCGGTTCACACTTTTTTGTAATTATCTAGATATTCTTACCTCCCAATATCAATACTATGACCCTGTTGCTCCTGGGTAATTAACTGAATATCAGAAAGACTCCTTGACTGATTGTATGATGACGTTACTTATGCTGGTTGTTAAGGCTGTGGAGAAACCAATCACCATACCACAGATGAGAAAATCTTGCCTCATGACCAACGAGTTCAAGGAAAAGACACGCTGACAATCGAAACAACAGTTATTACCACACTGGCCGAGTCGCAATATGTTTTCACCATTCCCCACTAACCTATCTCCTACACACCTCAACCTGAGCAAAAGGGTCGCTAATCGTGATGAACCCAATCTGCATCGCTTGGGGCAAATATCCCTCCCTTAGACGAATGTCGTACTGAAGAATAATCTCAGCCAGGCAAAGCTTCAGCTCACTGCCAGCGAAGAAACGCCCCGGACATTGATGCTTTCCCATGCCAAAATGGGCATGTTCTGGGCTTGATTGAACAAACTGGCCCGAGCTGTCCCCTTCCTGGCGGCGTTTAAGGAACCGTCTACCATCGAAGTCGTTGGGGTTTTCGAAGATATCTGGGTTCCAATTCTCTCGACCGTCAACCCCAATGTGGGTTCCTCGAGATAGAACAGTTCCGTCGGGAAGTCTGGTGTCGCGGGTGACTAGCCGTTCCATGATGACTGAGATAAAGTTAGATTTGGTACATTGACGATTGGAAGAGAACTTACCCAGTGGGGGGATTTGTCTTTGTGACTCTTTCATGAAGCTATCAAGCAGCTGCATTTTGACCAGTGAAGAACCAGTAATTTTGCCATCAACCATCGCACGACTGATCTCTTTCCTCAATGGCTCAACATATTCAGGGCGACGAGCGATTTCGATAAGCACCTGTCGGAATACCTCGGTAGTCTGCAACGAAACCCAGGAGGCCCGCGCCCGGGCTCGGTTAGTCAGCACCGCCGCTCTTGCGGCTGCTGTTATATGCACAGCCAGAAATACTACGCAGCGAATTCGCTGCATTCTCTCTTCTTTCCCCTTTCTCCTTAGCTTAGATAAACATCATTGAGACCCCCTACTGCTGAACTTTGTGCTGTACATCATACGCTTAGCTCTGGGTCTTTTTGAAGGGCTTGAAGTGCTAGATTCATACTAGCCTCATTATTTGGAACTGCCATACTTAGTTGCTATAGATTAATTGATCAAATAATGATAATATGGAAGAGTCGATTCGTAGGACATTGGCTTGTCTGGGACATTCGCTTATCAATCACGTTACGCCATCTATGGTATAATCAAAACACACCACTACAAACGGACCGTACGCTCCACAATAATTTCTGACGCATCTCTTTTTGCTGCAGCGGCTACTCTACTTCAGGAAGATCGAGTCATCGCAATGTAATCACGCGCACTCACCCCTGCAGGAGTCCGCGAGCATCTAAAGCTTATATATAATAGCCTCAATTTTCTAATAATACCGCGACCAAGAAGTGTTCCAAGAGACATAGACCACCAACATCCTGAAGCCTAGTCCTCTAAGATTTTCAGACTCGAGTATATCAGCATGTACGACCTTGTCGTAGTTGGTCATGGCATTGCCGGCCTCGCCGCTGCAGTATCAGCTGCAGAACTCTCGCCCTCGGCGCAGATAGCTGTGCTAGAGCATGCACCAGAGCATGCGAGCGGTGGAAACTCACGCTGGAGCCCTGCCAACATGCGAATGCGATCTGTCAATGAGGTATTACCAGGCTTCGTGGACGACATGATGGCTGCAAGCGGAAGTGGTGGCGACCGCGCGTACTTCGAAAGGCTGGCTAGCCAGGCCCCTGAAGCCCTCCAATGGCTCGAAAAGCAGGGGGTGCAGTTTCACGCCATGGACTATTTCTTGACATCTTGGCCTAACAGGATCCAGCCTATTGGCAAAGGTGCTGCCATTGTCGAAGCCCTCAAGCAATCAGCCAAATCGAAGGGTGTCCAACTGGTGTATAATTGCCGTGCCCAGCGACTTCATCTTGGCCAAGGACAGGCCATAGTTGAGGCAGCTGATGGGCGACGAATCATTGCCCGATCTGTTGTGCTCGCCAGTGGTGGGTTTCAAGGCAGTCCAGACATGCTGCGTACTCATCTTGGTCCTGGTGCGGAGACGTTGAGACCGATATCACCTGGGACGGCCTGGAACGCCGGCGACGGCATCCAGATGGCGCTGGCCAACGGAGCCAAGGCCTCTGGCGATTGGAACGGAATGCACAGCGAAATAATCGACCCACGGAGCAGTCAGCCATCGCCACTGGTCCTCAATTATCCGTACGGGGTTGTGGTGAATCAGGACGGAAAGCGGTTCGTAGATGAAGGTGCTGGACTCGTGCATGACACGTGGGAGCATCTTTCCACAACCATACATTTTGACACACCGGGCCGCTTAGCCTGGGCAATTTGTGATTCCAGATTTTTTCAATTGGAGGACCATGAGGCAGCTATCCGCTCCGATATGCCGCCGGTGACAGCGGACACGATTTCTGGTCTGGCGGCACAGATGGGGATGCCGGAACAAGCGCTTCTGAACACAATCTCAAACTACAATGCAGCCTGTAACGCAAACATGTCTGGCTTTACGGCGGGCCGGCTTGATAATCTCGCCACTACCTCAGGCTTGCAACCATCGAAATCGAACTGGGCTAGGCCGCTCGACGCTCCGCCGTATACCGCATTCCCCTTAGCCGCGGCCATTGTCTACACTTTCGGCGGCATTGCGACTGATGTGGAAGCGCGCGTTCTTGGCCAGAGAGGCATCATTCCTAATCTATATGCTGCAGGTGAGATTACTGGCCATTTCTACGAGAAGGCTCCAAATGCAGTGGCCGTTATGCGGGCACTCGTCTTTGGACGTATTGCTGGCCTCAATGCCATAAGCTCCCATTAGACAGACAGAAGTGTACCGTTGGGTTAGTAGGGTTGAAGGGTTGAAGGGTTAGGTATTGGCTATCTAAGCTATTCTGCTCATGTTATTTTACAGTGGTAGTTTTTAAGTTATGAGAAATAAGAGATAATACTTTGATAGCAATACACACTGGTCTGTGCCCGTGGAGAGTCGTCACAGACCCAGCCGCTAGGCGCCGGGCCTTTTTGCAGGAAAAGAGACACCCCAGCTCTAGTCTGCCAGTACCGTTTAGCAGAGTCGTCGCGAGCGCCGTGACATGACCAGGGTCTAGACCATTTGAGTGTTCGCGCAAAACGAGATTCGTACGAAACGAATAATACTGATTAGCGCTATAGTTATCTTTTTAGTAGAGATGTACATCTCACTCCTTCCTTCCTTTCCTATTGTAAATATAGGATAATTAAATCTAATTCGATTGTCTTATAGATTATACCTATAGAAAAGATCATAGTAGTATTACTAGATAATACAAAAAGGAATAGGGTTAATCTATCTCGATCTACTATACTATTATAAAGGTTCCCTTGAGAATATTATGTTCATCCTTGGATCTACACCCTCTACTTATGTATTGCGCTGACAAACACAGTCCATCTTATAGACAGCCAAATAACGCCATTCTTAATATTGTGGCTGCGAGAATCTTCATCGATGCACCTGCTGAGCTACATGATGTTTGTAGATTCGCGGAGCAAATAATCAAAATCGCGGTGCAATCTGGACAAGCATTGGATGTCAGACAACTTGTTCAGCAATGCGAGAATAGACTACAAGCAAGAGAAATGTAATCCCACCAGGTCGAAAGGGCGGGACCCATAGAACACACAGCCTGGAGGACCGAGGGCGATCAGCCACATTTGTGTGGCGTGCGGTGGACTGAATCAGTTCGAGTGTCTTAATGTTTGTCTTTCTTTGATCAGTTCTAGCAAGCCATAATTCCGCGTCATTGTGATCAGATCTATAATGACTGCTCTTCTGTGCCTTAGTGTGCGCCTCGCGGGTCACTGCGACGGCGGTTGCCCCGCACAGATCCTCTCGCTAGTCACCCATTCGCTGGTCTACTTCGCTGGTCTACTTCACTGGTCTACTTCACTGGTCTACTTCACTGGTCTACTTCACTGGTCTACTTCCCTGGTCGCCCTTCCCTGGGCCCTTTAGAATCGACTCACCACTTGACAACAGTCCCAACGCGCAAAGGACTGCTATCGCTCCGTTTCACAAGAATGGGTTGTTCAGCAGTCCACAAGATCTACGATGTACTAGAATCCCAGATCCTGGTACAGCTGCACGGACTTTCCGGCTCACGGACTCTGCGATTAAATTCACAGCGAATGTTTTGTAGTATATTGAATTCATATGGTTTTTACGATGCTCAATACTCAAAGGTGCAGATGGGTAGTAAGAAAATTAGATCGTCATGACGAAAAGAAACTTGATACTGGCTTCATATATGCCGTACTGGGCTTCCATGAATTATCAATTTCAAAGGATACACAATTTATATAAAGGTTATTGCTCCATTTGAAGCACTTCAGGACCTCGAACCTACGGTCTTAATGTCATGTAACCTTGAGAACCTAACGATAGACAATTTTTGCAAGCATAAACTACTCGCGGTATATGATGTTGTCGAGTCCAATCTCACGGTTGATCTCGGCCATTCGCTCATTATCAGCCAGAGCAGTTCCCTCAGATCCAAAGATGGTGTCCTAAAGGTAAATTAGTGTTTGTCATGAAAGATCAAGAAAGTCACGTACCATTTCCTCGAGGGACAGACGCTTGGTCTCTGGAACGACGAACCAGATGAAGGCGGCACCGATCCAGGTCAACAATCCGAAGAGGATGTAAGTTCCGTATGTGATGCCTTCCAACATTTCGGGAGTAACTTGACCAACACTGTAGATCACGGTTAGCTGAGTTCATCTTTTGATTAGTATCGTCACTAACATAAAGTTGTTCCTATAACATAGTCAGTCAAATGTTCAACGGTCAAAGGTCTGGTAAGAAGACTTACATCCAGTTACTCGAGGCACCAAGAGAGGTACCGTAAGGTCGGGTGCTAAGAGGCCAAATCTCGGCGATGATAATCCATGCACATGGACCCCAGGAGTCTAGCATTGTCAGTATCAATTACATGAAATGTAAGTTGAGGGATTCGCTTACATCCAAAGTGGACAACAAATAGCCAAACCATGCAAATGGCGCCCCATCCAGCAGCTTGGTTGTTTTCGAAGTTGTTAATGTTCTTGGCAAGAATTACGGCAATAATCAAGTGACAAGCTCCCATACCAATGGCACCAACAGCTAGGACGGGCTTACGTCCCAGACGATCGATCCAAAGAACAGCGGGGACAGTAGCAATAAACATGACAATGCCAACAACACCGGTAGCGAGCAGACTGGTCGTGTTACTGCTAAGGCCAAGTTGTCCGAAGATCTGAGGGGCGTAGTAAAGAACCTTCCAACCTGTTAGCTACTAGAAATGCGAGAGAAGCATGTTACTCACGGCGTTGATTCCTGTCCATTGCTGGAAGAACATGGTGACTGTTGCAACGATAACACGCTTAAACATAGCCTTGGTCTTAAAGAGAGATCCAATGGCGACAAATTGGAGCTTGAAAGTGTTCGCAGCGGTTTGTGCTTGCAGATGAGGGAACTTCTCAGCCAAACTTCGCTTCTCAAAGAGAGACTGGGCCTTGATCTCGAGGAATTCCAATTCGATGAGTTCGTGGTCAGTGGGAAGATCTCGGAGGTCGGCTAGAACCTGTCGGGCCTCTTCCTCTCTGTTGTGATGCGCCAGCCATCGAGGGGAGAAGGGCATCCACGCCATTCCGGCGAACAAGATAAATGCAGGTGCCAGTTGAAGACAGATGGGAATCAACCAGGCTGCATCTGACTGTGTGTCACCAGTTCCGCCGATGAAGTGGCAGCCACTAAGATCGATTAATACAAGGAAAACCAAGATGATTCGGGGGACGTACTAGTCAATCCAGAAGCTGACCATGATACCAAATGTAATAGCCAATTGCTGAAGAGCGACCAGGGCTCCACGAACTTCACTATAAAGGTATTAGCCTACAAGATTCAATCGGTGATAGTCGAGACCCACGGTGGAGCACATTCGGAGTTATAAAGCGGAACGATAGTCGAGAGACTACCAACTCCAATACCCCTGCGAAGGTTAGCTTCATGTATCTAGAGCCTCATCAGAAACAACATACGTGATGAAACGTCCAGCTAGAATGACTTGGTAACCAGCTTGGATAGCTGTAGCCTGAACAACAACGCCGACGATAAAGACACTGGTCGCAATGAGGATTCCGTATTTACGCGAGCAAAGCTCTGCAATAGCACCAGACATGAGCGTTCCAAACCAGGCACCGAGCTCCAGAATAGACGTGAGCCAACCCTTCTTTGTCGGGTTGGCGACATAATCTCCCATATCTGCATACGTCAGCAGGTTTTCGTGTGGTCATGACGGCGAGCATTACGTCTCTCGAATGCAGGCATGACGAGAATGCCTGAAAACATTCCCTGGTTGTAACCATAGAGAATGCCACCAATACATGCAAATGCGGCAATTCGGAATACTTTGAAGTTCTTCACAAGAGCCCTGGCACCACTGGCACCCATAAGGGCTTGACGTCGCTGTAGGGCGGCATCGTAGGTGCCGACGGTAGTTGTAGGTACACCCATCTTGGAGTCGTATATGTAGTCTTTACAACAATGGAGTCACGCTGGACTCAGTGTAACAGCTCAAACATCAGCAGTAAAAGGCCATGGTTACAGGCGTCTCTCCATTACTATATATCATTCATACGCCAGCCTGAGGCCAAGCTGTGAAACCTTGCACCGTCACATCGTATTTCCATTCCTCGGGGAATAAACGAATATCGGCTAAATGGGGCAATGGCAATTGTTAAGGCAGTTTTACAGGTGACAAAAACAACAGCATAACACGGCAAAACACCGGCCAAGTAAGCATGAATGTTTCTGTCATGTAGTTGAAACGTTGTTAGGCTCATCTCCCCGCATATGGATAATCTCCAATTCAGCCTGAAGCTGTTTGATAGAGTAGCATTTTAACTCAGCCTAAAGAATACATGGGTTCACAAACGTAAGACCGATTGAATACGCGCACCTATTGAAATGTACAAGTGTAAGATTACAACCCCATGGGGAGAAATTAACCGCTGATCTGCGGGGAAAGCTGGGGAATCCAGGAAGATTTCTTAAGGCTGTCATCACAGCGTGACCGATCTCTCGGCCATGCGTCGGTGGAATAAGTTGTATGGCAACACATGATAATTAATTACAGGCAGATGAATGGTTGCAATTGAAGTCTAGACTGCTCATCCGCATCAAACTATATATATAAAGCCGAATTCTGCCAATAGCCTAGATAACAGCCGAGAGGATGCGTCTAGGCAGAGAGGCCCAGGTCTTGGGGACCTCAGGGATAGGCTCATCCAGCAGGGAGATGCCAGTCTGGAGATCCATATCAATAGCGCGGACGTACAGCTTCCAATCGCGAGAGTACACCTTGTAACCAAGGTACAGAACAAGAATGATGGGACCAGCGAGGAAAGACATGAAGAAGGACTCGGCGTTAGGAGGGGAGCCATCAGCAGCCTGAGAGGGATGTTAGCGTCGTCTATACCGGATGAACGGGTTGAACTTACGTAGAGAGAAGAGTAGAAGGTGGCAAGAAGAGCGACGGCGTTGAGGAAGATACCGAGGTAGCTACCCCAGACACCAAAGGGGGTCTTGAAAGGAACCAAGTCCATGTTGATTCCTTGAGCCTTGAAACCAGAGCGCATGCGTGCGTGAGCGAGGCAGATAGTGCCCCAGACGAAGAGGAAGGCGAGACCAGAAAGAGCAAGAAGCCAGTCGAAAATGGTGCCGCCCTTGGGGGACTCTCCGATGTAGGCCAAAAGACCGAAAGCGAGCTGAATGATAACACAGTAGATGGGACGTCCCTTGTTGTCGATGTAGTTCAGGAACTTAGGGGCATGGCCACGCATGGCCATAGCCTGCATGGTACGGGTAGATCCGAAGGTACAGGTGTTTGCGACAGACAAGACCGAGATGGTGATGACGGCGTTGAAGATGGAGGGCAGGACCTTGATGCCGGCATCCTGAATGGCAAGAACGAAAGGTGAAGCCTTGGTGTTGGCACCAGACGCACCAAGCAGACGCTCATCGTCATAAGGAAGAATGGTTCCGAGGATGAAGAGGTTGACGATGTAGAAGAGAGCGATACGCCAGAAGACCTGCTTGGAAGCAGTGGGAACAGACTTGCGAGGGTTATCGGTTTCAGCGGCAGCAAGACCAACCATCTCAGTACCACCAAAGGCAAAAGCTATGATATTGTTAGTCAATTTCTTGGTGAGATGCATTTAGAGTGCTTACCAGCAACGACGAAGACGGCACAGAAACCCTTGAAGTCGGTGAAGGCACCGGGGTTGTGCCAGTACTTGACTCCGAGGTATCCCTGGTTGCCGACACCACCGCAGTTGATGATGATACCCAGAATGATGAATCCCAAACAAGCAGCGATCTTGATGGCAGACAGAACGAATTCGACTGGAATGGATTAGCATTGGTACCAAGCAGGACGACGAGACTCTTACCCTCTCCGTAACCACGAACACCAAAGATCTGAACGATGGTGAGGGCGACAAGGAAGACAGTAACCCAGACAGCCTAGCGACAAAGTTAGTTGCCGGAACATATTGTAGGGCGCATGTGCCAAGCGGGCCAAGCAGATTGCCAAGCCCGCCAAGTAGATGCCAAGGGAGATCGCAGATCACGAACCATGTGGATATCGTCGCGCCAGAACTCGATTGTCTTGGACGCAGCGATCAGCTCAAAGGGAAGAACCGTGAGCCAAGACAGGGCGTATTCCCAACCACAGGCGAAGCCCCATGAGGGATCGACGAAGCGGACGATGTAGGTGTAGAAGGCTCCGTTGACGGGGTATAGAACGGCCATCTCGGCGAGCGCCAAGTTGGTGCACAGCAACATGATTCCGATAATGAGATCTGTACGTGTGAGTTATTGTCAATCGATTAGGCGTCAGGAGAGTCTCTTACATCCTGTAGACTTGTTAGCTGTTGTTCCATGTTCATGTTCAATTGAGCGAGTTACTCACCAATTACCAGCGCAGCGGGACCACCCTTGTGGAGGGCACCACCAGAACCGACAAACAGACCAGCACCGATAGCACCTCCAATGGCAATCATCTGCATGTGTCGGTTCTTCAGGTTGCGCTTGAGCTGGCCCTCGCCGTGAGTCGAGCCGACCTCCTCATCGTGAGGCACCGTGACGGTGGTCTCGTCCTTCATCTCCTTGTGAGACATGATGGGCAAAGAATGACCTTCTGGCTTGCAGGTATATCTGCAAGGATTAGGTAATAGAGAGAAAAGAGAGAAAGAAGAATGCCTCGAAATAATCTTGAGAGTATTCAACAGGACAAATGTCTCTGGGCCGGATCGTCTTTATGTGCCAAGCCATGCCACGGCGCTAGGCAGTTTTGATCAAGTTCAAGATAAGCTTTCCTGTACGCTAAAGGTAGATTGCTGGGCTATGGAGCGGGCATGTTTCTCGATATCATCGTTGCGCCGAAGGAGGGTGGTCTAGAACCCTGTCTGTGCAATTTAGACGAGACATTTCAATGCGACAAGGCGATTACCCCGGTTCCCACCTCTCACGCTCAATTCTCGCATGCTTCCTCGTCAGCAGTAGGCAAGTGGGCAGCCGGCTTGGCCTGCTTGGCCTGCTTGGCAACGGGTTCATTCTTGGCGGAATCTGATATCTGGGCTTGGCTTCTTGGCCTCTTTCTTGGCCTACAGATGATTCAACATCACGTTACTCCTTGGCGCTATCTAGACGTGCAACCATTGTGGTTGGCCAATACGAGAAATTAATTGTTCTGTGTGATGGCGAATACTTCCCCAAATGTCCCAATCTGACCACCATGGGGAAAAAGGGTACGTGTTCTAGGTACTGAGAGAATGACCTTCTTATCAAGGACATTGGCCCCCTAAGCTCGCCACGTCCTTTTGTTGGGTCCAACGCCACACTGTTCCAGATAGCGCTGGAGCTGTAGAGATACGACTTTACTGCCTCTGGTATCTCATTGGAACGGGGAGCACAAGCCCAATCTGTCGCTTGCAGGGGGTCTCCATTACTCTGTGCCGCACCGCGCTCCTCTTTTACCCCAGAGTCCCCGACGAACAGGCTCGTAAGGTGTCTCGCCAAATGAAATAAAGGAGCATTAACCTTGAACGGGGCTAGCACATAGTTCTTACTTGGTATCAGCGGCTTGGCCGCTCTTACGTCGCAGTAACGGTCATAGCCCGAACGGATGGTGCCATTTCTCTCGGGAGTGCCTACGTTCTAGAACAATTCCGTAGGATTTATCGTCTATCGCTGCGTTGCATTTACCAAAGATAACAAATCACAGGCCATATCCGTATCACCGAGCGAGCCTAACCAGCTCCAAAATACCCCAAGCGCTATCCCACCATCTCGGGATCCCGACCTACTGCATTAGGCAGGTAGATAAAAGCACCCGCAGATAAGCTGGTGCCGGGCTTCCGTGTGCCAATCAATGGGCTGACATATCCATGAAGGCCCTGTAGCTTTGTCGCTAGCCAGGGGCCTCCGAACGCTTATAGAGGCATGACTCGTTGATTGATAGGCTCTATTATGGATTCCTGCGGCGTGGGGAATGACCCATGTGACTATTTTCAAGGTTAGCGCTACTCCAACTGATTGTGTTCTTGGAGACTTGGCCACGATGGCACCAGTTGATCGTTGCACTGCATCGGAGCTGAGCTTGAGTCCTACCTCGACACGTCAGGTTTTAGGTTCCGTTTCTTCGGTAGGCACATGTTTGGTTGTGACAGAAGCTGTCTTGTACGTACCCATTGGAAGCCTGCTTGCATTCAAGACATGGCCCAACCAACCGCATACGAACAACAACCAACTGCCTAATGCGCATCCTTCCTTCCTGCATTCTAGACCCTTTCAGGATGTTGAAATAGAGTATTCATTCAAAGTTTAAGTAGCTCACCTCCGCGATGCAGGCCAGCGGCGCTCACGTGCAAGGATCTGACGAGCGAGCTTCTTCTTACGGCAAGTCAACAATTCGAAGTTCTGGCCACCCTTGCAGATTGCTTCCAAACAAAGACGTGGCGTATCATGAATGCGAGCTTACGGATTTCGTGTGGTCACATAAGATCGGCTGGTCTATGATCTACAGCCATTGGTGCATGATACTACCTGATGGCGCCGAGTAGAGATGAACTAGGGTAGAGATGGTGTATTTCTGAGGGCAGCCTGTCTTGGAGATCTACAGGGTAGTGGCTTTTCAGCTGTTGCCTCGGCTGTCAATAATTCGGATAGTATAGGTGACAGGCGTTTGTTGAGTGTGAAAGAACTTACTATTTACTGCTATGGACAGGCGATGGACATGTTTGTACGACAAATCTGACTGCTAACTCTGACACTGTTTAAAACATTGGGATATCTGGAAAATGGATGATGAGCTATTTTGACCTGACGAAAATCAAGTACCCATTAGGAAACAGGTGGTCAGTGGAAAACCGCACGAGCTCACACCAACAAATAGAGACACAAACGAAAAACATCGAACAACTCTTTTTATGAAACCTGAATTTTTAATTCAAAGACACGTTGTCATTCGTTTGTCAAGTTGATCAAATTTGAAGCAAATAAATAAACCTCCACATCATGAGCTGTGCGCTATGTGGTGTTTTTGCTGATACAACCTCCTACCCTATCTCTGATGGAGGTTTACATAGGTGACTACTCACAGCTCAACAAGTCTAATTAAATTACGACTAATTATTCATGTCAGATTAGACTCGCCTACATCAATAAAAAATCTCCTCACCTAAGATAAATTACCAGTGCTAGATCCCTGCTTCATTTCTTCTCTCCAAATACTCCTCTCGGTCTCAGAAACACCAGGCCCCTCATACACACTTCCATAAAGTCCTGTAGCCCAACCTTTACCATCAGCGGCAGCCTGACTTTCTGTAGGGTTGGATTTCAGATACTTCTTGGACGTGAAGTGTCTTCTGTACCACTTTCCATAGGTGAGAAGGTAATACAACCTGAAGCACAAGAACGCGAATTTATCATTCTCCAGGTCCTCGGGGTATGACGCACCCAGATCCACAGCTGCGGCAATGCCGGACATGACAGCAACTTCATGCGCGTTGACGAGGGTCCACGAAGCTGCAAAGCGAGTGTGGTTCTTTGCGTTGAGAAACATTAGCCAGGGGACAACGAACAGGTAATGCGTGTAACCATGGCACAACTGATGCCACCAGTCCTTGCGGATGATCTTCTCCTCGGCAATCTCATGGTCAGTCCAGAGCTTGCTGTCGCGGTCCTTGTTGAGGTAAATAGTCTGGAAGATGTGTTGATCAAACGGCACCTTTTCGGGGAACTGGCTCTGGTAGTTGGTACAGTCAAAGCACATTTCGAGCTTGGACTTGTCCTCGGGGTACATCTTGATGTAGTACATGGGGCGGTACTCGGTCTTTGCATAATTCAGACGAGAGGATTGGTCGGTGCCGTTGACATTGGCGACAGCCAGATCTTCGCGGTAGAAATTCTCATAGTGCTTCCTCATGTAGTCCGCGTCGTTGTGGGTGATGGTAATGTCGTCGCTGAATTTTGCAGAGCCCAAGACCTTTTTCTCTTTCCAGCTTGCGGTCTTGCCGAGGACTCGCTTGGCTGTATCAGCAAGACAGCAAAGCACGAGCTCATCGTACGTCTCCTCTCCAACGGGCGCATCTGGATCTCCACCGGCAGGGTTGTGATGGTCTGGCATTGGCGTTCGGGGCTTAAGCTTCACAATGACGCCTTTGTTGTTTCTCTGCACAATCTCGGTCAACTCTGTAGACAGGCGGACGGTGACACCGCGTGAAATGAGATCCTTCCGCCATGTGTCGTAGAAGTCTGAGAATTTGGGAAACACAATCATAGGCGGCTGGTTACTGATGACAGTGTTCTTGTCAGATGGATACCACATGCCGTAGGTTGGCGAGGTACACAACCTCTCGAACATGATGGCGGGGACTTCCGGTGTAGCATTGCCAGTTCCCAGGAACAAAGCGGTCATTGGCAGCGCAATAGTGTTTGTAAACTCTTCCGAAAAGAAGAACATTTTGAAGACGAGCTTCAACGGGAGCAGTGCGAAGAAGATTTCGAACCAGCGCATAAACTTGAGAAGAGTCGTCAAACGACGGACTTCCTTTTCATGTCGCACCAGCAGTTTGGTAGGGAAGACATTGTTCCAGAAGATTTCATCCTTGCCAAAGGAAACATGCAGGTTGCAAGGATCTGCGTGGTATCCCTGTCTCGAGAACATGGTGACGGTGTGGTGGAAGATGTATGAACCACCCTGGACTCCTTGGTTGCACCACGAGGCTCCATGGCGCTTTTTGTCAATGGGGATGGAAAATGCTTGTCCGCCGCAGTAATCAACTGCGTCTATGATAGTCACGTCGAACTTATCAGGATGCTCAGACAAGTGGTGTGCTGTGGACATGCTATTCCAGTTAGTATTGTTTTTATGGCGCGTGTCTTTAACTTACCCAGCTGCACCAGCGCCCACGATCAGCACCCTCTTGCGACCATCATTGGCCTTCCTTTCTCCGTTCTGAGGCATAAGTGCGGCGCTGTCGTGCTCGATATCAGTGTTGAAGGCCGTCCGAGACATGGACATGAACCAAATATCCAAAGACTCTTGAGAATAAAAAAGAATACCCTCTCATAATCTCGTGAGAGAGTTTCTTATAAATGCACGGTTATACGCCAAGTCATGACGGGCTTGACTTGAGTGCTGACGTCAATGACTCAGGTGGGCCAGTTACAGGCCCCAGCCTCGCTGAAAAGCCTTGTCTGCTTGCCCTGATTCGAGATTAGAGCCACTCTAGCACCGATCTCCCACGAGCGCTAATCTTGCTTGCCGAAGGGTTTTGTCGATTTGGTGTGCCAGGTTGATCTGAGATTCAAATACCGACCATCAATGTGTCATACGAGTTGAATCCATGTCTAACCATAGAATGTGTTTGGATTGTGAACATGTTGCAGCAATACCACAGAACAATGAACAGCCTCACTCCAGTATGAGCATCACTACTTGTACCGGTCATGCAAGCAGTAGGATTTTAGATAAAACGGCAGCATTATTAAAATACCGCCATAACCTTATTGATTGTGTTCTTAACAGCTCAAATTACAGACGTCATATTCCACGAGTGGTTTTATTTCCGTTCCAAGTCCGCCTCCACAACCTTTAACATCCCGGTAGTCTGGATTTCGGCACTCGTTCCCTTGTCCCTGCTCGTCTATTTCTATTTGTAATAGTTATACTTGGCAAAGTTTACTCCGTACTCCGTATATCTGATACAGATCGACAAAAGTACCCATATAAACAGATAGTGAGATCTACCAACTAATTTCACTGTGGATATGCACTATCCGTTGCTTGCTCAATCAACCATCACAACCAAGACTTGTCCATAAAAGAATAAACCGATAAAGCAAAGATTATGTGTCAATCTTTTGCTTTTCCAGGAGCCAGGAGTCAACAAGCACAAATTGATATGAATATTTGTTCCCCTGAAGATTTGGGGAAAGTGACTGAAGGGATATTCAGTACATGACAAGCCAATGTCTTTTGATTAAATAAGTTTTATAAACTACTCACATAAGAAGATATCTATCAGAGCCTATTCTGTGAATTTATGCTCTCTTATTAGCTATTTTGTTGATTGGAAACGTCCCCTCTAACATTTATGAAGATGTAACGTTAAGACACAAGTATCGCCGCAGAAATGCCAATATGCAAGGGTCTAGCCAGGCTGTGCTGCGATTAACGCTACTGGGCACATCTGGCCAATGGGCTACAAATCACTTTGCGAACCATTTGAGGCCCTCAAAGTCGGCAGATAATGACAGATCAGACGCGACACAATGAAGGCAAAGATACGTCTACTGTTGCATGAATATCTTGAATTGACTGGTATATTTATTCTAGAAAATCGCCGTATACCTAAACAAGGTCGTTCTCTGCTGCCAAAAATCAGGCTGCAGTCTCCCATACAAGCTGTCACTCTGTCAAACCACTCTTAAACCACTATACTCATCCAACTGCGTCATAAGTAGATTGCCATCAGGTTTTTAGTTCTTTCAGGGTCCTGTGAGCCTTGTCGCATCCAAAGCGCCAAATGATTTGCTTTGATTCGCCTTGGCTGATATGGCGTTGAACTATTGTCTCGATAGCCCCAAATTCTGCAAGTCAGTCAGCCTTTGATTCGCCACTATCAAGTCACAGCCCATCCTTGCAGGTGTTAGTGGCTGCCTCGTTGGTTGCCAAACGGCTGAGACGTTAGGTTGCCTCGTCTGGCTTTGAACATAAATACGTTCAACATGCAGTTTATTTCTTGTTACGTTGTGTCCCGTGAAGCTTTGCCATATATCGATTGACGAGATGAATTCTTCAATGTCCCCAACATGGTGGCTTTTCTGTGTGACACTCTTTATGTGTACAACACCAATATTTGCTCGATTTATCGACTATCCCCTGCAAACAAAGGCCGTGGCTCGCCAGGCTGCGACAGCCGATGCTCCCGCCATAACCGAAAGGCGCGAATTCCGAATCGAGGCGAGATCTGCTGAGAGCATTCCAACTTACACAATCACATACGCCCCGGACTCCGTATGCGGTTACCTATCTGGCACGGCTGAAATACCAATCACATGCGAGAACAAGAATATATGCCTGTGGGAATTGGAATACTTCAAATTCATCGCGTGCGAACTCAAGGGTGAGACGACCGGAATTGCTCGGACGACATGTCTGGCGAAAGATAAAGCTTTGAATGCGAGTTTGTGCCAAGATAATTGCATTAGCAACACATATAATCTACTCTGGTGAGTTACTCTTATTGTTTCGCCTGCTGGTAAACACTTGCTAATGAATCTTTAGTACCAACGACACTGCACCGTTCTGCCGTACGTATGCGTATCCTTCGGGTGTATTCGACTACAGATGCGACTCAACTCCGGCTGGGAGGAACTTCAGTGTAGACTTCACCTTTAGCGGACAAAAGCATCCAAAGTGGGTTCTGTCCACGATTGCAGATGGAGACACCGCGATACAATCAACAACTCCCAGTTCCACAACTGATTCCACTTCATCCACTTCATCCACAGGAGAACAAGCAGCAACAAGCTCGGCATCTACAGACCCAAAAGAGAAGAAAGGTCTCTCTAGCGGAGCCATAGCTGGGATTGCTATTGCGGGAGTTGTTATCGCTGCACTCGCTGTAGGGTTCTTTTTGTGGCGTCGACGGACACCGACACCGATACCGCAAGGTAGTGATGCCCAAATGGGCTTGGTTCCTCCCAGGGACGGGCAAAACCTTCAACGGCCTGTATCTCCGCCAAATCAACAGCCAGAGGGTGTTCGTGGGCTTCGAGGATGAGCTACATAGTGTGCAAGAATCTATCATGGAATGAGATCTAACTACAAGCCACAGAAGTGTGCAGGACGTGATTATATGGGGAGCTAGCAGGGTAAACAGTACTGGTAATTGTTAGTGGCAGAGATGATGTGAGATTTGGACAACAGTACCCTTTTCATAGACAGTAGACTATTTACATAACTAATGATCCTTCTGCTTTTGGGTGTCCAATGAGTGTAGACCCTGTCTTTGCATCGATGCCTTAAGTAATAATAATACTCGATGTTTATGTCTTCAAATATTGATTTGACATTCGAGACGCCTTTGGAAGTGAAATCATGAGATGCTTCTACGTTAGATGTCCGTGCTATAGCCTATTCATCTGATGGTCAACGAGTTGTCTCTGGTTCTGCAAACAGCATAGTCAAAGTGTGTTTGGGGTGGCAACTGCACATGCGAGTACAGAGCTCATTCTTCTGATGCCGGCATAATGGCTATCACGACTGAGAGTTGAAGGTTCGTATGTGATTTTAACTGGGTCATTGCTAGAACTTGAGATACAAAGAAAAAGGTCTACTCTCGTATATTCAATGGCTATGAAGACAGAATTAGGTCTGAAACCGAACAGTCAATGGTTTGCTCCACCAATATCATATGATGGCGAGATGTTGTCTTACATGGCATTGACTGGGCGGTATGAGCTACTCGCAAGTGATACGGCCACGGCCATGGTGTAGTGAAGAAAGGACATTGGGTCGCGCATCAGATATTAAGTAGATTTATATTTGTGGTAAGAACTCGCTAGTGGACTCTAAAAGCTAAAGATGAGAGAACAAGGGGAGGTTCATTTGTAGTTAGATCTATAGCTTTCTCAACGGAGGGCAGTTCTTAGCGGTTGTATCTACTCTACATATGCTTTTTGACAAATAACGAGTTCTCCGCTTGAGAGAGTTTGTAGAAGGACATTGTTTGTTTTTTCTGGGAAACATTGATATATTTCGCCGAGATATTCAACAAGGTCAATCAATCATCAAGCAATGACGGGTGCGTGCCAAGTTCGTAGAGACTGAAGACATTACCCTATCAAAATAGCCAGGCTATTGCCAGGTCGCTTCTTATACATACAGGATAGTGTTGATGCATGAGAGGCTTAGGTGATTGTTTTCATTCGTTGCTATTTGTTTTTTTGTTTTGTTTTGTTTTGTTTTTTTCACTGTGAACAACGAGAGGCTGTTTATGCTTAATAAGACCCCGACGAACATGTGAGCAACGAAAAGGCCCTATTGACAACGTTACCGCCACTTTTATAGGAACTCGGATATTTAGAGTCACGATCGGTTCTTTATTGGTCCACGGTGCTTTTTCTTTAAGGCGTTGAACTTTGCATGATGATACAAACCCATCAACGGTTGGCGCCATGGAAATCAATGTCAAATGATTCAAATAAAGTCTCACTCCGGGACGCCCGACAAGCCAACAAATACAATAGTTCCTGTAATTCTTCAAAGAAAACATTGGCAGCCTTTTTCTTATCATAATTCTTCTGGGATCATAGATTACCTACCCTTGAGCTTATTGCAATTGGATAATGAGTCGTCACATTTACGTGTACGAAAATGGATCTAGACCGGAAACAACAGATCGGCATCCGAATTGGCTTTCTTGCCGCTCGCCCCGTGATAGCCTAAACAGCTGCCTAGGTCGATTGCTACACACCCTGGGGATACGTAGCCGGTTTGTCTCACATGGTTAGCTCAGAAGAAGCTCCGTCCCAATCAAAAGCGCCCGGACCTTGTCGAATGACATCAACGATCCTGCCGGTGTGTCTCAATGATGACTGGATCCATTGGACTCTGAACATTTTGTGTGACGCGAGATGTAATGATCAGAGAGATGAGACGATGAGGATGGCTGGTAGGTATTTCCCCGCCATTACTTTACTTGAGCATTCCGTTGCTATCTTCGCAATATTAGAAGCGTCACGTTACGCAAACCTGTAAAAACATCACCCTTGACGATTAAACGAGCCACGACCATGTCTACCGACACAACAAAACTCCCTGGCGACGAAATACCGACCTCTGAGCTAGGGGACTCACATCGCCATGGCTCCAACAACGCCCTCCTCTACGGCCTCGAAGGCTTGACTCTCTACGAAAAGAAATGCGTCCTGATCAACCGCGAGATCGACAACCAGGGCATGGGCAAATACCAGTGGTACATCTGGACGCTGTGCGGCTTCGGATACCTGCTTGATCTGCTGTGGGCTCAGGCCTTCGGTCTGGTGCTGGGGCCGCTGCAGCAGGAGATGGGTTTCGGGAATGACGAGACGGGCAATATCTCGACCAGTTTCAATGCTGGATTGACAGCTGGAGCTTTTATCTGGGGTTTTCTGGCAGATATTATTGGTATGATGACTCTTGGCTCGCTTGCCGTTCAGCAGGTCCTCTACCTGGAGATCCCACTCTGCTGTGCACGACATCAACTTACACTGTTTAGGTCGTCGCTGGGCATTTAACTTGACGTGTCTTTTTTCGTCCGTCTTTGGACTTTGTCTAGGTGCATCCAATAATTACAACACCTTTCTCATCCTGACTGCGTTTGTTGGGTTTGGTGTTGGTGGAAATATTCCCATCGATACAACCATCACTCTTGAGTTTATTCCCCAGGTCAGTCAGTCCCAGTCAATGAGCCCCACCAGCTAACATTTACAGAACAAACGCTTCCTCTTGGCCTGTCTCTCCGTCTTCCAACCAATTGGAGTCGTCATCTGCAGCGCCATCGCCTTCGGCTTCATCCCAGTATACGCCTGCTCACCCAACTTCTCCGAACCAGATGCACTACAGTCGTGCAAACTTCCCAACGCCGGCGCAAACTGCTGTAGCCGTGGCGACAACATGGGATGGCGATACCTCCTTTTCACCATCGGCGCAATCACCCTACTTGTCTTTGTTCTTCGGTTTTTCGTGTTCGACTTCCACGAGACCCCAAAGTTTCTTGTTTACCGTGGTAAAGACGCCGGGGCCATCGACACCCTTCAGCACATGGCCAAGGTGAACAAGAAGCAGTGCGGACTCACCTTGGAGCTTTTTGAATCCCTCCAGTCGGATGACAGCTCTGTTGGTAGCGGCAATAGCTCTACTCCGGTTTTGGGAGCTGGAAGTAAGCAACTCAACATGCCGCGGTCTCAGAAGCTCAAGCTTGAGATGTCTCGGTACAAGATGCTGTTTTCTAGTGCCAAGATGACACGGCTCACAATTCTGGTTTGGCTGACGTACATCATGGACTACTGGGGTTTTACTGTCGCTGGTAAGTCAATATCGCAATGAGCGATAACAATACTAATCAGCTGTTAGGCTTTTACTTGCCAAAGATTCTTGCAGAAAAGAATGGTGCTGAAAACGTCAGCCTCACATCTACCTACGCTGCTTACATTTACACTTACGCACCCGGCATTGTCGGAGTCCTCCTCGGCGCAATGATGTATCGCGTTCCAGCCTTTGGTCGAAAGTGGACCATGGTGATTTCATCAGCACTTATGGGCATCTCCATTATTCTTTTCTCGACAGTCGACACGCGTGCCAAGAATGAGGGACTATTCACTATGGAGTACTTCTTCCAGTCCATGTTCAACGCTGTTCTGTATGGCTGGACCCCTGAGGCGTTCCCAGCTCCTATTCGTGGCACCGCCTGTGGAGTTGCAGGATTCTGGGGTCGATTGTTTGGTATCGTCAGTCCTTTGATTGCTCAACATCTTTACGGTGACGGCAAGGGGCAGGGGGGTATGAACAGTGTTCTTTACTTGGCTGGCGGCGTCATGTTGGGTTGTGTGGTTACTACTGCTCTCTTGCCCAATGATATGATGGAGAGCAAGGATGAACGGTCATGAGCAACGCTTGCTTATAATATGAGAGCCTACGCTGCGCATACATGCCAAGTCTATGCTGGCTGAGCTGGTAGGTTTTCTTCACCTATACAAATTTTTATTATACACGAAGCATACACAGACTCAAGCGTAGTAATATTTAGATGACTTCGTGAGAGTGCTCAGTAGCTTGAACTGCCAGGGGCTTTAAGTATATATCTTAAACTTACGTCATTCCAGACAAGGCAATATGCATTAAATCTTGGAAGATCCGTCAGAGTCATGCTCGCGACTCAACATGGCCTTCGTGTTGACCCTTTGCACTGTCCATTCCACATCACTGTGATTTGTGGGGCTTATCATGTGTCATCTTAATATTTCAAGAAGTATTTCGGACGGGAGACGTTTAAATAACAAGGTTATAAGCATAATCCAATTTCAAAGACCTCTCTCCATTGAGAGAAAGAATCAGACTCTAGACTCTAAAACCCAGTGTTACGCGCATAGAAGTTACTGATTCGTATGTACCAAGTCTAAAAGTCTGATTGCCTGATGATTGAGTGATTAGATAACCTTATTCGATATCTCGGCGACATCAAGGTTGGACAGATAAGAAACCACCGTTTCCTTTTATACATTAGGGCATTATACCGTATCCTTGAACAAAGTTTCCCTAGACGAGGCACAGTACGCAGTATTATACTTCGACCTTGAACCTTCAGCACAAAGTATTATAAAAACAAGCAATCTTCCCTTGGCATAAGCAACGAAATGGAGATCATCACAGAACCTACCTGGCCCAGCTAGTCTGCATCCTTCAAAGCCCGAGCCTTTGTGTACCTGAAGCAATAAGTCAACCCGGAGTCCTTTTACTTTTTGAAGCAGCTACATACCTGAAATCAGGTAACTACTCAGTATAAAGCGCGAAAGTCCCTCCGCCTTTCAGCTAACACACCACAGCACACCAAGATGCTATTCTCACGCGCACTTCTCCTAGCTGCATCCTTCGTAGCTGCCATGCCTCACAAGCAGTCCACGGAACAAAATGGCGATGTGGTCTACAATGTTTATCACCACGCAGCCATACGATCCAAGCTTTCATTCGTCAAAAACTCTGGGATCTGCGAAACAACACCCGGAGTCAATCAGTACTCTGGCTACCTATCCGTCGGCGAAGACGCAAATATGTTCTTCTGGTTCTTCGAGTCCCGAAACAACCCAAAGACGGCACCTCTTGTGAGTTGGTTCGGTGGAGGACCCGGCTCTTCGTCGCAGTTCGGCATGTTCACACAACACGGGCCGTGCGAGATTATGGAAAACAGCACCGAGCCAACGTTGAGAGAGCATAGCTTGAACAATTTTGCCAATGTGCTTTACATCGATCAGCCAATTGGCACAGGCTTCTCATATGGCGATGGAGGAGCGGTCAATTCTACTAAGGCTTGCTCGCCATATGTCTGGAACTTTGTACAGCTGTGGTTCGAGGCTTTTCCAGAGTATGAGAACCGACAGCTTTCGGTATTCTCTGGGTCATACGGAGGACACACGGGTACAGATATCGTCAACTATATCCTCGACAAGAACCAAGAGATCAAGACAGGGGAAACCAGCGGAGATGTGATTGAAGTTGTTGCTTTGGGTGTCATTAACGGCTGGTTCGACGCAAAAATACAGGAAAAGGCCAATATCGATTATGCCTTCGAAAACCCGTACAGACCTCTTATTGACCAGTTGCTCTATGAAAAGCTCATGGCGGAGTACAACACATATATAGCCCCCGGTATAGACACATGCGAGAAGACTGGAACAACTGAAGACTGCTATGCAGCTTATAGGGCTTATCAGATCAACATCGAGCAACCCATACAGGCATCGTCACTCAGGGCGTACGATGATTTTTTCATGGCTGATATCCAAGCTGGTGGTGCTCGTCCTCCCACTGGCCATGTTAAATACTTGCAGAGGGCCGATGTTCAGAATGCAATTGGAGCAATGGCTAACTACGCAGACACTGGAAATCCAATGGCTATACTTGGGTCAGGTGATGGTAAGTACTTCATTCTATCCTGAGCTCGAGATTATTGACCCCGAACCAGATGCAAAGTCATTCCTGCCAGAACTCTCGCGTATTGTCCAAGACGGCGTTCAGGTTCTCATCGTGGCTGGTGACTCTGATTATGTGTGTAATTGGGTCGGAAATGAAAGGGTCGCCAATGCAGTCGAGTGGTCTCAACAGAAGACCTTTTCTAACCAGAAGCTTCAGCCTTACACTGTGGATGGCAAAGAAAAGGGAAGCTACAAGTCTGTGGACAACTTGCACTTTGTTCGAGTCTTTGACGCTGGACACAATGTGTGGTGGTATCGTAAGTAGCTACCAGAATGATACAAGTCATCGACTAACGTCATAACAGAACCGGAGACTTCACTACGAATCACTGCACAGCTTCTGTCGAATGATGGTATTTTCTCTACATGAACGATTATCAGGGAGCTGCTTGATCCCCAACCTTGGAAGATTGGGGGCCTGCCTAACAGGAAAGGTCAATGCAAGGGTTGTCAATGTCTCAGTAGATGCCACTTGGGACTGGCTTATCAAGTTCCTCGATCTAGCTAGTGTATTGTAGCTCTTTAACCTGCACACCCCTTAGCACCTGTTGAGCCAATAATGGCGTTCGAGGAGATCAGCGTGTAATCTCCATGTTACCGAGACAACGCCACATTAATTCACAGACTTGCTTGCTTTTAGAACACTGTGTTCTTTGGACTCTATATTAGAAACATTTACTCGAGTATGCTCAGACTACTTTATTTTCTAGTTCAATCGATTCTTTTCCTCTACTAAGTAGATGTCTTTCAGTTCCAAATGGCGAACCGTCGCCACTAAGAAGAAAAGACCGTTAGAGGAACCACACGGTGAAGCTATTTTAGCGTTCGCTTGGAGGCGGGGTAGTGAACTCAAATTCTACTTAACAAGTGCTCCTCCATCAAATCCTTCCTGTTGGGGCACTTTGCTTGCATCTCGATGATTTATCCGTGGAATCGCAATGTCTAGCCATGGCGCACCGCCAACAGATCCCGAAAAACTCGCCTTAGAAGCATGGTCGCAGGGTTGCATGATTGGGGCTCTGATAATCATGATCGGCATCACACTGGTCAACATGCGCCGTGGAGTTTTGCTTCACAAACTTATTCTGATTGAGGTAGGTAAACCCTGTTCTGTTCGTCAGTCATCATCTCATCCTTCTAGCTACTCCTGGCCATGCCGAATGGTTTCTTCATCTTTTTCAGTCCACCTACCTGGGGATGGTACTTATCATCAACGGTCATCTTCTTGATCATCTCGTGGAATTTGCATAACGTCATCGCCTGGATAAAAAACAAACCCTTCCTTTCAAGACGATACAACGCCATCTACATTGGCACAATTATCCTGGCTCAGCCGTATTGGGTTCTTGAGATATACGCAAACTTTACATATTTTAACCCGCCTTACAAACGGTTATTTAAGACAACTCGGCCCTTAGAGGCTCTTTTCCGGTAAGACATCGTCCATTCTATTGTTGGTCTGTAGAATCCAGGGACCGCTAGTGTTGATATTTCTGTGTTTTATTGGGATTGCTGGATCTCTTTTTCAAAGCTGTCACCAGACTCAATACTAATCATACACTCTATTCTTACGATTTCAGCTCTAACATGCTCATAGGGATCCATGGTGGATATTCACAGCGCTCAACCTATTCTGGAACATCAAGTATCGCTACGACTTCAAACCTTTGGAAATCATCCGAGTGTCTCCAAGATTCGGCCTGCTCCTCTTGAGCATGTTTCTGAGCATCGTCTTCATTATCGTTGATCTTTTCTCAGTCATACCCGTCATACATATTGGATATATAAATCCCTTCTGGAAATTCGCTTTCATCTTCAAATGCTTCACTGATACTATTATTCTCGACGACTTTAAGACCGCACTGGACAAATTAAGTCGGTATAAAATGCAGCAAAACTACCCTCTACCGTTCAGCAGACCTCATAGTCAAATACAAGGCCAGCCGCCAGGGTCCAACAGTGTTGACTTTGATCTCGTTTGCCCTGTTGATAGTTCGAGGATGGTTGTTGTGGAGCATTTGGAAAGGAGAAACACTGCAGTTTCTTGTCCGCCAAAGGCAGTAAGAGCTTCAGATGCAGGGCTCATTGGCAGGTTATAGACTACATGTATATTCTTAGCCCTAGCTATTTAGTAAATATTCTAATTGTTCCCAGTTTCCAGCACGATATGTTTTCAAGCCATTGCGTATCATACGTTACAGACTTTGGTGGCTTAAAGTAGATCACCGGCCGATTATTCCTCTCCACACATAGTCAGTCTTCACCAAAGTTCACGCACTGGTACAGTTGTAATGTAATATATGGAATGTATTTAGTCTACTATGTAGAAGAGCGTACAAGACATGAACACCACACTTAAGGTGTGATGTGAACAGTCTTGGACATGCTGGGAACACCCTGGGGCGACATGACAAAGAGGTAGTAGTACCCAGGGAGCAGCACACCGGTATCCTTGGGCAGCTTCACGGTGTACTGGTTACCCTTCACCGAGAAGTTGGTGAGAGGAACACGTCGCTGATCACTATTGACAGAGTGGGTGGCGCTTCCCATACGCACAAGCGACATCTTGACCTTTCCAGAGGTGTTGGCGACCTTGAAGCTGAGCGAGCTGCCCGCCTTGACGGCCTTCTGTGCAAGGTTCTGGATGACAGGGCGATCAGCGAGGGAGCCGTCCTTCTTGAAGAGGTAAGGAGGCGAGAAGATCTCTCCGTCGGCGTGATCGGCTGTCTTGTCACATCCAGCAGTGGAGCCACCGATTTTGGCAACGTAGCAGAGACCGCCACCACCAATGAAGACAGTGGCATCGGGAAGCAGGATGGACACGGAGTGGTAGTTGCGAGGGACGGCGTGGGGAGCAAGCTGGGTCCACTTGTTGGTGGCAGGGTTATACAGCTCAGGGATGAGAATGCCATCAGTGTTGGTGAAGACCATGGCCTTGCGTTGACCTCCTGTGACAAGGACGGTTCCGTCAGGCAGGACGGCAGCATTGCCGAAACCGCGAGGGAAGGCCATGTCAGCAACACGCTTGACAGTAGCAGGCTTGTAGGCCTCGCCGAGAGTGGTGATGTGGGCGTGCTTGTTGGCGTTGCTGTTGGTGTAGTCAGGGGCACCTCCAGCGGAGAGGATCTTGCCAGCAACAGCATCGTACATGACAAAGACACCGCACATGGCGTTGACATCGTCTCTGCGGCCGGACTTGACAACGGAACCCTTTTGCTTGGTGCTGTACCAGTGCTGATCCTTGCTAGGGCCAGCCTGGAAGACACTGCCTCGCTTCCAGCCGAACAGCCAGGCGTGGTTGTCCTCGCGCCAGATACCTTCATGATCCTGGGTGAGCATGGGCTTGACGTCGGCGCCAGTGAGCATGGTCCACTTGTTGGTCTTGGGGTCGTAGACTTCACCGTTCTTACCCTGGCGAGGGCCAGAGTAAGCTCCACCGATGGTGAAAACTCGTCCGTCGGAGAGAATGGTGGAAGTCTGGTAGCCACGGGCCATCTTCATGTTGGGGCCGCGGGTGAAAGTGTTGGACTTGGGGTTGTAGATACTGACAGTGTCGGCATCGGAACCACCCTGGATCAAGATACGGCCATCAGCAAGTTGGCTCATACCAGGGCAGAACATGTCGTGGTGAGTATCGGCGACCTCTCGGGTGCCAATCTTTCCACTAGGGAGATCGAGGGCTCCGAACTGGGTTCGGCCAGAGGCGCCACCGAAAGCATCTTTACCCCAAGATGAGAAGAAAAGAAGCTGCTGGGACTGGGGGAATTGGGGAACAACGTAGGCAGCAACAGGAATAACGGGCAGGCGGAAGATATCAGACCATTGGCCTTGAGTGGCAGGGTTGGAAGTGGTGGGAACATGGACAACACTGAACCTCTTGCTCTGCACCCAGAAGAGGGAAGCCTGGGGCTCGACAGCCTTGATGTGACAGATGTTATCCTGCTTATCGAAGACAGCCTTCTTGCAGGTCTTGATACCAGAGCACAGGTCGGCGCATGCGGCAAGAGTAGTGACACCCTTGATCTGCTTGACAGTTGGGCCAACGTAGTCAGTGTTGTGGCAAACGTTGAAGGTCTTGCCGCTTCTGGAACGGTAGTCCTTGGTAGGAGCAGGGCATCGAGAAATAAAGACTCCCTCATCGACGTTCTTCACACGGATGGTGTCGAAGTTCTTGTCAGCAGCCCAGTCCATGAGGGCCGCATTGTTGTTGTCCTTGACGTGGCAAATACGGCCTCGCTTATCGTAAACAGCCTTGACACATCGAGGATCCTGGTTGCAGATTTGAGCACAGGCGTTGGTGTCCCGGACTTGCTTGACGACCTTGAGACTGCTTCCACCGTTCCTGTAGTCTGTGTTACGGCAGATGGCGTAGTCGGTGCCGGTCTTGGATGTCCATTGGGCTTCCTTGGAGGGGCATTCGGTCAGAGCGGCTGAAGTGAGAGGTGAAATTAAAAGGGCTGCTAGAGCCAGAAATTGAGGTTGAATCATGTTGATTTAAATAGTTGTTGTGTTGTGTTGTAGTGAATGAGTGTTTTGGCTGACTGATTGAGTGAATGGCTTTGGATGAATCAATTAATTAATTGGTGATTGATAATCTTCGACAAGAACGTAATTATAAGAAACGAATGTATGAAACAATTATTGTCTAATTAGAAAGGAAAAACGAAAGGATACCCGAGAAACGAGTGCAGAGAGGTGGTGTCCTGTCTGTCACTTGCAAACAAACGCAGACTCGACGAGGGTTTTATGTTTTAGACCCAACGGCTGCCTCAACTCGATTCTCTCAAGTCTAACCTCTTTTTCCCACATAAAAGTATTCTAAGTTTAGCTCCAACATCCAAGTTGTATGGATGGAAAAGCTATATCTCCCAACCCACCGTTCTGCCCTGCCCTTGCAGTGGGGATTGACCAGAACCTGACACCGTCTAACCTGATTGATGCACGGTCAGATCCACGCCAAGACGTTACCGAGCCCTTTTCTCAGGGAATACGAAGGCTAGAATGCGACTAAGACGGCGCGTACCTGCAGTGGACGAACCCAGGGGTCGTTACGAAAAAGGAGATGATGCTGTTGCTAGGCTGGAAGAGGGCTAGAGCATAAGAAACGAGCTGTATTAGCTCCCGCCTATGTTGCGTCGTGCATGGATATTGCACGATGGTAGCGCCAAGATCTAGCGTAGCAGATAATCGTCCGATAGCGTCCGGAGTTTAATTGCAAGTCCTTCCGTGCACTGCGAAAACGCAATTTTCCGTATTTAAGTTTTATTTTATTCATCACTTAGATTCCGTACAGGAAACGGACCTTTACAAACTCATCAAGGTGGATTTGGTAGATGGGCCTGATGGTGTTTTGGCGCCGCTCTTGAAAGGGTCAAGCAGTTATACCCCATCCCTGTTATAGTGAGAAGTTCATGATAAGAACCTTCCTTAGGAGTGAGTGGCTAGGCTGAAGACCCTGTTTGTTTTAAGCTCGGAGACTAATATCACCGGCTGATAATAAACCTAATTCTATCTCTGTCCGACCTATGACATTGTCACCAAATACCTCAGGTGTAAGGCTGTAGGGTAATCGACAAAGCTTTAACTCTACACCATTGACTAAACTACCTTTGCAAGTCGCTAAGACAAGTGTTGTTAGTCTGCCTACCATGTAGAGACAGCGGTGTCTTCTAACGTTACGGCACTACGGTATCCAATGGGTATCGGAGATTTGCGCTTTGAAGAAAATCATGTAAATCACAATTAAACTTTAAAGCCACGTTTATCGTGATACGAGACAGGTTATGAGAAATCGACGCAGCACGGACCGATACACTTGAACTCGAACTCGGCCATGCGGTTACTTCTTGTTCGTCGTGTTGAGTCTAAGTCGCTGCGGATGAACCAGATAGTTATCTTTGAATTGACTCTGTTGGTTCTCGAGGTTGTATCTCTTGGTTATGTCGATCGTCTCTTGGTCGCTTGGGCAACATGAAACGCTTTTCAATCTTCATGATGAACAGTTCTATATTTTCAAAGACCCTCGGATACCAGAAAAAGTTTAATTGTGTCTCGACGAGGCGTGAAATATTATGTATACTGCTTGTTGGCAATGGCGTCGTTTTTTACAGCTCACAGGTTAGGTACCTAGACAATACTACATAATCCAAGTAACCGATTGGACCTTAATGTACCCTAAACTCCACGACCTGGCATCTTTTGTCGGCCCTAATCGCCCTAGTATTTCCTCATAATGAGAATATGTCTTCTTCAATCAATGACGTGGTTTGTACACCTATGAACCACTATACATCCATATACGAAAAAAGAAGAGTCCGACAAGGGTGACGGCATTGAATACAGCAGCGATAGTCACTGAAAAGATAACAGCCATCCCAATTGGTTAAAAATTACTGCTGTTCATCTGTTGGCGCTGTTAATGGACTGGATGGAGAAAGTATGCTTAGTGGTAGACGAGTGGCTCCAGCAAGCCGCATGTCGACCACCTAGAAGAGAACTTTGCCCTGGAAAGACACTAAGCTGAAAGGTCTGTCTGTAATGCCACAGTCCTGTCCGCAAAAAGGCCATGCTTTAAGCCAAGGCCGGCTCTTGTTGGGATGAGTAGCCGCCGGAATGACGCGTTTAATTACGCGATTCACGACGCGTCTAGATGCCCTTACCACAACCATCGCTTTACGCACTTCAAAACTCTCATAGTAGCACTGCATGCATCCCCTGAAATTAAATGAAGAAGTCTAGCAATTCTAGGAGCAGATGCTTTCCTCTTTATGCGGACATGACCATTTCTCTGTATTCAGGGCACGCGCTGATCGAATAGAACTCACGCCCCATTTAAACATCGGACTAACTATTTCTCCGCCCAAACTCCGCTCCCTGATGTGACTCCCACTCGCTTCGCTTTCACGAACCCTTTCCTTTCTTCGCGATGGCTTCATCTCCACACACTCAACCACATCCTCAGTCGTTCCAAGTATCTCGTAGCCTTGGATTCCTCTTCTCGATAAACCACCTCCAGCGATCTTTTTTGCCCTCCCCATGCGCCGCGTCGTCACCAGCCCTCAAAAGAAACGCACCCAAAAGAGTTGGTGAATCACGCTACAGACCATCTAAAATTCCGACTTGCACCCTTCAAACGAGCGCGTTCTCGCCTCCTTTGCTGGAACAATCGGGGTCTGTAGAGGGGATTTGTTGATGCTTGCAGCTTAGTTCTGGAGCTCAACAAGTTGCCCGGCAGTGAAGCTGACTTCTTTTGGTAAGGTTCTGTTGGTCTCTTTCTGGGAGACTGTACAAGAGTCTTGGTTCATTCTTGCAGCTTAGTTCTGGAGATGATCGAGTCGCTTGGCAGCAAAGCTGATTCTTTGAGGTGCTGTCGCGCGCTCGCTTAGGTACGTCTGCTCTTGTTGCTAACCGTTAGGTCGCTTTCAATCGATATGACAACTTTACCGACTCTCGACATTCATAAGAGCACGCCTGCTGTTGTCACATGGCAATGGAACGATTCGACGTGTTACTTGGCCGAGCCCGACCCTCAAATCAAGCGTGTAACATTTACCACTCGCTTCGACACGACATGTGCCTTCTTTGAGCTGAGCATACCCATCAAACTCAAAGGCATCAAAACCTCTTCATCCATCGTCCTTCGAATCCCCCCTTCCTCTATCGCCTCTTTCGACTTTGTTTCGTCTACGACGGCCCCCGAAGTCATACATAGCAAGTTCAACTCGACTACAGTTTGTCTTGACTTGCAGCTCAACCAACATATACAAATCCTTGTTCCCGCAGACTCTCATGAACCGTTGCATCCGATACGAGCACAGGGTGGAATAGTCCTTGATGCTGTTCGTCAGTTAGCAAATGTCACCTCATTTTCCATCTACATTGAAGCACTCGCGCTTTCGAACACGCAGTTACAATCTGTCCGTGATGTGATAAGCCAAGGTCTCGCACCGGTGTATAACGATGATCTTGCTAGCATGTATGGAGGCTCGGGAGCCAAGATCATCAATCTTCCTGTCGATCCCATGTTGTTACCGCCGCCAACTTACGACGAAACCGAGCCTCCACCTCCCAGCGCCCCAATCTACGACAGGAAACGATATCGCAAAGATAGCCGAGACGAGCGTAACGAAGATGTCGCCTTAATCTGGGCCCAGCTTACAATGATGCAAAACGATGATGCACAACGGATGAAAGAATTGAAGCGGGAGAATGATGACCTCAAGTACGAACTAGCAGAGCTACGTGATAAGTTCACAACGCTTCTGGCCCGGCAAAAGAACTTGGAAGAGGAGTTCGGGGCATTGGAGACCTCAACACAACTTAGAATGGAGGACTTGGGGGATGAAATGAGTGTCAAGATGACAGAATTAAATGAGGATACCCAAGCGTTGAGCCTCCGGGTTGATCACATCGAAGAGGAGCACGACGAGGATGAGTTGGTGGATAAAACGAAGGATAGAGTTCTTGACCACCTCAGAACATCTATGTCTGTGTCTATTGACTGAGGGATCGTCGCCATGTTTCGTCAAGTTGATCGCTTGATCGTGCTCGCCGTCCATCTGTTCCACAAGACGTGGAACGTCCCCGACTGCTTGCAATCATGCGCGGCGCAGGAAGGCGAATGATGCGCGACTCCAGGAAAACGGAGCGCGATTATGTCCTGCGCAACGTCCGATCCGTCAATCAGGGCACGCCCTTCTTTCGGATTCATGAGTGTAGGTGTGATGGGCCCAGGCACGCTGTTCCAATAAGTCCACCTCCTCACCCACGCACGAGGTTCAAGGCCTTGTCGTTGCAACACCCCCTTCACCACAGCATCTAGCCGACTCCGTCCCCATCTTCATGGCCCTGCTAGGCTCTGCATAGCATCTCAGCAGTCTGTCTGCTGCTCATCTGTGAGACCAGGCCTAGGAACGTTGAGGCATGTCAGTGGCTTGGCATGGAAGGGATATGAGGTACTGCGAGATACCACGGACTCCGCCGCAATGCTGGCGCCTGCTTTATCCTCTCCATGCTGGCCGGGCTACTTCAGCGAGGAACACTGTGCAGGTTAGTGCTTGGTAGTGTCTGGCTTGGTCGGCACGAACTGCCCAGCCTCATCTTACCACGGTACGGCAGTGGAAGCAAGACCAAATGATATGGGAACCCCTACCACAAGAGTGAAGTAGAGTCTGGGGGGCAATAGCTATTATGGTTTCAGGCTCACCATGTTGCAACGAGGTCAATGTATGTAAGGGGAGGCCTGTCTTGTCGAGAGGAAACATTATTCACCCTGTGCAACCACTAGCAAGAAGCGTCGCTATCTCCTCGTTTATTAGCGTCACTATCTTGCATAATAACACCATTGTCCAAACCCAGTCACATTGCCACCTGATCCTATCCGTAGAATACTGTCAAAGCGGCACTCTTGCCACCAAATACATACCACAACTACACTTTAGAACAAATCGCCCACAGCTGTGCGTTGGCCCGGACTTTACCTCTGGACGTCGGATTTAAGACATGAAATGATACTCAAATCTCTCCAGCTTTGATGCTGAGTTGGAGCTAATGACAGGCTGCTCTATGCTACCCTGACCCGGATATAAGCTGAAGAATGATCTTAAGTCCAGGACCGGGTGTTTTATTATAACAACCGATGCCGATAGGCCTAGGTATTAAAGCTTAGCATCTGTAACTGTATTTACTGTGATCAGGTGCTGAGTTCCAGGCGCATACAGTTGACATATGTCTGCATTTCTACTCTGCTGATCAAATCATGACTTCAACAATCGCTACCCAAAATCGATCAGCAGTGCTGCCTCATGTCAAGGCTCACCCCATGATCATTACCACCTCACCTATCTCGAACCCTACAGGCAGCGACGTCCTTATTCGGGTACGAGCTGTTGCAGTCAACCCTGCCGACTACGCCGTGCAGAAACTCGGCATTGTTGTTAAGCACGAGTACTATCCCTACGTCGGCGGTATTGATGTATCAGGAGACATCGTCTCTGTTGGTCCTTTAAACGCAAGGTTCAAGCCTGGGGACCGTGTGACAGCCCATGCATCAGCGTGGCAGACGGGGGAGGCCAAGTACGGTGCCTTTCAAGAATACTCCATTGTCGATGAGCCTATGGTGGCCAAGATCCCGGATTGTGTCGCGTACAATGAAGCAGTTGTTCTTCCATTGGGGCTCACAACATCGTCGGCTATGCTGTTCAGCCCTGAGTTGATGGGGCTCGATTTGCCCAAAGTTGGTACCCGGGCGAACTCGACAAAGAAACTTGTCTTGGTCTGGGGTGGTAGCTCAAGTGTTGGCTCGAATGCTATCCAGACTTTGAAGGCAGCTGGATACATTATCGCGGCCACGGCCAGCGAGAGAAACCACGGCATGTTGAGGGAGATGAACGTTGACTATGCTTTTGACTATAATAAAGATGGTGTTGAGTACGAGATCACGGAAGTGTTGAGTGGAGTGGGAGAGCTGGCAGGAGTCTACTGCGCTATCTACTCAGAATCTGCCATCCAGGCCTGCGCACGTATTGCAGACAAGCTGGGAGGCAAGAGAGTGGGAACAGTCATGCCGCCAGGCCTGCCTATTCCTGGAGATTTGCCGGACGGCGTGGAAATTCTCATCAACGATCGTATTCATTTTGGATCTACAGAGACTGGGAAAGCACTGTGGACTGAGTGGTTATCTGGCGCTCTGGAGGATGGAAGTATGAAGTGTATGCCTCACCCCGAGGTTATTGGAAAGGGACTCGAGAGAATCCAAGATGCTGTCGATGCAATTGGTAAAGGCGTGAGTGGAAAGAAATTAGTCGTGGAGATTTAAAGCTCTCACTCGTGTCTTATATGACTTGGTTGTTGAATAGGGTGAGTATGCACGTTGAGGCTTGGGAGCTTTTTGTGCATGCTTTTAATGAGTGAGTGCCATAATAGGTAACAAATTGCTGGAGATCGTCTTTTATTCCTCTCAACTGGGAAGGAAACTATATCTTGTTTGTTACGGTACTTACGATGGGGAGCCTACATGTGCGATTATAGCTGGCAAGGTCAATGCATCAACCTGTCCCGTAATCAATGCTGGATAAAGAAAGGAAGTGTAGTTGCGGCTTGGTGTCTTACTTCATGGTATTTGACTGCCACGTCATTTCGTTTAAGACGCCTCGCAGCAGCGAAATAACCGAAGATTTCAGTGGATAAGATTGGCTAGTTCGCCAAACCATTTCATTAGAGTGCCATCATCAGCCTCGCCATATACAAAGCGCATCTAAGCCTGCCGAGCCTGCCAAGTTACGCTGAGGCTGAGGCTGTAGCGGTTTGTCTTTGTCCTGTCAGCATATCCACATGCACGAAATGATTGGATTGTTCGCCAAAGCTAACCTTGTTATGGACGATATCTTACTACAGCACGCATAGCCCATGGTCGTATAATCACTAGGAGCATCCCCTGTCAACTTCATATCCAATGAAACCAGAGGAACTGGAGTCGGAAATAAAATCTGAACGAGATGGTGCCTGGTCTGGAATATGGCAGATTTAGCTTTCACCTAATAGGCTTGATAGTTTTCAAGGGAAGTAGGACTCAAACGCTGCACATTGGAATATAAATACACTCAAGAGCCCAGTGTTAATCTGCTTTCTTCCAACATTCATCATCAGCCAGTCTTCAATTTCACAAATTCCGTAATCTTTCACTTTTCTTTTCTTATAAGCTGGTATAAGGTGAACAGATACAAACATGAAGGTTTCTTCTGCCCTGTTGCTTCTCACCACAGGGCTCACAGCATTTGCCCAATCTTTCGTATCCCCACCCAAAAACATCAAAACTGTGCTATCCGAGAAGTTCAAAGGAGCAAGCATCTCGTACAAGAGAGTCAACAATGTTTGTGAAACGACAAAGGGTGTTGACTCATACTCTGGATACGTGCACCTCCCAAGCTCCTTTGTGCCCGATGCTGGTGGCGCGAAAGGGCTGCCCGAGAATGGCAGCGTGAATTATTTCTTTTGGTATTTTCGTAAGTAGAGAAGGAGTTTGACACAAGTACCTTTGCCTTGGGTATGGTGCTGATGAGATAAATTTGTAGCGGCTCGAAATGAACCACAGAACGCTCCGACTGCGATGTACTTTGGCGGTGGACCTGGGTACAGCGGATTTGATGGATCGTCAGTCTTCCCTTGCTTTTTCAATCCCGACTCGAACTCAACCACACTGAACGAGCACTCTTGGAACAACAATGCCAACATACTCTACATCGATAATCCTTCGGGAGTGGGTTTCTCGTACACAACCTTAGCCAACGGAACACTTGATACCATGACGAATACATTCGAACCTGCCTACAAGAACAATAGTACCACGGAGTCTATCACCGATGTTGACGAACTCAAAGAAATTGGTCTTTCAAAGATACCAGCCACGATGCATGTGACTGATCCATCCACTACTATCAATGGCACAAGGGCGGCTGCCAGTACAATCTGGAGGTTCTCCCAGGTTTGGTTCAACGAGTTTCCTGAGTACCGCACGAAAAACAAAGAGATAGGGATCTGGGGAGTTTCGGTAAGTGAAGATTGCAGTCAGAACTAGTTGGTTCTAATTCGACTGACTTTGTTGATAGTACGCCGGTCTTTACACCACCATGTTCACCACCTATTTCCTTCAACAGAATAAGCTTATTAAAGATGGGAAGCACGAAATAAAAGAAGCAACCGAACTCAATGTGAAAACCGTGGGTATCATAAATGGCTTGACGGATATTGAACCTATGGCTTTAGGGTGGCTGGACTACGCCATGAACAACACGTACGACCACCCCATGATCGACGAAGAGACATATAAAACTCTCCTGACCTCGATGACGGATCCGAAGGAGGGCTGCTTTGCTCTTCTCAATTCTTGCAGAGCTGCTCAAGCTCGAGGGGATCCAGAAATGAAAGGCAACGATCCTGTGGTCAACAAGGCCTGTGCAGCAGCCTCGGTTACATGTCTGAGCATTGCTTTCGAGAGTGTGGACAATACAACACTTGTAAGTTATCACCTCACAGCTGACATTACCTGTACAGATCGAGCAACAGTGTATTAGAATGTGATGCTGATGCAGTTTGTCCCAGTACTACCCGTTTGACATCTCGGTCGAGAAACCCGGGTCATCTCCTGACGAGTACGAGGCAGCTTTCTTCAACCAGAAATGGGTACAGGAAGAGCTCGGTGTGCCCCTAAACTACACAAGAGGCAACGATAAATTTCCCGAGGTATTCTTTGGAGCAACAGGCGATCCGGCTCGCTATGACCTCTCGCACTTGGGCAAGATTCTGGATAGTGGCCTCAACGTGGCTATGGTGTATGGCGACCGTGACTATCGCTGCAACTGTGAGTAACTTCGAAGCCCAGGGGCCAACGTGTGCAGAATATGTGTCTAACATGAGCGTCCTTTTTATCTAGGGTTCTCTGCTGAGAATGCATCCCTCCACATCCCTTTCAACGACGCCAAAGCATTCGCCAGTGCTGGCTACGCTGATATCATTACCAACTCGTCCTACAAAGGCGGTCTCGTCCGTGAGCACGCCGGTCTTTCTTTTTCTCGCGTCTTTCAAGCTGGCCACAGCGCTGGTGGGTACCAGCCTGAGACAGTTTCCAGAATCTTTGAGCGTGCCATGTTCCGGAATGACGTGGCAACGGGGAAAGTCAAGCTCACAAAGACGGGAAACTACCAGACAAAAGGAAAGCTTGATGTGCGAGATGTTAGGAATAAGCTGCCTGCATCTCCAGAGAATGTTTGCTACGTTTTACAGCCAGCTGGTACCTGCACTGAAGAACAAAAGACGGCTTTGGTCAATGGAACGGCAGAGACTAAGGATTGGGTCGTCACTTCACCAAAGGGAGTGAAGGGCGGGGAAGAAGGCAAGGAGAAGAATGGCAGTGACACTGAGGAAAGCAAAAATGGGAAGGACGGTGATGTGAAAGCAAACGTTGCTATGGGTCTGGGTTCCAGCTTGGGCCTTACTATGGCTTTTCTAGGTGTCGTGGTTGTGCTTTTGGGGGTTTGAGACGTGAGACTGAGATGATGAACATGGAATAAAGCTGGGAATTTAATTAGTCGTGGATAAATTAAATACAGTTGATATAGTCCAGTCACTATTAGATCTACCCCCGAATCAAGGACCATCTGGTTAGTCGGTAGCACCACGCCATGTTTACCACGTATCTCCGAACATCAAAACTTCACCACCACCTCTCTTACTCGACCTGGTTTGACTGAACTCACATTGGGATCTGTAGACATCAACAGGCGAATACCAACGCGTGACTGATTTACACCAACCAGACCAAGTATATCCTTCACCCGATGCTCCTCAGGAATAACGGGCATATCGTGCCAGGTCAAAGTAGTTGGGATTTCCATATCAGGCTTTGACCAGATACTCCACGGAAGTTTCAAGGCAGGACTACTGAGTATAGTCGAAACGTAGTCGTTTAACTCGAAGGGGCTTAAATTTTCCTCCTCCACGTCCACAACTGCCTTTATAGTAGGAGCCGTCATTCGACTACTCCACATGCCTTCAGTCCGACTCGCATTTGCGAGAATGACCAGACCAGCACGTCGAAGTGCGCGATGCCGGCACCGATGGATCATTGACCAGAGAGGAGCCACGAGCCCTGGTTCAAGACTCAGCGAAGACAACCGACTATCACTCATACTTTTGCTTGCTGCTGAGGCTATCTTGATACCGTATTCAAAGTGACCAAGGAGTGAATCGAACCGTGTCTCGCCTCCTATCGGCGTTGCCTTGATAAGTATTCTGGCTGTGACATGCCATAGGCGGATACAGAGTCTGGTGGTTTCGTCACTAGGTCTTGGGGGATGTATACTTTCGAAAGATGCCATTCTGTTTTCCCAATGAATCAAACGCCGTAAGAAGGAGTTTTGGGTTGTGAGCCAAGGACCATAGGCCACACTCCCCTGGAGATAGTCATCGTCCAGGATCATGTAAGTTCTGAACAGACCAAATATCTCTGCGCAGATTTCTTCGTACGACACACCTTGAATAAGTGGCAGTGCAAGAAACTTGGCTACAGGAAAGGCGATGGCTGTCGTCTCGTATGGATACGGTGGACTGGATTCACTGAATGCCATTGCCTGGAGGTCGAGTTTCATGAGTGTCGACTCAACAACGCGGAGACTTGGTGCAGGATCCTGCTTTGACGAAACGATCTTCAGACCAGCCATGAGGTGCTTTTGCATCTCAGGCCACCTCCCTAGTAAACAAGCGGCAGAGACGAGTACAGTAGCCAAGGCAGCGATCTTTGGCTCATCAGTCAAGTCCTGGGCGAGACCCAAGGCCTTGCCATAGTGAGTCTCAGCACGGCGTACCAAAGATTGCTCATCAAGGCCCCTAGAGTCCCTTTCCAGTATTCCTGTCCTTCTGTGCAGCGCCCCAATAGCGAGGGTTGCGTGCCAAATGGCTGGTTCATTATGGGCCAGTTGCATAACAGTTTCGCACCAGAACGAAGACGGGAAGACTCCACACGTGCTGGCAACTGTGGCATGGCGGAACATATCGAAGAATATTGAGTCCTCAGGTGTGACCGGGTTTGATACAGGATTGCTGGACGAGGGACTCTGTGCTAGGGCACGCGACACCGGCCCAACAATATTGAGACTACGTACAGTCTCAGCGAGTTGCCGACGCGACATATTTACTTGATTGTTAAGGTAGCCATCACAGACCCTCTTCGACCTGAGGCATTTGTTGCATTGGGGTTTTGCTTCGTCGCATTTTATTTGGCGGATCCTGTCACCACGGGTCAGAATCCCTCACTCTCATGGCCGGGAACCATGCGCTACGAGTGGGCAAAAAAAATATAGACTTCATAACTGCGTACCTGCATGTAATGCATCCGGTGTTTGTTCTAGATGCCATTCAAATGTCTTGTGTAGGTTCAGATCTGGGTAAAGGCGAGGGGAGTTATGCACGCGTAAGATTGATTTAGCTGCGTAAGCTGGCATTTCTGGATAACGAGGCTGACTCTTCGCCAAGGCGAGCTCTGATTACATACGTCCGCTTATGCCAAGGGATGTATTTCGTCATGTTTGCGAAATGCTATTTAACCTGCAGCATCTTCAGAATGATATGGGCTGCCATTACTACTAGACGTGACTATGAGTTGGAATTTGCTACCTTCAAGTACCTACATTACAGTAGTCAGAAAGTGGAAAGGCTTGATTTCCAACTAGGGCTATGCCACCATGTCAGGAGGATTTATTGTCGTATCTTTCTATTTATACAAATATACAGTTTCGTAACTATTGTAAAACCGAAGCAGTAACTAGTCGTCATCAGACGAAAACTCCTCAAAATATTCAACCTCTTCTCCCTCATCATTCACATTCACATTCTCTTCCTCATCCTGCTGCTTTGAGCCCTTCCCGTACCTCTGTGATCGTGAAGAACCTCTCTCGTCGTTACGGGAAAGAGAACGCTGAGATCGCTGGTCGGACTGTGACATCTTCTTGACCTTTCTCTGTGCTCCATAATCCTTCCTCACGCCTATCACTTGTGTCACCGCCAGGTCCTCCGTTTGGTCATCGTATCGAAGTGACCACTGTTTGGCGAGGTGGCTGTCGTTCCCTCTGGTAGCGCTCAGGTAATCCTCAAAGTCTCTTGCCGTCTTGGCGATGTTGCGGAAATTATCTATCGTCAACCTTACCGATCGCTACTTCTTGTCGCGGGTCACAATGTCCTCTTCTTTCGTTCCCTGAGCCTGAGCCATACTTCTTTCCCGGTCGTGGTGACCAAGGGCTATGGCTAGCTGGAAGGCGTTGCGGATCTGACGTCCGTTCCAGGACGTGTCCGTTTTCTTATGTGTTTCGTAGTGCTGGCTAGCGAACTTGAGAAGAGCATTTCTATCGAATTTGATCTTGATAGCTGCAGTCTCATTCTCTTTTTCGATACGGTTCAGGATCCCTTCCCATATCTCCTTGGTTTCCTTTGCCTTGATAGTGGGATAGGCCAAGGGTACATGTACTCGTGACTTGAAAGCCGCATCTATAACACCCACTCGATTGGTGGTCAGAAACAGAATACCAGAGTAGTATTCGAGCTGACGAAGGAAGACTATCGAGAGTAAGTATGATCACTGCAAAACACGGCTATAGAGCGTGGAATGGGGACTCACCAGATACAAGAGCATTGTGCTCTGTGTTCCTCCAATCTCTGCGACTCAAGAACACGTCCGCTTCGTCGAGTAACAGAATGTAACCCCACCTTTGAGCTCTCTCTGTGTGTTCTACTAAAGCCGCCTCAACCTTTTCCGGGGACGTTCCCAAATCTCCGCATGTAATTGGGTAAAACGGTCGTCTTGTGTACGCTGCAAGAGTCTCGACCGTGCTGGTCTTTCCAGAACCAGGGGGTCCATGTAAAAGAATGATCAAGCCTCTCCCCTTTCCCCGGACAAGATCTATTTGCGTAAGCCCCTTGTCTAAGCTCTGAGTCTTAGATTGGACTTTTGGCTCCACTACTAAACTTTTGACAAGTCCTGTTAGCAAACTACGATGGCTCTCTGGTATTATCAGGTCTTCAAAACTGTCATCTCTAGCCTTGTCACTCTTGTCAATCTCGGACAAGAAGTTGACATTGAGTTGGACTATTGCGGTAAGTTAGGGCTACATATTCATGCCGGTGTCACTACTTACCATAACGACGGGTACGGAAGATGTAAGCCGGGACTAGATGCGTAAACAGCTGGAGTTGTTCGTCAGATAGTTCATTTTCACCGAGTTCGTTCGGCTCAAGGATGTTTTGATGGAGTGCCAGAAATTCATCAGTGGCTTTGTAGTCCACTTCACCATCAGTGTGATACCATGTAGCGCCCAGGATTCTCTCTTCGGTCTCAGTCATGTCGACCCGGGTTGATTCTAGTAGGCCTAGCTGTGGTGGCCGAGGCGGTTTCCATCTGTTCTCAAAAGACGGTTTCGATATTGTGCGGTAGTAGTCCTTGAAGTCAACGAAGACGTCACCGTCGACTTCTTCCAACAGTTTATCATCACCAGGGGGGCACGTCAATCCAGTGTAGCTTTTGTGGCCATAGGAAAAGCAGTATTTCCGGCCACGTTCCACCAGTTGTCTGACTAGGTTCTCTCTTTGCTTGTGAAACCTTAGAGGATAAACACTAAGTTCGGTGATTTTCCTCTTTCCTGCAAAATTCTTGATTTTCAGATGACCATGAATGGGCCCGATTTGATTTCCGTCAAACGCCATGGTGTAAGAGTCGACGACCAGGGCACTCCAAGTGCCAGACGCTGTGTTACCCATAAACTCCTCACCTTCGTCATCACTTAGATACAAGTACTTTGTGTCGTTTGGTTTTCTCCGTCCGCGTTTTCTCTTTTGGCCACCTGTTACCGAATAAGCCCGAGACAATTGATCGTGCCCTCTGTCATTGGAATACAATATATCGCCCGGGCTGAACAAGTACCACAAATTCTCGAATGCAATCTTCTCAAGCGTTCCGTTTGCGGCTTTAGCGTTTAGATCGAGGAGTGTTCCGAGGTCATTTTGAATGAAGTTCTTGAGGAGCCGCAAGTGCTGGATACGGACAAGCAGCCTTTCTGACCTTTTGCTTCGATCATCTGTCCTGGTGTCCTGATCTTCTGGCTTGGATGGTGGAAGCCTAGCCCCAGTTTCGGTTGGCAAAGGTTCCTTAATGGTCATCTTCTCAATGCTCTCCGAACTTTTGTCTTCCGTCCTGTCCGAATGACTGGATACGGACGAATTCTCATTGTCCGTTTCCCTTCTCGTCTTCAAATCTTCAGACTCTAAGTGCGAGATTTGTTCTGATATATTATCAAAGTATTTGATAAGCAGCTAAGTAGTATTTGTCAGTATATGTAGGCGGAGGGAATGCAGGCTGGACTGACTTTGAAAGGATGGGCCATTGTAGAAAGAGTCATAAACCTTTAGCGTTACTCACCAACCAAAGACGGGACAAATGTCTTACACAATTGGGCTTTGGTTCTCCAGATTGATGTCTGCAATCCTCTCTAGTTCATGGCATAGGATCTTGGAAGGGATTGCGATCCTTTCTGGACGCTCTTGACGGTCTGTGACACCACTCATTACTCCGTTACCATGGCTGTTGCCAGCCATAGATGGAGTTCGGTAGTAGGCATTGACGACATATTTGGGTTCATCCTCAAAATTGATTTCGCCCTTCTTCCATTGGTCCATTGTAAGCCGCCTAACTTGACAAATCATCTCTTCACCGGCTTCTTTAAGGTTGGTACTAGTAGCTATAGCCCTTGACCTACGGCGGTATCAGCTTCGTAGACAAATGATATTCTTGAACTTGTTAGCGAACTCACTTTGCAACATCCTTCTGGTCAACCTCAGCCATTAAACCTCGAATGAGCTCAATGCGTCGATTTATATTCTCAGTGCTATGCTTCCGGAGCAGTTCAAGTCCATCTTCGATGACCTGTAACGCTTGAGGCAGCCCAGAGCCTATTCCTGGTTTTGTCTCTGCTGGCTTCTTTGGTAAGTCTACACCGTCAGTAGTAGGATGTTCCAAATGGGTGTCTGTCGCGTGCTGCTCAGCCTTTGAATTGGATTCATGAGACGGCGGGGTAAATAGTCCGTCTGACATCTTGATGGATAAGCCTTGGAAAGAAGAATGGCTAAAGACGCAAATATTTCGCCCTTTGAGTAATTTTGTATGCTATGACAGTAAATAGCTGCGTAAGGAAAGGGGACAGGAAATTCCACAAGCTGGGACGTTATATAGCACGTGCTATCGAACTTGAAATGTGCATCCCAAAAATGGGGATCGCGAGCCTGATTGCCAAGCCTGTTACATAATAGAGGTCTTGTTTGCGATTTGCTGCATTTTCCGGATAGCCGAAGCTGAACTGCAGGCGCCCGAATCATGGAAATATAATTGGTCTTACTTGCAGGATGTGCTGTGCACTTAGACGAGTAGGGAACAGCAAACCGTTTCTGGCTGACAGTTAGTGGCTATCCCCAGTCAGAAACCTTGCATAGCATTCTTCCTTCAGAGTGCTTTATCATCTTAGGGGCCAAGAGACCCCCGGCTGTATTGAAAACGAAACAAGGCTACGGTAAGCCCTAAGGTTGGTTCTTTTTAGATGCTACACCTCTCCATTTTCATCAAAGACACGGCCGAAGACATGAACAACATGAATGCTACTTTGAACAGCCCTTCACCATCTGGGCAGCCGAGGCCAACCCCCGAAGTTCCAGAATTCATGGTCCGCAGACTTGACGGCACTGTACACCCAGGGCTCATTGCCAGACCGGGTTGCGGAGTGATATAAAGAGAGTCACAGCAGTGGATACCAGAGACGTCACTGGACTTACCAATGTATGCATAATCCGAGAGAACACACGTTTCGTTCTGAACTAAGATCTTTTGCACTAGAAATCGAGACGAGATATACAGTATATGCCTCCACGCGCAGAAATCTTTAGTGAAAAAGGCAAATGAGCTGTGCGTCAAGCGGAATATGGAGCCCCTTGATTTTACGGTTGCTCAGTCATGGGATGAGGTTGAGCAATCAGTCTCACAGGCTTGCAAGACCTTGGAGCGACTCTCTTCCAAGGACAAGACTCTGTCACCAGGGTTCACAAACAAACTGAAAGGGCGCTTTAGAAGCCTTTGCACTAATGCTGGAGCCGGCACCACGCTTACAAACCTAGTCCCAACTGACTCCTACTGTTCTGTTCTGTGTGGCGGTCTGAGGATTATTTTCAAAGCACTTGAGGAGACTGGAAAATACCGAGAAGAGGTCTATAACGCATTGGAAGAGATCCCCTTCATCCTTGACGATAATTCTGCTCTCTTAGATCTGTATCACGACGATGGTGAACTACACCAGCGCGTGGCATCACTTTATAGAGCCATCTACCAGTTGATGGAAGTCATCGTGGATTGGTTCCTGAAAACATCACGGGGTAAGAGTCTACCAAAACTTCGTATTTCATGCTTATTAACATTTGCACAGTTATTGGAACTAAGCTGCTATTCAATCCCACTGGGTTTAGCGGAAAGCTAAAGGATTGCCTCGCCCATGTCAAGAACACAAAACAACGATTCACAGCGAGTATTGCGGCTATATCAGCAAATCAGCTGAAATTACTGGAGCAACAAAACTACTCAATCATGAACAGCCAAATTCAAGATTCAAAGCAAATAATGATGGTTTTAGAGCAGTCAAGGAATACCCACCTTTTGGTTCTCGATACATTAGTGCAGTTCCTTGACAGCGGCTCTAAAGCCGGCCAAGCCTATGTATACTCTCCAGTCCACGAAGACACTGTACCCCAGATCCTTGCCCCTGAACTGGACATCGATACTCTCTTGGATCAATATCTTTACGATGCACAACTTGTACATCGCGATTGCCAATCTATTTTCAGGTCCCGATACGCCCCTGGGTATGACCTTGATGAAGACCTTGTCTCGACGGTCAAGTCCAATCCTCGATTCCTATCCTGGCTCACGCTTGACGAATCTTCCCTTCTTTTCTTAGACACAAGATCGGATAATCAAACATGCAGTCTTGAGATGCCAATAGTTACTGCCGAGATCTTCCGAGATATCCTCACTTTCTCCAGCAAGCAAGTATCGGCTAATAAAGAGGCCAGTACGGCATTCATATGTCTAGCGTTCTTTTGCAGTCAACATAAGGATTACGCCAGAGACTTGAACGCACAACCAACGGAACTAGTTATGAGCATCCTTTTGCAGCTCCTTGACCAATACCACTACTTTGAACCACAGGACCTTGCCAACATATTCAGCGACTTTGATCCTTCTGATCTTGACAGTACCCCTTCGTCTTTTGAAGCCTTAGTCACAGAACTCCCATCTCATGTATTCTTAGTCACTCTAGTCGATGATATAAGCTGCTTTACCTGGCCGGTAGTTAGGAGACGAGGAATGGAATACATCATGGAAAGGCTTTCGTGTATACACCGAGAGAGGAGATATAAGGCTACATTCAAGCTTCTATTTGGTAATTCAGCCCAGAACAATTATGCAAACAAGCTTTTTATGGAAGACGAGACTCTCAGATTATGGACGCCGGATGGCAGCGGGGTTGCAAGCAGCTTGCAATTTCTTCCTGAATAGTTAGACAGATTCTCCATTAATCAGACGAGTTGCCGTCTTAGGAAACGCCTTCAATCTGCTTTCCACTTCACTGAATGGTCGATTTTGCCTCGGCATAGGTCGAATGCATAAAGATGGATTAACCTACACTCTTATACGTAGACCAGCATGTTTAGTGTAATCTAGACCGTACGGAAGAGGGAGTTGCCGGCTACACGGCAAACAAAAAGGCACGAAGGATCGAAAATGGTTCGTTTTTCTTACCATGTGGAGAATAAATCTGATGCGCCCCATATTGCGGACTGATGCTGCAGACAGATAGTCGCTCGTGAGTGGACGCTGATGATCCTTTTGATCAGTTTTTATCTAATCAATCGGATAATCAGTGGCGATGTATCCACATCTAAACGGGTACAACCGGATCATCGGGCGCTATACCAGGGTCTTCTCGTGATCTACCCAGTAGTATTGCTTCATGACGAGCTAAAAGTCATGGTAAGATGAGCTGTGGCATCGAACTCCGAGCTCGGTGATCCTTGTGGATTTGAGGTGATCTTCGACCTGGCGATGATCAAGGAGATATGCAGCTGAGTTCTTTTGTGCTCTTGGCATGACGTCTAGAGTGGAATGAATCAATGTACCTGGCTGGGCTCTACAAGTATAAATAGCGAGTGTGCACCTGGTCTTTATCAATCAGTCACAAACAACTCATTCAAACACCTTCAACATGTACTCTCCTACTGTATGTACTTAACTCTACCACTCATCCAGTCACTCTAACACATACAACAGAAGCTCTTCGTCGCCGTCATGGCTTTGACCACTTTCGCCTCCGCCACTCCCATCGCTGAGACCGCTGATGTCCAGAACCTCGAGGCTCGTGGCAACTGTCTCGGCTACGCCAACTACAACGCTTGTGCTGCTGGTCGACGACGCACATGCCACATTGGTGCTGGACAGGCATCGTGCTTCGCTGCCGCATCGCGAGTTTGCCAGGAGAACTGCTAGATTTCAGGGCAGACAAGCATTCATACTAGGAGACTAGAGGTTTTGAAGACTCGATCAATGGAACCTAGTTAGCCAAATGAAATGTCACAGATTTCAGCTCCTGTCACACGATGAACATGATTCCGTTAATTGGTTTATGTAATGAAGTCTCGCAACTTACAACATGCTAAGCACCAATGATGGTATAAGATGATATGAAGGCTGCACATGATTCATGTCTTCAATCTGACAGATCTTTTCATAGGCGAAGGGACCTAGCTTCAGTTGGCTAAGATGATACAACATCATAGTTCAAGACCGTTTATACGAAGCTACCATATCATTCACACTGGGCTGTACAATTCAAAAGTATCAAAGTCACATTCAATAATCAATCTAATTTCTTAACTTTGCCCTAGACTCCTTCCAGTAGTCAGCTTCACAATCCAAAACAAAACTCCATGCCTTTGCCCATTTCCCTATGTAACCCTACCGCTGTTGGTATCCCACTAATCTTACACCTTCTTTTCTTTTTGGGTTTTGTTGTTTTCTGAGTTTTCACTCTTTTTCATGTTTTCACTCAGTCGTCGAATTAGACTCTGCCCACGAATCTCAAGATGGAGTTGACGACATCAAGAGGGGCCATTGTTGCCGATTTAACGACCAGAATAGTCGCTGCGGTTGTCGTCCTGAAACTGGCTTTGGCCCTGGTACTGGCCCTGGTACTGCGGGGGCTGCCCGTACTGCGAGGGCTGCTGACGATGCTGACGATGCTGACGATGCTGGCGATGCTGGCGATGCTGCTGCTGCTGCTGTGGCTGTTGACCTCGCTGATTCTGCCTACCGTAGCGGCGAGTCCAACACTGAAGACAGATAAAAGTGTTATAGGTCGATTCAGTAACGTAGTCGACGTCCTCACCACTGCTGCGATCTTGGCGATCATCTTTGCCAATAAAGATATGGCAACCAACACACTGGAGACAGATGAAGGATCCACGCATTTGGAAATGCTGGGACTGCGAGTGATGCTGCTGCTGCTGCTGCTGGGGCTGGTACTGCTGGTATACCTGCCGGCGTCCCTGTAGATACTGTCGATCATGCTGATCCTGCATAGCCATGCGGCTCGCATGACACGGAACACAGGTGAAACAGCGAAGGCTCATTTCGTCAACCTCGTCGTGGTCCTCGTGCCAGGCGCCATCTTGGCGATCAGGGTTCCTAATAAAGGTACCGCAGTCAACACACTGCAGTATGACGTGGAGATAGTTAACCATCTTGAAGGTTGTAAAGGTTGTAAAGGTTGTTTGTGAGATGAGTTGTTTGTTGCTTGCTGTTGCGAGCTTTGGTCTGGCTGGGCAAGAATGAAATGGTGGTGTGGAAAGGTTGTTTGGTGATGGAGGAGAAAGTTGGATTAGAAGGGGGGAAACTACCAGATTTATACTCCTCCGTTTCTTCAAATTTTGTATGGTAACAGCCTGTTCGATTGAATCTTCTGGAGCATCGAAAGGACTGGAGTGGGAATGGCTGTTCTTCTGTCTGTTCATTATGTCTGTCCTTTGTTCGGCACTTGTGATCGAGAAACTGACATTTCTCTGCTCATGGACATCTATCGGTTTGGATGCCATGTTAATTCTTTTTGGTTTCCATATCCCAACGTTCATTTCATAATTATTCATAGTCTTTGTACACATACTAGACTGTCGGAATCACTACTACTGTTCGTCGCAGAACGATCAAACTCGTCGCTCAATACCCGATTCGCCGAACATTCGCTCCTATGCGACTCGTGATTTCAATCGCCATTTTGTTTGACTGGGGGTTGATTTTCGGCATGGTAAATACCATTCCCTTGGAGAGAGGCATTGTTCTCTACTACAGATTATCGGCTTGACCATCACGGGGCGTACTGGTCGTCAAGGTCTTTGCTGATACATGTGTAATTATGTTTATCTAACGCTGATATCATGAATAGTCCCAAATCACGCTGCTATACACTTTTACTAATCACAATATATACATCTAGTATAGAGAGAGCTAGCTGCCTACTTGCATTGCCAACTGCCAGGCATTGAAGGGTTACCCTTGACATACACGTTTCGTCGGGGATATCGACAATGCTTCTTTTCCGCAACAACCTTTTTGGAACCAGTCGAGGCATACTGTGTTCCCTTGATAAACGACGGAGCCTTTCCATTCTCAACCCAATCCACAATAGCCGCCAAAACATTACTTTCCGGCTCGTAAGGACCAATGGTATCAGCGTTCCCTCCAATCATGTTGGCACCTGTTCCACCTCGACAGTGCCCCAGACCAGAGATACGGAAATAGCGATAGAAGCCATCCATCTCCTTTGAAGTTAGTCCCATGGTTCGGCTCACATAGTTGTAATAACGGGCCGAATTGTCACTGGTGATGAGCGGATCCTGTAGTCCGTGATAATGGAGAATCTTTGTTCCTCGATTTCGGGCACCAGTCAAGTTTCCACTCCATGTTGCGACACCGTAATCATCCTTTGCTGATACCTCTGGCCAGTCATCTGCGGTAAAAGTCCATGGGTCCCACTCAGGATCGCTTTTGACAACGTAGCGCATCCAGTCAAGCAGATAGCCAAAGGGTTGCTCAAGAGATGTAAGGCGATCAGTGGCATTTGCTCCTGGTTGTAGTCTTGGATAGACAAACTGACCGTCAGGGCCATATACGGGTGTGAAGATAGTCCTGGCAGTCTCAGCTTTTGGCCCTGTAAGGCAATCAGACTTTTGGCCAATTCCGCATATTGAGGCTTCGGGGCGGTATTGGCAGAGATCAGGATCGTCAATGATGCCATCTTTGACACCATCAAGCTCGTCGCACTGCTCAAGTACATCATCATATATGATGCTCCAATCAGCGGCAGTCAAATAGGTTGCAGAACCCGGCTTCCCGAGTGCTCTGCTTAGTATGCCGCTCCAGTAGAATAGCGCCAGCATATCGAACGCAGGTGCCCCGGCTACAATGCCGTCGAAATCCTCGGGGAAATCCTGAGCCTCTTTGAAGCCTTGTCTTCCACCGGTTGAACAGCCAAGGTAGTAGGACTTCTTATGACTAGAGCCATAGAAAGCCTTGACGATCTGCTTCCCAAGCACTGCTTCTAGATGGACTGAGCGATACGCGTAGTCTTCAACTGTGCCAGGGTGTTGATAAAAAGGTTTTCCCTGGTTTCCGTCATGGCCATTATTGGTACCGATGGTGGCGAATCCGTAGGATGTCCCGTAGTTGAGATCATCGTACTTGAAACAGCCACCCAGGCCTCCATTGCCAACACCTAGGAAGCGCCCACTCCACTCCACGGGTAGCCAGGCCTCGAACTGTACACTGCTATTGCTGCTAGTGGCGACGTCAAATGAGAGACGGCATATGTCTGACTTTACAACTTGAGATGTCAATTTGCAAGTCGCATCGTAGAATGGGAAAGTTAAGTTCGTGCCGGCCTCGACAAACTCGGAAGCATGGATCGTGGCATTTGGGAGGCGCGCTGTTTTTCCAAGGCTTTCGCAGTCCTTGACAAACTTGGAACTGGGGGAGGCTTCACAGATGAACGGCGTAAGTGCCAAGAATGAGACAACAGTTGATATCCAAGTTGGAGCCATGATGGTAGATTCCTGGAGTGATCTAGGTGCTTTGAAGTTGCATATAAAGGCCGTTGAGTAGACAGGATATATAAAGATGTACCGCATTATTTCCGCTGAGGTTTTCGGATCTCCTTTATGAAGGCGATACTCAAAGACTAACCAACTACATAGCTAGAATCCAGGATTGTACCCGCTTCCCCGCAACGATCTACTACCAGAGGATGCTAAGAGTTAGTTTAAACCTGGGGAAGAGGTCGGCAAATGGCTTCGGCAATACAGAGACGACTGATCAAGGAATAAATGCAGTTACTATGATTCTATACTGATTTCCGTGATCTCGGTTAGAATTGTCGGATACATATCCGCCCCGAACCTCGTGTTATCCCCGCAAACTCAATCGGCTTAGCGCAGGAACATCCGCGGATCTAAACTCAAACTTATAAATCACGCTAATCGGCACTTCTCGAACACAACAAACCCTCTTTCATTTGCTTTAGCTCAGAGTCACGAAGGACTTAGTATTACATCTCGTTAGATAAATGAGTCCTTACAGGAACAAACAATTGGAGTGACCATGAGATTCAAGAATCACACTGTTTTAATGCTAATCGATGATATGAGTCCCTTTTCTAACAACTAGCGCTAATGGAAGGCTTGGCCTATTCGATACCGATCACTTGTAGAGTATGTTATCCTGTCTAGAATAGAGGGAAATTCCACCAGTCTCCCTTAGTGGGGGTGCTATCTCGATGTGTAAGGGCAATTTTAGATTCCTCGAAGCTCTAAACGTGACGAACCTCGCAAAAGGTCGTAATGAACGTTCTGAAGCGGTCGTTGCAGCAAGTGCTCGCCAGATAGGAACTATACCCACGACTACATACATACCATCGCCAGTATTTGAAAGTAGGATGGTGCCGGATCAACTATATACTTTGTTCAAGGCTGGCAATTGCTGTAAGTCAGTCAAGGTGCTGTCATCTCACACTCCTCTTAGAAGGAGGGCTCTTTTTTTAACATCCATCACATGGAGGATACGGACTTTCTTCCGTGGATTACACGCTCTATTATTGGTGTTTCCGAATCATAACAGGAATATCTAGCCAGTGAACTATACCCCCCTGAATTTGGCGCGCAGTTGGATCACACGGATCAAAGATCTCGACAGATGCCGTTGTGGGGAGAAGCTGTAGTCGACTGTAACCTTCTGGGTATGAACGAGGTGTCGAGAGGCCACAAATGTGCGTGTAAGTCAGGAAACCCAATGACTACAGGCCTGGACTAATTCAGAAATATATAGATTCAATGTCACTACCGGGTTACACCTCCAAGATCTAAAATACACCTTCAACGATCCCAAAGTCGCGACTGAAAACCCTTCACACGGGATATACTACAAGCTGCGCTAACTAGTTTTGTTGTCAATGGTGTTTCGGAGATTCTAACTAGACACCATCACAAATTTCTCCGCTGGGGCATTCACTAGAAGCTTGTTAGCATTAACAGAGATGATACTAGTGCTGTTTTGAACACAAAGAAACCCGGTGTGCTTGGTGGCTTTCACTTCAATGATAGGATGCTTGTTCAAAAAGACTGTTACATGTCCTTTTGTACAGAAATTGTTAGACATGTGAACAGGGATATGATAAACCACTTTGATAGGAGTTTGACTACGCACCTGAATCTTATGCCACTTGTTAATACAGGAGTATCTCTAACGAATGATATGATCTAGTCGTCCCATAAATTTACAGCGGGGCGTGAGAATTTAGCTTGTATCGTCGAAGACAGTTACCAAGAATGGATTAGATATGATCCTTTATTTGTCAGCTTTACATCCACTCTCGTGATAAGAAGTGTATATAAACTCCGACAACCTATTTCTAGAGGAAAAACACTCTCTTCCCTACAACTAAACAAATACTCATCGTCAACATTATGGCTTCAGAAACCGATTCCATTCGTAATACCATCGCTTACTACGCCATTGCGTGCGACGACAAAGACTGGGCTTTGTTAGACCTCGTCTTCACCTCCGATTGCATTGTCCAATATCCAGAGCCACTTGGACCTATTAGTGGGCTACAAGCATTGAAAGAAACCCTGGAAAAGACTATCAGCCACCTATCAACCCAGCATGCGTTGTCAACTCAAGTGATCAGAATCACAAGTGATAAGACCGCAGTTGCAACTACCTATATCACCGCATCGCATCACTTGGCTGAACGCTCGTTTGTTTCCATGGGAAAGCTGGAAGACGAGCTGATCAAGGTTGAGGAGGAAGATGAGGGTTTCGGGTGGCGAATTGAGGCAAGGACTGTTAAGATTCAGGGTATACCGCAGGGTGATTGGTCTCTCCTTCAAGCACCAGAAAAATCTTAAGCAAAGGGCTCAGGAATGGACCTCATGCCTGTATTATAGTTACATCAACGACCCGACTGTCCAGCTTGACCTGTTATGACAGTGGTAGTTGCAAACGCGATGGGAAAGATTTGATATACTTTGAATCCTCCCCTCGCCTATATCATCAAATTATCCCGTCTAACTTTCCAATCATAGTCCCAAACCTTTTCACCATCAACAACAAGGTCATAATGTAGGATAAGTCTGTTGTGCGCTGTTGTGTCAAACGTCACCTTTCCAAACTTAGATGTTCCCCAGGGATGTGAGTAGATAGAAATATCTGTTTCCTCAACTTGCTTGTGGAATCGATCGAATGGCTCGTAGAACTGATTAAGTGGCGAGGTGGAAAACTCAATGATAGGCTTATCTCCTGGATTCTTGGCGGGAAACTCCGTCGTAGCATGCTCATGGCGATCCTTGAAGCTTATTAGTACATTCTGGACTAGGAGCCATGGGTTAAATGACTTACACCGCTGAGGATAATGGCTCCTCCGTTGCTCTTCATGGTATCCAAGATTACCTCTCTCTCCCAGAGAAATCCTGACCAGCTATCAGCTGAATCAGGTCCCCTCCAATTCCTGGTGAACGGCACGCTCCTGACAACCACCTTCCGATCGGTTTCTGATTCAAGCCAGTCTCTCAAAGTAGCCAGTTGTGATGATCCAAGCATAGTCTTCTCTGGGCCATCGTTCATAGCGTTATCGGATCGATATCTACGGGTGTCCAAGACAAAAAAGGCTATGCCTCCGTGTCGGAAGATGTAATAGGTCTTATTGGCACCAGACTCTGATGGTGGATTCGCATTTCCATGGTAGTTCCAGAACGGCTGCATAGCAGTATCGTAAAGGCCTGTTTCGTTTGCAGCCCAGTCATTGATGATCTCATGGTCATCATACACGTGCAGCCAGGGTATTAAGCGTAGTTGGGGCGACCATGAGGGAGAGGCATATACCTGACGGTATGCTGTTGAGTAAGCTTTAGCATCCCAGCCAAGTCGATGTATATGAAGTCGCCTAGAAAAAGGACCATGTCGATTGGTTTATCAGACACATAATTACTCAAATGCTCGAGTCCTTTAATGCGGAGGCCGTGATCCAGAGGGTTATATGGGTAGAATGGTTTGATGCAGCTGGAGGAAACAAGACTCCAACGTTTCAGCTCACTTTTGGGTTCAACCGAAGTTCGGAAAGACCCGACATGGCTGGCGTTGGTTGAATATTTGTAGGACGTGTTGTGGTTCAGTCCCTCTATCAGAAATGTTCCCACGAAGTCTGAGTGCGCATTCAAATGAACAATCCCGGATTGATAGACATCTTCCTCTGCGTCCGAGATAGGAGTTACCGTGATCTCAAGATAATCAGAGATCGGTGCTCTCACCACTATTCGAGCTGTCGAAGAATCCACATAGCCCACTCGCGAGAAGGAGACTTGATCACTTTGGAGAAGATGGCCTCGGAATAAGAAGTCGAGAACAGCGACTAGACAGCCCAAATTAACGAGAAAACCCGCGGCTGTCAAAAAGGGCCTATTGCTATCAATGTGACCGAGAAACGCAGCTGCGCCGAATCGCCTATTTAGTCGAAGTTTGTAGCGCTTGACTATGATGAGCTGGAGTGAAAATGCGAGTAAGAATACCCAGAAGCTTCCATAAATACGGTGCAGATGTTTTTTGTCAATGGGGTGCTTTTTCATGTTAGAATTTCGTAAGATAGCAATTTTATCAGCAGCAGAATAGATTTGTAATGGAGATTGAACTTACAAAGCGGCAAAATAGAATGCAGCTGTAGCGCAAAGTGATTGTAGCAGCTGCGATGATGGCGTCGAGGACACTCAATAATGAAGAGATGGTGATCATGATCGCTTTTCGTAAGGCTCAATAATACCTCCCCAGGTGAAGAATCTTCGTCTAGAACTGAGGTGAAATAAAATATTTTGTGGTTTCATTTTAACTGGGAAAAGGTGCCGTAGCAAAAGGACCTGGGTCTGCGTATTTGGCTTTGTTATTGGAGGCACCATGTATCCCCTCAGTAGCCCTGCCTTTGTTACTCTCTACGGTCTTTTCCAGACTTTCCTATCTGTGGGCCCTGGCGACTGCAACTTTCTGGTCAGCAGTGAGAGCTTTCCTACTCCTCTTCGCGGGCATTTCCTCGGATTTGCTGCAGCTGTTGGCAAGGTTGGTGCGGTGGCGGGTACACAGGCACTCAGCAAGTGCCTCGTTAGCTTTGATGATAAACTTCAAGGTCAGCAGGTTGTCTTTCTTATTGGAAGCGCCATCTCGGTTGTTGGGGTGTTCTGTGTGTGGTTTTTGATTCCAAACGTAAGTCTCCTAAATTTGATAGATTGTCGATACTAATAGCACATAGCACCCGAAGACACTTGAAGAGGAAGATGCTCGCTTCAAGGCCTTTTTGGAGAAGAGTGGCTATGAGACAAGTCAGATGGGCCTGAAAGTATAGTTGCAATCATTTAGGTTAAGTCAGTGTTTCTTGGCGATCTTTCGGCATTCACCCATCTCAAATGAATGATGTTCGCTCCACGGATCCAAATCCCAACGGCGAAGGGACCTCAAGTGGAAGTGTATGGAGAAATTGGTCCCCCCTCGGTGACAACATGAGACATTGGAGCGAGTTCAACATATAGATTCGCGTGTGAATACTTCGAGTGATATTAAATCAAGATATTGTGTCCCTTATTGATACCAAGCCGTGGGGTCACATCCGCTTTTACTGTGACCTTTAGGCTGTTGTGTAATGATATGACGAAAAGTGGCCTGATCATGGACCCCAGTACTTGTTCACTTGGTACCCCTCATCTGATTGATATTTCTCCGAGCAATTAATCGCGCTCCTTCAAGATCGGAACCATTGTCTAACTTGTCCATTTAGAGCCTCATTAAAGATGACTGGTACGTTAGGCAGTTTTAGTTGACCAGCAGGGGCACACACCACGCTAATGCGCCTGACACAGCACCATCTCCCACTAACGAGTTAGTTCCCGCCGACGAGGTACGGAAAAGACCCAAAATGGGACAATCATGCCACCACTAACTCGTCATATTTCTAGCTTGATGTCCAAAGCGACAATGATTCGACTCTCGATTCGGATGCGTAAGTTCTGACTACTTTAAGACCATCTCACCTACTAAAGTCACTGTAGAGCCAGTTCTACCGCTTCAGTGTCGGAGAGTATCCTTGAATATCGTCGAATCCAAGGACGCACATACCATAGCGACAAGTTTAGGAACGGCTATGTTTTTCCAAATGATGATCGACAGTTAGAATCGGTGGATTTGAGGTGCCTCAATATGATAGAACTAACTAGATCAGGCTGACCTGTTGCGCCTAGCCATCACTATCTCACTCTTCTTTTGGGCGGTAAACTGTTTCTTGCGCCAATTGGAGATAACGTTCAAGTAAGCAATCAACATACTAGTTTACAAAGAGAATGGTCATACTAATCAACTTTGTGTCTCGCAGAAGGTACTAGATATTGGCACTGGAAGTGGTAAGTTCGCCATTCAATGATAGCCAAAATATTGCTGATCTTTCAAGGTATTTGGGCCATGTAAGCTCACGGAAATACTTCTTACATGCAAGACTAAACTCACAAATTCAGTGACTTTGGCGACCAATACCCAGGGGCCGAGGTTATAGGCACCGACCTATCACCCTGCCAGCCAGAATGGGTTCCTCCTAACGTCCGTTTCGAGATAGACGACGCTACAGAACCTTGGACCCGACAAAATGACTTCTTTGACTTTATCCACATCCGTTATCTCTTCGGGTCCATCCCAGATTGGCACCATCTCTTTGAAGAAGCCTACCGCTGCTGTGCCCCTGGGGGTTGGATAGAGTCAGTCGAGGCTGACGTTCGCATTCGCAGTGATGATGGGACTGCAGATTTGGAGCCTGTATGGAAGACATGTGACAAGATGTACGAAGAAGGAGGCAAGGTCCTCAAACGTCCATTCTTCGTAAGTGAAGTCCAAGTTGAGGGTATGAAAAAGGCTGGTTTTGTGGACCTCAAGACGGTGGACTACAAGGTAAGAGTCACAAACAATTCATGAGATTCATTCTGATCTTTTAAATAGATTCCAATTGGCGGGTGGCCAAAAGACCCCTCCATGGCCCAAATCGGACGCTTCGTCCAGCAAACCTTGGAGAACGATCTTGAAGGTAAGCAACATTGCGTTCGACTTGCTAGACTCCAAAGTGCTGATATTTTCCACAGGCTACTCCTTCTTGCTGTGGAATCAAGTTCTTAACTGGCCTGAAGATGAGTACCACATCTTCCTCATGCAGATTCGCGGGGCTCTCCGTAATCGCAAGGTTCACAGTTATATCACAACGCGGTATATTTACGGCCGGAAGCCAGAGAAGGAATGATCCACACATGTGGTTTTGAGTAATGAGAAATAAAGAATGAAATAAGTTTGATGTGATGTAGAAAGGCGCTAAAAGAATGTCTTGTACTACACCTTTACGGAAACTGTATTTTCGCATTTAGATGTAGCCGTTTTGATAGATTTCGACCCATCGTACTAAATGTCTTAATTGACCAAAAGATGAAATTTATTATCTTTTTTCTTTGTTCAAAATTGCTGTCGTTTAAGAACTATCCCCTCATTGGTTTACGGGTGGAATATGCCGCTAAACTGTTATGTCCGATGCCCGTTGTTTCGGACCGAAACTCTGACCCGGCGCGTTATCTCCGAGCGCCGCCAACTCTTCATTCATCTCACCGAACCACATTTGCTTCAATCTCTTACCCGACCACGGAATTTCGAAAACAGCGAGAGTCGGAGACAGTCAGCCCCCGAAATCAACGCCATGGAAAGGACACCACCTCAACAGCAGCCGCCATCTCCGTCTGAACAGAGTCATGAACAATCGTCCAAAGTCCGTCGAAGGAGACGCCCGGCACTTTCGTGTCACGAATGCCGTCGCCGCAAGGTTAAATGTGACCAAAAGAGCCCCTGCGCCCCATGTGTTCGTCACAAAATTGAATGCACGTATCAGCCTCATCATGGCTCGGCCTCTGTTCCTGTTCGGAGCCTACGAGCAAGGGCGCCTGCGCATACACCAACAAGCTCAACACCCTTGGGTACTAGCAAAGATGGAACTCGTGTAGCTATATCGACAACGAGTCGCGATGGTGTACGCACGCGTCATGAGCAGGATGCTGCATTATCGCGTTCGGTGACAGCAACGATTGCAGCCCAAGGTCTCTCAACGCCGGATTCAAGTGCTCCCAAGCGCGGTAACGACAATGCCAATACGCATGGAACATCTGATCAAGACTGTGGCACCGATTCTACTGCTCAAGGTCTGTTACAAAGGCAAGCACAACATCAAAGTCAAACCACAGGGGACAACTCTAGGGCCCCTTCGTCCTTTGAAGTCGGACAAGATGAGCACCAACAGGAACCAGCCCAAACCTCACAAGAATTTCAAATTCTATTAAACAAACCAAGAGATATGGGAAGGGAAAACTGGGCTGAAACAGCCAAAGAGCTGGATTCCATTATTGCCTGTTGGGTCGAAATCGTGGGCAAGTCTAGCACCAACGAAGCATTTCAAGATGCTGAAGTAGCACCTGTGGTTACTCAAGCTGGGGATTTCTACACCAAGTGCAAAACTCTGACTAAAACTATCAAGGCTACTCGACCCACGAGAGGCCTTCTATCGTCACCAGATTTCCTGATACCGCCCTCCCGTGAAACATCAGACGTTATGGTCGACCTGTATTTCAAGTCGTTCGAATCTACCCACCGCATCCTCCATGAACCGACCTTCATGGTCGAGTATAGGGAATACTGGGATCATCCCGAGTCTACCACGGACTCTCAACGTTTGACTATCCTCCTCGTCATAGCGACAGGTTCAAGCATATTTGAGCATGCCAGCCCAGAGGAGGCACTTCGTAATGCGGAAATGGTTCACCATTGGATCTACGCGTCTGAGACCTGGCTTGCTGGACCTCTCGAGAAAGATCGCGTAGATCTCGCTGGCTTGCAACTGTACTGCCTCACGCTACTAGCTCGGCAGATATTCTCGATTGGCGGCGACACGATATGGATGTCGGCAGGGTCACTTGTCCACCGGGCCATGCAGATAGGCTTGCACCGCGATCCCGGCAAACTTGGAGCTAAACCCATGCCGCTGCTGCAAGTTGAGATTCGCCGCAGGCTTTGGGGAACTATTCTCGAGCTGGTTATACAAGCATCGCTGGACTCCAGAATGCCTCCCAGGATATCCTTTGACGAATTTGACACGCAACATCCCTCCAACATAAATGATGATGAAATGGATCAAACAACTACCGTTCTTCCATCTCATGATCCAGGCCACTTCACTTCAACTTCAGTACAGCTTGCCCTCTTGGCCTCTTTCTCAATTCGTCTTCGTGTTGTCAATGCAATAGTCAAACCTGATGGTGAAGTACCTTACCAAGACATCCTAGCGCTCAGCTCAGAGCTAGTAGATACTTTACACGTCAACAACAGTTTGGTGAAACCAGGCCAAGGATCAACCCCATTCCATCGAAATCTGCTTGACTATCTAGTCCGTCGATTTATCATTCCATTGCACTTCTCCTTCAGCAACCGCGCACGCGCCAACCCAGTCTACTATTACTCGCTCAAATTGAGTCTTGATGCCGCCACGGCCATCATGTCACCCGAGCCCGATGCTGCCTTTTCGAGGTTGATGGCATCTGGTGGTGGGATGTTCCGTGAAGGAGTTCGGGTTGCCAGTATAGCGACGGGTCTTGAGCTTCTCATACACGCGCAGGCGCAGAGTCTGGATGGCACGTTGCACAGAACTAGCCAATATCGGCAATTACTGAAACAGTCTATTCGTGATATGATATCACTATCAAATGAGCGCATTCACCAAGGGGAGACTAATGTGAAAATGCACATGTTTCTCAGCATGATTCTTGGTCAAGCGGAAGCCATCGAGACAGATTCTTCAGTTCCATTACAAATTGCACGAAGCGCTAGGGATAGCTTGGAGTGCAGTTATGTTGTGCTTAACATGAGAGCGGACAAAGTAGCATTGTACTCATCAGATGATACCCAGTATCCCATCGGCCAAACTGGTTTTGATGGCCCGGGATCTAATGAGTATTTGATGGACTTGGACTGGGAATCGCTTTTGCCGTATGATAATTTTACAATGTAGCGGCGGTCATAGCACCTGCAGTTGTTTGAAAGAGTGATGAGCTTTACTCATAGCTTTTGGAAGCCTTGGTTAGAACTTGTTGGCCACAAGTCAAGGGTGTCAATGATCAACAAATAAGAAGAGGAAGTGGCTTTGAACTACTCTTAAAAACGGAATGAACGTAGTTTAAATCTTTATTCAGCTGAGTATCAATTATACTGCATCTTCAACTCCTCGACAGCCTTAATCACCCGATTGGCTTCCTCCGTGTACTTCCTGTGAGACTCTTGCTGTTGTTTGAAAGTACGTTTAAGCTTATCAACCATGAATGGCTTGAGAACCGACTTATTTGCAGTGGTGTAGTCATAAATGACAGTATCGTCGATACATCTAGCTGCCACGCGACGATACTGCTCCGAGAGAATCCATGCTTCCATCTTGACTGACGTCGACTCGTACGTAGGCTCTTCGAGTAGCTTGTAAACCAAAGTGATATGGTCAGGAAACTTCAGGGGCTAGACGATGTTTAGCTTTGCTTCATGGGTATTGGTAGGTATTTGTGTTCGTACAAACTTGTACTCGGTCGTGATACTCTTGAGAATCAGACCGAGGCTTCGTGGGGTTGTCAAGTCGTCCCATTGTGATTTTTCATCGGCGGTGGCGTCTTCGCTGTGTTGACGAACGAAGTGGACTCGACCAGTTTCAACATAACGGTTATACATGACGTTATTAACGTGACCTAACAGCATTAGACAGAATAATCATGATAAGCATTTTTCGTACCCTGTTAAAGTTAGAGTTCGTGCGGTGAGCAGATCGACGGCATAACTTACCATGCTATCCTATATACAGCAGATAATCAGTATTGTTCCCAACAGCTCACCCAAATACCCATCGGCCACTTACCATATCTCCCCAGAGTAGTTGGTGATTATTCAGCCCGCGCCATTTCTTGTCTGTAAGAAAACCCTGCTGTCCCGCCAAAAGCTCAAGCCAGTTGTTCTGGGAGAACTCATATAGCTCCCTAGCTTGTCGCGCACATTCACTGGGTTGCTTTGCATCTGTCAGCTCCTTCAATTGGCCTTGTAAATCAGTAAACCATCGCGAAGTAAGCGGAGGGGAATCAGGGATAGGCTTATTTTCGCCGACGGAGTAAAACCGAGGCTGAAACACAGCGGCTTTGGCCACAACACCAATTGGTCGTTTGACAAGACGTATACGTGATAAAGACATCCTGGGGTGCTTGGGTAGGATCGCAGATGTATGATGGCAGAGAATAAATTGAGATGTACTAGGTAAAATAACACTACCGAGAATTACCCTCGGCAACCGGACGTGGTTCGGCATTAGCCGTGCGTCAACCGACCCTAGAGTAAGAATAGAGAGAATTATTATATTCATCATCATGGACTGCTCTCACTATGAAAAAGGAAGAAGATTTGATAATTACAAGATAAATGTAGTTACTATAGCATAGATGTCTTTAAATCCACATATGACCTATAGTCCTTCCCAGGACTGAATTCAAATGATGACATTTAATACCATTAATATTGCGTCTGGCAGCAACTTGAAAATAATGCTCAGCTATTTCAACAGAGGCCGACCCCGGCACACGATAGCACTGTGTATGCGTAATGAGACACGACAAAAATGAGGTCTCTATCGTAAAGTACAAATGCGGTGGCTTAAATCGCATCGAGATGTGAAATGCATTTGACCCTTTGGTTTCAATGGCTGGCTAAGCTTCAACAGAGCCACATTTTAACTAGTATGATTCGCAGCGGCGCAATCTGATTCGCAACTGGATACGGTATTTGCCGATTGGTTTAAGCTTAGCTTAGGTGGCATAAGCTAGCAGTGTTTTGTAGGTAAAAAGTAATCAGAACTGAGTTTTCATAATAGGGTTCATGGAGCTATTTGTTCTAGATGCTTGGTACGGGCCTTTACGTCTAGCTATTGATCGGGATATGAATTAGCCATGTGGGCTGAGATGTCACCGGAGAATAAAAGATAAGAGTCACTTCCAGTAAATCTCGCTTCCTCCCTGGACTCAGGCTGTCAGCTCAGCCCTTTCACCGTTAGTGCTAAGCTACTGCGCCACAGCTGAAAACTATTCCCAACTATATGGTAAAGATGGAGCAATAGTGTATATTCTCAATTTTTTAGCATATCTTTCTCGAAGCTGAAACAGAAAAGGCCGTTAGACTGCTAATACGTCAGACCAATAGCTTAAGCACATGCCCTTCCAGCTAAAAAGATAACACACCGCTTCAGCAATTCTACGCATCATACTAGAAGAAATAGTCAACATGTACAATCCAGTAAACGAGAAGAATAAAGAAAGAAAAATAGGCCTAATTAACCGGACGGATAATCGATCCGTATAGCCTGCAGAAAGTGCGTTGTTTATATAGATTTTTGGAATAAGCGGCGCAATTTTATCCATTCTGGGCACTTCTGCCAAATTCGGCACCCTGCTTAGTATCTACGCGCTGTCCTCTTCCTATCTATTGGATCAGTGCCATGACTACCTGATAGTTATAAAGGGTCATTGTTGTCTCACATCCGGATCGTTTAACCGGAAGGATCGAGAATATCAAGGCCTGAGCACTTGGCAGCGTCCTCACGAAGTATTAATACTCGGTCAGACAAATGCTGTGATTTTCTCACTTGCAATATCCCAACTCACTTCATCATGTCTTCATCACCCTCTATCCTTTCTAAAATGAAATCTCAACCAGTTCTGAGGGAAGTTCCCTCTGATACAACTCTATCAATACCATCTTCATCAGACGGAAACCTGGATACTGGCATCGACGCTGCAAAACTCGAAGCAGCTAACCGCTATGTCCGGTGGAATCTGTTGTTTTTGTTACTCATCTTCACCTTTCTCCTCTTCCCCATATGGATGCCTTTTGTTCCCTACGTCAACAAAGTAACAAATGTCGTTATTGTTATCATAATCGGTCTTTTCCAGATTATCTGGCTGATAGCTACTATCTGCGCCATCCGTCGAACGCTAGCTATCAACTATCGAAATAAGCTCAAGACCACAAAAACCCAAGATATCGAATCAGCCGACGCCACATCCGACTCCGACCCGACCATTCGGCACATTGTTGCCATGACACTATACAAGGAACCTATGAGCGTGCTGGAAACCACGCTGAACTCTCTTGTGCAGCAAAAGGACGCCAAGTCCCGTCTCTCTGTTATCATTGGCATGGAATGCCGCACGCCTGATAAGGAAGCTAAGCGCGATGAAGTCTACGCAAAGTACGAGAGCAGGTTCCTGCGTCTCATCGTCACCTTCCACCCCTCTGGAGTTCCTGGTGAAATCAGCGGCAAGTGTTCTAATATGAACTACGCCTGTCGACAAGGTCTACAGATCCTTCGTGAAGATGTTGAATACAACTATGACAACTATGAACACATCTTCACCAACTGCGACTGCGACGCCGTCTTCGATCCCGAATACATGTTGGAGCTTGAAAGCGAGTACTGCAAGCTAGAGCCCGCCGACCGCCACTCTTCCATCTGGCAATCCATCATTGTCTATAAGCGCGACTCCATGCCATTCTTTGTCGACATCACTGGCGTTTTGCGGACCTTCTTCTTCATGGGCATCTTGATTCCATGGAACATCAATCCCATGCCCCATTACTCTCTTAGTGTCAAGGTACTAGAGGAGGGCGCATTCACACATCCGGCCTATCAGATGGAGGACATCATCGCTTTGATCCGGTACACCATCATGACCAAACGAGAGATCCGCATCCGCCCTTTGAACCTTATTTCCATCAACGGCCCAACGTCTGGCGCTAATTATGCAGATGAGATTCGCGAGTGGACACTCCAGGTTCGCCGATGGACCATTGGCGCCGGTGAAGTCTTCCACTACTTCATTGTCAAGACCTACAGAATGCCTTCGCTCTGTCTGTCCATCAGCTGGGCCACTCGCTTCTTCACTTACTATGGACTTGTTCTTTGTGCCAGCGCCATATTTTCCGTGGCTTCTCCCGTCATTGTTCAGCTCATAAACATGGCTGCTCCTGAACATGATCGACTCTTTATCAGCGATTCTCTGTTTTCAACCATCTGCTTCATCTTCCTGGGAACGCAATACGCCTTCTTCCTTATTGTTACGGTTCTCGTCCGTTGGAATTTGCCTGTACCTGGCGACAGCGATAAGAAGTATAACGAGGGTCTTTTGGGGATTTCAAGAGGCATTTTGCACTGGATCTTGATGTTGCCGGCTATATTTGCTTACAGCTTGGTAGAGCTCTACTCATTTTTTGAATTGGCGTTTAGGGGGAAGAATGTTTGTAAGCATGAAGCTGCTTCCAAGAGCAACTTGGTTTTAATAACGGGCGCTGGGGACTCTTAGAACATGAAGTTACCTAAGCCAAAATCTTCATTCCCCATTATAGATCTAATAGACTAAATTCACATCATTTGAACAACTCCATGAGTACCAAGTTTATTGGTGAGTCATAGTCGAAGATTGTTACCAACATCGACGGTGCTATCAAGCGCTAAATTTGAGCAAATGAGCTTGAATCCCCATCCTCCCTCCATTATACTTAGGACAATTCTTCACCAACCTGGGACTTGTAGTGGAGTGAAGGTCTTTGAGCATTAAGTTGGACCATTTTAGCTGCGTGTTTAGCGTCATGCCAGCAACGCAATGGCTGGGTTCCACTACAAAGTAAGAGAGCGGTGATGACTTGGTTCTCAGGGCTTTCTCATGCCTACACCGCCCCCGACCCTGACAGACTTCAGAGCCTTAGGGTTGAGTTGTAAGCGTGTGGAAATAGAGCTTAGTGTGCTATCTCTCGGGTGTCAAAACCTCATCATCATCCATGAGATTATGCTTATACAGTTGTGGATTTAATCTTCGTTATTAGTAGCGAATGAAAACTTGTTTTTCTTCCTCAGCATCCAGAGTGTTTGACCCAGTAAGCCTGAGGATTGCACCAACCCTTCAAGCCCACCTCTCCCCAGTCCATTCCCATTCCGCTCTGCTTATGTCCACCGAATGGTACGTTGGGTGCAACTTCGAAGTGCGTATTGACCCAAATGCTCCCAGCCTCTAACTGCTCAGCCATACGTCGCGCACGAGGCACATCTTTACTCCAAACCGAGGCCCCAAGACCCAAGTCGGATGCGTTGGCCCTCGTGATAACGTCTTCCTCGGAAGACCACTTCAGAAGAGGGACGATTGGTCCAAAAGGCTCCGTTTGAACGATTTCAGAATCCTCAGGTGGATTATCAATCAGAACTGGTGGCATGTAGTATCCCTTCTCTGACTTTGTTGGGATGTCACCATAAGCACGTTTCCATCCTTGTGTCTCAATCTGCCCAAACAGTTTCTGCAACTTCTCGAATTGCATCTTGTTCTGGATGGGTCCAAAGAAAGCTTCGGCATCCGAGAAGTCTCCAGTCTTCATATTATCCAAGAAGTCTTTCACAGCCGATAGAAACTTATCGTAAATGCTCTCATGCACATATATACGCTTGATGTTCATGCAGATTTGTCCATTATGAACAAAAGCAAGAAAAGCAACCTGTAAAGGCAGCAGCAATTAGTAAATTATTCACATGGTATGGATAGACGTACCTTTCCAGCCACTGTGGCGATATCAACGTCTTCACAGACAATCGCAACATCATTGCCACCTAGCTCCAAAGTGACACGCTTCAATGTGGCAGAACAAGCAGCCATGATCTTTTTACCTGTTTCAGTAGATCCAGTAAAACTGACTTTGTTGACGCCAGGATGCGCTGTGAGCATAGGTCCGAGGTCGTCTCCGCCGCTGATAGCCTGGAACACACCAGGAGGCAGAACCTTGGCTCCAATCTCAGCCATCTTGAGCGCCGAATAGGGTGCGTAGGGCGAAGGCTTCCAGATAAAGGTGTTGCCGGCGAGCATGGCGGGGAAAGCCTTGCCTATGCCGAGGATCAAGGGAAAGTTCCATGGGACAATACCAACACCGACACCAAGGGGGACATATCGCACAATCGCCGTTCGCTTTTCGTGTTAGCAAGATGGAACTCAAAGTGGAGTTTATATAGCTTTCTTACGTCGTCATTATCTTCAGGCTTCTCCTCCTTAATTCGAAGCTTTGGGGTACCCCGAACATGTTCCATGACGAGCCATAGCTCAAACGCGCCAGCTTGAGGTGGTTTTCCAGCCTCTCGACCAAGAAGGTCAATGAAGTCTTGCTTATGCGCTTCAATAGCATCGGCAAACTTGACAAGATAATCGGCGCGTTCATCCTGTGATAGCTTGCGCCACGCAGGATAGGCTGCTCTAGCCGCACTTACAGCACGATCGACATCCTCTTGCGTTGATACGGGTGACTCCCACAGTTGTTCCTCAGTGCTGGGGCAAATCCCACGACGAGTCTTCGAGGTTGGACTCAATTCGTTGTTGATGACGTTTTGGAAGGTCTGTCCACGAGGGTGAGGGATGTTTCGTGAATACGGAGTGTACATACCTGGAACTCAACCCTCTGGTCATTGGACGATGCCATTTGGAATCTTTTTAAAAGCCTACTTGGAGCTTATTTTGAGAGAAAGGGGGGAGATTATTTACGTAAAAGCAAGACAATCTGACATGTTTATGCACCTATATACAGTCTAGGACTCGGGTCCTCTCGGCAAGTTCGCGACCCAAAGATCCAAACAACCTCACTTGGTAGCATTTTGTGGGTTTACCTAAAACGATTTGGCCAACGAGATTTCTGTAACCCATGTTGAGGAACATGCATATAACATCCATCGTGGGTACAAGAAGAAATTGGACTAGGGCTTACGAGATACATATCTCACGAAGTAACCTAAAACTGTCTTGGCCCGCCCTTTCGTCGGACTTTGTTGTAAGTCATTGGTCAGATGATTGGGATGAGGTGATATTTTCCGACTGTACGCGTACACCCTGAATCTCCGTTCGCTGCCTGAATGGTAACTTTGGCTAGACTTCCGACTCCGAGTTAGTCTCTATTTGTGAGCGGACTATTTCCATTTTATTTGTTTATGATATTCTACCGTCTTCTAAAGGTTCGTTGTAGGCCGGCATGTGACATGTGTTTATGAGAACTGCAGATTATGTATAATATGCTCCGGATGATGACTGTGGCTGATGGGTTTTATGGTCTCACTTATAATGGACAGTCCACCAAATGTTTTGCAATCTACCAAGTTCGGCATTCACAGCGCTATTTATTGTTTCTGCTACTCCATTATATGTAGCATCATAGTATAGTCACGTCGTCAGAGACTTGCGTTAATAAAGTCGTTGTTTTCCCAATATTCAATACTTCTCATTCACCTCACTTTCATTTTCCCTCGCAGTCCAATAATAGATCACCACCCAAAACCGTTAGCTTCCAAAGCACTCGCAACATCCTCCGCGACAAGTCTGTTAATAGCAATTGCCGGATGATAATCGTTGAACCAAAGCTATTCAGTTTTAGTGCACATATCTTATCATCTGATACTTGACTTACGCATGATTTGCCATCTGCATTATAGCATACTGCGTTAGGCGCACCATAATTCTGAGGAGATTGAATCGCCTTTTTGAATGCAACAGAAGTGTCAACAACAATAGCTTTTACACCAGAGTTTTTACTCTTGAACGTCTTGATCCTAGTAGCAATCTGACTGTTGTAGTGCGTAATCGATTTGACAAGCATAGCATTTGACTCTGCGCCTTGGCCTATCATTAAAGGTGTAAGTTCAGTTGCTATGGTAAATTGTTAGCATTATCTCATGTAAAGAGGCCCTGTATCAGAACTCACGCGGTACGCTCAGAAGTACAAATTTGCGCAATCCAGCATTATACAAAATCTGCAGCAGTTCAAAATACCTTGCAACGGCCTTTTCGGCAATTTCAGCAGCGTTACTGAGATAGAAAGAGTTTCCAACGTCGTTAACGCCCATCCAGACGCCAACGACTGTGTTTTTCGCTGTCCATGGGACATTTGCGGGTTTCTTCCCGAGTGAATTCGAAAACTGGTTAACTTGATCCACCATGCTTAGGACGGTGTCTGCGTAGGGTTTCACAATATTGGCATCAACAGTGGCGCCACCGTAGGCAAAGTTGTATGACAAAACAAGAGAATTGTTTTGCTCCTTCACTATGCTTCCAATCCAGTTGGCACCACCAGCGGCTGTCCATCCTGGAAATGGCGGGTTTCCAATTGGGTTGGAAGCGGAGGGCTGTTCACCATTGACATCAAACCCCGTTTGGGAGTATGAATCGCCACTATGAGAGGGATTAGGTTAGTAGGGAGTTCTAAAAATGGTTGATATAAACTGACAAGGTAAACAGATAATTAACACTGGATGCTGCTTGAGGGGCAACGCTACGCGCCACAGCACCACCTATAGCAACAAAAAGCAGCTTGGAAACCATACTTCTGGTGGTTCGATAGGGTAACTAAGTAGTTGTTATGTTGTCCCAATACTCTTCACCTTCTGATCTTTCGAAGGCTCTAATAAAAATTCTTCATCTTCGAAGCAAAACAGGAGACAGCCAGCCATTTATACGAGTCCGACATCCAAATTAAGGAGTGGTAATCCCTCGGAAAACTAGTATGTTTCGGATTCAAACAGCCGTTGATTCGTTCATATGATCTGGAAAGGGATAGACGGAGTTGCTCCGTGGCGGGGTAGAGCATATTTGGACCAAACAAGCATTTCCAGGCTCCCATTCCGCGCAGGCATTGGCTAAACCAACTACCCATGCAGTGAAGCCATCCATCTTTGGCTACGGATGATCAAATCCCGTGGCCTCATGGTATTTTTCCGTCGGCCCGGGGCCCCTGTGTGCCCGCAACATTCAGAAAGTATGAACAGTGTTCTGGCCTATCACAAAGCTATTCCTACCCTGCCAACAGAGGGGAACTATGTCACTAATTATGTAAAATATTGGCCGGGAAGAAACGGTGAAAGCAAAGGCCAGGAGTTTATAGAAATGATAAAAATTCATAAGACATGACAATTTGTTCGTTCACTCCAGTGCCATGGCTGATAGGCTTGCCTCACCATGTCGCATCTTTGATTTATTGGCGAAATAACGCAGTATTCCACTGTCGAGGTGCCATCTAGATTGAGTTAGGAAGACTTGACCTTTCCGGTCCCGTGGATCATTTCGAAGATCAATGTCAGGCATATCCGTAAGTCAACGAAGGGTATATGGCCCCCTCCTAGTAATAGCCCTCCGTCTGCACTCTTATTCAATCACCACGTGCGTTCTCTTCAAACAAATCGGATCAGAAATCACAGAGGGGGTCCATATACCCCTTCGTTGACTTAGACTTCAATGCAAAGGAATATGGACGTTTCACTAGAGGCGTGGAGTTCAAGGATGTCAATCCACAATTTAAATACAACATATAAATAGGTATTGCCGCCGAGTTGATAGTGGAAGAGAATACGTAATCGATCGACTTCTGCGAAATGTCCCCTCTTAACCTCAAAAAATTTGTTATCATAGTACCACAGTATCCATTGGTGTATCGCAATAGCCAAAAGTGGACCACGTCCTTACCATCAAGATACTCTACCAAAGACAGCTACATTCGTCGCTGATTCACTGCTTCAGGGCTGAAAAGACAAGCCGCATACGTCAGATCCTGTTTGTGACGCGGGACGCAACCAAGCCATTCCCAGTCAGTGTGCAGCAAAAGACATATGACGTGTTTTCAGCTAGATTAGCTCGGTAGATCTTCAGCTAAATTGCTCTGAGTGGCTACGATGCGGTAAGATCCTCGCTTGCGCCTTGCTAGCTGAGAACAGATGTCTCACCCGTCAAGCTAATGATTGATGATGTCTGTATGACCTGAGAAATGTATTAAAGTCTTGAGAAATGCCACAAATCACCGAAGTGCAGATTCTTAAGGCCTTGCTGTACTAAATTCTACTACGTTCCCATACTAAAACCGTCTGCGCTCATTCTTATCAGTCAATCTTAGTCCGCTGTCAATTACTTGAGTGCGATTCGATATGGTAATTCTCGTCACTGGAGTAAATCCCCATCCTCATGCTTTAATAAAATGACATAGCTAACCGTGTCGCAAGGGAGCCGGCTTTCTCGGCTGTCACCTGGTCGAGCTACTACTCAACAACAACCACGAAGTTGTCGTTCTTGATTCTTTATGGACTGGATCATACAGTACCCTTGACAAATTTAAATCAGACAAGAGATTGCGATGTATCCAGTACGCGCACTCACATCAGGCTTTCGCATAAATGTTAACAATATGCAGGTCTGACGTGCGAGATCCTCTACCATGGATAGATGGTGTCGAGCAGATCTACCACCTTGCATGTCCTGCCAGTCCCGTGCATTTCGAGACCCGTCCGATAGATATCTTGCAAACTTGTTTCAATGGAGCTTCTAATGTTTTGGATTATGCAGTGAAGCACAACGCTCGGGTACTTCTAGCCAGTACTTCAGGTATGCCATCTCAGTGTTGATATTCATAAAACACCTACTGACTACTAGATAGAGGTTTATGGCGACTCACAAGTCCCGTGTCAATCTGAAGACTACAGAGGCAATGTCAACTGTTTTGGGCCTCGTTCCTGTTATGATGAAGGCAAGAGAGTTGCGGAAGCACTCGCATACGCCTATCAAGCTGAGCATGGTCTCGAAGTCCGCATTGCACGAATTTTCAATGCTTATGGCCCGCATATGGAGCCTGAAGACGGCCGCGCCGTTCCCAATTTCATCATGGCCGCTTTGAAGCGTGAGCCAATAACCATATTCGGAGATGGCCACGCAACCCGATGCTTTCAATTTGCGGAGGACTGCGTTAGGGGGTTAGAAGCATTGATGAATAGCGACTACCACGGCCCGGTCAATATCGGCAGTGATCTCGAGATGGAAATCAGCGAGATTGCAGATATAATATCGCGCGTCGTTGCTAATAAAACAGGGCAGAAGGATCCTGTGCCAGTCAATTTGCTACCGAAAAGAGAGGATGATCCCATCAGGCGAAAGCCTGACACGAGTCTCGCTGAACGTGTTCTAGGGTGGAAACCGAGAGTCTCGTTGGAGGATGGAGTGTCTGCGACTATAGATTGGTTTATTCAGAGGGAGAATGAGAATGGTATGGTTAGCAGACTTTGAGAATCTGTATCATCACAAGTAGAACATTAATTGCCGTTCAGGTGATACTGAAGTACTAGTTCTAATGAATCCACCTTAAACCTTTTGGCACGAATCACCTTGCCGATTATTCCGAACGTCGATCGGGATTCACGGATAGATATGGGGCATGATTCTTTGATTTGTTGATTAACGAACGACTGAAAAGCTTCAACTTAGCCGCTACCTACCCCAATACTTACGAAACACAACTGCCGCAAGCTACCGGCCGTTCGGTTGGCCCTTGCTTTTTTGAGTTGGGGCTAAGTCCCCAGGTTTATGCGTTGCAACTGGTGGAAATTTGAAACATGGGAACTTTATGCTCTAGAAGCAATTAAACTCTATATCTTTACTCCATAATAGTCGTTCTACAGACCGTAGAAGGCATTGTCATGGTCGCAATCAAACTTAATCCGGCAAATTGCGAGGCACGGCCCTATAAAAACTCCGGATGCGCGGCATCGGCTGGTCGGTGCAACCTTACGTGAGATTGTTTATTAGGAGGGCAAGTCTCCTGTCTTTTAATCACCATCCACCAACCTTCAACACCACACTCTTTTACATTGTTACACATAACATTTAACTCAAGTCACTCATTTCTATTTTTCACTAGAATGCATCTGTCCGCTTTCCTCGGTCTTGGTGCCGTCGCTGTCAGCCATGCAGCTGAATCGCGCAACATCCTCTACTACGACCAGTAAATAACCCCTGCTCATTGAACAAAGCCATCGGAAAGCTAACATTACTCAGATGGCACACTGCCAATCTACCCCCCAAGTCGTTGACCAGTAGCGTCACCCACGTCATGATGTCGTTTGCCAACTCGTCTCTCTTTACAACCCAGCCTGCTGGAAAGTACGAGCCATTCCAGCCTCTCACTCAAGTTCGCGGTCTTTTCGACCACGATATTAAGGTCTGCCTTGCTGTTGGAGGCTGGGGTGACAATGCTGGGTTTGACGAAGGTGTCAAGACTGATAGCAGCCGTCAGAGATTCGCCCGCAATGTCGCTTCTACTCTGGACAGACTTGGTTTCGACTGTGTTGGTATGTTATTCTCCAGATTGTCATGGGCGATGTAGCTGACACAATTTAGACATCGACTGGGAGTACCCCGGTGGCAACGGCGCGGACTACAAGCAGGTCCCCAACTCCAAGAAGACCTACGAGGTTAAGGCTTTCCCCAAGCTTCTCAAGGAGATCAAGAAGTTCATTGGAGACAAGGAGCTGTCCATCGCTGTCCCAGCTCTTGATAGAGACATGATTGCCTATATCCCCAGCGAGACTCCCCTCATCAACGAGGCTGTCGATTATGTCAACGTAAGTTCCCACCATATATACCTGGGGATCTGCTAACTTTCCAAGGTCATGACATACGATCTCATGAACCGCAGGGATGCCTACACCACTCACCACGTCTCAATCCAAGGAGCTGCCCGCGCCATTGACAAGTACATCTCCCTCGGCTTCCCTGCGTCCAAGCTGGTCCTCGGTATCCCCTTCTACGCAAAGTGGTTCACTACCAAGAAGGGCTACACCTGCAGTCAGCCAATTGGCTGCCCTACTGAGCTCCTTGAGAACGCAGACGGAAGCGACACCGGCAAGTCTGGCTCCATGACCTTCGAGGCTGCCAACTTTGCCGCACCCCCCACGAACCTGACTACCACTCCTGATGCTACCTGTGGTGCTGGCACATTCTTCAAGTGTGCTGAAAGCTTTTGCTGTGCAGCATCTGGCTGGTGGTGAGTACTTATTCTATCATGATTTTGGAATCTCTACTAACTGATATTTAGTGGTGACTCCGCCGCCCACTGCGGTACCGGTTGTCAGTCTGCCTACGGCAAGTGTGACGGCACTGACCTCTCAACCTCATTCCAAAAGGCTCTCAAGGATGGACGCACCGACGAGAAGAACGGAGGACAATGGTACTGGGATGCTGAGACACGCATCTTCTGGTCTTGGGATACTCCTGAGCTCATCTCCAAGAAGATCGCCCAGTTGGCTGCTACCCGAGGTGTCAAGAGTGTCATGGCCTGGGCTCTCGCACTCGACAGCCATGACTGGAGCCACCTCAAGGCTATGCAGCAGGGTTTTGATCGCGTCAACGCTTAGAATTTCGGTGTCGCTACAGTTTCGCCCTGGTTCGTTTCCTAGAGTTTTAGATCCTATAGTTTTAGACTACTGAATTTACAGGAGCTCGTCTCCGAGCTGCGCGAACAACCTTTATTTAGCCATCATTAATGCAATGATTTCGTCAAACGTGCATCCACCCCTTGTGCGTGGGCGTGGCCTTGCCAACATTGCAATTGAGGTTGTGGAGTCTATAGTCTACACTAGTTCTTGATTTTCACCGCATTTATCTAAACAGTATAATTATGTCAGCTCGAGATTTGAACGAATCTTGGTAGGTCATACCCCAACTCACAAAGTGAGTCAAATAACTCTTATGTGCTTTCTTCCTTGAAAATCTGAGGTAGTCTCAAACCCCCTTTCACTACGTTCTTCGTGGATCTGTATTTATTGTGTTCTTATTAGCCCTGTCAACTACTTCTGCCGTCAGTTCAAAACTCTGACTGTCTTGCCATTGATAAAATGTTTTCATTGGTGGATGCTTATATTAAGCTCTATGAAGTAAATAAAGGAAAATATTGAACTACAATAACTGTTTGAAGACTTTACACATCTTGATGGTTTCTCGATAACAAGCTTGCTGTTCATACCACGCTTCTGGCCCCTCCAGTGAATGGCATTTTTATATGACTTATCTCGGAATGAATTGACTTTTTTTTCTTCTACCAGGAAATGCTTTATAGTCGATTGTGAATCATGTCTTATTTTTGTACTTATAGATGGACACGAGATTTCGAAGATTTGCTCAAAGGATCTCGGTCGAAGAACAGACCATCTTCTCATTAAATCGACTCTAACTTTCACAGTAATTCACTGAATGCCATTACCCGGAACTTGCAATGAATCGATCAGACTTTTGCAAAATCATGGTTACCTTCATTAGCTATTATAATTCGAACAGATTTCTGTACACCGTCTCCAAAGTGTCCATTTGAACAGCCCTAGGGTAACGGACCAAGTTTCCAGTGCTCGGACTCTCGAATGCGAACCCACCTATCGCATGCTCTATTTTGAAATGAAAACCCCACCTGAAACAATATCCTAGTCTTTGCCAGCAAATCCTACTCGATAAGAAAGTACCTCCCCTCACACCACAATCAGTATGCGTACATAAGTATTTATCTATCGTTGGATCTCAACTCCATGTCAATATGTTAAATGCAGGCCAGCTGTGAGATCGCCCTGCGTGGAGTCCCAGCGTTTAAAAGATTGAACCTGCCCTCAGACCTGTTCTACTGTCATGGCCTCCATTTGAAATTGACAAAATAAGCCCGATGACTGACTATCAAAGAGTCCGCGGTTTCGAAATGCTGGCATTACAAAAAGATGGAGGGCACGCCACGATTAACCCCATCGACAACCACGGACATACAAGTGGCAATACCACGGAGAAAGAGTCGAGCAGCTTGAATATTCACGAAACGCCTCTCAGGTCTACAACAACATTTATTGTCTCGCCACAGCAACAAAAACCTCGACGATGGTGGTACAGAATAGGCCTCCCTTCAATACTGGTCCTCACCGTCGGGACAGGTGCCATCCTGCTCTCTGTTGCACTACTAATCTTCCTCTACCAAGGAGCAGACCGGGCTAGAGCCCACGATTCTCGAGCGGAATTCTGGGATGACATTGTCTTCAACGACTGGTCCACGCGACTTGTCACCATCTGCTCCGCCGCAATCAGGGTTTCCATGGGGTTCCAGATTGGACTTGCCGCTGCCGCCATGGCAGCTGTTATCCTAGAAACCTCTGGGAGTCGATTCTCTGATACAGCAATGTTATCTATCCAGCGAGCAGCGAGCTCCAGTGCTGGGCCAATGAGTATGATTCCTACAGCTTGGAGACATTGTGTCGCAGGCCGAATCTCGGGTCTAGTTTACTTAATTATCCTTGCCCTTGGGTTTATCATCGCTCTGGTTTCGACTTTGACCTCAACTATTCTTCTCTTCGACTTTGGCCAGGATCAAATCTCGGCTCCACTGACGACAACCATCAGGGCTGTTGGATTCGATACGCAGGAGATCTTCCCCTTCAACGGCATTTCATATTGGAAGTCCAGACCACTTGCTCACTGGCGATTTGCCGAGACCCGACCCGATGAGATGGACAAAGGTCTTCGGACTGATAATGCGGTTGGCACAGGCGATGTTTATCGAGCAATGCTGCCGTTCGACAACCCGGAAGACCGAATCACTCTTGAATACTATGATGGACCTGCAGTTGTCGTCAACCAACGAACCACATGTTTCGCCCCAACCTTTGACAATGCAAAGATTGAGTACGAGTTGAGGGATGCCTCTGTTACCAGTGGCTTGTATCTCAATGGTACCTACACCATCGAGGGTCAGGACGATTTCCTCGGGAGTGCCTCAGGCATGCCGAAAAACATGCTCTGCAGAATGCACAACCAATGGAATACCTCACATCCTGATATCCTCCCGGTATCTCTTTGCAGCGGTAAATTTGGACAAGTTCCTATTGAGAACGGGACCAAAAATCCTTTTTCCGGTTGGGCATACGGCTTCGACTCTGTCATGTTGATCAGCTCAGGTTCGGCTCTGAATGGGATCGCTTCTACAATTGATGAGAAGACTGGAAAACCATTGTCACCCGAGATACCAAATGGCCTGAATAAATTAACATTCCGCCAAGACGGACCCTGGACAAAAGCCTATAGCGCCGCTGGGGCAGACGTATTCAACGCCACCATCTGCTACATCAGCCAGAACCTTCCTCACCGATACAATGTCACCATGACCGGGCGGGCTATTGCATCCGAGCCAGGTTTCCTGGCCGAATGGTCCAGCCTAAATGCCAAAGGAAATGGTACCAGCATTCTACAACAGCTGGGTGTCGGCCTTGACCCTAGCAATACAATGGAACGTGGTATCATGGACCTTCAAGTCCGCTCAGGGCCGGACTTTTGGGTTGACCCGAGTAATACGCCTCGTATTCAGGACGGATACTTTCTGCTTTGGTCTACCCTGGTGGAATCCTCTGCTTTAGGAAGCTGGAGCTTTGGAGGCAGAACCATGACAAACGATATTTTGACACAGATCACTTGGCCAGCTCATCCGGAGCATTCGGCCGTGTTCCAAAACATCCTCCACCAGACTGGCGACCCGGCTCATGCGATACAGGCGCTTGTGTTCCGCTTCTATCAAATGATATACTACGACTGGCTTCCCAATTTCGATCCAACTCATAGCGTCACGACAATCAATGCTAAAGAAGTGCTCATCCCAGAGCAGTGGACAGGGTTTCTTATCGTCCTGGCGATAATTCTCACTCACTTCATCATAACTGCTCTCGCCATGTTTCTTTTTGCACAGCGTACCGACTCTTCCCTGTTGGGAAATGCTTGGCAGGCCGTTTCTCAGATGGTGTCACCTGAGACACAGGATATTATCCGGGTAGCAGGTGGCGAGGGAATGAAGGATAAAGAGGTTGCAAGGCTGGCTAAATCTGCCGGACGGAACAACGAAGCATATGCTCTAGCGAGCGGTGTTGATAGTAGCAGGACAGAACTACGGGTCCGTTGATAGATGATAGAGGTGCTTAAACAAACAAGGCGAATAATCTGCAAGACCTTTTTCCAATTATGGATTGAATATGGTTCGTGGGGTATCTAGCGTATTAGTAAGTGGCAGGCCAGAGACAAAGGAAGTGCGAAATGGTCACGGAGAGAATGAAGCAAATACCTAGAAAGTAATGACATTTTCAAAATTCATGTTGAGCAACAAGAGATATCTCCATCAAAGCAGAGTAGATCAAGAGCAGGATATGAGCGTGGGCTCAGCCAATGGTAAGGAAATGAAGGATGAAACGTCAGCAAAGTTAGCGGATACCTGCAGCTGCAAGGATACCTTTTTCCTATTTAAGAATGATCGCCGACTCCATCGCCTTGAATTAGTGACGGATTATATTTGTGGATGTAGTAAGTAGCCTCTGATCATTCAAGCACCTTTTCCCTGAAATGGACGTAGGTGGTGGTCGAGTAGAACCATGACATTTAGAAATCGTATATCCCGAAATGCTTCCACTTTAGGAAGCAGGTGTTAACTCAAACGACGGCGTTTGTTTTCTTTTTATGGAGATCGGTTTAAAGAGACTGGTATAAAGACAAGCAGAAAGGCCTTCGACATGAAGAGTTGAAATTCCAAAAACTACTCAACATTAACACTATTCACCATGGCAATCGACACCCTCTCTCTCGCCGGCAAAATAGCCATCATTACAGGCTCTGGCCGTGAAAACGGTATCGGCGCAGGCATCGCCAAAGCTCTCGCTCGAAACGGAGCAGCCGTCACCATCCACTATGTCAGCGACTCTGTGACTGAACGAGCCCGTGCAACCGCGGATAGCATCAAGTCCGACGGAGGCAGAGCAATCGTTGTCCAGGCTTCTATTGAAACACCCGAGGGTGCCCAATATCTAGTTGACGAGACTTTGCGAGGCTTCAATACCGACCATATTGATATCTTGGGTTTGTGATTATTCCAAAAGAAAAAGCCAACCTGACTTATACATCTAGTCAATAACGCAGGTGTGGCTACATTTGGCGAGACCTTGGCAGTCAAAGCTGGGCAATTGACCCAAGCTTTTGACGTCAACATCAAAGGCCCAATATTCGTTGCACAAGCTGTTGTACCTCTCATTGCGCCTGGCGGTAGGATTATCAACATCAGCTCAATTGCCTCTAAGCTTGGTGATTCTGTTATCCCAGTTTACGGCGCCTCCAAAGCTGCCCTAGATAGCCTCACATGGTCTTGGGCCAAAGAGGTAAGTCAAACCCTGATTGCAGAAAGACTATCTAACAACCAATTAGTGGGGGCATAGTAAGGGAATTACTGTCAATGGAGTTGCCCCAGGGCCCGTTTTGACAGACTCGAATCCTGCAGTGGAGTTTCAACAGCCCACGATTGATATCACACGAGCTGCCTCAAGGGCCGGTACTCCAGCGGATATTGCAGACGCTGTACTTTTGCTGGTGTCGGAGAAAGCGAGGTGGATCACAGGACAGTACATATCTGTCAGTGGAGGAGTTAATAACTGAGGTTGTATATTATCTCAAACTATTGTCAATTTGGATAGATCGTGCAAATGTCGATCATTATCATATCCCGGCTAGCTCAGAGGCGCATGCTAGGAACAGGCTCCTTCGAGCTTTAGTGCTTACTATACAGCCCCAGGCTGATTACATACTCACATTAGCGCAGTTGAGCGGCATTCAAGTTGGAAGTGAATTACCGAACAAATGAACAAAATTTACACACTACACCTCTACTCTTCACTCAACTTTTTTCACACCTTTGATATGGCTACATCCACAACAATGCGTCGTCCTGCGACAGACTTCATGTTTGTTAATATTGCACGGCCCCAGGATATGAACGATAGGAAAACACGCAAGAGAATCAACAGCCATGTGATGAAACCAATTGGTGCAGCCCGGAGATGCCATCGTCCAGGTCAGATAATACGACTTCGCCTCAATTCTGCAGAAGCGACGCCGCAGGTAGCAAAAAAAGCACAAATTCCTGCTCTCTCAGACATGCAAACACCAAACCCTGTCCAGCCGTCGGAGGCATTTCCTTCAAAACTCAAGCTGGCACCGTCTCTACCACCTTACGAAAGACCAACATCATATCCCATGTCGACTCGCACAACCAGAATCCTCCACTTCTGTTAGTAATTGCACTACTCCCGACCTTGGACGTGGCTCTAACACGTAGTAGTGTGTGTAGCAGATGAGGCACCGGTGTGTAAAATGATGCGCGAGCTGTGTTTCGCTCTCGCGTTTGTCGATGATAGTGCTATGCACTTGGTTCTAGCCAGGCTTGAAATAGATCCCGAAAGAAACGGGGGGAAACCTTCAAAAGACAACACCGCGACATTGTCACATTACAACGCCTCGATAGAAACATTGAGAAGCCAGCTTGGAGAGCCAGGGCTGATTGCCCATGAAATCATCATTGGTGTGGTTGTAAACTTGGCGTGTTATGATGTAAGTTGTGAAATGCGACTTTGTTGATTGGTGTTTGCAAGCTGACTTTGATAAAGATATTCACCGATAACTTGCAACGCTGGAAAACACACATGTTAGGATTACAAACAATGATCAGCTATCGAGGCGGCATAGGCACTCTCAGTTCCCAGTATCTTCAAGTGACAGCAACTTGGTACGATATCTAGCTTGCAGCGTCTATGGATCCCGCTGACATTCATAGGGTTGACTTGATTGGGTCCATGATTCTCGACGAAGCTCCATATTTCACTCCACAACCCAGTGAGCCTATTAGTTTACATATGCAATCCACGGGAGTGGTGCCAGAAAGCTGCAAAGACATCTCTACTCTTCTAAAAATGCTCATCAAACTCTCAAACCTCTCCACAGGAAAGTCAGAGCTTGAGCTCAGTGAAGACTCTGCTCTGCTAGGAGCTCTGCAAGCGGCAGTATACACAGCCTTGACGTTACCACGTTATGAGATTCTCGGACTACACAACCCTTCGACGCCTCAACTAGCAACTTACGAGCTTGTCCGACTGTCAATACTCGCTTATCTCTCAGGGCCTGTAATGTTTCTAGCTGGCGACATGGTTCGAAATGTGATAGCCTCTCATTATAGGGGGAAGATAATGAGACTGTACGATCCGGAACAACTCGTCTGGGCAGGCCCCGAACATGTGGAACTATTTGTGCTAGTCACTGGAGCTTTAATCGAGAGGGGGTCGGATAGATACTGGTTGTTGAGCCATCTTCGCCGCATCATGCTTTCGCAGAACTTGAGATGGAACGATCTGGTTATGAGGCTTAACTCGATGGCATGGTTTGCTGTCGTCTGGACAAGCGGACTGGAAGAGCTGCAAGCCGACCTTGCTATGATGGATGGAACAGCGTAGTGCACAGATAGACTTTCAGATAAATTCAGCACAATTTATATGAACTCAATGACGCAGATTACTTCGATTATCTAATTATGATATAAAACAAACATTCTTGTGAAAATTCCAGCCACTCAACTCAGACGCGGTATCCTCCCAGTCATCTAACAACAAGGGCAAGGGATGATCCAACAGTTGACGGGAATTGGGCACGGGATGATACCGCAAAGCCTGCCGTCACATGCGCCGCCTCCACGAAGTTCGAGGGAAGGCTCTGTGGTCTCGGGAGCCTTCTGGGGATCTATTGGGTATCAGTACAGGGTGATACAGACGCGACTTTGCTGCAGTCTCTTGTCGGAGTGTCCTACCCATTGAGTGCTGAGCCTTGGGCTGATCTGTCTCTAAAGGTTGAGAGGTTCTCATCTCGGAGAGTTCCTGCGATTGAGCTTCGGTAGATGACATAGTGTTGGTAGTTATGGTTTGCTTTGGGGGTTTTTGAGAGATTGGTACAAGATTAAAAACAAAGAAATGAGATCACTGTGAATGACGCACGCTGACGTTATATCTGTGGCACGTGCAAAACGCGTAAAGAGTGTGGCGCAGTTCCTCTAAGGGGTTGGGGCTGAGCTCCGGAGTAGTTACCCCGGCCTGGTTACTTGAACCAGTTTGATGAGATTTGTGCTTCTTCGTGCACAGTTAATAGGGCTGAGGTTAGAGTTGGGGATAATTGGTAGAAGACAAATAGAAATAGTTATCCACCGTGATTGTCGCATCTCCGGATATCCCATAACCACACTATTGCAGATAAGGTTGTATCTTTCAACTTACAAGCGGTCTGTTGGCCAAATCCTTGTAAACTATCGACTTTTATCCCTCACGATTCGTCGGTGATAGGAGCGTATTACTCTTTACGGGGATGCTTGATTGGTCCCAGGGCGAACGAGAACGACCGTTTTCTGCTCAGCCAATAACTAGCATGGTGCTGTTCAATGTCTTTCCAATTCACAAAGACGTTTCATGCCTCTGGATTCATGGACTTGGCCTTCTTGTTACCTAATTTGCTGCATGGAGGGGCTGTGTTTTATGGGACAGAATACGTAGTTGACGACTTGCATAGAGCCATGGACGAAAGCAAATTCCATGCGCGACTTGCCCACTAGAGACACGTTCTCTGATAATGGACTTTCACAAGAGTTGGGGGTACAGATTACGCCTCTCACAGACAACAAGAGACGGTGTAGCGACACTATAGTTAAAAAGAATATTTACAACAAGGCACACCCGTGACTCTTTGCATCATGTCCATAGCAGTAAATTCTTGTCCTTATCCATGATATTGATCAAGGTGTACTGTGGATAGTTGTCAGTAAGGAGAATGCAGAATCGAGTATTGTAACGCACCTCCATGAATCTGGGCGCGGCATACACTCTGTCGCCGATCCAGTTATCCTCACTGTTCACTGGTCTCAAGCCCATGGCCTCCAAGGACGACCACCACTTCAACCATGTTTCAAGATTGGTGGGAATTTTAAAACCAGGAGGATCCTTCATAATATGGATCTCAATCAGCAATTGGCCGAAAGGGAGAGTTGAGTTACCGTCTTTTATGATAGATTCAATAAGAGAGGTAAGGGAATCAAACTCAGCCCCCTCGATGTCCATTTTGAGGAGGTCGACATATGAATGACCGTTCATCTTCATGAGGTCCTGGATTGTGACTATAGGAGGATTCGCTTTCATATCTGTCTCTTTGCCAATTGCAACCTTCTCGAAACTGGCACGTGGGTATTGATACTCAGGAATTTGTTCTGCCCACGAGTTGACGCTCATATCATATCCCCAAATACGAGCATTCGTACGGTGCAACAGCTCTGCTTCGAACGAAGAGTCGTCATCAACACCAAAAGAGTAAACGATGAGTTCCCGTGCCGGGTTGGTCTTTGACGACGGGCCAGGACACTCCTTCTCGTACCGCGACATTGCGCAAACGATCTTGCCACCATCGCCTAGCTGTCCCACTCTTTCGAGGTCGTGGGGACAATTGAAACTAGGCCGAGCAAATTCCCAAACATTGAAGGGGTTTATGTAGCCATCGGGGAACTTTCGATCGTAGCCAGATTGCCTGACCATCTCCTTACGGCCTTGTATAGACTTTTCCCAGAGTTTCTCAGCGTGTGCAAGCTTTTGTTTTAGATAGGGCTCTGTGCTTAAGACATTTGCTTGATGTTGAAATGCCAAGGCTGTTGAGCAACGGTTAGATATTCTTGAGACCAGCAAAGTTAAGAGAAGAACTGTAGCGAAAAAGAAGACAACGGAGACCGGTCTGTATACCATGATGGTGGACGTGAGTCACGTGGACTGAGTCTATAGCCGTTTGACGAAGTTGTTGACGATAGTAATCTTGGCGTGATGGGCATATTTTTGGAGGTTGAGTCTGCGGATAAACTTTCCTAATTGACCCCTTTTTATGAGTGGGCTACGTTGCGACGGCATCATCCGTTGGTCAGGTTAGATAAATCAGACTAGGACAAAAAAAGCCTTCATGGGTCCACAAGCGATGTGCCGCGATCCGTTACTGCTTTGCGTTATCGGCCAATGAAATCACGAGTCAATCGGTTAATTTTCAGTGTTTCACAACATTCTGCCCCTGAACTTCCAATCTTCCAGAAGCTACCTCACTAAATCTCTTGGCCACTCTTGTTAGGCGCTGCATCAATCTGAACTCCTCGTTAATAAACCCATTGATGGGTTAACGCAGCCATGGATTACTATACCGCTACTCTCATTCTTCTCTTCATACTGCTGGCTTTTGCTGCGTATCGACATTATACGCATGCGTTATCCAGCCTGGTTCTGATGTCTGCAGATGAGGCCAATCGTCTTGATCTGATGGATGATGAGATTCACGATTTCAATCATGAGACAACTGCCGAAAGATATTTCAACTTTCGTAGCAAGTTCCTGTGGACTTATGGCCTTGCTATAGCAGCAGACTGGCTACAGGTGTGCAACAAAGTCTAGACGAATAGTCGACACAGAAACTGACTCATGAGCTATCTAGGCATCATACCTATACAGCGGTTTGAAGAATAGCCATCGTCTGTCGGAACCTATAATTGCCGCTCTCTTTGCCACCGGACTTGTTTGCGCTGGAACTAGCACTCTTTTCATCGGATCCATCGTCGATAAGTACGGCACAAAGGCCATGTGCCGATACTACTGTGTTATATCCTCCCTTTCCTGTCTGACCATGCTGTCCGGCGGCGTGCCAATGCTATTTATCAGCAGAGCACTGGGTGGAACCAGCAATACCATACTCTACTCAGCTTTTGAATCGTGGATGGTAGCAGAGTATCATAAGCAAGGCTTCGCGGATTGTGTGGGCGCTTTGGACGTGATGCATAGCTCTATAGCGATCACCAATGGTTTTGTCGCTGTAGGAAGTGGTGTTGTTGCCCAGATGTTTGCGTCCATCTTCGGTTCACAACTTGCCCCCTTTTTCGTCAGTCTCATTTGTCTAGTAATGGCACTGATGTCCATAACCCGGTCCTGGGTAAGCGTCTTTCAATCAATCGCAGTCAATGACTTACTAATCAAACCTTAGGCGGAGAACCATGGAACCACTGGCAAGAACTCAGGAGTCACCATGAAAACAGCCCCTGTTGTCGATCTTCTTCGTAGGTGCATTGGATCCAACAGATCATATCACGCTAACACAATTCAGGAGATCCTCCTGTGATCGCACTCACATTCGCTCTGTGCTTTTTTGAATGCTCCATGTCCGTAGTCATCTACTCCTGGCCTCAGACAATCATGTCTGCTCGAACTCAAGCCTGGATATGGGGCAACCCTCCCTTTGGCGTCATATTCTCCAGTCTCATGGGTGCATTAGCATTGGGATCTTTCCTTTCCGCCTATGTCTCCCGAGAAGGGAATTCTGCACAGATGTCATCGCGCACAGTGCAGCTTGCGTTGGCAACTTCAGCCACAGCTCTTTTGCTAACCCTCGTGTCTCAGAGTGAGATAGGCCGCTTCTGGGCGCTTTGCCTCTTTGAACTATGCGTGGGCATGTATCTTCCAAGCATAGCATATCTGAAAGATCGTCTTGTCCAAGATAAGCGACGGAACCAGTTGTTGACATTGATAAGAGCTCCCCTCAATATTCTTATTATACTTTGTCTTACTACTACCAGTCAAGGTATGCTCGTTTCTCTTACACTTGAAAATCATCCGCTAACACTGCAATCCAGGGGAACAAAGTCGCGAGGACATATTCATGACATGCAGCGGCCTCCTTCTTGTTACCGTTATCCTTGTGGCTCGCTATGTTCCAAAGTCAAGTAGATCTGACTAAAGTGTTGATAGTGGGCAAGAATATCGTGTTCAGTGTGGTCTTGAAAGGTCGCATTCGTGCCCTTATATGTCCGTCGTGGACCAAGAGGAAAATTAAATATGTACTACCAGTCTTTCATCTCCGCGTAACATCCTCCAATGATTTGCCACCTCTATCAATTCCGAACACCCTTGCAATAAAAAGCCCCATCGTCTTACAAATCCTTCACTTACTTCCCACGTAGTCGTAAGCCACGGATCCCCCCAAACAAGAAAGCCGCATCGTTCTGTGTCGTCAAAGCCTTCGTATACCCTCAGCCCTAGATCAAGGAGAAGTTCACGACTATCGTAACGATCAGCCATGAGAATTAGGTTATCCCGTAATGTTGGGAAAGGGATGGCGTTGATCCAGAAAGGTGATTTTGAACTCTGCACAGGTGTGAATTGAAGAGTCAACGGTATATCCTTCGCTGCTACTATGCTAGTCTTGGATACTCCAAATGATGTACTGCATCCTGGCGGCAGGTGATGTAATAATGAGAGAAGGGACATGTTGTGTATAAAGGCGCGAACAACGTTGTATTGCACCAATGTGATGAGGCAATGATCTGGGGAAAGTGGGAACTCAACAAGCTGTGGCTCAACAGTGCATGCGAGAGAGTATTTCAATAATGGCGGTATAAGCTTCGTCTCACGATGGTCTGTTCCATGTACTGGTAACCGAGTGCCTTGGTCTGTAGCATTTTTGAGTGCGAAAGTTTCAAATGACCTTGTGATGGCCAATTGATTCATGGAATTTTCATCACTGTGTAGACTATGAGGCACAAGCATGCCATAGCCTTCCTGGTGTACCCTATTTTTCAATGAGCCTAAGATCTCTGACATCTGTTTCCTGGCACCTAATGCTTGTCAGTCGACCTGGACGGAGACCTAATGGATAAGTGCCCTCCTAATGTTTCATAGTTTGAGTTTAGGCAGGTATCTTCGCATAACTTACGCCAGGCTCTTTGTCGTAAGCGACTTTGTCTCTTCTTTCTCTCTACTGGGTTCGTGATACCCCGCCAATCGTCTTCGTTGGGTGTCATGGTGGAAGGATTCAGCTAACCATGTCGGGTAAACAGGAAACCAGATGCTGAACTATGCTGATATGCAATGACAGTATCGGATGTGGGTTGTGCCGAGTAGTTTTCTCCCATGTGTGATGTAAAATATGAGCTGAACATAGAACATTTACCTCCAGTTCCTCTTTGCTTACCTTTTACCAATATGTGTGAGTTAGTAAGCTGCTGGGTTGTCAGCTGCAAGTGCGTTACGCGCTAACACCAACTCGGACAACGGGCATATCTTGTCTAAGAACGTAGTGAATGAGATTGGTAATTCAGATCAACTTGTACATATACGTCGAGATTTAATACGGCAGGGTATGGCGGAGTAGATAGAGTATAAAAGGCTAGCGATGTCTGTCATTCCTATCAATTAGTATCTACCGAGCCTCATTCCTCTCTACATCAGCCTTCACCAGACCTTGATCATTATATCCTTGATTCATCGGAGCTATCGCACCAATAGACGCAATGGCCAATCAAGAAAAGCAAACGATGGCCTATTTTGGTGCTACTGGCGGAAGTATGGCAGCAGCCTTGGCAAGCGCTCTGAATGAGGGCCATTACTGCACAGCTCGTATGTCATGAACCGACCTTCTCACTACTTATCCTCCCTGACACGTAGCAAGTGGCTAGAAACCCAGAGATTCTACGCAAGATCTTGATTACCGAGAAACACATCGCATCGGAGGTCATTAACAAGTATCTCACTATCCATCAGGGCGACGTGAGAGATGCTTCTGCCGTAACAAAAGCCCTCATCAACCCAACCAACCCAAAGTTCGTCGTCGACTTTATTCTCAGTGGCGTCGGCTCGCGTCCCAGGTTCCAATGGAGTATTACAAGACCGTTGCCGTTGAAAGACCCGACTATTTGTGAAGATGCCACCAAAACACTTTTCGACGCTCTCTCCAATCTTGCAGCTTCCGGCATCACCGGTACTGAAACTTCACAGAAACCTCTCCTCGTAGTTGTCAGCACTGCGGGATGTGGGAGAGCTCGAGGGGTTCCTCTGCCGATCTATCTCCAGTACCATTACCTTGTTGGAGGACCACTTGCAGATAAGCAAAGGATGGAAGATTTGATTCTTCAAGATAATGGTCGCCATGTACGGAACTTCGTCATCATGAGACCGCTGATATTGACAGATGGAGAAGCAAAGGCCGACGGGCAGCTTCGAGTTGGTTGGGAATGGGGTGTTGTCGGTGACAGGGGGCCTGATGAGCCATTACCTAAGCTTGGATATCTCATGAGTAAAGCGGATCTCGGGATGTGGACTTTTAGTCACATTGTTCTCGAGGGTGGGTGGGAAGGGAAGTGTGTGTATTTCAGCTATTAAGACCTCTAGCTATACTCTGAGCTAGGTACAACGACTGTCTAGTGTTGCTGCAATTTGCATAGTACTGAACTTCGGAGATAGAAATTGACCTCAAGTCACTAAAATAAGCTTATTCATAAAGAAGTGTTCTTTACTTCAATGACCAACTGGTTCACTACCTAAGAAAACACCATTACGTCGCGGAACCATTCCTACGTGGAGACTCTCGTCCAAACTCCCGTTCTAATTGCCGTTGATTTATTGTCGCCACTAATGCCGGTCACTTGACACCCTCCAGCACCCCACGAAGAGAGGGATTTCGGGAAAACGGCATTTCTCTAACCTTTTGAGGACAGTGTCCCGGAAAGCATTTTCCTGGGGTATCGAGAAAGAAGCTTAATCCCAAACTAGAAAGGCGGAGGTGGGGAAACGTTGGGGTAGATGGCCTGTCGACGTGGTTGAACCTGGTGATTTTCAGCCTAGTCAAGTCGGGGAAATTGAGATCAGGCAAGGCTTCGTCCCAGTGACTACAAACGGCCCGAATATATATATGGGACTCTGCCGAAGTTTAGCAGAGCTGCATTGATGCCGTGAGGGCTTCTTAGTCCGGACTTACAAAGATTTTCATGCATACGAGGCGGTGGATTGCTTGTACAAGTGATGAGATGGCTTGTAAGTTCGCCGAGGATCGGGGAACGATCAATGACTAGAGAGAAATGTTATATAATATCCTCAGCCCATGAGTATTCAGTGTATTCGGACAGACATCCTACTCACCATTGAATCACACAATGTTGTCGACTTCTGTCTCTTATTTGGCGGCCATCTCTTTGCTGACCCAGGGCATCCTAGCTCAGCAAGAACAGGGCAATGTCATCACCAGCGATACTCACTTCTACGGCCAGTCCCCGGCAGTCATTCCAACACGTAGGTCTTATCTGTGACATTTGCTTAAACGGTTACTGACCTCATCTATAAGCGGACCTTTCTGAGACTGGGCCTTGGGCCATCGCTGTAGCCAAAGCCAAGGACTTGGTGTCCCAACTAACACTTGAAGAAAAGGTCAACTTGACTTCAGGGGCCCAGACAACCACCGGCTGTTCCGGATTTATACCGGGCATTTATCGTGTTGGGTTCCCTGGACTGTGCTTGGCCGATGCTGGAAATGGCGTCCGAAACACAGACTACGTGAGCTCATGGCCATCCGGTATTCATGTTGGTGCCAGCTGGAACCCCGATTTGACCTACAGCCGAAGTTACTACATGGGCTCAGAGGCCAAAGCCAAAGGCGTTAACGTTCTGCTTGGTCCGGTATTTGGACCGCTGGGTCGGGTAATTGAAGGTGGACGCAACTGGGAAGGCTTCTCTAATGATCCTTATCTTGCTGGCAGACTGGGTCATGAGGCTGTCGCTGGTATTCAAGATGCAGGCGTCATTGCGTGCGGGAAGCATTTCATCGCTCAAGAGCAAGAGACCCACCGGCTTGCATCGCGCGTCACTGGAGCCGAATCTGTATCCTCAAATCTCGACGACAAGACATTGCATGAGTTATACTTATGGTAAGGAAACCCAGTTGTACTGATACAGTATACTAACATTGAAGTAGGCCTTTCGCAGATGCAGTACATGCAGGACTTGCCAACGTTATGTGCAGCTACAACAGAGTGAATAACTCGAATGCCTGCCAAAACTCGAAGCTTCTCAACGGAGTCCTCAAGGGCGAGTTGGGTTTCCAAGGTTTTGTTGTCTCCGACTGGGGTGCACAGCAGTCTGGTATGGCTTCGGCATTGGGGGGCCTTGATGTTGTAATGCCCAGCTCTATACTATGGGGAGCCAATCTTACCCTCGGTGTTAACAACGGGACGGTTCCTGAATCACAAGTCGACAACATGGCTACCAGGTAAGCCCAGGACAACACTCGGTTTATAGGTTCATCCCCAGACTAACAAGTTCTAGAATTCTTGCAACATGGTACCAGCTGAACCAAGACAAAGACACTCTAGCACCTGGCCATGGTCTTGCTAAGGACCTTTGGGCTCCCCATCCCGTTGTAGACGCTCGTAACAAGAGCTCCAAGCCGACGCTCTGGGATGGTGCCGTGGAAGGCCACGTTCTGGTCAAGAACACCAACAAGACCCTGCCCCTCAAATCCAACCTGAAGCTCGTCTCCCTGTTCGGCTATTCACACAAAGCCCCCGACAAGAACAACCCTGAACCCGCCACCGGCATGTTTTCCGCTTGGGCCATCGGCGCCCAGTCTGCAAACATCACCGAGCTGAATGGTGGTTTTCTCGGAAACCTTAACCTCACATACTCAGCCATCGCGCCCAACGGAACCATTGTATCTGGTGGAGGCTCTGGTGCCAACGCTCCGAGCTGGATAAGCTCTCCCTTTGACGCATTTGTCTCCCGGGCTAAGAAGGATGACACTGCGCTTTTCTGGGATTTTGAAAGTTGGGATCCTATCGTCAATCCCACTTCTGAAGCCTGCATCGTTGCTGGAAATGTGTGGGCCAGCGAAGGCTGGGACAGACCTGCTGTCTACGACGACTATACCGATAGTCTGATCAATAACGTGGCAGACAAATGTTCAAACACTATCGTGGTTCTTCACAACGCCGGAACGCGACTCGTTGATGCCTTTATCGACCATCCTAATGTCACTGCTGTCATCTACGCACACCTCCCTGGACAGGACAGTGGCGATGCACTCATCTCCTTACTCTACGGCGACGAGAACCCTTCCGGTCGCCTGCCATACACCGTTGCCCGCAACGAGACGGACTACGGTTCACTACTAAAGCCAGACTTGACTCTTGCTCCTCACCAGTACCAACAATTTCCTCAATCTGACTTTGCCGAAGGTGTTTTCATCGACTACAAACATTTCGATGCGAAGAACATCACACCCCGCTTCGAGTTTGGCTTTGGATTGAGCTACACAACCTTTGAGTACACCGATCTTCAGATTTCCAACTCTGCCGCTCAGACACAGGAATATGCCACTGGCAGTGTTTCCGAGGGCGGACGCTCAGATTTATGGGATGTAGTTGCGACTGTGTCGGCTAATGTTACCAACACCGGAGACGTTAACGGTAAGGACGTCGCCCAGCTGTACATCGGCACTCCCGGAGCTGATGCCCCCGTGCGACAACTTCGAGGGTTCAAGAAGCCGACCATCAAGGCAGGAGAAACAGTCAACGTGGTTTTCGAGCTTACTCGAAGGGATTTGAGTGTTTGGGATGTCACTGCACAGGAGTGGCAGCTCCAGAAGGGCGATTATGCTGTGTCCGTGGGACGAAGTAGTCGTGATCTTCCTCTGTCGGGCACATTGACCATCAGCTAGAAGCTTTTAAACAACTTCAATTAATATACAACCTCTGTTCAATTAAATATCCCAATAATTACATACCTAAGACTGTATTCTGGATGCACTACCCCGTTGAAAGGATAGCATGACAATACCAGGCTGTGTTATAGAAGGAGTATTATCGTAAGCGTTTCAGCCAAGACTAAGAGGGCCAAACAGTGCCTTAGAATAGTGAACTAATGGCCAGGTCTTTTTTGTCTGCCAATCGGTTCAGTTACGCCCTGTCAAGCCAAGATCTCGGTACAAGCCGAAACAAATGTCACCTAAAACACGAAGCTTTTGTGAAACATGCCAACAAAACCCATTCGCTCATTGGATCAGGTTCAACATACATCGTTTAGACCATTCCAATAAATCCTTGTCAACGTTTTACCATTCTTACCAAGGTATGATTAATTTTGGCACTTTCTTAGGGACGCTAATTGTGCACTTTTCTCGTATACCAACGTGGTTTGGTGATGTTTATCAAATTCACTGCAGAACGAAATCGACGTCGAGCTAAATGATAATTTCTCAAGTCTTATTACTTTCGATTCGTATCTATTCCTCGTTTCATTAAAATAACAACGATCCTTAAACAGACCTGCGGGCATTGTTTAGCTTTACTTACCAAACTTCATGACAGTATTCCCATGGTTACCCCCTAAAGACTCAACTACCTACGACAAGGGCGAACGGCTCCTGTCACCACAGAAGGTTTCAACAATGATCTAGACCATTTAAGAAGGGTCTTGTAAGAACAGTTCGAAGCTAAATTACTGGGATTGTATTTACGTATAGCCATCTTGGTAGAAACGTACCTGAGAACAAGGAGCCTAGACCGGAGCATCGGCAACCCCTGTAATTATTGAGCCTGTTACAGAATAGAATATACGAAAGAGGAAAAACCTTTGTGGCATATTCCAGTGAAACAGATTTGATCCTGAGAGTAAGTGGCTTCAAAGTTTCCATTCCCTACGGACCATAGGCAGAGCAAAGCGTGCATAGTCCCAGGAAGGCGACAGAGACTTGAGTGAGATGTCGGGACATTATTCCATCCACATTCCTGTAATGGTACCCTGCTAGTAATAATCTCTACGATGTTATAAGATAGCTGATATTGATATCATCTATCGTCACACGGTGAAACTGGGACCTATTGGCCTTGTTGAGACAAAGCGCGTAAATCCATCACTCTTGACCTATGAAGAACAATGAGGGTATCATAAGTACTAAGCGACAAGTATAGCCTGGGCCTACGAAATATCCCATTCTAGGAACTAGAATACGGCAAAATGCCATAAACAGCAAAACCTTTGAGGCTAAATGCTCTTACAGGGAGATATTTCAGATCTGTCAGAGATTTGGCTCTTTCTGTGATTCATCAATCGCCGACCCCTGTATTAGTGCTTGAACGGGAATAGTGTATATAGAAAAACCACTACTGCTATTGGTTCTCTAGAGTCAAACACCGAGACTAGACTTAAAGCGGCACCTCGCTTGGCCAGGGTTAGACAGATGTAACCTTATCGTTGCTCATAACAGTTTCATTACTCTCAACCTGAACACCAGGCATTGTTTTGTCTCATCAAATCTATCTACTATGCGGTTGAAGTCTTGAGACGATGCCTTGGAGAGGGGCACTGGGCGTTTTGAATCGAAGCGCTCAAGACATCGTCGGAGGTCTCGCCTCACGGGAAAAGTATAAAGTCAAAGGATAGGACTCAGTTTGTCTTTTCCTCCTCAGTTCTTCACTCATCTTTCAATTCTCATCCGCTGGTCGGTTAGGGTTAATCTATTTCATTCTCATCTTCATTTCCACAATCAAATACCCAACCAACCACAAATAAAACACCCTTCTACAACCGACAATGCAGTTCTCTATCACCGCCCTTGTTCTCGGCCTCGCTGCCGTTGCCTCCGCTGGTATCGTCGATACTGAGGGTATTCGCAACGCTCCCCGCAGTGCTCTTGTCTTTGCCCGCCAGAATGACCAGAACGGCAACCGACCTGTTCCCAACGGTCAATGCTGTGTCGCCAATACCAGTCTTAAGCAGGATGCTTGCACAAGCCAATCAGGCCAAGCCGGTCGCTGTGTTCCCGGTGGAAACAACTGTAAGTAACGATCACGGAAATCTCATAGCATATTACTAATAAACACAGGTGGTGGTACCCTGAGCTGCATTGAGCAGTCCAACCTTCAGTGTGATGCGAATGTGCTTGAGCGCGGAAACTCCCTCTGCCGTGCTAAGGCCCAAAACGGAGGTCTCTTCGACGGTGGCCGAATCATCCAGAACCTTAGCGAGGCTTCAGTCAACTAGAGAAGAGCTTAATCCAGACTATAAGAGGTCTTGGTTGGAAGGCTGGGTTTACTCTACAGGTTGAGTTAAGCTATGGACTGATGAGAGGGGATTGACATAGCTTTCCACACTAGGACAGTAAAATGGAAAGAAGTAATGGGATTTGAAACAGATTAGTTTTCAATATATTTTAACAACCCAACTCAATGATTTGCTCAGCGCTGATTGACCACAAATTCCATGTGGCCTAGAAGAGAGAGAACCATGGATGGGACACAGCTACTAGGCCTTGTAGGCTTTTGGCTCTAGAGGTCAGCCCTATCTTGATTCAAGTTAGACCAACCAGTTCAAGTTTACTAACGACATATTTATGTTTGACCACTGGAGCCAAGTGTTCTAGTCTCTTTATGCGCATGGATACGACGTTGGAAAACTCTGCTCAGGCGGAGGAAACGCTGCAGAACTCCACACGTTCGCAGGGGTCCTTCGGATGATACCCTCAAACTGTCCATTTAGAGCCGATCTTTTGATAAGGCGGTGCTCCATGCTCTCATGCGTAAGCAGAAAACTGGGTCGGCTAGAGTATCTATCCATTCCCTCGGTGCTATAAGCTCTTTTGGCCGCCAATCTTTGGTTACATTTCATTCTTTCTAATATTCTCGCTCATTATGGACTTCAAATCGGTCTTGGAAACGGCCAATGTCAAGGCGGTTTTTCAGACCATCGGTTATCTAATTGGCTTCTGGTTTGTCTATCGTGTTGGTGTTGCATTGTACAATATCTCACCATTCCATCCGCTGTCACGCTTTCCCGGTCCCAAGATAGCGGCTGCGAGTTACCTTTATGAAGCGTACTATGATTGGTGGCGCGTGGGAAGATATGGCAAAGTGATTCGTGATATGCACGAGCGCTACGGTAAGTGAGCAGGCTTGAGTTATGAGGCAGTCTTACTGAACATTGTAGGCCCGATTGTTAGAATCAACCCCGATGAGCTCCATTGCTCTGATCCTTACTTCACCGATGAGATCTATGCTGGTCCTGGACGAATTCGTGACAAGTGGCAGCATCAGCTCAACACTGGAGGTGCCGGTCCTGTCTCAGTAACTGGCTTTTCAACAGTTCATCATGAAGTCCACCGTATGCGAAAGGGCGCTTTGTCCAAGTATTTCTCGCGCAACCAAATGCTCAAGCTTGAGGGCGAGGTTCAAGAGTTCGCCCAGATGACAGTAGACAAAATGCTTCGATCTGCCAGTGGGGAGCCTTTTGATGTTAAGGAGGCTTTCAACTGTTTCACAGCGGATATCATCTCACAGTATGCTTTTGGCGAGTCAATGGGTTTCATCGCGCAAGAAGGTTGGGAACCAAACCTGGCTACTTGGGTCAAGTCCTTTTTCCAGAGCGCATACATGATGAGACATAATGTCTTGGCGAGGAAAATGGCCCAGTTCCTCCCTTTCCTGTCTGATTACCTAGGAGAGGATATCAAGGCTGTCATGCGTCAAATGAATGTTGTCATTCCTGGGTATATCCAGGCCGCTTTGAAGAATCCCGATGGAGGAAGAGTGTTTGCAGATATCATGGAGTCAAAGACCATGCCCGAGTCCGAAAAGTCCATGTACAGATTGTCTGGAGAGGGTTTCAACTTTCTCCTGGCTGGTACTGAGACAACTGCTGTGAGTTGGGCCCTCTATGCTTCCCTCATTCGACTGACATTATCACAGGCTACCCTTACTGTCATTACATACTATCTGCTTGCCCAGCCCTTGACATACCAACGTTTGATGGCTGACCTTGAAGGTCTTGACCCAGAGAACCCGAAATGGACTGATCTTGAGCAACGACCTTATTTATGGGCTGTCATCCACGAAGCTCTCCGCGTCATGCCTGGAGTATCTCACCGCTCAGCTAGAATCGCTCGTGAGGAGGATCTGGTGTATAAAAGCAAAGACGGCAATGCCGAATGGGTAATCCCAAGAGGGACCCCTATCGGCATGACCTCCATGATCAACCACTGGAATAAGGAAATCTTTCCCGACCCTGACGACTTCACACCTGAGCGATGGTTGGATAGCGAAAAGCCTAACTACAAGTTGCAGAAATTGCTCATTTCTTTTGGAAAGGGCAGTCGCGCGTGTATTGGTGAGAAGTAAGTTCTCATAATTCTACACCTAATCTCTCGCTAATGCTTTATAGTCTTGCTTACTGTGAGGTTTACATCATGGCTGCTCTGCTTGCTTTTAGAGTTATCCCAAGAGCGCGTCTATACGAAACCACTGTGGAGGATATCACCTATGACCACGATCTGATTGTCGTCCAGACAAAGAAGGGTTCCATTTCCGTCCGTATCGCCATTTCATAGAGCTATGACTGGATTGATCAATAAAATTACTTTCCGTATATTTGGCCCACCACAGTAGCTACACGAGCTTCACCTTAATCACAATCTTATAATTTTCTAACGTTACTTTGTATCACACCAGACATGTAAGCGTCGAATGTCAGGTATTGTTAAATCTTTAGCTACAGTGAAAGCTTAGCCATCCCAAGATTTGAGTAACATCCTGTACATGATTACATAGATAGATATCCAAACTTGAAAGAGATTTCAAGGAGATCTAATTATTACCTTGGACCTGTGGGTCAAACTCATTTAACATTTCAAAGCTCAATCTTGTTTAACCACCAATCGACCACTTCTTATAGCGCCTTACTCTTTTATCACTACGTCATACTTCGAGCTTAACTTAATCGTTATCCGAGGTTTTGCCTACATCAGTACAGCTATAAAATCTCATTCGGAGGGCGACAACATTAAGCATTTGATCAATATCTGGTTCACTCCCCACCCGACAGCATAATCAACTACGACCAATAAGCCTACGTTTCCGCAAAAATATCACATCTCAGGCTCAATATCCGTACAATCGCCAAAATAAACAACCCTTTTACGAAATCAGTATGTATCCACGCAGCTCATCTCACGGGCATGCCCTAAGCCTGTCGCTAAGTACATCTTCATAGGCCGAAATGTCTTCCGACGGCGAACGTCAGAAGGGCACCGTTAAGTGGTTCCTTGCCGACAAAGGATTTGGGTATATCACGCCCAATGATGGAAGCCCTGATCTGTTTGTCAATTTTCGAGAAATTCAAAAACCGGGGTTCAAATTCTTATCAGAAGGAGAAAAGGTATCCTTTGTAACTAAGAATGGAGATAAGGGTCAAGAGGCATCTCAAATCCAGTCGGAGGAAGTAGAGGAGTGAAATTTACTGTCCGATGCACGGCGAAGTTACTTTTATCTTTGGATGTTATCGTTCATGACAGAAATAACTTTCTCGAACTGTGTAATTGTGTTTATTTGTCTCGGCGATATACCATTTAAGCTCTGCTCGCCGTGATCTACCTGGGAGATCACATGTTGTTTGACTAAACCTTCACCTTTCACTGATGGAGCAACGACGACCCCTCATGCACACACCTTGAAATAAATACAAAGCCGACGTTCGATTTGCCATTTTACGTCAAGTTTCGAATATTGTCACACAAAATGAACAGAGTCTGGCCTCTAAAGTCCCTCTGTCGACGACCATGGCCGATATCGTCAGTGACTGCGCCATTGCTTGATCCTTTAATCCCCATTGAAGAAGAAAACACACCGGATTATCACGCTGATCGGTTCTACCCTATCAAACTTGGCCAAGTTCTCAACAAGCGATACCAAATTGCTACAAAGCTAGGCCACGGTGCCAGCTCGACTGTATGGCTGGCTAGAGATCTCAACCGGCAAGTCACGCATTCACAAAACTCGGAGACACAAATTCTAACAGCCGTAGCTGGCGATGGTCAAAGGAGAAATACGTCGCTATCAAGGTCAATGTAATCGGACAGCCTTCACGACGGGCCCCCCCAGACAATGAAATCGATAATTTAAGGCACATTTTTCAAGTGAATCCCGAGCATACAGGCTGGCACTTTAATAGAAAGCTCTCCGACTCCTTTTCACTGGCCGGTTCCTTGGGCGCCCACAGATGCCTTGTTATGGAGGCCTTGCGTGAGCCCCTGTGGCTTTTTTGCAAAAGGTTTACAGGTTGTGTAATACCTCCAGTCATCTTGAAGATACAGATACAGATGATCCTTGAAGGACTCGACTATCTCCACTCGGAGTGCCAGGTTATCCATTCAGGTAAGCAGTGTAGGTAACTGAAGGATGGTTCATTTCTGACCTCATCAGACCTCAAGCCAGACAATATCATGGTCAAGGCCGAAGACGTTTCAATTTTCCAACGAGATGCTCAAGATGAATTCGACAACCCAATCCCGCAGAAGCATATTGATGATACACGTACCATATACCTCTGTCGGAACAACTATGGACGGATTGTGGCTGGAGACGGTAGCATCCAAATTGTCGACTTCGATCTTTCCGTTCGGTCAAACCCGGGTCAGATACATACAGGTGCTATTCAGGCAGAAATCTTTCGGGCGCCAGAAGTGATACTGGACGCAGGATACTCGTATTCTGCAGACATCTGGAGCCTTGGGGTTATGGTAAGTGATGTTGACCTAAGACAATGTGTAGTCGACGCTAACGATTGGATGCAAGTTATGGGATTTACTAGAGGGAGATGCTCTTTTTCTTCCGAGACTCCATGACCTCAGTGAATACGACGACGAATCGCATCTTGGCCAAATCACAGCTTTGATCGGCCCTCGACCACAGAACATCCTGTGTAATGGTCAGAGAAACTCAATGTTTTATAATCCGAATGGTATGTGAGTTGTTTTCAACTAAATTTGTAGGCCGCTAACCAATGTGTTCAGGCGAGCTCAGAGATCCTGGTCGAGTTCCGGAAGGTCTCACCTTTGACAGCACTATCAAACGAATAAGTGGCGAGGAAAAGGTCCAGTTTATTCGTTTTGTCAAGAGGATGATGAAATGGAATCCGGAAGAGAGAGATACGGCAAAACAACTGCTTAATGACCCATGGTTGGAAGAAAAGTCTCCTCAAGACTAGGGGAGCGGTGGATATGATGAGTGGATGAAGCGATCAACCGGTCTTACAGGTAGTCAGCTAGACCACATTCAACAGTGCTGTAGATTTAGCCTCTTAAGATACACGTAATAGTCTGAGACATACTCTAGTCCATGGGTGGTCAACTGATCATCCCATTCTGGTATTATGTCTCTTGACTGATGCTCACATCATTCGTATCGCAGGGCCGGTATTGCGTGCCCTAACCTCCTATAGATAGTGGCTAATCAGGTAGAGTTGGAACCAATGGAATTATGATAGATGCCTTTCGTAGGATTCCTTAGCGCTTACAAGATCAGCGTAATGATTCTTAGCACCGTATTCAATTGTTAGTGCAGCTTGTTCAACGCTTACTGTAAGCTATCCGTAAATATAAGAGGGTTACATGTCCCATCTCAGGTGTAGATGAAATTGCAACCCAATCTGACGCACTCAGAATTCATCAGGAATATTCATATTTCGCATCAACCCCAAGAAGCGCCGCATACCGAATCTACCGAACCAGACCTCCGCAGCATAATCAACATGTCGCAAACTCGTCAAGAACTTTTCAAGACTCACTTGGCTTCTCCAGAGAAACCACTCCGGCCTATTCTTATAGCTCTCAATCCAGATGCTAGCTGGTTGATGTCTTTCCCACGGCCACCTGCAGAACGGGCCTCGAGCAGGAAAGCTTTCTTCCACATCGTATACGAGCCTTGGCTACAAGGCGATACCTCTTTATTTGCCACATGGTTTTTCACCATTGGGTTGAGTACTAAGGCTGCTGTATCCGATGCGCAGGGTGTCGAGAGTCTCATTCAGGAAATTGAAGATGCGGCCGCTTGTCACGTACCGCCAAGCCAAGCCGACACCCCTGCAGAGGGTACGTACCGTGGCAATGTTGATGTTATCATGCTCGCTTTCCATTATTTGGATCACGTCCACGAAGCTACACTGAGGACATTTGATGAGAACATTCCTGTTATTGCCACGCCTGAAGCAGCTGCCGTCGTAAAGCCATGGAACTATTTTAAAACAATTTCGTTAAGTCACGACATGGATATTTCAGCCAAAACCTGGCGCTCCCCAGAGCTTCACCCAGAACACTTGCCCGACTGGCTCACCGTTCTTCGTCTACCAGGACACGCCGTTTTGAACTATTCCACTGCTCTTATCTGGACACATCAAACAGAGGACAACGAGGAAGTCCACGAGACCATACTAGGCGCACCACACGGCACATACCTCGACCAAGGACCCCTTGACGCGTTCATAAACGCAGAGCCAAAGACAGAAATTCTTGCGCTCTTACATGGATTGAAAGAAAGCTACGGGATTACCGGCCAGACTACACTAGGAGCCAAAAGCGGGCTGGCGCTTTACAGAAAGCTCGGAGGCGCTAAGATCTGGATAACGAGCCATGATGATGATCTCAGGTACTCTGGGTTGTTCTTGTATATAACGCGTACAACTGATCTGCCGCGTTCTTTACAGTGGGCGCTTGACGAGGAACGTGAGCAGAATGGGGAGTCGAAGGAGGTAGATGTGCCAAATTTCACACGAGTTCCAAACGGAGGAGCGGTTGTGCTTGAGTGAGAGATTGCAAGGTATTAGTCTCGTGCCTATGTCTAATCTCAGCCGATTACATATTAGCGAAGAAAAGAAACCGCAATCGTTGTAATTGTTGGCTCAAAACATCAAGTTTCAGGTCTGCTACAACTGTTCTTGCGCACATATAAATATGCAGACGCTCATCCTCTCAGAATTGATACCATCCAATTGATGCACCCTATTGACGCGTGTGGATAAACTCAGCAGATCAATGCGGGGATTGAAGACAGCCGACGGGTTTGAACCGCATATAGAGCAGATGTCCATTTCTCGCTCACAACGGTGTGTCTCGTTTTTGCGGTAATTGAAGTTTAAATTCAGGTGCAAGATATTTTATCTCTTTTTGACTGTGGCAAAACTAACAGTGCTTATCAAATTTATTGTAGAGCACACTCCGTCTGAAGGCCACTTTTAAATGCCGTGTTCATGATATCCCGTACCGTCAAGGGTGTTTATGCTGAAAGGGTCTCAGGCCAGGCTCCATTCGGCATTTCGGAGGTACAAACTCCATCAATTGGAATAAATCCGCCACTGGTTCGTGCCGGCAAAAGTGGTTTCATCTAGTGATCTTCGGCAACTCGCAATTTAGGCTAATGGGGTATTCGTCCCTCAGCTCATTTCAATGCCGTGTTAAATATCGTCATTCATCCACAATTGCTTCACTTTGAACTAAAGTATTGTTCATTCTTGACATAATAGCAAGGTCAATTGCGAATATGTTTAACAATATCAAGACCAAGGCACTTCTTGTGGCCTGTTTGGTCTTTTCGGGTACAGCATTGCCCAATGGCAATGAGAAACGTCACTGGGTAGGATCATGGGCGTCTATGCCTCAAGAGGTTGAGCCTGCGAACTTGGCCCCGGCACCGTTTGTATGTAAATCCCGGCTGTCGTTAAGGGCTATTTGGTTGAAAATACTAACAGACCGATTTACCCAGGGTGGCGTAGATGCTGCAGCTCAATTCGAAAACACCACATTACGCCAAACCTTCCACATGTCCATTGGAGCAGAGAAAATTCGCATTCGCTTCTCCAACATTTTTGGCAAAACAGACCTACCAATTACTGCTGCATCTATCGCTCTTCCAGTGGGTGGAAAGGCCGGCATTGGTCAGATCGACACCAAAACAACGAAACAGGTAAAGTTCAAGGGCAAGAAGTCTGTCTCGGTTCCAGCAGGACAAATCGTCTACTCCGACCCTATCGACTTTAAGCTCAAGGCTCTTTCTAACCTTGCACTCTCTGTTTACACCGAAAAAGGCCAACTGGGAAACAAGATCACTGGTCATCCTGGCAGTCGCACCACATCCTGGATGCAAAAGGGCAATCATGTCAATGCAGCATCTGTTTCTGAGGGAAGCACTAATCATTGGTACTTTGCGAATGGTGTTGATGCTTGGGTTCCTAAGGATCATTTTGCGGTCGTCCTTCTCGGTGATAGTATCACTGACGGACGTGGAAGCACTGATGACACCAATGATCGGTAAGTAAACTGACGATCCGTGTACACCCTTACTTACAGGACTAGATGGTCTGATGCTCTGGCTGCTCATTTGCAAGCTTCGGGTCTATCCAACGTTGCTGTCAACAACATGGCAGCCGGTGGTAACGCCATTCTCCAAGGCGGTCTTGGCCCTCCTCTTCTCCAGCGATACAAGCGCGACGCCTTGGAGCAACCTGGCGCCAAATTCGTATTGATTTTACAAGGTGTCAACGATATTGGTCCCTCCAGCCCCGATGACGCAACCCAGAAGAAGATCAAGGACGGCCTCATCGCTGCCTACACTCAGATCGTCAAGGACAGCAAGCAGAAGGGAATGACCACCATTGGAGCCACCATCACCCAGATGCTTGGAAATCAGTACTATGATCCCAAGAGGGAGGTTACCAGGGTCGAAATTAACGACTGGATTTTGAACAATAGCACGTTTGATCACACGGTGGATTTTGCGTCTCTGATTGGAAATGGAGATAAACTTCTTCCACAGTTTGACTCTGGGGATGGTCTGCATCCTAACCCTGCTGCGTACAAAGTGATGGGTACAGAGTTCCCCATCAACATCTTTAAGAAGTGAGCTGGTTTAGGATTGGGTCTTCATGTAAACACTTTTCGATCCGTACTATCTTTGACTAGTTCAAAGGATATAAACTCATGTTATAAACATAAATGAAATATCATGTGAAATCTCGTTTAGTAATGTCGGATACGTCAGCATTCGGAGTCGGTCACTTACACTTAAAAGGTCCCGGCATGGAATGCTCCGACCAATCGGAGACTACTATCTCAGCATAATCTTCCCGAATTGATTATAAAAAAGCCCAACATGACAGTAATTATAATTCAATCATCAACTCATTCTTCATTTCATCCATTACCTCCAGTCACCAGATCACTCCAATTCACTTGAGATGGAATCTCCTTTGGAACTCTTCTCTCTCTCCTGGGGAGTTTATCCTCGACGAGTTCTCATCTATCTCGCAGAGAAGGGTCTTCTCAAATCGCCCCTCATCAAGTTCACAGAAGTGGATGTATCGCAAGAAGGCAAACTCACTGCTCCCGGCAAACCAGCTGGATCAGTACCCGTTCTGCGACTCCCTGACGGAACCTTTATCAAACAATCAATCGCCATCCTGGAGTATTTCGAAGACATCTGCCAGAATCCTGCAGAGCCTTGGCAAGTTGAACTGTCCAAGACTGCAAAGAATAGCAGCATGCTTGGACAGACTGCACAAGAAAAAGCACGAGTCAGGGAGATACTCTCACTCGCCGATGAAGTCACTAGCCAGTTTGGTTTCGCTTGTCACAAGGGCACAGCACTCTTTAATATGCTTGAAGAGACTCATCCCGTCACGGCGAAACTTGTCCTTGAGTACTGTCAAAAGAACCTGAAACTCATTGAACGATACTACGTGGATGATCCTCGGTTTAGCAGCGACGGAAACGCTACCGTTGCTGACTGCGTTCTATACTCGGTTCTGCACTTTGCCAAGGACCTGTATGCGCTGGACCTCCTGGCTGATCCTGAGTTGGCTAGCTTGCGGGCATTTTATAAATGGTTTGGGGGGAGGAAAAGTGTTCAGGTGGCTGATGATCACTTCCCACAGCAGATCAAGGAATTATCCAGCCAGTGGCTTCCCTTGGAATGATGTTGGATCGACTGGCGATCTTTGTGATGAACATCTAGAAGCTAGAGGAATCATTGACTTAGCACCATAACTAGAAAGTTGACAAATTCATTGCTTGAGAGTTCCTCGTTGTGGCCTTAATTAAAAGTTTCAGATGATGGATACACAGGCTATTGATCAGCGGAATTCCCTTTTCTATCCACCATCGGCTACACAGAGTCCGAATTGTCAGCACAAGACCAAGCTGCTGATCCGCCAGACACCTTATACGATGCCATGATGTCCACTACAGAAGCATATGTCCCAGCGACAGTCAAGAATGATCCTAAAACTATGATAGTGACACTCCAGAACACCCCGATGAACCAAGTAATGCGCCGATCTTGCTTGCCACGCTTCCAGTTATCATAAAGCCACATGCAGCCCATCGGTTGAAACGACAAGGATGTAGCTAGCAAAGCACCAATCAACGATACAAGACCACTGAAGATTGGGATTCCACTTGCGATGACATATGCGACAACAGTTATTCCAAAGGTGCATCCTATCCAGGACGCCCAGTGGGTGAAGGTATTGGCAGCGAAATGTTTGGAACCACGCAGAACACGCACAAAAACGTGCTTACTAGCCAGCTACATCCATCCATTAGCTTGAGGCCCGAAATATCACGGTAGACTTACATGGCAAGTCAACATTGTTGTGACTATAAGTCCCGGGAGAGCAATCCCATAGGTGACCCTTTTGATCAAGACACCTGCAGATCCAAGGGCTGGAGACGCAACATAAGAGCCACAGAAGTAATACACCACACAACCAATTGCAATATAGCAAGCGCTAATAACAGTTTGGCAAAGTATCAGTGACCGTGTATAGTGTCTAGGGTCTCGCATCTCTGCTGCAATGGAGAAGAAGGCCGGGGTGCCTGCATATGCAAAGACCAACGAGCAAATGGCTGAGATGGCGTTGGTAAAGCTCGGCTTCTTGAATAGATGGTAATCCGATACCCATACGGCATCTGCAGGGGCAGCTGCAGGTTTATCTTGGATTCCAACGGCAACCGTGAGGATGATAACTAAAGGATGGTTAGTAAATGATCCAAGTTTGTTCGATGATTGCGGGTGTACAAACCAGAGGTAATGACGCATACAAGCCCGATCCAGGCGAGCCAGCTAAGTTTGCCTAGTGTACGGATACTAGCAAAGATAAAACCAGTAATGGCTGCTACTGCAACGAACACCGCAGTGCATGTTCCATGATTAGAGACAGCATTGAAGCCAATCGACACACTCAACATAGCCGATCCACACACGAACGTCCAATCTATTCTGGTCAGCCCACTGATAACAATCCCAAGCTTTACAGAGCTCTTAACTTACAAAGCCCAAAAGCAAATCCAAATATCTCTCGACCTGCCCGGCCAAACATCAACGCTCCCGCATCATCGATACCATATACTTCGCGATGACGAAGCTTAAAGATACCTACCTCGTAGTCGGACCATGTCGTTATTGAAGCGACGACGCAAAGACAGATCAAACCAGGGATCATTCCCAAGGTATCGAACACAGAGGGGATAGACAAGATGCCAAGACCAAGCTGTGTTTTCATCATCAGACCAGCTGTGCCAACCCACCCAACCTACAGATATAATTAGCTGTTAAAATCTTCAATTTGAGGTATCTACTCACATTGCGGTAATTTGGACCGTCATTTGTGATTCTTCCGAAAACGGCATCGTGTGCATGGCCAGGATCATCATGAACTTCGCCAAAGACCTGACCTTCTTGATCAACCTTTTCAGATCTGAACATGGCTGCTGTATATCGAGCTTATAGCCAAACTCGCGTTCACTTTCCAAATGTTTGAAGAGAAAGGAAAGTAACCCCGACCATCCATATTGTCATAATGAAATTTTCTCTCATTTCATTACTCAATAACCTCCGATAATAACCGCCAAGAGAAATGAGCGGAGCCATTTTCACGATATTGACAAACTTCAATCATCTTTGGAGTTTAGTTTATTTATTTCTCCGCAGAGCCCCAGAGTGAATCCCACTTGGTAAAGAAATCATGCCGATACCGGATGCTGGCAGATGTGAGACGGGTGTCCCATTGGTTCTCATTATCGCGTAAGTGGGTTATCAATCAGATCTAAGCCCAATTGGAGACTGTCCACAAGTGATAGGATCTGTGGTTATCTTTTATTTGACTGATTGACGATATCCTTTTTACTGGTAATCAGTAGAATCAGTTGCAGAAGCTGTGAACTGATACATAGTTAATCTGATGGTCAGTGGGCTTTTGTCGAGCGAAATAAGAACCCAGCATGTAGTGCGTCGAGAAGCTCCAACTGCGTCAATTAAGCGTATACACACGTCTTCTTTGTATTAGAGACTGGAAAATGTCGCACAAACGGAATCATGCATGCTTATATACGCATATTCTATTAGTCCAGTAACTATTATAATGTGGGAAACTCTATTTGACGATAACGATAATACTCGCCAAGCCTCGACCGGTCCCCACTCTAAACGGGTCTGAATTCCATGACCTAGGTTCAACACTAAAAGTTTTGTACATACAGTTGTTATATAAATTTCAACCTCTACATCTACGAATTCATCCGTGTGCTATCATGAGGTGGTTTCTGCGTTTTGGTCAATGCAAAGGACAAATATCGCTAAACGTACGCGTGTGTGCTGATCCCTGTTGAGATACAAAAAGGGATAATTCAGTAGCTGTCAAGACTTATATCTCAACACGCCTACTGGCTTGACAGGCACCAGGGTAAGTAATTCCTGGATTTTGTTTTCCGGGAAATGTTACCAATAGTGGAAGTGTGGCTTGGCGGTCAGTCCAATATTTTAACTCCGAGGAATAAATGGCCATTTTGGGAAGTACTTACTAACTCGGCACTAGGAAAAATAATTCTTGGGGTTTTCCGGCGAATTTTACCAAGAGTGGAAGTGTTGCTCAGCGGTTGACTTTATTTGTTACACTCCGCGGAATAAATGGCCATCTTGGGAGTAAAACGGGCGACCTCGTTAGGATTCAAGCGATTAATTTAACCACCGTTCCAACCAGGCTTGCAACCTACCGAGTTATAAGAAGGGACAAGTTCCTGGTGGCGGTCAAGATGTAAATCTTGACAATTCCTTCAAACATAACCCATCCTTCTCGTGATGGCCGATGAGTGTTGTCGCCAATACACCAATTGGATGATAATGCGATACCAGTAATTCTGCTCTACCAAGAACTCATTAGAAGTCTAGTATTGGAGTCTTAGGGTCTATCGCTCATCGATTGGATGTTCATAACCCGAGAGGTTCAGGGTAAGCATCTCCACATCTGGACAATATCTACACCGTCTACATGCTGTGAATGCAAACTGTATCACTGACAAGTGTTTCTAATAGCATGCCCTACCTATGACAGAATACTCGATTCCATGAGGGTCATGTGCTGTGTCCGTGCCGCGAACCATTCTCCATTTCCTCGTTCAGCATGTACAACATGGCAACAGATACATTGGCTGCCTTTTCAGATCCGATGATCAGACAGCTAGACCGATATTAGCAATTAAAGAAACGACCGTTCCAGCCCATCAACCATAAACGAATTCCAACGCTGCCATTCGTCATCCTCGGCTCCGGCAGATCGAATCGCGGGGAAATGCCATGTGCAACCCCAGATCTAGACCAACATCTCACTCGTTACGGACTTCTCTGCTGCGGACTTCTCGCCGTAAACCTTATTTCTCCAGTCACGAGTCGTGCACTTTGATCACTAGTTTCAGCCTCCAAAGATAACGAGCTTGTGAAAAGTAGTTTTGTGCTGGTGCGGGACTTGGCCGAAGGGAGAAGTTTACCCAGTTTTTGGAGATGGCCGCTTTTTGGTTCGTTCGAGAGCATTCTTGATCCACTTTATTAACAAGCAGAGATTGCTTTATCGACTCTTTGGTTGGTTGGTGAGGAGGCTGGGACTCCACCCCCAGATTAGGGTGGTTGCGGGGAAATTGGACTTGGAATTTGCTCATGCGAGGGAGAGATGTTTCTCCAACGTTTTGTCGTTCTGTCGTGTTGTTTGCGGGTATCAAGCTGTGTTCTAAAGACGGGAATACCCTCGAGGGATCAATCGGTAGAAGATTCTGTTTGTTCAACCGTACAAACCAGGATATCAAGGTCTTGGGTCACAGTCGACAGTCAACCTCAGTCACAAGCATTATGCCGACACTTACCATTCGGCCCATCTTTTCATCGGCCAAGCGGGCGAGCTAGTATCCTTCAGGGCAACGTCCCGCTCGCTCTGGCTAGGCAATTTCTTGGGACCCGGAAACCTGGCCGATCTCTCCATGTTTCCCCCTCCTTTCTCCAGCATTAAATAAGAATATTGGGGCGCTGCAATTCTCCATCTTCCCCAGATCAAACTTCCCCGCATCTTTCTACTTCTCATCTCTTCAATACTCCTTGATTGTTGTGTATTTGGATACTCTTCAACATGTCGGACGAAAAGGTCTCGGCTGCCCCAGAGGCACAGCACACTGAGGGACATCACTACAGTGACCCTTCAAAAACACACGCGAATATCGTCGACAATGCTCGTTCCGCTGCTGCAAAGGAGCAGAAGATGACCCTCATGCAGGGTATCAAGCTGTATCCCAAGGCTGTTGGATGGAGTGTCCTTATATCTACCTGTATTGTCATGGAGGGATTTGATATCGTCCTCGTCAACAACTTCTGTGAGTAATCACGAGTGCTCTTGCCTTATTTGTCTAATGGCGTGCAGATGCTTTCCCTCAGTGGAACAGAAAGTACGGAACGCTTCAGCCTGATGGCTCGTATCAAGTTTCCGCAGCCTGGCAAGCAGGTCTGAGCAATGTATGCAACCACTAAATCCTCGAAAATACCGCAGCTAACAAATCAGGGTGCCAACGTCGGCTCCATCATCGGTCTCATCCTCAACGGTTGGCTCTCCGAACGATTCGGTTATCGATACACCATCATCGGCTGCCTCATCTGGCTCTCCGCCTGCATCACCCTCTTCTTCACCGCTCAGAACGTACAAATGCTCCTCGCCGCCGAAATCCTCTGTGGTCTTCCCTGGGGTATCTTCCAGACCATCTGCGTCACCTACGCCTCCGAAGTTTGCCCCATCGCCCTCCGAGGTTATCTCACCACATATGTCAACTTCTGCTGGGGTCTCGGACAGGAAATCGGCATTGGAATATTGCGATCCATGATTGGTCGAACTGATCAGTGGGCTTACAGAATCCCATACGGTCTGCAGTGGATCTGGCCTCTACCTTTGATTGTGGGCTTGTGGCTTGCTCCCGAGTCTCCCTGGTGGCTTGTTCGCAAGGGTCGTGTTGAGGATGCTAAGAAGAGTCTTCTGCGACTTACCAGTCTCAACCGTGAGACCGAATTCGATGCCGATGAGACTGTTGCTATGATGGTCCACACAACTGCTCTCGAGGAGAAGCTCACCGGCGGAAGCTCATATCTGGATTGTCTGAAGGGTGTCAACCTCCGCCGTACTGAGATTGTCTGCATGGTCTGGGCTATGCAGAACCTTAGCGGTAACTCGTTCTCCAACTATTCTACCTACTTCCTCGAGCAGGCTGGTCTGTCTGCCAAGCACGCCTACTCCTTCGCTCTCGGCCAATATGCTATCAACATGATTGGTGTGTTTGGCGCCTGGGGATTGATGTCCGCTGGAATTGGTCGTCGTACCCTGTACCTCTACGGACTCTGCGGTCTCTGCATTGTTCTGTGTGTTCTTGGTTTCCTCGGTCTCGTTCCTGAGGCTCAACGTGAGAAGGGTGCGCTTGCTACCGGAAGTCTCATGATCGGATGGGCCGTCGTTTACCAGCTATCCGTTGGTTCAGTCGCCTATTCACTGGTCTCAGAATTGCCTTCTAGACGCCTCCAGATCAAGACTGTTGCTCTTGGCCGCATTTTCTAGTAAGTTTTACCATGAAGTTGAAGATATGCCCCTTTGGATGTGCGCCTCCCGGTGATTGGACACGCGATTTGCTTATCTAATCACCACGCGCGCTCCCGCCCCACATTCCCGTTGCCCCACTTCAACCTTAACCTCACTACCTGAGCCAATCGTTTGGGAGCGCATATTCCTTCAACTATGAGAGATGAAAGTCAGTAACTAACAAATAACAGTGGAATCGTCGGTATTATCAACGCTATTCTGTCTCCCTACATGCTCAACCCTACTGCTTGGGACTGGAGCAACTACACCGGTTTCTTCTGGGTGAGTAACAAATACAGTCTCTGCAAGTTATATACTAACAAGTTCTTCAGGGTGGCATCTGCTTCCTCTGCATCATCTACACTTACTTCCGCCTCCCCGAGCCCAATGGTCGTACCTTTGCCGAGTTGGGTATTTTGTTCGAGCAGCGTGTCAGCGCTCGCAAGTTCGCTACTACCAAGGTCGATGTCTTCCACGAGTCTGTTGATGACGAGGTTCTTGATCGACTTGCCAAGGCCGACCACCCTACAGTTGAGACTGTTGAGAAGGCCCCTGGAAGCAAGTAAACGGCCGAAGGACTTTGCTACCTTCAGCTTCAAGCTCTAGTCAGCGCCAGCTTAAACAGCGGCTCTTGGAGGGATGCATAAATGTGTAATGTTAGCGTACAAATAATGAGATATTGACTTAATTATCATGTGACGTGAGCTATTCTTATCTGCTGTGTGATTGAGATATTGTTTAAAGCTAATCAAAGCGTCAAGAATTTGAATATCGTGTCTCGTATACAACGGAGCACTTCATCGATGGAGCTTTTCGGATCGAGGTAGTGAAGGAAATTGTCGTTTGTCTCCTCTTCCTACCCTGGGACATAGTGAACCCCGGGTCAACACGTAAAATGAATTAAATAAAACTGAAATAAATAGACCAGAATTAAAAGCTCATATAGAAAATAGACCCTAACGACCGCCACCACTACGTGGAAGATGAAATCGCGTTGAGACTACCCCACCCCCTCAGACACAAAGAAATACAGAAAACAAGAGACCAATTCCAATATGAAAACATAAATACCAACCACAAAACTACCATGTTGTCTCTTCATGACGAATAATCGGGAACTACGCCGATACCTCTCCAGATACGCCATCAAAAGATTGCGTTGTTGAGGCAGTCCACAACTGAGTTGCTATTAGTCAGGCCTGAAGTCAGACAAGTCGCCGCTGCTCCAGTGGCGAACGGACCAAGAGCTGCTGTGCAAAGGGGCAGATTTATCACAAGCTGAGCAGCTGTGTTTCCTTCTAAGTTCAAGCATGGCTCAGGAAGCGACGTGATACACGTTTCAGAAAGAGCATCTTCAAGACACTCCACGACAGTCTCGCCCAAAGTGTTCTGTGTGATGAGGTTCGTTCCCAAGCAGGTCGCAACATTACCAACAGCGAAACCTCCCAGTGCAGTTGTACAAACAGGAATCGCTACGATGAGAGCAAGGCCATTTGTATCAGCCAAATCTGCGCAAGGCTCAGGGATCGTAGCACAAACTGGGTCTGGTGGAGTAGATGTTGGTTCGCTTTCGCATAGGGCACTTCCAGTGATGCTGCCCGTGCCCGAATCGAAGCCAAAGGCGATTCGCAAGCATTCGACAATGCTGGTTCCTTGTGTTGATGAGGTAATGGCGCCAGTAGCAAGACAAGTTGCGGCGCTTCCAGCTGCGAATGGGCCGAGAGCAACAGCGCAAAGAGCAACATCCGCAACGAGTGCAAGACCATTGGAATTTTCAAGGTCTGTGCATGAATCGGGTAGAGTTGTGATACATCTTCCTTCTAGCGCAGTGAGGATGCAGTCGGCTATATCTGCTCCAGCAGTGAAAATTGAAATGCTTGTTGCAAGACAGGTTGCGATGTTTCCAGCTGCATAGGGGCCAAGCGCTACAGTACAAGCTGCGATTACGGGGATGAGAAGAACACCGTTGGTTGTCTCGAGTGCCTGACAGTTGGCTGGGAGAGCGACATTACAGAATGATGATGTAGAAGTTGCAGACGGAATGCACTCAGATACGGAGGATGTCTGTGGCTCGGGTGTCGTTGGACTGGCTACAGAACTAGTAGCTTGATCTGAAGAAGTTGGTAACTCGGTTTCAGAAGATGTTTGTGGCTCGGCTGTTGGATTGGCTAGAGAGGAACTGGTAGCTTCATCTGAAGAAGTTGGTAACTCGGTTTCAGAGGTTGCATCAGTATTCTCAGCTACTGTTGTAGAGGTGATTTCGACGCTAGTCGGAGTATCAATTGAAGTCTCTTCTGTAGAAGATGTATCAGCACCCATCGAGGTCAAAGTGGCCACGGATGAGTCTGATGCCGATGTTACATCCGAGGTCAGGTCCTCTGAGCTAGTGGTTATCCCACTATCGGTTGTAGAAGTCTCCGGTGCATCAGACGATGTCACAGGGCCAGATGAGCTGGTACCTTCCGATAAGCTACTGGTGGCAGAATCGCTGGAAGTCTCGGGAGGGGCCTCTGATGTGGAAGTATCGGGAAGAACATCAGACGTGGAAATCTCCGGAATAACCTCTGATGTGGCCGAAGACGTCCCCAAGTTAGATGAAGTAGTCTCCAAGGGTTCTTCTGTAGATGCAGAAGTGGTAGCGATAGAACCAGAACTGCTAGTTCCAAGATCCGTCAAAGTATCCGAAGTGCTTGAAGTAGCAGGGCCCGATTGACTTTGTGAAACTGTGGAAGTAGTATCCGTTGATGAGGCTGTCCCAGGGCTATTGCTGGATGGAGTGATGCTAGGGGTTGTAGGTCTAGTGGAGCTTGGCTCTAGTACAATGACTGTACCAGTCGGATCTGTTCCGGATGGTGCCAAGGTAAGGGTGGTTGTCGCAGTACCTGTGTTGATGCCTGTGATTGTAGTAAAGGGTCCTGTGAAGGTTGAACTAGGGGACGAAGATGACGGTTCCAATACGATGACAGTTCCAGTGGGATCTGTCCCAGATGGTGGTAAAGTGAGGGTCGATGTACCCGTGGCAGTTCCAGTGTTGATACCAGTGATGGTAGTGAACGGTCCAGTAAAGGTTGTTACAGTCGCTGACTTTGAAGGCTCTAAGATAATTACAGTACCTGTGATATCTGTTCCAGAGGGTGCTAAAGTAATAGTAGAGGTTCCAGTTGCCGTTCCAGTGTTGGCACCGGTGATAGTAGTGAACGGTCCAGTGAAGGATGTTCTACTAGCCGAAACAGAAGGTTCCAAGACAATCACCGTGCCAGTAGGATCTGTACCAGAGGGCGGCAGGGTGAGAGTAGAAGTTCCGGTCGCAGTCCCGGTATTGACGCCAGTAATAGTAGTGAATGGTCCAGTAAAGACTGTGTTGGAGGCTGAAGACGAAGGTTCTAAAATGATCACCGTGCCAGTAGGATCGGTGCCAGAAGGAGGCAAGGTAATTGTTGATGTTCCAGTGGCAGTTCCAGTATTGACACCAGTGATAGTAGTAAATGGTCCTGTGAAGGTTATGCTGGTGGAAGGCTCTAACACAATTACTGTACCAGTAGAGTCTGTTCCAGAAGGAGGAAGGGTGACAGTGGTCGTTGCGGTACCTACGCCTGTGATAGTAGTGTACGGACCCGTAAAGGTCGTCACAGGGAGAGAAGCGGAAGGCTCAAGGATAACCACTGTTCCAGTTGAGTCTGTTCCGGATGGTGCCAAGGTCAAGGTGGCTGTTCCAGTACCAGTATTAATTCCAGTAATAGTAGTATAAGGACCGGTAAAGCTTGTTATCGGGGGTGAAGATGAAGGCTCGAGAATAATGACCGTGCCTGTTGGATCTGTCCCAGAGGGGGGTAGTATGAGAGTTGCAGTCAGACTTCCAGTATTGATGCCTGAGATTGTAGTATAAGGCCCGGTAAAGGAGCTTCTTTGCGTGCTTGTGCTTGGCTCAAGAATGATAACCGTGCCAGTAGAATCTATACCTGAAGGAGGAAGCGTCACTGTCGTACCGACTGTACCGGTATTGATTCCAGTAATCGTACTGTAAGGGCCAGTAAAAGGACGACTTGCAGTGCTGGAGCTTGGCTCGACAATTATGACAGTTCCACTGCCATCTGTACCAGTTGGGGCAAGTGTCAAAGTACTTGGTCGAGTGCCACTCGATCCAGTGCTGGTAATTGTTGTGTACGGACCAGTAAAGATGTTGCTTTGACTGCTAGATGGAGTAATCACAATGACTGTCCCAGTGCCACCAGCGCCAGGAGGGAGCGTGAGAGTGGTTGGCCGGGTTCCAGGAGGTCCAGTGTTTGTGAGAGTCTTGTATGGTCCGGTGAAGGTGCTGCCTTGACTGCTGACCGGATTGACCACAATAACGGTTCCGGTCGGGTCCTGGCCTGAAGGAGGGAAAGTCAGGGTGGTTGGCTTGGCTCCATCAGGACCGTTGCTTGTAATAGTCGTGTAAGGGCCAGTGAAGGTATTGCTTGATCCTCCTGACGGACTGACGATGATGACAGTTCCAGTCGGATCTCGTCCCGAGGGTAGCTGGGTAATCGTAGTTAGGTAGGATTCGGGGCCATTGCTCGTGATGGTAGTGTAGGGGCCGGTAAAGAGTGGTTCGGGATCACTGGTTCAAAGAATATTAGACATCTGGATCCACATCTAGAGAGCAGTCACTTACCCAGTCGAGAATCTGGTCGAAGTGCTCGTAAGAGTGAACGAGGTGACCAAGGTAGTCGGGGCACCCGTGATTGGGATCGTGGTACCTCCAACTGTAAGCACCGTGTTGGTACTGAACACGGAGCTTAAGGTGATAGGCTGGAGCCCAATGATGACTTCAGGCTGTATGTTTACAACAGACAACCCGTCAGGGCAATCGTCGAGGTGTTGAGCTACAGCCTTTGAGCCTGGGCCATGTAAGGCCAGGAGGTTGGGGAGGTAACGAGAAAGACGCATTGTAAAAACGGGCGAATGTTAAAACGATTGTTGTTGGTTAGAGGTGTTGAACGAAATGATAGTGTTGATAATGTTGGATATTTCCAAATGTGATGCAGAGAATCTGATATTTATGGATGACGGGACTCCTGACCACACGAGCCATCAGATCATGGACTACCTGGCCCAACATACCCAAAGCGAAGATATCAGTCATGCCTTGACTTAGACCTTGCTTCGATAGTTTGTCTTGTTGAATGGTCTGTCGTGTTCTAGATGAGGGAGAGTTTGTAGACCTGGAATGTGAAGAAAGAAAGAAAAACCTAGAGTGAAGTTATTTTGAGCGGAACTGGTCTCGAGGGTATGGTAGAAAGACCACCAGGAAATACTTTTCCATCATCTTCGAACGCCACAAAATTCCTAGAGTGAAATGATGTTGGTATTCAAGCATATCTCTCTGTTCATCTCGGGTCTCGAGTACAGCTCATATGGTGTTCCGACTGGTGTTCAAGAGCCTCTGGGTTGACAGACAGCGATACAAGACATTAGACTATGACTCGTATCAACTCTAATCCCAAAAAGTAACTCTCTTACCGAATAAGGGTATTATAAGAGCCGTAGTGGGTGTCACGATGGAGTGATATGACCGGAAAGTTTCGAGGGAGAGTTTTTGTTCCTCCCAACAGAGGGTGTTGAGACAACTCAATTTTCCTTGAGTGATGGTTTTCAGCTTTCTATATTCTTTTAGAATTCCAGGCGATGCTCTTGACCTCCCCAACAGAGACAAGTTGGATTCCCAGTCGGGATACATGGTTCAGAAGAACACCAGTTATCACTAGGCTTTGGTGTCTGCCGTGGTAGAACGACACCAGTGGTATCATGATCAATGCAGGAGCCACTCAATCGTCTTGAGGATCTAGACCAAGTGAAAAGACTTTTCACACCTAAGCGAGGGTGTCGCGTGCCTTGTTGAAATGAATGTGATCTGATTGTTGTTGAGAGGACAATTCATTCCCAATGCGTGATGTTGCAAAGAGAACAACAACACGCCCTAATAAGAGATAAGCATAAATACTCCATCCGATGACACGAGAAGATCAAACTTCAATAACTCAAATCATCGCTTCAATCACTAAAGCCATCGCTTCACTCGTTCAATCATGCTGTTCACTCCGCTTCTTCTCTTATTCCCTGCCGTTAGTCTTGCTTGGCCCCCCATTGTACCAAGACAGGCATCAAACAGTGACAATTGCACTTTTACAAGCATATTGCCCACTATCACACTATCCAGCATCTATCCTACCTCTACCGTCGGGGGCCATGGCCAAGTGACTGGTGGTGGTTCCCTCATTTACACCACTGCTTTTCCCACCCTCGGTCCAGATGGTCCGGGTCTGCATACTTATACCATCACTGCCCCCTGCGCTGAGACTAAGTGTCAGCCTCCCGCTTCGGGCGATTGTCCTCCTGGTTTCACTGCCACCACGGTTGTCTGTCACGCATGCGGTGAGCAGGCGATCACGACAATCCTGACTCTTCCTGACGAGTCAGCCACAGCTGGTCAAGGATCAGCTGGTGGGGACAGCCGTAAGGGCGGCTCCACTGGTGTTGGCAGTGCTGGGAACCAACATGTTGTCAGCTCAGCGGTTACTTTGACTGCATTTGTTACCAGCCACAGGACACTTGTTGTAAGTGTCCAGCCTACTGAGTCCCCTGAGAGTCCATTCCCATGGAAATCTTCACAAGGCCCTGGATTGCCCAACAACCCGGAACACTCCCAGGTCCCCGGGGACTTGGGGCATGTGGATACAAAGCACAGTAGACCCGCGGGATCTCGGGAAAGTGATTACCCAGCTATCCATAGGAACCCTGGATCTCTTGAGTCTCCCGTCGCTCCCACATCTTCCGCAACTGCCCCGCAGAGTGAACCCGCGGATGGCCCAGGCAGCGTGCCCACAGGAGCTGAAGCGGGATTGAAGTCGCCTTCTACATACCCCTCTGGCCAAGCCACATCAGTTAAACCAACGGCTATTGTAGTCACAGGACATGCACCAGGAGGCAAGATGACTGGAGGTACTATTGTCAAGGTGGCTTCTTTTGCAATCTTTTTGTTGTACACTCTCTATGTCTAATTGGATTTCGAGGGCGTGGATACAACAATTCTTGGGTCAGGATAGGGGTGGATTTACTTTTCTTTCTTGTAATATGTGTTCTAACAACCGCCTGCTTGCTAATGGTCACTGTTGGAGGGCTTTTCACACGATTCTTAGGGGTCAATTATAACTGGTAACAACGGGCTAGGAGTAGGCCGTTTCTTATAACTCGATAATCAATACAAGGTATCCAATCAATAACGCCTTGCTATTAGACTTTTTACCCAAGACCGATCCGATGTCTATGATTGGTTCCGTGTCCAAGAAATCGAAAACAGTGCCTCGGCTTTTATTAAGCGAGCTCACTTCAACGTTACACAGGTGAGCAGGGGGCGAAGCCAAGACAGGGACCCATCACTCTAAGGCGACGCGTATGATACCCGGTTTTTCAATTCTTCCAATCATGCCCTTGAACGCCACATTGAATTTCTAATTCATTTAATAACCGGTTTATTCTCAGATTATCAATCTGACGTTCAAGGATTATTGAACCATTGAAACCTTAATATCTAAGCGAAGTTGGTGTGTGTAAATGATTCGCGCAATAGCCCTTGCTTTTCAGCGCAGTCTGCCACACCGCAAATATGACGCCAGCAGATATGAGCTAGCTCAACAGTGACATCTTTAATTGAGCTTTAAAAGAATGTGATGAAGCTTGGAACGAGTGTCCGAATATCTGATTCTACAAGGCTGCGGAATAAGTGGGATGGGCAGCGGAAACATGCATGGCACTTGGTGGATATATGTGCACAAAGCAAATGGATTAAACAAATGAGGTGATCAAACAACCGATGACGTTCTTGGTTCTCAGCCACGGACAATATCACAGCCAAATCATAAAGCAAACACAGACCTTGAACTGGAAACCTATCGTAACAACCAGAAGCTGGGCCCTCGAAACAGAAGGCTGGGCGGCCTCATCGTTCATCTTTATTGACGTCCAGTATCTTTTCGTCAACTGGAATGGAGAAATCAAGCTCCCTGGCGATTGAGCCACTTCAATGAGTCCAATGATTAGGCTGATGACGCGGCAGGCCTTGAGTGGCTTAAGCACTTCAACCGGTGTATTACCAAGCACTCAAGGAACTATCATTTTCTAATCCCCAACGGGCACGAAAGCCACCAATCTGTTGGTTTTGAGACCAACTGTAAAACAACTCACATAATCAAATCTAAATGAGCAGTGCCAAACTGGCGGGGGTAGCGTATCCGTAATTGCCATGGGAGGATTTCAAGTCACTAGGGATGGGACAAAAGACATCATCAGTTGAATTAATTAAAGCTGGATAGAAATGTGAAGGTTGTCCATTCGTGTATCAATATATCTTCATTCATCAACGACTCGTGTGCTCTAGATGAAGGGGTCGGTTAAACGCGGAAGCGGAGGACAAGGAGAGCCTAGACACAGGGCGATGATAGCGGAGCAAGGAGGTGTGCAATGTTGTTGAGTAATGAGATGTGGGTAGTCCCCGAACCGTAAAGAATCCATTCCACGACATTTTTCAAAGGCATAGAAAGAATTACTGCGAACGAGTGTATGTTTGCACAAAACAGTCCAGATTGGGTTGGAAGACTGAGTTATCAATACCCGTGATAGTTGGATATGACACATCGCTGAAAGAGTGGTACCAGCCGTCGTAGTCAAAAAGATTGGTTGAAGGATAGTCCATCGGGGCTTCCAGTATTGTAGAGTCACTCGTTTTTGGAGAAACTCCCGTAGCAGTCGTTCGGCCTGCTGATTCTTCCAACGTGAAAATCGAAGACCTTCTCGATGATGTGTTCGTTGATGATTCAGGTCGCGTATCTGAAGCAGGCTCGCCTGTCGCCGAGTTACCAATGTGACGACGAATGGTAGAATCGAGTGAATCGAGCACTTGTAATAATCCATCTCTTTCCATTGTGACTTGACCTAGCTGCTCCATCAGCTTGGCTACTCGTGCGTTAGAGTCGGCTTGTCGAAGGCTCTCCACCATAGTCTCGAGCTGCGCGATGCGACCCTTTGTCCTCTCACGCGCCAACCTCTGGGATTTACGGTCGTACTCCCGCTTTTTGACCCGGCGGTCCTCGGCCGTAGTATTCTGGATCTTGGCATACATGACGATCGCTTTTGGGGGTGAAAATGAAAGCAAAGAGTGGAGATCTAACTTTGAGAAGGAAAAGAGCGTTATAAAGGCCCTGGAAGCAAATCCGGAGAAGTGGATAAATAAGCCTCAACAATAACTGCCATAAGGCTGGAGAGGGATGACACCAAGAGGTATTTCGGAACCAACTAGGCTAAGCGTAGCTCATGTTCAGCTAGAATGGCAATCAAATGTCTTAAAAAGTTTCCTAGCTTGCAATCCTTGTACAGGGCTGGGGACCTATTGAATGCCGCGCGTCGTAGTGCACGAGGCTTGATGCAAGACATAACATTATATCGCAAACTAAACCTATTGAGATGATTAGTGGGTCAGAAAGGGCATGTTCCTCGTTGGGATTCTTCTGTCACGCCCGTGGGAGTATGATCCGACAAGAAGAATATCTTCATTGCATAACAGATAAGAATACAAGGTGAGCCTCAGCACCGCGTAAATCTAGGCTTCTTGGCAGGCAACGCTTCAACTTCATCGTATTCTCATAGTTTTTGTGATTCCTTACACTTCGAGATGCAATAGAAATTCTGATCTTGAAAAGAAGAAGAATATCTAGCAACAGAAAGGTTACACGGATCTTCTCCGGGACACGACATCCCTTGCAACTCACACCTTTATCGGACACAGGCCGGCTGACGCTAGGTCATGATATCCTAGTTATATGTTATACTTCGCACTTATGTGCTTTTATTTCTTATGTCATTATATGTAAGAAAACCTCCTCTCTTATCTCACTCACTATCTCTTGTTTGAAAAAAGGACCTTGGCATGTAAGCTTGGATTTTTAACTCTAAGCCTGTCTCAACGCTATCGTAAGAATTAATAATGAAAAAGTGTACATTCACAAGTTTATTTGTTCTTGTTTGTAAGTTACTAAATGCATTTGGATATGGACTATTGTGACTTTGCCTGAATTGTGTCTATCATCTCCACCAGCCTTTGTTTGCCTGCCCCCTCTGCCAGCTGTCGTGCTGTTTTCCCTTCTTTGTTTGCAGTTTGCCTCTCTGCACCTGCTTCCAGGAGAAGTTTCACAATCCTTTCCAGTTCCCGGTCCACGGCATCCCTAATCTGCCCTATTGTCCTGAAAGGCTTTCTGCCCTGATTGAGGAGTCTTAAAACCCCTATCCCAGTTTTGCAAGCTGCATGATGTAGTGGAGTCATACCTTCGCTGTCTCTGGCGTCTTTATCGGCGCCCTTCACCAGTAGTAATTTAGTAACTGCACTATAGCCTCCCTCCGCGGCCCCGTGCAGCGGCGTCCTTCCGTCGTTGTCAGGCTTTTCCTTCTTTGCTCCTGCATCTATAAGCAATTCAATGATCTTTCTGCGGTTGAACCTCGCTGCTGTATGCAGAGCGGTCCGGCCTGACCGGTCCTGATTATCTATGTCGACTTCTGTCTGTAAAAGATACTCAACAACCTTCCTGTGGCCATAAATGACAGCTGTAATTAGGACAGAATCCCCAGAGTTTGTGGTAGTGTCTATGTTGGCACCAAAGCTAATTAGTTGTTGGATAATCTTGATCCTATTCAGACGACAGGCAATCATCAAAGGTGTTTCTCCAGAGATATTCCTAGCCTCCAGATTGGCTTTCACTTCTATCAAGGCTTCGATGGATGTGTCCTTACATTCCCGCACTACTAGATGAAGCGGGGTCTCGTGACGATTGTCTTTGCAATTGACGTCCGAGTCAAATGATTTGGCGAGTTGATTCATCATCGCCATTTGCTCGCCGACAGCGGCGAGATGCAGCAAATGATTCCCGCCATTGTCCAATGCACCCATGTCGGCTTGTAACTTGGTGCGAAGGATTGAGAATGCGTCTTCATTTCCATGAAGTACAGCCAGCTGTAGAGGTGTTCGACCTTCGTGGTCTCGAACTTCGGCGTCTATCCCTTTCTCAAAAACATCAACTACACCACAACATCCGGATAGAACTGCGTGATGGAGCACTGCTCTGCCACCAAAATCTCGCAAGTTGAGGTTTGAATTCTTCCACAGATAGGACAGAACACTCTTCTTTCCTTCGAGTGCGGCCCACATAGCTGGAGTCATTCTTACTGAATCCATTGCGTCAAATTCCGCCCCAGACTCAACAATCAATCTAACAATCGACAGATCGCCTTGCCTAGCTGCGTAGTGAAGGGGCGTAGACCAATTTCTGGTTTTCGCATTGATGTCTGCACCGTTCCTAGCAAGGATGGTTGCCGTTTCAACTTTGCCCGCTTGGCAGGCTAAATGTAGTGCTGTCTGCCCGAGGAGGTCGCGTGTGTCTGGATCTATATCGTCCTTCAGCAACACAGATAGCTCGAACTCTTTTCCTGCAGCGGCGTCCCGATGGAGTTGTGTCCAGCCGGTTATATCACGTTTTTCAGTCCCCTCTTCGTACTCCCTGGGTGGACTGCTTAGGATAGATCGTCTTAGTCGTAAAAAGGTTGGATCGTGATCTGCAATCTTGGCGAATTGAGAGGGGAGTATGTCAAGACGACACTGGTCATCGTACAAGAGCATCAAACGGATTAAGAAGCTTCTGCTTTCTGGCTCGCCTAGCTGCAGCTCATTATCGATTTGTTGTCGAAGTGGGGTTTCCTTTGGTCCTCGGCCTTTTTCACTTTTGATCCTACTCTCGGAAAGATCCGTTAGTGGTGAGGCAATCGGTCTAAGACGATCTGATAGCTTGATGGAATTGATCAGCTGATCTCGTTGATCAAGTATCACCGCTGTAGATTTTGCAACAAATGACGTATCACTTGGGAAAAGCCGAGCTGTCTTAATTAGCCATATGTAAACTTCTGTTGCCTTTTTCATATCACCCCGCTCTTCATGTGGCCTTGCATGTTCTCGAGCCAGCTCAACGATGTTGTCGACCAGTGGAAGTTTATTTTTGATGCTAAGAGACGGGATGATTGCAGAGTAAACTTCACTGAGTGGCGCAAGGCCGGTGCCCTGGATTTCACCGGCCATTTTCGACAACAGTGTGTTATGTAAAGTGAATGAAGTCCAAGACCCAAGGTTGCCAGAGTCATTTGGCCTAATCTCTCCTTGGCCTTGAATTGGCTCATCCATGGTTCTTGCCACTGCCTTCATGAAAGACGAAAACAGGTCTAGAGCATATAGAGAAGCCGGTGGCCGGAATGACTCTATTGCCAAGAATCCATGTTCCATGGCCTGTCCGTAAGGTGGTTCATCGTCGTCTTCATCCAGCTGTATTCTTTCCAGCTTCACCTTTGTTGGCGTGGCTCTTCCGTAACCGACAACAAGAGCCTTTTCAACAACTAAAGAACCTTCAGGACCTTCTCGAACGAGAATTGCTTTCTTGAGGTCGCGAGGTACCCACCACCGAAGGTCACGTCGAAGCTGTGGTGTGTCTGTGCCTAATAGGTGTACGCCTGGTCCGTCTGTAGTGGTATCTTCATTCTGATTGGTGTTTTCGTCTTTCCGAACATTTTGCAAAGAAAATATCCAAAGTGATAAAATCGCTTCGACATGGTGGCGGTTAATCTGCCAGTTTCCGTTGATCAGGCTCAAGGAGACGTTGATGACTTGAGGCTCCGAATTGTTATAGGTAGCTCGTAACGCCCAATTGAAATGCTCGAGCCTGTTGTTAAGGAACAAGGTATTCATGACCACTTCGATAGCTCTAGATAGAGAGCTTGCCTCAGCGAATACTGGACTTTGCCAACCTGTAACTTTTGCAAAGTGAGACCGAAGGGCCATAACATTGTGAGACTTTGAACAGACCGTGTTCGCGTGACCTTCATTTCTGCTTTCCGTCACACTACCACTTCGTTGCCCATCTGCGGCCTCAATGCCATTATTTGTCTCGATATCGCCACTGTTGTCGTTTTTGACCTTACTCTGGGCTTCTGTATCGCTCTGATTTCCACTGCTGCTCTCCTCTGGACTGTTTTTAATATCTTCTCTACCTCGATCTTCTTCGCTGTCGTCTTCGCTATCGTCTTCGCTTTCTTCATTATAATCCTTGACAATATCTTCTTGACTTACACCTTGGTTTTGTTGATTGTTTGAGTGAGTGTGGCTTTCAGCGCTATCTCTTGTGTCATCCGGGGACTGAAGCTGAATGCCTTCATCACCTAAAACGACCCAGTCTGTCCAAGCTGAGCTACCGGATTCGGATACTTCCCAACGGAAGCCATCTGTACCAGCAAGTGTAGATGCTAGCCACTCCAGCTCAAAGTTTTGAGCCAGAGATCGAGCATTTGGAGGAACGGCGAGTCCTCGGCGAATGGCCGCCCGGGCAGCTGTCATGAATACAACCGCCCCAAGCTGGATAATAGACACAGACCAATGCATGTCTCGCAGTCCCACAAACTGTACAACATATCCGGAAATACTGAGGAATGATCCCAGTGTTGTTTTAGAAGACTGCACTGAGTTCTCGGTAGATGAAGACGTCTGCTTATTCAGAGCCTTTTTGAACAACTCCACAATTTGCAATGGTATGTAGCAAACGACTTCAACAGTCCTGTCGACGAGTGAGACTTCGGTTTGTGTTTTGGAAAGAGTATTACGACGTGACGTCAAAACCTCTTTTCTAGATGTTTTGGAAAAGATTCCAAAAGACTTGAACACCTGGTCTCCGACGGTTGCTTGGCGTTGTACCCAAATCGGATAGGCCTCATAACCAGTTGCTGGCTTTCGAGCCTCCTCGGCAGTTCTCTTCTCAACAACATCGGCACAAAGAAGCAACCCAGTTACCAAGACTATTGTTCCACTAGCCGTGCAAGGAAATGCGTAATTCGACACCGGTCGGTTCTCTTCCTTTGGAAACTTCAAGGTATGGTAGTATGTTGCGAATCCAGCATAGATGAGAACTCCCAGCTGGAGAAAGGTGCCGATCACTGCGGCAATCCGGACCTCAAGCCTTTTTTGTGAATGGACATTCAGCGATATGTTAGGCGCCGATGTTGACTCGTTGTAAATGATGATGACTTTGGGCCGGGTCTTGGAATCTGGGGCTGGCGTGCCCAAATCGTTGAGTTCGATCCCTTTTGCATTTGCTGGGCCAACATTGTTAGGCTGATATCAATCGCTATGGTCCAGAGTGATGGTACTCACTTCCCTTGGAACTGCACATACTCGCCCCTCTTTCTGAGTCTCCACGTTCCTTAGCTTATTTGTAAGTTAGCTCCCATCTTGAACATATTGGCTAGGACCTACTAGTAATTAAATGGCCCTCCTTCTCGGCCTCTGTGATAGTTTTACACTCAAAGTCACAACATCCAGTGAGTGAAGCGTCACCTTTCCGAGATTTTGGTATTAGAATAATGAATTCCCGCACTGGAGGTGACCCAAGACTTCGGACAATCTCAGAACCATTCCACAACTCACAGACATCTTCAGAAGTTGAAGACATCAGCTCGACCTCTGCAGCTGCCAGATTCTCTCTGGCTCTGCCGATAATAGCCTTTAGCCAAGACGGCCCTACAACTCTGATAGCACTGACAACAATTGTAAGGATTCCGAGGGGCGCCATTGCAAGAGTAAAGCTATCAGCCCAGCCAGTGGCCTGGCTCATGTACTGCATAGTAACTCTTTCTCCAAAGAGGGCGATAAGGCTTGAGTATCAATTAGCATAGGTACAGAGTGCAGAGTGTTATCTTAAGGTGCCAAGTCTGTAAAGAGATTGTTGGCGAAATCATCGCCGAATTCCGCAGCCAGACATCCTGGGATGAAGAAAACATATATCGCCAGGAACCAAGGTGAAGTCTGGTTGGGCTTCATGTTGATCAACCTTGGAACCTTTCAAGAGCGAGGCCAAATGTTGATCCTGATGGCTCTCAAGCCTCGAAAAATTCAATATCACTTTAAATGAGTAGGAGAAATGTCGATGGATGTGTTGTTTACAGTCAAGACCTGTGGCTGAAAGCTTACAATCACCACGCAGAAATTGCTTAGATTTGAATAAAACCGATTGAGCTCGGAAAGCCGCGGGGAAAATCAGATTATGTTTACCCAATTTCATCGAGCTGAAAATCAGGCTCCAGGATCTTCATTTGTGATGGATTAACTCGTTTTATGACCAATGAGAAGATATACTCAAACGCTGAGGCTTGTTTGTGTAACATGCGCTTTTTTCTTGCCTAGTATTGAGGCCCTCCACCAACATACATAGACGAGCCTACCGCATACCACCTCTTGTTTCTTCTTATGTCTTACTTTGCTGCCAATTGGAAATGATTCCGTTCGTCCGGTGGTGGGACCGGAGTCCCATGTTGGTCCTTCTGTATTGAGCCACCAACAGCCTCACTTTAAAAAGAACGTATTATGTATTCGTAGTTGAACCAATTAGAGAGCCTCCTGAACGCTGAATTTGGTATCCCACTTGAACGCAACATCCTTGCAAGCCACAGCACTCTCCACCCTCTTGCTGCCGGGATCATACCATGGGAACGCAGTAGAAGCCATGAAACGGTGGCTTTCCTGATCACTTCGTCTTAGCAACTCCCTGAATGCAGACCTATCCCGTATGCCGAGACTATACGATTTCGATATCGCTAACTTTGCAGACATCAAGCCTTTTGGACGCCAAGGATTGCCCTGTGTGGAATACGAGCCAGGGATAGTGCGTAACTCTGGTCCCAGTACGCGGAATAGTCGTTTGGTGGACTTTTTGGTGATCATGGAGAGTGTTGAGGTGCTTATGACTTGCATATCTGGTGCAGTTCTGATGCACTCAAAGCAGCAGCGAGTGGCGGTAGGGAGAAACAGAAATCCCCCGGATTTATCACATACTTCGCATGTCTTCCGGATCAGTGACTTATATAAGTCTCCGATTGTAATGGTCTGAGCAAGGCCAGTACGAAGCATACCCCGTAGAGCTTCCAACCCATATGTTGCAATTGCCTGGTACTCTGGAACTGCAGTACATATAGCACGGGACTTTCTGTTGACGTGACGGAGTCGAAAGTAAGATTGTACGTCCAAATTGCGGAAGATCATCCATAGTAGCTCAATGGGAAGTCGGCCTAATGGACCAAGACAGGAAGAGGTTGAGCTTTCAAAGGCTGTTTGAAGATCTCTTGCTACCGCATGAGTCTCATCGGGATGTGAGCGTATGAGCAAGCGGTCGAAGTGTTGATGATGGGTGCAAATATCGAGGATGGTATCAGATGTCATTTCTTGCTGCCTTGTAGTTGAACGGATCCTTCAACTGAACAAGTGGGAAGAGATCATGCAAGAAGTTAAGTTTTGCGGGAGCACGATGTTAATTATGGGGGCCGTGTTTTAGCGCGTTTGCAGGGCATTCTTAGGGCTGTACTATAGTTACGCCTTGATCGGTGGAGTAATTGGAGAAGTGGTTAGGTATGTAAAGGTTTCGACAACTACTCCGTGAGTTCATCTCTTTCAAAGTTTATGTAAGATAATATGATTTGTATGAGGCTTATACATCTTGCATAGATAGTCTTATTTAGTCTCGGAACAATATTGCATTCGTTCCTAACCATGGTCGTTGTTGAAACACTTTGAAGGGAAAGTATTGGGTTGATTCAGCCTACAGTAGCCAAATGATTTACTTCTCACTTCAATTCAACGTTTTGGCCGGCCAATAGATATAAGTTTAGAAGAAATTCATTTTCCATTACACTGAGTCGAGACTAGTATAAAGTTGGATCTTAGAAGACAGCGTCGATGGAAAGGATGGGTTGTCTCTCAAAACCCGTTTTCTCGTAACCTTGGTTGCCCACTCAATGCAATTCACACCAAATTTGGATGTTTTGAAGCTCTCATGTTATCTCACAGCAAGATCCTTCTTTTCATTTATTAGTGATGGAACAATATGTCCCATATACCACAAAGAGTCAGGCAATATCACATACAAGTCGTGGAAGAAAACAGTGCAACGGCAACGCAGGAAGCTATGAATCAGTCAGGATTGAAAATTAACCAACCATTGTTGATAGTTTCCAATAATCTTCCCATCAGCTTTTATACGCGACGAATATCCAGATTAATGACTCCTTATTCAGACCCATTTTACGAAACTTTCTGGATCGCAACCTTGTTACCTAGTCCTGATTCAATTTCAGTACAAAGACGTCATCCTTCAGCAGCATTTGTTCTCCCAATCCATACCCCTTGATACTGACACTGCCAGCAGCTGGCCATCACCGCACATGAAGTTAGATTATTATTGTAAAGCAAGCTTCAAATCGTCACGTGGATCTTCCGAACATACGCACAAATACCATAAAAAGTCATTCCTTTACCAGAACCACCCACTACAAACAAAACAAAACACGACAACGACCACTACCACAACTACCATCACAACTACCACCATAACTAAACACATCACAACGAAAGCAGTAAGAGACCGAGAAGAGTATGGAGAAGCTTAGGCGTAACGAAACGACTGCGTCCGAAGCATCGGCCATTGAGGATGGCAAAATGAATCCTTTCTTCCCGGCGAAGGAGTATTCGGATCAATACCTCAAGCTCCACAAAGAACGAAACGAGAGACTTCCTGTCCGTGCTCAGCGGCAGGAATTTCTTGAGAAATACCAGTCCGAACAAGTACGTTATCCATTCTTACACAAATCTGTCGACTGACTAACTCTGCTCAGGTTACGATCGTCGTTGGCGATGCGGAGTCTGGCAAGACAACAGAGCTTCCTCAATTCGTCCTATTCGATGAGTGGGAGAGCAAGTTGTCTGTGGCATGTACGCAACCGCGAAGAGCAGCAGCAATCAGTGTAGCAAGTCGCGTTGCACAGGAGATGGATGTACTTTTGGGCACCTTGGTCGGATGCAAAGTCCGGTTCGAAACCAAAAGCACAGAAAAGACGCGTCTAGAAATCCTGACGGACGGCTCTTTACTCCAAAAACACGCTACCAACAACTTGCTCCAACGCTATGTATGTTCCACTATCAACTGCGTAATCTAATTTCTAACGTCACTAGGCATGCATTATGATCGATGAAGCTCACGAAAGAACAAAAGATACCGACATCTTGCTTGCTCTGATGAAGAATCTTATTCCCAAGCGCCAAGATCTCAAGGTTAGCCTAGCTTGCGAAATACTTTCATCCCATGCTCATACTCAAACCAGATTGTCATCATGTCAGCGCCAGTCAACATTAAGAAGTTGTGCCAGTACTTTGGTACCTCCAACATTTTCGAAGCCAAGCGACAGGCCAACGCCGTCCAAATCAAGCATGTCGACAGCCCACCAGTTCAATACGACATAGCCGTGGTAGTCACGGTGAGACATATCGTCATGACCAAGCCAAAAGGCAATATACTTGTGTTTATGACTTCGATGCGGGAGATTGAGAAAACTTGTGTCGAGCTCCGAACACAGCTGCCGGGCCTCAAAGTGCTCCCGATGTACTCTTCACTTCCGAAGCATGCCCAAGACATGGTAACTAGTGGTTCTACATCTCAGATGTGCATTGTCTCGACCAATGTTGCTGAGGCAAGCTTGACCATCCCAAGTGTCATTTATGTTGTTGGTATGTTATATGCAGTGCGAAATACCTGTCGTTCATCATGTTGGCTGACTGTACATTCAGATTGTGGACTCCACAAAGAGGCGGGCTACAACCCTCGAGTCGGAATGACTACGGTGTTAACAGCTCCAATCTCGCAAGCGTCTGCCCGACAGCAAGCCGGATGTGCTGGAGGAAACGAACCTGGGGAGTGCTACCGTCTTTACAGCAAGGAATTCCACGACCGCGGAATGTCTCCAAATACCCCACCCGCTATTCATTTGAGCGAGTTGTCAAGTGAAGTTCTTCGTCTCAAGTCGTTGGGCTTTGAAGACATCCCCAAGTTCGATTGGCTTGATCCACCTCACCCAGAACCATATCTACGGGCTATCAGCGATCTCAGAGTCATGTGTGTACAGACCTAGCACCGTTTTGCGACTCATTCAATTGGCCAACGTGTACTAAGTATGATAATAGGGGCTACATCAACGATCAGTGCCGTATCACTCCAAACGGCAGAAAGGCCATACGGCTTCCTGTTCACTGCGTGTGGTACAATTGCTTTCTAAAAGCACATACGCTTAGTTGTCTTCGCCAGCTAGTCACCATCGCCGCGCTCATGAGCACTCAAGATGATATCTTGACCAGACCGTATGAAGTAAGATACGCGGCAGACGTGGTGCGACAGGCATTTGCGCATGGACAGTCCGACATTATGGGACGCATGAATGCCTTGTCGTGCTACTTTCAGATGTCCAAGGATCTATCCAAGGACGACTTGCTTGGCTGGTGCAACGAATACTTTGTCGATCACAAAGTGGCAACCGAGGTTCTGGCTATTCGCAAAGAGCTACTGTCCCAAGTTCGTCTACATCTTCTCATGGGCAAAAGCGAACCATCAGCCCTGGACGAAACGGACGAGGGCTATAGCGACAAGATACGCCAATCCATTCTCGCTGGATTCTTCTTCAAAGCCGCAATGTTCGAAACGTCACCTGATTCGTACAAGACTGCAAGGGACAACCATCCATTTCTCCTTGATCCTGGAAGCAGCCTTGTCGGGATGGACTACGAGTGGGTTATTTGCCACAACATGCACTATTCTGGTATTCAATACCTGCAGTATGTCACGGCTGTTAAGCCAGAATGGCTTATTGTATGTGCTCGACTCATTCACTTGACTCTATGCTAACCGCTCCAGGAATATCCCTTTTTTGATGACGAACAACTCCCGAAGAAATACGGTGGTGAACTCAAGAACCCTGCCATGAAAAAGTCTCTCGACAAGGCTCGCGCGAAGGTCCAACAAGCGACACCAGATGTTTAAAAACTTCTATTTCATCATAGTACATTTTGAGGCCTAACGGCATCACCCATGGAGGTAAATTTTGACGACGACGATTTGGTAGAGAAAAACAATATCCGACACATGCGCGAACCAGTGCATCCGTCTTCATGCAGTATCAAACTTGGAGCATTCACCTTTTCATTTTGTTGTACAACTTCCATTTTGGTCACGATTGGGAACACGCCTAACGGTATCTATCAGTAACATGCAGATCTTTTCACTCCTTGAATAGTTCGTTAGGCTTACGCCTTCGTGTTACCGATAGCCTTACAGCAGGCCCTTCGTGTATAGTTGGAATTTGCTCTGTTGTTTTTATTAACAACTGCCGATGATGCATCATTGCGGAGGCACCAGAACGATGGCTGACACCTTCACGTGGTGTTCTGGGTCAGTAGCTGGTATTATTAAAATAATCCAGTGAAGCTAAGCTCAGCCAAGTACGTAGGTAGTTGCTTATTGGGTTAGGTATTGGTTCAAGTCCTTGGCTTGAGATAGAGATGCAAATTCAAAGATACCATTTTACATTGAATGAATTTTACTTCTATAGTCTAGTATGACCCAATTGTGGTGATATATTATCAGTAGTTGAATTGGATTTCTAAATGTGTACAAATATCAACCAAAAAAAGGAATAATCGTCATGCCGTGGTCCATGATGCAGATTGTCAAGGCATGTTCCAACGGCCAATTCAACCAGGAGTATTTAGGAACTTTATGATGGTTTACATGACATATCTTGGTCATTTGAGATTTGAACAGTCTGTTGCAAAACTGATAGTAGGGTGTCACCGCCAATACAGCTCCTGGCAGTGTCAGCTCACATAAATGAACAGCCTTCATGTATTGGTTACCTATTCACACAACCCTGCTTAGCTAATGAAGGCAAGATTTGGTTTTGAGGTCTTCTGGGATTTTCCCCGCGCTTACCTTCACGCACAACTCATATCTCTCACATCGCAACAAGTATTCCACAACTCATCCGCCAACAACGTCTTTTACAACATTATACAGTTCAACCCACCGAAAAACAGTTACTCTTAAATTATTGAAATACAAAAAGAAATGTCGTTCTCCGATGATATCAAGGTCGAGATGATCTTGCAGCTTGCGAGGGTCAGTATCCTAGCTGGTGAAATCAGAGAAGCATCTAACATATCGACAGGCTTTACTAAGCCCACCTCTCCAGAGCATGTCTCAAGAAATCGCTCCGGCCAACGCCATCCCTGAGCCAAGTCCTCCCGGTACTGTGACGAGCCACCCATTCCGAAAGCATGGGTGGTCCAAGGGCTGGTACGCGGATGGCTTCCACACGCACCTCAATGTTAAAGAAGAGGTACTTTCTCATATTCAAGACCGTGACGCGGATCTGAAAAAGAAAGGTGCCAAGTTCTCTACCTTCACCACCGAAGGCGACTATGGACGGATCCGGGTTCACGCCCAACAATTTCCTGGCCTAGACAACCCAAATGCCGACAGCACCAGGGTCAGGATTCTTGTGGAGCGTATGTCTGATGATGAGCGTCAAATGAAGGAAATTGATCTTCAAGACCTGCCTGCCTACGAAACTGATGGCTAGGCGCCATGGTATCCTGCGGGAAGGCCAACAGAGCCGCCATTCGACAAAGATCTCCGCTCAAACTTGAGGATTAACGACACCTTCACGGCCAGTGCTGCTTACAAGGACACCATGAAGATCTTTCCTCACGCGATCGAGCTCTCTCGTGTCACTGACAAAATGGCCTGGGTCCCAGGTCAAATGCTTGGAGAGCCAGATGCTGAGACGAAGGCCCCGATTTCTATCTCGCAAGAGTTCATTTTTCCAGGCGACAACACAGACACTCGCTCGTCGACCTCCCGAGGTCATCAAATCCATCACAAACGGCCGCCAGGAGTAGGTGCCGGATGGGGTGGGTATGATGAGTTCTACGAATGGCAAGGCAACGGTCGTACCATCAACAAGGACTGGGTCAAGCCTGGAAATTGGGAAAACTCGGAGGCCTCCCGAATTACCTTCTCTAACGACAACGGAGAGGTCGATGTCGCGCACTACACCGATGCTGAGATTGAGAAAATTCAGTCCAAGTCAGCCAATTCCAGATCGCTGCATACGAAACTCAGGAACAGAGGCACTGGATACGTCCAACAGTCAGCTCGTCGGGGTCGTGGCAATGTGCGTGGAGGCAAAGGGGCCCGAGGAGCCCGAGGAGGCCGGGGAGGAATTACCAGTTACTGGTAAACGATTATCACGCCTACCCCCTTTACCAACGGCACCAATATCTACGACAGCGATATTGCCTAACGGCACCCGTATCCACGATGACAACATTGGCCAACGTCATTTGTGCACGGGATAATATCATTGTCATATGGTATTTACATCAAATCATTTTCAGGAACTCAAATTTGGTACTATCTTATCAATCTTACATCTATCGGACTGCCTAACGGCTTCGCATTATCAAATGGGTAGTCATGAATATTTTCCTGACATCTCACTTTTTAATGGCCTAGCTCAGACGGACTATGAAACTTCAACAGTTTGGGGCCTTGCGGCATGCGATATGATGCAGGTTACTATGTAATTATCTTTTTTTACTTTCTTGTTGGAATGACTTATGCCTCCTTGACTTCCTGTAATTAGCCTATTTCAGTATAATAGTCCGACGCTGTCAGACTTCACATTTCTCACCAACCTGAACACGTATTGGGTGCCGCGTATAGATGACTCTAGTGTTCTATCTCGTCTTCTGAGCAAGTTCACAACATACATGTTTAACCCCGTCTTTACCAGCAATCATCCAGACTATATAGTTCCTAACCCACGATTCTCCATTACTTTATGTATTCCAGCTCTGGGTTCTCCAGGTTATGAGTAGGAATACACTTGGTAGCGTCGCGGTATCCAAATGCTATCATGGCTGCACAAGAGTTCGCAAGATTGATTCTTAATCTTGCTGTCAGTGTTTCTTATCTGCACTCCAAACTATCCTTCAGGCTTATCTAGGCCTCAAACTCGTCAGGTGTTATTGGATTGTCTTCGAGAAGACGTTGGCCGACTTCCACTATAACGCTTTTAGTACTTCGTTCTAACCATAATTTGAGGTATTCTTACCACGCAGAGTGTGAAACGAAACTTGGAGCTGATCAAGTTGCGACTGAGTAGCTTCCTTGGCTTTGGCTAGTAGTCTGATAGTAGTCTAATAGTAGTCTTGTCCTCCTCAATGTTCCGTTCTATGACTTCAAGATACTCGAGGAAATCTTGACCTTTGGCGTTATTGGTCATGTGCTCTTTGAGTTTCTTATTCTCCGCCCTAAGGCTGTTGATTTCGTGCATTCTCGACTTGGAAATTTCTAAGTGATCCATGACTGTCTTTCGCTCCTTGGACAAGCTGGCTTGTGATGCTTTGTCTGATTCGTAGTACTTCTTGTTGTTGTCGCTCAGCCTTTTGTTCATTTCATTGGTCTTCTGGTTACTCTCCAGTAGCATTTCGATTTCGGACTTGAGCTCTTTGACCTTGCTTTCAGCCTTCTCCTTGGCTTTGGCAAGGACGTTGCGATCACGCTTGGCAACATTAGCCTCTTGGGAAAGTTTTCGCTTCTCCTCTTTGAGCGCAAGCTCTTTCTGCAACACTTCCTCCTCCAGTTACTTGACCCTTGCTTTGATTGCAGCAAGCTCGTTCGTGGCTCTTCCATTGTTTGTGCCTTGGGCAGCAGCGTTGAATTGTGACGAAGCTGTTGGGCCAATTGGTTGGGCTCAGGTGGGGTCTGTTGGCTCAACACTGTGCTGTTGGGCGGCGCGCTTCGAGGTAGAAAGGACAGTATTATCAATCCCCGGTCCATCGTCGTTGGGTCGACCTTGAAAAATGTCGGCATTCGGGAACTTCGTTTGGGCGCGTTTTGCCCAATATAGGCCAGATCCTCCAGCAATCTCGTCTTTGGTCCATCGAGGGTTCGTCAAGACACCGGTGATATTGGCCCAGCTAATTTGGCGACTCTGGAGCCCGTTCCCAGCCTTGCCAAGTTGGTGGTTGTAGAGGTGCTTGGCCGAATTAGCTGCCTGAAGGCGATTCGCTCAATACACCCATTCAGGTTTCTTATCTGGGACTAATTGGTCACCTCAAGTGATCTAAGCACTTCTGTATGCGTCGTTCTAAGCTGCATCCTGTAGTCGGTGAGCTGCTTCGATCTCTTCGGTTTTGTACACAGGGTTGAATGGCGGGAACCCTTCAAGGGGATCCGCTGTGTCGCTCATGATATCTACCCATTTCTAATTAGTGCCGGATTTAATAAGAATAGACTTGTATCAATAAATAAATATCCGCATACCGTTGAGATGTGTTGTTGATATCATTGAGAGATTTGGAAAGCCTGGGCTTGATAAAGTTGAAGGTTAAAGCAAAAAGAAAACCACCGTTGAGATGTAGCGTTAGTGAAATGTTGAGTTGTGGAAGATTTGTTGTGAAAATAAAAGAGTCTAAAGGAAGAGAGCGAGAAAAGAGATCCGGTTATGGTAAAAGACTATTAATTACCTACCTATACTCTCGTAAAGTCGTCCGGTTTACCCCGCTTTATTATGAAGTCTCCCAGGCGAAAGAAATGCAGACCTGTCTTGAAAACATTAATTTGCTAGTAAAAGTATAGGCATAATATAAATTTCGAGACGCGTTAGAAGTTTACCCGCTTTGTATTCTCTCCTCTCCACTCTCCACTCCCTATATCTCAGTCCTCTCCCTCTCATATACTCTCTCCAGTTTCATCACCCTTACACATAATACACAATACTGAAACGAAGTATAACCCCTATTCCATCAATCAAAATCAGATTTTTCTAACATACCTCGATAGTGAAAATGATGAGCGCCCCGTCCTCCGTCACCTTTCGAGGTGCTGCGATGATGTTTCAAACGTTCATTGATGAACTGAAACAAAAGCCGGACTGGCAAGATCTGGAAATGAAATGGGTACTCCAGTACATGGGAAAGGATTTTGACGAAGTCAAGGACAACATGACCCCGAGCTTGGCCGACGAGCTAGCAATTGCCTGTCGAATTAACCTCCAATCGATGACCCCGACTATTGCGGTGTGGATCTGCAAAAGTCCAGTCTACCAAGAGCTGGAAAAGGCTTCATCCGTAGGAAAGAACATTAGCTTTCCCGACTGGTTCTTCCTGGCCTCTGTGTACCGTCCCGACCACAACAGACTCCGCCCTTACAGAGATTAGTTGTCTATGCATTGGCGATTTCAGTTCCCGACTGACAAGATATTTTATCCTTCCGGGATGAGTGATGAAGACCAGGCGATGCATTTCCGAGGAATCAGCAAGGAAGAGCAGAATAAAGATCCTTCTAGTCAATCTCCACGTCCTCTTGAGACGCTCCGAGAGTCCGTTGCACCTGTACGTTTTACTCGATTGTTTGATACCTAAAAACATATGCTTATGCATCATAGGATGATCACGTACCAGACATGTCTGAACCCTCCACTACTGGTGCCCTTGACGGGGATGCCGAAAACGATGAAATGATGGCCGATGCCGATACCGACGCCGACGACGATATCGATGCCGACGCCGATGCCGATCAGATGCGGGCTGATCAGATGCGAGCCGATGCCAGTGAGCTTGGCGATATGATCTACAACAGTCGGGTTTCAATCATCGATGCTGGCCAGCAGATCGAAGAACTTAAAGGCGAGATCCAAGTCATTCAGCATCGCACTACTGTACTGGAAACTTACAAGGAAACTCAAGCGCTGGCCAAGGCTGAGACGGATGAAGAACTCAAAGAGCTCAAGACGTTTGTGAACGAGATTCGTGACACCATGAAATCGCAAGCTGAGAAGATCGACACTCTGAGCGAGGAGAACAAGATTATTCGTGAAGATCTCGCCAAGCACCTTGCAAGCCGATCATGCAACAAGCTTTCTGTTAACGTTGAATTTGCCTAAGATGGAGGCTTCGCCTAACGGCAATCATTCTGAAACGTAAAGTCCTTCTTCAAACAGGGACTTTCCATACGTTTTATGAATGAAAGGCAACAGAGGTTAATGGTAGTGACAATTTCGTTTAGACAGGAGAATAAATGACCTTGAGCACTATTTTCGTTTTATCATGTCGTGTTTGCCAGTAAAGCTCAAGATTGTTTGATACCACTTGTAATCCAACGCCTTTTTCAAAGTAAGGAACAATATCATTCCACTTTCCTTTTCAATTCAACTTTTGCTTTCCCCACGTCTCACCAAGGATCGATCGTGGACGCAAGCTTTTTAAAAACCGGTACCATGGCCTTAGGTCAGCGGGGATCATATGTCGATGATGTTTTCAGCATCAAGGGCGATTGTTTCAGGAACCATCCCCTTGTGCATGTTGCATTTAAGCCTTATGTAATAGTTCTGTGATTAATGCAACTCCACCTGATTGGTGTTCTTCAAAAGTTGCCACTGATAGCAGCAGAGAAGTTGATCATGTTAAATTCTGTTCTTTGCAAAACTATTTTGTCCCTAGTTGAAGATGCCATTGAAAGATGATGGCGCTTGGCGTAATCTCATAGTGAAGTGACCAATGAGGAAGATTAGCCTTGCCTTCTTCCTGTCCGTTGTGTCTCTCGATGTACTCTAGACAACGCCGGCATCTGTACTCCGAGAGAAGAAAGGAGCCCTTTGCGTAATATCCCCGTTTCTTATCTTCAGTTCGCCTGACTTTGGTACAGGCTGGGCTGTCGCACGGGACTTCTGGAGTATTCTCTGACAGGTGCTATGCGGCCAAGAGTCCCGAGCCTGTTGGAACAAGCTTGGCATAAATGTGTGCCTTGTCACCGGGATAGTCTGGGTGGAAAGCAAGTACAGACCTTTGAACCAGAGCTGTCCTGTAATTGTCCGAGTCATGTGAGCATTCTGGTTACTACATCGCTTGAACCCCTGCGTCATGTAGACCTTTGGCTTCCGGTGTGTTCTCTTAGGGAGCTCGATTGCCGCCCTATTGACATTGCTGGAATGGCAAGTATGGCAGAACCAATCCTCTAAATCAGTGTCATAGAGCGGTGAAGCCAAAGCTTTATGAGCTAACTATTAGCACAATCGTGGGTTTCTCACAAGCCACACACAATTCCTCCCTTGCGATGTGCTTTCCAAGGTGAAAGTGCTGCATAACGAAGACAAATCCGACATCTGGTTGCGTTGAATCGGTGATGATTGAGCGGCTCAGTATTGATGAGTTTCTAGTCGCTAGCTGATTGGCGTTGCATATGTGTGTGATCTTATATACTGAAGGACTAACCGCGCGACAGTACTGAGAGGGTTTATTGATATGGGGACAGTATCAACCGCAGCAGGATCTTGGAAGTACTCTGGAGCGATGGGCTCAGTGAAACCTGACAAAGACGTTAGATGTATTTGTGATCCTGGCTGCTGGAATGCTAACCCGCGCGACTGGGTCGATCTTGCTAGTAAGAGAGGATGATACTACTTGTAAAGTCCTTGGTACAGATTAGAACCTCATGGACCGAGTAGTACTCACAGTTTATTCAGAGGCGGCTAAAATGAAGATATCGTGAAAGACCTTGTTGAACGTATGTGTTGCGAAAACGGTGATACGATATAGAATAATGTCGGTCATGTAGGAAAGATAAAATAATGGTGATGATCGATGGCACAGAAAAGTCCGCAGTCAATGGTTTTGTAGAAGGGAGGTTTCAAGTAAGAGCCTTCTATTTTGTAGTGGTCTTGCCACAGAACGACCTCCCCCCCTTCCTGTCACACTTGCTTCCTCAGGCACAGCCATATTTTCACCTGATTGTTCAAGCGCAAAGGAAGGAAGACCGGGAAACAAACCCACTTCAGCGATAATTTCTTCTTTCCTCTCGCATTGTTTTCCCCTCCAGCGATTCCATTCCCCCAGGCAAACCTCGACAAGCCAGTTATCTGGCATCTTCTGATAGCAGACGCTTATCCCTTCGAATCCGATGTTCCCCATCACACGAGCGAATCTAGAATCATTACTCACCTACTTTACCCAAGCGCAAACGGCCCTATGCCAGGCAACACAGCAAACCGATGAAACAATGGCCAAGTATGCCCAGTCGATTAGACAACATTCCGGATAGTGATCTAACAACTAAATCAGGCGACCGTGCGTTGATTCAGTACTCTCATCTGGTCAACTATCGTTAGACGCCGCCTTTTCACTATCGGGATGCAACCTAGCACTCGTAGCTGCCTGTCCACATTCATCATTCAACCTATCGCCATTCATTCATCCAACTTCACCGCCATCGACAAACATCAACATGACAATCTCCCTTTCATTCGCCTATTAAATCGACCTTCCACAATCGCACGTGCCGGAGCCGGAATCACAGACGCCATCGCCTTGCGCAATCTCGCCTGAGCTAGGTGCCGTCCAGTACTACTGGAATACCGTTAATGCCGAAGTTACCACCGATCGTGTATTGACCCCTCTCCAGCACTGGCGTGTCGTTGAGTGCTTGAAGGAGCTTGGCTCTGCCGTTTGGTCGCTCTCTGATGTACTGGCCAACCCTTGCCGGACCTCTCCCTCTGACCCCGTTGGAGTCACTCCGGCATTACAGGTACATGAGCTTGCTGCCAGCCGTGAGCTTCTTGCTCTCATCTACCGCGTCCAGGTTTGTACTCCAATCCTTCATCGACACTTCACCGCTGACTCTTCTGTCTAGGCCGGTAGAGAAATTCACGATCATGACGAAATTGAGGCCAATATCGCTCTTATCACTCCTTCCTACGCCCGTAAGAGGAGTGAGGCTGAGGCTTTCTCTGCTTTACTTGATCGACTCCCGTTCGCCTCTCGTAATTCGCTTCTTTACGAGACCAAAAGAACAAGGCCGAGTGGCCTGATGAGCTGTCCGCCACTTTCCTAGCTCTCATGAACCGTTGCGCCGCCGAAGGGAAGACAGCTCCCCGTGAAGTGGTGCGTTACGCTGGACATGGCCCTGTCGGTCACTCTCAAAATCGTCTCCAAGCAATCTCTGTGTCATCTGATGATTCTGAGGATCTTGTTCGAAAGCCTGATCCTTCTCCTCCGGTTGGGCGTGGTCGTGCTCGTGGTAGGTCTCCTTTTCTTCCCCAGGCCTTCGCCTAGAAAAGCGGCTTGTCTTTACTGACTTTTACTTATCTTAGGTACTGCACGCAAGAAGGCTGTCGTTCGTCGTTCTACTCGCAAGAAGGTTGTTGCTGTCGGCTTCGGTACTTTGTCGACTCGTCGCCACGACACGTCTGGTTAGCCGTGACAGGTAATCCGCTTTCCCCCTCTATCTTTGTCTTTTTCTGCGGTACGCTTTCTATACGTAGTCTTTTTAAAAGAAATCTTGCTATGCGTTTTCGACCCCTTCTCCTCAATCATCCCAATTTTATACTATCTCTTCGTGACTTCAACGTATCTTTTATAGCACATCTTTACCAACGATATTTCAGAAGGTGCAGTTTTATTTCTTGGCATCGCCCCGCGATGAACGAGGCACCTCGGCCCGTTTGCCGCTCATGTTCCACAATGATTGTTTCATGGTGGTTCCCCTCACCAACACTATTAGTGGGCCGGTGAAATATGTACTTTTTCGGATTTATTGCCAAACTGGATAGTGGTTGATGTCATTTGAAACACAGCTCGTCACAAGCAAACCGAGACATTTGTTGACAACTTGAAGCCTGAAAATCAACCTTACTTGCCTTATCTTCAGCTACAAACTCACGCAGACATCATGGGTTCTAGAGTCAATGCCCAGGCATCAGAGCCTCGTATGTTGATTGATGGTGAAGTAAGAGAGTCCTTCTGGTCAAAGAGCGCCATTAACGTCATCAGCTGGTCGGTGCCTCAGATGGTAACACATTTCCCCTCTTTAACCCAGCAACAGGCGAACAAGTCGCAAATGGTGAGAACACAACGATTCTCAAAATCTCTTATGCTGATGAATACGCAGTACCCGAGGCCACGCTTGACGATGTCAATAGAGCAGTGTCAGCCGCTAAGCGCGCCTTTCCAGAATGGTCAGCTCTAGACCCTGCCAAGCGCGGCAGCTACATGAAGAAACTCGCAGTTCTGATCAGAGAACACAATGACGAACTGGCCTTACTCGAAGCCAAATCCATGGGTCGTCCCCTTCCAGAATTCTTCGAAGGCTACGTTTCATCAGGCAGCTACGAGCATTATGCTGAGGCCTGGCCACAGATCCAAGGCCAAGCAAGCCTCAACACACCAGGCTATGTCACTATGACTCTTCGACAACCTTTCGGAGTCGTCGCCGCCATCATCCCATGGAATGCATCGCTTTTGTTCTTTGCTAGCAAATCTGCTCCCGCATTGATCACTGGAAACACCGTGGTGGTCAAGTCGAGCGAGAAAGCACCGCTTGGAGCAGCCAAGTTTGCCGAACTCATTCACAAGGCTGGATTTCCACCTGGCGTCTTTAATGTCATCTCTGGACACGGCAGTCCTTCTGGTGCTGCCCTTTCGTCTCACATGGATGTTCGAGCTATTTCCTTCACTGGCTCTTCCCGCACTGGTCGTGCAATCCAAGAAGCAGCTGCAAAGTCAAATTTGAAGAAAGTCATCCTCGAACTCGGTGGAAAGTCGCCCGTCATTATTTTCGAGGACGCAGACATCGACCAGGCTGTTAAAGATACAATGCACAGTATCCAGTGGAACAGTGGACAAGCTTGCATGGCAAACTCTCGTGTTTACGTCCAGGAATCAATTTCCGACAAGTTTGTCGAGGGTTGCAAAAAGGCACTGGCAACTGTGAAGGCTGGTGATCCCACCGAGAAGGGGGTCAATCACGGTCCGCAGGCAGACAAGACTCAGTACGAGACGGTCATGTCATACATCGATGAAGGGAAGAAGTCAGGCACACTAGCACTTGGCGGAGAGGGCACCCTGGATAAGACGGGCGGTTTCTTCGTGGAGCCGACGATCTTCCTCAACACAGCTGAAAATGCAAAGATCATGAAGGAGGAGGTCTTTGGACCAGTCGTCAACATCAACATCATCAAGACGGAGGAAGAGGCAATTGCCAAAGCGAACGACACCGAGTATGGCCTTTACGCAGCAGTTTACACCAAGAACATTGACCGGGCTATGAGGGTAGTCAAACAGCTCGACTCAGGCTACGTTGGTATCAACTGCACCAGCCCAACTACAGCCAGGGACCTGCCCTTCGGAGGATACAAGTCGTCTGGTCAAGGTCGAGAAGGATGGTTGTGTAGCATGGAGAACTTTTTGGAGGTGAAGAGTGTTATAATGAAGGTTGAGTCCAAGTTGTAATCAGCATGTCGAATAGGAATGAACAAATAAAACTGTGCACGAACACACGGTGATGTACTATTTTGCATGACACCAATTTCAAATTTATTATGGCTCTAATCATTTCAACTTACACAGAACTCTTCTCCTTGGATATCCGTTCACCTGACTTTTAAACCCAACGGTCCCATACAAACACTCGACCACGATGCTCCACGGCATTCTTCCCCAAGTACAACTAACTGTGTTTAGTACACTCCCGGCAGCAGTCTCCATCTGACCTTGTTCTTATACTCCTCCCAATCCTCTCCATACTTCTCAGCACAGGCATAATCATCTCTTCCCTCACGATGGATAAGCAGGAATCCAAACCAAGCTGAGTACAGGTATGTAAACAGCATTCCCCAAGGCGCACCATCACTAGGAGTCACCAATCTACCGTCGAGCATCTTAGCAACACCAGCACCAGCTACAGCGCTACCAGCAGGGAGAATGACATATCCTGCGAGCTTAGTAGGCAGGCAAAAAGGGAGAGACTGGATCCAGTCACCGAGGTAGTTGATGTGACGGGCCATTCCCCACCAGCCGCTGGTCAAAAGCTTGGTTCCTCGCTTTGTTTGGATAAAGGTCGCGTTCGCGAAAGCAGGGTTGTTGGGATCTTTGCGGAATAGGGCCTTTTGGTTGTTGGATGATCGGAAGATGTACAGTCCGATGGCGAAGACGGTGCCGATGGCTGTGACACCGAGAGGTCCTAGGTGAACAGGGTAGACAGACAGGTAACGGCACTGGGTTGTGTACAGAAACGGGACCCAGACGATATCGCCCCAGACAAGCATAAAACCAAGGCCATCAGTAGTGATATCCATCATACTCAATAGTCCGGCCTCAGAGTATTGGCCTTCGAGAACATAGTAGGCCTGAACAAATGCAATGACCAGGATACTATCCGACACGTAACCGTAAGTGCGATACTGCTTGGCGATGAAGGAGCAGTTCAGCAACACCCAACCAGTAAGACCAGGTCGCATCTCCAGCCACGCCTTGACATCGATCTCGCCAAAGAACGGGAGCGTGACACGAGGGTTCAGCTCACGGCCGATGAAGAAGTCATAAATAAGACGGCCGGTATGACCTCCCACGGCTAATTCACGCAATTCGGGGTTGCCTGATTTGACGCTGAAGCTGCGGATATAAGTCCAGATGGAGATGACGTAGGTGAGGACGGTGCTTGTGGTGAGAAGTTGCAAGTAGTTGTTGGTAATGAAGGTCCAAACTGGGAATTCAGCTCCGTAGATGTAAGTGCCAACAGCACAAGCGGTCAATTGAACGACAGTAGCTGAGAATGCTGCAATTCTGTCAGTTTCTCATTCACAACAACGCGAGGCTGGACCTACCATTGAAGCGATACTCAAGAGGCCGACCTGATTCACGCAGCTTGGTACCAAGAACATGCTCAGCTGGAAGCACACGGTAAAGCACAATACTAAGGAAGTAGTAAGCAAAAAGCCACCCAGTGACCTCCCAGCTCATGAAACCCGAGATGCCATCCGCAGGCCAGGGAATTTGCGACTTGAGCTTTTGCCATGATAATGTACGGGGCTCCAACAGAGCAGGCGCAGGACAGCCCGAGACGTCGTTACAGCCTAGATAAAGGACCTGCATGAGGATAGGAAGGCCGAAGACGATACCGGTGGCGCCGAGACTGTTTCAGTTAGTGACGTACGAGACGTGAATGGAGTTGCTTACGGGCCACCAAATTCATAACGTGGTGTTTCGGGAGCCTTCATAGTGAGAGGGGTGAAGGTGCCGGTTCAGTTGTTAAGTGTGCTGTCAGATTGCTTTTTGAATCGTTCTAACCTGGATTGAGGCCAAGTTATAGCTAAATAATATGTTGGTGCTTCGTCAAAGAAGCTATCGACCCATTCTGGAGACAACGGAAACGTTTGGCCCGGCCCCACAAAACAAAGACACCCCAGATAAGGTTTCCGATCATTGGACGTTGAGGCGGAATATGCGGGGTCTCATTTGGCGCCTCATACGAATACGGGAAGGAACGCACGTATTCTTTACATTATTCGTACATGACCAATGAGAGACTGATCTTTTATATACCAATGAGGGCCTAGCATTTCATTTTCTATGCAGTATCCTCAACGGTGAGTGAATAAAATGAAAACTCATCAGATATATCTCGTTTGGTCTGAAGTACGACTATCATATCATTTCTTCCCCAAGATCTGATTAATCTCATCTTGATGAGATGAAAAGTTATCCACCAAATCATCCCACATCTTGGGCTCATGTTCATGCTTCTTGTCGCTGTTCCACGCCCAATCCGTGATGGTTAACTGCTTGCAACTCTCAAACATGAAAGCTACCGCACCTTTGGAGATCTGCATCGCAGGGGGAGGCTGTGCCGAAGCTGCCTCAAATTCCTTGTATTCCTAGACAATGTTAACAGAGAAGATAATGTGACGAATGGACTCACAACTCCGTGGGGGACCCAGGAACATTCGTACGAGATTCCTCCGGGCTGGAAATCATCAGATCGGCCTGCGTATTCTCCATAGATAAGGCCCATCAACTCGGAGGCTGCATTGCGGTGGAAGTAGGGTAAGCGATAGGTGAATTTCGCGGTGTCGAACCGAGGCGAGAAGATGAGAAAGTCTGCCAGAGGAGCATTCTCATCTCTTCCGCGAGCAGTCAGGACGCAGAAGATCGAAGGGTCGATATGGTCCACAGAGATAGACCCAACGTTGATAAACTTAGTCAGATCGTATTTGTAAGGCACGTAGTTACCATGCCAAGCAACTACATCAAACGGACAGTGGTTCTGAGTGCTCTTGAAAAATCGGCCACCGAGCTTGTACACGATCTCCCAGGGGTCATCGCGGGTTACGTTGTAGCTTGCCTTGGGATACAAGAAATCCCTCACGTTGGCAAGACCGTTGGATCCAAGAGGGCCAAGCTCAGGCAGTTCAAAATGAGCGCCCCATACTTCGAGGATATATCCTCTAGTCGGTCCCTCGACTGAGACTCTGAAGCGCTGACCACGTTGGATGACGCAGATCTCACCAGGTTGGACGTAGAGATTGCCAAACTCGGTTTGAATATCGAGAGCACCTTGCTGGGCAATGATCAAAAAGTCTCCGTCTGAATTGACAAAGGCTCGCTTTTCCATGCTCTTTGTTGCGGAGAAGATGTGTGTTGCGAGGCCTTCTCTCAGAGTGGGGTCACCTGACCCAGCGACGGTGCGAAGACCAGAGACAAAGTCAGTGCCTTCTTGAATATCGAAAGGGAGCTTATAAGGTTAGACAAATAATTGATATCGTGGAAGTAACATACCCAAGCTAATTGAGTTGGCGATATCCTGACCTCGGGGTTGAGGGGCAGGAAACAGCTTTCAGTGCCTTCAACCTTAGGCATATCGGTCTGTGGCGTTGTGAGCAATAGTAACCAAAGGCATTTTTGTACTTACAAAACCTTGATGGGCCACAGCTGGCCGCGCACGATACAGCCACGAGTTCTTGTTCGCCTGTCGAGAAGCACCAAACGACGTGGTCATCTGCTCAGCATATAACCCGAACCTCACACATCGAGGACTATTCTGTCCCTGAGGAATCGTGCCGGGGATAGCTTCAGACTCATGATGGTTGTTGAAGCCTGACAGATACTCATAAGGATCATTCTTTCGCGTGGCGAACGAGGGGATGCTGCCGTCCTTTTGGGTCTCTGCCCAGTGGAAGATATTCTGATAATCGTCTTTTTGCGCCATGGTCAAGATCTTTCACTTTACTATTTTACAGAACGTGAAAAGTGAGAAAAGTGTCAAAACATTTCTCCTCATATAAATCAATCGCTAGTTCCCCGCTCCTTGGCTGCCATCGGCAATTAAAGCGTCATCTTTAGCGTCCGCTAAATGGGTGATGGTCTAAAATAGCGGGAACTGGCTCCACGATCATTATCCATGTTGCTGACCATTCAATCAGTCAGACTACATGGGTACGTTTGTGGGCCAAGCATCAACTACATACGTCATATGAATGATACTTAACTGACTCGTTTTATTAAAAGCGTTGCGAGTTAATGTCATGATCGATGGGAACTTTCCTTTACTCGTCTACCCTGCTATTTCTTGTCTTGGCATGATGGAACATTGCCATGTACTACCGCGTACTCCAATCAAAAAGGCCACTCGTCTGTGCCAGTGTAACCGCCATTGAGAGTCAAATTATTGTCCAACTCCCAATTCAAAGGCAATTGACCTGCTTCCAATATCCAATAGCCAGAACCAGGATTCTCCAGATGATACGGAGGTTTCGGATAGCTATCCACGTAAGGCAGTTGAACGTGATCAAATTCAGTACACGCAGTTTGATCCTCATCAGACTCCTTGTTTGCGCGGTCATCTAAACTGCGCCAAATCTGGTTGTATGAGATCCGCTGTCCGGTTCGTCCATCGCGGAGACCATCACTGACTTTCCCGAACCATTCCATAGGTAGTGCAAACGCACATTCGTCAAGATTGGGTCTGTCGCCGACAAACTGGTCGATTAATTTGAGGGCTGGGGCAAACTTTTGTTGATGAAGCCCGATTTCCACAGAAACGTAAAGGCGCTTGAGATTCGGAAACAGTCCCGGGGGAGTGAGCTTGGTCAAAACCTCCTTGAGAACATTTGAGTCCTCTTTCAGTGAGCACTTGACTTCCAGGGAGGTCACCACGTCAAGGCGCTGGCGTTCCACCAGTCGCTCTAGGTGCATGATTGTGGCATCACCAGATAGAATTATGGTGTTTGTGGAGTAGAGAATATCGATGGTCTCTGCATAGCTACAGCTGTTAGCCACAGTTTTCAAAGATGTGCATCAACTTACTTTTGGCGACAGGATTGCAACCATCCCATTACACCGATGTTCTTGGGCTTTGACTCTCCTCCGAAGTAAGAGCCTTGGTTGTGATTGAAACATCGATCAACCCAAGGGCCAGTATTACTACCACGAGTCATAGGCCCCAAGCCCTTCACCACTTTGCGATTGCATATACATCCACACCATGACCAGACCTTTAACTCATTATCAAGCGCATCGTTCATGTTGAAGCCCAGACACATATGCACGCGTTCATCTCCAAACGCAAGACGAAGGATATCCTGTCTTACATTGGCAGGGAGTTTGAACCAATGTGACTTTTGAAACATCGCAGCAGGACGGTCTGCATCTTCTGTGTCGCCATCGCGAAAGCCCGCTGGTGTCAGAGGGCGAGGTCTCTGTTGGGGTAAGATGGGGATTTGCTGTTTGTAGGCTTTCCAATCATGGTAGATGAATATTGGAGAGTGTGGACTGGTAATGACTGAAGAATGTGACTTTAGTACGAGTGGTCTCACGTAGGTGAAGGGAGAGTATACCTGGTGAGCCAGCAGCAAAATCTGGCGATGGGGCTTCACAGGGTGAGCTTCCACCTGTTATAGGAGTTGAGCGTGTCATGTTGGATGTTATAGACAGTCGGTGAATGAAGGAAGAAGGCGAGTCAGTATAGCAGTAAGATTATGTACCACATGAGATTACGTAACTGAGAATATGAACTTCAGGGTACGTCGCTAGCTCACGATGTGAAATTACTATACTTATTGAATGCAAACAATAAGTGGTGAGATATTTGTGTGGGGATTTCTAATACGGGATTTTATCACGAATTATCAAGTATAACAGGATACCATCTCATTTTCATCATCGCCATCTAGATGTTGCCCCAAGGTGCCTTGAGGTGAACCAAAATTCTGACTGAATGAATTTTGAAAATCTTCAATTATTTTATTCACAGTGGCATAGACAAACCGAAGATATTCTGATCACACCCAAAGCAAGAAATATTTAAAATTTATAGTTGTCTACTACATCCAACTACTTGACTAGCTCAAAATGATTATTTTCACCGAGTTCCCCATAAGTCTGCTCACAGCATTGTCGAGCAAACCCCTCAATCCGAGCCACCGAAAGTCTGTTTGTCCAACCTTACATGGGTGTATGAAACGGACGAATCAGCTATCAAAGACGTAAACAGTAAATGAAGCTGAAAACATCTACTAACTGCAAAAAGCTTGTACAACCTGTGCCCCGCTTGGTCAGCTGAGATATAAAGGTCGACCAATTCACCATTGATTCTGTTTCACCGCAATTCCACAGCCTATTAGGACGATGTCAGCCCCAATGACAGATCCCCTTGCCGGACTGGACTCAATCAACTGGCCTCAACTCACCCACGCATATGGCCCTGCAGATGATGTGCCAGTATTATTGAAACAACTTCAATCTACGGACCCGGAGATTTATCTAACGGCACTCGACGAATGTTGGTCGAGCATCTATCACCAAGGCACACGGTATAGTGCTTCCACCCAGGCAGTTCCTTTTCTATATTCCCTGCTTGATCATGAGGCTACCAAGAATCGGAGCAATTTGCTGTATCTCATCGTCGCCATTGCAATTGGTCATCCAAACTGGTGCGTCCCGAATGGCCTCCGCGTTGCAGAATGGGAAAAGCGGATTATCGATATGGAAGAGGAAGACCGCAAGTTTGCACTTGACGAATTGAAGAGTTACGAAGCAGTTGAGCGGGGACTTTCTTCTGTAGTTCATTGCTTGAATGAAGAGTCAGCTGCTATGCGAGCGACCGCAGCTCATGCCTTGGCCTTCTTCCCTCGCCGCTTGGAAACGTCAGTCCCGGCTCTCTTGGACTTGCTCAACCGAGAGAGTTGTAAGGCTGTGCGTGGTACAGCTGTATTAGCACTTGCTATCTTATTTGCGCCGCTGGAGGACAACTCAAAGAGGAGCAGCATTACACAGCAAATTCGGGATTATCACGACCCTTGCTGTGGAATCGAGGATATCTATTCGTGGTCTTGCGCTCTGGCGCTAGTCATACTGGGTGTGGCACGAAAGGACCTCGTAGAGAAAGTTGCGCGTGTGTTGATAGATTGGAAATACCTGTCTGAGTTAAACGCAAGTATTGGACCAGATGACAGTTTTCCGTTTGGTATGCTAGATTTGCGTCACCTAGCCCGGAAAGTACTAGACAAGGCTGGCATTTCTATTACTACAAATGTACCCTAACTTAATGCCCCTTTTACATCCATGAATCAGCCTGCAAATCCGTCCTCCATCCCTGGTGAGAAGGGTCTGATAGTTTGTCCAGCAGAGATTGACGTATCTCATCGAATCTTCCATATTCGTGCGCCCGATTGATTCCGTTAAGGACCTGCTCACATCGCATCCAGATATGCGCTCGACTACGTATACCAGGTAATTTTGTAGTGGCGGGACTGAAGAACCTCCATACACGTCTCCAATCGAGAGATGTATTGGATGCTGGTGCCTGGTTGCGTATCCAATCTGCTACACTGTTGCGGAAATCATGCCACTCTTGGTGCGATGATTCTAGCTTTGCGTTATATGGAGCAAATAATTCTTCGCGGCGTTGGCGGTTAAGTGCTTTGACCATCTCTCCAAGCCCCTCCATCCTGGCATCTTCGTCTATGATCTGTTTCCAAACGGCATAGTCTTCTTCCTCAGTTGGAAGATCCTTGGGCAGTTCGGGTGGTGCAAGCCCTAAAGGACATAAAGGATCCCACGTCACAGGGCGGTTGGGCGATGTTGGATATTCCACACCCTGCAAAACCTCCCACAGCCACGGCAACTCCTTGGTGACCGACCCTTTAAAGATTGGCTGAGTTAGCTCGTACAGTGGTCGACAAGTCAATGCAACAGCATTTGAATCGTCCACGCTGACAAAAGACAGTATGCGACATTTGAGCTCGGTGGGAAGAGCCAGCAGCCCTGTATCAGGTAGTTGAATCAGTACTTCAGTGACAGGCAATTTGCAAATATCCAAAACCTCGCGGATGGATGGAACCTCGACTGGATTCGCAGCAAGCCATTCATCACCGGCAACATGATGCCAAGGTGAGTCCCAGCTCTCACGACCTCTTGAGATCTCTGAGGTTTGTGTTGGTACATCCTCATCTAATCCCCAGACCCCTGGTGTGGTTAGTAATTCCCGCCAGTGCCATATACCATCCAGGTCAACCCGCCCCAAACGACGGTACGAAGACTTGGCGTATATGTCCAGGCAGTAGGAGTGAACTGGTAGTGGATGTAACACGTCGTATTCCTGCGTTGTTAGAAAATTACTGCGATATGAGGCAATGAGACTTACGTGACAGCCTGATTCCACGAACGCCACCCAGTTCTCATCTCGTGCATACCGTGACGCGGGGGATAAAAGGATCGCCACACTCGAACGGTTTTACCCGCTGCTAAAGTCGAGCCATTTGACTCCCCAGATACAAACAACAGGCTGTCTTGCTCCAAGAGGTCATCACTCTCCTCTGCAGTCAATCCCGTAGGTTTCGGGAGAAGGAAGCGTACATTACGGCAGTTCTTCATCTGCTCTACAGTCAGGGCGTGTCCGTTGATACCTTGTAGGCTTTGACATGATGGTGCGGCGATGTGCTCTTGTGGGACATAGGGAGCGTCCTCTTCGTCGCCGGGGAAGGAATCCTGGTTGTCTGAATGACGATTGACTGTATAGTAAACTCTCCCGTTATGCCATGTTCCGTGAGGGAGTCGTTGAGGGCGTGGTGGGTGATGTAGCTGCGATAGAGGATACTTGTCTGTGTTGAGGTCGGTGTCCTTTTCTCCATCATTCTCACTGTCTCTCTCATTCTCACTGTCGCTCTCATTCCCAGAGTCCCTCTTCTGTTCATATGATCCTCCATCCTCGGACCCAGAGTCATATTCAAGAGAGTCACTTTCACTAGCAGCCTGACTATCTGGAAGCCAATCAGAGTCATCTTCATCGTCAGCTTCTGGCCAGCAAGCGACATTCTCCAGGTCAAAGAAATGAGGATCGCTGGGAGTTCGATCCACGGTTGTGCATTCTTGACATTCTTGATCCTCGAATGCGCTTCCCCAAGGAAAGTTGGAGAAGCCTGTGTAGTTGACGCCCTCTAGGTTCCAGGCCGCGTCGGGTGGTTCATTGGGCGTGCGGATGCGAGCTATAGACATGTCCACTCCGCATATAATGCAACCGAAGGATATCATGGCCGTTGAAACACTTGATTGGTGAGTTGCAGAGGATTTATGACAATCGTACTCAGATATGTCTCATCGTAGGCTGACAGATCGTCGCAAAATAGTCCCCGCTCCTTTTATCTTATTGTCGCCCACTCACGCGGTTAGATTCCGCAATTGCGGAGTATTCCGCGGATCAGCCCTGAACCTCATTATTGTGAGGTACTATGAGATATCAACGATAGGAGTTTGAGAATCCTTCATGCAATTTCTCAATCACTTCAGTGTAGAAGAATAAGTGAGATTGGGTTTTGACTAGTGAGTTTGTGAGAGAGACATCGCGGCTTAGAGAACTTCAGCCTTACGGTGAGATATTGGCGACGCTTATAAACAGGTAACGGCATGAGCCCTTACAATAATGAGAGGAATTCTTTTACTCAAAGGATTCGAAGGATCAAGAAGCGCTATATTTAGCGGACTTGTTACATCGCTTAAAGCAGTCGGCGTGGTGAGACTGTGGGCCGACTGGCGGCACAGCAAGTCTTGGCAGGGGTTTAAGTAAGAAGTGAGTCCCCAAGGAAGTTTACTTAACCCAAGCTCACATTCGTTAAAATGCGCTTCTTCGGTTTTTCACTCGCTAGAATACTTCTTCAAAATTTACACTCGTTTTAAAAGACATCAAAATGGCTCGTTCTATCGCCCTGGCTGCCCTGCTTTACGCCCTTCCGATCGCGGCCAAGACCGATATCGAGGGATGTACTTCTTTCACCAGCACCGTCACTGTTGATCCCTCGCCTGGTTATGGGAACACCTACGAGACCGTCATCTGGTACGTGCCAGACACTCTCGAGATCTGCAAGGGAGTCGACTGTGGAGGAGGTCGAGCACCACCCAAGAGCATCCCCGGTTGTCCCTTGTACAAGGGCACCGAGACTGTAACGGTCGAGTTCCTCAAACACTACCCTATGTCTCCCAAGACTACAGCTGTGGCTCCCAAGACAGAGGCATCTCTTGAGGAAACCAACTGGTCTACTGTCTCATACACTGGAACAGAGGACTATACCATCACGGACGACTCCCCGTATACCGGAATCCTCTCTGCCACTGAGACTTTGAGCACCGATGCTCAGCCCACCAATACCCTCACTAGGTCCGAGACCGAGACTAAGAAGCCAGTCGAACCCAAGACCACAGCCATGTTGACCAGGTCGTTTCATAATGAGACTATGACTTCAACTGAAAGTTCTGAAGAGACTACAAAGGAGCAAAACCCTTCTGCCACTGTTGTCAACCCCGATAGTGCTGCAGCTGGACTTGTTGTTAAGGCTGGGGGTGTACTTGCCGGAGTAGCTGGTGCTATTGCCTTGGTTCTGTGAGGTTAAGACCGTGAACATGGTTGGACTTGAAAGCTTTGGTGACGGGTAGCATGATTGGATGATGCTGGGACATAATGGTTGGAAACATGTATAGGATTAAGTGTTAATGTAATAATTATCGTTGTTGCGATACCCAGGTAGATCGACTTAGAAATCCCAATATTGATAAACCGGATAACACACCACGGATAAAAGCATGGAGTGCTTAGCATATCCTGATATGGCCGACTTTTGCAGTCCAGTAATTTAACATCAAGTATAACTACTACCACATGATAAACCAAGATCACGTATTATTAGGCTAGCCTCAACGTAGAACTTGTCCTACTATGCGTGTCCTCAAAATCATGCACTTGAGGCTGATGAGCTGGAGAACTAGCGACTGTAGTCTGAATAGTCCTGATAATCGCGTTCCGATTCTCGCTTCCCTGCATGTCCACCTCACCAAGACTATTCCCACCTCCAACCTCAACGTGAGTCGTGTGGCTACCCTGCATTGCCCCGTGTGTTCCTCTAAGTGGCGGCGGACTTTTGGCCCGAGCTTTGGATTTCGTTTCGATCGTTCTTCCGTTGTTCGTGCTTGATTGGTGATAATACATGTCGTTGGTACCGCGGGCGCCGGAGGAGCGGACAATTTTGGTGATAAGCTCGGCCATTTTCATCTCGATTTCGAGTTTGAGAAGGTAGCAGACGGGGTGGAATGAGAGATATCTGTGACAAAATTAGCGGAGGTGACAAGGGAGGGGATAGACTTACACCAAGCTGCTAGGTAGAGACATGAGGCCAACTAAAACGATCTAGAATAATTGTTAGGGCTTAGTATGCGTCTGACGATGACAGACTCACATCCAACGATAAAGATAGAAAGATGAGGAATAGGTTCATTCGGTACAGAGGAATGTATTTCGTTAGACCATTCTCGATCAGTCGCGATCGAACCAAGTAGATGAAGTATCCATTCAAAACTCCATCGACGACGGCAAATATGACTTTCTCACATCTGTCCCATATTTTATTGAGGTATATCCATCGATCGTTGATCTGTAATCGGGCAGGCATCCAAATGACGAAGACGCTGATATTGACTGCCAGTACGATGGCGAAAACGATCCATTTGAGACGAGTGGCACGTCCTGGAACAACCATCAAGAGGCCAATTCGATTGATGATGATTTGCAGCAGAAATTGTACTTGTAGTGCCCAGCAGAGAGCTGGTTTGTATTAGCTACGTACCCATTAGCCGGAAATGAGAGACAAACCGACAGAGAAGTAGAAGCCAAAGCTATATGGTGTCAATACATTAGTCGATCCGCAGCAAGATGTCAAAGCTCACCTGGGGTCTATGTATTGCCTTTGGAAACTCCACGCCAAACATCCGAGGACCATACTACTGAACCAAACTGCCCAAATCATACCCACGTAAGTCGTGACGCGATGACATCTCCTCCACGCGCGCCATGATTGCTGCAAAGCTGTTGTGCTGGTGAAGACAGCCGCGCAAAGTGAAAAGCCCCAGAATATACTGGAGGTGTTCATGTCATCATCGTTGGGGATCTCGCGGACATATCTGTCGGGTATTAAATATCCGTATTGACCCATTCTGAAAAATGGGAGAATGTCAAACTGAAACTGAATCGAGGGCGGGGGCGAAGCTTATTAAGTATGTTGTGTCCTGTCACATTCCATTGCCTTGACAATGAATTGATGGGGCAAAATAAGCCAGGCACATGTCTAGTGCCGGGTTTCTAAACTCAAACTGAGATATGATAGTCTATTGCGCGGGAGTGACTTATTTAGTAGATATTATTGGAAGCGACGTGGCCATCAAGATCTCAGACGTCGTCATCAAAGCCCCCGGATATATCAAGGCATGTACCTATACTGGCCTGCCCTCCAAGAATGTATTGTCTCCTCACTCAACAGTACATCAATCTCCAAAGCTAAAGCCCCAGAAAAGCCATTTGTCTTAAAACCCATCCGTTTGAGGACAAGAACCAAACCATGGCGTCTCAACTAAGACAGATCAGGCCCAAAAGAATCATTAGCTTACCATTCCATGAAATTTGCGGTCCCCGGGTATGCAAGCCTCATTGCTCAGTTAACCACGACTCGCCCAATTAAACTCTGGTCAAATGAGGTCGCAAACGGTCGTTGAATGATGGCTTGTCATAATGCTGAATTGGTATGGTGTTATCTGGCCGCTAACTGACTCACGACTGGTGTTTAACAGCAGAATCGGTTGAGTAGATGGATACCTGGCCCATCTTATCCTTAATTCTGTGACTGATATCTATATTGTTTCGTTTCATCGTCTTTGAGACTAAGAAGACTGTATGAGATACCCTTCAGTAGTCTCTGAACTGTCGGGGATTTATCTACCAACTCACCATAGCGTACCGTTGACGACGCAGCTCACTGTATCAACTCAATAAATGGCATGTTTCAATACCTAGCTTTCTTCTTCTTTATTTACTCACTCTACTAAAATATCTACACCAAAATATTCCCATCTTCTCGACCTTAGCGGCTATAGCGCTATATCATTATAACCGGGCAGGATGAGCTCAACCCCACTTGCGAGGCATACTCGCTGCAAGGCTGATCATCGTCAGCTTCACTCATCGTCAGCTTCACATCAGCATCCAAAATGGACTCACCACGGTCAAACTCAGAGGAAACCGCCACTGATGACCAAACGGTTGTGGCTGCTGGCGAGTGGCTCGTAAGCCTCTGCAGCGGCAGACCGTATCTCGACAGAGAAAAGCTTTTGACACCACTCGAGCAGCTCAAGTCTGACGAGTTCTTCAGTCAGTATGGCCAGTCCTCAATATTCAAGCCTTACTACGTTGAAGCGGTGCGGAAATGCCTGGCCAGAGCGTTAAAGTCTGATTATCAACTTGTCCGTGATTTACTAGACAAAGATCTCAAGAAGACTCTGTTTGACGACGAGCATGATATACTACAAGTTGCAATCAAAGCCGCAAGAGTTGAGCCTGGGTTTCTAGGCCAGAATCCCAAAAAGTCATGTCCTGAGCTTCTAGACACGGTAAAGTTATTGATCGCTCACGGAGCTTTGATCAATTGCTTGGACGGCGATGGCTACTCGGCTTTGTTCTATACCTGTGTGTTGGGATACGGCGACCTTTTTCGCTTTCTGATTGCTTCTGGGGCAGAGGATTCAACTACACATAAGCGAATACCTCCAGAACAGCTCGTCAAAGAGAGAGAAGCTGCTGCATTGCCATTACCTGAGGATGAACAGGTCAATCTTCTTCAAGTCACACTTGATGCCATCATATCCCCTCAACACATAGTCGATATGACTTGGGTTGGTTGGCCCCCTGGAGTCAACTACGACATCCCTATGTGGGAGGCTGATATTGACGCCACTTGGGGTAGTATAATACTCTACCTACTGGGACGCGGGCTTTCATATGATAAGGATGACCCTGGACTTGTCATGATTCTCCACATCGCCTGCTTTCAAGGTTCCCTAGACTGTGTCAGGCAGCTTTTGAATTACGGTGTGGTTGCTAACGTGTCGGGCCCAAGGGTGGTAGACGGAGGTCAAGGCCAAGGTGCAACATTCGGAACAGCCATACATGCTGCTGCTGCTGGACGAAAACTCCCAATCGTTGCCACGCTGATATCCCATGGCGAAAGTGTTGCTCTGCGTCGACCATGCATCCTTAGTCGCGGAAGGGCGGGGCAAGACCAGACCCCGGTTCAGATCGCCATCGCTGCAGCAGATTATGACGATGATACCATAATGGATTTCCTGGACGGTTTCGTATCTCAGGGACAGGTTGAACAGTCTGACTACGAGGAGATCTTGACTCACTGTATCAAGACAAACAACCTTGATTTTACGAAGCGCTATCTCGAACGTGGTATTCGATTGTCCAAGATACCATCTGGTGTGGAGAGTGTAAAGATGGCTCAGCTACTGGCCTCATATGACATCAAGCTAGATCCAACTTCTTTGCAACTCCAGGCGCTCAAAAGACGACGCCTTGATCTACTCCGCTGGTGTGTCACCGAATATGGCCCTTTACTCCCTTCAGACGCCGGATCTTGGGGAAGTATGGCACATCAACTGCTCAGATCCAATTATGTAGACATGGAATTCCCCCGGTACATAGTCACCGAGTATCCCGGTCCGCATATCGATTCAGTTATCATTGCCAACCTGAAAATCCTCAGCGACGAAACAACCCCCACAGAAACAAGCTGGCTGCATCTTGCTATAGTGGAGGACAACGTCGCGGCCATGCGCTTCTTGCTCGGAGCTGGTGCCGATCCTACACTTCCTGGTTTGCCCTACGATACAAAAACAACGATGCGAAACGTCGGTCGGGGTTCATTCAGAAATGAATCCGAGCGCCTTGAGGTAATCAAAATGCTGGAAAAGAAGCAGTCTAGTAACGATTGGGCTGTTCCTTCGTACGTCGAGACCAGGTCTCATATTGCTCAAGACGTGGAGTCTCAGAGACGGATCTGGGACAGCCAATTGGAGTGTATGGCAAAGAATCGACAGTCTGTTCCTCACACAACTCAACGGCTTGAGATTCCCTCATCACCATCGACCCTGAGCAATGTCTCCACAGTCGACATTTATCGACCGTTGAGTAGTAGCAGTTCATTCCGCCTTCTGGAGTTACAACCATCAAACAGTCGAACAGATCCACTCGTCGGACATTTGATCGATAGTGATATCACTTTTCAGCCGGAATTTGAAGCCCTCTCATATGTCTGGGGAGACATCAATCCTGCGAAATACATCAACGTCAACGGCCAAGACGTTTCCATCACACCAAACCTTCACCTCGCGCTCATCCATCTTCGATTAACAGACAAGGCTCGAACCCTCTGGGTAGATGCTCTATGTATTGATCAGTCGTTCCACGGGGAAAGAAACCAGCAGGTTCGAATCATGGGAGATATCTACAAGTCAGCCCGCCAAGTAGTCGTCTGGCTCGGCGAGGCTGCTGATAATTCACATCTTGTGTTTGAGCACCTTGAAGACGACACAATCAAAGATTCATTCCCTAACTACTCAGTCCCAGCAGAAGAAAAACGCCGTGCATGGAATTCCCTGGTCAAAAGGCCTTGGTTCTTCCGCACTTGGGTGATACAAGAGATAGCCCTTGCCCGTCGAGCAATTATCATGTGTGGAGACAATTCAACCCTCTGGCGTAACATCGACGAAAGTTGGAAACCCGACTTTTCTGGTGGTGCAAAACGTCTCTCTACTGTACACAGCGCCCCTGGTAGCAAGCCCGATCATCCTCTGAAGGGGTTTGATCCAGACAGTCACGCTTGGAGGCTTCGACTACTCGACTTTGGCAGTGATCCTATGCAGATTCTACGATACAGCCGCGTTTGTCAGACGACTGAGGTCAGGGACAGGATCTATGGCATTCTAGGCTTGTTCAAACCTGGCTTTATTCCGGTGGACTACGATTCACCTGTGGAAGATATCTTTCAACGATTCACTGAGGCAGTCATCACACTGACCGGAAATCTACGTATCTTGAAACATCTTGGTGTGTCGAGAAGCTATGACAAACTTCCCTCATGGGTGCCTGACTTTACCGAATCATCCACTAGAACTCTTCCTGAGTATTATTGGTCGCCTCCTTATCGAGAAGATGCAGAAGATGAGTACAGCGTTCGTGGTGCGGACGGGCAGCAGTTCAATGTTCCACGGGAAGACCTAGTGAATAAGCATCTGCCTGGGTTGACTTTCGAAGGCGGCAGACTGGTTCTCAAGGGCAAAATGGTAGACACAATTCGCGATCTCGGACTTGAATTACCCGAAGGAACTAAACATGCCCCTGGAACAGATGCATTTGCCGAGGTAATGAAAAGGTGGGAGTCTCTGGCTGCGACATTGATTCCAGACTGGAAGCCATCACTCGGACCTTCGGTGACTCAAGCTTTTGCAGCTACTCTATCTGCAAACCATGGTTTTGAGCTCTTTAGTCTTGAAGCCGGATTCACACAGTGGTATCGATTTTGCGGCACGGGTATTATTGAAGCCACCGATGCCTCTATGTTTCTGCGCGATATCGAGTTTTATCTTTGGTGGTTGGATCTTGGAAAGAAAGATGAGAACGACGACTCTGAGCTGGCATACGATCTACGTGAATTTTTCGACCGAATGGCGTTTGCTAGCTACGGCCGATGTCTTTTTACTACAGATGGTGGTTCGATGGGATTGACGAGTCCTCGGGCTCAAGTGGGAGATCAAATCGTTTACTTCCCGGGCGCACATGAGCCATTTGTGTTACGTCGGAGGGAGAGTGGGAAGGGTTGGACTCTGGTGAATGATTGTTACTTGTATGGGCTGGATTTGGATGAATTATTCCACAACTCGGAGCATCTGGTTGAGGATTTTCTGCTCTATTAGCAAAAGAATTTTCGACTCGGTGGCCTTTTTGTGCAAAGGCAGAGATGATATGTAGATTCATAAATATCTTAAATCAGGCTTAAGAGAATTCACAAACCTGCCAGCAACTTCATTTGCGGCATGTTCCTAGGTCTTAATAGATTGCTTTTTGGATTGAAGGCACGAATTCCATTGGATACTCAGCGAGACACGGCTGGAAGTCAAGCTTACTCGCATATGCTTGATGTAGGCGTTCGATTCAGGTAATCCCATAGCATTCAATCCTTCCATTAAATAAGCGGTGTGTATTCTTATGATGTAAGTTTTAAACATGCAGCTACGGAGGCTTTTCCAACCCCGCTTGAGGGTATGAACAACAATGGAACTATCTCACGTATTTCAGTCACATAGCCTTTGCGACGTGCTTAATTTAGATACGGGTGATTACATCTCAGTATGAGATTGCGCAAAGCTCAACACAGTACTGTTCAGATGCTGGGTCGCAACATATTGATGCGAACCTAGAAAAACTATTCTATGACTTCTTGACCGCCAATTACGGTGTCTCAGCCTCTTCAATGCGGCACAAAGTCTCAGATTCGTCACTGAACATACCAGACATGTCTTTTGCTTATGTAAAATACCACAACACATATTATAAAATAGCCGTCAGCAAGCAGACTACAGATTTCATTAAGCTCAGAACCTTCACTCTAAACAGCAAGTTTCTTGTTCGGCGCTGAGATCATTACATTCCGAACAGAGTTCATACAAGTCAAGACAGACAGCTACTCATTTTACTTCCCGTTAGCACCCAATCCCATAGCCCTGCTCTTGTATGTTTCACTAACAACTCTATTGAAGATAATCACCATGTCTGAACGCTTGGCCGGTTCTGTTAAATGGTTTAACGATGAGAAAGGATATGGCTTTATCGAGCAGGATGATGGTGGTGAGGACTTGTTCGTTCACTTCAGAGCAATTGAGACATCAGGCTTTAAAGCACTCAAAGAGGGGCAGAAGGTATCATACGAAAGAGTTCAGGGGACCAAGGGCGCTCAGGCGGATAAAGTCCGTGTTGAGGAGTAGGAGGGTCGTTATGTAAAGATATTACTCGGTTATTGATTCCACTGAATATGCCAAATGGGGCTTCGGCATTTCCAAATAGCCCGGTGTGTTGGTGATCTTGCCCACTCATAACCCACCATCGGAAATATTCTGTACGAAACCCCCGAGTGATATCTTCTCACCGTCACCTGAACCTCGTATTGTGAAAGCTTCTAACCTAGTTGTCCAGAGGGGCTTACACAAAAGCCTCGGGCTGCTAGTAAACCTCAGATCCGGATGTATCGCCTTCGCCACCTTTTAGTGGACGATTCATTCGCCCGATCGTATGCGGTTAACGCCGGTAGCAAGGAGGCCTGACTAGTGGCATGTCGCGTTTCAATTCTTGGCTAGTCTTCCGGAGATGACGGGTATGACAGGGGAGACTAGCCAGGGTCAACGGTTGTCGGCCGATAAGTTTATGTAACCGATTGTGTCGTTTGAAGGGCAATTCAATGATCTTGGCATTGTTCGTGTAGAAAACAATGATTCAGAAAGTACATTTCAACGGATTGACAGCTTGAGTCCGCAACAGTTCGGGTCTTCGAGAATATCACTGTTCCGTTTACACAGTTTATTAAGAAATACAACAACCTCTCCCTATAATGAGTATTTCATGTCATTTTATCCTCTGTCGGTTCTTTAATTCTGTAAAAATACTGCTCATCTTAGTATAGGGTGACTCTTGGCAGCATGATCAAAACAACATGCACTCTAAAGATAGAGCACTGACCCGCCTTATTCGAAGCTCATAAAATCTTCTCAATTGTGGAGACAGAGCTTTCTCGAGGAAATAAGAACACAACGTTATCAATCACGTCCTACCTTGTTATTTAGTGGGCGAGGTAGTAGTGACATACAAGAGCTAACGAAAGGACCGACAACGTGGATGGAGTGCTTGTTTTTCCGTGGAGTCTTTCATCGTCTAGAGGCAGCCACACACAATTTCCGAGTGACTGGCTGTGACAGGGGTGTGAGCGGGACGAAACAACCGCGTATAGCAAAGGTTCTTCGCATCCCTTTTGCTGTGGAAGGACCTCAGTCAGGTCCAATGCTCTAACTGACCCGGTAAAGTGCGAGAAGACGAGGGAGAGGCGGAGTTTGAGGAGGATGTGGTGGACAAAGTGAGTTGGTCCAGCCATAGTGTTCGCTAGTGGACACCAGACTGTGACCTCCATTATTGTGGTGTTTTTGAACAAACACGTTTTATTGTATTTATGACGCTACATAAACTTATCTTGTGCTCAAGAACGTGTGGCTTTGAGGTGATTCAACATGTTATTGCGCTTTCGTTTTTCTTTTCTGTTGGTGTTATTTGTGGATCATTTAGCATTTGAGCAAAAATTGTTACCAAACTTTACTGCGATAAGCTTAAAGCTTCATGCTGTTTAACATTAGACTTAAACACTACAAGCACCTTAACGATGGACGCTAATGTTAATGCCAGGCACAGTGGGAAACACGAACACGCTGACCAGTCTCGGGCGATCGGTGACCGAAATACGAGGGCCATGATTCCACCTAATTTCCGTGGTTGACAGGGATGTGGCGATGCCTTCAGCCCTGTCTTTCGGGCAATCGGCCTAACTGGGATAGCCATTTTCTTCACTGAGATTGATGATTGAATGCAGCGTGGTAGATACCATGATTTTTTCTACTTGTATTTTATTCCATTTTACTTTGTTTTTGCAAACAGTCAATCATCAATGCGGTGAACCAGTCAATCATCAATGCGGTGAACCAGTCAATCATCAGTGCGGCGTTTTGTTTGACCAAGAGATAATCGAAACAATAGTGTTTTTCAGGAGAACTGCTTCAGGTAGCAGCAAGGACCATGTGTGACATATTTCTCCATCCAAAGACCAGGTCCGTGAGCAGATTGCATCGATGTTCTAGAATAAAATCGGTTAGTGACATCTGTATTATTCCTCCAATCATGTTGCATCCCCTGTTTTGATACCCTTGAATTAGATCTGAAACTCGAACTTGCAGGGGACAGGGTCAAACCCGATGACAGCTCATGAACCATCAATTCTTCATATAAAGTCAAGAATCTCTTCCATATTCAATTCTTCTTGGCTCATCAGTTCAACAGTCTCTCTTTAACAACCACTTCTAACTTTCATACACTCTTTAACCCTGGTGGTTATCACTCTCTTTTAAACTACACAACTCACTTACAAACGTTCACCAAAACAACAACCAACTCTTCAAAATGCAGTTCTCTATCCTCTTCGCCGGCCTCTTCGCCACCGCTGCCATCGCCACTCCCCAGGGCAATGTCACCCCTAACACCATGGGCGCCCTCGAGAAGCGTGCTTCTTTCCCCATCCCCGCCTCCAAGGGATCCGTCACCTACAAGAAGGTCCAGTACATCTCCGGCACCTTTGACGGTGGCATGAAGACCTACGGCCGTGGCGTCAAGTGCACTGGCCAGGCTGAGGGCGGTGACGCCGATGCTGTCTTCATCCTCAAGAACGGTGCCACCCTCAAGAACGCCATCATTGGCGCTGACCAGATCGAGGGTGTTCACTGCGAGGGCTCTTGCACCATCGAGAACGTCTGGTGGAAGAAGGTCTGCGAGGATGCTCTCTCCCTCAAGGGTGACGGTAATGCTGTCGTCCGCGGTGGTGGTGCCACTGGTGCTTCTGACAAGGTCATCCAGCACAACGGTCTCGGCACGGTCACCATCGATGGCTTCACCGTTGTCGACTTTGGCAAGCTCTACCGATCTTGCGGTAACTGCAAGAAGATGGGCACCCGCAACGTTATCATCAAGAACGTCAAGGCCTACAACGGAAAGGTCCTGACCGGTATCAACTCCAACAAGGGCGACGTCTCCACCATCACCGGCACCTGCGCTTCTTCCGTCAAGGAGATCTGTGTCGAGTTCGAGGGTACCGTCCCTGGCAAGGAGCCCAAGAAGATTGGATCCGGCCCCAGCGGTCACTGCAAGTACTCTACCCTCAAGTCTTGCTAAGCGCTTTACCGGGATGATTGGATGCCCAAGGTCACTAATGGTCTGTCGCGTTGACACGACAAGTCAGGCAGGGGGTCTTTGATCAGGATGGTTGTCAGTTGTGTATCTTTCGAACTACATATTACTTTATTACCTATATACTTCGTTGAACGAGAAGAGTCTTATATTTGATGTGATGTAGAGTACCGCGTGAAGTGATGGTCTGAGTGAACACGCCACTTGATCGACTTTCCATTTAGTGCCAACTATGTACTAGCTAGTGATCATTCTTATTCAGACCACAATGGATGGCTAAATCTGAGGGGCGGGCATCTTCCTGTATCCCAACCCTGTGACAAAAGTCTGCTGCCACTCCAACTGTTTATCACCCTCCGCCAACTCAGTATACAGCGTGGCATGGCCCTCAGCGTTCACCCCCTTCCACATGGGACTATTATCTTCCTTTCTCTCATCGGCATAGTAGAACCTACAGTCTGTCAGTAATTTCAAACCGAACATTTTGATTACTTACTTGTAACCCTTGTTTTTGTACGACTTTGCAGCAACTTCAATGAAAGAAGCCGCACCAGATTTCCCAACACCCAAAGCCATGAGTGCTGGAATAGGCACCACATTCTCACAGTTGCCGGTGTAGATAAAGGTTGGCTTGTTAGATGAAGGGAGTTCTTTCCAGCCTTTAACGGCTTCCTGAGCAGCGGCATAAGCGCTAAGGAGGTTTGTAGTGGTAGCTTTCTTGAATGCCTCACGCGGTAACCCAAAGACATCTTCAGGGTCACTATTTGCAGAGTCATAGGCTGTTTACATGAGTAAATGTGACGTACGAGTGAATGCTGACTTACCGTTATAAATGACTACATTGGGATGCCCGAATACACTCCTGGTCTTGGCAAACGCCTGCACAACAGAATCGGTATCGCTGCAGTCTGTGGGAATATGAAGTTCATCATCGGTGGATGTTTTCGGGTCTTGGGATCTGGATGCAAGAGCAAGTTTATAGCCTTTGGCTTGGAAGGCTTCAGCAACAGCTTTTCCAACCTTGGCACCAGCACCGAGAATGAGGACGATAGAAGTCATTGTGAGATGCAATGGACTTGGGTTGCGATGTAGAGTAAGTGATGATGATTGACATCTTGGGCATTAGAACGCCCTCTTTATATGTCTCTATATGCCACATTTTGATAACTATGCATCGTCAGTAAATTGGTCAGCGAGCTCGATGCTCGATTACTAACATCACCAGATTGCTGCATGTAGGACCATTTTCCATTTCCGGTTAGTCTATCATGCACTTCGTCAGCGCTATGAATAAGCATCAAGCTTCATCTCCAAATCCTCATCCAACCACCAAGTAAAGCACCTGAATCAGTCAAAGGCCAGTGAATCGCCACGAAACGGTCGCAAAATATTCCTTTTATCGAGCTTAGCATGTGACTGACAAGCTATCATCAGACTTTGGTACCATTCGTCAAATTCGCCATTCACTTCCCCAGCAATGAGTCATGCAGCTCTTCATGCAACCGCCTGCATCGGATGTCGCAGACGAGGCCGTAAATGCGATCGGACACTTCCTTCATGCTTGAGTTGTGAGAAACGGGGTGTAGCTTGTGAGGGCTATGTTACGAAGTGGCCTGGTGTAGCTGCACGAGGAAAGTTGGCTGGAAAGTCAATTCCTGTTGCTGACAGTTCGGTTACTATCACCAAGACTAAGTCAACGTCAAGAGTGAGGCAGAAACAGATAAAACAAAAGGCATCTGCTCAAGACGGCAGTGACGCCCAGAATGCTTCGAGTAGTCGCTTGACGTTCATCCCAGATGAGGTTGATGGATTTGTACAGCATTGTAAGTCAACTCATCCATGTACTGGATGCGCTGACAATTCAGATATCGCTGATCTCAGCAGTATCTTCTTTCTCGGGAACGGACCAAGCGAAAATCCCATGTTTCACTATGTCCTGCCTTTAGTCAATACAGTCCCTCCTATCCGCTTCGCCCTCGCTGGATCTGCGTCTTGTCACATTGCAGCTAGAAATTCGGACGAGGCCTTGGAGCAGAAGAGTCTACGACTACGCGTTCATGCTACACATTTACTACGTGAGATGCTGCAGAACCCAATTAAAGTTACGGACCAAGTCATCTTAGCTAGCATTTTGATGCTAGCCCAGCTTGATGTAAGTACCGCCACCCCAAGTGTACTGTCCTAACAGCATAGATGTGCTCAGGGGACTGTACTGAATTTCAAACGCACCTCAAAGCCGCTGCAACTGTCATCCGTAACCAAGATTATAATGGCGCAGCGAATAAATATTATTTTGAGCAGAGATTGGCATGGTACGTGAAAATAGCCCGTAACGAACATCCTGCTTATCATCTAGGCTTGATATTATGAGCTCCACAACCTCAACTCAGCAGCCAAATTTGACTCTTGAAGAAGTCAAGATAATCATCGGGCGCTTCTCTACAAATGGGAAAAGACAATGGTGCTACGATGTGTTCCCATGCCCCATTGATCTATTTGAGATCATTATTGAGACGACATTTCTCTTCAAAAGCCAAGGCAGGCCAAATCCGGATACACTACAACCAAAGGTTACACATCTCAGAGATAGACTACGTGATTGGAAATGCCCTTTTATGTTAGGCTCACGCAAGCACATGGTGGAAACTTGGAGACTAGGTATCATGACTTATATACAACGCCTCTTCCCTCACTCTAGCAGAGAAGCGGAGGCCAAAGATCTGTCGAGTCAGGTGCTGGATCTCGCCGAGCAGATTTCACCCGCGTCGTCTTGGAGCTATGCCTTGCTTTGGCCTTTATTCCAGACTGCTGTCATGCTAAGTGATGACGCGGTGGATGAGAAGGATGCGATAAGGAAGCGGTTGAGGATTGCGCTTGAGACTATTGGGTGTCGGCATCACAGTAATGCACTTGATGCATTGGAGGTTGTTTGGGGACGGAGAGAGGCGTTTGATCCTTATACTATTAGTATACCCGGCAGAACGATCATGCTGGTGTAGGTTAAGTGAAGGGCCTAGATGCGTATTAGAGAAAATGATCAGCGGCGAATCTTAATCTTAGATACACTGGATATGCAGAAGTTATAATAACTTCACCTCTTCTAAAATTTATATAAGATAATATAAATTATAAAATATCTTCTTTCTTAAATAATCCTATATAATCTTATATAATCTTATATAATCTTATATAATTTTATATAATCTCATATAATCTTATATAATCTCATATAATCTCATATAATCTCATATAATCTTATATAATCTCATATAACTATCTCAGTATACATATTTATACTTAACTAGTTATCGGAATTGCTATGACAGTACTATATACAATTTTCTACCTCAGTGTAATTATCTAGAATGCTTCGCTATCGCATCTTCAAGCTCAGCCCTCATCTCATCCTTCAGCTTTTCAGGCGCCCAGCACATATTGATCGCATGCTTGGTCAAAACCACCATATCCTCATCACTAAACCCACACATCTTCTTGGCAAGCAGCATATCATGCAGAATCCAACAGTCCTCCATATAAGCGGGATCATCACTCGCAATCGCAATCGGAATACCGGCGTCATACAGAGTGCGAATTCTGGGGAAGATCTCCTCCACAGGCTCATGGCGTAGGTATCCCCACGGTGTGAGAGTCATGCCAATGCCTCTGTCCTTGATGATGCGGATGAGTTCGGGGTCTTGAGCGGCGTTGAGGCCATGATCGATTCGGTCTGCTCCGTTCTCGCCTAGGTCAGAAGCAACTTGTTTGATGTTTTGAAGTGTGTCTTTCTGCCCGACGTCGCAGTGGGCGGTTATTCGGAAGCCAGATTGTCTAGCTTTGTTGTAAACCTCTGAAAACATGAGAGGAGGCCGATCGTTTTCGTCTGAATCGAGGCCAATACCGACGACCATATCTCGGTAGGGCAGAACGGCCTCATAATGTTCCATGGCTGATTCTGGTGACATGTCGCGAAGGAAACACATGATCCATTTGGACTTGATCTATGAAATTGTTAGCATTTTCAATTCGAGTCAGATTCGACTTACGTTCAGTCGCTTCTCGGCTTCTTCTTGAGCCTTACGGAAGCCTTCCATCATCGTCTCAAACGACACGCCTCGACGGGTATGACCCTGGGGATCAAAGAAAGGCTCACAGTACCGAACATTGACTGAAGCCGCATGCTCGAAGTAGTTCATAGCAAGATCATAAAAGTCCTGCCCAGTAACAAGAACTTCAAAGCCACCGTAGTACGCCTCGAAGAAAGTGAAGCTCTCTTCAGTGTTATCGATTCTATGACCAGGCCGGGCTTGAATGATGGTGTAGGACTCTTTCAGCTGCTCCAGACTGCGATATACAGTTCCGGTGCGCTCCAGTTTGAGGGTTTGGTTATTTCTCTTGGCGAGTTTCCACCTTAGCTCGGGAGTCAAGGTGCCCTCGATGTGAACGTGGAGTTCGACTTTGGGGAGATCAAAGACGAACTTGTCATTTGCGTCGAGAAGCTCCTGGCGTAAAGCTAGACGCTCTTCAAGGCTCATGGCGAATTCCATGGTGAGGTAGTGTGGGAAGTTGTATGGTTGGAGAAGGGTATTGGTTTTGGAAGAGAAGGTAGAATTGTGTGTGTATTTTGCTGAGTAGAATTAATCGTCTCTGGTGCCGTTTATCAGCATTTTATACCCGAAGAACGAAGGGAGTTGAGTCAGAAGATATCCCATTGACAAGTTCACCAATGAGGCTATTCCCAAATTGGTTGCTATCTCAGTCCACGCAGGCCAATCTTACCCAACAAAATATTTGAAGCTAGTACCAAAATGGCTGCTATTTCAGTCGCCGCGGTGTCGCTTTAATCATTCGAAGTATTCGTCGAAAGCCATCTGTTTATGAAGTCTGGTGGCACCTTTAAAAGAGATCCAGCTGTCCTAATAAAACCACAGAAATATCAATAATAGAGGTCTATATACAGACCGAAAAGCAATAGTATCTCAAATTCAATAAGGTTACTGTCTCGGCACCTGACGGCACGTAACGCACACTATCTCTTTAACCGGTATAAGACTATAAGATATTATATACCCCGCTTTTTTATAGGTACCTATAGGGTATGTAAAGTTCCCATTAGATAGCTTTTTCTTTTAATATTACTAAAATTATTAAAATCTTTATATAAATTAATTATAATAAGTCTTAATTAAAATAATAAGCTTTTAAAAGATATATAATTTTATAGATAATTATAGCTTTAATAGCCTGCCTTCTTAGGTAGTTATTAATAACCCTATTTATATACCTAACCTTCTACCTAAAGAAGGCTATAATAATAATTTTTAACCTTTTAAGATAAAAAATCGTAATTTTTAAATTAACCCTTTACCTTAATAACTATTTAAATTATTCTAGCTTTTTATACCTATTTCTTTTATATAGTTATAGTATAACGGTTAGGTTTCTAAAGGGATATACTAAGCTATATTTAGGTATATATTTATAAAATTATAGAATATATTCTAAGTAGTAATAAAAAAGTTATATCTTTTAATAGTTAATAAAGTAGGTTAGGTATATTAAAATAAAGAAGTTATATTAATAACTAGTAAGTTAATATCTATAAAAGTATTAATAAATATATTTTATATACTAAAATATAAATATTAAACTAAAGTAAATATAAAGTCAGTCTTAAATAGACTAGGTAATATTAATTATCGGTTTTATTAATATTTTATAGACCGAAATGCCTATAAGGTCGGTCTATAATACGGTTTTATAATTAATATAATTTATAAAGGGTATATAATATATCTAATTAAGGTTATAATATAATCTCTTCCCCTTTAATAATCTTATCCTTAAGATCTATATAACTACCTATTTATTCTTTTACTAGGTAAGGTTATAACCTAGACTTATAAAAACTTATTATATATATAGTTTATAATATCTAATTATATTTTAAAATAAAAATCTTATTTAAAAACTATAAAAACTTTAAAATTATTTAAATATATTATTAAATATAATAATAAAATTATATTATATTTTTATTATTTTTAAAATAGTTATTCTTATTAAATTAAAAATAACTAGTCTTATTATTATTAAAACTATATTAAGGTTAAAGTAATTTATAATAATATAAAAATTATTTCTTATTATAAGTTCTTTTTTTAATATTTTTTTATTCTTTTTTTAAATTTTTTTTATAATTTTTTAAAATATAAAAGCTTATATAAAGCTAAAAAAAGAAAAGAAAGATATAAAAATAGCTTTTAAGCTTATTATAGTATATTTTATTTAAGTTTATAAATAAAAATAGGCTTTAAAGAAAAAAGGTAATAATTTATTTATTTATAAAATATAATCTTAAGAAAAGTTAGGTAAGTTTATTATTAAAGAGTTATTTATAGTTATTAATTTATAGTCTTTAAGGTATTTTAATATAATTAATTAGAATTCTATTTATATTAATATTCTTATTAATAGAAATTCTTTAAAAGTTATTAGGTATTAATAAGGTATTTAATTAGTTTTTATATATTTTTACTTTTTAAATAGTTTTTTTATTTAATTAGGTATTCTTTTTTACTTTTATATTTATATATTTTTTTAATTACTTTAGTTTTATAGGTTTTTAATTTTTTAATTTTTTTTAATTTATTTCTAGTCTTAACTTAAATAATATTAATTATTAATTTTAATAATATAATATAAAAGATTAGGTAAAGCTTAATCTTTAATAATAAGTCTAGTTTATAATTATTTTTTAAAAATTTTTCTATAATTTTATATAATTTAATATATTTATAGTTAAGTTTTTTAAATAGTTATTTTATTAAGATATTTTTTATAGTAAGGTAAATTATATTTCCCTTTAAGAAAGATAGTCCTTTTATTTATTTTAGATTATAATAATTATTTATTTAATTTTTAATAAATTTAAATTCTATTTTTATTTTTTTATATAGTATTTTAAGGTCTTTATTTTTAATAATAACTATTAGGTTAATAAATTTAGGTTTTTATATATAATAAAATATATTTAATATAAAACTAAAATTAATAAAGGTAGGTATAAATTTTATACTTTTATTATAAATAGTATTATAAATAAGTTAGGTTAATAATAATTTTTTTACCTAATTATTCTATTTATAATTAATATAATATTATAGATATTATTTTAATATTTAATTTATTCTTTTAGTCTAACTATCTATTTATAGCCTAAATATTATTAATAGTTTATAATTTAGTTTTAAATATATTATAAATAATTATTAAAACTTAGCTATAAATATTAATCTTTTATTTAATATAATTTTATTTAATAAGTTATAAATAATTATAATATATTAATAAAAAATATAGAAAAGTTTTTTTATATTTATAGCCTTTTTATAAAGTAAGTAATATAAAAATTTTATTAATTAATTAATAATAATTATAATATTATTATAAAAAATATTAATTAAGGGTTTTTTAAATAGTAATAATTTAATTATAAAGTTTATTATAATTAAATCTTAAGATTATTATATAATTAATAATATTTATAAATTCCTATAAGGTTTATATTATTATATTTTTATTTTTTTATATAGATTATATTACTTAATAACTTTCTTAATAGTCTTTTTAAGTTTTTCTTTTTAATAGTTTTTTTATATTTATTTTAATATTTTTATAATACCTTAGTAACTATATAGGGAATATTTATATATTTTTTATATTAATAATTCTTAATATTTTTATAGTATATATTATTTTATAACTAAACTATTTAGTTTAAATATTATTTTTTAAATATTATAAAAGGCATTTTATAACTATATTTAGTATTCTTTTTAAAGTTATTTATTAAATTCTATAATAAATTATAATTTAAATTCTTTTATTTAAGTATATATAATTATTCTAGTTTATTAAGTAAATTTATATTCCCTTTTATTATTATATTTTAAAACTTATTTATTATATTTAATTATATTAATATTATAATCTTATTTTTAATTAATAATATTTATTTATTTATTATTAAATCTTTTATAATAAATAATTATAAAATTAAATTTATATAGGTATTCTATATAGTATAGTTATTATTAATTTAATTTTTAAGTAATAATAAAATATAAAATATTTTAATAGTTAATATAAACTTTAACTTAATAAAGGCTTTTTATAAGGTAATATTTAAACTTTTTAAAATAATTAATAATAATTAAAAATTCTTTATTATAAATAAGGTAATTAAGTTTTACTTTATATAATTTATATAAATAAAAGGCTATTAGGTATAGCTTTTTTCATTTATTATATTAATTAATTTATCTTTTTAAAATAAAATTTAATAAGTTTATTTTAAATTTAATTTCCTTAATTAAATTAAATATAATAAATATTAATTTATTAAGAATTATATTTTAAAGCTTTATAAAAGCTTTTTTTACTTAATTTTTAAATATAAACTTTTTATTTTTTTTAATTAATTTAATAAATAAATTTATAATTTTATTAAAATCTTTAATAAATTATTAATAATAATTAATAAAACCTAAGAAGTTTTATATTTCTTTAATTATTAATAATTATAGTTAATTTTATATTATTAATATTTTTTTTTAATTTATTTAGATTTTACTTAATAAAATAATATATTTAAAATAATATTTTTTTTTTATATAAAAGTAATTCTTTTTAGGTTTAATTAATAAATTAGTATTTTATAATACTTTAAGTACTTTATAGATATATTTTAAATATTCTTTTTTTATATTAAAAAAGATAAGAATATTATCTAGGTAGTAAACTATAAAGATATTAAGGTATTATTATAGAATATTATTAATTATTTATTAAAAGGTTATTAATATATTAATAAGTCTAAAAGGTATAATTAAGTATTTAAAAAGTTTAAATTTAATTTTAAAAGCTATTTTTTATTTATTTCTTTCTTTAATATAGATTAAATTATAAACTCCCTTAAGGTTAAAAGCTATAAAGATCTATTTTCTTTATAAATAATCCTTAAGTTTTATAATAAATAAAAGTAAGGTTTTATCCTTAATAATAAGTTTATTTAATCTTTAAAAATCTATAATAAGTTATAATAATCTATCTTTTTTAAGGATAAATATTATTAAGAATCTTATTAATAAAGTAAAGATTTTAATATTTTTTTTAATTAATTTTATATTAAGATATTCCCTTAAGGTATATAATTCCTTTTAATTAAGGTTATAAATCTTTTAAAGTAATAAGTTATTTAATTTAAGTTATATTTTATAGTCTTAATAGCTATATTATAATATCTTTATTTTTAATTTTTTTTTAAATAGTTTTTTATAAATATAATATTTTAGTAATATATTTTTAAATTTATTATTAATTTTCTTTTTATTAAGTTTTTATATTTTATAATTATTTTTTTATTTTATAATATTAATATCTAATCTTTATAATTATTTATTATATAAATTTTTTTTTATTTTTATTATAATTATATTATATTCCCTTTAAGGGTAGGTAAGCTTTATTATACCTATTTTTATTATAGTCTTTAATTAAAGCTTAAGATCTTTATTTATTATTTAAATTATTAAGTTTATTATTAAAGAGATTAACTTTATAATTAGCCTAGTTAGTCCTTTAATTAATATATAGATTATAGTATTATAATTATAGTAATCTTAAGATTAGGCTATATTTTAGGCTTAAAAGTATATTAAAGTTAATATCTTAATTATATTTATTAATAAATACCTTTAAGTAATTAATCTTTTAGTTAATTTATTTATTATTATACTTAAAATACTTACTTTTTAAATTAAATACTAAATAAGAATATTTTTTATATCTTTATAATAGCTTTAGTTTATTAACCGTATTAAGGTTAATATAATTATAGTTAGCTTTATAATTAATACGAATAATTAGTTATTTCTTTTTAATTTTAATTTTTAATTTTAGGTAAGTTAATTAATTAGTTTAGGTTATTTTAAGAGTATTTTTTTATTTTTTATTTATTTATAATTTTATTATAAATAGTATTAACCTTTTTTTATAATACCTAGGTAATTTAGGTTATATTTATTATTATAATAGTTTTTATTTTCTAAATATTTATATTATTATGAAAGTTATTTTTAGTAATTTATTATTTATTATTTAATTAATAAATTTACCTATTTTTATTATTATAATATCTTTAGGTTTAAAATAGTTTTTTTATTAAGGTTTTTACTTAAATTATATTTTTATTATATAACAAATTATTTATTATTTAGTATTTATAGTTTTTATTTATTAATCTTTACTAAAGGTATAATAATATATTATCTTTATAAGGTAATATTTTATTATTATTTTATATAATTTAAGGCTTTTTTTTTTATTTTTATATAGATTTAAAATTAAATTATTTATACTTTAAGGTATTTATAATATATTTAATAACTTAATATATTAATAATAATATAAGGTTTTTAAGTTATATATTTAGGTATTTATTTTAAAAAGTAATTATTATTAATTTTATATTATTAATATAATATATAGTAATAAGCTATATATAAGATTTATAATAATTATTTATATAGAAAGTAATTTAGGTATTATTTTTAATTTATAAATATTATTATTTACTATAATAATATTATTAAATCTTTTTATTATTTATTAATAATAACTTAAATATAAATATTATTATTTTATAATATTTTTATATATTCTTTTATAAATTTTATATATTTTTTATTTTTTTTATTTTAATATTAATTTCTAAATTTATTATATTATAAAATATATATAGCTTTTTATAGGTTTTTATTCTTTTTTAATAGTTTTTATTTTTTTAATAACTTACCTTAGTATTTTATTTTTATTTATTTAATAAAAGTATAATTAGGATCTTTATAATATTAATTTAGTCTTTTTTTAATAATATATATTAAAAGATAGTTAATTATTAAATATAGTTTTAATTTTTAATTAGTTTATATTATAATAATATTTCTTTAGTTATTTTATTTAATTAATATTCTTAATTATTTTAGGGTATTTAATACCTTACTAGGCTTAAAAGTATTTTTATTTTATAGTATTTATATTAATATTTAAATAGTTTTATTAGGTTATAATATTAATAATTATATAAAGGTAATATTAAGTAATTTATTAACCCCTTAATTAATTTCTTTAGGTATAAATATTAATTCTAGGTTAAGGTTAACCTTTTTTCCTTTTTATATTATTATAATAATTAAACCGTTAGGTTATATTAATAATCCCTTAGGAATTAAGGTCTAAATAGTCTTTAATTTAGCCTTTTTATTTCTTTATAATTATATATATTTTTATTATTTTTATTAAGTTTTTATATAGTTTACTTAGATTACTTAGTAATTAAGTAAGGTATATTCCTTTTTATTTTATTTTAAATAATACTTAATAATAACTTTATTTTTATTTAGGTAATAATCTTTAAGGTATTTAATTTTTTTTATTTTAAAATTATAGATTATTTAAAAGTCTAATTTATTATATTTAGATCTAATTATAGTAATTTAATATATATTTTTAATTACTATTTAGGGTTTTTATTTTTTTTTTATTTAATTACTTAATTATTTTTTCTTTTTAATATTAATTTATATTTTTAATTAGTTTTAATAAGGTTTTTATATTTTATATTAAAATATCTTTTTTTATTATAGTTTTAATAGGTAATCTTAGATTTATTTTATTTAATTATTATAATAACTATTAATTTTAATACTATTCTATAGGATATATTATTATTTTATTAATATCTTTAATTTATATTATACCTAGGTTAAATATTTTATTATAGCTTATTATAGTAAAAGTTATAAATTTATTAAGTAAACTAATAGTTATTAATTTTAATTATTATATTAATATATTTTATTAAGGTTTTTAGGTAATTTTCTTTATATAATTCTATTTATATTAATTCCTTAAGTATATTAAAAAATAGTAATATTAAAATATCTTAATTTTATAATAGCTTAAAGGTAAATTATAAAAACTTTATTCCTAGCTTTAATATTAATTTAATTTATTAAATTATTTTAATTTTTTATTTAGTATATATCTTTTTATTAATAATTCTAAAGGTTTATTATAATACTTTCTTAAAGGCTTAGTAATTAATAAAAAGTATATAAACTTTTAATTTTAAGTTTTTAATATTTACCTTATTAATTTATTTTTTTATAATAAATTAGAATTATTATATAATAATACCTTTAAGGTATTTAATTATATACTTTACCTTATTAATATATTTATAAAACTATAATAAGTAATAATTTATAAAGGTTTAATATTAAGTAATAAATATAGGTAATTTACTAGGTATTTTATTAAATATTTTAGATAGGTTTAATTTAAAAATCCTTTTAATTTCCTTTTTATAAATTACTATATTAATAAGGTTATATATTTTTTATAAACTATTTTAATTATTATATACTTATTAAGTCTAAAGGTTAAAGGCTTATTAAAGTATTTTATATAAATTATTTATTTTAATAACTATATTAATAACTTATTTATATAATTATATTATCTTTATATTATTAAAGCTCTTTAAAGAGTTTTTATTAATATTTATTTCCTTAGTAAGGGTTAGACCTTAATTAATAAAAGTTTTATTATTATTAATAATATTTTATTACTAAACTAAGGTAGTAAAGGTAGTTATTATAATATTATTTAGATTATATAGTATAATATTAAATAAAAGCTATTAATATATAATAGTTAGGTTTTTAAAAAGATATATTAAGCTATACTTAAGTATATATTTATAAAATTATAAAATATATTTTAAATAGTAATAAAGAAATTATATCTTTTAATAATTAATAAAGTAGGTTAGGTATATTAAGATAAAGAAATTATATTAATAGTTAGTAAGTTAATATCTATAAAAGTATTAATAAATATATTCTATATATTAAAGTATAGATATTAAACTAAAGTAAATATAAGGTCGGTTTTATATAGACTAGGTAATATTAATTATTAATCTTATTAATATTTTATAGATTAAGATATCTATAAGGTCGGTCTATAATATAGTCTTATAATTAATATAATTTATAGAGGGTATATAATATATCTAACTAAGGTTATAATAATTATAGAAGTTTAAGCTAATTATATCATATTTCTATACTTTTAATTATATTAATCTTAATATAAATAATAAAAAAGATCTTTTAAAAACCTTTTAAGTAATTAAAAAGTAATCTAATTATATATAAAAGGTATCTATTAAGCTTTATCTTTTAGGGATTAATTTAATTATAAATAAATATATAATCCCTTTTATAAATAGATTAAAATAAATAATACTTATTAAGGGAAAGCCTATACTAATAGGCTTTAAAGTCTAGGTTATTATATAATAAGGCTATTTTTTATAATAGCTTTAGTATATAAAGGTATTACTAATTATAGCTATAATAATTAAGCTAGAGATATTAAAGCTATACGGTAAGAAAGGAAAGCTATAGACTAAGACCCCTCTTAATAATATATAAAACGTTATAATTTACTTACTATAAAGGCTAATAATAATAATATATTATATCTTTATAAATAACCTCTTCTCCTTATTATAACTTTTTTACCTCCTTTAATAGCTTAGTTATAAGGCTATAGGTATAATATACCTTAATTATAATATTATTACTATAATAAAGTAAATTAAAAAGACTAAAAAGCTTTTTAATAACTAGCCTTTAATATATAATAAGGTATATCTAATCTTAATAATAAATAAATAGGTATAGATAGCTTTATCTATATTTCCTTTACTAATCTATTTTTTTTCCTTTCTTTTAGGTCCTTTAAGTTACTTAAAAGGATAGCTTTATAGTCCTCTTCTTTATAATTATATATAGTAAAGCCCCTCTTAATTATATATTAAAAAAAAGGAAATTACCTACTAAAAGAGGTATAAAAGTAAAGATATAATACCTAAAGGAGGTCTTTAATAAAAATTAGGCTAAGATAATCCCTATTCCTTTTATTATTACTTAGTATAATAATAAAATAAATTATATAAATTATAGTAATTAAATAAAATCCTATACCTTATATTAATATCATTTTCGATATAGCCCTTAATAGGTATTATTTTAGTCTTTTTTCCTTAATATTATATTTATAAATAGCTTTATTTTATAGAAAAAAACCTAATAGCCTTATTAAAAGCCTTATAGTATACTTTAAGATTAAAAAGAGGCTATTTATAATACTATTTTTAATAAATATAATATTAATAGTAATATAAAAAAAAGATACTATATAGGGAAGGAAAAAAACAGTAAGGATCTTAAAGTATAGTAAATTTACCTATAAAGAGATATTAATTATATTAATAAAGGTAAAAACTCTACCTACCTAGTTTATAAAGGCTATAAATAAAGGTAGCTATAGCCTTTTAAAAAAAAAAGTAAAAAAGGAGGTTATTTATAGTTAATATTAAGAAATTAGTAATAGTTATAAACCTAATATAGCTATAAAGAATATAATATAGCTATTTATAATATAGTAAGTTATTAATATTTTTATTATATACTAAATTAGATATATAAAGATATACCTTAAGTTATATTAATTTTAATTAGCTTTAGACCCCTATTATAACCTCGTTACAGTCTTATGCCGGTCAAAGAGATAACGTGTCGTCGGACCGACATAGCTTAGCCCAATCAACTTAACCTTTACACAAACCCATGACAATTGGTAGCAGCTCTGCTTCATTCAGTGACCCCCGACGTGGGCGTTAACGCATTTGTTCTATTTACGTTCCAAGAGAACCAGTTCTTATCTCCAGAAGACCATCATGTCATTTTACTTTATTCCGGCCACGACGGCGACGCGCCCTGACGCCCCTTATGAACCGTGTAGACTTTCGTGCACGCTCATAGCATACCAATCTTTCGACATCTCTCGATTTGTTTTGAAATAGCTAGGGACCTTCGGTTTTATACTCAAGATCGATTCCTTGGGGATATGTACGGCGGTGGGGGAACCACTTTATGCGTGGAGAATATTTACCCATGGGAGTTCTGACTCTACGGTAGACCAAGAAAGATTTGTGTCTAGAGACTGGACAAAGACCTGGTATCGATTACTGATAAACTCTGGAAATTTCGCAGTTGTAGAGTAGGAATGTTCTCAGAGACATGTTCGCGTGGACAATTTCCTTTTATTGTCTCATCTTCTCAAATCAAAATTAACTCGTACATGTCCAGACTCGTTGGTCTCGCAGCCAGTACCTCGTAACAATATCCTGGCATGAAATCAAACCACCAACTCCAAAAACGTCCGTTTACTGTCCCTAGCTTCCATGATCCTAATCCATCCTGAAGGTGTAAGCATAGTCAACTGAATCCTGGATCAGTGCTGTTCGAACCATCTTCCATGTGGTCTCAAGCTGTCCAACCCACTCTGGGTCGTCTTCTTCCTTGGCTTTAACATCTATCCATAGATGTGAATCACCCTTCCTCGCTTCTTTGCTACCGGTGACCTACACCCGAGCAACAAAGTGCGGGTGTATTGGGCCCTGGTACTGTTCCTCGACCTCATACCAATCCAGTGGTCTGAACTTCACATTCCCCGTGTTTCGGTCATGCAAGAATCCCGCCCATTTCCCCCCCAAGGAGCGGGAACCCCTACTGTAGCCTTTAAGGCCGATGTAAGGAACACAATGTTGGCCCGGGATGTTGATAGCGAGATCCTCGTCTGCACTGATCATATCGACAGGTTGGCTCTCTCCGACCGGATGGTGCCAGAAGATGCCGGTGTCTGGGATAATACCCTTTTCTTGGAAGTATTCCGCAGCCTTGTATTCATTTGGGTAGTTATAGCATCTTGACAGCCCCCAGTTTTCTACATCTGTACGTTGGCTGATAATATCAGGTCCGAAGACCTGGAGGCCCTCGATGTGCCAGTTGATAGGAAGGATCCGGCAGACGACGACGAACTCCTCCACGCAAGGTAGCTTGTCAAGTATTGGCAGAGACGTGTCGAATGGTAAACCTTGCCAAGGCTCTTCCGAGACGTGCTCAAGTTCTATAATGGTCAATGATCAAAACGTGGAAATGATGAGGTAAGGGGACTTACGATCTTCAGTTGGGTGAATTCCTTTCGGAATGACTGGCGTAGGGGATTTGGTGAGAATCTTCCGAATAGGGAGTTTCCCGGGTTTTCCGTGGATCTTAAATTTTGGGAGCTGCATATCGTATACAAGGAGGGTATCCCTGTTCAGATCAAAGGTGAACATGACACGGGAGTTTTGATGGACTGCGACGAGTCGTCGCTTATCCTTGACAATACTCCGGATTGACCGGCATGATAGGAGTAATGGTTTGACGGTGGTTCGTTCAAAGCCACCATTGGCTAGGGTCTCTTGGGGTAGGGTATATTGAGGAATTACCTCCTCGATCACATCCAACTTAAGTTCGTGCGGTAGATGTTCGAATGGAAAGGTTGGTAGTTTTGGTACCGATACTGAGGCTGTTCTTGTTAGGCAAGGGATGGGAGGAGGGGTTCTAATACGTACGAAGTTTTATTATTCCCTCCCTCACCCACCTGTGCTTAGGCTGAATAGTAGACATCGCTTTGCTGGTATAGAGCTGTAGATGATAGCTATAGAGGTTAGGTGTCTTGTGGTCAAGGGTGATGTCTGACAGTTGCTCACATAAGGGCTTCTAGATTGGAGATTTGCGTTCGGGCGGGAGAAATAGGAAGGAATAGATAACAATCTTCGGAAATCGATGAAGAATGAAGAAGTTGATGATGCCGACGTTGTTGTTGATGATCTTTGGATGAATCTGCCGCTGAAAATCATGTGAGGATGAAGAAAGGAAGAAGTTGCTTTGGAGACGGAGCAAACGCGAGATTCTTAAGAGTTACCAATGACTAGCCCCATAAATTGATAGAAGAGCTTAGGGGTGCAACCATACTGCCCCTCTGGCACTGGCATTGATCAGGTATGAGTAATCTGACAGTGGAGAGGCCTGAGAGTAACAAGCAAAGAACGGGGGGAAAGACTAAATTTTATTATTTAAATATATAAGCTAGTAGCAGATAAGTAGGTTTGAATGCGTACTTCAAGGAGACTGTTCGTAAAAGACACCTTTGTTTGAGAACAGAGGGCTGTTCAGGGGTAGTGGACAGATCGAACAAGCCCGCACTCAACTCTACGATCGACACGAAGAACTGAACAAGACCTGATATGGGGTTCAAAATAGGGCTTTTCCACTGGTAAGTTATGCAAAACACCAGAATACTGACTGTCAACTGAGTGATGTTTATGTATCGAAAAGTACGACCGAGAATCACTCCAACGATCCATCATAGAACGACCCAACCGAGAACGATTTCAACTGAGCACAAGTTCAACCTCATCAAATCTAACGAAGCCCTTACCTCTGAGTTCCGTAATCTGGCTCCTCGAAAAATGCGAGTTTGACACCATGCTTTGGTGCAAGGACAATCGCCGAAGCCCACCTCATCTGGCGCCATTTGATGCTCTCTATTCGCGCGAACTACTGAAATATGCACACCAGCGTGTATCCATCTGTTGAGGGAGGGCCATTGCAAAACAGAGTTAAGGGGATAAGTGCCAGTTCAGGAAACCGTATTGTGTGTCTTGTTCATACCTTCGCTGTCAGGGTGATCGTCCTTGTTGAGGTCTGGAGAACCCATCTGAACATCCCTGTGGGCGATCTGTCCCCGAATAGTGCAGCACACGCTTTAGGTCAAGGTCTTTGGGTCTAGAAACTTATCCCCATTGGGGTAAGTGGCTGGATTGAGGTCGTTTCTACGCACCATGATAGGTATATTCTTCGGGTGACTAGACGCGACTTGATGGAATTTCAGTAGCTAGAGGCGGCTATTGTCAACGCTTACTGCAGTGTCTTGATCACAAGCCTGATCTGACATCCCGATCCACAGGTTTGGTAATCGAACTCCAGGGGACTCAAAGACGGCTCAAGAGATCATTCGTCGCGTATGATATGTCGAGAATACAGCGTCAACACAGGGCGTTGGTTGATTCCGCGATTACTTCCAGACCAATGTCTCACGATGACTTCTCCGGATTACACGGCGGAACCCACGAAACATTCTCTCCCAAAATCCAGGACAACTACGATCTGCACCGCTTGGGTGGCAAGGTCGATTCCACCCTAGGCTTCCTGATTTGACTGACTTTCATCTCTCTCTGCCATGCAGGCCTCGTAATCTATGGCGCTTTGTGCTTGCGTTTTGTTGCAGCTAGCATCTGTCACGAATTCACACTCTCGGTTCAATCATGGGCCAATTTCAATGAAGCAGTCTGACATTGCATAGAAAAGTACTGACGTATCTACTATCCCTATTTCTACTATCCTCCTGCCATATCCCAATCATAGAATCTTCAAGCCAAGTCATGTTATCATCGAAGTCTGATCCCTTAGAAGACGTAAAAGACTCGGGTCTCGTCATCTTGAGCACGGAGCTTGGCGTTGCGTCGCTTGAGGATAATCTTGGCAACCCAAGCAAGAGCAGCTGTTGCAACACTGAAACCAGCACTGCTAGACATGGCAATGGCGTAACGGGGCTCATCGCTGGCAGGCCACAGGTAAGGTGTCCAAATGAAGCTGATGTTCATGATCATGGTGACCATGCTGATAGCAACAGCCTTCTTTTCCTTGGTCTGACCACAAACGGAACCGCACCAACCAAGGATAAGACTGTTGACGGCGTAGGTTCCGATGGTGAAGATGACCATGGAGATGTATCGTCCCACAGTGTTGAGAGTACAGGCCGCGGAAACGAAACCAATCACAGCGACAGCCTTGGAGGCAGTGATGTGCCATGTTCGCTCGTTGTACTTTCCGGACATGTATGAGACGATGATCGTGCTGGCACCGGCGATGAGGTAGGGGGGGCAGGTGAGGACGAGGGTGATGGTGGTGTTGAAGCCGAGAGTCTTGACAACAGTGGGGAACTATTCAGGTTAGTGATTTGTCGGTTGCAGAATTGGTATAACTTACAAAGTTCTTGAAACCGTTGGCAGCCAAGTGAAGATGGGCCATAGCACAGAAGATCCAAACCATAGGATCACTAGCAGCCTGCTTCAAACCCTGCATGGTGCTGGTCTCACCCTGGTTGGCAACAGTATCAAGCTCCATACGGTTGTATGCAAGCTGACGCTCCTCCTCAGTCAACCATCGAGTGGTAAGAGGGAAATCAGGAAGAATGAAGTAACCAATGACAGCAATGACAAAGGTGACAGCACCCTGGAGGATGAAAAGCCACTTCCAGCCAGCAAGACCAGCGACATCATCGAGACCGTGGAAGATACCAGCCGCGATGAGACCAGCGAAAGCTGTGGCGAGGATGTTTCCAGTGTAGAGGATAGCGATTCGGGTAGCGACCTCCTTACGGGTGTAGAAGATGGAGAGAAGGTAGACGGCGCCGGGGTAGTAGGGAGCTTCGGTGAGACCCAGGAAGAAGCGGGTGAGGAGGAGACCCTTGAAGTCTTTTGCGACAGCGGTGAGAGCACTAACAACGGCCCAGAGCATCATCATGGTACCCTGATATGTTAGTTGTGACATGAGTGAGGCGAGAGTGATATTCTTACCATGTAGCGACTGGGGCGGGTTCGGGTGAGGAACATGTTGGAGGGGATTTGTCCCAGGATGTAACCAACAAACAGAATAGAGACACAGGTTTGGTACTCTGCGATGTGTCAACACTCGATCAATTTCACACCCGCAATGTCACTAAACTTACCAGTTCCCTGAAGGTTAAGATCCTTTTCGAGATCATTGAGACGAGCCAGAGCAATGGCATTTCGATCAAGATAGTTGAGCCAGTACATGCTCCAAAGCATGGGCATCATCCAGCGATCAAGCTTCTTGACGAGAGCAATCTCCTTTGGGTCGGTCTTCTCATGAGCACCAGAGTAATCCTTCCGCTCATACTGAGGAATGGGCTTCTGGGGATTCTCATCCTGGAAGATTTGAGGCTCGACGTCCTTGGACATATCGACTTTTTCGTCGTGGTTCTGAGCCATGATGAACAAAAGCTGTGATGAAGTAAGAAGTAGTGAGAAGTTGGTAGGGAAGTCAAAGCGATCGACTGCCTTGATCAAAACAAAACCTGGGGAGCATCCGGGGTAGTTATATAGACAGATTGACATTGACCAAGATATGGGGATCTGGGATAGGGCTTATGGTCTCAGTCCCGTCTGTCTCCATGTCCCGTTCGTCTCCATCCCCCGCAATGCGGGGTGCAGAGCGGAGTGACTGGAACACAGAGGCAAGATCTGGGTTCCCAAGATTGAGTTGGTCTAGAACCCCACGGGCCGTGTAGCATTGGTGGCTGGACTGCATGAGAGTATGGATATGCCAAGGCCTTTGGGGTAGCAACTGGTCACGAAAACAAGGACTGAAGATGACACTAGTTGGGTGTATTGATCAACAGATGGTCCTTGCTTCTAGTGTTGTGTGAGTGATATGACGCTAGATAATGGCAAGTTGACAACGTTGCCAAGATGAGGTTAACCGTTTGTGCTATGCCAAGCTTACAGGCCTAGGATGGGTATACGAGAACTCTATTAAGCATGTAAACTTGGAAGCAATGCTTCTTTCCTTCTAGAAGGTTTAGAGTTCCTTTTCTTATCAGCGGCGTTAATAGTGCGGTTCTGAGTCTCATCCTATTGGTGATTTCACCCGGTAGATGGCACAGCCTACCATTCAACTTGAACTGGGCGTTCAGGTTGCAGCCAATGCCAATAAACCTCCCTCAAGTCTCCTCTTCCAATAACCCTTGACCGTGCGGCAATTCCTAACGTGTGCGCCCGCAGCACGGAGACCTGGCCCAAATAGGGAAGGAGAATAAGCTTAATGTTTAAGGTTGCGGAGTAAGGTTATGGGGAAGGAACGAGGACCCAGAAGTAACCCCCGGACCCATTTTTCCCCGCCTGATTCTCGTTTGTCGTTGAGTCCGTTTAAAACGTGAGACATTTAGTTGGCAGCATGATTCATTGGGATGGTGCTAGGTGGTGTCATTCATGTCCCCGCACCCTGATCATTTCCTCCGCTCCCTTGGCAGGCCGTAGGGCTCTCCGCACGATGGTTGAGACTGCCACTCCTTTGTGATAGGCATAGGCATGTGACAGGCACAGATGTAGAGCAGTTTTGTTCAGCAAACTAGGCAAAATCCTTAGTCCAATCTGTGAATCTCATTTTCAATGGAATAACATAACAGGTCAGGTCATACTCAGATCTGCAAGGGTTACTTAGGTTTGATACCCTGTCTCCCGAAGCAGAACCGGAATGGTGTACCGTAGTTGGAGTCATTGCATCACAACTCGTGCCTCTGTCAGAACGTTTCTTGGCAGGTCTAGAACCGTTCCGAAGAATCCCGGGCTAGTAATCACGGCACGTCTGCGGGGATTGTGCGAGTAAGGATAAACTGCAGCTAACTGGGGTAAAGAGACAACTATCGCTGACTGAGCTGTTACTCCGCGATCCCCGCTACAACTTTAAGTGTCTAGTACAGTTACCGTTAGATATTCCACTAGCCGTTGCTCCGCCACGCATCCTAATCAGTCATTTCCAATCACAAGTCGTCAACTTGACGCCAGGGTCACCATGCATGTTGTTGATCAGGTACTACCAACAAACTTCTAGAAGTGATTCCTTTTTGTGATGCAGTTTATTGGTCTCAGACATCAACTTGGTTGCATCCTCGACTTAACCGCCATGGCTTAACTAGACGAAACCTTGAAGATGGCTGGCCTAGTGGCGAGTCTTATAGGCTGGTACTCCGAATTGTTTTCGGCACCAGCAAGACCCCAAGACACGCTGTCTTCGACTCAACTTCTCGAAGGATTCACCGCCTCATGATTGGTGTCCGTATCTGCACCAAGCGTCTGGAGGTTGGAGCCATCCACGTCTCCAAATGCGTTGTGACGTTGTCCCACACTTGAGTTGTACTCTTCTGGGGTTCCGCGCTTGGCGCTATTTCGGTAAGGTGAGCGACGCCAACATCAGCCATTTCTCACCTTGGCCACTAGCTGAGGGCCCAGAACGGGGTAAGATTGTCTCCCCGCATGAATCTCACTGTGAGATAACTAGAGTATGAAGCACGGACGTTGGACTAGAAGTCGTTTAACGAATCCACCCGATGAGATTGCTAGGCTGCATTTGCATGGCAAGGGATTGAAATGTGACTCGGAGGTCTACGGAGACTGACTTCTTGGCATCTTACGAGTCGGATGTTGGCTCTGGGTTGTAGACGCAGTGTAACCTTGAGGTTTGGACGTTCCCGGGTGAATACCTGGTTGAAGCGATTAAATGCCCTTCTGCCGTGAGGCTCTGTGGCGAGGTCTAAGCGGTCATTCACATTTTATGAATGATACATGTTGGTCAATTGAGGGAATAATGCAAGTATATCAGAATTCCACTCACACAAGTTCAGCCGACAACATTCGGACCAGGACGGAGAACAGCTAGATCATATCTCAAATGACAAAACAACTGGCATGCAGTCAAAGAGGCATAGGTCAGTCAATGAACCTAATTAGACACAGTCCAGATAGGCTAAGTGATTTGTCTCCTGTTGCTTCCGAGTTAGCTCAAGGCCCATGTTAATCGACATCCAGGTTACAGTATCGCCTCATCAGGCCCTTGTCTGGAGACCTTTGTAGTAAGATAATATCTCGCCTATCTTTTCCGACTCTTTCTCATAGATGTGAAGCTTGGACTATTTTCTCGAGATCAAGACATGAATCGGGTAGTGTATACAGTGAAGCAAGCTTTTAGCTTCTGACTGATAGAGGACTCTTATCAATGATGCTGACTTACTTTGAGCCCCTGCACATCGCAGATCAATTAAACCGTATCTGGGGATATCGGGATCTCTTGGCTTGGACCTATTGAAGTCTTTCAATTATAAAAGGTAGATGTTCTTTAGTTTTAGTTAAAATCATCATGCTCATCATTCTTGGTCAGGCTGGCTTCACTCAGGGTCCAATGGCTCTTCACACGAGATGGTTGCATTAAAGGCAATACTGAAAGCACTACTGTGCCGCCTGTATCATGAGCACTATAATCGTGTAAAGAAACTTCCCCTCAACCCATGAAGTTGGGGCTTTCATGAATGGGTGGCATCACATGGTGTCTCAGACCTTGATTAGCAAGGTTGTGCAAGAATATTCAGTGAGCATGTGATTGAGCATGGAATATCTGCAATGTCTTATTGCCACACAGACCTTAAAGGTCTTGATACTAAGCTTCTTGCGCTGCTGATGTTGGATTCTGTGGTGATACAAAGTTTGCTAGTGAAGCAACCCTGATCAGCCTCTTGGGTGAATGAACAGAGCGAAAGGGGACCTCATGATACCCGTTAGCTTCACAAATCTCAGGCCGTTCGCTCAATCTCAAATGTCACGGCATGCTCTGAGTGGAAGATGGCCAGCGTCATGGTCTGGACTCAGGCGACTCAGGGGCTGAACAACCTTGCGGTCAAGCACTGCTCGATACATCTTGCTCATTGGACAGTAGAGGTCTCGGCATTCGCTCACACCATCATCAATGGCCTGATATTGGGTCTAGTACATGTAGTCCGGTATGAGACCCTGCCGTTGTGCCCTTGTTCGACAGTGGTGTCCAGTCTCAGCTTGCCACGGCCGCGGAAGTCGTCTCTCAAGTGAAGGTGTGAGAGTAGGTTTACTACTTTTAGGTACCTCCAGAATCTCGGAAGCACTCTCATGCATCCTTGGCGTTGTTTCCTGCATGATACCATAATGCTGCCAAAATACAAGTTGTGAGCGCAGTTTTAGGGATTCCAATAGTAGGATAACCTCCCTCATGTAAGCCACCAGAGGGACCTATCCGCAAGATCGTCGCTCAAGCTACCATACATATCGGATTCCGAATATTTCAAACAATCATCAATATTATGTCAGCTTAGAAGATACTCCCCGTCTAAACATGTTCCGTCTGGTAGGCTCTCGCGGTCACCTTGTGGTAGGTCACGTGGTCGAGTCTCTACGCTAGGATTAATGGAACGTATTTCACTTCTCTACAAGCAGGTTTTAACCAATCTCATTTCTTGTACTAATTCAATTAAACTTGGTTATGGTATGACTAAAGTCCAGGTATCTAACCGGTGTCTCTTTTTCCATCCCAACCTTGAATCCAAAACCCCCTCCATCGTTGAAGCCAACGACTGCGTCACGATCTACCTTCAAAAAACACTTCCATGATGCCTGATAAGCTCATCCCTCCAGAAACAAAACTAAGGGTATTCTTTCCGCGCCAGAGCAACTACCTTGACAAGATCTGGCCCAGAAGCAAATCCATTGTTGGTGAGATAATGAGTGCTAGAAACACCATACAGCCAAGGTAGTCCATCTTCCACGATGAACAATGGGCCACCAGATTGTCCAATAGTTCCGTCTGCATCTGTTCTTAAAGAACCTGGCGCGCAAAGGTGGCATTCCTTTATGGAGATGCTTTCCTCCTGGAGAGTAGGGACGCCCCAGCCCTTATCCTGTGGGTAGCCAACATGAGACTGCATTTTGTTAGTCGAATTCCTTATAAATGATGGGGTACATACAAACAAAGGCGTGTTGGTCTGAGTTTTGCAGTCAACAGCCTTGACACCCAGATATCCATACTTGTCACCGAGACGATCATCAAGGATAAGAACGGCCCAGTCGTTGGCCTCGTAGCAATAAATGCCACCATAGATACTTTCAGGCATAATTGCGTCTGTTACGTACGATTCCGCAAGCCTGGTTCCGTTGAAGTGGTTAGGCGAGAACTTTGCTTTGCGAGCGGCTTGAAGATGGTCGCTCTTCACGCAATGCCGAGCTACCATGAGGTGCCGGGGACCAACTAGCGATCCAGAGCAGACGTTGGTTTGGTTGAAAGGGACCTCCGATAGGACATCGAGTCTTCCCATGGCGTTGTAAGGGTACTCCAGCTTGTCCACCACTACTCTTTCATCGTAGCCGCCTATGGCGGTGTCACGCAATTTGCGTGGTTGCAGGTGGGTAGGCACAAAAGGCGGGACCTCTTCCAAGGGTAAGGTTCTTAGATACTCTCGCGTGAGGTTGTGATACTGTGGCATGGGCGCGTCCCCTTCGAGGGAGACAGTAGAATAACCCCGAGTAGATATAGAGTTGACTCCATCCAAAGGGGCCGTGATTGCCTTGTGGCAAAGGGCGAGGATGCCGAAGGTGATGAACATCTTGAGCGACATGATGATGGTGAGATGTTTTGTGAAGTGAAAGAGAATTATGATGGGGGTGTTGGTTATTTATACTTGTTTCTGGATTAAGTTTCAATTTTGCTCATTGTTTCGCAATGTGACCTACTAATTTGTGTGAACCTATTTTGAAGGCAACCTTTCCTTTGCGTGGAGTCAAAAAAACAGGAGCATGTTTAGACTTTGAACTCAAATTTCCCACTGATGCAGACCCCATGACAATGGCCATCGACTGAGAACATGACGCGGTGTGGGATTTTCAGGATACATACTCTTTTAGGCATATTGTTGTTGTAATCACTCAATCGTCAATCGTGTCTTCGCAATGAGACTTGGCAAGAGGTTTTATTGGAAGAGTATTGTAGTGCAGTTTGATAATTCTTGTAAAATATACATGACAGTTGCAGCTCAGCATTTTTGAGCACAGTCTCAGGAGCCCTCTCCGGTTGATGATGAATCACTCGGACAGTAGCAGTTACTCACAGGTGTACGCCGGGACTTTGTGAATATACTCAAATTGAGAGGTCCGTCAAGGTAGCTGCCGACTTTCAGGATATCGATTGATGGCCTTGTCACAGCATTCTACAACACTGTTTCAGACCCAATCGCAGTTGCTGGATATTCAGGGCCTCATTCCAAAGTGAATGGATGTTTGCTCTGCGCACAATGAATGTAGCAGCTTGAGAGCTTTGACTATATAGAATAGATAACACACGACCTGATAGAAACATCCAAACAACCATACTTCAACACCACAGTAAATACTCAATACGAACAAACTCACTTCAATAAAATGGCTGGATCTTCTTCACAGAGCGACAACCATACTTACGGGACCTATATCCACACTTTTCCATCTTCACTCCTCATGGAAGGAAACGGCATGCAGGCTCTCGACAACGCCTTGGCCGTGATCTATCCAAATGGGGCATCAGCTGTTAATGATGGCGCCGCAGTTACCGTAATCGTTACCAACGCTGCTTCATCAGAGCCAGAGAATCTAAAGGAGCTTCTCCAAGATAATGGCACACTTAAGAAGGATTGAGCGATAGGATGTAAAGAGGGTGGCTGTAGTCTGAGGATTGTTGACGCAGCTCAAGCATGAACATAGATACCGAATACATCACTTCATATCGTACTTGACATCTTACGTGTCCAGTTGTGATAATACTTGAGTTGTGTGAAGGTTAATCTCAAAGTCTATCAAGACAAAGGTTTAACAGAAGGCGTATTAGTTCAATGCCACCATGACACGTAAGTGCCTCGTAAGTGAGTTTGAATTAGAATGTTTTTGAGGAACTTATCGAACCAATTTGAATAAATTCATTTAATATCAGTAGTGCTTCTCATGATTTATCAAGTTGGGTAAAGATTTAATGTAAAATTTAGAGATTTATCTGGCATTTCGCATACACTTCCCTCTTTAAGACCGAAAAGCCCTTCTCCGAAAATAGAAGCAATCCGTCAGTCCGAGAGGTTCTTGTTACCTTACTGCTCAACCATCCGCTTAATATCAGTCACTTGACCCGTCGCTTGAGTCTTCATATTCGGAGGCTTAGTCCCCCGTGTTCGGTTGGGCCTTGGTGATCCGTGTCTTTGTCCTCGGGAGGTCAAGTGTATGGTCGGCATTAGAAGAATTTTGAGGAGCTCTTAGGATAAAGTTTAGGAGAGTTATGAAATCTTAGTAGATCTTTATAATCTGGCAAATCTCTGTAGCCTATCAAGCAAACCAAGATAAATACCTTCAGGCCCAAAGCCGACCCATCATGACCCAGTTTATGTTGGTAAGTCCAATCTATTATTGTGGTTGTTCGGGGATAATTTTATCGCTTTCAGGTTGTCGAATCGTCATCAACTGGTGTTGTTGTTGAGCCAGTCTGGCTTTCTCAGTCCAACAGATGTTATCAACTGCTTAAGCTCGGTAGCTGACATGAACTTATCCCTAAGCATGCGTTCGCGAATCTGCTTCAGGATCTGGTCGGTTCTGTCTAAGTAATATATCAATATCATACACTTAACTTATAGCTTGGGAGATTCTTACTTATCAACGTCTGAAAGGAGTCCGATTCAGTTTCTGTCTGTTCCTGTACAAGCCGTCGACAGGTATCCTTGCAGGCCCTAACATCCCGCTTGAGCTCTTCAATATACTCATTGGCTTGAGTAAGTTCGTCTTTGTGCTGTACCTCTTGCATTGATATCTCTTGCAGTAGTTGCTGTTCTTTTGCTCTATACAGAGCAAGCATCTCATTCGCATGTCCGAGTCTGTCGATTACGTTGGATAGGTCTGCTTCTGCAGATGCCGTTGGGCTATGAAGTCCCGTTGACGTGTTGGTTTGCTCCATAAGAGCGCGCTTGGCTGTAGAAGAGATAACGTTTATAACTGATGGCCCATTCCGTTTGGCCGCTCTTTAAAAATATCCGCCTGTGGAAATTGTAGCTGGGCTCGTTTTGCCCAATCGAGGCCATTTGAAGGATAGTGTCTCTAGTCCAACGGGATTTGTTACGACTGCAGCGATGTTACCCCAGCTGTCGTCTCTACCAGCCTTGCCAATCTGATGATTGTATAGTCTTTTGATCATCTTCTGAGTGCAAAGTCGGCTTGCCCAATACACCCACTCGGGTTTCTCGTGTGGGACCACTTGGTGACCCTTTGTCGTCCATTCATGTCGGAATGCTTCTTTCCAAGCCCTGTCTTCTTCGCCGTTCAGGTGTTCGATCTCGTCGCTGTTATATACGGGTTCGAATGACGGAAACCCTTCGAGTGGGTTTAGATTTGGCTCGTCAGCCATGATGTCTGTCACCCAATAATTAGAGCCATATGTGGAATATGAAGATTCATGTTAATACCTCGGTCTTAGTGTGCCCTCGGGGTGTGGTTCAATGGAAAGAAGATTCTGGGGATACGAAATAAAGTCGTGTGGTCTTGTGTTCAGACAAAAGCTTTTGTCCCGATGTTTTCGACGGTGGTTTTCTAGCCTAGATGTACCTAAGGTATTGAGCCCGAGTTGTTAAGACGGGCGGTGGCCAGCCGGGACCTTGGGTGTAGGTGGTGTTCTTTACATCACACAACACGAGAACGCTATGGCGGAAGATTCGGGGCATATCGGCGTGGTCGCGTTTCTCATAACAAGCAGCACTGATATGCCTCAAGGTTTCGGAGGATAGAGCTGCGTCAAAACTCCAAGGAATCATTGGCCATGGAAAGTTTGTACTTGGGCTCATGTCTCTGATTTAGGAGATGGCCGCGTACCATCTTCCACATGGTCTCTACTTGAGCAACCCAATCTGGATCTCCCTCCTCCCACTTCTTGACCTTGAGCCAACAGTGGTGCTGCTGGTCAGGTTCCGCCTTTTTTCCAGGTTTGATAATCCAGACGCGCGCAATCAACTGAGAATACGGGGCGCATGGGAAGTTGTTGAACACAGGGTCCGGATGGTACCAGCGGTGGACGAAGTCTTTCACCTCTGACCAAGCCAGTGGGCTAAAATGGACCTCGTTTGTTTCAGTGAAATACCGAAAGCCTGCCCATTTGCCGCCGAGAGACATAGTGCCACGGCTGAATCCATAAAACCCGATTCGAGGAGTGACATCATGTCCATATCTGATTTGCCTGTCGATCTCAGCACTGATATTATCGCCTTCCAGTGTGAATCCCGTATTCATTGCGAATATCCATTTTTCACCGGTATCAGCAGGTATGCCCCGGCTGACGAAATATTCGGCAGCGGCTGTATTGTGACAACCGACTCTTGCAATACCCCATCCTTCCCCCCGTCTTCGAGGTGCGATGATATCGGGACCAAACATCTGGAAGTCGTCGATGTTCCATTCCGTTCCAGCACGCTGGAATGATACTACCAGCCCTTCGACAAGTGGTAAATGAGAGAATATGGGTAGAGAAGTAGAGAAAGGGCTTTCCGACCACTTTGAGTGATAGCTTGCTGGAAAGAGTCGATACCGCCCTTCGAAGCTGTTAGCGGGTTGCTGCTTATTTCAGAGGAGTACATACAATCAGAGTGTCCGTTAGGGTCCATGATATAGTGCGACTGAGTCATGAGTCTTCGAACAGGCAAAGCATGGCGATCGAGGTTCGAGGTAGCTGGATCCCAGTCTTTTGTGCTTTCAATACTGGGAAGGCACATCTCCTTTACCAGAAGCGTATCGCGAATAGGGTCGAGTCTGAAAAGGACTTTCCCATGATCGAAAGCCACAATCTTTCGAATGTTGTTGACAATAGATCGGATCCCTTTACATGATTTTTGGAGATCACCAACCCAGTATTGTTCAGCTTGGGAGTAGGGCTTGTCTGGGGTGTCGAAGTTCTCCGGGAGGATCAATCTCGGTAGTGCTTCATGGATGATCTTGATCTTCAGCTCAGGTGGTAGGCGTTGGAAGGGAAAAGGAACCATCTGTCAGACAACATGATTAGCCTCGTTGACAGAATGAAGCTCAGATGACGAGAGTGACCACACTCTAAAGGCTCACCTCGGGATCTCCTCCCGTTTGCGCGTGGAACTGAGGCACAGAGTCCCAATTGCCTAACATAGCGGAAAGAGTTTGAGTCGATTATTGGCAAGTCTCGCGTGAGACCAGTCGATGAACGAATGAGGGGTGCTTCGGGTTTGATATCACAAGAAACGAGATCAAAAATTAAGAGATGGAGTTAGTAGAGAGAAGAAGTTGGCCTGGAGTGTTGGTGAAGTAAAAGAAAAGGTGGATCAGTTTAGGTGAATAGCGCAAGGCATCTGCACTGCACTGGCACTGATATTGTAATGCTGGCTCTAGCACTGACTAGTTCTTACATGTCAAACTTCGTACATCCAACTAGGTGCTACAAATACAGGTTGTTCTCTCGAACGATAAGAACTATCTTCCAAACCACGAGAACACACAAGCAGGACTAGGTTTGAACTGGAACACCTACTGAGAATATTAGGAACCCAACCACCTGTCTGCAAAGCTGGATGAGAATAATGAGAAACCTGATACTATGATTTGAGTTGAATAATACCCTGAGAATATTTATGAGATTGCACTTGTAACACATTGACAAAAGATACCACATCACATAGTTCACAAGGGACGGTGACGTAATGAGAGCGCCGTAGCCAAGAGTGTTTGCCTCATGTACGTAAAGAAATCATCCCTGAGCATCAAGCAAGCACAAAACCCGTGTGACGCAATTGGTTAGCGTGTCAGACTTTTACAACTGTGTAATCTGAAAGCTCAGGGTTCGAGTCCCTGCACGGGTGTTTTTTTAACGATTTTTTGCAAAATGGTATGATGATCTAGGGATCAAGAGAAATCGATTGCGATAGTTTTGGTTAATTTTGGACGTCTTTTGGTGGAGTTGTGAGGGTTTGAAGTTGGAGTGGTTGGGATGGGCGAGGTGACGGCCACTCGTACAGCCACATGTGCACGTGCTTGTGGCGCAGGCGTTTGAATAACAGGCCTAAAATTACAGGCACCGACCTTGCTACAGTGCTGTCCACTGTAGACCCGAGTTCACACAATACACACGAATGATCCCAGAAATCAGACGCCCAATTACACCACTTTGCTGTACCACGATATTTCAGAAGAAGCCCAATAGCGCAGATTTTCAATGCAGAAAAGGAGATCAATTTATTCGCAGAAGATACCAGGAGGGATTGCTGTGTATTGACTATAGCTAGGGAATAAGCTGCGATCACGGCCAGGCCCCAACGGAGCTCATGAGGGCAGTATAATCTTATAACGTATTGTTCCACCATGGAGTCATACGGCAGGGGGAATCAAAGTAGAGACGAGGCATAATTCGCACCAAGATACCAAAAAGGACATTGGATAATACCAGCCGTCTAATCAACTACTTACAGCGCCGAGGCTAGGTAGATTTGTGAGCTGATGGCCTTGTTAGCGAAAGAGCATGTGATGCGAGTGGTTTGACTTACGAGGACTAGCATCCACGTGGTGTAGTTGTGCTTAATACGTGATGGGCTCTCAACGCCAGCGGGCTTCACCTCCGTTGGTGGTTTGCGCTTCCATCCGTTTTGGTCAACCTTCCAAACGTGGCTATTAGGTACTGGAGCGGTCATTTCGGATCCGTCAAGGCCAGGCAGAAGTTGAAAACCCTCAAAGGCTGGCTCCTCCGAAGGCTAGCTTTGACGCCGCTTTCAACTGTTCGGCTTCGTGTACCATGTGGGTGCAAATAGTATGACAAGGCGTAACTTCAATTAGGAAATATGATGAAGCCATTTGCAGCTTCGTAGCTTCTCAGGTAATAGAGTTATAACCTTTACTGGACCTAGTAGGTCTATCAGGGTAAGATCTCTTTTCCAAGGATCTTTCGTGCGAGCTTTGGAATATATGCCAGAATCCCGTTGGTCAGCACATCGGGGTCTGCTCGCATCAGGGTGCCCCGGAACCAGCCAGAATGTGGTGCGGGTAGCGATATTTCGAGTGATAAGCCCAATATAAGTTATGATAAACTCTTCCTAATTGATGTATCATAGGATAAGCTTGTTGGAGTTATACTAAACTCTTTCTAATATATAATGTCGTATAATGTCATCCTCAGATCATATAAACTCCTGACTATGAATTCGTTAGGGTCTATTCCGCGGCCGGGAACGTGTTTTCGGGGAGAACACTTACTCTGCTGTAGTCTCGTCACGGGGCCGGTATTCCCAGTTCTACCAGGCTCATACCAAACTGAATCTGCCACTCAAGGTGAAAGGAAACGATGGTTTTACAAGCCTGGGTTCCGAGCCCATGGTTTAAGGTTGGAGAGTCGAGAGGGCAGGCGCGAAGCGGGATGCGGGAGATGCGGGATGTGGGATGCGGGATACGATGGACCCACATGGTACAACGGTCCGCCACAACCACACACGTGGCGCATGCTTTCGTGTGGCGCGCCTACTCCGGTTCTCAGTCAGTACAGACGATGAGTCGTGGAATAGTGATAGGAAATATGATGCATTTTATAGACATTCTTCATGAATTCACCGGCTTCTTGTTATAATGATGGGTTGGTAGATTGGTTATCCTCTTGCTGTCCTGTGGATTGGAAAACTGATGAGGGAACACAAAAAACGGGAGTTTGCCTAAAGTTGACAAAAACACACAAACAGCTACAGTGCAAACCCGCGTGCTAAGTGATCAGATATATTTGTCAGTGGTATGCCACAGGAATCCACCATCACTTTTGAACCTTGTTTGAATTGCTTACGGTTTGGTGACATTGTTCAACACGAAGTCTGACTACAAGATCGTAATGTCGCGAAATGAAAGAAGTAAATGCCATGAGAAATGAACCAATATTATTAATCGTCTGTTCACTTCACCACATGCCACTTCTCATCCCAATGCGCCGAAAATAAAGCTTTTCGGTTGGGTTAAGAAGTGATCCCGGGTAGGTGATGTCTCAAGAAACATGTTCGTAGTATGCCATCTTCCATTAAATGTGACGCCACCTACGTCTCGAATTGTATCTAACACTTTTACGGCAGATGTTTTTCAGGATTTCTGGGATATTGGTAAACTTGCGTGTCAAAGACTTCGTGCGCATGACATTGAGCTCCTCACAACCAGGCAGCTCGTCTCGTCACCATCAACGCGTCGTATAAGCCGCACTCGACACCCGTAGGTCCATCGCTAGATTGACGCTATAACAAGCATAAAGCTTCAATCTGGACCCGACGCTCCGGTCGGCTCCCTCTCACGGACGCGTCCAACGCCCCAGCAATGCCTCAACACCGCCTCAATTAATCCTCTAACCAAGAGCTATTGACTTGATCGTGTCAAACATCCAACACGACTGAATTTGCCTCTGGTGGCTCATATCCACGTAGCTTTCGCCGTCCCGACCTCCTAAACAAATGATTCCCTCACTGACGTCATGGAAAGCCAAGCAGGAAATATGCAACGAAATTAAGCTTATCCATAAACAAGGTTAACCCTGGCTAGTCGACACACATTCATTAGAGATTACGGTACGGATTACCGTACGGATGTTGTTTTCCTGTTACTTGAGACCAGCACTGCCAGATCGTTGGCCTCTTTGGACACCCGACGCATCGGAGTTGTAGATTCCCGCGGATGACCCATGAAGCGTACGGAGTAGGCACTGATCTTGTAGACACGGATCTTGTAGGTTGATGTCGGTCTATCGCGGTCGGATGATGTGTCAAAGCCACGGCTGCCACGTTTGCTTGGGCTTCACCGTCTCGGCGGGTCACTGCTTTGGTGTTTACTCAGCGGCATTTATCATTATACGGGCAATTTAGGCCGTATCATCATAAGATTGTATCGAGCTGCCAGGTTGATCGAGCTGCCAGATTGAGAAACGGATGCTATCGAGATTGACGCAATCAATGGTCTCTGGTGGTGATTTCAAGATTTCCCAACCAATCCATACCCAATTCCTACTGGCTTAAAAGGTGTCACTGCAGGGACGAAGTGGAGCTAAACAAGAAAACACGATCGACAAAGGGGGCTATGCCATCAGCATGTCAGACGACGCACTTCATAGGTGGAAGACATTCGTAATGTCGGTTACTGTTTCTTGTGGAATAACTTTAAAAAATGGAAATATTCCCAAAAGTCATCGCCTCCGAGGCATCCCATGTGAAGAGACAGAAACTTGCAACACCGCCCCTTTTTTAACATTAAGTTTTAGGGGGTGTGGGAGGCAGATCTAGCGTGGATGGGCGCTATTAAGCTTAAAATCGAGGCTTAGACAATGACGATATGGGGCATCTGTGGGGACCGGTCAGTAGGATGGTAGAGATTGGCTCTTTTTGTGATTTCGGAAGTACAGTTGAGCGGTTGGCAATCGTTGAGTCTTGGCGGACAACAAGTAATTGCATGATGGATTGATGTCTCAGGCAAATTGCAACAAAAACAGCGACAATCATGCGAATTATCGCACAAGTCTCTCGGTATCATACGAATACAGTATTCGTAATACAAGCAACTGCGCAACCGCGCAACCGCTCACATTCATCAATCTTGATCAAACACAATCCCCTGTCTTCCTGCCAAGATCTCTTTTCAAATCAATAGCTCATGCCCAGCAAAAGGCCAATCATCATCTCCGCCCAGAAGCTTGGCAGTCTCGTGGCTGTGGCTGTGTCGAAAGTGTATTTTCAACCTGGAACACACGCCCCGTCCCCTGTTCTTTTTACCTTATTTACCTACGCGCCCAGTCCCCAGAATATCTTGGCTTCTTCTCTCTTCCCTTGTCTCCTCTTTGTGTTTTAATACTCCTTTTAACATCTTTCAATTGATGTGATAGTTTTTGGAATATCGCATACACAGAAAGATGGATTCTAATAGCCCGGCAAGACGCCCAAGGGCTCCCACTATTACAGTGGATACAGCAGCTGACGCTGGAAACGACACCGGTAATGCTCCAGTGCGATCCCCGCTGGACTTCTGTTGTCTTTCGTGAACCAAACTAACAACATCAGGATACACAGAATCTATCAACGCTTCACCGTCACCGCTCGACGACACAAACACACTAGCTGTACCGACGGAAAAATCACGGGCCGAGTCATGGTCATCGTCGCCGTCCACAAAAGTCGGTACCGATCACGAACACCTCAGTAAAGAAGTCGAGGCGCTGAGAAAAGGCGACCAGCAGGAGATTCTCAAGCCGGATCCCGGTGAGGAGGCTGCTTTTCACGTCGAGAATAACCCATTTGCCTTTTCGCCTGGCCAACTAGCCAAGCTCATCAACCCCAAGAACCTCCCGGCTTTTGTTGCTTTGGGCGGATTGCCTGGTTTGGAGAAGGGTTTGAGGACGGATAGCCGCGCTGGTTTGAGCGCCGATGAGGGAAAGCTTTCGAATAGTGTCTCGTTCGAGGAGGCTACTTCAACAAACCCCGGATCACCAAAGGCTGCACCTGCGACTGAGGCTGGACACGGCAAAGATGCATTCCCCGACCGTAAGCGAGTCTACGGACCCAACCGTCTTCCCGAGACAAAGTCCAAGTCATTCCTCGAGCTGGCATGGATCGCATTGCAGGATCGCGTGCTTATTCTTCTTTGTATCGCCGCTGTCGTTTCCCTAGCGCTGGGTCTTTACCAAACGTTTGGAGGATCACACGAGGAGGGTGGTGCAAAGGTTGAATGGGTTGAGGGTGTCGCCATTATTGTCGCCATTACTATTGTCGTCGTCGTTGGTGCTGCGAATGATTGGCAAAAGGAGAGACAGTTCCAGAAGCTCAACCAGAAGAAGGAGGATCGTATCGTCAAGTTGACCCGCTCCGGAAAGCCTCAGAACATCTCCATCCATGATGTCCTCGTCGGCGACGTCATGCTCCTAGAGCCTGGCGATGTCATCCCTGTGGATGGTGTCTTTATCTCTGGCCACAACCTCAGCTGTGATGAGTCTTCCGCAACTGGAGAGTCTGATCTCATCAAGAAGGTCCCTGCCGAGCAAGTCCTCCACGCTCTTCTCCACGAGCAAGCGCCACAGCTGAAGAAACTAGACCCGTTCATCGTCTCTGGCGCCAAGGTCCTCGATGGTGTCGGCACATTCATGGTCACTGCAGTCGGCGAGCAATCCAGCTACGGAAAGACAATGATGTCCCTCCGTGACGATCCTGGTCTGACTCCTCTGCAAGCCAAGCTCAACCTCCTCGCAGGCTACATTGCCAAACTCGGTAGCGCAGCAGGTGGTCTTCTCTTCCTCGTTCTCCTCATTCAGTTCCTCGCTGGTCTTCCCAACAATGACGAAAGCGGAGAACAAAAGGGCCAATCCTTCCTCCAGATCCTCATCACCGCCATCACCGTCATCGTCGTCGCCGTCCCTGAAGGTCTTCCTCTCGCTGTTACGCTCTCCCTCGCCTTTGCCACCAAGAAGATGACACGCGAGAACAACTTGGTGCGACACCTGCAATCCTGCGAAACCATGGGAAACGCCACTGTCATCTGCTCCGACAAGACTGGAACCCTTACCGAGAACGTCATGACTGTTGTCGCTGGCTCGCTAGGTATTCGAGGCCTCTTCTCTTTCGGCGATACCGAGTTTGAGCGAAAGGAGACTTCAGATTCACCCAGCGAGAAGCGCGAGACCATCGCTCTTAGCCAATTCGCCTCCAAGCTGAACCCCGAATACAACGAGCTTATCAAGACTGCCGTCACTGTCAACACCACCGCTTTCGAGGCCGAGGAAGACGGAAAGATGGGATTCGTCGGAACAAAGACCGAAACTGCTCTTCTCGACTGGGCTCGTCGCTATCTCGGACTCGGCCCTCTCGCCATCGAACGTTCCAACCATCCCGTCACGCAGCTCTTCCCATTCAACTCTCAGCGAAAGTGTATGGGTGCCGTCGTCCAGATCCCCGGTCCTACAAAGGATAAGCCCAAGCACCGTCTCTTCATCAAGGGTGCTTCCGAAATTGTCCTCGGCGAATGCAACACCATCCTCGGCGATCCCACACAGGGCCACACTACTGAAGCCCTCTCCGACAGCCACAAGGAAGAGCTTCGCTCCATCATCTTCTCGTACGCTACCAACTCCCTCCGAACCATCGGCCTCGCCTACCGCGACTTCGAATCCTGGCCTCCTGTTCTTACTCTCCGACCCGAGGACGAAGCCGACAAGGAAATCGATCTTACCGACCTCGTTCACAACCTCACATGGATGGGTGTCGTCGGTATCCAAGATCCTGTCCGCAAGGGTGTCCCCGAGGCTGTGAAGGACTGCGGAATTGCCTCTGTCAACGTCAAGATGGTTACAGGTGACAACGTCGAGACCGCCCGCGCCATTGCTCTCAACTGTGGTATCCTTACCGAGGAGACCATCGACGAGCCCAACGCCGTCATGCAAGGTCAAGATTTCCGCAAGCTCAGCGAAGCAGACCGTATTGCTGTCGTCAAGAAGCTCCGTGTTCTCGCCCGCTCCAGCCCTGAGGATAAGCGTGTTCTTGTCAAGACCCTGCGATCTTTGGGTGAGATTGTCGCTGTCACTGGTGATGGTACTAACGATGCCCCTGCGCTCAAGGCTGCTGATGTTGGTTTCTCTATGGGTATCACTGGAACCGAAGTCGCCAAGGAAGCTTCCGATATTATCCTCATGGATGACAACTTCTCGTCTATCGTTGTTGCTCTCGGCTGGGGTCGTGCTATTAACGACTCGGTCAAGAAGTTCCTCCAGTTCCAGCTTACCGTCAACATCACCGCTGTCGGTGTCACCTTCATCTCTGCTGTATCCGATGACGAGCAAAAGTCCGTTCTCAACGCTGTTCAACTTCTCTGGGTCAACCTCATCATGGACACTTTCGCCGCCCTTGCCCTCGCTACCGATCCCCCTACTGGAAGTCTCCTCCACCGTCAGCCTGAAGCACGTACTGCTCCTCTCATCACCATCACCATGTGGAAGATGATCATTGGTCAATCCGTCTACCAGCTCATCGTGTGTTTCGTTCTTTGGTTTGGTCGCGATGTAATTCTGGGCTACGAAGAGAGAGTTGTGCGATCGCTCATCTTCAACATCTTTGTCTTTATGCAAATCTTCAAGCTCATTAACAGTCGACGTATTGATAACAAGCTCAATATCTTGGAGGGTCTTCACCGCAACCATCTCTTCATGCTCATGATGGTCATCATGGCAGCTGGACAGATCATCATCATTTTCTTTGGCGGCGATGCCTTTGTTGTCACTCGTCTCAACGGTGTTCAATGGGGTATTTCTCTCGTCCTCGGATTCCTATCCATCCCCATCGGTGTTCTTATCCGTCTCTTCCCCGACGCGTGGTTCGGCGCTATGGTCAACGTTTTGGCCAAGCTCTGGCCCAGCTGGATCCGCTTCTCCCGCAAGAAGAAGACCGATAACGAGGAAGAAGGCCAGGAGTCTCTTGAGAAGCTCCAGGGTTATGACATGGACACCGCACTCCTTGGCATCCGTGACGATCTCGAGTTCCTCAAGAATGTACGTGGTGGACGTATGACGGCCCTCAGCGATGCCATGGCTCGCTCAAGAGAGAAGATGCTCCGTCGCAAGCGTTCCGAGTCTCGACCTAGAAGCAAGCTCCGAAGCCGACGGGGATCATCAAGGTCTTCCAACAGACCTCCTATCTCACCCATGATGTCTGTTGTGGGTATGCCAGGTATCGTTGCTGCCAGTGTCGCAGGTTTACAGCCTGGACAAGGTGCCAGTAACGAGAACCTCGGGCCACGACAGGCTTGAGATGTGCGAGCGTGTTAATTATGTGTGTTATCATTTAAGTTAGAGATCGAGTGCGCGTGTACGAGTCCGATCAGCATTTGTGTTTCCTTTTAGCAGCAATCATCATATTATAGAGTGTTTGGAGTTGGCGGCCGATATGTCATGTTGAACAAATTTGAGTATATGATCTATTACAATTAATACAAAAACAAGATTGTAGATACGAGTATTTGAGCTCATGAATATTTCGCTTCTCGGTTTTTAGAGGTCTTGGGTTGTCAGGACGCCTTCCAGCGTAACCAGATTCCAGCGCTTGACTGGTCTGTTAGCCAATCACACGTACACAAACAAGCCCATTTAGGGATCACTCACTGGAGCACTAAGTAAAGATCTCTTGATGAGCCTTACGGAAGCGAGGGTACCACATTCTACCCACAGGCATCGCATGAGGATCTCGATGTCGTCGGATTGTATTTGCCGCCTCTTCAACTTCTTTCTTCGACGCAGGTTCCCCAGACCGTTTCCTCCATATCACAAATGCCACAACACCCTCCTCGTCATCGTCTGTGAGCTGTCGCCGGCGGCCTCTTGGTACCTCGGTGAGTTCACTATAATCCAGGGTATTCGCAGCTTCTAGCCTCTTTACAATCCGGTCGATAGATGCGCGAGTAGCGCCTGGATATCGAGTCGCGGCTTCGCGGAGAGAGAGTGGTTGTTTTGTGCTGGAGGTGCCGCGGGTGAGGCTTTTTTGGAACCGCTGTCGTGAGGCAATGACTGCTTGAGCAGCTTTGACGTTTGCTGATGAGGGTGCCATGGCTGGAAAGATGTGTTTGGGTGAAATCACGAAAAAATGAGACAGCACGCGATGCGGGGTTTGTCTCCATGTGTCCAATCCGCGTATCGGTGATGGCCAGCCTCACAACACGAGAAAATATTGAGCCAGCCTGGATAATATGAATGAGGATGACTCCTTGTATCTATTAGGCTTATAATATTTGAGATATGGGTAGAGACTGGCACATGGTGTGAGGTTCCATCTTTATGAGGGATCACCAATGAAACAACAGGACATCTCATTTACAAGAGATGAACTGAAAGTCACTGTGCTTAAGCTCTAATATCTGAGACAGTCAACTGGATGGGAAGTAAATAAGAGTCCATACACTTTAAACTGAATGACTCTTCAATCTGCTGTCGACTAAGCAATTCATCGCCTCATTCATCAGGTGCACATTCACCAAAACGAGTTGCCTGCCTGATACCTTTGGCCATGAGACTTCTGCTTATACTGGATGTACTGTCACTGCGACAAACTGAACTGTGATGAATTGAGTTTGGCGTCTAGCATGCCCACAAATGACCAGACCACTCCGGCAGGACAATACCGTGAATTTGTGATGAAAGAGGCAATTCAGGATAAATAAACTGCTTTTGTATTCATGGATGAGTTCAATTACCAAAAGGATTTACAGTCCTTCATCACCAGGCATTGATCGCTATCGCAGGTTATAATTACCCTTTTGGTAATTAATTCACCCAAGCGGCAAACTATCACAAGATCCATCTAGAAGCGGGGAGATAACCGCCACTTCATCTTATCGTTATCAACTAACCCATTCCGGTTTATCTTTCCGATGAGGCTCACTGATATTCTACCGGTGCTACGGTGATACCCCGCGATATCATCCCCCAGTCAGACCCAATGGGGAAAAAAGAGTCGGTTCCATATGAGGCATTCTTATCGAGGTTGAGTATGAAGCCAAAACTATATGAACCCTCTTCCCTCCTGTTGCTTCTGGGTTCAAACCATAAGTCATAGCATCACATCGCAATAATGGGCCTTACACAACATCACCCTTTTGATCCTCTCACCGGAGATGAGATCGCTGTTGCAGTGGAGGTTATTCGCAACTATCACTCTGGTAAACTACTCTTCAATGCCGTCTCTCTTCATGAGCCTCGAAAGGCGGAGATGCTGAGATGGCTTGAACATCCCTCTGATGGAAACAAGCCTGCGAGAATTGCAGATGTCACTGTCATTCTTCCTGATGGTATGGTCTATGATGGTCTTGTAGATCTTAAGACGAGAAAGGTGAAGAAATGGGACAAGCTGGATGGCCTTCAACCTATTGTAAGTCACTTACCCAATTGCCCACGTCATCTAACAGAATAGATCACACCCGAAGAACTCTGCCTTGTCGAGGCCATCATGCGCAAAGACCCAAAGGTCATCGAGCAGTGTGAGCTCTCTGGCATTCCCAAGTCAGACATGCACAAAGTCTACTGCGACCCATGGACCATTGGCTACGATGAACGCTTTGGAAGCAATGTGCGTCTCCAGCAGGCCCTCATGTACTACCGTCCAGACCCGGATTGTTTCCAGTATCAGTACCCTCTTGACTTTTGTCCCATCTACGACGCAGCCAAGGAAGCCATCATCCACATTGACGTCCCTAGTGTGCGTCGACCTTTGAGCAAGCAGAAGGCTATTGACTACACCCCTCGGTACATCAATGAGAATGGTGGCTACAGGAAGGACATCAAGCCTATCAACATCACCCAGCCAGAGGGTGTCTCTTTCACTATGAACGGCCGCGTCTTGTCGTGGCAGAACTTCAAGTTCCACATTGGCTTCAACTACAAGGAGGGAATCGTGCTGAACCACATCACCTTCACAGACAAGGGCATCGAGAGACCTATTTTCTACCGCTTATCCCTCTCTGAGATGGTCGTTCCATATGGTGCGCCTGAGCATCCCCATCAGCGCAAGCATGCTTTTGATCTTGGAGAATACGGTGCAGGATACATGGCCAACTCCCTGGCTCTTGGTTGCGACTGCAAAGGAGTCATCCACTACCTAGACGCCGACTTTGCTCAGCGCGATGGCTCTATTCGCACTATCAAGAATGCCATCTGTATCCACGAAGAAGACAACGGCATTCTCTTCAAGCACACCGACTTCCGCGATGACTCTGTTACTGTCACACGCGCCCGCAAGCTCATCGTGCAGCAAATCTTCACAGCGGCAAACTACGAATATGCCTGCCAATGGGTGTTCCACCAAGACGGCACCATCCAGCCCGAGATCAAGCTCACTGGTATCCTCAACACATATGCTCTCAACGAGGGTGAGGACGCCGGACCTTGGGGGACAGAGGTGTATCCCCAGGTCAACGCCCACAACCACCAGCATCTCTTCTGTTTACGTGTGAACCCTATGATCGATGGTGTGAATAATACTGTCAATATGGTCGATACTGTTGCCAGCGAAGCACCCGTCGGCAGCGCGCAGAATAAATACGGTAACGCGTTCTACGCCAAGAAGACCAAGTTGCGCACCAGCGGCGAGGCAAAGACTGATTACAACGGTGCTACGAGCCGAACTTGGGAGATGGTCAATGAGAGCAAACTGCACCCTTACTCCAAGAAGTCAGCCTCTTACAAGCTGGTTAGCAGAGAGGTTCCAGGTCTTCTCCCCAAAGAGGGTTCACTAGTTTGGAAGCGTGCTGGCTTTGCTCGTCACGCTGTGCACGTCACTCCTTGTAAGTTACTATGTACCTAAAACTATCACACACTAACACCTTCAGATCGAGACGACGAACTTTGGGCCGCGGGTCGTCACGTCCCCCAGACCTCAGGCGAGCCCTCCCAAGGACTCCCTGAATGGGTCGCCGACGGGACATCCAAGACGGAAAACACCGACATCGTGCTCTGGCACACTTTTGGCGTGACACACATCCCTGCGCCTGAAGACTTCCCCATTATGCCTGTGGAGCCCATGACGCTGCTACTGCGGCCGCGAAACTTCTTCACAAATAACCCTTGCATGGATGTGCCGCCTAGCTATTCCATTACCCCAACGCAGGTGGCTGAGCAGAAGGGTGCTCTGGATCAGCATGATAAGGTTAGTCAGTTGGCATTTGGTGGCAGTTGTTGCTCCGGAAATGCGGCTGCGAGGTTGTAGCCTGGGTGTACCATAGCGATGTGTAAATTGAGGGCTTAGATATGAAGAAGTCTGTAACTGCTACAATGTTGTGTAGTGATGGTTAGGAATTTAATTAAAATGACTCGTCTCAAGTATTTACATGATATTCGGAAGTTTAACATTGACATGTAGTTCTGGTTCCTATTGTTTAACGAGAGATCTCAGACACCACGGCATCCGATCCATCCGTATTTTCAATTGTCAGTAAGTCGTGGGTGAAAAGGAGTATATGCAATCATATATAAGCTATTGTACAAGAAACATCCCTTACTGAGCCGGTCCGCCAACAAAAATAGTCAAAACATCCGGCACACCAGAGACAACACCAGATGCATTCTCATTCCCATCAGGGTTAACATCATCATACGGGAAAGCATATCCCTTACCATCAACCTCATAAGAATGAACAATTCTGCTGTAATGACTCGTAGGATCAACCTTGTAGTACTGATCCTGTCCCAACTTTGGCTGCACATCTCCGCCGTCAACAAGGAGCGTAGAGCGTACAAAGGCGGCACAGAGACGAGGAACTACAGCGGCGTGAACTCCATTGTCGCCCTCAATGACGGTGAAGGGGCCCGTGTTGCAGCCCCAGATGTCTTTGGTATTGGGCTTGGCGTACCCACGATTGTCGCCATCGCATGTAAGCTGGTCGCCGTTGACTCGACATTTCACCTCGCCGGCTTCGGACTGTGTGTTGATGATGAGGTCCTGCGTGGAGTATTTGGTCCAAACATCGTTGACGTAAGTGTCCCAGTAATCCCCAAAGCTGATGGGCTCGAGATCGTATTGGTTACCAGGGGACAAAACTCGAACGGGTTTGCCTTGAGCGTCGGCGATGCACATGAATGTCCAAGCTCGACCGTCGGCGTCTTTTTGTTTAACAAGGTCATCGCAGATCTTGCCAACAGCGCCAGACTCAAGACCAGCGCATGACTGAGTGCTCCCGTCTTTGAGAGCAAGACCCATACCAAGCGGGATCCCAACAAAGTCGACGTAGCTGATATTGGCGTAGAGAACACCATTTGTATATGTGAACTCGACGAAACCCCAGTCTACTCCGGCACTGGGGTCTTGAAGGTTTGTAACAGATGGCTGGACCAGACCATCGCCGTTGCCAATGTCGACCGCGAAGAAGTGAAGATCGGCATTGGCAAAGTAGATACGGCCAGAGCTCATAGAGATAGGGAGTGTGAAGTCGAGGGTTTGTCCTTGAGGGGGGAGAGGAATTGCAATGTTATCCTTGATTTCGACCGGGATCTTTGAGCCGCCGGACGAGGGATAGATAATGTTTCCAGAAGCGCCAATAAAAACAACCTTGCCATTGGGGTCAAGGCCAGAGATGTACGCCCTAACGTCTCCTCCGCTAAAGTTATTCACGAGCTTCAGCGGCAGAGTCGCTGGTTGATCAAGAATATGTGTTCTGTTTCTTTCGTATTTGTTTTTAAGGAGGGTATCGTTTGTAATTTCAACATTGTTTGAGCCACCAGGGTTCGCTTTGACGAAGCCCTCTCTCGTTACATCGTATCGTTTGAGCAACGGCGAGGATTGAAAAGGAGCGGATAAGGCAGTGCCAATGAGGGCAGCCAGAATAATGAATGGACGCATTCTATGAATGATTGCTAAAAAGAGTGTGTTGAATGAATGAATGTAAACTACAGAGCGAAATTCATTGTGTCGCTAAACACTTATATACTATGGACTGTCTGCTTGAATGTCAGATTGTTTCGAGTTATTCCCCGGCAGACGAAACATTCGAGGTATTATTAAATGGGGTTAAAACGTCTGACATATAGATTATCTGAGGGGAAGGATGAAACAAGGGTAGTCATCCCAATATCGATCACCTACAGGAAGGCCTGTGCTGGGATGTGATTCGACAAAGGGATGATGAACTAGCACATGTTTGAAACAAGGGTTTTCTGGAGGATGAAGTCTATGCTCCTTCATCTCAACATGGTCCAGTAACGGGCCGATTTAGACAGAGGCTCGTCAAACATGTTTACAGCTAATCATATTGTTCAAGTCGATTGGCATTGATGTTGAATAGAGAAAGGAAATTGAAGCGGTTGACCTATATCTCATCAGATATAGCTCTGCAGCGATCAGATTAAGGTACTTGAAACGGCGCATCGATCCAATGAGCACTGCCACATCTAGTTCCCTAATGGATAAAACTTTGAGTGACTTGCAATGTTTCATAAATCTAAAGTATTCGCGTTACTGAAGGATGCAAAGATCCGTAATATTAGTGAAGGATTTAACAAGGTGGCGTTGCGTTTCGGCCGGACGCACGTCTTTATGCGTGACTGAAGGATGAGGATCACCCGTTGGCATGTGCTTTCATCGCAGATCATTCGACCGATTAATTGTTCCCGAGAATGTCGCCGTTAAAGTGTAAAGTTTGTATTAATTAACCGCTTTTTATATGCCTCTACATGTTATAGTTTGCTCTGCTTGATGAGATGAGCATTGACTGGTGAAATAGCCTTGCCATTCTTTTGGAAGGATATAATGTTCTCCATACCCAGCTTCTCAAAACCAATGTGTGAATCCAGTGATGCGCCGGCGTTGTGAGATAGGAGCTCCACGTTGTTCATCTTGAGCAGCTCAGGGCTGATATGAGGTTCATTCTCGAAAACATCCAGACCCGCGCCAGAAAGCTGTCCGCTCTTGAGAGCCTCCACAAGATCAGCTTCGTTGATGAGTTTTCCACGTGCAATGTTGACCAGTTTGGCGCCCTTCTTCATCTTGGCCAAACCCTGCTTGTTCAAAAGTGTCTCACCCGCAAAAGGCGTAGCGACAACAACGCAGTCTGCCTCGGCGAGGAGGGTATCGGCGGACTTGTGAAACACAGCTCCAAGGGGCTCTTCAATTTCCCGAGGCATCTGCGCAACGTCGTTGTACAGGATCTTCATGTCGAGAGCCTTGTAGGCCTTCTCTGCGATACGGCGACCAATGCGACCGAAGCCGATGACGCCGAGGCTGAAACCGCTGGGGTTGCGCGACACGGGTGCCAGGTTCTTATTGGCGTCGACGAATTTCTCTGCTGAGCCGGAGCGTGCGGCGGTGCTGGACCAGCTTAGGTTGCGGAAGACGGAGATTATGAGCCAAATTGCTGCATCTGCCACGGACTCTGTACAAGCTGCAGCGGCATTACAGTAAGTGACACCTCTCTTTGCAAGGGCAGCTGTATCAACCCAGTCGAAGCCGGCGCCTGCACTGGCGTAAATCTTGCAGGATGAAGGTAGCAGTGAGATCAATTCTTCATCCCAGTTACCCATCTCACCGCCAGTGTTCCAGAAAGGTCTGTAGATAGCGACAAAGTCACCAAAAGCTTTTGTCTTTAGCGCTTGGATGAAGTCTGAACGAGACATGCTGTATGAGCGCTTGATCTCGAAGTGAGATTTGAATTCATCGTAAAGATCGTGGTTCCACTTGATGTCATCGCCGAGCTGGAGGACAATAGGCTTCGACATGATGGGTTGTGAGTAGGCAAGATGGAATGAAGCTACGGATGAGGATGAAGATAATATGAGATGAAAGATGAGAATGAAGTGATAAAGGATGGGAAATTTGAACGAGTAAGTGATAACAATGAAGGAACGAAATGGGCTGTTTAATATTAAAATGCGGGTGTTCGGCCGATGAATCTTGTTGAGAATGCCGGTTCTTGATAGGGTAATTTTGGCCGGGTCACTTTAGAGGAAGACTTTAAGGCCCATAAAACTGATCGAAGATGGCATCGGATTGGCTGAGGGAGTGACCCCGGATTGTGTGTGGGTGTAAACATCGGGGTTCTCCCCGGACGGACTCGGAGGTGAATCTGGGGTAATGGGCCTTGGATTAGTATGGATTACCTTAATTGCTTTACTAAATTATTTAAGCTAATGTGAAATGATTATTGCGGTCGTAGTCGACATACTCATAATCATTCTATGGTCATGGTATGGCTACTCTGATCCTCATTCATGTTCTCCCTCAAACTCTCACCTCACTGCATACTTTGCTACGCTATAGTCCTTTCAAACAAACACTTGCCTGCTCATGCATCACTAATCCCTCTTTTGAATTCTCGGAAAACTCAACCAAACACCTGCAACAACAGCAATCAATGCAAGAATGATAGGCTGTAGCACACCAACACCCTTGGTATTCGCAATCGCTCCAATGGCGAACGGAAACACAGTTCCTCCTGTACCACCGATGGCCATTGCAAACCCAATTGAGGAAACATGGATCTTGGCCGGCAGAAGCTTCGCAGTTACCATGACTGCCCCGGGAAACAAAGGTCCTAGGAAGAATCCCAGAAAAGCTACTGCTATAGCTGAGACGATGAATTTCGGTACCAACCAGAACAGCAGTTGGAGTCCGATGCAGATGGCGAGGTATATCGAAAGACATAAGCGCTCGCCGAAGCGTTCTGTTACGAAGCCCAGTGTTGCTCGACCAAGAGCCATTCCTGCCCAGAAGCCTGTACCAGATGCTCCAGAAGCGTATGCTGAGGCCTTTCGCACACGAAGCATGAAAGTGACGACCCAGCCTCCAAGACCGACTGTAGAAAGTAAGTATGATGAAATTCAGTAGACGTTCTACTCACCTTCGACTCCCATGTATGCAAAGAAGAACAAAGCGCAAAGCCATGTAACCTTGGACTTGAGAGCTTCTCTCGTTCCAGCACCAGTACCCTCTGAGTTACTGGCATGCTCAACACGGTAGACGGCACCAGTCATACGCCAGAAAGCAGCAGTGAGACCAACCAATTCAACAACCGTGATCCCAATCTGACCATTAGCCAAATCAGCCAACTCAAGATGGAGAACTTACCATGAGATAATAATAAGTATACCAAGGCAAACCAGCCGAAACAACCATCGACGTTGCTATAAGTGGTGCAAACAACGCCCCAAGCGAATAAGAAGCATGTAGAAACCCCTGCACCGTATTTGCCTTGTCCATACCTCCCACCCACGCGCAGAAACAAGCATCCGTGAGACCGTTTCCGAATCCGCTAAAGATGTTGCACACGACAAGTACGGGGTACGGGGGGTGCAGTGCTAGAGCGACAAAGGTGATGAGGTGGCAGATAGGAGCCATTATTGCGACGCCCCGTTGACCGAATTTCATGTGGATGGTGGCATTGGTGAAGGCTGCGACGGAGTAGCCGGCAAAGGGCGTGAGGAAAATGAGGGATATGATGGTGTAGCTTAGATCATAGTATTTTTCTAGCTGGGTCATGTTAGATGGGCATCTTGAGGGAGAGGTGAACATACGTATGGGATTAAAGCCTGTGCGAGTTAGTTAGATCCTCGAAGCTGTGAACTTTACTTACACCAACGGCTGCATCATTCATACCGGCAATGATAAATGAAAGAAACGCAAAGCCAAGCTTCATCATGTTCCCTCTTGGGTAATTCCATCTCTGTGCTTCACCCTGCGCATACGGAGGCGGTACATCATCAGGCACTACACGAGGTTGCTCCTCCAAAGCATCCTTTCCATCACGGACATGACACCCGCCTAGAGATGTGAGCTCAATAGGCTCTTGTGTCTGGGTCACGGTAGTCGACATTGTGAATGTATGGCAACATTGAGAAGTGGAGGTGAGCTTTATGAGGCCAGTTTTATGTCCGAGTGATATCTAATTAGCCTGGGGTTCTTGGCAAAGATCAGCGCGCGGGTAAATTACTCGGCGCCCTTGGGTACTGGAAATGGTAAGAATTCCAGCGACAGGATGCGGGGTGCCTTATGAGATGGGTTGTTTTGAGCGCTAGACTTGATGGAGGAAGAATCGGAGTAGCGGGAGTTATCTCCGATATTGTCAAACCTGTCAGATCATTTGCTGCAGTAGTTGTCGTTGCTATGTCCGAATCAGCCGATTTTGCGATGTTGCTTCCAATGCTGGAAGTCCGAGTCATTCTGAAGTGTGGGGAAATGGAATTGAAGCCGATGCATGACGCATGAACGGAAATGTGAAAGCAGTCTGTGAAATATGGAATTTATTATAGATTTTATGACGTATCAAAGAGCGCGTAATTATAACAATAGAGAGCAGTATATTATATTTAGGGGAATACTATGTAGATTGGTCGGAATTGGGAAAGAAGATCAGTCTTATGGTTTGACCAGTCTGTCTCGAGATTGTCGTAAACTCACAGAATGTCGTCGCTACATCACATCAAAAGAAGACAACCCTTGGGGTTTAAATAAAAACATTAGCGAGAATTCCAATATCTTCAGAATCTTCACAATTCTCAAATCACGAATTGGTTGGAACTTGACCTTTGTTTCCTGGTATTGGTACCAGTGAGTCAAAACTTGTGATCAAGATTCATCGTTTAACAGGGATATTAGTACCTCTTTCTGAGATTTTCGAGTACATAGGGAGCGCTAGATTAAAATAGAACTCATAAACAAAATCAATAAATTGTATTCAATGAAAAAGATGAAAGTTAACTTTTGCTTTGGGCTAGTGATAGGCTAACACACCCCCAATTGACTAGTTACGAAGCCTCAACCCCCAGATCCCCGCAGGTCCACACCGATCCTACACCAACATCTTATCCCATGAAACGAGTCAAATGCTGCACATCTTGTCGTCGACGACATCGGAAATGCGTCACTCAACCTGGCGCATCTCAATGCGGTGCTTGTCTAGAGTCGGGTAACGAGTGTCGGTTTGAGAATGACATTCGCTTCAAGAATACCCAGCCAAAAGGTGCAGAGGGGGAATGGGCGACGGTGCCTAAGAGAAGTATGTCAAACGAATGCAATTATGTCGATACTAAGATTTATTAGTCTCATTTACGACGCCGCGAGGTATCAAGGGAAAGTTGTCTCAAGATTCAGATTCAGATGGTTCCCAGGCACATGGAGCCCAGCCTCAGTCAACGACATCACAGTCAAGGGAGATTACAATGGCTGAGGTTTCAATGAGCTTGCAACATTACCCAGTCCCTCAAGAATCTGAAAACCTTTATCCTTTCGATGCAGTTCCAAACAACGCTTATGCCCTACCGCTTCAAGATATCCGTACCCAGGAGACATATGGGCTCACGGAACGACAGGCCTTTTTATTCATGATTTACGTCCAAAAGCTAGCCCCTCTGGTAAGCACATTGAATTGTTCATAAATTATCACTAACCAATCAGTCCGACGCATGTGATGATGCCCGCCACTTCACCCTCGAAGTCCCCCGTCTGGCCCTCCAACAGCCAATGATCATGAACGGCCTACTCGCTATCGCAAGCCGTTACGATAGTGCAGACAACGATCTAGAGAGTACATTCTATCACAGCCAATGTATAGAACTGCTTATTGAAGCTTTTGCCGAACCGTCAGAGACTTGGAACACGACACTTCTCGTCGCGGTGGTGATGGCGCGTCTGTACGAGGAGAACGACAATGAAGACTCGTATTACCACCATCTAAGCGGGACGCAGAATTTGCTGAACCATCAGGTTATCTCACGTTTTGTGATGCAGGGCGGTCTGGCAGAAGCTGCAAGCTGGGTACATCTCCGACAGGCAATATACGTTTACGTAGCGCGCAGAACACCGTTGGAAATATGCCTCGAGAACTTTGAGCGATCAACGGTTTTCAGAAGATACGACGATTCTGCTTATGCTAATCGAGCGGTGTATATCTTTGCTAAGATTATGAAACTATTCCTATCGAGTGGTTCGTTGGATATCGAAGCGTGGGAGGCGATTGAGATTGAGATTGATGGATGGTATGAAGGCAGACCAACGTCTTTCAAGCCAATATACTACAAGGAGGGGGACATGTATAGTGAGAGGCCATTTCCGGTTATATCATTTGCTGCGTCGGTGCCTGGTAAGTGATCCTTGATTGTTTGAAGCTTACTGACCTTTTAGTGGTTGCCATGCAGCATCATTACGCGGCCAAGGCTGTTCTATGTTTGAATAGACGCAAAACCGTGGGACAAGATACCATATCATTGGATGCAGAGGTAAGATCACCGCCGTGAGCCACAGCAAGCTGAAGAGTGCTAACTGAAAAGATTTCCGCATATCTCTGCACACTCATGGGTCTTGCCTTGTCGAACGAGCATACGGGGAACGCATTCTATCTACCTGCACACATGCTGTCACTCTGTATGTTTACTTTCGCCTTGTATATCACCACTAACGATGGTCCAGGTGGACATTTCATTCTCAATCCTTGTGTACGCACACATACCGTACGGTATCTCAGGAAGGTGGATGAAGCTATCAGGTGGAAAACGAGTTTGCTTGTTGAGAATTTGCAGACAAAATGGGATCAGGAGGATCTAATGAGTATTTTGTCATAGTCACAATTGATCAAAACTGTGGACTCTTTCTTATTGCTCATGATTAACCAAACGATCGTACATTGTGAAGAATCCTATGGCTAGATCATACATTGTACAAGCATCCCCTAGACACCATCACCGAACTCAAAGTCTTTACTCCATCGCTGAAACAGTCAGCTAATTGTCACTCCACCTGAAGTCAACTTACCGTATCCCAGGGACGTGTAGAGTTGACAAATCGAAGATCTGTTCCAAGCCGTATCCGGTTCTCCGCATCGTGGTTGATCGTAGACGCATGGATCTACAACTTAGCATAGCACAACTATGGACCAAGCAACATACCATATGTGGAGTGTGAAATACAACATCCCCAGCCTCGTATTCACTCACAAGCCACTTCCTACCATGCTGTCTTCCAAAGTCGGCCGGACCATCAGCCAAGAATCCAGTACTCATCATATTCGAGTTGAAAGCATTACGCATCTCCTCGTCGCTCATGCCAGCTTCTTTCGCTTTCTTGGCAAAGTCGTTTTCAATCTCGGCGCCAAGGGCTTCACTTTCTTCGAGGTAGATAAGTCCGCCGCCGTCAAGCTTGATATCACCCATAGGTACCCATGCTGTGACGGCTGTGGGCTCCCCATAGCGCATGAAGGATTGGTCATAGTGTACGCCAATAGCTTTGTTGCCGGGTGTATTGTTTCGGAGAAGAGTTCGACGGACGGCAAGCGTGGAGTCTCCCCAGCCTGTAAGGCGAGCGACAAAGTCTTTGAGCTTCGGATGATTGCAGAATCCTTGTACGCTTCCATCTTCTGATCCTGAGTACCAGGGTTCGGTATGTGCCTTGAGAGCTGCATTGACAAAAACCTCAGACTTGTTTGTCTCGCCCGGCCTGGAATTCTTGCCACTACCAGCTCCAATACCAGGATAATCGGCCGAATCGGCTTCGTCGTTAAAGATGCCGTCAACGGGTTCTGTTCCGGGCTTTAAAACGCCGCTGGGGGCCATGGATTTGAAGTACGCTTCACGAGCAGCGAGGACATCGTCGCGTGGGAGGAGGCTTTTGACGAGGAGGTAGCCGTTTTTGATGTAGCGTTGGTACAGAACGTCGAGTGGTTCATTGGGGTACGAGGGTTGGAGCTTGGAGACTTCGGTAGGGGCGAGAAGATCATCGTTGACGTGTAACTCGACGTCGATAAGTGAGGATTGAGCATGAGGCATAGCGATGGATGTCTGAAATATGAAAGAATGAGTTGGATGAACTGATTTATGGATCGACATACCAGAGGCTTTATAAAGAGCAGTTGAACAAACAAGCAGAGAAATCCGCGGAAAGAATTCCCCATTTTGGTCATCTCCACAAAGTTGCATCACTAAACTCCACCATTTGGGGATGAGGGTGTGGAGGTACGAATAGCGGACCACTAGCCATCATAAGATGGAGATTAGTTATGATATTCACTGACCCTGGATCTTGAGAATGGATAGGAATTGCCATTGTATCTTGTAGATGTCCTGGTGGTCTTAGTGACTGAGGATGGTGATTGTCAACAGGACGAGTCACCTTGACCTTGCTAGAATTTGAACGGCACCGTGCAAGCAAATGCAGAGAATATCATGCTGAAAAACCACAGATGCTCAGGTTGGACCAAATTCCTAGTATTTTAGGTATTTTCATGAACATCATCCTCAATATGGTAGCCTTCAGCATATGTTGCATTCATTTCTTGGTTATCCGTCGTTGAGATCCAAATACAGTATCATCCACGTTGGGACGTTTGATATTTGATCAATAGTTAATGATAACTCAATGAATCAGTCAAACGGTCACTTCAAAATAAATCAACATACAGATATTCAACAACCCATACGCAAACGACTCGTCTACGTAGAACAATGTTATCAGTGCAAAAGTGGGCCTAGAACTTTCCTGTTTGCCATGTTTGTGCACTCGTTTGTTGTTTGCACAAGCGAATAAATTCTTTCAAACTTCATCTCCAACCCTTCGTCATCTTGTACCTACCACCAAGTTCACACCTCATCTACAAACCTTACCGACATCCCGTAGTCACCATGGCTCCGAAACGTCACAACAAAAAGGCGGTACCTAACATCAAAGTGCTCGTGGAGAACTCTGAGCACCTGCTCACCCAGCGAATGAATTGGGCCGTCGACAAAGTCAAGATGCTCAAGAAACAAAAGCAACGAGCTATGATCTATCTCAGGGATTCAGAAACCGCCAGGTAACACATCCTTTTGACCTACTGATTAACCTCCTGATCTAACACTTTGAAGCATGCTGAATGAGAAGCTGTCTGACTCCGGCTTCATTTCGAAGGATATCTCGAACATAAGTTCCTCTCCCATTCGCAACAGAGTCGTTTTGGATTTCAACAACGAGAATTACGACACTGATGTTCTCGTCACCACCTACGAAGCGAGCAAGGGCTTCGAGTTCTACGGGGCCTGTCGTCGAGGTCTGATTTTCGAGTATCCTGGCATTATGGATGACTATGTCGCCGCAATCAAGTGCCTGGACCACAACGGGCAGAAAGAGCCTGCTGAATGGTTCAACTGCTACATCCATGGTACCATGGACGTCATGCATGATTTGATTCTCACTCGAAGCGCGGTAGCTCGTATTATGCCAGATGTTGAGAAGCAGACAAAGGTTCCTCATGAACTTGGTTTGATTTGTGCATACCATGCTGTGGCTGTTGCACTTGGGCAGTCATCCAGCCGATACCCTCGAGCTCGGGTTCACTGGAGCAACATGGAAAGCGATGAAATCAAGCGAGAGGGTCAGTCATCTTAAACTCACTCACTTCACATGCTTACAATCTAGGTCTCTTCTATGCTGCTGTCGCCACGTACCTCGAGGAGAACCAGGGAAGCGGCAACAAGTTCACCGCCGACACCATGGCCAAGGTTGCCAAGAGCTGGAAGCCTGAGAGCAAGCTCACCAAGGAGCATGTCAATTGCGAGCTTCCTGAGCACAAGGACGGGGTTGTACTTTACAACTATGTGATTGGAGGATACAAGGAGGGTATGCTCTGAGCCTGGATCATGATGTACGTGACTTTTCAGTGAGCGGCGATGAGACAGATGGACCTGGCGGTTGCTCTAGGATGATACGGTTCACCTCTGGAAAGGTACATTGCAGTGTATCCAGCAATATCTAGACTACGAGATTCTCACATGAATCATGCTTCCTTGAAGTTTACAATGGCTTTATCCTTGCTAGGCATTGGAATTGAGGTACTAGGTTATTGAGAGGAGTGCTCTGTGCGATATTTGAAAGTATGCAATGAAGTGCTACCGCAGACGAAAAAGTCAATCGAATTTTATTCAAATTCGTGTGAGCATAGTGACAGATTGGCTTATCAAAGCTGAACCTTGTTGTTTGCCTTGTTGTTTGTAAACTGCCCTAGCACGACGTCATGCCGTGGAACGCCAGCACCTCACATATGCCCCCTTTTCCACTATCATAACTCTTGCAAGCCCACGTTAACAAATCTCATCTTCACAAAGACGTACCCGCTACAGAGTTTTCAACGACCAACACGAATCGATTTTCTTGCCACAAAGATATTTCTCCATGGCACCCGCAGGCAAAGCGGAATAAGAAGCGCTGAGAATGAGCTTCTCCAGCATAGTGCCCCGACGTGATGATCCAACAGCTTCATCGATCCTCAGTTCCATGGACTTCTTTCAACGAGAAACTCACCTTTCGGCGTTATTCAAACACGTACAGAAGTGTCAGTTGAGATAGAATCTAATATAAAGACGCTAGGTTAGTCTAAAAGGCCTCTAGATGTCTACTAATAATGCCAAGAGAAATGTCACTGCTATCAGCTATCGAAAACACCATCGTCGGTATCCTTGGGTGAATGTGACCATGGCCCTGGTTATCTGGAATATCCTTCTGGTAAATGATCCAGTACGTCACAGCTTGTCTCATGGCGTACCGCGCAACACCCGCCTCAGGAAAATAGAGAAATTCGAACGAAGAACAGGAAGCTGACCGCTTTTTGACAGATGAGCTGAAACATTCGGCAGTAGGCGGTGAATCTCTGCGAAAAGTCCGCCTATCGAACTCATCGAACTCAAAACAGATCCAACCTGAGTAATAACTCGAAAGCAAATCCGTACAAATATTTCTAGCCACTGGAGTTCGACCCAAGCTTTTACAATAACAACGTGGAGCATGGACCCAAGGTTTCTTTTCCGTTCATCTCATGCTCTCAGCTGACGAGGGTGTGGTCTTGGGTGAAGGATTACCTGTTGAAGTTGACGACATTATTCTAACCAACAAGTGAGAATAACCAAATCGGAGTGGCTAGAACCTAGCTGACACAATTTGCAGGGCCAAAAAACCAGCAATCAATTACATACCGAATCCTAAGCCCAAAGAAGATGAGTTTGATGCACCGCCTTCGCGAAATCTCATCCAACTCATCACCCACCTCATACAATCAGTACATAGTTCATCCTTCTCATCACCTCACATCTCGAAAAAAATGTAATCAAAAAGTCCGAAAGCCATTATGACGATTATATTTCCTCAACACCAATGATATGCGGTGGCGCAGTATTTTCATCGACTAGGATTCGTGCTGACTCGGCAAGTATTCACCGATGAACCCCTGTAGCACTAGGGTTGCACTCACGGTCTCCAATGCTATTGGTTGATCCAGGCTCACGAGATCTTTATCACTGTACAGATTGCTTAGCCTTGAGCGAAATAGGAATCACAGAACCTGGAGGCTGAGCGAAATATGAAATTACAGAATTTGGTGAGGCAGTGTTGATGCTGCATACGCCGTAAAGGATCTCTTCATTGAGTGTGAGTGCCAATATCTCCATCGACGATTGCTGAAATGAAGTATATATAAAAAGTGCAACCAGTCTCAGCAATGCAAGTATGAGAGTAATCACTGGACTCTTCCATCAATCTCAATCAATATGGCCAACCACTCAGATCGCACCGGCCATCGATTATCTATCAACACAAGCTCTTCATCAAGCCGCTACAGACAAAGATATGATCAAAGCCCTGAGCCAACTTTCAGCCCCACCGGTCTTCTCGGAAACAGATATGATGAAAGAAGAAAAGAAATGGAGGCCAGATCACAGGAAGCGAAACAAGCTCATGAGAGCCCCTTCACTGGTGGCCTTCTTCAGTCCCTCACAGAGTTTGAGGAACAACGTTTGATTCGGACGAGACATGTTCCTTCATATGAGAGTTTTGGAAGGACACCGACAAGAGCGGCATCCACATCTGCTACTTCGTATCGTCAGCCCCCCTCACGGGACTTCACAAGACCAAGGACACTGAGTGTAGCGTCTGTGAGGACTGATTCGATCTACTGTGCCCAAACTGGAGTCACGCCACCACCGTTATTGGATATGACATCAACACCTCAGCAACCTTGGCGAGACAGAAACACCCAAGGTATCAGGTCCCCAATTGGAAGGCCTGTTGGTTTTCCGGAGAACTCCATTCACCAATGGAATACTCAGTCACCCTCACTCTCAAGAAGTCAATCGGTTGCTGTTCGTCCTGTGAATGGTGTCTCAGCGCTAGAGAGACGGACTTCCTCAGCTACCGCGCCTGTTGGACCGACTTGGAATGAAGCAGCTCAGAGTGAGCCGAAGCGTCGAGGGACCTTGAGACGATGTTAGACACTTGATAATTTGACGAAACCGATGGTAATTAATGGGAAGTTCAGTTATTACAGGATATCTATGAGGTCTTGGTGAGAGACACGAGGAACGGAACAAGCTGTCATTGAACCACCGGTTCGGTAGAGGTAACAATAAGAATAATAGTAATTAAATCTCAATGCCGGTTACCCAGGACCTTTCATTCGTGAACGACTTCCACTCCACCCCGGAAACTCATACTTTCAAGACTGCTCTTGAGGGCGCTCATCTCTTCCTCCAACTCGGAAGACGAACATCCTCGCTTTGCCGTCTCAAAATCCACCAAAACCACGTCATGCCCATCCCTCACGAGAAAGTTATGTTTGTTGATGTCACCAAGCTTAATTCCCAGCTCATGCAACCGACCCAAAGCCTTCTTGCAGCCGTCGATATCTGCTGACCCAGCTGCTCTCGCGCCTTCTACCCACTCAGTAACGAAGCCTACCACACGCCCGTCTCTGCCCTCGGTGAGATGACCCAGAAACTTGGGACCGATGCCGGTATCACTGATCCATTGATACGCGGCCGTCTCGACCTCGACAGAAGGTATCTCCCAAGGCCAAACCGCGAATTTGATGAGCATGGGTTTGCCACCGTTGACCTCGGGATGCGTCGAAATGTGGACTCGTTGCCTCACTCGGTCTTGTCGTGTGAAATCCAGCTCATTAAACTTCACGGGATGCCAAAGATTCTCTACCCCTGCAAGTTGTACAATCTCAGTCCTGACGAAGACAGCCTTCTCTGTCTCGGGGTCCCTCGCTACGTGACTTTGGTTCCAATCACCAGCTGGGAACGATGGGAAGAGCTCGCCAAGGAGGATGGGTTCGAAAGTACGGTCCTCTTCGGCCCCAATAAATGTGCCTGGGGCCGTGGTAACGTACTTCACGTGCTGTCCCTCAACGAGGAAGCGGTAATCGCTTTCGTCTGTGTCGTCACCATCGACGAGACATGCGAGAAGTCGGACATTGACGTTAATTCTTTCAAGGGCAGTCATTTCGAAAGGCGGCGATGAGACAATATGAGATGGCTGTGCGATCGATAAGAAGATCTGAATGCCAACCGTGGCTATGTAACGTATTTCACCACCACTCAGTACACCTTGCGACCCCGCACGTTTCCCACCAAATAATTAGATTTTTAAAGGAGGATTTTAAACTAGATATTTCATGTCATAAGACAAGGGGCCTTTCAAGTAATTGAATTTTAAAAATAAGAGCAAAACTAACATGTTAGATTGTATTTCAGAAGAGATAATATTAAAATAATTACTTATAAAATATGAGACATTTAATATTTAATAAAGATATTACTAAATAATTTAAGAGGAATTTTTATTAACGAAATCTCAAGTAAATCTCAAGTAAAGTGTTTAATTAAATGCTACTTGAATCAAAGACGTCATTAGATTAAGGGTATAAAAGAGTAAAAATAGGCTAGATGGACTATTGACTACTTATTTATATTAATTTAAATCTAGATACGGTTTAATAGGTCTAAATCCTCTAAATACAGTCCACATCGACTTCATCCGGAGGCCGAGCAAGATGCCCCGAAACTACAAGGAGACGGACAATCTCAACCGGAGGTCAATATAACCATCGGAATGATCGGCAACACGAAAGTAGTCAGCCTCCATGGATGGAGTACAAGAGACATGTTCGGATAGAAACTTGTAATGGACTCACAATCTCCATTTACACCACAACCTCTTCACTGCTCAGTCATGCCTATAATGGCTCCAATGTTGGAGGACTCATCCAGTCCATCGAGTGGTCTTCTCATTCATAACAGCCTCAATCATAAATACACCGCATCGTCAGTGTCTTCAGCAACAGAGCACTCCGTTGAGAGCGTCGCTTCATGGCCAGAAAGTTCACCTGAGACAAAAGATCAAGCCACTTCAGAGAGAAAGCTCAGTCTTGACCAACTATTGGCAGAGCTATACGAAGAAAACATCGTCGCCAAACCCTATCGAACGGCAGTAAAAGGTTTACAAGAGGGTGGTCCAGCACGCAATGGATTTCCGGAAATTGTCCCTCAACAAGGTCCCAATCAAGGGAGATGGGAATATCGTGAACCGGATTTCTGGACGTGCGGATTCTTTCCAGGAACACTATACGCTCTACTTGAAAGGTCAATCAGATACCCTGGGTCCTGGAAAGGAGATGGTTCCGCACTTGAGTCTTCCGTGGATGTCAGAAACCACCTACTGCCACTATGCAAGTCTTGGTCAGAGCCATTGCATGACATGTCTAGCAGAACTGATACTCACGACATTGGCTTCATCATCATGACAGCTCTTCGACGAGAATGGGAGCTTTTCGGGAATGGACAAAGTCTTAGTTCCATCGTGAAAGCGGCCCATAGCTTGGCTTCTCGCTATGTCTCATCTGCAGGGGCGATTCGCAGCTGGGACTGTCTACTGAAGAAGGACATAACCGTCACAGACATGGATAATAACCTTCTTGTCATTATCGACAGCATGTGTAATCTTGATCTACTATTTTATGCCGCTGCCCAAACTAGAGAGCAGAAGTTGGCTAATATCGCCACCACCCACGCGACAACCCTACTCAAGACACATCTTCGACCAGAAAGTGTGAATTCTTTGGTAGAGGATGGATATAAAGGCCAACTTTACTCAACTTGCCATGTTGCCAACATCTCTCCGCAAACAGGAGACCTGAAATGGCAATGGACAGCTCAGGGCTATGCTAATGGCTCAACATGGGCGAGGGGCCAAGCATGGTCTGTCCTTGGTTATGCACAAGCTTACAATTGGACCAAGAACGAGGTATTCCTCGACGCAGCTTGCGGTTCAGCAGAGTACTTCCTTTACAGGTTGGATACATCTCCTTCATGTGTCGAGGTTCAAGACAAAGACAATCTGAAAGGACGATATGTGCCACTCTGGGACTTTGATGCACCGATTGAAAACCCCCAGGAACCACTTCGGGATTCATCTTCAGGTGTCATTGCGGCCAATGGAATGCTACTACTGTCGCAATCACTTGTAGCCTTGGGCAGACACTCGTTATCAGGTCGATTCTTGAAAGCAGCCATCAAGATAATCAGAGACACACTAGACGTTTCTCTAGCAACTGAGAAGGCCAAGTTTGTCGTTGAGAATGATGCTCTCAAAGTGGAGGATGTACTAGCCAGACAGACATTTGATGCAATTCTCAAACATGGGACAGCTAATAACAATGAAAATGCGAGGAGACGCTACAGCAACCATGGTTTGGTATACGGGGATTACTATCTAGTTGAGTTTGGGAATTTACTTTTGAGTATGGGATTAGTTTAGAGTTTGCCAGACATAAAAATAGAGGGCTCAACTTGACGTCTTGGATTTACAGATATGACATAAGTGACTACACTTGATGGGCATCAAAGGATCCGGAGTTTCTTCCATAAATTGCCTATTTTACGATGACAAAGAACTGGATGTGTATGGGTATATCATCTATGTTTGGCTTCTTTGCTACAAGACCATAATACTGATATGACCAGTTGAGATTGCATCAACTTGAACCCTGGGTCTCATCGCCCACATTTCCGATATCCTTTTGCTGTCCACGTTCATACTGTTGACTCCAAAGACTGCAGTCGCGAGTATGGTTGATGGGCCAGTCGGTGGCGATTCTCTGTTATCGACGATTTGGTGAGTATATTGAATCGATGGAATAAAAGTTCTCTGCGCAATGAGGTTGGTATTGGGGTCTGCTTCAATGAGATGCCCCCTGCCTCGGAACTGAGATCCATCCTCATCGACTACCTTAGAGACGATCTTTGGTGTCAAATCAACAATGCCACTCCCGCCACTTCGAGACTTGATCAGCACACTTGTCGTATCAGTAATATAGCCTTCAGTGAGGTCTTCAGTGCTAGACGAAGAAGTGATGTGATAGCCTTGCTCACTCCAACTATTTATAGCAAAGGAACTATCCACTAGTCGAACGCTGTCACACCAAGGGATCTTTACTGTTTCGAGGCCAGTGATCTGATGAACACGAATGTGCCAGCCTGGGTAATGCGAAGCCAAGGGTACTAGGGTCGTCCTAATAGATAAACCGAGTTTCTTTATTGGCGTCCACGTGCTCGCTATGGCAGGCAGACCAACAGTGCCTTTCTTAGTCTCGATAGGCAAAGTGTAGATACGAACCTCGCTGGGCTGCCATCTAACTTTCCAGCTCTCACCTTCGTCGAAGCTGATGGCCAACGTACTGTCAGGTGCCACCTGGTGAAGCTCCAACCCAGTCGGAACGCTGTATCCAAAAGAGGACGAGTAGGCAAACTTGCCGTACTTGGCTTCCCTAGCTTTGAACTTCTTTGTCGTCATTTGCCCTGCAGATAAGAGGTAGTGATGCTCCATAGAGCTACACAGTATCTGGCAGGCAGGCGCAAAAACCCTTAAAGACCCTGGGGGAGGAAGTTCATCTAGATGCCTCGCCATCGGATGGGGTTCCTCTTCAATAGTCCAGAATGGGTGATGTGGTGATAGACCAAGAACAACAAATGGCTTTAAACACCAATAGACCGACTGTCTGGAATTGTAGTCTTCAGACAAGTACATATTGGGGTATGTAAAACCAATATTCATCGTGCCGTCCGAGTTGAAGATTTCTGGCTGTTTTGACCACCATCTTAAATGCCGTAAGAGCAATCCTTTGGCTGTCCCCAAGCTGACGGCTGGTGTGCATACATTTGCGAGAGCGATAGCTGCCCAGAAAGCTCCGCATGCGAATCTATAAGTCATACTTCTCCCAAAGGGAATAGCAGCACCGTCTGTGTCGAAGAATCTCCAGTATTCAGAGGCGTAATCTATTGCTTGTTGGCGATATCTCGAAACTCTCTCTTCATCGTCTGCAAAGCGGATATAGAGAAGTTGTGCAAACTGAATCGCAAAACTCCCAGAGTAATAGTCTGCTTGCTTCCTGTCTTCCCCCCAAACTCCGTCCGATGACCAACCCTCACCAATGTAGAATTGATCAAGAACGTTCAAGTCAGATTCCATAAATCGTCTTGCTTGCGTTTTGTCTGTTCCCAGCACGTTTGTCAATGCCAGATTCACCAGGACTCGGAACCATCGCCAGTTATTCTGTGGCATGGTGTGATGATTTATCTGTTGCAGCCATTCTTCCAGATTCTTCTTGCATTCTGCACTCAGGCATAGAGCAAATTCAGGAGCCATTAGCAAGGCAAAAGCTATTGACTCCATCTCGACCATTCGCTGGTCAAAAGAACCTAGCTTGCCCCAGTATTCAGGACTTTGCGGATCTACCCCAGCTTCAATGCCTTTGAGCCAGGATCTCAAAGTTGGGTCAGTGCTTTCATCAAAGAGAGCTGATATAGCCCACAATGGGCGAGCAAAACCCTCAAGTTGAGCAGAGACATCATCGAAGGCTACAGCAGTTGAAGGGTAGAGCTTAACGCGAGCTTTTGATTTTGATCTGTATTGTTCTAACGGCTTGATGATGGCTGTGGCCGCACGTAACATATCGGTACGACTCCGAAAAGGGTTATCGGAGAAGCCAGGTAGTCCGGGCATGGCCGTTGATGTCAAGGTGAATAGCCTATAAGCTGGGTGGAGTGAGTGTTACAAGAATTAATAATAGGATCAGATTGAGCGTTATAAGACGACGGACGCGAGTGTACCTCGGTCAATCTACAGCCGACAACGACATTGCTCCACCATAGTAGAGAATAACCAAGGCAACTGAATTGGATGTTATTAGCTATGCCCTAAGTGATCATCTCAGACAATGGCCAATATCCCGGGTGAAGTGTTCCCAGATGCGGGGGTCTCGGTACCTCGGGGTATCTGGAGCGGCCCTCGGACTAAATAACTCGGGTCACTTGAACTCATCTCATTGCCAATCCTGATCCATCATCAGGAGCTATTCGGTATCTAAGGGAGATACGATGAACAACGACGGGCCAGACGTCTCCGCTCAATCGGAGCAGACTGCTCAAGCCTCCGATGGCCTCGCATGTAATTGCTGTCGCAAACGTAAGCTGCGATGTTCACGAGAATTACCAATCTGTGAGCATTGTCGCAAAATTGGTATGAATTAATTGTCTACCTTGTTTCTCTTCTCACTGTTTGGATAGGTCAAGATTGTGTCTATGAAACGAAGCGCGGTAGACCTGGTATGAAAGCCGGGGCGATTGACAACGTACACAAAAGGCTTGGTATGATATATCCTCGTATGTGTCTGCTGATACCAACATTATTCTAGATGCGTTGGAACGAACTATCACAAAACAGCAAACATTACTAGAAAATCTGAGCACTAAAGAAGCATCGAGTAATGCGGACTCTCAGGAGACCATCGATGGTAAAAGCCTGTTGCTTTCTCTTGCGCGAGAGATATGCAAAATCAGCAACAAGCCCAGTCCCACAGCAGATCGAACGAATGATGAACCTATAGCAAAACGTCGTCGTACGAATAGCAATACGGACAGTCGTACATCTCGGTATACTTCTAACCAACCGTTGTTACCAGACGATATCGCTCTTGATCATATCTTGGACGCCTACTTCCGTCAGGTACATCCATGGATACCAATGATACATGAGGGTCGATTTAGAAGACACCTCCGAGAGTATGGTGATGAAACGAACTTGCTTCCACTCTTGCAGGCTATCGTTCTGATATCCTATCGTCATGTTTCTCGGAAGGATATTGCTGAGAACGTACACCGTATGCTAGGCGGCCAGGACATGAGAGATTGGATAGTTGCCAAAGCCACCAAAAACTTATCAATGGAGAACCTGCAAGCTCTTATCATCGTGTGCTTTCACGACGTAGGTTTCCCCGGCGCATGAGGGATGTAACTAATCGAAGTAGATCGGCGATGGTCAAGAGTCTCAAGCATGGCCACTCATAGGTGCACTGACTAGAATGGTTGAGTATCTACAAATCACTGTCGAATGTGAAGAAGCGGATCGATCATCATTCTCCAGGCCATTTACTTCTCTCCCTCCTCCACAAGGATGGACTGAAGCTGAAGAAAGACGAAGAGTCTTTTGGTGTGTTTTCAATCTGGATCGCTTTTGTTCAGTCACAACAGCTTGGAACACAAGCCTCACTTCAGATGATGTCAACCGACGACTGCCTTGTGATGGAATTACCTGGAGAAAAGAAGACCCTGTTTCGACCCCATACTTTGGCATTTGGGATAAGTCAGCTGGTCGAATCGGAAATCCTATTGCTTTTCTTCCCTCACTTTCCGCAGCTGCGCCAGCTACAGACGATGATATCATCACGCCATCTGAAGCGACCACATCTCCTGGGGCAGTGACTAATGTTGACATGTCCACCGTTGGAGCGTTTGCCTATTGCATTGAAGCTACCGAATCCATGAGTCGAGTTACGAGCTATTTCCTCCAGCAGAAAGTCAACATCAAGGACCATAAAGATCTAAGCAGCTGGATTACTAGATTCAAAGAGCTTGATGTCCGGTTGGTACACTGGAAGATGTTGCTCCCTCGGAAATGGAAGGTCAATATTGCTCAACAGTCTTCATCCAGAATGGATCCTAATCTTACTCTGGCGCATGTAACACACAATACATCCATGATTTTGCTGCATCAGCCCATCGCCTTTCCTCCTCCAGATTGGACCTTCAAAACGAGACTTCCCAGCTTCTGCAGCCTCGATACATGTCAAGCTGCAGCCATTGAGATTGCAACTATAACGGATCACTATATTCGGATTGCTGCCACAGGTCCTTTGAGCAATCAGTTTGCTTTCTGTGTTTATCTTGCTGCTAGGGTTCTGCTTTTGCACTGGAGATATTGCGCAACCGCTCTGTCAGCTGAGTTCTGGCTTTTGATGCAGAATCTAGAGCTGATGGCCAAGCGGTGGGCAGGACCACATCAGCTTGGTCCGGGAGAAAACTTTGCTTCTAAATACCAGTCTACTCTCACCGACCTACATGGCAGATGCATTCAGGATGAATCTTTTGTTATCAATCCTTCTGCCTATACGACTGAAGTGAAGCCAAAGACAGACCAGCATGGAATGAGCCAGAATTGTTTCAGTGCCAGTGGCTCAAGTCAACCCCAAGCCCCGGATGTCAACCAACAAAACTCTGAGGCGCAATACATACAACCAAATGCACCAGGTAACCCTTATTTCACCGGCATTGCCACGAATATGGTAGATAGTCAAATTACACCAAGAAGTCGTAGTGTAGGAAGCGGCGATTTGGGTGTGATTTCTCAAATGCTTCTTGATGCGGAGTTTCTAGACATGGACCGTGTAATAAGTTTCGATGATGGCATATTTGGTACGGAGCAGGAGGGAGGATGTTTCTAAGCTGCATTCAATTGGCAAGTCTCAAGATTGAAAACAATGTATTGCATAAAGAACAGACCGAAGAGTGAAATAGCAGTAGCATGGTTATCAATCACTGGGGCAGCAAGTGAATAGAGTGCTATATCTCTCAGGTACTCATCATAGAACCTTTTCTCGGCGTTGAGATTTTCTTGAATACAACTGTTGTATTTAGTCATTAATATCTAAGCAATGATTTTAATCGAAACCACAGCGCAGAGTGTCGCGTCGAAAATCAGTTGATCAAGGTAGAAATCAGCCTCTTGCCAATGCCCCCACACTGAATCTCGCTATGAGATCCTCCGTTCCCCGCGATGAATACCCCGAGATGCTTATCCCGGAGGCCTTGGACAGATCAATCTCAAACTGGGCACCCCATGGGGAACGGGATGCGGGGTAGTGCTACCCCGGATTCGAGAAGGACATTCTTCAATATAGAACACGAGATTCAAGACATGCTTAAGAACATCTTTCACCTCAGAATTCCGTCAAGTTCATCAGAAAAATTGAAAATCGTCTCGGTCTAAGTAACCAGAGGTATCTCATAATGTCTTCTCAACAACCCGTCAACAATGATCTCGAGATCTCAACCAAAGCTGAGACTCGTCAAGATATCCCTGGCAACCCTGAAATCCCTGAGCCTGTTATCAAGAATGGGGTTGTAGTCAGTTCGGCTGCGAAACCTGAGGCCAAGAGTGTTTGGCTCGCTTGGCTATACATCTTCAACTGGTATCCTAGCCATTACAGTAAAGAGGAAAAGAGACTTCTCAGGAAGTTGGACCGTACTATCCTACCACTCATGTACGTTCAGTTCCGGGACCGTTTCGCTGCTAATATCTCTTCAGCTGTTGTATGTACTTTATCAAATGGCTTGATCAGTCCAATATCAATAATGCCTACAACTCGGGCATGAAGGAGGAGCTTAACCTCAAAGGCATCGAGTAAGTCGTTTCTATTTTCAACTTCCAGATACTGACTGTATAGGTACAATCTGTTTTCAACATTTTACAACATTGGCTACCTCGTCATGGAAATTCCCTGCATGCTGCTCATCTCTCGACCCAAGTATGCTCGTTGGGTCTTACCTATTTGCGAAACTCTCTGGTCCATAATCACTTTTATTCAGTGCCGCAACAACAGCGCTCCGATGATCTACGGAATGCGATTTCTTATGGGCCTTTTCGAAACCCCTGCTGCTACTGGCTCTCTCTATATTCTCTCTTCCTGGTACCGATCCGACGAGGTGTTCAAGCGCGCTGGTGTGTGGTATGTTTCTAGTAACATTGGTGCAATGTTTGGTGGCTACATGCAAGCTGCTGCTCATGCAGGCCTGGACGGAAAAGGAGGTATGGCTGGATGGTGAGTCAATACCAATCATCCACTGAAGGATCTAACGTCTGTAGGCGCTGGGTTTTCATTATCGACGGTATCATCTCGCTGCCAATTGCACTTGCAGGATTCATCCTCTATCCTGGTGTCCCTACCAGCCCTCGGGTTTGGTGGCTAAGTGAAGATGACCAGAAACTCGCTCAAGCCCGCATGCAAGACGATGGAATGAGGAAAAGCAAAAAGATTGGAAAGAAGATGCTGAAGCGTGTTTTTACTCATTGGCACTTTTATATCGCTGTCGGTACCTATGTCTGGTCAGTACTCAGCCCTTGTCTTCTCATCAGTGCTGATCTCGTCTGTAGCTTCCAATTGACTACGTGGGTTGCTGGTCAAATGATTGTCTGGGTCAAATCCACTGGTCAATACTCAGTCGAGATGATTAACATCTTGCCTACTGGTGTCCAAGCTCTTGCCATCGTTGTTGGTATCATTGTCCCATCGTTTGTCATGTAAGACTTTGCTCTGATCTCAAATCAAATGCTAACAATCCAAGGGTCTACCCAATCTGGGTACCGTTCTGTTTTGCAGGAACTGTTCTTCTTTTTTGTCACTCAACCCTCTTGGTGTGGAACATTCCTCTCGGTCTACACTTCGCCGCATATTTCCTGCTTGGGATGAGCTCGTGCATTACTCCCATGCTTTTCCCGTGGGTTCATTTAATCATGAAGGATGACAACGAAGCTAGAAGTTTCACTACTGGCGGGATGGTACGTGAAAACAGACACTGAATTTCTCACTTTAGCTAATACGTTTAGATGACTGTTGGCTGGGCATTCTTCACGTGGTACAATGTTGTTGCTTTTCCAATCACCCAAGGCCCTCGTTGGACCAAGGGTTTCTCAGCCAATGTTGCTCTAACCTGCTGTTACCTGACTCTCTTTATGATTGGTCAGTTTCTTTGGAGACGTGATATCAAGGCTGGTCTGTATAAGAGAGCCATTGAAGAAGAGGAGAACGAGGAGGCAGTTAACGAGAAGTTAGAGCTCGAGAATGTGGATAACAAGCCTGCCAGTCAGCATATCAGCTAGGGGATACTCTAGGTTTTGAAGACATTATAATTTACACATAAAGGAATACATATGAGTCCCAGTGTCTATATAAGTGCCTGTCTTCCATACCACCAAAGCTAAGGTGGGTCATTATTCGTCTTAGGGGGTATATTGAATCGGGAGGAATAGGAAACGGCCTAACTACCGGTGGCGGTGCAGATTCATGTCCGTGTTCTAGAGGCTAAGCCACGAGTTCAATAGTAGTTAGGAATTGCAGCTAGCTCCGGTGCTAATTGCCACCCGTAATGCAGTCACGAGCTCAACTTATGCGGCTCCAGCTTCTTGAGTTCAGCCCTTTCGCCAATCGAGGATGTAACGTAATCTCATGCACGCAGGAAGACAACGTCCTTTAGCTTAGCCTAAGCCATCCCTTTCAGGCGTGGTTTGTAGTTGACGCTAGCTTAGTCGGGCAAGATCTTCTGGAGTTGGCATATGACAACCTTTGCTGAAGCCATCTGTGTCATGGTGTTGTGGAAATTGGTCTCGAAGTTTGTTATGACGTAGCTCATGATTCCGTGGTATTCGTATTCGCTTTAGTCTAACAAGTACAGACTAATCAGTTGCAGGCAAGGACAGTGAATCAATTGACTCTCTTTCCCTTGGCCCGTGATAACGGGACTGACCTGAACTTTACGCAATATATCTATGCCTTTCCAACGTACACCACCAAGACAGCAGCATATGCGGCGGTACCTGTGATTACATCTTTTCTCGGCAAACAGGTACCAAATGCCAACCACAGCGCGAAACCCGTGACGAACGCAGTAATTATACAAAGTCTCTTCACGATAACATCTTGAAGCTGATCGGCATTCCCGCCCCCATCACCGATTGCCCAGAGCGCCCACATGGGCGTGATGAGAAAGCCAATGGCAATCACTGCTCCAACTAGGGTAACAAAACGCTGAAGCTTTTTTTCGTTGATATACTTTTTGCTTTCATCACTTCGCTTATAATCCTGAGTCGATAAGTGATAATAGAACCTGAATTAGGGAGGCTGCGGCTTACCAAAAAGGGTAATGGAAAGTATCTAGCTAGACCTCGAGACCAGATATCATCATCACTGGAGGTGAAAAGGGCCACCAAGTCTGGGTATGGGATCAGCTTATGTTCGATCTTGGTATCCCATACTCCCAGGGAGTAATCATGCACATCGATTGATGGAAGATGGTCCTGCACTGCTCTTACAGTACGGTCAGCTGGCTTATCAAGCTTTAGGACCGTTCTGTATACGACGAGGGCCTTATCTGTTTGTCAACGATTAGCCAAGGAAAGCTTGACGTAAAAGCTACCTACGATATTTAGTTATGGTTTCATGAAGGTCGAAGTGAAACTTAGTCCTGGTATCAGCATCTAGCGACTGCGGATCCGGATATGTTGTTTCGAGCTTTGTTAGTTGATCATGGAGATGGATGATATTCGCGACCGCAAGGGTGTCAAATCGACGAAATATCATCGTAGACTTATCTGTACTTTCTGCTAGGAAAGACGAAACCGCCTCAATGTTTCTGGTTGACATGGTCATAGTCACTGTAGAACTCGTCCAAGTATAGCACGCCAAGGGGGAGATGTGTAAAGAGATGATTGTCCGCAATGGAGTAAAGGGACAAGTATAAGGCAACACTTGCCACGGAAAGGAGGAAGTATTAGAATTAGTCGGCCAAAGAGCGGTGAATGTTGAGAAAACAACAACGTGATCAGCCTCTGCATATTACCTGCTACCATTGTGGTCTCCTGATATACTAGTCTGGACCTTGTGACTGTGGCTGGCTGGTCGGAGACCAACGGCAATCACAGGCTAGAAGCGGTCTCTCAATTCTGTCTCTTCCAATTCACATCAGATAATGCTCGGTTCATTCTTGATCACGCGGCATGGTGCACCGCTGTTGTATAGACACCTCACATATGACCCCTTGGCCGTCACTTCATGGGCCTGAGGTTCCTAACCTATCCTCTTGCAATCTCATTTGCATCAGAAACTTCAAACCGGCTTCATTACCATCATAGAGCACGGACAATGCATAGTCTCGATCCGCTGGCTACCGCCCCGCGTGACCAAGAAAGTCGTGCCATTGGTACGCGCACCTTGCAGCAGCGAGAAACGAACGATCCACGACTGAGCCCAAGACTCAACAACATCGACGTGATACCAGACAACGTGTCTCGTACAATCCTTCCTACGTCGGGAGCAGCCAGTGTAGCTTCCGAGATCGTGACGGCGCCTAGCACGGCTAATTTAACGACAAACCCCGGCGCGATATCTCCAAGGACGCCTATGCCGACAGCCTCTACCTCTTCGGTATCTCTTGGAACGATTGCTTCCAAGTCTCAATGCACAATGCGACGCCTTTTGGGAATGAAATGTAAGTCCTTCAACACTCATCATTCTTATTGCCCACCCTATACGGTGTCGAGATTCTTGACAGTCGGAACGCACAATCTGATGAGGTGTTCTAGCGTCTACGACGACATTCCCGCCTGTAGCCACTCCCATAGAAGCACCCGCCCGCCCCTCAAAACACCAAAGATGTTCCGGTCGAAGCGCTACCGCCACAGGTATTGTGCAGCTTAGGCCATGGGAAGACAAGATAGGGAATATAATTATTCGAATGGTCAAGTGATGATACCGGTGACTAAACGTAACGTCACAATCCGACAACATATCAGCAGTGAAACGATCAATCTTTCGTACTTTCCCCTCCCCGGAATCGCTCATACATACACGACCCTTTCGTTGGCGTTACACTTCCAATTTGCCCATCATTCCCATGCCCACGACGTCATCCCAGCAAGATAGAGCCCCGCATGATGATACAAGTTAGCCTTGCCGAGATTTAAGCTTCAGTTCGTCTGACAGGGCTTTGGCCCGTGCTGATGTGCTTATTTTGGGGGCGTTTTATACCGCCATCCGTCATTCAGATAAGCTTGTCCCGTTACGCTTTGGAGGTGAGTACGGCTCGAAACGTCAATTAGAAACAGAAAGCCTGACCTTGACCAATCAGCTTGTCCCATGTACCGCCCAAGCTCTATTGGCACTCAAGTTCATGCCATGAGATATCTCCGTGATTTATTCCCAGATTTATGCATTTATGCGGAGTAAAGATAGGGTAAATAGATAAAGCTCCTTCGTTGATAGGTACTATTCTGGCTTACTTTTTCGCGTTCTGCCCTTTCTTATTAATATTTGCCATTCTACTTTCCCTCTTGACCCTCTTTTATATATATCGCCCTCTTCTCACAGTTTTTCTTTTCGATGTCTCTTTAATGTTTTGAGAACGTTTGAGAAGGTGAGTAATTAGAAGTGAAGGACATCAACAGTAAGGAAAGATGAATGAATTAACTAGACACGGCCCTACAGTAAGATGTGTACCGGCCCGTCCTGTCCCAAATGCAAGCAAATCTTCCTTATATCAGATATATCCTCTTCCTACCAGACCTTGTATCATCAGGAATCCATTTCTCCCAGTATCACTCATGAGCAATTTTCTGTTTCGCCGATATTGCCCCATGCAACCGTGGCCATTGCGAAGCTCAACTCTGTATGTACTAGTCCCATTCACGCAGTAGCATTCCAAAATCAACCAGTTCTCATCACCCCTGGGCTTCATTAAAGTCTTTTCGCCCGCTCTCCATCCATGCGGTAATCTTCCCACCATTTGAAAAGGCATGGGGCCTGTTGCTTCCGACGGTACTCCTTTGCCTCGTCTGAGGAGGGGTCAAGTTTCTTGGGGTCGTGAGGATCCAGTTCGACACCGTCCTCCAGCACCGGGGCTGTGCATTCGATCATGTCTCGTGTAAGTTCTTGAAGCTCTGGTTTCCAACGACTGGCAATAGCGCTCAGGCTGCTCTCAGCAAACTCGTCGCTTTCTGTCGGATTCTTCATCAGATACTGAGCTACAGCAGAGTAGAAGTGGCCTTCTCGAGTCACCAATTCATCGTCTTGATCAGTCCAGGAAACACGTGTCCTGGGATAACGGTTACAGTTCTGGCCCAAGTGCATCTTGATCAGTTCAAAGCTGCAGATGGATCGGTACTCCCCTTTGATGTTTTTGTGGATATCTCCTTCGGCAGCAAGAATGTCGGCGTATTTCATTGTCATATTGGTTTCAAACCAGCCGTCAAATGAGTTCTCTAGGTAGAGTAAGTCCCAGTACACATCATGCTTCTGCCCCATTCTCTAAAGGCGACCGAAAGCATTCAGAAGGGTTTGGATGTTGTGGGGATATTCGAGAACGATGCCATTGTGACAAGCGCCGTGAAAGTTTATACCAAAGCCGTTCAGCTGGAGGGATGTGACAAGGACGTCGACGGATAAATCTAGTGAATTGAACCTGCGGACTGCCTCGGCGCGCTGATTTTCGTCGTGTGAGCTTCGAATGCTCATGGTATCCAGGGACAGATACTTCAGTAGCGCTGTCAAAACCCTACAACTGTTAGCAACGATATGATTGGGTGACACAAACTTACATTGAAGTCAAAGGATAGTTGACAAATATTATCACACGATCCTTCTTCTTGCGTAGCTCCAGGACTCGGTACAATGCCCAGGCTAGTTTTGGACTTTCATGACAGAGCGTCAAGACGACGTCTTCGCGACTACGAGGGGCTTGATGTTTCCCAACTGTTTTTTCGTAATACCATTGGAGCCCATGAGTGTGATCACCATCACGACGATCCTGGCTGATGATCCTGTTGATATTCTCTGAATCGGCAGCAGTCGGCGGTTTTTTAGGAGTGACTGGAGCCTTCGGGTCTGGTCGCGTCAGTGAATAGAATGCCGGGGCAGTCGTAGCCAAAGCAAGTGTACGTAAGATGGCCGAGTTCATCACGACACCTTTGTTTTCGTCGATCACATTGTTTTCAAGCAGTTTCTCCTGATCTTCATGGCTGTTAAGATAGAGATCGCCTATATGTTCAGATATCATCTCATGCAGCCTTTCCTCGTGCTCTTCACTAGGCTTGGCCCTGACCATCCGAAGCCATACAGGACGGATTTCATCCCCTGGCATGACCACTGACCCATCAGGCAAGGTCAGCTCGGTAAGCATACGTCGACGAATGCAGAGAAGTCTCATCAGTGGCTTGATAGCTCGTTGGGAGATCACACTGTCTGCTTTTCCTAAACTGTGGCGAAAGGAGCTGTAGAGATGCGGGTTCATCAAGAAAAGAGGACCCTTCTTTTGCTTGATGAATTCGATGAATTCTGTCTTGAGTGTTTGTTCCCGTGCGGTCAGTGGACCATATGGCGTCTCATCATCATCAGCATCATCCGAGCCCAGAACATGATCCATGGTCAGACCACGATACTCTTTGCCCTCCTTTATGGTGTTCCAGGCTTTCTCTCTGTAGTATATGAAAGGGCTGAGTTTGCTTCTCTTGAACTTGAATGGCCACTCGTGTCTCCAGAACAGGTTGACGTACCCCCAGAAATCGCGCTGGTGGTTGAGCAATGGTGTCGCCGAGACAATTAGTGTTGCCTCTTTGTGAAGCATTCTCACCAAGGTATGAGTTCCTGTGCGCGGGTTCCTTGTAGTGTGTCCTTCGTCGCACATGACCCAGTTAAACTGTGCATTTTCAATCCTTAGAACCCACTTTCTCTCTGCCTTTTTGCCTTTCCTGACGTGACGTGGGCCGTGTCCATGTTGGTTTCCATCAGTTTGAATGCTACCGTTCGCTTCGAGCTCTGCAACTTCCTTGCTGGAAAGGAACATACGACGAACGGCCGTCATGTATGGAGTGATGACAATACTACGGAGAGTCTAATAAGTTAGCAATCATCCTTAACTTAACCAGACAGAAACCTACCTCGGGGTTCGCATGGGCCGCTGCCTTTTCATCAATCCAATCTTCAAGTTCATCTGTCTCTTCAATGATCGATGAATCGATAAGGTCATCTGGCGCAGTCTTGGATGTCTTGTGGAAGATTTTGATTTGGAAAAAGTCACCAAACCATCGCGTAATCTCTCGAAAGATTTGCCGAGCGATTGCACCGCTTGGACATAGGAGGATACTGGGTTTGAATTTCCGCTCAGGGTCGAGAGGCTGGAAAGTCCCTTTCTCAATTTCCATTTTGACACGGCGATAATGGAAGAGTAGAGCGAGGGGCATCTGAAGTGTTTTACCAGTGCCACACTCATCTGCAAGAATAGCAGCGCGAATCGCTGAGTTCAGGGTGTCACAAATCCAGTTCGCACCTGAACGTCAGTATGCAGCCTATCAAGTACCTCGGAAACTTACCTATGACCTGATGGGGTTTGGCATTCTCCATCATGCCTGGGAATTGAATACCATCCTTCCAGATGATCCCTTCTGTGTTGACGTCCATATCTCGACAGATTTCTTCAAGGTTGCAGTTCTTCGGGAGGAGGATACCCATCAATTCTCGCTGGATGCGCAATCCTTCAAGGGTTCTCAAGTCGTCATCGTCTTCTTTACTCTCAGTTTGTTTTGTGTCAACTTCTTCCTCGTCTGCTGGCAGGAAGTTGTGACTGTCTTGTTTCATCTCGACGTAGGTGTCGGTTTCAGCGCGTGACATTTCTTTAAGGCGTCGTATAAGGCTTTCAAGGTTGTCGGGGTCGACATGGGGAAGCTGATTGAGTTTGAACTCTTTCTCTCTGGGATGATTGGCATTCGTAGTCGTCTGTACTTCGATGGGTTGGTCGACGATTTCTTCCTCGTCCTCATGCTCCGGAGTGGCCTGGGGATGATTGGCGTCCACTGTCGCCTGAGCCTCGGTAGGTTGATCGATGACTTCTTCGTTTTCATGCTTCGGAGTAGGCTGCGTAAGATTTGAAGCATCCACGGTCGCCTGGACTTCCATAGGCTGGTCGGTGACTTCTTTCTCATCTTCATGCTTGGTAGTAGTCTGGTATGAATTAGTGTGGTTCTTAAAGTCATAAATGTACTCACAGCTGATACAGATGTCGGCTGGACATTTGGTTCATTGTCCGCAGATTGATCCTCAATTTTTACACGTTTCGGCGAACTTTCTCCCGATGGGGAGACCTCCCTTTTCCCGCTAAACAGCGAGAACAGAGGCATGGTGAGATGGAACGGGCAGGGTTTGAAATTATGATTATTTGCCCTTCGGTGGTCGTTCACACACGTTGAGTTCAATGTCGCATTTGCCTCAGTGAATCTTGGTAGGTCAGTCGAAGCCGCACTTCAGTTGGAAGACTGCTGTTGTGATCCTCGAAGGTTACAGATTGGAAAGCTGCAGAGTGATAATTGTGATTTAACTGATTTGAAGAATGAGTGGTGATGAAGACGTTGGTCCGAAGGTGAGTGTATGCAAAGGATTGAGTGTGAATGGAGTGATGGTTGAATGTGAAGGAGAGTGATTGTTGATGAGTGTTGTGGATAGGAGAAGCAGTGATGATGAAGGGAGAGGTGCTAAATCTGCAGGGCAAAGAAGTACAGGTTGAAGGAGGTGAAAGAAAGAGGAGGTGAGAAAGAGTAGTGAGGAAATACTAGTGTAGAAGATTAACCACTGAAGCGGTTGAAGGTGTGAGACGAAATGTGCAACTGTGATTCAAGTTACAAGGCAGCATCCTTTGTTAAATCTTAGTCACGTGTTAGTTATGCGATTCACCCGACCACAGGATATATATCTGTCTCATTCTAGGCAGCCAAATCAACTTAACCTCGATATTCGTGACTACGTTTCGCATAGCTAAGTATATCATACTTCACCTGATCGGCAAAAAAAGCACCTCATTGGGTTAGACCGTGACATCTTCGTGGCCACGTCCCTTCAACTCCCTTTGATTTCAAGAGCTACTCACTAATCTGTGTTCTCAGATTCCCAACTATATGATACAAACGAAATGGCTACTTCCAAAAACCCAGAGCGTATTGCTGAACTTCATCAAAGCGAGATACCAGTACCGTGGTGTGATGAGTTTGAAAAGATGATCAGCGGCATGATGTCAGTATACTCCTCTCACGAGCCACACCAAATTAACACGAATCTAGCTTCACCACGAATAACTCCCAAGAGCTTATGGATTATAAATTGATAGCGATGAAACGACTACGCTCCTTCAATGACGATAGCATTCCCGATGGCAGTACGCTTGCATCGTTGAAAGCAAGACGAATGGCAGTAGCAAAAGAAATGCTTGGTCAAATGGGTCAAGGTGTCACTATCGAACTTCCATTCTTTCATACCTGGGGCTGTAACATATTCATTGGAAACAGAGTGTACATCAATCGAGAGTCAGTACAACCCATCCCAAGAGAACTGTACTAACAAAACAGGGTATCCATATACGACAATGCTCTCGTGACTATCGCAGATGGTGTACTGATCGGACCTGGCGTGTGTATCTGCACAGCAACCCATCCTGCAGATATGTACAGCAGAAGGGAGGCTTGCGGCACATCGTTTGCCTTGCCTATCCGTCTTGAAGCAGAGTGCTGGATAGGTGCTCGAGCAACGATCCTTCCGGGGGTAACAATCGGGAAAGGCGCAATGGTAGCGGCTGGAGCTGTCGTTGGTAAAGATGTTGCGCCAGAAACTCTTGTTGGAGGCGTCCCTGCACGGTTTATCCGGAGTTTGAAGGATGCTGAAGTTGAATGATTTACTCCATCATGGGCGAGGAGTTCAGGTCAAAGAAGTAAATACAAACACATTCATGACAAAGACTCTTTATGTAATATCTATCCATCCAACGCCTTCGCTCATCACTACAACACTCATCCAGCGGCACCCCCTACCGCCCCGGCAACTTCGCCAATCACTTCATCAATAATCTTGGCCAACGCCTTGGAAGATACAGCAGATAACAGCGCCATAATAATAAAGAACTCATCTCCAGGAACATAAATGCTCATTTGCTTCTCTGTAAAGCGCGTCAGACCAGCACTACCATATTTGGCGACTTTGTTTCCCATCTGATCATACAACTCAAAGCCTGTCCCAGTCAATTGATTGACCTTCCATTTGAATTTGCCCATGTGGGTTTGAAATGACCAACTTCCTGTCATGGAGCTATGTTTTATCACCATCGGTTGGTTGTGTACTGAAAGATCTATCTTGGATGTGCTGAGGTGCATGGTGGCCATTGCAATGATGTTATTAGGAGCTGGTTGACCACGGTGCATGACAAAGCTTGAACTGCTGGGTTTTTTGTATATGGTGTACAAGGGAGCGTCTTTTGGTGCGCCCGCGGGGAAAATGAAAAGGAGATTATCATCTTGTGGGTGTGGTTGGATTGTGAGGACTTGAGAGGCATTAGAGGCGGCAGACCCGTGAAGCACTTTGTTCAAAAGTTCTCTCATAATTCAGGTCGAGTTGGTTGAGTTATGATTGTTTGGCGATTTTAAACGACAAAGAGTGAACTGGCATCTCATTTATACTCATATTTCTCACTGCGACATATTAAAACATGTCATCTATGACATTCCCTAAACAGTATAAATCTCGCGACGGTGGCAGCCCCAAGGATCCGGGCCGGCAACTCCACTTTCGACAAATTTCATCAAACTTCATCTCGACCAATAACTGGTGAAGAATAAGAACAGGCATTCCTACAGCTGAGATCATTACACAGCCGTCGTGGCGAATCATTGTCTTGTGCCACAAGGCTGAGCATGTGGCAGATAACGTTGATCTCGGGATGTATGCCTTGGATCGACACAAGGAGATCATTGTAACAATCTGATTCGCTAACAATGAGGCGTAGATTAATTCAGCCTCAGGAACTCGGAGTAAACGATCGAATTAGATGCTTTGCTTGAGAATCGAGAAGTAATATGCTGTTCCATACATTCTCCCAAGTCACGCTATTCCCAACATGGTGATATGATGCGCTCGTCATCCTTCAGTGGAGCACCCTACCCTCATCCAATCACATTCACCATGTCAGATCTTAATGCATCTAAGGCTGAGCGTTATCCTTGTCTCAACATCCTGCGGGGCGATTAGAAAGCCTTAATTACCAGCTCATCCATCTACAAAAGCCCACATCCAGAATATTCAGTCTTGCCTATTTTGGGTCATATCTACCGCTGAAATGCCTGGAGTTCCATCTTACAAAGGCTGCGACGCTTGCAGAAAGCAAAAGAAGAAGGTTCGTCAACATCCTCCAAGAGAGAGTCTACTAACAGATGTAGTGTGACAAGGCTCAGCCTAAATGTGCCAGATGTGCTCGTCTTGATATCCCTTGCGTCAACGTGGGTAAACAGCGTTACAAGTTCAAAATTCAGACGTTGGACCCTGGATCAGACAGTTTGACGCTTCAGAGCAGCAGCACCGATGACGACGCGACTAGCTCATCTCGAAGCTCAAAATCGAAATCGCCATTGTTTCATCATGCCATGGTTAGAGTTCCTAGTAATCAGACTACTATCGTTACACATACACTGGTATCGCGGCTTGAGATTACTGATCTGCGATATGACATCACATGCTATGGGGACTTTCTTCGACATATTCCAGCTCGACTAGGTCGTAATGAAGCTCTGGATGCATCTGCAGACGCATTGGCCACGACATTCTCTACTCTTCATCTAGCACAAGGAAATCAAAGCATAGAGGCACTTACAAAATACGGCCGTGCAATTCACTCATTGAGGGTGTGCTTGGACAATCCTGCTAAAGCCAGAATGCCCGAAACCATGTGTGCTGTATATCTCATCATGATATGCCAGGTATGTATCCGTCACAATTTTACTCCGTATTAATACTAACATTCTCAGGGCTGGTTAGGCAGGGATGATGACCCTTGTACAAGTCACGGCCTCGGTCTGGCACATCTTCTAAAAGCAGCTGCCCGAGAGAATTGGGAAGCTGGCTTTGAAACAGATATGGTGTTGACATTCTGTGTCCCGGTGGTACGTCTCCAACTCTATCAAAAGCCAAACTAACCCCTCCAGATCGTAGAGAGTATCTCAAACCCAAAAGTCCGGTTGGAAAAGTGGTTCTGGGATATGTTGGACAATTTCAAAAAGAACAATCCCCCATCCACGGAGGAAACCAAACAAGCCCGACAAGACGGCCAAGAAGCGGGAGGTATTCCAAGTCTGTCGATACGCAACTTGGGACTTCTTCCGGATTTTATCAATGAACCCGAGGAGAACCGCATGGAAATCATATGCGCTTACCACAGACTATGCCGAGACTTGACAAAAGTAAACGCAATTGTCAAGGCTGTTACTTGGGAGCCTGGCTTCTCACCCACGCCCATGCAGCTCCGCCTATCTCGCGCTTACAACTCAGCATACTCAGTTATGCTCACAGTTCTTGTGATTCTGGGCCAGCTGATGCAGGCTTTTGATCCTTACAATCTGGGGCTCGTGGGTGAGGCAGCGTTGTGCTGTTCAGAAGTCGTGGCCATGGCACATCGAATAAGTGAATACCGACCTCTAGGTGCAAGCCACGTACCCTTGACGTTGGCAATCGCTTGGGCTGCTACAGAAGAGCCGGGTCTAAAAGCTCAACTTGAACAATTGTTGAGTGAATATCAGGAAGATTGGTGTGTGACTCAGTGGGCCAAGATTGGACATTGGTGGTCACATAGATTCGCTGGATTACGGGAGAGATTAGCCCCCAGGTTTGAGTCGGATGAGATTGAGATGTTGATGAATTGTGTTGGAGACACAAGGACTAGCCCACCGGCTGAGGAGTGTTCTGTAATGTAGACTGAGTGATAAGGGATGAATCTCTGCTGGCAGAGTGTACATAGTCATCGGTCCTACAAATCTACTTATAGCAGTGCACATCACCAGTTCGATTTTGCTGTGCTACCTTCATCAATTTCAGTGTCGTCTCTAAGCCAAATATCAAGATCAAGCTCAATTCTCACTCAGTATACACCAGTTTCCCACCACTCACTCTCCCATCTCTCATTTCTTCCAATCCTCGTAAAATTCCCTCCAAACCACTTCCCCCTCGATTGAGGAAAATGCGCGGCGCCTTGACCTTTCCTTCAGCGAATAGTCTTTCGGCCACTGGAACGAACTTTTTCTGAAATTCATAGTCTCCCGGCACAGCGAGGAAATACTCCTTCTCATACATCCAAGGATCGCCAAAGGCTGAGTATGCTAGGATGGACTGCGCATCAACCGAAGGATTGAGTTTCTTGACCTCTTTTTCGAAACCAGGTATCAATGTGACATATTTCGCATCAGATTGACTCAATACTGCTGCAGATGTGGCTGTGCTGGTGTCGCTTGGGTAGGTGTCGAATACGTATTGTACTGGCCCGTTGGCTATACGTAGTACATCTTCAACCAGAGTGGTGGACTTATAATCAAGAACACAATCTGCACCCAAGGACTTGAGATATTCGGCATTGGAAGGCGATGAAGTTGTGATTACTGTGCCGCCAGATAACTTGACGAATTGAATTGCCGATATGCCCATAGCTGTGCTGCCGCCATAGATAAAGATGAAATAGCTTCGTGGTTCTTCTGGGAGAGGAAGCTTCAAAGTGCGGTATAAGCCAACGCCCTTCAAACGTCAGTATTTCTCTTGTACCTCATATTTGACCTACCATTGTGACTAGGGCAATTCCCTGTGTAGCGGCATCTTCATCACTCATATTGTCGGGTATCTTCATTTGAATATCTCCTTTGACCACAATGACATTGGCAAAAGCACCATAGCTCTTTTGTAGAGTATTCCTAATAATGTTAGCACATTTAAATCAATCGCCGAAGCTACTTACTGTCCAGAAATTACCCCAGCAATGCGGTCTCCAATCTTGAAGTCTTTAGTTACAGCAGATCCCACCTCAACAACAGTGCCGGCGTAGTCTGATCCAACGAGAGAGCCAGCACAACTCTCCTCTCCTTCTAAATCAAGATGATAAACATCATCCGGGTTGATAGCCCAAGCGGTAGGTTTGACCTTGATGTAATCAGGCTCTAGCTTAGGGATGGTAATTTCCTGAATCTCAGCTTGAGCTGGGCCGATGTTGACAATGCCTCGTGTAGTCATTTTGAATTTCTTATTATATCAGAAGCTTTGAGCTCTTATCGTAGCAGAACCTTTGAGTTATTGGCGACTTTATACGCAATCATTGGCATTCAGTTCATGACTAATGGTGCTTACATTAATCAGCTCTCAACGTTGAGATTTGTCAGTTTGCTTACTGCAGCCACTTCACCAGCCGACATTAGGATTACACAGTGGCAGTAAAAATGCAGAAGACCACGAGCGATTCAAACTGAGTAGTTAAAAAATATGGAGTCAATAAAAGCAGACGAATAAGAGTATGCATGCTCGGTTACATGGTAATCTTGATAACATCTATCAGTGTCTCGGAACCAGATCTGGCCTGCTATAGTTAGATATCACAATAATACAAGCCAATATATCTAATATCCGATATTACCTGAATAGTGACATGCCAAGACGCGTAAGTCAGGCCCCTTTCACATACATCCGCGACTAGTTCATCCTTAAACTTGGCCACGATCCAAAACAATAACCCCGGAGAAGCCTAGCGTGCTGATGGTCGGACCGAGAAATGATACCCGGAATTTGTACGGTGATGCGACACGAAGGATTGAAGCTACTCCAAACACGGCGTTAGTTAAGTGGGAGAGCGACACTGTCAAAATCGTTATCCGATGTTGGCTATTCTGCAAGTGGTCAATAGCGTGTAACTGACTCGGAATCATACGATAGCACGGACACACCTGTCTATGGATGACACTTTGCTTAGAAATTGGTCTTATCTGCAGTTCATGCTTCTCTGACGTAGCTGTTCACATGCACGAATGATTGATCCAAAGTGTATCATATCTCGCTGTCTAGCTTGTGCTGATTCTCTATAACAAAGATTACATCGCTGGGTATTTGATCGGTTTTACCCAAATCATTAAAATTAAACAAATGCGTCCTATACTCCGTGAAACACCTTGACAACACCTGCTGCCGATCTTTCAGAGTTTGTCTCTGGATCATCAGTCCGTATGCTGTCCTTGCTACGGCTCATCAATTCATCAGGAATACATCCCACAGGTCCTCTTCTATTTCTGTCATCTGGGCCTGCTTCTTCGCTGGTGATTTGAACCTCGTGCTTGGCGTAGATCTTGAGAGGTAGTGCGTAAGAACCGTTGATCTCTTCCTCACTATCGACCTGGTGGAGAGCGTGGTCGGCGCGGATCTGAGATCGAACGACGGAGCGATGGTTGGTGAAGTTTGATCGGTAAGCTTTTGAGGGATTGTTGGTACTCTTGCCGTAGGTTGATCCGCTGAATGAACCGAGTTTGAAGATACGGCGAAGAAGGGTCCAGATGTAAGGGAGGTTGGCGGTGATGATGGCTGTGGAGGATTCTCGGATATACCAAAATGTCCAGTTAGATCCAAAGGGTTCGTTGAAACTGTAGAACTTGTTGAGAATGGCAGAAAGGATCTAATATGTTAGTTGACGTGGTGGTGTGGTGGTGGTGTACTTACAGTGAATGCACCCAATGCAAACACGCCAATAAGAACTGCCTTTCGCTTCAAAGGGAGCTGAGATTTGAGGAAAATGGGCATGGGAATAAGAATAATCATGATATCGGACGTGATATTAATAACGGCGTTCGTGATGAGATGGTTTGTCGCAGCAGAACATTGTGCTGTAAAGGTTAGTATACTTGGTAGTCAAAGCTCAATGACGACATACTGTTCTCTGGAGGTACAGCCCAGTACTGGTTGAATGGTCTACACCAAACTCCCAAGTAAAGAATCTCCATAATGACAAAACCCGCAGCGGTATAAGCAGCGACAAACTTGACAGCCAAATTCTGACTCAAACTCATCCTGTGACATGTTAGAAAAGTCGGGATGACGGGCGGCGGACGTACGTGAGGCGGTTGTACATGAGCAACAAACAAGCCTTCATTAACCAAATGGTAAGAATCTGCATCTGCTCGACTACCACAACCCATTTTGAACCGTATACTCGTGTGGCGATTTCCGTTGCGTCGAGGACTACTTTTTCGTTGGGGTCGATGAGGTTACTACTCGTTTGAGAAATAATGGACATGCCGACCATGAGGATTGTATCGGTGAGCTGTACTCGTTAATTATGCAATTGACATTGGTGTAAGTCGGACTGACCATGGCTAATATCATCAAGTAATCCTCTACTTCCATCTTTTTAATTGAACCCAGCAACATGCGTCGTGATACCCTAAATGGTCAGCGATGCAATTGACGCGACTCAATTGATCTTACATTCTGGCGACAACAATAACCCACGATAGACCATACCAGGTCCAGATCTCGCCTTCTAGCATCGTCATGTTTGCGGTTGTCGTTGGTATCGATGAACGTTGATTAGGGATCGATGAACGTTGGCTAGGGATGTCGTGAATTGATCGTAGGGAAGGATTCCCGGTCGAGCTCGAAGGATCGGCGGGAGGTGACAGCTTTGAGTCAATTCGAATTGGAAGGGCTGTCGAGGATGCAACGGCGCATGACTTGGGTGTGTGTCGGGCCCTGTAGAGATCAAACGTATGGATACTGGGATAAAAGAGAGACAAGCACCATCAGGAATCAAGACATGCGAGACAACGCGGGGGTGGGTTAAAGCTTTTAGTTAAGGGGAAGACCACCAAGACAAGTGGGGTTTGGTAGAGGAAAGACTCCGTCCTCAGGGGTCGAGACTGTAGACTGGCTGACGTTTTCCGAGAGATGGTCTAAACAAGTTGAGTTAGGGATTTCCATTTTTCTTCGTCTCTTCGCGTTATTCTACGCCGGCCTCTGTCTTTGATTTAAAACGGGGACTAAATAGCGGATGTCATCGGTCCTTTGGCCATCAGGCTAGACTGGCTAGACTGACCAGACTTGGGGATCAGCCTCCGATTCGCTCTTTTGTCAGTAAACCCTGGGATCCAAGGGCTGCACGATCGAAGGAATGGTTGCAGTTTGCCACGTTCTTGAAGCGCCCATTGTCAACCGAGTTTACCGACTTCAGCCGCACAACCCAATGGCATCATGTCCATGCCCTGTCAAGGTGCACAGCATACCACATTCGCCGAAGGATCCCAGTAAACTGAACCTGGCCCTGATCCAGTAGATCAGTTACGTCTAGAACCCTGAAAGAACGAATGTCTTTCCTTTTTCGGTGGCAACTTGTCTCTGCAGCAGTGGCGCCCAGCCTTTGCGAAACGTCTTCCAGCTGGTATGTACATGACGGAATATGACCGATAGAACCCTTTTCCACTCCAAAATGTCCTCTAGCTGAAGGTCACTGCTCTTTTCCCCTGTAAAATGCGTGAATAAACTTTGCTAGCGTAACCTGCCAAGCCTTCGATCGCGTGGATATTGAGGAGATGACTCGCTGATCACTCCACTTTATCACCTCGGGCCCGACTTCGTCTCAATTGTCTCCCAGGAAATAAGGAGTTTCCAGATTCTGGCTCAGCCCTCGTCTCTGGATTATGGAGTCTCCCCTCGTCTCTAGATTCTGGCTCAGCCCTCGTCCCCCTCGTCCCCCTCAGCTTCTACGGGGTCAGAGAACGGCACGCTTATCTTAAATTGACAGATTAATGATTTATCGACTGCATTCACTAGTCGCAATTTTTACTTCTTTGGTTCTTAGGTCAATCCAGGAGCACGGTTCATCCACCCGCCATCCGAATAAGGCATCTCAAAGCTCTCAAGGTGTGCCTTGACTCGTGAGTGGTTTTATTCACGTTGCAGCGTCGCTTTTGGCTTGCTATATCAAAGCGTTCGCTACCACATGCATGTAGTTCTTGGCTGCGGAATTAATACCTTCATTTTGACGGCATAGCAATCTGTTTCGGCCAAGTAAATCCCCCGTTCTAACCGATAATCCCACCATTGAACACATTGATTGACGCTTATTATGTGGTCTTGATCCGTAATCTCATCTTGCGACAGCCAGTGTCACTCGCGCTTATTAATTCCCGGGGTTATAGCTTAAGGAACAAATAATGGCACGATACCCTCATTTATAGATTCATTCATCAGCTATGGTGGATAAAATAATGTCTTAACTAAGGCGGGACTTCACGGGGGAGCTTCCGGATAAATGTTAGTGAGTGGCGGGAGGCAGCCTTAAGAGGGAGGTGATTAATCTAAACGGTCAAAGCTTTGGTCTATTGGTCTGGATTGATCATGGACCACCGTATTGCTGATTGATTTTACGTAGTGAATTGAGTGTTTGTTACAGGTATCAGGGGTTGGGTACTGTACCACAGGTGATATGAACATGTATTGATAGAATTACTGCGGAAAATACGGAGACCAGGGTTCATGCTGGTGATTCGGAAATTTTGCACGTGGGATTGTCGAGGTTTTCAGTGAGAATGGAATAAGCAACTGTGTGCACCTGGAATACATATTTGTCATGTTTACCCGCCACAAATCAATTCCATTGCCGTGGCTAATGGCTCACTAAGCAGAGGATGGCGCAACATCACGTGATCGATTTCAAAGCGGCTCTGTCGGATTCTGTCAAAATCTACGATGCGGAGATGAAACATATAAACACATCAACCACCTGGTCACGGAATAGCTCAGTTAAAGTAGATTAACATTCAACTACCGAATCCACAGATCGAAAGGTCTCATTATTGCATCACTGCCGATCAGAGATCACCAGCAATATGGTTCACCACATCACATCAAACGACGAGCTATCACAGCTCCTCTCATCAACAACATACGTCACCGTCGACTTCTTTGCTGACTGGTGTCCTCCCTGCAAAGCTATCGCCCCTGTTTATGAGACCCTCGCTACAAAGCACAGCGTCGGCAATGTGCTGGCCTTTGCCAAGGTCAACGTGGACCACGTACAGGATGCTGCCCGCCAGTACGGCATCACAGCTATGCCCACATTTCTCTTCTTCAAGGATGGCAAGCAAGTTGCTGTGAACGGTCAGGTCGCTATCAAAGGCGCTGATCCGCGTGCTCTTGGTGCTGCTGCCGAGAAACTCAGTGGCCTAGCGCAGAAGCGAGTCGCTGGTGCGTAGATCAGATGGCTCGGAGATTTTGCTCAGGGGATGTTCGAGAAAAAGTCTATCTCTTACCTAGTTGGGTTCGGCATTGTTTAGCGTTTTGTTAGGAATGTGTGGCGGTCTCACGGAGGAAAGGAGACGCTAGGACAATTGTTGCGTGCGGTTAGTGACGGGCATAATACAAAGGATAGAGAATATGACCGTTTGCGGATATAATTGTTAATGCCGTAAGCATCCGGGGCATTGTGACAGGCATACGGTATTGGGATAGATGTTGCTGGTGTATAAATGAGATGTGATTGAAGGAATGTGGTGACGATTGTGCTCAAAGGATTGTCTTTTTTGTTACAAAGAGAGTACAATTTTGCATAAGTGAATGGACAAGCATGGGATTTATTGGTCGTAACCACAATACAAGTGCCCATGGGTACAGGGTGAGATGGTGTTAATTACGGCGTAGATGGAAAACTAGAAATTCCTTCATTTGACTTGTTCTCATCGTCTAAACTATACAATAATCAATTAGGATGTAAAATTTCAACACTAAATAATAACGACCGTTCTCTCTCAATTCAGACCATGTTATAAACAGTCATTCAAGTAAATTCCTTCAGAACTTCTTCAAGCCACCTCCAAAGGCTCTCATCTCCCACAAATCCTGGGTTCATCTCAGACATGATGGTTAGCTTTCTCGCAATAGCTAGCCTGTCTGATTTGACACCTGAAAAGACATCCTTCTCCCTCTCTTTGACTTCTCCATCTGGGAGGTTATCTTCACCCAACATTGACAGAAGCTGCTTGTTGCTCGGGAGCATAGTTCGCTCGCGGAATAGCCTGCCATAGTCTATAGGGTCCGATAGAGCCTCCTCGTACTTGTAAACAATCTCATACAACTTTTGGAATAAAAAGAGATCTTGGCCTGAAAGAAGACGGACCAGACGAGAAAAATGCCACATCACCTCAGACATATCCCACATATCACGTTGAGATTTCTGGGAAAACCCGGACCGAAAAGAAGCGATAAGTGAAGGTGGGTGAGACATTGTAATGTAAGTAGACTGGCATAAAAGTAAAGGCACCATTTCTTTCATCATGTGGCCAGCGATACAGTAATCAAGTCGGTTCTTGCTACATTCGAGTTTGTCGTCGATGAATGTGAAGTCACCTCGTCTATCCACAGCTACCTCATAGCTATCCCAAGTAAGATAGTCGTCCGGTTTCGGCAGTGGCGAGAAGAAAGATAGGGCGTGAGTGGGAGTTCCTCTGGGACTCAAAGGTCGATACTAAAGACCGAAATAATCCTCCTCTTTGGGAAAAAGGCCCCGATCGATTTCTGCTTCAATGGAGTCTCTTGATTGCCAGGTGAGTACTGGAGATAAACTTCGCCAACTGAAAAGCCTTCGTCATCTTTCAACAGTGATCCAATCTTCAAGACGACTATTCGAAAGACGTGACATAATGACTCCAAGCTGCGTCATGATTTTCTGTCGATCCAAGTCCGAGAGTGGGAGCCGTGGGAGGGGATTGCCGGGAGGTTGAATTGAGGTCTCGAACCAGCGATAATCTGAGAGTGGACGACCAGGAGCTTTGCTTTGGAGAATGCAAGGTACACCGATATCATTCTCATGAGTTCTAATGATTTCAGTCATTATGGGAGCTTATCATCAGGCTTGTCTCTTACCTAAATGAGTACACTCTCGGAATTGGGACTGAACAATGAGTTTCCATGTATCTTAATGTACTTGCTTCACTTATAAGTATCTTGGTCGCAGTTTCATCGGACAACATGAGGGTGTCGGCGCGGGGAACGAAACACTATCGTCAAATATAATAAAAATTACCAGTTCATATTACCGGATTTGGGGAATTTGGACTCATTACAGGTACATAATATACCTCGAAGGTTCTTTGCGAGTGAAAGTAGTGCTGCGACGTTGAATTTGGCCCATCTAAGATGGCGATGTTAATGGGTTTGCGATGTTTGGAAGAGAACGGGGTGAATTGGGAAATTGATTACATCACGTGGCATTCACCGCTACGATCGCGCTAAAAATAGAAGGAAACAGGCGATAAATAAATACATCGTCCATCTCATCCCATTGCTTCAAGGCTTCAATATTTTTAAGATTTTAGGACGATTTAATAGAAACATATCCATCGTTGAGTGATAATTCAATTACAGTGTTCTTCTGATCTCACAAATAAACTACAGGAACTCAGCCCGATAGTTATGGTCTTGAAAACAGTTACGATATAAGTGAACGCGTCACCTGCGATCCAGTCTATTCTCATGAATGAAACCCAATTGACGATGAATGCGTAACCTGTTGATAATTAAAGTTTATTCAACCAGGGCATCGGTGTTAAGACCAAGCCTAAATACCGGATATCATGAAGAGAGCCGACTTGGCAGACACTTGAGTTGTACCGTATTTACGAGCAATCTTGGCGTTCCCACATTTATACGAAGAACCCAGTGACATCTGGATGAGTAGGATGATTTCGAAGATCCTTTCGAAAAAAGATCCTGAGGTTCGCTTGTGGGGATTTAAAGTATAAAGAGCATATAAATATCATAAAGCATTTCGTATCTAAATAGAGTTTCAGGTTGTTTCAAAGCACTTCAAATGATCCGACTACGCAATGATGTATCAACTTCATCTAATAATGTCTTGGTATAGTCCAAATCAGGCATAGTCTTTGGTCAAGAGTGGCAGTGCAAGTCTGGGCATACGATGCTAAGAGTTCATCCTTTGAGTTTTCCGTATGACATCCCTTATCAAAACAACAAGTTTGCCATTGATCACATATCAAGCTGCCAACTCTCCTTTACAGAATTGATTCATTCTGATCCTGCCTCACCCTGTCCCGAAAATCCAGTGTTGTTTGCCCTCGTTTGGCCGATTCATGTAACCTTAATAAGCGTCATGTAAGTACCACTAGACAAACAAATACAATTAACTAAAAACACCAGGGCCTCGAAAGTAAATTTGCCATGGTTTCTATTTGGCGGAACAATCGCGATATTAGTATTCGTCTTGTAAATCATCCACATCACAGTCAAACCGGTGTTAACGATGAATAGTCTTATACTGAAATTTCGAAGTCACCTCTGTCCTAATCCACATGCATCTATCAATCCCTTACGAGCGGGAAGAGTCAACCTAAGAACCCTCAAGACAAAGAAACAAAAGCATGCAGGACAAAGGGCTTCAACACAATTCAGTCGATCAAAAGTTTGGTATGTGATTTTTCTTTGAGATGTCTTCTGATGCTGATACAACTGGAGCTCGCTTTGCTTAGGGACTATCACGGATGAGCATATTCGACAGTCAACATGTGAACATATATTTCATACCAGGTGTCTCGTTGAAGCACGTCAAGACTGCCCACTGTGCTCAGTATTCATTGCAGATACACGAACTTGAGCGATCAGGAAATGCGTCCGTGGACAGTTATCATTTACATCAAACTGGGATTATGTGAGGGTTCGTTTAATAAATTTAATTTCACTGAGGTACTACACTATCCTAACTCCAACTCCAAAATCCATAAAACCAGAACTATCAAGGAATACTTACCACAACACCTAGGAGATGAGACCGTCGATGCACTTGGTGCCAGGGGCCACAGCAGAAACAAAAGCCCAACCTTGGTTGCAAATACCCCAGGTAGTCTCAGAGAAACAGTACAACATACCGGACTGAACACCAGGACAAGCCTTATAGTTCTCATCAACCCAGGTAGGAACACCGCTAGCAGGAGGTTCAGGATTGACGGGAGCTGGTACAGATGTTGGCTGAACGGGAGTGGTGGGTGCAGGAGGCTGAATTGAAGAAACTGCAGGGACCGAGGGTTGAACAGATGATGCCACAGGAGCAGACTCGACAGGAGGTGAAGGGGGATGTTCAGTTGGAGATCCAGGTTGAGCTGGTGCTGATGATACAGGCTCCTCAGGCTTAGGCTCAGAAGGAGATGCATCCTTGAAATTGGGCTCAACTCCCTTGGCGCATGTCCCGTCACTACCAGGAGTACCCTGTTCAATGACCTTTCCGAAATCACCAGGCTCAGGGAAGTTGATGACACTTCCACTAGCTCCAGTCGTACACTCACCGGGAATATTGGCACGAAAGACAGCAGGAAGAGTTTCCACAAAGGTACTGTCATCCTTACCGCCGACGACTTCGATAGGGGCACATACCATGTACATCTCACGGTTACCGATCTTGTTGAACCATGTCCAAGCAAAAATAGCAGGGCCGTTTCGCATATCCTTGGGGATGGGGATGTTGAACTTCTTGGTACACTCCTTGTCGTTTTCGTTCGCACACTCGGGTCCGTTCTCACGACCGTGGGGGTCTTTGCCAGTGGTTTGAATGTTACCAGTAGCTTCAGCAGGGCATCCTCCGATGATACTGTAGATGGTGTGCCACTTGTTAGGATCACTTGGAGGAGTCTTGCCATAGGCGACACTGAATTGGCATGATCCGCCGCCGTGGACAGCACTCCCCCAGAACTTGACGGTCTGCGTGGTTCCGGCTGTTACCTTTGTGACCTGTTCGGCATGCTGGGTGCGTCCTTGACAAGGAAATGGAAGGTCAGCGCTCAGAGGCCAAGTTTGGTAGAGGGGTTCTGTGTCGAGGTTGAAAGGATGAGGCTCGACCATGATGACATGGGAGGAAGCAAACGAAGCGACCAGCGCTAGGATGCTGAGGTGGGAGAATGAAAACATTGTGAGGGGAATGATGGAGATGATACTTGTCTTAGTTGATGGTTGTTTGTGGTTTGTTGTAAGACGAAGTTGTTGATGTCGAAGGCGAAGATTGATGATGAGAAATGAGAGGTTCTGGATCTTTACCTTATATGTAAAGTGAATGCACACAATTGATTGTTATTTTAGTTCTGTCTTTGAGCAGGTAAACGTGTACAAGGCACCGAACAATGCCCTGTTACATGTTCCGGTCATTGCGTGGCAAGTCCCAGAACAAAGGAAGGGCCGTGTTCATGGACAACTGACAGCTTGTTCTTTGTAAGAAGATGACTGGGATTGATCACGCTCTGATAACATATTTGTAACAGAGATCACTTGATGAACAGGAAGGTCTGAATTTGATTGCTGCTGATGAACAGAGTGGCGGGAATCAATCGTGTGGTGAGCTTCACTCGAGAGGTTCATCAATGCTAGTGAATATTGTTGGATACGATATGCTTGAAGTGATCAATTCGATGAATTTACTATTGTAACTGAATATGAGCCAAATTAAACCGCGGAAATGGATAGTAGCCCACGTGTTGTGCTTCCAGCTTCACAGTCCAATTCACATCCACTTCATTTCCGTCATGGCTATCCATTTCTGTGTCTCGATTTAGGCAGTAAACTAGTTGATGATCTTGAATATGTAAATCCACCGTTCAAAGTTTGCTCTGAGGCTCTTTCTTTACAGTCTCAAGCTTTGGATCGAGGTTCAAAATCTTTACAGTCAGTCAATGGCATTGGGAATGAGTTGGAAAACATACTGCGCTTATCGGAAAATTGTAGACAGCGTCTTGAATCCATGCACCTCCATAGGATACTAGAATATCCTGAGTCTTTTTGTGGTGCTTGACAGAATGATCGGGCATCTCGAAGAAGAGGGTGATGATCGAGTAGTGTTATCTCACAATCGAAGAAAGATAGATATGATTTGAGTATGTTCCAAACGTACAGGTGTTGTGAGCATCTTAAATATTGAAAAATGAGTTTACTTTTTATCCAGTGCTGTCTATAATCCAGGGCGACACCGACAAAGCTGACAAAACAATAGCTCTCACCGTGCTTGGTATCATGTCAAAATCATTGGTATTGCTGATTACGGCAATAACAAACTCTGCTAATTTGAAAGCTAGTGATATGGACTCGTAAGGGATGAAGAAAGGATCTCGGGGCTGACTTGTCTTAGGCCTTGCGTTGCAGCTGACACTGGCCACATCATGATAAACAGTTTGTTTTGTCTGAAATAGGAAGTCCCAAACCTTGAATCCCTGAAATTACAGCATAGTTGAAACACAGTTCAACAGTATTCTCAGGGTCAAAAGATGAGTTAACGTGGACAAATAGTGTTGTTGGGAATAGACATTGGGATTTCCTAATATGGCATAGCGCGTTGTAAACCCAGCTGACCGCCTGCCACTCAACTGAAATGAACCCCTGGATTCCGTGAATGTGGCGTTTTAACGCGGGTAGTGTCCTTGGATGCCTCCAGGTTAGAGTGGGGGATTGCTGCATCGGGCTTAGTTTATCTCAAGGTTGAGACAAGATCGATGCTATCACCTTCCGGCCAATTCAGCCTCACGACCAGACCGGTCTGCTTGACTTATTCACTGCTTTCCCTCCGGAGATTCAGCACGTGATTATTGTTACATCATCTATTTAATCATTCGTCCTTGTCTTCCAAATCAACACACAGCAACTCTCATCAGATACCAGTCTTTTACCATCAACATTCGTCCCATCTATTATCCCATCACCGACCGCTTGTCTGGATACACTCCTACCAATGGCTCAGCGAATGCTATCGTTCATCCACAGCCGTGCTCCGCGAGCTATCGGAGTGTCGGACAAGGCAATCGATGAGCACAAAGAACTGATTCGTGATCTATACCTAACTCGAAAATACACCCGAGACCAAGTGATTGCCCATCTCAAAACAAATCTAAACTTTAACCTGTCGTGAGTAACACTCCACGTACATACAAGTTGTCGCTGATTTGATCCCTACAGCCCGGACCAGTTCTCGAGGGTCATCCGACGATGGGGTTTTCGCAAGCAGTTTCATTCCGGCAAATCTACTCAACCACCAAATACGACAGCTAGTGCAGACACGACAACTACTACTCCCAGCAATGATCTATCTTGTACGGCCGATGCAGAGCATCCGGCTACGGCCCCTGATCATTGTCCCCTTCCTTGCCCCCCAGAGACGCAGCCAAAGCCCAAGATCGACCAAGACGACATTCCTGACATCGACGGAGACGGTGACACCACAATGAGTACACCGACCGACGATAAAAGCATCGAACCGAGTCTGACCCATCAGTCCGCAGGAGATCTCCTGGACTCGGCAGATTGTCTAGCCTGCTGCTATGATTACACCAAAACACTCGACGGCTACATCACTTTATCAACTTCTCTTGAGGACTTGTATGCGTGCAAGGAGCGAAGAGCCAGGATTCTCGACATGGCGAGGGGTGCCACGACACGAACAAACTGTGAGATAGTAAGGCTGATGCTAGAGACTGAGCTTGAGATGAGCAAAGATCCTCTGGACGATAAGGGACATACTCGAAGTTTACCGAAAGGTGTTGAAATGTGCCGTATGCAATCATTCCTATTCCATCGCCACCTTGCGCAGATTTACGCACACCAAAACGACGGTACGATCTCCATGCAGAAGCACCTCGATATCGCTAGGAACTTTTCGAACGCGTTCGACACATATGGTACAGATTCGATAGATCTTTGGACGCTGTTCTTTCTGGTACAAGACAAGAAATATTCTCAAATCCCAAAGGAGCTTCTTGGCTCACTGCAGTGGGATCATGAATCGTACGGCTTGAATATTGAGCACTGTCTTCGGTATTGCTGGGGAATTTTGAACCCGACCAAGTCGCTGTGTGATGCCTTCGCAGTGTATACGGCCTCAATAGTGTATGATGCAGAGCAACGTACAAAGACAGAACCAACTGAAATAAGCGACTTGGTATTAGAAGATAGTTCATTTTCTTTGTGGAAAAGATCCAGCATTCTCTTCACATTCCTGATGCAACTAACGCATGGCTCTCTACCCTGGATGTCAGGACACCCTACAATATCCCCCACGCACATCTTGATGATCGTAAGCAGGATGATCGTGAAAAGATCATCCATCGCCTCCAAACACCCCGATAACCTAAAGGAACCAGAGGGACACCCGCTGCAGATTCACCCCACAAGCCTAAAGATATATTGCGATACCGTACTGGAGCTTCTTCACGATACGTGGCCCGGTGGGAGTAAAGAGTTTGTTACACAATTTGTTGCGCACCATACATGGTCTCCACCATCAGATTCAAAGAGAGCCCTTGCTTCACAAACTCAAAGCTACCCGTTAGAAGCACTCAAAACTGTCTTGGCAATTAGAAGGGACGACCTCAACGCCGAGCACCTCTCTACAATAATGGAGGATTGGACGCCTTCATCGAAAGTTTCAAAAGAGAAACGAGTTACATCAATAGATAGCGAACTTTCCAGATTGCTGGGAGAGCACAGGGGGCAAAGAGTCCTTCCCAATCGAAGACCCGCCGACAGCTATATCCAAGACCGACAATTTCCGCCGCCGTCCTATTCTTCCGGTAAATCATTGCATTTAACATCTGTTTCCTCGCATGATATATACCTGGACGCACTAAAAGACAACCCTACCATGACTAGATCCTTAGCATCTCGTTCCTCATGCTCATCTCAAAGGTCGTACTCCAGCTCACTGCAGAGATTCAAAGCAGCAGCGCTGAGCAGACAGCAACAGCCGAGGCTTACCATGGCCTTGTCCGAAAGCTCTGATGTGCTCATGGGTGAAGGCTTCCTGGAGAACCTTCAAGAAGATGAATGTCTAGACTTGGAAAGCAAGATTCATGATTCATTTTAGAAGTAGAGTGGAAAGAAACGACATTGAACAACGGTACCTAGTGGAAGGCAAAGGCAAAGTGGCCCTGGCTGTCTCATGCCCCAGGAGATGACTTAACAGATGTCAGCAGAAATTAGGAGTTGGGAGGTAACCCAAAAAGGTGACCTGAGGATACAGCAACACATTCTAAGCGATCATCAGACCTAACTCTTTGGATCCTACAATGCCGACCTGGATTCACCTGAACCTGTCACCAATGGTTTGACTCCCCCAGTCACATTCTATCCGAGGCCAAGACGGACATACTTCTGTAAATGAAGAAACCGACAAGATCGTCCAAATTAGACATGAAAATTCAGCTCATCACACAAATTTCAAGTCAAGAAGCACATGCACGGACAGTTCCCATGTCTTGAAAGCTTCGGTAACTCTAAACGTCAGCGGCAAGCTTGGCGAGGTGCAACGTGCTATCAAGAAGCTCGCGTGTGGTTTCTTTCAAGTTTGCGAACGGGGAGCGTCGTCGTGGCGCGGCTCTTGGCGGCTGTCTTGGCGGTAGGCGCTTGCGAGTGATTTGGGAGGGATGTGGAACTGATATGCGAGTGATGTGGGATATTGATTTAGTGAGGAGTGGCGATGTCGAGATGGTGGTGATGGTGGACTTGGTGTTGAAGCATTCACACCTCGCAGTGATATTCGTATATGTCGGCTAGAGTTTGTACTGATGAAGTTAAATAAAGATTAATTGAACATACGTTAAAATAAACATTGATTGAAGGTAAATCATATCTGACACCCAAACTTTAACGTACACGCCACCCCTGTCTTGTTAGATCTTGGCATCTGGACCGCTTCTGGGCGAACAGCTTCTCCACGTGGATCATGTCCCCATCTTATTGGCTTGTACCCCTGTTTCTAAGAGCCTCCGTTCGATCTCTCAACGACAAGCTTCGATACACGTGGGTCAATCTCTGGTCACCAAACACCCAAGCTTATTCCATGTCTGCGTTACCGTTACGGTTGAAATTGAGTCGTTAGTGACATGACACCATCTTTACTAGTGCATCCTTCAATCGTTGAACAGACGGATTGAATGTTTAATTCTTTCGTCGATTGCCTAAATCTAATAGTGAATGTGTTAACTGCAGGAACATCCGAGGCCGCATGGTCACGCGGGTAATCGACGACCTTGTTTTAGTGCACGGTGCCTCAGGTTCAAAGTCACTGCTTGCATGCACCTTCCACCTCACCTTCCAAAACGTAACTGAGAATCTCGAGCACACCCATCTCATTCACATCAACATCCATCAAAAGCCAAGGGATTCAATCAAATCAACGAAACTCACAATCCCATCCTTCGCACTCTTCAGATACACTTCTTGCCCAGACTTCCCCCCCGTCCAACGAACGTTCAGAACCCACGCACGATCACCCCCAGTCGTCTGCCAAGCTGCTCATCTTCTAATGACACGACGAGATGAATCGCCAAGGCTGAAGAATTATGCCCATTCCACCAACATGCTCACCGAACTTGCCACTAGCTGGACGCCCACCGAGAAGCATAATATTAAGCTTGTCGCCAAGCCTTACCGCTCCACACCTGAGCAGCGGATATAAGGAGTCGATGGACTGCTGGTTTGATGCTCGACATCGACAGCTTTCCTCACTCGAAACCTCCTCTTATCGGTTCGATAAGTCCGAACAGCGATCATGGTCCTTCATCAATATGATTACATCTTTGCCATTGGCACCATCTTTTCGTTCCTAGATGCTTGGAATATTGGTACGTCTACTCAACACTCCCTCACACCATACTAACTCCTCAGGTGCCAACGATGTTGCCAACTCCTGGGCCACTTCGGTCTCCTCCCGATCCATCAGTTACATCCAAGCCATGACCCTCGGATCCATTCTCGAATTCGCTGGATCTGTTGGTGTTGGTGCTCGTGTCGCTGATACTATCCGTACCAAGGTCGTCGACATTGACCAATTCGAATCCGACCCAGCTCTTCTCATGCTTGGTATGATGTGTGCTATTGTCGCCTCCGCTCTTTACCTTACTGTCTGCACTCGCATCGGCCTTCCTGTTTCAACCACTCACTCCATCATGGGAGGTGTCATTGGAATGGGTATTGCTCTTGTTGGTGCCGACGGTATTCACTGGGCTGAGTTTGACAAAGGCATCAGCTCTGGTGTTGTTTCTGTTTTCCTCGCTTGGATCATCGCTCCTGGTCTGTCTGGTGCCTTTGCTGCTATCATCTTCATGATCACCAAGTATGGTGTCATGCTTCGAAGCAACCCTGTCTGGAAAGGTCTTTTTCTTACCCCCGTCTACTTTGGTATCACTGCTTCCCTTCTTACCATGCTTATCGTCTGGAAGGGTGGTAGCATCAAGGTTGAGTTCAACGACGCCGAAACCGCTGGTATGATCATCGGTGTAGGTGCCGCCTGGGCTCTCATCATCACCATCTTCCTCCTTCCTTGGCTCTACCGTATTGTCATTGTCGACGACTGGGAGCTCCGTTGGTGGCACATTGCTCAGGGTCCTCTCCTTCTCAAGCGTCCTCCTCCTCCTGCTCAACCTGAGGGTGCCATTGGTGGTATCAAAGATTTCTACGAGGGCCATCTCACCCGTGAAGAGCTTGAGGGTCTTCGACGTGCCGGTCGTGAGGGCAGTGATGAGTTTGTGCGCCAGGACCAGAACGAAGGAAAGGACGAGAACAAGACGGTATCTTCCGACACCCCTGATGTCAATGAACCTGTTGAAGCCAAGCCCCGTCGCAGCCTCGTCGGTCCCAAGCCAGATGGCAAGTGGTTCAGCGGTGCTGTTCTATTCTGGTACCTCAAGAAGGCTTTCCTCTCTGGTGTCGACCAGGATATCATCGCCATGCAAAACAAGAAGAGTATCCTCACCGGCGACCTTGACGAGATCCACGCAAACGTCCCTCACTACGACAACCGTGCCGAATACCTCTACACCTTTATGCAAGTAATGACTGCCTGTACCGCCTCTTTCACCCACGGTGCCAACGATGTCGCCAACGCTATCGGTCCTTATGCTACCATCTACCAAATCTGGCGCACCGGTGGTCTCGAGGGTAGCAAATCTTCTGTCCCAGTCTGGATCTTGTAAGTTTTCCGAATGATTAATGATCATGACTAACTGGATAGGTGCTTTGGTGGTGCTGGTATTGCTCTTGGTATCTGGACCTACGGATACAACATCATGCGTAACCTTGGTAACCGTTTGACCCTTCACTCGCCCGCTCGAGGTTTCAGTATGGAGCTCGGTGCTGCTGTTACCATCATCCTGGCCACCCGTCTTAGTAAGTTGTCCCAGTATCATTCTATACCGACTAACACGTCCAGAACTCCCCGTCTCCACCACTCAATGCATCACTGGCGCTACCGTCGGCGTTGGTCTTTGCTCAGGCACCTGGCGATCAATCAACTGGCGTATGGTTACTTGGATCTACATGGGTTGGATCATCACCCTCCCAGTGGCTGGTATCATCTCTGGATGCATCTGTGGTATCATCATCAACGCTCCTCGCTGGGGGTACCAGGGGTAGCTCGCTCTGCTATTTCTAGTGGTTACATGGGTCGAAAGGGCTGATTTTCTTACCATTTATATCTTAAGTTGTCGTTGTTTTGATGTAATGATTCATGGTGACGGTTTACGGAGGTTTGACATAATCTCGCTTTTATAACCGCTCATTCTTTACACAATCTTACGTAAAATCATCCTAAAACTACATCAAGATCTTCTAATCTTATATTCTATATCTGCCTTATTCTATCTTAATATGAGTCAATGTCTAACTTACAGACGACCCGATCATGGAGACCAAAGTCCGGTTCCATCACGGAAATCATCATCACGAAGCAAGTCCAGAGATGTCAAAAAATATAACATCTCCTGTCACAAACCCACATCGATAGGCAAGAGTTGCGTCGGTTCTATTCGGAAACCGAAGTCGAGAATGATAGACAAGGCTGAATCAGAAGCAGCGTCAGATTTCGAGTGAAGCACGCAGCATAGGATCACGTCCAAAATGTAACGACTACACGAAAACATCACCGACCCTTTCACATATCTCAGGAATACCAAGGCTGCCAGATTAGGCCTCGAACAAAACATCGCGAACACGACGCTGGCAAACATGAGAACAAGTGAAGGCGAGTATCGAGCACTTGGGGACGAAGGAATGAGGTGACGCGAACATTGTTGCAGTAGACTCACGATACTGACACTAGAAACAGGAACAGCTCAGTGGGTATTGTCTCGAAATATGATTATGCTAGACTACCCGTATTGTACTATCGTCATCTTCAATTCTCAGCGAGCCATGGACCCAAGGATCGATCGAACAAAGTCATTTCAGGCGATACGGTTGACGGTCAGGATGTCGAATCGACTTCAATGCCAGCCTACAGAAACCTTTCTGATTCAAGGCAAACAGCTCCGAATTTACGTGATTAAAGGTAATTAGCTAGGCAGAGATGTGCGTGATTCGCCAGTCAGCTAGAGACCTACATGATTCAAGGCGACCAGCTGGAAGGCTACGACAGTGATTCACCCGTGTTGTGCAGGACCTGAAGTGATCTGAATTTTGATTTCAGCTGTTTGTGGCGACACTTTACTCCCTACTTTTGAATATTGTCATGACCAGGATAATTATCTCAACAAGAACTCGAGACTAAACAGTGGATAAGACTTGAATAGATGTTGTAACTTTGAAATTTGTGGCGCTGCCACCAGCCTTTTCTCATATCACAGCTTACTGCTGCCAAGCGTCCAAAACAAAGAACAACACTCGACACACCAAAAGAACAAGGCTTCCTACAGCTCGCTCTGTCACTGCAGTGAATTATTTATTCATGCTCCACTTTTCGTTGCCTGAATTCCTTGCACAACCTGCACCTTTATCGCAACTTCCGCATTCACCTGCCTTCTGCCTAATCCATTTCGGGTTCTCCCTCTCTCCACTGGCGTTACTCCTCTCCTTCTCTACATCATCATCATTCATTCCATCATCTCATCATCGTTCATTCAACAGACATGGCAAATACCGATATCACGAGCACGAGATCTTTGGATCCCCGACAGATCAACTGCGGGTTTCTGATTACCAAAAACGACAAGCTCAAGCTCTTACCATCCTCCGGGAGCTTCGTCATCACGCCGATAGAGAAAGGAATTCGACTTTATTTCCCTCGAGACTCCAACCGAACCGTATTCACCTGGTACAGTCCAGATACAACCCTTACAAGCTCCCAAAATTACCACATCACGATCGAGATACCTGCCGGCGGCTTCGCTGGAGATATTCGTCAGTTGACCGAAGATGAGACGCAAACCCTCGACCTTGAACCTCATACAGATCTGAACAACTTTCATGTTCTGAATATCACACTCCTCCAAAACTTCAACACCAACATCGTGGGGTTTGGTCTGCCGTTTGACGCAGCCACTGAGGAGGTTCATGGTTGGGTCAACAATGGTGCTCCGATTCACGGTGTTGCATCTCTGGCCGAGATCCTACAGCAGACCAGCTTTACCATTCTTCTCAGGGCTACAGAGGCAGAGGTCGCTCGTTGGGTCCAGAATATGAACATTCAGCGCACAACTCTAGACTATGGATATGGCAAAGAGTGAGTAGTCTCTCCTCTTTCAGATCAAGCTGACATTTACCTTGCAGTCAAACCTGGAACCTCAACCGCTACGAGAAACAGATCCCCAACAACAGAGGCCTAGCTTTCACACCTACCATTCGTTTCGAAGACACCAACCAAAGAGACACCGCTCTTACACAGCTCCATGTCCAAGATGTATGGGATCATGACAAAGCGCTGGAATTCATCGAAAACACTACGATTCCGGCACTGATTTAGAAAATCAACGAGGAGTCTGAGAGAGGCTCAGTCCGCTTTGCGTGTCTACTTGAACTAGGGAAATTCTATGTAAGTTGTCTCCATTCTTCCCGAGTCATCTAACATCCTGAAGAAAGGAAAGCACTGGCGCGCCGTCACTCGAGGTCTGAGAGGAGATCGCAGCAACATGACAATCCGATTCATGAACCGAGCTCATGGAGAGGTTACATGGGAAGCCAAACATTTGTGCTACGGCCTTACGAAACATCTCAAAGACGTGATCATTACAGATCGGATTCCACTTGGCCTCATGCAACCCCCCAAAGGTCAACCAGGTCATGCCTTTTCCCCAATACATCACAACGAGTATCCAGGTGTTAAGATGAATGTCGAGAGAGACTCTGTTAGACTCTGCTTTCAACGAAACATGAAAGGAGAGAAGAATCGTGTCGACGCTATCAACCGCCTGAGCAAGAAACCCTGGCCTTGCGCGATTGACATCTCCGCCCCTCGCAAACAGGCAATCTTCAACACACTATTGGTAGGCCAAGGCATTTGGGCTTCATCCCAGCTGGGCTTGAGTATGGAATTTCCACCTCTTGATCTCTTTCAGGACGTTCCCGTCGAGGTCCAAGATGCTTGCCTTGAACTTGTATTCGAAGATGACCGCGACCGAGCACGACAATACTTTAGCAAGCTACATTTTGGATTCGGATTAGTTTCAGGCCCTCCTGGTTCCGGAAAGTCAAACCTTGCTTCAGTCCTTACAATTCTCATGTGTTACAACGAGTCCATCAAGCGTGTGTACGTCAGCGCAGCTTCAAACGAAGCCACCACCAACATCCTCAATCGAATGGACGGTATAGCCACCGATATTACACACAACCTGAACGGTCAATTCAAAGGATTGATGCTTGTACGCGGTTTCGGTCACAGGGATGAAGTCAAGAATTGTCTCGACGCCCTTTCGGGTATTTCGTTTGAGGATGATGCCGTTTGGAATCCAACCTCGTGGAGATTCAAACTGTCCTTGTGCTGGTGGACTCTACGAGCACTGGGAGCTTCGACCGTACCACCACTGACACCAGACGACAACCAAGAACTATGGGAGCTTCACCAACAGCTCAACGCACTTGCTGTTCCAGGCTCAGTACCTAACGCAGTATCCGGATTCGAACCTCTTGTAAAGATCGCTCAAGGTCCAGCTTCGACCATTCCAAAGGCCCACAGCAAAAAGCTTTCCCAACTCATGAAGCTGGTTCTCGATTGCGCAGACGTCGTCGCCACTACTCCCGCAGCATCAAACTCCAAAATGTACAAATCATACAACGCAGACAAGGCACGCGCGGTTGTCTTTGACGAAGCAGCGACAATGTTTCTAAGCGATGGTTTGATGGTATTTGGAAACACCCCCAGACCCATGATTGCGATTGGCGACCCCGAACAGCTTGCACCCGTACTCCCAACTGAAATCGAGATGCTTCACGACAAACGAGACAAACGAGAGGCAAAAGATCTTGGAGAGGACAACTTCCCCACCAACCGGTTCGCAAAGTTTGCCAAACTCTCCTGGCTCACTCATTTCATTCACCTGGGGTGGCCTGTGTTTCATCTTTACACACAGCACCGAATGGTCAAAGGACTATTTGATATGTCAATCGACACTGTCTACCGTGACATAAAACCGCAATTCAAGTATAGCCCACTCTGCGAGCTGGTCAACTTTCCTATCGCTGTCAAGGTTGAGAAGTACATGAACATCAACTACCACGTCCCATCTTGTTCTGCTGGTCGTCTTCAGCCGATCTTCTTCGACTGCCGCGATTGTCCAAGCTGCAACTTCCCGAACAAGGCCTCACGACTCAATCCCCGCCAGGCTGATTGCATGGCCAAGTTTCTCATCCAGATGATCAATGATCTGTCATTGGACCCCGCCGATATTGCCGTCCTCACTCCATATGTCGCAAACCGTGGCGCGATCCGAAAGCGCTTCTTCAAAGACGACGTGTTGAAGAAGATTCAGTGCTCGACTTTTGATGGATTCCAAGGCAAGGAGGCTCAAGTTGTGCTCGTGTCGCTGTGCGTGGACCAAAAGACTGGACCGTCGTTTGTAGGGAATCCGCGAAAGCTGAATGTCGCGCTGACACGGCAACGATCGAGTCTCTTGATCTTTGGAGATCTGGGCATGAATAGATACGAATTCAGAGAGAAGCAGGAGGCTGAATCCAAGAATGAGGGGTCTGATCATTTTGATCACACATTGTTTCGAACTGTCTTTCGGATGATTAGTGACACTCGTCGGATTGTCACACTGTATGGTGATCTGAAGATCGATTTGTCAGTGTATGAGAAGCGACTGGAATCGTCGTCCGAGTTTCTGTAGGGATGGGATGTTCTTTCAAGATATGGCGATAATGTATACGTAGTCTACTATCATACTAAGTCCATAGCTAAGTCCAAAGCTAAGTCCATGACCTAAGTCCCTTGGATTTATATCGTAAGTCCCCATTCTTAAGTCCCCATTCTTAAGTCCCTACCTTTAAGTCCCTACCATTAAGTCCCTACCTTTAAGTCCCTACCTTTTAAGTCCCTAGTCTTAAGTCCCTACCTTTAAGTCCCTACCTTTTAAGTCCCTAGTCTTAAGTCCCTAGTCTTAAGTCCCTAAGTTAGTTTTGAGTTGACAGTGCAAACGGTTGGCAGCTGTGGGGTGAGCTATGATTCACAGCAGTCAACGTGCACATCTCACGAGCCACAGACTTCGCGCACAAATTTCAAACTCAACAACAACACCGCGCATCGCCTGCTTTCAGATTTTTTCAACTCGAACTTTTTTTTAAACAAACGAAAAGCTAGCAGAGATCGAAATGGCCTCCAACAGTGGCAACAAGAGCGTCGGAACGCAAACACCTTTTTCTTTTGGTGACGATCCTACCCGTGAACTCAACCGTGAGCAAGAAGAAGCTGAGCGTCAAGGACGCAAAGCCCCAGCCTCTGGTGATACCAGTGGCAACAACGGCAGCCAACAGCAGCAGCAGCATCAAAATGGCCCTGAGGATCATCTCATCGTGGGTCACGCTGAAGCCCCTCGTCAAAGGACCTTTCAAGGTGCTTTCAGCTTCAATCGTGGTCGCGGTCAGAGCCAAGGGCAAAGCCGTGGAATCACCTATAACCGTGGCCCATGGAGGGGTGGTCAGAACTATGGCCGTGGTCAGAATGAGAACCGTGGTCAGAATGAGAACCGTGGTGGACGCGGTAATGCTGGACCTGGTCGGGGTAACTTTGCAGTTACTCGATACAACCGTGGTGGCTATAGCCAAAACAACTCTCGAGGCGGAATCACCAAGTCTGCTAAGCCTGTCGCGGTGGAGAAACCTGCCACAACGGTAGTCAACGACAAGCAGAGCAGAGAGCATGCCACAAATGCTTCCAGTGGTGGTGGGACGCAGGCTGCCGATTTCATTCCTCCGAAAGTGTGGACCTTTGTGGTCAGAGACATGGAGCACCTCAAACAAGCGGTAGAATTAATGCAGAGACACAACCCCTACCAAATGGTTCAGACCAGGTTGACAGCGGTACCGAACAACCTGACAACGGTACCGAACAACCTGACAACGGTACCGGACAATCTCCGACAGATTGCCAGAAACCGACAGCTGCAGCAGAGCACAAAGTACACCGACCGAAAGTACCCGCTGAAGAAGGGCCCCAAAGAGAACCCTCGTGTTGAGCATGTGGGTGACGAGGGGGGTGTACGCTGTGTCTCGTGTGGTTCGAAATCGCACCTCATTGGGTTTTGTCTCTCCATTCATGATGGCGAGCTCAGAGGTTGCCCTCTGTGCCATGATCTTGGTCACCTAGTTGATCAGTGCCAAACTTTCTTGGCTATGAGTTTGACCAACAAGGTTCGTACTCTTGTCGATGGCCGAGCCAGGATGCCTCCTCTGGCCACCACTGTCCCTTGGTGGGATTACCTACACCAATGGCTAGAGGACGAAGTGTCCAAGAACGCAGATCCTCCCTCAGGCTTCCCTTGGTCTGTGGACTTCACCAAGATGGTGAACCAGGAAGATCGGGGTGCCTTTGTCAAGGGTCGCCAGCAAGAATTTGATAAGGACCACAACAAGCGGTCTATCCTTCCTTATGACGCAGATACCAGCAAGTTCCAGTCGATCTATCGCAAGTACTGGAGCTCAGAGCAGAAGTCATTCCCCGAGCGCATCAGGGAGATGACAGGTGAAGTGGCACCGAATGACGATTTCTCTGACTATAAAATGCAACCGATACCCCCGGATTTTGATGTTAATGCAGAGCCGGAGGGGAACTACGGATTTCCAAATTAATGCAGAGCCGAAAGGGAACTACGGATTTTGGGAATCTTGCATTGCAGGTGCCGTCAATGTCATTCATCTTTCAGATGTTGCAATGGATGCTTGGTAGACAGAAATGGAACATCACAAAAATTATATCTCCAATTCATGTGACAGATACAATTTGGCTTACCACACTCTACTTTGTCTTTAGATTTTCTGACTAGAATCCAGAACGTAATCCCTTGGGTTTGTGAATCGGCTTCAATTTGTTGACATGAGAATTTACGATTGTTGAAAACCCAACTTTGCCTGCCTTGTGGAGATTGTTTCAGTCGTGACAGATTTGTATGTTCCAGTACGATAGTGTTGGAATAAGAAAGAAGTTGTTTGGGGGAAGGCATGGTGTGCTTGGTCTCTTCTGTTTCATTTGTTTAATGTTTGGGAGGCCATACTGTATGTTGTTTAGATACAGTCAGTAATGAACAGAAGAATTGCGACAAACATTCACTTGATAGACACTCTCCTCAATAAGCACTCGGCGGGTGACTGTTAACGTCCAATCGCTTCTTTCAGGTTCAGTTTTTATATATGACATCCTTTCCATTTGACCTGACAATCTAGATATGTTTTGTTTCACATCAGTAACGCTTGCTGTACTGCATTGCCTGGAGCGTCCAAATATACAGTAGTCGTGTAAAAGTTCCGACAATTCCTCCACTCAAGATTTTATATAAGATTATATAAATTACTATCAGGTCTTCCTAATTACATAAATTTATAAAATATTACCATAAGATCATATACAGAATCTATCTATCATATATCTCAATAGCTTGTGTCGGATTTTTATAGCTCTCCCTTGCCGGACCCACTATTTAAGTCGGTTCACTCGCGATTCAAAATAACTTCATCTCTACAACAATATTCATCTTCCACAACGGTCACATTTCCCGAAAAGAGTAACTTCAGCAACGCGACAGCTATCCCCTATAACAGTACCCATGCTAATATTTTCTTGTCAGATTCATCATGGTCCCTTCAACGAATTCGGGAATGTTTGACGCACTCGATGAATTTCTCGGCCGCTTCCACTGTGAGGAGCCTGGCAGGAGGAAACACCATCAAAGACCGCTTTTCGGTCATATATATATGCCAAGCTATCGGCTAGAGGGTGTATCGATAGTCGAGCATATTCGCCAGTCTTTCGAAGAGACTGCGCCTCTTTTCTTCGTCACCTCGAAGCAGGAGGCACAACTCGGCTCTGGACTCCAGACCGATTGTCAAGTCCCCCCGGTGACGATGCTCTACCAAGAGCTTCTCCAGATTTTGAGGAGGGATATGGACGTGGAGACCATTGAAGATTGGCATTTCCTTCCGACAGCCCACAATGAGCATGGTAGGCTTCCTCTCACAGTAGTGGTCGTGTTACAGCTCGATCCTACCGTGCCAGCTGATTGTGCGCTTTCACTGGCTTGTCTTGTTGAGTGGGTAGCCTCCAGCGACGTTACGCAGTCCCACATTCGTGTGCTGACAATTTCGGCTGAATAGGATGGCGACTTTCTTTCCGCGTTTGTTGCGTCAGCGCAGCCTTCTATCCCAATGACAACTGTCGATTTGGTTGCTCCTGGTCGCTCAGACTCTTTCTCTGACTGTCTAGTATCAGAAGGCAAGGATGACGGGGGCAGAGATACTTGAGGATGTTTTCTCTCGAAGCTAAGCGGATCGTTGTCATTAAACCCGGGCTTTGCAGACTCACTGGGAAGTTTGCTCGGCAGCGCGGAAGCGGATCTGGTTGAACAGACTTCAGTGGACGATACCACCGACATGAGCCACCTGAAAATGCTGTCTGGCCTGTGTCCAAACCCGTGGCGGTCCTCGACGCAGCGCGACGTTCCGAATTTGGTCTTGAAGTTCTGGGAGGAGCTTGGTGGGCGTGACCAGGCGACTGGATTCGACGAGTGGCATGTCTTTGAGATCCATGACCACCATTATATCAACAGCAACCATCCGGGGAGTGGAGGCCTTGATGCGTTCACAGGCGATGAGTTCACCAGTGTTCGTATGGTCGAAAGTGAACAATTGGGCGGGTTCATTGCTGCTGCCGCTGACTCGGGGCTTCGATGCCGAAACTATCGTCGGATACTTTGTCCGCTATCCTTCGCTTGTCGACGAGATAAAAAGCATACTCAGAGGCTTGTGGTTGTTTCTTGGCCTTCATAAGGTGGGAGAAACTGAGAGGAGGTTGGAGTGTGGTGCGTGGGATAATAAGAGGAGATGGAGAGAAACTGGAAAAATGTAGCCTTGATTTGGGAGACTATTAAGGTGCTGCTGTGAATCACGTACGTCTCTGGCTAGCTGCGGTGAATCACGTAGGTCTCTTGCTGGTTGTGGTGAATCACGTAGATCTTGCTGGCTGTGGTGAATCACGCAGGTATCTACTTAGCCCAGCTGCTGACACCGGGAGACCTTGGCACTCTTTTACAGCATGAGGGTGAATCACTGGCATTTGGCTTCTGTTGAGCGACCCTTAATACATCGCCACATGTTTATTCCTTCAACTCCCTCAGCAACATCTCCTTTTCTTCCTCCCACTGTCTCTGCACCATCTCTCTCTCTTCAGCCGCCTGTCGTTCCTCCAAAGCTCTCTTTTCAGCCGCCTGCTTTTCCTCCAAAGCCTTTTTCTCAGCCAGGTGCTTCCTTATCAAGTCCCGTTTCTGGGACGCATGCTCCCGCGATGAACTATCGCGCTCGAAGTGTGGTGGACTGCATTCCCAAACGGGATCTGAGCTGTCTGAGTCCATGATAAATCTATGCCAGATATATTGTCAATAAAAGGGGCGTGAGTTAAATGGATAAGCGGCTCGCACCTTGCTCTTGTTGCTGTTGTAGTTGTTGTTGTGATGTTGAGTTGAGAAATTTGTGAGAGTGTGGTTTGGGAAAATAGCAAGCTGGCTGCGGTGAATCAGAGAGGTCTCTAGCTGCAGTGAATCAGGTAGGTCTTTAGGTCGCTGGCGGCAGTGAATCAGGTAAATTTAGCCCCCATAGACTTCCCCCGATATAGGAAAACGTATAAGTGGAGTATGCCGTCCCTGTCTGCCTTCCTTAAGTATCACTTACCCACGCACTCAGCTCACACTCCAACTCTACACCAACATCATTCAAAATGGGCTCACCAGCACCGCAAGATTACCAGTACCCGGTCACAAACTTCCCTCCCGCCGCCGAACGCACGGCAGAAATGCCAATGCTTTGGGACGAGGACCATCTCAAGTTGATCAACACCTGTACCAGGAGTGAATCACTTTATGAGCTGTACTTGCAGCTCCCCAGACTTGCAAATGACCTTGAGAATAACCAGACTCTCAAGGACAACAAGTTTTCGGTAGTAGATACTGTCAATGCTCTACGTAATTGCGACTGGTCTATGTGCGAATTGCTACACAGCATGCCGCCCAAAGTCATTACGAGCATTGTCAAGAATACTATTGCCTATGATAATGAACAGAGAGATCTTGCTGGTTTTGAGATACCCAATCACAAAAACGCGGAAGAGATCCCTGGTGTCTATGTCATCGGCATAAGCATGTCGAAAGAGAATGGCTGCTTCCTTAACAGGAAAGAGATGGATCTCCTGATTGAACACATTGAGGGGTATATCGAAGGATATCACGCCTATGTGAAGTACCAGGAGAACCTTTCTGAGAAGGGCCTTGCATTCGCAAAGACCTGTTTATCAGTTAAAGAGAGAAGGGCTCATACCCATATGAAGAGCATAGATGATAAAGGTGGAGACAAGACAGCGGCACCTATTTTTATCACCAAAGATGAAGAGGTGCCCAGAATCCAGGCTCTTGTCAAAACCCTCAAGGCAATGTGTGATCCGAGCCTTGATCCCACAGGCAGGGTCCGGATGATACAAAGCCCTCTATACGTGGGATGCTCTAAGAACCTGGCCGAACGTATCAAGATATACAGCCGGCATAGCCTGAAGCGTATCAACAAACCTCTTGGTATCACGCTTGCATCCCTTAGAAAGCTCGGTTATGCGTACAAGCTACACATTGTTTGTGTGATTCGTACGTGGAAGAGCGACCAGCTTCCTCTGGCCGAGCAGCTAGTGACTACACTTGCTGGTTCCCTAGTGTACCAGCATGGGTTCAATGCTATCGAGGGTGGAGGAACAGGTTTTAATACTGTGAAATCGATGGAGAGTCTTAAAGAAAATACCGTGTATGTCATTTACAGGATGCAACATCTACTCTCCAACGTGAACCAGAGTCTTTACGACATCGAGCTTCGTACCAGGTTTCTAGACGATCTCGCTATTGTTGAAGGTCAAGTCGTCGATATTAAAGAGACGATGGAACTTTGCGAAAAGGAATTGAACGATCTCCCATCAGGTTTCCAGTGGAATGAAACCCTTTCGGAGATCGAGCAACTTGTCCAGGACCTGAAAAAGGACCTGAAAGACAAACAAGAAGCACTGCGGTTCTGGACCCTGATTCAGGAAATCCAGAACATTGTCATTGAGGAAACAGGCCGAGGAATAGAGTCTCTATAACTTGGGCGGTTTCTGAACAAACGCGGTGTATCAAGGTAGTCATCAAATATACTTATTCCTCAAATGACTCTTCAATTTGCATGTAGTAAGGTCCCATCGTAGGTATCGTAATCCAATCCGTATAAATTGGTACTACTTATTGTTGATATCATGGAGAGATTTGGAAAGCCTGGGCTTGATAAAGTTGAAGGTTAAATCGAAGTAAAAAAGGAAATTGGTACTAAATCGCAAGTGACAGTAGAATTTGAAAGTAGGCTAGTAAATTTAAAGTGAATGTGCCAACCGGTGCCAACAGCCGCCGAAAAGTGAAGCTCTAGATCCGCCTACATCACAAATTTATTTCATCTCGCAACATTTTTCTTTCTTCACAAAACAACATAACACAACACAGCACAACACAACACAACACAACGCAAACCGCCGAAATGAACAGCAAATTCAACGGCAACAAGTCTCTCGACCACTCCAAGGTCAACCCCGACAATGTAGGGGAGCGACGGCAGCACATGCAGGCCGTCTTCAGCCACCTGGGCCTTTCTTTCAAGGAGAAATGGCGCCAGCAGGCAGAAGATACGGTGTGCAAGACGCTGCACGACTCGGGTTTTCATAACTCGAGCATCGCTTGGTTCGAGTGGGAGACTGACAAGGTGCTCTGGACTGGAATCCGTAAGTCAAATATTCTATCATATTTCATATTTCACATACTAACAACTATGTAGTCAAGAAGAACAAGGTTCAAGATCCAGCCTTGAAGTGGCCTTGGGACCAGAAACCAGAGCCCAGCGACCTGCGAGCTGGCTACTCTCCTGTCTACAGGAAGTGGCGTACCAGTCGCAAACTGCCTGTCGACGAGGTCGACCCTACTTGGGCCTTGAAACATGAGGTTCCAAGCAAAAGGGAAGTCTCCAAGTCGGGCAAATCAAAGCCCTCTTCCTCTTCAGCCGCGCCAAAAGCTCCTGAGCCTGCTGTCGAGAAGAAGTATCCTGAGAGTGTCTCCGCCATCAGAGACGCCCTCAAGGATATTCAACTTGAAAGCAAGGGCAACAAGGACAAGGCAAAGGCGAAAGCCGATGCCAAGGCCAAAGAGGAAAAGGCAAAGCTTGCCACCCAAGACAAGCCGGTAGCAACGGCAGTGGTTAGACCCCCTGTAGTGAAGACCAAGACTGCTGGAGCACAACCGGCGACGTCGGAAGGAAGTGCAAGACGTGCCACCCAACCCCGGCTGTCACATGCTTTGGTCACTGTCAAACCCCGTCCAGGGGAGAATATAGATCAAGCTAGAGAACGTCGGGCGCGGGAATTGGCAACGGCCGAGAAGACAGAGAAGGCTATTGAAGCCTCTGTTCTTGCTAGGCTCGAGGCTGCCAAGACCATCTTCAACGCGGAGAAGGTCAAGCAGGCCGAGAAGAAGGCTGCCAAGGCTGCTGAAGTCGAGGCTGCCAAAGTCCAGGAAGGCGAGCCGGACTCAAACTCGTGGGTTGATGAGGTTGAGCAGGTCGAGGACAACACTGTTCTCATCTCACATCCGAATCATGCCGAACTTCTCAGGGACGAGTTTGGGGCTCGGAATGGCCTAGTTTTACCTCCACCCCGGGAGGTTCCTGAACTTGGTCCTCGTCAAATCATTTGGCGAGGTCTCCCCATGGAGATTATTGGAGGGCCCATCTTGGGTCACTTCGAAGTCGCCCTCCCGCCATGGATTGACTTCCATGATCTCGTTTATGGGAAGGATAACACCTTCATCTCAGAGGTCAGGAGAGACAATCTTCTCGACAAGGACGTGACCATCTCTTGGGAACTTGTGAATGGCCGTCCTGTTTCCTTGGTTATTGGCCCCAACCCCAACGCCACCTACGACCCCCAAGACCGTCAGCTATGGGTACGTGTGCGCGCTGCTTGGTGGAAGGTCATTAACTGGCTCGTATATGTGTATCGAGGTCGATGCATTCGCCTGGTGGACTGGCTGTCTATCATGCAGAAGCTCGAGCTCGTGCACGGGGGCTTGCCGTCTGGTGATGTCGATAGCCTCAGAAATGACTGGGATATCCTCAACAGTAACCAGCTGAAGGCAGCCTACGACGCCAAGATCGAGAGGCAGCAATACGATCTTTGGGCCCCTGAGATCCATGCCATTCTGACGGAGCCCTGCCGAAACTTGGGAGAGCTCTTTGAAGAATGGATTGGACGACAAGGCCCAGAGTTCGTCTTGCCACGCATTCTAGCTGTGCGAGGTGTTTGGGCCCTTTGGCAAGCGGCCGAAGCTTGGAGCTGGACTAGTGAGCAGTTCGAAAAGCTCAACCCTTCAATCACCGAAGCACCGGCCTAGATGCTCTCTACAATTGCCAACTTTGGCAAACGTAACCACCAACTGTATGCCACCCCTTCAAGGGAGGTAGTAGTTTACTTTCGACAATCGCCAACTCCGGCAGTTGTCAATCCGATACTATCGGCTGTGTCACCTTGTGGAGAGGATGATACTTTACCTTAGCTTAAGAATACAACTATTTGATACCATATATGACCTACTGTGATACCGTGATGACCTTGATGACCGTGACTTGACTGACTTGTTCCACTAAGCTAATATTTAGAGCACTGTACAAATTCATCCTTCCAAAATCGACCATCAAATTCTTCGTTACACAAGCCTTTACATCCGCGCACTGACCCGCACATCAAAGCAATAATTTCTCAACCAAACATCACAACACAAACATCACAACAAAAGTAAGTTTTCTTAACCCAACTCCAACATCAGCTAACATCTTCCAGTCAAAATGACGTCCAAAGATATACGAACGCTCTACGATATCGGATCGAAAGAAGATGGCCTACGAGCCAACGCCATCCTTCAAACTCGTCCTCCTTGCTCCAACGTGGATGCTGCAGGCTTCAACTGTTTGACTGTTGTGGTCCGACGCATCTACAGTCACTGCTTGGTTCAAGAAGGATATGATGCCTCGCCCGGATGGCTCAAGAAGTCGGAAGGTTCAAACCCCATCCTGAGTCATGCGTGGCATAAGTTTGGGCAAACGTCAACGGAAGCGACAGAAGGTGAAGAGGATAGGAAACGTGCTTTTGCAAAGCTTCGTGACCTTACACTCGACCCGTATTCTTGTTTCGAGAATCTTTGCCACTCCAAGTTGATGAACTGTACCCTGTGGGCACAGAATGTCTTTCGTCTGATCGATCATCTTCACGGGTTGAACACTGGCAATGAAGTCAAGGTGAAACCAGATGTGATCGCTCAAATGAGCTTGCTGGAGCTCGATCACGTCAAATCTCCCGAAATGACTCTTGACGACGCCGTTGATAGAGCTTTTGGTGTGATTGACCTCCACGAGCCCGTCGTATCAAGGCCCGCTCGCCCTTGGGCCGTTCGCGTCCTCTACCATTCACATGGTGAAGAGGAACGACGGTTAGGGTTGAAGGACCTTCGATATTTACAACTTCCTGTCTGGGAGGAGGACTTGGAAAGCTCCGAACTTCGTTTCCATCAAGTTGGGAAGACTTTTTACAGCCTCATGGCCATCGTTCGGCTTCGGGATGAGGTTTACCCAAAGGATTTCGTTCGTACGTATTCGCCGCATGGGTGTAACATCGTCTCTGAGTATGAGCCATTGGCTTTCATGGAAAGCAAATGGAGACTCACAGGTCCGTCAGCTCGGTACATGCTCTTTTATGGGTATATCGAGGGGGAGCCTGAACCAGAAAGAAAATCCTCGGCTCCGTTACATGAGGTCGCCATGCCGGAACGGTTAGATTCAGGAGATATCGATGTTCTGAATAAATACCTCGGCGGCTTCAAACCTTTCTCTGCCAAGCCTTCAGGTGGCCCTTCAAACTCTCAACAGAAGGGGTATCAAGGTCTGCAGACTCCTCAAAAGCGACCTGCCCCGGGGTCCAGCCAACAAACTGGATCGCAAGAGCAGGAGAACCCACAGGGTGAACGCGAGCCTCCGCGCAAGAGGAAGCGAAACAAAGCCAAGAATAAGGGAAACCCTCAGAGTTCTCAAAGCACTCAGCCTGCTCCCCACGAGTCAGAGGTACGACGTGATGCTCGTCGAGATTGAGGATTGGGTTTCCCTTATGGATATCGTCGATGACGCCTGAGAGGGATGTGATCAAGATACATGGCGTCTAATGTAGAAATGATAATGAGAGTTTGTTTGATCCTGAAATGCCAATCCGTGGCTTCTGTAATTGGTGTGTGCCTTCCCTGTATACTGTCTTGACCTTGTACCTGCCTTCCATGTCTGACTTTTCCCGTAACTGCCTCAACCGTACCTGCCTCCCATGTCGCTCCCATCTTCCATGTCCTTGTCCAGTCTTTCCATGTGAATTTCATCCTCTCATCTGTAAACTTCATCAAAATGCTACCATTGAAGTCCAGAAACCCAAGACCAACGGCCCTCCTAACGGACGGGCGGTTAACGTTTCAACCTGGTGTCAAAGACGTCATTGACATAACCGATGACAAGGTGAAACAGTTGAAAGGTCGTATACTTTCATTAAGCAGACGCCCAGGTCCTGATGGTGATGTCCTTGGAACGGATGCCGCGACTCAGGCCGGGTACCGCGATGATGATCGTACCAGGATAATGGCTCTTGTAAGAGAGAGCCAGATTGCCAAGGAGACTAGCAAGTCTATTGAGAGAGATATCCGTCTCGCGAAAAGAGCCTATGCCGCGAAGGAAAACTCCCTCCCTGTTGTGGCCTCGAATGAGGATGAAGAGACACGTTTCAATGTCGCGAAACGTATAATCTTGCACCTCATTCAATCACCCACAAACTTCCATGTTCTACTTCGTGGATTGGGTGTAGAGGTCAACACAGAGATCCAAAACTCGCTTCAGCTGGCCCTCAGTCAAGCGTCGGATTCCCAAGTCCATCGCCTGATACAGGGACCCCAGCAAAGCGACGAGATCCTTGCTCTTAGACGACAAGTCGCAGAGCAAGGCGATCAGCTGGAATTGGCCAATCGCAAAGTCCAAGTTCACAAGGACGCCGCTGAGAAAGCCGAGTCACAGAGGGATTCTGACCTGAAAAGGGTTGAACAACTCGAAAAATATGATGAGGAGAGTTCTCGATTGCTTCAGCGTGCCAAGCAAGAGGTGCGAAAGGCCACCAACCTCCTCGCAGACTCAGAGACATCAGCTCAAGAAGACCGAAGAACTATCGAACGTCTCAAAACTGAAGCTGCCTCCAATGAATCCAAGTTTCGTCAAGACTTATCGGATCAAGGATTGGAGATTGTAAAGCTCCAACAATCCGTTGAAGATCTCGAGACGGAGAAGAAGGATTTGGAGGCAGAGAACAGTCAGCTAAAGGCAGATCTGAAAAGGCGCAACCGAGAGTTCAGGACTCTCGAACACAAATCCGAGAGAGCCCACGCCGACGCAGACCTCGCCCACGGGTGGCATGACGTGTCTGAGAAGAACCTGAAGAAAACCCAGGCAACTCTCGAGACTGCCAACGCTGACATTGCCAAGCTTCGTAAATCCCTGACAGACACGGAGCAAAAGGCAACTGATGCTGACAGGAACTGCAGTCTGCTCCGGACCCAAGTATCGGAGCAGCTCAAGGACCTGGAAAGCAAGGACCGCCAGATCAAGAAGTACGAGGTTGCCATCGATCAACGTGATGAAGCGATCCAAGGTCAAGTCCAACAGGCCTCGGTATTCCTTCAACACTTGTCGATTGACCTCGAGTCTGAAGTCTGGACAACAATGGCGGAGAAGATCCTCGAGCCAACGAGGACCGCTCCTGTCACCTCGAGTACGTCACGACCATGGAAGATCTGTTCTTCATGGTCGACTGACGTTTCTCTACAGATTCGCCCAGATGCCCGCAGTCTTGACGCCATCGCGATTGACGTCCTAGCCGTATTGGACGCCAAAGACGCTGATGCTAAAGACCTGCTGGGTTTTCTGCAGGCAATGCAGGATGCAATGTCCAAGACATCGTCCATCTCTGCTATTTCTCAGCTGCTCCTTGGAGCTTTCACCAAGTCGGTTGGAGATTCACGTCTTCATGTCATACACCGGGTTGCTATGAGTCAGTTAGCTAACCTGGTGTCTCCAACCGCAGAGGCTTTGCGTACGTTCTCGCAAGCCTTGGATGCTGTTGATCCTCGAATTAACCATTTAGTGAATGCTCTCAAGGAATACAGTATAAACCCTTCAATGGGTTTCAATCCAGCGAACTCAGTGGTATACCCTGATGTGTGTCTTGTTGGTTTTCAACAAGACCCTAAGGGAATAATCGCTGTAAATGTGTCAAGCTTTACTCTATGCTGGATTGACTATTCCCAGGTTACTGAGGGATATAGTCAAATCGAGATTACACTACCTAGTAGTAGTATAATTAAACTTCCTCTTAATAATAAAGAGAGAGTTAACTGGTTTTATAATTACTTAAAATAGAATAAATAATAATAAAGAGATTATATTTTAAAATGGTTTTTAGGTAAAGAAAAAGTAATTTAAACTTAATAGGTTAATAAAAAAGTAAATTAAAGTAAATAAAATAATAAGTGTTTTAATATAAACTTAGATATATTATAATTTAATAAATTAAATATTAAACTTATAATAAATTACTATAATTACTATAAACTATATAGTTATTATATACTATAGGTATAGTTATTATAAACTATATCTATAGTTATTATAAACTATATAGTTATTATATACTATAAGTATAGTTATTATAAACTATAAAGAGTTATTATAAACTATAGGTATAGTTTCTATAAACTATAAAGAGTTATTATAAACTATAGGTATAGTTTCTATAAACTATATAGTTATTATAAACTATAGATAGTTATTATAAATTACTATAGTTACTATAAACTATAGGTATAGTTAATATGAATTAAAGGTAGTTATTATAAACTATAGGTATAGTTATTATAAACTATAGGTATAGTTATTATAAACTATAGGTATAGTTACTATAAACTATATAGTTATTATAAACTAATATATTTAATAAGTGAGTGTCCTAGATAAGTAAGTGTCTTAATTTTATTTCTATTTTAAATCTAATTTTTAGAAACCCTATTAAAAATTTAAATTAAGTCTAAAATAGCTATAATCTTAAGAGCTTATATATAAGTCTTAAAATATATTATATATTCTTTCCTTAAGTTATAAAAAAACTATTAAATAGCTATAAACTTTAAAGTCTATTTATACTATAAAATAAACTATATTCTTAGGTTTTCTATATAAAGTAAAATAGCTATATATATTTTAAAATTATTACTATATTATATTAACTATACTATTCTAGGAAGTATTTATTATAGAATTTTAGCTATTTTATTAAAGCTTTTAATTACTATAAGGTAGAGATTTTCTAGGTATATAGTATATTAAAATACTTACTTATTTAGAATACTTACTTATTAAATATATTATATAGTTATTATATACTATAGGTATAGTTATTATAAATTAAAAAGAGTTATTATAAACTATAAATATAGTTAATATAAACTATAGGTATAATTAATATAAATTATAAATATAATTAATATAAACTATAGATTTTTTCTTTTAGTTTTAACCTTTAACTTTATTAAGCCTAGGCTTTTTAAATCTCTTAATAATATTAATAATAAAAATAACCCTTTTAAGGTTAAAACTTAATATAATTAAGATAGTAAAAGTTATATTAAGTAACTAAACTCTATCTTAGTAAATACATAAATAATTTATAACTATATTAATAAAGAAAATATATATTTAAAATTAAAATTAAAGTTAAGGCAGTCTTAAAGTTAAAGGTAATTTTAGGCTAAAAAATTAAATTAAATTATATAACCTTTATTAAATTCTTATTATACCTTAATAATATTAATAATATTATTAATTAAGAAATTATAGATATAATTTATATAAACTATAAATATAATTAATATAATTAATATAAATTATAAATAATTATTATAAACTTTATATTTATTATAAATTATTATAGTTAATTAATATAAACTATAAATATAGTTATTATAAACTATATAATTATTATAAACTATATAGTTATTATAAACTATATAGTTATTATAAATTATAAATATAATTATAATAAACTATATAGTTATTATAAATTATAGATAATTATTATAAATTATAAATAATTATTATAAATTATAAATAGTTATTATAAACTATAGGTATAGTTAATATAAACTATAGGTATAGTTATTATAAACTATAAAGAGTTATTATAAACTATAGGTATAGTTAATATAAACTATAGGTATAGTTAATATAAATTATAGGTATAGTTATTATAAACTATATAATTATTATAAACTATAGGTATAGTTACTATAAACTATATAGTTATTATAAACTATAGGAATAGTTAATATAAATTATATATAATTATTATAAACTATAGGTATAGTTATTATAAACTATAGATATAGTTAATATAAATTATAGATATAATTAATATAAACTATAAATATAATTAATATAAACTATAAATATAATTAATATAAATTATAAGTAATTATTATAAATTATTATAATTATAATAAATTACTATAATTATTATAAATTAATATAATTATTATAAATTACTATAGTTATTTTAAATTACTATAGTTATTATAAATTAATATAATTACTATAAATAACTATAGGTAACTATTATAAACTATAAGTAATTACTATAAACTATAAATATATTTACTATAAACTATAGGTATAATTATTATAAATTATAAATATAGTTATTATAAACTATATAGTTACTATAAACTATATAGTTATTATAAATTATAAATAGTTATTATAAACTATAGGTATAGTTAATATAAACTATAGGTAGTTAATATAAACTATAGGTATAATTACTATAAATTATAGATATAATTATTATAAACTATAGGTATAGTTATTATAAATTAAAAAGAGTTATTATAAATTATAAATATAATTAATATAAACTATAGGTATAATTAATATAAATTATAAATATAGTTAGTATAAATTATAGATTTCTTTTTTTAATTTTAATCTTTAATTTTATTAAGCCTAGGCTTTTTAAATCTCTTAATAATATTAATAATAAAAATAATCCTTTTAAGGTTAAAACTTAATATAATTAAAATAGTAAAAGTTATATTAAATAACTAAACTCTATCTTAATAAATATATAAATAATTTATAGTTATATTAATAAAAGAAATATATATTTAAAGTTAAAATTAAAGTTAAGGCAGTCTTAAAGTTAAAAGTAACTTTAGGCTAAGAAATTAAATTAAATTATATAACCTTTATTAAATTCTTACTATACCTTAATAATATTAATAATATTATTAATTAAAAAACTATAAATATAGTTTATATAAACTATAAATATAATTAATATAAACTATAAGTAATTATTATAAACTTTATATTTATTATAAATTATTATAATTAATTAATATAAACTATAGATATAGTTATTATAAACTATATAATTATTATAAACTATATAGTTATTATAAACTATATAATTATTATAAACTATATAATTATTATAAACTATAAGTATAATTATAATAAACTATATAGTTATTATAAATTATAAATAGTTATTATAAACTATAAATAGTTATTATAAACTATAGGTATAGTTAATATAAACTATAGGTATAGTTATTATAAATTATAAAGAGTTATTATAAACTATAGGTATAGTTAATATAAACTATAGGTATAATTAATATAAACTATAGGTATAGTTACTATAAACTATATAATTATTATAAACTATAGGTATAATTATAATAAATTACTATAATTATTATTAACTATAGGTATAGTTAATATAAACTATATATAATTATTATAAACTATAAATAGTTATTATAAACTATATAATTACTATAAATTACTATAATTATTATAAATTAATATAATTATTATAAATTACTATAGTTATTTTAAATTACTATAGTTATTATAAATTAATATAATTACTATAAATAACTATAGGTAACTATTATAAACTATAGGTAATTACTATAAACTATAAATATATTTACTATAAACTATAGGTATAGTTATTATAAATTATAGATATAGTTATTATAAACTATATAGTTACTATAAACTATATAGTTATTATAAATTATAAATAGTTATTATAAACTATAGGTATAGTTATTATAAACTATAGGTAGTTAATATAAACTATAGGTATAATTACTATAAACTATAGGTATAGTTATTATAATCTATAAGTAGTTAATATAAACTATAGGTATAGTTACTATAAACTATATAGTTATTATAAATTATATAGTTATTATAAACTAACTTATATCTATAGTTATTATAAACTATACCTAAGTTAGTAAGTCTCTTATCATAGGCACTACTACGCTAAATATAATAAAGCTAACTACAGTAGGCAGGCAAAAGTAATAATATATATTAGGTCTACCCTAACCACCCTGACTTAATATTTCTACTTTAGTATGTAGTTAAATAGGTAATTATTCTTTAATTATAATATTTTATATATTATTCTATAGCATTTTAAAAGGAGATTTTAGGAATATATTTTAGTATTTAATATAATAGCTATTTACTTAATAATATACCTCTAAACGGTTATATATTAATTTAATTATATTTTTAATTACTTTATTTTAGACCTCTAATTAAAGCTCCTCTATAGCTTTAATTAGCCGGTTTATTATTATAGCCGACTTAGGAAAAGTAATTATTTTAAGGTATATATTATATATCCGTTTTTTCAGGACTTTCTATAGGTTTTTAATAGGATTAAGATCAGGACTATAAAGAGGCCAGTTTAATAGTTTTACCCTATTATGCCAGGCCTAAAGGCAAAGCTAATCCTAAACTTTTCAATAAGTATAGGTATAGGCGTTATTATATTAAAATATCTTTCTATCCTTAACCAAGTTAGGAAGGTAAGACTATAAGTAAGAGAGAATTTTACGGCCTATTATGCCTCCCCTTATAGAATTAAGGTCGCCAGGTAAAATAATAAGCCTAGACGGTTTTTTATAGTAAATTATACTATAGAATATCTAAGAATATCTTACAGGCTGTCTATAAGGCTAGACCTTATCTCTATAAAGCCTCTTACCCTATAGTATTATTAAAATCTATTTCTAAAAATAGAAAGTTTAGACTAATAATTCTATAAAATAATTACTTAGTATAGTTACTATCTATACAGTTAATAAAGACCTTATTAGAAAACTATTAATTATACTAAAAACTCTTATCTTTATAATAATACTTATTTATAAAAGCCTTCCTTATTTAGGTATATTTTAGGGTAAAAAATAGATATTAAAGTATAAGCTTATATTATATCCCTTCCTTAAGAAGTTACTAATAAATAGTCTTTCTTTAATAGGATAAGTATACCTAATTAATAATATCCTTATATAAGATAAAAGGGTTATTTTTAATAAGTATTTTAATATATATTTTATCTATATTTAATAACTTAAAAGGCCTGCCAGAATAAGGTAAAGACCTTTTTAAGGTTTACTATTACGACCTTTAGAGAATGCTATAAATCACGTTATAACTAATGCCTTATTTTTAGGTAATTTCTATAACTAGAACATCCGATATATATATTATTATAATTGCCGTTCGATACTTAGAAGATTAATATTCTTTTCGCTAGGATTAAGGCATTTTTACTATAATAAGAACGCGTTATAATTATATTATTAATATTAATATTTAACGTAAAGAGGGGTAAGGCTTTAGATATGTCGTAACTTTTAGCGACCTACTGTATAATGGATTTCGCAGATATACAGTACCTTTATTCACCTCTACCTCTACCACCACCTCCACCCCACTAACTCCAACTCTACCCCTCCACCCCTCCACCTCTACAACCTCCACCAACACCATCACCACCACCACCACCACCACCACCATCACCACCACCACCACCACCATCACCACCACCATCACCACCACCACTACACAATGTCGAGTCGCGCATCGAATAAGCGACAAAGTACGGGCGCTCCCGCCTCTGCTCGTGCTCCTAAGAGAGCTCGAACAGTTCATAGCGGCGCAAATGACGAGAAGTCACCCTCACGCCGTTGGGCAAGAGGGATTCTCCGATGCATTTCTGAACTCCCTTCCTCCGATCTCGCAGCAGCGTTGGGAATCATACCAGATACCATCACTGATACCTGGAGTCAAGAGGATGAGGATTTCATTCAGGCCGTTTGGGATGAGAGTCCGGAAAAGCAAGAGGTATCCAGGATCAACAACTCTAAGAACGCCGCTCTGCTCAAGTTGTGGAAGTGCCATTTGCGTGTCCTGCGAACCTCACCGCACCGGGTGATCTCTCCCTTGTTCAACCTGCGCTACCAGACGCAAGGGAATAATAATGCTACAGTGCGTGGCACATTCTCACTGGCATTTTGCAACAGTTTCACGGCGCTTCTTCTACACCCCTGCTGGAAGGCAAAGGTGGACCGAATCGTCTGGGCTTTGCAATACGCTGTCATCTGTCGCCTAGATGATCGACGTAACTGGCCAGCCGCTTCCTTGGGAGTGAAGGACAGTTGCCCAGCCCTGAAGTCCCTTTACGAGGAACTGAGCGCCATGGGTAATTTGCCACGGACCCTCCACTCGATGCATGTTTCAGCAAGAGGACGTATTTTGCGTGATGGAGAAACACCAAGCGTGTATTCTAACTTGCTGCATCGCATTGGTGAAATGGTCTTGGCGAAAGAGACGCGAAGACCCCGAGTCAGTCCAGACAACCTGACATACATGGGGGTTGAAGTCTTGCCTTTGACTGGATGGGATCTTGAAATCATTCGAGAAGCTGTTGACTCTATGGCATTCCCAGATCCGAAATGGCAGTTCCCCGTTTCTGAGGCCTACGAAAGTTTCATGATCGAGAATGATCACAAACGAGGGCCCACGGTAAAGAAACTGCCCGAACTTTTCGAGCTTACCTTCAAAGGTATGCTCAGAGAGGTCAGGTTGAATACTCGACCACAAAGCGAGATCGACAACTCAACCTCGGATATTCCGATGGACCAAGAGATTGGGCCAGAGGAGGAGTCAGAGGAGGAGGTAGAGGAGTCAGAGGGCTCAGAGGAGGAATCCGAAGAGAACTCAGATGAAGACGAGGAGGAGGACGAGGAGGACGAAGAGGAACCAGAGAATGTACCAGGATCTGGGACTGAGGCTCCTGAGTCTGAACCTCGCGAGTCTATACCTCGTGAGTCTGAACCTCGCGAGTCTATACCTCGTGAGTCTGAACCTTCCCATGAAGATGATTTCCTGGGTGGTTTTGACGGTTTTGACCTTGGCAATGAAGAGGATAATGACATCTCAGCCCCAGCTGGTGATGATCGTACCCCTTCTAGATCAAACACCGGCGCTCCCTTTCCGACACGATTCCGTCGCGCAGGAGATAACGGCCGGACGCTCTCTTCCCTTTTTCCGAACGGCCCCCCACCTATTACACCTATCTACGGGTCGTCGGCGAACACTCTGACCATCGACAGAGATGCCTTCGACACTCTGCTGCAGGAACATGAATCCCTGGAGGCAGAGAACGAAAGTAGGAAGGAGGAGATTCGGTCCTTGAAGGCCAAGACTGAGTCCTTGGAAGCGGACCATGCGTCTTTGGAAGACGAACTTGTATCCTTGGAAGAGGATCATGCGTCCTTGGAAGGATACCATGCGTCCTTGGAAGAGGACTACAAGTCGTTGGAAAAGGACTATAGGTCGTTGCAGTCAAGGACCATGAACTTGGAAGCCGACAATGTGTCTTTGCATTCAAAGACCATGAACTTGGAAGCCGACAATGTGTCTTTGCATTCAAAGACCTTATCTTTGGAGACAAAGTTCGCTGAGTTGGAGAGACAGTTCATTGCGAGCCAAGCTCGAGTTGCCGTGCCACAGGTCACGCAAAGCGACAAGGCCAGCGGTGCGACGCCCAGAGCGACTGGCCCTGACACTGGTCTCAACCCTGAGACTGAGCATCAGCGACCAGGTCCAAGACCAGATCCACAGCCTGAGACTTCCACTGGAGTACAGGATGAGGACGATGGAATGGACGAAACTCACCAAGAGAGTTCTCACCCTGTTGAGAAGTTGACTGAGAAGGTTGTTGAACCAGACCAAACCTCTCAGTCTATTCCAACTGGCGAGAACACCCAGGGTGAAGTGCCTCAATCTCAAGCACCAGAACAGGATGCGAGAGACAAAGGCCAAGAACCTGCATCGACAGGTAAAGCCCCTGAAAAGGAGGCTCCAGTCAAGCCGAATAGCGGTAAAGTAATCTCATTTGGGGTCCCAAGGCACTCGGATACCCCTATGAGAAGTCTACGCATTCGACATGGCAAAAAGAGATTGTTTGCAAGCCGATTTGGCTCAATGGCCACTCGTGCGGTAGACGATGACCCAGGCAAGATGAAGCCTTCCTTCCAAAACTCTATGTATAAGGACCTTGACGGGTTTCTAAAGTAGAGTTTTAATAAAATCTATGCCAATTCCTCAATTAATAAGTTTAGTCCCTTTGTCTACGCTTTGCAAATATTACGAGTATTATTGGTCACATGTATCAACCTTGAAATGTGACATGTCTATTAATTTATGAACTCTTTCGTATAACACACCCTCACCACGAGTATCTTGAAATGTGATATAATGTATATTAATCTGTAAAGTCTTGTCCCTTTTCACCTAGCCATACCCTCTCCTGGATGCACCTTTAATTGGTAAAGTCTAGTACTCTTTCATCTAACTGTAGTACCCTCACCTTGATGCATCCAGTATCGTGGGTTAAGCAGGTACCCCCATTGATTGCGCAACGGGGGTCACCTTTGAGAACCTGGCCAAAACAATGCCAGTTTTGATGTCCGGCATTCAAAAATTGGAGGAGGTTCTCTTTTGCATCGAGTTCATCCAGTATCGGGGCAATCTCAACAGCAAGCTGCGACAAATTGATCCTGTCGCACCTCTGGGGAGCACTGGGGATATCACGAAACTCGTCCGCGAGCCTAAGATACATCTTGGCAAGATCCCCAGTTACTCCTTCGGGTATGGTAACCCACTGTTGAGCGTTGTGAGCCGAAAGCTGACCTTCAACAGCAGTGACACGATCTCTTTCAGCGTGTAATTGCTGTTGAAGATCAACCACTGACGTACTGGCAGAGTCCTCACGGGACCTTGCCGTAGCCAACTGGTCATTCAGGTCAGAAACCTGGCCTTGAGCAGCCGTGAACTGATCATTTACAGATTGTAACTCCTGTTGAAGACCTTTCACTGACTGCTTGGCAGTTTCCTCGCCGGACCTCGCCGTAGCCAGCTCGTGGCGTAAGACGGAAAGCCGACCTTCAAGAGCATTGCAATCGCTCTTTTGAGCTTGCGACTGCTCTTCAAAATTGGCAGCTAACTTCTTGGCAGTATCCTCGCTGGACTTTACCGCAGTCAGTTCGCTGCGCAGAGCGTCTTGAACAGAATTAGCTGAAGATAGCATTTGTTCAAGAGCTCTGACCTCGACAGTAGCCTTCTCCAATTGAACATTGGAGTCATGTACTGCTGAAGTGCGTTCAGAGTTGTCACGTTCCAGTGACTCAATCTTGGAACGCGACAACTCGAGTGTATTGTCACGATCTTCTAGAAGGGAACGTTGTCGAGACATCTCCTCCTGAAGCATGACCTTCTCATTCGCCCAGGCGTCTTTCAACTCTTGATGAAGCGCGCCTTGCTGTTCGAACCTCGTGCGAAGTTCTGTAGCCGTTTCCTCAGCCTTGACGCGGGCTTGTTCAGCCTGTTCTCGGCTTGCTGCAAGATGGTCACGCATCTCATTGATCTGCTGTGACCTGTCTGTGTTGAGCTTCTTCTCTTGATCAATGATCCCTCGTTGTCTGGCATTATCTCGAGAATACCTACCTTGGGCTTCTTCCGATCTGCGAAGTTGATCACGAGTTTGTTGAAGCTCTTGCGCAGCAGTCTCGGCTGCTTCAAGCCTAGCCCGGGCATCTTGAAGCTGTTGTTGAAGATCAGCAAAACCTTCAAGGCGGCCTTGGGCTTCCTGAAGCTGTTGGTGGGTAGCGTCACAAGTATCTTGGAGGTCCTGGATGGTATTGTCCCTCCTCTGTACTCGTTGACGCTCCAACTCCAACTTCTCATTGGTGAGTGTCTCTCGGTCACTCGCCGCACGTACATCAATGGCAGCCCTTTCCTTGAGGTTGTCCATCTCTGCTCTGAGGCTCTGACCTTCCACTCGAGACTCATCCCTCTCCTGAGTCACCTTACGGTATCTCTCAAGTAGGTCTGCGTACTTGCTTGACTCATCCAAAGCCTTGGAGAGGTCGGTCTTGGAGGGCAGAGAACCAACAGACTTCTCCATGGCCTCGAACTTGGCGCCGAGAGGCTGAAGTTGGGCAAGAATACCCCTACGACCAGTCAAGGTTTCGAGGATCCGCGCCTGATCTGCAACTGAATCTGTCAAAGATTTGTCGAACTTGGCTATCTCTGTATTCAGCTTCTGCCGATCTGAAGCCGCATCAGCCAAAGATGTGGCGACTTTGCCCATCTCTGTCTTCAGCTTCTGCTCTATTTCTGAAACTGCCAAATTGACTAACTTGGCGATCTCATCCATAAAGCTCTTCTCTCTAGAGAGAGCAGTTCTGGAATGCTCAGTTATCCTTTCAGAGATATCGTCCTTGATGGTTTGGAGCGATTCAGCTGAGCGGTCCTGAGCAGACCTTTGGACTGCATCGAACTTGTCCAGAAGTTCAGTGATTTCGCCCTTGAGAACTTGGAGCGTTTTCTCTGAATGGTCCTGGAAAGACGTTTGGACTTTACCCAACTCATCTACCACGGTCTTAGAGTCTTTGGTGAGACTCGATGACACCTGGTTGACCTGACGGGTAAGTCCGTCAACTTGATCAGGCAAGTTGGAAGCCTTCTCAGCAATTGCATTGAGTCTGGATTGCTCATCTGCAAGAGCCTTTTGTTGAGCTTCAAGCTTGCGTTGCTGCTCTTGAACTTGAGCGTAAACAGCCTCGGCTTCAGCCTGGAGGCGAGTTACCTCGTCTTCCTTCTTCTCCACGATCTGGGCCGCAAAGAAGATCTGCTCTCGGATGAGCTTTCGACCACCTGGGTCAGGGACATGTTCAAGAAACAGATCAAGACCTGTTAGGTCGATTATTCTGTTATCTGGCTGGTTTTCCATTTTGACTTGAGAGTATGGAGTTTGTGTTGAAGGGAAAACTTTGGGACTCGAGAGGCAGGAACGAATGCGGCAACACCTCGGTCAACACCTGGGTCACTGGGTCACGAGACACCTCTATAGTCGAACACCTACGAATCAAAATATCACGACGAACTATAATTGATGGCACAGATTGTATTGACTCTATCTCCATCTTTCATCTCCATCTTTCACCTGCCATCCTTCATCTGCCATCCTTCATCTCCCATCCTCCAACAACGTCCAATTCGACCTGTACCATGTTGCGCGCAATAACGAGTCGATTCAAAGGAGGCGCTGAGAATTTGCATGTTCAAAGTTTGGCCATTCTTCGTTTGTTACTGATGTCCTTTCACAATATGCCCCTTTTGGGTCGGGTGACACTTGTGCCTTCGTGCTAGCAATTCCCATTGTCATGGTACGCTGTCTCGTATGCTCGTCTCGTCTCGTTCGGCTCAAATTACATCTGGTTATGGATATAGAACTGGTATCGTTCGTTCGCGGTAGGGTCTAACCGGAGCAGTATTCGCATTCGGTGTATCGCTCGGTTCGTGGATCTTGTGTGGGCTCGTGTAAAGGTATTCTCGTCAAATAGGGGAAGTCGAAATAATACATTGAACTGGACTAGGTTAGTGACTTATCTGAGAAAACTGTTAAGAACTTACCGACTCTACTCTGACCTATTTCTAGGTCCCGTGGGTATGTCTGATATGAAACCAGAGCCCCCCATAGTAATAAGACTATGTGATTAAGTCATTACATGAAAGGCTCTGGTTTATGCTCTGAGGTTTGTCGCTCCAGTGACTAAATCACGGAGCAACACAAGAGATCCCAGTTACGGGCTCTTTTAGTAGTGTAATTGAGGTAGAGGGAGGAGGATTAGTCTCTTAGTAAAGGACGTTGTCCTCGGCATTTTCCTCCTCAACGCCCTCCTCAAATTCCTCCTCCTCAACGTCCATTGGATCAACCTCTTGGCCATGGGGGCGGGGGCTAGCAGGAGGACTAGCTACCCACTCGGGATCACTGTCTTCATCGTCATCCTGGGCGTCAGGAATCTCTGTATCCTGAGCAGCCAGGTCGCCGATGGCTTCAGGCCAAGGTAGGTTAGCCATCCTCCAGTATGTGTTGTAGATCGCCTTGTACGAGCGCGTAAGGGGATCTACCGGTAACATATCACACTGGGTGGTATGGACATCGAAGCTTTTCTGCACCGTGGCGAGCTTCTTGCCATTCTGATCCTTGAGGAACTTCATGGCAAAAGCCTTCGACCACGGGAATGCAGTGATCTCCTTGGATTTAGTGAACCCAGGAGAGTTGCAATACTCATGCAGCCACATGTGCCAGGGCTTGCTGCTCTGGATGGGCGGCATGTTGCCTCGCCGGGTCACAACGAGATCGACCTTTTCAGCCAGGGTCTTATCGTTGAATGCCTGACAATCATCGAGCCTGTGATCTCGAGATCGACAGACAAGGCATCCAACGATGTGTCCCTTAGGGGCCATAAGGCACAGAGTAAAATTGTGAGACGACTTGCCACAAATGGGGCACTGGTCTCCAGAGGCCACAGGCTCCCGAGTTATAATCTTGGGAACGATAGCGGCTTTGCCTTCACGAGTACGGCCACTGTCAAGCGTGGTCATACTGTGCGTAGCGTTCGCCTTGACCCATTTGAAATGGTCATCGTCATTAGGCGTGATCGTCACGTAAAATGACTTTGCGTCACGGAACCACGTCTTGGCACCTTCGCTGAAAATCTCAGCCATATCCTCCGCGCTGGTGACATTGCCCCGGACAGAGTCGTGCCAAGTGCTAGCTATCCGGTTCTGATGGCCACCGTGGAGGGACCCGTTGACAAGACGCTTGGCAACACGGCTGTGCTTTTCGTCAAAGAATGCTTCTTCGTAAGTTTCTTTGACCCAAGTCAGCGGCTGCCGTGGGGGTGCGAATGCGGGTGCGGGTGCGGGTGCGGGTGCGGGTGCAGGTCGGTACTGCTGGCCGTTTCCCTTTGAGTGTTTGCTCTTGGAGATGCCGCCAGAGGACTTGCCCTTACCGGACGAGTTCTTATCCATACCACCATGGCGTGAGGCAGGGGCAAAACTGCCGATGCCTGAACCAGACGGCTTGGGGTTGGAACCCGTTTGACGGGTATTGCTAGTATTGCTAGCCTGGTTGGAGCCAGGCGCAATATCAGCACCGCCAGACGAGGTCTGGCCCTTGCCACCACGGCGTAAGGCATCGGCAAAACTGCCAGTACCCGGACCGGGAGGCTTGGGGTTAGGACCCGTCTCATTGCCAGTGTTGCTAGCCTGGCTGGAACCAGGCACAACACCAGCACCACCAGCAGAGCTGTCATCATGACCGGAGCCAGAGACATCACCGCCACCAGTGGGTTTTGGAGATTTGGGGGCCATGGCTTGAGCTTGCAAACTTACAAGATCCATGCCTCCATACCTCTTCGCCAACTCCTCCAGCTCTCTTGTGAGCTTGACGCGTTGAGGCGGGTTGTATGGCTTTTTCCCGCCAGAGTTTCCAGTGTTCTTGCTGGAGCCTTGTCCAACCATCGTGAATCACTGTTGTAGATTTTTTTTTTTAAAAAAAAAAAAAGAGTTGTTGTTGTTGTTGTTGTTGCGGTTGGTGGTGCAGTGATTCAGTGATGATGGTTTGTGGAGGTTTTGTTATGATCTATAGCTTCAAAGAAATTCTTAAGGCCCACCTCACTTCACAGCTATCTGCCTAAAGCTGCTGGCACTGCTAATCACTGCATACCTAAGCACAGGCATTTACCTTAGCTTAGTAAATATAATTATATCCCAACCTTTCATCCATATTCACATCCGTTCTCTCATCCACATTCTCCCTCATCCACACTCTCATATATCTTCTCCCAAACTCAAGAAGTAACCGGTATTTCGTATCATCGTATGGCTTCTACTAAAATTCTATAGATATGGCTACTATCACTTCGGAGCTTAAGCGTTTTCTTGAGTCGTGGTGCGCACCAGCCTCAAAGGCTCGTTTCGGCCACATTCAGATACCCCCCTATCGCATAGGGGGTCTACTTGAAACGATGCGTCAACACTTCCAGACTTCCAAGTCCCACATGCCTTTCTTTGTCATCCCGGATGGAGAAATGAAGATCGGAGCTGGTCTCAACTCTGAGAATGACGAGTTTCCTTCAGAACTCTTGTCGTTCTCTAAGCTTTTGAGCGTGCTTAGACACAACCGATCTCCTTCAGATGATGATGATGATGATGATTGGAAGGTGGGCCATGGAGTTGAGGATTGGAAGGCTGTTGAAGTACTTCCACGAAGGAGTATCTTCGTACTCCAGCTTGACCCTGCTGTGTCTGCAGATTGTGCTCTGGCCTTGATTGGTCTGGTGAACTGGACGCTATGGGTGAATGCACTTCACCTTGATAACCGTGTGCAGCTATTGACGATCTCGGCTGAGAAGGAAAGCAATTTCCTCTCGAAACTGGTATCTGTCGCAGCTCCCGGGACTCAAGTCTTGGGTCTTGACTTGTCCGTTCACGGCGAGCAAGATCCTGAAACAGGCGCTATTATCTACAGTACCATGGATACTGCTGAAAAAGCTGCCAAGATTGTGGCCAGTATTCGCAACCACCCGGAGACGTCTCGCGTCATTGTGACCTTTGATAAGGGTTTTTATCGCGCATTACGGACTGGGTTAGGAGACGGATCTGGCTTCGCAGATGAGATACATTGCTCGAATGGTGATGTTTCCAATCTGACCAAGTTGAGAACTGGTGAGGTAGCTGATAGCAAGACTGTCGTGATCATGATTGATGGTGAGCTCCCTATCTTGCCATTGGAGCTACCTTCTTTCGATGAACTTTATCTTGTTCTCTCTGATGGCGAGTTCACGGGGCCACCAGTCTGGGACTGTACTGCGGCTCAGATAGTCATGCAACCTCAAAACCCATCTCGTGATGACCGTCGCCTTCAGCTTTGGTGGGGCCGACAGCCATCAATAGAGAATCGTCACATTTTTGCGACAGGCAAAGGAGTCCCAGCTTTCTTGGACGACTCATTCACTCGTGAACGCCTCGTGGAGAACAGTCAGCTTGGCGGCTTTATTGCTGCTGTCTTTGACATGGGCTCTTGGGGCGTCGACACAGATGCAGCCATTGCGTGCTTTGTCCGCTTTTCCCGCCAAGTCGAGGAGATGTGTGGGAGACTTACTGTCCAAGGTGTCATAACCAGTCAGGGTCCCCCCAAGGACGAGTCAAACAAACCCTCGCCTGCCCTTGCCTTATCAGAGGAAGAGGCCATTGTTTTCCGAGGGGTTCTGTCGCCTCTCGATTACGACCATCGCCTTGCTTTGCTGGTGGCCATTGAAGCCGAACCTGGTGCCCGTAGTACCAAGGTGGAAATTGCCGCTATCCTCAAGCATGGCAGTGGAAACCTCGTTGGACTCACACCCAGTAGTGGTAGAAGAGAACAAAGAAACCTTGAACGGATGCTCCAAGGGTGCCAAGACGTCCGTCAGGAATTGAGTTCAAACGGGTCGATCTGGTTCACTCTTGGCCAATTCAGACGCGCAAGGCTTATGCACGACGACGACAGCGATGATCTCCATAATCTTGTGGATATCAACCGGTCGCTCGTGATCAATGTAGATACCCTGATTGAGGATATCAGCAGAGTGCTTCGCAGGGCTGGCATCTATCTTCGCAACCGCGATACTGGCTCCATGGCCATGAGCCAAGAGGAGGAGCGTCAGGTTCAGAGAGATCTCGCTCGAGCCTACATCTACCAGTTGACCTTTTCGCGCTACCCTGGGCCTGGTCAAAGAATCAAACATAAGTTCATATCGACTATGAATGTTTGCATTCTACCCACAGACCCCAACCGCGTGAGGTCTACCATTGACTTTTACCGTCTTGTGTCTCAAGATGAGGTCGCCCTTGGGATCTGCCATGATCTTAGTTCTTCAGAAACTAAGGGTGAGATCTTATCCGAGGACTGGACCTGGATCCCAGGGCAAGTTGTGGCCAATTGGCTGCATGAGAATGCACCTGGTAGAGAAATCTACCAGGTGCTAAACGCACACATTCAGCATTAGTTTGTTGAAGTAGCTAGTTATTTACCATCAATAACGAACTCGATTTCATTCTTCCGAATAAGACTACAGGATGAAATTGTATAAGTTTATAATGGTTATGACTTCATATCGTGATTCTTACCCAAGATGATCGGATTGCATGAGCATACATGTAGTTAGTGAGATACATGACAGACCAAATCAATATGTTAGTCTCGCAGAAATGAAACATGTTTTTAAGACAACAGTGATAGTTTATGTGTACACATTAAATTTGAAACATTAACCTTGTGCTTGACATGAAATGAGATGAAAATTATTATGTTAAATTGGCAGCGTCGTCATCGTGCTGTTGTTGGTAGAGTCGTGTTGTATTTTCAGGAAATCCGACACGAAGCCTTATTCTCCCTATCCAGTCAGCCTAGACCAAGTGAGGCTCGTCTCATTGATTGATTGTCCTTCTCAGTCCAAGCCTTCGTTCAGGCACCCAAGTAAGCTTTCGATCGACAGAATTCTCCGCCCTCCCCGGCTCCAAAGACCTCCTTCTCTAGTATCGTCAGAACCGTGTTCCTTCAGGGAAGTCCATCACATCCGCCCTGAGCCTCGACGGCATCATGTGGTAATTATCATTGGGAACAGGCTGGGTATCATTATAGTATAAATTGTTCGCCTCAAGTTTCTTGGGGATTCAATTCTTTATGTTGAGGTTCGGGTTCGTCCTAATGATCTCGTGGTCCAGTTCGTTGACTGAGTGCTGCGGCGGAATGTTCATTTCGGAAACTCTGCAGAGTTTGTCGTTGCCATTCGTAGGTCTTGTTGAAGATGGCTTTCTTCCAGACGCCTAAGACGAAACTTGCGTAATATGGCGATTCCCTGCCTGTCGATCTTAGCTGACCTATAACTTGCACTCTTGCAGACGGTTTGGGAACATACCATGGATGGACCATGTGTGATCAGGCAGTATTTGATTTGATGTTATCTCAATTTCCTTTCATGTTCCAGTCCAACATTGTCGGAGCCGCTAGAGGACTTGCCCTTGCCGGACAAGTTCTTCTCCCTACACCATGGCGTACGGCATTAGCAGAACTACCAAGGCGTCAGTGGGGTTATAGAGTCGTGCCAAATACTACCTATCGGTTCCTGTTGGCCACCGTGGATGGAAGTATTGACAAGACGCTTGGCAACACGGCCAGTCTTTTCGTCAACGTACACCTCCTCAGAGCTTTCCTGGACCCAGGTCAGCGCCCGGGGGATAGAGTCGGTACAACACCAGCATGATTGGCTGCTGTAGACTCTGCATCTATCTGGTCCAGCTGTGAACGCAGATTATCCGTGCCTCCAGCCTGTTCAGCCAGCTCCTTCAGCCAAGCTTCTAACTCCGGGTCATGAATCTGAAGGCGATCGACTTTGTCAGCTAATCTGTTTCCAACCATCGCGAGTTATTGTTTGTGAAATCTTACTTAAAAAGTTGTTGTTGTAGATGCCGTATCGTTCACGGTGATGATGAGTTCTTCTCCATACCACCATGGCGAAACGTTTTTATATAGTATTCCGCGTCGACATTGCCTCGCAGCTTATTGAGTCTCCAATTTCGCGGCCTGGGCGCAGTCTCCTTCATGGCCTCGTTCTCTGCCTTCCAATTTTGGTGCTCCATTCTCGCGCTGTCGATGGGTGGCTTGGAATCTCAACGGGGCATATCGTTTGAGTCCATTGCGAATCACTGTGATTATCGTCGTCATTGCCACTGGGGACGGTATCATCAGAGGCCTGGTTCTCGCGGTCTCGAAGCTCGCCACGTAGCTGGGGCCAAAATGGGCATATCGTCAACGGAGTCCATTGTGATTCGGTGCTACTGGCAATAATCGTCAACGCTATTGGAACTGGTGTCATGAGAGACCTGGTTCTCACGAGAGGGGAGCGGGAGTGGGTGCCGACGAGGGCGACTGGCGACGAGGGAAGGTCTTTGCGTATAGCTATTATAGCAGATGGGTTCATAGTAATAGACATAGGAGATGATGCAGCCTGCGGGCCTCTTCCAGGATGTAAACTGTCAAGACCGCTCCGAGTGTGATGGTCCCTTGGTTGATGAGCGGCCTCAACTCGTGCATAATGACAGGCAACGCTGGAACCCCAAAAGCGCCGGGAAGTCGGAAAAGCAACAGTTTTCTATTCGATTATTCCTCCTTATCTCTATATGCATTCGTGTATGCCTCTAGACCGTGTGTTCGATTCGTGAGAAGCTTTCTGGAGAGCTGAAATAGCAGGGCATCCTAGTGTCGTGGATTCTGTTGGCCAAGCATTTCGATCATTTAGACGGCATGACTGCATGCTATAGAACCACAGTGAATAGCAGATGGTCTCATCCATTCTGGTTGAAGGTAAGTGCTATAAGTTGCGAGAAGTCGCAAGAGAACATTATCTGATTTCCAGGCTTGGGTCGGGTTGGCAGCCGGAGAGATCAGCGTCACCGGAGAAATCTTGAAGACCCTCCCTGTGAAGGCTCTTGTTGATGTGGTATTTATTCGAAGTCGCATCGCTGAAAGTGGGGTCTTCGATTGAGTTCTTTCAGAGCCATAATCCTTATATCTTTCTCGGGGCCAGTAAAAGGGGATAGGTCTGAAGCGATTACGGGAGAATCTTCTAACTCCCTCGTTGTCAATCGTAAGTCGCGATTCCAGGCATGTTTCTGAAAGTCCGACAGCGATTGAACAGGTTGATATTGGCGATGTAGTCGATGTAGTCTTGTTCAGGTCAGAAGAGCCGATAACGTGTATGTTCAAGGCTGTTCCACAGAGGCATCTTGATTCGTGTCGCGAACATGTGTCGGTGTACATCTGTCCGATTGGTTTCGCTGTTCGCGTGGGTTCTTGTCATATAGGGAAGAAAGGTCGACACAAAAACGCTGGGCTGTCATGAATTGTTAGTAACGTATCTGAGAAGGCTGTCGAGAACTTACCTGGTTCAACCTTCTAACCTACTGGTAGGTCCATTGGTGTTTGTCCGATAAACCAAGACAGAGCCGTTCATGTAACAAGACTATGTGGTTAAGTGGTCCAATTATAGGCTCTTTTCATAGTGTGAAAAGGTGGAGGGAGGACAACCAGTCTTAGTAATAGAATTCGTCCTCACCCTGGTCATCCAATCCTCGCTCTTGATGCGACTGTGAGGAGGTGCCCACGGGTGACTTTCATTCTCACCTTGGTCGTCCAACCCTTGATCCTCGCTCTTGATGGGGGGACTAGGAGAGGGTGCCCGCTGGGGGCCCTCATCCTCGTCGTCATCCTGGGAGTCGGACATCTCTTCATCTTTAACGTCCAGGTCACCAACGGCCAAGGTAGCTTAGCCGGTCTCCAGTACATGTTGAAGATTGCCTTGTAGGAGCGCGTCGCACAATCTTCTGGTAACACTTCACGTTGGAGGGGGTCAGCATCATACCCTAAAGTTTGTTGCTCCAATGACTAAATCACAGAGCAGTATAGAAGACCCAGCTTTGGGCTCTTTTCATAGTGTAAATGAGGTGGAGGGAGGACGACCAGTCTTGGTAACAGACTACGTGCTCACCCTAGTTATCCAACCTCAACGTTGAACCTCACTCTTGATGGGACTAGGATATGGTGCCCGCTGGGGGCCATCATCGTCATCCTGGGAGTCGGGATGTTGATCTAGCGACAGTAAAACGGCGAGGATAATCTATAATGATTATATAGTTTGGGTGCTTTGACCATAGGTTCATGGGATGCTGCCTCTGAGAAGTAGACTAGGGCGTTGATTCAAGCTTAGATCCTCGGCCTGCAGCTGTTGTATATAGTCGATTGACGGCCGGAGAATCCTTGAAGTTCGTGGGTATATTCCGTAGCCCTGTGAAGACTGACTGTTGGAGGCTCGGATCTAGATGTGAGGGCGAATATGAGACCAAGGTAAGGCCACCAATGAGAAAACGAACGGGATGGGCCAGACCCAAGGTAAATGGGAATCGGCTGAAAGAAACGGAGGTGTTCAGCAGCATTTTTGGCAATGTGTCGGCTGCTATCGTGAACCCGTTTGCCTTCAGGCTCCGAGCTGTCCGAAATCGGCTACTTCGCTTCAAGTTTGGGTTGCGACGAGGTCTAGGCCGACTTCGTCTTTCCACGATCAAAGTTCGTCCTAGCATGAGAAACATCGGCCTTGGTCATGGTAGGCCACGTGGCCAGGCATGTCTTCACCCACATCGAAGTCCCCGCCTGACAGACTCGTATCCCAGACATCTCGTGATCCTGGGTTTGGCTTACGAGACAAGTTGTGTAGCTCCAGAAACCGGATGAAGCTGATGATAACTGTAGAGTATTCCAGGTTCGAAAGAGAAGGATCCCACGTCTTCGGTTGAGGTGAGGAACAAGACCATGTAGAACGCTATGCAGAGCTAGAGCACATCTGCTGGCATGGAGGAATCGATCATGAAAAGTATCTTCGCCTCTTTTGGGAAGATATTCGCTGCGATGGCCTCCACAGGCATCATGGGATCTTGAGTTTGGCTTACGGGATACAGTAAGCAGTTTCAGGAACTGGACAAAACTGAATGCAATCGTAGGACGTCCCAGGTTCGGAGTACAGAGCTCATCCACGTCTTCGATTGAGGTGACGATTAAGATGTCGTTATCCTCTGAGAATGATGTTGTAACTCTCGACTCGAAGCCTCGCTCTCGATAGAGTGGCAACTTGATATGCGCAACTGGGATAAAATCGTTGTCGCCGACGAATGAGGGGATTGTTGTTTATATAAGAGTGAGTATAATATAAAGACGGAGGTTTTAAGCTTGGTGAACCGTGGTAGATTACTTTTCCCAGTCTCTGACTGGTTCTCAAGTTCAAGGATCCTGGCTCAGCAGCCTCAAGCTTCCTGTCTCGAATATGGGAGACACTCAAGGCTTTCATCTCGTCAACTTTGTTCCATTTCAGGAATTAGTTCTCGGCAGTAGAATTGGGCCAGCGTTGCGTCAGTTGATCGCAGTATGCTATCGAAGAACTTCAGCTTCAACAGGCAAGGCCCTGGGAATTGAGCCCGTATAGTTTGGAGGCCTTGTCGACTTCATAGGAGAGAGCTTCGAGGTTGACTTCTAGTAGCGATCTTGTTGACAGGATAGTGCATTGTCGCCTTGTGGGTGTCTCGAGGGGCGATAATACGCTCAGGGGATTAAGACAAACAACAGCACAGCGACGAACTGGAGCCGACCAGGGAACCAAGGGGAAACCCTCGGAGAAAGCAAAATAGGCGAGGGCAGGACCACAACGCAGGGGAGCTGGGACTGGTGTCACTAGAGGCCTGTTTGTCGGAGTATATGTGTCTAGATCAAGTGATCCTTTCTTCGCAGACAGGCGTATTTCCATGGTCCCAAAGACGAGGTCACTAGGCCATGAGGAGCCTCAAGATCCGTTGAGGGGGGTAACGGGAGCAGACTTCGGGATGAAGTTCATTGGCTACGACGAGTCGCTGTCGAATGTATGAGTCGGCCAGGAAAGCCAAGATTCCTTTCCCTGTCGTGTAGATGTGACGGCCCATCAAAGCTGGAGGCGACGGTCATCACCAAGGTTCTCAGTCGTCATCTAGGTGAGCAGTCGTCCATTATGGCTATATATAATGCTCGCCATATGACACGTTCTGTTGTATCCGATCGCGGTAACGTTTTGGGTGCGATCTCCCTGCCGAATCTCATCTTCGTTGGTGGAAGAACTTGGGACGGAAAGCTAACAACCGCGACGGTGTCTCTGGCTGAGCGATGATCTTCTCAAACATGTCAGTCAAGTTGTACCAAGGGGCCGGTTCCGCTTCTCAGGGAGGGTCATTGACTTACATGCGAAATGTGTGGTCTCAGGGGTATTTTGAGGAGTCGTAGAGGGTAGAAGACGAGGATAGAATGTCAAGTGTAAGGGGCGGAATAAACTGTTCAGACAGTAGGGTATAATATATGCTCTATAGAGCGATGCAGTGCTGTACTGTACAGTAGTGTTACACAGATGTTGGCTGTTCCGGATGCAAAGTGATGTGAAATGATGAGTGCTTTCGCAGTGTGGGATCAGCGCTTATGGGAAGACACCATAAAAAAGATAAATTTTCTCTGCACGAGAAACTTGAGGCTGCGGCCGCCCAGAAAGAGAGTCTCGGGGGTTATCGTACCCAGTTCGGTTATGGGACGATATGAATTGAATGGCGATGCAGATGTATTTATACCTAAATCTGGAGGCTGTAGGTAAAGTAATCCGACAAGATGATGCTGATGTAAAATTACCTGGGTTGTTGATGCTCAAGGCAAAGGCCATGGATTGGGTAAACAGAGAAGCAAGTGGACATTGGCAATCACCAGCCGCGAGAGCGTTTTTTGAATAGAGTATTGACAATAATTTGAGGCGAGAGTGATTAAATTTGATTTGAGAAGGCGAAGTGTCTCTGTCAAGTGAATGAATGTTTGTCAACTGGATGTTGGCTGGTCCAAGTTGGTTTACTCTGGTAAATAAATAAAGCAAGATTAAAGTGGAAGGTACTGTTTGCCCAAGCAGGTACCTATTTTCAGGCAACCAAATTGTCAGCAACGACTGCCAAATTTGCGATCAGGCATCTTTCCTTTCTTCTCTTTCGTTTTCCTCCTTCCACAACACAACAAACAGAAATCACAACACGATGCAGAACACAAAGATGACACCAGAAGTAGCATCGCTTGACCCGGAACACCGACGTTCTTTTGTCAAAGAACATTTTCAAAAACACGGCATATGGAATGATACCGAATGGGATTCCCTTCTCATTAAGACAGAGGAGAAGCTCTGCCAACTGCTGGCTACGGTCAAATACGTCAAAGTCAGCCAGGCTTATTTCAAATTTGAGTCTGAAAAGCTCGCCTGGGGAAAGCATGGTAAGTCCTTGTTCAAATGACTATATCTCGTACCTAACCTATTTCTAGTTAGGGCATGCGGACTAAATGCTGACGAGCATCGCTGGCCCTGGGCTGATTCCCCAAACCCGTTACGTTGGAAGGATGGCATTTCTGCCAAGTATGTCGATTGGCGCTTAGCAAGAGGCTTACCTCTGATTGAACTCAAAGAGAGCAAGACCGCCGCCACCGCGACCACTCAGTCTACCTCTTCCAACGCATGATTCCATGATTCTACACAGTCAAGGGCAAGCGTGGTCATGCAGTGGCACAGCATGTACCAGATGTACAATTTTACCGGCCGTCGACTACTTTGGACCGTGTAGAGACCTCAAAATCCAGAGATATAGTTCACAGGAAAAGCAATACTGGCAAGACCATGGGTATGGCACTAAAGGTGGAACTGGTATATTATAGATCATGACACTCGGCTTCTTACATTAAAAAGAATTCTCCTTTTCTTCTACCTGAGTTCTATGTTTCCCTGCCCTTGTAGTCTCTCAAAATCTGGTTATGTAAAGATATGTCGATGTGTCTGAACTTAGGTCGCTGATCCAATGTCCATGTTGGTTCGCGCCATTTTCTTGTTAAACAAGTTGCCTTGCTGCAAATTTGCATCTTCACCCTGAGGCGCCTATGCAACCTCTGGGTCAAGATTCTCATCCTCGGCGTCAGTTCGAGACTGATCAGAGGTCTCAGGCAACCGCCCATCATCTTTGTGTATTACCAACAAGGTTTAGGGCGACGTACCAAGCTCTGGAGATGCAGATCTGGCTGTATTCACCGTGGCTACAGCACCACGGGAATCTGAGCTCTGAAGACGGAGAAGCAGATTGGTGTTCTCCTGAAGGCCCTTGATGAACTGGGTGTGCTCATCCTTGAGCTTTTGGATGAACTCCATGTTCTGCTTCTCGACTCTTTGAAGGACTTGGGCGCTCTCGCCACCCTGTGTCCTGAGCTGTTCCCTAAGGTCCGATATAATCTCACGGTCCTGGGTTCTGCTTTCCTGCAGCTGCTGGATCGTTTCCCGGTCCTGAGCTCTGCTTTCTCGCAGTTGCTGGATCTCTTCCCTCAATGAGTCGATTTCCTCAGCTCTACTGTCGAAAAGCTGAGTACTTTCGCGGGCTCGTATCGGGTAGAGATTTAAAGACCCATGGGATAGGTTTAACGATACTGGCCTAGACTCTGAGTTAGACTCTGCTCCAGACTCAACCCGAGATTCAGAACGTGACTCTGGCCCAGACTCAGATTCAGTCTCTGGCTCGTTCTCTTGTCCCTCCTGGGGGTCCAAGTCTGGCATGTCAATGTCACCTTGACTACTTGAATCAGTCTCAGGTTGAAGAGCCATCCTGATACATCTAAGCATAGCCTTGAAGGTAAGCTCAAATATCTCAGGCAACTCGTTCCTGCTGGGGATATCGCTGCCCTTCAGCTCGACAATGAAGCTTCGTTGTGCTTCAGCGACGGTATATCTATCGCTTGGTACACTGAAGTTCATGGTATCAACGGCGTCGATGACAGCAATAAGATCCCATAGAGTCAACGGAAGAACATTCATGTCTAGTTGTGTCAGAAAATCTTCTGCCACAATAGGCACCCTCGAAATCCGCTTTGACATGACCATTTCACCAATGTGGTGTAGTAAGTCTGACAACTCAGATGGGGTTTCCTCATTCTCTAATATATCCCTCCTTGCGGAGGCATGCATTGAGTGAAGAGACTCTGGTAATCTGCCATCCACCAGCTCGTCCAAATTGTTGTATAGGAGCGTAAGAGCTGGGCATTTCTCTACCAGTTCCCTGTCAAAGGGTGCGAAATAACGACGATCATCCAACCGACAGAAGGCGGCATATTGCAGAAGCAATGCTAGTTGCGATACACGCCCGCCATGGCAGTGGTGTGTAATCAGCGACGCGAGATGCTCACAAAATAATTTGGAGGGTATCTCGCCCCTGGCTGACGCCGCGTTATTCCCCGTCGCTTGATAGCGAAGGCCATAGATAGGAGAAAGTATCCAGTTCGGCGAGGAGTTTAGGATGCGTATACAGTATTTCCATAGCTTTAAGTAACTTGAAAACTGAGGCAAGCCTAAAATCAACTGCTTCTCTGGGCTTCGATCCCAAATTGCCAAGATGGCATCCTCGTCTTGTTGAGTCCAATAATCACCGAGCTCATCTGTTACGAGTTCCAAAGTGCTCGAGATATCGGACCATTCAACACGAGGTTTTGTTTCGAGCAAGTTTCTCGCATAAATGCGTGAAGGTGCTTGCTCGTCTTCTGCAATGTCGGCCTTCGCTGGTCGACCCTTTTTGACAGGACGTCCAGGCTGAGGAAGGCCTCTGTTGCGTCGTCGTCGTGAAGACATATCACCTATTTTGTTGTTGGTGTTGTTGTTGGTGTTGTTGTTGTTGTTGGTGGTGGTGGTAGTGGTGATGATGTTAAGTGGTTGTGAAAAAGAGAAAGAAAAAAATCTTCAAGTAAATAGAGTGCATGTGAATGATTCTAAATGTTGGTATACTAATGACCTGGCGGCTGCCTGGCAGTGTTGACAGTGTTGGCCAGATATAGCTGGTTAGATATTACAAGACACTAATACGAATTCCTGAAGTTGGGTCTTGTACAATTTAGCGCATAGCGATCAGCATTGCCTAATTGAGATTACACAAGGATGTTTATTGGCTTATGGTCAAGTGCTTGTGCTTCAAGGTTCCTGGTGACCATTGATTATCGCATGTTTTGCATGTAAACAGTTACTCTATGAAGACAATTGTATTTCTATCTCAATCCCGTCTGTCGCGATTATAGTTCGTGTCTTATGCTCACGTTGAAGTTTCCCAACCACTGTATGCAAAGCCCAGCGGTACAAGGTGCCATCCACATTAATCAAGGAGTCTAAGCCTCTGCCTGTCGGAAAGGATTGGTGGATGCTCCGAAAGGCCACACGTACTCAGTTGGATTGGCGAACGTCATCCAGGCTGCTGCCAAGTTGGCCGTCTGAGGGTCGGAAAGGTTAGAACCAATACCGTCGTTGTTCTGTTGCGTGCTGGCCGAGGCCGCGACTGCACGGGCGTACGTCTCTGTCCAGGGAAGAGGCGCTGACTGGACGAACTCGCGATCTTGGACAAAGAATTCAAACGTCCCCATGTAGAAGTACAAGTACTTGAACCAAGGGACCTTGGTTTCCCAGGCAGGCATGTTGCCGCGGTCCCAAACCAAGAGGCGCACGATTGTGGAGGGATCAGCGTTGGCCAACGGAAACTTCTCACAATCTTCCAAGAGATGCCCAGGTACCTTGCACAGCGGGCATCCTGAGATAGTACCACGGGTGGCCTTGAGACATTGGTCTAGGGAATGGGTGGTGGATAAACAATTGCCGCATCGGGGGAGGTCATCGCGCAGTTGGTATCGATGCTTCGAGACGAGGGAGATACGACTGTCGGTAGTGAGTCCTGAGGTAGCGGCTCTACTAGGTCTTACGCCGCCGTTGGTAGGTTCACTGTTACTGCCAGTGGACGTATTGAAAGATGTCATGATACTCCTTCTAAGCGCTTTGGTGAGGTTCGTTCCCCCGGTTTTACCAGCCCGTGGTTTCTGTCGATCTTTCTGTTTTCTGTCTGCCATATTGGATAGTTTGGATAGAAGGAAGGGGTTGGAGTTTTGAGAAAGAATGTTCGCTTGAGATGTCAGAGATTCTGATGGTGTTTTGTGAAAGATTTTTGCAAAGTTGCCGAGAGCTCGCGACCTTCATGCGCACTTGCTCACCAGAATTCTGACAGCTGTTGGCAGTGCCAGACAATCACCAAGGATAAGAACGTTTCATAAAATACAATAAAGCCCCAAAACTTAGTAAAATAAATTTAGCCCATATTGTTAGAACTCAAACCTGTCCTTCCGTGAATCATAAGGCTACAAAAGGCAGGACCGCGCCCCTCTACAACTTCTACTTCAACCATCTTCAAACGTCTTCAACCAAACACCATGTCAACCCTCGGGTGCTCTATGAGTGCACACCTTTCTTCTCTTTACACTACGAACTTCATGCTCGGCCAGAGTTTAAACTCTGATTATGACTACAACGATTTCGACCCCGACGAGCTTCACGAAGAACTCCGCGGATTCATCAACGACGTTGCAAATGACTTGAACCAAACCGATACCGATTCGCTGAACCAATACTACATCACCAAACTTTCACACATGGTCTACGGCTCCAACATGATAGAAAGTGCCGGCGGAAATCTGGATGTTACTCTCAAACTTTGTCGAGATGTCTTCGAAGGCAAGCCCGTGGATGCGCAACTCAACGATCGCGACGCCGTATACCAGGCCCTCAAGTTGGAGCTCATCAACCACCCCGACGTACACGATGCAATACTCCGAAGTCGACGCGAGATCGTCCAGCATGCAAAGGCTGCCCAATACATGATCACTCAAGTTGCAATCCTCGGGAATCACTTGTCTGAGGAGATCATACTAGAAACGCACCGTCTCCTAACTTACAAACTCGACACAGAAGACGGTACACCTTGGAGCGAATATAGCGGCAAATATCGAAACTGGGCTGTTTCAGCAGGCCTGACTCCATTCATGCACGAACGAAAGGTCCCAAGCGCAATGAAAGACATGATCCGTTCATATGAATCTGATATCCAAGCAGCCGACAAGGGAGAAATTGATCCTATTGTACTTGCGACCAAATTCTGCACCATATTCGTCAACATTCATCCTTTCGGAGATGGAAATGGCCGTGTCTGTCGCCTGGTTCTGAATGCCATTCTTTTCAAGTATTCGGGCTGCCTGGTATCTATTGGCATGGATGCCGATGACCGAAATGAGTACCTCAACATCGCAGCAGAGGCGAGCATGATGGGGCTTTCCGACGACATGGACGATGTTCCTGATGAGTACAAGCCAAAGAATTACAAGAAATTGGCTTCTTTCACTGTGAAGCATGCTTGGAAGGGGATGTACGAGGTCCGTCAGCTAGTCAAGCGAGAAGTGTAGGGCAAGGCAGTGTTACTGGATGTGTTGGTGCTGAACGGACAATGCAATGCAAATCCTAAGATTATGTAAAATAGAGGGAGTTTATGATAATTTATACAAAGTAGGAAGTGTTTATTGGAACTTGTGTAAAATAGACAGAGTTTATTGCAATTTAAATAAAATAGACAGAGTTTACTGTAATTTAGATAAAATAGACATGCAAGGAAATTATCTGAATTCTTGTACGGAACTTAAATACTGGTTGTTCGATCTGCGAACCAGGAATGTTGGCTTTAATGTGAAACACCAAACATTCTCGGGATAGCTTGCATGAGGTTTATGAAGCACAGTGTCTAGATGTACATCACACAGTAGTCAATCCCCGCTTAGTCAGTGCGTCATCGTGCTTCTTTCCCTCACTCAACTATCATGCATCGTATTCTCTTCCGCCAACACCTCAGACCTCATCGCTTTCGTCGTTTCTTCAGCATGTCTCAAAAAACACAAGAACCCGTCATTACCAGGACTTCCGACCTCCCAATCGAGGACTCTAAATGGGTGACACTCAAGAAGATCGAGTACGTCGATCAAGTCGGAAAGGCACGCACATGGGAGGTTGCCACGCGAAAGACAAGAGGAAAGTCTGGTGTTGATGCTGTCGCTATGGGAAACATTCTCCTCCATCCTTCAAAGCCTGCCTCCACCCTTCTCGTCATCCAGTACCGACCTCCTCTGGACGCCTACACCATTGAGTGGCCTGCGGGACTTATCGACGCTGAGGAGACAGCCGAGCAAGCAGCTGTTCGAGAGTTCAAGGAAGAGACCGGATACGATTGCAAGGTGCTGAGTGTCAGCCCTGCACAAGCTGCTGATCCTGGAATGACCAACGCCAACATGCAACTGGCCATGGTTGAGGTTCAATTGGGTGAAAACGAGGAGGAGCCTGAGCAACGACTAGATGATGGAGAGCATATTCAACGGGAGATCATTCCTTTGGCTGAGTTGTATGATCGTTTGGTTGAGTACTCAAAGAAGGAGCGCACAGTTGTCGCGGCCAAACTTTTCCACTTTGCTGCAGGCATGCACTTTGCGCAAACCCAAAAGTATTTCTAGGATGACATAGATTCAGATAAGAGGATAGACAGTTGTTACATGAGGTATTTACAGAAATACTGATACCAGATCAAGACAGCCGTTGAAGAAAGCCTATTAAAAATAATTCCACTGTTCAAAGAACTACATTTCAAGAAGTTACAGTCAGATAATGAGCATCTTATTGTATCTACTATTTAATACTTAAAACCTATGATAATATTCATTACACTAGGCTGTTCAATTCTCTTCCTGCAACTTGGAACAAGGCAGCGCCTGCCCCATTCACTGAGGCACCTTTATCGATACCTTTCACGATACCTCTCTTCTTCATAATACCTCCTCCTCTTCCATTTCAATCATTATAATCCATCTGCATATTCGTCTTTATCATTCTCGGTAAGATGATATCAATTCATTGCCTATTCAGGAAGCGGGGCACTGTCGTAAGAAGGCGTTGACATCACTTCTGCAGATGAAGCACCTTCTGAGAACGTTGGACCATACAAAACATTGCAATTTCTTGCTTCCAACTATAATCTCCAACCATCTTCAATCATCATCAACCATCTTCAATCTTCAATCATCATCAACCACTTCCAGCTCCAATGTCCCGCGCCCTTCGACACACTCTGAGACCCAGACATGCTCTGTCGTTTCAAAGGCACATCTCAACTCGAGATATGTCTGCAAATGACTTGAACAAGTTAAAAGTTAACCAATCTCGTATGATGGATACACTACATCAAACATGCGTCTGGGGAACTGGACTCCGATGGGGAGAGTAAGTAACCCTAGTTCACTAACAAAGCTAACAAGATAGCAAACCAACAGATACAGGAATGTCACGGCTGGCACTATCGGACGCAGACAAAACAGTTAGAGATTGGTTTGTCAAAACTACAAAGTCTCTAGGCTGTAAAGTGACCATCGACGCCATTGGAAACATCTTTGCGGTTCGTCCAGGTCGAAAAGATGGACCTCCGACACTCGCGGGAAGTCATCTAGACACTCAACCTTCGGGCGGCCGATACGATGGAATCTTAGGTATCCAAGCAGGTATTGAGATGCTCAAAATCCTCCAAGAGCATGATGTCGAGACTGAGTACCCTGTTGGTGTGGTGAATTGGACAAAGTAGTTCCCCGCCCAGACTGACAATTCCAAGACTGACAATTCTGACTTTAGTGAGGAGGGTGCACGATTCCCTATAAGCATGATGGCTTCTGGAGTATGGGCTGAGTCAATTGCCCTTGAGCGAGCTCACTCCTTGAAGGAAGTCGCTGGAAACGCAACAGTCAAGGCAGAACTGGAAAGAATTGGGTATCTTGGTGAAACACCCGCCAGCTTCAAGTCTATGCCAATCGGTGCTCATTTTGAACTTCATATCGAGCAGGGACCAATTTTGGAGCGTGCTCAAAAGAACATCGGCGTAGTACAAGGCGTTCAAGCGTACAAGTGGTTTACTATTGATGTCACTGGAAGAGGTATGTCCGTACACCAGTACAGACCAAGCTAACAATGTAGATGCACACACCGGCTCGACTCCTTTCGCTGATCGGGCAGATGCTCTTCTCCTTGCTGCACGATTGATCACCCATTCCCATCGATTGGCAACCAAACATAGTGCTCTCGCTTCAACCGGAATTCTCAATCTCACGCCTGGGAGCACCAACACGATCCCCGGCCATGTCAGCTTCTCTCTTGACATTCGATCACCATCTGATGAGACAGTGGAGACGCTTGAGAAAGAATTACGCCGCGATTTCGATCTATTGGCTCGTGGAACAGATGTAGATGGACTATTAGCTGGCTCAACTTCTGCTCTACCTCTATCTCTCGAATGGCGAACCGATACTGTCTCGAATGCGACCAAATTCCACCCCGACTGTATCCAAGCCGTTAGAGACTCCGCCGAATCAATCCTCGGTAAAGACGCTGCCATAGATATCTCCAGTGGTGCTGGTCACGATAGTGTGTACACGAACAAACATTGTCCCACGACCATGATCTTCATCCCCTGCAAAGGAGGAGTCAGTCATAATCCGGAGGAATATTCTACGCCTGAGGAATGTGTCATTGGAGCAGAGGTTTTGTGCCAGGCAGTCGTGCGATATGATCAAAAAAGGGTGTAACATGAATAGACATTCGGTCCCATCATGTCAACATATGATCAAAAGAGGGCGTAATTACATGAATAGACATTCGGTCAACCCAGATTTACCACCATCTGTCATAATATTTGGTAACAAACGCCAGACTGCCATACGCCAATCATCTTCTTCCTCTGCCAGCTCCAGGCCCTGGCATACCGGGCATACCAGGCATACCACCTCCACCCATACCCATCTGTCGCATCATGGCTTGCATGTCCATACCCCCAGGCATTCCACCACCTCCACCAAGCATCTTCATCAAACTTCCCATATCTGGCATTCCTCCTGCTCCACCTGCTCCTCCCATACTTTGTAGTCTCTTTTGCATCGCTGCTAGTTGTTGTGCTTTGTTGCCACCTCCCATGGCTTGCTGTGCCCTTTGCATGTTCTTCATGTTCCCACCCATCTTCTTTGCCATACCTGCCATCATTCGTTGTTGTGTGAGGAGATCCTCAACTTCTCGTACTGATGTTCCTGATCCACGGGCGATTCGGGTCATTCGGGTTGGTTGGTCGATAAGGGTCTTTCCGTCCGAGTCGAGTTCCTTCTCGGTCATGGAGTCGCAGATGTAGATCATTCGTTTGAGTTTGGCACCACCCTCCTCATCATCCATACCCTGCATCATGTTGCTCATACCTGGAATCATGCCTGCCATCTTGGATAGAGGACCCATCTTCATGATGTTGGAGAGTTGATCTCTCAGGTCACGTACTGTAAAGATACCTTCTTGAATATGCTTGATGGTGTCTTTTTGGTTGAGGTTGAGACTTTGGACATGCTCCATCAATCCAGCCATATCACCCATGCCGAGTAGCTTTTGGACAAACTGTTCAGGAGCGAACTTTTCGAAATCCATCATATGTTCACCAGTACCAATAAACACAATTGGAGTGTGTGTTGCTGCGACGGCGGAAATGGCACCACCACCGTGTGCGTGACCGTCCGTTTTGGTGATGATAATGGCACCGAAATCAGCTGCCTCTTTGAAAGCCTTTGCCTGTGATTCAGCCTGTTGACCAATTGAAGCGTCAAGAACCATGATTGTCTCATCAGGTTTGATGGCTTCTTGAATGTCCACCATCTCCTGGAACAGAGCTGATTCTTGTCTGTGACGACCTGAAGTATCAACAATGATAACCTCAAATCTCTCCTTCTTGAATTGGTCAACACCAGCTCTAGCAACCTCTGCGGGATCGGTCTCGGTAAGGGAACCATAGTAGGGGATCTTGGCCTTGGTGGCGTTCTGCTTCAGCTGATCGAAAGCACCAGCTCTGAAGGTATCCGCGCAAACCAAACAAGCCTTGAAACCTCTTGACTGGTAGTGTCGGGCGAGTTTTGTACATGTTGTGGTCTTTCCAGCACCTTGAAGACCAACAAACATGATGACATTGCTCTTGCCTTTCTTTGGTCGGAACGGTTCGGCGTGAGGATCGACGAGTTTGACGAGTTCATCGAAAACGGCTTTCTGGATGAGGCGTTTCTTATTCACGGCGGGAGGAAGTTCTTTAAAGTTGACTGTCGATTTGATGGACTTTCGTAGTTGACCGACGAGTCGCACGTTGACATCTGCTTCGAGTAGGGCAGCGCAAATCTCCTTGAGCATACCATCGAAAGCCTAGGGTGTTAGATGCGTGTAACATGCTTGGGTAAGGGAAGTACCTTTTCATCTAGATTCTGTTCACGTGTGAGGTTTGTGACCGCCGCGTTAATGCGACGGCCAAGATCTTGAAGAACCATGGCGTTTAATTGCGACTTTGATGTCGCGGGGATGATGGAGGAGAGTGTGGCCACGATCAAGATGTGGAGGTGGGGTCGGATATAGTTTTTCCGGATTACTACAGTCCTAACTCCTAAGATGCCCACACCTGCTAAGACGCCCGCCTTTCACCTTCAGCTGCTTCTAAAGATCGCTGCTTTCGCTGATCATTTGTATCTTTTGAAAAGTCGGAAACATGTTCAGGGACTTTAGCTGTGTTGTATGGTCCTGGGATTGGCTCCCCAATTGTTTGATACACAGGCAACACCCCGGTCCACGTTGAGGCCACCAATTCTTTATTCTCCAAGTCACTTTTATCATCTGTGGTTGAACCAGCGCTAATCTTTGCGCTTGCTGATTCGATTCGCACTTTGAGAATGTTGGTGCTTTGCATTTCCGATGCCAAAGGAGGTTGACGGGTGTGTCTCCATCGATCGGTGACTACACTGTTGGAAATGAGTTCCATTGCGTATAGCTTCTCTTCATCTGTTTTGACAATTGTCGCATATCCAAAGAGAACTGCTGAACGGTAGTTGTAGTTGTGGGAAAAGGTGGCCAGAGTCAAAACAAGCCCGTCAACGTGAGATGCTGCAACACAAACAGGCATACCCTGTTCAGTGGCCAGGTTCATCATCCTTGACGATACATATCCATGAAGGTAAAGTTCTAAAGGGTCGCGAAGGTCTGCACTCGGTCGGTCAAAAGATCCCAGCTGCCCTATCATAGGGAGGACAACTGGGAATGGTTGAGAGGGTGTATTAAAGGAGACATGAAGAATTGGGCATGTGTTGACGATACTATGGACAGTTTCGAGATCGTAAACCCCGTGAACCTTGTACCGTTTGATGGTATTGGTAGAGTCTTTAGGATATTGTAGATTATGACGCCCCATGGTTGCTGGTCATAACCAGGAGCAAGCCTGGCCTCAGCTATATACTTGGGTTGAGGCTAGAATTGCCTTGTATGGATATTCTATGCGGGGTCGCCTATCTCAACTTTATCCACGGATCGGATCATTAGCAGACCGACCGCAATGCCCAGGTACATCAACACCCGACAGAAATCCTGTTACCATTGTTCAACAGCCAAAGCGAAATGTGATCACAAGGAAACCTGCGGGCGTTGCGCCTTGCGGGGTTTGACATGCACCTATCCTTCTAGGTCTCGTGAAACTATCGAACCTTCAGAAACAATCTCTACGAGCGAGCCCCAGCGAGAACCTGAGCGCCATGGCCCCAACTTTACAGCCGATCTCGTGTGTCCTATCAACAGTGACGACATCAAGAATCGATGGCTCAATTCATACGTCCCTCTACCAGGTCAAACGGTCAAAGCCTACTCTCCGAACGTCATGAACTTTGTGTATCGAATGCTAAAGTCGTATACATCAATGGTTATCCGGGGTCGAACACCTCCATTTATCCATCCTGCACAACTCTCGGCACCTCTTTCGACTTGCTTTACTTTGGTTCGGATATGCAAAGATCCTTTACCTGGGAGCGAGAGTGTTGCTACGGATATTCTACAGAGAGAAATGACAAATCTATACGACCAACGTGGGACCTACGATGGTGTTGAACTCCTTGGTGCATTCCAGGCATATCTTATCTACTCCATGGTTCTGTTCTTCCACCTAAGCCCTGTCTCGATGTTTCTTCGTCAAGCTATTATCAACCTTCAAGATATTGCTTGTCTGACTTCTCAACAAGGGCTTGTATGTGTAGCAGAACAACAAGGTATTCGTCCACGATGGGAAGCATGGATTGTGGCCGAAGCGAAACGACGAACCCTTTACACAATGTACTTTTTGGATAATGTGTTAACCACCCAAGACGGTCTCCCGACATACCTTGGTCACGAATTAAAGGGATTGTACGCACCTTCAAGCAAGATTTTGTGGCAAGCAGATCAAACCGAGTGGGAACGGGCATACAACTCGCATTTGGCTGAATGGACAGAGGGGACCTTTCAACTGGATCAACTATGGCCACCTTCTGACGCGAGCGACAGAGAAATACAACAGAGACAAATACAGACAGATCGATGGTTAGAGGGTGTTGACGAGTTTGGCACGATGCTGTACGCCGTCACAAGCTGTACGCATGGATGCTGAAGTATGCAGATAGTCATTAGCTATCGATTTGTATTAGAAGCTACCAGACTGAATACAATTGTATGAGCTCAGAAAGCGAGACAGATCCTGTTGCCTTAATTAATCGCTTACTTGGACGATTCACTTGACTTCAAGAAGCAAGGGGCACTAAATCTTAGGCACTAAATCATCCGCTACAGTGGTCAACCTCACTAATGACATCCGCCAAGAATAATCTTCCACCACTTCAGTCTTCATCACTCCACAGCTTTACATCTCCGGATCTCAATGTCACTGCCCCGCCACCTCAGCGGATCTTCTTGAGTCATTGTACAGACCTACAGCCACAGGGAGCCCTGAATTGAAACAAAGTTCGGCGCCAACCGTTAGTGGCGGTGATCGTCAACGGTTTATCCAAGCAAGCACAGCGATCTATTGCCGCTAGTGAAGCTTGTCTCAGTTATCAGTCGAGAACTCGCCTCTGGTTTACTGTTCTGTCATCTTCAACAATGACTCTACATTCATCTCCACGATATGTGGAATGCAACAGGTCCCGACTCGAATCGAAAAGCTCCTGCTGGGGTTACGCCCGATTACAATAACCCGGAGGATGTGTACTGGACGCTGAATATCGTCATTACAGTTCTCTGTGTGTTTTTTACTTCGGTCTTTTTCTTTGTCCGAGTTTATGTCAAGCGTACGATTAGTCGAAATATCGGGATAGAAGATTGTATGTCTACAGGTCGTGGTTGAACTAAGCTGACAATTTAGGGACATGTATAGCAGCATTTGTACGACAATCCAGGTTGTGTGTTCTTTGCTAACTCTACAGATTACGGTTATCTTGTATTGCTTTACTGTACTTATGAGTATGTCCTCTGCAGATGTTTTGGCGTTGCTAACAATATAGTGGCCCGGTATGGAGGAGGTTATCATGCGTGGGAGATTCGTCAACCAGAATATTACAACTGGCTAAAGGTGAGTTGCCTGAATTACAGTGACAAGTCTAACAATTCAGTGGTTCTACGCAAGCACCGTCGTTTACATTCCCGCCGCGTTCTTCACCAAAGCGACCATCCTCTTCCTCATGGCACGAGTTTTTGCTGTCGAACCGAGAGTCGCAAAAGGAATTCGAATATTTATATGGGCTCTTCTAGTCGCATACATTCCGATCCAAATATTACGAATTGTCAACTGTTACCCAATTCGAACATACTGGGATCCGACAGTTAGAAACGCGCACTGCCTCAACCAACGAAAGATCTTCTTTTCCGATTTGGCATTGTCGATTGTCACCGATTTGATCATCCTTCTCGTTCCAATACCGTTGACATGGCGTCTCACTTTGTCTGTTGGGAAAAGGATAAAAATTGTGTTGCTTTTGGGAGCTGGAGGAATCGCTACAGCTTTGACACTATTCCGAATAGCCAAAGCGGTTGACTTTTTGAATTCGGACGACATCACGGTCGACTATACGCCGATCAGCATTCTAACGTATGTACATGGCATTTCTAAACATATCTAACAGTCCCAGTGCTCTCGAAATCACTATCGGCTTCGTTTGCGCCTGTCTCCCATCGTTGAACCTCTTGATTGAGCACCATGTCCGCAGACGACGACGCGAACGAAACCAAACCTGGCCACGAGATCGAACACAAGCTTCTATGCTTAAACGACACTTCCGATGGATCAGCTCATCTACAGATCCATCACAGCCTCCCCGTCCTCATCCAGTGAATCGACCCTTAGACGGAATGATTGATTTGGATGTTGAAATGGCCATGTTGACTGGTCAGCCTGTACGATTACGAACCGAGAGATTAGGAAGTACGGGTTCTGACATTAGACCTCTTGATCATCGACTTAATTCAGGGGATGGACGACGAGAGGGGTGGTTATCACAAGACCAAGATGATCAAGACGAACTGCAGGACAGCAAGTTTATTATGAAGATGGTAGAGGATTCAAGAGCAAGGGCAGAAGAGGGAGCCAAAGAATCTTGGTGTCCAGTATGGGATGGTCCGAGAGATCCTTTGGCAAGTCATGGAAGCTGGAAGTATAGCATAAAAACGCATTAGCGACATGATTAATACTGATAATCGACTTCTCACGATAAAGACAGCTTCCACCCAAATTTGTGAACAACCTCTCTCCAGTCCTGATTTGAAGACGATGTGTGCAAATCTCTGGTATGCCAGATCAATTTGAGAGCATTCCAAACCGCCGAAATGTTGCTTATAGGCCACTGACTATCCAATAATGCGAAATGGTCCAGCACAACCTTGCGTTGCTGATCTGACGAGCATGCACAGCCAGCTAGGAATAGTGGCCACATTGGGAATGATCTTCTTGTTTGTCCTTCAACTATGATATCGGAGAGACATAGTAGGAGAGCTTCATGGGGCTGTAGAATAGACGGGTGGGTGATGGGAGTGTTGTAACACACGAGGCGGAGGTAAATTTGGGCTGCAATTCTAAACGACTCTGCACTTTTGCAGAGGTACTCGTCGACGTTGTCCTGGGATAAATGTTCAATTCTTTGTTCGATTTCTTGGCCTTTGGCGTGGAGATCCTGGGGTATGTTCGTAGACAGTGAGGAAATCTCGTTGATGATGTCAACCAGATCCATTGAACAACCTATTTGTTCGTCGACAAGGTTTCGAGCATGTGGAAGATTAGCTTCAGCTTTGGCCAGTTTGACCATGGCATGACGATATGGGTCATCCTCATGACTTGGTTGAGTTGTTTCCATCAGGATGTATCGGAATCGGAAATACTGTAGAACGAATTCGGCCACATTGGGATCAATACTTGTCCCAAAACTTTCCAGTAGAGCAAGGGCGCCTTGGAGATGGTGAAGCCAAGTTGGACAAGAACCGTGGGCGATTTCCAGAGACGCCAAAAGAACACAGGTTAGGAGATTACCCTCGCTGCCTTGTGAGTCGAGTAAAGCCTGTTGGAGTTCGTGGAGAGCCCGGACCTTGTACTGTACCGACAAAGCTTGGTAGTCTCCATTGGGTACATTCTGCGCCCATTCTGCAGCGCTCATGGCTAACACTGCAGAGAGTAGAGGGCCTTGGAACATTCGAGGTATAACTGATGTGCGGAACCCATTCCGACTAGTATCCACATAGACTCGACTACTAGAGATGACTTCGACATCTAGAGGTGTTAGCTGGGCGTCTCTGAGGATCTGATACTTACAATACTGCACAAGTGACTGTTCAATGGCTTTGTTCCCTTGCGACTCAAAGAGAAAGGGCGAGAGTGTGCGGGGAAGTGGTACACGTCCTTTGAAGTGATCACAAATAGATACAAGTTCTTGAGGTGAGAGGTTCAAGAAACTTGTGTTCTGTGTGGTAATCGGTACTAGATAATGGTCAGAAGCCGCCACTACAAACTTGAGATTAGAAGCAGAGGCCGGCTCCGGAAAGACACAATCATCTCGAGTTTTACGACATCGTCGACAAACTGGTTTCTCTTCATCACATCTTCGTTTCCGTTTCCGGCAGTTGAAACAGCCTTCTCGACTCCGGGAGCCACCCGGCATAATGCATTGTTGAAGTTGATGATATGTAGGTGGGAGTCGAGGAGTGGCAGGTGGGGACCGGGTGAGCACCCGATATGGCACCACGTGACGACTGGTTTACTTGTAGTGAGCTCAGGATTGGCTTTATTTCGATGTTTGGTACTCCTAACTCCAAGTCGCAAATCACCTACTTCCGAATTGGTAGCTAGACAAGACAACCCATCGTAATACTGATACTCCAAACCCAATTGCATCTTCTGTCACTAATCCATCAACGTCAGTCTAGCCTTACCCTGTAAAGCCATTGCGGGGACTGGCGTACCGGGTGACTGGATACGGCTGCATGATGACGATCTTCTCAGGTGGACATCAATCTGATAACAATGATCTAGCTGCCTCAAGTTTTCCCTGAGTCAACTTATATCTTGGATCTTCCAACTATTCAGTCTAGCATCCACATCCCGAACTCCGATAGTGGAGGGTTAGCCCGCAGTGGGGTTTCGGAGTCATACTCGGTCGAGACACGGAGCCAGCTTCGCCGATCAATTCTTTCCTCAAACTTACACACTCAACGCCTCACATAGCTTTCAACATGGCCTATGATCACATCCTCACCCTGTCGTGCCCCGACAAGTCCGGCATCGTCTTTGCCGTGACTGGCATCTTTGCTGAAAACAAGCACAACATTCTCGACCTCCAGCAATTCTCTGACCCCGTCTCTGAGCGTTTCTTTATGCGAGTTCACTTCGGACCTACCGAGACCGAAACCACTGAGCACCTCACTGAGGCTTTCAACAAGCTCGCCGCCGATTACAAGATGGATTACGACATTCGTCCTGTCGCCCGCAAGACTCGAGTTCTTATCATGGTCTCCAAGATTGGTCACTGTTTGAATGATCTTCTCTTCCGCATGAAGACTGGTCAATTGCGCATGGAGGTTCCTGTTATTGTGTCCAACCACCCCGAATACGCTGCCCTCGCCGAGAGCTACGGAATCGAATTCCACCACTTGCCAGTTACAAAGGATACCAAGGCTCAGCAGGAGGGACAAGTCCTTGAGCTTGTCAAGAAACACAACATTGAGCTTATTGTTCTGGCTCGTTACATGCAGGTCCTTTCGCCTACACTTTGCGAGGCCATGTCTGGACGTATCATCAACATCCATCACAGTTTCTTGCCTTCTTTCAAGGGTGCCAAGCCTTACCACCAGGCTTACGAGCGTGGTGTCAAGATTATCGGTGCTTCTGCTCATTTTGTCACTGCTGATTTGGATGAGGGTCCTATTATTGAGCAGAGAATTGCTCGTGTCAACCACGCCATGAACCCTAAGGAATTAGCTGAGGAGGGATCTAATGTTGAGAGCCAAACGCTTGCTGCTGCTGTGCGGTGGTACGCTGAGAGAAGGCTTTTCCTCAATGGTCACAAGACTGTTGTCTTTAACTAGATATTAAAAGTAGCATTGGATTCCATTGATCGTGTACTGTGAATGGTCGGTTTCGGGGATATTTTGCATGGCGTGTATGTTAATAATATTTGCTAATACGGCACTCACTGGAAGCCAAGGTTTAGCGCAGTAAAAATAACTGCTAGGCCTAACTTACAGTGGAGTGCTGCAAAAAATGAGTTCCCCGAAACCTGGATCGAACAAGTGACCTTTCGATGACATATAACAATTACAGTCGAACGCTCTTCCAGCTGAGCTATTCGGGGAAGTCTCCGAAACGGAGGAATAGCCATTGGAGGTGGTTGAGATTTGAGGTCATTTTGGGGTCTATATGTACGCGGTGTTGTATCTGCGACACATCTGAGGCATAGGTTCAACTGGTTATACTCAGATTCGACTTCTTCTGTTAAAATAACATTGATCTCTCGATGCCTATGACCCATTTCGCTTTGTCTTATAGATCCGTGGTCGTAGATTTGGTGTGACTGTTCTTAAGGCATTTGGACGGAATTGGACCCTGAATGTTGACAACTAAACACCCAGACGATAATATGGACTCGCAACAAGACAGCAAAAGGCCTTTCAATTATAAGAGATCTAATATGTTTAGCTCTTGATAATTCATGATTATTCCGCCTAGTCTATAAAACAAGCCCCAGCTATTGTCTTCATCCTGTCCTCAGTTGTTACCCTAAACCAACAAGTGAATCACAATCTACAACAGAACCTAGAAGTACGAGTCTGGGAACTGGCTTATCGTTTATTCCAGGGGTAGATAAGGCATCGAACATTGAGCTACGCCGAGTTGTGTAATAATCTGTGCATTTACGTGTTGTTGTAGCTCAATTCCAAGGTTATGTGTCTTCAACCCACGGCTCAACAACTGCACACAATTTGCAGCCAACACAACATCCTCGACATCAAATTGCTTCAACAGCTCGTCAGACTAGACAGAGTCAAAGTTAAACACCTCAAACTGGGGTAAAATACATCCAGCCGATTGCCAAACCCGATTGTTCAATCATATACCAAATTTCCAACGACGTCACTCAATAGCTATTCCTCTGATTGGTCAGAGATTCCCCGAATAGCTCAGCTGGAAGAGCGTTCGACTGTAATTGTCATGTCATCGAAAGGTCACTTGTTCGATCCAGGTTTCGGGGATTCATTTTTGTTTTGCTTCCTGGTCACTATCGTCACTACATCAGTGATATATCAATCATCTCAATTACCTCACAACCCTTACACTTCTCCCAACTTCACCCCTCTCTACCTGCTCAACCCTTCCTCTAACCTTGTTCCAAACCTCCTCAGCTACCTCCTCCACACTCCCCCCCGCATCAACAACCATGAGATCCTCCTCCTCTTGTGTCCATCCCTCACCCTCGTCTAAACCAAGTCCCTGTGCCGCAGCATCCTTTCCACCCATGCTAAGTCCCCAGAACAATTCCCGCACGCGCTTCTGCATGTCGGATCGCTCGTAAACTTCTCCACCCCATCCGCCCCTCGCCTGGGCCTGCTCTTCGGTCAGGTCAAGAAAGAGGACAAGGTCAGGTCGGGGTAGACCGCGTTCAGGTGCGCGGGCCCAAGGGAGGGTCAAAGAGGGGTTTTGCTTGGCGGCTGAGTAGACAATTCCTGAGTGATAGTATCGGTCGCAGAGAATGGTTGTTCCTGAAGCCAAAAGGGATTGAATTTGTTTGCTGAAAGATTAGACCAGACTTCATCAATGGTGAGTACTCACACAGCTTCCCATCGGTTTGCGCTAAAGAGGAGATGAATAACATGATCCTCCATCTCTACGTCGCTCTTGAGGTAGGCATCAATCATTTGACCAATAGGTGTAGTGCGGTCTGATATGTTAGCTATGTTAATGTGAATGCAATTGACTTACCAGGGAATCTCATAACCTTGACCTTTTTACCCTCTTCTACAAATCTCTGCTCCAACAGCTTCACCTGTGTTGTTTTTCCGCTTCTGTCCAATCCCTCCAGGACGATAAATGCGCCTCTATGAGTAGACTCATCTGGGCCATTGCCAGTAATTGCAGCAGTCGCGAGGTCATTAATTGAAGACATGATGTTGATGAGTTCAAGAGGGGAAGTGGAGCTGACAGAATATTCACACTGTCTTGATTAGCATTTCACGTGGGACACAGTGCGGCAGAATCAGATCATGCAAAGGTGATCAGTCAATTCAAGTCATGTTATCAATAAATCAGTCGCCTAAGCCAAAGTAAAACAGTACTCCAGCGCTTGGTAGCCTGTGAGAATAACCAGTACGCCATGCTCCTTCCATCCGTTATCATATCCATCATTGCCATTACCATATTCGTCCATATTCATCCGTCATCCGTCATCCGTCATGATGCATCTTCATCTTGTGCGCTGCTACTTTCCCATAGCTCAAAGCTCTCACCGGTTCCTTCAATTGGTTCCAAAACAGCAGCCTTACTTGTCCCTTCTGTAGGTTTAGCCATAAGACTATCGATATCTTCTAGAGGGTCGATGGCCAATTCGACAGGCTTGACCTCAGCTTGTGTTTGTGTTTCAGGCTCATCTTCAGGTACAATGATAACTGACGTCTCATCACATCCTTCAGCGAAAAAGTCGGCAGTGTTCATCTCTCCCAATGCGACACGCTCCTTCTCAATGATCATATCATCAGCTCTGGGTGCGCGACGAGTTTGCGAGATATCATCAGGTGGAGGAACATTCTCCTTATCGCGACCTTCAGCGCGATCTCTGTTGCGTTTGCGCTCACTCTCCTCATCGGATGAAATGTCGAGCACACATGTGCTATGTTGAAGTAAGTTGGTCATCTCTTGTTCGGGTGTGTCCTCGTGAATGTCAAAAAACCAGCTAGCCTTCATGTCAGGCTCCTCGAGAATGACAGGCTCTTTTGGGGCAGACTTGGCAGCATAGCCAGGGATCGTACCCTTGAGGGCAGCATCGAGGGAGAAGGGAGCGGCAGATCCAAGGCTGAATGAGGGAGGATCAACACGGGTGTAAGGACCAAGGGTACGTCGTCGGCTAGAGGCGATTCCTGATCGCTTACTTCTAGTTGGAGATCGACCAGCAGCATGAATTGGGGATGACTTTGAAATGCCAGTGTTGAGAGTAGCTGGAGACTTGGGTTGAAGAGTGCGTCGGGATTTGGTAGGGCTGATCAAACGGTTGGGAATGGGAGAAGGTGCAGCCTTGAGGAGAAAAGCAGATGGTTTAAGGATGTCTTTTGTGATATCCTTGGTGTCTTTGGATCCTTTAGATCGTTTGGCAAAAGCAGAAGGGTCGACATTCTCAAAATCGTCGGTATCAATCAATTCAGCCTTTCGCTTGCCACTGACAGGTGGAAGAGCTGACCATGTTAGCGATGCCCAATTGTAACCTTATCTCCACATACCATTCTGTCGGTTCTTCAGACTGGTGAGATTTTGAAGCCGGGACCCATCAAGGGGAGCAAATGGTTGACGAGTGACAGTAGCCATTGTCAATGTTGTTTATTGTTGATGCGCAAGTCGTGATCGTGGTCGAAGAGCAAGGTGAGATGAGTGAAAGTGGGAGAGAGCGGGTAAAAAGAGGTGCTAAAGGTGGGTTTTTGGTGTGCGGGAGCGCGTGGAGGAATCGGTAATAAGGGAGACTAGCGCGAAAGTGGGCGTCTCGTGCCTTGGACGTGAGCGCGGAGACGTGGACGTGCCAGAAGGGTGCGGCGGCCACTAAACCATAGTACAGGCCCTGAGTGGAAGGCTAAAGACGAGATGCAGGGAATACAGGGCAATGAAACGAGGAATGTGAGATTCGCGACCTTTTCGCACGAAATGAGTGATGGCGGCACCGATAGTATTGGATATCCGTCAAGATATGGTGATAACGGCTTAGTTTGCCTCAGGCGTCATCCCCTCAATCGTATCGTCACCGCTAAGTGGCCTTATGCGCGATGATTCGTTCATCAACTGCTTGGCCTTGTGGGACGACCAAACTCCACAAGCGTCAACCCAGTTTCTTGTATGTCGTATCCAATGGTCGCGTCCATGACCATCATGCAAGGGAGACAGCCGTCTAGGTGTCCTCTGCTCGGAAGCTGTCAGGTCGTGGTTGTCAGAATCTTTACCAACCTCGATAATCATCATCTCGGGTTCTCCTTGCCTGTGTATCATGTACCTGGTCACTCATATGCGGCCATCGTCTCATCACAACATCCATAGCATAAACGTTTCAATTGGCCCGGTTTCCAACTGATCCACGACGCTTGATCACCAACCAGATCAGTGTCTCCACCTGAGGTCCCTGTAAGATGTAACCGAGCGATCATCGTACCGCATTTGTTTCTATTAAAGGCCAGGCCATCCGCGAACTCTCGCGTCGTGTCCGTGTTGTAGCCCCTCATTGATATTAAGTGCAACGCCGACTCTGGCTAGCATCTGCAAGTCGAAGGCTGGGAATGAGACATCGACAAGTTGACCTGGCGTCATCGGTGGACTTGGCTTCGACCGTCAGGTTGCATAGCATTGCCTCAATGCCAACTCAGAGCTTCTGCAACCGTTAGCCAATGATCATCGTTATCCAAAACCTCTGTTCAGTCAGTTAATAACTTCAAACCATTGTTAGGGTCACATCCATGGCCGAATGAATAATATATCTATTGTACTGGCCTCTGATTATGAAGTGATAACGATACTGGCGTCCTAAGGTTGTTCTAGCAATGTTGTCCACCGAACCCACCGTCTACCCTCCAACTCAGTATCCTCATGGACATGGTGTGGCCTGGCCGGACCTACTCATCCACTTCAAGCGTATGTGGTCGAGGTGATCTGGCCCGTCGGCTCACCATGTCGCGGTGAAGGTTGTGTGAAGTAGGAAATGCTCCTGGTGTCATCTTGTCCTGACGAAGTTGGTGTTCTGGACTCGCCCGAAACGTCTTGACTGGATCGAAGTCAATGTCATGACTACTGGGCTGAGCATATGTCTCGCTGGCATCTTCGAAGAGATCATGTTGGTGAACTGCAGGTGGACTAGCTGGAGCTTTGGTGTCGGTTCGAAGCTGATGGATAGAAGGCGGATATGTGGGAGCAAACGTGTCCTGTCTCAGCTTGTGGTTCCCACTGGTTTTGTAGGTTGGCCCCATTGGATCTTTGGCAAGATTGTGGCTGTGGACAAGAGTTGCATCGGTGGGTGCAAGAGGGTCTCGAGCAATGGACCTCTCTCGTGGCTTGGTACTGCTTCGACGGCTGCTCACGGCAGAAAGAGTTGTAGGTGTGGCTTCTGGAGAGTCTTCAGGAATACATGGAAGGGATTCATCAGCATCCGATTCGGCAGTATGTGTCTTGCTGTGTGACCTAGAAGAATTCGAAGATGACGAGGTCATGGGTGGTTCAGGCTTATACCCGCAGCACTCACTGTGCCTTCGGCGTCTCTGCCGTTGCTCAATTTCGTTCTCGATTTGAACAAGAGTCTTGCATGGATTGAGGCAGCTCTTGCAATAGTCTTGGTCACTGGTACCTTCGATATCGTAGAACTGTCGAACGTCTCCTCGAAGACTGGCGATGAAGCCGGCATAGACTGAGATGTTAGCGTGGCGTTGTGGGTTGTTCGAGGAAACTTACAAGGAACGCAGAAGAAAGCAAATGAACAACAATAACCTGAGATGATGGAATAAAAAGGCGCCTTCGATACGGGTCCTTCCTGTGCATGGCAGTTTCCATTTCGATACTCAACGGCATCATCGAGAAGAGATCTAGCACGGCCATAGACAACACAGGGACAACAATGTGCCTCTGAATTGTCATTGCTGGAGGCGTATTCACCACCACTGTAAAGCCATTGCCCAGGCTTGTTAACGTACTTCTCGACCATGGTGTTGTTTGGGATGCGTCCTGGGATACACAGAAATAGCGGTACGGTTGAGGGAGATGCACAAAGAATGATGCTGATAGAACTGTAGATGAAGATGAATGAGTGATGATGAAGATGGGAGATAAAATTGTGAAGGAGAAAGATGTTGTGTTGTGCGGAAGGAGTGCGGCTGCTGTGGAAAGAGCAAGTGCATATTGCCTTCCCAACTAGAACACAATCAGTTGCTCTTGCCTTCCAACCTGGCGACTTTTTGCTTCAGTGTGAGGTTCTTAACTTCCAGTGACTCAATACGTTCCATCAGGCGTTCCGATATAATGTTGCGGGCAGTGTCAGCATTTTCCAACCGATGAACACGGTTAGCCAAGTGATCGAAAGAGCTTTTCGAGACGTTGTCTGAGTTGTCGTAAGCTTGGCTTGGAGACTCGTTTCTATGACGCTTTCTTGCTGGTAGTGAACTGTTCGAGTTCCCCTGGCGTGTTGCATCGCTTGGCTGAATGTTCTTTGGCGCCGGTGTTCTCAAAGCATCAATTCGTCTATTCACCTCATCTATCAAAGAAGTGACCTCGAGGGCAGGGGATATTTGGGTGTTGATAGGGGGCATAGGGGGGATATTGGGCATGTTGCCGGTGACTTGACGGTGTATATTGGATGAAGCTTGAACCGGTGAGCAATACGTCAGACACCATGTAATGGGATTGAAGTTACTGGAAGTAAAGACAAAGGACGGGAAAGAAATGAGCGAGATGGCGACGCAAGGAACTGGCGAGAAGTATGGAGGAGGAAAGAGGAAGAATCTGGGAGAGGAGGTTACATAGTCCTAAATTTGCGGCGCTCTGAATCACTGCCAACCAGTGAAAGCCGCCAGGCACTGCCAACACCATTAATAGCTATAGATTATAAGAACGGTTGCTCTGAAACGTAATAGTCATGAATGGCATGGTAATTGTAGAGATATGGATAACTATTGATGCAAAACCCCTAACGAGCTGCCACAGCTCTTGAGTATCGGTGTGAACTAACGCTTAGAGTATAAACAGCATCGTTGCGTTGCAGGCAGGCAATGAGAATCAAGTCATCGCCGGCGTGAGCTTCAGTATTGTCGGTAGTCGTTCTGTTCGCGAGTTCCCATTCTGATGCTGAGCTTCGTCTACCCTCTTGCGCAACTCCAAATATCGAGCACCAAGAGCTAACCTGAGTGATTCTTCATACGTGGAAGCAGATCACAGTTGCAAAAGGCAGTCGAATTGAGTCGAGTAACTCGAGAGTCCTCTTCGTGTTCACACCCACACATAACCGAGAGTGTTGAGTATACTGCGTTTGGACTGCCATGTTCAGTCTAAACCAGCATCAATCTGAGATCAAGATAACCCTCCAAGTTGAACCAGCAGGCACTAGCCTTACTGAATCTACATCATACCAATGGTAACATTCTCTTGTTAACTTTGTGGCAGCAGAATGAGGTAGAGTTGCTAGTTCATAGATCGAGCTGAAGCTTCTGCAGCAAGCTCGCTGTGAAGCATATCGTTCTGAGTCTCACAAAGGCAACCTGAAGTCTTGAAGCTGGTAATACTAACTCGATTAGGTCAGGTCTAGGACAATATTTGGCAATCGAAAGTTCCTACATTAATATCGAGACTAGGTCATGAGCAATAACGGTGTTCACTTGAACAGGGAACTGTCTATCTGCGTGCTCTGGATGAAATACCTTTTGGCTAACCCATGTTTCCGCCGTTATCCTGTGCCGTTGCCCTGCGCATTGTCTGCATCAGTTGGCCTTGACATCCAATAGTGGTGCTCGTAGTGCGCTATCAACGACAAGATAGGGTTTTCAGTATCAATGAAAGTTGCAGACCTTGCATATGAACCAATAGCTAGCCAGAGTTGCTTATCACAGTCCAAATGCAGTCAACATCTCTCTCTGTGCCTGTCGACATCTTAGTGGCAACTTCGCTGAGACACCAGCACATGAAATGTTCAAATTCTTTGCCTCACCTTGTCATCTAAACCGTGTACCACATTGTTGGTGGCAAATACCAATCCAAGTCATTCCCTTGACATGCCGGTTCTGGAAAGGAACAGCCCTCTGTAAACTGTACGAATACCCGTAAAGCATCATTGACAGCGCCACTGAACAACCATCTGGAACCCAAGTCTAGAACCGCTGTTGACCCCATTCCTTGGCGAAATGGGAGCTAATGCAGGGACCCCAGCACTCGCAGTGACCAGGTTCCCTACTCTTGTGTTACCGAATCACACTTTGCGAAACTCGTCTTGGTGACATTTCCAAGGAGGGGAAGTGCTTTTACGGTTGGGTACGTAAACCTTGTGTGTGATTGCTCTGTATTCCATCATTATGTCGACTGTCCTATGACGAAGTCGCCTATGCAGATTGAAATTAATGTTTGAGAATGTGCGTCGTAATAATATCAGCGTATTAACACAATACGCGGAATACCCTTGCCGTACACGGACACGATACCGAGAACGAGATAAGAATATCCACGGAAGTCTGCCACTGAAGTGGATGCTGTGCCGCGAGTGAAACGCACAGCATACAAGCGCAAAAGGCCCGAGATGTCGATTCCTTCGGTCTGTGCAGAAGCATTCTCATTCTTGTGGCGATTCACTTCGATTAAAGTTGTGCGATTTGCTTGTCGATAAAGTTGTGGAAAAGAAGTTTCGATCTATTCAGGGGGAGGAATTCTGTGGCTTCTCAACTCCCGATGTTAAAAGCCTTTAAACCTTGTTGTGCTGTTCCTGACTTGGTTCTCCTGAAGGATCAGCGTCAGTTGACAAGCACAATCAGTCTTGAATCGTTCGAGGGCAGTCGAGATCAAATGATCAATAACTAACGATAGAACACACGACCACGGGTTCTCGGCTGCCAAGACAGACTTAGCTTTACTCCGTACGGACTGAAAATCAACGACAGCTGAAATGGTCTGCTGGAGGTTTGGAGAAGAAGCTTTAACTATTGGGGCGAGTCAGTAGCCAAGAGCCGGCCGCGGATCCATTTCGGTGGCGCTGGACCGTTCGAGAGTTAGCTTTTGAAGGCGCGGGTAAATCGAAGATAGATAGACTACTAGAGTTGAGCCATTTTCGTCAGAGTTGTTATTCGTGGGATTGCGGGTATGAAGACATGCAGCCGTGCCACATGGGCTTCATCGACTCTAGATGCAGGTTTGTTGGATCTGGATCTATCGCGGGGGACGCAAGGGATGTCTGTAGGTGTTAGATCATGAAGCCTCAGGGAAGTCCGACTCCTGCAAGTTGTACGGTGCTCCCGACTGAAAATACGCGTATGCTCACGATGCACTTCATCGTCGGCACAAACCTTGAAGCATACACACACACACACTGACATCTTGATGCCATGAGCGAACGAATGGTGATGGTCCTGGAGCAATCTAGAGCGTAGCATCAGACAAGTAAAAGGTGGGCCGCTAGAGCCGGGGTCCCCCGCTGGTCCTTAGCTCGCCTAGCTGCGCGTTCCCGCCAGGCCCAAAGACGGCAAGCCCACAGGTAGCGCGCCCGCTTTAGGCCCAAGCGTGCAAAACTCCAGGGCCCCTTGTACTATTGGGGCTTAGTTAGGGGCTGCCTCTTCCAGGGAACGCGATGCCCGTGGCTTGATGTCGTCTTTGGTTTCTCCTCTTCTGCCGTTTCTTCAGACTGAGTGAGGTGCATAGAATTAGGGACCGACTCAAATACAAGGTTCCTTCTATCCCAGATTTTCTTGTTAAGCTTCTTCTCCATCCCTTGAAACTCTTCTTATAATCGCCCACTGCAATCTCGTCTCTTTAAAGAGATAATCTTTAGCTTCTTTCATTTCTTGGCTTCATTATTTGACCCATTGACAACCAATCTAAACGTTGCACCACCGGGCGGACCTGAGCGAACCGACGATCCAAACGACCCATGTACTGAGACAAACCAAGCGACCGTCCTGTTACCATCTGCGCTCTTCTCAATTGTCTTCTACACATTCATTGAACCTAAACCACTCCTTTCTGGTGTCTATCCATCCTCTCGATTGCATCTTTAACTGTCGCCTCTACGGATATACCATCGGCTTCTATCCCTTACACTATCGACCGAACACCAGCCCCTAAATCACCATCCTTACTGGCCTACAAACATCCAACCCATCGAGTTTCACTCAATTGTCGTGTCTGAGCAATAAAAGGTATTTACCAGCCGTTCCCGTTGGTGGCACTGTCACATTGCATCACCTCACCAGCCATCGCATCGCCACAGTTCACCTGAGACTAACCATCGCGATAGCTCAATCCTCGATCCCTTCTTTCGACATCCTCCATCCAACAACAAAATGCCTTCAAACTACGAAAAGCTCTCCCACCCAAGCGGCGACACCAACACTCTCACAATCCCCAACAAAGTTGCTGGCACCACAACCGTCAGCGAAACTCCTCGCATGAGTCCAACATCGACACCTCAAACAGACAAACTCAACCCCTTTGATACCGACATCGAAGCTATGATTACCACCCGAACCTCAGACTCATGCATGCACAAGACATCCAGCAGCCCTATGGTTAGAAAGACTGATTGCCAGGTCTGGCCAGGAAAGGATCACTGGAAGAAGCAAGCAAAGGCAGCAAAGGCAAAGAACCGTTGCACCTGCATGGCTCATCTCAGCCAACGAAATCGCTGGATTGTCAAGGGTCTCATCATTTTCCTTGTTGTCGGTATTGCTGTTGGTGTCGGTTTCGGCGTCAGCAAACCTCTCAATGCTCCCATCTGGGGAGATCATGACGACAAGTAATCTCTTTCAGTTTCAAGTTTCTAGACACCCCAGCTACCGCCAGGGACTCTTGCCCACAGGGCTTTTCCTTTTCATTACCTAGCGCGCTGGATTTCTTTCCTACTCATGAACAGGCGTTATGGTGCAATGTGTTTTTCGAGTGGTGGCATTTATGGAATGGAGTGATGGATTACAGAACATTGGTCTTGTTCTTAGTTTCGCTATTTGCTTAACATGCGATTATATGGTGGATAGACTAGAGTCTACAGTAGAGGAATAAAGGTCTCCTTCAGGGAGATGGGCATGTCCCTTCGCAAACATGGATGTTCATGCACGATGTGAGTTGAGGGTGTCGTGAGAAGGTCCCTGTAGCTCCACCATGATCTTCAGGAACAAGATCAAGATGCGGCCCGTAGGCTGTGGGGAAGCGGAAAGATGCAGAGGAATCATGAGCTTGATTTGGAAATGGCTGCAAAGATGACCAGTTGAGAGGTGAGATGCTGATGGAGGGGATCCACAGGTATCCGAAGGTTCCGGTCGTGGGATGGCTGGAAGATATATGATGGCTGGTATGTCTACATACTGACTGTATTCTCTATTTCGACCTCGTTTGGTCAAGAAAGTTCTATCTTTCGAGTATCCGCCTATGGAATTCGGATTGCTTGTCATTTCGACTTCTCTGAGGTGTTCTATCCATTTGAGCTGTACAAATAGAAAGTAAGCAGCCGAGAAATGAGCCATAGAAGGACAACCAGCTATGACATGTGTATTGGGTTGAGAGTTCAGAAGATGCATTGACTATATCTGCCGACATGCTTCAGTCGCTGAGCCATCATAGCACCGGTTTCGCTGTTCTCTGATGGTACTATTGACTATTGCTTAAGACTGTTCACCTGCTTGTTCACACTCAAAGGGCTCTGTTCACCTTGACAATATAACAAAGCAGTTAACCAGAACAATCATACAATCACACTGTCTTGATATAAAGACTCTATCACCCCCTCATCAACGTAGTATCACTATTGCAACCATCAACAAAATGGACTCTTATTCTTACCTACCAGCTTCGCTCTCCGAATTCTTCACCTGGCCGCCGATTCGCCGCGACTTGGAGGAGCGTCCCCCATCAAACACAGACAGGATTGTTACTACTGCTATTGTTTGTGGTATCTCTGCGCTGTTCCTTGTACCACTTATTTGGTACATTATTGCTCGCATCATCAGAATTCGTCGGTCTGGAGCGAGTGCTAAGGATGCTGAGCAAGGTGTTGGGATGTCTTAGCAATATTCCGCTCGCTGAAGCTGATCGCCGGCCGTTCAGTAAAATATACTCTTTCTGATTCTCATGAAACCTCGTGGTGACTTGCTAAACAAGATTGACATACTGACTGATACTTTGACACTAAGTGGTAATGGATAGTCGGATCCCCCCATATATCTCGAGATAGATCGAGGCTATACTAATGGAAAACTTTCTTCACACATTGGAACATGATATGCATTGCCCTCGGACAAGGTTTTTAACATAATCATACTTTGACCTTGAGTCTTCTGTATAAATTACGCAAGAGTTAGAAATATGGAATTCTAAAATCATACTTTTACGTAGGACCATTCAATATGTTAGATATCCAATGTGAGCTTGGAACATGTGGCGGTATGTGATAAGTATGAGTTTAAACAGTTGGGTTTCGGTCTTATTTCGATACAAGACGTGCAATTCAGACTTTGTTTGGAGAAGTCAATATTAGACACAGATAATGTGCGTAAATGTGTCCTGTTCTTTTGTTCCTTTATTGTTAACATGTTCTTGGTTAATGGCACCTGGTGAACATCGCTCAACTTCAAAGATCTTTGTTCAGGCTATTCAATACCCATACATACACTTTCCCAAGCCAGAATCACCTCTATACACCATCAAACACATCTACAACTCATATACTCGGTCGATTCTTGGCCCACCATGAAAGCATCGAAACTGTGCGCTATCATGTTACCCATCATCCTCTTCTACATCATTCTCACCATCGTCATCATCATGGCCCGTCGACGTTGGCGCAAGACCGCCCATACTGAAGGGTCAACCCTTGAACGTGGCATGCTTGTTGAAGTTGTGCGCATTGTTAAAGATGGAAAAGATATCTACTCACGAAAGCTTACACCTGATCAACACTTGTATGATCATCCATCTTTCGCACCGCTTGAAAAGAGAATGCAAGAAACGACTGAGCTCCAGAAACCTGAATCACAAACCAACGAAAAAGCAACCATGTCCCAGGACGATTTCGAAGACATCCCCTTAACTCCTGTCAGATCAATGAAGGAATTGCGAAAAGAATTGGCTAGAGGGTTTGACATGGTGGAAAAGAATTACTAGCTGTATAGCCATTCGTCAACATCTATACACCACAAATACGATTAACAGTCGGTTGTATCTTGTCTGAAACCCAATAGTCCGCTCGTGACCACGGTAAGCTGGCCACGCGGTCGTGCGCCAAACCCATGTTTATCTATCCCAGAGGTAATCCTGACCTCTCCCATGAATCCGTAATAAGTCAAGTTGTGAAGAAAGTAGGAGACGATCCAGTTGTATGTAATGACAAAAGAAACTTGCAAAGATACTTTGCTGATGTGCCGAGACGATCGCGTAGGTATGTCGTGATGTCAGGTTCAACATTTAACTCGTAAATGGCGGTGATTAAACAGACTGATATAACAGGAGAGGCTCGCCGACGTTTTCGATTTCGGGAATTGTACACTTTAGGTCGAATGCTTTGGAAAGAACAATCTTGAAGATCTGGGATTGTTAGTTGGATAAATGAGAGGAGCGTTTGGACTACCTTTTGCACGTTGATACTGTGACTTGTACTTGAAAAGATTAATGCAGCCCTCATGGCTTTGGCAAACCGTCTCGCCTGATGGTGTTAGTTTTGGAAGACAATGATCCGATTGACATACCTGATTTGAAATCTCTTCTTGATCTTGAGGGGGAAAGTTGACAAAGTGATCATACTTTGTACCCACTAGAATTGGAATGGCTGTTTTGTTGAAACCTCGTCCTTGGCGATACCACTCCTTGATGCTATTCAAGGTGCTCTTGCGTGTGAGATCAAACATGAAGAGAATGGCAACGGCATCGTTACACACAAGCGGCAACATGTTGACAAACTCCCTTTGACCACCCAAATCCCAAATCGAAAAGGTGATTTCCGTGTTACGGATGGAAATTGTCTTTTCCATAAAATTGACACCTAGCGTTTGGATGTAATCCTCGTCCCAACTTCCCTCGACGTATTTGACCATCAATGAAGTTTTTCCAATCTGGGCATCACCCACCATGCCAACCTTGATCACGACATGGTTACGGCCGTTGGATGAAGGCTCGCCTGCGCCTGCGCCTTGCCTATAATCGGTGTAGGCCTGGTGTGCGGGGTTGGACAAGCCACTGGCTGGACGAGAGAGTGGAGGTGCGGTTTGTACCGGAGGAGTGTATCTGGAGGAGGGGTCTTCTTGTCGTGGGCTTCGCGGGCTGGCTAGACCTTGATCGAGGGATGTGCTCTGTTGGTGATGGAAGCCGTTGCTCGGACCAACTTGCGGGGAGTCTTCGATGCCGCCCATGGTGTCATCATGAACTTGATGGGTTTGGGCCTCATGAACAGGAGTTTCATGAACGGGAGCATAGGGAGTTTCGTGGTTGGGAGCATGAATGGGATCATGGATAGGATCATGGATGGGAGTATGGACGGGAGCTTCTTGGACAGGAGTCTCATAAACAGGAGCCTCAAGTGGGGGAGCTTCCATCTCCATGGTGGGAGAGGTATGGTCGGGGATGGCCGTAGCCTCGGAGATCGTTGAGTCGTCCAGCGTGAAGGTCGTCGAGGATATTAGAAATACGAGGCTGTCGAAGGAGTGTGGAGACAAAGTCGGTAGAGAACGTGATCGCCAGGAAAGGAAAGTAAGGTAGAAGAGAAGTTCAACAAGTCAACGGCATCAAGCTAGTCGACAAGTTATGATGATGGAAAGCAAAGCAGCGCGGATAGTACGGTAGTCAGCGTCGGAGTTGAATGTTGTAGGTGGCGGAATAGAAGCCACAGATCAATGCGGGTTCGAGGGAGAGACGGGTGAGACAAGGCGTCGGTTGTTTGAGACTTAACTCGGTGACAGCGGTAAAAGACAAGAGATTCGGCGCGTATTGTACACTCTTTGATAGAGCAAATCTCCAAGTCGAGTCAAGTAGATCCTGGTGGGTTGGCAGGGAGGGGGTTCGCTATTCATTCGCTGACGTTGGAAGATGATGGTGGGAGCCTCTTGTTTAGGTCGCGAGCGGGACGGATTTTCAAGGCACCGGTAGGCTTGGGTAGTACATTAAATGAACAACATCACAACAATGCATATGTTTTGCATTATTGGGGAATGTGCTGAAAATAGATATCTCCTAATTTCAAGATTAACTTTGGCTAAGCTCTTGTTATGCGCGAAATGCCGTGTTGATGGTGGTGGGGATGCTTAGTTACGCGTTACAGGGCGCGTTAGGACAAGCAATTGGCTGAGACATTGTTAAGGCTGGCTGAATATTGTAATTCATAACATGGTGATAAATCAGATGTCTTCGGTTTGTGTAATGGTCTTCCATCAAGTCCTGCAGCAATTCATCACTATTGCTAGTAAATAGTAACCGTGTTGTTGTTTATTGTGTAACAGTGCAGCGAATAGGCAGCTATTGGACTCGAAGAGTAGCAATGGATGTAGCAGCAATGGATGCAAAAACAGCTGGCAGCTTGGGTCTGGCTTACACGATGCATTTATGACGATTAACGAGTCAATAACCCATGACCATGTTGATTCAGTTCCAAACAGACTTGATTCAACTGCAAACAACCCCCCGCTCCAGGTTTCCTCATCAGGCCTGATTGGTTGACTGTTTCATTCCAGCCTCATATCTTCGAATTCTCCAACGGTTAATACAGTATTAAATATCCTTTTAACTCTATTCTCCGATTATAGCCCGTAGACTGTAGTATTGCCTGATGTTGACATGTTCTTCGTTCAACATCATGATCTGCTGACTAAGGTATCGGCATACCTCCGAACCCACTCGGTCCATCTCCGCATGACGCCGGACAAAGCTTGAACCTCTGATATCACCACCAAATCATCACCACAATGGCCTCAATTGCCCGGTCTCTCCGCGTCGCTGCCCCTCTGGCTAGGGGTATCGCTCCTCGCGCTTCTATTCGCACACCAATCCGAGCATTCTCATCCACCAAATTGAGTATGCAGTACTGAATCTCCTTTTGACTTCCACTAACAACATAGACCTCGCTCGCAAATACACAAAGGACCACGAATGGATCGATCTCTCGGCCGATAAGAAGCACGGTTTCGTTGGAATTTCAGAATACGCTGCCGAGCAGCTTGGTGACGTGGTCTACGTTGAGCTCCCCGAACCTGGTTCATGGGTTGAGCAAGGCGATGCTGTAGGCGCCGTCGAGTCAGTCAAGTCTGCCAGCGACATCAACGCCCCGATCCGCCTACGCGTTCTCCAAATCAACGATAACCTCGAGGAGAAGCCTTCTACCATCAACAAAGTTCCCGAGGACGATAGCGCTGGTGGTGGCTGGATCGCAAAGGTCGAAGTTGATGAGGAGGGTGCCAAGCAATTCGAGAAACTACTAGATGCCGAGGCCTACAAAGCTTTTGCTGGAGCCGAATAAACACTACAAACACAATAGAGGTATTGAGTTGAGATGTGCCGATCATATTATCCACTTATTTGACTGTCTCGGGTACCTCCCTCTTCTCGCTGATATCATCCAATATCCTTTGCGCTCCTTGTTCTACCAGTGTTTGAGCCACCTTCTTCCCGAACTTGTCCGCATCGTCTGATGTCTTGATCGCTTCCGATATCTCACAGTCGACACCCTCGTCACCTCGGAGGGAAACAACTGTAGCCTTCATACGTAGCTTGTCGTCAATCCACTTTGTCTCGACACCAATGGGAACACTGCATCCACCCTCGAGTGCCCTCATGAGAGCTCGTTCCGCCTCACACGCTAGTGCTGTTTGTTCGTTCTGGATTGACTTGAGGAACCGGAGAACCTTTTCGTCATCCGCTCGGCATTCAACTCCCAGGGCGCCTTGACCGACAGCATACAGGATTCCTCCGTTTTCAGATTCGAGAAATTGTGTAATGTGTTCACCAAGATCCATACGTTGGAGACCTGCCGCAGCCAGGATGATACCCGTTAGGTCAGGGTCCTCTTCGAGCTTTCGTAGTCGGGTTTGAATGTTGCCTCGGTGATCCTTGAATTTGAGTGTCGGGTATCGACGAACCAGTTGAGCGATGCGGCGCACACTGCTTGTGCCGATGATACTTCCAGCCGGCAGATCCGCCAAAGTCTTCCACCCGTGCTTGTCCTGCAATTCCTTCTTGATCACCAGTGTATCTCTCGGATCCTCGCGAGACGTGACACATCCGAGGACGCACCCTTCGGGGAGAACAGTCGGCATGTCCTTGAGCGAATGGACGACAATATCAAGTTCCCTGTTGACCAATCTCTCTTCAAGTTGGGATGTCCACAGACCCTTACCACCAAAGTTGTAGAGAGCTGTGTTTTGGTCGCGATCGCCAGTGGTGGTCATGCTGTGGATGGGGAATTCATGATCGGGGAATTTCTTCTTCAGAGCGTCAACGACGATTTGCGTTTGGGCGAGAGCAAGAGGCGACTTGCGAGTGCCGACGTTTACAACGCCTTTGGGCTGAGTTTCGGCCATGATTGTGGAATGAATTGGGATGACGGATGTAAACGGGTGATAGCTTGGAGGGGCAAGTTGAGCTTTTCGGATGGTGGGGGAACAGTTTCGGGTACAGTGCGGGGTACCAACACTGTGACCAAGCTGGGAGTCAGTATACCTTGCATCATGAACTCGGCACAAGCATGACATGATACTTGCAAAGAGTACGCAGACAAATATCATGGAATTGATGAGTACGAATCGGTGTCAAGGGCGGTACAGCCATCGATGGTATGGTCTACAGGATGAACAGCCCTTGACTGCCGATGAGTCTGATGAATGATACTACCAAGACACATGTCCAACGAAGCATTGGGACTATTCCTGGACGAGATATCGTCAACGGTTACATCTGCTAATGCTATAAGAACAGACATCACCTCGAGATCAATCGTAGACAAGACATTCACCAATACGCCAACATGAAGTTCCAACTTACCATCCTTGGCTTGGCTGTTCTGGCTCTTGCAAAGCCTCAGGCTCCTCCTGATCCAGCTCCAGCTCCTCCTTCAACCTCTCAACCTCCAGCTCCTCCAGCTCCTCCAGCTGAACCCCCAGTGCCTCCGGCCGAACCTCCCGCTGACCCCCCTGCTTCACCTCCGGCCGAACCCCCGTCTCCTCCAGGACAACCCCCGGCACCAGCTCCTGTTCCGCCGTCTCAACCGGCGCCGCCACCTCCTACCTCTGAGCCAGCTCCGGGGCCCCCTCCGTCTCCGGCACCTGTTCCACCATCCAATCCCGCTCCTGCTCCTCCACCTCCGAAACCGACTGGTACACCTGATGGACCGATCTGCGAGTGCGGATACACGTATTGTGCTGCAGTCCTCAAGGCTATGGGTATGTGCATTGACTAAGAAAGACAACGCTGACAGTTTGTAGACAAGCCGTGGAATGATGGTCAACTAGTTGATGGTTACTGCAAGACTCCCAATGCCGTCTGCAATCAGGGAACTCCTTCCACCGAGATAGAGTCAGCTCTGTTCATTTGTCTCTGCGCAGAACCTGATCAAAAGGTTGGAGATCATATTGAACTCTTATGCGGATGTGACACTTGTCTCAACGTTGGGCCGGACTTTAGAGGACGGTGCAAGAGTCCATGCCTGCCTGGTGGTGGGTCAGAAGGTGATTCTGGAGATGACAAGAAAGTCAGAGGAAGCAACCCATTCGGATTTTGGATTTGAAGTTGGAAGTAATAGCTATCCGGAAGTCACTCATTAAGATAAGTTAGTCTGTTCAGATGAATCCAATTGTCATACCTGCATATAGTCTGGTAAAAGTGAAGCACTGAGTGGAGTGATTGTCCACGTGTAGATTCATGCATTTGCTAGGTGTTCATGCTCTGATCCAACAGCGCTCGGAGCTACTACGAGTCTGATCTCTGGCTGCTTATCAATGCCACGCAATTCAAGTGGACCACCGAGTTCAGAATCTTCACCGTCTTACACATCCTCTTCTATGAGAATCTTTGTTTCCACAAAGATCATCCAAAGCACACATTACCGGCCGCACCGAGGCGTGCGAGGTCCAACCCCGGACGAGCCCCGCTGAAAAGCCGGCACTACACGGGGCTAAGTGCCGAGAATGGACGGCTAGGACCGTTAGTCTGACGTCAGGACGTGCTGCACCCAAAACAGAAACAAGACGGAAAAGTTTGTCACGTCTGTTTCTGCGGTCTCTGAGTTGGTCCGATTGGGGTTTTTGGCAAGGATCTGATTGTGGAGGCGGGGATGGAGTTGGCGAGCGTGTGGTATAAAGACTTCGGTGCGTCATGACTTTTGTTGTTCATTATACCAAGCATCTATCAACATACCAACAACTACACTTATACCCAAATATCACCACCAAACAAACACTTATACCCAACTATCACAAATAATCAAAATGGCTCCCAAGGTTCTCGTCGTTCTTACCAGCCAGGCCAAGATGAACAATGGCAACCCTACCGGCTGGTATCTGGTAAGCCTCCTGCTCATTCAATCTTTTACACACTAACAAATCAGCCCGAGTTCGCTCACCCCTACTATGACTTCGTCAACGCCGGCGTTGAGGTCGTTGTCGCCTCCCCCGCTGGTGGTGTTGCTCCTCTTGACCAAGGCTCAGTCGAGATGTTCAAGGGTGACGAGGAATCAGTAAAGTTCCTTAACGAGAAGAAGCAGGTCTGGGAGGAGACCACTCCCCTCAAGGAGTTCCTCGGCAAGGCATCTGAGTATGATGCCATCTTCTACCCTGGTGGCCACGGCCCCATGTTTGATCTTGTCAACGACGAGACCTCAATCAAGCTTATTGAGGAGTTCTACAAGGCCGGCAAGCCCGTCGCCGCTGTGTGCCACGGACCTATCGTCTTTGTCAACGTCAAGGTTGACGGAAAGCCTCTTCTCGAGGGCCGTGAGGCTACTGGCTTCAGCAACTCTGAGGAGGATGCTGTTCAGCTGACCAGCTCCATGCCTGTTCTTCTCGAGGATGAGATCAAGCGTGTTGGTGGAAAGTACGTCAAGGCTGATGACTGGGCTGAGAAGCTGGCTGTCGATGGACAAGTTATCACCGGTCAGAACCCTGCCTCTGCTCACGTTGTTGGCAAGGCCATTCTCAAGGCCATCGGTGCTTAAATAATGAATAATATGAATAATAATATTAGCCTGTATGACTGAGTTGTTTAACTGATTGCATGGTGATAAGAGTGGGAAATAAATCTCTACTGTTGAAACTTTAATATGAATATGCCCGTAAATGTGAAGACTTGTATCACACCACCCTATAAGTTGTTCAAGCTCATAAAAGACAGACTTGTAACAACTTTATATTGGCACAATCGTTTATAGAATATTTCTCATGACTTCATACTGTTGCCAATGCATATAACACATAAATAGTAAAGTAAATAATAAATATTAATTAAATGTTAATCTTGTTAATCCCGCTTGAACACCTTTTCAAATCCAGTCAAGGTGAATCGATATCGCACCTTGTTATCCTTAACTCGCTCGACTGCCTCAGCACATCCCTTCTCAGAGACGTCAATAGTCTCAACCCAAGCAGCAATGTTCTTCTCAGCTGCAAGCTTAAGCATAGCATCCATCTCCTGATGGTTACCGAGATGGCTACCGGTGATCTTGCCAGCATTGCCAGCAAAGGTACCAGCTGTCAACTGAGGGAGAGGCTCGTCAGGGATGCCAACGTTGTGGAACTCGCCTCCAATGTTGAGGGTCGACATGTAGGCGTTCATATCGAACTTGTGTGTTTGATCGGCACAGTTGAGGATAAAGTCAAAGGTGAACTTGTACTTGTCGGCCCAGTTCTCCTCGGTTGTAAGAATAACCTCCTTTGCGCCCAGCTTCTTTGCGTCCTCAACCTTGGAGGGGGAGTGTGTCATAGCATAGACCTCAGCACCGAGAGCCTTGGCCCATTGAACACCCATGTGACCGAGACCGCCGATACCAACAACAGCAACAGTCTTGCCGGGGCCGACGTTGGCTCTCACAAGGGGAGAGTAAGTGGTGATACCAGCGCAGAGAAGAGGAGCAACCTGCTCAGTCTTGAGAGCGTCGGGGATCTTAAAGGTAAAGTACTCGTGTGCGCGGATGTGCGAAGCGAAACCACCATGAGCGATGCTGCCATCAGGATATTTGCAGTTGTAGGTGTCGACCATATCAGGGCAGTAGTTCTCGTTCTTGTTTTTGCAAAGCTTGCACTCTAGACAAGAAGAGACCTGGGCTCCAACTCCCACACGATCTCCAACCTTGATATCCTTGACCTTATCGCCTACTCGGACAGCCTTACCGACAACTTCGTGACCGACGCAAAGAGGACCTTCAAAGTCTCCCCATCCGCCGGTGACAGTGTGGACATCCGAGCCGCAGACACCACAGGCGTCGACCTGGACATCGATATCGCGATCTCCCCAGGTCTTGGGGGTAAGGGTGTGCTTCTCAAACTTGTTCCATGATTTGGGGCTGTCAACGCAGAAGCCTTCGAAAGTGTCAGGGTAACCCATGTTGATAGGAGTGAATAAAATAGGATAAGATGTGATGCTTGTTGTCTATCAAGGTTCTCTCATTGTAGCAGTATTTATATATCACGTCTTGCTTCCTCCTCGTCTACAATGACGTCTTGGAGTTGTAGATATAAGTCTATGACGCCAAGCGGTTGAAATGCTCCGCGTGAAGACGCATCATAATCGTGTCGCATCGACATACTGACGGTTTACTCCAGTTTGTAAGCTCAATTGGGTAAGCTTCTCGAGAATTAGCCTTGAAGAGTTTGCAGATCACGATCCTGGTGCTTAGAATGGAAGCTGGAAGCTGCCTAGAAGATGGAGATGCAGACCTGGCTAAAGCCGTGGAGTCTGAGGGGCCGCACGTGCGAATGACGTAAATCAATCGACAGTACGGATAGATTGGCGATAAGAGATCGCGTTCGAGTTAATTATTGCACTTGAGATGGGCTGTAAGTCTGACAAGGCTGCATATTAGCTTCTTTGTTGATAACCTTACCACTTCAACCAAAGACTTCCTACAACAAGCACAATGTCATGACGTCCAAGGGTTCCGTTTAGGCTCAGACCTTCTGACTCAACTGAAACTTCTGGTATTGCTGAGTGAGAAGCAGGTTAACTTGTTGACAGCCATGATGCCCTGGGTTGCATTGAGACTCAGAGCTAGCCAATTCACGAGCAAGAATGACGGTGATATGAGAGTTGATGAGTGGCCAGTGTTAGTCCAGATCGTTGCGGACATGTTTTGAATATAAGATCTCGTCGCTCACGTCTTGCTTCTTCATTTTTATATTGCCATTAGGCAACACAATGAGCAACATGTTCGCATTCAATCGCAAGCATAAAATAGAAATGCGGTAGGTTGGGCAAGTCGGACCAAGTCACATATTGCTGTTCATCCGCTAATACGACTCATAATCAATGCCATTCACAAGCTCAAGGAGCTCTCTCCAATACAGAACGACGGTAACCGCCAAGTCGGTCTTGGTAAATGTGTGTATCGCGCATCCTCATATTTGTTGCTATGAAGCCACCAACGCCATCCAGATAACAAAGAGAAATAAATAGTCGAAAGTTCAGCAACGCTCGTGCTCAAGTAATCATTTGCCATTCAAGAAATCGAATGCGATGCTCCTCGTGGTATTGGAACCCGCTAGGTATCTCATCCCAGTTGTGCTTTTTGATAAGCCTACTTGAAGACTTGTCTTGTTTTCCGTTTTGGCCGATCTTGCCATACCCGATTAGCCCATTTTGACATCGCCATTAGTCTCGGTCTGAGGTAGCATAGGCTTCTCCTCATCCTGGGCTCTTCGCTTGCCCATACGGTCGAGCCATTGTTCAGCGCTGACGATTGTTCCATCCACAACACCACTGACTTGGACAACCATATCCAAGCCCTCTTTAGCTAGTACCAGCACCTTATGGGCACCTTCAGTCATGGCAGACTCACTGTCGTTCTGCCCGTTGGTCTTGTCCGACATGGTGGCAATGCGGAATCGTTGGGGTAGACTGGTGAGATGACGTCGTACAAGGATTCGGGCATTATCAGGCAATGCGCCTCCTGCATATTTAGACACAGTATTGATTGCGTCGCGAAGGGTCCTCAGAACATCGTTCTTAAGGTTCGAAATGCGAGCTGCAAGTTGAGTGCGAGATTGTGGATCTTCAGACCGTTCTCCAGGATGTACGTCTGATCCATCAGGTCGTACTCTCTCATACTGTTCCAGGGTGGTCCTCAAAGCTGTGATAACGCGAGATATATGATCGTTTGCCCATCTGAGCCAGTGAAGACAATATTTGAGACTTCTTAGACTCTCCTCGCTCATGGCAACACTCAAACCCGAGGTGGACATGATAAGCCGTGACTGCCATGCACTGTTGGGTCTTGAAGTAGGCCGTGGTTCACTCCCTGCATCTGTTTCTGTGTATGCAGGTGACCGCAAGTCATCGTAAGCGGGAAGAGTATCCACAGTGCTTGTGTTTGACATTCGACGAGACATCGTCTTGGAAGATGGTGAAGGCTCTGTTTCGTGCTCATCCGACAACTGCTGCATGCCTTCACCCTCAAACCTCTTGTTGCTGACGGCTTCATCTTCACTGTCCATCTTGCGACGCTTCTTACTGTTGCCAGTTTCCAAATCTGACGTCGAACTATTTTGTCGCCGTCCAGCACCTAGAAACCAACGCACACCTCCCTCTACACCAGTCACTCTACCAACAGAGCCAACAGTGTTCGCAATTGGTGTTAGGTATCCTTCAACATATTCGGCACCTGATCGAAACCGCGGTGAGAAGTTCTTGGCGCCCCCGTAAGCCGAAGTGGCGCCCTCGATTGTACTTGCAAGCAAAGGATGAGTTGTTGTGAGAAGCGATAACAACGGCTCAGGTTGTGGGGACTGCGGTTGTCGATTGAGGAATCCGTGCGAAGTTGGAGGGCTCAGTGGAAGTGATGTATTCCTGTGAGGCGGTGATGATATAAAGTCTACGGCTGTTAGCAATGATCAATAATGGCATGCACAAACATACCTGCTCTCAAGTCGCCAAGCGCCTCAGCTGCAAGTCGCACATCAGGGTCATCTAGACTGACGCTTCCAGCCCTGGCCAGCCCATCGGGTGATGCAGCGCTGACAACGCTGTTGGTACTCGCATCAAGATCCATTCGAGTCGGGCTGTCGATAGTATGTCCAAAAGCAATTGGCGACTGATATAAAGGCATGGGGTGAAGAGGAGGCCAAGCCTTTGGCGGTTCGAGTGCCATTTCACCTGCAAGAGAGCTCAGAGATGGTAACTTGATGTCGTTGTCGGCTAGTCGAGCCAGGGGAGGCAAAGAAGTCGGCAAGTCGGTATTAGGAACATCAGGAAACTTTATCGCGTTCGGAGACACATTGGAATATGCTGGTGGGGAGAAAGCCATTAGAGAAGGCGGCGGTCGAGCTGGTGGTGGTCCGAGGAGAACATGGCGAGACTCGGTCTCACGATCAGTCGGAAGCATGTGATTGCGCTCCATGGCGTTGGTCGGCGATAACACGGATATGTCAACTAAGCATCGAGTGGCAATCGGCCAAGGGCCGCAAACATGAATTATCAACGAAACGAAGTAAACAAAAGAAATCAAGATTGACAATGATGCTGACGGTGATGATTTGGTGATGAAGCGGAGAGAAAATGGTTGGGGTGGGTGAGAATGGGAATGAGAATGTGATCGTGGGGGGGAACGAAACCTGGAAACGAACGTCAGGCGCGACGGGACCTTCTTTCCTTGAGCTGCAGGGACCGGCTGAAGGAAGCCCAGCACAGAACGATAGCCCACTAAAACCGGGCCGGCTACAGTGGTTCCAGGTGACTTGTAGAGCTTAGTGGGGAAGAAGGGTCGCTAGAAGCCTCTGAATTGCGCCAGTGCTTCAGTCACAAGATGCATCTGGGGCGATCGCCTCGCTTCAGATTCAAATTGTTGGGATATTTAACAAGTATAAGTTTCGACTTGGTCTTGTGATGCAAGGCAACTTCTGTTGACTTAAACTTGCAACTAAGAACTGTACCTGAAGCCTCTTCTCTCTCCAGCACGTGTCAAAACTGGGGAATGATGATGACCGACATCACATGCAAAGGAAGAGCTTGATTAAACTCGTCGTCGCAATTGTTAAGCGGGGCGCCCGAGTCATGGCCAATGCACTAACAAGATCAACTCAAACACATGCCATAAATGGGTGTTTCCTTTTCCTGATGCGTTTAAAGATTGTTTCCTCCAATAGAATGTGTTTTGATAACGTCAGATATCGATTGCTCATTGCTTGCTCATCTGAAGCTTTGGCAATTAGTGCCATTTAAAGTAAGGTAGCACTCCTTACCTTTATCCAGACCAGTCGGCATTCGGTTACTTTGTAACGTCCGATATTGGTTAGCATCCATTCGGATATGTTCAATCCGAGTAACCATGTGTTGAAGCTTGACATGTGGATGTGCTGTTGCATTGAGGATACGTGATTGTCGCATTTGATGCACAACTTTCTGATGGTTGCCAATAGTGGATTGCAAATGATCCATGGAGATCAAGGCGCCTCTTCTTTCAGGGACCAGGCTCAAAAACTGAGGCGAGTTTAGTGGGTTTGACGACCAATGCGATAATGCTACGACTCGTCCATTGACCTCTAGGTGCGTGAGGCAGAGTCTTATCACTCCAGTCAATATCGTCGCGTCGCCTGGAAACACCTTCATGCTCAAGCACACAACGACTAATCCGCCCGTACGAAAGCAGGACAAGACCTTCAACGATGCCCCAAGTTCATAGCCTGGTCACCAGGACAAGCCACAATGTCGCACCAGTCAAGGCATAGCCTGGGTCTTCACTTAACATTCACATTATAGTATGTCTGGCTCCTCTGACACCGGCCAAGCAACGTAAGTTAAATACTCGGTCAGTTCTTAATGGATCCAAATTCCCTCTCCGCACCACATAATCGCAGCTCACATCAACGGCTCCGCGGCTGAAATGACAGAAAGTCACTCGGTTGCAGGCTAGGTGATGGTCTGTACTGTCTAGAGGGTGCGTTGGAGAGAAGAAGAACCAAACAAAGTCTGAAAAAATGAAGCTTTTTATCACGTTCAGAGGCCCGCTCATCTCACGTGATGTCAATGAGCTACAGCTACCCCACCGATATCCGATATTCTACCGTGTCGTCACCAGCATTGGAATGGCCAGGCTGCCAAAGATGCCAGCGAAACAGCTTAAACAACGAAACTATATTGCGCCGTATCATGATGACTGCCTGCACTTCTCTGTAGTCCTTAATTACCCCTAGTCTCTCCTTATCTTTTCTGTCATCATCTATCAAGCTCCTCAGCGCATGATCTCCTTCTGAACTTGACCGTCGCATCTTGACAGCCTCCTTTCCGCCCCTGTCATCAACTTGATCTCGCCAAGACCACATCATGGCATCCGCGCTGTTCTTTTTGGATCTCAAGGGCAAGGTGTGTTAATTGTCATTGATCTATTGTACATGCTGACTTTTAGACCCTCCTTGCTCGAAACTATCGTGGTGACCTTCCCATGTCAGCAGTTGAAAAGTTCCCTGTACTCCTTTCAGAAGCTGAGGAAGACTCATCTGCTGTTCCACCATGCTTCTCCCATGAGGGCATCAACGTATGTTATTCTTCAAACTGCTGTACAACTTCTGACCGTACAGTATCTTTACATCCGCCACAACAATCTCTACCTCCTCGCCCTTACAAAACGAAATACAAATGCCGCCGAGATCCTCCTTTTCCTTCACAAGATCGTCGAGGTCTTTACCGAGTACTTCAAAGCCCTAGAAGAAGAGTCTATCCGCGACAACTTTGTTATCATCTACGAACTCCTCGACGAGATGATGGATTTTGGTTATCCTCAAACAACAGAATCAAAGATCCTCCAAGAGTACATCACCCAGGAATCCCACAAGCTCGAGATCCAGGCCCGACCACCCATTGCTGTTACAAACGCTGTGTCATGGCGATCAGAAGGTATCCGATACCGCAAGAACGAGGTCTTCCTTGACGTTGTTGAGTCGCTTAACCTGTTGGTTTCCGCAAACGGCAATGTGCTTCGCTCAGAGATTCTTGGCGCTATTAAGATGAAGTGCTACCTAAGTGGTATGCCCGAGTTGCGCCTAGGCCTTAACGATAAGGTCATGTTTGAGACAACTGGCCGAGCTACTCGCGGCAAAGCTATCGAGATGGAAGATGTCAAGTTCCACCAATGTGTACGACTATCACGTTTCGAGAACGACCGAACCATCTCCTTTATCCCCCCCGACGGCGAATTCGAGCTCATGTCTTACCGCCTCAACACCCAGGTTAAGCCTTTGATTTGGGTTGAATGTGTGGTGGAATCTCATTCAGGCTCCCGAATCGAATACATGCTCAAAGCTCGAGCCCAGTTCAAGCGCCGCAGTACAGCCAACAATGTCGAAATCGTGGTTCCCGTACCTGACGACGCCGACAGCCCCCGGTTCCGGACAAACATCGGTTCTGTTCACTACGCACCTGAGCAGAGTGCCATTGTCTGGAAGATTAAGCAATTCGGTGGTGGCAAGGAGTTCCTCATGCGTGCTGAGCTGGGCCTGCCTAGCGTGAGGGGTGATGATGAACAAGGTGGTGGTATGATGGGTGGTTTCGGTGGTAGTATGGGAGGCGTTGGAGGAGTGGGCAAGGGTGCTAAGCGACCTATCCAAGTCAAGTTTGAGATTCCTTACTTTACCACAAGTGGTATCCAGGTTCGGTACCTCAAAATCACCGAGCCAAAGGTACGAACCCCGCCAATACTATTGACCAATACTAACAGACCAAGTTGCAATATCCTTCGCTTCCGTGGGTGCGATACATCACTCAGTCTGGCGACATTGCCGTGCGACTTCCCGACGCAGTCTGAGGTCAGACAACATTACTTACATATAATCGAGCCATGCGTGTTCACAATGGCTCACATACACCTGCCATGATGGATGACGGTGTAGATATGATGGATATGGGGCAGAGCTGCAGAGCAGGGGGCTTCATACACCAATCAGGACGAATAATAGACTAAAGATCAATCTATGCTGACGGAATCCTGCTAGTCATGTTTCCCGAACAATAGCTGCCTCCCATTCTAAGCTGCGAAGGTTTTCTGGGGTAGAGTAGGGATTGTCAGGATCAAGAAACACCTTGACGACGAAGCCCTTTGGATCTTCCGAAGCCGTCGGGGGGTCTGTGACAATTAGCCCATGTTGGAAGTCAAATGTCAATACTTACGTCCTCGAGGCGGTTCGTTGCTATTCCAAAATCCATGTCTCCATACTCGATTGTGTCCGAGAAACACGTTATCTATCGAAGTATTGTTCGTATCTTGCGCAGCATATAATGCCATCAGTCCTAGGACAATAGGCAGCTCTCCTCCGAGGCCTAACGAATGTGGTGGGTTACGGTGAGGTGACCTGTAGGTCGAGGGGAGTAGACTCGGCATCCAACTGGGTGACCTGCCTGCGATGTAGAGCACAGGACCGCCCCCTTCACCCATATCGCTATGAATGGTGACTGCTTGAGACAGACCTGGAATGGTAGGTGGATGAAATATGCGCAAGAGTTCCCAGTATGCTGTTTCAGAAAAAAGAGGATCTTGAGCGACCACCATAATAGGGAGCAGCGGGTTGCAGGCGGCGACTCCAAACGACTTATACTCCACGGCGTGACGGTACCGGCCGAATTGATCCAGCATGCAGTTTCGCTGGCTGTCTAATTTCGCCAGTCGCCCAGAGTTTTCCATATCCCGATACCAGTAAAAGTCTGCGGCTTCTGTGACTTCACCATTGTAGTATCGCATGACTTTACTCGGGACTTCGCCGTCGTATTGACTTGGGAATCTGGGCGGTACGTGGTGATGATATAAGTCGTTGTCTGGTCTATTTATTAGGAGCTTGTTCACCATGAACAAGAAACCCGTAGTGGGCTGGCTTGAAGAGCTCCCTTTTCGTCCTGAACTGTGCTTCGTCGACTTGCTCTAATGATGTTATTAATATGTTAAACTGGTCTAGAAGACTTCTTACCTGTTTCATTTTGATCATGATTGTGGTGCTTCATAATAGCCAAGTCACTTGAGCAAGCCATTCTTATACTGTCGAATTCGGTCCATGAACTGCAGAGCCGCATCTTCTCGACTAAGCAGCATCAGTCGTTCCCGCACCTACAGTCGCGACATCGTCCTCCGACGACCCAGAAGCATCTGCCTTCCTGCCTTCAAATGACGACATTATCTCCACTGTCAGCTTCGCTTGCAGTCGACCAGACATCACAGATTCAGGTGTACGTGATAGTGATGAGATCCATTCTGGATTGGTGCCACGACCATGGCACTTTGTTGGACAGACCTCACTTTGATGTCTGCAGGGAGTCAAGATAGGTGTTGCTGATTACATACCCCAGTTCATGCAGTACAACTGCAGCCCCCATTAACGCTCCCACTGCTTGACACCGGCCTCAAGACCCATACTTGACGGGTAGATGGATGTCGGGTGACAAGCTTGATGCCAGCCGGGTGATATCCCAGGTTGATTTGTCAAGGTAAAGCGGACCAATGGATATTGGCTCAGATCTGGCGATCAGCTGTTGGCGCTAGCATTTTCTCTTCGGTCAATTCGTCTTGGCAACGTTGGATTTATGATGACGGGTGTTGAGATACATTTGAGGCCCGAATGCAAAACATCGGCGTTCGTCGAGGCAGCCTGGTGTGTCCATGAGTATCGTATGGTGAGAATTCCGGAGGCGATTTGCAGAAGTAGCCAATTTTTGCTGAACCTTTTGCCTCCCTGATGGTGTTGAGGTCTGGTATGATAATACCTCTAGCTATCGTAAACCCTTGTTAACCCACCCGTTGGTCTTTGGGGGTGGCGTAGAATCCTCGTGGTAAGACAGGCTTGAATGTAACCTGTGTGGAGATCGTCTTCATATGCTATACAGCGAAGCCCAACCTGAAAGCTCGTGTTTCAGAAGCCAGCACTTGCTGCCTTGATATTGGCATGATCAGAACCGCATCAAGCGACGACCAAAAGATATTTCTGTAATTCCGCTGACCTCAGTGTCTTCGCCGTTGTGAGTTATACAATGTTGTGACACTTCAACCTTGGATAAAATGCTTAATGTTAGTCATTATTTTCCTCGTTCAAGGTTCTTGTCGCAGCATCGTTGGTTAACCAAAATCGCTTGTGAAATGAAGAGTGAGTATGGCAAATTTTGTTCAAGGTATGTATCATTTATATAGCAGTAGTCGATGTAATTTTAAGGGCTTGTTGCCTCGGGGTGGTTCGCAATGGATGCCTCTGCACTGCATGAGGAGAGAGAAAACAAGAGCTGTCACATAACCCCACGGGTATCAAGATGATCAGCCAGACCGCTTGGTGCGCTTGGCTGGACCAGAATCATCATCCATTGTCATCTCGACATCTTCAGATGCGGAAAAGGATGCGGAAATTGCTTCTTGGAGGAGCTTCTTCTCCCCAACTCTAACGATAGTAGCCATGCGAGCTCGCTGGTTGAGATTATTGGCCCTGAGCAAAGACTCGTCTTGTGAAATGCTGGTTGGGTAACGTGCTGCGAGAGCCTCCAGGGTCTTTGCCAGTACAGCTTGGTGGATTTCGTCTCGTTTTCTCTTGTCTGGAATAGCATCGGACTGTGCTTTCTTGACACCTTTGAGGAATGTCTTGAGTTGTTCCTGGAGATCTTCAGGCATGCTATCGAATCTGGCAGGCCCAGCAAAAGTGCCATCTGAGTTGACCTCTCCAGTTTCGCGCTCGAGCACAAACGTATCTTCAAACTCGTCTTCGTCTTCGAGGGCACCACGCTAAACAAATTAGCTAGGTCATCTTTTAGCACGTCAGACTTACCAGCTGCTCCAGGACTTGGGTTGAGATGCCAAAGTTGGATGACATAGTCGACTCAACAACATTCCAAGGAATCTCGACGACATCATAACGGGAATGCTTCTCGGTAACATATCCGTACCGTCTCAGAAGTTCCGAGTTGGGGTGTGGGCCGTAATAGTTAAGAATCTCTTCACCCGCCTTGATCGGCCTCAGACTAGTAACGGTAAGGCTTTCTTCTTCGTGGTTGACGTGTGCCTATTTCCGTTAGTCTTGCTCAACTCCCATGGGACTTACATACGTTGAACTCGGCGTCAGCATTCAGGATATCAGCCATTGGGACCATTCCCATCATGGACTTTCCTTCTCGGTCCTCAACCCAGCCATCAGTCTCTTCCTCTTCGTCTTCATCGTTCTCGAGATCAAAGGCGTACGCCATAATGGTGCTACCCATTCTGTGGGCAATCTCGATCAACTCTGCATCGGTCTTGTTACCGACGTTGAAGATGTTCGAGTGACTGCGAATAAGGGGAAGCAGGGTTTTTTGGAACATGTTCTCAGCGTTTGCCTTGCCAATCTTGTGTCGCATATGGCTGGCTTGGAGTTGTTCGAGCTCGTTCTCTGACCAGAACATGGGTGTGTCGAATGAAGAAGGGAGCACATCAAAGTAAGGCTTCCACTGGGAGTTTTCGCCTTGCAGATACTCGTAAATCATGATGAGAATAAGTGAGCTCCAAGAGTCAAGTGCTGGAGCGTCATCCTCATCAGGCTTGTCGAGGTCAAAGACATCCGGAATCTTCTTGGGCAGATCTGAAGTTTCGGTATTGATGATACTTTTTCTCGGGATAGTGAACAGAGTTGTTTCCGCAGGGATATCCCCAAGAGCGACTGTTTTGTTAGTCTCGGATCACATTCTGGAAAGCGACTTACTTATACCGCGGCCAGCATTACGATCACGAAGATCAACAATCTTGATGGCATCAGAAAACGTAGCATTCTCCAAAGACTTGAACCAGTTAAGAAACCGTTCGCTTGTTCCGTCAAAATTTGTAGGATTCATTGTGTTTGTTGAAGGATGATGAAAGGGAAGAGTTCTCATGAAGGTCTTGCCGTAAAACTTTTTATGGTGCACGTCCTACCCTGTACAAATCGTGCAGAACTCCAACCAGGATGCACAGAATCAGAAGACTGCTATATGATTAGACTGGACAAGTTAAGAGCGTATGACAATTTATATAATATTATATCGAACAAGAGAAAATTGTCGGCGTTTCCCAACCCACTGCATAAGACGAATGGTCAAAGTTCAATCAACAAACCTGTAGACAATTTTCTGTCATTACATCATAATAACGATAGATGATATATAATTTCGCTGATACCAACGTCCCTAATACGTCAATTACTCGTCTTCTTCCTTCACCTTTGTCTCTCCGTCTTCCTTCATCTTCGTCTCTCCGTCTTTCCCATCTTTTGCCTTCTTCACTTCTCTCTTCTTGGGCCGTAACCAATCTTCCATACCCTCTGGCCAGTAAACCCTATCGTGAGGACCTCCCATGGCGAAATACTCTGAACTGACAATCTTTTCAGGTACCTCGATATCATCTTCTGCCTCGCCATTGACATCATTTGTTTTCTTCTTACCCTTCTTGGCCTTTTTCTTGATTGCTTTTCGTGACTCGTCTTGACGATCGTGAGGTACAACATCGTTAAAGGTATTCCAACCTGGCAGCTTGAAAGTACGCATCAACTCGAAAACAGCTTGCTCCTTGTCCTTGGCTTCAATCATGAGATCCATATCAGGTTCGCAAGGTGGCAGAGTCTTGACCCGGGCGGAATGCTTGCGACGATCTCGGGGAGTAACAGCAGCAGCCGTCTGCTCACTATAATGCATTTTCTGGGTGATTCCCTTTCTGGTCCATGTCGCTTTGATGCGACCGTAATAGTCAATGATATCCATAGAACCCTCCCTTATCGATGAGTCGAAGATGATGTTGTGGTGGTGATAATCAAGGACCATGGGAATGTTTAGCTCCTCGCAGATGGGCAATAAATCATGTACACTCCATGCAACGTCGTCATTCTCCAATACCATTCGGGCCTTGACCCCATCCGAGAGTTTGGCATAGTTCTCTCTGAATCGATCAAGTGTTGCATTCTTATCGCCGTAAGTACCTCCCATATGAAGAATCATGACTGCGTCGCGATTAAGCTGCTCAGGGAGTTTGAGCAGGGAAAGCAATTCGCTGTGGTATTCCAGATCGCGTATGGCAGCAGTGACCACTTCCTTACGAGGGCTACCGATCTGTGTAAACTGTCCGGGGTGTGTCGTAAGACGATGGTTCAATTCTGCTGCCACTTTGCCAGCCTCTGCGAGTACCTCGGAAGCAAAAGGAGCCAGCTTATATCCGTGTTCCTTATGGCTTGCGAAAGGAAACATCTCGCTACTAAGCCTCATAAATCTAATGCCGTACTTGACGTTCCATCGAATCATTTTGACAATGTCTCGGGCATTGGCCAAGCCCAGCTCTTGTACATACTTGAGGCCTCGGTCATGGTCAGCAGGCTGGTTTCTGTCTGGTCGGTTCTTGGTTGCATGTTCTGGTTCATCTGGGTTTGCGAGCGGATGTCGATGTTCAATGATGGATGCCATGCGACATGTTCTCGATGAGAATACAGGAGGATTTGCGTTGCGTAAATATGTATTTAAACATGCCTATGGAAATTAGAAATGATGACAACCAGCTAATTCGAACTCACATATCCCAATCGCCCTTTCCATGGTAAAGGAAGAGTGTCACTGTTCACAGGAGGTGGCCTGTTGGCACCTCGCTCAGCGCTTTCTTCTTCCCCAGCCTCAGCGACATCACCAGCAGCGACTTTGGCATCTTCCGCATCTAAAGGTGCTGTCGATGTTCCTGTGACAGCATCTGACTTTCCCTCCAGATTTTGGCGAGCAGAGATAGTTTTCTGGTTCGGCGTATACATTTTGGGCCGAATGTCAGGTTCGTTGAAGGCTTCCTCCTTCACATGAAGATCTGACGATTCAATTGCAAGCCGTTGTGTCCTCACTGCGGTCTGTAACTTTTGCTCCATCTTACTCAATTCTCGCATAGCTTCCTCGACACCTTCGCCTGTGTCCCAGACAGCCTTTGATCTCCTCGGGTTAGCTGCTCTCATTGGGGTAGCCTTTGTGAGGTCTTGACACTTCGATCGTTCATCCACATTGGCAGTGGTGTCTTTCAATCTTCGACTGCTTCGTCTGGGGGCCGTATCAGGCATCTCAGGTATCGGAGGTGGAGGATGGGCGTCGGTTCTCTTTCGTTTCGGCGTCATGGTTGCTGCTTGATACAAGGCTCTACTGTATGAATGCTTTGGCAAGGCGGCAACAAGTCTTGCACCAGAGATAAAAAGACGAGATGGCATACAGCGTTTGCAAGCTGCGTAATGATAAGATTGTAAATCGAGGTAAAATAATAGGACAAATTGACTTGAACTCGGCCCCGACATTATAACAATTTAAAGTACTGGTAGTCGGAGGAAGTGGCCCGAAGAGCCAATGACGCAGCGTGCGTCATGCATGGTTTGCGTACGATGTAATGTCGCAGGGCCAGTAGGGCTATCGCTGTCATTATTCCCGGAGGCAATTGTAACACGAAATGGAGCGAGATGAAGCCCCCTGCATCACCTGGTCGTTTGCATTGGCTCGTTTTTGAGTGACCAGACGATCGGTGGCCGATTTTCTCGATTCAAACTTCGTAGATGGCGATGAAGTCATTAGAGGGCGGGAAGCCGATCGCCGATCCGGCTAGTGATGGTGTGTCCGCCGACTTTGCTCCGCTGTGACGCTTTTAAACAACCCAACTTAATTGAGCACCAACATTACGGAAACAGGCAAACATAAAGTCAGTAACTCAAGACCGGAGGTAATTGAGCGTAGCCAATAAGGCAATTCGGAGCAGTCCGAGTAAGGGTTCAGAAGAAGCTCCACAAAGGACTGAGACATCCGGAATTTGGCATCGAGATTGGCAGGCAGGGCATGTTGAGATATGTGGCTGAACCTGTCGTAGGTGGTGATCAGCGATTCCTTGCTCTAGGCGTAAGCATCATTGCTTCTTATTTTGCGAGGGTCTTGAATCATTGGCTCGTGATGCATCTAATTCAACACAACGCTGATATGATTAGTGATCGATCAAGGGCAAGTTCGAATTACCAGAATGGCGACACATGCAATGTTGGTTCCCGACGCCATGCCCCTTTGTAAAACTGCACCCTGCATACAGGACAATCGTGACGCTCAATCAAGAACCATGACGAGAGACATTTCGAATGGAAAGAATGACCACACGCATTTATCGTCAGAATATCGTCTTTATGATCCTCAGTGGTTTGAATAGCCGTTTCTGGATGACTGGCTTTAGCTTCATGATTTGCCGACTTGTGAGACGTCGCTGTTGAGATTTCTTCGAGCGTTGGACGTGGTTCATTGTTAAGAGCATGTGCTGGCTCTGGTACCAAAGGTCCGATGCAGATGGGACTACAAATATTAGCCAAAGTCCCTGAATTGATCCTCCAGCGGCGGCCCGCCATAGCTCCGGCCGAGAGGCATGGAAGCGGAGTACGAAACGTCCGAATTATTCTGGAAGTGGATTCATTTACCATTCACCGAACTCGGATAGTGGAGCCGGAGCCTCAATGTCGACGGCTGGATCGGAGTTCGGTTGAGAAAGGACTGTTGGAGTTGTCACGGTGCTAAGTTTTCGGCGTGCTGTGTCCAATTGGTCTGGTTGAGGGTTGTGAACCTTTTCCCGAGCGTTGCGTGAACTCAGTCTAACGCATGTTCTGCAAAGGTTAAATATAGATTGAGACACTGGGAGAAAGACTCACATGGGGCCCAATATCAGGAGGAAGAGAAAGAGCACAAGAAGAATGATCCCGACCGGCTCCATCGAGTAAGTTGAGTGGCCGGCGAAGTAAGCTGTAATGGCACGTTTTCTGCGATCGGGTGGAATAGCCGATAGAGTTGAAAGAGTGTTAGGATTTGTACATGTGCTTTCGCAGGCGTTGGACAGTTATAAGCTGTGCCGGTATCAGCTTAAACTAGCCAAGGCTTGCACACCAAGGCCGGGTCTAGAACATTAAGCCAAAGATATTTCGTTCCCATTTTGCTGGATTTGTATTTTTGGTGACATCGCACCCAGGGCTGTGTCTGGTAGGCATGATTCGGCACATTGAAATAACGGACTAAAATTTGACGACAGTCGACACTGGGCAAGCCTTGGCGAGGGTAATGCAGTTGATGTTTTGGTATGGTTCGTACCACACTTGAAGTTGTTCAATTTGAGCCGGCAGGTGGGTAGGCGGGCAAAAGGACAGGAGGCAGGAGGGGCGGAGCGGGGAGGCGGGGGACTTCCCTACCTAGCCTAGGTAGTAGGTAGCATGAGATAACAAACACAAGACTTTCATAATATTGATAATCATTTCTTTATACCGTTTTCGATCTTATTAACGTTTGGGCACAAAGGAGTACAACTCCAACTCATCTCGAATGTATGGAGTACAGACTCAGGAATCTACGTTACACCTTGAGGCAAGCCTCTCGAAATCGTTGCCGCATTATGTATGGAAGCATTTGATGTTTCGTTGAGCGTGCCAATTCATCATCGCCACATTAATCACCTCAAAATCTTCGACAATTTCGTCAGCTAGTGGCATTGCCAAGACCCTCCGCGGTGGAATGGCGTTCACACGTGCTCGTTTCGATACTGCCTGGTTGATGAGTGACGGCGGAATACTCAAATCCGCTCCAGTTGTTAGGGTTCCCAAGTGCCAAGACACAGGGTTTGATCTTGGCATACCCCAGGCTAGTATCATTGGTCGGTTCGTAACATTTAAGCTTGTTTTCATGCGTTTAAGCGTTAAAGATCGCCGGGGATGGATACCAGAGTGGCCTACGGATAGTACTCAAGATATCTGCTTGAGACATGTCTTTGATAACAGCTTCTCAGTCATCTACCTACGATAGAGCGAATATTCCTTTAATCTGAGGTACTGGTAAGTTACTTGTACGCAATAACTTGATGATAAATGTCAAAAACACCGGAAGCTTTGAAAGAAGCTACGAACACTTCGTCACTCGTCGTGAAACACCAAAATGTATCATGTCTTCTACATGCAGCAACGCTGACTTCTTGAGATCTCCGTAATATCCACATTAAAAAGTTCTCCTCCAAATAGAATCGGTCCCCAACATTTGGACCTATTTGGAGCCGCACCTGTTGTGATAGTTCCTCTTGGCGCATCCACCATAATCCGCATCGCGATGCTTCTGGTTATTCTCATAGGTATATGTAGTACTCGAGTTCACTTTTGCTTGCCGCTGATCCATAGACGCGGCTTATAAAAGCCATGCTTTTCCCTTTCAACCCAACTTTTCCTCACCTCAATAGTTCCTTCAACCATCAACAATATGGGTCAACCAGTTGAAGAAACCCCCCATGTCTCGGGGCAATCCAACACGCCAATGACGGCACCTGCTCATGCTCTCACATTTGAACAGGCTGCTCAAGAGCTTGGAGCCAACCTCGATGATGGCTTGACTGAAGAAGAGTCCAAGAGGCGCCTTGAAACTAATGGCCGAAACGAATTCGGCGAACAGGAAGGTGTTCAGCCCCTCAAGATCTTTATTGGACAGATTGCAAATGCCCTCACTCTAGTAAGTTGTCCCTATATGCTTCCTTGATCGAAGATACCAGGCTGGGAAGCTCTGAGATAATGGTAGAGTCGCTCATTTGCCCATTGGGGGACAGGTTCTCATCCTTGCTATGGCTGCTTCATTCGGCATTCAGTCGTGGATTGAGGGTGGTGTAGTTACTGCTGTCATTGTGCTTAACATCGTTGTTGGTTTCTTCCAAGAATTCCAAGCCGCCAAGACCATGGATTCACTTCGTTCTCTTAGCTCCCCAACTGCTCATGCTGTCCGCAACGGTATCAATCAGGTTGTGGTAACGGCTGAGATTGTCCCTGGTGACATGGTTGAGCTCAAGATTGGTGATACCATTCCTGCTGATCTTCGTCTCGTGGAAGCTATCAACTTTGAAACGAACGAAGCACTTCTTACTGGCGAATCCCTCCCCGTGCGAAAGGAGATCAACAAAATCTTTCCTGAGGATACCGGCCCCGGCGATCGGCTCAATGTTGCTTATAGCTCTTCAACTGTGACAAAGGGTCGAGCGCGTGGTATTGTTTTTGCAACCGGAATTTATACGGAAATTGGTCAGATTGCTGTGGCTCTTCGTGGCAAGTCTTCTAAACGTCGACAGCCCAAACGGGACGCTGAGGGTAACACCAACGCTGGTCGCTGGATGCAGGCATGGACTTTGACATGCTCCGATGCTGTCGGTCGATTCCTTGGTGTCAATGTTGGAACTCCCCTTCAGCGCAAGCTCTCCAAGTTGGCTATTCTCCTTCTTGGAACAGCTATTGTCTGTGCCATTATTGTGTTGGCCGCCAACAACTTCAGGAACCAGAAAGAGGTTATCATCTATGCTGTGGCGACTGGTCTATCTATGATCCCTGCATCCTTGATCGTTGTACTTACTATCACAATGGCTGCTGGTACTAAGAGAATGGTCCAGAGACATGTCATAGTCCGTAATTTGAAGAGTTTGGAAGCTCTGGGTGCGGTGACCAGTAAGTTGTTTCATTATAGCAAAGATTTTGCTGACCATTTAGACATCTGCTCTGACAAGACCGGAACCCTGACGCAAGGTACCATGATTGTCAAAAAGGCCTGGATCCCTGGACGCGGCACTTACTCTGTCGGTGCTACCAACGAACCCTTCAACCCTACCCTTGGAGACATCACCATCACAGAAGACCAACCCAAGAACATCAACTTCCAAAATGAAAAGGCTGAAGGGACATCAATTGATGCTGTTGCTCAAACCTCTCAAGACCCGGGATTGGTCGAGTACCTGAATGTCGCATCACTCGCCAATCTTGCAACTGTTCATGAAGTTGACGGCGAGTGGCATGCCCGCGGAGATCCAACTGAAATCGCCATGCAAGTATTCGTGTCTCGATTCAACTGGAATCGTATGCGACTGTCAGCTGGCGAGAACGCACGCTGGCATCAAGTTGCCGAATTCCCATTTGACTCGGATGTCAAGAAGATGTCCGTCATCTTCAATGATGCCGAATCTCAGAAGCAGTGGGTATTTACCAAAGGCGCTGTGGAGCGTGTCTTGACTTCATGCCCTCACTATGCTGCCGGTAATGAGATCCTGGAACTCACCGACGCTATCAAGGACGAGGTGATCAGCAACATGGAATCATTGGCTCGACTTGGTTTGAGAGTCCTCGCTTTGGCTAGTCGAACCGACATTAAGCACGTCGATGACAACGAAGCCGAACTAGACCGAGCAATCTTCGAGAACGATCTTGTCTTTCGTGGACTTATCGGCTTGTATGACCCCCCTCGACAAGAGTCAGCACCCTCGGTCAAGAAATGTCACGAAGCCGGTATCAGCGTTCATATGCTTACTGGTGACCACCCTGAAACTGCTCGAGCTATTGCTTTGGAAGTCGGAATTTTGCCCAGCAGAATGGCGGATCTCCCTAGCGACGTTGCCAAGGTCATGGTAATGGCAGCATCTGAGTTTGACAGGCTGTCGGATGATGAGATTGATGAACTTCCACTATTGCCTCTAGTTGTCGCTCGCTGTGCCCCCCAGACCAAAGTCCGTATGATCGAGGCTCTCCATCGCCGCAAAGCCTTTGTTGCTATGACCGGCGATGGTGTCAACGACTCACCCAGTTTAAAGCGTTCTGATGTTGGTATTGCTATGGGTCTGGCTGGATCTGATGTTGCCAAGGAAGCTTCCGACATTGTCTTGACTGATGATAATTTCGCATCCATTCTCAACGCCGTCGAGGAAGGTCGACGAATGTTTGATAACATTCAAAAGTTCATTCTGCACGTTTTGGCCGAGAACATTGCCCAAGCCTGCACACTTCTGATCGGCCTTGCTTTCAAGGATAAGAGCGGACTATCAGTGTTTCCCCTGACTCCCGTTGAGATCTTGTGGATCATCATGATCACATCTGGTATGCCTGATATGGGTCTAGGCTTTGAGATTGCAGCTCCAGATATTATGCAGCGTCCTCCTCAAAACGTTTGTCTCCCTACTATTTCGCTTGCTCTACTAACATCTTCTAGTTGAAACAAGGTGTCTTTACGCCTGAGCTACTCATTGATATGGTAGTCTACGGCCTTTGGATGTCTGCTCTTTGCCTCGCCTCATTTGTTCTCGTACTGTACGGCTTCGGAAACGGTGCCGCCGACATTGGAGAGAACTGTAACAACACTTACAGCGAGGAGTGCAAGGTCATTTTCCGTGCCCGTTCTACAACCTTTGCATGTTTGACCTGGTTTGCGCTGTTCCTTGCATGGGAGATGGTCAATATGCGAAGGTCGTTTTTCCGAATGCAACCCAAGAGCAAAAAGTACTTCACCCAGTGGATTCACGATGTATGGAGGAACCCATTCTTGTTCTGGGCTATCATTGCTGGCTTTGTCACCATGTTTCCTATCATCTACATCCCAGGACTGAACACAGTCGTCTTCAAGCATGCTCCCATCTCATGGGAATGGGGTATTGTCTTTGTTGAAGCTGTGCTCTTTTTCTTTGGTATCGAGGCGTGGAAATGGGCCAAGCGTATTTATTACCGCCGTCAAGCTCGCAAGTCAGTAGGTGGTGTTACTGATCTTGACAGTCGTGTCTTTGGCAAGTACTTCACTATGGCTGGTGATAGCAACGATGAGGAGAGCAGAGGTGGGGAGAGAGAAAAGAGTGTTCAATGAGCCTGGAGTGGACTGTCACGGTAATCAACCGGATATAGGAAAGCATAGGTAAGTAGGTACGTAGTATGTGGAACAGCATGCTGTGCATTAGGTCAAAAAGGCTACCCTACGAGATACCTAGGTAGATAATTGAGATATCAAATATCGAAAATATCCTCAGGTGAGAGTTATTTGAAATGTAGCCATACGAAACAGCCACGTCTCCGAGGGCATCTCTAAGAAGTGAGGTAATATGCAGGTAGATCGAGATAGCAACAGGAGACTTGCAAACTGGCAACAAATGGTTGGACCGACTATTCAAGAATCTGCATTACCTGGGTAGAATGACGATAACTGGTTGAAGATGCATATATCTGCTGATGACGATGCAGACTTGAGTGATTTATGGGATCTAGACCAGGCTATAGTCGAGATATCTTCCATTTTGATTCATGAAAGGAAACTTTAATTCAATGATCTCAAGGCATCTCCTTTGGATGACGACTAAAGTTACATCGCATCCGACCATTGCTTTTGAAGCATATCTCCTGTTGTGTCACGACCTTCCATCTTCTCAGATGACGTATCGTGAGGCCATCCAGCCAAGCCGAAGAGGGTGCAGAATGGGATGATCAGGGATGAATACGTCTAGTCACACATTACCGTTGATGTACTACTAAATACCTAGACAGAAATAGTTAGAATGAAACGTTCAAAAACTCCCTAGCATCTGATAACTCGTTCTTACGGACATCATCCAAGGTCGCAGCTCGCTAACCCTAGTACGTACCAGCCCCTCCAAATCCTGGGGTCTCAGGCCACTGCGTCATTGGATCTTATAGGCCTGCCCCCGCCTCTTGGTGATCTGCTCACGAGGGTTCTACATCTTTCTGCTTGATCTCGCGACTTCATCACAAGCACCAACAACAGAACTGCACGTTCACTTCTACTTCGATACACTTGCTTATTCACCAAAGACGCCGCCTTTTGAGCTTTAGCTCTGGCTTGCTGCTAACCTTTCAACTTAAACTCAACTTAAGCTCTCGGATTTTATTTCAAGATGGCTTCTGCTGTTGACTCTCCCCCGGCGCACTCGCCTCCTAGCCATCCTCCTCAACGACCCAGAGGTATGTAGACTTGAATTAAATCGTCGCTTTCTAACAGTCCTAGGTATTCTCAAGAACTCGTATCAGAAATCTCCACCAACCTCGCCGAGCCACGACGCTTCTTCCAACGAGAAGGAGGTTACTATTGCCAACACCCAAATCAACGCTGGTCACCGTCGTTCGTCTTCTGGAGGATCTCGCCCTACAGGATCTCGCCGACAATCCGGCGTCAATAGCTCTATCGGCGACACACTCGAACCCTCTCAGCGACTAAAGTGGGACGAGGCCAACCTATATCTCACCGAGCAAGAGCGCTCCTCTACTATGAAGATCACAGAACCAAAGACTCCCTATGCCAAACACTACGACCCGGCGGAGGACCCGTCTGACGAAGAGGAGGATCCTCTGGCAGACGCTGGTGCTAGTCTTAAAAATTCACGTCCAAGCCGTGAAGATGACATTCCAGGCCTTTCGCTGGGCGAACCGGAGGAGGAGATCCCGGAAACGGGCGCGCCGTCACCCCGCAGCGAAAAGAGCGTCCACGTCGACGACGAGAGCAGCATCGGCCACGACGCCGAGGCAGAACTGGCGGGTATGTCCCCGGAGGAACGTGAGAAGCACCGAAAGTTTGAACAGCTCCGTAAGAGACACTACGAAATGAAGAATGTGGCCCAACTTCTGGGCCACCCTGAGGAACTCGACGAAGATGATGATGAGGGCGAGGGTAACGTGCCACCTATGCCACGGGTTCCCAACGGCTCCTCGTAAATGGATACTGAACGGCAGGAAACAAGGCTGGAGACACAAGGAGTGTCTGGCTAGGACAGGCTGGAGGGCATTAGGTTGGAGTTTTGAAGATATCATTATAGGGCGTTGGCAGAAGCAGCGGAGGAGTGTCAAGCTGTCTGAATACTCGCTCGCTTTGAGGATTCTGATGGATGATCGTCGTAAACTTAAGGGCACATCATGGTTTCGGTTTCGAATTCGCATTAGATAAGGATATTGCATTTCCTAGAATTGATTTACGTCTGGGACATGTACCCAGTTGATCGTCATGTTCGTTTGGGTTCGTTTGTTGATATTCCATTCAGAGTAAACCCTTTCGTGCAAGCTCAATCTTCCTGGCCGTCTCGCCTTCACGGAAACCACCACGGGATACACAGAGACGTAGTCCTTCGCCTAGTTCGAACTTCTCTTGTTGAGCGTCCCAGGCACAGGGACAGTGGTGAGGGAAATGGACGCAAGCGAGGGTATCGGGGCAGAGGTACTTGTCGCAGACGGCTACATAGTGTTAGGTTGATCATGGATAATAGTTCGCAACTCACAGTTCTCGTAATTGTGTTTATAATGGTTCGCATCACTAGGGTTGTTCTGTTGTTGCGGTTGATGGTGCTCGTTGCCGCCCTGTTGATTAAACATCTGATCGAAAAAGCCACCAAACTGGGCATTGACCAGAGTCAGAATGGAAAGAAAAGCAAAGATGTAGCGCATTTTGTCAACAAAGAACAGTGTACTGGTGAATACATCAAGTTCAAGATATTGACAGCTATATGCGACGCTGTCCACATCCTTATCGATAAGCTGATGACTAAGCGCAAAAACTCCATCTCCAGATTTGGATTCGAACAAGCATCACAGCTCAGCTAACCTCAGCCCACATCACTCCGAAATCGCTGGCCATGAGGTTCCTCACGATACAGCGGCCGATATTGGCTGCTGTGGCCAGTCTTGCTCGGCCGGCCTTTACACCCGTTGCTCCTCTGGGTGTCCAATTGGCCAATTCGCTCGTCCAGGGTCATCGATTCGCCTCGGTCAAGTCACAGGGAGCGTACAGGAAGAAGCCCAAGAGGGGTATCCCCAAGAAGCTGGGTGCAAAGCGTACAGGAGGTAGGTTATGAAAGTCGAATGCAGGGGCTGGGCTGACTGTTCAGATCAATATGTCATTCCTGGAAACATCCTGTACAAGCAGCGAGGTACACTTTGGTGGCCTGGCGAGAACTGCATCATGGGCCGAGATCACACTATTCACTCGATGGCAACCGGTTACGTCAAATACTACCGCGATCCCGCACGACATCCCGACCGCAAGTACATCGGTGTTGTATTCGAGAAGACCGATACTCTACCATATCCTCAACACGCCGAGCGCAAGCGACGACTTGGCATGAGTGTCTTCCCCATCAAAGAAGCCGCTGCCAAACCTGATGTGTCTCCTTCCGGAATTCCTTTCCAGGTCACTCGTGTTGAAGCCGGCGAGCCAGACAGACTGCTCAAGCTGCGCAAGGATTACAGTTACCGTGAAGATAACTGGGCGATCGGAAAGCTGGCCAGGACAACAGGTCTCAAGACGAAGCGATTCAGAACACGAAAGCAGTGGTTCCGACACAGAAGATGGAGACGTGAGAGGGAATTGGAGGGACAAAGGAAGGCTGAGCAGAAGAGAGCCGAGAGTGGTGAGGAGTTGAAGGCTGTTAAGATGGTTAGCAAGAAGCAAGCCAAGAAGGCTGCTAAGGCCTCTAAGAAGAAATAGGCCAGTATTGAGGGCAAGATGTATGATTTTGCGTAGTACTGTACATTATGAAGACTAGACATTCCACAATTGTATTAGCATGTCTGTGAATCACTGAGCATGTATATGAATCACTTAGCGATGTAAAGCGATGTCAAATGCGGTACCACGCTTTAATATTTATTGAAGATGTTGGTTAAATTTCGTTAACTGAATTGCAAGAGCCGTTGAGAGAGGTAGTGCTGAGGTCCCTGTTAGCAGGTATTTGCGCCTTACATTGTGTCAGCTACTGCCCCCTAGCCGCCGCGCTACAGCCTCAACCGCGTCGGCGCGTTCCTAATCAATCAACCACCTAGTTCACCTTCACCCACTCGACTTATAAACAACGGCCTTTGTAGCACTTGTACAAAGGCTTTGTTTGTGGGACCAGTTCGATCTTACTCACTAATATCTAATATCATCCAGTCTGTAGATGATATCGTCTCAGTCAATTCAACGAACTCACATCTAAGCTCGATGCTTGAGCATTCACAGCAACCAAACATGTCCTCAAGGGATGACTCAAACATGATTAAACCTCCAAGCTTCTCACCTTGGAGTTCAGTCAATAAACCTCAGACTAACGGTCCAAACCCTGCGCGTGTTGTCAGCGACATTATAGAAAACGCAGCAGTCAAAGCTTCAGCAGCTGGGATTCTATCGAGTAACCCAAGAATCCAAGCCGCGCAGTCAGAGTGGGAACGTAAAAGTCAAGGTAAGTTACACATTCAACGGACAGATTCATCTGACATGAACCAGGACAACCTTCAATGCCTTCTTCTACAGGGCCACCTGGGGCATCTTCACTGATACCTCCTCAGCTAAAGAGGAACTCTCCAGCTTCAGATATGCCAGCTGCGAAGAGGCAGACCACTGAAAATATCAAAGATATTCAGACTAATTCTCGCGAAAGCGCTCATCGTTTTACAGAGGCGGAGGTGGCCAGGCAAATGGCTGAATTGACTGGTGCATCTATCAAAAAGAGTGCGATGTATCTTGCACCACAACACGCTGCGCCGATGCATTTCGCTACAGGGGCTGAATTGCTCAAAAAATACACCAGTCAAAGTTCACCATCACCAGCTCCAACACAAACACCAATACCTGTACCTGTACTTCCTGCATCTGCACCAGTGTCTACGCCAGTTCCTGCGCCGGGACCAGCTAAGTCGCCAGATGCTCCATCATCAGGTGATAGGATTGTCGCAATCCCTATGGCTGATGCCGATCGGTTGTACAGTTTGTATCCTCGTATGTGTTCTCTATCATTACAAGTGCCGTCTAATAAATCACAGTACCTGAAGGTGGAACAGTCTCAGCCCGGGGTGCAATAATTCCACCAAACTACAAACTCCACGATGATCCTGATCTTCAGTTTATCTGCCCTGTGCGAGACTGTCGCCGTTTGTTCAACGGACTCAAAGGCCTTGGTGGTCATTTTGGTGCTGGCCACTGCTTGACTACCTTTAACGACAATGGCGATGGCACGTTGACCAAAGTCGGTACCTACCAAAGGAATGGTCCTGGCGGTACACCTGGCATCGTTGTGTCCAGAAATCCCCTTCCTCCTGATGCACCACCCCCAGTGGATCCAGGATTGTCCACGTTTGCTTCAGCCCATCAAATCCGCATGTCTCGAGCTGTAGAAATGGTGAAGAAAACCACGCGTCTTCAAGGGTCTACGAGTCAATCTCCAACTCCTCCCGTGCTTTCAGATCCCACCATCAAATCTTATCTTCACCAGTATCTCAGCCCAGCTCAAAGGACACACCGCCGAGAGGATATCACATTTATGCTGGCGCTACCTCGCAAGCGCGATCTCCCTGAAAGCTGGAAGCAAATCCACCGTGGCGGCAATCTTGATGTTAACCACTATGCTTGTGCATTGGCATACCTCACTGGCAGAGTGGTCACTGGCAGTGAGCAGTGTATAGCCAACACAACACGACCATCCTCGCGACTCTCAGAGCATTGCATCGCCCTCCCGTCAAGTATGCCTTTATCGGCAAAGCAAGCGTTCTCTACTCTAGAGTCTTGTGTTGGATGCAGATACTGGTGTCACCATCAGCGACGCTCAAACGGTTGTGATTGGTGTCCTGAACCTAAGAGGGGGCGAGGAACCTCTGGCGGTTCGGCGAGGTCATCTTCATCCGAAGTCAGTCAGGGAACGGACATTGATATTGAGGATGTGGTCGAGGAACCAATGGAGCCCGTGGAGCCTGTTCAAGAACCTAAGCGAGCCAAGAGGCGTTCCTCCATCCAAAATACCCAAGTCACTATGCGAGAATACTCGATCGGCATTGCAGGTAGACCAAGCCAGGCGGGCGTTGAGCTTGAGATGGAGGATTGGGAGGTTGCTCCAGGAAGAATGAAGGATATTCTCTCAGAGAGTAAGTTTACACGTTCACACCCAAGGTCATCACTAACCCATCTAGACATTGCCTTTTCCAACTCGTATCTGACTAGTGGACAACCCGTCACCGTTTCCGAGGATATCAGTTTTAATGTCATCGTCCTTAAGCCGGGTAGTGCCAGCCATTGGAAGGTCGAGGATGATAAATTGCGAACATGCTCTGTCGCGGCAGGCAAGGTTCGAGTGACAATGGGGGAGCAGACGTTTCAGTTGGGTCCAAACGGCATGTTTGTTGTTCGACCGGGACAGGCTTGCAAGGTTGAGAATCGACTCTATCTGGACTCTGTGGTGCACTGCACTACTATTGGAGACTTTTCGCTGCAGTAATGGGCATATCGGGTTGGAAAAGATGCATTGCTGGGGTTATCGGTCAAGGAGTTTGGAGCACTTTTATTAGTCGGTATTTTATCATCGCTCGGGAAGTATCTACAGTGGGCGCATTAATTTCGATATATTCTGGTAATGGGGATGAAAGAAAAAGACTAAATAATATCTAAAATCCAAACCTCGCTCCCAAATCTTCAACCCTCAACTCAGAAGGTCTGGGGTGATCGCTTCGCCAACTCCCAACAGCCATGGCAACATACAACAGATTCCATCGCGGACCATCCGGAAAGCAAACAAATTCATCAATCATCATTTCAACCAAAGGCTTGAACTTCTTCAACACAGCTTCGGTCCCACGGCCCTCCACGAGAGCCTGTAGCTCATCAGCTTCGGATGGCTCGAGATATTTCCTCAAGTGGCTCTCAACCTCGACAGGAGTCTTCCACCATTCTGGGCCTTGACCTTTGTCCACAAGTTCTTGTTCCATTTTTTTGCGGAGGTTGGGGAGCACTGATTTCCACATCAGTTCACTCCCAGAGTGGGGCGAATCGATGAAGCCTTTATGCTTATACTCCAGCCGAGCCAATGCGAGAGATAGCATGAATCTTCGATCGTTGAGATGCTTGGAGTGGTTGAATAACCGGTCCATAGGGTTCAAGTCGGGCGGTCCAGGCTTTCCAAGCAGGTTGAGCTTGTACGTCTCCCATAGTGAAACTGTGTTTCGTGTACAGGCCCAGTATAAGGTCCCTGCAAAAGTGTAAAGACCATCGCCGAGATATTTGCCCGCATCTGAAGGAGCCTCAAAGATGCGAACCAAGCGATCTGTGTTGGTCCACACTTGCTGCTCCAAACTCAGTCTGGGTGTGGTGGCTTCTCCAAGTGCTTGTGTATGCAGGTGGATGTCAGAAGACAGTAACCTCGACATATACGAGAGCTTTTCAGTGGTGATTGGATCTACTGCAGATGAGCTGGAGGAAGTCGTCAAAGCAGTGCTCTCGCTACTATCGTCAGATCCAACTGTCTCTCTAGCCTCTGCGAGGGCATTTTCGAGTTCTTGGTCTTTACCGCCGCGCTTCTGGGCGACTTTTTCTATTCTCTTGAGAGCATTTCTCAATCTCTGATTCTCATCTTTAAGAGTGCTAAACTTTGAGGCATGGCGCTTGCGATATTCGCGCTGTGCGACTCTGCTGCGCTCTCGCTTTGGCTGTTTTTCCATGTTAGTTGATGATCAAGGTAGATGTTGCATGCTTGGTAATCATCCACGCTGGAGATAAAGTATCCACTTACGTCTTGGTTATCTCCATTACCAGGCGGTGACATTGAGAGAGTAGCAGGGCATTTACTGGTCGAGAGACCCAGGACCTCAGAGAAGAGTAATGGTGTAGGTTGTGATGATCAAGTTGCTTACTGAGAAGGATCAAGTAACGTTATGAGGCGTTATATGGTGGCTGGTGGGGTAAGCCGTCTAGGGTGAGGCGCTGCCTGTAGACCAAGTGATTACAATTGGTAACGCAACACAACGTTGGAACTCGCATGTATGGAACGATAGCGGTTGTAAATATCTTCAGGTCGATAAGATGGGAATTTATATAAGAGCGAGAATATCATAGGAAATGTGTGCAATATTACTCAACTCATTATCACAATACATCCCATATTGAACCCTTAAGCCAGCCCAAAATGCCTCCCGTCAACACCCTTCATAAAAAAAGCTACCCAGCTATCTCTCCTCTCCGTCCTGAACTATCGACCAAAGGAAAGAATGCTCTCGTCACAGGTGGTGGCTCTGGTATTGGCGTCAGCATTGCCAGGTCCTTTGCACAGTCTGGCATCACCAACTTGGCTCTCTTAGGTCGTACAGAAAAGACCCTTCTCGAAAACAAGACATACATCGAGAAGACCTACCCCGAGACCAAAGTCTGGACCTACGCAGTCAACATCGTTGATGCTGAATCGACTCGTTCAGTCCTCGAAGCGTATACCGCTGCCATCAACGGCAAGATTGATATTCTCATCGCCAATGCAGGATACATGCCCAAGACAGAACATATCGATGTAGCGGACGCTGAAGATTGGTGGCTCACTTTCGAAATCAACGTCAAGGGCAACTTCAACCTCCTTCGCGCTTTTCATCCTCTCGCTGCCCCTGAAGCGACCGTAATCCACATCTCGACCAGCGCCATGTACACCGAGTTTATGCATGGGTTCTCAGCCTACCGTGGATCAAAAATGGCTTCTTACAAGATGTATGAATGGTATGCTAAAGAAAACCCGGACAAAGTGGTAATTCAGTTCCATCCAGGACTGATCCTCGACACTGCCATCACTCGACCTATTGTGGATGTTATCAAGGAGTACAAGCTTATTCCGGAGGATGTTTCTCTTCCGAGCGACTTTTCTGTCTGGGCTGCTAGCGATGAGGCCAAGTTTTTGAACGGTCGTATGGTTGAGTGTATGTGGGATGTCAATGAGCTCAAGGCGGCCAAGGAGCAGCTCGAGGCCTCGTGGGAGAAATTCACTGTTGGGTTGGTGGTTTAAGAAGGCTGTATAGATGGCATCTCGTTGGAGAACACATATCTTCAAGAGCTCGAATCAGTAGGGGAAGTACCCGTATTGGTTCCAAACATATTCTAGGTAGCTATTATCATTGGTTTCTCGCACCCAAGTATAACTACCCTTGACTCAATCCAGGTAAATCTTGTGACAAAAGAAAGTTTCCATTCTTGCCATTCACTATGCTTGGATAAGTGAAATTCGTGTAGTTTGGGGCAGGGCCCTAGAGGGTTTTGATGCTTTTGAAACGACCATAGATCGGGGAGCGTAGTTGGTTGAAGGTAGTCGAGCAGTCTTGGGGGCATCCGCAACAAATGGCATAAGAACAAAAACCAACACTCTAGCTATGATAGGGGCCAGAGCAATGATTGGGAAGGGAGCCTCCGAGGGAATAGGAGCGAGAAGAGGTTGGCGAGCAACTCCTGGGGCAGGAGTTGTGACAGGAACAGGTCCAGTTGTAGGAACAGGTGCAATTTTAGGGACATTCGCAACTCGAGGACTCTTTGCGACAGAGGGAATGATAGCTAGGCTTGGGATCGATCGAATCTTGGGAGCATTTGCGGTTGAAAGTATAGATCGTACTTTGGGTGCACGAACCACTGATGGAGATGCTCGGATGAGAGGAATTTTGGCGAGAGAGGGAGTGGCTTTGGTCTTGGGGGCTTGGACAATATCTGGAATTCGTTCAATCTTAGGAGCCTCAAGAGTCTGCGAGACCTGTCGCGAACGAGGAGCTGGAACATCGGTCTTTGAAACTTGACGAGAGCGAGGAGTGACACCAACGCGAGAAACTTGTCGTGAGCGAGGTGACGGCATGACTAGAGGACTCTCAGGGATAGCAGCCAAGATCTGGGCTGGCGTCTCCGGACTTCCAGGTGTTTCCGGTATAACAGAGCCGCCTTTTACGGGGTCCCCTTCCGGATGGGAGGTCGCTGCGGGAGTAACGGGTCTCATGGGGGCGGCATCTGATCCTCGACGGAACGAAGCATTGGAGCCTCTGCGGCCTAGAGTTGGCGTAGTAGGACGGAAGCCAAGGGTGGGTGTTCTAGGCCTGTTACGGTTCGGAGTTCCTGGACGTTCGGGTTGTGACTTGCGGATGGGACTTGTTCGGCGTTCAGAAGACTTTGTACCCATTGCATAACGAGGAGTGCCTGGAGTGTCCATGTTGAGATATTGAAGAAGAGAGCTGATGATATTGGCGGAGTGGAGGGAACCTGACATTATATCCTCCCAGTTTCATGCACTCTTCCTTTGCTCTTTCCATTTGAAACGCGGAGGCTGACTGCATGAGACAACGGAAAACCCCGGAAGTATCAAGTCTTTGCTTTTTATCAACCTCTCCATCATTCGATAATCGAGGTCGGCTATGTTTTGACTGGGATCTCAATAAGATCATACTTGTCTCCATATCTCGTTTTAGCTCGATGATGTGCAGGTCTAGTGCAGACTGGGGTATCCTTGCTGAGGGATAATGGGACGATTATTGCCAAGCTGTATGCATCGAAATATACTGTAAATGATCCAATTACACCATATTACATATCCTACTTTGCCTTTCTCCAGCTCCCTTTAGCACCTAGAGTAGTCTTCTTGTTCTTCTCAGGCACTGAATACCCCCTGTCTCTCTCCAATCGATGTCTTTCCCAGAAATCACTCATCTCCTCTCTCAATATCCTTCCACCCCTGGCCTCTCTCTCCTCTCTCTGCCGCTCAACACGCTGAGGAAGCATACCCGCCACGGTCGCAACAGCAGGTCTACATAGGGTCCTCCAAACCCAAGACACTACAGCCTTTCCTAGGCGAGTGAGCCATTTGGCCAGACGTCTGGCGTTTGTGCTCCAGGCGGCCACCAAAGAAAAGACTACCAGTACAAAACTCGATGGGAGAGAGATGGCCCCGATAGTCTGCAGTGGGAGGTTGTTCTCGCCGCCCCATTCTCGTGTATTCATACCGAACAACCCAGTAAAAAAGGTCAGCGGTAGAAAAATAACGGTAAAGGTCGTGAAGATCATGACACTGCGGCTCTGCGCACTGGCAAGGTCGGCGTGAAGTCTACTCAGCCGTACCTCATCAACCTGCGCTTGACGTTGAACCATCTGAAGCAACTTGTCGTAGTCGTCCCTTGTACTTCGTACACGCTCAATCATCTCTTGACCCTGGTGTGCATACTCTGCCAATTTCTTGAGAGCTTCACTCAGAAAAGCCCTTCCATTTATCGTACGGTCACGCAATTCGGGACGTGTGTAAGTGGAAAGCATCGAGCTAACGACTTTGGACTGCCGTTCGAAAAGATGAATCAAAAGAAGAAGCTCATCCTCGATATCCCTAAGTTCGAGAAGTGCAGACGTGTTGTCGCGATTATCTTCCTCTGTGCGACGGCCCTCAGCTTTGTGTCGTGCCCTGATGGAGCGGGCCTTGTTCTCGACTGGTTCATAGGCGGATGCTTTATCGCGGAACCCTTCAGCGCGGAATGATTTGAGAGAAAATGTAAGTTTTTCGGTCTGCAAGGTCAGCATGGACTAGATCGAGCGGGTGATGACTTACAAGAACGCTAATGGCCTCTTCGAATATTCGAAATACTTCCAGATCTGGGTGCGAGGACCTATCGAGGAGTACAGTGACCGCATGCAAGACTGACAGCGCTGCAAGATCTAGAGCGTTTTCGCATTGTCGAGTGAGGTCAACATTAACCTCATTAAAGATACTGTCTCGAAGGTCTGCTTGCTGATATAGGGGTCCCTCTATGGCGTCGCCCTCGCGCTTGGGAAAGAACGAGAGAAGCGTGTCTGAATTGTTAGCTTGCATTTATGATATGGAGGGTCAACTTACGAGAGTCGATAGCCCACAACCACAATTGATCTACCATGAGCACATTGCCATTTAGAACAGCATCCTCTGGGTCACCCTCGTCGTCTCCGCTGTGACTACTCGCCTTGGACTTTCGACTTCCACTACCACTTCCACTCCCACTGCTTCCAGAGGTGCTGTTCGACATTTCCCCATGAAGTCCAGGACCTAATCCCGGAGTACAGGTACGCTCTTTGGTCAATTTATACAGCATTTGGTCATCATCGCGCGATCTCGTATCCCTCAACGAAGGGTAACCGTACTGATCTAACGTTCTTCGACAGTTCAGTGGAGGATCGTGTCCCAAAAACTCCCAGATGACCTGGGCTTCGAGTGAATCAGACTTGGCTACAGACTCAGGAACAGGCCGGGCTCTTCCGTGGTTCAAACGTTGTAGAATGAGTTCTCGGCGGCGGATGAGTCGCTTGTAAGAATCGAAGTGAAGATAGGGCAGAAAAATACATGTGTAAATCCCACTGTCGGGCTTGGGCGATATCGATGACTGCTTCGAAGTTCGACCTCGAGGAGACACTACATTGTTAGCCTGATTTGCAGGTAAGTAGGCAAGTGTTGGGCTTACTATGACGAGGAGCCGAAAAGTAGCATCCTGGTTTTGCAAAGTAGGCGTAATGCTGGGAGTGACGCCCGCGAGAATGCCTCGTCGCCCAAAAGTCGTTGTTGAACAGAGGCGAATAGTTGCGGTTATTCGAATTCTGCAGTGTCTCGAATATTTTCTACCCGAGTTAGTAGATGTTGGTAAAGCGAAAATGTTCTTACCGTCACCCAGCTTGGATTGTTATATGGTAAATGAACCCATATAAACTTCCTGGCTTCAATCTGAGGCTTCGCGAACGCAACTGGCACTTCATCCACTATCACCGTCTCGCTCGCTCTCCTCCCGCCATTATTAACGACCTTTCGAATTGCGATGATAGCTTCTGGCAGTCTCGGCGATGTTTCCATGTCGTCATCATCACTGAACCCCTCGATAGTGCTTCGGCTGCGGTGCGAAAACGGCGGGAAATCTCGATACTCGTATTGTGAAGCCTGGGTACCCAAACTTGCAGAGCGGCTTAGGGAGCGACCTATTCGTCCTCGTGGAGGTGGAGATAAGCGATCGACAGCTAGATCTTGGTCAAAATTTGCGCGGATCAATGGTGAAGGGCGACGCATTGGTGTTGAGTAGTGTGTTGGTGGTGATATCGCTACAGGTGATTGTGGCGTGAGGGGGGTTCTTGATACGACTTGGGGTGCCGATTCTGACCTTGTCTTTTCCGAGTCGATGGGTCGTATAACAGGCGATGTTGGAGATGCCTGGAATGATCCATCCTGGGAGATACCAAGAGGGTTATTGACTGTGTCAGCAACAGCTTTACTCTCAGTCGGCAACATTGCCGTTTTCCCTCTGGTCCTCAAGAATCGCCCCTCGTCGACTGCTTCAACTTCATTTAGCCTCTCAGCTAGACACTCTTCGGGGCCTTTCCTTAAGAAGTCGCGCAAAGGAAGCCTCGTAGACCAAGCTCTGATGTTGGCAACATCCATTGGTCCAGGAGGATCTTCAAAGAATCCGTGCACCTCGACATTGACCTTTTGTTCAAGGTTCAAAGACCAGTTTCCATCCTCGCTAGAGTATTCGTCTGCACGGTTGATAAGAGCAGATAGCTGTTTCAGAAAGAGACGCATCGTGTGTATGTTGTGCCTTCCAAAAGAAGCAATATTGGCATGGTCGCTCTGCAAAGGAAGGATCGTCTCTTGTCGCATACCCAGAATTGCAGACTTTATCGACGTAAGCGGTGCTGTGAAATAAACATCCCCTGAGTTGGCTGAGAGTCGAGAGTCAATAGTCTCATACAGAGTCCAGATGCGAAAATCGTGAGCTATAGACTTGAAGTCGTCGTCGAGTTGTAGAAGGAGAGTGTTTCCCATGCGTAGATCATCGGTTACTGATGTCGGTAGGGGAGCTGATAGTTGAAGCAGGGTTTGGATACCATTTGCCAAACTCGGCATTGCAAAGTAGCTTGATCCTTGATGAGGAGTGCCTATACTGTTAGCACAAGTCGAATCTGGGTGAGTGAACTTACCGAAAAATGCAGCGCCATAACACTGTCTGTAGATACCCTCAAACGAAGAGTTTCGGCTCGCCTTTGTCAACATCATCTTGACAATGATACCACCAATGCTATGTCCCACAAACACGACTGGTCTCGACTGGTTCTCCCGTTTCCGTAACTTGTCCAATTCATCTAGCAGCGCATCTGCCAAGGTACTCAATCTCACGCCCTCAACTGCAGACGGATGTCGATAAAGTAGAATTCTGGCTCGGTCAGCTTCACGTCGAATTCCTTGTCGAATCCACGATGGTGCTGGTCGATCGTTGCTTGGTCCCGTTGAACCTTCAGCGTCGCGCATAGATAAAGCTCCATAGTAACGACTCATGAGGCCATCGCGACTCCATGTTCGAATAGGATCAGCTCCAGGACACGGTACAGCTACAATATCGACCGTGGTTTGATCATGAGTGAATTCGCCATCCGGATCAATACTGAAGCTCCCTCTCTTGTGCTTCACCTCTTCTGTGTCTGTAATCGACTCTTCACTTATCTTCTTCTCAATCTCATTCTTCGTAGCATTTGTATCGAGTGGTATCTGGACTGGTGGATTTCCTATATTTGTATGAATAAACTCCTTGTTGAGTTCCGGCTCAGGTGAGTTCTCCGCAGCCATATCAGCTTCAGTGTAAGACGCTCTATAATTCTCCTGGCGCCTTTGCCTGGTCAGAACTGGACGTGAGGCTTGAGACATGGTAACATAGTTTATAGAGAAATAAAACTGTGAAACAAGTGCTTTTATTCTGTCTTGAGAGAAACTGCTGGCCAAGGCTACGTATTTCAGCATCACGCTCTTGGAGTCATACTCCATGTCAACCTCACAAGCCGCATTTCTGCCTTGATCAGCTCCTACTCGTGACAAAAGATCCATATTTAATACCGTAATTCCCGATTTCCATATATGTTGCTCATGTGCTAGTTTGTCGCTGTAGGCTGACTGGCTCTCGAGCGTGGAATATTATCTGAGACAAAGCTAATCAGATGACTACACCACATGAACCATCCCAATGACTGCCTGATCCAACCCCAAGTCCCGTGTATTATTTCCCTGCCGTTTGATATGATTCCGTGTAAAAGTTCCGATGGTCAGTTAACTGTTAGAGTCTCCTAAAATAGTAATGGTATGAAATGATATGAATAAAATCTCCAGTGGTTAGATAATAGACTGTTAGTAGATGCGAATTGACCAGGGACCCCTGAAAGACCCCTGTGGATATGCCCCACCGCTGCCCCAGCGACCGCCAGATCGTAGCTTACATCCAAACAAGCTCAACCTTGTAAATGTCATCTTCAACTTCACATCGTCAAGATGGTCGACAAAAGTGACCTCGGCATTCGTTTGGCCTCTGTCCTCCCCAAGAGCCACAGCTTCACAATTCTGCATATCTCGACACCCCCAACCAAGACCAATCCTCTGTATTCCCCTCCACCGAACGAACGCCCTGAACGAACATATTGCGAAAATCACTTCCTCGCTGTGTCGATTGATGCGCCAGATGCGCCAGGGAATCAGGTTGTGGTCTTAGGAATTGAGGCCCTTATCTATACGACAGCTCGATCATCGACACTCTTCGTTTCAAAAGCAGACTCGACCGGTTATCTCGCCCTCCTCAACCTCCCTAAAGGAACGCCGAGTCCTATCCGCGAAATATGTGCCACGTTCGTTGGATTCCTTGTTGAGAAAAGGAGAAGGAAAGGCATCCAATTCGTCATTAGTCTGTTTGCTCGCGCCCAGGATCAATATCTCTTCCCCGGAAGTGTCGACAACAAAGGAAAACATGTCCTCGATGATCGTGGCCTTATCAAATGGTGGTGCCGTGTATTAGATCCCCTTCTTGGCCCTGCGCCAATAGCTACAGAAGCTCCTTGGAAGAGTGCAAAAGGATACATTGTGGTCCCCGGATTGGAAAGAAACGAAACAAAAGCCCTTACACCAAGGAAGCCAGATTCCGCTTGGGAGTTTACACATCCGCTGGAACGCATATCACACTACTACCGCGAGTTCGATTGGGTACCACCACGATGTTTAATCCCCCACTTCCCCGACGACCCCAAATCCAGGTTCCGCGATGAATTGGATGAAGAAGCCGCCAAATCGCAAGGGATGAAGAAGCAGGGTAACTGGAAGAGTGTCAAGACCCTTGATATGTTCTGGGATATGATGGCCTACCGACAAGAATGCTCAAGTGGTCGCATGACAGGCTTCATCTGGCTTGTTTTTGACGATCAGGAGTCATCAGAAGCCAATGAATCGTTCCAATCAACGGTCCCTCCAGAAACTCCAGAAAAGCAACGCACGGTGCAGATAACACCAAGCACAACCCCTCGAAAACTATTCCCCTCTAAGAGCAAGTCAGAGTCAAAGAAGAAAAAGAAGGCGAAAAAGACTCTCAAGGGTCCTATCATAGCCCGCAAACCACATATCAAGCGGGTGAAGCACAACCGTGTCCTTGATCGTCCTGTCAACACGGCATACTACTCGTGGACACCCCAGGCACGTGGCGAAAAGGTTGTCGATGAAGCCACGTACAAACGCATCGTGGATTTGTTGCTGCACCTCGACTTTGCAACGCTCAGTAAAGCGGTGGGTAGTACACGTCGCTGGCTGAGTGAAGGCGGAGGAGGCAGCAAATGGGGTGTCGTTGTATCAGGCACGCGAGAAACACCAACACCTGCAGCTTCAAACGGCGACAATGGAGTAAACAATCTTTCTGGACTTGTCAAGAGAAAACGCAATGATTCAACGGTTGACGAGAACCAGAGCAAGGTTAATGTCCTCAGTGCTGGTCTGGTCAAGAAGAAGCCAAAGGAGGATCCCAAGGATAGCGTGAATGTGCTCTCCACAGGTCTCATTAGAAAGAAGCCCAAAGAGTGACGATTCAGTTATTGTATTGGTTAGGCGTTTAGTATGACGGATTGAGCCGGAGTTATGAGTATTGGCTATCAAAAGCTTGAATGTTACAACGTTAAGGTGTCTATTATACCATGCATTTCTCGGTCTTTCCATATCCTATGCAGCGTCTCACTCACTTCAGAAATTGCAGATTCACAGGTGTGATGGCCTCGCCGCCAGCCAGTACAGCCATGATGTTTCGCATGCTCAACTCTTCGAACCCCTTGTGCGTATCGACAGTCCCACCAGCGTTGTGGCAAGTCAACAGCACACGACCTTGTTTCGCAAGCTTCAAGAGTTCGGGGTTTATCTTTGGTTCATTTGTGTGAACATCAAGAGCTGCGCTGGACAAGGTACCTTCTCGTAACGCTACGGCCAAAGCCTCTTCGTCCACAAGACTACCTCGAGCAATGTTGACGAATCGTGCACCGTACTTGAACAGTGGCAATGTAGTTGCATTGATTATAGTCCCTTCGCCAGCAGGTGTGCACAGCACAACACAATCACACCGAGCAAGGAGACTCTCAAGCGTCTCATGGTGGGTGGCTCTTAGTGGAGCAACGACAGAAGAAGGCTTAGGAAGTATGTCATAGTAATGAATATTCATGCCGAAACCATGGTGGGCGCGTGTGGCGATTTGCTGGCCGATATTACCGAATCCAACGAGACCAAGGGCTCGATCGCGAAGGTTATACGACTGCATAGTAGCGTCGCGGTGGTTTGTGCTGAATGCATCTTCATTGCCGGACATTGCTGATGAAATACACCATGGCAGGACCCGAAAAGTAGAGATGATACCAGCCATGGCAAAGTCAGCTACGGCTTCAGCAGCTGCAAGACCAGAGTTGCAGTAGACAATCCCTTTGCAGTATTAGTGGACGTCGTTCATAGCACAGGTGACTCACCTCGTTCGCCCAACAGCTTCGTATCAGCCCAGTCGAAGCCAGCGCCGGCACTTGCAAACACCTTGACACTCTGAGGCAGAAGACTGATCAACTCATCATCCCATTTCCCCATTTCACCGCCAGTTCCCCAAAATGGACGAAAGATAGCATCAAAGTCGCCCCATCGTTTTTCCTTGAGACCCTTGATGAACTCTGTGCGCTGGCGCTCCTCGGTCGAAGGTCTCACAATCTCGCATTGAATACTAAAACGGAGATAAGTCTCAGGGTTGTATTTGATAGGATCTCCAATGTGAAGAACCCTGGGTTTTGAAGTAGGCATTGTCAGTTTTGCTGATAGAGACGATGCCGAATGTGAAAAGGGTAACTGAGGAGCAGGAGATGTAGCCCGCGGTGTAGAAGCTGGCACTGGTGTATTGGTTGGTTCCGCCATTTCGAGTGATTAGGTTTTATAGCAGTCTTGGTAAATAGAAAGTATGCCCTGGACTGCCAAATACAGACTGTCAGTTGACGCTGTTGTATGCCTGAACCTGAGTAGATCAATGGGTCGAAGTGAGTGGAGCGGTTGATACACTCAGCCGCATGTTTACCTCCGCTTGCCTTGTGTTTGGCTGCATAAAGGCCCCCACGGTAAGATTAAGACCGGACCCTGGCTGCCGGTCTGCAAGCTTATTGACGGATCCCTGCAGAATCACGGCAGCCGGTGCTTGTCCCGGTTGATATTGTTTCAATGCCGTTTATAGGCCAAAACGCGTTTAAGTCAGCGGCGGTAAGCATTAGAATATCGTGACATATGTAGGTATTCGCGTGGACATGATATACCTCCTGATGTCTGTATTATAGGTAGAAACTGACAAACCTGAGGATACTTTGCATGAGATGATACCAGGGTTGAAATTACTGGGTAACTCAGTTGTTCGGGACCCCAACACGTCGTTAATTTACGGTGGAAGCCGTGGGGAAAGCTTTATGCATTTTCGTGGGGTAACATTATGGTCCGGATCTTGCTCTACCATTCGCCATGGCTGATCGATGTGCATACAGTAACTTTGGGGAGACTTAATATCTCTTTTCAATCTCGTAGTCATCCGCTTAATCCTGAACCAGCAAGGGACTCTGTAAGTGACTACTGAGGTCTGCCTCTTTGACTGGGAACGTGAACCGTCCAATTTCCACCTCGGTAGGAATTCGTTTCTTCGCCAAGGCCTTCTGAATTAATTGAATAACCAGTTGGTCGTTACCTTGGATACTTAGGACTGAGATGCACACTGGCCTATACTCGGTCTTCCCGGAGATGGCAGATTTGTAGGGCACCTGAGTGACTTGCGAACTGTCAGTCTTCCGTCAAACAGTGAACTGTGGACTCACATGGAAATGACAAAACAGATCCCCCCAATACCGGTGCCAAAGTCGTATGATCAATGCCTTTGTATATGGCTGGTGGACTATCATGCTTGTCAGTCAGGTCTTAAGACAATTCGCAGGCTGCATACGCCACAGGCTCATTTCGATGCTCAACTTTAGGATTGCCACACGGCAGAATCACAATGGCGCTCTTGGCATTGGGGGTTGAACTGCCTAGGATGTTCTCATCGAACCATCTTCGGTATATCTCAATGCGACCTGTATCTTTGCGGTGTTCTTCTTCTGTAACAGTCTTGCATTGGTTCCTGGCTAAAGTCAGCAGAGCAAAACAGCCGGGTGGCCAGACAGACCAAAAGTATTGCGGCGTAGCCTCTGCAAACGGTTCATTGTGGAATCTCTTCCGGTATTCGTCTCTGAAGTCATCAAAAGCATGGTAGTAATCGTAACACCATGATCGGAAAGGCGCCTGATCTGTCAGCAAAGCCCTCCTTATTGACCTGGGACCTACCTGGCTCATATATGTCTGCATTGTCTCTTTCGATGCTTCAGCTGGATTCCGCTTCCAAGCCTTACCAACATCAATGCGATCAGCTTTGACATTAAGATGATCTTCCAAGATAGACACAAAATCATCAATGGCTTTTTCCTGTGTCTCGTCGGGTGTATTCAAATCAATCGGAACAACAATCTTCGTCAGAGAAACATTCTCTGGTAGCTCGCCTTTGGGACTTGCTGTTAAGTCTAACAGTCCTTTCAAAGTCCGACTAAACAACCTCGTCTTGTCGTATCTGAATTGTCAGTGTAGTTCGACGATAAGTGATACTACTTACTTGGATGTCGTAGTTACATGATCAGTTGATAGGTTTGCAGGTCGACTAAGAGAGTAGACCCCGTCCTCAGATACAACTCTGCCGTCTGGAGCGTGTCAGCCATAGCTCTTTTATATGATCTCGACTTACCATCAACTCCAATACTATGGTCTAGCCACGGATACCCAACTAATGCTGCAGCGGCGCCGACAGAACCACCCTTCATACTGTTATATCCATCACCTCTCGCACTCCAAGGGGCTTGCTGATCAATCCATTCTGCACCTGTACCAAACTGCGAGGTTTTAGTCTTTCCAATGATGACAGCACCTTGATCAAGTAGATTCTGGGCATATTTGGCGGTATTGCTCGAGGCTTCCTTGTAGAGGGATTTCCATGCGCGACTGGAAAAGGTAGTATGGGTGCCTTTCACAGATATTGTGTCACTTATAGAAACACGCATGCCAGAGAAGGGTTTCTTTGGAGAAGGCCGAGGATGGTAGAGCCGTGAAGGTACAGGGACTGTGACCGAGTCTCCCAGAACAGAAGACGAAGTAAGAGGTTGAAACCTGAACATGTTAGCGACGAATGGCATGCAAAGACAACATACTCATCCGGCTTGCCAAGATCATCAGGTACGATGCCGAACGTAAATGCTCCTAATTCGTCATCGTACAACCGCCAGGCCTGGTGAAGATTCGGACCGTAGAGAAAGTACGGACCGGACGGTAACTCGGAGAAGCCATCTAAAGCTTTGACCTGATCCATGTGATAGACTTGTCGTGCATTACCCCGGACCTGACTGCTGTTGTCTCCTGTCTTTTCCACCAGAATAGATCCAAAGTCGGGAACAAAAACATCATCGTAGGAGTCGAATAGATCAAGAATACCTTCCAGATCGCCAAACAGTTCCTCAGTGGTGAGTAGCGTGACTGGGATGAGAGCGTCCGGGTTGATGGTCTCTTGGATGGTCCCCTAGACGCGTTAGTCACTTGTGTAGGTTGAAACAGGCGATTTCATACTAATTTTAAAGGATGAATTAAATATTGAAGTCCTGCAACAAAGCAGGTCGTGATTGGAAGCATTGTTAACGTGTCTGTTGGTGAAGGTTGCCGAACGTTGGAAAGTGATGAATGCTATGTTGACTCTTGCGCGTCCATAGCTACCAAACTTCTCAGACACAGTCGTATTCAATAGGTTCTGATGATATCAGTGTATAGGAAAATGTGTGTGTTTTATTATCGATGTAGGTGATGTAGGTGTATGATGTAAGTTGAGACATCGGACGGTTGTGCTACAAGGGTAGTAACCAGCTGAGGCAGTCACGAGTTACAGCTACGAGTAATATTGAGATAACATTTGATCCGGTCAAAGTTTCAATAGTTAATTGGATTTAATGAACAGCGGCTCATACCAAGTAGTCTGAGTCTTTTTGGGTACCATACAAAGTCACAATCCTGGTTGTCTATCTCGGTGAGTTCGGTCAAGCTCGGTCAGCTTATCTTTGTGGGGTATCAAAAATTCCAACTCCCCCACCAAGCCGAAAGTTACAGATTCAACCACATTTCCAATTCAAACAAACCGTCAAAATGGCTAAAAAGAAGGGTATGTTCTCTTGAATCGCTCGCATTCCTAGGCTAACATGTTCAGCACCCTCAATCCGCTCCCGCGCCGCCCGCCGCACGACGGACATCGATATTGACACCGACAAGTCTCTAAAAGAGGTCAAGCCTCCTCCTCGCGATACTCCCCAGCGTCCCTCCGTTCTCGCAGCACAGCACTCCGCCGGTGTCACAAAGAAGACCAAGCGCGGTCGTAACCTGTCAACTAGGGCGCGCAAACGCCAAGAGAAGGGCCTCGAGATGGCCGAGGCTATCGCAGAGCGCACAAAAACCAAGGTTGAGAAGAGCAAGGGTCGTGGAAAGAATATTCAGCAGCGTAGCAAGACCTGGGACGATATCAACAAGGCTGCTGAGGAAGATGAGGAAGTGCAGGAGAGTGATGATGAGGAGGTGAAGAAGACCGAGCACAAGTGGGAGATGGACGAAGAGATGAACGGAGCCGATGAGACGCCTACAACGGATGTCAAGACTGCTCCTGATGCGGCGCCTCTACCTGCGGATGAGGATGGTGATGAGATCCTATAAAGAAGATTCTCGCAAGGGACAACCGGGTTGGGTTGGAGTTTGGTGTCTAAAATTGGTTTCTCGATGCACATCCCGGCAGAAGCCGGCATGAATGACTTTGTTTTATTTCGGCTTAAACTCATCTGGTAGATACCTAGATATAAGTGAATTTGATACCTTAAATAGTTGCATCCTTTGTAGCTGCCTCTGTCTCCTCTTGAGGGACCGTTTCCTGATCAACAGGTGCTTCTGCATCCTTTTGCGGTTCTTTCTTCTTGGAAATCCCTTCTAGGTGAATTCTCATGGTCCGTCCCACTTGGCCATCCTTCGGTTTATACTCTCTCGAGCCAAGATCCTCAACCAGCTTCTTCACCTTGGCGAATACTTCTTCCGCTGTGTCCTCTGAAGTCCTCTTCTTCTGTCCCTTCTTTTTGAAACCCAACACGATCTCAACCTTCATGCCCTTCTCGAGAAATGCGACCAGTTGTTTCGTCTTAATCTTCAGATCGTGATCGCTAATGGCCCAGCTCATCTCAAGTTCTTTTGTCTTCGATGAAGTCTGCTTGGATACACGACGACGTTCGTTGAGCTCACGCTGGCGTTCGTATTCTTCTCTCTTGTTGACAATCTTGCATACGGCATACTGCACTTCCTTGTTGTTCTTTGGGTCACCTCGTATGTAGGGCGTAACCATGCGGAGTGACTCTGTATCGGCGAGGCGGCTCAGAACGTTTCGGGTCAGGAGGGGTCCATCAAAAACGCCATTATCCAAAACCATGATCTTTGGGTCCTTGATCTCATGGTCTTTCGGAAGACGATCGCGGCCAGATTTTTCGAACTCCTCCTTGGTGGTGTAACGTCGATCGTAACTTCTGTCCTCGTTTTCGAAAGGCTCTGGCTCTTGATCTTGCTGTCGAGGGTTCTCCCGGCGGACCTTCAATTGAAACGGTGATGCAGAGAAGAAGCGATTCTGGTACAAGGGTAGTGTCCGTTGTGTGATCGGGAGGGATTGTCGTGTGAGAAGTGCTTCGCGCTCGACAAACACCCGGTAGAGGGCCCGGCGGGAGCTTTGAAGGCAAGCGAAGCTGCTCATCCTGAAGGTATCGCCTTGAAGTATGGAGAGTGTTTTTCCAGGACTACAAAAGCCCGTGAATCAGCAGCAATGGCTTCAATGTTGACTTGGTTAACTGACTGACCCATCGTCCAGAGGCGGTTGGTTTTGGCAGAAACGTCACTGTGGGTCTATACTGGGTAATGCCCAATCATACGCACTCGTAAATGGGATGGATTGTTTGAACGGCCTGACCTGAACAAGGAGTCTCGTGTGTTATGGCTTCATAGCTACTTTTCAACTTACACAGGCCGATTGGCCGTCAGGAACTTCGTCATGGCCTCGTTCCACTTTGCCCGTTATCCGGTGCGCACGACAGTATCTTTTATTAAAGCTGCTTGTCTGGTGCATCTCGGTCTTACATATGGCTACACAATCAGTCCAGCCCAAGGCCCTTCGATGCTCCCAACATTCACAGTTGATGGCGACTGGATCTTGTGTGATCATACGCGACGTTATGGTCGTGGTGTGTCTGTGGGTGATTTGGTCGTCTACCGTATCCCCATCTTCAACAGCCAGTGGGGAGTGAAGCGAGTGACAGGCATGCCAGGGGACTATGTCTCTGTTGGAACACCCGGGGAACCAGGGGAGGAATTGATGATTCAGGTATTTATTCCCGTCCTTACCAGTGACGATACTAACTTCTCAGATTCCTGAAGGACATTGTTGGATTGCAGGGGATAATCTCCCAGCATCAAGAGATTCGCGACATTTTGGCCCGTTACCACTGGCCCTCATCTCTGGCACTACTATTGCCAAAATCCTGCCCTGGAATGAGCGGCGATGGATGAAGAGTGGAATAGATAAGATCGAGGAGCTTGATTGATCACCCGCAAGTAGTCTCGCCTGTGTACAATACGCATATCTTATCTGGGTATAGAAACTGATCACCTCCTCGTCTAATTACATGTGCTCTCCCCAGATTCAACTACCACAGTAAGTGATTTGGCGGATGTCCGCAACATGAACTTCATCAAAACAAGAAAAGAATGCCATCCTTCTTTGCAGCGTCCCAGCATCTTCTCATACACCATCCGTAACACCGTTGTCGCAGTGAAAAATCAATTCTTAAAACAAGCCCTGTGATAAGGGGAATGCAAGCCGTAAAGAAACAAGCCGCCCCTGTAGAACCAAATATCAATCTTGGAAATGGTACATGACGCCCAACACCGGTCTCCCAACCATAACGCTTTCGCTTTTGAGATGATAAAAGAGCATTCGCACTTCAAGGTCGCACATGTACAAGTTTAACCCTCGATATGAGCCTTGGACATGCTCTGTCCCAACAGCTCCAGGCAACGCTGGGCTAGGTTGACGACCTCACCTTCATCCTCGTCCTCGAATTCATTGTCGGGCTCGATTTGTCGGTTTGCAATGCTTCGAATGTGTTCGATGATATCCTCAGCTTTACCGATGAGACCGATCAAAGTCTTATCCTCCGACTCAAACAGTTGAAGAAGGGTCCACACGGCAATGTGCTGGAATGTGGCATCACCAGACTGCAAGAATCTGCAAAGGTATCCGTGGATTCCGCCTTGAGGCTCAGTCCAGTTCTGTACGAAGATCGAGTAATCGCCCACTATTCTTGTTAGCTTACGTCCGGGAAACAATTCTGCCTGCTTACCTTTAGAAGAGAGGTTGCCCAAGGCAGCAGCACTGTTGCCTTGGACCTCGATGCTTGGCGAATGAGTAAGAGGAATGAGAACACCACAAACTCCCAGGTTCAAGAGATGAGACTTGAGATCGTCGCTAAGGGCCAGGACTGCAATAGCAGCAGTCATCTCGGACTGAACAGTGATGGGTACATCAAGAACCAATTGCTTGCACTTCTGCACGGCGCCAGCATCCAGGACAAGAGCCTTGTTGCGATCAGAACTGGCCGCTAGATTTCGGAGGGTAGAGATGGCGTGGCACTGAATCTCTTCGTTGTCGGTGGATCCAAGCAGGTCGACGAGTGGCTTAAGGAAGTTGGTTTCGATGATAGGTGACTCGTTGAGAGGGTGGATAGAGATGTTTCGTATACAGGCGACAGCAGAAAGAATAAGTGGTAGGTAAGAAGACTGGAGGAGTCTGAGAAGAGGAGGTAGACCATTGGCTCGAACAATATCAAGCTGATACTTTTCGTCCGAGGCGAGGTTGCGGAGAGCGAGGGCGGCCTGGCACTGGACCTTGGGTGATGTCGAGTCCATTAGGTTGACCAAAAATTGTACCAGCTTGGGTTCGCTTTGAGCCAGCTTTCGTCGGTTGCTTGCGTCGACTGCAATATTGCTTAGAGCTGTGGTACAGTAGTACTGAACGTCGACATCGGGTGAGGAAAGAAGTTGTACAAGCACAGGAATGGCTCCGGCGTTGACTAGCTGTTGTCGGTTCTCGTCTATTTCCATTAGCACTGGTACACATCTAGGCACACGGAACCTACCAGAATGTGTCATATTGAGCAGAGCGCCAGTAGCATTCCGTTGAACTCGCATATCACGAGATTTGGCTAGTCTTGTTAAAGGGCCTAGAGCTCCGGAGCGAGCAATCTTGGCCTTGTTCTCTTCGTGTGTGGCTAGGTTCGTGATACATCCTACAGCATTGCACTGAACCTCGACGTTGGGAGACATCATCTGTCGGATTAAAGGTGTCAAACCACCAAGTTGTACAATAAGAACCTTGTTCTCGGCTACGACATGTCAGTCATTGAATTACAAAGCTTGGGTAAACATACTGTCAACAGCCAGGTTTCCGAGTGCAGCACTGGCTGCCCGTTGAACCTCGATGTCAGGGCTCTGGAGGAGGAAGAGTATTGGCTCGAGGGTATCGCGGTCGACCTCTCGGACATCTACCGTAAAGTTAGTAAGTAACAGCGTAAACCACTTCTCAGCCGCTGTTACATACCTCGTTCGGTGATCTCAGCAAAAGTCAAACTAGCACTTCGTTGAAGATCAATGTTTTCCGAGAATACTAGAGTGCTCAAAGCACGCAGAGGTTCTCCAGAGAAGAAGTCGGTCTCGCCGCGCTGGTACCAGTCAGTAATGATTCCAGTGAGATGATAAACGACCATACGTTTTCGAGGTATTGAAGAAGGTCGGCTACAGCCTCTCGTTCGCTATCGGCAAGGACAGGTTCGTACAAGCCATCGCGGGCTCGCCCTAAGCATCACTGTCAGACCAAGATCCACGGTCACGGATGAAGTATGCATACCTCCGCAGCAGGTAGAGCTGCAGATACCCATGGCCAGAACAAAGAGTAAAGTTGATGAAGTCTATGTCGTTGGCCGACGGGGAGACGGTGTGGGAGTGGCTCGACACTCGAGGTGATAAAGAACGGTCAAGGCTTGATTGTTGACAAAGCTGTCGTCCGCTGGTTGGAGATAGCGTCACGGCAACAGGGATCCAGAGTTTCGGGTTATAATTATCGGTGGCTCGGTGACGGGTTGATGATGGAAAAACAAGAAGTCTCTAGCCGTGCGACAGATAAAAAGGCCAAACGATAGACAATCAACGCCAAGTGCTGGCACGACGATAGAGTCGGGATGGAGAATAGAATTAGGCGGATAGTAGAGGTGAGAGATGAATCCGAAGGGGAGTTGATCCTGGCGTCGTAGTTGGTTGTTGGCAAAGGAAAGAATGGGGATTGGACGCGTGCCAGCAACAAGTCAAGGTAGGCGCCGTAGCTCGGGTAAGACCTTCTAGGTACAGAGCTCCTACGGTAAAGGCCTAAGCTAGAGGCAAGAACGGATGAACTGACACGAGCTACTTCAAGGGAACATTAGCAGCCACTATTAATACGCGCTTGTGTAGGTAGCGGCAGGGGAATGTCGAGGTTTCCTGCAGTAGGTGACCTCAATTGAGGTCATTTGGTGAAGTGGTAGTATCCGCCAGGGACGCTTAGTGGGGACTTGCGCTGTTGTTCTGATCTTAGTGCACTACTGGTAGCTGTTTTATGGGTCATCTCATTATGCGAGCACTACTGTGGAGTTTCGAGGAGCATGGACCACCTCAGAACTGCCTGTTATCCATACATTTTTATCATTGCCAACGCCTCATTTTCGGGTTCTCGTTGACCAGGAATTAACTGATCCAAACTCAATTGCGGTGTGGGATTGAACAGCATAGTGGCATCTCAAATTCCGTGTGTTTATCTGGTGCTTATGATTAGGCTGGGTTGTGTGCGTGAGAGCGGCCCAACCACCTAATGCGATTTGCCTTCAGTACTTGTAAGGTATACACACAGCACAGTATCTCAACCCTGCAGCACTTACATGTGACAAAGCTATTCGTTTGAAGGGTCCATCCTTCGCAACTGCTTCGCGTTATTCGCCGGTGGTTGAGTGGTACAGATAGAAGTTCAAGCAATGTCGAGCGGTTTGTTTGCTCCACCTGATAATGCTCGCTGACGTCCTGTGCGTCTTGGATGGGTTGATTTCCGGCAGGAGTCCGAGTCTCATGCAAGATAAATTTCCGATACAGTTATTTGGGTAGTTGTCATATTGTTCCAGGCGAGGTTGATAGTACGAGACATCCAGCTTTGACTAACAGCTGTGCGTATCTGCATCTGCAGTACAGATCTACCCTGCACCACCACGTTGGAAATCAGCCATGGCGGCGGCGACAAGGGCCGAGAGCCAGGAAGCTATGTTGGGTTTTTAGAACTGATAGTTGTATGATAGGTAATATGTATGTTGCAGACCGGAGAAAATCCTAGACCCTGAAGATGGCTTCGGATGGTGTCTGGTCCGGACAGCAGAACCTGGTGAGCATATGGTGTCTAGGAATGAAGAAGTTGAGACATGCTCCTTGCTAACCTAGGCTATCATGTTCAACACTGGCTGGCCGTGGAAGAAACCCCATCCTGAGGTAAGCGTTGGATTGCAAGCCATCTCTCAGGTGTTGTAATGTCTCACCAGTCTGTCAACAGCATGCCGTATTCAACAGAAAGGTTGCGGGATTTTGTCTAAGCAAAGATGTGATATTCATCCATGACACTGTAATAGGCCTTCACATTGCAAAAGTGAGAGATAATTAATATCTCATCGTTCAAGAAGATCTGACCAATCCTGGGCCGTGGAGACATAACAATGTTGTACTGTAAACGGCCTGTTCACGCCAAGACGCGAAGCTCATTGTCGATCCGCCCATGACGTTCTCGCTTGCGCCCAGGGTCCCGTTAAGATCAATGTTGGCCATAAGGTTAAGAAGTAGTTATGGAGTAGCGTCTGCCATACAGTAACACTATTGCTGGACTTTCGTTGGGCGAACAGTCGTGCTGGTGGCTCTCTTATCAAGCAAGCTGGTAGGTAAACGACCGACCGATTGCCGGGTAAGGTGATGGACAATTTGCTCTCTTTTTCCTTTTGACATCACTTTCCATCAAGTTTTATCAAACGAACTTGCGCCTTTAATGATATGGAATTACTGGTAACCTTGTCGGATCATTTTCATTGACACTTGTTAGGCTTGTGGTCGCCTGTTTTTACATTTTCTTTTATCTGCACAATCATAGCTCACGCCTGATTCCCCTGCGAATCTGTGATGCGCCATAATTCACTACGCATTTGACCCTAGACAAACTCGCAATATTCGACTTATATTATTCCTCGATTTAATCAAAACGACCGGAAAATTTGCCCGCACGATTCCATCACGCAACGCATCGTGTTACACCAGAATATAGGGCTTAGTTGGAATGGAAGGAAATCCAGAAACCGAACCCGTGCGAGGGGATCAACCCCTCGAAGCGGAAGCACAGGCTCCTGCAAATATTGAACCTCAAGGACAGCAAAATCAATCAGAAGCGACGAATGAAGCTCCAGCCAAGGACACAGCCGAGGACACAGCCAATGCTAACGTCAAATCTTGGATCGAAGCCCAAAGCGAGACCCAACCTCAGCAGCCTCAGCCCGAACCTCCAACTGATGATGCATCTACAGAGGTCGACGATGCTGTAGGTGAATTGCCCCGCGTCGAAAATGAGGCCAGTACAGTGCTTGGCCTGACTGGCACAACAGCTGGAAGCGCTTCGACCACAACATCAGTTCCAGGTACAGACGTCCCGGCACAGGCGCCAGCAACAAGCGCCGAAGCTGGAGTTGGAATTGGAGTTGGAGCTGGCCCGGCTTTGATAACTCCACGCGGGCGGGCTGCATCAGCCTCCACTGGAAGCCCCTCCACCACAGCCCATGGCCATGTCCCTCAATTTGTCGCTCCGTCATCCTACCTCCGACGCAGGACTTCTATCCGGAGCCCAATGGCGCCCACCGAGCCAAAACCTCTCAGTCCTTTGGACAAAGATCAGTTGCAAGGTCTAGTATGTTTCCGTTTCTTTGCCTCCGCTTAGGAGTTGTCTGTCGCATCCATTTGCCCGTACCGCTTCCGACGTGGGGCACGCGCGCATTCAACGACGATATCGAGTTGCAGCTAATGTATTGCTTGACAGAATGCCATTCGCGATTTCCTCAAAGTTCGCACCAGCTACGATGTTCTACCTCTCTCGTTCCGACTCATCGTCCTCGATACCGACCTCCTCATCAAGAAGGCCATCAATATCCTAACCCAGAACTGTGCGTCACCCGATACCTCAGATTGACCACCATACTAACCTTTGCCCTAGCAATCGTGTCAGCTCCTCTTTGGAATTCAAAAACCTCCCGGTTTGGAGGTATTCTTACGAGCACAGACTTTATCAATGTGATTCAGTACTATTGGCAGTTTCCTGATGAGTTCAGCAAACTGGATCAATTCCGCCTGAGCAGTCTAAGAGGTAGGCAGGTTTCTTTGCGGCGCATGCATCGCTAACAACAACTAGATATCGAGAGAGCGATTGGCGCAATACCTATCGAGACGGTTTCGGTTCACCCTTCGAAGCCGCTATACGAGGCCTGCCGACGCATGCTCAAGACTCGCGCTCGAAGAATCCCACTTATCGACGTTGATAGTGAAACCAATAAGGAAATGGTTGTTTCCGTCATCACTCAATATCGTATCCTCAAGTTTATCGCCGTCAACAACGAACATAACACGGTACTGCTGAAGAAGACGGTTCGAGATATCGGTCTTGGTACATATACGGGCATAGCTACAGCATCGATGCACAGCGCCGTATTAGAAGTGGTTCATTTGATGGTTAAGCACAACATCAGCTGTGTTCCGATTATCGACTCACATGGTCGGGTGCTGAACGTATTCGAGGCGGTTGATGTTATTCCCTGTATCAGAGGAGGCGCGTATGAGGAACTGGACGGATCCGTCGGCGATGCCCTTTGCAGGCGATCCGATGAGAGCCCTGGCATTTACACATGCACCGAAGGCGATCGCCTGGATTCTATATTCGACACTGTCCGAAAGAGTAGGGTTCATCGTCTGATAGTGGTTGACGATGATAACAAGCTCAAGGGCATCATCTCTCTCTCAGACATCCTCAAATATGTCTTGCTGTATGGAGTGGAGGACACAAGCAACTGGGCTTGATAGAATGGATCCATGATCTAACATGATGAAGCTTATAATGATTGCATGCTGTCTACGATCAAGGGATCTCTTATAGGAGAGACAGGCGCCGAGGGAAGCAAGCATATAAACTGGCGTAAGGGAATTTCTATGGAAAGAATTAACACGCTCAATCTTTCACTTTAAGTTGATGATCCATGCATGCATGATGCAGCTTGTCTCGGAGGGTGACTTGTATAGATGTGTCACAGTCGTAGTAATGAAGGTGTTTCTCGGCTTCGGGAACCGAGTGGCTGTGAGTAACTGGGCGGATTGGCTAGGTCCTGTTCGACATGACATGGCAGATGACTGCCAAACTTGATGGTGTTGCTTGATGCACTCTGACGATACCAGCGGCGTATTCTATTTCAGTATTTGGGTATTCCATCGCACATCTCCAATTTGGCTGTTTTCTGTCAGCAACCACTCCGTTAGATCAACTATGATTGTACAATGTTCTGTGCTTCGTTACGCTGCCAATGACATAGAGCGTTTATATTGCCTGTATCTCCTTGCTTTTGTCTTGTCGTGGGCCTGATCAGTTATTTTTACTGCTGCTACTTGCCACCTGCCATCACTGCCATCCATAACTTCCACTCTTGTCATTATCAGCGCCTTCCATTTCTTCGACTTCATTTCGTCTTGTCAGGTCCTTCCGCCTATTCGCAATGAATTTCCCATTGTCAAGATACACCACTGTGACAAGTGAAGTCTGACATCACAATCCTCACAATTGCTTTCGCGATCTCTTGGTACGATATTACTCGACGGATGGGCACTTAAACCTCAGCATTAATCGCATCTACTATTTCGCAAGGACTTTTTGTCGATGGATCAGCATTATCACCCAGCACCTCTGGGTCATTACTCTGCACCAGAAAACCTTCATCAACATCGACTGCTACCGTCCAGGAGCAGCTTGTCGCTTCAGGCTACTATACGGCAGATAACAGACCAGGGGCCTGTGCATACCAGTAAAACATGGACGACAAGCAGCGGCGATCATAATATCTTGAACGACACAGACGAGTTGGAGGATAGGGCTGGCTTTGTTCAGGAATACAATCGTTTGGCAAAGAAGGTGAGGCTCATGTCGACGAGAATCTGCAATAGAACTAATGGCCCCAGAATGGAGTGCGCATCTTGGTGATTGACGATTTTGACTTTAGGCCTACTGTAAGTATCATCTGCTTCTGATCCACAGCTTCTGACAGAACTAGGGAAAAGGACTTGGTAGTCCTCGCAAGCAAGGATGGCTTTATCGGATCCTGCGGTCCTCTTCCAACCAAGCTACTTCAGACGAAAAACCTACCACTTATCAAGCACCTCGTCACAAGCGGAGCGTCTCGGACCTCGCCCACAGTTTGGTACATCATCGCCGAGAAACCCCCAAGGTACTCGACCTTCAGTCCATGATACGAATAAGCGGCAAGAGTGTTTTCTACCTCCCAGCAGAACATGCACCATCTGCTCTCATCCTCCCAACTTGTCTCCGAGCTACTGCGCACCACATCGCTCAGCATGTCACTACTCGAGGGATCTTCCGTATACCAGGATCCATCAGAGTAGTCAACATGCTCTTTGACTATTACTGCTGTACTGAACAAAGCAACGTCGACATCACAAATACTGTGCGATGCGCAAACCTACCGATGCACGTTCAGGCCTCTGTTCACGATGTTGCATCTACTTTCAAGCGACTCCTCTCGGTGATCCCTGGCGGAATCCTTGGTTCCCTATCACTCTTTGACGCATTTGTCGCAATCCATTCGCAACTTGAGGGCGATCCCGAGTTTCCTCGTACCAAGCACACCAAGGTACGAGCCCGACTCATTGCTCTGGCTATAGCGACTGTCGAGTCACAGTTTCGTCGGGAGCTTATATGCGCTGTCTTTGGACTCCTCAGCTTGATTGGGAGAGTGGCAGAGATCACTCCCCGAGAGGATGACGAGGGTCGATCGTTACCAACAGGAGATCTGATGGGTTACAATGCGCTGGGAATTGTATTTGGACCTCTACTTCTTGGTGACTTACTTGGACTCTACTCCATGAAGCTGGCAATGCCAAAGTCTGGACTGTTGGTGCTCCCATTGAGATCCCCAAGGTCGCGACAAGGTCGAAACGTGAGGAAGACACTGGGGAGCGAGCTTCCAAGTCCCCCGACAGTAGATAAAGTCCTCATTGCCAACAGTATCACAGAAATGCTCATTGTCAACTGGAGGGATGTGGTACGGCAAATGAAATCACTCGGCATGAATAGAAGGGCCGAGCCACGGTCAGTGAGTCCCCAGACAGATTCCCAGGATAGGGGATTTGTTGTCAAGAAGCCACAAGGCTGGGATCAAGAATGGCGCGCAAGTGAGAGGGATGAGATTAAAAGAGAAAACAGTCCCGAACCCTCCACGCCAACTCTGGGGATATCGAAACAACGACCACGAAGGCGTGGCAGCTCAACATCCAAGAAGCTTGCGATACAATCCAGCGTTGGATTATTGAGTCCTACCGTTGAAGAGAGTACCCCTGAGGAGGAGGATTCCCATGGTCATCAAAGGTCAATTCCTGACGGCGCGAGAAAGATGAGTGGTCAGATGCAAGAGTACAACGTGCTAGAGTCAAACATCAAGGAACGTTCAAAACATACTGTCGACTCGCCAAAGGCTGAACCACCAAATGACGAATCGATTGATTATGTCGCCCCAACACCAATTCCGTCTACAAAAGCCAGAGCCATTTACGGGGATAGCCCACGAGTCTCCGAGGATGATGTCCCGCCTCGTACTTCTTCGAAGCAAGGGACAATCACAGCCCCTTTGAATCGAGCTGGCGTTGACGAGCCGACAAATCAGGCGTCCAAAGTATTAACTTCAAAAGAAGTCACACCCATCGAACGCAAGGGTGCTATTAGAAAGAAACATCCAGGAAAGAATTTGCAAAGAACGCCTAGGCAATCCATCTCAGTAGAATGGTCGGAGCTTCCAAGTAGGTCATCAGGCATATCCGTGGATAAGTCGAAACCACAACCAATACACCTTGAGTTTTCTTCAGAGAAGGAAGCATTGGAAGCCGCACTGAAGGCACATTTTGAAGAACTGAAAGAACTAGAGTACTCAAACCAACACAAGGCGCTACTCCCTGACACCAATATCAAGGAAGAGTTAAGAACATCAACTCTTGCTGACCCAATAGAGATACCACAGCAGCCCGTCAAAAAGACAGATATAGAGAAAGAAAACACGGAGAACGAGAGCGGCACCAAAACAACAACAACCCAGCAGATGTTGGCACCTAACTCTGCATCCTCAACACCAAGACAATTCTATGCACCAATGCAGGTGCCGCAGACCATCGGAGATAACACTTCAATGGAACTTCACTCCCCTAAAAGCCATACAGAGACATAGCGAGTCTCTTCTGGAACAATGGGAGAGTTACCCAGTACTAAAGAACCAAACAGTATTGGTCGAGGCCAGGACAAGCAAAGATTCCTTGACGACAGTCGTGTTTGGCAGCACGGCAACGAAATGTCCGATAAATTACACTCTAGCCGAGTTATGTCCTTGCCTACTGAAACACCAAAGACCGACCATAGACTACATACAGCATCCGCTCCATGGTTCTCTATCCCGAGGAGGAAACCAAAGACGTTAACACGGCCAAGTTTATCAGGCAATGATCAAGGGGGGGTCAAGGCTATGGCGGCAAAGTTTGAAATCAGCAATCACCCAACTGAGATATCTCCAACACAACCCAGAAGTGCAAGCAAGACTCAGAATCTTATATCGCACTTCTCGCAGGGGTCACCCACGAAAAGCGTATGCTCTGCGAGATCCGTCTCATCTTTAGGGCAAATCAGAAGAAACGGATCCATATCGAGCCAAAATCCGTTGCACTCCCGTAATGCGTCCGCAGGGGTAAATGTCATGAACGACGAAGCTCATGTGCGGGACCTACGAGTTTCTATCGGAGAGGAGGCAGCGATGAGGGCGGCCGAACTTCAGCAGATGGAAAAAGGGCAGAAACAGGCACCCTCTTACGATCAAGGAGAAATGTTAGCACAACGGCAGATAGTTCCATCACGAAAGCCTATTCCAGGAGGAAAGGTACAAGAGGCATCATTGGAGAATCCTCGCAGTTTGGGGACGATGATGCCATATCCTGAGCAACCGCCTATCGCCCAACACCTCAATTTGATAAGACCATCATCCTCTACATCTAATGTACAATACGGAATCGACTCTTTGCAGATTCGTCATGGCACCGGGACTCCTTTATCACGCCCTGGCAGTACGACCACTCTCCATACACAGATTCGGAATCTACAACGACAACTGGATCTCAAGACGGAGGAAGCAGTGCAGTTGAAGAGACAGCTTGAGGTACAAGAAGATGCAGATGTGGGCACACTGAGCCAGCAGCTACGAGAAGCCAAACGGGAGGCACATATGTGGAGAGAAAGAGCCGAGAGTGCAGAACGAAGGATCAAGGTGTTTGAACGATTCACATCGAGACTCAACGGAATACGGGAGGCATCGGTACTTTCTCAAGAAGCTGTTGACGCGGGCGACAAACTCACCGGTCCAGAATATTTCGTTGGAGATGCAGAGAAGAGAGGGCAAAAGAATGCATTCTTAGATGATGTCGTAGGATATGAAAGTGATAGCTCAGGGAGAACAGAAGATGCTGGACTTATCACAGCTCGGATACGCAAATGCCTTCATGGCTTAACAGATGGCCCCTCAGACAAACCTCTCTTTGGAATCGACCAGAACCGAGACATTATCTTGAGCGAAGAACCAGAGTCGGACATAAACCCAGGTGCAGTCGAAACTTGGATGGCAACACAGGAGTTCCTTCAGGGCGAAGCTCAGGGGCATAGGCAGCTGAGTTGAATCGGACATTCGATTGACAGGCCATGCGGCAAATGACAAGTGTCCAGGCGCTTGTGAAATTGAGGTTGTGCGGGAAGGGTCCAGGCTCAGTTCTTGGGGACGAGACCCTGGTGGCAAAGTGCGGTGGTGTACCTTTTGATTATCAAGTCTAGAACATCATCTCGATAAGTGGCAAGGGTGTCTGTATATCAGAATATCAATGGACATTGTCCAAACAGTCATTGAGTGAAATGTTTATCTTTCAATTGTGAACGTCACGCTACATGACAAATACCTATGGTGGATTTATGTCCTTGGCTAAGAGCCAGTGACCGGCATATCGATCCCTCAGGGAATGTTCGATAACCAAATCTGCAGATCAGGTTGCAGATCAGGTTATGGGAATATGATGTCCCGAACCTGTTTCTGCATGCAAATTTTCTAGAAGCACTGTGCTTGACATGTGGTTTTCGAAACCTGTTGGCTAGTTTGCGCTGGACCCTTAATTCATTCGAAATGTGATTGGTTTTGAGTGGCGACCCTGTTTTAGTCCCAACTTTGTTCCTGGAACTGAGTGGACAGGCCTCCTGACATCAGAAGCTCGAATGCCAATATGGACGGCAGGATGCTTGCTAACAGCACATACTCTCAGTGTATGAATATAGCGTTGACTGAGTGAAAATATGCTATGGTCTCTCATCAGATGCTCGCTGGATTCGCCACCTGCCTGCATTGTCGCGGCCCATTGACACGTGAATGCGCCCGATTCCATCGAGAACAGCATCAAAAAGCGCAGAGTCTGAAGAGTCGTCTGGCTCGTAGGTGGTAGTGGTCGCGGCGCCGGTGTTGAAGGTGGGGAAGCGGCTGCCTGACAGCTCGGAGTGGCGTTGGGAGGTTGTCGAAAATGCGGGGGACATTGACGGTCCGTGTGAGAGATGGAATTGGTCCTCCCAGGGCTGTGTTATCGGCGGAGACGGGAGTAGACTTGGAGAAGACATTGGTGGCGGAGAATAAGTAAGGGGCGTGTAGGGCTGAGCTGAGGGTATGTATGACTGTTGGGTGCTTTGTTCGTCATAGGTATCCTGCGAGTTTGAATATTCGTGATTGGTTCGCGAGTTGACGGAGGAGTGCCGTGGACTTTCTGTCGAATAAGACCGATAAACTACCTCTGCTGGGGGTGATGGGAGGAGTGTCCCCAAGGAAGGGGTTGGGGTAGGTGATATATGAGACGGGTAAGATGAGTTGGAGGTTAGAGGCTCAAGGTCACGGCCAAGAATCATGTCGGAGCTAGATGTTGTGAATGACATTGCGGTATTAGGCCTACCTTGGCCATAGTTTGATGATGTATTTCGCTGCAATCTTTGTGCAGCTGCCTGAGTGTTGTGTAAGGGTTTTGAAGATCTGACAGTCTCGGTTGAAGTCGAATCAGGGGTTGCTATGTTTGATTTCCCGTATTGGTCGTTGTTAGAAGTTTGTTGTCGAATAGGGGAAGTGAAGGTGCCAGGTTCAGTTGGCAAAGTCCAGACCATGGCCACACGCGGAGCGTACGCCCGTGAGGACTGGTGAGGGCCATGATCTGGTTGGGCAAGTCAATTGCCTGCAAAAATGGACTGATGCTTGTGTGTGGCTTGCACAACTGAGCTGTACAAGGTGAAATCTAGAAATGTTAGTTACGGATGCTCCCGAGTTGGTTTTGGCAGTTGAAACGTTTGAAGGGTCCAAGCTCGGTGATCGTATAATTTTGGTGGTGTTGAATGCAACAAAACGTGCAATAATGACGACAGAAAGACGATTGATACTTACCCACTCCAGCTCCCAAATCCCGGGATGTCAAAACTTTGATCGACAGGTCCGGATTGACTTTGCCAATGACCTGAACTGCGTTGCCATTCGAGAGGTGGGCATCCTGAATGATCAATCATGAGCGCAATGTTCCAGTAAAAAGACACCAGTCTGAATGACTTACTCTGTTCAGCAGAACAGTGACAGTACCCTCCGAGTCAAGGGTTGCTTGATCGCCTCGGAGCTGCGTAACCTTTCCAACGAGCATAACGACTCGGCCAACGAAATTGTCGAGATAGGCCGCAGTAATCCGCGGGGTTGCGAGTTGTTCAGCCATTGTTGCGTTTGGTTTTCGCTTATGACTGAGTGAGAGTGACGTGGAAGTGAAAATTGTTACGGAATCAACCTGTAAGAGCGTTTTAGATAATTTGCTGGCCAGCAAGAGAGATTGAGTTGTGGAGTGAAGTTGTAGTCGATCAAACGCACATGAAGCTGCTGGCGATAATGCCGTCAGGAGGGGAAGCGCGTTGGAGCCTGACGCGCAATCACGTGCAGGCTATCTCCACCTTCACCTACCTATCACCTCCAGGTTGTCTCCCAAGTCATTCTCAGTAGACGTTACAACTTCTCTGTCCATTAGAAGCTGCATTGTGCAAGACATCATTGCCAGCCCGCACCTGTCAAGTCTGTTAAGGATGCTTACCTTTTTGAAATGAACTGGAACGGAATACAGCGTATGAAAATACATCCAATCTTCAGGGTACCACCCTTGCGGACAAACGCCCGACTCCTCCGAATCAGCCAGCTGGCTAACTACTAAGGTATAGGTAGCTAGGTCTCTCTCATTCCCACGATAAACCCGCTAGCCAAGCCAGCCACCAGCCGCATGCCGGTGCTCAAAAACCAAGTTTCCCTGTTTTACAAAGACATTTTTCATCCTCAAAGACCCATAACTTTATTGCTATCAAAAGCCCCACTCTGGGAATCTACAATCAACCAACCGCGTGTCCTTCTCAGCCGGCGTCGGGACAAAAGCTCCGAGCACAGTGAAATAGCATCGTGGTTCAAAAATATCTTAGGAAAAGCTAGCTTTCAGCAAGCAAAGATGGCACGCAGGCAAAGTACAGTGATCGAATGGAAATCTGCTCCGGATTTCATATACATACGATATCAGATCTCAAGCCACGAGCAGTACCTTACCACGCTTAGGGGTTTAGCGTCACTGAAGCACAACAACGTTAACAACATTGCACTGCGTATCGCTTAAGAATCATCGGGTTACGGAGGACGCACAACTGGGTCAATCATTACTCAAATTGGCATATGAAATCCTGATCGGATATGTCGATCATTTGAGATTTCACGTACAGTACTGCGTGCAGACTGCGTATTTCCTTCATGCAGCGGGTAGAGATTGAGTCAACCCATCTGATACCAAGCGATTTGCCGGCATGGGTTGAACTAGACCATCACTGGAAGGACCCTGTGTGCATCGGCAGCGATTAAGCCCCTCATCTCGTTGTTTTGAAAACGACCTGTCAGCAATCTGCAACCCGGAGTTGGCATTCACAAAATTCGTCATGATCATCTTGAAAGATACTGGAACCAAGGTAAGAAACTTTCAACTCGACCATGCCCACTTGAATGCCCACACTGCAATGGCATATTATGGAAATGAATGGGTGCCGCAGTCAACTCCCCCGTTTCGTTCGCTTCGCTTCGCATTCAGGGTCCTAAGAATATCATACTTGCGTATCCGTACAGTCCCGCTTACACTGTCCAGCCAAGGACGAGTTGCTCGGCCCTTGGGGGATATCCACTATTTGATTGGCCAGAGAATCCCACGGAGACCAAGTCCGTTGGTCTATGATTGGCAGGGTGAAGCCAGACGCCTCTTTCCACTCAAGTAGCATCGCAAGGGGCCACTTGAAAGAGTTGCAACAGTTTGACGAGTTTTAATTGGAGGGAGCCAAGGACTAAGAGTCAATTCAGTCGAAGCACCTTGCTGCCATCTGAGACAGGGTTCCTCGCTCGTCAATGTCCAGCCAGACTACCATGTTAGGCTCAATGTGTTGAAACGGGATGACACCGTTCATCACTGGAAGCTTTGGCTACTGTATTTCCATATTGAGCCGTTACAGGCACTGTTTACTCAGATTCGATTCGCTGGATGGATGTAGGATCCGGCAAAGCGGGTCCTGGTGACCATTCCGGATCACTTATAACATCAACGGCTCGGGAAACTCACAGTCGTAGCCTAGTTACAATCCCCAAAGACCCTTCTGCACCCTTGTTTCCACACTGACCTTTCCAAAATTGACACTCAGATGGCGAATCAAAACTGTCGGACTGAAACCGGCCGCCACAAAGTTGTCGGACGGTCAAGTCGTTGCACATTTCCCCCTATCCTCACACAATCGTCACCCTACATCTACTCCCCAGACCCCAGCTGTTGGATAAGTAGTCTTGGTAGTGTAGCAAGCCAGTAATTCGATCCACTGATCTGGATATTGTGGAATAAGTGACGCAAGGCATTACTGACGGTGGTTGCATGGGTTGTTGGCATGATATAACAACCAAATATCCGAATCCCTTCACCAACCCTCGCAAAATTTCGTAGCCATTGGACCACTACAAGCAACGTGCTGACTTAATTGTTCTCAACCTCGGTTTCCCAACAGTTCAATTCTTACAAATACACTTGACTGGACTTGACCTAAACGGTCAACTCGCCCCTGGGTCTAGAATAGCCTTATAGGCATCGCCGAACGAATCATTGCATTGACAGCTCGCGGAGACAGCTCGTGGAAACAGAACACGGCACCAAAGAAAAGCACAGGCAATTTGCCCCCCAGCATCCAGACCTCACTACCCTGTTACGGGATTAACCAAGTACTTGAGCTGAGCCGTTTTGCATATGGGATTTCGGTCTTGATATCCTTTTGTTCTATTATCGACCCGAGTGAAAATCCATGACCACGACCAAGTCGGCTCAGTCCAGTTACAGTTACAGTTGCAGCTACAGCTACAGCTACTAGCACTATCAACGCACTGCGCTGCACAACCGGATTGGTTTCTCCGCCAAGCTCAAGCTGGCACCTGCCCTGGTTAATTTGGTCCAGCCTGTCTTCCACCTTTTTAGCAGAGCTACACCTTCTTGACCTTCAAGTCCTTCCCTTTTCATTTCTATCTTTTGCCTTGGACATTGATTTTCTGAGTAAACTCCTACTCAATCCATCCCCCAATTCTCTTCCCTACCCTGCCTCAGGGGCTCCTCTACTTTACTTGCCGCTATTGGTCTTTCGACGTTCTGGACTTGGGCTCTTGGGCTCCATCCTTTAACCAACCCGGCTAAGCACCCCTCCCTGTGCCCGCTTCAGACCTCCGATCTCTAGAGTTGCAGGTACGATTCGCATCGACTTGGTTGAACACGATTTCATTTCTGAAGCGACTCGATAGTTTGTGGTGCTGTGAACGAATAGCGATAGGCTTGTTCCAGCTTTCATAGCTGGCCTCACAGGCCACCACAGGCCTTAAGCTCCAAGCTTCGAGCTTTGACAATTATTGCAGAATCGGAATGGACGGACCAAACCAGCATTATGGCAACCAAGCCCAAGACTTCCCTGACAACTACAACTTGACTGGAGCCAATGATACTGACATTGACCCATTGCTCAACATGAGCTCGACGGGTGGCCCTGTGCCTTCAATTGTCAGCAATGCAATGGATACACAATTCCTAGTGAGCTCTGCCATGTGGAACCCAGCCTTGAACAACCCTATCAACTTCTACCCTTCAAGCATTTCAAGTCTGGCACCCAAAGCCTTGACCAACAGCCCCAGGCCTCCCACCGAGACACGATCGTCCCCTAGGACGCCATCTAGTGAACCGGTGTTTGGATCAACACGCACCTCGAGCAAATCTTCTATCCCTTCTGTCGACTCTCAGGACCCTGATGCCAAACCTCGGCGTAGCAGTAGAGGTGCCAAGACACAACGCCAACCAGCAACAGTCGAGCCTGTCGCCAAGCCACCGCGTCGACGGCGTGTTTCCAAAGAGCCATCCCTCAAGGAGGAAGATGAAGAAGAAGACGACGATGATCCCGGACCGGAGGGTTCCGATAAGCGTAACAGGTTCCTCAAACGAAACAGGATCGCTGCGTCCAAGTGTCGCCAAAAGAAGAAGGAATGGGTCAGCAACCTCGAAGACACACGTTACAACTTGGAACATGAAAACAATACCCTGCACAAGCAGTACAATGGTCTTGTGGACGAGTTGAGCACCATAAAGAACCAACTCATGGAGCACGCTTCTTGCAATGATGCCAACATTAATCAGTGGCTTGATAATGAGGCCAAAAGATTTGTCCAGCGTATTGCGGCACAGAACACAATACAAGCTCCAGGGCAACCGTATAGAAATACAGGCGACTTCTGCGATAACCTCCGTCGCAGCTCCAGTGGTAAGTCTCTCTGACTCCTGTCGGGATCAAGGTACCATGGCTAACCGTTATCAAGTTGCCACTTCCGTACCACAATCGATAGAATCGGAGATGAATTACAATCATATATCGGGTAGCACCATTAAGCCACGACCACGAGGATGATAACGACTAAGGATGGAGAGAAGGAGTGCCGATGACAAGAAGGGTTTCTCAATGAAAGGGTCGCAGTAAAGGAAGGCAAGCCAACTTTGACGGCACTCCACAACATCACATCACAGCCTTGCTGTGCGAGTTTGATTTTCGTCCATGTTTGGCATGGCGGAACGGCACTTTGCCTGCTCTTGATTTGAGCCTTACAAACGACCTTTCAAGCGGAACAGCCGTGATAGCGAAACGCAATGGCCCAGACAGAAAGTGTTTGTGTTATAGCATCTGGCTACCGGCCCCAACATCATGCTTAGCTGATTCTCGACCACGAGCAGGTGTTTTGACATGTCTAGCAACAGTATTGGAATTCGTTTTTAATCAGGAGTAAGGAGGATTTGGGAAAGGGGATATTTCATGATTTGATGCATCACGATCATGAGTTGATTTGTGCTGGATCACCCAGCTGAGATGTACGATTCACCATTATGGGTGGCGACTAGCTAGTACTGAGTACTCAGCTGAGTATAAAATTTGGTCCTTGACCATTCTCTTGGTAAAACAGTCGAGGGAGAGATGAAAGTGCAGGGAAGCGTGCAATAATAGCCCTATCTATCCCCTGACATAGGACAGGGCGAATTGAAGATGTACGACAAATGGACAAAAGATGAAGTGTAATACAAAAGAAACGTTCCATACTCTGAACAAGGCGAAAGCCGGCCATTGTCTTTGACCAAGATTCTTCAAGATCGACACCATGATGAGTGTAAAGCCTGAGGTCGATAGTAGTGCTTGTCTTCAAAGCGTCGCAATGACCATGGTTTGCTGTGGAAAATCTGTGAGGTCAACCTCGAGTTGAGGATTTGGCGTCGAGTCGCAATGGCGAAGTTGAGAATTCTGGGTTCTTAATTGGAGTAAGGTGGCAATCTATATTTGCCACCATTTAGTCGAAAACCCCCTTTTCCAGTTAAGGCGAAAAGGGAGATCGATCAACAAAGTTCGTTCCCGTATTTCGTGCCAATTAGATAAAGTTGCTGTGTAGTCGTTCATGTATCGTCGCTCGGAAGCATCCGAATATGCATTGAGCGTTGTGATTGGTGGTACGTGAAACAGCATGAGACTGTGACTCGCGGGGAAATAAGTGCGGTTGAACTTTAGTAGCGGGAATAAGTCAGTTGCCAAGTACTACGTTCGTATTACAGAAAAACACAACTATAATGTTCACTCATGTCAGGCGAGTTGTTGCAGATAATTTATTTGTCTTGGTACTCCTACATTGAGGCCCTCCTTTTCTAAATGTACAATAATATGATACACGCTCATCCGCCGCCACTTCTTTACCTCTTCTTGATCCATCCCCTCGAGTTGGAGATGCCCTTGATGTTCTTGGTATACTTCCAAAGGTGACGGTACTTGGGTCCTTGTCGCTTGGCTTCCCATCCACGGGGCTTGACTGGTGGCTTGAGACTGTGGACGCGAGTTGGACGGAACTCAATATCGGAACCGGGGATGTTGTGTCGCGCCATGACGGCTGCGGTGTTTTCGTCCCATACGCTTCGGAACATGTTAAAACCGAAAGGTGTGGCACGGAACTTGTCGCGGAATGACTTGAGTGAGAAACCCTCTCGCTCGCTGTAGAGTTCCTTAAGTTTGGCGACATCGAGCTTCACACCGGACTCCTGCTCAAGGAGATAGATACCGAGACGGTGGTAAGGTGCACCCTTTTGCGAGAATGCGGGTAGCCATGGTACAGCGAGTTGGTCCTTTGCCGTTATCTTACTCAATGGTAGTGAAGTGTCTGTAGGGCTGATGGGGATGTTGGCTGCGAGGAAGTGGCATCGCTTGCCGAAGGTGTCGGAGTCAGGGTTGGGCACATCAGAGTCGAGGACGACAACTGAGACGAGACGCTCGCCCTGGTCAAAGACCTGCACACGCAGACGAGGAGTGTTTTCGCTGACGAGACTGTCGACAATTTGGCCGGGAGGAATCTTGAGCTTGCGGAAGTATAGCTGGACATCGGCGGTGGGCTCGAGCTTGGGAAGCACATCGGGGACGATATTGAACTGCTTGATACGTTGTGTGATCAGACGTTGGTCGTATGAGCGCCACTTGGCCTCGGCGTAGTGACGGTAGATGGGCTTGTTCATATCGCCTGGATATTGTGTTAGTTACCACTCAGACCTTGAACCAACATGACGTACCCGTTCCATCCTCAAAACGCTTCTTAACGACGGGATCATTCGCATCCGCATAGATCTTGAGCTGTTCGACATGCTTCCGCAGACTCTTCAGTTTAACATCCTTCATTTTCTGACCACCATTGAGATCCTCTGGTTTTGTAGCCTCCAACCGGGAGATCTTCTCAAGTTCCTTGGTAATATGTCCCAGCTTCTCCTCACGATCCGTCGCCAGGATCTTACGGGCCTCTTGGAAAGCCTGGTAGGGAAGATGCTCAAATGGGAGATCGCCTGTGCTGCGGATGGCCAGACGACGACGTCGGGAACCAATTGGCATTTTTCCAGATTTCATCAACTGTTCCTCGAATTCGGGCAGCACCGTGTTGGGGTCGAGGTCTGCATCGCTCGGCGTGGAGGTCTGAGTATCGGCTTGTGTTCGAAGGATGGCGGACGAGGTGAAAGGGCGGACAACGCTGTGGCATTGTGGCCGCAGCTGCCGAGTAAGCGGCCTTATGACGGCCTGGCAGCGCGACATGATGTGCAGCGGAGCGTAGGAGCCGTGGGGACGGAGTAGACGGGAGTGACGCTGGTGATAGATCTTGAGATATCTTGAAAAAAGCTCTGGGGATGGTTTGCAGGCGGTTGCCCCACTAAAATTTCGGGGCGGAGGACGGATGTTGCCGATCCACTTTTTTACAGTATCGCATCACGGTTTTTGAAGCCTCAACACCAGCTCAACTGCAATTGCGTCTCGCTATCCACATCCAGAAATTCACTGTCGACGAGGGCCTCAGGGATATCTGGTATAATGGCTGGTAAAGGAATCGGCTGTTTGGCTGAGGCCATGGGTGCTCTAAGAGTGTCGGCCAAGGTATGCTGAAGAGCCTGCAGATGGGATGTTCGATGTTAATAGATTATAGCCGGCGACACTCAATCAGGCCTTCACAAGGTCAATGGCCACACAAGTCTCTTCAACGGCTACTTCGACCGAAACACCCAAGTCTAACAACACCACTCAGGGTATCCTAGAGTCATGGAAGCCCAGTACGATCCCCGTCACTCCTCTTGTACTCTACTGACCATGATAGTCACAACTGTTCCCGTCACAATCCACGATTTCCCCTCTCTGGAACCCATGTCGCTCGAGCGATGGTCCGTCAACCACCTGTACCTCCCTCTCCGTCGAGATCTCCTCCACCTTGCCGTTGTCTACGAGGGTGACAACACCCGTCAAGGTACCGCATCATCCAAGACCCGTCATGATGTCCACGGCTCCCACCGCAAGATGCGCCCCCAAAAGGGAACTGGCCGTGCCCGTATGGGAACCAAGCAGAGCCCCATCAACCGTGGTGGTGGAAAGACATTCGGTCCTCAACCTCGTGATTTCGGCACAAAACTTAACCGCAAGGTCTACGACAAGGCCTGGCGAACGGCTCTCAGCTACCGATATCGAAAGGGCGACTTGATTGTGTGTGAGGATGGCATGGACCTTGAGTTGCCAACCGACTTCGAGCTTGTTGCTGGAAAGTACCTCAAGGATGGACTGAAGGAGACTTATCTCAAGCGATACATGACTGGAGTGCTGGGCAACCTTGGTTTGGGTCGTGCCAGCGGTCGAACCCTCTTTGTCACCGGAAACCGACGCGAGGCGCTCTTTGGTGCTATGGAGCAGCTCCCCTGGGAGGGTCGAGCTTTGGACATGGAGGATGTGGACGTCAAGGATCTTTTGGAGACAGGCAAGGTGGTCTTGGAGCGAAGCGTGCTCAAGGAGTTGATTGAACAGCACCAGAGCGACTTGGTGAGCAGAGTTGTTATGCAAGGCCTCGTCAAGGGCGGACCCGAGATAGGGACACCGGTGCTCGGGGCTTGAGATGAGGTGTAGATTAAAACTGTATTATTTTGTACACAATCATAAGACGCATAGTGCAGTCTTGAACATGAACGAAGGTTGCTCATGGGTATCGCATTAGACTTGTCTGAGTTCGTGATCTATTACATTGTTGTACATGGAATATAGTATTACAATGCTCCGCCAACTAGCGAAACAATCCACATGGCGACCCTAACTTTGAGTCCGACTCTTCGTTCAGTTCGTGCAAAGTCATCTCGCGTCGCCTTGGTAGCATGCTCCTGCAGCCATAACTGCTCTTCTCCTAATCTTGCCTTGAGTCCTTCATCGCGAGTGACGATCAAGGCCCCTGCTTCGAGGTCATGCGAATAGCTGCGTTTAGTGTAGTTGGAACTCCCAATAATACTCATAGCGGGGTTCTTGTCGCCTGGCATCGTGACCCATAGACCCTTGGCGTGGTATGTCCATCCGCCAGGTTGGCCAACGACACCGTAACGCCATTCCTTTAGGGTGATGTCGGCATCGCGGCCTTCGTGATGGACGCGGTGGACGAAACGACGGGCCAGAAGTGTGTATGCATCGGGTAGGAGGCCCGAGACACCTTTTGATTTGTAGAAGCCGTTGGCCTCAGGGGATGCGGTGATGACTGTGTTGTTGGAGGATGCAGTGGCAAGAAGGAGCTTTGTCAGAGACGGGGCAGGGTTAAAATAGCCGGCTGTAAATGTCCACGCAGAATCGCGATAGGCGGGTAAGGCGAGTGTCTTGAGGATGTGTGTGATGACTGGGAGCTCAGTAGAAGTGTCGGGCTTCATGACCTGCGACATCTGGCCAAGCATGTACACCCTTGTATCAGAGATATCATTCTCCGGTCTGGACTTGGGATGTAGAAGAGCCTGAAGCGTCGATGTAGTGCTCTTGATGAAAGATTGGGGGTTTTCCAGCGGTGAAGGAGCAGAGTTGTTCTGCGGCCATGACAGCGTGAAGCCTGCTGGTTCTTCTGAAGGTTGCACAAGGAAGCTGAAGGATGCTACACCTGAGTATATGTTCCAAAAGTGATCGGTAACCTCTTTTGATGAAAACAGATGATATCGATCTTGACGATTGGTAAAGTAGTCGGTAGACAAATTTGCCCTGACAGGTCAGTATACTTCAGACACAAGGGATTGTTTGCATACCCAGACATGATGATCTCATCGTCAACACCGTAAAGCTTCATGTGCTGAAGTCCCCAGCCCTCGTTGATCCTCTTGGGGATATATTGCTTCCTCAATCCCGTCAAATTGGGCGTGTGGTACATTCGAATTTCGACACGATCCGCCCCGAATTCTTGTACCAATGGCGCCAGAAGTGATGCGCTTGATGGGTTGGGCGCCTCTCGAGTTCCCCGTAACGCATCTGTAAGGATGCTCAGTTTCACCTCTGGGTTCTTCCTCAGCGCCTCCTGCAGCGTCTCAATAAGCTCCTTTTCCGACTTTCCAATATACAATGTTGACAAAAAGATTCGTCTCTTGGCTGTTCGTATCCGATTCTAATCCCCATCAGTCCCATATCGTAGTTCGTATCTGGTGCTCCCAACCTTCAACGTCTCGTAGAATTCGGCTGGTGTTCGAATAATTTGGATCTGCTCTCCCCGGACATCAAAACTCGGTGCAAGACGATCCAATTCCGTCACAAAAGGCGCCAGAGCTCCAACGCCATTCATACTACTCGATTGAGCACTTCCAGCTGGCGTAGCATATTGTCTGGTCTGGACTCTTACGCTGGGGACCCTGGGCTTGAAACTTGCGGCGCGAAGCCTCGTAGTACAGCGCGCGCAGCTCCGAGTGAGCATTGCGAGTCGAATCCAAATTAATTGAGCCTGTTGTCTAATTAAAGATTGCTTGTTAATTGCTAGAATATTTCTGGATGGAAGCTTCGAGGTACGTACCCATGCCGTCACAGAAGCAATTGGCCGAGGTTAATCCGTGCCGGGCAATCTTCACCATCAGTTGTTGATAGGCGATCAACGGCCTCATCCCGCCATACATAGGTCAATCGTTGCTAAACCGCCATCATGTCGACACTAGGACGAACGCTGTCTAACCTGCGAAAGGTTGGAATCAAGGCGAGTTTACAATCGCATCCTAACAAAAGCCAATGCTAACTTGAGTAGGACTACTTTACCCAGCTGCTGGTATGTACGACCGATTGATACTCGAATCTCTAGCTAACGACTCTGTTCCTTACGCATAGTATATCGGTACGGATCTCACAAACCGGACGTCAATCGCCTACTAACCTCCACAGGTGACACCAAGGCTGGTCGTCTTATCGGCACCGATCGCGCCGGAAACAAGTATTTCGAGAACAACGAGGAACTCCCTCTCCGAACCCGTTGGGTTGAGTACGCCAAGCACGACTACGATGCCGCCCATATCGAGCCTGGATGGCACGCCTGGATGAGCTACAGTGTTCAGGCGCCTCCTACCGAGGATGCTCTGCTGAAAGCTGGTGTCCGAGCCTTTGAGCCTTCGCGCGCCCTTCCCAACTTTACCCAGACCCGTAGTGCCTTCAAGACATACAACACGTATGTTAACACGTTCTTGTGAGAGGCAATTGCTGACAGTCTGTAGTGCCAAGTCGAAGATCTCAGCGTGGGAGCCTGTAGCTGCTCCTCGGGCATAAGGATGGGCGGCCAGTGTACATAAATTCGCGTAGAGATTGCAGTCAACAGAACCCAAAAAGGGTATTGATTTCGACATTTGACAGTGTTTGATACAGCATAAGAATGACATGGTATAGAATCTAGAAAATATGCGCTCTATGGCTCACGATCCAACTCTTAACTAACTAAGGAATCCTTCACGTCTACGATGATTTGGCCTCAATTGCAGATTTGATGGCTGGAGGTGTTAGCTGGGCCGAAGATTGGGAGGAATGACTTACCTTCACATGTTACCCTAGCATCTCCAAACAACATCTTGGCGTTGGACATGTAAAACATCGGGTTTGGAACATCAGCTACTCTTGTTAGCGAGGTTGATTTTAGGGTCAGACCACTCACCATAACCACTGGCCATACCCCTCTTCATCACTACAACCTGTTTGGCCTTCCAGGCGTGCAGCACGGGCATACCCTCGATAGAACTGCCCTTTTCCATAGCAATCGGGTTGACAGTATCGTTAGCACCAATAACAACAGCAAGATCAGTCTCGGAGAAGTCATCGTTGATCTCGTCCATTTCCAGAACGATGTCGTAAGGCACGCTGGCCTCGGCGAGAAGTACGTTGCACTGACCAGGCATACGACCAGCAACGGGATGGATGGCGAAGCGGACGGTAATGCCCTTGGCTCGTAGAGTTGAGACGATGCTCGAGATGGCATACTGCGCCTTGGCAACAGCCATGCCATAGCCGACAATGAGAATGACCTTCTCTGAGTTGAGGAGTGCATCGGCAAGATCGTCAACCGATGTCTGGGTAACTTCTCCTTGGGGTTTAAACTCCTGAACTGCGGTTGGCGTTCCCAAGCCTCCAAAGAGAACATTGGTAAGTGATCTGTTCATGGCCACGCACATGATGTACGAGAGAATGGAACCAGATACACCGATCAACGCTCCAACGGTGGTAAGAAGAGGGTTATCCAACATGAAGCCTTCAGCAACCAGGGCAAATCCACTGTAGGCGTTCAAAACAGTGATTACAACGGGCATATCAGCACCGCCAATCGCAGAGGTAGTGGTATAACCCTTGATGAAACTCAGCGCGGTGCTTCCAGCAAGACAACCAGCGGCAATCAAAGGACTTCCAGGTGCCATTGTAATGAAGGCACCCATGGTGGCTGCATTGGTTGCAAGCAATCCCGAGTTAATAATGTGACGTCCAGGGAGCATCTTGGGCTTGGAAGACATTCTGCCGCCAAGCTTGAGGAATGCGACGATGGAACCAGTGAACGTGATGCCACCGATGAAAACGCCGAGATAGGCTGTTACCATGTGTAGAGTCGAAGGATCCATAACATCTCCCATGACACTACCGATACTGGTCAGGACAGCTGCGAGACCAACAACAGAGTGAAGAGCCGCAACGGTCTGGGGGAGATCAGTGGGAGTGATTCGCTTGCCAATGAGCATACCAGCGATGGTGCCAAGAGCAGCGAGACCACCGAACTGGGTGAGAACCTCGGGTGTGAAGCCAGCAGCGAGCAAGCTGGCCAAAACACCTGTACCGACACCAAGAATACCAAGAGCGTTGCCCATACGAGCAGTAGCCTGGGAAGCAAGACTCGAGATGGAACCAATACAGAGGACAGAGCTAACAAGATAACCGGCTTGAACAAGACCAGCAGCACCAGTAGAGGCAGCAGCCAAGAAACCACCACCGCAGAGTACTGCAGGAACAGCATAGAGCCAGGGGTACTCCGGGGGGTCAGTAGGTCCTATACTCATTAGATACGCTCGTTTTTTTGGTTAGAAGACTCACGCTTGAACATATCCAGCATGCGTTTGGTAATGACAAAGCCGCCACCGACATTGACAAAGGCCAGAAGAACACTCATGGCACCAAACGCTTGAGGAATGGTTGCAGGTAGGAATCCACCACCAAGAATGAACAGACCTCCGATACCAACCATACCAGAAATGGCATTCGTGACACTCATCAGCGGCGAGTGAAGCGCAGGAGCAACACCCCAGACAGCACGATATCCAACAAGACCAGCAAGAGCAAAGGTAAAGGCATTAGACATGAGAAGAGGGCTAGTCCATTTTCCAAGAGCCAAGACACTTCCCATACCAGCGGTGACACCAGCAACTTCACGAGTCTTTTTCTGCCAAGGAGTCAAGGCTATGGGCTCAGGAGTTGCGGCGGCGGGTTCAGTCTTTACAGGTGGTGGAGGAGGTGCCGCTCGAGGAGCAGGTGGCAGGATATCTCCATTTTGAGTCACAATAGCACCTCGAACAACCTCATCTGAGAGATCGATGCCAAAAGCATTCTTCTCAGGGGTCATGGAAAGCAAGAACTTGGTGATGTTGTTAGAGTAGAGTGTCGAGGACTGGGTGGGCAGACGGGACGGCAGGTCAGTGTATCCTGCGGATGTTAGTTTGACCCTTGGGCGTAGAACGGCCACTTACCAATAATCTTGACATCGTTGTAAATGGCCAATTCGCCCTTCTTGGTAGCTTCACAGTTGCCTCCAGCTTCGGCAGCCAGGTCAACAATGACACTTCCAGGTTTCATGACATCGAGAATATCGTTCTTGAGCAGTTTTGGGGCAGGTCTTCCAGGGATCAATGCAGTGGTGATGATGATGTCAACTTCTTTGGCTTGGTCTTTGAAAAGCTTCATTTCAGCTTCGATAAATTCCTTGCTCATTTCCTTAGCGTAGCCACCAGCACCAGATCCATCTTCCTCGATTTCGACCTCGATGAATTCGGCTCCAAGAGACTGAACCTGTTCGCGAGCAGCTGGTCGGGTATCAAAACCACGAACAATAGCTCCCATACGACGAGCAGTAGCAATAGCACTCAAACCAGCAACGCCAGCACCGATAACCAGAACTTTGCAAGGGGGAATCTTGCCAGCAGCAGTGACCTGACCAGTGAGGAATCTACCAAAGACGTTGGACGCTTCAAGAACAGCTTTGTAACCGGCGATGTTGGCCATACTACTGAGCGCATCAAAGACCTGGGCTCTAGAAATACGAGGGATCATGTCCATGGCGAAGCTGGTGGCCTTTCTAGCAGCGATTTTGTCGACAAGTTCCTTGTTCTGAGCAGGCTGGAGGAGCGAGATAATAGTCTGGCCTTCTTTCATGGAATCAACTTCTCCAAGGCCAGGGCCACGGACCTTTAGGATAATGTCTGAATTGGACCAGACTTCCCGGGGACCGTTGACAAGAGTTGCGCCAGCCTTTTCATAGGCAGAATCGAGAAAATCAGCAGAGGCACCAGCACCACGCTCAACAATGACCTGCTTGAAGCCTTTCTTCTTGAGAATGGCCACATTGGCGGGTGTCAGAGCTACGCGGCGTTCCCCAGGGAAAATCTCTGTAGGAACACCAACGATTAGGTTGTCATATGGAGTTGTCTTGGGAAGGACTACGGTAGAATAATTGCGAGATGGCGCGGTTGCAGAAACATGGCGGATCAGGGCGAGAGGCTTGGAGGTTTCCGCGACAAGAGCACGCTGTCGAGATGAAGCTTTGAAGGTGCTGTGCCATTGCTTGCGACGCGAGAGGAGAGCATCTAGAGAGCTTGTTAGCTCGTATGAGCTTCGGTAGCCGATTTAAGCTTGCCTTTAACTCGGTAACCCTTCAATTGCTTGTTTATGAAGAAGGAGGAAGCGCACAGCTCTGATGCTGAGGCTGGAGCCGCGGACGAGGCCAGCGGACGAAGCATTTGGGACGCCATGATTAAAGAGTCATGAGCGCGATAGCGAGACCGGAGGATGGCTCGACGAGTGGATATGGCTTCAATCTCCAATACTCTTGACGAGTCTTGTTTATCCAAAGCAGACGACAAACAACAAACAACAAAACACAGCAAATTCTTAAGGAGAGGGAATAAAAACAAGAGACAAAACAATCGAGGGGTTGTCTTGTTCTCTGTGTCATGTGTTGTCGGGTCCCCCATTCATTCCTATCCTCCAAATCCCAGCTGGGACAGGGGACCTAACACCACTGGAGCTTGGACCCTGGCTGTTCTCCCGGGGTTCTATTAGCCGCCCCGAAAGAGGGGCGAGGGGCACTTATGCCGCTAAAACCTGGGGGAGGGGCTGCTGCTGCGGAGCATCATTGCAGGGGACTTTGGGTCATCGAATCATCAAACAGTCCTCGTCATGGATCATGATGAGCATCAGCGGGTGCTTCGGGGGAACTGACAAAGCGAGATGTGATGCAACCAGTCAGACGAGTTTACGGACCTGCCTGATACAGTTGCCGAGTGGCTTGGCTTCAGATAAGTTTAATAAACATGTTTCCCCTCTTCGGATGTTGAAATCCGGTCATGAGACGGCTAGAGATGATCCGAGATCATGATGGATGATATTCAACGTGGGGTAATTAGAAATACACTTCGTCTCTGCAGCCGCTTCTTCTGTAAATGATGACTTTTCCGTTAGTGGTTCTTCCGTAATAGCACTGCAGGCTGTCGTACTTATTCAGGAAGACTGCATAGTCCGTTCTCCGACGTGGAAGAGGTTCATTGTGGGGTTGAATCACATTTAACTCAACAGAGCCTGCATTTCTAATACATCATCTATGTTTCCTGTCTGATCCGCTTTTAAGCGCTCAATATTCTCTACGATCAATACGTAGATGCACAATCCCCTCAGTCATGGGCTGACCCAAATTTTAAACCCCTGACACGCCAAGCTGGCTCTCGTCTCTCTTTCAATCACTGTTTATTCTGTATATCCTCCCCAGTCAAAGGAGCCTACAGAATGATTTAGGTATCGGAAGCTCGAGGTGTACCTTTGTCATATTATACATATGCGACTCCAAGTCCAGGCGACCTTCAGTAAGGGTTAGGTTAAGCCATAGAGCCTTCTAGCCCATGTATCTCTTTCTCGCTTATCGATCATCTTTTAGAGCTACCTAATGTTAGTTAATCGAAATATATGGGGTTGGCTAGCTTTCTCTGTTAGTATTGGAAGAAGTAATAAGTAGGTTGTCAACCACATGTCATTCGTGTAAGTCACCCAACGTAAAGCATAGATGAAGTGTTACAAAGTTATACACTAGCTACACTTTTACACAGCTGAAGTAAACTAGAACCGTGGCTAAATGTACCCAAATACATCCTCAGAATATTTTTGTTTTCCTACATCGCGTGGTAAGTTACATAGTATATGGCGTGGTAAGCTTGGGTCGATTGCCGATACAAACAATACATCATCTTCAAAACAGACTTATGCGACATGTAGAATTATGAATCCATTCAAGGCAATCATAACCGGAGAAAACAGATTCCAGGAAGCACCGTAATTGAACTCATATTATTAAAATATTTGGTGAACAATATGAGATTGACAGCTGAATCATTCCCTATTGAGCCTAACGCTGTTCTCACGGTGGATCTCCAATATTATTGGAAGATGGGCTCATATTAATCACGAGAACCATCTTCAGCTTCACCACATGACACCAGCTGAGTCTCTTCCCATCCTCGCAATGAAGAATTGATTCTTTATTCGCAAACCTCTTCTTCATAAAAAGTACTTTAAATCAAAGCCGAGATCAAACCATCACCATGTCGCGTTGGAAAGCCCCTATCCATCACTTCTCATACCGCTCCCTCATCATCCCTCCCATCCTCCTCGCTGCAGCCACCATCGTCGCTCTATTTATTCACTCCGACGTCAATGCCGCGCTTCTCTGGTCCCAATGCCACTCTCACTCTCGTCTCCCTGGAATAAGTCGCATTCCAGGTCTCGGCACGCCTCTATGCTACATCATCAGCTTCTTTCGCGCCGCGCTGCACTCCCTGCGCAGTAAGGCTGTGATGGCTGTTGTTATAGCCTTTCTCGGCGGCCTTTTGACTGTAAGCACGGTTGAAGCTGCGCGTATCTGCAATGCACCGAATGTACTTATTGCTTATCCTACGGGTCCGTGGCTGGTGTTCGATCTTGTGGGTGGTGCTGTTGTCTGGGAACTTGTGATTATTCCTGCGTTCCTGCACCGTACGAAGAGTATCTTGAGTGCGCCGAGAAATGACGGGAATAGTGATAATCAGGTCTTCACGAGTCGTCATCTTCCTGGCAGTGAGCTTGTGGCTATACCTATCAGTGTAGCCCTCGGCTTCTTTCTGCCATCCATCCTGATGCTGTTTCATACAACCCCAGCGACGATCGGAGTTTGGCTTTTCTTCCCAGTTTATGTGACAATTATCCGACAAATCACTCGCAGGATCGTCATCGCTATTAAAAGAGCCAACCCGACAAGCGTTCATCTAGCATCAAATCGGCGATCTCTACTATTTGTTTATTTGCTTCCCATCGTCTGCTCAATCCTGGCTCATGTTTTCTTCATCTGGAGCTTGACTCAACCTGATGATCGCAAAGAAATGACGAGATCAACCATTGTCTTCATCGAAGTTGACACACAGTTCATCTTCTGGACCGTTCTGTATTGGATGCTGGTGGAAGTTGGATGGCGGGTCCCTTTAACCACAGCCGTCACATCTCTGATCATAGGACCTGGCGCGGGAACTTGTGTTGGTTGGATGTATCGAGAGAAACTCATCCATCACGACAGTGAAGAGCAAGGAAATGAGAGTGCTGCGCTGCCAGCCGATGAAGAGTCGCCTTTGTTACAATGATTTTTGCCCTGACGTTGAATCGTTTCATATAGCCATTTCTAATACCCAAACCATAAACTAATGCACTTGCTCGATCAATGCAATGCAGTATTCTTTCACAAGCTCATATGCAGGGACAGCCGCCACGCTTTACAGGCCCAGACCTCTTCCTAAATGGTACAAATATGGTACAAATTAATCTACTCACCCGCTCTTATTCCTGTAGCCTTGACAATATTCGCTCCCTAATCACCTGTGACGCCACTGCGGATCCGTGCTGAAGAGTAACGGCTCCAATGATGGCCAGGATCGCACCATTGAGCACGACGTCGACACCAGAAGTCTTGAGTTTTTGCACCTATTTCATGTTAGTAGAGCCTCATCATTAGAACAAGGATATGTACCTTTCGGGGTTTCCACCGCACAACATCAATCAGGCCCACTTCAGCGGCCAAGCCAGACAAATTATCCTTGCCAGCGATATCCTTAGGTCCTGCCACAGACAAATTGTCTACAGACTGCAGGTTGGGATGCATGAATGGCTCACGCTCGAATCCGTCATCAATTTTTGGTGCTCCCATAGGATCCTTAGCAACGATCGTCTTAGTTGTCTCCATGATGAGGGTCATTCGTCCTAGGATGGTCAGTATTCCATTGACTCCCATTGCCAACTTTCAACCAACCTAGAAGCGCCAATCGGTCGTTGAATCCTCTCCTTCCCTGGTCAAAACTCTTGTGCGTAACGGCGAGCCATTTGAGCTCCTCGGGGAGAAGTCTGCTGCCACCTTGACCCAGTAGACGCTCATACACCTCATCCAGCTTTCGAGGGTCATTGTTGACAGTCCAGACCTTGTTTCGGGGGTTCTTGGCAAAGTCCAGTTGTAGAGGAGCCTTCATGGCGGGGGGTGTTTGCTTCCATCGTGGGACGGATTCAGAGGTAAAAGCGGCTTCGGCCTTGAAGGATTCGGGAGTCGAGTCGGTGGCATAGGTACGTAGGCAGGGCATAAGATTTCGGGTGACTTGTCTACTCCGTAAGAGGCCAGAGCGGCAGGGTTGTAGAGCCATGACGGAAAATGAGAATGACCGGGCTGGAGAGTGAGGATTATAGGCAACTCAATGCTCATTGAAGATGGGGTCGGATGGGAAGCTCAGTCGCGAACATTTTCTGAAGGTCACGTGCTGAGCGATAAGATTTCGGCCTGGCGGGGTGTCGCTCCACTCTACAACACCAAATTCGAATCAAAGAGGGCGGATCTCCAGCTTCACTTTGTCTCAGACTAAGGGCAAGGCATCGACATAAGTTGATTGTAGTCGTTCTTCAGGTAAAAACAAAGTGGGAAACAAGGACGTAATCAGTGTATAAGTCATTCTAAGAGGATTTATTCTTGTTAGTGGGACCTAACTTGAGAATCTGATCTGTGAAGGCAACGGGAGAGCGGTATTTCTACTTGGACATCAGAATCTCAAACAGCCAGTCAAAAGCTTGCCTGCGGTCACTGTGGCGATTATATAAACAATTTCAGGGCAACAATATCTCGATATCTGACCCTTTTGTTGCCATTAGTGTCGGTGTCAGGGATCACTCTTCTTACTACTTACATTTTCTTCGGGTGCCCACTTAGGTTCTTGAGGACTCAGCACATATGTTTAAAGCAAAATAAAAGCAAAGAAAGCTGCTCTTCCTCACGACGCAGCTTGTGTTCGACCCTTGATCCTCAGCTTGACTTACTCAGCCTCCCAAGTTGTGGCGTTTCCCCAGATTCAGCCACACCTTGACACTAAATCCACACCTCCATCTCAGCCTCGTCAAGCTTCGCGCATTCGCAAAGCTTACCACTAATACCTAAATTGTCTCTTGATCATCGGGTTGGTACCCTGTTGATCTGTCCGGATCTCACTCTCACATCTACGAATTCAAGACTCTCTGCGCCAGTCCTGCGCCAGTCCCACGCCATGGCAGCCGAAAGCCCCAAACTTCTCTGGAATCCCGATAATGTCAAGGATGTCGCAGAGTCGGTCGGCATCGGCGCCCTCAATGAAGAAGCCCTTAAGTGCTTGACTCAAGATGTCGAATACCGAATCGGCCAGGTCATTGTAGAGTCTCTTCGCTTCATGCGCGCCGCCCGTCGAACGACTCTTACCGTCAATGATATCTCCCTCGCGATGAGGGCGCTTGACGTCGAACCTCTCTACGGCTACGATTCTACGCGTCCGCTACGATACGGCGAGGCCAGCCTTGGACCTGGTCAACCGCTATTTTATATCGAGGATGAAGAAGTCGATTTCGAAAAGCTCATCAATGCGCCTTTGCCAAAGGTGCCGCGCGACATGGGTTTCACAGGTGCGTGCTCTCGCGGTTGACGCATGATTCTTTACTGATTGTTTATAGCACACTGGCTCGCTATCGAAGGCGTCCAACCCTCCATCCCCCAAAATCCTACGACATCCGAATCTCGATCGCAAGAACTCCTCCCCAAGGGACCCGGTGCTAATCCTGCCTTATCCGCTTTGGCAGGTAACGATAACGTCTCCATGAAGCCTTCTGTTAAGCACATTGTGAGCAAGGAGCTCATCCTCTACTTCGACAAAATCCAGGCTGCCGTTCTCGACGATAACCCCGATGAAGAGGTCGTACGCCTTCGACAGGCCGCTCTTGGCTCCGTACGGGATGATCCCGGGCTGCATCAGCTTATCCCGTACTTTATCACATTTATTATGGACCGGGTCACACATCATCTTGACGATACATTTACCCTCAAGCAGATGATGGAACTGACTAACGCTCTTATCGAGAATAAGAGTCTATTCCTGGACCCCTACGCCAGCCCCCTTTCAGCGCCTGCGCTTACTTGTCTGATGGCCAGGAAGTTGGGCACTGATGAGGGGACAGACACTCTCAAGGAGCAATATGACCTTCGACAGCTTGCAGCATCGTTGGTTGGACAAATTGCGCGCAAATACTCTGCCTCAAACACTCTTCTACGACCTAAGCTCACGCGAACGTGTCTCAAATACTTCCTTGACCCTACAAAACCCCCTGCTGTTCTCTATGGCGCAATTCATGGACTGCTTGAGGCAGGTGGCCCAGAAGCTATCAGAGTCTTGGTTCTACGAAATTTGAAGACTTTCGACTCCGGCATCCTACAACCTCTCAAGGAAAAGGCAGAAGGTACAATGGATTATGAGATGCTCGTACAGGGCATAGTCCAGGCCGTAGCTTCACTAGCAGATCACGTCGAGTCTGACGCAAATGGAGTTAACGGAACAGCTAGCGTGGAAACAGAGTTGTCTGAGCTGAAAGAGTTCATCGGACCTATCGTTGGAGACAAGATTGTCGCATCTGGTAACCGGAGGTTGATTCGGACGATTCTGGATGCTCGGTTTTTGGAGTAGGAAGCTCATGGTATGATGAAAGGCGAATGGAGTTATGGTTGCAAAATACCTCACAAAAGGTCTTGCTTAGAAGTAGACTCAAGCATTTTCAAGGCGCTTGTGCACATATAATAAATTGGTTGCTCAAAGTCAAGAATGCCTTCTCAGGCTAATACTCGTACACGAGTTTATCATTCATCCCTTACCCATACTCCTTGTACCCAGCAACTGTGTGTATCATCCGCTGTGTGTTGCCTCCATCTATGCCGCCCTTCCAACCCAGTTTCGATTTTGGTATCTTACAGGAAAGCAACGAGACCGATGGCGCCGAGAACGCTGGCGGCCCAAATGTACTTGTCGGCCTGAACAATAGTTGTCTTGGCAAAGCCCTTGCCGGCGTCGTAGAGGAGATGCTTAAAGCCGCTGATGGAGTGGTAGACGAAGGGGAAGCCAAGAGTGAACTTGATACCGCCCTTGACAGCGAGAGGGAGACCGGCGACAAAGCTGGCGATACTCAAGCTCTCGAGGTGCAGACCAACCAAAGGAGCAGCGAGGTAGGCGAGCGAGAAACCGTAGAGGGTGACGGAGAGAGTAGATCCGGTGATTCGGTTCCAGGCGGAGCTACCGAACCATGTCTGCTCGAGCTTGTAGATACCCAGATGGGGAGAGATAGGGCGGTTAAGGCGCTGGTTAACGAGGATCTGCTGGCCTTCCTCTTGGGAGACCTTTGTGGATGCGGTAGCGCTATGTACATATTAGAGGATCTGAAAGCTCAATTGCAGCTTTTTACGCACCGGACGGGAGAAGAGGTAGAAATGCCAGCAGCCAGAGCAGCCTTGGAGATGTTCTGAGCGAAGAAAGGCTTGGCCGCACCTAATTGAGGTCCACCGTTAGTATTCGAGATGTTTGAAGTTGTTCGCGTTGCCAAGTACCTTGACGGAGGGCGTTGACGCCAACACGTTGAGCGAGCATCGTGGCGAAGGATTAGGGATTCGTTCGGGTTCGACAGGGAAGGGTTCGGCCAAGGTTCGTCCAACGGTATCGTCGGCGTCGTTCTTCCAGAGAGGGCGATTTCGTTGCTGGTTTCAAAGGATCAATGATGATGGCTTCCTATTCTCAAGCATCGGAACGGGCCCCTCGGCTTCTCGGTCCAGTTTGACCAATAGGAAGCTAACAATTCCTCATCTCGGAAGGCCTGGTCCACTTTCAAATGCTATCACGTGCTCTACTCAATGACTAAGCACAAATTGACTTAGTTATCACGAAAATTTCCCTAGCTTTGTGTTCCTTTTCCTTTCTTCTTCAGATAGAAATGAATGTTCGCCGCACGCTGTCTAGTGTAGAGAGTGGACAGCATTGCAGGCAGGGTCTTTGGACTTGAGGACGTTCTGAGAAGAATATTGGGAAATTGGATCCGTCGTTAATCTCGACACCTAGTTGTCTCCGTCTAGGTGTCGTTTCATTTTTGAGATCTACATTCTTTCGCGTGAATTATGTTTAGCTATTCTGAAACCCTGCATATAAACTGTATTGCACTGCCGTGTCTTTGCTTGACGCGTGATGTCGTTACGGACGGTCATTAAGCGGTCAATCAGCACTCGTTCAATTCTGTTGATTTGGCAAACAGCAACGTTGGTTGACCGCGATGCCTTGATATCTGTGCTCTTCGAAGCCAATGCGGCCATACTCAATCGCTATGGCAGCGCTATGGCAGCTCTTGTCATTAGCTTAGGTAGGTAGCTTATCGTTTACGGTTGGCCATCTACAGTTGATCACATCACGTCCTGCAACAATCCCGTTAAGCCTTTACACCCAACGTTACACGCTTTATCCTCAACATATCGCGGTTCCATTGGTGTGCTTGCTTAAAATAGACAAAGCGACGGCCAGTGATTAAGATGGTTGCCTAAGTAGATCTACTCACAAGGAATGCACCGTATTGAAAAACTTCATCCACGAACAAACACATCCAAGTTCACCTGAACAAGCAAACAAAGCCATGAGTCCCGCAACTCATTCATTGCTCAGTCAGAACAATGCGCTATTAGAGTCAAGTCAATCAAGTTCTTGTACAATAGCCTTGTTCACTGTTCGTCGAACAGCAACTAGAGGCCTATATCACCAACATCTTCCCATCCATTCCACCTCAACAGCAATATCAGAATCAGTACTCTAAGAAACCACTACTAACTCTACAGCAACTTTCATCATCTTCAAAATGTCTTCCCCCAGCTCTTTTACCACCCTCCTCTCCCAAACCACCTCTACCACCTGGATGCCCACCTCCCACGACGAGCCTTCCATCCCTAAGTCTGACAAGCCTGTTATCATCGGCCTCACCATTGGCGTGGTTGTACTGTTTCTTATTTTCATTTTGCCCTGCTGTTGCTTCCAGTTCCTCGCTCACTGGCAACAAAAGCGTATTGACAGAGAAGCGAGAGAGGGGGCCAAGAAAGCAGCTGTTGCTCCTGAAAGACCTGCGGCGGAGGTTTAAGAGAGGTTGAGACAAGGTTGAGATTAAGTTAGGATGTATCAAGTGTGCTGGTTCACGCTTAGACAAATCAATAAAGTCACCCTTGAGAGTTTTCTTATCCTATGTAGTGTATTAGACCTTGAAGCATTTATGCCTGGTCAGCTTTGCCAGTCAGTGATGAACTTACCATAGCATATCTACCCGTTTGCACTCGCATACCTATTAGCGTTGACTTGGTTCAAACGAGTAGAATCAATGTATCCTGCGAACGCATTCTCATTACACTGTCACCTCACCGGTTGCCTGTGTTCAATATCATATCCTCAATGCTTCTTGAACATCTTCAACGTTTGTATTTCACAGGAGATAAACACCACGATCTTGCTCTTCGACACTCTCTCAAATCACGATTCTGCCCAAATAAAAAGCACACCTAGAATAACATCGGTACATATCATCCCTGCCGGTTCCCCATTAATCACTAACACATCACAGTAGTCGCAATCATGTCTGCTTCGCACGTCCTTCGGCACCTGAGCTCTTCCGACACCACCGTCATCGTCGCCATCCTCAGCGCTGTGGTGTTTATCCTGTTTCTCTGGATCGTTCTCTGTTTCACCTGGCGCACCACTCGTCCCCAGACCCCTTCTATTGATGGTCGCGATTCTGCCGTCGATGAAGAGGAAGCCGAACGCTTCTATGCCTTCCGCATCGTTCAGCCGAGCTCTATAAATGCCCTTGGACAGCGAATGTATCACACTGCAGCCGTCCCTGCTTCCGGTCTTGATCCTGGTCCCAGTGAGCGAGGTGGTGCCACTGCCAAGTAGACGCTCTGCATGGTCATTGAAGGAGGGTGGGTGGCGAACAGGCAAGATGAAAGATATCAAGACCGTTATGATTCTGTAACAATAGGAGATGAAAGTCAACAAGTGGGAAGATAACTCAGCTACCACTCGGACTTCCTCGACAATAAATACATCTAAGCCGATGACATATTGCCCCTTGACGTATAAATGCACATGCTTGAAACAGATTTATTGTTACATTGTAAAACAGGTCCCCTTCTGCCTTCCGTAATTCCATCCATTTGTAAATCAACCAGCGCCGCTCTATAAATGCTCCGTGCACCCTGCTCCGTGGAGATTCCCATTCCGTTACATTTCATTTCACCTGATTTTGTATGTTGAGTGTCGCCCTAGCCCATATTTCCCATTTGGAAATTGTTAAATAATGAAATTGGCATCTGACCCTGCTGTGGAGGTGGTGGTTGTTGATTCATGCCTCCCCATAGATCCCAGTTGAGGGTCGAGACATCCAGATAGTTGCCCAAGAACGGGTCGAGATCCGTCATCTGGTGAGAATTTGCGGGAAGCTGGACCATTGGCTGTTGAGGTGAGGGTTCTGAAGTACGGCTTTCGCTCATTACAACGTCTCGTAGGCGGTAGATGAAGTTGGGTGTCTCGTAAGGCTGACCAGCTGCTCTGAAAGCTTGTTCGCGATTCTTCCATGCCTTTAATACTGTTTGAGCTTGGATCGAGTAAGTCTTTTGTGTCATATCCAAGAGTTCAGGATGGTAGTGATAGATTTTCTTGACCATATTCCACGCACGATCAGCGAGAGAACCGATCGGTCGTTGGCAAAGCTGTTTCGTCATAACTGTGAAGATGTCGATCTGGAAATGATATTTGAGGAACCAGAGGAATCCCGTTTGGTCCATCACGCCGTATGCATCGGTGCTGTGTTCATTATTCATCAGAACAATCTTGAAAAGGTTGTCATTCTTGTCGAGGATTTCAGTTCCCCACTCAGGCTGCTCTCTCATGGGCACCAGCATCTCCCTCATTTTGCTACAGATCATTGGGCGGACACTGAGTGCAGCGATATGTACGTTCCCAGCAGTTTGGTCGATATAACGAGACTCTACTTCCAACAGGTTCTGCTCCAGGTTGTCCACCAAGTCTCGGTACTGTTGAATACTCGGTATCGCTGAAGGGTCCTGGCCTTCGAAGTCGGCTCCCATGACGGCAGCTTCCAATCCAGACGTTCCGTGGAGGGATTCGGCATTGACTAAAAATTTGGCGATTTGGTATCCGATTAAGCAAAAGGCCATTTCTGTTGGGCCCTCTCGAGGTTGGATGGGTTCGATGGATCCAGGGAAAAGGTCGGCATCGTTTACGTTTTGCGGCATCTTGGTGTCCCAGCTGCTTGGAAGAAGCGAGTGGCTCAACCCAGAGACAAGTGCGTTCTTTGCATCCTGGAGGATAATCTGCCACCACATTCGTCGTCGCATTTCAGTCTCGAAGGCATTGAGTCCTAAATAGTCGCCATCACGGTGGTAGCCCATCTTTTGCGCAATTCGCACAACCATCCCGCTTAAAATCCAGGCAGCATGTCGGTCATAGCGGTTCTGAAGGGACAACTGAGCGCCGTTAGTCACAGGATCATTTGCAGGACTCACTTCCTTACCAGGTACAGTAGCAATGCCTGCAATGCCACCATATCGTAGTTCTTTAGAAAATTGAACTTTGTAAGTGCCACCTTAGTTCCGATGGTATACCGTCGCAGAGCTTCGTCACGGGTAGTTCCCAGCATCTGAACGCACTCGGTCTCGGTGAGTGATACTGTGGCCATGGTAAATATGGCAAACAAGAGGGCCTGGTAGTTGAGTGGGATTTTGTTTATGTCGGTGGCCATCTCCAAGGTGTACGGTTGGACAGTTGGTACGTGGATGATCTTGGTCAAAGGGTTGACACGATCGACGAACAGTTGCCAGAGTCTAAAAACATGGACAGGTTCTGGTTGGAAATCCTCGCTAGATCTGGCAGTTGAATCCGAAGGAATAAGGAGATCGATGTTGTAGTCTGGGCTCAAATCTTCAGAACCCATAACACTGGCCTCTTCTGGATCATCGGTATCGACAATCTCCCTCATGGCTTGGAGCTTCAGATCCGCATCACATTAGTTTGCGTTTCAGCAGAAGCCGAATTTAACTCACCTCATCATGAATATTAGCCCAAAGATAGCTGTCCATGAAGCGTACACCACCCTCCTCTTTCACCATCTTTCCAGCTGGTTTCCACTTGGACTGGCCATCGACATTGGTAGGCGTGGCAGGGTAAGTATCTGACGCGGAACCATTAGGAGCAGGCGAGAGTCCAATGGCAGACGGAGATGGCACAGAACCATCAGCATATTGCTTCAATAGTTGCTCACATCGAGCAAGCCGTTCCTGTAGGTCCTGGTTTGGTCTCCGGCGCTTCCTGGCGGGTGCTGGAGTGCTTGGAGTGCATGTGACATTCGCCTTTTAGAGTCAGTTCAAGTGCTCAACAATGCGCGAAAGTCATAGACATAATTCATCGCATTTTTAATCGAATGCATATCGATACAATATCTTGAACACACCTTAACACAGTTTGAACAGGGCGTGTTGCGATCGCACTTGATCTTGCGATGCTGACACAAGACGCAAGCCAGAACTCGAGGATTTTTGTGCGAGACGGATACCGATCCCGGCCCAGACGCGAAATTGTTTGACATGTCCATAGATGGGACGAGGTCTCACATAACAGTCTTGAAGATGGTTGAAGTGCAGGTGAAGGTCGAGTAAATTATCCTATGACGCCAGTGTGAGCTCCACCTTAAGGTTTGCAGAGGTGTAGTAGCCTGTAACCTTTAGGCGGGAGCTGGGGTCTTTTTGAAGCCCGCTTCCGCTTCTGCTTAGGTGCTGGGGGTCAGGTGAGGGGGAGGGGTAGATAAGTAAAGAGTTTGATCGGTTAGGCAAAGCTGAAAATGGACAAAGAAGAGAAGACAGGAAGGCCAAGAGTCTGATGAGACGACTATGCTGAATAGTTAACAGTCTAAATTGAATGACCAAACTTTCTTGCAAGAGATGATAAGCAGGGCAGGTGACTGACTATACCGGTAAGATCCCGAGCCTACCGGTACAATGTAGAGCCGTCTCTGCGGGAGGTAGCCCAGGGGTTTTTGTGAATGTGCACAGCGCTGAAGGTGCTGGAAAGATGATGTTGTAGCGCGCGGTAGCTGCCCGCCTTCAGGGTGAAAGGATGAATAATTAAACCCGCATAACGGAACCCGTGAATCCCGTCGAATAACCACAGCTGTTGACGTAGGGCGTTATATGTCAGAAAACAACCTTTTATCCAATAGTAAATGTTACCAAGTATCCAAGACAAAAGACAGCTGCCTTAAATTGATGTTGGATGAGACGTATAGACTACCTGGCCTCAGATGAAAGCCATGGTCATGTAATGCTGCCTGAAGCCTTGGTGCTAGCTAATACACGAGTTTCACATGGATCAAATGTCATCGAATCTTCGAGCCGAAACTGACCAATAATAAACTTTCGGGTCCGAAAGCGAGCCGTCTTGTTGGATAGCGGCGGACTTGGTCATAGCAAAGTCCGCTGCAACGGGTGATGACTCAAATTGCATCAGAGTACGGATACTACTTTGGTATAGATGGAACTTTAAAACTTCGATATACTAGACCCAAACGGCCATTGGCCCTGTAAACGAATACGTCAAGCTCTATAACTAGCACGATGCACGAAACATAACTCAACCGGGAGGATTTTCGTAAAATTCGGAAGCTCCGGAAGGTTAAGCCACTTTAGCTATTTATGCACAAATAAATATCAAGTTCCAAGGTTTGAGCCCTTCTACGCAAACTCCCGACTCCCTATGACTGCATTAAAGAGAAGCCTATTTATCGGGTTGTGGTAGTAACCCGGCTCCAGGCTTCTGCATACCGGGCTGTTTCAATCTTCTTGGTATGTTGTTCTTTGTTAATACTTGGTCCGCTCGCGGAGGTAAAGTGACCGACCCCGATAAACCCATTAGCCCTGCCCTACGAGATTTATACATGTCATGAATTCAATTTCCGGCATGTTCTCGTTTGGAGTATTGTGACTCGGATAGGCGGCTCTGATCCTTTAGCCAATGCCGAACTAGCTTTGATGTAACTGGCATTAGATGGTCCTTGATCCCAACCCGTAAAACAATATGATCCTACCCAGGTGACATCTCAGATATGGTTTCGCAGCCGACTACTAAAGCCGAGTGAACTTCAACGTGTACTCAAGCAATGCAACGATAAACCGGGATTCGGTCTCCTGCTCTCCGTCACGAGGTTCAACAATACAACTCTTTTGTTCTTCGGCAAGTCTTTGGGTTTACATAGAAAACACATCAGATGATACTTCCAAATGTTCATGTTTGAAGAGCTAGTATCCGAGACGATCCGGTTATAATACCTAACGTTTCGGATCATGAATAAGAGGGTGGACCCTGCATAAGTATGGCTCAGCTTCGACCAGGGCTCCCGTGTTACTATCACAAAAGAGAGTTACGTGTCAACCTGAATGGAGGAGCATTGCAAGAAACATTGTTTGCACATTTGGTCCCCGACGAGCATGTAAACTTGGCAACTTCTTGTATTGGTTACTCTGAAAACATAGATCCCAACTCTGGACCCGAGTCTGGCTCATCGGCCTTAACAGTTTTTTGCTTCTGTTCCACCGGCACCAAGGACGTTCTGGCTTTCTTGCGGACAACACGTCGATGAGTCGCACTCTTGAGATGCTGAGCCCACGCCTCCTCGGTCAGTAGTACCGTGTGACAAATTTCACATACACGTTTGCATGGCGTTGCTTTTGGAGGCGGGTTGCCAACTTGTGTTAGAACCTCTTGGGCAAGGGAGGAAATCTCAGTTGGTGCAGGGCGTTCTTCACCTTTAAGAAACTGCTGCGCCAATTGTACTGCCGGTTCAACGACATTCTGTCCGTATGCAGAGACGTCGGTACTGTCTAGCAGATACATGTTGCTCATAGCTTCTGGGCCGACTTCGCGCAATCTTGGAATCTGTTTGAGTCTGATCCAGCGGGTTTGGTAGACAGCGTACCGCCTCGTCGCTGCTTTCATCTCCTCTAGGGCAGTGCTCTTGATCTTTTCGAGCTCAGCAGCTTCTCGCTTCTCGTCAATGGCAGATAAGTATGGCTCAAACTGCCTGTATCCGATCGACTGCCATATACCCTTCGACATATCCAAAGCTTGGCCCTCGGATTCTTTCTTATGCTTAAAATCGTAAAGTTCTCGGAGTTCATCCATGAGACCGCTCGATTGCATCTTGTCCACCCGCTTGTCAAGACGTTCACGTAGGACCTCGCGTTCCGAATAGACCCAGAAAAGCAAATTCTCCCAGGGTTGCTTATCGGCATCTTGCACAGCTTCTTTTCTAGCCTGCTGCTCGGCATAATGTTCCGATGCCCGTTTGCCGCTTCTCAGATAAATCTCCAGTGAGCGTTGGATTTTGCGGCGATCCTTGGGGTGCCATCGGTCGGCCATGACAGGGTCGACTTTGCGCAGCTTGTGAAGCATTACTTCAGCAGACTCTTCCAGAATGGGAAATGACTTGGTTGTATCCAATTCTATGTCATCTAGGATGACTTCTTTGAAGAGTATGGGATCGACATAATATTGAGAACCGCCAACCAGAATGGGTAATCGTCCTCGACCACGAATCTCTTGTATTGTGCGAATAGCTTCCCTCTTGAAGTTGTCAACATCCCAGGGCTGTTCATCCAAAGATATATGGCCCAAAAGATGGTGAGGAATTCCTCGTTGCTCCTCAGCAGTAATTTTATTAGTGATGATGGGTAATCCATTGTATAATTGCATAGCATCGGCGTTGATGATTTCACCATTCAACCGGGTTGCAAGCTCGACCGCTAACTATCAAGCGTCAGAGACTCTCTCATACAGATCCATCACCACTTACATCTGACTTCCCTGTGCCCGTAGATCCCAGCACCACCACGAGGGGTTCTGTTGGGGGTTTTATTGTAGACATGGTAGTAATATTTCGCCTGAGACGAGGGCCCAGGCGACGCAACATCTAAAGCGAGGAAGCCATGTATACCAGTTATTCAATATTCGCTTTCATGCACCGGGCTTGCCTGAAATCTACTACGTAGTAGGCGTAAAATATTGCTTGTATCAAATCATACCTCAAAATGTGTTCCAGAACAGGCAAAAGCGGAGTCAATTAAACGGAAAAATTACAGTGGAGTAAAGCCCCGAGCTACAATTGGTCTCAGAGGATGAAACCCCTTTGTTCACTCCCGCGCATTGCTGCTGGAGGAGCTAAGCCTGGAAGCTCAGGGAAGCTCACCCCTTGGGCTGGGGAAGGTCACGTGTCACTCCACACCCAATATTGGACACATCTACATTTTGGGCCACTGAAGCCAGATCGCCAACCCTCGCCCCCCCAGCTCTCCTTTAATTCCACCCATCGACCCTTCAAATCGCCTGGGCTCTTCAAGCTCAGCATCTTCCTTTTCTTTCTTTCTTCCCTCCATTGGATGAAATAGTCCAATTCTTGTCCTTTCTCTTAGTATTGTCGCCCACCATGAGTTCCCGTAAGTTACCATCTCTGATCCCAATTGCTTCAAGCTTCGAAGCTCAAAGTTTGAGCTCATGCAACCGCGACAATGCGCGCAATTGGCGATTGGTATCGCAATCACCAAACCCAAGCTGACTTGTGATTTCGCTGGATAGTACGATTTCTCGATCTGGTCAAACCGTTCGTGCCGTTCCTCCCTGAGGTTCAGCAGCCGGAGACCAAGATCCCCTTCAACCAGAAGCTGATGTGGACGGCCCTTACCCTCCTCATCTTCCTGGTCATGAGTCAGATGCCTCTCTACGGTATCGTCTCCTCCGACAACTCGGATCCTCTATACTGGCTGCGAATGGTTATCGCGAGTAACCGTGGAACACTGATGGAGTTGGGTATCACCCCCATCATCTCCTCCGGCATGGTTTTCCAGCTCCTTGCTGGTACCCACATGATCGATGTCAACCTTGACCTCAAGTCCGACCGTGAGCTTTACCAGACTGCTCAGAAGCTCTTGGCTTTCATCCTCTCCGCCGGTACCGCCACTGTTTACGTCTTCTCTGGTCTCTACGGACCTCCCTCCGACCTTGGAGCTGGTATTGTCTTCCTCCTGATCCTCCAGCTGGTTGTTGCCGGTATGATTGTTATCCTCCTCGACGAGCTCCTCCAGAAGGGCTACGGTCTGGGCAGCGGTATCTCTCTGTTCATTGCCACCAACATCTGCGAGTCCATCATGTGGAAGGCTTTCTCTCCTACCACCATCAACACCGGCCGTGGTCCCGAGTTTGAGGGTGCTGTCATCGCCCTCTTCCACCTTCTCATGACCTGGCCCAACAAGCAGCGAGCTCTCCAGGAGGCTTTCTACCGCCAGAACCTTCCCAACATCATGAACCTCCTCGCCACCATTGCAGTCTTCGCCGCTGTCATCTACCTCCAGGGTTTCCGCGTCGAGATCCCCGTCAAGTCTTCTCGCCAGCGTGGTGCTCGTGGATCTTACCCCGTCCGTCTGTTCTACACCTCCAACATGCCCATCATGCTGCAGTCCGCTCTTTCTTCCAACGTCTTCCTTATCAGCCAGATGCTCTACTCTCGCTTCTCTGAGAACCTTCTCGTCCGTCTCTTCGGTGTTTGGGAGGCTAAGGATGGTTCTTCTCAGCTCCACGCTGCTTCCGGTCTCGTCTACTACATGTCTCCTCCTCAGAGCCTTAAGGACGCCCTTCTTGACCCCATCCACATGAGTGCCTACATCGTCTACATGCTTGGTGCCTGCGCCCTCTTCTCCAAGACCTGGATTGAGGTATCTGGCTCCAGCCCCCGTGACGTTGCCAAGCAGCTCAAGGATCAGGGTCTCGTCATGGCCGGTCACCGTGACCAGTCCATGTACAAGGAGCTCAAGCGCATCATTCCTACTGCTGCTGCCTTCGGTGGTGCCTGCATTGGTGCGCTCTCCGTCACCAGCGATCTTCTCGGTGCTCTCGGCTCCGGTACCGGTACTCTCCTTGCTGTCACGTAAGTCAACCCACATCTCAACATCTGAACATTGTACTAATGTAACACAGAATCATCTACGGCTACTTCGAAATTGCCGCCAAGGAGGGTGATATGTCCGGTATGAAGGGCATGATTATGGGCTAATTAGCCATCGAATCAACGTAAGGCATGATTGATTCAGTCTCGACGTTATGAACCACCCTTGGGAGGGTGGATTGTGTATCAACAATAAAGAGGAAGAGAAAGATAAAATAGTTAACATGTTTGTTTCCTTTTGCTACAATAAGCTGGGGAGTCAGGAGAGTGATGTCAATATTGGTTGGAAAGATATCGGGAAACCGTTAATGGTTATGTCAACATTAAACAAAAGTAGTCAACAGCTGTCACGATGGGTTGCTTGGGGTGGGACGCCATGTCTGAAAGCCACGTGTGGTGTAGTCAATGGTTTCCTGTAAGTCGAGAACCATATATGAATGACATATTTAATACCATGCTTGTGCAAGCTGTTTGTCTCACATGTCTCCTGATAAGTTCCAGTACCACAACTGCAGGGGTTGTTGAATAGTCACGCGTCTGCTGGGCATAACATTTAAGACAGGCTGTTTCACTTGGTAACATCCTGAAATTGAGTGGCTAGGAAAACTGCGGTGCTGTTCTCATAGCTTGACTGCCTCGGAGTACACTATACAAAGAGTTGCACACCTCACCGGTGTTGTAACGAGGAGCCCTCGCGTCGTTCTCCACAACGGTCCAACAGTATCACATCAGTATGCTGCAGAGTCATCAGTCTTCGATTGGCCAGGACCGTTGAGTGTAACCGCATACACGGCAGCAAAACGTGGGGGAACTTTTCAAGGGACCTGGAGAAGTGACAAGGGCTAGCAGGAACTGCAATTGGCGAGTGAGGATCAAGATGAAATTGTGTGATATCCGGCGGTGAAGACTAAGGTGATTGTGCAGATGGCCAATCGGGTAACGAAAGAATTGATTACCTATCTCGACGGTTTGCATATGGTGAGGCTGAGAATGAACCGCAGGTTTGTTTGCTCTTGAGGCTTCTGAGCTTTTGACGCCATATCTAGAGTGCTTGTCCAAGAATCTCGTCGTGAATAGTCAATGTCAAATATTGAAGTTGGGCGAGGACTGCTAAACTGCTGATTGATGCCTATCTTTCTTTTCAATGTCCCGCAGGTCACATTGTATGCAATTGGATGAGTCGTATCTACAACAAACTACTCTTCTTGTGACACCATGCAGTTCGCGCATCTCCTCCCATTTCGGTCAAGCTTCGTTGGCGCTCTGACCGCAGGGCGGTATGTTTCCTCACATGGTGCTAAAGATATGATCCCTGCTCCAAGAAAACAACAACCCAAGCATTCAGCAAGCTCGAGGCTTTTTGGGTTGTTGTGGAGATGTATCTTCTAGGGTAGATTGCGAGTGCGAGGGGAATTATTTGTCGACTGGAACGGAACGCTGTAGGATTGGTAGATTTGACATATCAAATTACCATGTTTCTTGCTAATAATTGAGAGTGATACTCTGTAGGGAAATTTAACTAGATCTTTCATCCAATTGGGCTTGAATTACTAAAGTGCTTTCGTGTTGACTGCCATCACGATCTAAAGTGGTCGCTGTGTTTACCGATTGTCGAGGAACGTGCATGGAAATTTGACAAGGTTGCTGGCATTTTACTGACTCAAAGGCTACATTCAACGTTCCTGTACCTCGAGCCATTCTTACTGTTGTTTATGTCTCATCTGTCTCGTGATACCATCATAGCCTATGCCTCCAGTTCCGCCCTTTTTACGGAGTCAGTCAATAAACGAGAAGCTCCTGTATCGGTATTGATATCCGAACCAAGGGGTCAACGTCATGACTGGCATCTCTTAGATAAGGCTGTAGTAGTAAGGTACCACATTCGAAGGCACTTTTGTCAAGCTCGGTTAAGTATCTTTGTGCCAAAACGCTAACATTCCGTGGCCACCACATGTCTAATCGGCATGTCTGAGACTCTGAGTTCATGTTTTTTCATTTATATCTTGGTGAGTATCTGGCCAGTTGTTGACTGGTATTAGTTCATATCAATCAGTAATATTCGCTTGCTTCACAAACTTGAGGTTAAGGACAAACAATTGTGTCAGGACAGGCAGGAATACGACACCTGCTTGAAGCGGAGTAGACGATGTAATTGTCTCCGCAGCCCCGTCATAGAACTGGGGTTGCACGCTCTCATCATTTGAAGGTAAATGTTTGTCATGGAGTCATGGGATGAATTGTGGTGTAGCCAGAATTGCAGATGCTGGTAGATGAATGAGGCTGGAGAATTCCGTTACCTCCATGTTGGAACGTCTATTATGCTTGTCAAGTGATGTTATTCAAGGAACAACCTAGACAATCTCATGGCGCAGTGCAGCCATCATCTGCATCACCCACCTGGACCTGGTCTAGCAGTTCACGACCCCACTAAAGCTCCAAATGGTACCTTAGCTTGCAGGATTGCAGCACGGAACCTCAAGAAACTTGCGCTCAAGGTCCCTGACCGACACCACTTTCCCTCCACTTTTCACTTTCCTCTTTCCTGTCTAGCCAACAAGAGTCATTGTGCGCAATCATATCTCGGACTTGTGTTGTTTGGGACTGGCTCTGGACCGTTTCCCGTTCTTCACTTCGACGTCAACGGCTGCACATTCTTCAACTCTTCCTCCTCCTCCTTCTCAGTCCTACAGTATAGTCAAAACATTGGTTTCGACTTTCACTGCCTCTACTAACTCGGTACACATATTTTCTTTTCTTAATTATTTCGAGGCCTTCTAGTCTCCTTCGCTCTCTACCAGACGTGGTTGTCCGAGAGCATTGCTGAGAGCGCATGCGAACTCCGTGGACTCGTTCTACATGATCCACGCAGACAAGCCCAGCGATCTCGGCATCTGCCTGCGACTACGACTGCGACTGTAAACGTCTCAGTATCTTTGGACTCTTGCTTCACGACACCTGAAGCGCAAGTCTACAAGTTTCGAAATCCAATTCTTCTCAACCATCCGGGTTCTACCAAAACCAGGTCACGCCACGCTCCCATCGATGGTGCATGCAATTGACACTTGATTGGGATTGCGACAAGACACCGACGAGTACTTGTACATACTTCGAGACCTCCGACGCCGCAGCCACCGCTACTGGTCCAACACGTGCAACCCACCTTGACGATCATCTGCTCAAATCAATACTTATCTAATAATTCTTTTCAACTTGTCAATCCATTGTCGCAAACCACTGCGATTTTTTGCTTTTCCCGCCTCTGCGGCTGTCCCTCACCCTAGTGAGCTAGACACTTCATAACCGGCAACAACCTCGAAACCATGGGGTTTGCGCGGTGTGATGGGCCTATATGGGGGATTGATGACTTCAGCGTCTGCTTCCGGCAAGAGTTTGTGCTCCCTCGGGTTTTCCTCCGCGCTCTTGATTTGGCTAACTGACTGATTTTTGTGTTACTTTAGCTATCTGCAGATTCTCCTCCCTCTGATCGCCCTCGTATTTTCCGTCGCATTTTTTGCTTTGTCCACCATTTTACGCCTTTGGAGCTCCTGGTCCAAATCCAAAGCCAGGTATCAACAGCTTTCCGCCGAGGACCGCCGCCATAGCCACACCGATCTACCTCCGGAAGAGGTTGACGATTCTGATGACGATGACGCCCTCGAGATCAACGGAGGTCGCCTGGCCCTTGTCAAAACTACCACCCGTGGTTCTATAGTCCAATCCGACACCCCAACTGGACAATTGGTGTCGCAAATCATTGAAGAATTTGCTGTCGCCGGTCTCATTGCTGTAAATGTTATCCAGCTCTCCACTGGTAGCAAAGGACGTCATAGTCATGCTGCTGCGATTACCGGTCTTGTTGTTTGGGTTTACGTGTTTGTCCTTTCGACTTTGCGACTCGTTCTTGGTGTCATGCAATGGCGAGGCCCGCATCTTTGGAACCACACTGCTTTCCTTTACAGCTTCAACTGGGTTATCTCGATCTTCCTCTTCCGTTCTGCTTTCCTCCAAGAGGGCATCAGTCGCATCGACCAGATTACAACATTTGTGGAGTTTGGGCTTATCACCCTCCTCTTTGGAATGGCAATGACCACTAGGAAGGGCAACAAGACAGTTCGCCTGGAATGGGAGGATGGCATTGAACCGTCGCGCGAGCCGCTAGCCAGTCTGTTCTCTCTCGCCGTGTTTGGCTGGGTTGATGCGATCGTCTGGAAGGGCTGGAAGGCCCCAATGGAGATGGAGACTGTCTGGAACTTGCTACCCAAGGACAAGGCCGCTGCTGTCATTGCCGACTACCGTCAGATGAAGCGAACCGGATCTCTTGCCATGCATCTACTCAAGTACTTCAGGAGGGATCTGCTCATTCAATGCGCTCTCGCTGTCCTTGCTGGTCTATTCACGTTTGCGCCTACCCTTCTTCTCAAGGTTATTCTTGAGTTCGTCGAAAACTACGGTACCAGGTCGGATGAAAACAGACCGATTAATGTCCTCTGGCTTTATGTCATTGGCCTACCGGTAGTCGACCTTATACGTTCATATGCCGACAATCAAGCTCTCTGGATTGGTCGAAAGATCTGTATCCGAGTCCGAGCCCTCATTATTGGTGATATTTATGCCAAGGCTCTTCGTCGCAAGGCTGCTGCAGGCAAGGACAAAGTGTTGCTTGAAGACAAGGCCAAGCCCGCAAAAGATGGCGAGGCACAGGATGGATTTATGGACAAGATCAAGCGGGCACTGAGCATGAAGAAGGATGATAAGAAGGCCTCGCCCAATGACGCCGAATCTGCTAGTGAACCCATCAAGGACGACAAGGACGATTCTGGTGACGAGCAAGCCAATCTGGGAACCATCATCAACCTCATGTCCATCGACAGTTTCAAAATTTCCGAAGTCACCGCCTATCTGCACTTTCTGTGTGCCTCTGCGCCCACACAGCTAATTGTAGCCATCATTCTGCTCTGGCAGGTCATGGGGTATAGTGCTATCCCTGGAATTGTCGTCATGATCTTTCTCTTGCCAATCAACTACGGTCTTGCTCGCGGTTTCACCATCACTTCTAAGAGAATTCTTGCAGCAACCGACAAGCGTACTAATGTTACCAACGAGGTCTTGCAAAACATTCGCATCATCAAGTACTTTGCTTGGGAGCAACGCTTTGGCCGCATTATTGATGAGAAGCGCCAGGCTGAGCTCAAGGCCCTGCGCTCGCGATTCATGGTTTGGGCATTGGCTGTGGCTATCTGGAACTCTGTCCCCGTTCTTATCACGTTCTTTTCGTTCCTTGTCTACACATACATTGAGCAGAAGCCTTTGAAGCCATCCATTGCCTTCACAGCCATCTCCCTCTTTATGCTCCTTCGTGTTCCACTGGACCAGTTCGGTGACATGTTCGCGCACGTCCAAGAAACCAAGGTTTCTATTGACCGTGTTGAGGAGTTCCTCATGGAAGAAGAGACTGACAAGTATGTTCAGCTTGGCTTGGATAACGTGGACGGTGACGGTGTCAGGCGAATCGGCTTCCAGAAAGCTACTCTTACTTGGGGCAGCAAGGATATCGTTGCCGATGCTAGTTCTCGTGCTTTCCGACTGATGGACCTGGACATCGACTTCAAGATCGGCAAATTAAACATTATTGCAGGACCTACAGGCTCTGGAAAGACATCCATGTTGATGGGTCTTCTCGGTGAGATGACTCTGCTTGAAGGAGGCGTCTATTGTCCTGGTGGTCGTAGCCGAGAAGATGTGCACCCCGATCCTGAGACAGGTCTTGCTAACACGATTGCATACGTCGCACAATCCGCGTGGTTGGTCAATGCGGACATTCGCCAGAACATTCTCTTCTCCTCACCATTTGACGAACAACGATATCGCAATGTCATTGTGGCTTGTGCCCTCGAGCGCGATCTTCAGATCCTGGATAATGGCGACGAAACCCTCGTCGGTGAAAAGGGTATTACACTCTCTGGTGGCCAGAAGCAACGCATTTCTCTTGCCCGTGCACTGTATTCCAACTCGGCTCATCTACTTCTTGACGACTGCTTGAGTGCTGTTGATTCGCATACTGCTCAATGGATTTTCAGCAACTGTATTCGAGGACCTCTCATGAGAAACCGCACTTGTGTTCTTGTCACACACAACACGACACTTTGCGTTCCTTCTTCAGATTATGTGGTTTTGCTGGATAATGGTCGAGTTGAAATCCAAGGACCTTCAACAGAGGTGATTGCTTCTGGAAAGCTCGGCGAGGAGATCCAGAAAATTCATCCCGGCTCTGCCAACCCTTCTCGCATTCCCTCTCGTGTTCCTTCAAGCGTCGGCGATGATGAAACTACTGTTAACGGCCAAGGTGATGCCCTCGATGGTGTGGATAGCTCCAAGAAAGATAACCAGGCCAAACCGAAGAAGGATGCTATGGAAGAGACCAAGGCCACTGGATCAGTCAAGTGGCCAGTTCTCAAGATTTATCTTCGGTCCATGGGACCTTGGTGGTTCTGGGTTGTTGCACTCTTTGTTTTTGTTGCCCAGCAGGTTTCCGGCTTGGCCACCAACCTATGGGTTCGAGAATGGGCAAACCAATACGTTGAACAAGGAGGTCCTATCGGTATGGAGGTCAAGTCGAACGCTTACTCTACCACACAATTCTCAACAGTCAGCTTTGCCAACGCTGTTCGATTGGGCTCTACAGATGATGACCCTGAGCCTCTCAACGGAGCTGTTTTTATGCAAAACGGAAACCACGGCGTCAATGCTATGTATTATCTAACCGTCCTCGCTGCCATCGGAATTGCAGGTGCCCTTGCAGCTCTGTTTAGAGATCTGTGGGTCTTCTTGGGTTCGTTGACGGCTTCGAAGCAAATTCACGATCGACTTATAGCATCTGTGACACGAGCCAAGTTCAAGTTCTTCGATGTTACGCCGCTCGGTCAGTTGATGAACCGTTTCAGCAAGGATTTGGAGGCTGTTGATCAGGAGATTGCGCCCGTCGCGATTGGTGTGATTAGCTGTGGCATTTCTCTTTTGATGACTGTTGGCCTCATTACATACATCACTCCCAAGTTCCTCTACGCCGCCGCTGGTATTTCTGTTCTGTTCTACCTCATCGCTGCCTTTTACCTGCGTGCCTCGCGCGACCTGAAGCGTCTTGAAGCAGTCCAGCGCAGTCCCTTGTTCCAGCAATTCGGTGAAACCTTGAGCGGCATGACGACCATTCGAGCCTACGGCGACGAGCGACGGTTCATCCGGGACAACCTGGAGAAGATTAACACCCAGAGTCGACCCTTCATCTACCTGTGGGCCTGCAATAGATGGTTGGCGTTCAGGGCTGATCTTGTGGGAGACCTCGTGGCTTTCTTCGCTGGCATGTTCCTCATTCTCAACCTCGGTAAGACTGATGCGGGTGCGGCGGGTATTTCTCTGAGTTACGCGTTGAGCTTCACCGAGAGTGTGTTGTGGCTTGTACGACTTTACGCAATCAACGAACAGAACATGAACTCGATGGAACGTATCAAGGAGTATCTGGATGTCGAGCAGGAAGCGGATGCCGTCATCGAGGACAGCCGACCACCAGCAAACTGGCCTCAGAAGGGATCGGTTGAGTTTGTGAACTACACAACAAGCTATCGCAAGGAACTTAACCCCGTCTTGGAGAACATCACACTCAAGATTGAGTCGCAAGAGAAGGTTGGCATTGTGGGAAGAACAGGTGCAGGCAAGAGTTCGCTGGCTCTGGCAATCTTCCGGGCGCTTGAGGCAGACAAGGGCAAGATTCTCATTGATGGGTTAGAGATTGGCACCATTGGTCTTCAGGATCTGCGAGAGAACATCACCATTGTGCCTCAAGATCCCACACTATTCCACGGCACAATTCGAAGCAACCTGGATCCATTCGATCAATACACAGATGAGCAGATTTTTGGGGCACTTCGAAGGGTGCAACTCATCGGCCCCGATGAACCTTCAACATCACCACCTACGCCCATGCAAACCCCCGGTTCACCTAACTCGCCGACCGCAATGACCAACAAGAATATCTTCCTGAACCTCCAGTCGACTGTAGCAGCTTCGGGCACAAATCTGTCTCAAGGACAGCGTCAACTCTTGTGTCTAGGCCGAGCTATGCTCAAGGCACCCACGGTGTTGGTCATGGACGAGGCTACCGCATCCATCGACTACGCCACCGACTCAAAGATCCAGGAGACTATTCGAGAACTTACTGGTACCGTCATCACAATTGCCCATCGATTGGCTACCATTGTGGATTACGACAAGGTGCTGGTCCTTGATAAGGGCCAGGTGGTGGAGTATGCTCACCCGTGGGAACTCATCAACAAGAAAGAGGGCACATTTCGCAGCATGTGTGACATGTCGGGCGAACTGGATGTGCTCCTCAAAGCAGCTAAGAAGAAGTGGGATTCTGGACGTCTAGTAGATGACTCATAGGAGAAGGAAAGGTCACGACGTGTAGAAGAGGACTGAATTGTATAAGGATGGCCTTTGTGTGAAGTGCCTGTGCTGGGAGTTGTTTCCTGGAGTTCAACATTTATATATTGGCGGTGGCAATAGAGAGCCATCAACATTGACTTGAACACAAAAGTATAGAAGGCAGTATTATGCCTAATTAATTTAGTTTTGTCATGACTGCTGGATGCCGTCGTAGAAATGTCCACAATTTGCTTGAATTGCATGAACTAGACAGAGCAAGTCAATTAGGCAGTAATAGTAGTATAGCGTAGTTGCGTGTACAGATACATTATTGTCAAATGCTTAAATGCTTCCTATCCCTTGCTTGGCCAAGTTTAATGCAGGGACAAGCTGTGACCCTCAGGCAATACGTCCTCTCTTAAAGGGCAAGGGTACGCACAGTACGTATCTCGCTTCGTCACCCACGAGACGACGCCATTCGTTACGTTGGCCTTGACGACTTGACAATTGTTTTGAACCATTTCCAGTAGAAAAATGTACATTTTCTTGTCGTATTTTCTTTTCTCTTCCTATTTGTTACGAAGCGAAGCGCCCCCCTCAGTTTCCCCTCAAAAGTCAAACCCCGTTACAGCCAATACAAGGGCCACATTGTGAGAAGCGCTGGGCTGTACTGCTGTAGGTAGCGCTGTGGCGAGGTTTGGTTGGGCACGTGCTCACTCATTCCATCTGCGTAACTCTCACTACAACTCCTCCCGACCTCACTCTGATATCCTCCCCTCGACACCCGTCAAAGGGCGTGGAAAGCCCTTTACTCTCACTGCGATTATCAAGCTTCAGCATGAGTGCTCAGTCTCGCGCTGCACAGACGCCTCCGCACCTGGACTCGGAGAGTGTAGCGTCGGAACCAACTTCTACTTCACATATGCCGATGCATCACTACCCGGAGGACCAGCATCAGGAACAGCACCAAAATACGGCTCCTTATAGAGACCGCGTAGAGGAAGATGATCCGCCTCCAACCTACACCGTGGTCGATAACGAAGGGCCTCATCCAAATCCCTTCGATCTCCATCCTGTGAGCACATCGTCTCTCGGCATCCATCCCTTCAAGGGAACATCAAACGACAACACCGTCTACTATCTTGACAAGCGTCTTGATACAGACCCTGAGTTTCTGGAGCAGCACATCAACGACCTCGCTAAGGAACCTCCCCGGCCGTATGTTCGTATCCGGGGCCTTGACCGCAAATCTGGTCAGAAGAATGGAATTGACTTTGACATCCACATTGAACTCACACCGCTTCTGTACCAAGAGATGGCCACTCGACGATCCTGGAGACGCATCCGCACTGTGAACAACTTTGACAAAGTCCGTCGCGGAACGTCTAACAAGACGCGTGCGCCGGGATTCGGTGGCAGCGGACCACCTGAAGAGGGCACGCCGGGCGTAGCGCAGTGGTGCTATCGGTATTGTGCGAGTAAGGCCGGCCTTAAAGCATTTGTGCTAGAGCGACGCATTACAGGTTGGGATTTTGCCCTCGTCGGGTCCAGGCTGGAGACTCTTGTGCGGGAGACAGGGTATCGTGGGAAGATCGATATCACGTTCCCCACGACGAATGCACGTGTGGACATATACAACGCCTGTATAGCAAACCGATGGCGTCTCACGCGATGGATTGTCCTGATTTTTTACTTCACCCTCTTATGGCTGTTTACATGGCCGTGGATATCACTCCGGATGCGATGGTATGAGACGGTTTACGTGGAGTGGTCCATGAGTCGACCCGACAGACAGGGCACGCTGCGGTACGCATGTATGAGCGAAGACCAATGGTACCGACTCTGGCGCAGACCGATCCAGCAAGCCATCAAGACGAGACGACGGGGACGACTAAGCCAAGACGACATCAACGATGCGTATGTTGCACCTGGGGCGGTGGCTTATGCGAGGGGCATGAGAGCTGGTCTGGAGGTTCTACAGAGGACTTTTGGATGGGGAGGAGATGGAGAGGACAGTGAAAGACATTAGTAGACCAGGTGATAAGTCATTACTGAGTACGGTGTTTGGTCGGGCTGTTTGGGTACTCCTTTGTTGGTGTTGCATGCATGGAAGCGCTGGCGTATTAAGCAGAATGCTTTGCTATTTGTTATGTATCATGATTTACGATATTATTCCCTACTCAGAAAGCTCATCGAACTATAGTTTGGTTTATAAATATACTCTCGTCAACCAAGAGTGGTTTGGGCTTGGTCACGAAGCTACGGCATTCTTCCCATAAGCAGTCAAACAAATAAAATTTAGGTTATGACTGATAGCTACATTTCCTGTAAAGTAACTTCCATTCACTAATACATCTTAAAAAGCAATTAAATACTATTAACTAATGTATTTTACCGCCACTCTATATACCCCATAACCCCGCATACCTATAAAAGTATTAATATTATAATATATAGATAACTTTAATTAATTATAATAAATTTAATAAAAATCTAATTAATTTAAAACTTTAAGAATTAATTAAAAAACTCTTAATCTATAGTTTTTTTTTTTAATAGATTTCTTTTTTCTTTTTCTTTTTTTTTTCCTTAATTTAATATAATATATTCTTTTTAGTTTAATTTTATACTAAAATAATTTAATAAGTTTTAAAAAAAGCCTTATTAAGGTTAAATTAAATAGGGACTTAATTAGTAGGCTTTTTTATTATTAATAATACCTTTAATATTACTTTTTCTTTTTTTAAGTATTATATTTAATTATTTTTTTAATTAATAGTTTTTATTACTTTCTTTAATATATATTTTAAGTTATAAATTAATAGTTTTCCTTAACTTTAAGTATCTTTTAACTAGTTTTAAATATCTTTACTTCCTTAAGGGCTTTTTTAAATATTATCTATAATTACTTAGTATTTCTTTAATATTATAGGCCTTATAAATAATTTCTATTTCTTTTCTTTTAGCTTTAATACTATAATTATTTTATATATATTAATTAGGTAAAGACCTATAGTTAAAAAGCTATTTATTATATTCCTATAAGTTAAGGCTTTTAATAAAACCTACTTATAAACTTATAGAAATAATTAATATTAATATAATAAGGTTATTTTATATAATACCTAATTATAAATATATTAATAATAGTAAGTCTTTAATAGGCTAAATATAGTAATATTAAGTAATTAAATAAAATATAATAAATATAAAAATAGTTAAAAAAGCTAGACTTTATATAATTATACCTTTTTTATTAATTCTATAGTAATATATAATTTATATTAATCTAAATATAATAGTCTTTATTTAAAAGGATTTTTTAATATAGTCTTTAATAAAAAGATCTTTATAAACTATTATAAAAAGATATCTATATTAAACTAACTAGAGGGACTATAGGTATATTTTTAATTAAAAAAAGCCTTAGAAAATTACTATCCTTAAAGGTTTTTATTAAAAAAGATAATATATAACGTAAGGTAATAACCTTTAGTAAATATACTTTTTAAAATAAAGACCTAGGTTAAATTATTTAATTTTATCCTCTTTAATATAATTATTAAGACCGTTCTGGCTATTATATTATTATTAATCTTACCTAGTTATATACCGGTTTTATTAATATTATATTTATTTTTCTTTTTTATATTGTTTAATTTATAGACCTAATTAAGGCCGGTATAATAATCTATAAAAAACTCCTTTATTATATAATACTTTTTAATAGTATTTATAATTTATAATAACTTTAATTTAATAGTTAAATAGTATATAAAAAACCTATTAACCTAGTTCTTATTAATATAAAAGACTATTTCGTTAATACCTAATAAGGCCTATATAAAGTTAAATATTTCTTATTTAATAAAAGGCTAGAATACATTCTCTTAGTCTATAATATAGTTTATTAAGTCTTTTTCTTACTTTATAGTTAATAACTAGTCTTTTTAATATATAATTATAATATTTTATATATTATAGTAATAATTTTTTAATATTAATAAAGAAATTATATATTTTTATAATAAAGTATATAATTTAAGTTTTTTAATATTTTTTATAGTTAATAATAAGTAATATTTATAATCTAATATTAAGGATTTTATTATAAATAAAATAAAAAAATAAGGATTTAATTTAATAATTTTAAAATTATTAAAAGTAATATATTATAATAATATATTAATGGTATTAAGGTATGTAGGGTTACGGGGTATATAGAGTGGCGGTGAAATACGTTAATAATAATAGGTATATCCGACTTATCGTAGCTATTATGCAAGGAGCACCAGCTCTAGGGTAGGTAATTTCTTATCTTATCTCATCACTCACCCCACGAATGGCTCGCTCACTCATCACCTACACATCCCTTACCAATCATTCATCAACCTCAAGCCGACTGAGTTCAAATAGGCCTTATTTAACATTTGCTCTGTTACTTAGCTGTAACTTTAGCCAAATTCACCGAACCGGAGCTACCACCATGGCAGAACCAGACATGAGTTCAAGCTCAAGAAGAATACTGGCGGTGGCACTTGACAATGAAACGGCCGTATTGTCCAAACTAGTAAAGGGTCAGTATAACCATACCCTCTTCCTACTCGGTTGGGTTCATACTACAATGGAGTGTTCAGGAGACGAACCCGGGCTTTTCATAACCGGGCACATAGACATCAACTAACGCACCATAGACCTCACAGGATCAGCCCCAGACACATCAGACCCCTCCCTTAGTATCGCGGGCACAACTCATTCCCTTGCTCTAAAAACACCGTACTACTCCACTACTGTTCCCGTCTGGCTTGACCTCATCGCCTCACCATCGGAATGGTCTGACTCATTTCTCTCTCCCGAAGCCGTTGAAGTGCTTGCTGTGCTGGGAGGCATAGTAGTTGTCTTTACGGCAGGGCCCATCTCAGAGTCCCAAGACCATCCAGCGAAGGAGCTGGTTGAGCAGGTTGGTAATGTTCTGAAGAAAGGACTCGGAGGATGGGAGTGGGACGGAGTTGGGTTGGCCATTGGTGTAGGAGGTGATGGAAACGAAGAGGACTGGGATGAGATATGTGCAGAGGCTGGACTGGAGTTCGTCTCTGTTGGTGGAAAAGGTGATACCGGCCGTAACGAGTTTGGAGGTATGCCAAGTCTTTGACTAACATTCACGAGAAATCACTGACTTCAAAACTAGAAAAAACAGGAGTGGCACGTGTAAAGCAGGCCTTGGAAGCAAACGACTGGGCTCAGATCGAGGCACCGTTCTCTGATTCCGAGTTTGGTGATTTTGAAGCCAGTTCTGCCAAATCACAGGACGAAGGAGATAAAGAGTTGGATCCCCAAAAGATGGGTTTTGGATTCGACAAGTCTGACTTTGAAGGCCTGCGACATGCTATATGGGAGGCAAGCCAGGATGTCGACGAATCACCAGAAACCAGCAAAGTGGAGACCAACAAGGAGGATATACCTGAGGGAACCGCTGCAGGTGGCCTGGGAGAACTGGATGAGGATGAGATTGCCAAGATCGAGAAGATGATGAGAAAACTCCAAGCTGTGAGAGAAGCGGGTGAAGGGATGGGCGAGGAACAGAGAAAGAGAATGGCGGCCAGAGCTGTTGAGGAGGTCATGAGAGACCTTTAAGCTTCCGAGTTGGGACATGAGAAGACGAGGATCTTCCGTAGACAAATGTTGCTGAAAGGAGTAGAAAGCACCATGGATCCGGGTGTTTGCTCTCCCGTGTTGTCGAGTGATACAAACCATAATTTCGATTGGTGGTGCTTTGGAAAAACTCTCTCCGAAGCTGATATGTAATAATCCCACATGGAGAAACATGTATTCATCTGCTATGTCTTCTGCGGCCGTTATCACCATGGATATGGTACGGCTCGCTTGCCATGCCGTTACACCATGCAGTTACATGGTGCAACCTATCAATCGTGATCCAAGACCTTGCGTTGCACGTAGCACATGTAATCCTCGGCACCATCGCGAGATCATTATGTGTGGTAATAAGACCCCACGATGTCAGGAGTCAGGGTATATGCGGGGCTCATAGTATCTTGATATGCGTCATGGTAGCGGCTCGAAGAACTTGGGCACGCCTCGGCTCTCAAATGTTCGAATCCTGTGTCTGGAGAGTTGCTGGGAGTGACACTCGATCACCGAACGAGTCAATGCGTGCCGCATCATGTTCCTAAGACGCATTTCTCGTCTCAATCTAGACAATGCGCTACACATAGCGCATCAGGTAGCCCGGTGCCTACATTAGGCTGCGGGAAACTCTTCAGATCGGCATGCATCATTGTATCGGATCACTGGACTCGAATAGCGGTGGCATACTTGATAGCCCCATAAACACAGCTAGTTTTCGTCGGGAGGCGTCGTAGTTTAATGCAAGGGAGATTTTTTATAGGATTCTTTCATCAGTCGCGGCGTCGACCAACTTGTCGTAGCCTGTTGCTGGTTCGGAAGCTATCCCTATCTTAAACCAACTGCTTGACTCGACTGGGCCAAACCTGACACGGAGTTGCGATGGGTCAAATGGATTCATGGAGACAGACGCAGACGCGAGGCCGGAAAGAAACGACGCCGGACATCCAGGGTCCACCAGAAGTGTTAGTTAACTTGATTGAGAATGCAATTGAGTCGTTTGGGATCCCTGAGAGTCTGAAGTTAGCTTTGATAGACGTCAAAAGTCTCAGACGCCCCATTCGTTGGTCGTGCTTAGCTTGACTGTTGTCCCACAGCCAAACAGGGGAGCGACTCACGTTTCAGCGCGTTTGGTTAGAAACGTGCCTAGAGGCTAGGTCGCTCAGCCTGTGCTTCAGCTCGTCCACGTCTTACCGTTCTAGCTGAAGGCATGATTCCGAAAACCCACCTCAAGTTCAGCGAGATCTACTGAGCTTGGCATGTTACCGGTGCGTCTAAGAATTTTGTATTTCTGTTTTGCGAGAACGACCGGATAGTGCCGCCTTCTGGTTCGAGGAATGTCAGACCCAAGGGAGCATCTCCTGAATGGTGCATGCCAACTCTGCAACAACTGGTGAGAAATAAAATCGAGTGGTCAACAGACGCGCTCGACGCGCTTTCAACCCCACCATGAATGCACATGCACATGCACCTCTGTCCAGTCCCTACCCAAGCCTTGCCGTCATTGATTTGATTGGAGCTTATGATCCGTTGTAGGTTGGATGACGGTGGCCTAAATACGGAATTTTATCGACATGGTCTGAGAGCGTAAGTGGTCATAAAGGTTGATGATAACAAGCCATACTGGTCCGAAGTATAGGTTGGGCCGAACTCGATCGACAGTAGGGTTTCTTGAGCTGTCCGTGCTTTGAACCTCACAAGTCAGGAACAGACAGTGAATGTTATCTTTTGTGACGAGAAAGTAGAGACAGAGCCAACTGCCTCACTTGGTGTTGAACAGCTGTCCCGAAAGCTTGCTTGAATGGGAACAAAGCACAATCGCTTGTTTTATTGGACGTGGTAAAACGTAGCAAAAGGGGCCACATCCCTACAAAAGAGAAACACTTCCATCGCCTAGAGTTTATGCAAAACAGTAACTGGTAGAATACCCTAGTTCGATATTCTTCCGATGTTTATGTGAGAATTCGAATGTGTGTGCAGCAGGCAACGCACCATTACTCTCGTACGATAAAGCCAAACTGGATTCTATGAGCTGAATGGAAAGGAAGAGGGAGCTGATGCCAGACAGGGCGATCGCCTGGCGGAGACATGGCTGATGCTGATTCTGTGAGGTGCCCTGTCCCCAGATGCAAGCTCAGGGGTCCGATCCAGTTGGGTCAGGGGTAGTGGACCCAACCGGCAAAGGCCAAGCCATGAAAGAAAATAAGTTAGCAGTCATCGGCAGATTTGTGAGCTATCATGACGGATTACTTTTGTCACCATTGACGCGCCCGGCAAAAGAGTCGGAGCCGGGAGAAGAATGTCTCCTATAGTACGGATACTGCATCATTATTATGCAAATGTCCAGGGAGAGACAAACCCATCCATGCCCAGGGTCGAGACTTTCTGAATGACAGCCACAACCGTTGAGGCTTTGCCTAGTGACAAAGATCAATAGTCGAATGTCGTCGTGACCAACATTTGTTAAGAGTAATCTGTAGTTCTCTACTTCTCCCTTGATATGGATATTAGTGTATTTTGAACCTCTCAATGAGCTAAGTCAGGACGGTCTGATAGACGCTAATGTTGCTGAGCCACGACCAACATTTGGCCCTAACGTCAAAGGTCTAGCTAGAGTCCGACTCCAGTTCGTTCTTTGTTTGGACTTCGTCGATCGCCACAGTTTGCAACTATGGGTTCGTGAAAGGATGACAGAAAAGGGGTCGAGAAGCGAGAGGGTATGGATACCTAGCCATGAGCAACGGTCCACGAGATGACGATGGGGCAGGAAACTACTACAGGAACAGGGTCTTGGTGCACACCTGCTTGTGGGTGCGTAGGTCTTTCACGCCGATGAGACATGCCGTGGCGTGGTGGCATTGCGTGGTACGATCCTTCGTCTGAATCCTTTACTGCAAAGGCGATTGAAAAGTGAGAGCAGCATGGGCGAATTTCTAAAACGACAAAAAGCAAAATGCTTTGAGAAGAACTGATTGCTGATACCACAGTTTGTGAAGAATTCTTCAGACCAGCTGTGCATGGAGTGACCACGTCCATCAGGCATCGACAGGGCAGAGCCGCAGAGCAGAGGCAGGGACATGGATTTAGTAGATCTGTCAAGCACTTCGTGAAGTGAGTCAGGAACAGTTATAAACCTGGAGAGATTGACTAGCGGAAGCAGGCATTGACTGAGCCTGGTCGCATTTCCGGTCGAGGGATAGTTGTAGAAAAAACAATATCGTGAGAATAATTGTGATGATAACCGACGTCAAGGAACCGATGCAGATCAAAGTCATGAGAGGTGTTTCTTGATCTCATCGAAACTTTTTGTGGACTTCTAGTGATTGTGAAACAAGTCAATGAACATGGGTGATCCTGATTATGGAATCCACGATAAGTCAACCTTGATCCTCGGTATCGTCTTGACCTGACCTGCAGCCTCTGTGACACTGGTTATATGTGCATGTGGCGTTTGAGGCCATGGTGCAACAATGGCGATAAGTGTCGAGCTGTTACAAGCAAGAGAAGTTGATTGAACTAGGCCAGAACTCTCTTTCAAGTGCCGAGTACAGCTGATGTCCTTGCGCACGGCTCACAAAGATCCTCATTGTGAAGGTTTGGGGACATTCTCTTTGCTTTTTCCATTGGGCGGGGACTTCTAAACTGATAAATGGACGGCTTGACATTTGCGTTGCCTGTTTTTTGGGTCGTTGTGTTTGCGGGTCTGTGTGGGAGATCAATCATCATGACTTTGTCGCGGAATCTTGTGCCCTAGTGAGGAATAGTTGCAGAGCGCGTCATGTCGTACTGGATACTGTAACATTGATAGACAAGTTACGAGTATCGCGTTTAAATGGTCCTTTGATATGGGATAGGTTGACCAATATAGAGTGTTCGTGTGTGATAAAGTGAGTGACATGTCTTGGCGTCGTCAAACCGACATGGGCAGACCAAGTAAAAGTCAGGGCAAGTCAAGGCAAGTCAAGGCAAGTCACTGAAGGATGTGGCGCCCTCGATCTGGTGACGCTTTCCTTCCCGGATTAGACAACCGTTCCATCAGGCACGACCGGACCGTTTCTGGGTTTCCTGTTTTGGAAGGAAGGACTAACGTCGTCGTGGCCAATGAGGGCTAAAGTCGCCAAAGGCACAGCACCCTTTTGCCGCTCCGTCTTGGGGGCCGTTTACCTGTTGTCCCCTGATTTGGACCGACGCTATTCATTGGTGCGTACCTTGCATTAGTGTGCATATGTGCATAGACGGGGACCCAATGAAAGCTGCATCCTGCATAATATACATTTATGTAAGCTTTCACTCTGCACAAATCAACTCCATTCAACTTGTTTGAACCTCAGAAAAGGAAGTCAGCAAGGGCCTCTCCCCCCTGACGCAGGTACCGTGCTCTAGCGATACCACCCCACTGAAGATAGACAAACTCTCGTGGGCGCTACAACTCCACTTCCGTACCTTTCAACCACTCAAACTCCCATCTGCTCAATTCTCGCCGCGTCCTTGCGCCTTGGCCTTGGTCTTGACTCTTCTGTTGTATCCGTCAACTGTAGCTGTCAGCCACAGCGGACTCTTTGTTGCATGATAAACATCCTGGTCTGATGTCTGGGACGAGAACGCCGATCATGTCTTCCCGACGTCAGTATCATGTACTGTATTGTCAGACTGAGGACTTGACACAGACTCAGCCGTAGCGAAGTCAGATGCGACATCGAAAGAAAAAGCGGTACGATCAATTCCTCAACTGAAGAGATCAGTGTATAGCTTGATATCAACGCACAATGAGTGCACAGGTGAAGATGATGAATTCTCTTCTCAAGCGGCAGTCTCGCGGGCCCCTGTATGCTGATCAAGGGTGCCGGGTCTTTAACCGCGAGCTCTCTCCGTAAGTTTGCTCGCCGTTCCGTCAAGGCATCCATTTGCCACAGTTTGTTTGTCTGCCTGTTCCTACTATATTTGGATGCCATCCAGTCTAAAGACAACGCCTATCTGGCATATCTTGAATCTTTTGCTGAAGGTCCGAAGTCCTAACAAGTCTAGACTCAGTGACGACCGATACGAGCTGGAATCGATTTGGCTACGACCGCGCTTGGATGGATGGACAAATGGGTATCTATTCGGTGTGTTGGGGAGCTGGGATGTTTGTGGTGGTGTCGGATGTGGACTCCCAGCACGGTCTGGGTGGGTGTGGAGGCCAATGGCTCTCGTCAGTTACTCGTCGGTGGCCCGTTCACAAAAGTCTTCGTGCAGCATGGCCCGCTATGGCTTGCCAGTCCCCAGAAGGCCCCTCCCTCGTGCACATTGTGCGGGCTGGATGTGACACGGTTGGCTTCATAAGTTCTTACACAAGGAATCGGAGGAGTGTGAAGTGCTGTGATGGATGAACAGGATCAAGACAAAGATTCCTCATTCGGACGAGATCGCTTATCTGTGAGTTACGCTGCTGACATGAGTTGTCGACCGAAGAGACAAGGCTGAAAAGGAGGTCAAGCTACTGACTGAGGAACAATACGTCCCTTCACTTCGTACTCATGGTTGATCTTGCAAGTGTTAGCTCGGCTAGCTTGCAGTTACTAACTTGTGCACAGGCTGGCGTTGTAAGTAACGTGCTTGAGGCCGTCGTGCTTAAAGGAAACTCTCAAATCGAGAGGAGTCGGATTGTGGGATGGGACAAGGGGTTAGCGACTCGGAAGCGCTGAATGGCTCGAATCGGATCCCTCTGCTGGGCTCGGTCGACTTCAGGGCTGCAATGCATCAACCCCTGGTCCGGTTCTCACCAGCTACGGCGGCGCTGTGGTCTGTAACGGTTCACTGCCCCTTGGCGCGTTAAGCTGTCCGCCCTCCGCCATCCACCACCCACCGAGGCGCATCGTGTCCAGTCAGGAGACGGAGGTACCTGGGGCTAAGTAACTCTGTCAAGCCACCCGACTCTCAAGTACCCGCAGTCTCTCCACGCTAGGATACTAGGGTGCTAGGGTACATCGGATTGAGGTTCCATCTTTTTTTCCTTTTCCCAGTTTCTGAGGCCTTTGGTACTGTGTCGTGTCCCCACACTGCTAGTGGTGGTACCTTGGCTTGGGTAGAGTACCTTTTCTCCGATCGAGGTGCCCGCGGTGGAGGGGACGGCAGCAAGTCCAGGTGTACCGTGTAGGTGCAGGGCTAGGCTCTGTGGGCGACGCTCTTCTCCTTTGAAGGCTTAACCCCCCAATGCCCATCCCATCGCCCCCCGTTTCTCTTTTCCATCTCGCATCGCCAGTCCACTCCTTGTGACCGCTTCTTCCGCTTCTTCCCTCTCGTCCTTTTTGTTCATTCTTTTCTTTCTTTAAGTCACTCTCTTGAACTATTCAATCTTCCAGCCAACTTCGGTTCCCGTCACTCTTTCCGGGTCCGTTTCTTTCTTTAGGCTCAACTACAAGCTCAAACAGCTCTTACACCTCCACGCCCACAACGTTTTAAAAACGTCGAAACCGTTCGAGACCACTGGCCAATCCGCCAAAACGATACTTTATTCTTAACTCCTTTTCTGCTTTACAGAATTAGGACGACATTCATTACTTGAACTGACTCTCAAATTGATTGTCATTCACTACCTTCCTTTACCGACTCGTCGACTTTAGCATCGTCTTTTTTATTCTGATAATACGGATCACTTAACACGCGTTTTCGTGCATCAGTTAGAAACGACGACAACCGCTTGTATATCTTAACCCGATAATCTCGACACCCGCTTCATTTCATTTTTATAATTTCAATTCGGAAAAAGTGATCGCATACTCGCGATTAACTTGCAGCAATGGCCACGGAAATTGAACACTCCATGGCCCTGGGCAATGTCCCAGAAGTCACCACACCCAACTCAACATCTTCACCTTCCGTCCCGACCCCTGTCTCAGCCTCCATGAAGAGGGAGTCACCATCTCCCTCTGCATCAGGTGCCAGCAACTCTGCCTCACGACGACCTCCTCGAAAAAGCACCCTTACCCAGCAACAGAAGAACCAAAAGCGACAGCGTGCTACCCAAGATCAATTGACGACTTTGGAGGTTGAGTTTAACAACAACCCTACACCTACTGCTACCGTCCGTGAGAGGATTGCTGAAGAGATCAACATGACCGAGAGGTCTGTCCAGATTTGGTTCCAGAACAGGTATGTATTTTTCCACTCCTCATGCGATGCCGCTGACATTTTCAGGCGAGCCAAGATTAAGTTGTTGGCCAAGAAGAGCTTGGAGACTGGCGAAGACATTGATTCAATCCCTGAGTCAATGCGAGCCTACCTCGCTATGCAGGCAATGGAATCTGGCAAGGGCCTTGGTGGAAGTTATCTCGGCCGTACTGGACTGGTACCTTTCGGCCACGGTAACATGATGCTCGGAGGCGACCAAGGAGGTCAGGGCAAAGTTTGTGAGTTAAACATTCGAACAAGACGAGGATGGGGTGCTAACTTACCAGCAGTGATTCATCATCTTACCTGCCGATCTCTTAGCATTGGAAAGTGGACTCGTGTTGGACAGAACACGATGGATCTGATCATCTTCTACTCACCCGACAAATGCACCATGACCTACTACATCAACAATGAGCAGGCTGGTTACAAGATCGAGTATCCATTCTCGTCAATCAAGAACATCTTCCTCGAGAACGGTGAAGGAGACCCAACCAAGTTGGGTGGGATTGTCATTGAGTTGAACAGGCCCCCCAACTTTTTCATGGATTCATCGCCCACCACCAATGGATTCTTCCAGTGTGGTGACTTCACAGAGGACCTCCAGGCTACACATTGTCTGGTTCACCATCTCGGCGGAAACCCCAAGGTTCTCAGTGGCCAACTTGCCAAGTTGGTTTCGCTCGAGTCTTTCATGAACCGCCACAACCCTAACCCCTACAACGACCCTCACGCCCTGTCCGTGTCGGCGCCCGTCTCCCCTACCGCTCGACCCTCGTCGCAGCCCAGCTTCCAACAGCATGTCGGCATGTTCCAGGAGCAGCAATGGGGAATCCATCAAATGCACTCCGGTATGCGCCCTGCTCATGGCCACAAGCGCCAACGTAGTCGATCCGTTCCCGGCCCCGTCGACTTTGCCATGTTCCAGAACCAGCCCATGCCATCGTTCTACATCCAGCCGCCTGGAGAGATGCTTCCTCCTCCTCCTCAGCACAACCCTCACATCTTTGCCCCTGTTCCTCAGCCTCCTGGCAACAACATGGCACCTAACCTGCGTATCGACACCCAGGCAGGTTTCGGTCTTGACATGCGCCAATACCCCATGTCGGCCACCACTGCTTCACCCGCCGAGTTCCCCCAAAGCCCAGGTTTCTTCCCTCCTGGTCCTGAGGTGCCTCAGTCAAGCTACAACACACCTTATAGCCACGGCTTCTTGTCGCCCATGGTGAACCCTGATACAGGCGTTCCCACATCCGTGTCTCCTATCTCTTTCAACAGCCCTGGCGAACCCTCCATCATGGAGCAGTCACCGCCTATGTCTATGATGGGACGTCCTGGCTCAGCCGACCTCTATCCCATGAACGATGGATCTTGTGCTGTGTCTGAAGACGGAACGAGCCTCAACGAGATGTACTCTAAGCACACTATCAACTTGCCTATGCACACTCCCTCCCCTGGATATGCCCAACACCAACAGGCTGACCTCGATATGGATCAGCTCGTGCAGTTTGACGCAGTTGACCCCTCAAGCCTCTCCCCTGAGGCGATGTCCCAAGTCCCTCACGGAAACTGAGTCAGTCTAGGACGAGTATAGGTGTTGGTGGAGTGTTTTTATTGTATATCTCTTATTAGGGCGTTTGGGGAAATTATACCAATGGGATTTCCTTTTTCTTATTCTTCGCCATTCCACGTAGGCGATTTCCTTGACAATTGTCATCTTTTCAACCTTAACAGCTCTGACACCGACGGTGTACTAAGCCTAGTCGATTCACCCAACTACGGCCATGATGAACTTGCATGACAATACACTTCTTTGACATCGGTCATGTATGTCGGGCACAGCACAGCGACCGTACATTTTCCTCAACTCTTTTATCGCGTCGAGATAGTTCCTTTTGAATCTTTTACCGCGACTTGCTTATCCTTGGGTGGTCTTCAACACTTTTATGGACCGGACAAGCATTTTCTGCTTGTCGGTTTTCATTTCCCCTGGATCGGCGCTGCTTGACCACCTCACGCCGTTATCCTGGACCTAATTAACACACATTGCCATCCGATAAAAGCTATTGGCAAGTGTGCTTTTTAATAACTTGGTTTTCTACTTTACTTTGTTCATTCTTTCAGTGGGATATTGGGATAAAGCCCAGGCGGCTTGTCTAGGGTTCTTGGGTCATAGTGTAATGGGGGATTGGGATTCCTTTTGTGCTTCAAGGTGCATTTGAAAGTACCGTGTGGCGTTTATGAGCAGCTGGATCGCTGTCCTGGGTAGGCGTCACCAAGATGTGTACCTGGAAGCCAGTTGGACACGATGGCATGGGATTTTCCGGGGTAGATATATGTTAGGTTAAAATGTGATTTTATGTTACTTTTCGTTCCAACTTGTGACGTATGATGAATATGTGATGGTGTTGCGGTAGTGTGGCATGGTTATAAAGGGTTAGTGCATATGGTTGCTGGTTGTATAAGACAAAGACGATGCGGAAGACCCGGAGACTTGATCAGTAAGAAGGAACTTGTAAAATACGCTTTGTGCATTGCAAGCCGCAGTCTTGTGTGACATGAGGCTGGATCGTGTAGATCAACGGGACAAAGAGGGGATACTCTACTTCGAGATATGGTTGGGAACATTGCAAGTTGGTCTATACCGTGAAAGTATCTGCAATGCGTGGAATATTGCGGACGTCGGACCATGCTGGCTTGTTAAAGGTTTAGCGAAGCTCGATCAATGTCTCATAGTCCGGCAGTTGATGTTCGGCTGACTCGGATGAGGCGGAAGCGATATTGGTCCGTGTAAGAGCTGTGCTGCCAGGGCTGAGTATTCGTCCGCGGTTTCCAAAGATATGCTTTTGTCGCGTTCTATGATGGTTGCCGATGGTCTTGCGTGTGTTTTGAGGCGCAGGAAGAGACAGAGAGGATGATTGGGTTCACTTGCACGTGTTGCAGGCGTTGGTCAGCTTTTGAAGGACGGAAATAGGATAGAATACGAATTTAGATCAGCTTGGAGTTGATAACCTCTGGCAGTTGAATATCTATTTGTCTGGTAAAAAGAGAATGAGGAGGAAAAGAAATAACCTTCTTAATACCCCGTTAAACCTCTTGTCTTATAAGCCAACCGTTAACTTCCCCAGTTCCTGAATTGCCGTTGTTTTGGGATGAAACTTGGAGAATGGGCAAGCCTATTTTCTCACCGGATGGCTTGAATTAAAGTATGATTAGCGACTTGGCCGGACCAAATGACGCCAATCAACAGGGGCTTGAGTGAGGCACAGCGCATAGCCCACGTCAAGGGCCTTGCTGGTTGGTGATGATTACAGAATGGCTGCGCCTCATTCATCAACGACTGAGACGTGTAAGCTTGATTCGAGAGAAAGACACGAGGTTGGGGTGTTTTCTTAGACGAAGTCCGCAAAGATAATGCGAAGAATTGCAGTAAAGAAGCTATAGAGTACGCGTCTAGTAGCGTTCAATAGCTGACAATACTTTAGAGGCGGTAATTAATAGGATGACGAGTTGGGCAGGCGTAGCGTAGGTAGCTTACAGACTCCGCTCCATCCTGGAGTTATCAGTAATCACCGCCTCGGGCTGTATACGATCCCGTTGCCCAGCCCAACTCAATTCTGACAAAACCTCCACATTCTCCATTCTCCATACCCCATCTCCATCTCCATTTACCCATCTCAAGCTGTTCCTGTTAACCTCTCGTTCAGTCTATTCTTTTACTCTCTTTTCCACCCAAAATTCGACTTGAAAGCTAAACCTATCGACTATTGACCCATTCCAACAAAGCTCCAATCTAACTAAACCCGGCGCGTTCCCTGCCATCTCTCCACACCTGGCAACGTCTATTCCAGATGCTGCCGTCAATTCAACGGCCTTAATATGGCTCCTCACCCCAGCGATAACGGACGACAGTCTCAACCTGCAAATTATGACGATGAAGAGATAGCCCGTGATCTTGCCGCTCTCGACGAACAATATCCTCGAACATCCACCAATTTCTCTCGACCGCGGAATACAGGCCGCTCTTACACTGGCCCTAACAACGATCGCTTACCACGCCGATCTTCAACTGACGATACCAATGTGAGATCTGGATCGAGGTCTCGGTCTAGACGACCTGACGATGGTTCGCTCCCGCGAGCGAGCGGTCCTCACGAATTGCGCCCAATTCCCGCGAGAACCGAAGTATCCACTGACCTTGGTGGTCCTCCCGAGTATGCGGATCGGACAGACAAGTCTTTCACTTCGCCAATTGAAAAAGCCAGTCTCGGATTCAACGGAAACTCTGCTGGGGCCGAGTCTTCAGTGCGTAATGACATTAAAAAGTTCCTCACACAAAGGCGCGCAAAAAGGATTGGGCCTGGCGCAAAGCCAACATGGAAGGATCGCACTCAGAAACAGCTCGAAAAGTTTCACCAAAAGGTGATAGTCGAAACAATTCTCCGTCAGAAACCTCTCGAACCTTTACCTGATGGCCGTCATATCCCTCTCAATCCCACGCCGCGAAATGCTAAAGGTCTTATCGATGAGCGTGCTGGAAAGCCTTACACCAGTAACTTCATCCGGTCGAGCCGTTACACCATTTATGATTTCTTCCCAAAACAACTCTTGTTCCAGTTCAGCAAACTTGGAAACTTCTACTTCCTTGTTGTTGGTACCATTCAAATGATACCCGGTCTAAGTACTGTCGGACGGTGGACTACTATTGTACCTCTCGGCGTATTTGTCGCATTCAGTATGGCCAAGGAAGGTTACGACGATTACAGGCGTTACATGCTTGATCGCGTGGAGAATCGCAGTGAAGCTTGGGTTTTGACGGACAAAACTAGCGAGAAGAGTCGTGTTAGGCACGCTGACAAGATGAAGAGGAGGAAAGAAAAGGTTTCCGAGAGTGGAGAGGAGCACATGCTTGATGACTTGGAGACAGGCACTGCAGGCACCGGAAAGCTCGGGAAAGATGGAAACTGGACTCAAGTTCAGTGGCAGCATGTCCGCGTTGGCGATGTTATTCGTTTGCGCCGCGACAATCCTGTTCCTGCCGATATGGTGCTTTTACACGCCACTGGCCCTAATGGCATCGCCTACATCGACACAATGGCACTTGATGGTGAGACCAACCTCAAAAGCAAGCAGGCATGCCCTTTACTTGCCGAACGGTGCAACACTCTTGAGGGCCTGCGAGCGACACAAGCCACTATCATCTCCGAAAACCCCAATCTGGACCTTTACAGCTACGATGGTCGGGTGACTGTTGATGGAGAGACTCTACCCCTTTCTATGAACAATGTCGTCTATCGTGGCTCTACCCTCCGTAACACAGCCGAAGCGCTAGGTATCATTGTGAATACTGGCGAGGAGTGCAAGATTCGGATGAACGCCAACAAGAACGTCAGCGCCAAGAAGCCTGCCATGCAATCAATCATTAATAAGATGATCATGGTCCAGATCTTTGTTGTTCTCATGCTCACAATGGGGTTGACAATCGGTTACTACTTGTGGAAGGATCGTACTGAGGATTTTGCTTGGTATATCAGGCGACGTGGCTTTTGGAATGGAAGCGTCCCCTTCAAGGAAATCTTCTTTGGGAACATCATCATGTTTAACACACTGATCCCTTTATCTCTTTATATCAGTCTAGAGATTATTAAGTTGGGACAACTGTACCTACTCCAGGACGCAGATATGTACGACCCAATATCCGATACACCCATGGTGGCCAATACCACTACTATTCTCGAGAACCTTGGTCAAGTCAGCTATGTATTCTCCGACAAAACAGGAACCCTAACGGAGAACATCATGCGCTTCCGCAAATTGTCCGTCGCAGGTGTAGCTTGTCTGCATGATATGGACGTGCAGAGGGACCAAGAGGAGATGCGCAGAAAGATCAAAGAATCAGAGCGACCAAAGAAGGGCAAATCGAAAATGGGAAGTTTGTCGGCAACAAAGAGTACGGGCAATGTCTTGGATGACAGCGGAAACGGATCTCGCAGACCAGAGGCTATTAGAACCATGTCAACCAGATCTGCAAGTCAGTGGAAATCGACTGTCAACACACCTGATAGTACCGACATGAAGACGGAGGATTTGCTGGACTACATCCAAAGACAGCCCAACACCCCTTTCTCACGAAGGGCCAAGCACTTTTTGCTTTGTATTGCTCTTTGTCATACTTGTTTGCCAGAGAAGACAGATGGTGGCGATATCACGTTTCAAGCTGCTTCCCCCGACGAACTGGCACTTGTGGAGGCCGCCAAAGACCTAGGATTTCTTGTGATTGATCGACCTGCACAAGCTATCATGCTGGAGACTCGAGACGTTGATGGCTCCATGCAGACAGAGACGTATCAGGTATTGGATGTGATTGAGTTCAGCAGTAAGAGGAAGAGGATGTCCATCATCATTCGCATGCCTGATGGTCGCATCTGTATCTTTTGCAAGGGTGCCGACAATGTCATTATGCAACGTCTCAAATTAAGCAATCTCGCTGAGGAGAAGGCGAAGGACATTGGCCGCCGCACGAGTCAACGGAGAGCTTCCCGGCAGGACCAGGCCCTGCGAAGGATGAGTACGCATAAAAGCGCCAGTCCTTACGGTAGCCCCAATGGCAGCCCTCGCAACAGTTTCGGGTTCTCCAGAGGTGAATCGTCTAATCGAGATGGACTTCGACTGAGTTTAGGGCGGCGCTCCACAGATCTGAAGCGGCTGTCGCAGCAACTTGCTCGAACGCCTCGGACCTCTTCAGAGATGCTGAGCCCAATCAGCCCTCGACAAAGTCTTGGTCAAATGCCATCATTTGAAAACACTGAACTCAGGATCGATGAGTCATTGGCATCAAATGAAGGCGCTGTGTTTGAGAAGTGCTTTCAGCATGTTAATGATTTTGCCAGCGAAGGTCTTCGTACTCTGCTGTATGCCTACCGCTACATCGACGATGATTCTTATCATCAGTGGAAGGCAAAGTACCGAGAGGCCGAGACAAGCTTGATTGATCGCCAGGAGCGTATCGAAGCTGCCGGTGAGCTTATCGAGCAGAAGTTCGAGCTAGCTGGAGCAACCGCAATCGAGGATAAGCTACAGGAGGGGGTTCCAGATACCATTGACAAGTTGCGTCGGGCCAACATCAAAGTATGGATGCTTACGGGCGACAAGCGCGAGACTGCTATTAACATCGGCCATTCAGCTCGTGTGTGCAAGCCATGGTCTGAGGTTTACGTGCTGGATGCGACTTTGGGTGAGCTGAAAGAGACCATCACCATGACTCTCAACGATGTTAGTCGTGGAATGGTTCCTCATTCTGTTGTGGTTGTCGATGGTCAGACACTCGCCAAGATCGACCAAGACGATGAGCTGTCTCTTCTCTTTTATGATCTTGTTATACGTGTCGACTCCGTCATCTGCTGTCGAGCTTCCCCTTCGCAGAAGACAAACTTGGTTCGCTCGATTCGGACATACGTGCCTAAGAGCATGACCCTGGCAATCGGCGATGGCGCAAATGATATTGGCATGATTCAAGCCTCTCATGTTGGTATTGGCATTTCTGGTCGTGAGGGTCTGCAGGCTGCCCGAATTTCGGATTACTCGATTGCGCAGTTCCGTTTCCTACAGAAATTGCTCTTTGTCCATGGCCGTTGGAACTACATGAGAACTGGAAAGTATGTACTTGCTACTTTCTGGAAGGAAATTCTGTTCTTCATCGTACAGGCTCACTACCAGCGCTATACCGGATACTCTGGAACGTCGTTGTATGAGTCGTGGAGTTTGACCGTCTTCAACAGTGCTTTCACTTCGCTCCCTGTTATTCTTCTGGGTATCTTCGAGAAGGACCTGTGCGCAGAGACACTGATGAGGGTTCCAGAGCTCTACACTTTTGGTCAAAGAAACCTGGGCTTCAGATTCTCTCAGTACTTTGCGTGGATGATCATGGGTGTTGCAGGCAGTTTTGTGATTTGGTACTTTACATGGTGTGTCTATGACAGGACATTTTACGATCGAGACACAAGCATCTTTGCCATGGGCATGGTTAGTTTCACTGTTGCTGTTATCTTCATCAACATTAAGCTCCTGTAAGTCTGTTACTCACCGATGAGGAAGCATATACTAATTCCGAGTAGGATCCTTGAAGTACACACCAAGACGGCCATTACATTTGGCGGTTGTCTGATATCTGTCGCTGGCTGGTTCTTGTGGATGCTTGCTCTCTCGGGCATAAAACCTACTAGTTTTGGGCCTTACATTGTCCGCGACGCTTTCATTGACAATTTTGGTCGCACGCTGCAATGGTGGACGCTTGTGCTGCTTGAACTTATTGTTCTCATCGTGATTGACTTGGTGGTTCAAGCTGTTCGACGAGTCTATTTCCCCTCTGACCAAGATTTGATGCAACGCATTGAAAAAGACGGCAACGTGGATAGAGTCTTTGGCGATGGCAAAGACGCTGAAGAGGGAGATCTGGAGGCTGAAGAGAGGGTTCTTACAAACAATCCAGCTCCTGAGGATGAGAGAATACAGGAGAGGAGGCAGGGTCGTGCAGGTCAAGATGACTATCAGCCGAAATTCACCGCTACGGCTGAAGAAGAGAGGGACAATCCAATGGAGCAATGGCGGGGTTGAATGGGTTTCTTTTGTCTATACCAATGTTTGCTTCATGCGGTGCTTTTGTTCGGTAGAAACGGACTCACTGGAGTTGAGGTTTGGGTTTGTAAAGTACAGAGCGTGCGAATAACGTATTACTAAATAGTAGTATAACTATAGCCCTTGTGGTATGAATGAACGAATAATTCTATCTCGACTACCGGTAAATACAGGTGCGGGGTGCTTGATTTGACCCTGCTCAGGGACTGATTCCGTCATTGCGAAAGATCATCGGGGTGATTACCGAAGCACGTGGAGAAATCGAAGAAGACCTCGGCGTAGGTACCTTGTTTATCAATGCTACAGTCCCTACAACCAATTGTTAGAGAATGTAATAACTTATCATCACCGTCAGCGCCAGCGTCAACTTTTCTTGCTTTATTCTCACGTCTATTCCACCCAGAAAATTTCAATGGGCGCATCATGCCCCCCAGCGACTGTGGTCGCTATGCAACCGCCACCGCTTAGACAAGCTGTTCCTTGCGCATCGTCGCTTCATCCGGCATTTTTCACAGACAGATTCCGACGGGTGCCTACTGGTTTGGTGGTGGGATCGGGTGCGAGTCCTATTACGCAGGGCTATGTTTATCAGGAGAGCGAGAAGAGGAAGCCTAAACTGTGATGGCTCGGAAACATGCCCGACGGTCGCTTCTGCATGCGTCTGTGATGAAACCGGAGCGCATGGATGGAGGTTATGCGCCAGCGACAGACTTGAAGAAGACGCTAGGAGTTGAAGATCAACGAGGCGAAAGAATGGAAGGTTACGACATTTTCACGATTACGACAATAGTTGGAAACAGATGCATTGGTATTCGGGGTATCAGTTTGATTGAAAAGAGGCCTTTGTTGCATAATTATACCCTTCCGTGGGCCTGTCCCATCAGTTCGCCATAGGAAATACACATTTTCAATAAGAAAAAAAGGACTGGCTCGACGCTCACGAGCGCACGACAATATCACATCCTACCTTAGCCGGAACCGTTCTTGATCGCAATCACAATTGCCATGATGATGAGGAATACTACGAGCGCCAAGAGCCCCATAAGCTTGACGTTCTTCCACCACATCTTGCGCTTCAGACCTCGACTGCGCACACGGAACTCGTGCGCACTACCGCCCAAGCGATCCGTCTTGTCAACCAGCAGGTCCAGGCGCTCGCCGCGCTCAAGCAGACTCTCGATGTTCTTGGTCATGATTCCTCTGACGTCGTCGATCTCGCGCTTGGCGTTTCCGATGGCATCGTCGCGACCGCCGCTGGTGGTGCCGTAGTCAACCATGAGCGACTTGAGCTCTGAGTTGAAGGATGCGGCGCCGTAGTTGGGCATGTCGGAGAAGTCGCTGCTTTCGGGGAACTGCTGCAGGAAGCGCTTGCGGATCTCAAAAAGAAAACCAAAGGGCACGCGACGGCCAAGCGACGAGTCGGCGATGACGAGGAATGTAAGGCCGCCGGCGGATGGAGAGTCGCGATGCTCAGAGGGGGACTCGGCGACGTAGTGGATCTGGTGCTGGCCATGGGTGTAGGTGAGCTTTTGGGGACTGGTGTGTTCGATCTTAGGGAGGATAAGCGATGCGAGAGATGAGGTTTGCGATGATGCCGATGTTGTACATTCTGCGAGAATCGTGGTGTTGTGTGCGATACAGGAGCTGTAGATTGTTAGCCTGTGTTTACATTTTGTCGCAAAGTTGGACGGACTAGAGCAAGGGAGTCGATGGAGTTGATGAGGACGCCATGATGGGTGAGGCGGTTGGAATGTACTAGCTGTAAAGAAGCTGGTGAAATAATTCTGAGAGTGATGTGGTTGGAGATGAGATAATTGAACCAGCGATAGAAGGCAGTTGTAGTAGTAACCAAGGTTGATCCAAGTTCGTACGAACAATGACGCCCCAGTCGTCGGCGTCTCATCGTCATCTGCAGCGAGCCCCACTGTTCATGCGCAGTGCGGATCGCGGTTAAATGATAACCCGACTCTTTAGGAAATTTTGAGATGAGTTTGAATATGATGGCGACACTCGGTAGCATTCGCCTTCGAGCAAATAGACACGGGTTTTATTCGTTTCTTTTTAATCTTTCGTGGGGAGCATGTTTGGCTCACTCTTCACTTCTTTACAATGAGGTTCTTGCTCCGGGCTGGAGCTGTGCGGGCTCCTCTTGTGCCTTTTTCAATACGAACGCTTTCAACGACGCCTAGGGTTCAACGACAGCCAAAAAGACTAAATGCGCATACTAATAAAGGAAAACCGAGTCATAATGATGAAAAAAAGAGTGAAGGCTCAAGGGCTGGTACAGTATGTTAAAGTCCATTCCTGGGGTTATAATACTTACAGATTTAGGTGAGCCAGGGCCATGATCCTAAATCGAGACTGAGACTTGACCATGGTAAAAAGTCGACAGGTCGACATGGCATGTTCCGATCAACAGTTTTGATGAGATTCCAAGATGTCATTAAGAAGTTTAGTGAGTCGGCTTCATCCATTGCCGGCGTCGGCGAAGAAGAACTTCATGAGCAGGCCGCCATGTTTATGAATGTTCTCGACTCGGCCTTTAAGATGGCAGAGCAGAACATTACAGACCATGTCAAGAACCCTTTGTTCTGGAATCTTCGCGACGCTTTTATCCAAAGAGATCTTAAAGGTCTTACGAAGGAACTTCAGTATTCTTTCCAGTCATTCCTCATCCGGCAGCGATTCTCAAAGAGCCTGGAGGAGAGCCACAAGCGACTGTTGGACTTTCGATTCCCCTATGAATGGTTTCCTGCTACTAGGGCGATGCAGCGTACAATCCATGTCCACGTTGGACCGACAAACTCCGGAAAGACGTACAGAGCTCTCAAAGCTTTGGAGAATTCCAAGCGAGGAGTCTATGCTGGTCCCCTACGTCTGCTAGCGAACGAGGTTCATCAGCGTTTAACGGCCAAGGGATTACCGTGTGCGCTACTGACAGGAGAGGAAGTGCGCTTACCGGAAACTACTGATACATATTTCACGAGTTGTACAGTGGAGATGGTTCCCCTGAACGATCGATTCGATGTGGCTGTCATCGATGAGATCCAGATGATTGCTGATCCGGATCGTGGGCAAGGCTGGACAACAGCATTGTTGGGTGTCCAGGCCAAAGAGGTCCATCTCTGCGGTGAAGAGCGGACAGTCAAGCTGATCGAGAGTATCTGCGCCTCTATCGGCGACAAGTGTATTGTGCACCGATATGACCGACTTAGTCCTCTTGAGCCCATGGATAGATCTCTGGGAAATGACTTTGGCCTACTCGAGAAGGGTGACGCAGTTGTTGCCTTTAGTCGCAAGAATCTACATATACTCAAGAAAACCATTGAGAAGAAGACTGGCCGGCGATGTGCTATCATCTATGGAACTTTACCGCCCGAGGTGCGCGTTCAGCAAGCAGCCCTATTCAACGATCCTGATAACGACTACGATTTCATTGTCGCCAGTGACGCCATTGGTATGGGGTTGAATCTCGAGATTCGGAGAGTCATTCTTGAATCAGTTGCCAAATACGATGGCAGTCAAAACAGAATGCTCTCGTTCCCTGAGCTGAAACAGATCGGAGGTCGTGCTGGACGATACCGAACTGCTCGCCATGTCACCCATGGCGAATCAAGCGCTGATGCTGTTGCCCAAGAGGAAACTAAGGTTGGCTATGTCACTACAATGGAACAGCAGGATCTTAGATCGGTGCATCGGGCTTTCAGTGCTGAGATTGACGATATCGAGTCAGCATACATTACCCCTCCGGCTTCTGTTGTCGAACGTTTCTCAACATACTTCCCCAAGGGCACGCCTCTATCGTTCATCCTCATGCGCATTCGAGAGCTTTCATCTGTGAGCAAGCAGTTCAAGCTCCACGTTCCTCCAGATAAGCTCGAGGTTGCCGATGAGATCCAGGATATTCCAATGACGATATACGACCGACTTACCTTTACCAACTTGCCTGTATACTCACGTGCCGAGGGTGCCTTCGATGTTCTTCGCGCCCTCGCCCGCATCGTTTCCAGTAGCAGCAGTGGAGAGCTACTGGCGATCAAAGAGATCCCACTCGAGAACCTGGAAATCGATTTCAAGACTTTTAAAGGTCAGCCAATGGCTTATCTGCACAAGCTCGAATCTCTTCACGCAGCTATCAACCAGTACATCTGGCTGTCGTACCGTTTCAGTGGCATGTTCCGAGACCAGAAGCTTGCGTTCCACGTTCGTTCACTAGTTGAGGAAAAGCTGATAGACACTCTGGATAGACTCGACTTCACCGAGTCCGATCTGGAGAGTACCCGCAAGAGGCTCAGATACGAGGCGTTGCGGAGGAAGTCGACTCGCAAGGTGTTGGGAGAGGGAGACCTCAAAGATGTCGAACAGGAGTCGGACGACACGCCTCTTGATGACACGTCTCTCGAAGATATGGACTGGAAGGCATCCTCCCCAACATCGGGATGATAGTATTATTGAAGTGATGGCACTTGTACAATAGGGGCATGACGTATGATACGGCGTTGACTTGGGATTGCATAGATGGAATTAAAATGGATATCTTTGATGTAAGATTATTATTAGAAACAATGTATGACGGTTGTACAATACAAATAAACAATGCACCAAGGCAAGCTCTGCCACGTGCTTTTATTCCATAGCGGTCACAACTTTTCATTGTTCACGGACATAACTTGTAGACCTTGTGAGACATGTTATTATTGAATCACACATTGTATCACCATCATAGTGACTCACAGTCTTTCTGTTGTGTGATGGTGGTGGCTTTGTTCTCTATTCGGGGTCATCGCAAATAGGCTCCCACCCATTTTAATTAGACTAGACCCCTGACCTTAAATATTACAGGGACCGTAGGGCTCCCGAGCACTCCACTAACGTCATTTGCGGACCCCTGTAAGTATAAAGTGGAAAGCTCAGCTGCCTTCATCCCACTCCACTCGCATTTCACGCTGACTTCCAAACTTCGACTTCGACTTCGACTATCAACTTACTTTCTCCCGACGGCCAAGGGCCCTTTGTGCTACGAGGCGTTTCGCTGTACTCGTACACCAGTATCGCGATATATTCTCCGAATCGTCTACCCGCTACTGCATTATCTCGCGATGGAGCACCCCTCCTATGTCAACAACGCCGTGCCTTGCGCACCATACACTCGTCGAGCCCCTAGCCCGCCCTTTATTCACATCCCGCCTACGGGGCAATGTGGAGGTTCTGGGGTCCCAAACCTCATGCCATCGTACGAAAATGTCGACCCGAGTCAGTTGACAGCCGCGGATGTGGAAATCATCACCCAGAACGCCATGCAGATCGCGACCGACCGCGCTGCAGACTGGTCCTACGAGTTGCGCCGCGATGCTCAGAAATTGGTGGACTTTCTCTACCTCGGTCCCAACAGCGTCGTAAAGGACCATTCGTGGCTGGCTAGTGAGGGCATTACCATGATTTTGGCCACCAGGGATGCGCGCATGACGGGGAGAAAGCTCATGACCATAGAGAAGGCAGCGGAGGCTCTGGGAATTGTGGTGCAATATGTTGACCTTGACGGCTACGATACACTTATTCGTGATCTTCCTGGTATCATTCGACTCACCAACGACCACCTTCTATCCATCTACCACAGACAGGCTCAAGGAAGGGGTCAAAATGGCGACATTGTGGTCGACCCCAGTACCTTCCGCCGAGGCAAGGTCTTGATTACATGCGAAACTGGAAACGACCGCTCAGCCGCCATCGCTGCGGCTTACATCATGGCTGTTTTTGGCAAAGACATGGTCACCGCAGTACAGTTCATCACCGTTCAACGCTTCTGCTGCTCGTTTGATGAGGATATCAAGCGCAAGCTCCAGAGCTGGGAGGACGTTCTTCGCGCGCGTTCACAGATAGCTTCCGACACTGCCACTCCGCGAAACGCAACGCACGCAAAGCGACGCATCTCCGACGTCATGGACACCGACGAGGACTCTGATGTCAAAGAGCACTCGGTAGATCAGGACCGATTTATGGGACGAAGCGGGTTTGTCCCCTTCGTTGATATGTAATGCGGACGGCAAGAGATTCACGGAGTAAGACGGGCATCAGGATGGCGTTGGGAAATGGCTTATATACCCTGTATAATTAGTGACATCACAGTTGTCGGACAACTGATGTGTCTTTAGTAACGAATTGTTTGTTTTAATGCTGTGTGTTATCAAGCCCTCGTGAAAGGATTCATATGCAGCGACAGTTTGGCTGCTCTTGCTTTCGAACAATAAACCCGGATAGCTAAGATTGTGGCTGATCAAATTATTGAGTTTTCCTTTATGCTCAATAGTAGGAGGCCAGATGTATGGTGTGAGATGATATGATAAGGTGTCCATCAGAGTTCACGACATGACAGATACAGCCAACGAGAGCTCTACCAGCCTCAAGCCTTAGCTCTCGTGAACGTATCATAGCTAAAGATAGATGCGTGTTCATTTTCGTCATGCTCCAAGAAATGCACAGAACTCTATTCGACCATCCTCGAAACTATAGTTGGCAGTGCCAGGTGTTTGGCACTGCCATATGTCAATGTGAATCGTGATATTCACAATCTCCGTGGCAACAACGTATACACTGGGTCATGAATTTATGAATTACTTTTAGAATTCGGAGTCACTGATAAATTCACTTTGAGGCTTGCTCATATACTTTGTCAAGCCCTTTGATCACCAGCATTTACCCAGCACGCACAACTGACACATCACAGTTTGCAGCGAAACTATGAACTGAAAAGACCAACAAGGCACACCTGGAAAGTTAATCTAATCTCTTCTACTGCATGAAGCTTGGAGAGTCACATTTGTTCCAGCATTGCGTCTGGAAAACATAAGCTGAATCAAAGAACAACAATATCATCTTAGCTTTTCACCTCCACCTCCACCCTCACCCTCACCCTCACCTTCATCTTGACCCAAACTTTAACCCCTACAAGAGATCAAAAACTTCTACTGCTCGCTACTTCTGAGTCACAAAAGGGTGCACCGTCGCAGCTTCCATAACCACTTCCGCCTTTGGAAGTTTGTCCTGCAACAGCACAATCAACCCCATCCTTGCGCTTTCGTCTACAATCCACCTGCCAACATGACTAGCATTGAGGCTCGAAAGCTTGCAGTCTTGGCCACACTCATGGCCTCAGATATCCCTCCCCCTCCCGATCCCCTTCCTTATGGGTGGCCCATTAATTCGACTCACGTAACTCGCCTTATCACTGACCCGGAATATGCATCGCGAAAAGTTAACAAAAAAATGGAATTGGCTATTCTGGAAATACTTTGGGGGGACTACATGCAAAGCCAACAGGCAGCGGCTTCGCGATCGATGTTTGATGAAGCTCAAGGCATGGGCGAGAAGGTGGCTGAACAGCGTGACCAACAGAGTGATGATGAGAAGCTATTATTGCAAATAGACTGGTCACCTGAGAATCGGAGAATGCCTACTCAACGTAAGTCACTTCCTATTTATAATCTTGAAACGGATTTTAACACTTCGACAGCACTCACAGAGGAACAAAAGAAACTTAGCAAGATTCCAATGACAGGCTGGAGTGCAATGGAACGGGATGTGGCCATGATACTCTTTCACAACGATCTTCTCGAGTATGACTCCGACGTTACTGAAGAAGAAGCCCAGCACGGGAAAAGAAACCGGCCAATTGATCTATCGAAAAATGAGTCCAAATTCACGCCCCCTACAAGACAGTAGGACAGTCTCTCATGGGGCGTCAAATGGACCATCCTCTGGGTTCTGAGTGAAACAAATCGCTTTGCAAAAGCAGTCACTTTGATTTTACACCTTGACCGAAAGCAAATCCAACAGTTTATGGAAATGTATATTCGTCAGTATTGTATTCGGGAGACTTGGGAGGAGGAGGTTAAGAAGATCCCCAACGCTTCACTTCTAGAACATGCACTTAAGAGGCGACAGAGCGTTGTGGATCTCCTCCACGAATATCGCCCTCGTCTTTATACCGACGAGATATCTCTGGAGGATAGAGAAAAGGGGGTGGAGTTCCTGCAACAGCTGAACTTCCCTGGTGCGATTGAAAGGTTTCTTGAGGTGACTGGCCAAGACCTGGTGGACTTCTTCCGCCTAGAAATCGAGTGGGTGTTCATCCAGGAGGTTATCGACAAACAGCAGATTATGACTGCAGGTTATCTGGGATGGATAGACCTGGAGAAGTATCTGAAGAGTTTGTTGGTGAAATCATCATCGTCTATCCCAGTCCTTTCTTGCCACCCATTTTTGGACACCAAAAAGGCCAAAGTTCCTGCTCAGCCAGTGGAAGACAACAGAGAAGACCCTCATAGGACAGAAGATGAGGGAGAAGCGTTGCCAAGTAAAGGGACACACTCTCTGGAAAAGGGAAAGGAACCCGCTGGGCCCGAGTCCATGGATGAGGATCTAGAAAACAGCCCTCATGTTCCATATCTCATCCCATATCTCATCCCAGGACCTCTTGGCGAGCGCCCACTACCAATTCAGCGCAACGCGATCATAATGGCGTCTCAAAGAATGTTTCCGGACGCCTACAAGAAGATACAAGGATTCGCAACATCAACTCTGTTGGAGCAAAAAAGAAGGCCATTGGCATCGCCATCAGCGTACTGTCCCCAGGAGATCCACTCTTATGCGAAACAGCTTCTCAAAGGTATTGTTGGTCGCAAGATGGAGGCTCCTATAGACGGAGAGGCAGTTGGATACGAAGATCAACCCAGACAGCGATCGACAAGAGAGGAGATGGGTGAGCCATCCAGTCGAGGACAGGCTCAAAGTAGAATGGCAGAGTGGTTTTCCCATAGCCCACGAGACTTGGGACCTCAACGACATACAATGCGTCACTTTCGAGATGCTGTCGTTTATGATCCAGTATGGTTTGCTGCCTCTCCAAGCCCGGGCCTTGAGTCAGTCGATAGTAACGAAACCGGACGATGGCTTGACTATGGGCACGATCATGGGCCGCAAGATGGTGAATTCATAGGTGCTCCTCCTGGGTTAGTATCAAACATATTCGCAAAACCCGTTGAACCAGTGATACCTCTGCATTTACTACACAAGCAGGATGTCCCTATTGCCGAAACCTCACATCTCGACCAGCTTCGACAGATGCTTGACACAAAGTACGGCAACATCATAAGCGACAAAAAGAAGAAGAAGAAATCGTCAACTGGACAAGAGCTCGTCACCCGTCATCGAGCATCCTTGGAAGCAGAAGACCATGAAGATGACGATGAAACCGAGGACGAGGACGCAATGAACCTTCCTATTGTTCTTCCCGAACCGGAGAAAGACGAAGAATACGATCCCGAAAAGAAAGCCCCCAAAAGAGCTCCGAGGAAGAGAGCTAGTAGGAACACTGGAAGAAAACTTGGTCGGCCAAGAAAGCAGACTACTAAGAACGATGAGAGTGAAGAGGCGGCTCTGATGGAGCAGACTGGGGACAGTGAAGCCCAGAAGGCACAGTCGGTCGTTGAAGCTACAGAGAAGACGGGTACACGGGAGTATAGTGCCCCAGAGCTTACCAACACCATCACTACTCCGAAGAAAGGACCTGCAGATGATAGTCCAGCCAGCAATGGGCCTCCATCCTCTGGCCGTATCAAGCTCCTCGTCAAGTCATCCCGAAAAGACCCAACCTCACCAAACCCCAACTCTATCGAAGATTCCATCACTGTTGTACCTCTCAATCAACCCACTACGCCTACTCGTACTCCTATAGCACGAGTATACCACGCTTCCTCCGCCAGTCACGCCATATACGCCGCGGTAGCAGTCAGCGCACGATTTGCCCACACGGCAGACCGAATTGCTCCACCTCCTGGCAAGGCCGTAGCACCAAACAAATCATATGAGCTGGGAAAGCTACATCAACTATCTAAAACATATGAGAGCATCAAAATGGGCGATGCACAGGATGCTGACAGGGCGGAGTTTGCGGCTAAGGCAGATAGGGCCGAATATGCTGAGAAGGCAGATGAGGCTAACTATGCCTTGAGAATCGAGAGAACGGGCAATCAAAAAGGGAATTCATAAATCTTGACGTTTTATAGTGGTGGTCCGTATGAGGATTTTCACGGGTTGTTGGATCGTGAATTGGTATATTGCTGATGCTCAGGGCTAGAGAAATGGCGTCCTTGCATCATACAGAATTTGCTTGGATCAGTAGAGGATAAACAAGTAGGATTTGCTATTATCGTTTGTGGTTTTTATGATTCAGTATGAAGTGTGGGTGAAAGTTGTCATGAGCCAGTCATTGAGGAGCAACTGCAGTAGGATAGAGCAGTAGACTCAGTTATCATGTACACTTCGTATCTGAGGCCAGTTTGATAAGTCCTTATCTATTTTCTAGTAAGGGCGTAGAATCTAAGTAGATCAGTCTACGCAATGGCTTATCCCATTCATCATTCTGAATCTTGGTACAGTCTGTAATGCCTTGCACTTCAGGACATGACTACAAGACACAAAGCGAAGTAATTTGCTTACATCGATTCTCACAAAATATGCGAAGCCCGGAAAACACTAAAAAATCCCATAAAGATATTCATACAATATTCCTTTGCTTACAATCTTCCTGGAATAATACTAGAAAGTGCTCGTCTGTCTGGCGGCACATAAGCCTCCCTCGCCTCAACACTCTGCCATAACTGCGCCGAATAATACACAAACGGCAGATCCTCGAAGGCCAGATACGAGTTGGCTCTCACAAAATCTTCAAAATCTTTCACGTCCTTTCCAGCCAGCGCAATCTGAATCTGCTGCACCCAGAACATACCCTGCGTCATACCAACTCGCTCAGCAACCTCCAACGCCGTTGACGACGCCAGCGAAGCATCACCTCTCTTTGTGCTCGTCGCAGCAGACTTGGTCTGTCCGGTGAGACGTTTGAAGAGAAAGCGTAGCAGGCTTGCGTGGCTGACAACGTTGAGTTCAGACTCTGGGATGAGTTTTGCTTCGTCCATGAGTATCGCTGCTAGGAAATCTAGATCTTCTTGCGGTGGTAGGTCCGCGGAGACTGTAGAGCGATGGTTGATGGCGTTGATCATCTGGGTGCGTGCAAGGTCCATTCTTGCTTGGGAAGGCATACCGAAAACGTTTGGAAGAGCTTTCTGGTCGGGGATCACAAAACTCATCCGAGCGGGGATACTTTCCCATTTGGATCTAGAGTAGTACTGTTGCCACTCATCGCCTGTGATACCAAATAGGGATTTGAATGCGTCAAAAGTGAGGGTTGACGGTTGTCCCTTAAAGGTATCCTTAGAAGAGGGCTCTGCCTCGAGAGAGCGGATATAAGCGTGGATGATCTGGATCCAAAAGTACGCTTGTGTCTCAGAGTAAGGAGGAACTGAAGAGTCAGAAGCGCGGAGCCGCATTGTAGATGACTGCAGAGCTTCAAGTGCTTGCTTTACGACACCTCCACGTCTAAGATTGGAGGATATTGTCTTTTGAACCACAGAAAAGGCAAATCGGGGTAGTCGATTAATGTCGCTCGTAACTCGATGCTGTTTCGGCTTCTCAGAAGTTTTAGGCTGTGCGGTTGACGGCAACGGCTGCAAATCAGGAAGATGCCAATTCTCTCTAGCCTTGGGTGTGAAGAGCAAGTCTTTGGAGTAGTAAGACCTCCACAACCCGGAATTCATGAGATGTGGCGCTGAAAAGACGATGTCTGCATACTCATTTCGAGGAGGGAACTCGTCACGGTTCTCTTTCGCTTGGTATTCAATGGCAGCGACCTGAATTTGGTGAAGCCAGAAGATAGTCATTGTTCTGAGTAGGTCAGTGATCAAGAAGCCAGCAGATTGGATATGTACATACTTATGCGCAGTATTGCGAAACCGCTCCGGGTTACCCTCCCTCAATCGATTCAGATGAGCCAGAAATGCATCGGCGCATTCCAGTAGCCCCAAACCTTGAGCAAAGCTATCGTGCATAACAAAGAAGCCTGCTCTGAGATGAGTATAATGATCCCATGACTCAAGACTTCCATCCGTGAAGGACTTCCAGAAAGTACCAGCATCAACACTTTCAGCATTCGCTTTCCTGATCTGGTTGAGAAGCTCATCTTGACTTGGACCCTTTCCTCGCTTCTCTATTTCAGCCTTTGTATCTTGGGCAGCTCTCTTCGGCTGTAGAGTCTGCCTGATCTCATCCATGGCTGGATGTAGCTGCATACCGTTCAACGCACTCAGGCCCGGATAGTCCAAGATTTTAATATCCAACTTGTCCTTGTAAGGCTCGATTTCAGCTTCAATCTGAATTTTCAGGCCTTTGATGACCTTCTCTCTTTCGTCTGGTGGGAGCAGATCTTGCTTGTTAAACAAAATGAACATGTGCTTGGCTTCAAAGTCTGTCATCATCGACAGGCCCATTCGGAGATAGTCAAGCGAGTAGTAGATTCTATCAGGATCCAAGTCATCGCAACTCTGTATAAAAATGAGAAAGCGGTCTTTGAGCATGTAGTGTCGAATCAGGGGTCGGATTCTGTCACATCCTGGATATATCAGCAAAGACCTTGGAATAGGTAGGTGATCTAACCTCCAACGTCCCAAAGCGTAATTTTGTCACCATCCGAATACTCTAGCGTTTCCACATTGAAACCAATCGTCGGAATCGTATGAACACTTTCACCCAATTTTAGTCTGTAAAGAAACGTTGTTTTCCCACTGGCATCGCTGCCTAGTATGAGGCCAACGTGTTCAGTGCCTCTTCCAAGGAGCCAACGAGCGATCTCTAAACAAGTATGTCAGTAATTTCTAGTACATGTTGAACAATACATACGCATGATTTGATAATCTTCTTGAATTGTGATAAGCAAAGTGCTGGTATAGCTGATGCAAGGTAGATCTATATACTTTGGCTAAACAGTTGCCTATCAAGTGGGGAGCTGAGGCTGAACTAAGCGTCGAGAATCTGCCTTGTCCTATTCGCTAATCTGACCGTGCATCCCATCAGACTAGGACAAATTAGAAGTATTCAAGTAGTGCTGATATTGCAGCCTTAACTGAGGATACTTGGCTGCAATATACTGGAATGGGCGTCGTTGCCTGCTATGTTCGTGAGCGCCAACAATTGCTCCGCCCTCACAATAAAGTAGAGCGACGTCTACAAAATCGCATTCGCCATTCATGGGTATCTTATTCCAACTAATCGACAGACCCAGCAAGCGCAACAGCACTGAATCTCAAATCACCACCCTCCCGCTCCAAAAACTTCAGCACACCCAAGTGCAATCCCTTTGAGCTCAGCACATCCTCGTTATCCTCGAGGTCGCCCCGTCGAATAGGTCCCTTTCGTCGTCCATCAAGTTCCCATAGTCCATTGTCTGTTCCCTTGGAAAAGCAAACATAATGCAGCTCGACGTCGTCCTCGGCAGCCGGCGCGGGCGTATCGCCTTGGGTGGCAGCTTCTTTATGGGCAGTCGCTAACTCGGGGGTTGTTTCAAGAACCTTTGCGCGACCACGGGGATCAAGAGGCATGCTCTTCTTGATGATGTTATCAAGGGTAGAACCCTCCTCTACGAAACGTCAGTCAATTCCCTTGGTAGAGCACAATACGTACGAATAAAGCTTCGCGCATTTCCATTTGTAACAGCATGCAACAGGCCCATCAGACCACATGCGTTGCGAATAGTCTGGGGCCACCAAAGCACAGGCTCTGTATCTCCCTTGCCCTTGTACTCATCCGCCAAACTATCCTCTGCCATACGCTGACTCTCGTACACAGCGCTAACGGGGAATACGAGGAGTAAAGCGAGCGCAGGGCGGGGGATGAAGGCGAGGAGGTCGGGGTCGGTCAGCGAGTAGACGTCGTGCATCTCGAGAGCATCAGAGACACCAAGCTTGTGGATGAGCGTTGTCATGAGCTGGGGGTTGGCCTCGAGGGGAATGAAGGCAGGGCAGCCATCAGACGGGTTGGGGTCTGTTGTCGCAGACATTTTGATTCTGTGGTAGGTGTAGTATGGAGAGGTGTTTAAGGTGTGTTGATGTATGGCTATCGGTTGACGAATGATGAAGCTGAAGAAGTTGAGGCTGGAAACGGAATGCTGCCCCACCTACATTTGGCGGGGGTTTTACTGATGACGTCGCCTAAAAACCTCCCTTACGCTACCTCTATGGTGGACGTCTACTTACAGAGGTACAATGATTTTGTGAGGCAAACCATCTTGCTCATAGATAATTACCATTTGAAACCAGAATTCTACCACAAAACTTTCTGAAATAATTATTACCATTTACTAAAAGAAGTCATTTGAGGAAATTTGCAAATTGAGTTACATAAAGTGAGTTTGAGGATAAAACACCAATTTCAAGATGTGCAGGGTAGCAGCAATACCATCACCATTTTACACCATATCACCATCCACGGCAATCACTGTCTCATCTCGCTCCTCATCTCAATCTCACGTTAGCCTTGCCAATCGCTCGATAAACGACGACAATCACTGGCCTTGACCTGACTGCTGATCCCAATATTCTCCTAGTGGCTTGATCAGCGCTGCCATGTTTAGTGTATTGTCCGACCACCAGGCTCGAGACCAACGAATCACCAAAGTTGGCTTAATTATCACAGTTGATAAGCCGACGTGCCGAAAAACGACGGATTCAGATTTATGAAACGATTGATTGATGAGATGTGACATGTTGCGAGGAAAAGCAATAATGCAACTCTGTCCTGTGATATAGCCCTCAAATCTATATAAACAAGCAACTTTTGAAACATTACAAGCAAAAATCTAGATACCACCTGATGAGTAATTTCTTCTGCTACTGCCATTAATTACATGACTAAACGGCCGGCGCTATTTCCTAAGCCTCCAAACTTCATCTCACTAATGTCACAAAGACCACAGTCTGGACCCAACACGAGCGCGGGGTGTGCTAGCCATGAGCTGATTGAGATTTACTGAAGCAACAACTCGTGTGTTCTAGTGTGACCTCGTACAGATAACCTTGAAGCATCAAGGTTTTCAGGACACGATGAACAACACGGGATACAAACACAAAAACACAAACTGAGGCACAAACACAAGCACAAGCACAGTGAGACGGCATGGCAAATTAAATTATCAAAGTAACATATCTTGGAAAGTTTATATTCATCAGCAGCGGCCCGTTCCCGTATCCATGTAAGCAAGGATATCATCGAAAAGTAACAAGTCGTCTCATTGTAACCTTCTGCTTGGACTTCCTAGACAACCATATGACTCGGATGCCGACATTTCCTGTCTCGGGCAAATACTACAGAACAATTTATGCTTCCGTCGCTAATAGCAAGACAATGTCACTCATTTTGCAACCATAAAAATCCACCATCAAAGGTCCCTTTCTCACTTCATTACGTTATTCCCCTCCCGAACCAAGCTGACGGACTCGCTCCAGGGTTGGATTCTTCCGCGTGGAGACCTGTCATTGGAAACGAGTCGGAGGCCCTGCTATATTCGGCGAGTGTCAGGTAAGGGCAGGATGCAAACAATGCAAACCCCAGAACTTCATGTGTGAGCGTTTTCCTTGTACCGAGACTAAAAGTATCCACCCCGTGTAGAGGATATTGCCACGCCGTTTGAACCGGTGGTAATTCTAACGCATGCGTTATGAAGCTCAAGCCTCTTTTTGTCTGTCAAAGCAACATGTCCGTACTCAACCCTCCGGAATGTCTCATTCAAACGCCTCGTGATCTGTGCACGGTATTTCTGTCGTGGAACTCGCTTTGGTTGCAGCTTTTAGCCCCTGAGTGATGTGTGAAATGTGGTCCCTGCATCGGGTTCGCTGTATGACTCGGCTGGGCCGTTGTAGGGAGGAGGGATAGAGTTCAGGGGCCGGGGCTGCAAGGCAGACGCCCCCTGATCCTGGCCTGGGGCGGCTTAATCGGTTAGGCTAGGTTTTGAGATCTGAGTGTAGAAGAAATGTCTTGCTACAGGAATTAAATGTTTGAAATGCTCACGTGAGAATTGCCCAGTCAATGGCAGGTATTCAATCCATTCACAGCCAAAGCAAGGAGTCCTCACCAACCTCCAAATCTGGTTTTGATTGAATTCATCAGTAAACCTCAACCCCAACCCCACCTCTAAATCGTGGCCTGTCACTCCGCTAGTACCTGCAATTGCGCGGATCCATCCATTGCTTCGTTCGCGTCATCGTTAGTTTCATTACCCCTGCGAATAAACCGAGCGTCTTGTCTCCTTTGGGTCAAGCAGCTCGTCCGAGAAGGTTGCGCAGAAGCTTCTCTAACCAGGGAGAGCAGCAGCTCACTTTCCATGTTGTCCTCTCGACCAATTCACTCCAAAAGTCTATAGCCCCTAGAAACAAGTCCCATTCTTAGACTTGCATTAGCTCCGTCAAACGTCTCATACTGTGACGTTTCTGTTTCTCCCTCGCATCCCTCTGTACCAAGTCTTAAAGACGCCTGTTTTCCTTTCTTTTCCATCCACCGCCTGCGTTGCCCCCTCTCGCGCATGCTTTTTATTTTAGGTCTGAATGCCCACGGCGGGTCCTTGATGCCTCACCCTTTATCATCTTCTGATTGCTTATGTATCTGGTTGAGTTGTTGATAAACCCCACGCTGTATCGCGAATCTCTTTTTTGACGCCGATCTGCCATATGGCAGGGCAAAGGCGATCATCATGGGCTTCTTTAGCAACCTCTTTGCGCGCAAGTCGAATGGAAACCGTGCTTCGATCAAGGCTCAAGCCTACAATTCTACTGTAGCTGCTGTGCCGCCAATTCAGGGTAGATATCGCTGTCCAACATCCTGTGTGATTCATCTAATATCATATAGGAACATACCCGGTTGCTGGAAATGGACCGAACGTTTTGGATCAATTGCAGCGAGCAGCCAGAAAACGAAGTCGAGCTCAGCTCTCGACGGTATCACGAGATGTCGACCACAACCGTGATCATGATTCTGCCGCGCCCCCTCCCATGGTTTCCAGATTCAGAGGCATATCTCCCTCACGACCAACCACAGCACCAAACCAAGTTAACAGCCAAACCTCACGACCTCTTTCCCTCTCGCGTAGCATCCGCAGCTCCAATTCAGCCTGGAGTGTTCCCGAGAAACCTACACGAGGTCGCACCGAGAAACCGCCCCCAGTACCATCCATCCCGACTCGTCACCGCCGCGAAAGCTCAGCCGATTCGTTCCAGGAGAAGCGCAACTCGTTCATCGACATCCTCGACGCCCAGGGAGAATTCAAGCCCTTGAACTTTCGTTCGCGCGTGGCAGCAGCCGGTGTAAGAGAATTTGGGGAAGACGTTGCTGAGAGGAACCTGGGCGAGAACGGCGTGGACCTTAATAGTAACGCCGCAAAAGCCTTCTACCGCCTCTCCGGGAGTGGGAATCTCGCGTTGCCTCCTCGTGAGGAACGACCGTACGAGTACGACTATGAGGACGATGACGACGATGATTGTGCGCCCGCACCTGGTGTTCCTCATGGCGACATGGGAACAAGACGAAAGAGTTGGTCCAGACCAACAAGTTCATCAGCATGGAAATCGTTCTCAGGGCCACTTCATAACGATTTGCTGAGGTCAAGCATATCAAATCTCCGTGAAAGACGACCAGAGACATCCCAATCGCTTACCCCAGCAACGTTATCCAAAAAGGATCGGAGAAGATCGTTCAACGCATTTGCTTCTCCACCAGAGCAAGAACATCGTAAGCCTAGACCTCTCAGTCTACATCCATCAATGTCCAGCTTTTCCTACGAAATACCAATATCACCGCCTTCCTCGCCACCACCAGTACAACGATCTTATCCAGCGACCAGCGAAGGCCGCAGCCGACGAAAGAGTTTCGGTCGCATTGAGATAGATACCGTCGACGAGGCCTATGATGAGCCTGCACCATTTCCAATTGTTCCAGCGCGGTTCAAGCCCGAGCAACGGTCCAGCATGTATCTCGAACCAAACTACCGTTATGATCGTAACGACACGCATCACCCACGCCCGGAATCATACCACGGAGGATCAACTCTCTCATCCTATCCCCGTAGCGAAATCTCTCAACTTTCTCGCCCCTCGAGCTCTTCATCTATCGACAAGTCCTTCCCACGGTCACGCACTATGGGCAGTGTTGCTACAAGAAACCCACGTCTTGATGACATTAACGAGCACATTCCCACACGAACATCGTCTTTGAACCAATTGCAAACATGCGTTACACCAACAACAATGTCCTCTGGCTTCTCGAGCAATTTAAATCCCCTTTCCGTTCATCATACACCAAGTACATCCCTTGATGCATCTCTACCTCCATCGATCAAGATGAATTTGGAGCACGAGCAAGGTGCAGTGAATCAAGACAGCTTTTATCTCCCGGCCGAGGAGGACTATCCCGCCGATATACTAGCCCCTTCACGTATAGACATCGAGCGAAACCTCGGCCATCCCATAAACGCAGGCGCTGACATGGATCTCTATCTTTCCGATGCAAGCGAAGACTCAGTGGACTCTTTCGTAGCCTGGAAAGAGAAGCGCCGCAACGAGGAGGGTCTTTTGATGAAGGACAACTACGGCAAAACCGGGGATGGTCTCCCTGGCCTGTTCGAGCCTTTCTCTGGTTTTGATGCTCCAGCTGAACCTCTCCCTATACCCAAAGTCCCATCCGAGCCAGTCGTCTCTAAACGGCCCAAAACACCAAAAAGCCCTCTCCGACCCAGCTCACGAAGTAACAAATCTACACCTCGACGATCAATTCGGAACAATCGTCAAAGCCACAGTAACACCAACACCCCCCTTCGTAACCGCCGAAGCCCCTCGCACAAAGACGAAGATGCAGACTCATTCTGGGAGAGCGATGTCCCTCAAGGTCCAGGTTTCGTCTCTCTTGCCGATCTCGGCATTGACCTTCGCGAACTAGGCTGGGATCAGTACGGCCTGACAGAGGCGGACGATGCTAAAGTGGACATGCACACAGCCATCAAGCTTAGAAAAGCGATGAAGAAGAGAGAGCGGCAACGGCGGAAGGACGAGGAAGGGTGCGCAGCTGATACCGAGGATTGATGAATGAGTTATGAAGCGTATGGAGTTTGGGATCGGGATCAACTACACTTATCAGATTTTCTTTTGTATACTGTATTTTGGAGCAGGATATGGCCTGGTGTCCGTATAGGTCGGGGTTCATATGCCATGGAAGGCTGTTTTATGCGATGAGTTATAGTCTAACGATGGATACCAATATGCATTTCACATTTCGTTATTCCAATCATCGTCTGGCTCCTTTCCCTATGGGTGCCCCGCCGTGTACTTCTCCCCATAGTCCGCTTATCCAACCATTGCTGGTTTAGATCGCGACTAGCAATTCAACACACTCCCGAGAGTTTGTCCTGCCCACAACGAAGAACGCAATCTTCTACCAAACAGTTGATCATATAGAAAAGCATCCACGCCGACGTGACTTTTCAAGAAAAATCATCATATACTCTACTTGCAAGCTGACAAACAACAGCAAACGGCCCCGTTAGCTCAGTGGTAGAGCGTGTCACTCGTAATGACAAGGTCCATGGTTCAATCCCGTGTCGGGGCTAGAACATCATGGTCTATGATGTTTCCCTTTTGCCAGTTGTGTCGATTCTTTTTATTGTTTGGTCCAATGGTTCAATTGCTTTGTCGACACGATTGACGCCGACTTCGGAATTGGTCTGATGCGCTAGTTTGACTTAGTAAGAACGGGATATGATCTGTGAAGATATCTGAGACGATTAGAGGAGGTTGTTAGTGACTTATAATTGAGAAGATTCCATATGTTACTGCAATGACATGATCGTTTACAAACATAAGTTACTCCAACATATTGTACTGTCGAATGTCTCGACAATAGTATCCTCGTTAGTAGGTTCGTGCCATCGATATATAGCAGCGTGCAAGTCCAGTTCCTATCTATAAGAAAGTCTGCTAGAACAAACTGATACCGTGTCCGGGCTGTGTTCGCCGATGATATTGTGGTCTACAGCGGTAGGTTCGAAGGGAAACACTTACATTCATGGATCGCTTTAGCTTCCTCCTCAACTTGCCAGTGGCCCACGGCTGTTCAAATATGCATCTTCTAATGCTATCCATGTTTGTCTTTCCAATCCGTTTGTACGAAAAAAGTAGCGGAAGACACCTCAGGCAATCAGATTGGCAAAGATAGAGGGCAGTCGCGGCTGACACTGCCTTCAGGTGTTTGCCGTCGCACCAAGGCAACTATCCGCACACCCATTCTTCGCCCCAAAAACCCCCGTCTTCCATCTCTTGTCTACAAATACTTGATTTGCTCTCTTTTTCTATTCATGGCCACTGCCTGTCGATATCCCACCGAACCTCAGACTTCGACCAACACTACGGTTTTGCGTTGAATTGCAGCACCCCAACATGGCATCAGAAGACGGCGATACCTTGCCAACTTCTGAAGCAAGTATGCCAGGAAAGACTTCCCGTCAGGAAAAAGGACCCTCGGATGACCAGCCTAGCGACTCTCATGATGAATTACCTACAGACACTGCAAATGAAGAACTAGCAGGCGCTGATGAGTCCGAGTACATCGACACGGACGACGAAGATGACCGTTATGGCTTAGTCGTTCATCCTTCGAAGCCTCGAAAAATCTCAGAAAAGAAGCTTCGCGACCATGCTGCTTTGCAGGCATACATACAAAAGACCCAGAATGAAGTCGCAAAGAGCACCGTTTCCACGTTCAGTGACCCTGACAAGCAGTCACTTGCTCAACTCATCCACTTGAGCGAAAGTCGCAAGATCATTGCAACCCCCCGAGAATATCAGCTTGAGCTTTTCGAGCGGGCCAAAGAGAAAAATATTATCGTGGTTCTACCTACAGGTAATTCCGCCTTCGATCTTTTGGATCCATACTAATAGCCACAGGTTCCGGCAAAACACTCATCTCTGCTTTACTACTCAGACACCATCTCGATCAAGAAATGGAATTTAGAGCTCTGGGAAATCCTAAGAAGGTGGCGTTCTTTTTGGTGGAAAAGGTCGCCCTCTGTGTTCAACAACATACTGTCCTCAGCTGCAACCTTGGAGACTACCCAGTTGCACAGTTCATTGGCGACACAACCGGCTTGGTAAAGACCAAGGAGTATTGGGACGCCCAGTTCAGTGATAACATGGTTATTGTCTGTACTGCCCAGATACTTCTCGATTGTCTAAACAATGGTTTTATCACTATGTCACAGATCAACCTTCTCGTCTTTGACGAAGCACACCACGCCAAGAAGGAGCACCCATACGCTCGTATAATGCGACTACACTACTATTGCCACAAAGGCGAGCGACCTCGAATTTTGGGCATGACTGCTTCGCCTGTAGACTCCCACACCATAGACGTTAGAGTGACGGCCCTCGAGTTGGAACGAGCCTTGGATTGTGAGATCGCGACGATTTCCGACGAGGTTCTTGCGGAGTCGATGGCTCGCCAGAGACAAGTGGAAGAGACAGTCGAATATAAAACCCTTGAATCACCTGAAGATACCAAGACACCACTGTGGGACTCTATCCTCAAACAGATATCTCGAAATGAGCTGTTCAAGGCATCGCTTGACTTTACCAAGGAATGCTCCTCAGTCCTTGGACCTTGGTGTGCAGATAGGTATTGGCAGCTTTCAATTACTGAAGTTGAAATAGAACGACTTGAGAACAGAACAGGCGACACCTTCTATGGAGACAAAACCGTCACCAGATCAGACAAAGCAACAGAGGCAGTCAGACGCGTTAGGGAGATCGTCGAGGACCATCAATTTGGAACAATTGGGCCCGGATCTAATGGACTGTCTTCCAAAGTGAAGAGTTTGCATGAAATCTTACTCCACGCCTTCACCATAGATGACACAAAACGCTGCATCGTGTTTGTGGAGAAGAGGTCTGTGGCTTCTCTGCTCTCTGATCTTTATAACCAGACCTCCATGAGGATTCCGGGAATGAACGCATCATACATGGTGAGTTTAACAGACCTGAAGTTACAAAAGCTGACGACAATAGGTTGGAGGGCAATCTGGCAGATTGGCCTTTGGCAGAATGTCCTTTCGAGATCAAGTCTTGATCCTCCAAAAGTTCAAGCAAGGCGACATCAACTGCCTCTTCGCAACACAAGTCGCAGAAGAGGGTATTGACGTCCCAGACTGCGATTTAATCATTCGTTTTGACCTTTACAAATCCGTCATCCAGTATGTGCAGTCCAAAGGGCGTGCCAGACAGGCACATTCGCGCTACATTACTATGCTAGAAAAAGACAACATGAGAGATCTTCGCAGTCTGAGGCAAGCGACGAGAGATGCAATGGCACTCCGAAAATTCTGCCAGGCTCTACCTCCTGACAGGAAATTACAAGATGATTCATTTGATGAGATGCTGGAGATTCAGAACGAACTGATACAACAGCAAGTGTATGAGATACCTTCAACTGGAGCACGTCTTACCTTTGCCTCGAGTCTTGAGATCCTCACTCGGTTTGCTTCCCGACTTGAAGATTGCGACAAGGTCGAATACCATGTTCAGAGAACGGGAACTAGGTATCAAGCTGACGTATCTCTGCCTTTAAGTTCCCCGGTCAACTTTGAGACAGGCCGACCACAGCGTAGCAAATTGTTAGCCAAGTGTTCTGCAGCTTTCGAAGCTTGCAAGAAATTGATAAAAGGCAAATACCTCGACGGAAATCTGCAGCCTATTTTCACGAAGAAAGTTCATCACATGCGCAACGCTCGTCTGGCTATTAGCTCCAACAAGAAATCCGAATACAACATGCGTTTGAGGCCTGATATCTGGGCCGAGCGAGGAGAGTGGACAGAATTCTTTGCAATTACGATGACTCTTGATAGTACGAGTGCACTTTCAGAGAACCTGACAGAGTGTTCAATAATTCTCCTGTCGCGCAAGCAACTACCTGACTTGCCCCAGATTCCTCTTTTCTTCGGCAACGAACGTTCTTCTATTGCCCGATTGACATCCTCCAAGGATTCCTTCCAGGTGACCCCTGAAGAAGTCGATGGATTAGCCAAATTTACCCTAAGAGTCTTTGCCGACGTCTTCAGCAAAGAATATGAGGCAACATGCGACCAGTTTCTATATTTACTCGCTCCCGTCAGCCCAGAGAGCAGCGGTTCAGCCGAAACTCGGTCGCATATCGATTGGGATACTGTTGATCTTGTCAAGAAACACGAGACACTTGACTGGGAAAACGCCCCAGAAGAATTCTTTACAGACAAGCTGGTGACTGATCCGTATGACGGAGGACGCAAGCTTATCATAAAGGGTATAGACAAGACGAAGAAGCCCTCCGATCCTACACCCGAAGGGGTACCTGAGTCAAGAAGTCGAGCTTACAGGACGGTCGAGCCAACCATCAAGGAGTACAGTAACAGTCTGTATCAAAAGTCACGTTTGAGGGTACAATGGCGAGAGGATCAGCCCGTGGTAAAAGCCGAGTTGCTACCCCTGAGAAGAAATTTGCTGGATGAGTTTCAAGTCGATGAGGAGATCAGCAAGAATTGCTTCATCATTCTAGAGCCTCTCAAGGTTTCACCTGTAAGTTAAATGTCATTCTTTTGAGTATCGCTAACCTGTCCAGTTACCCATCGGTGTTGTGTACATGGCCTTGACCTTTCCCGCAATTATCCATAGGATCGACTCTGCCTTAGTCACTCTCGATGCGTGTGATCTTCTTGGCATATGTCTTTCACCAGAACTAGCGCTAGAAGCAATGACCAAAGACAGCGACAACACCGACGAGCATGGCAAGCAGCAGATCAATTTCCAAGCTGGCATGGGCCGGAACTATGAGCGATTAGAGTTCCTTGGAGATTGTTTTCTCAAGATGGCCACCACGATCTCAATTTACACAGTCCAGCCTAAAGGCGACGAGTGTCACTACCACGTTGAACGCATGATCCTCATCACTAATCAGACGCTTTTCAACAATGCTGTCGATTGCAAGCTTCAAGAGTACATACGGTCTAAATCTTTCGACAGACGTACTTGGTATCCCGACCTGCCACTCAAGAAAGGAAAAGCGCCTAAAACGACAGTACAACACAGCCTGGCTGACAAGACCATTGCTGATGTTTGTGAAGCGCTGATTGGAGCTTCTTATCTCATGGGCCAGGAGGACAGCATGGATCTGGCTGTTCGAGCTGTGACTCGTATGGTTAAGTCCAAGAACCACAAGATGGAGGTCTTTGCCGATTATTTTGCCTCGCACAATGCTCCAGCATGGCAAATAGCTGATGCCAACCGGAAGCAACGCGATCTCGCACAGAAGATAGCAGATATCACGGGCTATGTATTCAAGCATCCACCGCTGGTTCAGAGTGCATTTAAGCACCCATCTATCCAAGGAGGGGGAATACCAAACTATCAGCGCCTTGAGTTCCTGGGCGACTCCCTCCTCGATATGGCTATCGTTGACTATCTGTATCGAAACTTCCCACGGGCAGATCCCCAGTGGCTGTCAGAACACAAGCAGGCCATGGCCTCCAACCAATTCCTCGGCTGCCTCTGCATCAAGCTTGGTCTTTATAAAAGCCTCCAAACGGGAAATCAGTTTGACCGGAATATTTCCTCTTATGTGTCCGAATTGGCAGTAGCTGAGGAGGAGTCTCGTGAGGAGGCAGAGGCAGAAGGTGTTCCCATGCGCATGGACTCTTGGGTCAGAGTTACAACACCGCCCAAGATCTATGCTGATTCAATTGAGGCTCTCGTGGGGGCCATGTTCGTGGACTCGGAGTACGACTATACTGTAGTCAAGACGTTCTTCACCAAGTTTATCAAGCCGTACTTCGAGGACATGACTCTTTATGACACGTTTGCGAATAAACATCCTGTCACCTTCCTTTACAAAAAGATGCAAAAGGAGATTGAATGTGTAAACTGGCGCATGAGTTCGGAAGCGGTGCCTTGCAAGGCTGAATTGGGTATGTATGCTTTGAAGGAGAATGATATAGTGGCTGTTGTTATGGTTCACCAAAAGGTCATTACGAGCCACACATCAAAGAGTGGACGATATGGGAAGATGCATGCTGCAAAGCTGGCGCTCGAGGTGCTCAAAAAGTTCGGGGATGATTACGCCGCTGCGAAAAGGTTCCTGGGATGCGATTGCGAAGTTGGGGCCGAGGGTCTTGTTGAGATTGATCATGGAACAGCTATTTGAGGTACACGTGTGGCTTATGTTCATGGATTTGGAAGACCACAGGAACGGTTTGACTTGAAGGATAACGGAGTCTAATTAGAAGATGTTGGTGATAAATTGGAAAGGTGCTGTCAGTACCATAACGGACGCATCTTCTTTTTGTTGATTGACAGCTCGGCACGACCCCCAGAGTCATGAGAAAGATGTCTGGATCCATATAATAAGTGTAGAACACGGCCATGTCCATAGTGTGTCTTGTTTAGCTAGAGCCTTGCAGCAATCACTGGATAGTCGGAGGTTACAGGCCATGCGCTATTGACATTGAAGATGTCGGTCCACGCAGACATGCACATGCGGATTGGCATCTATAATAAATCGAGTCATTCCGAAATCTTCATCTCGTTACCATTACAACTTTGCCCTCACATGAGCCTATTATACTACAGCTCTAATCGCCAAGGGGATAAGCATGAAGCACCTGTCCGTAAAACAACGAAGCATCCTTAGAAGCCAAGAACACATAACTCGGCGCAATCTCACTAGGCTGTCCAACTCGTCCCAGCTGGGACTGCTTTCCGAACCCTTCCATCTGCTCCGCTGGTCGTGACGCTGGCTGGAGAGGAGTGTGCACTGGTCCTGGAGCAACGGCATTGACTCGAATGCCCTGCTTGACGAGCTGCTTGGATAGGGATTGTGTGAATGATGTGATGGCACCCTTTGTTGAAGCGTAGTCTACCATGGCTGCTGTGCCTCGGAAGGCAACTGTGGAGGTTGAGTTGATGATGCTGGGGGAGTTAGCTGATTTCTCATGCTTAGAGGTTGAACACTTACGAGCCGCCTTTCTCCATGTGGTGGAGCGCATACTTTGTCATAGCAAAGATTTGAAGAATGTTGCTTCGGAATGTACTCTCAACATTATCCAGGTCGATGTCCTTGAAATCCTCACACATGATCTGCTTAGCAGCGTTGTTTACCAGGACATGGATTATACCAAACTCATCAACGTGCTTCTGAACAGCCTTCTTGCAGGTCTCATTATCCATGAGATTTCCAGCAAAGAGGACACACTTGCGACCTTCCTTCTCGACCATTCTTTGGGTCTCTTCGGCATCCTCCTGTTCTTCTGGGAGGTAGACGATAGTGACGTCTGCGCCTTCACGCGCGAAGAGGACGGCGACTGAGCGGCCGATTCCAGAGCTGTAGGTGTTAGTATAGGATGTTGTAAGAGGATAAGATGGACTTACTCTCCGCCTGTGATGAGAGCTTTGGTGCCCTCGAGTTTGTTGGCGGCGCGATACTCGTGAAATCCATCCTTGCCCTCGAGTTTGGTTGACTCGCTGGTCGGATTCATAGCCTTTTCTGTTCTGCAGCCAAGTTAGACGTCTGGACTTGAGAAATGGATGATCGCGTGACAAACCCGGGGAGTTTCTGGGCTTGAGCCTCAGGGACGGGCTCAAAAGCGCCATCTTTTCCAGCTTGAGACATCTTGTAGTGATTGGGGTTGATGGAGATTAGTACAGGTGACTCAATTGAAGGTCTCGAAAGGAATAGTCTGTGTTAATTGAGAGACGGGAAAAACAAAGAAAAATGGTGAGGAAACGTTGAGTATTTATGTCTGCGATCAATGATGTCAGAATGGAATGCATCGAGATTCTGCTGCACAGCCGCGGGGCTATTTGTGCATCATGATGGCATCACAATCTTGGGTAAGCCAATTGCTTCTATAAACACAAATCTTCACTTCAGGGCTACACATGAACGAAACACATCGGCTTTTTCCTTCACATCTTATCTCCAACGAGACAACTGCATCTCGTGAATTAGGCAACAAATTGATACCAGTCTCAAACCTTTCAATTCGAGACTAGCAAAATCCCCATCCTCTTTATTCAGATGTCCTGTCCGCTCTTCGAACTTATAAAAAAGCTCTCCCTCTTGATATCCTCCCAAAGTGTACCAGTTAATGCTCGGTTCCTGATCCATTCCTGGCTGACTCCAATCGGGTCGTTATGCCAAGGGTAATCCTTGGGGCTCTGCCCGAAATATATCGTGTCGGTTGGCACAGTTAAAACACAGATCTTATTTTCGGGATCCATAGTATGCCAGGAATGAATATAGCTGCCAAATTTCGGTAGCTCTGGGGCAGTGTTGCAGAACGCTATTGTGATTTCGGGTCCTGAATATCGCCCTTGGCCTTTGTTTGTCGTAGGTACTCCGGAGGTACCTGCAACCCATGCCCTAGACCATTCTCTTTTCACATTGATTAAATGCTCATCATATTCAACATCGTCTGCTCTTGTGAATATAGCTGTTTCAAGTTGTGGACACAAGAGCATATTCTGCCATAGTTCTTCGTCCGCTGAAACGTTGTAAAGCGCCATACGCTTGAGTTTGGGCCATTGAATCCAGACCTGGGGGTCCTCGAAGCCTCCTGTTGAGTCAAGATATAGCTCATCCCGTACACTGACAAGTTCTTCAATATCGACCAATGCCTCAAACCCCTCTCTGAGAATCTTTCGAATCTCGCAATGGTCGTCTTCACGGTATAGATTCCGCAAAGGCATGTCCACAACCAGTATTTTCAGAACCGGGGCCAACGTGAAGAGAACCATCCTTACATCTTCGACAATCGAGAGGTTCTGGAGGTCTGAGTACATAGGGATCCCTGGCACTAGCTGGTCGTCAGGTCCATCGGGTCTATTCCGAAAAGTTTCTTCATTGTCGTCGGCTGTCGTTTCAAAACCCAGCGGGACGAGCTCGCCATCAGGTGTTAAGTCAAGTCGATGAATGCTGGAAGCTTCATCGGCCACTGGTGAATTTTCAGATTCCGTGATTTCTTCCGGTAAATAGGATGGGCCGAGAAATATCCTTGTCGGTGCGTAAGCCTCCCATGATGTGCAGCCAGTAATAAAGCTCTTCTGAGAGACAGACTTCCTCAAGGCACGAAGTCTTTCTCTCGAATCGATATAGAGGCAGTTTTGCCAGAGCATTCTTGATGCAGTGAAATGAGTCGCTCTCGAGACGGTTGTAAAGGCGAGGAGGGTTTTTGTAATTGGACTGATAGCGGGGAGAATGGGCCGAGGGCCCGCAGAGTGTGGAATGAGATGCTCGATTATCAATAGAACGATTTCGACAGGAAGTACAATTTGGGGGTAGTGATCGGTCTTTTTAGGTTCCATCTCGTGTAGCTGTTGATGAAAAGGAGATGATGTAGCTATTGTTTGATGGAGGGACTTCTCTTAGTATATAGGTAGGTGCTGTTAAGCATCCGATCAGGGAATTAGTGCCTCGCTGACTAAGATAACCATGAGTCACCCCGTTCGATATCTAGGTAGGCAGCACAATCTTTACTCTATACATTCAATGTTTAAATCTTGCATTAGAAACTTTTTGGTGGTTTCGGTTTAATTAGCAGAAGCTGCTGTAGAGTAAGAATCTTGTGATCTTGTTAAAGTGCAAAGCATGCTAGATGTAGTCCTTGGTCTATGATTGGCCGACGTATACATCCTCTATCAAAGAACACATACCTCCTTGTAACTGCCAGGCTTGAAAAACAACTCAAGTACGAATATCAAGTCGAGAGAGAGTTGTTCTTTGATAGTGGAGCAGTACTGTTTAGAAAATGACACTATTTGTGGACCTGTCTTGACTGCTTGTATATGGCTACTCTGATGTTTTAGATTGGGTGTATTATTAGAGTGACAGAAGTTAGTCCAATGGTCAGTCATACTCTGCGGCTCTGTTGAAGGATAATATGCCAAGGGAACGTCAGATCATTGGCAGAAGAACGAGTGTGTTTTGACGTATAGAGTAAGCAGATGATCTGTGGCGAGCTGCCATCTCACTTGGACCAATAGATTCAAGGCAATACAGTCTCTAAAGCGAACTCTACTACACACTATCCTCTCCCAGTTAGATAACGTTCTACCGTCCTCATGTGGAAAGTTAAACGGTCTGGGGCGAGAATGCTTGTTTGCCTCTGGCTACAGGGTATGGTTCAGCTGCTGTCCAAAGCAGAGCATGTTCCCGAGAAACCGCATCCACAAAGTTGATTCGCCTCACAAGGCTGGGTTACAGCACAGTTGGTCCGGACGAACTAGTAGATCATTTCTTGAAGTCGTCGTAGATGCAGTTGGATGAACGCAATGCAACACTCGATCGAGGTACTGTACAGCAAGCCCACACAAAACCAATGTCTACTTGTAGTAGTAGATCGTCGTGGCAACCAGCCACACTTGGAAAATCTCTTACGAACCTGTGGATGAATCGTAATTTTCCCGGATTATGGCACAACTCAATTGATGACAAGGTTCTTATCTTTTGCCATGGGGCGTTTGTGGTTAGCTTCGTTGTACCCATGCTGATGGCGATGGCGAAAGTGAAGGCATCGGTGAGACTATAGCGACCAGTATAGAAAACGGATTTACTTTGCCGAGGTTGCATTGATTTAGAAAGAGGGGAATGGCTCTACATGACTCTCTCGCCCAGGATTGATCATCAGTTTATCTGGCGGTGGCTGTAGTGGCAAGCGTAAGGAGAACAGAGAGGAAAGACAATATCTTAGACCCTTGTCATGAGAACGAATAAGCGTAGAATGATGCTTAATGCCCAGCGCCAAGCTAAAGTTAGCGCAGCAACAAATAGAGAGTATTAGCAGTCAACTACAGATTGCCCTATCTTTAACCCCTGCGACCTGCCGTTATCAACATAGGCTAGAATGGAGAATACCTCCAAAAGTTCCAGACGACGTGTGATTTGAGTCGGCGCTAGCTCCTGGAAGAGGCAGTTCCTGCGGGGAAAAGGTGCGGACGCCAAGAATCGATCGCCAACTTATCCCTGGAACTGCCTCTTTTGGCTTCCGCGCCGCGACCAGATTATCGCTGTTGATTGGTGCAATGTGTAATACTGTGCTGTGCTATGCAGAAGTGCCGTGCAGATAGTATCCTATCACCAAACGGTACGAACAGGACGGGCTCTTTTGGTAGCACGACAATCTTGCATTGTCGCCGCCAAGATGATGATGAGCGATGAGCACCAACTATCAATACCTATAAATATCAAACTTACTCCCTCTCTACACAACTCTTCTCACTCTCTACTCCTCACCTCTACCTCTCTCTCTTCTCCCTGATAGTCTGTAGTGCTCGCCCAAGATGAGATTCACAACCCTCTCCCTCCCCATCTTTGCCCTCACGGCCAGCGTCAACGCCGCTTCCCCCAAGCCCAAGCCGCTGGTCAACGAGCTTAAGCTTCAGAAGGATGTCAGCATCAAGAGTCTGATTACTGATGCCCAGAAGCTTCAGGACATCGCCACAGCCAACGGCAACACCCGTGTCTTTGGTGGCAAGGGCCACAACGCCACTGTCGACTACCTCTACAAGACCCTCAAGTCGCTCAACTACTACGATGTCAAGAAGCAGCCCTTCACTGAGCTGTACTCTGCCGGTACCGCCGATCTCAAGGTTGCTGGTGATGACATCGAGGCTGCTATCATGACCTACACCCCCGCTGGTAAGGCTTCTGGACCTCTTGTCCAGGCTGCCAACCTCGGATGTGAGGCCGCTGACTTCCCTGCTGAGACCAAGGGCAATGTCGTTCTTGTTTCGCGAGGAACCTGCGCTTTCGCCGCCAAGTCCACCAACGCCAAGGCTGCTGGAGCCGCTGCTGTCATTGTCTACAACAACGTCCCCGGTGAGCTGTCTGGTACTCTGGGAGAGCCCTTCGGCAACTTCGCCCCCATTGTTGGCATCAGCCAGGAGGATGGTCAGGCTATCATTGCCAAGCTCAAGGCTGGTGAGGTCACCGTTGACCTCAACGTCGATGCTACTGTCGAGAACCGTGTTACCTTCAACGTCATTGCTGAGACCAAGGGGGGTGACCACGACAACGTCCTTGTTGTTGGTGGCCACTCCGACTCCGTCGCTGCTGGTCCCGGTATCAAGTAAGTCACCTACACAAGTTTGAAATTACCATCGATACTAACAACTCTCAGCGACGATGGCTCTGGTATCATTGGTATCCTGAACGTTGCCAAGGCTCTTACCAAGTACCGCGTCAAGAACGCTGTCCGCTTCGGTTTCTGGAGTGCTGAGGAGTTTGGCCTTCTCGGATCTTATGCTTACATCAAGAGCATCAACAGCTCTGACACTGAGATTGCCAAGATCCGAGCCTACCTCAACTTCGATATGGTAAGTCGATTCTGCTTTGATATTTGAGGAAGCAATCACTAACAAATACCCCAGATTGCCAGCCCTAACTACGTCTACGGCATCTACGACGGTGATGGTGATGCTTTCAACCTCACCGGCCCTGCCGGCTCTGACGCCATCGAGGAGGACTTTGAGCGCTTCTTCAAGACCAAGCGTCTCGCATCCGTTCCCTCTGAGTTCAGCGGCCGCTCCGACTACGCCGCTTTCATTGAGAACGGTATCCCTTCCGGTGGTCTCTTCACCGGTGCCGAGCAGCTCAAGACCGCCGAGGAGGCCAAGAAGTTCGGTGGCGAGGCTGGTGTCGCATACGACATCAACTACCACAAGGCTGGCGACACCATCGACAACCTCAACAAGGAGGCTTTCCTCGTCAACACCCAGGCCATCGCCAACTCTGTTGCCAAGTACGCCAAGAGCTTCAAGGGCATTCCCCTGGTCAACCACCTCACCCGACGACGTGATGCCGACCACGCCCAGATCTTCAAGCGAACCAGTGCTCACACCCACGCTCACGGTGGCCCTTGCGGTGCTGTTGAGGTTTAGGGATATGTTTAAAAGTAATTACTTGTATTATGAGAGATGATGAGGATTAGCGAGTTTATGTAGAGTATGTAAATAAAATGAGAAGATGAGTTACGAGCTGAACATTTATGATCTCTAAGATGTCTGTCATGGTTGATTTCCGATATGAAATCCACTCTATATCACTGGCAATGCTGAATAAAGTCACTTTACTGAGCGGTGTAGTTGAGGATTATAAGCTCTGCGTCCCTATCCGCTCAGTAGCCATGCATAAACCAATGATCAAGAGGCTAGCAATAATGTATCACGATTACGATCACACTCAGACTTATAATTGTAGCATAATACCATCTACTTAGAATACCGCCATTAATCTCGACCCCATCAATATCCGAAATCTGCAGCTAAAACCTCAATACTGCTCCATGCTCAGCTGTATAATTTACCCTCTACTGGCTCCTCGATGCATTGATCCTTGGTACCAAACGCTAAATGGCCAATCCCGCTCTCGCCTTCAGATACTGTAGAGATATCGCCCCATTTCAAAGGCTGCGATGCCAAGGCTTGTAGGTTTTCGTCTTCATCTTCCATTGCTTGTACGGATACTTCTATCTTGTTGGGCGCTGCGCTTATGGGCGGCTGAGAAACGCAGTGACAAGCGGCCGAGATGACTGCCGAATTGCTAGCCCCGATAGTCAACTTCCCAGGAAGTCGGATAAATGCTAGCAGAAGAGGGCTTAGTGCGACCGCGATAGATGATATAAGAGCTACAAGTATTGCTAGGGTCGAGTATTGCAATGTCTCCGTGGATTCTTCTACATCAAATGGATATTCGGGATTATAGACTGTAGGCTCGTTAATACAGAGACCCATTAAGCCGACCTGTAAACTTACTTAAATAGTTGCTGACATAGATACAGTTGGAGTAGGTCCAATGGAGAAGGACACTGACTAAAATCAGCGGTATTGACCATCGGTAGGGTAGCTGGAGTCGATATGTCGATCTTTGTTGGCCTTGGGGACTTGTCACACGTAAAGATCGATAGTTGATACTATACTTTGACCATTCAACTTCTGCCAGCATACGGGTGAACAGTCCATTGTAGACCATATAGCAGATTGACAGAATAAGTTGAGGTGTGTTGGCGAGCATGGTCTTCCCCAGGAATGAGTTGATTTCAAGACCATGAATGGTAAGGGCTTTGTTGATAGGGTCATGACTGAATCTAGATGCTCCTCTGTTGGTTTAATGTTAGCTTCCGTATTATACCACAGGTTGAGTAAAGGCATACATTGATTGTTCCCTTATTGCTTGCACAAACATGGTTAGTGCTACGCATAGGGAGCAGGCAATCAGCAGAACTGACAATACCCAGATATGTCTTGGTACTCCAGCGGAGAGTCTGCGCTTGGCGGACAGATGCCACTGTCGAATCTTTGGAGAGGAGTTGATCAACGCAGGCTGAGCGTGCATCCTGATTTCTGTCAAGTCCGATCGATTGAGCGTACACATTCCCTTGGTCTCCAGATCTGGCCTCACGATGAACGAGGCGATAGCATCCCCGGGAGTTATCAACGGGCTCGAATCGTCCTTTTGCAACCGCAGCCCAACCACCAAGACCAATATGCAAAGCAGTGTCTTGAATATACACATGATGCAGACGACAAGGAGCAAAGGATTAGAAACAGTAAGTCGACAAGGGGCTTGAAACCTTTCTGAAAGACAGTACTGTACTTGCATATCTTGGTAGGCTGGGCGATAGAAATAATCACGCATGACTATCTCCCCAGAGACTGGGTTGAGGTTGGGCATCATATCTTTGGCATCGTTTGTAGACGGGAGGGCATCGCTGATCTTCGTGTAATCAAGATACCCATTGCCATTTCGCGTTCCGCTCCTGTAGTACTTCTGCGACCACCATAACGAATTGACCACGTCTCTGTCATCCGACCCATTCCAACCAGAGAACATTTCAGTGAGGGTGACATTATTCATAACCTGACGACGTGTCCATCCAGTTGTCGACGTGCCATTGGTAATAACCATGATGACGTGGCGATACTTTGTCAACGGCTGATCAGTGTTGTTATAGCGGTGCATACATTCATCGAAATGGATCTTTTCCCAGGCCTGAGTGCTGTCCTGAGAGACAGACCGGTATATATCGAGTATAGTAGTATTGAGCCACTCATCATCAGAGATCTGGCGCACGAACGGAGATGTTACATATGGCATCTTGTGTGGGGCGCCATCAAGGAAGGACTCCGATACCATAACAAGTGTGAACCCGTTGGATGCCTTGCTCTCAAGGATACAGCCGTTGAAGATTAAATGTAAGGGGACGGAGGACATGGAGAACAAGAACCAGAGAAGGACGCTCCAGCGCGAGATTCTTCTGATATTCCCAATAGACGGAACACCAATTTCCAGCCATTTGCCGGATGCATGGACCTTGTCAACCTCGGACCTGGTTGGTGCCACTAAAGCTTGCATAAAGAAATTGGACGAAGCCAAGACACCCGTCGCAACGATATTGATACCAAGGTGCGCCCATAAGCTGATGCGGGAAACGGTCTTGCACTGGCCCTTGAAAAGAAGAGTCTGTCCCCAAGGTGAAGCATTTTCGTCGTTGATAACATACAGGGATGTTATGAGGGTAGCGATCAAAGACACTGTTAATGTTGCAACCAAGATTGTAAGATATAGCGCTGTACATCTCCATCCCGTGAAGGAAGACAAACAGGAGGGCTTGGTTTCCATGACAGATGCCATCACGGTATATTTTGAAAGGGCAGATGGAAATACGAGGTCATGAGGAATGGATGCGGTATAAATAAGTTACAGTTCGAGAGGCGAAACGCAGCTGAAAACCCTCCTCGTAGCGGGACTTCTAGACTCACAATTCGGCCTGAGCCCCAATTGGCTTTTGACTAAATCTGGCACTATTGACTTTTTCGAGGCAGATTATGAGACAGTGGCTTAAAGAGGGAGTTCGTCGCCAATCATGTATCACGTATTAGCTGCTAAATTAGTCCAACGATGCAGTGGAAAACGCTAGAGCCTAGAGATTTAATCCAGACCAATATCACTAGTATCTTGCATCAAGCCACAGACAGCCATAGTGCAAGTACCCCGAATTGTCTCTGAATTGAAATGAAGGACTCGGTATAATAATGGCTCTACAGTGTGGTTCTCCAGTTCTGATAACGAGCTACCTAGGGTTATGTAGAATACCTTAGTGGGGTTGTGAGGCGAGTTACTGGCCTTGTCAGGAGGGTTCAAGGCTTGTACAAGGAGGGTTAGGCTTGTGATATTGACTAGACTTGTGATGTCGGCTAGGCTTGTAGACCCAATGTACCTCACAGCCAGGTTTTGGTGGGAGGTACCTAACAGAGATAGATATATAGTGAGTAGAAGGTTTTAGATATGGTCTCAGGATAGAGTTATATAAGACTGTATAGAACAAAAACAGTTGATTGTTGTTTATGTAATCTGATACAATAGTATAAAAGTCAGGAAATGTTGGAACCTTTGTACGCCCACTGTATAAGTGACTATACATCTGACGCTTACATATGCAAAGTGCGGAGTTGCTTACCATGGCATCATCCCCAAACCCCTACTCCTACACCAACATAGATAAATGGAGCAGAACTTCTTCTTCGTGGATGGCTTACATGCCGACAAAACGTCGAAAAAGCTCATGCGACAGCATGTAATGAAAGGCAAGAATGCAGGCAAAACATTCCATCGACCGTCGAGGACAACTCAGGTTGTTCACTATCGACCAATGGAGAGAATCGACAGACCAATCGGTTCCCAATTCTGCTCATTTCCGTTTCCTGTGCCGCTGACGAAAACTGCTAGTAAATCGATTGATGATTGTGAGTTACGGTGGTTTGTTTTACTTTTGCCGTGTGTTAACTATCTCAGTTTTTAAACTGACCATCAATGTCATCTACCCGCCGTCTCAGCTTGGATTTGACATTGAAAGAGATATGAGTAAATGGCTTGAAATTATGTTTCAAGGGAAATCCGGTACGCCATCATATCCCATCATCTTTTAGACAATTATATGATATTGACATCTTAGGCTACGAGGTTTCTCTCGTGCTGATACAGGCTTTGAACGAGACATACCTCGGCGGAGGCTACAACTGTCCCAATTCGCTCTTTTGTCTATCCCAGACCCTGGAGCTGCTCAAAAAGAGGCTCGGAAGTAAAGAAGCATTGTCCGATCAAACTCTTTCCATCATCATGTCCCTCATCAACCAGGAGCAGTTGGTAGATCATTACTCTGCGGCCGAAGCTCACATGGCTGGTATGAAGAGGATAGTGGATCTCCGTGGAGGTCTCGAGAGCATGGAAAACCTCGCTATGGTGGTTAAGATTTGTCGGTGAGTATAAAGAATGCAGGAATTTGTTGCAGGGATGGCTGATAATAGTTGAAGGACGGACATCCTATTTACCATGCAGCAGAGCAGATATCCGACCTTCTATCGCGATCATATGCCCCAACTACGGAATTTGCTCACATCTAAAGGCTTCATATTACAGTGCACCTCGGAAGCGTACTCTGTTCAGCAGGGTCGACTAGATTCAGTACTCAAAGAATCATTATTCGATATTATGGGAGTCTGCAGACTCTTCAACGAACACCTGGAAGAGAAACCACTGGATGTAATCGAGTTCCAGGAAGCTCTGATATCGATTTGCTATCGACTTCTACAATTCCGGACCTTGAACGAATCAAGATCAAGACACGACATTCAATCAGCATACCACATTGGGTTGATGATATTCATGGTCTCGGTCCACTGGTACAATTACCAAAGCCGCTTGTCAAAGCCAGGACATATTGCAGGTCGTATGAAAGAGGTTGCAGGAATGCTGGATGAACATGAAGATGAGTTTGCGCTCTGGGTATTGGCATTAGGGGGCATCTCTGTTTTAGGGAAAGATGATCGCGAGTGGGTGCTCTCTGGGTTACGAGACAAAGCCTCCACGCTTGGAATCACTACATGGGATGAGGCGCGGAAATGCTTGGTCAAGTTCCCGTGGATAAACGTCATTCATGACGAACCGAGTCGAAAGTTATTGGACGAGATGTTTCTGCTAGACAAAGCTTCACAAAAGGCTCTGGAGTTAGGGTTAAAATGAGAATTATCTCCTTCATGGAATTGTTAAACTCCGTTCAATGTTCCGAGGGTATAACTCCAAGATCTTGGACCACATATTTGGCCAATCAAGTCTCTTTGTTCTGCTCAAACATGTCTAACCGTATATAGTAGTAAGTCTCTCATTGGCTCAGGTGAGAGATAGTGGAAGAACGATCTACCCGCTGAGTTTAACGAGGTTTCCGAATCAGGTAACAAGTCTCTTATTGGTTGATATTAGGATCTGTGTATGTAAATGTTTCTAACATATGAGGCTTCAAGTTTAACCGATCGGAGTCGAACAAACATAAATAGCGAGGCTCCTCTTAACAAGAATGAGAGAACCAATACTTAGACACATCCTGAGTACTTTCCATTACTTTATACTCCTGCAATCTCACTGTATTCTCTGAACGTATTTCACCATGGCCTCTACTACACACTCAGAGTTTGGTATCCATACCGAAGCTGTCGATGTAGCCAAAGCCTTCGCTGATGGTATTCGTGGCAAAACGATCCTCATTACTGGAGTGAACCGTGGCGGCATCGGGTTCTCAACCGCTCATGCATTCGTAAGTGTTCTGATCTCCGATCTCTACCAAGTCTGACCATTCCAAGTCTACCCAATCTCCAGCCTGTATCATCCTTGCCGGTCGCAGCCCATCCAAGGCTCAGGAAAGCACCGATGGACTCAAAGCCGAGTTTCCAAATGTTGATTACCGGTTCCTGGAGGTAGATCTTTCCAGCCAAGAATCTGTCCGCAAGGCAGCAGATGTGGTTTTATCTTGGTCTGATATCCCTGCTATCGACTTGGTCATCAACAGCGCAGGCGTCATGGGTCTTCAAGAGCGCACCCTCTCCAAAGACGGCATCGAGATGCACCTTGCAACAAACCACATTGGCCACTGGCTTCTTACCTGCCTTATCATACCCAAACTTGTTGAAGCGGCCGAGGATAAGCCAAATGGATCTGTGCGAATTGTTAATGTATCCTCTGGATCGCCCAGGTTGGCAAGCATGCGATGGAGCGATATGAACTTTGACAAAACAAACAAAGACCTTCCTAAGGACGAGCAGCCCAACTACGAATTCCTCAAATTATGGGGATACAACAACACTGAAGAGGTTGCTTACATTCCACTGGACGGCTACAACCGCAGCAAAGTCGCCAACGTGCTTTTCAGTATCGGAGCCAACAAGCGCCTCCTTGCTAAGCATGGCATACTGTCGCTGACTGTCCACCCAGGCGTCATAAGGGGCACCGAGCTAGCAAGGAGCTTCGCCCAGGAGACTCTGGATGCTGTGGCCAAGCTAGGCGCTAGTGGGTTCTACGAGGCAAAGACATTGGGTGCAGGGGCTTCGACGAGTCTTACCGCGGCGTTGGACCCTAAGCTGGCTGTTGGTGTAGGCGAGACTCATGAGGGAAGTGAGAATTATGGAGTATTTCTCGATGATTGCCAAGTTTCCGGCAAGGCGGCACCTCTGGCGGTCTCGAGTAGCGAAGCGGAGAAATTGTGGGAGTTTTCGGAGAAGGTTACCGGAGAAGAGTTCTCTTGGTGAGGGGATAACAGCAGATTTATTAGGGAGTAGATAGCTGATGTTGTTGTGTTTATCTGCAATCAAATTGGACGCATACTACTACATCAGTGGTAAAATACCTTGTATTGTGATATTCGGCTCTTAGTAATCTTGCTGTAAGGCTAAAAGGCTAGTATGAGGCTGTGAGCTGACATGAACGAATAGAGTTTGGAGGATTATGGACACAACTCGTCTTCTCGTTGGATAATCAGCTGAGAGAAGAAGAGAGAAAATAAGAGAAAAGTGGCTGGTTAGTGACAAGTCCACAGGCTCATTGCTTATCTCTTTTTGCCCAACCCTTCTGAAAATGGGTTACATCAAACAACAGATAAGCTCAATGTTATTCTTTGGGTGACAATCTAGTTTATCAAACCCATCTCTGATAACCGAGTGTTTGACATCATGTGTCTCAGATCTCTGTTTGACTGCTTCTTGATTAGGGATCACCTGTACGTTACTTTGTTTGGTTAGTTCCCATCATCCATGTCGCGGATAATTACAATATGTGCCACTATAAACGGATTATAACGCCTAGAACGAACAATACCATGCTTTCAGGCCTCTATTCCTCAAGTTTCACAGTTCCTGATCATCAGTAACTGAAGATGACCAATCACGTTCTCTACCCTGGTCGCCAAAACCAACAAATCCTCCCCAACAGACGCACTAAACCCTGACAAAACTAGGACCAAGAAGGAATAGAGCGGTGCTCATCTCGGCTTTTACCCCGCGTTTCGGTTCCCGTCATAAAAAAAGGAAATGCAAAAAACTGGCACCACACTCAACGCTTTCCCATGATTCGACTGTCACACTCTTCCAGCCTATTTTCTCTCTCTCTCTGTATCGGTCTGTGATACACCTCTGACTGTCGGTTTTACTGTACACTCCCCCCCTAGTGTCAACTCTGATACCACACTTGTTACCGCCAAGTCCAGACACGGGGGGTCTTGGTCTTGTGCTCAGTCGTCCCAAGCTGGCGAATTTTATTTAACTGGTCGACGTCGACGCGCCCCTTTTTGCCTGGAGGTTCTTATCAACTCACTATTCAACTCACAACCAAAAAACAGTGGATATCTCGAACCATTAAAGGCAAAAAATATACTTTCACTACCTACCTACCTTTTTGAGTCATATTGTCCTATTCTATACATGTCGGCGTCTCCACCCAGCGGCTCGGCCAAGAGACGGGTCCGCACGGAGGCTCAGATGAGCCAGAAGCGACTGGCCGACCGCGTCAAACATAGAGAGAACCGCCAGGAGCATAAGTTAAGGATGGAACGAATGGAGGCTGATATAGCCCAAATTCGAAAGAATCTCGATACTGTTTCTGCGCAGCTGCGAACGCTGCCTGTTCTGAGCGCCGATCTCCTCGCATCACAGCAAAGACCATCTCAGAGACCAGCCGCCAATGTCTTTGCCGGGCACTCGTCAACCCCTGGTGAGGGCTACGAGATGGACACAACCGCCGAGACCCCGGACTTCCCCGCAGGGCGATCTGCAGGACAAGGACGGGCTCCCCCGTGCCCGGAGCGCGAGATGCCCCCTACCGAGGTCCCGGCGTCGCTCATGTCAAGCTTATTTCCCACGCCGTCTCACGTCGATTGTCGATGCGGAGTGCAGCATCACTCGCAGTCCGACTGCCTAGAGTACCGCAGCTTCGCCATCCTCTACGAGACCCATGCTGCATTTCCCCAGGATCCCCTCCATGCGCGATCCCTGCCCAGGAACCCGTCGGTGCCTAACATGACGCTTCACTCGTATGGCGACAATGCAGTCACATGCTTTCTGACATCCTTCCTCAAGGGTTTTGAGATGGCCAGTGTGGAGACTCTGTTTGGGGTGTATTTCTTTGCCTACCGTCTCATGAGGGTATGTCTTCCTTCGCTCCATCGTTCGTAAAATACTGATCCTTGATAGTGGCGCTTACATCCTGATCCTATGACTCTCAAAGACGTTCCGCCATGGCTGCTCCCAACCGAGGTTCAGAACACGTATCCGCATCCTGTGAGTATCGACTACATCCCATGGCCCGACCTGCGGGACTTTCTCTGCACGAATCCACGCATCAAGTCAAGGCATTCCGTAAAGATGTATCTCGAGTCATTACAGCTCAAATGGCCACCGGGGTGTTCTCTGTTGACCATGGAAGGTGGCCAAGTCTGCGTCAGCCCAGAATTTGAAGCCATTGCATGTGATCTCAATAATTGGGAACTGGGACCTCCGTGGCTGGACGCTTTTCCGCGTTTGATCGCACTTGTGCATCCATAGTTTGGTTGTTGGATCTTTGGTGTGTTTTTGGAAGGATTGGAACTTAAATTGTGAGAGAAGGAGTGAGCACGTATGGTATGGGATATTTAAATGCACGTGCTTCTTAACGGACCTCGGATATGATATTGCAGGGATGGAGAGGAGTTGATTTTTAAGATACCATAGCACATGTAAAGACACGAGAATCAGAGCTACTTATCGACAGTCGTAGTCTTCCTCATTTTGTTGTAACCCGTTCTTGTGACTTGTAGGATGCTTTGATTCTTGTTGATTTCACTTCGTTTACCAAAGTTGTTCAAAAACGTTCAACGCGCGTAGAATCACGAGACGAACATGTATTGGTAAGATAGGCAACTGAGTTTGACCGTTCATGGCCCTAGATCTTAGACCTTTCGTCCATATCGTCTCTCCATGGTCGTCTGAAGTAACCTGTTCAACGCCTGACGATCAGCCGGCTCTGTAAGCGCTAGTAACTCTTCTGGCTTCCCCAGCATATTCTCTTGTACATGGTGGCAGCCGACTGTGAAATAGTCTACTGGCAGCTCAAGCCAACGCTGAGCAAAAGCAAGGTACCTGTTCACCAGTGCCTCGGCATGGACGTCTAATTCATAATGTCGGAAGAACACAAACCGGCTTTTCCTGTCGTACCTGAAATCCTTCAACTGTGGTAATTTCTCACGTATGTCATCAAAAACAGTATCCCATCGCATAGTGTTGATATACCACCCAGGCTTGAGTTGTTTTGAATATGGTCTGTGAGGTATTGGTTGTCGCTCGTAGCGTTCCAGTTCTTCCTCGGCAGGGACTTCGGCCACCCATTTCCAGCCTTCCAGACTTACATCCCAGAACGAAAATTCAGGCTGAAGCACAAGACAATGCGACGCGATGGTACAGTTGTGAAAATGAAGGCTAGTGAGAGTCTTCTGGTGAAGTATCCATTCGACCTGGCCGGGCTGAATAACACGATACCCATCTAGGGTCAAAAACTTCAGTCTCGGTAATGATATTCCGCTATTGTGTGGGTTGAATGTCCCAGGGATGGCACCCCATCCAAACCCAGACAGAGTCAGCTCGACGAGCCGGTCAGCCACAGTCGGCAAAAGTGTCTTTTCTAGATATGGTTCAAACTCGCGCATTTCGGGAAGGTAGACATCTGGCCTGGAGTGCGATTCACGAGTCATAAAGATGTGCAGACGCTGGATATTCTCAAGAAGACCATCGGTAAGATCCTTCTCCAACGGCATGTTCTGTAGATTGTCCAAGACCAATTCGCAGATGATGCTCATGTTAGGTGACTCAGCACGCTTTCTCATCGCCTTTATAACAGCTTCCAAGGTTTGAATTCGTGTAATAGACGGTTCCGGCTGTGGACCTTGACTGTTCGGGAACTCTTCTTCTTGCGGTTCTCGTCCTTTGCAAAGGCCCTGGAATCGCACTTCCAAGGCGTTGAGATTCGGTAATTCCGCAATTCTGTCAATAGCCGAGATAAACTCCGGAAACTCACCCTCTTCGATCCATGATTCAGGCCATGCGGAAATATCGCAACCTCCATAATCTTCTGGTGAAGCAGTCTCAATAGCGACGCAGCGAGCCGCAGCTCGAATGGCCGGCGAATCCAGCAAATGGTGCCATGAAGAAAATTCATCTTCGATCGTGTTTACGTTGTGCCAGAGTGTTAACGTGTGGAAGAGGTGTTTGGTGGCGAGGTCGTTCCATTGGCGGCAGACGAGGCGGACTGACCAGGTGTCGATGAGCCAATCTTCTGAAAGATGGTGTTTCTGCTTATCTGTCAGGATAAAGCTGAATATATGGCTCAGCACTTCATTGGGAAGGTCTAGATGCATTTTTGCAGTGACTTGAAGAGTGAGTTGTAGGCTTGTAAGATCAAACTATTGAGCGACGTTGTAGAACCGTGAAGTAATATAGTAGAAGCGGGGGAACCCTGTCGCGTAGGTAATCATCCAATCTCGTATAATCCTTCAAGTTTTAGGCTACTTCATAGGTAGTCTGGGTATGGTTTTCTCCAGTGTATGTTGTTATTATAATCAGAATCGAATTTTCAAGTAGGGGTAACTCATAGAATCACTAATGGTCCCATTCCGCTTTAGCATGTCACGAAATCTTGAGCAGTTATCAACCACAAATGTGACATCAAATTTGGAGTAGTGCCATGTTGTCAAAAGGAAGACATTAAGGCAATGCATCATCATCTGCGGATAGATAGTCAATTGTACGGAAACACATCGTACAAAGGCCCCTGGATTATACACGGTACGGAACCAGGTCTGCCAAAAGAGGAAATGTTTGTTTGACATTGGCATATATTTCTGCGCAATCGGCTCAAAGACAAATACGTTGCAACAGCAAAAGCTTTCTTCGATACGTTGGGGGTCGCCCTTAGCTCTTGTCATATCTAAGCATGTCGACTGATAAGTGCTTCCACCTCTTGAGGTTTAGCTCCCACGACCTCGCCAGCCTTCTCGCCATTTTTGAAAATCATAAACGTTGGCATAGCTCGAATGCCGTACTCTTCGGAAACGTCTTGTGCTTGGTCGACATCAACTTTGATAAAATGAACACTTGGAGTGCTTTCGGAAAGTCTTAGCGCAATATTAGCTTCCATTGAGCTTGCAGGAAGAGAATGCATGTGGGATATATTACTTTTCAACGATAGGGCTTATAGCTCTGCAGGGTCCGCACCATGTAGCCCAGAAGTCCACAAGCACAATAGGGTGGTTGTCGAGAGTGTCCCGAAATTCTTGGAGCCTGATAGAAAAGGTTAGCTGGGTAGGTTTATTCAAGGGGGTGGAAATTGAGTATTCTTACCCCTTCACTTCTGTGACGGTCATTTTGATGGTGTTGATTTGCTTGAGCGTGTTATGTATTGATGGTAGTCGAATATGCCTAGTAAGACTCGATGGGCCAGCAGATTTACGCAAGACTCTGTCGGTTTATATACCTTTGCCAATCAATATACGTATATATGGCCATTACTTGATATGCTAGTCTTGTAAAGGAATACGCCCGGCGGCATGTCTCAGTCGGACAAGCCTAGTGCATTAAAGAATTGATCCACAACACCGTACTTTACAAATCACGACCAGGAATATGCACTGTAATGATGTCAGAAATACTTGGTCGTTTCCGGATGATCCCACTTCAGCCAGCCACTCAAACTCTATTGCTCGAAGCTGTATGAGTAGAGCTGCGAGGGGTGATTCTTGGCTGGGGGACGGGCGCAATTGAAATAGTCTGGGTCTAATCAATTCAAAAACAGCCTTTTGCAGCAAAATCAAATTGATGGTTACCTAATTAGTTGTGGTACCAGGTTTTGGTAACTACCTTGATATTTGGCTGCTGGCTAGAAATATTACAATGATTAGGATGTATAATTCAGGAGGGTTTAGACACTCTTGAGGCTAAGAGTTGAGAAAAAGTTACAATGAAAAGATATTGTTACATACCTAAATTACAGGAGAAGTACAGTCAATTATGGGTACCTTTGCATTCCCACTGTACGTCAAAGCATATCATGCTAGAATCATAGCATGCATGCTTTACATGTTCTACGTGGCAGTGCATGTGCCGTGCCTCAATACCGGAGTGCCCCCAAGAGATTGATTGATAGGCTTTCTAGCACGTCAACTCCTCTGGCGCTATTATATACACGAAATATGATCCACAGCAGGGTAAAATACGTCATAACAGCGATCTTCTTCAAGGATCAAGGATAACTCATACATTGTATAATCGACGCTATCGAAGACATGTCTCATCAATTACATCACCTCATCGACTCTCTCGGCATCTATCACAGTGACGACAGGTCCTTGTCTTCTTCTTACCTTTCACCCCTCTCTTGATAATTCTGTTGGCCTTTCTGAGTACCTTTTCGACACGTCTTCTCTCCCTGCCACTCTCACTGCTTTCGAAATTTGTGCTTGAATGAAATCTTTGCCTGGATTGATTGCTTGAGCTTGACTGGCCACTCTGGCTGGGGGTAATTCCCGCAATTTGAAAATCTGGAATATTCTGGGAGGCCTGAGCGGGTTGAAGTCTCTGAGCAAGTGGAACGCTTTGGGCATATCTAGGATGTTCACTTCTCCCGCAACTCGCAGAAGAAACTCCAGAAACCTCCGATGAAGCCTGATTATTCGCTGGTACATTCTGCGCTTGTAAGACATTCCACTGCTGCGCTGCTTGCTGGTTCGTCAAGAGCCTAAAATTGTAAATCTGTCTTTGAGTTTCCTGAAGCATATCACCCACCTGCTTTGTCTCTTTCCTATACTCTTCGTCAAGATTCACCCTTTCCAAAGAAGCCAGATTCTGGGCAGCTTGGTACAAAGACGTGAGGATATCGTTCATAAGTTTTGATCGGTCAATTATGGCTTTTGTATTGTCGATCTCAGGCTCATACTCGGCTGTGTGTAGAAGAACAGCGCTGGTGACGAATTCTAGTTGCTGTCTGAGGGCTTCCCTACCTTCTGCCATGAGACATGGGAATGTTTGTAGTAGAGATGCGGGAATATTATAGGCTGAAGTTTCTGCGGTGCCGCCCATGATGAGGTCGTCATCGTCGTCAAAGCTGACGTTACTCATTTTGAAAAGTAGGATATGTCAGTTATATTGGAGATAAAGAACCCAAATCTGTAAAATGTTAGTATTTTCTGTCAAGGCAGGATATTGAGAAGATGATAATCTGAGTGGAAATTATCGTGTTTTTAATCAGATCTATTAGGGCATATTTTATGTCACTGCGCTATGAACAGAGTGGCTCTTCCATTGGGTAGAGTGAACAGAGTTGGTTGGTATGCCTTGGGATTTGATAGAACGATCGTGGTGGGTGGACAAACGAAGACTCAGACACCACAAACAAAGAGGTGAACAACTGCTCAATCAAACCCACATACGTTCTCAGATTAGATAACGACGACACTGATTAGTAATGGTAACAGTTTAAGAACATTCTCAAGTCATTCCCTCAGTTTCTATGGCTGGGTCTTAAAAGATGATTTATCAACCACGGTCGGGATCAATTAAAGTTCTCAATTAAAAAGGGGTAATAAGTCCTACTTCACTCTTGTTCAACATCAATCATCTCTTATAATCATAAACTCTAAATCTCTATATCTATCCAAACACGCTTTTCAACTAGAACAGAGCATATCTCAGTCGCTTCCACCAAGGGAAGGTAGCGAGCTCTGCACGCCAGGCATTGATAGACTCCCAATCATGTTCACGTCGTCCTGTATCGATATCGATCTTCTCAATGCTGATCCAAGTTGTTCGCTTCCAAAGATATCCTCCAGCCCAGAAAGCAAGGACAATAGGAAGTCCGAGGTATTGCATGAAGAAATCCTCAACCGTACCCATACCGGACTCGCCTACAGGGGCAACGATGGCCACGTAGAACTAGAGAAATGTTAGTTGATGGTCCAAAAATCAATATTTGAAATAATTTGGTTCTTCGATAACTTACCTGGGCGATGAGAATCACAACGACGAAAATGAGACCAACCCACGATCCCCAAACTCCACAGACGGCCTGGAAGGGGATCTCATCAAGTGTGTGGCCATTGTACTTCCACGCAGCTCGGAAGCGAATATGCGCAAGGCAGATAGAGCCCCAGCAGACAAGCATAGCCAATCCTGACAGAGCCAAAAGCCAGTCGAAGATAACAGGGCCAGCCGCATCAAGGTTCAAGAAAGCAAGGCATCCAAAAGCGATGATGAAGGCAACTGAAGGGAGGGGTCGGCCGGCTCTATCGACCCAGGTGAAAATCTTGGGCGCAAAACCTTGCTGCGCTAGAGCGAGGAGTGTGCGAGATCCTCCGTACACAGAGGCGATGCCGAGAGACAAGACAGATGACAGAATCACTACGTTCATGTAGTGGTCAAGACCCTTGAGTCCGGAATACTTTCCAATGAGAACGAAGGGCGAGGCCGCACTGTTGGAGTAAGAGCTGGAGCTCAGGAGGCTTGGGTCATTGCAACTGATCAAAAGTCCAACGAACAACAACGCAACGATGTAGAAAAGACAGATTCGCCAAAAGACCTGCTTGATAGCTCGGGGAACTGAAGCCGTAGGGTTGCGGGATTCAGCAGCAGCCAAACCAACGAGTTCGGAACCAGCGAAAGAGAAGGCAGCAGTGACAAAGACTGAGCAAAATCCCTTGAAACCGTTCTTGAACGCTCCCGGGTCGTTCCAGAGCTTGAAACCCTGGTAGGTATCGTAGCTTCCATTGGACGGTCCTCCACCGCAGACCAAGACGAGCGCAATGATCATGAAAATCGAGATGGAAGTCAGCTTGAAGCACGCTGCCCAGAATTCCTCCTCTGCGTAGCCGATTGTGCCAAACATGTTGAGGATGATAATAGCAACGAGGAAGATGGCGATCCATATACCGGGTGATGAATCAGGGGCCCAGTATTGGATTGTGATGGCGCAAACTGTTAGTTCCAGGGGAAGAGTCGCAGCCCATTGAAGGGTATAGTTCCAGGCCATTGCGAAACCGAATGCAGGATCAATGAAACGAGCTGCATAGGTGTAGAAACCGCCTGAAATAGGGTACATGACAGCTAGTTCACCCATGGCGTAAACAACGTTGAAAACCATGACTCCAACAAGAAAGAAGTCAATGAACAGCGTAGCAGGTCCCTGTACCAATTAGTAAAAGGCCCGTTTCAATACAAGATTTCACTTACACCTTTACTCAAAGCAGAGCCAGAGCCCACAAAGAATCCAGCACCGATAGAGCCTCCAATGGCCACCATCTGGAGATGTCTAGGCTTCATCTTGCGATCCAGCTCAACAATCCCCAAGCCGTAGTGCTTCCTCGTAAAGGACTTTGCATTCAAGCCTGTTCTCGTCATAAAGTCGTCCTGCTCATATTCCTCCCCTGTCGCAGTAAACGTCTCCTTCACACCAGGAGGAGCACGCTCATCCGCATCGTGCACGACGCCCACGACAGAAGAATCGTTGATGACTTTTTCGACAGCCATGATAAGAATCTGTCAAACGACTCTAGGATAACATAAAACACAAAGAGTAAAGAAGTCAATGCAAAAGGGGCGGGAAGAAACGGCCTTTAAAAGAAAATGGCCCCATTATAAAAAAAAGATATTGGAGCAAAAGCGCGGCCCCGGTTTATGGAAAGAAAAAAACAACGCTATGAGGCCCACACATGGCATGGTCCTGACTCTTTTTGCGAGGGAAAAGTTTTCACGAGAGGGACATCTCCACGATCTAGTTAGGGGACGGGTTGCTTTTGCATCCCCGGACGTTGTCTGTGATTCTTTACGTAAATCTCCATGGGGAAGATCTGGGTTAATTGCTAATGAGGTTATCTTCAATTTATGGCTGTGGAGAAGCATACTTCTCCAAATTGCTGGGGGAGAATTTGGAGTTTTTACAGCTACCCATAGTTGGAGAAGTTATTCCCCAATCTGGCAATATTCAGGCAACTTAACAAGTGCTTCAATGCTCCATGGCAATAGAAAAGAGGAATATATTAAATTGCCACTCATAAGCTACGACTTGAATGTCCAACTCTATTCCCTCACAGATCAGCTTGTGAAAATATTCTCAACGGGCCGTTAAGGCTGATGGCGTGGTCTAACATTTGCCACTTACAACCATCGAGATAAACTCTTCCCTCAAGCCCATGCAATCACTGTACATTCAACAAACCAACGCACAATTGATTCGACAATGGAAATAACTCATATCATTACGTTACTCTCGTGTCTAAAAGTCCAGCTCTAATCAGCCTCAATCAGCCTCAACTCATCAAACCCATGTCTCTATAACGTAAATAGTCGCGGCTCGGCGGGTGGATCTCGACTAGTGGGAACACGGTCAGTTCCTCTAATTCCCGTAAGCGTTTGGGTGTTGGAAGAATTAACCGCGCTTTTTACAACACTGCATTTAAGAATTCCACTAAATTGTCCCGCGAAGCAGAGAGATTGGGGACTTTGCACCAAGAACTGCAGCGTGTTGTCAAGATATCAATTGACTGTTATAGAAGTGGAGGAATAGCATAAGCAGATGTAGTAAAACTTGGACCAGAAAAGACGATAATACTAAGATCTAGACATAAGTCATTCAATCTCGACATGTCAGTACAGATGCTCAACAGAAGAACATTTGCATTCAGAGGATCACTTGTGGAGCGATCATGAGTTCACGACGCAACATCACCATACTCAACAACCCTGCATAGCAACATCGAGTACCACAGTTTCACAAACAAAAACATGACAAATGTTCAATATAATTTACAAGGCATCGCATATACCAGCCGAGGCTAAGCTGCCAACCATGAACCGCCTCTTTCATTCTCTATGCACTATAAATCCACAACTCCCAGTTTCCTTTTATGTAAACGGCAAAGCAAATGCACAAGGGTATTAAGCTCATCATCTCAGCCCCATGACCACCTCCATCTTACTTGGTCGCTTTGGTATGCTCCTCGTAAAACTCTAGTGTCAGCGCTGCCAGGAATCCTGGGATGCAGCCCTTCTCTCTGACCCAGAACCCAATCTGGTCGCTTATTCTTCTAGCGAAAGCGCTTCTTGGACCACCGCCGACCTTCATCGTGCCGCGCTCTCCGTCGAAGATGATGGAGTTTTCGTGCTCGTCTGTCTGCGACGGGTAAAAGGTGCTCTCGACGCGCATCTTGCCGTTGGGAATGAACGTTACTGTCCAGCCAAGTGTGGAGAAGATGGCCTCCTTAAACTCTTGAGACTTGGAGCCCCAGACTTCTTTGAGGCGACGAGTTCGCTTCTCGGCTGATGCTGTTTCCGCTTTGGCAGCAGTGATCTCACGCTCCATGGCTGAGAGGACCGAGGTTGGTATCGTAGGCACTGAAGAACTACCGCCATTGGAGCGGAGTTTTGCCAGAAGATCCTCGTTCTCCTTCTTGAGCGCCTCGAGAGTCGAACGCTTGATCGCTTCAAAGTCAGAAGTAGGGTTCGACTTGAGAGATAGCACACGTGTTTGTGTCTGCTGCTTGGCAGCTTGGAGTTGCTCGCGGCTGGTGGACAAGTCCTTCTCGAGTAGTGCCATTTTGTTTTGGAACTTGGTTACCTGCTCCTCCAACATGCGCTTCTTTCGCGTGAGTTGTCCGAGCTGTTCTTGAGTACTATCATCCTCAGCCCTTGAGCGCTTGCTGCCCGTTGCCGGTTGTGGTGTGCCTGTTGCTGAGGGTTCGACAGCCGATAGCTCAGCGTGCAGATTCTGGACCTCGGTCTTGTACTTGTCGACAAGCTCCTCAAGTTCTTGAACTCGCTGTGAGCGTGCTTGGTCAAACTGCTCAGGCTGGAGCGTCTCGTCCTCAGTGTCGAAGGTCTTGAGTTGTGCGCGAAGATATTCTACCTCCTTAACGGCCAGGGCCCGCTGGCGATCGAGTCGCAGTCGAGCTTTGTCGGTGTTGGTCGCATTGGCTGCACTCTTTGCGTTCTCAACCTCGCTCATGAGGTGAGACTTTTCGTTGTTCAACGACTGTATGGTGTTCTGCGCCGACGTGATTTCAGCCTGCAGGACACCCGCCTTCTCAACATAAGATGCATTGGTGAGACGTTCCTCGACAAGGGCCCTTGCCACAGCTTCTGGAGAGTCGAACTCGTTCTCATTCATCTCAGCATTATTCCTTAGATATGCCGCCCAGGACAATCGCTCATCCTCAAGGCGCTGACGTTGAATTCGGGCCTCAGCCAGCTCTGCTTCAACCAGCTCTGCAGACTCCAACCTTCGCTGCAAGGTTCGCTTCTCCTCCTCGACAACCTCGACGGCTTTACTCAACGCTCGTAGATGCTTAAGTTCGGAGAGTTGTTCCCGGTTCGTCGACTCGAGGTTACGGATATGTTGAACTTGTTCGGTCAGTTCCTGTCGGATAATCTCCATCGTCTCTGCGTCGCCACTTTGAGCCTTGAGTCGCAAAACATCAGCTTCGAGGTTGGCAATTTGGTCATCCTTCTCGGCTAGCTGGGCTTGTGTTTGCTGTAGAATATTCTCTCGTTGCTCGTTCTCTTGTTCGAATTCTTGGATGGTCTTCTGGAATGCAGTAATCTGCATCTCCATATCGGTGTTCTTGCGATCGGCAATTCGGGCAGCATCGTCCTTCGCTGTCGAGAGGTCCTCCAACTGTTCCTGCAGCAGGCGGGCCTCATCCTCAGCTTCACGAGCTTTGCGCTCCAGCTGTTTCCTGTCTCCATCGACTGACTCTTTAACTTCTTCCAATTCTTGCCGCAATGCCTCTGCTTGCGCTAACGCTTTCTGGCGCTCGGCCTCAGCAGCTTGTCTTTGTTGTGATTCATCGTGTTCGCGTCGTCGAGCTTGTTCAAGCTTGCTATTATGTTGCGAAAGAGCAATTTCCTTCTCTTGATCGCTAGTTTGCATCCGATATTGAAGTGTACCAATCTCAGCCTTCAATGACTCGATTTCCCTCCTGTACTTTTCGTACTCGTCCGCGTCGGGAGGCGCCATGTTCTCCTTATGACTTTCGCGCGAGCCGGGGCGGACAGATTCAGCGGCTAGACTCTGTCGAGACGCAGGGCGAGGGAGGTTAGATTCTCCAGTGAAGAGATTGTAAGTGGGTTGTGTGGCGCGGAAGGCGGAAATCTGCAATCGGATTCGCGGTCAGAAACGATTGACGAAGCTCGGGAATGTTTGTTTGTTTTGTTTTGATGTTGACTTACCCTGGACTTTCGAAGTGAGGTGCTGGGTTGATCGTTAGAAGTGCTGGCCCTGAATCGATTCGTGACCGAGCTTCTACGGCTTCCACGCCCATCGAGGTTATTGGGCGTGTGCGCGCGCATTTTGTTGTTTAATAAATACGGTTGGTTGAAGGTAATAACGATCGCGGTCGCGGAGCAGCCGTTGGCGATCAGAGCAGCAGTATCATCACGTGACACCACCAGGCCCCAGCTCAAGTTTGGTACTTGGATGATCAATGGCAAACTGTTTGAACTGTGAAAGAGGAGATATTGTGTAGTCATATATAAGGTAATTAGAGCATTTCTGCATGGTTCAAGTCCAATTGTTAAAGCAATAGCCTCATTCTTGGATGTGATGAGGTTTAGGGTAAGTCCGAGTCTAAAAGATATTGCTTCTGAATGGCAAATGATATCGATGTAATTCTCAGAGATGAGTTTCAGCAATGTAATTGAATTTCAATTTATATTGTTTCAATTCATCTCCTGTTACTGATAGTGGAAAGGGAGCTTAGCGATGTCGATTGTTCTAAATATTGAATGATGTCGGTTTGCACGTTCCCACCTCCAGTGGACAATCACTTTATGAAACTCGCATGGCGCCTTAACGGTTGGTTTTAGCTCCATAAATACTAATTAGCGATTAAACTGCTCGCTGTCAAGGTCAAGTGCAGCTTCTGATTGGACTCTGCACGCCCATTGGGTATGTTTGTATGAACAAATTCCTTCAAATGGTAGACCTGTAAACCTAGCCCAGCAAGCCTTTGTGACTGTTAAACCTCAGAGAGCAAGCCTGGCAAAGCTTGTTTCCCCATTATTAACGGTCCATGACGCATCCTAGTAAAACGTTCCTGAGCTTTCCTCTCTCCAAGATGCCAAGTGCACATCATCCAGTGACGTATTGTACCTGACGAGGAGGGACCCTGTCCCGCCAGTAGAGCCTCTTCTCATTGGCTGTCTTATGACTTCCCTGGACCTCGTGACCCACTCTATCTATTTTGTGCTTCGACTTCGAGCTTCAGCTGTCGAAAAAGGTCAAGCGGACTCAAATCTATCGTCAGAACTGACGATCGCGTTAGAATCATCCGCTTACAAAACCGAGCTCCACTGACGTCGACTTTACATTGTCGGACCTCATTTGCTCCCTTGACTTGGTTGGTTTTCTGTATTCTTCTCTTCCTCTTGCCAATGGAGCGTTCTACTTGGTAGCAGCTAGAGCAACCTTCAATATCATCGCATCTTCAACTAGCCCATTACTTCTTCTATTACATCCCAAGCTATCGTCTTGGTACTTGGCATCTTCTGTTATCTGCAGACCATCCTCATCGCTTGAAATGGCCGCAATTGGCCTCAGGGTAAGCTCCCACTAGTTGTGCCCCTCCATCTTAACCTCCCTCTAACAGCTTCACCTAGTCTTCCTTGACCACCAGAGCCATAGGTCTTCGATCCTCACACTCCCGCTTCGTCCCTCTCTACCCTCAACAACTCTATTCGACACAATACGGGTTCTCACCCTCTACGCCACGATGGTCTCCCGACTCAACAAAGTCCACTTCCAGCAGCACCTCGGGAAGCTCGGCAAATAACTCCGACCAATCCATCTCGAGCAGCGCATCCTCAACACCACAGACCAGCAAGCTCAACATCTTTAGCAGCGAATGGGAAGATCTCGATACGAAGGTCAAGAGCTTTGACGATCTGCCACATCGCCTCTTTGGCGCGAACCAACATATGATCATCAACTATGAGCTTAAAGAAGCTTTGCGACTCATGCTGCGCCAGTTCAACGCGCCTATAGTATACTGTTTCGCCTATGGCTCTGGAGTCTTTCCTCAAGGACCTTCCAATGCCAATATTTCCGAAAGTGACTTTCGCGCTGTACACCCAAACCCACCAGACGCACTGATGAAGTCGCAAAAGGGCTCACCCAAGGTGCTGGATTTTATCTTCGGAGTATCACATGTTGAGCATTGGCATTCAATCAACATGAAGCAACACCGTAACCATTATTCCGGTCTTGCCTCTTTAGGCTCTGGTGTTGTTTCGCGTGTTCAAAATTGGGGTGCTGGTGTCTACTTCAATCCATTTGTCGAAGTAAACGGCATGCTGATCAAGTACGGCGTGACAAGCATCGATAACCTCGTTCACGATCTGTCCTCATGGGATAGTCTGTACCTCGCAGGCCGTCTCCAGAAGCCCGTCAAGATCCTCCGGGACCACCCTCGTGTCCGACTCGCCAACCAGCACAACCTTATTGCCGCTGTTCGAACCGCACTACTCCTGTTACCCCCAGATTTTACCGAAGCCGAGCTCTACAGCACCATTGCGGGCCTCAGCTACTTGGGTGATCCCCGCATGTCCCTGCCCACAGAGAACAAGAGCAAGGTCTCCAACATCGTGGAGAACAACATCATTCATTTCCGACGCCTCTACGCCCCTCTTGTCAAAACCCTTCCCAATGTCGACTTCACTGGACCTAGTCGTATCGACGACACCGACTGGATCATGAACCCCGAAGCCGACAACACACTCCAACAAGACATGGACCCCGTGCGTCGCGGCAACATGGTCAGACGTCTACCCCAGACCTTCCGATCGCGCTTGTACTTCCAGTACCAGAAGCGGTTCGGCATACCTCGTGGAGAGTTCAACGAGCTCATGAAGGCTTCCACCGATGAAGAAGGTGGCGCTGTGAAGAAGATGCAGGGAGGAAGTTTCGAGCGTCGCATAGGCACTGACGACGCCCAGAAGTTGCGTGAAACGGTACGCTTTGTTATCAAGCAAACGGTCAACTGGCCTAGTACCGTACAAAGCGTCAAGGGACTCTTGATGGGCGGTGTTTCACGGACATGGCGATACTTGGGAGAGAAATATTCGAAATTCAAGAAGGACCAAGTGAGCAAGAAGGCCAAGGAGCTTTCTGAAAAGTCGAAATAAGATCATTAACGGCCAATGTACATTAATGCCCTATAACGCCATTCGTCCTATCGATGTATGTATGAAGAAGGAAAGTGAACGAGGAAAACAGCGTCAATTTGGAGTAACAGGACTGGCAAGGACGAAAAATAGGATTAGTATAGACCTAGCGAGGCCGAACAGAACAGTTTGGACACAAAGTCCTTTTGATGAATCATCTACTGGAGATATATAGACGTGGTTGTTAAAGTCCCCTACATACATGCAACACTCTCCAATCCAGATTAAGCCTGGTATTTCCCAAAAGACATATAAATACGCATACAAAGAAAATGATTAAGGAAGACAAAGAGGAAGAAAGAGTGAAAGTTCACCCAGTCAAGCCATTCACGCTCGCTATTCAATGCGCCGCCGAGAAGAACAATGTGTCTTCTCTGGCTTCTTTCTATCCATGCACGTGAAATATTTCAACATTGTTTATCGCCCTTCATATTTGCCGCTGACGAGTTTCCTTGACGTAGGCACGTCTACCCACTTCTGCTCTGTGCTCGCGCTATCGTCTGCGAAAGGATCGTCATCAGACATATCCTTGCCTTTGCCCTTGCCCTCATCGAGTCGAGAGATGGAGATACCGCTTCCAATGGGCTGGTCGCCGGAGGCTGTGTACTCCCACCGGGCCTCGATGTGGCCTGACTTAGGCTCTGCACCCTCTGCGCCGATGATTCGGCATACGATCTTCTGAGGTTCGGTGGTAAGGATGAGATCACCGATGCGCCAGTAGACGAGGTGCTTATCCTTGAGGTGTATTCCCACGGGCTTTGTTTGTGCGCCGCTTGATCGGCCCTCGTATGTGGCGACGATGACAAGGTTGTGTAGTGATACTGGGGCGGCAAGCTTGGAGGAAGGATTGAGGTAGTATTGTAGCAACAAGCCGAGTTTGTCTCCCTGAGGCTTCCATGCGGGTTTCAGAACGATAGGAGCATGCTCGCCCAGAGCCTCGGAATCATCGGAGAATACTCGGTATGAGAATGCGGTGGCGTTCTTGGTGAGGTGAGATACATCGAGGTTGAACTGATCGTTGTGGTCAGGAGATGAGTTCTGCACGAAGATGCGGTTTGGCCCAATGCGCTCCAGGGCCGCAAAGTTGTTGATGCGGATTGTTTCGTAGCCTGGGTAGTGTTAGAACTGCGTTTAATGTGATTGATAACTGATGTTACTTACTCTTTGCATCGCCTGAGTCACTGGGGTTGTTGACAAAAGCAACCTCACCAGTAATGGACATCGACTTGATCACACCATCCTCAAAAATGGCAGAAACGCTTTCGATGATGGATGTGTTCAGACCTGGAGCAGTCATCTGGGCGTGTTGGGGATGGTTCAGACCTCCCAATGAGTTGCCTGATCTCACGGATTGCGTATCCGAAGTGCCCGCAATGCTGGCCTCTGATGCCAGGGCCGCAACAGCACTTGCCTTCGAAGTGGATGGTGCAAGAATAGGAGATACAGGCAAGGCACTTATAGAGGAGTCTGTATCGTTCTCAGGCAGGTTTGGCGGCGGCACGTACATAGTATGGCGCACGTCGCGACGTCCCCTCACTGTACCACTGCGGCGGGTGGCCGGTCCAAGCTTCAAGCTGTTGGCGACACTGGACATCGCAGCTAGCTTGGCATCTGGGTCTTCATCCTCGACGGGTGTCTGTTGGATGTTGACCTTGAGCAGTTGGTCAGGATCTTCACCAGATTCCTTTGCCTCACGCTGAGCCTCGGAGATGGGGTCGTTCATTGGCGGTGGAACGTTGAATCCCTCAGCATCCTTAGTTGCGATTGGTGGCGGTACGGGGGACTGGCTCTCTTGCTTGTGCGACGGGGGAGGGCCTGGAGGCGGCTGGACATCTGACAGATCGGGCTCGTAGTTACCGTTGACTGTGCCTCCCGTCGTTTGTGGGATGGGGCTGTCGAGAAGAGTTCCATTGTGCGACACACCGTTCGTGTTCTCATGCGAGGGCTCGGGTCTGGGCGATTCGTTGTTGTCATCGGGAAATTTGGGCGCATCGGGTGTTTCTGCTAGGGAGGACAATCGGTGGTGCTCCTGGAGGTTGGTGGACGAGCCTCGAGGCGAAACACCGCGTTCGTTCTGGCTGTGACTGGTTCCTAGTCTTCCAAAGCTGGGACCAAGCTTTCCAGGCGAGAGCTGGCCAAAACCAGCATGCATGCTCTGCCTTCTGCGTCCACCAAACATGGTACCGAGGCGGCGGAGTTTGCCTCCTGCAGTTTGTTAGCTAGCGGTTAACGATTCTCTCTGGAATTGACTTACCTGGCTTCTCCTGCGGAACTGAGTTATTCTCGCTCATATCATCGTCGCCGGCGTGAGAGGATGAGGGGGCCGGAACAGGCGCAGGAGATGTAGTATGAGCACTTGGAGGTGGCAGATTGGTGCTATCGGCCGTGCTTGGGGGTACTGGTGTCGATGGTGTGGTACCTGCAAAAGACGACTGCCGTGTTGAAGATCTTGTAGGAAGTTTGGCCTTGCCAGCCGTGGCCCTATTCACAAAAGATTGAATCTCTTGGTTGGTATCAATCTCAAGCATCAGTGCGAGGGTCTCCATAGCATTCTCCTGCACGCGCTGGGATGAATCGGATTCGTGGGTCTGGTACTGGGTGAGAAGATCACGCAAGTTGTTGACACGCGACTCGTCGAGGGCCTGGAGAGATTCGAAGATGAAGGGCGCCTGCGATTCCCATTGTCCGGTCGCGGACTCGAGCTTGGATGAGGCGGCATCGACCTTGGAAGTATTTGCACGACCTCCCTTCTTAGTGAGCTTGTCAACACGGTCTTGGGACTCCTCGAGATCCTTAGCAATCGCTGTCAGGTTATTGGCCATGGTGGTCATGCTCTGAACGTCCTTCCGGCTGCCGAAGTTGCGCAGCGGGTGTTCAATGTCTTTCTCGATGCGATCGGCGAGCTGGTGATGCGAGTGAGCAATGCTCTCAGTCGAGTCAACGATTCGATTCCATGGCGCTTGGAAGACACTATAGCATTGTGAGCATATTGCGACAGCAAGGCCTTGGGTAGATTTACCCTAGCTCGGACTGAGCATTCGGCACCTTGAAGAGAGTGAGCTTCTTCAGACCCTGCACGTACTGCTCCTCCACACGACGGCGCTCCTGTGTAGTTGATTAGTAGGATGTCGACGACACTCGTAGGGTGATGCCATGTCGTTACGTAGCCATTGGCGATTTGCGGAATTGTCGTACCTGGAGCCAGTCGGCGATTTCGTTGTTGACGCGGGACATGCGCTTCATTCGTTCGTTAAGGGTATGCGCCGCCTGGCTGGGCTGGAGAGCTGCCTATATTGCGCCACACGAGTCAGCCGGAGTTCAATGGAGTGTTGGATCAATTCTGGCTCGATTGTCGCTCGTTGGAATTGGAATCAGTGGGAAAGGTCGGCTCACCAGCATGGCGGGATATTCGGCCCTGGCCATATCCTCCATGATGGACCACGGCGCAAATTGAAAGAGGAATTATATATAGATGCGAAGAGAGAGCAGTGAATTAGGTATATGATTAATCGCTCGAGGAGATGCTGCGCATGTTGTTTAGGTGAGCGAGAGGGGTCGGTCGAGCTTCGGAGGTGGCCAAGCAAGAGTTGATGTCAGGTAAGGAGCTTATTTTGGATGCGATGAGCGTTGACCAAGGGGGCAACGTCAGGTCGTCGCTGGTAAACAATGTCGATATTAGAGGTGTTCGGAAGAGTCGGAGAGAGTATCCGTGATCTCGTGTAGTACTATTGCCGCAAAAAGTGCACAGATCCAAGATGTAGCCGGCACGGAGGTTGGAGGAGTAAAAGGTAATGGATCCGTATCCGTAAAGGTAACGGGAATTAATGCCTTGGCTGGGGGACGACAACGGCTAAAAGGCTACTCCGTAGAAAAGGCTGGCCGGAGAGACAGGGCTTGAGGTGGCTAGAGCATGGAATTGGGATTGGGTTTTGGCTGGGCTGCTGGGCTGGGCGCCGGGCGCTGGGCGCTGGGGTAGCTTGATTTAGAGACAGTGGAGCTTTTAGAGTGGGCGCAGCGGTTGATGGTTGGTGGCTGGTCCTTAACGTTAACCCTTGAAGTATGGATACGTAGAAGAACAACAAAGTCACGAGGAGTCAAACATGACCTCATAGCCTCGGTACTTGTAATTGATCATCTCAACACCAAGAACTGATCTCCCCAGTATCTGTATAATTGGCCTTGATCTAACTGCAGCTCTCGTCAACAATTAGATAAATACCCTAGTCCATCCTCTCCTGACTCATGAGACATAGCTGATAGACCCTTGCTCCTCGTCATGCTTGGTCTTGTCTCTGCTTTATGAAATTGCGGGCCTCTCGTCTGTTTGTTCCGTCACAGAAACCACACTTCAAACCTGAGACATCCTGGTCAAAAAAGGGCAGATCTTTACTCTTCCTCACATTCTAGAGCAGTCGAGGCGGGGAAATTCGAGGCTTAAACTCCAAGTTAAAACTTTGACAGCAATTGACTTCTCAGCTTGTCTAACCCCGATTGACGTGTCAAGTTCAAGATATCTATGAACCCTGTACAGAGCACGGATAGTCAACACGTACCTCAAAATGGCACTCCCAGCATGGAAAGCAGCTCTGAGTATGTCTCAGCGGTATGAGACTATCCAGAAGATGTAAGCACAGCCTCACCAAACCCTACCAATTGTTGACTTACACGCCCAAGCCAAGACTCCCTCTCCACAACGAGTATGAGTGAGGCTATCGCCATTGAACAGGCCGCCTACCAAATTTCTTCTACTCAGGTGCGCCCATGTCATGCAGCGGTCCAGAGCTTACGGATCCGCTGACAAGGCCTAGGACGAGTACAATCTCGCCTGTCAACCAACTTCAACACCCACGCCTCCGCAATCTCAAGAAGAAATCGCCTATGAAGATGACTCTGGCATTCGGATTGGCGCTTATGAAAACTGTCGCCCTGTGTCAGAAGGTGTCACTTCAGAGGTCTATCGATCGGGTGATAAAGCTCTAAAAGTCATTGTGACATACCAGGATATCGAGCCTCATAACCCTCAGCGTGAGGCCAAGATCTTGAAGACTTTGCGGTCACCCTGCATCCCTCTACTCGAGACCTTTCGCGATCAGGAGCAACGATTCGTTCTTGTCTTTCCATTCATGCCATATACGCTTGCCGATCTTCTCGCCAAAGGTCCCCTCCCCCTTGAGTCTCTGCGTCCCATCTTCAGGGATGTCCTGCAAGGTCTGAAGGATATCCATGCACAAGGCATAATGCATCGAGATATCAAGCCTTCTGCAATTCTGCTCTCCTCTCCCAATGGCCCAGCGCATCTCTCCGATTTTGGAACGGCATGGCACCCAGAACTATCGACCCATTCGGAGCCTGTCAATGATAAGATCCTCGATATTGGAACAGGTCCCTACCGCGCGATTGAAGTCCTTTTCGGAAATAAGTCGTACGGACCAGAAGTCGACATGTGGGGTTTTGGCGTGATGCTCGCAGAGGCACTCCGCGATCCTCCTATACCCATCTTCGAATCCCGTGCTGTCCACGAAGATGGCAACCAGCTGGGTCTTATCTTGAGCGTCTTCAAAACCATCGGAACACCTACCCCCGAGACATGGCCCGAAGCGAAGCAGTTCAAGGTCGCGCCTTTCGAGCTCTGGACTATGTTCCCTGCGCGGCCCTGGGAAGAGATCCTCCCTGATGTGAATACAGACTTTATAGATCTCGTGTCGTCGCTCATCAAGTACAATAGCCAGCGACTCACTGCTGAGCAGGTCAGTGATCATACCCCAATTCTCAATCTGCATGACTAAGAATTTTAGGCTATTGAACATAAGGCCTTGTTGTGAAACCATAGCATCACTCCACGCTTGGCTTACTGAATTGCACTGGTAGTGCATGGCTTATTAACGAAACAATGAGAATCAATAAGTCTGAATCAAAGACAATAGACAATAAACAATGAGACTCACTGCCTCTTGCCGACTATATATTTCGCAAAATGCGACATCTCCTTCCTTGATCCTTCCTCAATCTCATGCCAATCTTGTGCAACATAACAACCTCGTGCAACAAATAAACTTGTATTAAACAAACACAAAATCGTAAATCGACAAGATGTCCGAAAACACAGGCAAGTATCCCGTGTCCTTTACTAGAACAGCACTGACAGTATACAGACAAGACAAACACTTCCAGTGGCACTCCCGTGTCCAGCACCACTGCAGACAACGAACAAAAGCTCTTGCCCCCCAGGATTCTGGAGAAGGTCAAGAAGTGGGCCAAGAAGGATACAGAGGAGAACAATGACAAGGACAAGGATACTGAGGAGGGAGGTGTCAAGCTGGACCAAGGGTCGGATACTGAAGATGGCGGTGTCAAGCTGTAATCGACGGATGATTGAACTTCACTCACAGGCTCCTTGACGGAAACGATACAAGACCTAGCAAAGTATGCCAATACTAAAGTTTCTTTTATTCTATGTTCTAGCCAACCTATGTTCTTAACTTATTTTTCCAGCCCAATCCATCACTGAATCCACCACTGCCAATTTATGACTATCATCATCAATTTATCACTGACGTCTCTTCTGCGTATCCGCACCCAGGTAGTCAATAGGACATCTGCACAACGGGCAGGTATTCTGGTTGCTCATCTGGAACCACTTGTACAAACATGACTTGTGGAAAAGGTTCTTGCATGTGCCACATCGCTTGTCCGGCATGCGCTTATCCGTTGAGATGATACTGTAGCAAACCGCACACTCGTTCTGGCCCTTGAGCGCGCCGATGATGTTACGCTTAAACACCTGCAGACCATCGATGATGTTGCCGTTGGAGAAGGTAATGACACCCTGCGTTGTCATGATCCAGCTCTGCCACTTCTTTTCGTTGACGGCAACACGGTTAAGGCTCTCGACGGCCACGTTCTCGATTGGGTAGTTCTGGGGGATCTTGATGCTGATGGCAGCATGGCTTTCATCAATCTCGTAACCTGCTGTGACTTCCCTCGCGGCTCGAGCAACACGCACAACGAGCTCTTGCTCGCCCTCACCGGGTGGTTCTTGAGTATCGCCCCACTGTTGAACTTCGTCGAGAGCATCTGAAATAATAAGAGGTGAGAAGTATTTCGCCGTCCAGGTTTCGACTGCAATTCGCGTCTGCTTGGAGCGGCACTCCATGTACCAGGCGCGGAACAACCCAGGGTTGTACTTGTGTAGGAGGTAAAAGATGTGAACAAGCAGCCATTGCATATTCTTCTCCTCTGGCTCCGACTCTGCCAGCTTTACATCGTAATCTCGGATGTGCTCTGACGTGAGGTTGATCTTTTCCAACTTGAGAGGGTGTGCGGCTGAATGGCCTAGAACATCAAACATAAAGTCCAGCAAAGGCGCCACATAGTTGTCTTGCTTGAGGTTCTCAGTGAAGTCGTTACGGATCTTGAAGGATGATGTCGAGTAAGCATCGAATACGAGCTTCCAAGACAACAGGTATGAGCGGATGGCAGAAGGGAACTCGGCAAGCATCTCATCAGAGTACTTTTCGAGTGTAGGAGCATCGAGCAACAGCGACAGTAGTTCGTCGGGCAGACGAGCATCTAGTTCACATATTAGCCGTGGTTCATCATAAGATTGTGGTTGGTACATACCTGTCTTGTCCAGCATAAGATCAACGGACTTTTGCTGTTGCTGCTCAGGAAGTGCCTTGTGAAGGAGGTTGAAAGCAGCTGTCTGGATGTCGCGCGATTCTGACGCCACCAGTCCAAAGAGGTCAGAGAGATCAGACGCATGCTTTAAAGAGATCTTTTCGACTTCTCGGCAAAGTATGGCGTCTACAATCTCAAGAGGCTGCGAGCTCGTCTCACGAGGAAGTCGCAATAGCTCAACCAAAGCTCTAGGCTTGGCACTAGCATACTCCTTGAGGGCATCCACAAGATCATCATTGGGCTCCTGTAAGGATCCAATGGTCTTGAATAGCTTCAAAGAAGAATGAATGAAGGGAAGAGCCTCATCCAACTCGAACTCGTGAGCACGATTCCATAGCGAAATGCAGAACTCAATTGTCTTTTCCCAGTAGGATCCGTAAACATCCTTCATGCAAGGCAGTAGCTTGTTGAGAGCGCGGCAAATTTCGGCACAAAGAGCTGGGCTCAGATTCTCAGGCTCATCAAGCCATGATGTGATTTGACGGACGGCGAAGACGATTCGGTTGTTAGCTATAGGCAATTCACCGGTCTCGTAAATCTGAGCACATGATGAGACTAGGACAAGAGTCATCAAGGTCTTGTCGCCCTGAGCACTGGCTCCCGCAATCTCACTCACGACTCTGTTGGAGAAGGTGTTGGCAGCCTTGGAAGGCTGAAGAGTCTCGCCAAACCCAGCAATAATTGCTGAGGCAGGCAAAACTGTTGTGGGACCAACCTTCAGAACATCGGGCTTCAGAAGGGCATCCTCAAAGCCTGACGATGCACCATGGGCCTCTGCTAAGAATTGCACAAGTTCGCTCAGAGCCCTTGCACTGTACAAACCTCTGGGTGTTAACTCTCTTGAATGCTGGGTCAAGAGCTCAATAAGATCTTGGATAATGGACTTCTCGCTCGATTCATTCCAAGGCTTGGCATCAGCAGCCACACTGTTCAAGATACCACGGGTCTTGGAGACGAACTCCTCGGCTTGTGTGCTAGCTTCAGCATGCTTGAGACTCTGCCACAGACGGTTCTCCTCCATGCAGGTGATCTGGTCAGAGATGAGCTGCACAGTCAAACACTGAAGATATAACAGCTCAAGTTGGAAGGGCCTAGGCAGCTGCGATAGAGGAAGCTTGTCTGAAAGTTGAGACACATAGAGGGCCATTCTTGTAGGAATAGAGCGCCCCTTTCTGTCCCTGTGGACTCGCAGCTGGGTAGATCGAGGAGCTCCATTCACCAATGCAGCAGCCCCACCAATGCTATTGGTGATGGATAGTGAAGGGTTGATGGATAAGTCTAAGAATGGGGCGAGCTCTTTCATCCACACATTAGTGCTTGGGAAGAGCTCTTCAGATGGAATATCACCCGAGGCGGCATGGTAGGCCTGTGATACCAATGTGTCGATACTGCAATAGAAGTTAGCATGCATAGTTTGAGTAAAGGTCGGGATATCATACTCTAAAGATTGTGTGCCTGCACGTTCAAGGTTGGCTTGAACAACAGCAACAACAGGCAGTTTTCCGTCGGTGTGAGTGTCTAGGAGTGTGCGAATAGAAGTTGCCTTGGAAGAGATGGCATTATCCTCAAGCTCAGACAGGCCCAACAACAGCGCGACTAGCGTTGTATGAACGCGGTCATCGCGAGAGAATAACTCCGGTCGACCCTTGGCGGCAATCTCCAGAGCCTGCAGAGTAGATTCTGTCTTTTGAGGCTCCTTTTCGAGGATTTCAACAAGTGCCTGCACAAGCTCTCGGTAGTTGCTATCTGTAAGCGTTTGATATGTGACGGCGGCTTCCAACAGCTCCCAGTTGGTGCTATTGCCAACAGCTAGGAGCACAGCATGGCCGATAATGTGCTTTTGCAAATCCATATTGCCCTTTGCTAGAACGGCCCCTCGATCATTGGAGATGAGAGATGCAAGGGCTGAATCACGCATGGCATCGGATGGCAAATCGAGTACAGCATCAACCCAAGAGTTCCAGATAGGTGCAAATTGGGTGGACACTGAGCCCAGGAGGTGAAGAGAGGAGAGCAAATACCGAGATGAAGGAGAGGTAACAGCTTTATCCGCGTCATCCCGAGCCATGGCAGTGAAAAAGGTTGAGAGCTTGGATGCACCATCACCATGGAAGAGGCGAGGGGCCATACTAAGCGCATACTCGATGATTCGGGCAGCGCCATATGGCTTCAGATTGCGACTCTCCAAAAGGGTGATGCTCTGAGCAATGGCCTGAAGAGATGGTCCAGCCGTCTGGTCAGGAATATCCTCCTCCAACTCAGCTATTTTATCCTCAATCTGGCCCACAAGACCGAACCATCGTCGGCCTTCCTCCGAAATCTTTTCTTGAGACTGTTGATATTCTCGGGAAACCTCGGGCAGCGATCCGGAGATTTTGGCGCAGAAGATACTAGCCAATCGGTTCCATTCTTCCTCAGACGCCGAGACCACAGAGGGCGAGGCTTGAACAGTGGCGATGTAAGCTTCCACAAGGACAGATATAGCATTAGGGCCCATAGGAATTGCGACTGTCTTTTCTGAAACTGAGAACATGAATTGCTCGATGAGAGGGAAGAGATGTTCTTGGACGAAAGGTAGCTGATTCTCAGCTGGTAGATTCTTGAGTAGTCGTTTAGCTGTGTCGATGAAACATTTCCATGCGTATGAAGTGTTGGTCCGAGGTTCCTCGCGGTGTGTGACTCCAGACTTGAGAGATGACAAGAATTGGGAGGCAATCTCAGGTGTGATCAGATCTGATGGTAAAATCATCAAAAGCTGATCCAAGAACTGCCAAAACTTAGCTTGGCTTCCCTGAGAACCCTTGGCGATGAAAGCTTGAAGTCTACCCAAAGGAGACTTTGGTCCACTTGATGACTTTGCTGATGACCATACATCGGGATATGCTTGGGTCATCTTTGTTAGGGCTCTAACATACTCGAGAGCCGAGCCAGCTTGGTTCGTCTTCAAGCCACCTGTGATAAAGGCCTGTTTGACCTTTGCATCATCTGCGTAAGGTAACTTTCGGTCGATGGAAGCGAAGAGAAGTTGACAAATGGTTCTTCTGACTGCTGAGTCACTGAATGTGATGGTTTTCCACACATTTTCCTCGGCGAAATAGTCGTCATATCGAGGCTGTAGCTTTTCCAGATTGGTTGGCTCAACCTTTTGTAGTAAACCCAACACAAGTGATAAGCTGGCAGTAACAACTCTGAAGTACTTTGCCTCTGAATCTTCTGCTGTTGTCGAACGTTCGTCGCTGAGGGTATCTTGTGTTTCTTGAATAGCTTCAATAGCAAAGTCAAGGATCTGCGCCTGGCACTTGTTCCAGAATGCAAGGACCTTTTCAGGGGTGTTGAGAAATGAGGTTAGACCATCGCTAGCAGCCCTTGCTACCACACGGTCACGGTCATAGAGACCTGCAAGCCATGCGGCGACGATCTTTGGGAGATGGCGCTCAAATCTCTTTCGGGCAGACTTCATAAGCTCAAACTGAAGATTGTGTGTGAGCTCACGCACACGACGTGAATTGTCAATCGATGTGCGAGGATATAATTGAACCTACCCAACTGTTAGTCTCATTGCAAATTTGTATAAGCTTTTGTGCGTGAACTTACCCAAACTTCGAGGATCGCCTCTTCCACCCCACCATCCTTGTCAAATGGGTGAGCCTGGACGTAAGCTAAGAGCTCTTCAAGAGCCTTGGCCTTTGTAGTGCTGTCTTTCTTCAAGATGTTCTTGAGAGACACAACAACATTAGGATCCGAAACAGCTGAGAAAGATGGAGGCTCGGCAAGATACGACAGGGAGGTTCCGGAGGCGGCATTGCCAAACCCTCCAAAGCCCGCGAAGCCGGAGCGGGGTCCTTCAAACCCACGATTTGCAGGTTTGCCTTGAGATCTCTTCATGACTGTAGATCTGTGAGTGTTGAAAAAATAAAGATGAGATATAAAGGGCGTGAAGGGGAATGTAGGACAAGTGCCAGGTGCCGCTCGGCTGGTAGTCGCTCTCTGTATCGGCAGAGGCTTGCAAGGCTAATTGATGATGATATCAAATTTGGTGGTGAGGGACCAACGAGTGATGTCACAAGTGGGCACAGACCGTGGTTGGATTTAGCGAGTAATAAGCGGGTCGAAAGTAGTAATCCACTGGTTGTTGATGGTTGGTGGCGAGTTGGCAGTTGACGAGCCTCAGACACGATAATGGCGAAGAAAGATGAAGGAGGGAAGAAATAATTGCTGGAGAAATGAACTTGCCTTTTAATTTATACCCGAGTATGATTTGAGTTGATCCTATTTCTGAGTTTGCACAGATGTCCTCTTCGAACTATTATGCTTAAAATATTTTGACTCATACCGATCAATCCGAACTCTCGAAGGGATCATGGGCAATAATTTATGATGTTAGTAATCACGCGGCGAAAAATTCAGTAGGAAGATAAAACATGATGGCATCTGTCCTAGCTATTAATAGTAATGGTCAAGCATAAGGCTCCATGATGAAAATGTACATTTTGATGATTTAGTACAGCAGCCGTGTAGATGTCCGAATACTTCAACCCTTTCCCACTGACAAATAACGATAAACTATTGGCTATATTAGTCAAGAAATCGATCCGACTTCCCAAATAATTCATTTGTCTAAAGGTGTTGGCGGGATGGATGGCGTGGCCCGTCCCTTTCTCTTACTGGGATTGGATTGGCATCGGCGTTTGCATTTAGCCTTTGGTGCCTGAATTTTCGTTACTGATTAAGTTTCCAGTATTGCTGCTGATTGAGTTGTTGGCTTTTTATTGACAATTACTCAATTGATTACTCTGCGTTGGACGGGCAATGGTAGAGATTCATTGCACATTTCAGCTGATAAACCTTGCAATTGGACCCCAAAGCGTCGACCTACAGCTTATGAGCAGACTAGCGGTTTCGAGAGGCACATAAATGACTTGTCAACTGGAAGTGTATAGCCTGGGCATAGTGGGGATGAGCAGAGGATCAATTGTCAGTGTATGTATGTAGTGATTCAGTATTGATGCAAAAGGCATTGTATGACCCGGTTCACGTCGCCATGCGTGTTTGACAAAAAGAAAGCAAAGAATGCTGATGGCCCTTCTTGTTCAATTGCCCGAAATGGATCGCCGCTGCATGTGAGCATGTGAGAGTGACTGATGTACATATTTCTGTCCTCGGTTCAGTAACAAAACCCCCCGTCGTGCTACGATTGGATGCGTAAATGCCAAGTAGGATTGAGTCGTTTAACCACCGCGATATGCGCTATTAAATCCACCGCCAAAGCAAATACAGCCTCTCATTCTGCGAAGAGACTAGGGAGATCTGGGGAGCTTCGGTCCAGACCATCCAGTATGGCGCGATAAGACGAACACAACTCTTTGGTCTAGACAAGCACGGCCGGCTGCTTCGCTCCTTTTCCGCTTCGATACAGCCGCATTGAGTCCCATGTCTGCTTCCGTTTGCCCTCAGGCCTCAGGGTCGAATGTCTTAGGGGTTCAAAGCCACAAATACCCTGGCCAAATCCTCTGATAAGCCGAGTGGTGCAGTATTTGAACTACCCCTGCCGCCTCGCGTGAGCCGCACCTTTAACGACTTCTCCATGCGCCCGCTTTGTTACGAGCGGAATGTCTTTGTATGGAAGTCACGATAGTTGCTCGTTGGCTGAAATGGAAGAGAACCACCTACCTATATCTAGCCTAGCCAAGTCGATCTGTCGTGCGAGTTCTCCCGGTGAAGAGGAGGGACTTGTGTAAGCAAATGTGCCCATCATTGCCGCTGAACAGAGGCTCTAAAGTCTGCGAGCTTGACGTCAACGGCTGGTGCACGAAACAGGCGGGGCAGGACAGCGTCCACTTGCCGATTCGGATTGATGTTGTCTTCCCCGCAAATGGACGACCAGTAGACAACCAGTGGGGCTGAGCCGATTGCTTCTGCAGCAAAGATGCACTACAGGCTCACTGAAAGCACAGTTTGCTGTAGCATTTGACTGGGTTGAGTAAGACACGATGCCTCCCCTGCCTAAAGTGCAGCAAGTACAGTGCCCCCAAAAACCATCAGCAGCCTGAGACACGTTTGCGGTGTTTTTGTTTGAGAACGGCTTCTTATGCCGCATTCCTCAAGTGTCCAGTTCCTGGTAAACCTAAGCACAATGCAACAAGACACAAGAGGCGTTCGACAAGAGCCAGGAGTCACAAGTCACAACTTCTCAGTCGTGTTACAGTATCACAGCGTCACTTAATCCAACTCACTAAAACAATACAAACATCAGTCCAATCTTACACTGCTCTGTCCTCCATGTCCCCTCTTTTTCTTAGGCCATGTCCCCTCCTAGCCTCCCCACTCCCCCATGTTTACAGGTGCTCCACTTAGACTAGGCCTCTATTGAGCCTGAACCTCAGGCCGTCCCTGGCCAAACAGGCCCCCATCGCGTGTCGTCGTTCGTCGCTTGTCGTTCGTTCGTCACTTCCGTCCCGTCCATCCATCGTGTTAAAGGTCTTGGGTTTCCCCTCATGTAGCTCGTCACTTCCCTCTTCATTCCCCAGCTTCACACTCTTCCCTTCTTGATAATTACAGCATCTACACTTTCGGTCTATCAATTCTCCCTCTATTCTCCTGTGTTAGTCGCTGCTCTGTCTCACTTAAAGCTACCAACGCTTCCGATACCAGCCACTACGTAGTGTGCATTGTGAACTGTTTCAGTAGCAGACCCATAGTGAAATCGAATGCTTACCCTTCTTTATTCTTCTGGTAAGTTACGGCAAGCACCTACTGCACATGTCTAGCATTCGCACACGGCACATGTTATAGCCTTGACTCGTTTCACGTTGCTAACCTTAACAGCTCATTCTAGAACATCCACATCCGGAGCTCACAATGTTGGCCGCTACGCGCATCTGGAGAAGTGAGAGGCTCGTCCACTCTCGTACTTCTGCCCCGAACGTGCTTCGCTCTACCGTTTCATTACACTCCAAATGTGACCAAAACAGGAGCTTTTCCTCATCACCATCATCTTCGATACCTTCCCAAGACCGAAATCCGCGTCGTCATGGTGCTATCGGACTTCAACGTCCAGTCCCGCTAGTTCGCAACATCTCCTGGGAAAACAGGTCACGAGCTGCTTTCAGAAGGGCTATGAAAGGCTTCAATCAACCCACAGATGCTAGCAAGTTCGCTAGCATTGACCAAGTTAAGACTTGGGCGAGTGATCTTTGTGGCCTTCGACCTGGGGCAAATATCGAAGACGTAGAACGAAGCGCTATCGACCACCTGCTTCGGGGTGATAAGAAAGCCAACATCCACAAGGCAACCTTTACCCATGGCCATCATTTTAGCGGCCCACGTGCAATTGTGAAAACATCCAAGAACTCTCGCCTCTCAACTGCATACGAAGAAGAGACTACCTTCATCGACCCCATCACAAATCGACGGGTTTCTAAACCATCGAAATTGGGAAGAGCGGCCCGATATGAAGATCTGGCAGGTTATGAGCCGACTGACTTCGTTGATCTAACTGCAAAGGCTGAATCTACTCCTAAGTATAACGACTTGGATAAGTACAAGCCCACCAAGGATGTTGTTACCGAACAGCAAAATCAACATGAGTACGAAGATCTTGATGAATACCAACCAGTCGTCGATGAAAGATCCACACAAGATCAATCTGTCGAGTACGACGATCTAGACAAGTATGGACCAGTCAGGCATAATGAACCTGATGGAAAACTACCAAACACAACCGAGGAAGACTCGAAAGAGTATGACGACCTTCACAAGTACTCTTCCAGCAGCCTCGATAACCCTTTGTCCCAGCCTCAATTGACCGCCGAACAACAGTCTAAGCTCTACGACGATCTTGACCAATACAAGCCCACGTTCTGGAATGAGCCTGATGGCAAGAGGGCACAATCTGTTGAGGAGCTGTCAAAGAACTACGATGATCTTCAGAAGTATCAGGCTGTTTACTGGAATGAACCTGACGGCCTACGTGAACGTTCGTCGGAAGAGGTTTCCAAGGATTACAAAGATCTCAGCTCATACGGACCCGTCACATGGAGCGAACCTAACGGCCTCCGTCGCTTGACGCCCGAGGAGGAGTCCAAGAAATACGACGACTTGGAGTCGTACGAAGCTCCTTTTGAGGCCAGCCGATCCATCTTGAAAGCCCATGAGAAGGCTCAGATGGACACTACGATGCGAGGCAAGCCCCTTGCTCCGAAGGTCGATGCCCCTGTGGAGGATCTTGCAAGCAAGTATGACGACCTTCACAAGTATGGACCTGTTCGATGGAACGAACCCGATGGTCTGCGAAAGCTCACTTCCGAGGAACTGTCCAAGAATTACGATGATCTTCACTTGTATGGTGCAGTAAGATGGAACGAGCCCGACGGTCTGAGACCACTCTCCGCAGAAGAGAAGTCTAAGCGCTACAAGGACACCCATCTTTATGCTGCTCGCGATACATCTTCATCTTTGCCACGCGTGCATCCTGAGGAGGCTTCCAAGGTATACAAGGATCTCCCAGGATACCGCGAGTTTGATAACGCAGATGAAAGTGAACCACGCATCCACGCTGAGGAAGCTTCAAAACAGTATACTGATTTGAATGCCTATGCTGCTTCTGAGAATGATGGATCCATGACAGAGCCTGTTCATCCGGCATTGCCACCAAAGGAGTATAAGGATCTGCACAAGTATCCCTCAGCGGGTTTCGAGGAGACCACTATGTTCCAGCATGTCCACCCTGAGGAGTTGACCAAGAACTACACAGACCTTGGTAGTTACAGACCCTCCGGCTTTGCTTCTCAGGCTCAGGCTTACCCTGCTCACCCCGAGGAAGCCCTTAAGGTTTACCAGGACCTACACCAGTATGCCTCAGTTAGTCATAACGAATCCAAGGTACCCGATGGCCCAATGTCGGTCCCTCTGGATGAAGTCGCCCGCGGCCTCCGAGAGTTCGATTCCAAGGCAGGTTCCCAAGATCCCCTGGATACAACGTCAAGTGCTTATTATCGAAACCCCAACAGGTCTTTTCCCGACTCTACGGAAACTAGTGTCGATGACGTCGATTCTGGAAGTGCCGAGGCAATCCGAGCTGCGGTCTTACGTAGGGCACATGAGAATAGTCAGAGGTTTAAGGGCCAAGATTTGACTGGCAATAATGTTGGCCAAGCCGGGTCACAACAACTATCGCAGGAACAAAAGCTCACTGGAAATTACGCTCGAGACTTTCCGGAAGAGTTTGTGGTATCTTGGAGCAAGCAAAATTCGTCGTCCAAGTCGGCACTGTACCCCAACAATCGTGGAGAGAAACCAGATCCTATGGAAGAGGCCATTGAGGAGAACGTCGAGCCTGAATCCATGGACGGGAGCTTTCCTATTGAAGATGTGAAGCTACAGCCCGCGCTGGATCGTTATGCGGGAAAAGTATTCAAGGATTGCTACTCGCACAAACCCCAAGGCTTACAGACAAGCTATTCTGAAGAGTGCGGGCACTCGACAATGCCTATATTGCAGAATCACTACACACCTACAGATTGCAAGACAGAGGCAAACACAAAACCACAGGAGCCACACGCAATCCCATACAAAATCCTTGCATTTGACCCAACTTCAAAGATGATGAGCGTGGCACAAGCTACCTCAACTGTCGATACGAACGGGAGCCCGATGTCCTTGGCTGATGCTTTTGTCCATCTGAAGGAACCTGCCAAATTTCTCCCTTACTTCAAATCACTTCAAGATCAAGGTTATGAGGTGATTTCGGGAAGCGGCCATGTATTGATTTTTCGACAAATTCGTCCAGCCTTGGAGCGATCTGCTGATGCCGTAACCAGCGCGATCGATGAGATGGTTATTCGGGGCGGAACATTTCCTACCTCTGATAGTATCTCAACTGACAATACAGGCCAAGTATACAAGCGCCGAGGGAACGGACGCTCAGCGAACGCAAAGGCAGACAACTCAACAAAGAAGAAACACATTAGCCGTAAACTTCTTGTAGGAACAGTTGGAGTCGCAGGCTCAGCATATGCAGTGGCCATGCTGGCGGAATACTTGAGCACCAAGGGGCTGGACCCAAAGAACCCCCAGACACGACGAACTTAGTTTCATGACGGCATCATCCTATTATGGTTTGGGAACGGAGTATTGCAGACTGCTGTCATTTTTTGATGCGAAATTTCTTTGGAGTTTGGGACACAAAGCATACTGGACTTGTGGACGCAATCGATTCCTTTCGTGGTTATAAGTTAGCTATCTCTTTTCTTTCCTGGTTTTTCTTTTTATATGCGGGAAGCATTCAGCCATGAAACTGATACATCATGGAGCTCGGGAGTTAAGATACCTCGGCATATCAATTTGCTGCATTCAATAGCTATGATTACAATGACATTCGTTTTAAGCAATCTTGCTCATTCTTGACCTGTCCCTTGTGGCAGGTGTTTGTAGTGTACAATCTCCATTTTACCACCCTATGTTTCTTTTGCCCCGAGAGTCTGTTCCAATTACTACTGCAATCTGATGCGGTTTGTTGTGTGTTTAGGAACCTTCTCGCTCCGAGAAGCCAGGTCCTGTGTTGACCTGCCCAATTTTATCCATGTGCATTTCATGCTTCCTTTCCTCGGGGCTCCAACTCTGACGGCGCTGGAACGAGGGCGTCCAGCTATTTGTGTGCTGCATACATCGGTCGGCAGCAGCTTGTGCTGAGGGGGAAGCGGGAGCTGCAGACGTCAGCTTAGGAAGAATGACGAGTTTGTGCTTATGTTTGGTACCTTCTGAAGGAGGGGAAGTGTGGCTCGTGGTCGATATGGAGGTTGGTTGACGATCCATGATTAAGAATTTGTAGGAGTAGGAGTTTGTGTAATTTTAGAGATGATGTTTAGGTAAAGTTGATATTAATATATGTTTATGTTTAGGTTATTTTGTAAGAGTAATTGACGGTTGGTATGGATTGTTGCTGTAGCTGTAAATCAGCGTCAATGTCTTGTAGTAATCACACGCAGACTTACCCTGTTTGTTATACAAGTTAATTGCTCCTACCTTGCAACAATTGAGGGTCAAAAGGCATATTTATAAACCCCAAACAGGAGATCATCACCAATCAGCTCAACATGTTACGCAAAGAAACAATTGGGAGTGGCAAACTTATGGCCTGATGTGTTGCAGTTCAGCTGCATAAGAGTGACGCTGAGGCGTGACTATCTCGGGGTTTTAGAGTTTTAGCTCGGGAGCTGGAGATCGGAGCCTCGGGATAGCATCGTATGTCTTTCTTGCGTTGATAGAGGGGTTACGCGTGATAACGGAGAATGAGTTGGTAATGTTGCAGTTTGGTCATGCAGTGTTCTCTATCCGGGCTACTGGCTTTGGCTTTCTAGCTTTGTTATGGGCTATATTGGACCGGGCCTCGGGGTGAAATAAAATATCAGATGCGGGACGAAAACTAAGATGACTTTATACTATAAGAAGAATATTTAAATAAAATTATTTTATTTCTATATAAATACTAAAATAATTACTAAGTCTTAGTTATTTTAGTTTAATATTTAATAACTTTTTAAATATTTCTTAAAGCTGATTGTAGTGATTATGGCATACAATAGTCTACATCTAACGTCTGAAGTCTTATTTCACCCCCTAGACCGGGTAAACAAGACGAGGGTTGGGATATTGGATGTATGTGTGTCTCACTTGCATGTGCTTCGGTATTCTGGGGTACCCCCAATTTTTCCCCGAGTTAACAATATGCCTGGTTCGTTGGTGGAATCATTAACACATCACCTCAATGGATTCTAGACCTTGATTCGTCCCAATGCTTCATCAGATCATCCACCAACTGCATTACCCCCTCACATGGATGGCTCAGTTTTGATCAACAGGGATGTTTCATTGCTTGCTCTCTTACAACATGTCATACATATAGCCATAATCTCAAAAGCAAAACGCTAATCCTTTCCCATGACCTGTGCCCCAAACGAGCCTCGTCTATATATCCATCTTCCCTTTTGTTTTGGTACCCTTCCAACTCCATCATGCAGAAATACTAAAGACGCCTTAGGCTATGCAGTTGCAAATGTCGAGAGCAGTCGTGAATCAAAAATAATGCAAACAAGTCGAATAGAAATGGGGGTATACAGCAAAATAATAGTCATCCACCGTGAGGTAAAAAGTAGAAACAGGAAACTGTTCGAAAAAGTGACGTGAAGTCATATCTCGGAGTGAAGAATTGTATGTACGTTGAAGGGTGAGTGAATCAAGGAGTCCTGGGTCGCTTCCAGTAGTATTGCTATTGTCTTGTGTAAGCCTTGGATCAATTGTGTGAAGTTCGGGATATTACAAACCTTGTGTTGCTTGCGGCAAGCACGGAGACTGGGCTTGCGAAGCCCGTCAACAACCGCTGCGCGACGCTGTTGGTCGTCATCCTTCTCAGGGATGTAGTAGTACTCGCTCTCGAGGGGCTTGCCGGCGGCATCCTTACCCTGACGTTCGATGATGCCAATGCAGAGTGTGCTCTCGATGACATCCCGGAGATCGTCCTTGGTGAGGTCTCGCTTCTCTTCGATAGGGAGGTGCTGCATGATGGTGGACAGAGGTGTTGAGGACAGACGCGAGAAGGCGAGCTGGTTGATAACGTGGTTGCCAACAGCAGGGTTCGAGTCAAAAGACATCTTGAAGATCTCAGGGGTAGGAGCAGGTGAAGTCTCGCGAGGGGGAGAAGACAGAGGAGACTCAGTCCTGGCTTGCTGCTTGCGAGGAGAGTGGGGAGCAGAGGGGATCTGACGGGGAGCGAAGAGATCAGAAGCGAGGGCGCTGTGAAGAGGGTTGATAGCTCGCTTGGTGCCCTTGAATACCTTGGGAGACTTTGTCGTTATCGAAGCCAGCCTGCAGGAGATGTCGGCACCAAAGGGTCCGAATGAGTGGATAATAGGGTCGTTCTCCTCATTGGGGTCGTGGTCCTCGCCGTCACTGACCTCACTGCTGAAGCTGGCAGTCGCATCGGTGCACATGCTGACATTGATATTGCTGGAATCAAGCCTGTGCTCTGGCAACTCAAGCTCACCATCGTCCTCGTAGATTTCAATGTCACGTTGTCCGGGCAGCAGAGCCTGGAGACGGCGAGAGCTGGACAGACTGGCAGGCGTGGGGCTCTCAGGAGAGGTGATACGAGAAGCACGGCGTGGAGGAGAAGACTGAAGAATAGCCTGGGCACGAGACTGGCAGGGAGGAGAGTCCCAAATGTCGGCAAGGTGGTCAAGAGCCCGCTTGGGCCATTGGACAAGCACGCGAGAGTTCTGCACATCAATTATGATCTCGGAGCCCTCGGTTTCACTGGTAAAGCTATCACCCTTGTACAATTCCCAAGTGCGGCCCTGGCTATGCAGCTTGAGGCCATTCCAGCCATTGCAGACAATCTCAATCTTGTTGGGCTCGAGAGAACTTGTAGCAGAAACGAAGCGAGCCTTGACGTGAACACGAGATACAAGGCGATCGGCCGAGATCTGGTAGTGGGACGAGTTGGAGGATCGGCCCATAATCAGCGTCTCGCCGTTTTCCGACAGTTCGACGGCGGGGACGGTAGCGAGCGGGGCTCGCTCGGAAGCGGAAGCGGTCCGTTGAGGCGGGGAACTCGACAAGATACCTGTGCTCGACGTGGGAACGGGAGTAGGATACTTAAGATGAGCACGAGATCGAACAGCCCCGGAGCCTGATCCAAGATTCTGTCGCTTTACGGGTCGAGGCAGGTTTGGAGACGACGAGAGAGGCTCAAAGGGCGGAAGAAGAGTCGGAGCGGAACGCTTAGAACCGGCGAGGGAGCAAGGCTTCATAACTGGCAGCGAAGGCTCGGCGGAGGAGCCTTTTCGTGGGGATGAACCGATAGAATCCATTTTGGTTGTGAGTAGACTGAATTGTATCGTATCGTGGGATTGTAGATCGAGGATCGAAGTTGGACTGGATCGCGTCCAGAAGCAATAGAGACAAGCCCGGCAACACGCGTTAGGTGATTGTTGAATCCGTCCGGATTGCAAGTAAGTAATGAGTGTTCTTTTTCCTCCCGTTTTCCCTTCCCTAATCCTTCTCAGACTCTTGCCAGCGAGGGCGTGATGGGAGTGGAAGATCCAACTGGTGGGTGAAACGATGACGGCCACGAAAGGCGGTCTAGTTTTTCTGTAAGACGACTTGAGGACGGTTTAAAACATAGACGTAGGAGTACAAGTTTTTTTAGCAATGGGGCCCAAAGACGAGACCAAGCGTTGGATTCTTGGAAAGAAAGGTAAGGGGGTGAAAAAGTAAAAAGGTCGAGGTGAGGGATTGAGTGAGTGTCTCGTGTGCGTTGGTGTGCGTTGGTGCTGGGAGGTATTTAAAGAGGTGGGCTCCGCTTCGACCAGGGACGCGGGAACGCGGCGAGGTACTTTGCGCGCCCGTGAGATGTTGGCGTTGGCGTTGGCGTTTTTTCGTGCAATGTCATCTACAGTGGACGATGCGCTGAAGTATAGGCGTTTGGTCTGAGTTTCAGCGGAGAACAAAGAACAGTTTTAGGTGCTTTACGCGCAGCTGGCCGCGTTGAGTGGTAGGCCCGTGCTGTATCGATAAGGGAGATGACGTTCACTGAACGCGCTGAGTTATAGTGGCTGCGTGCGGCCCAGGCTTGGGTCCTTGCAGAGATGGAGATCAATGTCTCATATTTGCATTAATATGGTTTCCTTTTTATTTCTGGAGTATATATCCCTTACAATTTCCTCAATTTGATCTATTCCTTCTTTGTTTTATAGTAATTGAGTCTTGATCGTTCGAATGTGTCTGATTTTTCATGGAGTGCGGGACCATTGCAGAGCCAACCTCTTGTTCAACCTCCAATTTCTCATAGACACGTCTCCACCAACAAATCCGTGGGAATTGAGCCCCTCTGGGTTCGCGTTTGGAGCTGTCCAGACCAATCCCTTTGCCAAATGATACATAAAGTGTATGACTGTCCTTAATTGCCCTTGTTCTTATTCGTTTTTGTGTGTTCTGCTGTGCTGTGAAACATCCACCCTTAAAATCCTTCAGGGTTACATTGACTGTCACGTCTTGATACTTGGAATTTAACATCAGAGCTGGGCAACGAAGACCAATCTTGACACATCGCAATCATATATCGGCATAATACTAGAACCTGCTCACTCAATTTGCCATAGGAAGACCGATGACCATCGGATGATCCATTCGGAATTCATTCTGAGGGTGTTCGTGAGGTTGCTGTAGTAATCACCATAGCAATCAATACATTTGGGTTCTCTGGAACGCCTTCGCCCTTGATCACTCAAACTTGCCTACTCATGACGCATTGGCTGATTAGAACTTCGTTTGGTCGCGTTCCTGTTCTCCTTTTTCAGAACCTAGCAAACAAGCCATGCCTACGCCACAGAGCTAGCCACGTTTAAGGCCGGTCGATCCTTGATCCATGACTTCACAAGACTCTGGCAAGATACCCTACAACACCATTGAATTATGAGAGAAGGACACATAATAGGTTTGGCACTGACATACTTCACGTAAAAATAGGCCTATAGTTTTGTTTCGATCAATTGAACCCTTTCCAGTTCATTTCATAGCGTCATTTTAGTATTATGGTAGGTTACTATACCACAGACTCGATTTGGCGATAGCCTCAGTTTTGTGATGACATTACTAACAGCATCACACTACACATAAACAAGCTAGCCTCGATTGTTTATTCACGCACCATCACCAAACGAACAAGAGGTTATATCTCGACTACATTTCTCGTCATTATTTGTTGTTGGAGAGTTTCTATACCTTATCTTTCACCTTAGGAAGGTTGCACCATTGGCATTTGCACTCGCCAACATGCTGGGTAGAATGAACTGTGGTTCGTACGCACGCCTTTGACTTTGGAATTTTGTAGGCGATGCATATCTCGTCTCGCCATTTTATGTCGACGCAGTGGCCGCATTTCCGGCAAATGTATCCGGTACTGTAGTGTTTGCACATTGCTATATGAGGGTGTTGGTAAAGGACAAGATTGGTGCCAAGTATAGAATGGAAATGCTGTGTTTTTGAAGAAGCTTGGATACTTTGTTGAGAAGAGCTATAGCGTACTGTGGAACAGGATATATATGACTCTATTGACATAACTTCACTGCTCAGCTCTATCATCATAAGCCCTTCATGTCAGTCAAACTTGGATCATGTATCACGAGGGAGTCACTGGTAGATTCTTAACGATCGTGGACAGAAAAGCAACGTGAGTGCCGTAGTACGTAAAATTGGGATGATATTGATCTCTTCATTTGGGTCTTTCCGTAGCTATCGTTACTCAAGGACAGACACTCCACTCAGCTCTGACAAGACCATTAAATGCCGATCCTTTGGTGGTGTTGTTCCATGCTTGAACTCCGCCAATAAACTCCAGGTAGTCTAGTTCAACTCTGGATCAGTGACGGCGCAGTAGATAGGATACTCCAGCCACGGCTCAGGACGATCCTCTTCATCAATGACAGGCGGCGTGATGCTATCACTACCGCGCTTAGCCAACTTGACGGTATGTCGACGAGCCAACGCAATAACCAAGTCCTTATTGTAAGCCGAAACCGCGTTGGACTCATTGTCATTGTACTTCTCAACCAGATCCTCCTTGACTCGGGAAACAGCTAGTCCGCGTTTCATCTTGATGTAGCTTCGACGAGCAGCTTTACCGTCGCCGTCGCACCACAAAAATCCCGTTCTGTCACCATCGCGCTTGATCATAAGGTAGGCCTTGGACTTCTTCTTGCGGTTGTTGGACACAAAGCTGCCGGCTTCGACTGGGAGATCCCTGAGAAAGTGACCGACTTCGGCGGCAGACTGGGAGAATGTGTGAAAGGGTTCATCGGGCATGGTGACAGGGCAATCGGAGTTCCATTTGTCAAAAACTCTTTCGGAGGAATCATCTTGCTCTTCTGCCATGACATGGTCTTGAATGGCGTTGTTAGACATCGTGACGCTGCTTAGGTCTTAGTATTTTGCCATCAGGGGTTAGGAAAACATACGAGATGATAGCTGGTCACTTTGGAATACTGTGATGAGCTGTGATGCTGTTGTTGTGGTGAAGGGAGATTTAGAGGAGAGCTCTCTTGAGTAGCTTATCCTGTGTCATGGTATCATATAGAAGTGGCACTGCCAGACAACTTTTAACAATTTAGCACTGCACAGACACTGTCGGCTGCGAACCTAAAGATGCTCTCTTGCATAACATAAGCAGAGTGAATGGCAATCAGTCTGCCACTTGTAAACATTGCACGTACGGACATCGCAGACAGCTGCCATAATGTAAACTAACATATTAAGTTTTCTATCTAACTAAGAATTATCACATATCTCATACATCGTAAATGCTAAATTAACCCTCCACAAGGGTAACCTTGGTCTCCTCCTTGAGATCCCGGCTGCTGAATCCAACACGGATGGTGAACTCGCCCTCGGGAATAACCCACTGCTGGGAGATGATGTCCCAGTAGCTGAGATCACGGCGCATCAACTCAAAGCTGACGCTCTTGCTCTCGCCAGCCTCGAGGAAAACCTTCTCGAAGCCACGGAGCTGCTTGGGGGGAGTGCCGGAGGGGGCGCTCTCGGGGAAGGTCACGTAGAGCTGGGGAACAGTGGCGCCGTCGACCTTGCCAGTGTTGGACACGGAGACGGTCACGTTGTAGATGTTCTCCCAGAGGGCGGGGTTGCCACCGGGCTGAACAGGGAGGGCCTCGGGGGCGGCGGTGATGTCGTCGGCGAGGGGCTCAGCAGAGATGTCGGAGATCTCAAAGGTGGAGTAAGACAGACCGAAACCGAACTCGTAGCGCACAGAGATGTTCTTGGCGTCGAAGTAGCGGTAGTCAATCTCGAGCTTCTCGTCGAACCAAGACTGCCAGTCCTCAGAGCCGGTGGTGTTGATGGCAGTGGTGGGAGGAGCGTTGTAGTCGGTGCCGTTGAAGGCAATGGTGTAGGGGAGACGACCGGAGGGGTTCACATCACCGTAGAGGAGGTCGACAAGGGAGTTGCCGGACTCCTGGCCGGGGAAGTGAGCGGCGAGGATGGCGGTGACGTTGGGGTGGTCAGCCCAGGGGAGAGTGTTGATGCCGGAAGAGTGGGTGACGACGATGGTGTTGTTGCAAGACTTGGCGACAGACTCGACGACATCATCACCGTCCCAGTCAACGCTGAGATGCTCACGGTCAGCGGCCTCCTCAGCCCAGGTCTTGAGGAAGACAAGGCAGACATCGGGCTGCTTGGGGATCCAGAGGTCAGTGACGTTGGAGTTGATGATGAGGGTGTTGTTCAACCACTGCTGGACAAGAGAGCCGTCCTGCTTGGCACGGGCGTTGATGGCAGCCAGAGGAGAGACGAGGTAAGTCAGACGACCAGTGCCAGAACCACCACCAGCAACAAGAGTACCAAACTCGTAGTCCTTCTGGTTGTAGAAACCCTCAGTGATATCACCAGCGTCGTTACCGAAGACAGCAATGGTCTTGGGCTTCTTGAGAGGAAGGGCGTTCTTCTTGTTCTTGAGGAGGACGGTAGACTCGGCGCCGTGCTTGCGGATCAAGTCGCCGTGGTTACCGCGGACGTCACGGCTGCTCTCGCCAGTGAAGTTGAAGTCGTGGAGCCATGTATTGCGGGGGGTGAAGGTGTTGAGGTCGGCGCTGGACTCGTCGACGGAGGGGAAGTCCTTGTCTTGGCCGAGCCAGTAGTAAGGGGCCATGATGCGGAGGATCATATCGTCAACACGGGTCTCCTCGAGAGTGCCGTTGGTGACAGCGCGGGTAATGTTACCGCCGAAGAAAGAACCAGCCTTGAAGTTGGTTCCATAAGATCCAATACCACCGGGCCTAAGAGTGTTAGTTTGAGGATAGCAAAGTAGCAAGGAGGTGTACTTACATGTCCATGTCAAGACCGCTGTTGATGGCAGCAACACCGGCGTGGGTGGCACCCCAATCAGACATGACATAGCCCTGGAAACCAAGCTCGTCTCTCAAGATACCGTTGAGGACCTTGGAGTTCTGGCAGGCGTAAGAGCCGTTGAGGCGCTGGTAGGAGCACATGAAGCTGGAGGCCTTTGCGTGAGCAGCGTTGGCAAAAGGCCACAGGTAGAGCTCGTGCATGGTTCGGTCGTCCATGTTAGTGGAGAGAGCCTCCTCGTCGACCTCGGCGACATAGCCGTCCTTGACGAAGGTGGGGTTTCGCATAACCTCCTGCTCGTTGCCGATGAAGTGCTTGGCGGTGGCTTGAACACCGGCGTCTTGGTGACCGGTGATGGTCTTCTCCATGGCGACACCGGTCAGATAGGGGTCGGGTGAGAAACCCTCCCAGTTACGGCCAGAGTAGGCGGAACGTCCGAGAGGACCGGCGACAGGGCCGAGAAGGACGTGGGCGCCCTTGGCCTTGAATTCCTGTCCCATGGCAAGACCTCGCTGGTAGAGGAGGTTCTTGTCGAAGGAGGCAGCGGCGGAAACACCAGCAGGGAAGACACTGGCGTAGTCGGCAACTCGAATGGAGAGAGGACCATCGTGGAGACAGAGACCGCTGAAGCCGAGACGAGGAATGGCCAAGATGTTTCCGACACAGGGACCAGGTGTTCCTGTGACCATGTTGGCCTTCTCCTCGAGTGTCAGTTGGGAGAGGAACTCTTGGGCCTTAGCAAAGGCATCCTCCCATCCTGTGCCAGTGGCATTGTCTGACGAGGGTTAGTATACGGTGACAGCTTCAGGGTGGCAGAGACATACTGATAGGATAAGCAGGCGAGTGGCCGTACTGTCCGAGGATAGTAGTGTTCTTTGGCTGAACCCAGCTGAAGGCCTCTTCGCTGCGATCACCCGCATCGTAGGCTTGAGCATTAGCAGTCGCGGCCAACAGGCCAGAGACCAGCACGGATCGAAGACTAGCCATTGTGAGGAAGTAGAGGAGAATGGCACTCAGTGATGATGATCTTCATATTTCGTTTTTCTGCAGACTTTCTTTTGACTTATATACTTCCAGTCCGGCAACAGATCACCACATCCCATCCCACGGCCGACCCGAACAAGTCTCCCGGAAAAGTTTATCACTCCAACAACAGCTGCGTCATTGTCCAGAAAGCCCAGTTAGCTTCTGTTTATGCGAGCTAGTAGAGGAGCTTGTGCGGGGGAAAGACAATGCGGAGTAGCATTGAGGGCCATCGTGTGATGGTATTCCCAGTTTGCGAGTAGGCAGTCCGTCGGCGAACTTCACCTAGATGGTGTTCTGCCGTGGCTTAACCGATCGATTGAGTAATTCATCCAATTAAACAAGCCGTCGAATAGACTCCGAGCAGCCGATTCATTTTGATGGTGTCATGGCTCGTTGAAAGCCCCAGGTTTGCGCTGGACTAGTCTTGTGATGTAACACAAGAACCCCGGAGAGAGGCGTCCCCACAGGCTGGAATAGGGCCGCTATGCGACCGAGCATCCGAAGTTGAGCCATGGAATTGGGATGAGGCTTTTCCTTTTCGCGGTCACCAGCTCATGCCTTGGAGCTTGGAGGCTTGGAGCGTCGCCCAATCTCCCCTGTAATTATCGTGGAGTCTGCACTCCACAAGTGCCGGGATATAGTGCCCATTGAGAGTCCGGGGGAGAAAAACCGGGGTTCGTCCTCTTCTCCGCAATTGAATTCGGCCCTGTTGTGGGCTTGCAATGATTTGTGCGGAGAAGAGAGCAGTCCATGGACGATCAAAATCATGCTAGTCTACCAAGAATATACCTGGATAACAGGCGTTTGTCCCACTGAACATGTGGTTCCGCCCCTGTATTTGAGTCTAAAGTTTTTTTTTTCTTCCTCTCCGCAATATCGCGATGATCGGATTCTTGACATTATCGACCCAGTGCAGTGGTCTGGTGACTGGTATCCATGCTGCCATACTGGGTCCTGTTACCTTATACTAGGGTAATGGAATGCTATGGCCTTAAGATTTTAACTTCGACCGTCATGATGGTCTGAACGGTGTCAACTCCGGGCCGAAGAGCGGCTTTCATCGTGAGTGATAACGTTGTTTTAGTTCAATGAGCCGTTTTGTCAGCCACGTGAAGTGAGTTTACTTAGTAATATCTTCGTATTAGACCCATTCTATACTCGCATCTCACACCATCTCAGATTGCCGCTTATAATTGCCGCTTTGTGTTCTGATCTTGCATCTTGCATCTCATAGACTACCGGTGTGTGCTCGGCCAGGACCGTAAAAGTGTGCATGCTGGATTAGATGGGTTGCGTGTAGTGCATTCTCGGGTTTATGTCTACATCCGAAGAACAAGAAAAAAGTCAATTGATGCAGAAAAGTCTCGTGGCGGTTGAACTAGGATCCGGGTTACATTGAGAAATTAGGTTGGCAGAGAATTGAGGCGGTTTTTCTTGACTCGAGAGGCTAGTGCACCTCCACACTTTTGACTCGGAGGAGATCCATTGTACGGAGGGAGTAGGAAGACTGCGGAATGTCCTAAACGAGTTTTGGAGGTGGGTAATTTGTTCATTTGAGCGGTTTTGGGTGAGAGCCTCGGTATCGACAAAGATCTTATGAAATTTCACAAGGTTATCGATTAGTTGGCACTCTCTTCGAGTTATGGTCAATATGCATGACAATCAACACGGTTTGAGCGCTGACAACCGACTTGGACGTAATTAGACCAATACAAGCTACTCGTCAATCTGTTCACGTTCATTATGATAATGTAGATCAAATCCAGATAAATAGTCCAATTGCTGTAAACCAACTACTACGTGATATCTAGAAAACAACGCCGGAATTCCCTCCCAAAATAATCCTCTAGGGCAATCCCCAATCAACACAACACCCACTACCTACTAACGTTAGGTAGCCACTTACCGCTTCCAAGCTCCCGCCTCCAACTCGAAAAGAATAGGTGTGGATAAAACTTAGAAGGTCCAGCAAAATATCCGGGGCTTAAGAGGACCCAATTTCCCCAACCCCCAACCCCCAGTCTCCACTTACGACATTGGATTGTGAGCGGTGACATATACGCTCGCAATGTGTGTTCGGGACGTAACTAGTCTCGTCATTAGGCTCTTGAAGACATTCTCGATCCTCAGATGCGTCACCTCCCGGGATGAAATTTAGGCAGAAATCCATTCTCGAGGTGTAGAAGCAAAGACGACGGCAGTTGTCGCAGATGAAGGAGACGCTATGGAGTTGACACATTTTGATGGTTTTAGGGAGTTTGTCGAGTTCAAAAGATGCTTGTTGCTGTTGAAGTAGAGGATGTGAACTCTGTGACTCTGTGAAAGTATGTAAATGAGATTGTTGTGGTTGGTAAGGTCGTGGATTGAGGACTGGGATTGTGGAATTTAACTACAGCCAAGTGATAGTCTATGTTCTTGTCCATGAGTACAGGACAAAGAAAAAGTCAGCATGCGTCGTTTTCAAAGTTCTCGAACAGGAGAAACGAACGTACATACCTATAATTCAAGTGTTCAATCCTGTTGTTCTATGAACGCAATGAGAAAACAACCTTGAAATTGGTTGAAGCGTTCCGAAGTAGGTGCCTTGCACGCGAGCGGAACTCGAAGGGAATTCGACAATATCGAACAACCGAGTTAAGTACTAGCTTTGGATGCTTTGCATTTCGGACATTCTTCCTCGTGAACGTAGACTGTGTCGTGCCGTGTGGCCTTGGTGCATACTCCTGGCTTCTTTTGCTTGACGTGCTTGCACTGAACTTCCGTCACTGGCATGGAAATGAGGTGTGAACACTTCCTGCAGAGGTATCCAACGCTGGAGATGCTGCACATTTGAGGGCTGTATTATAGATGTTTGAAGGCGGTCAAGATAGTTAACTTTATGTAGGGGAAATTTAACCAGGATACGTAGAGGGTACACGGAATCGATATTTATATTGATTCCCGGCAGAGGTTATATCACATGCTTATTGGAATAAGTTACACGAAAAACAGTCGATTTGACGGATAGCTGTGCTACTGTTTCACATATTGCGAATACATCGTCTCACAAACACCCCGGCATCAACATGAGGCCCAAGGTATCACAACAAACACCCAAGAACATGTGCCGCTATGTACTGCACTGTACCAAAGAATTTAGAAGTAGTCCCCTAGACTAAATTCTACAGACTTGCGCTTCATACCCTTTGAGTCATCCTTCTTTTTCTTCAGGCACTCCTCACAATTATCTTGACGAGTATGAATAGTAGATATACTGATCTTCTTCTTTGTACAATCGTTGTCAGATTCCTTGGCCAAGTGACACCGCTCTGTTTCTATCTCTTGGTCGACGAATCGGCTGCAGACGCGACAGCGGTACTTTGTGAATATGATGATGCACATAATGATGGTGGGATGTGTATCAGGGTGTACTTGGGAAACTTGTGGTCAGACCTTTGCGAGTGGTATACTCAGGTGGGAATTTACAATGACTATATACGCACAGACACGTTAGTGAATTTGATTAGTACTGTATGTTTTTATATTTCGTCTTCGCTGTTCAAATATTCCTTCTGGTGAACAACGAACGCGTTTATCGTAGTGGATGCAGTGTTCAAGGCTGAGTATCCCGATAGTGTAGTAAGATGGTATTGACAGCTACGGCTATACCCGTACGCAAGCTCAGACTCAGAGACTGCCATGTTCATAAGTCTTAGCAGGAACTCATCAAGACCTCCCCTATTTCTTTCCCTTCTTAGTCTTGCATCGCTTACACCTAGAATCGCTGACTGACCTCATGGATTGAGTGTTGCGCTTTAGACAGTGTCCACCTTTCTTTGCAGCATCACACTTTGTAGTTGCCATGTGAGAGTCGACGAGGTTGCTGCACTTACGGCAGACATATCTGGTAGTGTGAATGATACACATAGTGAAAAGTGATAGGTATTTGTTTAGCTGTGTTAGGGTGGTTAGTGATTCAAGGATGTAGAGGTGGGATTCTAGTCTGAGGAAGCACGCGATTTGGTCTGGATGAAAGGCGCAGGGCCGCCGTTTATATAGCTAAACTCGCGAGAGATTGGAAGTAAATCATTGTCTTCGTCGTCTCTGAATGACTTGAATTTCATCAATCAGCACATAATGTGAATGACCAATGTAAGTGATGTCGTGTTGTAGTGTGGGTTATGAACCAGGACGACAGCAAGCATTGATATTTGGCAACCTCTGATAAGGTGGATCGTGACAGCTACGTACTATGGTATAAAGACAAAATGAAGTGAAGTCTAGACAGAAGACAATTTGTGGATAGTCGATATACAGATGGTTATTATTCTTAAGCTAGAGATACCCACTGTAGCTTCCATGCAGGCCCAGGATCCATTACCTCCTCACTGTCATGAATGTCGTCCGACGGCGGTATCATAATTGACAATATACTCCACCCGCTTTTTCGTAGAGGTTTCTGATCCTGAGGTTTCTGAGAGGCCTCCCCTTGTTCTTCTTTACCCTGTGGTCTTCCTGCTGGGACAGTTGATAGCCCCATTCTCTCAAAATACTCTCCTTTCTTCTTCAGAAGGAGTACGACATACTCATCACCTGTATCTAACTTGTCGTAGCCGCGAGCGATCATTGGTTCATACCTTCGGCCCTTACCTATAATTATCAGTCTATAAATCCCAGCATCGCTTGGCAGTGGGGGGATATTTAGGTTGAACCCGCAATCTGGAATTACTGTAATACAATCATCGCTGTTGCTGACTTTTGCAAGCAATACCGGCACGTCCATTGACGGCACGTACTGCCGAACAACGAAGGAGGCCCCAAGAGTCAGACTGGATATTTCTGCGGTATATGTGTAGATGCTCAGTATCTTTGGGCTTGCTGCTTGGATTTGGTCATACGCTGGAGGGTAGGTTCCGGATGTGGTAGTGATTTCTGACTCTTTCAGATAGGCGAACAAACAGTGCTCGTCTTTTATGCGGATGTCAAACAGGGACTTCATTAGCAGTGACCCTCTCTTGGTTAAGAATGCCGCTTTGAACAAACACCTGTTAGTCTCCGTTCCTCTGTTTCCTCCCAGGAACGATTTGTAACTTACATGGCCGAAACGTCCAATCAAAGTCGCCAAACCCATTCGCAATCTCATATGCGACCGAGCCAGCCCAACCAGCCCAGGACCAGCTAGGAAAACCGCTCCGCCTCTGCAGTGAAGTATCATTGAGAGGCATCCAGAGAAGTCCTTTCTCGATCTGGTCGCTCAGTATCCCATGAGTTTCGATGTTGACGGGTTTCGCAGACGAGTCGTTAAACTTGATGAGGATTCCCATCATTGCTGCTACAGCATCACTGGTGTATGAGAGTTCTCGTTTGCTGTACTCAGTAATGAAGCTGGCATAATCGTCGAACAATGTGTTAGCATTGTTTGCTGGTAATCGTCCAACACACATGTGATGATGACCACACGAGGTCCCTAGGCAGATCTCCGTAGGATCCCACATGGAACTTTCGTAACCGAGTTCCACACAGAATCCAGCAGCTCCATGCGAACCAAGAACGCTGGCTTTCGAACGCAAACTACCTGAAGAGTTTCCGAATCTCGTCCACCCGCCATTCCACCGCGAAGTAGCTTGATATGCATTTTGGGAGATTTTCGTTTCTAGAAAATAGCTTTCCCTCCATTCGCTGAATCTTCCATACCCAAAACTATTATAATAGCCTCTGTAGGGCAGGCGATACTCTAACAAGTGATGCCTGCAAGAATAAAACACTTCGGTCGCTGTGAAATACAGGCAGCATCTTGAGAGCACGTCCTCTTGGAAGGTCCACCCTCGCTTTATCCAAGTTGTTTCAGCCAAGAGATCTGGCAGTGCAGGCCTCGCAGGAGATAAAGTAATGGAGCCCATACTAAGGATAAGCTTTCCAGCGGGCTCCGGTGATCGGGGGCTGAACAATCCTACAAGAGGTGTATTTGCATCCTGTCCCCCGGCAGCAACAATGGTGAAGGAAGCTTCCTCAAAGATAAGGTGCATCTCTTTGACCAATGCTTTCTTATCATCTGCATCGTTTTGTCGAATGCACAACAAATCAATCCACAGATATCTCCATCCCAACAGCTTGACTAAGCTGATGGAGTCCTGTATAGTGAGTGGTAGTTCCTGGAAGCGGATGCGGTCGTGCAGCTCAGGGGTCGTCGGCTGAGTTGAGCCATTTGCAGCTGCACGATAGAAAAGACTATCGATCCATTCAACACGTTCGCTGTTGGTCTTGCTATGTAAGATACCACCCCAAACGTACGAAACGGAGATATAGCTGATATCTTCTGATGGAACAAATAGACACATGGTTTCCACGTCAATGACTCGAAACCTTCTAGTAGACCTTAGCTGAACCTGCTGATTATTCTGAGAAGCCATGCAGTGTGTGTGGTTTGTTTGACATTCTTGGATCCAGGTCTTCAATAATTCGCGATCTACTAGTGGGGGAATCCTGCGCCTGCTTAGGACTTGACGGATATCTTGGCCAGTGTCCGTGGTAAAATATTTGAAGTCCTCTGCATTTTCGACGCAGTCTAATTCACAGAGCGTGTATCGAGGCGACCCATAAGAACTTCTCTAACGAGTGTCTGGTGTCCAGTCGGTTCCAAGTGATGGTCGATATCGAAAATGTGGTGGATCCTCCCCTGAACGGTAGCCATAGTGAGCCCAGAGAGTTGTCTTGACCCAAACTGTGATGCTGTTTGACATAGAGGATTCCCAAACTTCGTCTTTCCATTTGGCCCAGGTCGTCTCGACAATCTGTGTCACGAAGCGACAAAAGGGACAATCCGTTCTCGTGGCTATAACCGCAAGGGTGCCCACTTCGAAACACTTGCGGTCTTCGGTAAAAAGGACGGAAAAGTCTATAAGAGAGCAGGAGGCGCAGAAATTGCTTGTTTTGCCCATGGCGACAGACACTGATGAGTTGTACAGCAAAGAAAGATTTTGGAGCCACCTTTACAGTAATATGGGAATATTATACTGCGAAAGTTTGGTGCTTGAAAAAACGCGCGTATGAATACGTGAGAGAGTGAAGTATTATCAGAAAATGCAACGAGGATTCAATTATGCCTCGTTTCATGTCAAGGAAGCTACAGCTTACTAATACTCGCTATAATTGGCTATTATCTATATCAAGAGAGCATAGCCCCCATAACTGGGGGAAATATTAATACTAGATGATTGAGCAGTGAAAGTGGCAATGCTCGGATGTTCACAAGGCTGATTCAACAATGGTATCCTTTTCTCACTCTTTTCGAATGCCTGTGGTGTGGTGTGTGATTGACTATGGGATGAATGGTAAGTGTCATAAATATAAGCATGGGGTTAAACATTACTCCGTGCGCAACGCCATTGGCCGGAGAAAAACCAAGTCTTTGCAGTGCCTGTAGACGAATTATTTTATCAGTTTACTAGGAATCCTATACCTCTTATCCTATCACGTAGCATTGTATCATCTTAACGCAACTAGGGGAGATATCTGATTCTTATTTAGTGCATATACTAAGGTTCATATAACTTCTTACAAGCTGCTCATACATTTCAGCCTATTAGCAAAGACATTCTTTAGACTTTTCAATTACTATATATACTATCTATCTTGCTTGCGCAAGATGTCAAAAACCTTGTTGTAAGGCCGGATGCTAACGCCGAGCTGTTCTTGATTTTCGATCATTCTGGTTCTGAGTCATAGTTTTCCTTTTTAAACACTCCTTGCAACCAGGATGGTGGACCTTCTTCGTTGTTGCAACATGTTTCGGTTTACATTTGTTAGTACCGGCATTTGGACAGTCGTATTGACGCTTCTCGGATTTGAAGACATGACCGCATACCGAGCATAATGATTGGATGCTTTGATGGGTGCACATTGTGGAGAGTGTAGTTATAGTACGATTATACAATATTCTTAGGTCGGGATTGAGTTGATGATTGTGATAGGAGATGGAGATATCAAGAAACTATTTATACAAAGAGTCACGAGATGGGAACATTTGACTCAGGATGTTGGCAAACTTCCAGCTCCCAGAGCCCGCCGCTGGATGAAAGCAATAATGAGGGGTCGTTGCGCGACTGATTCAAACCAGAATTATCGAGAGCATTTAAACGCCGAATAGATGCTGGAAATATTGTTCAATGATATCAATATTAAATATCCACTGCTTGTGGAATGGCGGTTAAGGAACATAACTGGGCGAGATGTCTAGTAAGGGGGGTCTGAGAACTATGAGGTGGAGAGACTCTTATCATAGGTCTTACGGCACCGAAAGATACCCGTGCAAGGATTTGATAGTCATTGAAGGACGTGGATTAATATCCAGAGGTTTACAAGTAGATTCTTTCTGGTCTTTTTGCAAATATACTGCAGGGACAATGCCATATTGACACGTTACTGCTATTCAGGTGAAACAATTTATTTGATTAATGCCTCCCTAGCATCATTCTTCGATCTTGGCCAAGAAGAATATCTAACCTCGTAGAGGCCCCCCTGGAAATATCCAACTTGCAAACTGGACATCGGGAAGCGCAGGAGGAGGAGGTACTGAGCATTCTGGGCAAATCTCTTCCCTATTCCATATCGTTTCTGAGTACTCCTTACCGCACGAACCGAACCTTCTTTGCAGAGTTTCCTTAGCTCTATTGCATCTTAGACCATGCTTCTCATAGCCTATCCTGTGACTGCAGACCGCACACATATACTGAATTGTGACGTGATAGCACATTTCTTTGCCAATTATCTTGCACTGTTTCGTGAGGTTTGAGGGGGAATGAAGAAACGAGACAAGGAAACTGGTCTATAAATTTCTTCTTTAACGTGGGAAATTGTGGAAAATGTGAGGGTATGAGGAGCTCTTGAATCAAATATTCATTGATATAGTTACCCAATCCCTGGATAATCAGAGAAGGATCTAAATCTCAATACTTTGATCATTATGAAGACATGGCTGTGGACCGATAGATACAATAACACATCATGCGGGGTTTCGGGTTTTCTCACAACTGAATGTTCGATTGTTATGACTTCCTCCAGCTGGTTGTTGTAGGTGCTTCACAATGAGCGTCAAACCAGAGACAACCATGAATCCATCACAATTTACATTGTCAAGCGCATTCTGAGTCAACAACCTTTGCACAATTAATCCACCTCCCTCTTTGGTTCACCATCAAGAGTCGTTTTACTCCATTTTCGATCATCTGGTGGACAGCGCTGACAGTATTCTGACAATCTGGCAACCTCGCCATCATTTGTGTATCCACAGGAACCCACCGACTTAGACTGAGTCTGAAGAGCCACCTCACAAATCTCCCATTCGAATTCCTTTTTGAAGCAGTTGTTGCAGTACATGCAGTAAAAGTGGGTGTAATAGTCGTTGCACATGATGAAAGGTAGTGTGGTTGGTATAAGCGTGTGCTCCCTTTGTGGCTGGGCTGAGACAAGAAGCAACAGAAACTGGTGAGATAAAAAAAGACGCAATATTGTCATGTATGACCAGACAATCAGTTAAGTACAGTTTCTGCGAGGCTGAGCAGGGTTAGGCCAAGGATGTTGTAAGTAAGATATTGAAAAACGGACCCCAAACAGCCTCACTAGGCACCCACCCATCTAGCAGGGATTCTTTTCAGCTATCAGGAACCAGCAAGTCAAAACACACTTTGGGTTTCATCGGCCTAAATGCAGCCTGCACCAAAGATCCAAAGAAAGGCCTCACAAAGCTGCAAGGACGCCCGTTGCCGCGGTTTCTAACTTCTTGTTTGGCTAATCATTGATCCAGGTCCTAGGAAATGCCAAATGGACGATCCTGCGCTACAGGGGGCTTGAAACACGAGTAGACCTTTACCACGTTATACCATGGTCGAAGAGAAGGCTAACAGGTTTCCAAAAGGTTGAATCAAGATTCAACATTGCACTGAACGAAGTGGTAGTCCTAACAAACCTTTCACCCTTGATGGGAATCATGCGTGACGGGTCTTCCCCTATCAGGTGCAGGTGGCTAGAACAGAAAACATATTGAAAAGCAGCGACCAGTGCTCACCTGTAGTTGATGTGCTGAACAAAATAGTGGTTGGTGTTAGGAATAATTACGTCTTGCAACAAGAGGAACCGTGAAAAGACACGAAAGCGTGACATAAATCACGACCTCTCTGCTATGTATTGCCTGTTAACTCACACGTGAATGGAGTATTAGCAGCGGAAATCGTAATTTCGTAACTAGAATTTAAGTATGAAATACAGATTAATTACTTCACAAACTTCACGAGTTGCTTAATCTCGACAATCACGTCAGTTACTAAACTCCACCACACATAGATTCAGAGGTGCCTCAAAGTGCACGTCCCTGAAACCATCATATAGCAGCTTTCCGTGAATGTCGAATAATGGCATGTGATACAGCTCATGCAACAGCAGCAGATTGTCATAGATTAACTGAGAGTCATACGATGGGCCACTACCTGTCTATATATGCTACGTGGTAGAGGACAGGGAATACTGCTGTTACAACCAATATCGCCGACATCATATTCAAAACCAGACACACAAACAAGCTTGAACCTTTGTGACTACATTCTTAACAACGAAGCGTCAAACTATTGATTAAACATCATGTGTAGCGAAATTTATATAAAGATAATTTGCAAAACCTGTGGCGACAACCTCTATGATGACCCTGCCGTTGAGCCTTGCAAAGATGGCATTGGCCTTGAAGACCACAGGACATGCAAGAATGGGGTCCAGTACTCTACAGAAAAAAAGTACATAGAGTGCATCGAATCTGAAGAGAGTCGGGAAAGAAAGGAGAGGGAGGAAGCACTGACGGAAGCAATGAATGAGACCAACCTCGATTAATGAATCAGGTTAAGTCGATGACGTGAAAGATGACAGATCTGTTGGCGAATAGGACCATAATTAGTTCATAATATGCTCGTCACATGACACCTTACTATAAGAATGACCCTTTCTGTGCAAGAGACGTCTTTCATCAAGCCAACCAATACGATACCTCAAACTTACTTCGACACACCTATAAACCAAGTCATTAACATCCTTATAGGCTCAGGGACACTCGACTCACCATCCACCATGTGCAAGCAGAAATATGCAATGACGATCTGTCGGGTTTGTGGTGACGAAATCGCTTGCCACATTTACGTGGAGAAATGCGCCGACGGCGTAGGACTTGATAACTACCACTTATGCAAGAACGGAGTTCGTATCGTTCCAGATAAGATAGACGGAGAATGTGATGAATGCGAGGAAAAGAGGAAGAAGAAAGAGAAAGAGGCGAAAGCTAAAGCAAAATAGATAAAAGACATATCAAGTGATTGATTGAAGGCATGGACTGCGTAGTGAAGAGAAGAGATTAGGAGCAGCATTAGGAAAGGGTTAGAAGCAATAATGAATCAGGTCAACGTAAATAATACATGCATATCACATGGTCGAATGCTATAAGAGCAATCGTTTCCGAGAATGATGAAATTTTTACCATATACACGACCACAATACCTCGAATTCACTCCAGATCTAACATCAACTAGATCCTTTCCCAATTCTCAAATCATCACCCTATTATATCAACATGTGCGAGCAAACCTATCGAATATTCACCTGCCGGGTTTGCCACGATGAACTCAGCAGTCAAATTTCCACCGACATATGTGCTGATGGCGAAACGCTTACCGACTACCATGACTGCAAAAATGGGTACCGTATGTTTCTAGAAGAGATAGATAAGGAGTGTGAAGAATGCAGGGAGAAGCGTCAGAAGCAGGAGGCGGAAGCTAAGAAGACAGAAGATGCCTAGTGTAATATACCCCTGGTATTAATATAATGGGTGGATAAGTCACTCCGATAGGGCTGACAACATAAGCTTGTAATTGTTAGCTCGTGACTATTCAGCACGGGGTATAGCACGGTACATTTATCTAACACATTGAAACCTTATACCGGTACTCCGTTGACGTCTAGAATATGCTTGGCGTTGTTTAACATTCCTCGTCACTATTCACTCGACGTTACATCGCTACTTTATAACGAGTCAGTCACATCTGAGCGTACTGTATTAACCAGTCATTAACCGCTAGCGCGAATCCCCCAGAAATGGTAATAAATACAAACCCCCAAAATGTTCACTATCTCCCGCGCTACCGCTTAACGTTTTCCGACACAGAGAAGCTGGCCATTCTAAAAGCCTGTCATCGTACCCATATCTGTAAGTTGTGCAGATTTATTCCACTTCCTTGTCTCTAATGCTCGGTCTTACTTGCATAATGGAGGTTTTAGAGTTATTAACCTTACAGGAGATGCTGACATGTCCCCAGAGCTGATTGGCAGCGTGTTGCAATTTCGATGCTGACCGACCGACCTCAACTTGCACACCGTGTAAGTCATTCACGACCTAGAAAAACCTTTCACAAGACTCGCACTGGATGCAAAACTTGCAGGTAAGAGACAAGACTGGCAATGCAAAAGGAAGAGCTGAAACGTTTGCTGATCAAACGCGTCCCCTCTAGAATTCGCAAGGTCAAATGTGATGAGGCCAAACCGAATTGTCAACGCTGCATTGGCACAGGTCGAAAATGTGACGGTTATGATGTTGTAGATGGCTGCAGCCAACAACATCTGAATCCTCGACGTCCACCAATCACACGTGCTCTCAATACCGATCTTGGAATCGAGCTGAGCATCCATGCTTTCGACTACTACCATAATCACGTCTCTGTCCGAATAGGCGATGTGATAGACAGAGACTTTTGGTGTGGCCTCGTCTTGCGACTTGCACCCACCGATCCCGCAATACGGCATGCAATCTCCGCAATCAGCATAATGTATGTCGAGCGAACGCACCAACGAGGAGTGTTTCCGAACTACAACCCTGGAATTATCGAGTATAACAAGGCCATTCTCTCCGTACGGTCATGGCCTCATGCGACTGAATCTCGCGTCAAACCTTTGCTCGTATGCTTGTTGTTTATCTGCATCGAATTTATGCTTGGCCATGAACACCACAATGTAGCCAGCATGCATGTTCTGCAGGGCCGAAGGCTGCTCGTACCGATAAAAGACCAAAACACACCAGAAATCGATATCATTCGACAATGTTTGGCTCCGATATACCTCCGCCTTGCATTTGTCGGCAACGAGAGGGTTGACTTTCCGGAGCATCTCCTAAAAGTCACGACCATACCGCACAAATTTGTTTCTCTGGTAGACGCACGATCCGTTCTGTATTTCGTTATCGATGCGAGCTTTAGTCTCATCTACGGCGTCAAGATCTACCGCGCACAGAACGCCAAAACATACATTGCACCAGAAGAGTCAAACCTCAGCGATGTATTACGGAATGAACATCAAGAGCTTACACGGAAATTGGCGAATTGGCGCCACGTCTTTGATGCATTTTTAGCTTTCAACGATCTTGATCGACATGGTATGAGAACCGCAAAGCTCCTTACTCTTCGACACAGCCTTATGACAGTGTTTCTGGACTCTGTGGTCTCAGGGCCAGATTATGTCTGCGACAGAAACAGTATATACGATATAGCTACTGCCGCAGATGCGGCAGCTTCCGTTATTCAGTACGACGCAGAAACTCTACAGGGCCCGTCTTTTACATTTGAGAGCGAGGTCGTTGGAACGGTTTACTGGATAGCGACCAAATGTCGTCAGCCGGCCATTCGTAGGAGAGCGATTCAGCTTCTCCATGAACGCGAAAAGGCAAAGCGAGTCGAGACTCTCACCACGACTAAACATGCCATTGCAATGGCAACGAGGGTGATGGAGATCGAGGAAGAGGGGCTTGAGATACATCCGGACGTCCAGTTCAACAAATATGACCAGGTAAAGTACCGGGTCATCACAGCACAAGGCACAAGTGGATGGACTACCAAGCCTGATGCCGAGGAGAAGCAAGATTGGTTCATTCACTGGAGTCTAGGGGACCAATCTTCCAAAACCCCAACCAAACCAAACAGACTGACTGCCGCAATAGAGCAGCGAGAGCTAGAGGAGGGGCTAGCCAAGGGTTGGCCCAGAGAGCGACTCATCTGGCCATATGGAATCACAAGGGACAGAAGGATTCTCAGTGCAGTGGTCAAAAAACATACCCCAAACGATCTATGGATGGAGTACGTGAGAGAGCCCCTTGTACCTAGTGGAGCTCAGAGGGTTATGAAAGAACACATCCAGTTTGTTTGACCATCCGCTTATAGACTAGATACGACGTCGGATATGACCCACATCAAAAGAGGACATGGATTAATACGATAATTACCAATAATGAGTCTACGCTCCCAGCCCTAATTAACAGCGGGTAATTCTTATCTACATACGGAGTAGAGCACAGCCTCGATATCCGGCGATTGTATGTGTCACGAAGATCACTCGGCCGAGTAGCCCAAAAGTAAGGTTCTTCCCTGGACTGACAAGGGATAGGCTGTGATTTGTCTTTTGATTGGCTCGCTCGGAGATAAAAAGGTCAATATCCCAGTTATGCATAGTTAATAGCTTAAATGCTACACCAGGTATTCGTACACCGTATAACACTCCTCAAGAAGAATTTTCAAGCCTAGGCCTTGCTACGGTAGGTGATTAGTGCTTATCTTTGTAAACATTACCATCGGGCCCGTGCGATTGTGACGGTAATACAAGGGAGAACATGGGCATGTTGGCTACTTCGTTAACGATCGTGAACTTGAACAGTCCTATTCCAGCTCAACATCAAACCAATTATAGTAATGACTAAGGAAGTTTGGCGTTGCATTTTTTGAAATATTATGAATGATACCTTACAAACCATTTAAAAGACTATGTAAAGGACTATGTAACTAAAAGAGAACTTGCTTCACACTCGATACTACATCGGAGCCGATGGTGTTGACGACGTTCTTGGGAAATGCAATGGCGGCTGGGACAACGTGAAGGATCACTGTAGGGATGGTTGGACATGCGGTAGATAGGCCAACGGCGATCTTGACGCTGAGCTTGCCTGATGGATGCCCCCCGAGTGTTATTCACAACGCCTGATGGCATGCTACTAGGAATGCGTTTGGTCATATTGATTGGAAACTTCGACAGTAAGGGACTGGATGAAGGAATATTTGGGTGATCAAGTATCGGGCTCACTGTAGAGAGCCTTCAAGTTTGGATGTTGTCTTATGTACCGTCGTCTGTGAACAACAGTAGGCTATATATTATTACTTTAGCATTTCAGTAACAAGAGTGTCGGAAGATTGGTTTTTTAAGACAAGTATCATGCTATCAAGTCCAGGTCATATCCCATCACGGCAACCCCTTTTGCTTTCTCGAGCCACCCCTAGGCTGCTTATTGGCGATGATTCACCACCCTAGGAAAGGCACCCTCGAGGTGGTTTATTCATCTTCTTCTCTAAAGAGATTTAAGAGTTTTAAGACTATGGCAGTGAAGCCTTGGAGTGCTTATAGATGAGAATCTACAATTATTAACAGTTAAAATATTTATATAGCAGCTATGTGTCAAGACTATCACCCTTGTCACCATGTGGTGAACACTTATATAAGACCAACCACCATAAGCTTTATAACCACAGCCCTGGAATATTTCCACACAGTTTCTTCCATACACGCTCTAACCTTTACCAGAGCGACTCTCGGAAACCTAAGAACGTTAATATGTGTTTGGAAATCATAACACACAGGTACTGCAAAGTCTGTGGTAAACCTGTCACCAAGTCGTCTCAGGTTCAAAGATGCCAGCACTGCGAAGAAATCGCCACTGGATCGTGTGAAACCGGTATTGGCAGCAGGACCGATGCATTCCCCGCCTTTTGCAGTAGATGTAAGAAGAAACGAAAGACAAAGCAAGTCAAGGATTTGTAGACGGTTATGAGTCTCATGAGTCAAGTGCTATGCTAGTGAAAAAAAACGCGACAGAGAATACGAACTATATATCGCAGTACTATGCGGGCTGCTCATAAGTGTGTGTTCTCTAAGACCATTACTCAAATTTAGAGCATATGAAGTTCTCGGCCGTATCATTAAGCTTAAGGCAATCGCTATCGCTGGTGCTATGAATAGTCCTAGCAGCTGTGCACTGCACAACACTGCCAACTACAAGCAAACGAGTAATGAACAGCCCGTGTCAGTGTCGCCGACCTCGCGACATGCCAAAATAAACAAACGCCATTTTTGGTATGAACAAGGAAGTGTTTCCTCCCCCTTTTTCAGCTGCTATTTCTGTTCTATATCAGAGTATATTCAAATATTCAAAACACCATTCACCCTTGCACATCACGACACTACCGGAATCAAAGACTTCTCGCTCCTCGCTTCAGAGTCGAAAGACAACAAATACGTATGTTTTCATCTATTCGCCCCGACTTTGAGATCAAACAGTCACATGGTGTTGTTTAACAAAAGCTAACATATGCACACAGTTTACAAAGTCCCAACTTCAAAGTCTAGGCACCAAGGATGTGCGAGCAACTCACAATGTGGCGGCTCTGCACCGGGTGCAAACAGCGCAAGAGCAAAGTAATCCGCAACATCAACTGCAACAAAGTCAACATGTACAAGCTCGGAACCTGCCCCAACGGAATGAGCTACCGTGAGATCAGCGAGAACGTTGAGTGCTCTGATTGCTATACCCGACGTACAGAGGATCTCGAAGCTGATCGCAAGCGACGATTCAAAGAGGCTTGGCCGGATCCTGTTAAGGAGCCTGGGGAGAACTCTGAGGAGGTTTCGGAGGGAAAGAGTGAACTTCGCTCCGAGGTTACTGAGGACGAGGATATGATCATTGTTTAGCAAAGGGGTGTGATGCTGGTAAGTGGTGAGGATTAAGGGCGTGGTCTCAGCACACGTCACTTCAAGGCCATATCATCGCCTTCATTTGGACGTCAGTGACTGTATGGTATTGGGACAGATATTTGAAGCTACAAAGTTTTGCAGCTCTCATTGGCAAACTTCTTTGTTTGCATGATTGGTAAATCAAAGACGTTATACAATCCTCTTGACCTGTTTATTCCCCATAGCCTGCTTCTCTTAAGGTCACATAATGATGTATCTAAGTACCATAATGAACGTAGGGTGCCCAGTGCAAAGGTTCGCGTCCGCAATCATCCTCATCGGAATCGCAATCTACTATATCCCTCTGCAGAAAGGCCAATCTCTCCTCTTTCTCTTGAACATCTCCCTCTTTGATATTACCTTTTATTTCCCTTGGCTCCATTTCTGGGGTCACTTCTGTCGGCTTTCTCGCTCCTAGTCCACTCCTCCAACGATCCCGCAACTCGCAAACAGCGTGGTGTAACCCCTCACTTACTGAATCATCCGTCATGCCTCCTTTGCGAATCACTTCGTATGTAATACTTGCGACATCGACGCAGGTCTTGTCGTCGACTCGGCACAAAGTTCCAATAACGTGTCGAAAGCCAGCCAGTTGACATGCATTGATCAGATGCACGCTCTCGTCAAGATGTCTGGCGTCTTGTATCTCGCCCGTGCCGCAGGCCCCAAGGTATGCGAGGAGAGGCTTCTTACGAAGATTAATGGCGATCAGGTCTGCAACTGTGAGTGGACTGGTCATCCAGTCTTCAAGACGCAAGTGGCTTTTTGCTGGATCGACATTGTCGGTGTAGCCATGGCCAGCGAAATGGAAAATATCAGAGTTTGGTAAATGCTCGAGAACTACAGCTCTTGTACACTGATCCTTCCGAACGGTCTTTACAGACATGGCCTTGCATACAGATTCCACAGCCTGTGCTTCAGCTATGGCGTGTGGGAGATGTGTGCTGGTCCCTGGTGTGACTTCCATGGAAACGACCAAAGCCTGTTGGGTCTCCTGTCCGTGGCTTCTTGTAGCCCGCTCTTTTCGAAAAACAATCTCATCTAGGGCTCGGATTGACGCACTGTAGGAGGATATGACCCTATCTAGAGTGCTATTGAAACACCCTTCATCCATATGACGCCCTGCGGCATGCAGCGGGAATTTGCTCAAAGGTCCTGTAGGAATCCACCAGATATGCGGCCATGGATCACCCAGAGGAGGCGGGGCAGTATAGCCAAGAGCATCAAGAACTGGGCTGACAATACTGTCCCAAAGCCACTCTAGTATCCGAAGACTCGTCAGATTGCCTTCGTCTATCTTGTCCTGAATTAGTTGCGCCGAAAGCATTGGTAAAGGCAAGACTTCTGCCCAACCACCTCTGATCAAAAACGCGTCGCATCGATAGCTCACATTAACGATAACGATGGGACCACCACTGGCTGCATTGGCCAGATGAGGACTTGTGATCTCTTGCTGGAAGGATACGTGAGAGACGTAAGGAGTCTTGTCATGAAGAAATTTGTTGAGTTCGCGACCGACTCGAATGCGCCGAGCTGCCTTGTTTACTTCCTCCCCCTTTATCTGTGTGTTCTGGACTGTAGCATGTGGCGAATCTAGTTCCTGTTGGAAGCTGAGGATTTGCTCACGCTGACCGTCACTCATTCTTTTCGAGGTTCCCAAGTCCAAACGAAGTTGGTTCAAAGCTAGCATTGCCACGCCACGACCAGCTTCCAGCAGTTGAATAGCCTCCCGAGGGAGTCGATTGGCACTTATTGCAAGAGCTGCGCCCTCAGATGCTAGATTCGAGATTCTAGATAACAGAACCTGCGTCTCAGAGACATCCAGAAAGCGCGGCGTTGTTGCAACGATCAGGAGTATCGCTCGATTAATGGCAGTATACGCCTTGTCCCAATCCCCTTTCAGCTTCAATGCATCTGCAAGAGACCTTGCTATTGAAACAAATCTTTCTGAGTCCCTTGTTGTAACCAAAGGCGACAGTTCGAATGCTTCATGTAAGAATGATATGGTCAAGTCCAAGCTAGATGTCTGCTTCGTCGCATCATATCGGCTCCTGTAGTACTCGCCAATGCGGAGGCGCCATTCAGAGCAAGAATTGTTGTCTGAAGAGACGAAAGACGTGGCAATGTCGGCTGCCTCTTGGACTAATTGATCCGCCGTTGCTAAGCATGTATTGTCACCTGTCATATTGTAGCTAACAACATGCACGTTTGCCAGTGAAACAAGTGGAACGATCCTAGATGGTGAATCGATTGGTAACATCTTCAGAGTCTCCTTCATGTTTCCGATAGTCTTTTCAAGATCCACAGCCGCATTTGTCGTTTTATACCTTTCCAAATATGAAAATCCTCGGCCAGTGAGGATCTTGAAGCAGTGGTCCTCCAGTTGGGGTTCCCTGGAGTTTGTACATACTCCATACGCGGCTTCATAGATATCAAGCGCGATATTCAAACTCTCTCGATTTTGGATATTGCAATACTCAATTCGATACGTATCAGCTAAATCTGATAGATGTCCAGGTCTCGTGGGACAGTCTGAAGACATAATTTCAAGACCCTGCCACAACGCCTTCTTAGCCAACTCAATGTCAGATCGTCTGTTAAAAATTACGAAATTGGCAATGAATGCCAACCCCTGAAGCCGGAGAAGTGCTGAGAGCTGGCCATCATTGTCTGTTGTCGCCTCGGTACATTCTTGTAGCACCGCAAGACTCATCTTTAGGTCGCCTACGTCACCAAAAAGACGATATCTGTCGCTGTATAAACGCCCTAATGGATACAATGCCGAAACCCAAATTGGATCGTCCCCAGAAAGTGCATCGACAACCTCCTGGAGAGAGCTCAAGGCACTGTGAAGGTCGTTCATGAGGTTCGGTATGGCCCTTTGTTCATGGTCAGTCGCATGTAAGGGCTTGTTGATGTCATAACGGGCTACGAAGCATTTTCCAAGAAGCTCCTGACGCTCCGGCCACTGCTTGTGACGTCGAGGGGTTGATTTGACAGATGTTTGACACATGAGTATCGCATAATGTATTAATTCACTGCTTTGAAACTCCTTGCAGTGCGTAAGTAACTCGGAAGATAGGCTGTAAAGTAGGTGTGACCAATCCGTGGTATCAGGCAGAATCAGGGACATGGCCGGCGTAGCAACAGTATCAAATACAGGACTGACGGCTCTTGAACCCGCGTGCCTAAGCGAAAGGGCGGACGACTGGTCCTTTCCGAGAGCGATAGACTGATTCGCAATCAGACGTCGAAACTCAAAAGCCCTCTTCAGGTCAAGGGTTTGGCCCTCCCGAAGATATCTATCCTCGAGAAACTGTGCCATGTTTCCAGCGCACATCAACTGGTTGAAACGGTCCCCATTACTTTCCCCACAGGAAGATATGCACCACCCCTTAAGGCCAATTTCAATGCATTCGTTGATATCAGCCAGTCTCCCAGTACCTAAGTAACGGGAATGGATCGCTAACGCATATATGATTAGATATACTGCCATTCGAGGATCGTCCTCTGCCGCTATCTCTATGGATCGTTGAGCAAGGGTGATGGCCTCGCTGAGGTCCTCTGGGTTGTCCGTAATTCTGAAACGGCCACTCAATACCATCGATAGACCAGAGAAGTGCCATGAGAGGTCTTCTAAAATATGTCCTTTTTCAGCCATGGTGATGGCGTCTCGCCCAAGGCTGACACACTCATTGATATCCGCAGTTTCTGCGTGAGACAGGATGCTGCTCAAAGCCATGGCGAGGTCTGTTGTATGCCGTGCTCTGACCGAACACTCCTGAACATCTGCCTCTAGCCTTTCTCGAAACTGGTGGATGGTACTCTGAGGGTCATCGGGGCTCATGCCTGGAAAATAGGGGGGTCTCATTTGAGGTAAGCAGCACATGATTTGTGCTAGGTTGGGGTGCCACATTGTTTGCATCTCAACAGCCTGACGTGCCAAAGAGGCAAAGCGCAGAGCCTCCCCCAGATGGTCCAAAGATTCCTTCTCTTGCATTAATGTGTGTAACTCGCATAACATAGTCGACAAGTTCAAGAAGTAAGCGCAGTTATTAAGCAGATCTTCCAGCTTCGTGTCCAGAGCTTGGCGGCTGATATGAATAGCTTCATTGAGGTCTGCACGATTGTCAAGTAACAAGAATCTCTCATACAAGCAAGCTGCCAAACTATCGAGGAATTCACCACTTAGATAGACGGTATTAGACGAGACTCTCACAGCCTCTCGGCCTAGACGAACCGCCTCATCCAAATCAGCGGGGTTTAGTGTGAACTTGTAGCGTCGGAAAAGGTAGCGACAATGGCGAATAAGGCAATTCCCCAGACCTCTTTCGTCTTTTGGCGTGGCTTGACAGACCTCTTCGCAATAAACAATTGCCTTGTCCAGATCAGACTGGTCTCGAGTGGTGCAGAACTTCCGATAGAGTATCGATGCCATCGCATCCACAGCAGATGTTCTATTTCCCACTATGCCTGACATCCCCAGTACCTCCTCCCCTGTGAGTATGGCGTCTTCGATAAGTTCAAGCTTTCCACTAGTTTCATAGCGAAGTAATAGTTCAAGAGCTTTGTAGCGAAGATACTCGTGTCTTGCTGGTTCGAATGACCGATCAGAAGCATCTGTGTCTGGAAATAGTTGTTTGGAAACCCATGTTGCCTCATTGACGGCGTTCTGGTCCTTTTTCTCATACCAGAGTCTTAAAAGAAACGTCCCCAACCTAAGATGTGACGAACGCTTCGAAAGTTTGACAAGCCTCCTCATAACATCCACAGCTTCCACGATGTCGCCTGGCCATCCATAAGTGATATATCGCATATAAAGTCGATCAGCAAGGTCAATGAGACTCGTAACATGGCTTGAACCGTCAATGAGAAGATTCGCTGGGTGTTGGGTTGCTTGCTCCAAGTCGGTATAATTGGCATCATGTCCCACTATTTGACGCCACCAATCTTTCACCAAGCTTTCAAGCCAGGGAACACGTTCAGGGTGCATAATTTCAGTTTTGTAGCGTACGAAGACAATCGAATTGTCTAAATCTCTTTCATCGCCGGTTGTTTCATATCTTTCTGAGAGCAGGCGACAAAGAAGGTTGCAATTTCGAAGGTCCGTAAATCCAGCCTTGTCACCTCGAATTACCTCCTCGGAGGCCATCATGGAGAAATCAATGGCTTCATCGAGAGAGTCGACTGATTTGGTCGTCTGGTACAACTGAAAAAGCGCGTAAGAGAGGGCTCCGAGGCTGAGGTTTCGAGTTTCCAAGGCCGTATTGGTGACAGTTTCTCTCGCCAATGTAATGGCTTCCTCGATGTCAAATGTTTCCCTCATTATCACATATCGAGCAACAAGAAGCCTCGACAATTGAGTGGCAACTTCCGTATCAGAACCCCCCATAACTCTGCGAGCCTCCCGGGTGAGCAGAATTGCCCTTTCGAGTCTCTCCGCTACCTTGGTCTCTTGATAACTCAAGTCATACAAGGTACCTAGATGCAAGAGCCACAAAGGCCGATCGGGGCAATCCTTCTCGGCAGTCCCGAGGGCTTCCTCAGACACCTTTAAAGCCTCCTCTAGATCTCTGAGTGCGGCAACTGAGCTGGAGCACTCACCCTCGTCTCTCTTCACATCTTGGACACACTGCTCGATCTCCCATAAAACCTTCCTCAGGTTGTATCGATGGAAAAGCATGTCGCCCAGGTATTTGAGGTTAAGGGTTTGACTTCGGCTGTCTGGCAGCAGCTCCAGGACATGTCTTTGGGTCTTTATGGCATCATCTAGATATGGAGCCCCTGACCCTTTGAACCAGACACTGTCACTGTATCGTCTGTAGTTGAGGTCCACCAGCTCGATGAGATTGACGACTTCAAGTTGGTTTGGCGCAGTCATCTCAACCGCTTCTCGCTTACACTGAATAGCCTCATCAAGGTTGTCGTTTCTTAGGAGGAGATCTCCGAGCTTGTGGAGTTGGAGAATCCGCCCTTCGTGACAATTGCTGTTTATTTCGAGCTCTTCCCTTGCTGCACGGATATCTTTGCTCTCCTCTCGCGTAGAGGCGGGTTCGAGATGCTCATCCTCGCTCATGTCTTTGAGTTTTGTAGGCAATGATTTGAGCCTTGGAATGGTGATCTTTGGCAGTGTTGCAGTGTCAAAGGCGTTCGTTTCAATGAAACGAGTAATGATTGGGTAGCGGATGTTGTGTCCTTCGCCTATTGGTGCTGAAAGAAGTACCGGGGATGAGCAGGCTACGGTGGTCGTCTACCAATCGACTCCGTGTTTTCAAGCCTCTTCAGCCACAGTGAGTAAGTGTTCGAGACTACCTAAGGGTAGAATTTGCTTGACATCATGGTGGCGATGGCAATAAAAATGGTGGGAATAGGGTCGATGGTATGAATTATATCGATGTCGGCTTCGGGAGGGTCAGACTCGGAGCCATATGCAACATATTTCGAACCTGATGAGTGTATAGAGGCAGATTATGATAGCCGTATACAAGGCCCTGATGCTGACTCTGTCATCCTAGGCATAGGGCTTCCTCTTCCTCTTTGGCCTCTTTCTCTTTAGCCTCTTTCTTTTTGACCTCTTCCTATAGGGCTTCTTCTCGGGGATGTTTTCGATCTTTTGAGGAGATGTTTTATGACTACCCTCTGCTTGCCTCTGGCGGCCCTTTGGGGACCCTGCTGGGGGCCTCCTTAAGCGGAGGGTAACCCAAGCCGTCGCCTACGGCTCCGGCGAGGATGAGGAGGACATATCCTGACTTATGTGCTTGATTTTCAGTGGTTATAGCGATCGAGCCGTTATGATATGCAAGTCATAACCAATGGCGTGTTGAGTTAAGATTCTCGACTAATGGCGCGTCAGCCATCGAATCGGAATGGCCTCACTTGAGAGAGGCAAAGCCGGAAGGTGCACCTTCTTTACTGTGATTATCGATGACATCATCAGTACGGCTTTGCCTAATAACTCACTGTGCAAAATGAAGGTACTAATGTAATATTCGCCCACTTCTACAACATACGCCCTCCTGGGAAAGTGAAACTGCTATCAGATATCTAGTACTTAGCTTCAAGCTGGCAGGGTCTACCTAGACATCATCAAAGTCTTTACCACATCTAGCGAGCAAGGGCAAATGATGGAATTTATTGAATCGATTACTTCAGGTTTACACCGATCACTTCTCTCGTTCCATATGAATCAACCCTGGGCATCATATTCTTGATTGCAGAATCTTTCTAGTGATGTTCTGTTATCCAACAACTGATAGGCCGAATCACCAGCGACATTCACATAGCCCGGAGCTCCATGGTCCGTTAGGCCGTTTCTTACGAGCTTCGCTTCAGCGTATTACTCGGCCATTTTGAAAGAATACATGTGCAATATTGCTCGGTCCATGTACTCTACAAGTAGCGAGATATAGATCACGAGTCTCATTCGATGTCTGATGGCTTGAATCGTCTTCTAGAGACTGTTCAAAGTACGTCTGAATAGATGTCTTGTTCAGAAAGATATCTGTGTCACATTAGAACTGCGATCCACGCGTAGTATATAAATGCTTAAACAATTCGCAACGGAAACCCAAGGACAACAGATTCTTCCCTCTAAATGCGTCAACCTCTCAATCCTACTCTTACCTATCGTTGTACAATTTCGGCCCAGGAAAAAGAGCGGGATTTCTAAACAATATGTGTTACAAATCGACCACATTCGACGAGTGCAAGTGCGGCAGGAAATGGAATCAGAAAATAAGTCACGATCCCTGCGAAGAGGTCGATGCGGATAGATATGGTCTTTGCCAAATGGGAGTTAAGGACCGAGATGTGAGTCAAGCTTCTGAGTGCGGCGTGTGTCGAAAGGAAAGGGAGGAGAAAGAGCGCAAGGAGAGCGAGGATAAGGGGAAGCAGGTTCGCTTTAATAATTGGATCTCAGTGATACCCCGTGATGGTGATAAGTCAATGGGTTTGTTGAAAGCTTGGGAGAAAGGGTTATGTTCATAGAGGAAGAATATAATTCCAATAGTATGGTCATCCATTTGTGAGACTGTCAATAAACCTTTCCTCTCGCTAAGAACATTATAGCCAGTAACATTTTAACTATCAAGAATATCCCTTACTAAAGCCAAAGAATCATTTACCCCACTGAGAGGGATCGCCTTCTGATTGAGTCTAGGAAAACCCCTTTACCACTGTACCAACATGAAGTGGTCGACGTTGTTTCCCCATACTCCATCGAGTCTTTTCCTACATGTAGCAAGATCTGAATGATTGCCGATTTTACTTACCGCTGTCTTTTCAGAATAGCCCTTTAACTCCGAATCTGTCACATTTTCAGTCGCACACGTCCTCTTCGTGGCGTTTATCCAGCCTCCCATCCCGAGAGGCCCATCGGGAAAGTGGAGGGAAACCCGACCACACCATGACAATACTACCGGATATGCCAAATGGAGGAAGTCTAGCAACGCCACCAGAATTTCTCATCTCTTTGGTTGGTTAGCCTGGGCAAGGTCCATGCAATCTAGATCGACCCCGGAGAGGGGAAATTGAGGAAATCTGGGGAAATGTGGAGGAAGATCAGGGTGTCTCCTCTGGCGAACGAGTACTTATTGATCAATGGCCTGCGATACAGACTTGACAAAACATCACCCCTAACTGCACATTCAAGTCATCGCAATGGTGTCTTTCAAGCAAGCATTTGCGTTATCTCGACAGGAGGTTGACGCTGCGACTCCTCCTGGCACTATCCAGATCCATCGTGAGTCAGAATTTGGTCTGTCAAGAGTCGAGAAACCCCTTGTCTAACAGTGAAAAGGCGAACGCGAAGGTACCAACGATACAGTTCGCTACAGCAATACTGATGATCCTTGGGACCCACTCAACTTTCCCCTCTGGCACAAGATTGCTGCCCTGCTGGTAGCCGCTCTCTATGCCTTCACTGCCAACTTCACCAGTGGTGTCATCGCGCCCGCATTCCAGCTATGGCCCATGATATTCCCCCGGGATCCGCGGTCTATTTCCGATCTTTCCGTCTTGATCGCCGTATGTAGCCTGTTAAAAACACCATCGGCTGTAACTAACGCTTATAGATCAATGTACTCTTCCTTGGCGGCGCCAATATCTGGTGGGTTCCTCTGTCTAACTGGATGGGACGTCGACCGGTTCTCATTCTAGCAACACTACTTCTTACGTTTAGTACGTTGTGGTGTGGCCTTGCTACTTCATATGAGTCTTTGCTTGCTGCTAGAGCCTTCCAAGGCATTGGAGGTGCGGCCGCCGACTCAGTCGCTCCAGCTCTGGTTGGAGATTTGTTCCCGGTTCATCAGCGTGGAAGAGCCATGGTAAGCATTGCGTTTCAACAATCTCTTCAACCCTTACTAATCTTATGAGAACAGTCTGTGTATACTATCATGCTCGTCATCGGCCCGCTCGCGGGTGGAATCTCAGGCGGCTACATTGTCTTTCAACAGGGCTGGCAGATGATATTCTGGGTCTGTCTAGCCCTTTCTGCCGCCTGTCTCCTCGGAGTCATCTTCTTCGTCCCGGAGACATTGTACTCTAGAAACATGCCGATCGAAGGTGTCGCCAGTGCCGAGTCGGAGAAGCAAGCTCAGTTTGGAAACAACGAACACGTCGAGAACAAGCAGTCCGCCATCGAGCAGCAGCATACGATTCATAAGCCATTTACCTATGTCAAGTCTTTGGGTTTCATCAAACCTCGTGGAAGCCTGCTCAAGCAAGCCATCCAGCCTTGGCGAACTTTGGCCCTTCCCGGCACTTGGGTAGTGATGCTTCACTACGCCGGCTTGGTCGGCGGTATCGTCACCATCTCGACCATCGGGCCTCAGATCGTAGCAGCTCCGCCATATCTCTGGAAAGCAAACGCAGGTCTTATCAATGTCGGCCCTGTCATTGGAGGAATTATCGGATACATTTACACGTTCTTGCTGGCTGATGGTAGCATGATGAAGAAAGCGAGCAAGACACGACATGGTGTTGCTGAAGCAGAGGATCGCTTAATTACTCTCTTCTTTCCTCTTTTCGTGGCAACTAGCGGATTACTTATCTTCGGCTTCTGCGCTCAGAACCCAGGCACCAATCGATGGATCGGTCTGCAGTTCGGTTTTGGAATGCTCAGCTTTGGTCTTATGCAAGTTCCCTCGGTGGGATTCAACTATGTAAGTTGCCAAGCCGACTACAAAAACACATGTACTAATACTCTCAGCTTATTGATTCCTACCACTCGTTGGCAGCGGACTGCTTCACTATGGTGACTATTCTACGCGCCATCATCGCGTTTGCATGGACATTCTTTGCCGCCGATTGGGTCCATCAAAAGGGCGCTGCCGAGCCTTTTGGTATTTTTGGATTGCTTATGGGTGTCTTTTCTCTGCTTACCATTCCGCTTTGGATGTATGGCAAACGTATGAGGATCGCCACGGCGGAAAGGGTCCTTCGCTGGCAGGGATTCTAGGGGTTTCCTTCGGGGACCATACGTGCAGCCGTTTCACCTGTCAGACTGCACATCACATTCATAGGTTACAGATACGTAAACAATTCAATTATAGGCTGGACATGTCTTACGAATCCTGTGGCGTGCGGGCGACTGTCGCATTAACATGAGACAGGTCAACTTCAAGTACCTGCACCCGGTTATCGGTCCCCCTCAAGCCAAGCCTCGAAATGTCAGGGATTAATTGGCCTTGGACGTTATCCCCAGACCGTGCGAGGCCTCGGCTCTGATTTCTCACCCGCCAAGACATTAGAAGATGCAGAGCGAACATCCAAGCTCTCACCCTCACCGCACACAGCCCCTCTTATAAGCCCACTTTACACCCGCAGGCTCTATTACCGCCGTGAAACATCCTTCAAAGGAATGTCGCGATAATCTCAATATCATATGCATAATTCCTTACACAAGAGGCCTCCTCTATATAATAATACGAGTTGTTTACTTACGAACGAGCCAATACCGTCGTGCCGAGCCGTATGCGCCAAGGCGGGTCCAACGTGAGCGAGCATCCGCGCGCCTTTTTCTTTTTTTCTTTTTACACAGGGCGGAGAATACTCAGGGGTCCATATCCTGGTCGGCGTGAGGAGAGAGAGTGGACTTTTTGATGCACTGCAGTCGTGGCAGCTTCAGCATCGTTTCCTTCGCGGCTGACTCGGTCTTGGAGCTTCTTGGCTCTGCGCCTGTGCATGCGTGAGGCCTCTCGTGAGTTCGCTGTAGAAAGAGTAAGTGCGCTGTAGAAACAACATATATAGCCCGTGAATCTCCTGCCTCACCCAGTCTCAGACTTCAGCAAACAACTTCTTTCTTCACGTCTACACATTCACAACCGCAAAAATGGTCAACTTCCACGAGAGCTCTTCCGATATCCAGCTCGAGGACGGTCACATCCTCGTTGCCCAGTGCAACGACGCTGATGGTGAGCCTCAAGAGTCTCGCCTTGACCTCGACTACTACATCGGCAACAACGACGGTGCTTTCTACTGGGGTGGCGAGGGTAGGTCTCTTCATAATGTATCAGAAAACAAGATGCTAACAATACTTAGGCTTCTCTGGCTCTGCTAGCGATATCTCTTTCGACATGGAGGGCGACGACAACGTTCCTGTGCTCCGTGCTTACCTCAATCCCGTTGACGGTGACCCCGTTGAGGCCAACGTCAATCTTGCCGAGTGCATTGGCAACGACAACGGTACTCTTGTCTACGGTAAGTTTAGATGTCATATGTGTGTAGATGTAGACTGACAAGTTTGACTAGTTCCTCCTCAGTAAAGTACACAGTGTGCTATGAAGGGAACCCTTGACAACAGAAACAAAATCAAATAAAAGTAAAATAATCAATCTTGAGGCCCACTTATGCTTGTGAATGAACTCATCAGCGTGATATTGCAACCGTCCCAAATGCTGCGCGCTAATTAAAAGAAGATATGCTAAACCCAACCATAATGATACAAACAATAGATCGCAAGGGTATATCACGCATCCAACTTCCTCTTAGCCGAATTCTCCAACTCCGCCATCAACTGAACCAACTTCTCCGTCAGATGCGGCATAGGCATCCCCTTGAAATTAGTTCTCACAACTCCCATGACAGCCTCCATGACCTTATCAGGCTGTGAAAGTGGAACGCTGATAACAACCTCTCCTTCACCAGCTATCTCCGATCGCCATTTTATACACGGCTGCCCTTGTCCAAAACCTTTGAATCGCTGCAGCGCGATGTTATCCACATCGTCGAGATATACATTCTGACTCAACGCCCGAGAAATACCTGACTGCTCGGAGAGAAGACCGTACACCCAGAATGCCAAACTGGCGTGGTAGATTATTATCGCCATAGGGCCGCGCATAGATCCCTTCGGTGATTGTTTGGCGATCTGCACGATCTGTGCGGCGTGGTAGACTGTTTGTCGTGCGGCTTCGCTCTTCGCCCAGTCGCGAACCGTGGGATAGACTGCACGAGCACGCTCAGGGCCGTCCATGCCTGCGAATATCTGGATATCTTCAAAGGGCATCTGTAGATGCAAAAAGGCGACTTCCAGCCTCATTTGAATCTCTGAGTCCATAGACACATCGGGAGATAAGCTCAGCTGTAAATGTCCGAGGAGTTTAAGCAACTCATCTTTTCGCATCTCCGTGACAAGAGTATTCCAACGTCTTGGCTTTGAGCGCTGCAGAGAGAACAGTTGAAGGTACTCCCAGCACATGGTCCACGTGCATGCAAGTGCAGTCAGGACTGTGACGTAGGTGTCCACTGAGCCCGCATGATTATTGAGGACGTCTGGGTCGTCGATAACATCTGCGACATAAAGTGGCTCATTGCTTCCACGAGATACCATCAATGAATTCCACTGCTCTGGGGAAGCGGCAGTCCAAACGTCTACACTCATTGGCAGTGGTAGTAAGACCTCTGCGTATGATATAAAAGGACTAACCAGGAGTGCCACAGATGTGTTCGCGTCGTGAGATAGCATCCTGCAGGCAACTCTCTTGAATGACTCATCCTCCACCCACTTCAGCCACTCGTGTCGAGAGACCGCACCATGGACGTTTGCGAGCTTAGTGTCGGGATAGACCGACTTTTTGAACTTTCCATCGCGACGCATCATAGTCAAGACAGGGTTGAAGAAGCTTTCTGCGATTTCGACTTTTCTTGGGAGGCCACTCCAGATTCCCATCTCAAGGATGATGAGAAAGGCTTGGGTGAGTTGTAGGTCTCGCACAAGGGTGTTGTCGCGTTCCCACTAGACAGAGTTAATACCGTGATAGAGCATGGGACCAGGGGAACTTACGTGTTTGGCTACAGCAACCCGCAGACATTCTTGTATAGCATAGCCAAGCTTCGACAAAGCAGGGTCGGAAGTCAAGACCGCGCCACAAGCAGCCATTGCGGCCACCAACTCTGGTCTCTTCTCATTGGGGTCCAAGGAAGCCGCATGAATGAAAGATGTAGCGTGTGTGACAGATGAAGTCAGATAAAACTGAAGCAGGGTGTCCAATAGCTCAGCAGAAGGGAATGATGCCACAGCTTTAGACAAATGATCCGAGCGACAGCTGTTGACAACCATCATGAGAATCCTGTCTCTCGCAGGTCCCCCTAGTTTGGCACAAGTAACCCTAGTGTTCATATCTAAAGCGACCCCGGACTCGGGCGAGGGGTAAGCAGAGTCTGTGGCGGGTAGGGAGAGATTATGCTCCTCGGCACCAGCATGGTCTTTGGCATTGGGTCGGAATTTCCAGTGAGAGTTTTGAAATGCTTCAGTGCACATAGCAGCGGGTTCACCGGGGTCTGTGTGTGCCGCCGCATGGGGTGTTTGCGCGCCGCGGGGAGTGGGTTGGATACTTCTAATCTCGAACGGAATGCTAGTGTTGTAAGAATCGAGGAATCGAAGGTCTATATCATCAAGTTCATTGTATGAGAACATCTCGACTTCGTTGGTGCTGGCCGAGATCCACGAGCTGGAGAGGAGGTTGAGGTCGGGAATTTGGAAGAAGAGAGGATCGGCCTCGGCGGGCATCGATGTGTCTTGATCGTTGTTAGCTAGTTGTTGCAGTTATGATAGGAGACTTACCAAGATTATGGAATAAACTTTGCGTCGTCTGGGGTGTCAAGATGTCTAATGATGGTTGTCCCATGCCTGACGAAGCAGAGGTTGATCCAATCGTGCTTGGTCCCATAGGGTTGGGATTGGGGTCTGCAAAGGCAGACATAGAGGAAGTGTCATTCTCGTGAGAGAAGATGGATTCATCGGTCTGTTGCTCACCCTCAGGCGAGGGAAAGTCCCCATCAAGGTCCATAGAGTCATTCCACTTACACTCGATGCCCTTCTCCTGGCACCGAAGACACGGCTTCTCGTCACTGCAGCGGAGATGATTGGATGAACAAGCTCTACAGGCCTTTCCTACCCTTCCAGGCATGAACCGGGGTTGTTCACCTACAGAGCTCTCCCCGACTTGAGAGCCATGCCCAGCAACATGCCTTTTAAGCAGGTCCCTAACGCAAGAGCAAGATGTTAGTCATCCAAGGACAAGAGGTGGAAGAGGTGGGACCAACGGTCGTGTAAAGGCTTTTGGACAGACGTGACACTTGTAGGGTTTGGTCTGGGTATCTAGTAGCCTGTTAACCAACTCGCGATCATCGAGTTAGCTATGTGAATGTGGAAGACATACGGGAGCGCACGTGACGCGCTAGATGATCAAGACGCTTGTAATTCTTCTTGCACTGTCCACATTGGAACATTCCCGGCTGCGTCGTCGACATGGTGAAGGGAAGGGTTAGGGAGTCTATCGCAAGTGGAGAGGGTAGGAGGGTAATCGGGACGTGGAGAGAAGGGAAAAGGAGACGGGGAAATGGTCTTTTTTTTCTCGGCTCGGGCATATCAAAGATTCCGGGGTGGTATAATTTGCGGGGTGCCGTTTGCGGGGAAGGAAAGAAGGGATGTGATTGGAGGTGATACGGCGGAATCGGTGGAATTGGCTTTCGGCGGAAACCTCCACATCCCGATGGAGATATTAGTCCATGGCGTTGATCACCCTAGAGCAGTTCCGTGATTCAATAGAATTCAACACAGGTTATAATAGCAACATCTGTTCGTTCAATAGAACTAAATCATGGGTATGGGTAGTCAACACCATCAGAAATAATTCAACTAACATCATGAAAGTCAATTTAGCACCAGTCCACTTCTTTTCCCATGGCTCGACCATGATGCTGGGAGAGGACTCCGAGTCAGCCGATTACTGGAAAAAAGCTGGCGATCAAGCATTAGCCAACAAGATTAAAGGCGTGATTATGATGGTATGAGTTAATCTCTAGATACTCAGATCATTCTTCTAACGCAGAATAGGGCGCGCATTGGGACGCTTCAGGTGACCGCATGGAAGTCGCCATAAACCCCAAACCAGGAAAATCACCAGTCGCGTATGTCCACCCATCGAAATACGTCGACTACGAACTCAATCCCGATCTCGAAACTGGCGAGAGATGTATTTCTCTTTTAAAAAATGCTGGCTTCAACGTCTCAGGTAACCCGGACTTTGAATGGATCCATGACACATATCTCATCCTCATCCGCATGTTTCCCAACGGCTGCCCACCAACAACACTCATCTCCATGAACGCGCGCTTCGACCCGCACTACCACATGCGCGTCGGCGAAACCCTGCGCTGTCTGCGCAAAGAAGGCTATCTGATCATCGGCTCCGGCGGCGCGGTGCACAACCTCTACCGCAACATCTGGGCGCCCATCGTGTACTACTCGGACAACTTCGCGCAGGAGAAGCCGCCCGAGGCGTGGGCGCTGGAGTTTCGACAGGCGGTGGAGGATGTCATCAAGAACAACAGCGGGCCTCGGCTTAGGCGCGCCATGACGAGGCTGATGAAGCATCCTTGCTACAGGGATGCACATGCTACGGATGACCACTTCATGTCGGCGCTGTTTGTGGTGGGAGCGGTGGGTGATGAGGAGGATGAGGGTGTTTATGGTGAGCTCAAGGCGGAGACTTGGGAACTGACCAATATGTGTAATAGTCAGTTTACATTTGGGACATGGCCTAGGACACTTGCTACTGCGGCCTGAAGGTGTGGAATTAGTTTTGCTTGATTTGTTGGATGTTAGCGTAGCTAGAATGATAATATCCTTATTAAACAGTGAAGTCACAAAGGGTGTGTTCGACCAAGATGTGGATTATTTGTTCTGTACCTTTCACAAGTTACTGATGGCATTTATGTTTACCTGAGACCATAACTGATGGGTTTACTGTTGACAAACCCTTTTGAGCATCGTCAAGGCCGGCGAGTGTGAGTGCTGGATCACAGGAGTACTAATGAGTCACTTGTGTAAAGATGTTGACATTCAATTATACAGGAGAGTTTATTGGAGCTCGATATATAAGAATAGTACGTATGTACATAATAGTCATTAAAATTAAGATGCAGATCAATCTGCTACATTGGACCACCTTCGTCTTCTTGCTAATCCAATTTTGAGAAAATTAACCAGAACCATTTAGAGTTCGGTGTGCATTTAGCTGGAGATCTGTTGATCTGTTAGTGACTGGTTCTTATGATAATGGTTAAATGGAGCTTACCTCAATGATGGCAGGGCCGGCAGCGACAGTGTCGTCAGAGACAACATCCTTGCAGCTGGTGAGGACGACGTAGGTCTGTCCAGCGAAACCCTCAGGGATCTCAACAGTGAAACCACCGTCGACAGCGGTAGCCTCGACAAAGGTAGGGCCGGTAACGGCAATGAAGGCAGCGTAGACCTGCTGGCCCTTGGCACCCTCAAGAGTATATCCAGGGGTCTGGAGGGTGACGGTGCTACCAGTCTTGATCGCGTCCTTGGAAGCCGCAGCGGCCAGGGCGGGGAAAGCCTTGACGGGCAGGGCAGGGTTGTCCTTGGGGCAGCCGGTGATGAAGCCGGAGGCCAGGGAGTAGACCTCGTTGTAGGTCAGGGGAGCGTCGAAGGGCTGGGGGAAGGGAACCTGCTTGAGGCCAGCGCGGATGTAAGACGAGTGGCGAGCCTCGACGGTAAGGATGGAGCCGGCGGCTGTGAGGTAGGTCTTGCTCATGATGTCGGCAGCAGCACCGAGGTAGGCAGAGACACCAACGCCCTCGAGGATGGAAGCGGTAGCGAGGAAGCTCTTGACATCAGTGACACCAAAGCTGTAAGTGCACTCGGCGACGGGTGTGACACCAGCAGCTAAGCAGAGTTAGTATTTGAGTGTGTACTGAGAATGATGAACATACCCTTGAGAGCCTTGGTGAGGAAGTCAACGTGAGTGGTCTCATCGCTAGAGACCTCCTTGATGTTGGTGTAGAAGGTAGAGTCGTAACCGGCATCGGCAAAGTCCTGCTCGGTGAAGTTGGAGAGACCCTGCTTGTAGAAGTTGTTCTCGAGGTGCTCGAGAGTAAGAGCGTAGTTGAGGATGACTCCATCGTTGAGCTCAGAGGCACGCTTCTGCATGGCAGGGGCGGCAGAGACAAGGCCGGCGGCGGCGAGGGTGAGGCTGGTAGAGTACTTCATTTTGAATATGTGTTGAGAAGAGGACTGTTATGGAAAGAGATAGTGATTGTGGGTGTTGTAGACAGAAGAGATGATTGAGATGAAGATATCGAGAAGAAAGTTTGTTTCACCAGCAGATGTTGTAGACTTTATCTTGATCAATTCTGCAGTAAGTATCAAACAAAGTACAGACAGACCCTCTTCGATCGATCTTAGCACACCACACCACAACAACAGCATTGTCTCTCACTCATCTTTCTCCGCAAATGCAAAGGCAAATTACACGTCTCTCCCTAGTCTCGCGGTCTCACCACCGGCATCTTGACCATCCGCTCCGATCTTACCGGCCCAATCCTTTGCCTCGTTGGGCACAGGCAATCTTACTGAGGAGTGAACTAAGGTACTGCCGGGCGCACGTCCACAGCCCTAAGAAACAAGCTCAGAAGGAGAAACAATTGTTACTACTAAGAAACATATCAATTGCCGAATAACGACGTCACTGTTTTTGACCTACTCCCGATTGAGCACGTGGAGATGATCGCCAGGGACCTTGCACGGCACCACCTCAATCCGCTCACGATAGCGCCATCTCTAGCGCTGCAGATGATTTGTGCTTTGTTTCCCTTTTGTGGGTAATCAGCTTCTCGGCTTGATCTGGTTCCGTGGGCTAGGAGCAATTGAGCCGCAGATCGCATACTTTCAACCATTTTTTACCTTTGGTGAGACAAAAAGGACGGGATATCCACTATCCGACAGTTGAGACCAACTGATCTAGTGCGACATTCCGGAGATTGGCATTAGCTCTAGTCTCTAGTCCTCGGAGAAGTCTGTTTCCAGTTGGGGAGTTAGGACTATCACGTCTTGCTTTAGCAATTTAGGCTCAAGAAACAAACAAAGTATTGTCAACCTTGAAAGCAACATGTTTGTAAGATGCCCGAGTAGCCGACTATCCGAGAACTATCGGAAACAAATCTTTCCGTGAAATTGCAAGACAAGTCACAGACACAAACTAGACTAATCGACCAAGAAAGAGATTGCGCTTTGAGGAATTCACTATCACTATTGCCCCGTGAATTGAATTCCATTCTGTCTAATATCCTTCTTAATTCCTACCTTCTCCTCATCCCCTTTTCCCACATTCTTTTACCATCCAACAGTTTATTCATTCGCTTTTGTCTCTCACTCATTTCACAATCACGATACCCTTACCTTAGCAAACATGAAGTTCATCATTGCCGCCACCCTTGCAGGTAAGTCTCCATCACCTAAACACACACTGAATTATCTTGCTAATAACCCTCAGTTCTCTCTGGAGCTTACGCTGCTGAGTCTGCCTCTACCACCATCACCTGCCCTGAGTGTCACGCAGCCGCTACCCAGCCTGATATCGTCACTCGATCTGCGCTTCCTACTACATCTTGCACTGCGTTGCCCTTGACCGTTGTCACCAACACCAAGGGTGGCTCCGGAGTTGCTGCTCCTACTGGAGCTGGCACTGGAGCTGCCTCTACTCCTACCGCCCAGGTTCCTGTCAATGCTGCCGGTGTAAACAAGGTCAGCGGTGGAGTTGCTGCTGCTGCTGCCCTCGCTGCCGTTTACATGCTGTAAATGCCCTAATTAGTTGAGAATAGGCTTTCATAGCCGATGTGGTGGTAATATTCTATGATCGATATTGTATATAATAGATGGCTCATGACCGTTGGGTTGTGTAGGCTATATGGGTCCTAGGGAACACACGCAAGGAACATAGGAATGCCGTTAGACTCATCGAATACCCTTTGATAATGATGCTTGGCGATTTAAATGATGAAATTCTTTTTGATTCACTATATTATCTTTCTATCATACTATCTGAGTGATGTTTAGTTAGGAATCACAGGAAGAGTGATGTAGTTCTGTTGACGAGGACCGAAATGAATATTGTTGAAGCCCTGGAACACTTCAGGAGATCTAAACAATTGTTAGTAATGCGTACACACAAAATCAAAATCATATGCTCACCTGTCAACGGGGTCATCGTGCAAGAAAATACCCGATCCTTGAGTATCACCAGACGACACCTCAAACACCAACTTGCCACCCTTTTCAACAACCACATTCGTAGGCCAGATCTCGACATCCACAGCGTAGATCTCACCCTGAATCACAGGGAGCACATCCTTGCTGGTGTAGTTTCTATGGGGAAGCCACTCGCGGTGCTTGGGATGTTCCTGGTCCACCTTGCGCAGCGACACCCTCAACCACCCCTTTGTCACAGGGACGGGGTCGCCTGCAGTGCCAGTGTAGAACACCTCCTGGCCAGAAGCGTCGTAGTGTCGCAGCGTGACAAACAGATCGATATCGCTCGGCGTGGGACCTGACGGGTCAGGGGAAACTGAGACATTTAGATGCGCTACAACGTGTCCCGTAATCTCCGTCTCCGCTTCAAACGGACTAGTCGAGAACTGCAGCACCTCCGGTTCTTTCAGCGTTCCTAGTGCCTTGTAAGACAGTTTCTTGCGATCGGTTCTGGGCTCGTCCCAGCTGAGACCTTGGTCAGGTGTGAGGAAGAGCTTTTTGTATTGCGTGCGTGCGATGGGCCACTTGTTCTCTTCGCGGCGAGGATACACCTTCTCCTTTTCGGCGTCGTTGAAACCAACGTTGCCTTTGCGGAGAACGAGGCTGACGGGTGCGACTTTGCCTTCTTGTGACCAGCCAACGCGGTCTTCGCCCTTGAGGAATGCATCTAGGAAACTGCGCTGAATCTCGGCTTCTTCTTCGTAGTAGAAAGGGAGATCGTGACGACCGGTGATGAGGCGAAGATACTTGAATTTCGATCCTGCATGGATGTATCCTTCAATGTTTCCGCGTAGATGCAGGAGAATACCACCCCAGTTGCCAACTGAGAGTAGAGGGACTTCGATATCGCCCATGTCATACTCCTTAGAAGCGTAGTAGGGTTCATCTCGGAAGCGATTGGCTTGATTGTCCTTGGTTTGGTCTTGTCTGTTAGCCTCGAGCTCCTCCTCCGGTAGATCTCCCTCTAGAGTATCAGGGCCCCAATTCCGCGCACTCCGACCTGGTCGTCCATACTGGTTTGTGATAACCTGGCGATTCCACCAAAACTTGATAAAAGCGTTCGACAGAATGCCACCATGACGACATCTATCCCTGTAGTAATCCGACATGCCCTCCCAGGGGACGATTGCGCTCAAACCCTTTGGTTTACGGGCTGCGACTCGCCATTGACTTCCGGCGTAGTAGCTGATGCCAAGAAGACCGACCTTGCCAGAGGACCAAGGTTGCTCGGCAGCCCACTCCACAACGTCGAAGAAGGCCTCACTGGTCCCTCTTGACATGGTGTCGAGCTTGCCGGAGGATTGGCCAAGACCTCGCTCGTCGGCGCGGATAACGGCATAGCCGTGCTTGGTCCAGAAGCCAGGGTCAGGGGTTTCCCATGCTGAGTGCTTTGATTTGTGTTGTGGGTTGACTTCACTGAAGGACTTTGGATGGAAGCTACATAGAATGTTAATGGTATACTCGATTCACGGAAGAGAGAGACTTACTCTTCATACCAAATGTCCTTTCCGTAGGGACCGTATGTGACAAGAACAGGTACCTTATCAACACCCTTCGGACGATAGATGTTTAGACGAACTAAGCCATCACCGGCCTTGAGAGGAACAGTAGCATTTTGCTCAAAGATGTAAGGAAACGAGTCCTCATCCACTGTATGGAGATCTTCCTTGATTGGGTTGGGCATGGTGTTGAGAGTGAGAATAATGAACTGATTCTTGCAAAATCAAAAACCTCATGTAATTGATCGTATTCATAGACCTATTTCACTTGCCTTACAGTGGATAGCTGCCCCTCAATTGCACCATAACTTCCGTGTAGACCGAATCGCCCGGCCGAACACGCCCGTTCTCCACGTGGAGGGTTCCGAGCCTGGGCTTCGGTTACGTGGGGCCGATACCCGATATCACGATGGCTGCAACTAGCCCGATGGACATAAGCGGGGAATTGGGGGAGGCGATGAAGGTCAGATGTGTGAGGCACCATTGATTAGTTATTCAGTAGGGTGGTTAATAAGTAGACGTTAATTCGTGAGATGTCACAAGTTCGCCTTTGCTGTGCATATCAACATATCACATCTAAGATACTTTGAGGTTTTGGCAGCGTTTATTAGCAATCATGGCTCAAGATTCAACTTCAACACCTCTGAATATCCTCGTAGTAGGAGCAGGTAATTGATACAATAAGAATACCCTCACATCTTTTTGATCTAACAAGTACAGGTATTGGTGGATTGACTGCCGCACTTGGTTTACGCCAACAAGGTCACCATGTAACAGTATGAGAAAGTCTATTGTGTGGATAATACTCCACTAACACCTTACAGTTATTCGAGAGATCACAATTGGCGAGAGAAGTTGGAGCTGCAATCCATCTGGCTCCAAACTGCCATAGTATTCTGCGAAAATTCGGAGTCTACCCAGAAACCTTTGGTGCCAACCCTGTCGAAGGAGTAAGTCAAGCAGGCACTTCACATTACCCAGTGCAAAGCTGATAACTGCAGATCACTGAGTACACTGGGGATGGAGACATCAAGTTTGATATGAACTTGAAGGGGCCACTCTCAATCTGGCAAAATGTATGTTGCTGAGCTGATTTTCGCACCACAACCTACTGACCATACTATAGCCCTGGGTTCTATCTCACCGTGTTCGTCTCCACGAGGAACTCAAAAGACTAGCGACATCGAGCGAAGGCTCTGGAACACCAGCTATTCTCAAGACTTCCAGCCCTGTTGTGGAAGTAGACCCTGCCACGGCGACTGTGAAACTCGAAGATGGCACCTCAATCACAGGGGATTTGGTACTCGGTGCCGACGGTGTTAGCGTAAGACAACCCCTTCCTGTGATACTATCCCTTGCTGATCTCTTGTAGTCAATAACACGAGAAATCGTCGCGGGACCTGGTATCAAGCCTTACGGTTCTGGAAAAAGCGCATTCAGATTCATGATCCCTCACGATGCAGTCCGAAGTAACGAAGTCACTAAAGTTTTCACTGAACGCCAAGGATACATGACCATGTGGATGGGTGATGACCGTCGATTGATCATGTATCCCTGCTCCGATAATACAGTCATGAACTTTGTCGCCATCCATCCCAGTGCTATCTCTGCTGGAGCTAACAAAGGATCCGGTAAGTCTGAACAGTCCTAAGGAAATGATGAGGTCACTACTAAGTCACGAATAGGTTGGGGACGAGGTGGTAGTAAGGAGTTACTTCTCGAAGTTTATCGCGACTTTGAGCCGAGGGTTCGAGAACTTTTGAGCTTGGTGGATGTTGAGGAGTTGAAGCTTTGGACTTTGTTGGACATGGACCGTATTCCCACCTGGCATAAGGACCGTCTGGTTCTCCTTGGAGATGCCGCGCATCCATTCCTACCCCGTAAGTCTAAGAAGTTCGAGTTTATCATCAATTCGCTGACATTGCGCTATAGACCAGGGACAAGGTGGTGGAATTGCCATTGAGGACGCAGCTTCTTTGGCTGCCCTACTACCTCTCGGCACCACAGTTCAAGATATCCCGGAACGACTTGCTTTGTACGAGAAGGTCAGAGATGAGAGAGCGCATAAAATCCAGGACTTTACTAGACAAGCGGGTGAAGATCTCCATGGAGAGAAGCGTGCCAAGTTTAACAGTAAGATCATCACCACGGTTATCTTTTGAAGCAATACTAATGACTTCCAGTCTACAAGTTTCTGGATTACAACTTTTATCACGATGAGTGGCACAACTCAACCAAAGCCCTCAAGGACCATCTTTGGGCCAAGAACAAGAACTTGCATTGGAAATCTCCTGTATCATTCGGACCAATGCCAAGTCCTCGACAGGATTACTACGGTCGACGACATACATCTGATAACTCCGAGTTCACAACCTGGTCGGTCCGCTTCAAGTCTTCAGCAACATATCTCCAGACCCTCTTCCCTACCAAGCAGTTCAGCTTCTACAAGCCCGGAACCGTTGCCGAAGCAACATTCTCGTGCACTGAACTTCGAGGCATGAAGTGGCTTGGCGGAGGTGGCTACAAGTTCTTTGGTCTCTGGATCCATGGGGTTCAGTACGAGAAGAAGGATGGTAGCAAGATCTATGGATCTTTCCTTGCTGTTTTGCTTGAGAATTCAGCGGATCCTATCGTCACTGGCCGTGAAGAGCTGGGTATGCCAAAACTCTTCTGTGATATTGAAGTCGAGGACAAGGGTAGCTCTTCCAATATCCGATGTAGTTGGAGAGGTACTCAGTTCGTTGATATTACGATTAACGGTCTTGAGGAAGGCGGTGCAAAGACAAACGGGACAAACGGGACAAATGGAACGACCAGCCATGCTCCACCTACCGGTCCTCCAGGTTCAGCACCTCTTCCCGGCGAGCAAGGAACTTTCGTCTACCGATACGTGCCCTCTGTTGGACAGCCAGGTGTTCCCGATGCCGAGTATCCCGTGTTCATCGAGGAAGGACTAGAAACCACAGCGCGAAAGGTTGAGAACACACTGGCTGGGAGTGGTAGTGAGTTAAACCTCAAGGCAGGTACTTGGGAGACTCTACCGACGCTCAACCATATTGCTACTGGGCTCTCTGAGATTCCAGTCTTTGGAGTTGTAAAGAGTAAGGTGGAGCGGGGGCAAGGTGTCGATGATATTTCTCATGCGCGGAGGATTGAGTAGTTATACTAAGATATAGTAGAAATTGAATCATATTCCTATTTGATACTGAGAGAATGTAGTCGTCTATATTTGATTTCATCATCGTTGTAGACATAGGTGGACCCAATCGGAGTCTTTTGCTGTTACTCGTAAATGCTCGCCCTGACAAGGCCGAGAAAAGTGACAGGCTCATCTCACATGGTCAGGTTTGGGATTATTCGATGAAGATTTATCATCTTGACTGTTTTCCGGTCACTCATATTCAAAAGATATCATCCTCCACAGCGATAAGCCTTCTTGACCCCTAGATTTGTGATCTGCAACTGGGACGAACTCAAGCATCACTTAAAGTGGATTTCATCATATGACATTTATCACTTTCTATGTAAAATGCGTCCAATATCTCACTGAGATCTAGCAGGCGTCAACTGTCCAATACATTCTCCAAATCCCACCCCCGACTCCTCTCCAACAGAAGCTGTTATCCTCACAACATCCCCATCCTCAAGATACCCTCTTTTTGACCCATCACTCAAAGTGACCGGCTTCGTACCACCCTCAGTAGTCTCAAGTATACAGCCACGACTTGCTTCATCCGGGCCGCTCACAGTGCCTGTAGCCATGATGTCGCCGGTTCGCAGGGCACTACCAGAACTGACCGAATGGGCTACCATCTGCTGTGGAGTCCAGTATAGCGCTTCCACGGGGCATACGCCTAGGGTTGTTGCACTTGAGTTGGCGAGGACTTCGACTTTCATGGTGATGGAGTAGGTTGAGGGGTTAGGGTGTTGCAGGTATGTGGCTGATAGGGTTTGTTGGGGAGGGGATCTGACTCTGAATGGCTCTAGGGCGTCGAGCGTGATTATCCAGGGTGATATGGAAGTGCCTAAGCTTTTACCATTGAAGGGACCAAGTGGACTCATCTCGAAACCTTGAATATCGCGAGCTTAAAATGGTCAGTGTTTTTCTAACATTTGAATGGACCATCACCTTACCACTCCAGTCATTAAGAATGACAAAACCAAAGATATGCTCTTCAGCATCCTTAGCATTTAGTCTCTGCTTCATAGCTAATGGTTTTCCAATTATAGCCGCAAGCTCAACCTCATAGTCAACTTTTTGCGACGGGCCATAGATGATTGCATTCTCCTGTCCAGCTGTAGCCGCAGGGTTACGAAACTGTCCATAAGGACGCTCAATATCAGTCCCTGAAATAACGATGGAGCTTGAGCGACCCTGATAGCCGACTGGGAAATGGAAAAAGCCAGGAGGGGGCTTTGGGTTGTTGACTACTATGCGGCCTGCATTTATGACGTGGTCAAGTGAACAGGAGAAATCTATACGCATGAGCTATAAGTTTGAATAAACCAGGGTTGTTGCTTACCTGCAAAGTCTTTGATTTCTACTGGTAGATGCATTGTAACACTGCCTATGTCTTCATGGCTAGTGGAAGGGAAGCCATCGATGCCAGACTTCTGGTATGTTTCTTGGATAGCCTTTCGTACATGCTGATGGATGAGTTTTGGAAGAGCCGCGAAAGCATTCAAAGTTGGCTGATTAAAGACACCGGCAGGGAGATCAGTGATGTCCTTGAAAATCTCCTCCAGGTCATGAAGAAAAATCACAGTATTCTCTAGTCTGATGACAGCTTGAGGACTCTTGTAGATTTCAGAAGAAGCTATACCGAAAGGTATGTTCTTCTCTGAGAAATGGTGAGAAAAGTCTGTTGGTCCCATCGTGAAGATCTTGGGTTGCTTTTCAAAAATGTGTGTTGTATTGACTTTGAGTAGCAGATTGTATGAAGGATGCATCACTATTCAACGGAAATCAAACAGTACAATATCAATTATTAAGCTACCGTACGTACATGCATATTGTGATCCCGAAGTCCGTGGAGTAGTAGCCAAGTGGACGATCGGAGGTAAAATAGCCGGCCGAGTCGGGGCCTCTCCACATCCCGACCGGCACAAGCAACGGGAAGCATCAACGTTATAGAGCTGTGACTGATTAGCCGACAACATAAAACAATAGGAAATAGAAGAGACATTTCAATAGAGAATACAACACAATCAACTACATCAATTGAACATCTACTAGTCCTATACTCATACACATCCCACAATGGCTCTCAACGGCAATCTCAGACAGCCCTCGCGCTACATCACAACCCACAACTCAGAAGGCAAAGCCATCGTCGACACAACCCTTGACTCGGACGCTCCCTTCTACGAACTCCCCAGCAAGGACGCCCACTTCGCACTGGGATACGCCACAAAGGAGTTCCCAGCCAAGCTCACCAACAACGCCGACCTAGACTCGTACCAGGGCTTCCTGACCAATCAACCAGGCCTGACCGTGTCGACCGGCACTGTCCTGCGCTACGTCGACATGTGCCCCGGGCTTGTTTCGCCTATGCATCGCACTGTTAGTCTCGACTATGGTGTTGTGCTCGAGGGCGAGGTGGAGCTTATCCTGGATTCGGGCGATAAGCGTGTGCTAAAGAGGGGAGATGTCGCGGTGCAGAGAGCGACTATGCATGCCTGGAGGAATACTAGTGAGACTGAGTGGGCGAGAATGCTTTACGTTCTTTTGCCATCGACGGCGCCTCAGGTGGGGGATAGGGAGTTGGGTGAGGACTATGGTGACATGCAGGGTGTCAAGGCTTCTGAATAGATGATAGATGAGTAGACGAATACAATAGCCACACATAACACGATTAAGATGCCTCATTGATAGAATAATGGGTATGAATGTATATGAAATTGGTTCTAGGAACTATATAGTGATAGTGATACTAAAAAGAAAAACGCAGTACTAATCAATCTGGAAATAATATCAAACAGGTCTCGCCGACCATCTAACATCTACAGTGCTGGACCTAGAATTCTCCTCCAATGTGATACTTCCAAACCTTGTCCGTAAACTTGCCAACCGACGCTCTCCAATATTGCGCGGCGCTCTTTTAAAAGTTAGCAAAAAGTAAATCTACTTTGGCTGGAATCATTTGACTTACAGCATTAGCATAGAGTCCGCGAAACATGGCTGTGATGAAGAATAGCTCAGGCGTGCTGGTATACATGCGAACGCCGTTTACATGCTCTGGGTCCCGGTTGAGCGGCCTGTAAGAAGGCACGCGTCGATGGGGAAGATCGAATTCCGGGTGGTTCACTGAACTTGTGGATGAGGGCGTCTCTGGTGATTTCTCGCTGCTCTGAGAGTGGTGAAGCTCGTAGTCGCGCAGAATGGCGCTGTGGAAGTTGCCATTTTGGTTGACTGTTTGGGTGGTGGTTGCTGACATTGTGGTGGTGCTTTGGTGTTGACAATGTTGAGTGTTGATGCGAAGTGGTGATAATCGAGAGCTTAGAATATTGCCGTTCTTAGACGTGTCACTAGGTTACATGGAGTTTCTGTAGGATTGGCCGGAATGTCCGGGATAATAGGAAACCATCTCCACTTCGGGATGTGGAGGAATCTCACGCCGCGAGTCCTCACCCGAACCGATGGACAATCCGGGGACCCCGGATCGACCTGGACTTAACCCACTTGAGCTCAAGGCATCAAAATAGGGACATAGGTTATCAACACCAAAATACTCTACGCTTCCAGTCATCCAAGCCATCACAGAGCTGCATTCACATCACAATTCACAATGTCCAAGACCCTCGCAGCAATCAGAGCAGCAGCCATAGACGGCCGCGTCCACAACCCCTTCTACCGAAAGGACCAACTGCGGAATCTTCACAGCGCCCTGGCAGACAACGCAGTGCAGATCCAAGATGCCATTGCAAACGATACAAAACATCAGCCTGCTGAAATAAAGGTTGAGTACTGGCTTGCTCTACAGGTCATTGCTGAGGCCTATAATTCAATCAGTCCCGAGAAGGAGCTTGAGAACGAGTATTCTGTTACCAAAGGCCGTGATGATACCACGAGTCGAGAACCAATTGGCATTGTCGTTGTTGAGCCCTCAGCGCATGCGTTTTTCTATGGCTTGATTGCGGCTTTGACCCCGGCTCTTGTGGCGGGCAACTGCATAGTTGTTCAGGTATGTTATTTGTCTGGAGCGTGAGATCAAAAGCGTTACTGACTATCCCAGACCCAGAATTCACTACAAGAGACCCCCAAGCTTGTGCTAGGTTTGATTGAAAAGTCACTAGACAGAGACATTTTCACAGTCTCCAGCCAAGCAGTTTCAGCTGAAGACATCAAACTGCCTCACATCCGCGTCTCACAAAATGGTTCAAATGACCCAATTCTTCAGAACCATCTAGTCTCAGACCCAGAAGCCCCAGTGGTCGCCTTCGTCGAAAGAGACGCAGACATCCAAGCAGCTGCAAAGGCCCTAGTCTCGGCTCGCTTCAGCCTGCAAGGAAAAGCACCCTACGCCCCAGATGTTGTCCTTGTCAACGAATGGGTCAAGAAAGACTTGCTACGCGCGCTTGTTCAGGAGAGTACCGAGTTCTTGGCTAGTTCGCCCAGTAAGTCGAGAGCCCTGAAGACTAGTCTTTCGAGGGAGGTGGAGAAGGATGAGTCGGTGCATGTTGTTCTTTCTGGAGCGAATGGTGTGATTCTTGAGGTACAAAATAGGTATGCTACCAGAGTATCCCTGTAGGAGTTATGACTGACCAGGTTTAGGCAATCGAGCTTGCTGAAGCAAAAGGTGGAGGAAACAACGCTTATCATTCACTCCGTCACGAGCATGGATGATGCGATCGATACGTCTAGAGAGTAAGTTTGAAACGCCTTTTGATTCTTCACCCTCTGACTTTCTCTAGCATTGGATCTTTGGCTGCCGCGTATGTCTTCACTACGCCCTCTATGGCCAAGTATCTATGCCAATTCCTCGATACGGCTGTCAGCTTTGTGAACCAAATTCCCACTAAGCTATCCTGTAAGCTCAAACCCACACTTGCTTCACTGTTCACCTGGATCCATAACTAACAAACCACAGACTCCCCTATAGCCCCCCTCGGCCACCCTCCCCAATCCGGCACCAACAACATCTACCACTCAGACTTCTTCTCCCGGCCAAAGCCCAAGTATCTCACCAAGACCGCAGCAGACGACAAACTGGACAAGATCGTCGGCAACTCTTCAGCTTCGCAACTCAGTGCGCTGGACCAAGAAGCTACGGCAAAGCTTCCGGAAATGAAACGCCCGCTGAAGGGAACGCAGCTTGGATTCTTCGAGCAGGGTATCGTGACTAGTCTCGTGGTTATTCTAACAACTGTGGTGTCAGGGACTGGGTTGCTTGGATACTACGGGACACGGTATTTGAGATCTTGACATGTTGGTATTTTGTTTTCCAGATGATGTTTTCTGCCGTTAATTGGGAGCATTGATCAGGCTTTACTTTGTTTCATTAGAAAGGGCGTAGCCTCATACTGACATGTTCAAACAAGTTTATATAGTTGGATTCCAGTAAACAGTACCCTTGAACCCAGCTGCTGTCAAATAGATATCAAACAATACTAAACACCTGCCGCTTAGCCGCATCATCCTCTAACCTCTCCAAAATCTCACCATGCATAATCCCTTGAACATAGCATTCCCCCACAAGTTCACATCTCAACTCATCATCCTTCTTATCAACAGGTCGTAACAAATACGGCACATTTCCACCATCTAGCAAAACAACCACATCTCCCTCCTTCGAGCGCCAAGGACATAGTCCAAATAGCCCCGAGCCCGTAATGAAGAAACACGGCTCCATACAAGCTGGTAGCTTATTTGTCTCGTAGTATTCCAGCTCTGGACTGGCGGTCGGTTTGATAACCTTGAAAGCCGGGCGAGAAGCATATTGCCAGTGGGAGCGCATATGATCCATGTACTTCTGGTTGCATGTCTGGATACTCTCCTGTTTGAACTCGTCTTTTCCGTGCTTGCGTGTCCAGAAGGGCGTTAGTGCGCAAGGGTCAAACATCTTGTCAAACACCTGCGAGATCTCGGTTTGTTTTTCGACTGTTTCACGATAGGGATATAAATATTCGATGGGTGCTTGTGTAATGCGCTTGATCTCTGTTATCCGAAGCCCTGAGAGCCGAAGGACAAGAGGATCATCATTGTCGAGTAACCCGATGTTCGGTTTCGTATCACCGGCCGCTTTGAATTTGAATCGAGTGTTTAGATTTGCTTGTGTCCATTTTGAACTCCCGTTGCTATTGACAGACCAAGTCGGCTGTCCAGTTGCTAGGTTCTTGGCATCTGGTCCCAAACTTCTCACCCACGTCCGTGAAGGTTGACAGTGAATAGACGACAAAATCGCCAGTGATCCGTGTTCGCGGATCCACCAGCGCGTAAAGTCAGCAAAGACTCTCTCTTTTGACTTGTCATAGTTAGGTCTAATCAAGTCATCCAGCTGAGAGGCATCATGCGTCTCATTGGCAAAAGTGAGTAAAGCAAATAATTTGTCTCGAGGGTCCGTTGCCTTGAGATCCAACCCCGAAAGAAAGACCTCCAAGATACTCGACAACTCTTCGGTGTCTTGCGCTTCAATAGGCGTGGTAGGAACTTCTCGTGTTCGTCCCTTTGGCTTCAAAGTCTTCCAGATAGCCGCCATGGAAATCTGCTGCGAGGCAATATGCGGACTTTGATTTGCGTGCCCGGGGTGTTCAAGCCAGTTACTTACTTGAACAACCTCTTCCCAAGGCACTTGCTCTGCCGAGCAGTGGATGAACGGCCTTTGTGCTGAAAGGGCTTCCTGGATGACCCATACTCTGGAGAACCACGGGTTCTCGTAAAGAGTACTCATAAGAAATGAAAGTTGAGTATTGCCGTACCAGCCCGCAAGATCGATAATTTCTCTAGACCATGTTTTGAGGTGGAGATCGAAGACCTCCAGCATGCCTTTGAAAGATATTGCCTGGTTTTCGGCTTTCTTGCCCTGCGCATATTCCTTCATCTCCTCCAGCGGTATTGAATGTGCTGTTCCAAGACATGTGCACTTTTCTCCGCCTTGGCATAACTCGCTATTGAAGTTGCAAATATCTCGGATAAGCTTCAAACAAGCCTCAACTCCATGGTTATCTTCACCGAGCCAGATGTGAACAGTCGAGGCTAGTGAATAGATTTGACTCATCAACGTGACTTGCTGCGCCCTTTCTTCGAGATCGTCTTGGTTGATGCACACAGCGTCAATCCATATCACTAGTGTTTTGTCTTCATGCCTAAGGCGACGCAGGGCCTGAGCAGCGGATTTTCCAATACTGAAAGGCTTTCCCTCTTCCGTTTCTTTCCCGCCTGAGGATAAGAAGATTTCCTCACGCTCGGTAGGATCACCCCAACAATATGACAACGCATGAAAATCGATTCCACCATTTTCGACGTCCTTGAGACTCACATGGCGGAAGTGGCCCTCAACAGGGTCTTCGAATTCCCCTGGCTTGACGTGTAGTAGTCGAACATCCTGACGCACAACATCCAAGGACTGCGAATAGTGAAAAGCATTGGATGTAACCTGAAGTGCCTGCATGTCTTCATCCAATTCCTTAGCCTCGTATTCAATCTTGATGCGGCCCTCGTCAATAATATTCGTCCACGCCATGTACATAGCGCGGGGGATGAGCTGAATGACATCTCCAGGTCGTAGGGCTTGAATCCATAGTCGTCTTCGAGGTCCCTGGAATAAATCCCAGCGTTGGGACCAGTTCTGGGGTTCTGAGTTTGCAAGACGATTGTTAAGCACAGTGATTGTGCGCAGGTCTCCACGTCCTTCTGGACGCTTGACTGAGGCGTCCCACCATGTAAAGGAAACTGCTTCCGCTCGATCAGCCCAGCCTATTACTTGGTCAGTGGTAATTTGAACTCGGAAACATTTACACTTACCTTGGTCTCGTGATATCCCCTCAAATGTGACAGCTGTAACTCTTTTGGCATCCTGTGGGACCTCTAGCTCAACGTAGGGTTGTTCGGGACAGTGATCATGGACTTGAATCGCGTCCTTCCGCTCAGCAAAGCATTCCTTGGTGATGGTAGTCATTTCGAATTGCAAAAATTAAATTTGTCCGTCATCATGGAGCAGAAACTTGAAGCATGAGTTATTTAAGCATCGTGCTTATCCTGAGGGAGCCAGAAACCCCTGTAACCGCCAAGTGCTGTCAGCCTATTTCTGGTTGTATGTTGTGTGCTAGCCAATAAGGATGAAGCGATCCATCGAAGGGCTGAGCGTGCAGGCGCAGCAACATCTTGGAGGCGAAGCATAAATTGAATCCCAAAATTAGACGTTTCTATGTTGTCTTACATCTGAAGGCTATTCACTTGTCAATCCTGCCTGGTTTTGCCTATGAAGAGATATTAGAAGCTGTGGGAATGCCCAGCCGGTACCATACCAGTAGCTAGATCAGTTTCTGGAAGAAAGCCTGCCTTGCCTATCAGAAGTATCACAGTGCAGTGTCCAAAAGAAATGCTTCCTAGATCGAGAGCGGACACAAACGTCGCAATGATTTCTTCTGTGTCTATGTGAAAGATTCTGATGGTTGGAGCTGCGCATCTCTTCCATTAACCTCAAACAAGTCGACACCTGTTTCAGTCTTCCATAAGTCGACACTCCTATCAGTGTAGGAAGAAGATATTAGTTTTGGTATTTCGGATACGGATTTGCGCCGATCGTACTTGACTCGGTTTACCACGGTAATCCAGTTGTCCAATGTCGCTGGGGGATAAAGAACCTTTTTGGGCATATCATCCTGAAATTGACGTCGTATGTTGCTTTTCTGTTGTGCAAACAAGAGCGCCGAGTAGTACATCTGGATTGGAGCAGAACTGGCAACAAACATGTTGGCCCTTGAAAATTTCGATTTTTCTTCCAGAAAAGTCCACGAGCAGGTTGATTCGTATGTCGTTTAAGGAAGAGGTCAAGTTGAAACTATGGCAGTCGCAGACACAAGGTCTTTTGTCCAAGCCGGAAGCGAGACTTTGAAAATGTCGTGATCACCCATACGTTCTCGTGTGATGAGTTGTCGTCACTTGGTAGTTGGGCAAAGCCATCAGGGGTCCCATGCCAACCATCGAGTAGAGCTTTAGCTTCAGCGAGTTCTTCGGGGAAGGGGCAATCCATGCTATAAGATAATGGATTTCACGTCTGGTGCTATTCATAGTCGCGAGCCTCAAACCAAAGGATGTGGGGTTGTAAGTTGAGATGTCGTGGGTCAGGTGTAACACTACATACATGTTCGATACTTCTGGGGATAAATAGTGTACCAGGTTCCCGTGCAGTGACTAAATCTTGATGAACATCCACATCGAGCAGGGCGGTAATGGGGAGTTGGATACTTTGGTTCAAGTGTCAATGGGAAGTTCCAGACACTTCGCCATAGTATCTTGGTAATTCCATTGTCTTTCGAGTCATCGGCATAGGCAGGTCCGGTCAACCTATCCTCTGCTTTCTCCTCACCCAAACCTCTTTGTCCATCGGCACGTCATTCTTTTCGTTTGTCTCGGAAGTGGCCGACTCTTTAATATCTCTGATCTGGACCTCCCATGTTTTGAGTCTGTAACTCCCACGATCTGACGTGCCCGTGAATAAATCAAACGACCAATCGTGTTTCGGGCACGAGACCCCCACGCTGAGGGTGACTCCAAAATCTTCGATATCAAATGGCGTACCTCTCGATAGGGGGAACTGGCTGTGCGGGCAAGACTAAAAGTCGTCTTAGTTCTTCTGGGGTTACAGGCGACAAATTACTAGGATTGTTTTCTCACATGATCGACAGCATGGAATTTGCCTTTGTATTGAAAGACAAGAACTTGATCCGTGAGGGATTGTCCTAGCGCATCGTCTCCAATCGGGACCTCTTTTGATGAACAACAATCTTCTTTGGGTATGTGAAAGGCCTTGCAGCCTGGTATTGATTTGGTGTTGCACAAGCGGTGTTTGGCCAAGTTACCTGCATCATCATCGACATCAGGAAACGTCGATGTAAGACCAACAAAGGTCCATTGCGCTCCTGAGCGAGAGAATGGATTGAAATAATTCATGGTAAGGAAGGAAGGTACTTGGTACTTCCGCGATTTTACTATCGGAAAGATGTCAAAGATTGGCTCTTGCGATAGCGTAAATGATCACGAGCACGTGACATATCACGTGAGCCTCCTTGTAAACCATCTAGGTACACTAATCGACAAGTGATCGAAGGGAGATATTACTCTTGTGAAAAGATTCTCCTTATTTGTCCTGATCTCATATTTAAATGCTGTATACTATTGATGCAACAACCGTCAACAATTTTCGATGAAGTACCTGGGAAAGAGACATGAGATTCTACTCAATGAAGTCGAACGATCTACGAATTGATATGCTAAGGTCATGAAATCACTAGATTTGAGAAGTCCTTTTGAACTACACAAATGCTGAGCCAGAAATACTACCGCATGGAACTCACCGACATACCAAATCACTGAGTACCTAAGAGCCCCCGTATATAAGCTGCCCACTTCTCATTTGCCCTCATTTTACTAATTAGAGATGGAGGATCCTTTTACATCAATGACATCAGAACGCGAGTTGCAATGAAATAGAAGAAATGAGAATTCAATTTTTAGATAGAAGACTGCCAATCCATATTCCTGAAAATCAGGACTGGTGGTCTGATAGAGAAGGTTAAACTAACAGATAAGGAGATCTGATCATAGAGTTGCACAAGAATTTTCGGTATAGATAATCGGCCAATACTAGTCAGCACTAAACCGCTACTTCTTGTCACTTCTTGCGCCTGCAGTATGTTTGCGTATGATAGTGTTGCCGTTGATTTGTCTTCCAACAATCTGTCCCGGGTTTGCAAAAGATGCAGGGATGCATATTGGGTGGTTGTATGTAGCGTTGATCTCAGGCTCAGTCGCGCCAGTCACATCATCGAAAACAATGTAGTTTCCATTGTGCTGGTCTCCATTCCCCGTCTTGATCGGGTTATTGTAGACGCTTCGTGTCCTGTTCGTTCCACGAGGGGCGTTCCGGGCCAGTTCTCTAGAGAGTAGACCGTCAATGTCGTAATTATTTCCGTTCACCTGTAAGTACCCCGAGGGAGCTATGGGGCAGTTCCAAATCCCTCCCATAGTGGGTTCGGGTGCGGCGTCGCGAGTTTGGTCGGCTTGGGTAGTTCGATTGTTGGAGTTGGTCGAAGATTCTTGCCCCTTAAAAGAGGCAGCGAAGCTAGCAAGATAACTCGTCTGACGCTCAGTAGGGACGAAGGACCTCACAAGGTCGAAGTAAAGATGCTCAAAGTGAGGGTTCGAAGAAGCGGTATATGGTGGGAATTCACCGTTGCCTAGAGTTCTCGATCCTTTCGGGGAGCCAGACGGCTTTTTCTCATCCTTCGTGTCTGTGTTCTTCTCGGCCATGTTTTGTATGTCCGTTTGGATCTGATACAAGGCTTTGGACTGAATCTGTTCAATGGCTAGGGAGAGGTTGCTTTTTTGCCGTTCAAGTCTGACAAAGATATCCAAAAGGTCTTGCTCTCTGTATAGGAAACCCCAAGTACGGAGAACTCGTCCCTTACGGAGTAGAGAGTTTATGCGGTTGTTGTTGATAATATAAAGAAGGGCATCAGTCTGTGTCCCAATCTCAGCAGTTTGGAGAAGCGGGTTCTGAGAGATGCAAGTAGAAATGCTCTGAAGTTCTTGGAGCTGCTCATGATATCTTTCGAGCGTCGAGGCTCCCCCTTTTATCTTTCTCACGATGTCTATCAGCGAAAAGCATGCTATGCCCAGCTGGGTCGCTGATGCGGCGACACCAATGATCTCTGCCATGATGACCTCAGTTCAGAAGACGAGGCAACATGGCAGATAGACAACAGAGACGATTCTTTGCCAGTCAAGTAGCGGTGAACCCAGTCCAAGAACCGTGAATAGCTACATCAACGACAATTCCGACCTTCAGAGTGATAGTAGTGGTGTGTGAGGGTGCAGGAAACGCGAACGTGGCATAGAAATCGACCCCAATAATTGAAAAGTTTGAAAGGTGCGACCAGAAAGAAAGGCCAGGATGTGGGTATGGTATCAAGAATCAGGCAGCATTAGAGTAGAGAGATTGTGAAAAGCGTGAAAGAAAGACGACAGAGCCTCATCTGTCAGACTGCGGTGAAACCTAAGACAACCACGAGGGGGCGAAGCAGAGTGACACGACAGACAAGGCTGGCCTTACAAGACTTTTCATACGCTAATGATCTTGCGGTCAGAGACACATGGAAAGTATTTGTTCAAAAGGTCAACATCGTTGAAGACTTTTTCCAAGCCGAGATTGCATTATCATCAACGTGGCGTCATATCGTGTATCGGTTGTAGTTTATTGACGGTGGGATGGGAGCTTTGATGGTGTTGTAAAATAGAAAGAGAGAAGAGGAAAGTATCCGAGATACACCGAGATCATCGACAGTTTCCAGCTGCTGAGCCCCTGAGAGTCAATCTTCGCGGTGTGTAGACTCGACTATATGAGAAGCGGTAGCCTTCCGCAAGATACCTAATGGGCAATGTCGGAAGTGACTGAAGAATAGACTCTGGTCGTAATGAAGCGCCTATTTCATGTTAGACAAAGCCTTATGTTTAACACCGTCAGTAGATTACGACCGATCCGTCTTTGACTGACGTTGATGATGGGGGCCAGGCTTGAAAGAGGAGGAAGTCTATCCAAAGTTATCGACTCAGATAATTTGAGGTTTCCTGGTTAGGTAGGGTAGATCGTTGGGACACTCAGGAAAACAGCGAAGTAGACAGTTAGGGCTTCCAAGATACCTGATGGATATTGATGATGGATCGTAGCTGCTAGGCGACTTGTCTTTGCTACGCCACTTGTTGGTCGTGAAGATGGCTGCAACAAGTGATATCACGTACATACTTACCTGCATGCCTTTTAAGTGCCAGCAGTGCGGGTGTATCCATATCATTGAAAATGAGCAATTAAATATTATTAATCGTGATCAGAGTCTTTCTTGGTGTTATGCCTCCAAGATTGCTCGAGTATCTGTCTCTTCAGAGATGATTCTTGTGAGTCTCAATAAGTTCCGATGAGGCTATCGTATATGAGCGAGTGAAGCAGGATATCTTTACGCTCCAAGTACAATATTTGGTAGTGTTACTGCTGAGTTACGATCAATTAACCACTATCGAGCCATGTACTTTGTACCTTCTTCTCATCCAATAAAGGTAAGCCGGTGATGACAAGGATATACCCCCTGTCGCCTTGTGACGAGTTAGGGGCGGCCCGGAAGAGCCGTTCTCTTCCTCCGTACCCGCAGGATGATGCCCACATTTTTGAAGTTTTTGCCTAACTGAATTATTCACCCTCCCGACCAGAAATAGCCTGAGCAGAGACCAGATCATGACACCATCCAACGATGGGGATGCCGCAGTCTCGCATTTGCGTGAACCAGCAGACGCCGTCGACAGATCGAGACTTTCCAGCCTTTATGTCAGTAATGGTGCCAGGTGCGACAATGGCCCCCAACACAACGGTAACATCGAAAATTGCAACAACCAGACAAATATCCGCGCCGTGAATTACCATATCCATCATAACTACTACAAACCGTCGACAGAATCTCCCACCCAACCAAACGAGCCGGTACAACCACCAGAAGGAAGCTCTGAGCAGTATAAAACCCTACAAGAGCAGTGCAGAATCCTGCAAAAGCGGTTTGAGACCACCCAACGATGGCTTCTGGTAGTATCCGTAGTTCTATTGGGTATGGTCCCGGTTATCGTGCAGTGGAACTTCTCTGTTATGAAACAGTGCTTTCAGGTTCTTTGTAAGTTGATTTGCCTGGGAATAACTTGACTGCCATACTACGTGAACCCCCATTGCTAATGGTGGGTGCTGCCTCTAAGATTCAGGCTCTTGTATTGGTCTGCTGTGTATTGCACATGCATCTTGAGTGACTTATTGGAGAAAGCGCTAGGTATTCGTCCCGTTCCGTTCAGTCTGTGCGACTCACGGGATGGATGAGAATGGGGTACGTTGGCCGGGCCGGTGAGGCATTAATCAGGGATAACGGCCCCTCTTTGGTGCGCGTATAGTTGGTTTAATATGGGTGTGACACTTGGGCACCATCTTGTTGCTTTTTAAACGGGAAAAATTTAGAGGTAGATTATTGTTACGTTGGGAAAAGGGATGAAGGCTACCGTTTTTATGTAGATATTAGATGAAAAGATTCATGTTTCCAGCTTCAGACCGGGCAACGCACTGTGTACACCTGATCATAATCTGCATAAGCATGTCTCAAATATAGGCAGGTCTTGGATACAATATGTGTGTGTAGGTGCTGCATAAGTCATTGGCTTGCCGTCACTACTCAGAAATGAGGCCTGATAGAATCTGCATGTATCCACAGCCACTACAGGTGTTGATCTTTCAGCTGAAGCTGGCATCGCCTCTTATAAGTCATGTCTCACATGGTCCCAAGACACTCCCTCCAAGTCTGCATTGACCCTACGGGTGTTTCCTTAGCCGGGGACTGGGGTAATTCTCTCGTTTATCTGGAGTTTGGAAAAGAAACCGAGGTTCTCGTTTCGAGTCAACTGGGACTCTCTGCCCCTGGTTTATGACTCAAGGCCGACAACTGACAGCTGCGTCTATTATGCCTACAGTCAAGTGAGAAGTTCACTGATGTTTCTCTACTGTCACACACATCTCCTCCTGGGAATCCTAAAGTCTTGTGGCCTTGCCTCTTGGTCTGTGGCTCAGCACGTTACTGGTAAGTGACACTATTCTTTATTCTGCATTCAACCTTCCCTTCCCTACCTCTTACTACAGCATATACCCAACTTTGCATCCTCAATCCATCGGCTTCTGCGCCCAGACAGCTTTCTGGTGATAATAAGGATGCATCTTCCTCTGTCGCAACTCTCGACGAAGCATCGAGATATAGACCTCCACCTCCTCCTTCGTCCAGCCTTCTACCGTGTTCGCCATGAAAAGCACATAACCTTCGATATCCTGCTCCAGTGTGGCTTGGGCATACCTGCCAATCTCCTTCATCTTAGAATCCTTCGGCCAGCCTCCAATCGGAACCTACTCGTCACAATGAGTCGCATGTCTGATTCTCCCTGAAAGGGCAACTTACCTTGAAGTTCTTTTCTTCGAGATTAACAAAGCCAGCCTTCTCCATCGCACTTCTTTGTACACCGTCTTCTACGATCGTAAACGAACGGCCGATCTTCTTACCGCCTTCGACAAAGAATTTTCCCCACTGATGCATGGCGCTGTTCTCCGTGATGCTTCCGTCATCGCAATCCATTCTCGAAAGGGCTTCGTGGCTCTCGATATAGCCGCCTGGCTTCAGGCACCTATACGCCTCCTTGAAAAGCTGCTCCCAGTCGACGATGCTACCGACCAGCCAGCGGAAGTGGATGTAGTCCTGTGAGTTGGGCGCAAAAGTCCACTCTTGGGTACAGTCTTCAATCTCGCTGGAATATTGTCAGCGATATCATCACATCAAGATAGTATGCTTACAATCGCAAGTTCGCAGGAATCCAGCCAGGTTGGATTGGGGAGACGTCGGTGCCGATGACTTGAGTATCGGGGAAGCTGTCTGCGAAGTCACTGCTAATATCAGCCAAGTTCGATTACTGACTCACAGGGCACATACATGGCCCAAATACCCGTTCCGGTGCCTATATCGACAGCATTCTATCACACATCAGCAGAGTCCATGATTTTATTCACAGCAATTAACCTTGATATCCTTCGAAATAGGCGCAAGAAATAGTGCACCATCCAAAACCAATGTCAAGACGTGATGGCTATGCTCATCAGCAGTCATCTCACCCGTCCGAGCCAGGTATGCTCACTTGATATCCATAGACTCATTCTGCTGCTCGTCGTTTGTTCCCCTACTATCGTTATACACCGCACCGCAACTCTTTCCAGGCAACATACCAGTACTGCGCATTTCCTATATCGTGATGATAAGACCTCCCACTGATGTTCCTGTACTGGAGAATACTGGAGGTGATAGAGGCAGTTGATTCCGGTGCATCATTACCGAGAGCGGAATCCGCATCATCCGCCGCAGCCAATTCCTGAGATTAATCAACCACACGATCGCAAGTCCTGGTACTATCCCACTCATACCTCAGCTACCTCTACCCAGTGCTGGGGAGGGAGAAGACCAGAGATGTCGGTCGCCGCTTGTCCTGGCTGAGACTCTTTCACTTGAGTCATCTTGGCGTGTTATTGTTGACAAGCTTGGGTAGAGGACAGAGGACTTTAGTACCATTTTGTGCTTCCATGCGGCGTAGTAGAAAGGGCATGATGTGTTGCGTACTATGACAGAAGTGGAGTTGAGCCCCGAGGTGGCATGATAGTTTCCAGGGTTGAGTCCTTTCGAATGCTTTGAAGTTGCAGTGCATGTCAACCGAAGCATGGTACCCCTGTAGGAGCAATAATCTTGTTAGTTGAACAAAGGCTGGACTTCAACTCTGCGGCTCGTTAGATATTGAAATTATGTCAGGGACTTAACATACGTGTGAACACGCATTACCTGAACAATATCATCGGCGGGTGCGTTACCTTTTAAGATAGGGGCAAAGCGCTTCACTCGTATATTTCACTTTTGGCTTGAAAAGATTAAGGTATTTCTCAATTGTAACCCTTCTACTTTATAGAGATACACATCGCTCCTCTCCCGATACTCAGTACCCCTAAAGCCTCCTATCTGTAGCACATCTATCCCTCCATTCCTACAAGAGGACAAAGCACTCTCAAGATACTAGCTGCAACAACAGATTCATACCAGTTGTTAAGAACTCCTCTTGTTCTCTGTCTAACCCTTTTTCAGCCCTTTGTATGGAGGAGGATCGGCAAAGGGACATATCCTCCTACCAGGCTATTTTGAAATTCGAGCAACAGCAATAAAGAGATAGACAAAATCTAGACCCCCTCATCGGGAGATTTGGTATCGACCCCCATGATAAGTGTATGCCAATGTATAACGTAGGTACATTCTGGACTCAGGCAAGGTAAGAAAGGCAACAAATATCGGAACTTGTGCACGCCCCCTCAAATTCCAGTATCTGACCACGCACTCAAGCGTCCTCTAACAAATGGCAAATCATGTCCCTAGTATGCTTCACCACTGATACACAATGAGGATCCTTTTCATGCGTCTGATGCGGTAAACGATTTCCTATCCCAGGCGGAACGTGGCCATGTCCTGAGTGCCACGCTTGTTGTCTATCCTCCATCATCTGCAGCATTGCAACAAACGAGGATGATGTTGAATACGCCGTGCCGAAAAGTTCCCCCTTGATGGCCTTGTTCGCAATATTTTTCCAATCTTGCGGATCCAGACTGAGTGATAGTCCTGAGGGGTTATTACCCTGAGGCTGCATTTCAAGCTTTGGACCGTCTGCCAAGAACAGTAGTTTCGATTCATGGGCTTCTTCAGCTCGCCTTGTTTCGTCTTCAACAAATTGCACGATCTTTTTATATCCCTCCGCAAGTGATATCAGGAGAGTATTGAGAAGCTGAGAATTCTGCATCGCCCAGAGGAACTTGGTGGGACAGATTTGACATTGGATGATTGCTGCTGCTGTGGTCGTCAAGTGCCGCAGGACTGATAACCGAGAGGTGAAAGGCAAGTCGTCTGCTTTCCGAACCTCCTCTAGAGACAAATACAAGCTCGCGAGGCAAGCGCAGGTCTGTTGACTATTGTCAGATTCAAACGCCAACAGCTTTGGGTCGACATTGGTCTCGGATCTAGTTCTGAGTTAGCTTCTGCCCTCAAGGCCAATGTCTGTCTTTAACTCACCCAAAAGATAGCATATCCATCGGCGTATCCTCCGACATATGCTGGCAGGTATCAAAACTCGCCCTCCTACCTCTATCGCTTCCGGTATCACTATCCATACTCATAGCCAGCGTCGAAGGCGATGTCCTGCTGGCGGCGCTGCTGTCATGTTGTTCAATCTCAGAAGTGACTTTTCGCTTCTTCGGCCTTCCCATCGGCAGACGTGCCGAGTATTTGCAGGACTCCGATATAGTCGAACACCGTCCACATGCAGGATAACCCCCGTCACATTTCAGCTTCTTTTGTCCTTGCAGAACGATCAGCATGCGAGTCTGGACCCCAGATGTAAGCGGGAAGAGTGGGCGGCATACGACATTGATCACAGGATGCTCTCCTATTGGCAGGATCTCCCAGGTCAAGATTCATTATGTAACTTAGACGGAGGCGGTTCAATAAATGTACAACGCAGATATATACAAACCAAATGAATGTTCAGTTGCAAGATTCAAACGCTCGTCATCTTGTAAGCCTAGAAACTGCCGCATGTTTGAGTGAGAATAAGTGGATCTGACCATTTATCTCCCGCCAGCCCCGGCGCTAAGAGAACCCCTGCGCCGGAGCCCGGGACTTGCATATTCCGACCGCCCAACCATCGCAAAAAAATTATTTTTCCTCGCCGACTATCTACTGAAGAAGCCCCCACTATCAGATCAAAGAACTTTGCATCTCAAAACATCTACATTTGCGACAATGGCACCCTCAAAAGAAGTTGTTGCTACTGGCTCTACTGCCGTCGCGCCTGCGATTGACCCTGATCAGGTTTGTTTTCCCATGGTAGCGCGATTGAGGCTCTTCTAACAAACATTTGTCCAGACCCTTAAAGCTTCAAAGGCCCTTCTGGCACACATCAAGAAGGCTTCCAAGCAAAAGACTGAAGAGTCTGGCAAGCGCAACCTCCTCGACGACGATGAAGACTCGAACATCCCCGTCTGGCTCAACTTGACCACCAAGCGCCACATCGTCGACAAGGCCCGTCTGCAGCCCGGCAAGATCTCTCTCCCTCACTCGCTCAACGCCGAAGAGACCACCATCTGCCTCATCACCGCCGAGCCTCAGCGCGCATACAAGAACATTGTCGCCTCAGAGGAGTTCCCTGCTGAACTCAGCAAGCGCATCACTCGCGTCATCGACTATGGCAAGCTCAAGGCCAAGTACGGCCAGTACGAGGCCCAGAGGAAGCTTTTCGCTGAGGCAGACATCTTCCTTGGCGACGACCGTATCATCAACCGGTTACCCAAGATCCTAGGCAAGACTTTCTACAAGACAACACAGAAGCGACCTGTTCCTGTCAACCTGCAGGCCAGGGCCCCCAAGGTTGACGGAAAGCGACAGAAGCGTGTCAAGACTGAGGGTACTGTCAACGCTGGCACACCGGCTCAGATCGCCAAGGAGGTTCAGAAGGCCGTTGACTCTGCCTTCGTCAGCCTGACTCCTTCTACAAACACATCCATCCGAATTGGATACTCCGGCTGGACTGCCGAGCAAATCGCTGACAACGTTGATGCCGTCGTTACTGGGATGATCGAGAAGTGGGTTCCTCAGAAGTGGCGTAACATGAAGAGCGTCTACATCAAGGGTCCCGAGACCACCGCTCTTCCCATCTGGCTGACTGATGAACTCTGGGTTGATGAGAAGGATGTTATTGCCGAGGACGAGGCCGCCAAGGAGAAGGCCAACATCGGCAAGAAGCGCAAGTCGCTCGATAACACTGAGGAGACCGAGGCCCCCGCGCCCACCAAGAAGGCCAAGAAGCAGAAGCAGGCTCCTGACGGTGACGATGATAAGCTCGACAAGCAGATCTCAGACCGCAAGACCCGCTTGAGGAAGCAGAAGGCGTCGGCCAAGCAGGCTATTGACAACTAAAAACATGGTATTACTCGAGGCATCGGTGTTGGGGCGTTGAAGGGCGGTAAAACCCAAAATAGAACGAACTGTACTGTATACTTGCATTCCTAACAATATTAACTGTTGAGTGTTATTACACGTCTGCCTTGCTTGTTCCCATCAAAACACATGCGCCATGCTGCCGTCCATCGTCCATCCCGTAATTAATCCTCCTTATCCATTTCGATAAGACGAATCTTGTCTACACCGTCGTAGGAAACCAATGGGTGATCACACTTGCAGTACCTTACACCCTCCGTAGCTAAGCATGTGCAGGTATTCTTTCGAGTTTCTTCAAATTTGTCGGTGGTTTGTGATTCGGTATCGCGAACTTCGCGGGACTTTCCTTCCAAGATCTTGCACCAATTGATGAATGGTCCATTGTATTCGCAGATGATCATAACGTCATGCGCTTCGTCGTCGGCGTTCCGTGATAGGATGTCTCGGGCAGCTAGGGGTGCTTTTTTACAATAGCAGTATCCATGCTTACACTTGCAGATCTCCCGGAACTCAAAGCTATCCCAGTCTTCATCATCAGAAAATGTCCAAGGATCAGCGTGGGGAACGACTTCAGCATCGTCAGATTTCGAATTGTGGTCTGGATCTTGCTTTTTTGCTTCACCATCGTCTTCCGATTCGTTATTGTTAACCGCCGACTCGCAGTCCTGAGCTTCAGTGTCGCTGTCTTTGGTGCCGGATCCCTCATCGTCGGTTTTATGTTCATTGGCAGGAGCCTTGTTGTTGTCCTGGATTTGCGGTTCCTCGGCGTTAGTTTCTGTTTCTCTATTGACGTCGGTCTCCTTCTTATCGTCGGTCTCTGTGGTGTCATTGGTTTCTTTCTTGTCGCCAGTTACTGGTTCTTTATTGTCCTTGGACTCCGTGTCATCCTTGACCTCTACGTTATCCTTGGCCTCTGCGTTATCCTTGGCCTCCGTATTGTCTTTGGCCTCCGTATTGTCTTTGGCTTCAGTATTGTCTTTGGCCTCCGTATTGTCTTTGGCTTCAGTATTGTCTTTGGCCTCCGTATTATCATCGACTTCCTCTTTTCCGTCAGTTACTGGTTCTTGATTGCTATCAGATTCATCGTTATCTGAATCGGTATCTGTCTCCGCGGTGGTACTTTGAGACTCCTCGTCGCCTTTAGTCTCATTGTCGCTGGATTCGTTGCCAGATTCCTTGATGTCGGTTTTTTGTTCATCCTTGGAGGTTTCTGGTTCTTCATCACTCTGGTCATCGTGAGTCTTCTTGTCGTCCTCCTCAGCTTTTGACTCTTCAGCATCGGTTTCAGTCTCATCATTGCCAGACTTCGATTCGCCATTGTGAGTGTCCACCTCAGTCTTGTCGGCCTCCGAGTTTTCATGAGATTCTGACTTCTCGTCATCAGTTTTCGTTTCATCGCCGTGAGTCTCTGACTTCTCAATATCGGATGTCGTTCCATTCGATTCTGTTTCATCGCAGTCCGGCAAATCGCCGAAAATGTCACATTCTTTGATACCCTCTTCTGTACACCCACAATCGCACTCATCTGGGTTGTGTGGTCCAAGAATCGGGATGTGGCATCCGTATTCTCCAGATGGCAGCGTAAGGGAAATCTCCAATCCGACACCGCGAGTCTCCAGAGTCTTCATATCAGGTTTGTAAGCTGGTTCCAGTGGAGGAAATGGGGTATCAGGGCTATAACGCCTTGATGGGGGAGGATAATAAGGCCCTGGCGTAGGAGGGTATGCAGGGAGGTTGTCAGGCTTTACTTCATCAGGTTTGAACAACTTTGGGCCATTGCAGCTCTTGTGGACCGTCGTGGTCACATCGCAATGCGTGTCTGTATTGACGGTTGTGAGGCAATCCTCCAACATCTCGGCGCTATTCTACAGCTCCTCCGCCTCAAAATAGCCGTGTCCAGCAGGATTCTCCATATCGGACTCGAAAGTTCGCTTCCAAGGGCCGAAGTATTCAACAATGGTCTTGTTGATAAGCTCTCCCATATTTTCAAGATGATCGCCTGGGGCACTGCGGAACCTGAGGCCTCCGTTGCGGTCCAACTCTCGAAGACCAATCCAGTCCTCTTGGTAGAGCTTTCGTGCTCGAAGAGGGATAGTTTCTGTGCCGTTGACTTCCTCAAACCACGAGGACTCCTTCGGGACAACCAGTCTATCATCCTCAAACATCCACATGACGAAGTTGGTCAGCTTGCTAAGATTCGCCTTGTACTTTTCGTTCTTGAGCTCGCGCTCGTTGTTGATGTCAGCAAGAAAGTTGGAACTCTCGAGATAGTTGTTGTAGTCGTTTTCGGTCTGAGGGTCGCGGTAGTACTGGGCAGGAACGAGACGGGACTGCACAAAGTTGCTCCAGACATTAAATCTAAGAAGTGCCATGGCACCCTTGCAGATCCAGTCGGTTTGTCCACAGACTCTGAACTTAACAATGCCATTGTGTTGGCTACCAAATGTGACAAGACTGCGTACCTGAGGCCAGTTGCATCGCTCAACATAGCCACGCAGGAACTGGCCACCTTGTGAGATACCGATGGCATCAATCGCGGGTGCTGTAGAGAGGATTGGATGCTTGGCAAGTTCCTCGCAAACCTTACTGATCTGGTCGGTGACGTTGCCAGTGAAGGTGGCGGAACGGTCCTGGTTAGGGTCTTTATCTATGGCAATGATGTGGACGAAGGTGCCGGGGTTGATGGCTTCGGCCATAGCTTGAATGTCCTTCAGGCCTTCGCTGTTGAACTGGTCACCAAGGCCGTGCCAAACAACGATAGGAAGTGGAGTGTCGGACAGGTCATCTGTCGTGTGAGCAGGTGCAGCATGGGCATGGCCAGCCAAAGCTCCTATGGCTATGCCAACATGGAGCAAGGAATGGCAAAGCATGGTAACAATGAGAATGTGTTCAAATGATGAAAGTCGAATGATAAAAGTCCAAAAAGAGTTGAGTATGATGTATGTTGTGATGGGTGATGTTGGTGAAGATGGGAGATGATGGAAATGGAGAGTTGCCTGGAGCTGAAGACGTCAGACACTTATGAATGCGAGCTATGGCCTCCACTTTCCGCGGAGCCTGCAGATAGGAGCTGGAAGGAACAAGGAACAAGGAACGCGGGGTGGCTGGCTTGGCATTAGGAATGAGCTCTGGGTATCAATGGATAATCGAGGAAGGAGGATGCTCCGTCTTTTTTTGTCATTTCTAAATGCGTTCTCGGATTGTCTATCAACTTCCTCCGGTGGTCTTTCCCTTCACCTTCACTGACACAACAACTTCTCCAATCTCCAATATGCAGGTCCCTTCGTCTTACCCGCAACGCGCCTGCAATAAGTGGGGATCTCTGGGGATAAGTTGCAGTAGGCCCTGACGATCTGCTGTTTCAAGGAGACGCGACTCTCACAGGCCAAACGTGTATTTCTCTAGTTTATGGTCTATCTATCTCATTCTTGGGGGTTTCATAACTGATGCAGGCTCAGTAACTGATTTTGTGCATTTGGCCTAGACTTGTGCTTCTCTCGGTGCTCAGTTTGATGTATGAACGCGTCTTTCACTATCCGCGCCTTGTTCCTTGTTGCAGTCCAAGTTCTCAGCACTCTTTCTTCATTTCCTATCGAGATGATTTCGCCTGCCATTTCTCACCTCCTACGCCACTCTAGCTGTTGTCTTCCTCCAGTCGCATATTGTAAATAGAGCCATTTCCAGTATGTCACTGCAGTTATATCAACTAAACTGGAAGGTCCGTATTCGAGCCTGTAATGAGAAATGGTGATTCTGCTGTTTTTTGTAGGAAAAGTATATTCTCAGGTGTAGGGTTGGCCTGGAGTCTGTGGTATCATGTTGCTGCAACGCCAAGGCAGAAACAAAAAACATGAATCATGTTTAAAGAATAATTGTAATCTTCAATATTCTATAAACAGGTAGTTAATTAGCAAATACAAGTTGCCTGGACAATGGATTTATTGGCGAATGTCTTTACTGTCCTCAATATCTTCATTCATCGGTTGTGGCTGGTGTCCCGCGACGCCACATCCATAGGCTTCAGCCTCATCTCGATCCTTTGCATCATGACAAGTGATTTTGAGTCTTCGCGACGACAAAACTTAAAGGCTATTTCAGTCGACGCATGTCGGTTTTCGCCCAGTGGCTTGTACTTCATAATTACTGAGTCACCAGATATCCTTCCATCGGTATATAGGTTTACGCGCTCCGGAGATCGTGACTCTCCGCCATAGAAAACACGGCCTACCCAACGAACGACTGCGACTTCGACCTCACGTCCCGAACTCCCAATTCAGTCCACGAAACTCCGACATAACTTACAATGACGCCGTCAAATAATGGCCAGGTCGCGCCAGCGAACGGCGACGCAATAGCCAAGATCGGACCCCATCCAGGCTTCATCTCCAGCTCGAACCAATACACATCAGAGCTCAAGCTCCGGCGCATGCTGAAGGACAATGGCTGCGACCCAGCGAGGCAGGACACCTACCGTTTGCAAGGCGTGCAACTGATTGACAATGTGCGAGACTACTTGCAGCTGTGCGTTGTGTCTGTTTCTCATAACTCACGTTCAGAAGACTGACTAGATATTAGACCTGTTCGAACTTTCGATACCGCGTGCACCTACTTCCACAAGTTTCGACTCAATTTTAAAGACGCCGAATACAACTACCAGGATGCAGCACTGGCCTCGTTATTTGTGGCGTGCAAGGTTGAGGACACAATCAAGAAGTCAAAAGAGATTCTTGCGGCGGCGTATAATGTCAAGAACCCAGACAAACCCGCTGCGCCTGATGACAAGGTAACGCTCCTCGAACAAGCAACCTGTGCTATTTGCTAACTTGGTCTAGATTTTCGAAGGCCCCGGCAAGATGATCATCTGCCTCGAACGTCTTATCCTTGAAACAATCGGCTTCGATTTCCGGACGCGCTACCCCCAGAAGCTCCTCGTCAAAGTCGTCCGCGACATTCTCGGTAAAGAGGATGGCAAAGCCTTCTTCGAAACCGCATACGCCATGTGCATCGACATCTACAAAACATTCGTGCCAGTCAAGCGCACCACCTTTTCCATGGTCATGGCCGTCGTGGAGCTCACAGCCCTCATGACAGAAAAACACGTTGACAAAGTGCGCGAGTACGCAAAGACAAAACACCAATACCACCAGGGCGCCGTGATGGAGACGATGCTGGATATACTAGACCTCTATGTTCAGCACTACAAGTCCACAAAGCTTGGGGCGCAGTTTGACCAGAATAAGATCATCGACATTAAGATTAGGCTTAACAACGATCTTGACAAGGCGTTCGAACCGCGTTATCTGTACTTCTGCTCCCGGTGCGAAGCCGAAGACCCGCAGCCATCCACACCGGCATCTGCAACGTCGCCTGCGACATCAATATCATGGCCAGGCGATGCTTCGGGACGGCGTACCGCGCGTGGGCAAGATGGAACGATGCGATTTGTGTTTGACCCTGAGGCTGCTAAGAGTGAGCAGGAGACGACAAGCGAATTCTTCAAAGAAGACTTTGAGGAGTACGAAGTTGAGGTGGAGGAGCCGGTCCCTCCGCCGCCTCACCATGAGGGAGGTGGACGAGGAGGTTACCACGGGCACAGAGACCGTGGAGACCATAGACGTGGAGGATATGGGGGATATCGAGGGGACCGGCATTACAGAGGAGGACGGGGTAGACACTACTGATGTCCTACGATCCAAATATGTGTCTAGTGCTCACGTTAAAGATACCCAAACCATCAGTAGAGAATAACTGTATACTTCTTTACTCAACATAATATAGCAATTATGACCCCATGACTTTAGTCGCCCATTGCAGTATCTATCTGGATATCATCACAACGCGGTCTTCGTGTTCACATCTCCCTTCACCTCCCCATGGCCCCCAGTTACCAAATCCTCCCCGGACGGTCCACTCGCCCTAACACCATCAATCTCATCCCCCTCATTCTTTTTCTCAGTCGCCGCCTCAGTACTCTGGAAGCTACTCGCCTTGCTCACATCTGCGCTCGCAGGGCTCTGCACCCTGAGTCCCAAATCCTTCTCAGCATCTGGGTCCTCACTATTCGCGCCCTTCCAGTTCGCAGCTCGTACCTGAGGTACTGGTTGACCCTCTGCTGGCTCTAGCACTTCCTCCGGCATGGCGTCAGTGCCGGCTACGCGCCAGACTACAGCAATGCGGTCAAAGGCTCGAGAGCCCTTGCGGCTGGATCCTTTAATTCCGTCCATGGCGTCCCACTCGATACTGAAGACACCACTATCAAGGGCTTTGCCGTCCCTTTCGGGGCCTTGGCCCTCGAAGAAAGTGTTGAACCACACATGTGCAACGGCTGTTACCATGGTGAGACCCATGCTCTTGGGCGTCTTGTTACGACGCTCGACGGAGATGTTGACATCGCTGTTGGGAATTCGGATGGGCTCTTTGGGCCTCAGGATAACAGCCATACCACCGGGTTCTTCTTCCGAGTTTGCCTCTGTAACGTCCGTCTTCGATGATGTAGCAGAATCATTCTTAGCCTTCTCCGTGCCCTTATGCGAACCTCCTGGTGACACCTTATGTAGTAACTCGGTACCCTTGCGCTTAATAGTCTTCGCTTTGCCTTTTGAGTCCTTCCTTTCAGCCTCGGGCAAATCGTTGTCACCGGGGTTCGTTGCATCGGAAAAGTGCGCTTCCTCAGGCGCTTCCTGCTTTGGCTTCGTGATCTGATATCCGGCCATTTCCCAGATCATATCGCTGATGCCGCTCTCTTCAGGTGCTTCTGGGTCAACAACAACACGCTCTTCCTTCTTGAATGTGTGAAAGACGTCGATCTTCTTGCCCTCGTCTGCAAATCCTTCGACATCAACCTTGACACCGTGGCGTAAACCCCAGACGTGAATCTCAGCGATTTCAATGGGTCTATCAGTGTATTTCTTGCCGCCTTTAGTCCAGCGCTCAACATAGCTGATCCAGCGCAATTGTGAAGGGATCGATACACCAGCGCCGAACTTCGGGCGCATACGTCGCTCTGTAAATCGTGCGAGGGCGTCTTCAGGCTTCCACCCCTCCTCGGCAATGAGATAGCTGCAGCTCACTGTTCCGCTGCGTCCCTTGCCAGCTTTGCAGTGCACCACTACGACTCTCTTGTCACGCTTCTCGCTTTTTTGCGCCTCAGTAAGTGCACCCTTATTTGAGGAAACAGGTCTTCCATCGTCTGTAACACTTCCGCCACCAAATTCTCCACCATGTAACCAATTGCGCATACTGGCCATGATCATGGGCACGAGCCGAAAGGGAGGTGGGTGGTGATCAGGCCATGGGTAATGCCTCACGCGACCGTATACGGATTCGTCCGGATAACCTGTTCCTTCAGCGCGGAACTCCCATATCGCCCAGTCCTCGCCGTGCTTAGAGTCGAGGAATTTCACAACCTGGTCGAGCGGGTTTCGGTATGCGAGCTGAGGGTATGTTTCTGAGGGTCCAGATCTGCGAAGACGAGCTTAGTTAGCAAAGCGGCCAGTGATAGGAACAGCTTCGATGCGAATATCAGATAGTTCTGAGAGAAACCCTTAGGCCGGCCGAGCTTACGTTGCGATAATGTGATCCGTGACATAGCAGAGATCTAAACCCGCTTCAGGATGCCGAGCTCGCGGCCCCGCCACGATCTGTCGCAAGATCGAAGCCATAACCGATGAGAGTTTGATGATCAAAGAGGTGTGTCAACAGTGTTCGGAATGATCAATACTGCTCTATTCGGATGTAAGGAAATATTTGAGTAGGTGTTGGGGCTGTAGAAGAGCGAGAACAGGATGAGGCAGCCCAGATACAGGTAACTTGACAGGCGACGTCATGTCTTGCGCCCCACTACTTCATGGTTGTCGAACATTTGGTTGTGGCAGAAACCAGAACAATAAAACAGGGTCTTAGCAGAAACATATGATGTTAATTGAGACATGTTCTTTGTCCACTGGAGTCTTTTGAAGTTAATTTCATGCCGATATATTGCAATATTTCCGTTTCAGCCCGTGTCACAGCCTTCAAGCTGTCTTCTTCAACCCCACATCACGACGCCAAGCTCCATGACCATACCTTTTCCTCGGAGGTCTGTCTAGCCAGAGCTGTCAAAGACAAGGCCAAAGGCTGGCCCTCTCGTAGGCAGAATTTTATTCACAGCACGCAAGATCAATCGTGAACCTGAAATTTGAATACAATTAAGCTAATACCAGGAAATCCATTCGCATACCCCATCCAGTCTTCTTCGTTATCTTCCCCGGCATACCCATACACCTCCTGATCCGCTTGTGTTGATCAAGCTGATATGCTCAGCCCACGAAACTCCCTCCGCGAAGCACGGGAACAGTCGCCAGAAAAGTCCCCCAAGTATAGGATAAAACAATACAGTCGCGAGGCCAGGCCTCTTTTCCCCCTCCCCCATGGCTGGTAAACTTGTATTTACTAGAGTCAATTCTTCTCGTTTCTTTTCCAGCCTGAATTCATTGTCGCATGATCAGCTGCAGAACAGCCTCAACCCAATCGTAGCGTCATGGCGTTTCGTTCTTTATCCGATTGCTCAGTGTGATATCTCATCCAATATGTAATATATGTAAAGTCTGATGAGTCTCGACACCGAGTGAATCACCGTTGTTGAGCTTATGAGGTCTTCTTGGCGGGGCCGCTGATGTATTTACCGACGTCGGTGACATCGTGGAACTGCTTGGCACCGTCCTTGACGATCTGCCAGACCTGGCGCGCGGCAGGGGGAGTTCCCTGGGCGCTAACAAGAGAGTCGACACGAGCGCCGAGCTGAGTGAAAGAGTTCTGAATATGGGTGCTCTGGGTGAAACGAGCACGGAGGAAGGCAGTGTAGAGGACAATGAGGATCCAAGATCGGCGCTGGAAGAGAATGGCGGAGAGGAAGATGCGGCCCCAGAGAGCGATCTCGAGGGAGGAGACAATGGCCATGGAAGCGTCATAGTACTCCTTGACGAAAGCACCGATCTGGTCAGCAAGAGCGCTGTTGACAGCAGGTCGGCGGTTAGGAGAAGCACCGTCAGCTTCGGGAGCAGGCTTGGGCGCAAGGACGGCGGGGATCACATTGGCGCGGGTGTAGGTGGCAACGTGGAAGACCGAGTAGATCGTGTAAGGGATCAAGGCGAGGGGGTACTGAGGGGAGAAGAGCCAAACAAGGGCCATGGCTTTTGAAGGTCAGCATATGATTGGGAGATATAAGAGAAACTCAATTCGTTTTGTAAGCTCTTACCAAGGTATTGAATGTTCTCGTCCGCTAGAAGAGCAAGGGGGCTGGGAGCAGCACGAGCGCCGGTCTTTGCGCGGGCGCGCATGGTCTTGTAAACGACGATACCGTAGGTAACAGCAGCTGCAATAAAAGCAGTGCGGTAAGAGACCTGGGCAGTACGTGTGTAGTAGTTCATTCTCAACCAGGAGAAGCCATATCGGATCGTTGTGAGAATCAGGGTGAGGTGTCTGCAGATGTGAAATGCTTGTCAGCAACATGTCTCGTTATCTGGCGGTTATGTGAGCTCCAACGAGGGAGGGAGGGAGGGAGGCCGCAGGATTCAAAACAGCTGTCGTGGCCATTTCGTCGCACTGAGGCAGAGCGGGATCAAGGCAAAGTTCATGACGAGACGTACCCTACAAACCAACCGACTGTGATAGGACACCAAGTTAGCAATGCGATCTCATTGTGATGTCTGCGCGGAAGCTCGCATCTCAAGATACCACGTACATTGGAGGGTCTTAGCAAGAGCCAAGAGTCTCTCCTGGAGAGGAAGATTGGGGTTCGGCGGGGGAGCCATTGTGTCTAGAGATATGAGAGCTGTTGAAAGATGCGATCTAGTATAGGTTGAAGAGAAGGTATTGCGCTCGCAGTGTCGTTGAGGTCGAGCTGCTGTCTTTTTGCTTGCGGAAGATGGTGATGAATGACGACGTCGTAAGAAAGAGAAGAGAAGTTGTGGGTTTGGGCTGGTGCTGGTGGATATGGAAATCAAGGCAGGGGGACCGAGTGATGGAATGTGGCAGTGACGGAACCTGCCCCCGCTTTGGATGCCCCAAGCTCCAGGGCTCAGGACAGGTTTCAGCGATTGAATCAGCACCGAGGCGCTAAATTGGCTGTCTGTCGGTTGGTGGAGAGGGGTAGTGACCGGGGGTTGATCACTATCTGACACCCGGCGGGAGGGAGCTTGAGGTGGGGGAGGGAGATGCACAGGCAAGGAGGTTGGTAAGAATGAGCCGGCGAGGCAGCAGGCAAGGGGGATATTGTCTGAGATAAAGAAATTAATTGTTAATTGCTAAGGGAGAGGTACTTCAAGTTTTTAGAAATGCAAATCTTCTGTACCATTTCTCACGTCTATTCATTGATACATCAACTGGTTGCACACGACACCAGTTGAAACGTGTGTCCAAGCTTATCTACAAGGTCGTGATGGCTTCGATGACGACAAAGACCTGTTTACTAAAGCACGTGAAAAACGCCACAAGCGCCTTACCTGGCATACTAAAGTTACATGCTGGGATACCTAATTTAAGTCCCCGTCATGACGCCTGCTGATGAGCATCTTAGACAGCGTTCGAATAACTTTAGCTTGGCATTCGCTCTACATAAATAAGTTCAAAGTAATAATCACTGCCTGATTGCCGTCGTCATTCGAGGATAAAATACCGAACAAAGCTGACCATCAACACGTGCAACTTGCGTCATCGCACGACGTTTGACCCTATCAAGCCCCTGTGTAGCTGAGCTGAACGAACTACGACGTGCTGGCCAATAGAGTGCACGATACACCAAGAGTGGAAACGTGCTAGTGAGAGTTGTGGAAGTTCTAAGAATAACCTATTCTTAACATCAGCGCTGTTATAAGTAACAACCAACATACTCACACAAGCTCCCTCAATAAAGTCGCCTCTACCATCGGTAATATCTCAATCCCCTTTCCACCAAAAGGTTAGGAGGCTCTGGAGTGATTCTTGATTGCTAAGTTGATGTTAATAGCCGCCGACGTATGTTGTTGTTGGCAACTGCATGATCCTAACGTGTAAGGTCTGAACTGTGCTATAGGTGTTTTGCTTGTATCTGATGATGGGCGAGAGCTTCTTCTGGTGCGATCTAACTTGATTTCATTCATCATCCCAAGACTCCGCGGAGATGCGTTCAGAGTCTACAAGTTGACGCCTCTTTTCAGCAGCCAAGTTTCTGTGCTGATATATTTGAGCAGTACTCCAATTGAGAATATTTGGTTCAGGCCGACCATACCTGTCCTTGTATAGCAGAAAGCGGCAGAGCAGGACGTGGGCGTCGTAGACAATCACCCGCTCTTCTTGAAGTAACATCCTCATACTGCGGTGACGATTCGCCAGGAGGAAGTGGACTCTCGCAAAAATCACATACATGACCAGTGCTCTGAGGTGATCCCAGTCAACAACTCGGTTCCATAAAGCGCCGAGACGTAAGGCTACACGTTGGTAATATTTCTCCTCATGCTGGCTGTTCGCAACCGGGTTGTCCTCCAGGAATAGGCCATTCATGAAGCCCTCGGCTTCTTCCTCATGCTGGTAGAATTCTTCAAGGCATGTTTCCAGCACCATCCTCATCCTGGTATCGAGAACTTCAGTCTGATTCCCGCGGTCCATCCATCTCCTCCACAGGATGGTCGTCTCGCAGGCGGTGTAGACTGATGGTTGCATTGGTGTAAAGTGATTGAAGTTAAGACCCTTGATGCCGAGGAGCCAGTCGACTATCACCTTACGGTTGCTGCCTGGCTCCGAAGCTGAGGGCTGTGACATGTTGTGGCAGTTGAGAGCGAACGAGGCAAGGGGGAAGTATGACTGGAAACAGGAAGAAAGTAGTAAGACGAAAGATATTATTTTCCACAGGGAAATGGAATCAAGTTCGTATGCACTTAAAGTCCCAGAGGGCAGAAAACACTTTGAAGAGTTATGTTAAAGAGTACCTAAGACGCAAAGATGAAAGGAGACAAACAAAGGAGAAAGAGCATTTGAATCAGTCGCTCAAAGTGTGCGTTCAGGTGCCTACCTGGATAAAGAAGGACTGAACCGTAAGTTAGTCCATGGGTAATGACTGCTCTGACATGGCATCACGATACACGCCGCGGATATTAGAGGCAAGAGAGCTGACGGCCCCCAAGACGGGAGGAATGGAACCAATGCTATGTGCAGTACAAAGTCTCTTGGCCTTTCCTAGATATTGCCCTTCGTCAACGTTGGAAAGGATATGATAGATCACCCCTCGTCGCGTGAAGTGCCTTAGAAGGAACTCAATTTTGGCTCACCATATCCGAATTCTCATAGCAGGGCCAAGTAACTACCCCGGGTTTCATATAAGGGTTATAGCTTATGTAGGAACAAGACTTTTCACTGTATTCTGTGTGTATATGTAGTCTCAGGGATCGATCTGCATCAGAACTGGCTCCTGCAAACATTGGTCAAAACTGCTGCTCGTACTTCAGGGCACGACAATTAATCGCCATACCAATCTTGACGAGAGCTGATCTGAGCTACTACGTAGTACATGTCCAACTTGCTTCAATTATATTGGAGAGCCTTTGTCCTGATGAGGCTGATGTAATCGATCTTGAGGGTAGATAGGCAACTTAACTTATGTGCCTTTACATAGAATATGTCCATCAAATATCCGAGCAATACCATCGATTACATACTATGGTCCAAGGCACTACGGGAGTCTCTTCATAATTTGAATACCCTGACCAATTCTTCACATACGACCATAGCTCTTGTAAAATACGGGATCCCGTCCGCTCTCCCTTAGTCAAGTCAAGAAGCGGTGAATTAGTACTCAGGTCGGTGACGACTGGGGAATCCTCACTGTGGTATGTTTTCTTTTTGCAGCTTATTTGTATTAATCGGCTGTCTCGTATATTGTGCTTATGGTATGGAGAATCGTGACAAGCATTTAATTACTATCATAGACTATTGGATAGGCTGGGCAATTTTGGTTGCTCCCTATACCATGGCAGCATAGCCTAACTGGTCCGTGGGTCTCCCATGCAATACGATAGCACATAGATTCAACTTAAACAAATATGTTTACGGGAGTCGAAGTCTTCTAGAGTACAGAGGGATTAGAGCTTATCACTATTGATGTGGTTTCTACTGTATAGATGGATAGCGTCTGTTGTCGATGAACCCCATCTCGGAGGTAGATACGATCCAAAATCAACCACTTACAAACATATAAAGGCATTGGTAGACTGAATGTCCACTTTGTAGTAAGACTCCTGTTAGGGTATCTTGATACGTAAATAGCTCGTCCAGTTCATCTATCTTCGATCCCTCTCTAGCCTTCGAATCTCTTTCAACCTCAGCGCACACCCGTATTGTCTCTACCACGATGAGTGCCCCCCATCAATAACAAGATTATTCCCCGTCATATAACTACTCGCATTGCTCAGCAGAAACAGTGCAGTACCCTTGAATTCTTTCGTCTCAGCCAATCTCCCCATCATAATCTCCCTCTCCCACTCCTCCCGCAAGCCAGGAATTTCCTCGAGGTTACTCTGCACCATAGGCGTCATGATATGACCAGGGCTGATGCAGTTAATTCGAATACCACCGGTGCCGTCTTTCTGGATCGGGCTCCATTCCATGGCGAGATTGCGCGCGAGTTGGATCACGGCTGCTTTGGAGGAGTTGTACACGGGGGAGATGAGGCCCCGATTTGCCTTAAGCCCAGAGATGCTTGCTATCATGCAGATACTACCGCGCTTTTTGTACTTCATCATTTGCTTCGCGGCGGATTTGGCGGTCATGAAGACGCCTGTGTAGTTGATGGAGAGCATATGGGCGACTTCATCGGGTTGGTACTCGATGGTGGGGGAAATGTGCTGGATACCTGCCGCAGCAATTACTCCATCGAGGCCTCGGTTCTCATCTGCGATAGCGGCGATGAGCTTGTCAAGGCCTTCGGCGTCTTGTACGTACGTTTTGTTTGCGGTAGTGTAGTGATCCTCCCCATTCTGGGACAACATGCTTCTGGGCTTCTTGCCAGCCTTTGTCTGGATGATCAGCACGATCCAAGCAGTAAACTGTCACAACAGTTAGATTATGACACAGAATCATTCTGGATATAATACTTGCCCTTTCCACCGGCTTCTACAAGGCTCTCAGCCAGAGCCGGTCCCAGACCTTGGGCACCACCTGTGACGACAAAAACCTTTCCAGCAAGGTCGAAGTCAGCGAAGCGCTGGCGGCCAACATTTGTTCCTTATACAAGTTTGTGTCCATTTGCAGACTCTTTTGGATCTGAGTTCATGACCTTTACACCGCTGTTTCCTGATGTATGCATAGGTCGTTGGCTCATGGGTGTAGAGATGGAGCATGGTGTTTGTAAAAAGGCTATCTGTCCTGAGGAGATTGCTCTGGTTGGGAGTGAGCGAGTTGCTCGTTTGAGTATAGACACAGACATGCTGGTGTACGTGACTGATCGAGGTCACTTTAGTAGTGAATGGAAGCTATAAAGATATAAAGATGATAAAGACTACACACCAGCTAGTATCGTGAGTAATTGGCTTGCACGTCCAATATTTATACCATTTTGACTATTCCCCTTCTGCCTCTTTCTATGGCGTCTCATATTTGTTTGTTGAACCTGACGTCTACGCGACGTCAAAATTACACAGATTTTAAATACAAGTCTTAAAATAGAAGCCACGCGAATGCATTCTATCGCCCGTAGCAGGGATCTAATTCGGAGCATCATATCCGCCTGTCAGACCCCATCCCAACAATCTGGGTCATATGCCTGATTTAGATCGCTTAATATCGCTATGAAAGCTTTGTATCGCCTGGGGCACCGGTTAACAATTCCAGGAGGTCATCATACAACTCATCGAGCTTCTATAACACTGTTGCTCTCCACCTTCCTTCAAGACATAACTACCCTAACCCTAGTGCTTGTGCGATTCTACCTTAAGTCCCCAGGTTCTGGTCTATTCCTGCTTTCTCCAAATATGCTTTGATCACCCGCTTTAAGCACTGTAGTCAGACATCCGGTGCTTATACTTTCGACGATGGAACGTGCTAGATGCAGTCGACTCGGTCAATACAGCTAGCCGTTCCTCCTCCAAAAGAGCATCCAGAGCGGACTTGATGCTCGGCAGACGCACATTTCGACCCCAGTTTATTATTTTGCGGACATAAAGGTAGAAGTCGAGATATTCGTTTGGTCGTTGCAAGATGTAAGTGCCAACTTTTTGCATATGAAAGTGCTCGCCCTCCTTCTAGGAGACAAAGAGACGAGCTTCTGTTCCATTCATGGCAATACTGAAGCTGGCGCTGTTAATCTTCCAGGTAGACACGTGTTTGCAGTTGCAAACCTTCTCTTTGAGCTTCTCGATAATGTTGATACAGGCGATGGATACACCAAGGCACTGGTTCGTTGCAATCCAGAGACTGCCACGGCTCGAAGGTCCATCGCCTTTGAACTCGACCGCCGTGAAGGGATATAGAAGTTCTTCAACATTGGCGCAAGCTGAGCTACCTGTAGTAGCGATCCAAATTTGCTGCTCCTGTTCAAAGGCATTGGATCTGTTGTAGCCATAAAGCATGCCAGGAATAGGAGTGCTGATCTCGAAGTTCTGCATCCTGGAAACCATAGTGTCCTTTCTCATGATAATGCGATCACTGCGCAAGAGAGCATTGTCCTGTGAAGAGCGAGGAATAATATTGTCGCGGAAGAAGTTCTCAACGTTTGCCTCGCTGGCTTCTAGCTCCATGGCGAGAAGTTCGTTGTTGTCTTCAGCATGTTCAGGAGAAGGTAGGATGGAGACTCGATCTGGTGTCAAAGACTTAGCAATGGCCGAGATGTGATTTGGCAACTCCTTTCGGGAATTGACAACGGAGATTTTGTCAAAAATTAGGTGGGTGTCTCTGTAGCGAGGATTTTCGACGAGAGAGCCGCAGGATCGGCTAGGAGTGTTAGTAGTAGGTGGGCAATAAGAGCCTACCACTTCACTTTGAGATGAATCTGTAGAAACTCCGGAAGTAGCTGCCAGAAATGAGGAGGGGGCAGCTCCTCGGCCGTTGAGGCGGACGTGAACCCTAGCCGCGATTGTAGGTGCGGGTTGTGTATGACTCTGTCTATCAAATATAGAGTCGCCGTCTTCGGGGTCAACATCGACACTGCCTTCTGAGCGGGAGAAGTTTTCGCTGATTTCAGTTGGGTAAACTTCTTCAAGCCAGGTGTCGATGTGGTCATGGGGACAGTCGTACTCTGCATTGGCGGCGAAATCCTCCATATAGTCGACATATTGAGGCGTCACTGCCCGAGGAATCGGCTGGTGCATCATTTAACAAGACATACGTTAGTCGCTTCCCTCTACCAGTTGCTCATGTCATGATATTGTGGCTGATGTGAAGCCATACAGGCGCTCGAGGGTACATACGTTTTCGCCCATAGCTCCACGATCCTGTTTGGAGCATCTTTTCTTATACCTTTGCACTAGCGACGAAGAGGCGGAACAGCATTTGCGTTTTTTGGGCTGTTGAGGTGCCATCTGAGCTAATGCTGGTTCCTGCGACGAGCCCATGGTGAGAGGCATGTGAAGCGGGAGAAGTTTGGAAGAGAAGAGAAGGCTGTATTGTTATAGAGGTGTTCTTAGGAGGGGACTATCTTAGCCTGACAGCTGACATAAGTGAGTCTGGTTAACAGAAACAATTCAGTAGCAGCGTTGCGATGAGAAGTATTTATCTGGTGTAAGTGATGGAGCAGTGCACACGGATAGCGATGTCGGCGGGCGAGCCTATCTGTGAAACGAAACAACGCCGCTGCCTGGTCAATATTTAAGAATTGCGAATTGTAGGCAATAGAACTTTAAGTCATGGTTATACTAACATGGCCTGAATATTGTAATACTTGAGTTATTGTTGATGTTGCATGGCAACAGGCACTGGTGATACTGTCCTACTATACCAGACACTAATACACTGCGACGAACATGACTTATCGCTCGTCTCACCAAGCCTTATTTATCCCTGTGCAGATCAAGGCATTGACGCTTGTAAGTAAAGCTCCAATGGGCCGATTGAGGAGACCGATAACCACTGAAGATTAACTGCCACCCCGTTTAGATTAACGGGCGTTGCATGAGCCTCGGCCCGTACCGAACCATAATCGTCGCGACACATGGTATCATAAGTCCACAAATGAGATTCCTATCCCTACGAGCTCTACTCATGAAGGAGAAGTCATGATGCCTTATAAAACCCTTCTATATCACATCTTCGTCAAGCTCCCTCATGATGGAATTCTTCCCTTCATACCTCCATGTTGACGACCCGCTTTCGGCCGAAGCCTCCGGCTTTCAACACCAGGGCCCATGGATCTCCACCCGCCAGCCCTAAAATTGCTGCAGTCTCCGCTGTCAGATCCAAGCTAACTTAATTTCCCTGTCGTCATTGTCAGCGACTCCGGCGCTTCCGTCACATTTCATGCAGGCGGGCAGCATTTTCTTCCTCCTCTCTACTCTTTCTCCCTTCCCCCCAAGCGACGAAACCCCCTTCTCACACTCCAATACGACCGGAACTTGAAAAGGCCGGAATACCCCATATTCCTCTCTTTTTTTGCTATTGCGTCCGATCTCGCTCTCCCCAGCTCTTATCATATCATGGCAGCCAACCTTGAAGTGACTGGCGCTCCCGCCGCGCGCATCACCTCCACGGCCTCGACTATTGCTGATTACGCTTATCCCTACGGTCACCTCGGCCACCTAACGCCAAAGCAGGAGGAGGCTTTTGTTCAGTTTAAGAAAGTTCTTGAGGAGAGGGGACTCGTGAAAGCTGGCCCTCCACCTTCTCATGATGACCCGTTGATCCTGTACGTTGATCTTTTTTTTTGAGTTTATGCACACTCTAACGGTTTTACCCACAGACGTTATCTGCGCGCGCGACGATGGGTTGTTGAGGATGCTTATCAGCAATTTAAAGAGACCGAAGACTGGCGCAAGGCCAACGACTTAGACGTGCTATATGATACAATTGATCTCGGCGCCTATGATTTCAGCCGTCGCCTAGTATGACTCCCTTGAAATTCACCGCCGGAGCACTCGGCGACATCTGTTCGGTGCTGACACCTCATTTCTAGTATCCCCAATGGACAGGCCGTCGCGACCGTCGCGGAATCCCCCTCTACGTCTTTGAAGTCAAGACACTCGACTCCAAGACCGTCCACGAGTATGAGAAGGTCGGCACATCTAGCTCTTTCTCCAAGGCCAAGTCCGACGGCAAGACGCCAAACGGTCTCCTGCGATTGTTTGCCCTGTACGAGAACCTGACCCGTTTCAACATGCCCTTCTGCACCCAGCTCCTCGACCGCGAGTTCCCCGAAGTTCCCATCACCCTGAGTACCAATATTGTCGACATTTCCGGTGTCGGACTGAAGCAGTTCTGGAATCTGAAGCAGCACATGCAAGCCGCTTCAACTCTTGCCACAGCGCATTACCCCGAGACACTGGATCGCATATTCGTTATCGGCGCGCCTGCATTCTTCAACACTGTCTGGGGCTGGATCAAGCGCTGGTTCGATCCCATCACCGTTTCTAAGATCTTCATCCTGGGCAGCCATGAGGTTAAGACAGTTCTCGAGCAGTACATCGAGCCCCGAAACATTCCTAAAAAGTATGGCGGCGAGCTTGATTACAAGTTTGGAGACCTTGGCAACCCTGACCCTAACTGGGAGGGTGTTGTCGAGTTTGAGAATGGCCACAAGACTTTCCCCAGTGGACCGCTATTGTGGGAGGAGGATTCGAACGATAGACTTGTCTGTGTTGCTAAGGGTTCCAAGGACGGTCAGCCTCGACACGAGAGAATTTGCACTGTCCCCAAGACCTTTGGCCTGTCACCTGTGGTAGAAATCTCCGCCGCTGAGGCACCTATCGATGCCAGTGCTCCTGTCCCCGTCAATGGTGTCGGCAATGGAACAACCCACCAAGCGTCAGCACAAGGAACTCATGACGATGGCGTCCAGACCGATGATTCCCTGTTGAGTAACGATGTCGCCGAGAAGCTTAAGCTACAAGACGACAAGCCCATTACAACACAGACTACCACCGCTTGATCGATTGAACCGTTTTTGTTATAGAGAGTTGGATAAGACTGGCATACCCCGAGATGTAAATTGGCAGATAGTTCGAAGTCGAGTAAGAGGTGGGAGAAAGGATGATTTTTGATGGAGCATATATGAAGTATATCCCTGGTTTGGCGTATAACATTTAGAACCGGTCGTTCAAGCGGCTCTGCGGTTATGAATACACAATTTTGATTCTCTTTCAACATTTGGCCGTAAATGAGCAATGGATCTTGTTGAGACTCATGACCTATCAAAATCTTGTCTATTGCTCGTGTGCATCTAATTCGGAACTCCATATCTATCACGTCTATTGTATCCTGTATCGCAGCAAAATGTTCGAATCTATGCCAGCTCGACTGCATCGGGCCTCTTGATGAACCCTCTCTTGTTTCTCCACTGCGTCACTCCTCTCTCGAGCTCTTTCCATGTAACTCCATCTCTTACAAGATACATGGTCACGCCCAAACTCTCCGTATCCCTATTTCTCGCCTCGTCGTCAAAGAAAAGCATATCCTCATAAGGAATTCCCGTCCTTTTCTGCAGACTCTCAAAGTGCTTTATTTTACACCCAGGGTATATCTCTAGCAGGCCTTCAAACACATCGAGGGCCTTCTTCGGCTTCTCGGGCTTCCCGTTTTCCGGCATACCTTCCGGCGCGGTGATATGTAGCATCTTAAGCAAATCGCGCGCAAGGCTGGGTGCAGAAGTCCGCGACGCGACACCGATTTTGCATCCTGCACGCGGAAGCGCGTAGAGGATATCGGGCACGTCGTCGAAGAAACAGAACTCCTCAGCGTAGCGGTCTGCGGCGCTCGTGTGTGTTGAGTTGGCCTTCAACGGCGGTGTAACATGAGTGTCGACCCAGAACGGCCATAGGGTGTAGTCGAGATCGAAAACGATGAGCTTGGGGAGTGGTAGAGACGGATCAGCGAGAGAGCCTGGCAGGAGGGATAGGCCGGCGTTGGAGGATGTCGATGTGATGGAGACGGAGGAGAGCGTGGAGGTGCTCGGAGGGAGAGGGTTCTTTGAGAGTTTCTTTGGCATTTTAAAGTGATTTTATGGAATTTGATTCTGAAGGCGATGGAAGAGTTGGGAGTGGTGATGAAGTTTCGGCGTTGATGTAAGACAGGACTTTTTTACAAGGCTAGGTATGCTGCCTATCGCCCCGCGGTGGGGGCCGTGACGTCGCTGAGTGCAGTGCTTAGACGACCTGCAGCGATATGATCGACGCGTTTTAAAGGGTCCAGTCACCGGAGGCTCTACACTGGCAAGCAGGCAGTCGGTGTTTAATTGTTAAATTCAAGTGCTTCATATTGGGAGTATGTAGAGTGTTAGCAGTTTATTCTGTCTATCCTCCTTCAGGTACAAGTTTCGTTTCAAAACCCTTTATCTTATACCTGGCTTCTGTACAAGCATTTGCACTAATGGGAAGTATAGCCATATTAATAATTGTTGGTTGATTAATAGTTTTGAGGTCGGTCTTGTGTCTTCCTGCACATTCACGATTCGTATACGACTATATGTCACACCCAGTGTTTTTACTCCATCAACTCAAATATTAAGATCATATCGTGAAATCGATCAGGTACCACTTTTTTTAACTAAAATACATAGATATCGCTTCGTTATTCTCATGAAGTCTCATAACAAGATCTTATTCACTGATTAAGAACGATCAACTTCTTTGTTGAACTGGCTACCCCGCACTCTTACCTCCACTGACACTGCGGGGAGGCAAAAAATGCAGGCCCAGACCTAGGTTCTCAAGAAAATGAAAGGCGTATGATTGGTCAGAAGCATTAGTCCCTAAGTCGGGGGGAATTGCCCATTTCTCCCCCATCGCGTAAACATTTGACCTGAAAGCTTTCGCCTGAGCTGAAGTTGGAGTTTCCCGATTTCTCCCCCGGATTTTCAACAGAGTCCAGTTCAATTGGGAGAGACATGCGCCTGTGCCAACGTCGACTCATCACCTTGCGATATTGCGCCTGTCTCACTTATTCCTGACGATTTGGGCTGGATTGTGGATGAGAAGGGGCTCGTGACCAGCCACTTACTATCGCGACATATCCAATTGTCATTCAGAAATACTTCAGAAAGATTGAAACTGGCGGCACGATTACCATGGCAAAACGAACGTGGTCCGACTCAAATCCTGCTGGAACCGCCAGCGCAGATGCAACAGCGGTAAGCGTTGAGCGCCTCGGCTGGAAAAAATGACTGACAGTATTTCCAGCCTGCAACACCAGCTCGTCCAAATGGACATGGAAGAACAACCAGTCGTCAGAGTATCTCAGGCGCTGTGTCCAATGACAGTTCTGTCCCTCAGATCTCTCGCAAGATCAAGGCATGTGCGGCATGTCGGAAGCACAAGGTGAGATTACATATCATTGAGATGAACCAAAAACTAAAATATTTTATAGATCAAATGTCTAATGGATGAAAGTGGTCCGCCGTGTCGAAGATGCTCTGAGAGAAATTTGGGATGTGTCTTGAGTAAGAGCTTGCAGACCATCATGGATGAAAAGTCACAGTACGCGATGCCCCAGCGAAGAACTAAAGAGGTACCCAAGTAAACTAACGCCTACCAGGTTCTCCGAGTCTGTGGTCCAAGACCTTGAACAAATGCACAGCGCTTTAAAGCAAGTCATGAGTAAACTCAACTTACCAGAACTCCCTCCTCTGCAAAGCATCAACTCTCGAGACTCTGAAGGGTCACCTCCCAAAGACGATCACCCACATAACACGTCAAGCCATCTAACCGTCTCACAAGAAGAATTCCGCGGTCCTTCTTGCGACAACTCACCAAAAGCAACACCCGAGGACGAAGGTCTTCCCTATGTCCCTATCCACTCTCTCTACACCCTCACCAAGCTCAGCGCTCTTCGATCGCCCGACAATCCCGAAGCTCAAAGAGGCAACGCCATTAATGACTTTATCGCGCGCGGTGCGCTTTCGCTAGCAGATGCAGAGAGTCTATTCGCGTTGTATCGTGATCGCTTGGATCGATATATGTATGGAATCGGCTGTCGATATATGACGCTGGAAGAAGTCCGTCGCAAAAGCCCGATACTTTCCGCTGCTACTCTCACTGTGGCTGCGCTACATGATCCAAAAGCCGATAATATTTATGGGGTTTGCAGCAGTGAATTCCGTCGCCTGATGGAGAAGTCAATGTTTGAACGACGAATTGATCGCGATTATCTACGAGCCATGTGTATCGCTTCATATTGGCTCAGTGATCTCTCATGGATGCTGTCGGGATATGCCATTCGCCGCGCCGCGGAGTGCAATCTTCACAACAGTTATAACCAGGCGATTAAAGAACAGAGCCAAGAGGCAGCGGATTGTGCGAGGTTATGGTATATTCTTTATATCTGCGATCAACACCTGGCTACTTTGTACGGTCGGCCTTCTATTGTTCAGGAAGACTCATCCATCCAGGGCTGGGAGCAGTTTCTGAAGTCTCCTGTGGCAAATGAGGAAGACAAGCGACTAACTGGTCAGGTGATGCTGGTTAGTATACTACGAAACATTCGGGAGCTATTCGGCACAGATAAAGGCGAGCCTGTGCCGCGAGTCTATCTGAACCACATTTTACAGTTCAGACGGCAACTTGATGAATGGTACAGTCGGTGGATGAAGGATTTGCCAGGTAAGACTCAAGACTAGTAGATACGATCCCTCACTGACACATAGCAGAACAATGGACCCAAATTGGTTCATTCCCAAGGAAAGGAACAATCCTTCACTATAACTTCGCTCAAATTCACCTCTACTCGCATATCTTCCGCGGCCTTGGCGGCGACGCTCCTATACCACATTACTTCCTCGACTGCGCAATGCAAGCCGTCACCGCCGCAACAGCCATCATAGACCTCATAATCACCGACCCTGATGTCGCCGCAGGTATTGTGGGGATGCCCTCGTACATGCTCTCCATGACAGCTTTCGCCTGCATGTTCCTCATCAAAGTCGCGGTCAAATACGGCACCGACTTAATCGAGCGCCAAAGGGTGCATGACTTGACGACCAGTCTGGTACGCCAGTTCCGCTCGTTAAAAGCCGGGAAATGGCATCTGGCGAATCTAATGGCGGGCGGACTGGAGCGTATGACTGCTACATTGATGGCCGTTGAGCCAGGACAAATCCGACAAGTGCCTAGTGGTATTGTTTATAACAACAATAACAATGTGGAGAGTGTCGATATGGCAGGACAGATGATGCCAGGGAATCAGGTCTACGCTGATATGGATGGTGATACGTTCTTTGACTATGACATGAGTTTTGGTCTGTCGCCTGTGTTTAGGTTCGATCCTAGCATGTTCACGATGGACCCCTCGGGGCAATCTCTCCCGACGTATCCAGAGGCGGATTATGGCATGAGACCATAGAAGGAAGGGTTTGTACAAAAGTAGGGCGGGTTTGTTCTGAGAATTTATGTAATTTTGGGTTCTTTGTGGGAATACCTGGACTAGTCGTACTATTTACTTCTACAGGCTTGGATGCAAGACCTGAATAATACCAACTATTATCCGCAACATCGAGACATCACAGTCCAACACCCCACAAGCTACCGTCCCCATTCTCCAGCTTTACTCCAACTTAAAGAGGATTGTCTCCATCATCTCAAGTTTCGGGTGCAATGTATCTCCACAGTTGATGTGCTGCTCGGGTTTCCTGCCGGCTTCTCCACATGAGCTTATGCGGAGACACGGATAACCTCACTCACCCCGCGACGACGGATGGAGCTTATCCGAGGGAACTTTCTTAAATACATCTGTTTACTCAAGACAGACTCGTTAGTTTCAGCATAACCAGCTTAGTTAATACCCAATCTCAGACATACTATCCATCATGGCCAACACCCAGCATATCCTCATCACAGGTGCCGGCGGTTTCATCGGACAAGAGATCATAGGTCCTCTCCTAGAATCATCACCCGACATCCATGTTACCATCACAGACATTGCTGAACCACCTGTTCCCGCGCCATATTCAACGCGTGTCACTTCTCTCGCAGCAGACCTGACCAATCCCACTGTCGTGGACCAACTTATCGATTCGCAGCGCTTTCAGGCAGTGTACCTCTTCCATGGTCTCATGTCAGGCGGCTCAGAAGCCAATCTCGATCTCGGTCTTAAGGTCAACGTTGATTCAGTGCGACACGTCCTCGACGCGCTGAGGAATAAACTTCCCGGGGTCAAGGTTGTCTTTTCGAGCTCCTGTGCTGTGTATGGACCCGAGGACGGCTATGTTACAGAGAAGACGCTTCCGCAGCCGAGATCATCGTATGGCGCGGAGAAACTCATCGCTGAACTGTTGGTGAATGACTTTTCAAGAAGGGGTTTGATCGATGGGAGAATCGTTAGACTTCCTACTGTGGTGGTGAGGCCTGGAAAACCATCCGCTGCAGCATCAAGTTTCGCATCAGGCATCGTGCGTGAGTCGTTACAGGGCATTACCAACGTTCTCCCCGTGCCGCGAAACATCAGCATGTGGATCTGCAGCCCAGCAACGGTGATCAAGAACCTGATTCATATCAAAGATATACCCGCGGACAAATTTGGCGATTCACGTATTGTGAATCTGCCAGGAATTACAGTGTCTGTGCAGGACATCTTGGATGCGGTGGAGAAGGTGGGTGGCAAAGAAGCAGTTGGTTACGTCAAGGATGAGGAAGATGCGGCATTGTTTAAGATTGTCAAGAGCTGGCCTCCGTGGTTTGATGCGAGTCGGGCCAAGGGTCTTGGGTTGGCTGAGGATGGGGAGTTGGTTGACGCCGTAAAGGCTTTTCAGGCGAGACTCAAGGCTTAAACAGGATATCTTTTGTTATTAATTATGAAAGGCTTGTGTCTATCTCTAAATGAACATAATGTACTTTTGTCCAACTCTTCCTACATCTTTTGCTCTTACAACTTTGAGGACCTCACTCTTCTCGACACCGAAGTCGGTTCAATCCGTCCAGAAGTGACCAAATGATCCACGTCCAGCGTGTTGACAAGGTCAGGCGTTGCTTGATCTAGACTCGTAATACCAGCGAGTCTCATAGAGGTCTCGAGCTCATCTTTTAGAACTGGATGATACGTTAACATCTGCCAGATGACACCATGTGGTAGACTTACTCTGAGAGAGGTGCTCAACGCCCTTTTGGCCGTATACCAACGAGTACAAAAACGGTCGTGCAATTCCAACGGCTGTAGCACCAAGGGCAATTGCCTTGAGGATATCAGATCCACGCTCGAAACCGCTGTCGATATAGACCTCGAGATGTCGGAAGGCTTCGGGGAAGCGCTTTCGGACCTCGAGAAGGATGAGGATAGAAGCCTGCGCACTAAAACACTGTTAGGATACCCCTTTCAATATGATTTTAACCAAAACTCACCCATCAAGTGATCGTCCTCCGTGGTTACTGAGCATAACACCATCAACGCCATACTCAACCGCCAGCTTAACATCCTCCACCGTCTGCACACCCTTGAGCACAATCGGCACAGAGCTCTCCTTCCGAATCCACTCCAGATCTTCCCAGGCAAGGCTCTTGTCAATATACTGCCCCATCAACCGGCCCAGTCCACTGCCCTTGCCGTCCTTGCTGCTCTCGCTACCGCTCATCGCAGACTTGATAACGACGGCTTGTGGTGCTCGCTCGTCGGCCTCGCGCTTTCCGGGGACGGGGGCGTCGACGGTGACGAAGATTGCTTTTATGCCGAGGGAACGAGCGCGCCGGAGTAGTTCGACGGTTTTGGGCCGGTGTGAGTTGACGTAGAGCTGTAGGAAGAAGGGATGGCCTGCGGGAGCGGCGCCGATGATACTGGGGAGGGAGTAGGAGGCGTTACTTGAGATCTAGTGAGTGTTAGACATCGTCACAACTTGGAAGTTCTCAACAAGTGACTTACAATCTCAAAAATGCCTTCATTAGCAGCGGCCCTACTCCATCCAAGCTCACCATCAGGATGCGCCAGCGTAGCCATAGCAGCCGGACACATAATAAACGGGGCCTTGCTATCCAATCCCAGAATCTTGCGATCTATCCTGACTTCTGTGACATTTCTGAGGATTCTCGGACGGAGCATGACTCTTCGAATGAGTTCACGGTTCTTATTCACCGTCACGAGATCGGTGGCGGCAGATGAGTAAAAGGCCCATGCCTTTGGAGTCAGCGCCTTTTGCGCGGCGAGGGCAAAGTCGTTTGCAGAGAGGATCTGGCTGAGATCTGGGACGTCTGCGGGTAGTTGAACTTCTGTAGTGGTGTTAGTAAATAGATGTGCTGGAGTTGTGATGTCGGGGTGTACCTCTTGGAGCTGGGATGTTGGGAGTTTCGGACTCCATTGCTGCGAGGTCACTCATGATGGCGATGATTAAATGCTTTTGTAAGTGTTGGACTTGTAAGTACGATCCTAGTGATATCAATTGAGTTGGGTAGTGCTCTCTACTATAGACTCCTTCTTATCATGCAAGGTCTTGTCTTATAAGTGACAAGCTCATCTTGGAGATCTCCCTCCCCCACAATCGGACTCATCACCTTGATCATACTCGGGCCATCTTGGCGCGAGTGGCACCGGGAATTTGCCACGGCCATGTTGCCGAATAGCCCGTCTCTTACATCGATCGGTCTTCTCTCCGATACGTGCTCCATCAATTCATCCCTACAAATGCTGAAAATCGACTTTGAAGAGGACAGGAAAATAACAAGAGAAAAGACAACGGAAGAAAAGATTTTTTTTTTTTAATCTTCCCAGTTCCTCTCTTAAACTCGCCATCTTCATAATTGGACTCTTGTCTCGGAATCGGTTCCTCGGATGGAAGAGTAGCAGGTTGGCTGGATCATGGTTAAAAGAAAACAATAATTCTGTCTGAAGACTAGAGCAAATGATAGTTGGCAAGAAAGCATGGCCAAGTTCCTTTGATAATCCATGAATTATGCAACCATGGGCAATTGAAGTCAATCACGAAATGGACACAGATTCTCTGCTCATCTACATAGGCACTTCATATTAGCAACTATTTAAAGATCCAGAAATACGTCTTTAGAATCATTGAGCTATCAAATTATCATTTGTATGTTCTCTAGCAAGTCGTTGTATTTCTTTGAAGGAATGTGATATCTAGCCTCAGATGCTATACGATACAATGTCGCCAGTATTAAGACAAACCGTACAGCAAGAGCCGACACAGTGAATAGCCACAAACGTCTACACTCAATCATTTCTACTCTTGGTTTCTTAAATGCCCAAAATTGACCCGAAGTCCGTTAAACTAAACTATGAGACAATTCTCATCCCAGTATTGACGATTGATCGAACCGACGATGATCAAGAGACGAGACTCTCCAAGAGTACCCATCATCGATTACTACCACAAAGTGCCACAGGTCCCATTATCCATTCAGAATTGAGCTGATTGTTTACAAGTCCACCTATTTATTTGCCATAATAATCGAGGTACACTGCCTGTTGGTCTTCTCGGAATAAGCCACTGTCGTCAACGCCAATCTGAAGAATACGAATTATGTGTAAAGTCAAACCACGAGTGTTTATGTGTGTAGTAAATGGACCGAATATCGTGATCCAGTAAACGTCCACGGCCTCACAATTAAGTTTCCCTTCATAAATGATCCAGCCCTCTTATTTTCGAGCAAGAAAGACTTGAGCACTTTTGTTCTTTCACATCCAAACCACCAAGACATCTTTGCTTCCGTATCACTCAATCGACTTCATCTTAACAAATCACTATTCCAAACAGCTGATCACCAAATCTTTGATTAATACATCTCACAATGGGAATTCTCTGCTGCAAACCCGAGCCCCCGGTCACAGAAGAAGAAATCGAAGAATACAAGCGAGAAAGGAGAATTTACCACAAGCGCAAATACGGTTCGATGTACGATTATCGTCCCGATTCTTATACAACGCAATTTTACGCCGCACAAGATCTGGAAGCATACAGGCGGCTACCTTCGCGCCCGCCTTGGTCTGATTCGAATGACATTCCTATGACTGAGAAACCGCCCGAGCTTGACGAGACAGTAGAGATAGAGGAGCCGGAGCCGGAGGATCCAGAAGGGACTCTTGTTGGAATCGATGTTCCGAGTACTGCTACTGATACGGTGACGGGCTTTGTGGCAGCTTGATGAGCTTTTGGGGTGTTGTGTGGACTTGGTTCGAGTGTGCGTATTGTTGAGGTGCAGCGGATGGTTCTAGGTGTAAATGGTTAGATGTTGGAGGAAAATAATTATGGATGATAATGGACGGGAAGAGACATGATACGCGGGTAGAAGAATGACTACGGCCTTCTCATGCAAGGTCATGTTGTTCAAGGATGGTAATACTGTTCATGCAAGTAATAGACAACAACATGATTTAGTATATTAGCTTCTTTGCTTCAATTCCTCAAATATAATATTACAACGTCCACCTACTCAATAACAATATCCTCTCCCAATCTCCTCAGAGGTAACTCCTCAACCAGCTTCTCCAGCCGTCCACACCTTTTGACAACGTCCTTGGCCTCCTCAGGAAATCCCATCCTCATCCTCCCAACCCTCTCCCAGACTACCCGGCCTTCCCTCTCGGTCCTCTCGACAACGAGCAGCATCACCAGCGCCTCCTCCACAAACCACAGCACCGTCATCTGCTCACCTCGGGCATGCCGCTCGATGTACTCGCGCATCGTGCACGCCCCGCGGCTCATGCGCACGTCCACGCTCACGCGGTTGAAGATCCAGCCGTCGGCGTGCGCGCGCGCCTTGACGCGGTCCAGCACGAACGGGTTGGGGACGTGGATGCCGTACGGCCGGATGTGCAGGTTGGGGGGCGCAGGCGGCATCCCCGTCACGGCCGTCGCGGCGCCAAAGTCGTACGCCACGCTGCCGTCGCGGTTGACCAGCACCATGTTGGGCGAGTACGTCCAGCGGATCGAGTTGGCCTCGTTGCGCGATACGTGTGTGGCGCTGACGTAGTGGTGGTGGTTGTACTTGCGCTGGAAGGCCTTGGTATTTGGGTCAACCACGGTGATGGACGAGTACATGTCGACGGCGCCCTTCCAGCCCGCCCACGTCCAGCTGGGCATGTGAGGGCGTCTTGTGGCTATTACGCCTTCTTTGTGGTGCCAGAAACATGTCGACAGGGCAAAGATGTCGCGTGTGCGCGGTAGACCTACCACTGCAGGGCCTTGATCTAGCTGCGGTGTCCAGAGCGGAATGCCGAGGATGTTGAACATCTTCCCTCGTCCAACTGTAGTCTCAAGACGTCTCAGCATACCAAGAATTGCATCAAGCGAATCCTTGTCATACGTCAAGTTTCGGCGTGTGTAGTTCCCGATATGTTGATCTGCCTCTCGGAAGATACTCAGAGTGCTGGGGTCTTCATCCTTGGCAGGAAGTCTCTTCCAACGCTCCCAGCTACCATCTACAAAGGACACGCCGTTGAACAGACCAGGTCGCATAAAGTCACACATTCGCTGCTCCTCCATGTCGTGGTAGAATTCGAGCGGCAGGATCAGTGACTCGGGACAGCACATGCCTTCACATTCCCAGTACATCTGCTGATCGGTGAAAATGAGACGACGTCGCGCAAGTAGGCCTTCTTGGTACGTCCAGCCGCGTTCGTACCATTTCGAATTTTTGATCGCCAGTCTGGGATCTTGAAGACTCGATACGAGTGTTATGTTGGAGTTGACAAATTCGTACTTTGGTTGAGCTGGCCGTGTCCTTGACCCTACACCGGGTAGACCGTAATCCGCATCTTCACCACAAGCTGCGATGATAGCCAACGCAGCTCCCTCGAAAATGTCGTCCATCCTGGTAATCTGCTGCAGTCGCTCGGCTGGCTGCACCTCTTGCATGCATAGCCGATCGACCCAAAGATACCTTATTCCAAGGTCCTTGGTCGCAATCACAGCATCCCACACAACCTTAGGCCACGTCTCTGTCGTCTTATTCCCCCACACATAACTCAGCGCAGTGTACCGTTCAGTGATTGAGGCTTTGACAACTTGCGGAGGGTTCTTTGCGCAGTCGACCAATTTGAATCCCGGCATCTCCCGCGTAACTGGCCGTCGTCCGCAACGTCCTTGGTGGTAGTATTCGCAGAACCGCAGCCAGTCCTGTCCAATACCCATATCAATCACACCCTCCAGCTCACGGCCCCATATGCCGCGCTTCTGCCACCCGTTGTTCTCGGACAGTGAGTTCGCTCGCGAGTGCTTCCCTTCTGACCTTGCGCTGAGGAGTTCGTTTGTGGGCGCATCTGGCAACGTGCGATAGAGCATACCCGATCCGCGGAACCAGTCGGCGCTCACATCCCAGCTCAAAGCGCCATCGCCGCTCTTTTTGGGAACGACACCTAAGTAAGCCGGACTAACACCCTTGCTCTTATTCTTTGATGCGTGGCCCTGCTCAAACATGATGTTGTTGTCTATGAGGTAATTTGTGTCACGACTTGAGAAGCCTGACAGATAAAGATCGCCCTCTCCCTCACTAGGAATATGCACTGAGAGAAAGAGCTTGCAAAGTGGGCATTTCGTGCTGAAACGGTTCTCCTCGAGTTCCTTCAAGCGGCCCAACGAATGCTCCTTGTTCTCAAAGGTGTCTGCAGACGTTGGGTTTAGAGCTCTGGTGAAGAAATCATCCATGAGATCAAAAGTAGAGTCAATGTCGGCCGCCCAACCAGCACAGGCAGTGCAAAGGTTGGGATCTTGAGGCTGGCCTCCTGATCTGTCAGAATGGGCTGAAGGACTGCGACTCTTGCGCCAGCTGATACGGCGTATGAGAGACGCTCTCCTGGGCTCTCGCTCATCATCAGCGGATGGGGGGTCCACAGTGAGATGCTGCATCATATTCTTAAGAGGGTTCCGTGATCGTCGCCTCTCGATGCCGCCGCCTGGAGAGACAGGCGGCGTGATAGTGGGCGTTCCCGGATCCAGTGTCTCGGGCATTGTGGCGTATATAGTGCCTACTCTGAGCTAGAGAATGTTTCCTCCGTTGAGATGCTCAAGTCGACCGAAGATGAAGTCAAACTCGTGCCGTTCAAGCTCCGTGATTCTCGGACGGAAACCGGTGTCTCACCCCCGTCTCGGCTCCTGGATTCCGGTCTCCACTCTTGGCGCGCCAGCAAAATTGATGGGGCTCGACCGCTAAGGTCAATAAAAAATAGAATAGTAGCAGGGTTTCTATAATTAGTGGCGTTTTGATATAGGGGAAGACCCAAGTTGAAGCGAGTTGAAAAGGAAGAGATCGAAGGGGAGAGAGAGGAAAGGGGAGTTATAGAACAGAAACCGGGCTGTGGAAGGAATTCTGGTGTCTATAAAGGGAGCCGCCAGTGTTTGGGATCAGGCGGTTATTTAGGATTCAAGCACAACCAACGACTCCAAAAAGGCGGCGCAGGTTGGCTCGTGAGGCGGGGCTCGAGGATGGGCTTGTTTTTTGGGGGCCAGGTGTTTTGGAATATGGAGCATCAAGAGAAAGGCTCTGAAAGAAGCGGTAAAGAAGAAGAGAGACAAAGAAAGGGGAGGTTGAAAATAGAAAACAGCAGAGGCGAAAAAGTGTTTATAAAGTGCAGGTAGGTTATCGACGCCTTGTGTACATAATATTGTTTGCCTCAAATTGGATATATCAGCTTTTGAAGAGAGCGAGATTCGAGCCGAGATGAACTGTGACGGGGGGCGGGAAGAAACAAGGATATCGCCCGCCAACTGAGACAAAGACCGATAATACGACCAGTTTCTTATTTTAATATTTTATTTTAAACCTATTTTCGCTCTTTGCTGATGAACTTGGCGTTGACCATCAGGAACAAATGGCATGTTATTTTGTCGTCCCTTTTACGCAAATTACACCAACACAGCCTCGTAGGATTCAGAAATTCACTTGGCGAAAAAGAGAAAAAGCAGCAGTGAGAAGTGTTTAGTTTTAGGTATGACGTAGGAAGGTACTCGAGTGAAACATATTGCATCAGCGAAGCTCACATTAAACATACAATTATTCTTGGCAGAGTGATTGCCTTTATTGTTAACTTCAACATTCGAAAAGGCGGCGCAGTTAACAGAATAATCTTCCAAATCTTACCGAGTACAGCTTGCATCGCCGCTGAGTAACCTAAAAATCTCCACTACGTGATCTCTGATCTGCCGCTAAAGAGCTGATCCTTCCAGTGGATTGTCACTAAAGATAGCACATGAGAAGAAAGGGAAAAAACTGTGCCCCCGTGCTTTGTCGCGTCTTTCCTCACGCCTCATAACTTTTCAAGAGGAGATTCAAATATGTGCTGCACGGGTGACGTGACTTGACTTGCAGTGTAGGTATGTGCAGCTAAAAGAAAAAGAAAGAAAATGCTTGAGACTGCTGCAGATTTATTCTCGAAAAGGGCTTGCATGGAAACCCTCCCTTGTTGTAGATCTCGTGCCTTTGAAGCGGGGAAAACGTTGCTTCTGCTGCCTTGCGTCATTCCCATTATCGCGATAATCTTTATCAACTCCAACTTCCACGGCTTTGTTGTCCCCTTCGTTTACAGCTGCCAGATACTGCACCTTAGCACAGCTCTTCATGTCCCCTATCGCCCGTCAATTGAAAACTTGGCAACGCACAATCGCCCAAATGAGGGGTTGGGCTTCAACTGACTGATCTTATCTATCTTTTTTCTCTCTCTCAAAGCTCGGTAGCTCTGGTGGGGCCCATGACATGTGCTTCGTTCAGCGTGTGATGTCCTTAGTTCGAGATCTAGGAAACTCTAATAACCTCACTTCTTCTAATATCCTGCCACGACTTCCAAAGTACACCACTTACAAGAATAACTAGTATGAGTAAGCCATAAGAACCCGATCAAGAGGTCACATGTGGTCAAGTCTTCGCATATTCAAGTCATGCAGGCTTCAATTGTTATCTAACACTGCGCTACCATAGAGAACCAGCAGTCACAGCTATTCGCCCGAATGTCTCTTTCATTGCTCTCTGTCCATTGTAATTTGCCAGTCCGACTTTCTCATCATCAACAAAGATGTTCTCCTACAAGTAACCCAGAGGAGACATGGTCCAAAAAGACCTTGTGGCTGTAAAAGCCGAGTGTCGTCAGGACTGTTGGAATGGAAGGAATTTAGTGCTATCAGACTGTCAGATCTTGTCCTCTATACTGTATCTTGTTTGACAACGGGGTGGTGTACCTTGCAGCAAGAGCAGGTCTTGCAATCAGCAGTGTCGTGGCTACAGCAAGAGCTAGAGATTGTTAGCCAAATGGTTCGGGGAGCTTGATCCATTGCCATATGTCCTTGTCTTCAAAACTTGAAGATGCAGTGACATGAGGATGTGTACTCACCAGGGAGACATGTTGAAGGTTGTTATGAAGAAAGTCTTCGAAAAGTTATAAAAAGGTGTGTTGAGTGTGTTGAAGTGTGAATTGATGGTGGGATGAGGAACAAGAAACTCGATTTGAGGCGAGGATGCGTCCTTCTTATACCTCACCAAGCCTCCAGACTTCACCCTTCGACAACATCAGAGCTCATATCTCGGTTGTCTGATCATCGCATACCGACGTGGGTATGGGAGTGTATGGAAGGTGGAAGTGACTCCACTCGTTATGTATCTACATGTTACTCAGCTAGCTAACTTGGGAGCAGTCCAACCAAGTCCCAGGGTCGTCTCTTCACCCCGCATGTCCATGTACAAAGTGGGATGCTATATCTCTTTAATTGGCCGAGTTCATGCATAGTGGTTGCGCCGAGCCTCTTCTGCAGAGTGAGCTCCCCACCTTGTTTAAACTCAAGCTTCTGCTCCTACTAGGTCGATTCGCGACGTTCCGAGATGCAGCACTGCTTCAGAGTAGCAGTGTATATGATGGCGAGCTCATGTTGAGTTGTCCGTTTGTGTTGCACCGCAGCGTTGAACCCGTGGAATCAACCGTTCCATAATGCAGACCACAGTGGCACTGAAGTACTGTAAACCAGCTTTGGTATGATTGACATGCTTCTGAGGCCTGCTGCTGACCTCGTGGTGGGATGTAGTTGGGGGAAAGCTAGAGGTCCAGTGGTTCGCCACGTAATCCATGCCGATGGACCTGGTATAGCTCACAAGAGATGCTAGACTGTCTCGGATATCCTAGCTTGGACTTGTTTCCGATAACCAGTGCAGCTGCCAGGGACAAGGCAACATCTGAAGCAAGTCATGCTTTCATGGAACCCAGGCACTAGAGAGTGGGGGCCCATCTAGGTGAAGATGGAAGAAAGGAACAGCTCAATCCGGTTACCGATTAAAAATGGGTTCGGTCTTGTCACCCACACCGGTGAGTAGGGGCTGGAAGTGTGGGTAGCAAGAGGATGTCAAGATGCTGCACTTCAAGACCCTGCGTAAAAAGACGGGAATTTCCACCTCGGTATAATGAACAGCTGTATCCTGTACGTCGACGTATTAGGTAAACTGTTATGCTGAATGGGTTATACAGAAGTGAGTAGGTGTAAGAGAATGCGATGAGATGGGGGACATGTGAAAGAGATTAGACATTGGCTTATTCGCATAGTGGGGTATGGGTGGAAGAAGACGAGACAGATATGTGAGGCGGCCAATAGTAGACAATGCATCTACTAAGAATCATCATGGTAGAGTTGATCCAAACGACAATCTAGCAGCGTTTGCCGCCGAAATAGTAAACCACTATCACGCAGAAGGTCGGCATGGGCTAGTCCAACACCATGCATGATATGGTGAACGTGACGAACCAGTGTGATGAACAAGCCTATCACCGGAAACGGAGTGTGATAGGCACCTTCAAGTGAGATGCAAACATGAGGGATAATCGACAGATGTGAATGGAGAATAACGCGTGCATGGGTGGGCACCTCAAATGCCCAGGACATGGACCGTTCAGATGCATGCATCCCACGCATGCAGGACTGCGTTGGGTGGTGTGTTGAAGAGCATTGCCTCGCTGGGCGTGCAGCAAGGGAAACGCAAGGCGGAAGAAGGATAGGCTGAGGGACTTGGGAAGAGGCAAACAAGAGTACGAGTTGCGCCGTGTACTATGAGCCTTTAGTCATGGGAATCATCGGCTTTGCGGAGGTGTGGGTGCAGACGTGGGAGCATAGATGGAACCAGGTGTGACTGATAGGTATGAGAAAATGTGACCAGATGAACTGTCGTGTCCCACGTCTAACGAGACAGGGTTTGATGTGATGATGGAAAATAGTCTTGAGGGATATAGTTGAGATGAGAGAGGGGTTGTGACAAACAGCATGGAAGATAACGATGATACTTGCCTCTACGCATGAGCCAGCCGACCATGTTGCGGATGAGCTTTTCTGACATCTATCCAAGAGATTAGCATCTCTAATAGACTTGATCGACCAACTCAGGTTGGAGATAGCTGTCTTCCCATCTTTCGCAGTGCTACTGCAGAAACTCATAGGCAGCTGAAGGATCATCACATCAACAACTACAACTGCTACATCTCACACCACGATCAGGCATTACTCGGAGACAATCCGGTATCACAAGTACTCCCCACGAGCAAAACTCCCTAGATCTTGAGTCGGTCCATAATGACGCTCCAGATGTTTCACCTCCAAAGCAAGGATCCAGTCGGAAGGACATAAAGACGTGGAATGGAGACATGTCCTCGGGACTCGGCCTGGTAGTAATATTCGCGCCGAGGATCCTTCTCGTGGGGGGCTTGCGGATCGCGGATATCTCTTGCTTCATCGTTTAATCGCGGGACAAAGTTTCTCATGGGAACGGGGCTATGGGTCGTGAGTTATGCGTGGCGACGTGGAAGCGGTAAATATTGTCTTTCCAGCCGGGCGTGATAAGGGGTCGGGGTTGAGTGAGGCCGAGTCTTGATATAGGACGGTGATGAAGTCCACGGCCATCGCAGCTCATGACTAAAAAGGCTTTGGCCTTGGTCAGTTGTCTTGTCAGTTGATGATAGAGCTGCTCCGAGTCAAACAACTCATGGTTTGTATAGTCAACGTTGTGAGTTTACAAGCAACAGGAAGAGCACTGCAACAGAAAAGTGCTCTTTCTGTTAAACAAGGTACTCGGATATGAAGAAAGCTCCTTCTCCGAGAAAACAAGTGCTTGCGCATCGCAAGATTACAAGTCCCAAACTCCAACCGGGAAGGTCTCATTCTTATACTCCTTCCCTCGCCGTCCATACGCCTGAGTTCAAACAGCAACCCACAGGGGCCAAAGGCGGTAAACGATACAACACGTACTTGCAATATTTACAATATCAACGATCAACACCTTTTGTGGTGGTTTTGCTGCGAAGAATGCTGTGTTGGCGGCGGAAAAGACATCAGGGTTGGCCATCAAGGTTCGCACTTGTCTATCCGGGTTCTCAAAACTCAGCGAGTCCAAGATGTGAAGTTTGCGCCATGATAGTGGAATGATGATAAGATACAAACCATTATATGTGAAGGGGCGTCTTAAACTTGTACCTCGTTATCGGTCTGCTAAGAGTACCTTTATGGGTAGGAGGTCATTGGTCGAAGTGGCTATTGATAACTGAGGGAGATAACCACATGCCATGATGAGAAGCCATGTCTTTCTTCACTTTTTCCAGTCTCAACTTTTCAATAGAAGGGTCAAGAGGTGGTTTAATATCGCAGTCCAACCTATTTGTTTTTCATTCAAGTCTAGTCGAAGGGCTTCTTGTCAACTCATCATCCTTCAACCCCCTTATATCTCGTGTGTTATATCAAGCCATCGACATCGATTCATACTCCTATTCGAATCTCTTTGATCTACCCCTCAGCCGCAATTCCATCACCATATACGATTATTACATCTTGAGTGGCATAAATCAAACAAGATGTCTTCTCCACGGCCAACCCTGTACTCGCACTTCGCTGCATCTTGCGTGACATATCATTCTGAAAATTCATATGTACCTATGAATAATTTCTCTACAGTGACTTTCTAAGTTGGCTTTGATCATACCTCATTAGTCTTGTGGCTACTATCATCTCGTGGGTTCACATCTGTTACTGATACAAGCTTTCTCCTCTTCCCAAGTGGTATATGTTGACAATCGAGTGACAAGCCTTGAACCTAGACATGCTTGATGTGTACCCTCCAACGCAGTGACGTGCTGTGCTTTGAATGTCTCTTGCTTGAACCCCGAAACGATCAATCACCATAGGTGTTGACCTCGAGAGTTAATTTCATGTACAGATAAGGTCTTATATATATCCTCAATATTCGAGGAAGCATGAATACCAACATCACATCATGATTCGCTCCTCAAGGGAACATATCCAGGCCAACATATCTATTTTGAAAGTTTTGCGTATCCCATAATATTACCGTACCTAACGCCATCCTGTAAAGTATACCAACACTCTTAACCCCAAGTTCCACCACCACCTCCTCCTCTTCCACCCTTTCTCTGCGCACTCAGTCGCCAGTCATCCTCTGTAGCAAACTTGTTATACAGCGGCTGGATCCTCTCAGCCTTCTTGCGCTTGCTCAACCTATCCGTCGGCGCAACCTTGAAGAACGTCGGCGCCGCCTCCACGAGCCACTTGGGTTCGATGCTCGTCGTGCAGTGCATGTATTCCTTACTCGTCAGCACAAGCTCGTGGTAGATCACCCACTCTGCCTGCTTGCCAAAGAGCGCTGAACTGGGATGCAGATACACAGGCGTGCCCTCGGTGAGGGTCTTGTAGCCCTCCTGAGGATCCTTGCGGGCCGCGTTGCGGAAGAATCCGGCACAGAGGGCCCGACGGACCTTTTCGGTAGCGCGGCCGCAGGATCTAATGGGATGTTTGTACCGGTCCATGATCTTAACAATTTGGTCGCGGACATCCTTGGCTCGACGCATGGAACGGGCTTGGATGAAATTCTCAAAACACCAAGGTGAGGAATAACCGCTCGTCTTCCAAGAGTTGTATACGTTGAGAAACGTTAGATGGTCGCCGTGGGGGTCGTGGAACTTTGCCTTCTTTTGGTCTGCCTGGGACTGCTTCTCCTTGGGACGGTAGAAGACTGTTGAGATGTTGAGCATAGACACGATGCTAAGTACTTCTTCGGCACAGTCAAGGTCGACGGCGGCAATAAGGACCTTGGCGAGAGATGGCTCCATAGGGAAGTCAGCCATCTTTCGTCCCAGACGGGTAAGTAAACCTTCGTCGTCGAGAGCACTGAGTGCGTAAAGCTCCTCCAACGCGGTAAGCATAGTGTTGATTGGGGGCGGGTCCATAAAGTCGAAGTGGAGCAGGTCGTTGATACCCATGGCCTTGAGCATGAGGATTGTGGTGGATAAGTTCTGTCGTTGGATTTCAGGGATAGTAGTCGGCAGCATTTCAGACTGATATGCTGCTTCAGTGTACAAGCGGAAACATTTTCCGGGGCCAGTTCGACCGGCTCGACCGGCTCTCTGATTTGCTTGAGCCTGCGAAATAGGTGTAACAACAAGAGAGTCCATACCCAGCTTAGGATCGTAGGCGTTCTGCTTCACGAAGCCGGGGTCGACGACGTAGTAAATCTCGTCAATAGTGATAGACGTCTCTGCAATATTGGTGGCGATGACAACCTTACGGCTGCCGGGGGGTGCAGGGTCAAAAATTCGACTCTGCATTTCGGTAGGAAGCGAGGCGTAAACAGGAAGGATGATTAGATCTGGCACGTTAGGCCCTAATGCTTTCATCCTCTCGTATAAAACTTCACAAGCCGTGTCGATTTCTTCTTGGCCTGTCAAGAAGAGGAGGATATCACCTTTGGGCTCAGTGAGATGGATTTGCATGACTGTGACGAGAGCGGTGTCCAGGTAATCGGATTCGGGTTCTCTAGAGTAAAGTACTTCGACAGGGAATGTTCGACCGGGAATAGTGAAGATGGGACATTCGTTGAAGTAGGCAGAGAATTTGTCGGCGTCAAGCGTCGCTGAGGTGACAATAACCTTCATGTCGGGGCGTCGCTTGAGGGCCTTCTTGAGCAAGGCAAAAAGAACGTCGGTGGCAATGGTACGCTCGTGAGCTTCGTCAAGCATGATGCAAGAGTATCGCGACATATCGGGATCAACGAGAATCTCACGCTGAAGCATACCGTCTGTCATGTACTTGATTTTTGTTGAAGGGCTGGTGCAGTCTTCGAAACGAATCGTGTATCCCACCTCCTCGCCAAGCTTACAGCCAACTTCTTCAGCCACACGCTTTGCGACTGACATAGCAGCAACACGACGCGGTTGTGTGCAACCGATGATGCCGTCATTGGCAAAGCCAGCTTCAGCAAGATACTGCGTCAATTGTGTGGTCTTTCCAGATCCAGTCTCACCGACCACAATCAAAATCTGATTCTCGTGAACAGCCTTGATCAACTGGTTTCGGAATGCATAGACAGGTAGCGATTCTCGTTGATCCTTGATGCTCATGTTCGTGCGCTTACCCAAAGGCTGGCCCTTGGGGATTACAGCCTTCTTCCATTCAGGCACGTCCTCAGAAGGCTGGTTCTTCCTGGCGTTCCTCATATCGCTAGCGAACTTCCTCTTATCGGGATCAGCCATGGGATCTTGCCACTGTTGGGCAAGGTTCTCCTTGGGTTCGTCCTTAGCAGCTGCATCGGCTTCTTGCTGCTTGAGCTCTTTTCGCTCCTTTGCCAAGGAGGTACCCGACATAGCTGCTCGGTTCATAGAGCCGTCGGGTGCCTTGACTACACGAATGGGTGACAGCTCGAGAGACTGTTTGGTCTGTCCGGCCAAGAATGGGGGTTCCTCCTCGCGGACCTCAATATCGACATCCTCTTCCAACTCCAGCTCGCCATCGCCGCGGAGAGTTGCGTTGTAGTCTTCCTCCAGATCAGGATAATCGGAGGCCTTGGCCACTCCTGATGCAATCAATTGTCGAATCTCCCACCTCTCGGGGGATGTCATTCTCTTCTTTTGTCGTCGTGGTGGCCCCAGGTTATCTCGCGGCATGCCAGATGGCTCTGCGAACCCGTCCCTCGGGCCTCCGATACCCCCTAGGCCTCCTCCTAGTGCTTCCATATTGGCGCCTGTAGACATGCGAACTTGTGGTTCCAGATCCTGCCCACTTTCTTGGTCAACATCCTTCATAGACAAGCCCACACGGTCACGGCCGTTCTGGTCTTTATCAAGACTCGCAACTTTAACCCAAACCTCCTGTCCTTGGGTCACCAGATCCGAAGGGTGGTTGACGCGTTGTCCAGCAGACATTCGGGAGACATGTACTAAGCCGTCCACCCTACCTTTCACGTTGTGCAAGTTAACGAATGCGCCAAAATCCTTGAGTCCCGTAACATGTCCTTGATAGATCTTGTGTAGTTGGGGTGAATCGTCCACTTCAGGAGCTGGGGCATTGCGAAATCGGTCGTCGTCGTCGTGTCGCCGGCGGCCTCTTCGATCTTTGCGAGAATCGCGGTGGCCATCGCGCCAGTCTTCGTCGCCTCGTTCTTGCGACCGTGATCTCGATCGATATCTATCCCGTTTGCGACGTTCCCTTGACCGCGATCTATCTCTTTTCCTTCTCTTCGAATCTTTATGTTCTGCATCGGGGCTTCGACTCCGTCTTGCTGGTTTGCTCTTTTTCGCCTTCCCTTCTAAGCCCTCCAGGAGCGCAAGAGTATCATCGATAGCATCTGCTCCATCATCGCGCGCAGGCTCCTTGTCGGGGAGCGCAAGACCACTAAAGACCTTTTCCTTTTCTTCGAAAGTTCGCGAGTGGTGTTCGTCTGTGTTGGGCTTTGCTTTGCCTTTGAACTTGGGGTGTAGAGCGAGTACCAGGCGATCAATACTTTCGACAAGACTAGGCGGTAGACCGGGGGTGGTTGTCTCGAGGTTGTCGCGAAATTCGTCGAAACTACTGCATTCCGTCCGTTTGGCGATTAGGAATTCCGCAACGGTCTTCTCCCCAACGCCCAAATGATTCTGCACCTCCGAAGTCACCTTCGAGACGAGGGACAATAACTCGAGGTTCAGCAGGTCATCCATGGCGATTATGTTGACGCTGCGCAAGGTTGTTTGTGACGTGAATGCATCAGTAGCTACCTAGAAAAGGATTAAATGGATGACTCAGCAGAGGCACGTCAAGAGTTCAGTATAGGGTAATTGAACTCGAAGTTCAGATCATAGTCCCTGTAGTCTGGAAGTTAAAGAATGGTGACAATACGGCTATGACTCCATAAATAGGTATATACTGTACCAATGAATCAAGTTTTTGATTATGTGATAGTAAATTCAAGGGTATTTTAACACAATATTGTCTAACTAAGTTAAAGTCGTAAGCTTAAGTTAATGGTAGCATGTAGATCTTCGAACCAGGCTGGAAAATCTTATACCGCGAAGTAACTTCTTGCTTGAAATACTTAAAAAAGATACTAAAAAAGAGTTTATTATATTTTACATTTTCTTATGGAGACTTTGAGAAAGTAGAACTCTTACACACCCACTGCATGTCCCAGATACAAGGTTAAGCTGGGTGTGACAACACTCAACACCCCAAAAAAAAACACAGAGAACTAAAAAAGTGTGGATTAATGGTGGGATTTAACCACCGAAATTGGACGAACAGGGAATCGAACCCTGGACCACTCCCATTCGAGGCTTCGGAAGAAACATGCTAAGGGAGTATTATACCACTAAACCATTCGCCCGATGAATGTGTGACTTTGTGTGACGGAGGGTCACAGAAGCTGGATCATGAGGGAAGCACGGCGGTCCATACTCCTGTGAGTACCAATATGTTCTGTCAAATCGAGCCGAGCTGTTAAAACTGATGCGACGTCCTGAACGAGTAAAATGTTTGCCCGCCAATTGAGGAACTCACGATGATTTGGCTTTGAACTAAACTCGAGTCTTCGCATACTCTTCTCTGCATCTGCCAGCCCTGTCGCTTCTGCCTGGCCATGTTGTGATGAGATTATGTAAGTGCGGTGGCGCAGACATGAACAGGCGCTGTGCCTGTTCTTCCTACTCTTCGTCAGAAGAAGGTCCGAAGGCGATATGGTAGCCTGGTGATAGTAACGCGACGGGATTGATTCATTGTTGTTGAGATAGATTCCAGGCCTCCAACCGTTGAACTTCTAGTGATTGATGACCCGAATCTGTGGCTTTCGGCGGGGTTCCAGTGACTTGACGTCTCACTTTCACCCAATCAAGGCGCTTGTTTATCCCTGCCTCTGACGCTCTTACGCAAGCCCCTCCCCCGGGAACGCCACCTCTAGGTGACCCGGCTTCTGTCTCGCATGGCGCAGGTCAACTCCGAGCAGCGTCATTGTCAATCCAGGTCACACGCCCTCTTTTCTTCCTGCCACCAAACCAACTCAAACATAGAAAGACCGTCAATTCCTCCAACCTAGACGAAATCAATACATCTCTTATTGAGAGTCTATACCTCGACCTTTAGAAGAGCTTCGACGTACTCTATCTTATCATGTGTTCCGCCGACTTCTTCCTTGCGTTTCTCGCCATCCTCTTCCCCCCACTGCCCGGTAAGTTCATCACAAACTAGGTATCTTTTCGCGCGCCGTTGCTAACTATTCATGCGCAGTCTGGGTCAAGTGTGGTATCTGCAGCGCCGACTCCCTTATCAATCTCCTTCTTTGCTGTCTTGCTTTCATCCCTGGCCTCCTGCATTCATGGTACATCATCGCGAAGTATCCCGAGCCGCCCTACGAGTACGAGGCTCTCCCCCAGGATCGTGAGGGCAATCGCGTCACCTACGTCTACGTCCAGTGCCCACCGGGTCCTCATCAGCACGGCCATCCTCAGAACCAGCAGCCTAAGGGCCAACCCAAGCCTCACCATGGCGCTACCAACAACAAGAACAACAACAGCAACCTGAACTACGGTACTCAAAACGCTGGCAGCTCTGCTCAGCCTGCGCCTCAGCAGCAACAGGGCGTCACAAATAACGGCGAAGGCAGCTCCGATAGCCAGGGCGTGCCTCCCTCGTACGCCGACGTTGTCGCCGGAGACCACAAGATCCAGTCCAAGGATTAAACACCTGACCAAACATTCGATTACGAAACGCGGAAATAAGACATGGAGGCGGCTTCAAACCCGTCTATCTCGCCGCCTAGGCAACTTGGTGCACTTTTGCGCCGCCAACCTCAACAACAAGCGGGTCCTCATCAAGGACTTGGGTGAGATGGCCGAGTTGGTTATGGCGCCAGGTTAAGGTTAACCTTAACACCAATTTCCTGGTGGAGCAATCCTCCTGGGTTCGAGTCCCAGTCTCATCAGACAATTTCATTTTTGCATCTTTTCATGATGGTCATTTTTGCTGGGGCTGAAATATATGGATTGGTGGTTGTTGAGTTATGGTTGTATGAGGCACCTGGGTTACCGTGGCAGACATCGGTTTCCAATGATGCTCGGTGTTTCTTCTTCACGTTGCCTCCATTAATGTATACTAGGAGTTTTAGCATGAACTTTGTATGGATTGGCGTTTTTCTTACGATGAAATGGCATGGACTTATCTTGAATTGTTCCTGAGGCCGTGTAGGATTTATTAGACCACAGGCATGAAACCATTATATAACCATCTTTGTTTCGTCAATTAACATTTCCTCCTTAAAACACAGTTAATTCCATGTAGTTGCAATGGTCTTACAAGCCTCATTGAGTTTGACCTTAGTGCTATGAAGTGACAAGCAAGTTCCAGACCTTCAACTCCTTTAATAATTGACTTGTGTATCCATAAACCTCACCAAACAGCATTTAAACGCCTATAAAAAGGTACAAGCCTGTCACTCTGTAAAAGGATCCTATGCGTGGTTACCATGTTCTATACCAATGTTTTACACATCTGTCAAAGCCCATTCAACGCCTATCCCACAGCCACAAGATCCAACGGGGTCTTGAGGCATAACAATATCCTACAGTATTTGATCGTTCAAGGATATAATAATAAATTGTCATCATAAAGACACCATGCGCCAAGCTGCTACGCAGCTATGTTTCTACATTGCTTCCCTTTCGATCCTTTAGCACGTGGGTATCGAGATTTCCAGCCGTTTCCGTCTAACAAATGCTGTCTTTGTTTTTCCGCCCCTTTAGTCCCGTCTGCTTGGAACTTATAGCATAAATGCGAATCGCATCTTTTTGTTTGTCATGATCATCAAAGGTGGCAATGTCTTGCTTTATGTTTTGTTTTCGTGAGGGTTACATCATCTCTTGGAAGATGCGCAGTAGGCTCCGCACACCTGTGAGGGTGTTCTCGTCAGGGCCTTGGCCAGGTGTCCATTCCGCATGGGCAAAATCAATGAGCTTGAGGGAGTAGATCTGGGGCAATGTTGCCTCAAGATCGGAATCTTCGTCTAGCTCGTCTTCGTCGTCCAGAGCGATGCCGCTATCAACCCTCTTGGTGGTTCGAGCTGCTTGGCCAATACCCGCCTCTGCATCGACCAGTGCGTTGTTCTCTTCGATAGCGCTTCGAAGAGCTTGGCCGTCGCCCTCAAAGGTGAAGAGCAACGAGGAAGAGTACATCCGACTCTCATGTCGGGTAAGCACCTCTTCAACCCTTTGTAGATCCTGGACAAATGCTGCACAAACGGCCTTGCCGAGGTCCTCGTCAATACCGGCGCTCTTGTTGAAGACGAACTTTCGAAACTCGTCAACAACATTCTCCTGTGTAACTGCTGTTCGGCCATAGTCCTTGTCGTAGATCTTGTAGTCCGCTTCATCCAATTCTGAAGCATCCTCGGACCCGCGGTAGACCCGCATACCCGCTATCCGGAATCCTAAGCTGCCATGTGTCGTCTCAGCCGAAATCTTGTCGAAGCGTTGCTTTTTTTGTTGAGGCGCATCGTCGGCCCACAATCTGACGCCCAGTTTGACATCGAGAATATTAGGGCTCTTGAAGCCGTAGGTAGCGTTGTCTAGCACGACAGCCTTATCCGTCTTGATCTTGTTGTCCTTTGCGGGGACCCAAGCACTGCCCTCCTTCTTTTGTACGCCTGTGGCTGCGGCGACCTGTTCAGTAACTGAGGCAACAAGTTCTTCTTTTGACCCCTTGAGATCTCCAGCATGTGAGATGACTCCCGCAACGGCTTCGTCGATTATTGTGTCAGTGGGGTCGGTAAGCATGAGCGAGCCCATGAACAAGGGCATGAGCTCAGCGAAATCGGGATGTCTTCGGTTGGCAGACTGATAGAAATCGATTTCGGATTGGGTGCAAGGCTTGATAAACAGCTCGCCATCAGGGGTACAGAGCGTGCCGGCACTGAAGTCAACGAGGTTAGCCTTGTATAGAGCGCGGGGGAGGCATGGTGACGCAGATATGCCAAGAACGACGGAGCACAATTCAGGGAGGGCAAAAATCCTGAATAGGGAGCGCGAATGCAAGGCGAAAAGGATCAAGGCACTTACTGGCCGGCGACAGCGTAGTTGTAATCGCGAAGTTCTTTGCGATCAGGCATTTGTCTGGCTCCCAACATTGTTGATGGGACTGTGATGTGGGTGTGGCGGTGGGCGCGCGCCGGTATTCGGTGTAACAGGAATTGCGGAAAGGGAGCAAAGAAGGTCCGGGGAGAGGATCAGTGGCGGGAGAAAAGATGAGATCAGTGTCCAGAAGCGACAGACAAAGGAGGGTAACAAGCAGCCTTAAAAGGTGCAGGCGGTGAACAGGCCTGAGGAGAGATGCGCAGTTGTTGAAAGGAAGGATGTTAAGCTGAAAGCTGGAGCGATGGATTCGAGGGCGTGGCTCAGTCTCGGCTCAGCGCAAGGCGAAGCGCCCGGGGTGGTTATTAGGTAGACCTTCGGTTTCGGGTTTTGAGTGGAGAGATGAGAAGCGGCAAATAAATTTGCCAAGGCACAGAAAATGAAACCGGTAGTTATAGTAGAAAGTATGACCGCCGATGCTGACGGGTTCTGTTCTTGGGTTATTATAACTAAACACGAAAAGAAAGAATGCCGTTGAAACTTGGAAGATGATGCAGTTAATTATTCCACGATTCAAGGTCCGTGATTCAGGGGTGCGAAGCGAGAATTCAAGGAGAAGAGGTTGATCAACGCAGGATCAACCAGTCTTGACTGTCTTGGTAAAAGGTGCGACACGTCAAGGCACTGAGTCTGTTCAGAGGGGTCGGATCCGTTTCGTCAGTAGCTAAAAGGCAGGTGGCAATTTTGTATGCAATTTTGTTAAAATAGCTTTTTTAACGTTGCCTTCTGTGGCGGATGTGACCTGGGTACCAAGTGAAATTGAAGGGTAGCGACGCAAGGTCACTGTATGATATAAACGATGTACTCTGAAGTTATCTAGGAATTGTGATGCGCGTAGATAATAGTGACAGTCGCCATTAAACCACAGACAGAGCCTTGGTGTTTATACAACATTCTACATAACTAACAACCGAGAACGACAGTGAGACACACGCCTCCATTGCAGTGAGGCTTACACAACCGGTGCGGGCGGGTTGATTCACGATATCTATCTTACTAACGAGTGATAGCGAGTCAACGCTGCCGAAAAGCGAGGCGAGGCGAAGCCACTTCCCAGTTGAAGAGAAATGCAGAATACCATAGTAGGCAATAGGGTTTGTATATCATGTCTCATCTTTCTATACAATTAATTACACGGATTAGTTATCGACGCAGCACACCTTGATTAGTAGTTAATCAGTGGTGAATAATTGATAGAAATATTAGCCTATTCACGGATACACAGCGAATAATTCCATATTCTCGATACACACCCTAGACGCTAGGCAAACTACAAATACAAACGAACAACCCATGGCGGCAATATCTGTGAATCAACGACCAAACAGCTGCGTGAAAGAGAAGAGAACCCTGGTACTGCACGCGCCCTGCCTCGCTGAGCCACAGCCAACATCTGGCTTCTGACCTGTCAGAGAGACCCGTCAGGGGTCCTACCCGGAAGTATTGACGCTGGGCAGATTCGTCCTGCATGTGTGTAATTTTTCTTTGGATCTTCGGTGACTGACTTCCAAGACCGCCACGGTCAACTGTACGCCTAGTCTGTCTCACCGGGGTGTGGTGTGCGCGCAGATGTTGACAGTTGGCTGGTTACACGTCGCATAGATAGTATCATCAGACCCAACAGAAAAGGGAAATATGCAAGGAACACAGAATTCACAGATCACGACGTTGTTCATGTGCTGTTTGGTAGTTTGCTGGCACGTTTCGGAATTAGATACCAACGTCGATGTGAGTCTTGTATTATGCAATCTGACTCCAATGAGGTGAGTAAGAATGACTACCTAGGTAGTCTAGATGTTGGCCATTTTTGTCAGTTTGCTTGAATGAGACCAACAGATCGAGAATCACAGGCTCGGGCACCAATACAAACACGGGAACAAGAAAAGCATGACTTTCCTATTGGTCTAGCATCCAGCATACATCTAAACCAAGACTCAGCGCCTTTACATTGAGGCTTAGATGCCATCTCCAGCCCACGTGCGAAAGGAGCAGGGCTGATCTCGGACTCGTATGGATCACAAATGTTAGAATGGACTAGGTAGTCCATGCAAGCTAGTTGCTCGTGAATAAGCAAATTGAATCACTTCACATATCTCAAGCTACACGACCTCACATTATTGCACCCTATGGCTTTTACTCAGCTTAGCCCAGCAACGCCCGTGACCTCCATCAAGTGACTTCAGACAACTCGATACCCCAACGAATCAAATTGCGGTGCTGTGCCTTTTTCTTTTTAATCCCTCTGTCACGGCAGCGGGATTCCAGCAACCTCTAACAATACTCCTGACACCCTTTCTTGGCCGGGATGGGCCGGTCCGTCTGTGCCGGCGTCTTTCGTTGGTGCTACGCTAACAAGAGGAGACCATCACGGGAATCAACCTTGCTTTCAACCTAGCTGTGATATACAAGCTACATCAAAAGCTATTGTTTGGTTCGAGGTACCCACTTTGAACGTTTGAAATATATAAAGGCAACGTTTATTGTGCAAGTACGTTGTGGCATGCTTTATGCAGTTTACAGAGCACGACATCAGGCTTATATATCATGTACCACTACCAGGGTGCCTTTATGAGCTGCAAAGGCACAAACAAGCCCAGGAGACAGGATTTCAGTTTCCATACATTTGAATTATTCAGCGTTCTAGTTCGTACTTGTAAGCATATACAATTTGAAGCATTGTTTAGCTAGTTTCAGCCCTAGGCACGTCCTTGCTAGCTTGTGCATACCTACTCTTCAATACTGCTTCTATTCCACAATGTTGAGTGGGCATAAACTGTGTACCTAGAGAGAATGCCTGATTTCATCACTCTCTGGACTTTCCAGATTTAACGCGAGCGTGCAGACTAGGTAGAGGTAGTTTACCGCAGCTCCTTTTTCTCTCCCGTGCTTGTAGGCAAACAGCGGCTGCCAGCTGCTCGCAATTGCTAGTGAACATAAGAAATCTTGACATGAATGGAGTGGGCCATAAAGCACCATTGCATTGCACTTTCCTTTCGAGAGTGAATCACAGCACCTGAATCTTGGCACCTAAGCACCTAAGCATCTCATCTTTCATCTTATTCTTCCTTTCCTCTCATCAACCACTTCACTCTTCAAAATGGCTGGCAAAAAGAGAGGCAAGAAAACGACCGCCAGCCGTGGGCCGACAGCTCTCGCTAAGGCTCGGGGAAGTGGCTTCGAGGGTATGGACAAGGAACCGAGTTCTTGAAGAGTTGTACGATATCAAATGAGCTGACACATGCTTGCTTAGAATACTTCGCTGATCCTCCCATGACCCCTGATGAGGCCAAGGAAGAGAAGGAAGAAATCTATGACCCGTAAGCCATTTGTATTCCATACAAAACAAGTGCTAACCTTTCCCAGAGACCTCCCATTTGCAGAGTATGATGGATATCGCCCCGAGTAAGAAACAAGTGCTGACATACTCAGGCGCATGCAGTCTTGCATCCAACGGTTCCGCTCCAGACGTCGTCTTCAGGCCGATCGCGGCCTTTACTTCAACGACTATCTCTTCCTCGGTGGCGTCGACTGCACGCCTGGTGCTTTCGGTGGTCTTAGCCAGCAAGAGTTGAAAGATCTCACTCCCGCTCAGCGTCGCGAGGCTACTGCTACAGATGTCATCTGGGCCAACGACTCTGCCGGCGCCAAGTTTTACAATGGTGACGAAAGCGACTGGTCGGTTGACTTTACAGGTGTTGCTGCTGGTTTCTTCTCAGGCTCTCTCGTCCGTCTGTCATCATTTGAGCATAAAAGGATGCTGGAGGGCATCACCACCGTCGAAAACTTCTTGCGATATGTCCTCCAGCACGACGTCTGTCCTGAGTATGAAGACGATATGAAGTCTGCCCTGGAAGTCTGCGAGACTGCGACTGTTGAGTGGCCAATAATTCGAAAGCTCTACAGTTTGCTGCCTGGGTACTTCAACCTCGCCGCCGCTGAACTCTTTTGTCCTGAGAACACAACAAAGGACTCATGGTCGTTCCAGCAATTCACGCGACCTGGGAATTTTGATGCCACGTCCGTCTTCTTCACGGCTTTTGCTCTCATGGATGAGCCACAGCTGTTCGAAAACTTGACCACCAAGGAGCCCAGCATCACTCGGGAATTCGCATGCACGCTGGAACTCGTTCAGATCTTCCGCCCCGACGACGATATCATCAAGCGAGTTAAGTCTCTCGTCATCGGCGATAAGGCAGCGCATCAAGTCCCTGTTGGCAAAGCCATATTCAAGCAGGGCGTCATCGAGGACGATTGGGAAAATCCCATTGTTGATTGGCCTATTAATGAGGAACTCATGACACTCTTCTTTGATGACGCTCTTTTGGAGAACATGATGCCAGGAATGAAACTCACTGCCACCATTTGCGAATTAGACGCGGGTCTACGATTCGTCAAGGCGGTTGAGATCATTGTCCCGTCGTTCTATGTCTATCTCCCTCAAGAGATGATGCGGTCCTACAAAGAGCCAAAGGAGACGGATCGCCCCGCTCCATCTGTGAATGATGCTCAAACAGAGACCGCTGAGCAGGAAGAATAAGCACGGGAATGGGAATTTGTAAAATAGTTGCTGAGGTTAAAAAGTTACAGGGTAGCTTGAATTGGTGACAGCATGAGAGATGATCTCAGAAATCTGCAGACAGAATTAAAAGCCCATGAGATAGTGACTGTATGCACTGATATTATTGTCGATGAATGCTGAGCTTTACCTCATGCACCCCTGCATCGAGCTTCTGGAAAGCTTCCGCCCCACGCACAGACGCCCTGTCGCGACGACACTCTTTCATACAAAAAGTCAATGTAGTGACAATGTCAATTCCAGGCCTGGGCCAGATTCCCACACAGGTAAAAGCCCAAGGGAGATACCGTATTATCTACGCAAGCATCGCTGACCTTTTGACAAAAGCCCACCGCCTCGACCACCCGTGTCGTCACCCTCCGACCAGCCTGCGAATGGCGCTTTCAAACCTCCCAATCCTCCCCCGTTATTGTCAAGCTTCTCGCCGGCACAGCTGAGAAGGACGGCGTCGAACTAGGCCCCAAGAATGCATACACCTTTGCTGGGATAAAGTCAAAGATCTTAACGTGGCATGGCTGCGAGCTGGAGATTGACGGGCGCTGCGATGCAGAGTCTGTGGCCGAATATGCGAACCCGACCGATAATCCTGCCAATACATACATGAACCTTCATGGCCAGCTTAATGATATGCGCCAGACTGCGGCGAGAGAGGGCAAAGAAGGCCCTAGGGTGCTCATCGTTGGACCAGCGGACGTGGGCAAATCGACGGTAGCGAGGACGTTGACGAGTTATGCTACCAGGCAAGGATACCAACCTCTAGTGGTGAACGCGAACCCCCGGGAAGGACTGCTCAGTTTGCCAGGTACACTGAGTGCCAGCGTTCTCGCAACAGTCATGGACCCTGAGGCTGTGGATGGATGGGGAAGCACACCTACCAGCGGTCCTAGCAGCGTGCCTGTGAAACTCCCGCTGGTGTTCTACTACGGACGAGCATCGCCTGACGAAGATCCTGACTTTTACCGCGAACTTACGAGTAAATTGGCTGGCAGCGTTAGTACACGCCTGAGTGAAGACGAGGACGTCAAGAAGTCGGGCGTCATTATTGATGGCATGGGTCTTCCTGAGCAGAGCAAGGATGGCTTTGAGCTCGTCGCACATATCGTGGATGAGTTTTCCGGTGCGTCAATTCACGTAATTTTGGTCGAGAAAAAGCTAACACGTTACAGTCAATGTCATTATTGTGATTGGATCTACGAATATTAGCTCTGAGCTATCTCGACGCTTTAGTACTGAACGAACAAGTCTAGAAGAGCCCATCAGCATTGTCCCGATTGACAAATCCGACGGCGTGGCTACTCGCGATGAAGCTTTCTTGCAGCATGTTAGGGAAGCAGCTATCAAGGAGTACTTCTTTGGCGACTCTAGGCGAACCCTCAGTCCCCTGATCCAGCAAGTTGACTTTGACAATGTTACCGTATACCACAACTCAGACGGTACGCATCTCCTGCCAAGCCTGCAAACCACAGTTTGACTGACTCATGTCTAGAAAATTCCCCCAATGGCCAGGGTGTAACACGGGAAGACCCATCCTCGCCGATGCAGCACTGGACGTTTGCTATTATGCACGCAACGCCCAAGGAGTCGCCCGACTCAGTCCGTGCCGCCAGCGTTATGGGCTTCCTGTATGTGTCGGACGTGGATGAGGAGCGTCGCAAGATCAAGCTGCTTGCACCTGTGAGTGGACGACTGGGCGACCAGCCGCTCGTGTGGGGGAAGTGGCCGGAGCCGTTTATTAACCTCCTCGGATAAGAGAGTTTTCGTGTCCCTTGGCGAAGAGTTGAGTTTTCCAAGTTTGATATGCAGGAGGTACGGATAAGGACTTCCGTATGTCTGTCACATAGTGTCGAATGTATGCCAGAGAGTATACCAGAGAATAGACTGTTTCAGCTGGCTAGCTCTGCTTTCCTCACTTTGGATTAACATAATTGTTTGTGCACTTTAACTGTGACCGACCTGCGAGTGTTGGAAGACGGTATGTCTGAAAGGAGTTCCAGGGGATCTTCTTTCTCGACTGGGCACACCCATGTTGGTGTATATCCTGTATCTGTACCATTCGAAACCAAACCTATATCTCCCGCCAAAGCCAGTACCCGGCATCTCCTAATTTGGCAAGTCTCATCGTCTTACTGCAACACAAGAGTTACGATAGATCCCTAATCGTCCCGATATCATCCCATTTTGCTTTCCTGTAAACATGCTGAGGTTTCCGTAATATCAACACTCAAGCGAATGTTCCATACCCCGCACTGTTGACATTGACTGGTTGATCTCACATATGGCCAAGAAGGTGAATGAGACGCTGTATGGACTACAAGGGAGGATGAGTTGTTGTAATGGCGTGATGCCCGAGCTACAATGTTGGGGTTGAGATGTGAGAACCGGAGATACGAGTAGTTCGGTTCGGACTGAGATAGTTTCAGAAGCTGTATATAGCTCCAGGAGTATGATATCCGGGGATTAAGGCGTCTAGACCATCGTGAGAGCTTGAGTCAAGCTTCTTCCCCGGATTTTACCCCGTTCACAATGGAGCCAAAATGCCAGGGTTATCATTGTCGTGAAGTTCCATTGGCCGTTATTGCAGTCGATCTAAACCCAAACATGATGCTTCGATGACCGACTCCGTTGTACTCCGTCTCGGCCGTCGAAGGGGGCCTGCATATTGGCGCACGTCCGGTCCGGAGTCCAGAAGACATCGCCGAAATGCCCGCAAGGCCCCGGCACTTGCTCACACAGTGAAATAGAATCCTTGGCTGAAGATCAAAAGAGCATCGTCTCCACTAGTAGCTAATGTTACGTGGCTGTGGGCTGTCTTGGCTGTGTAGTGGCCCATCACTTGACGATATCCGATTCGTGCAAGGATGAGCCAGCAGGTCGATGAGATCAGAATCTGTGGTAGTTTGTTAGGAAAGCAAGAATGAAGGTAACATCCGCAATATTTCCAGCAACGCCCGAGGTTCAGAGTTTGAGGGTTGGGGTTGTTTTAGGCGGCCTTTTGAGAGAAGATCCCTGGCAAGCCTTGACCCCGAATTGTTAAGCTTAAATCTTAGCGCAGGTGGACAAGAGCCGCCAAAACAAGGCCCAAACTGGGCGACCTGGGGAAAGGAACTTGGCCACGAATAGATATCGAGATCAAGACTCAAAGAGGTCATTGAAACACAAACCAAGCATATAGAACAACACAATGCAACGATGCAAGTCTCCATAAAAAGAACAAGCAAACCAAGCGATAGTGACACTCATACAAGCATCGCCAAGTAATCATAACCAGACTTATCTCGTCATGGCAGGTGATGGAGAATTTTCTTGGCCGAGGCGAAGCATAAACAACACAGTATTGGTGGTTAATGTCGTCGTCTGCCAAGCCCAAGCCATGCCAAGTTCAAACAAGCATTCTCTCACCAAGAGGGAACAAGAGAAGGCGAAGGAAAAACGTGCAGTGTGATTGGCTGTCGAATGATTCTTGGTACGTTGGCCAAGCTCTCCCTGTGGGTATTGCTTGATAGCGAATCTCATGTCATGTCATGGATGTCTTGATGTCGACACGGATAAGTTATCGCTTCCCTTCCCTTCCCACATCGCCTGCTGACGACAGACGCTAGTAGACAGTAGAAATGAAAAAGCTGGCACAGTAATCACTTTGGATTGTTGCCAGGCAGATGATTGCGTTGTCATTGATTTGACCTTTTGCTGTAGTATGTGCGTTTGTCTTTTAATGGTCCGAATATTTGCGTATAATTTAAAATGCTTGTGGCTTTCTCCAGCCATTCCCCTGCATGTGTCAATGACAAGCTTCCCAGTTGGAGTCGCACACAAACAGGTCCCTCCCGTGGGAGTGATAAATGGCCGATCTCAACCGGGTGCCCGCTGATAACGATACAAACAGAGCAAAAGCAACAACCAGGTTAATAATACCAGGTTTCCAAAGAAAGGCGATGATGATCCGACGTGCGCTTTGGGATCCCTCCCCCCTGCAACCCCTCGTGACCTTGTTAGGATAAGCTTTGATTCGTCTGGCTGCCACGCGGAACTGCATGCCAAGAACAGTACATGGAAGTACTTGGATCTTCTTTGTTGGAGCACGGCAACCTGGAGTTTCGCCGAAGTCGCCAGTTTGAATTGCGCCAGTGAGGCCGTTCTGGTTCCACCAAACCTAATCTCGACGATCTTTAGGATAAGATCTTTTGAAGGTTCCTGCGAGAAGAAGTTAATTAAGACTGCAGAGCAGTGCTGATTGGGGATATGAGAAACCATTCAATCATATCGTCGTATAGAGTATAAAGTGTATTGTAGCTGCGGGGTGCAGATGGAATATCTCGTCAACCTGTCTATTCTAGTACCAGGTAGTACCAGCCAAAGAGCACAGTGTGAAGCAGAATGCGGGGCACCACGCTGTAAGTGGGAAGCTTCACTTAGACTGTACATACTCGGTACGGATACCCTCCTTGTAATTGGATCCATCTACAGCAGCTTAGACAACGTTTGGGATAGGTGCCGCTCTCCCGTCCAGAGAAAACCAGAGCCTCTCTTGTTGATTAGGTTGTTGCCGACATCTTCCCGGGCCTTCTTTGCTACCTTGGTTTGGAGATAAAAGGTGCCACCCTCTCGACCTCCTTCCACGACTTTTCCTTTCTTCTTTACCCAGATATCGTGCTCTTCCGCGATCTCTACCTTTATCCATCTTCCATCTCAAACTTCCCCTCCAAGTTTACCCCAGATCCCTTTCTCTGGTTGCTCTCTCTAAAAGGCAACCCCCCAAACACCTTCAGCTTTCGCTTATACCAACACCCATTCGATGGGAGAAACCGAATCCAAATCCGCGAATGGTGCAGTTCACGCCACTACCACGTCGGACTCTTCGACAGTCACCGCTGGCCAGGACGACCAGCCCCCTATAGCGGAACCCCCAGACCTAGTCACAGAGAAACCGATTCTTCCCCATACGCTCTCTGCTCACCGTGTCGCTCACGACCTCAAGTCGGACGTTGACGATGGTTTGAGTAGCGAAGAGGCTGCTGCCCGCCTTGAGCGGGACGGCCCTAATTCTATCAAAGGCGCCAAGGGCATTTCTCTCTATGAGATTTTCATCCAGCAGGTTGCCAATGCCTTGACTGTCGTCCTTATCGCCGTGACCGCTCTGTCCTTTGCTATCTCGGACTATATTGAGGGTGCCGTCGTGGCCGCCGTCATTGTCCTTAACATTGTTGTCGGGTATGTTCTTGCTGCGTCACTTGCTCAGCCAATTTGCTCGAGCTGTCGCTTGCTGCTGCTTCAACTCCCCATATCGTTGTTGCACATTGCTACACCTTCTTCTGCTCTCCATTTATTGTTACCGTTATTGTCTCTTGTTCCTGCTGCCATATGGTGAAGCCTGTGATTTTGCCATGCGTAAGGCCAGAAGCCCCAAGCACTGAGGTCGAATCCTGTGCCATACCCTGAAGCTGACAGTCCGAATCATATCTAGCCGCAAACTGTTTCGCACCATGCTAACATAACCCCTTCCAGATTGATCCAGGACTACCGCGCTGAGCAGACTATTCAGTCTCTTTATGCACTGTCCACTCCTAAGTGCAAGGTCATCCGAGATGGTCAGAGTGAAACTGTCAAGGCCGAAACCCTCGTCAAGGGCGACATAGTCTCCCTCGCTACCGGTGATGTTGTCCCTGCCGACTTGCGTCTGGTTCAGGGCATCAACGTTTCCACCGATGAGGCACTTCTGACTGGTGAATCTATCGCCATCAGCAAGAAGCCAGAGGTTATCTTCACAGACCCTGACATGCCCATGGGTGATCGTATCAACCTCGCCTATTCTGGAAGCTCCGTCACCCGTGGCCGTGCCACTGGTATCGTTATTGCTACTGGAATGGAGACCGAGGTCGGTCAAATCGCCGAGCTCCTACGCAAGACCAAAGACGACAACTCCGAAAGGACACCCGTCGGTCGCGCAGTTTGGAGGTCTTATCAGTTCAGTCGCAGAATTCTTGGTCTTGAGGGAACGCCTCTCCAGGTTACCCTTAGCAAGTTCGCCCTGTTGCTGTTCGCCTTTGCCATTCTCCTTGCCGTTATCGTCTTCTCCGTTAGTCTTTGGAAGATCACCGATGAGGTTCTTCTTTACGGAATCTGTGTCGGCGTGGCTGTCATTCCCGAGTCTCTCCTCGCCGTCTTGACTGTTACCATGGCCGTTGCTACCAAAGCAATGGTCCGGGGTAATGTTATTGTCCGTCAGATGCCGTCTCTGGAGGCTGTTGGTGGTGTTACCAACATCTGCTCTGACAAGACCGGCACTCTGACTCAAGGACGAATGATTACCCGCAAAGTCTGGCTCCGTGGCGATCTATCCGGAACTGTTGAAGGCACCGCCAACCCTTATGACCCCTACAGCGGCACTGTCAAGTGGTCGGCTGATCTGGCTGGAAGCTACTTGAACACTTTCCTCAAGGTTCTTACCCTTTGCAACAACTCTACTGTTAGCGATGGAAAGAAAGAGCCAGAGACCGACTCCAGCAGTATTATCACATCCGACGATGCTGATTGGAAGGCCGTTGGTGAGCCTACTGAGATTGCTCTCAAGGTCTTCGCCATGAGGTTCGGTCGTAGTATCTCCGGGGGTGATACCCTGGTAGCTGAACATCCCTTCGATTCGTCCTGCAAGCTTATGAGTGTTGTGTACGGCAACGAGATTGAGAACACCCGACACGTCTACACCAAGGGCGCTGTTGAGGTTCTCCTCACAAAGCTCACAGAGACTGAAGAGTACAAGAAGGAAATTTTAATGAAGGCTGAGGATCTCGCTAGCCAAGGTCTGCGAGTACTCTGCATTGCAACCAAGCCCATGAACGGCGACGTTCAGGACTGCCATGATCGCGCCAAGGTTGAGAATGATCTCCAGTTCGTTGGCCTTGCTGGACTTTATGACCCTCCTCGCCCTGAGACCGCTGGTGCCGTGGAGCAATGCCGCGCTGCTGGTGTTACTGTCCACATGGTCACCGGTGATCATATCAAGACCGCTACAGCCATCGCCTATGAAGTCGGTATCCTCAACAAGGATATTCGTCTGAAGACCAACACCGTCATGGCCGCCGCTGACTTCGGAGCTCTCAGCGACGCTGAGATTGATTGTCTTGATGAACTGCCTGTTGTCCTCGCCCGTTGTAGCCCGCTGACCAAGGTCCGCATGATTGAGGCGCTCCATCGTCGCAAGGCCTTCTGTATCATGACTGGTGATGGTGTCAACGATTCGCCTGCCCTCAAGCAAGCTGACGTCGGTATTGCCATGGGAGACCGTGGTAGCGACGTTGCCAAAGAGGCGGCGGACATGGTTCTGACTGATGACAACTTTTCATCTATTGTTACCGGTATTCAGGAAGGTCGACGACTGGCTGATAATATCCAGAAGGTATGCTGATGATACCCCTTTAATACCGATGTGATTGCTAACCGGTACAGTTCCTTCTCCATCTTCTGACCTCTAACCTGGCGCAAGTCGTTCTTCTTCTTATCGGTCTTGCCTTTAAGGACGAGAATGGCTACGCTGTGTTCCCGCTGTCCCCCTTGGAGATTCTCTGGGCCAACCTTGTCACGTCATCGCCTCTTGCTTTGGGTCTGGGTTTGGAAGAGGCTTCCCCTGATATTCTCCGCCGACCCCCTCGCAGCTTGCGCAGTGGTGTCTTTACCTTTGACTTGGTCCGTGACCAGCTTGTATACGGATTCTGCTCAGGCTCTCTGTGTCTGGCCTCGTTCATGATTGTCAACTATGCCGCGTCTGGCCAGGGTTACTATAGCATGGTGCATGGCTGCAACGACAGTGGAACTGTTGGGTGTGACCTTGTCTACCGCGCTCGTGCCACGACCTTTTCTACTTTGGCATTCTTACTGCTCGTCACTGCCTGGGAGGTGAAGCACTTCCACCGCAGTCTGTTTAACATGGATGAGCGCGCAACGGGTCCTTTCTCTGTGTTCAAGACCATCTACCACAACAAGTTCCTCTTCTGGTCCGTGGTTGCCGGTTTTGTCATGGTTTTCCCCATTGTGTACATCCCCTACCTCAACACCGAGGTCTTCAAGCACAAGGGCCTCACTTGGGAGTGGGGAGTCGTGGCTGGCTGCGTCGTTGTATATGTCGCTCTTATTGAGGCATGGAAGGCATGCAAGAGACGTTTTAAGCTTGGCATCGACTCACACCCTGTAACCCAGGGCCGGGCTGATGTCTAAGTTCCGTAGGGACTGGAAGTCGGAGGAGTAAAATGGTTTGAAGTGAAATGGTGTAAGTAGTGGTGAGTTGGAGGACAGGTTTTTGGGACATTTGCATGGTATTCAGATTGTTTGATATTATACTTCTTGCTATTATCCTCTAGTCAATACATTTCCTGTCGAAGAAACCCTTCGTTCCGCAACTCCGTGATTAAAAATTCTCTATGTGATTGAAAAACCTTTCGTAAGAGCCCTGGTATCGCTGCAGCTATTGTTGCTGTCAGGCCAAGGGTACTCCATTCGTGATGGTGCCGGCACCTGGAACGGTCTAGTCTAATTTGACACGGACCCGTTCGTTGTTTGTTGTAATCATGTCGGGTCATTCAGGTCCATTATTTACTCGTCCTTGGCCTTCTTGATAGGGTTTCCGTCCTTGTCGGCCAAGCCCTTTGCTTGCATGGCCTTGATGGCATCGTGGATGGGATCAAGCTCGGGCATAGGAGCACGGTGCGAGTCCCAGTAGCTGTCGGCCCATGTGAAGTACTGGCCGTAGTTGCAGGTGAAGTACATGTGGTGCAGAGTGTGGTGGGCAGGGCTGTTGATGAACTTTTCGAGCCAATGGCCAGTGATCATGTCGCCGTCGTGGATAAGAATGGTCCAGACTTGAACGCAGACGAAGAGGAACATGTAGAGGTGCTTCTGCATGGGGCAGATGTAGACAAAGATGCTGTTCAAGTCAGCACGGAGCTCCAATTGCAGAGTAGGAGTCGCAACTTACTGGTAGGGAAGGGATTGGACATAGCCGTCAACAGGGTGGAAGGCAATGGCGGCCCAGGGAGTAGGAACTGAAGCTCATGTTAGTATGGTGATTGGTGAAGAGCTGGGGTTTGACATACCAATCCACTTGTGGTGAGGCTTGTGGACGTATTTGTAGATGCTGGGATGATGCTCCAGACGGTGAATCCAGTAGATGCCAAGATCGTTAAAGACCATGTACAGAAGAGTCGACACGCCCAGCCACGCCCATCCGTACTCGTCAACTCGGGTGTATAGCAAGCTATGGCCGCGGACTTCTCCCAGGAAGAAAGGGAGGGTGAGGAGGTCGATAATGGGGATGGCGAAGAAACTTGACTGGATCTCTTGCTTGATCTGGTTCTTGAGGAATCGAGGGTGGTGTTCGAGACGGCGGTCAAAGACCAAGTAGTAGGAGAGGGCGGCAGAGAGGACATAGATGAAGGCGGCGCCGAAGCCAGCGATCATGAGAATAGAGGCGCTCTGGCGGTAGATGTCGTCGCGAGGCAGCGAAGAGCCGAAGTTGAGAGAGTACTCATCGTCAAAGTTCTTGGTCGAGGCGGCGTAGGCTGTTGAATTTCCGTATGCTGTCGATTGGAGCTGTGTTTGTTGGGGGAAGAAGTAGGCGTATCCGTGGTCGAAGACGTACGGGTCGAGAAGATCGAGTATAGCGTCCATTTTGGAAGCGATTTGAGGGCGATTGGGTTATTACAGCTACACCAAAAAAAGAAGACAAGCGAGAGAAGACTTTGGAGGAGGAGGAAGGAGATTGATAAGAGACCCGATCCCTTGAGAATCAGGTCATGCATGCAATTTTCCTTATTATTAAGATGAGATAGGAGCTCCGCTGAAATGTTGCCCGAGAGGGCGACAGCGGGTGTGTTAGCGGCTTAGCGCACTTAATTTTAATGGCGGATTCCCAGTCCCCACAGGGGTCCCACGTCTTTACAGGTGAAGGGGGGTTCGCTAAGCCGTTGTGCCTGGATTGGCACATCTTGATCTTATCGTGATTGGAGCGGGGGGTCCAGCCCGTCAGATCCCTCCCCCCCCCTTAGACCAACCAATTCCCGAGTTTTCTCTCTTTTTTTTCGTCCTGGAAGAGAAAACGAATACGAACTAGAGAACGGTTCACGTATACAAAGAACAAACAAGAAGGACACACGCTCTCCACATAATCTCTTCAGCGCTGGCCAATAATGCTATACCGTTCAGGACCGGATGATGGGCTGCCGGATCATGCTATCTTCACTTTCGCGCATGCCTCTGCATTTATCCTCCAGGTCGATAACTCCGTCTGTATATCCGATGCTCTTTTCGTGTTCGACGATCTTGTGCGCCCACGCCTCATTGTCAATGTCCCATGTCCCCAGTGACTCAAAGCCATGTTTAGTGTAGAGTCCGTGACCTTCAACTGAGGATACAATGATCGTTGGCGCGTTGACGGCATCGGCTTTGTCAGTGACGGACTTGAGGAGATGGCCGCCGATGCCTTTTCGTTGGTGCTGCGGGTCAACCATTATATGCATCACCTCTGCGCCGCATCGTGTTAGCGAGCCAACAACAACAAAGTAACCAAAAAGACAAAAAAGCAAAAGGTGCAATTGAGTTTCATTTTCACCACAACTTACCAAAATGGTCTCTCCCATCAAGAGCCTTCTCCTTTGAGGCATCCATCTCCTCACTGCGCGCATTGAACCATTGCCACAGCTCCTCCATGTGTTTCTTGATTGTCCAAACTGATGGCGGCGCAGGCGCAGGCGGTGGCTGCTCGCTCGCGTTCGAGTTCGGCTTATTGCTACTACCACTATCGGTGTTGTTCTTGTTCTTGACCTCCGTGACCTCCGTGTAGCGCACGAACCCAACCGTCTGCCCCGCCTCCTCGGCGACGGAGAAGTGCTGTGTCGGGTTCTGTAGCGCGTTGCGAGTAGCGATCGGGATTAGCTCACGGGGATGGCGCTGGAAGAATGCTGCGTAGAAATCATTGTATGTCTCCAGTGCCGAGGAGTGGATGTTTGCAATGGCGTCGCTGTCAGCTAGGGTGGCGGGGCGTACGGTAATTGAAGACATTGCTGTTATATTAAATTTAGGTAGGAACTGTGCTGGTACTAATTATTCCAAGGTCTTGGCTTAGCTTTTGTAGGTTTTGCGACAATTGAGGCGAGCTAGGAGGGGCGTTTGTATGACCCCCAATGAGGAAGCTGGTGTTTTGGGTCTATCTTAGCCTTACCGTGTGAGTCAGCCGGTGACGATTCCAGAGGGACGTTAGGGAGGATTCGTGTAGGAGACAGTAGCTTAGTTCTATACAATCCTTCAATTATACACTTGATGTATATCTTGAGAAGTTCTTGGATCTTGATTGAGTTGGAAATATTCCTGGTTGGGCATGCTCCTAGAATTCTTATCGGAACATGGAGTTTATCTATTATTGACTTGTGATACGAACGGTTCTCTTATACCACAGTGTTATGTGTACTACGACTATCTATTCCGACGCTGGAGATCGCCTTCTCGCTTATGTATGGACTTTGGGGAATGATTGTTCTTTATCGCGTGCTCTCAGGCTAGACCTCATACATAATCGCCTGGGGTTATCTTTAGGCTGACATGATGCGATGCGCGATACCGAATGAGGATTGACGTTGAAGACTTATAGCCAATTCTGGCTCAACTCTTCATTCTACACTCGTCTCTTTCAATGCCCATCAATTGACGTTTGTTCCACTTGCCCCATCTCAACTCCTTTTTAGTAGACGCCACAATGAGGCTCATCCAATATGCTAAGATGTTGCTGTTGATGATGTATCATCATCTCACTTACTTCGTGACTGGCCCCAAGCGAGATTATTAGGTAGAAAAGACCAATCTCTCCAAGCAAAACTCTTAGACTACTCAGAGGTATCTCTACCAATTTTCATTATATCTTGTTCACTCTAATGCCAATCCCTTTAATTCATGTCAAGAAAGCATTGGGAAAAAGAGAAGGCGCCTGCAAGGCTATAGGCCACTAACAAAAAAGGTGGCCCAAGCGTCTCTCCTTCCCCTACTGATTGGTAGCTATGACATAGGCAGCCTTGACTTGATGGACCTTGAATTAGCATCTTCACTTTTACACTTTACACTTGACATTTTATACTATTCTTAACACGACTTATTTGATCAATGGTTCTCTGCCAGTATCTTTTGCTTCTCAAAGAAGCCTTTGCAGACTGGGTCACAACATGAGCGAACCCCTAAGTTCAGAGCCACCAGCAAAATGTCGCCTCCACCAATGCTAAAGACAATCCGGTCGCTCAAGGATTCCACGTTCGAAGCCTGCGCAGCCATCAGCGCACATTTGAAGGCATCTGCGTCTGCACCCGCGTCATCGGAAATTGAGTTTAAAGCTGGAAGAAATGACCTCAAGCCTGTGGTTGTAGAATTGAGACTCCTTGGAGGCGCCCTTCACAGTCTCGAGTCTCTCATCACTGAGTTGTCAGACATCGACACATCTGCCGACAGTACACTCGGCATCACTCCCAGCGCCTCGGGCTCCGTCTCAGAAAACGACCTGGAACGAGAGTGGGCACTGATTGATGGATGCGAGATACTGGTCACTGCTCTCAAATCGTTTCACGCATACGCAACCTTGGACGGAATCAAAGCTGCAAGATCATCGCTCTTGGATATTCGCTCCAAGCTTGCCTTTGTGCTTGGATCTTCAGAGTCAATCGAGGATATCTCATTGCAGTTTTCGATACTTGGTTCGAACTCCATTCCGCAGCTTATGGTTCAGAAGAATGATGACACAGAGACTGTCGAATCGCCAGCGCACATGCGATACGGTGACGAGTATGAAGATCCAAGCCCCGAAGATGTCTCCGTCTGGTTGACTGTCTTGAATTCACCAGAAAATGAGCGCGAGCCAGCAGAGTATAGTCAAGAGACCGCATTGGTCCAGTCACGTCGAATCACGGAGCCGGTGTATCGAGTGGCAGCTACCAGGTGGCCAGAGTATGCCGAGAAGTACTGGGCAAAGCTCAGACCACAAGTTTGCTCCCTCTTCAATATCCAAAAGTCATACAGATTTGTGCAGTGGGCTCTGGAATACGCGAGGGAGACATATCCTCGTACACTGGGTTCCTTGGCTTTATCTCCAAGGCTGCTGCTTGAACTGACAGATGCACTTTGCGATGGATCAGTGTCTTCGCTTCATATTGCTGCCGCTCTTGGTTTACCCAGTCTTTGCAGAGATCTCCTGTCAATGGGTGCCGACGTCAACCAATCGAGTCTCATGGGCACACCCTTGTATTGCGCCTTGATGGGTGGTAAAGTCTTTGCTACCCGCACGGAGCCAGAATCATGGACGACTTTACTTGTTGGTGGCGATTCCAATGTTGACCAGGCGGCGACCGTTCTATTGTTCCTTGACAAGGGCGCGGATTGCACTTACCAGTACTGCTGGAAAAATGCCACTGAAGAAGTCTCACTGGCGGGTTTGGCGTTTTGGACTGCTATGATCAGTAAACATGAAGCAATCTTTACACGCATTGTAAAAGGAGGAGGCATTCTGGATCGTGCATTCCGTCAGTTTTTGCAAAAAGAGACCTTGGTGCGGCGTGGTATGCTTCACCGGTCCCGATTTGCACGCTTACTCACTTATGTCTACGACCTGACATTGCTTGATATCGAAAGAGAAGGTCAAGAATACCACGAACTGCAAGACCTAGTATCCAAAGCCATGAGGCACAGCAACGTCAAGTTCGCCCCTATGGTCGACGGGAAAATTGAGACACTGAGTGACGAGAACTTTGCAGAAGTCACCCGAACCGCTGTACTGGATTTCAATGTGAAACTGGTGGAACGTTTGACCAAAGATCCCAGATTTGACCCTAATCTACCTTACGATGGAAGGTCTGGTACAATTCTTCATATGGCTACCGAGGGTGCACAGCTTGACATCATGGATATTCTTATTCGTGCTGGAGCCGATGTGAGAGCCAGAGACTCAAATGGTCGAACACCACTCATGGTGATCGAGGAGGTCGGACCATTGGCGAAACTAATTTCGGACCATGCTGCCCCTACTTACGATACAGATAATGGTGGTCGTAACATTTGGCACCTTCTCGCGACTACGAATGATGTTGAATTACTAGAGTTTCTTTGGGACAGAGATCCTCATAGGCTCTCCAACCTTGACGCAGTGTGTCAAGATGGACATACACCGCTAAAGGCTGCCTTTGCCTACGTCAGGAATCTTGAAGCGCTCCCTAAAGGATCAAAGGCGATTGTTCCTTCAGCAGCCAAGTTTCTGCTCGAGAAGTGCCAAGGGAATTTGCGAGCAGAGGGGAACGAACAGCTAGCCCGCTGGGCCGTCGAATGGGGCAATTTTCCGCTCCTCCAGCAGATATTTCAGATCATTCCCGAGGCCAATGTGAAGGATGAATCACTTCTTAAGTCGCTCAACATGTCAGCCCACCCAAAGCTCATCTCACTCGTTCTTAGCAAGTCTGGGCCTTCTCGTCCATTCCCTGATGGCACGACGGCGGCAGAGACGGTCATTACCAACGTCAAGCTTTCAAAAGGCTCAAGCGGTTTCGGCAAACCAACTGCCCATCCGTCTTGTTTCCCGGCCATTACGCGTGCCGCCTACTTGGAACTCCTCACTCCGGAAGTTCTCAGGTCTCGGGACAGCCACGGACGAGGCATCTGGGCGCGATTCTGCGATGATGTTCTCCAGCTGCTCAGCGGTCCATCGGCTGAGCACCCGTCAAACCTCTACTTCCTTGCGGCTTTCATGCGCATGGCTATATCGTGCTTGGTCCGTAAAGGTGCCCATGCTGACTACGAAAAGGAGACAGGCTTGTGGGCGATCAGCCGCATAGCCACGCAAACAGACAGCTCTTTGAAACCGGTTTGGAAAGGCTGGCAGTTCCCTTTCATTTCAGCTGTCTTGGAAGCGAACTCGTCTGAGGATGAGGACGTTCGTCAAGGTTGTATTTCCAGTGATCTGGAAAGATTTCTTGATACATCGGACGCGGCGCGGCTTCTCAAACAAGCAGTGGGTTCCCGCCAGCCAGAATTTGTCAAGCTGCTCGTTCAAAGCGGCATCAATGTGCACAAGCCTTGGGACATTCTCGGCCACAAAACAGTTTTTGAATGCTTCCTTGCTGATCGCCCAGTGGATGTTGCGATGATTCGGCCATTGCTCAGTAATACCAAGCCAGAGGAGATTATTGTCAGCCAATACTTTACCTTTCGAGAGGCTATATGTACATCAGATGAATCGATGTCCGTGGAGATAATCGGTCAACTCATTGACTGCGGAATGGACGTTAACAAGCTACCAGCAAACGAGTAAGTCTGATCTAATGAGCAACGCCCTAAGTTATGACAAGCCCAAATGTGTTCTAACTTATTGCAATAGTCGCCATATACTTACAGCACCGTGGCTGGATCCGCCATACCCCTCAATGTTGATGATGGCCGTCATGCATGGGAAGCATGGTGTAGCACGCATGTTGATTGATCGCGGCGCAGACGCCTCTCTGGCTCCCCCAAATTCGATGAGTCCATATATCATGACTGTCAAAGAGGGTTATGTGGCTGTCCTAGAAGCCATCGTCGACAGGGCGCCTATTGACTTTGACTGGCTATGCTCGCACGATTACCAGGAAGATTCTGACACCTACAATGCCCTTCAGCTCGCTGCAGTCGGGGGTCACCGCGATGTTTTAACAACACTCTTGGAAGCCACGCCATTGATCAATAAGATCAACACCACCAGTCCGCGCCATTGTAGCTCACCAGCTCATCTGGCAGCTAGATCCGGATCTTTGGACTGTGTTAAGGTTTTGATAAGATTCGGAGCAAACTTCCATGCGAAGGATTTATCTGGCAGAACACCTCTTTTCTTGGCTATTATTAGCGGCAACCGAGAACTTATTGACTATCTCAAGGAGCATCTATTGGACCCCGATAGTGGCTATGATCTTGGCATCTCATTGCTGAGGCCAGTCTCCCCAGATCACCAATTTGATCGCGAGATGATAGATGTTTCATCTGATGAACCTCATGAATTCAAAGACCTAGAGCCAAAGCGACTAGGGGCCATGATCGCTGACGCGATCGATCATTATCAGCTCAACCGCGATGCCCTGTTTGGCTCGTTTCTTGACCATGCGTCGAAAAAAGACATAGAGTCAGCAATCATGCCATGTGGAGGATGTACCCTTCTCAGCTATACTGCCGCGAAAAAACGTATTCGCCCTGTGCTGGAACTCTTGGATTTGGGGTTTAAGGGGTTTGTCGCAGGCTGCGAAGAGCACTGGCCTGATGGCTACAATGCACTTGTCAATGGATGTATAGATCTGAAGTCCCTGATGGCATTTGATATCTTTATATCTGCCGAGAAAGTGTATTCTTTCTTTGAGAAGTGTTTGGACGCATATCTACAAGAGGGGAGGTTATGGTTTCATCTCAAAATATCTCCTATCTTTGCACTGTTTGACTTCACCCAGACCACGGGTAAGGCGAGCATAGAGCATCAGACTCATGTCCTTAAAATATTTCTTGATCACCTCACTGAACATGCCGCGGAATATTGGTAAGTGTAGCTAAGAATGACCAAAGATGTTTGCTAACAGCGACAGGGCTTTGATGGAAAGATCTGGAATTCCCAACCTCCACGACTTTTCCAAAGAAGAGAATATTGCAAAGAGGGTCTTACACTTCGCTACAAACCTGCGCAGTCAACCCTATACAGAAGATAATCGATCACTCGACACCACGGTATTACATGGCTTAATGCGATCCTACGTGCGAGAGAACATTATGGCCAGAAGCTATGAGCCGTATATCAACGCGGCCAATCTTCTTCTCGATAGCGGAATGGATATCAATGCGCAAGACAGAAGCTTGACCACACCCTTGCATTTGGCTGTCGACTATGGCATTCTACCCTTCGTCGATCTCCTCTTGGAAGCAGGCGCCAACCCAAATGTTGCTAATGCCGACGGTATATCCCCTCTTACAATGTCTGTTCATAGCGGGCCCCTCGACGTAACTCGCTCTCTACTGAACCACGGCGCTGATCCCGCAATCTTCACTGGCGTCACCATTGCCGACATTGAGGGGGAGCTGGAAATGTTACACGAGTTGTTAGAAATGGGCCTAGACCCATATGGTTGCGTCCCTGGTCTGCCGAGTACTCTTGCAAGTTTGATTTCCTGGAGCCCAGGAGCAAGATCATATGCACTGAACGGGAACTTTGACTTCTACCAGGTCGTGGAGCGAGAATCGTTCCTCTTCTGCATAAATTTCGGCGAGGCACCATCATTCCCACCTATCGGGCTCAAGGCGATCATGAAACGCCTACCGCAAGAGTGTCTAGTTGATCTCGTGAACTTTGAACAACACGCCGGTCTCAGCCCGGGATGTATCGCTATCCTCGGTGATAAATCGGAGTATTTGAAACTGTTACTCGATGCCGGTTTAGATATCGAGCGCGAGTGGCACGACAAGGGGACAGTACTAATGTTTGCTGCCAGTCTTGGGGCATCTGGTTGCTTCAAGACACTTGTTCGGTACGGGGCTATGCTTTCGTACCTGGGGACTGGCAGAAGAGGTGAAGTCGTGGTTAAGTCTATAGTGGAAGAAGTAAGACGCTATCCCAAACTTCTGCAGTGGCTTTTCGTCGATCGTCACTACGAGACAAAATGTCTCACGGCAGTGGAACATTCTGGACCGTTTGCTGCTACCAAGCCATGGTCTGGTCCACACAAGGCAGCGTACAGTTTTGCAGGTTGCGGTGAAGAATACCCACGGCTGCGAAGCGAGTCTATGATAGACTACCTCTGTCGGGCGGCGAGAGTGCGCAGAGATCTGAGAGGAAAAACACTGCCCGTCACTCTTGTAGACTAGATTCGCGTGTTATTTTTGTTGTGGAGTTGTGTATATTGCAAAGCGTGGTCGTCATTCGTGGTTTTGAACACAACGGCTGTATGAGCTTTATGTACTATTATACACTTGGGATACGTGCGTCTGGAGTTGAAACTCGGCATTAGGTATAGCGGTATTGTGGGTTTTGATAGTTGATAGGAATACATATTTATGTAATTGACATGCTTCCTGAGTTATGGTCCAGAGATTGTACATTAAAGAACGACCATATGGGAGTAAGGAAGTAACAGAGTAAGAACTGTACTAGAGACAAGAGAATTGGCTGATCAGGTCGCCATGATAGGCTTATTCGGAAATATGAGTGCTCGAGCAAAGGATGGTCTCCAAACATACATAATCTCAAGGTCTTCAAATCACTGAACCCATGATACAGTATCTAGTGTTTCACAAACAGGCCTCCTATGATCTCAAGATGACTTGCTTATGCTCTTGTTATTTCCATAAAGTTGGTTGGTCGGACAATTCATCTGGTTCCAAGCCCCTGGGTGAACTCAAACGCCATGGGCGCGGAAACCATCGGAGAGTTGCTAGCCTTAAAATAAGGCACTTGGTGGCAGACCCCTTTTTCCTCTTCGTGAAGGAATTCAAGTGGGTTATTGATTTTGGGGTGAGCAGCTGAATAATGGCATGACTGTGTTCAGGGAGGGGTACAGTTGAGTTTTATCTCATGAAGCTTAGTATTGCAATATGGAATGCTGTCGTAACGCCTAGATTCAAGTTGTGTACGTTCCAAGGTCACAGAATATGAGATAGAAGCAGGGCACGGCGGTATGACTGCTTGATGCGCTGAACTTTGTCTTTTAGATTGTGAATTATGGTCGTAAATCATTCTCTAGGCCGTTAAGAGTACATATAGGTATTCCAAAACATCAAATATCCCGCCGGTACAATATACAAGAACAAGTCCTCCGATGATTAACGCTCGTATTCATACCATCGTGTAATTTTCCAAATCTTCATGTATCCACCTAGATTGGTGAAACAATCATCACCACATACTTGACATAGCCCTCGTTATCCTTGAGAGGTGTCCAATGGCTCATCATTTTGGCCGGTTTCTTGGGTACCCCGTCCATACTGTCGCCGCCTATTGTCCTTGCCACGTTGGCTCGACGTGGAATGTGGTTCGCAAGTGCAAGGTCAAGCGAAACAGACTTTCCATCACGGACGACTAGATCTCGAACGGTCGATTTAAATGCCTTCGTAACTGATGGTAAAGTCGCTTGTTCCGTCATAATATCAAAAATATCCTTGCCGACGATCGCTTCACCCGGCATTCCAAGGTCGAGCGCCTCCAGCATCTCCTTGGAATAGAAAGAAACGCACAACTTTGGCGGGTACTTCATTTCCTGGTCGAGGGGCATAGCTCCGAGGGATGCCGGATAGGATGGTACATGCTCCAAGATCATATACCGAGCGTAGGTAGACATTAGCATTTCGGGTTGGTTTGGGAACCTCCTGATGACGCTTCGTGTGCTGTATGTCTTGTCCAGGGTCGTCGTAGGTCCAGTTGATGATCGAGGTCTGTCGGAGCTGCGGCGGGGGCTTAACGGTGGCGATAGAGGAGGCGGAGGCCCCTTCTTAAAAGACTTAAAGAACCCTCCCTTCTTTTCTGCCTTGTAGTGGTTCTTCTTGATGGAGAGTACCTCCTCGGCTTCGGGTTCGCCTTGAGATCCATCACTACTGGCCCAACGAGAACTAGCACGTTCTATCATCTTTTCTTCCTCAGCGGCACCGTAGGACAGAATCTTAAGAACGTCATCAGTACCATGGATGGATGATGAAACATCAATCTGGGCGCCCATGAAGAATTTTGTTTTTCCGGCACTGTCGAGAAGTGGGCATAGGAACAGGAGATTCCAGAATGGCGTTCCATCCTTTCGGAAGTTCAGGATCAATTCCGTACACTCGTCGTTGCGCCAGATTGCAGAGCGCATTCTGGCTATTCCTTCTCGATCAGTCTGCGGTCCTTGAAGAAACCGGCAGTTGTGGGCCAGAACTTCATTTCGCGCATATCCCGTCAGCTCCTCAAACTCATCCGAGGCAAAGGTGATGGGGTTTCCAGTTCGTGCTGGATCGCTGAGACAGAATGATCCCTTAAGTCCAGGGTACGGATTCGGTGGTGAGTCGCCTTCTGCGTCAAGGGAAAGAGCCAGACTGGTACACTGTGATAGCTGCTGCTTGACGAAATCGGGAAAGATCTCTCTAACAATGCGCTGCTCGACGTAGGCCTTGGACTCAAGAAACATGTTTTCCAGACTCGGAATCAGCGATGTCATGAGATGCTTGATGTTTGTGTTAAGGGCCTTGGATATCGGCGAAGGGAGGTTGATTGGTGACGTTGCGGTGATAGAGGTGTATGAGGTTGATATTGTGGATAGTTGGATGACCACCTGCTCCAAGGATTGGATGTAGTCGCGAATCTGTTTATCGGGTCAGTCTGCGATGATACTACAACTTATATGAGATCTCACCTTCATGAGATAGTCAACATTTTGACCAACTCCCCGACTGGCAGCAAATTTCCATAGTTGACCACTCGCAGCATGATCGGCCATGACCATGTCAAACATTTCGCGTCCAATGATATCGGATAGAGGCAACTCGCCAGAGCTATCAGACTCAGTATAGGCGATGCTGGACCTCTGACTTCTTGATGAAGTTACTGAGTCAATGCTTCTCAACCTCTCACCTGACCATTGTCCCAAGCCATTGCTGTACATGCCCGCGCGCGGTGTGCCATCAGGGTGATAGTCAGTATACTGCCTCAGGATATCCTCATTGGTGTGTAGTGAAAGACCGGAATTGCTGCGAAGGCGGTATGATGAGAACTTTGCGCTCTTTGGGCGGCTTGATCTGCTTTTAGGTGGTGACTGAAGACCTCCCAGGGAATCGGTATTGTGGTTGGACATGGCTGGTGTTGTGGAACGACGACGTTCAAAATCGGGAAGAGAGGGGATGGGAGGTGGTTCGAAAGATCGGAGCGCATTAACAGTAGGCATTGCTTTTTTAATTATTGTGTCCCTCCAAGCGGGAGATCGGCAGGTCGGGGTATTCTTGTCTTAGGTGGTGTAATAAGATGCGATACACAAGACAGTGCGGTATTAGAATGGTTGAATGTTCCAGAGCGCACCAAAGGTGTGAGAGCGAAGAGAATTAAAATATGTGTATCCGGACTCTCGTGTAATGAGTGAGAGTAAAAGCAGTTGTGGTGGAATGTTGAAAGCGACAGTATAAAATCTTACAAAATCAAGACCATAGTGGGTGAGAGATAATAGAATGGGGGGATGTAAGTTATCAGATTGGACGGAAGATGAGAGAATGGAAGAAGGAAGGAAAGAATGGGACCCTACTTCGAATAAGAAGAGTAGGTACGTAGTAGCAGGAACAGGAGCAGGAGCAACAAGAGGAAGAGCACAGGCACAGACAGGCACAGACAGGCACAGACAGGCACAGACAGGCAAGAGCAGACCAAACCCTCGTCAGATTCAAGCAGTACTACTCGCGACTCGCGGAACAGGAGCAGCCCACGATCGCTTAATACCACCTTGGGCTGCCTTTCCAGACTGACTCGTTCCCTAATGCAATTTAGTGGACCACTAAGGTAAGCTTGCGGGGGCGGGCCAAGTCGGGTTGGACCAAACTTGGCCGAAAGTCCACTAACAAATCCAGTGGCTTGGGGCTTCCTTCCGCCTTCCATGCTAGGTCCTGTGCTTAGCGCTGCATGCTGCATGTTGCAGTTGCCGTTGCAGTCGGGTTTGCAGCTGGAGTTGCAGTGAGCGACACGGAAGGTTCGCCTGGGTCCTAGCGGACTGCAAGGACCCATTTGAGCTGAAGACTCCTAACCGACCAACCAACCTGCCGCGACTGACTGCCATATCCACCTCGTACCGTGTTGAAAGTTGTGGATATGGAAATCGAAGAATTAATCCATTAGCATGGCCGTGGCAATGGAGGTTGCTGTCAGGTTGTCAAGACAAAGACCCTAGACCCTAGACCCTTACCCTTGACTGGCCCAACATTTCTCGGACTTTCCAAGTTCCCCTAGGGCTAACGCAAAAACTATCGAGGCTAACAACTGGGAACCACGAACGGATCGGTCCAGAGCCTGCGGTGGCTGACAGGAGGCGCCGATCCAACTGCGGGCTGCTCTCCCAAAAGAGTCAAGAAGGAAAACTGAAGAAAAAAAAAGGCCCAGCGATCTACGACCCGACGACACGGGCCGGGCGAGGAGGGTGTTGGTTTGCTCACTGCGTTTCTCAGTTGAGTCAAGAGCCACCGTTATTCTCGATGAAATGGAATAAATTTGGATTCATGGCGTTGAAAGGTTACGTGTTGTCGGGACGAGAATGACATAGCGACTGTGCTTCTGTGTTTTTTATGCACCATGAAAAGTTAAGTGTGCCCGATGAATGCAAACACTTTGGGGAGAGTCAATCAGAAGGATCGGCAAGGATACACCGCAGGGCCGCTAAAGAAAGAGAAAGAAGAGAGACATCTGCAGCGGTGGAGTTGTTTTCTCATCAATTCATCTGAAACATCGAGGTTGCATTAAAGACCCTTGCTCAGTTATACATACATCAATTACCATTCAATTAAGAAGGAGATTACCAGTGACAGCCTGCTAACGTACTTAGGGAGCTGCTTGTGTTAGCACATGATCTCATCTTCGTATTCAATAGTTTCAAAGGTCAGAGATAGAGTTGCGGGTTAACATGTCCACATTCCCTCGATCGCGACATAGCCGTCGATAATGCGATGGTTAACAAGAGGTTCCAGCCACCGCTCTCGGATCGACGGGTCAAGCAAGATCCTTGCGGCAATCATCCAAATTGGGTCATGATGAGCGATAGAACAAGTGAGCCGAGGTATGCAAATATCATCATCATCATAATGAGCAAATGCCATTCTGAAGAATTGACCATCTGGCTGAGGGAAGACCGTAAAGTGTTGGTCTGCTTCACACTAAAACGGCCATGTCTTTGCCCATTTCAAATTGTGTGAGAGCAGCGTATCCGCAGTATAATCCACCGAATCGCGTCGGCCCGTTGAGGAGATAGGTTGGGATCTAGTGCCACACCGTCATGTATCGGGCTCTGTCTCTGTCTCCAATCTGTTAGTCGTGGAGGATTGATCCTTGTCACTTGTCTCCAAGCATTAATCCCGGTAACTTGGTCTTGTCTTGCTTTTTCCCTCCAATCCGTCCCGCCTGACATCTGCATGTAGATTTATCAAGAAACCAGGGATGCCTGCAATTCATCTCAATAGCAACAACCATCTATTGATTTCACATGCTCGCCCGATTGAGCTTTGTTGCTGCGGTGCTCTGATACCCTGGCTATTGGTTGCATTCGCGAATCGAGTATACAAGACCCTATTTGCTATTATTACTCCGTTTAGGGAGTCCTTCTTATTGCTCGGACCTTTCTTGGGCTTTTCTTGTGTTGTTTGGCTTGCTTCTCTGTTGCTTTCCCCTCCATTTGCACGGACGTTGTTATCGTGGAGGTTCCGTCCTTCGGCACGTGCGGCTGATGCAATGCATCGTTAATAGCCTCTCACCTGGACGAAGCACAGATGCCACTTGACAATTCCGATGCATGAATTGTCACAGCGGCCTTGTGTTGTTGTCGCTGTTGTTGTTGACCACGTTCATCACATTTTCAAACAAAATAGATACTTGTAACCTCCTAGTACTGACTTGGTAATTGCCCAGCAATGACACGACGCTGCATGCGCAGCCCACTGATCTTCCGCAGCTTCACACCATCACGAGTCGTCTCCACGTTGCAAAGTCTATTAGTGCTACGGCACCTGCATGAGTCGCAATGGGCTGACAGCGCGGAAAACCCTGAGGGTTCCTGTGTCTAAATCTTTGTGTGCTGAAACAGCGCTGGCTACGTCTTCTAGGGGCGCTAGAACATGCAACGTGGAATATTAGCGATCAAGTATTGTTTTTATCGCGATTGGTTCAAGACTTTTCAACGGCGATTCAGTCAAGCGTTTATGGGTATTCTAGTCGTTAGAAACTTATCATGTTTCTAAACTGTCCATTGTTTCAACGCACTAACCAAAGACTCGAGCTTTGGTTTCAGGATATATGTGTACAGGGTAGGTCACACTGAACAAGTACCTGGACTTCGTTGCTGTAAGTCCTCCCTATATTACCGATGGAAAGACTACAACCTGGGTGCCATTGTCATCATGTCTAGAAACAAAGAACATGAGTATCTGCCATTAGAAACAACTTCAGGATAAAGATGACAGTCTTGACGCTAGGTGAGTGTCACAAATCTAAGGGGGAAATGTAACAACAATTATAGCCATGAACAAGGTCAATCGACTACATAACAACTTTGAGATTTGGATTGTGTGAACATCTTTGTGTTTGAACTATTGTATGTTTAAGTGTCAGTATTAATTGAACCACTTGTTTTGTTAGATAGCGTGCCCGGTGTTCATTGTTCTGATAAGTAACCTCGTTTGTCGAGAGCCTGCCTGCGCCAGGCCCCATATGCTCTCGTACCAGGAGCTCATTTCATCTCAACTACTCAATGGATTAATCCCAACTCTTCAAGGAGCGCAAGAGATACTGAAACTCTTCAGGCAGTGATTCAGTTCCCCGCTTTCTGCACTCACACTCCTTCTCTCGAGACCAAAACCATTCATCCTCATCCTTTCTTCGACCTCTCATCCTCTCTCCATCTTCACTTTTCATCTTCTCTTGACCTTCTCAACTCTGCTGAGCAACCTCACCTTCAATCTTTCTTTTCTTGTCGCTTATCTCTACCTACTTGAGTTCATCAGCTGAGGTAGGCAGGTCAGCTTCATGATCTTCAACTGCTTCCCTCAAGTCCCTACATTCTCTTCATCAGCTTCCCTTAAATTCCCACATCCTCTTCAACAGCTTCGGTCTGACGCTGGCCATTTCTAAAAACAAGGTCCAGCTAATCGACTTCAACATTTGCTGCACTTTACTACCCCGTCTATCCCATGGTTATCGCTTGTAGATTCTGGTAAGATTACCTGGCTTGGTTTTCTATCCTTTAGGCCATGAGAACTTTGGAAAACTAACGAGACTAGATTCTCCATGCATTCTACACCTCCAACCACTGGCACACCAGGTCCGTTAGAGGCGGTGATGTGCGACCCTGCCAACACTGTAACTACCAGTGGTGGAGTCGCCGCAACCGCCTCCGCAATGGAACATCCTCCTTCTTCTGCTTCTAATTCGATTGAAGACGCTGTGATGGATGACCTGGAGCGTGCTATTCGCCGCGATGTCCATGAAGCAACTCTTGCAGAAAACACCGACGCGCTTCAAGAACAGACGCCTCCTGCTAGCAGCGAGCTTGACGCTGCCAGAATTCGGGAAACTCACCAGAACCAAGTAAAACAAGAAGATCTGGAAGGCTCGCTTTTTATTAAGGACAAGCCAGAATACATCGTTATCGACGACTCCGATAGCGAACAAGCAGACGAGCTGAGCGACGATGTAGCTACGGACTCGATTGATGAAAATGGTTCAGAGTATGACCCCGCGGATCATTCTGATTCGGAAGCTGAAGATCCTTCGGCACACGATGGCAAACTTCAACCGTCCATTCCTGGAGAAGATGTGTCCCAAAAGCTTGTGGAGCTCGGGCTACAAGAAATGAAACTCAGAACCAAGTCTGAATATGCTCGCCTTGACGATGAAGAACAGCAAATGTTGCTGGACATCGAAGAGAGCTTGGCCAAACTTCAGGATCCAACAACCCAGAATGTAGATGCCGGCCCTATGACAGCAAAGACAAACTCTGCCCCAAAAAAGAAACGCCGTAAACATATCAGGAATGTTCGGGAATACTTTGCTCGGAAACACGAGGAGGAAGATGAGAAAGACGCAGAAAGAGCGGAGAAGAAGCGCAAGCAAGAGGAGCAGAGTGGAGGGCCAAAGAAAAGAAGAACGACGGTCAAGCAACATCTCCATGGCGCTGCTGAGCGAAAAACCATCAAGATGCGAGGCAGAATCTTTCATGGCTTGAATGACGTTGAGGAAGACATTGCTCAAGGCAGTATCCCTACTATGGCCAGCTTTCAAGCCAGCACCAAGAAAGACCAGTGGCAGCAGCTCAAAAGGAGTATCCCAGAAGGAAGCGACCTCCGAAGGGTCCATACACAAGCGAAGGATCTTGACGAAGCCACCAAAATGTTTGGACGTGGGAAAATCAAGGCCAAAGACAGCACTTGGTTGATGAACGGCATGAACTGGCCTCTTCTCGACTACCAGCTCGCAGCAGTCGGTTGGATGATGAACAGAGAATGTGGTAGAAGCGGCCCATCTGGTGGTATCTTGGCGGATGCTCCAGGTCTGGGGAAGACTGTCATCAGCCTTGCCACCATTATCGGGAACCCCCCATGTGGACCCGAAGACAAGGAGTTCTGCCAAGCAACGTTGATTGGAGTGCCCAACAAGGATATTGCCATCCAGTGGAGAGATGAAGTAAGGAAGCACTGCAAAGAGGAGTATGCCGATAGCGTCATAATTTGGTCTCAAAGTATGGACATATCCATAGCAACGCTGAAGACCCAATGGATCATGTAAGTCATGTAATTATATCAATGACTGAGTAACGCTAACTTGCCCAGAATTACGACATACCATGCGATTATGTCACAGTTGCCCAAGCCAAAGGAGATCGCTGCGCTCAAAGAAGAGTGCGGAGAGGACCAAGATCGTTTCGAGCGTGAGTTGAACAGCCAGTCAGGCGCACTCCTACAAGTCAACTGGTATAGAGTGATTCTGGATGAGGCCCACCAGATCAAGAACCATGAAGCTCGCGGTAAGTATCTACTGTCTTGGAGAGTATCTCGACTAACTCATATAAAGTAACACTTGCTTGCTGGCAAATTAGATCTAAGTATCGTTGGGCTCTAACTGGCACTCCTCTCTCGAACAAGTTGACAGGTTAGTTCTCAGACTTGTTCAAAGCTCACCTATGCTGACCATTCACAGAAATCTTTCCCTACCTCAAGTTCATCGGATGCAATTTCACCAGAACTCTCAAAAACTTCTCATCCATGTACATCGGAAAAGTAAAGAGCGCTTCTGGAAATTGGTATGCTTGCTGACTTTGATACAGGAGTCAAACATGGACAACCTTGATACTCTCATCTCAATGATTATGATGCGAAGGTACTCACCCAACATCGTAGGTATATAGTACTGAGATTGTAGCTAATGTGTTTCAGAACTAACAAAGACACCTTTATGGGTCATCGGGTTCTTCTCCTCCCTGACGCCCACTCTCAGGATATCAGGATCTCACTATCGGCTGGTGAAGAGATGGTCTATGAGTAAGTGGCACTGATACACCAAACATATTTGGCTAATCAAAAATAAAAACAGGGCGGTTCATTTATACTACCACCGAATCATTCGTGCCCTGAAGCGCAAAATGGACGCCGGCTCTGGGGATGCCCAAGCCTTGATGCGACAGATTGAGATAATAATACTAGCCCGCCAAACACGCCTTCGGCAACTCACATCCCATCCGTTCACCATCGAGAAAGTTTTTCAAGAGAAACTTCGCGAGGATGACATTTTTGCGATTCGACGGGGGCTTGAAAAGAAGACTGTTGCCCCCGTCATAGACAGCCTGAGGGATGGAGACGGGGATTTTAACATGCTTTCAAAGTTCAGGATCGGCTTGCACTCAGTCGAGGCGATGGAAGAGGAAACTTTCGGTGGGAGCTTCAATATCATGAAACTCCTGGAGCTGGCGGAGAACGAGGCAAGAATCCGTGGCATACGCTGTGGCATTTGCAGCAAAAAGAACACACTGGTGTCACCACTTCAGGGGCTGAACGTAAGTGCATACTTGTAATTATTTCGCAGAAAATTCGAGGATCTAACGGTTTCAGTGCGAACACATCTTTTGCGAGGCCTGTCTCATAAAAATGCTCACTGGTGGGAGAATTAGATCCCTTGACGCGCTGGAGGAAGTGGCAGTAAGTTTTCGAGCGTCGAAAACAAACTAAGGGAACAGAGCTAACACGTCACTGGTAAAGTGTCCAGTCGATGGCTGTAAGGCAACACTTGGGGTTGGTGAGGACATCCAGACTCTCGTAACCATTCAGGAAGAAGTAAAGCAGAATGAAAACTACAAAGAGCCTGGACGCGACATGAACAACGTCCGCCTTATGCGCAAACTCAACGAGAACGGCTTCTTTACTGCAACATCCCTCCCGACTGGCGACGAGGTCCCCCCAAGCTCGAAGCTGACTACCACCATGGCTGTAATAGAGCAGTGGCGCTATGAAGCACCCGAAGACAAGATAGTTGGTAAGTGCCATGGTTGGGCGATCTGAATGTAGACTAACATGTTTCAGTTTTCACTCAGTTCATCATGACTGGCAAGGTATTGGGCCGTATGCTTGAGATGGCTGGCATCAAATTTGTGTACTACTACGGGATAATCTCCCCAAGTCAACGGCAAAAGGCAATCAAAACCTTCAAAGAGAACGACGAGTGCAAGATCCTAGTAAGTTTTATCTTTCAACGTATCTGGACATCTAGGGCCTAACCGATGTGAAGATTGCCGGTCTAGGATGCGGCGCCCAAGCCCTGAACTTGACTGTGGCTAACCGGGTCATCATCGTCGAACCGTGGTGGAACAAAACTCGAGAGCAACAGGCTTTCGGAAGAGTCCACCGAATTGGACAAAAGAAGGAGTGTTACCTTGTGCGCATCCTGACCCAAAAATACATTGACAGCCACATTTCGAACCTGCAGAAGCGGAAATCCGAGATCATCGACAGAGCACTCCAGGACGATGGACACGTCCCTACAGTCCTCAGCGACATGCAGCTCCGATATCTTTTCGATCCTGAGGGGGCCCGCGAGGGTGATGGAGACTTGAAGAGCCAGATTCGAGAGGCGCAAGAACTTGAGCTCGCTCTGCAGGAAGTTGAGGAGCTCGACGACGAGGGCGAAGAATAAACATGCCCATTCGAGTACAGCAAGTTCTAGGAGAGGAGCTGATGATATTGGGGGCGTCGGGAGAAATTTCAGGCGAATTTGCAAGGCCTTTGCTGCGGCGCAATGGGAGTGCGCGAATGGGATTTCAAATATTTCTTGGGATTAAAACGGCGCATGAAATAAGGGTTGGCGAATAGTGGATTTTTGGTTTGAAAAAGATACAGAGAGACAGGCAACGGATACGGCATAGAGCTCAAGATCTACAATGAGTAGAGGATTGCTCAGATACCCCAGATACACTAGATACCAGATTGACAATACTCCCCTTAACTTTGCTGTACCATGCATTCTAGCGTGATCCTGTAGGCTCAAAAGACCTCAACGACATTACATTCACTAAAATTCCTAATGTATGAATCCGTGTACTGTGACATTAATATGCTTTGAACCAGGATCACAGACATTATTGCTCTTTATGAAATGCCCTGAGGCGTAACTCGTTCATTCAAATACACTGCTTGAAATCGCAAACAATGATGACGGCAGGAGTAATTGTGTTGGTTTGATGCATATGGCAAACTGCATTAGGTTGCTAAGGAAGCCGTCCATGTGGTGACACAAATCAGGGTCTTTGACATGAGATATATGGTGAAGGAGAAACATCGCGTAGAAACAGGACATGCAAGAACTTTAATAGGTACTACCTACACTTCAAATTGCATGAATTGAGAAATGCTCTTCTCTATGCATCAGTATTTGATAGGCGCTGCAAAAGACCGATTTTGAGTAACTGGAAAGGGGAAATAGTATCAAGACCCTAACTAGATATCCTCTCTCAAAACTTATGATATCTGGTTGAGTAGTGACATCTCAGTTCCACCTCATAGCTAAGCTTGAAAAATTGAATACCGTTTAATTCGTCTGCTCTGCTGAGAAACGTTACCCTCAATACCTTAGTACCAATGTCAGAGCCTGTGTCTTTCATCGACGCTGCAGGTCTAGCTAGTTCTGCGGCCGATCACAGATCTTGGTGTAAAGCCACGAGCGCGTACAAAGGTTCATAAAACGCCACTAGAAGGATGAATATACAACACGTTGAGAGCAGCTTTGTAGTATCTTGTAATCCTTTAATGTGTAGAATTACAACGCTATTCGGACAGCCCGAAAACAGGGAAGGATCTTTCTCTCAGTAGTATACGTCTGTAAGAACAAAGCATCTCGGTTCGATGGTAGTTCAGAGTTGTCGTATATAAGATAGAAACCTCCAGGAATTTTAGGATGCCTTCCAAAACCTTCGACTTATCTCTAACCACAAAGTCCGGGGACCAGAAATCTCGTCTTGAACTGGAACGACGACAACCTGCTACTACAGCCCACAGCCACGACCATGTCTGACTACGATCCATCAAAACGGTTGGGTCTCAGCTGTCCCTACGGCGGGCTATTCTACATCTGCAGCACCGATCCAAGTCGCTTCATCGGCTGTTGCAGCATCAACCCCTGCGGAGCAAGAAAGGGACTCTGTCCCGATCAGCACCTCAACCCAGCGAGCTTCGACAAAGCATACGGGGGAGATATTCTTCCCCAAGCTTGTGTGAATGACAATGTCGATGTTGCATGGCACACTTGTACTGGAACAGAGCCCCCCTTCCTCGGATGCTGTGCCGTGGATCCCTGCCCGAGAGGTAGCTGTCCTCGCAAGGAGCTTCGAGCGGCCAAGCTGAGCGACAAGACCAAGAATGCGGAGGAGTTTCTGGGGAACGGCACTTACTATACCCCCGGATTTCCTAACCCAGGTTTCGACCCAGTCACGAGTCTCAACATAAGCCCTACTGCTGCATTGACCACTCTCATCACAGGCTTCGTTACATCGTATACACAACAGACGACTCTTGGGTTAGTAGTCCCCACGCTGAACCCCGAGGATGGTGGCCGTGGAGGCTCCGAGCACTTGAATGCAGTAGAGTTAGTTCTAGTGATCGTCTTTTCCATTCTTTTCGTCATAGTCCTCGTTTACACAGGCTACCGCTACCACCGATGGAAAAAGGCGCGGAGGATTCAAGATAACACACCAGAACCAAAGAGCAGGCGTTATTCCATTACTATCGACTCGGACCCTGGAACTGTACCGAATTACCAATCACAAGAGACCGGCTTTTATACAATCCCTGCCCCTGGCTATGCAATTTCTGCGCGCAACGGCTCAGCTCATACTTACGATGGGCCAGAAACGCAGCGTACCTTGCAAGTGGTGAATAGTCCAGTAGCAACAGGGAGTAGCAGTTCTAGTGAGCGTACCTTGATAATGAGTATACGACATAGTATCAGATGGGTGAGGAAGAGTACTTCCGGACGGTCGAGCCAAGTTTCTTGAGATTGAGCAGATGAGTTCATTCATAGAAGGGGCGGAAAGCAGCAATAACGAGCTGAGATTTGGGGTAAGACGATGAAAGTTCGGAGAGCATACTATGATAGACTTGATTTGTTTTTACGATCGCATGATATCGCGGAAGAAACTTGGGAAATGTTGTTAAACGGACTTGGAGTTACATTTTTGCAATAGAAATGAGTCAATCAGGAGTTTCTTGGATGCTTGGTCGAACTCAAGAGGAGATAGAAACGCAGCACATACCAATGAGTATGGTTCATTGCTTCGTGAAACAAGTTGCTTTCTCACACAGAGTGAAGAGATACTATAGCCACCTGCGACAGAACAATAGGATTGCTATGACCACAAGATATTGAATGAACAATCAATAGTCAATCTGATTCTGTATAAGTGCTGAATCCGGAAAAACACCATAGGCTATTGATATGAGTCGCCATGCAATCTGTTCGCAGAACCAAGTGGACAACCAACGACGGGGGCGTAATTAATCAGATTGTTTGTAGCTCCCATATCTAGATTCAAGATCGCCAACTGATCAGCCTTTTCTGTTGGCTCGGAAGCCTGGTATGAGATGCTGCAGCACTCATTCAACATCAGCCAACTGGTCGGATACCTACACCACAATCGGCAGGTTATCGAGTCAGCCAAGTCTGTTACGAAGGTCTAGCCAACAAAGCGGAGAATAAATTTTGGTTATCTCCGAACCAGCAAGAGACTGTCTTAGAAATAGTAGGTATGTTGAACCGGGCCTACTCGTTCCACTAATTTCGTGGGAAAAGCGAGAAACTTCTCCGACCACGCTTGCAAAACAAGGCTATATCCTCTCACATGGATACTGACGTTCGCGGAGGGACTAGATATCCATTGTCGAAGGTAGTCAAATTCTAGACTCGAGTCTTGTTTGCAGCGAAGTGGAGAGTTGCTCATGAACTGGGAGGGTGTCATTGGGTTGTGTCGAGAGCAGTAACGGAGTGGCCATCCGTCCAAAAGGAAAATCGTAAAGTGAATCTCCATTTGGAAGATAGTAGGCAATCAGCCCAATAAACTGCAAGCTGGAAATCGTAGTGACAACATCGACATTCATAGCCCTACGATCGACATCACTTGACGTTACCATGACCAAATCAGCGTATTACAACCCAGAATGCTGTCACACCACATCACAGAGCTTGCGGATTCGCTTCGTCGACTCGGTCTAGCCGAGCATTGCCAACTGAAATACGGAGTAGCATTCATGACATCGTCCAAGATCTGAAGACCAGATTGATCGGCAAACCGAGCATACTGTAGCACCGGGATGTGGACGGCCTCGGGGGGGGGGTAAAACTGCGGGAATGACTTGGTGGGGAAACAGCGATTTTTTGGCATAAGCCCTTCCGCAGTATTCTTTACACCCCTAGGACGGGCATGATAAACGCCGAAGCGTGGCGAGTAGGAACCTTTCGACCATGGAATAATAGATAGAACCTTATGTTTGGCTGGCAGCGTTGGTCTTTGACGCCCAGACAGCGGCTGGAATGCGTTGCGTGTGGCATTGGTCGGGGTAGACTTCAGCATTGGGACTGGTATCGGACATGGGGCCACTGCTATGTAAACTTGAGTATGATCCCATTAAAGAGTTTGGATCCTGGGGATCTCGGGGATCACGACTCGAAGGCCACCAGGCCAAAGCAGTCAAAGCAGTAGTGGATAGTCAAGGCAACGGTGAGTCCGTTTGCTGGAGCTTCTATGCAACAGAAGTGGGTTATGGAGAAAAGGAAGCTATCGTGTGATGAGCCTCGACCTCGTGGTGAAAAACTAGGTAGGCAGAGCTATGCTGAAAATTTCGGTCCTTCTAGCGACCGCTTCTCCAAAGACTAACTGTAGTGTGTAGAAAACCGCCAGTGAAAGATTTTACCAAATGTTTTGTCATAACCTTCGAGTGGCACCAGCCAGACGAGACTTGGTTAGCTTGAACAAACCTGAATCATGACGACCAGGCACAAGTGCACAAGTGCACTGGTCCCTGGTCCCTGGCCTAGAGGTAACTAAGCCCAAAGAAATTTTGCTAATTCGTTGTTTGCAATACATTCCGTCGGTCAAGAAACATCTAATAGCCACATATACAGCGGTGACGCCAGGGAGAAATGCGGAAGTTGCACCGCGTTGAAACAAACATAGCCACGTTTGTTGCCTCTTCTGCGGCCAACGCCAAGACCAAAGCCATGACACGAGGGTCAGTTTTATTAATCGTCGTCCACAGCCAAGAACCAAGAACCCGGGAGCGATCTCTGGTAAAATGTGGGGTCGAAGTGAGCTACACAAGGTTGGTGGGAGACCTGCATCACGAAGAAAGCCTCTGCCATGGCTCGACACCGTCATGCTTCATTGCCCTGGCTCTGACCAAGCTACAGAGCACAGGTTGTTTATTCAACGGGTTCCGTATCTAAACCATTGAAAACTCAGGGACAGAAAGAGCACTTTGTCTTTGCCGATCATCCTGCTGCCGCTGCCCCTGCCCAATAACAACAGTGACATGCATTCTGGTTCAGATTTGCCAGACACTCTGTTTGAGTCTCGACAGCCGCTCCTCCCACTTCTTTGCAAGCTCGGCGCCTCAAGTGACTACCGAGGGATGTGCGGGCGGCTCAGGGCAAAAGACAAAAGACTGACATAACCCCATCCGGTCTTCATGCAGTCGGATTGCGAGAATGGGCTAGCTCCCCAAGACGGAGGGCGGCGCCCTCGACGGGCGTGGCACGCGGAAAGGGTCATGAATGGCATCGCTTCACGATTCTCGCTTCGCGCTTTACCCTGGCGCTGATCATTCGGGGCTACGTAGCGCGCTGCTAACGTTAGTTAAAAAAACCAGGGTTTTCTAGTCCCGCTGTCACTTACTGGCGTTTGCTGCGGTGTGTGCCATAAAAAACGAAAATGAATATCATGTCATGGAGCGTAATTATTTGTGTCTCCGCTTCAGTCCAGACGCACGGCACGGTAATAATAAAAAATTGAGGACTGATAGATTCCGTATTGTAGAGGCCGAATAGTAGACCATGTCTTGGTCCTCTTCTTCCCGCGTCTCTTGTAAAGCGATTCGTCGGTTTCCATCTCAGGTATGGAATGGAGTTAATTTCGTCCTGGAAACAGGCATTCGTGTGTTGTTACCTTGCCTGGGTGATCGTTCATTTTGAAGTTGATTGATTGCATAACAAAGCATTAGAATCTCTATGTAGAAAAGTAGAAAAGTGTCCAAAAGTCGAATCAACTTGAGTTTCGTCATTGTCCAAAGGAAAGTCGGTGTCGCAGTTGGCCTGCAGCACCTGCCTTGAGTTGGGTCTCTTTCCGCCTTCGTAACGCACTGGCCTGCAGCTTCCGTTCGAAAGCATGAGGAGTTGGCTATCGATTAATAAATGACAGGAACGGAGATCAAAGTCAAATTCTCTATGGTTGAGCACCAAAGACGTAGGTCCAACCAGTCTGACCTACCTACTACCTCCTAGCCAACCTTGGTAGTAGCTTCGCCTACAGGATGGTTTATAGTTTACTCCCACGCGGCAAACAACTGTCATAATTACAATCACACGCCTCTACTTTCCCGTCAAAAAAGGGTTTCGGGGAACTGCTTTGGCTTCTCTTGGCTTTGGAGTCTCTCGAGTCTCTTTCCTCTTTCTTTGATAAGAAGCTAGGCCCTCGACTTCTCTCCCTTGTTTTATGCCGGGGGTCGAATTCCGTGCTTCAACCTCTGTCTGCATATCGCCATGCTATTGTCCACCAATTAATTCCTGTGGGCAATTTCACTGAAGCTCGCCCTTTTATATGGCGACGCCAAGATAATCATCAGCAGTCTAAAACGATCACAACCCGAGCATCCGATACGTATCCACATATCGTCATAATCCGCCATGTCTCCCTGGCTGCAGCAGGACGAGGCCATGGGCTTTTCACCATGGACAAACTCGGTGGCATCCGTCATTGAGCCTCGACGAGTAAAGCACTTCACTATGGCCGCTCTTACGCCTCATCAGACTTATGTTATACATATTGCAACCCTGACGGCCGCGTCTATGAGCATTCTTGCTACCATAGTCACTTCTTTCTGGTTTTTTCGTATGAGACGAAGTTTTCGTCATGAGTGAGTTCCCATAGGCTCTTCTACTACCTAGCCATTATCCATTGCTGACTGACCGCCAGCCTCATCATGCTGCTCATCTATAGCGATATGTTCAAAAGTTTTTGGTTACTAATCTTTCCTGCTGTTGAGCTGATTGATGGGAAAATCGAAACAAACGAAACATTCTGCCAAGTTAGCGGATTCTTTCTTGCACTCAGCATAGAGGCCTCTGATGTTGCCGTGGCTCTCATATCAGTACATACCGCCTTATTCATCTTCCGTGGAGATCAAGGTCTATATCCTTTCCGAAAGGCTGCCTACGCTGTTGCTGCCATTCTCCCTATCGTCATGGCATCGTTTGCCTTCATCGAGAGCCCTGGCTACGTCAACACAGGTCAATTCTGCTATCTTCCTTTCAACCCGATGTGGAAAAGACTTGCCCTTTCATGGATTCCTCGCTATGTGGCATTTGCCATTATCCTCTGTCTCTGTATAGGCGTATACGTCTATGTTCGTGTGCTAATGTCTCGGTTTGGTTCGGGGAATGAAAGTTCGAAGAATACACTTTCCAAGTTGTCGGGTTTCGAGAGCCTCGAACCATTACAACAACCGATTGCCACCGTGCCTCCGACTCCCACGATAAAATACCATGGTCTAATTCCTTCTTCCAACCCTTCTAGGCGGAACTCCGCTACTCTTCTCGAGGATCGTCCCCCCAGGCCCTCTCTTGCGACATTCCATTCCTTCCATCTTGAAATGCCTGGAGCAACAAATCCCAGCCGGCTTCATTCAGCACGAACGGGGCGTAGAGGGTCGGCCCAGATGTGGATGGCAAACTTTGGCACTGATTTAACGTCCCAGTCGGAACAGACAGAGATCGATTCACAAGGCTCAGCGGGGACAACTAGGTGTGATTCTGACGATGTGATGGTGCCTCTGGCAATCTACTCCAAGCCTGAGCTCCAACATCAAAGACCTGCTCCCGATCTGATGACACCACCCCACACCGTTCAAACCCCAGCAGAGTCATACTACCAATCTGGCTTGTCAACGACATCTCCCTCTCGAACACCATCTATGCCGAATCTGTTTTCAATCCTTCGTCATTCACCAGACAATCAACACAACACCAGAAACGAGCTTGTTTTGACTCAAAGCGATATTAATGCCCCTGGAACTGTGAAGTCACGAGAAAAGATTCTGCGGCAACTCCGACTACTTTTCATATACCCTATAGTTTACGTCGTCATTTGGATTCTGCCATTTATTGTCCAGCTTACAGGATATGGTAAAGGAGCGCCTTATGGTATGCGGCTGGCCAGCATCGTATTCCTTTCCTTCCATGGTTTCGCGGATGCCTTGGTCTTTTCATTGAAAGAGAAGCCTTGGATGCATAGTCAAGCTTTCAAGCTTATCAATCTACGATTTTGGAAACGACAACAAGAGGCACCAGACGTGGGCGCAAGGGTTGGACGGACAAGAGAGGAGATGACTCTCGATTCCCGGTTCGCAAAGAAGCGACGGGAACAAGAACAGGCCGAGTGGGAGATGAACCGACAGACTGGCCAGGACACCTCCAAGGTGGTCAGGGGGGCTCCCGAGTGGTGGGATAGAGATGATTGACGAGGTTTGGTGCATATATGAGTAGGATCTTTACAAAAGGGGCGATCTCGGAGGGAATTGGAGGATGATACCCAGGGATGGTTAACGATAGACGACTCCATTTCATTCATAGTGAGCATTGGGAGCATTGGGAACATGCATTCGTCGGCGTTACATGTGTTGGTCGCATTTTATAGGTTATTGAAATTAAACCCTGGTACAATCTAGATTTTATGGCGTCTTAATTTTCCAAGTGACGATTTCTTTACTCTCTTGACTCGTATTTTACAAATACCTGTAAATCTTATTTGTCTTGACCATTAGGTAGTCAGGCCTCATGAGAAGTGATGACTGTGTCAAGTAGATTAGACAATCTTTCATTCTGGCATGGCCGTATGAAACCAATTATGACCAGGAATTTGCCAATTTTACTGTGCTATGTAAGTTTGTTGTATTACTTGGTGTACGATCTATGTTTCCCCCTTTTGCGTATTCCAAACCAGTTTCATCTTCTATATACTCTAAGTGAAGTGTACGCCTACAAGTATCAAGCTTCTCGGTTAGAGCGACAGTGACATATAAAAGTTCTAAAAACTTCCATGTACAGATTGTGGTATCCTTCTCCTGATTTCTTAACCCTCTCTATAAAACTTGAGGAAGGCCTTAGCGATCGTGACTCCATCGTGGGGTAGAGGCGCTCGCTTCATGGCATCATTGTACACCTCGTCCGTAAATATGCCGACCGTATGACGGTTAAATAGGACCTCCGAGATGATCTCCTCGGTGAATTCGGGGTGGCCCTGCACGGTAATGTATTTACCGGGTGAGTAGAAGCCTTGGACCTGGCAGACGTCGTTGGAGCCCAGAGGAATGGACTTCTCTGGGAACTTGTCGACGATATCGCGATGCATTTGATGGATGCGCTGTGCAACTAGATTAGTGAAACAGTAACACGACAACGCCGCAGCATATGTCTTACCATCTTGTCCAACCCGAAGATCTCCTTTCCCTTGTCAGTCAAATCGACCTCTGTGACCGCGACCTCCCATCCCTTGTTACTTCTGCCCAACTGAGCACCCTCAGCCCGCCCGATGATCTGATGTCCGAAGCATACGCCCACCACACGCACACGATTCGACTCGATGGCCTTCTTTGTATATTCAACCAGCTTCAGGATCCAAGGATCGTTATCAAAAGCCGTATGTCGAGAACCAGTAATCAGAATCGCATCAATATCATCGAGAGACGGATACGAGTGTAGCTCATTGACGATATCGTAGCCCTTGATCGTGACAAGTTCCTCGAGTTTCTGGGGCTTCGCTGCGGCTTCGAGGAGTGCGGTGAAGACGCCGGTATACCCGCCATAGCGATCGCGGGTTTGCGGCTGAGGCGTATCAGCTTCAAGGATTGCGAGACGAAGAGGAGACATTTTGGGCCGATTTGAAGTTTGTAAGAAGATTGAAAGCGGTAAAGAGGGTTATAGGATCAGGTATATTAAATATGCCTCCCTGCGACAACGGCCCAGGGTGCATTTGCAAGGGCCCTCCGTCTGGAGAATGGACCCTGTTCGTGTAACGGCGGGACCGATAGCGGGGTGGAGCGATAGACGGGCAGAATTACGAATATGTCATTGTTCTGTCTCGATGTAGTGGGCGGTGGAGAAAGCGGTAAAGATGCTCCCGCCGACTTGGCATGCCGGTAAACAAGCACTCTTGGCTTTGTGATTTGTTTTAGGCAGAAGATATCTCTTTTACGAACCAAAGTAAATAGTGGGTTTTTTTATGTCAAGACTTATACAAACCATAGATATCAGAGCATAAAGTATAATGATCCTGCTGTGTCGAGAACGTACCAATACATACATCCTGGTTCCTGAAGTCCCCTCACCTATGCGAGTATCACCCGCAGATGCAACCATTTACACACACAGTAGATAATCATCGCAACATAGACAAACTCACCAGTGAAACAAAGTAAAACCGAATGCATCTGCATATAGCACCAATGCTATAGCTTTCCGTGCTTACAAGACCAATCGCCTCTATGGTGCCAGCACTCACTAAATGTTTCTCCAATGCATAGATGGGGCGAGCTTATCAAGTGACAGTTTTGTGGCTGATGTTCCCTGCAAAATTGTCTCAGTGACGTCTGGGCCATTAAACTCACACTCACCGTACAATCTTCATTAAACCACATCCAGGGACTCTATTGTGAGTTTTGCTTTTTACTGCGGTCGTTTCTCTGATTTAGTTATTTTTTGTTTGTTTTATCCTTCATTACCACAATTTTGAACGATCATTTCAAGATGACTTCCAGGCTGTCTTTGGGCAGCTTCCTGGCCAAAGCGAAGGCTGCTCTGACGACTCCTGCTGCGCAACGAAAAGGGCCTCTCACTTTTGTTGTAGGAAATGAATCAGCAGGTGAGTTTACCATGATACCGCTAAAAAGATCAGACTAACATGAAAAGATCTTGATTCTCTTTGCTCAGCTCTTGTCTATGCCTACATGCGCACTCATACCCCTCCTCATACCCTACACATTCCCCTCTCAAACCTCACCCGCGATGACCTCGCTCTGCGCACTGAGATGTCAGCTGTGCTAAAGCACGCAGAACTTACACTCAAGGATCTCCTGACTTTATCTGAGCTGCCGGATCTGAAACCCGAGGAGACAAACTGGTTGCTAGTGGACCATAACTCGCTCACAGGCCCGCTTAAGAAGTTTGCCGATCGAGTTACTGGCTGCGTTGACCACCACGCTGATGAGAATGTCATCAGCAATGATGCGGATCCGAGAGTTGTTGAGCCTTGTGGAAGTTGCATGAGCTTGGTCGTGGAGGAGACTCGCAAAACGTGGGAGGAGCTTTCTAACCAGGAGGTTGAAGGTAGTGACGCGGCTACTGAAAACGAGAAGCTTGTCAAGCTCGCTTTTGGTCCCATTATCTCCGACACGATAAACTTAACGGCTAAATCAAAAGTTCGCGAGCAAGACCTAAATGCAGTCGCATTCCTCGAGGAGCAAAGCAAGGACATGTCCTTCGATCGCACGGCCTACTTTGACGAAATCTCTGCTGTGAAGGAGGATATTTCAGGCTTGAGCTTTCGCGACATCTTCCGCAAAGACTACAAAGAATGGGACGGTTCAGGCCTCAAACTTGGAATCAGCTGTGTCGTACAAGACTTCGACTATCTCGTTGCTAAGGCTGGCGCTACAGAGCCTCTTATTACTGCGTTCGAAGATTGGGCGAAGGAGCGTGAACTTGATGTGGCGAGCATAATGACGACGTCTCATTCTACCGGAAAGTTTCAACGACATCTGCTTGTGTGGGGAATCACCGAGGAAGGTCGTGAGGCAGTGGATAGATTTGTGAAGGCGGGTGAGCAGTTGCAGTTGGAGACGTGGAAGGACGAGCAATTGGATGATCGTGAGAACAAGAGATTTGCGTGGAGGCAGAAGGAACTTGCAGCTAGTAGAAAGCAGGTTGCGCCTTTGTTGAGGGAATCGCTTAACAAGAATTGACTACAAGAGTCGAAGAGTTCCAAGATATAGACATACTGGTTGGAATGTGGTCAAAGCAAGAGGGAGGATGTCGAATTATCTCATGATTCGGAAAGCACTTGCACAAGACCACTGGCTGTTGAGAACCAATTTCATGTATACATCGAGAAGTATTGTTACATATATTTGATTTTACATAAATGCTCGAGTCCGGAATATGCTTACACCTTTGTTTCTGTCTCATCGACAGCCATCTGTTCGGCCATAGAAGCAATGCCCTGATCCAGGTGCGTTCTGGCGATTTGTTCGACAGCTTGAATGCGACGAGCCTCGACGTCTCTGAGCATCAGAACGTATTCTCTGATTGCTAGTCTTCGTTTGGCGTAATACCGCATATAATCGAAATCATCGGCGCGTTTGTCCACTAGATGTGGAGACGCCGGGTCTGCAATAGTGATACATGACTTGAGTGCACGGTAGAGACGGCCGGTGAACTCGACATGTTCGGGTTCGTTCAACATGTCGTTGTAGACCCAGCGCAAATTCTCGATGCACATCATTTGGTCATCAGTGCGCTCCAGGGCCCTATAAACGCATGTGTACAGTTTTTCGCCCCTGGACATTTTGTACAGAGGTGGCCTACGAAACGCGTCCCAGAAACGGGGCCAATCTTCTCGTGATTCATAGGCCTCCATTAAACGAAAAGTCCCTAACCCGTCGAGCTGGCAGTCCTTCTGCAGCATAAGACTCTCAAGGTTCTTCTGTGCTCGTTCGAGCTCGGGTTGTCCGTAAGATGGAGAGAGCATTGCCGACTCAATAAGCGTAACGAACATATTGTCGGTCCAAATCTCCATGCCTCGCTCCTCGGCTGTCCAAAGGATTTGGTCAACAAAAGCCAGTCGAGTCCCTGCAGCGGGTTCTTCTGCACGCGCTGTCAGGGCATCATGAAGATATCCATGGAGTTGTTCTTGGGAAAGAGGTAGCCCAACAAGCTGGATATCTTCAAAACGCGCACGTACTTGATCCAGCTGCAGGGACTTTTCTGTTTCTCCCAAAGTATCGTTCTCTTCTACGGCCAGACCATCAAATGAATTAACCGTCTCGTTTCGCGCAAGATCTGGAGCAAGGCGTCGGGCGCTTGTGGTGTAAGAACGCTTTTGTTTGGAAGCCTTCTGCAAAGCCTGCCATTGGGGGGCAGATTCTGATCTCGGCAATTGAACCTTGGAGGCAAGCAGTTGCTCTAACTCCTCCGGGCTACCAATCTTTTCACCACGAGCCTGCTTGTTCTCCCTTATGCTCTTCTTCAAGATAGTCTGCCAGAGACTTTCTAAATCAAGCTCCGCTCTTCGGGCCTCTGTCATACACTGGATCACCACCGTGGTTCCTGTCTGAGGGGCACCAAAGCCAGAGAAGCGGCCGCTATCATCGATCTTGGCCGCTTCGTCAATGTTGTCGCCGTTGGAAGAGAAGTTGACACAGACCCATCCAGTCGAGATACCATTGTCGCCACCAGGAACAATGGCAGTGTTGGTACCCATTAGCTTAGCCTTCTTTCGAAGCCGGCGCAACTTCGTCCGTAGTTCACCAGGACCAATTAGTCCGTCGGCTCGTGCAGAAATACTGTGGTGTTTCTTAAGCCATCGCACAAACCGACCGGAAGATATGTGAAGATGTCGTTCGCTGCGAGCTGTCGCAAAGAGCATGATCAGGTTGGGGCCGAGAGCAGCAGGAGGATCCAGGTCGCGCATATCCATAAGAGAGATTTCGTCCAGACCCATATCCTCGAAAATGTATTTCACCATCGGTTCGAGAACTTCCGGAGCACCTTCGGGGATTTTTGGTAATTCGACAGCATGTTGGTTTTGAGGATGTCGCGGGGGCTCAACTTCGAGAAACCAAGGAACGTCCTCAGACTCGGCAGACTCGGCGGCTGTGTCGAGGGTGTCGCTGGGAGAAAACACGACAGAATCATCTTTTTCGACTATTGGGTCGTTTATTCTTGCATCGGAGAAGAACCTCGTCGCTAAGCCAGGAAGCTGTCTTGACGTGGTTTGTGGAAGAGTGCGAAAAGAGCTTGTAGCCGGTCTTGAGACAACGGCACGAATGATGGCGGATTGACAGCATCGGCAACTCAATGCCGCAGCCACAGGACGACGCAGCATCTCGAAGGAATTGTCTTGATGAATACAAGACAAAAGGCAGAACTCAAAGAGCTAAAGAAGCGTCAAGCATCATGGCTTAGAATTGGACCAACCTGGTCGTGAAGTGGAGAAGAGAACCACGGTAGCTCGCAACCGGCCGAGGTGGGCCTACAGTGAAATCTGTACATCAGAAGTACCTTGCTCAAGGAACAATCCGACTGCTACTAATTAACACAGCTCATGGCTTACACAATATGCCTAAAGTACCCCAATGAACTGATTTTCATTTTGAGTCTTATTTAGAGCCTTTGAACGATTTCTAATTCAGGGTTGGGCTTTCGTGTCGATTAAACAAATGTGCAGATTTTACTACAATCCACTTTACCTACGCCTCTACCGAATTCTCGAACGTAAAGTGGGGAAGAAAAAGTCCCTTGTTCTTCTATTTGCCACAATATCTTCGCGCACGTGACCACTTCTAATGCTTCTCAACCAGTCCTAATCCACGGCTCGATGATGAAAAATTTGGAGAGCTAGACTCCTACCTCGTCACATCACCATGCTCGTTCGACAGGCACGGAGGAGTATCGCCCTCCAGGGCGCTTCTCTACGATCAATTATTAACCGACGATGCGTTTTTACACAACAGTTCCAGCCTCGCAAGCGCCGGGACTCACAGTCCGGCTCTGGCCTCGCCCATAGCAGCAGGACTCTCGCTACAGCTGTCGACGACTACAACTTCGGAAATCCCTACGAGGCTCTTCACAATCAGCTTGCCAGCTCGGGCTTACAACCTTTCCAGACACCTCCATCCTCATATACTGAACTTCGCTCTCTCGACCCATCGTCATCCTTATTGACAGTTCCTGAGCCATCAGCGCCTCGACACTTTGGTAAAATCAATAACAAGGGTGTCCCCGGTGAAATCGAAGAGATGATCCCCGTTTTTGATGCATGCGTTCGAGTGGGAAAGCTCGACCGAGCATCATTGGTCCTGAAGCGACTCAATAGTGTTGGAGTCATTCCTGGCGAAGAGATGATCGCTTTACACAACCAATATCTCCGGGCAACCCTTGACCAACTACGAACGAGCCCCGACCGAAAACAAGCCGAACAGTTACATAAATGGTATGAACTACAAATCCGAAATCAAGATATACCACAAACCGCGGAGACAATCGCATGCATGCTCAAGGCTTCATTGCTTTCTGAACGTGGGACTCGATTAGAGCGTCTTGTCAACCGATATATGAGCATGGCTCCGGGAGAAGCTGGTTTACGTGTCTTGAGCATGGCGGATGTTCTCAGCGATCAAGATCTTGGCGTCATCACTGAGATCTGCCCTACTTATAGTTTTGCCCCAGAATCTGAGGATGCCAACTATGTGACTCTGGCAAACGAGGAGGAGCACGTTGATATGCCGGAGGGATTTGATGAGATGGCAGCGCATGCAAACGATCAGTATCCCGAAATTCGTCCCACACCTCAACGTGGAGAAAGTCTGAACGCCCTGAGGAAAAATCTTAACCTCATGTCTGAGCTTCAAAACGTTGATATCTCCAAACTGCACCCCGACGAGCAGCGCGAATTCCAGATGCGGCTAGAAAGGGACTCGATAGATGTTGCCATCGAAAAATGGAGGCATGCTAAGAAAAACCTGGACAAGATGGGCATCAACACAGCACTCAATGCAAAGGCCGAGGATTCCAGTCTTGCCGACTGCATGACTAGGTGGCTTGTGGCTATGGAGGCACGCTTGAAAGACGAGATCCAAAAAGTTGAAGAATCCGAACTGAGAGAAACCAAGTCTGAGGAAGACCTAGAGCGCTGCGTCTACGGCCCAATTCTCCGACTCGGAGACCCTACTCGACTGGCTGCGGTGACTATCCTTACCATCCTCAACACCAGCGCGTTGCAAGGTGTGGACAAGGGTGTAGTCATTCAGCGTTTACTTAACGATGTTGCCCGAGTAGCTCAGGATGATATTCGTACTCAGGTTCGTGAAAAGTCCGAACGGGAACGCCGTCGCCTTCGCCTGCGCAAAGTCAAGTTCACCGGAAACCAAGAGGAGGTTCAGGTAGCCGAGGGAGGCATCATTACCGATGCTCAAGGACCAGCCGAAGTCAAGGAAAACCCTGCCTTTGAGCATTGGAATGCTCAAGTCAGGGCCCGCGTCGGATCCATTCTTTTAAAATGCTTGATTGAGACCGCCAAGGTCAACGTTGTCAAGCAACATCCTATCTCAAAAGAGCGAATCAGCCAACTCCAGCCTGCCTTCTCCCATATGCAGGCTCCTAAGAAAGGAAAGAAGGTCGGAGTGTTGATCATCAACCAAGACCTCGTCGAGCGCTTGAAGCGTGAGCCAATGGGTGACTTCCTTGCGAAGCATCTTCCAATGGTTTCTCAGCCAGAACCCTGGAAAAGTGTTAACGAGGGCGGCTTCTTGTCTAGCAAAGCTTCCCTGATCCGTGTCAAGTTCGGGGACGTTGAGCAGAAGCTCTACACCAATGCGGCTATCAGGCGCGGTGATATGGACCAAGTTTTCAAGGGATTAGACGTGCTAGGAAGAACACCATGGAGGATCAACAACCCAGTTCTAGATGTGATGGTGGATGCCTGGAACAGCGGTGATGCGATTGCTAACATGCCGACGCTCACTCCAGATCTCACGATTCCACCGGAGCCTACAACTTCCGATCCTCTCGTTCGCCGGGCTTGGATTCGATCAGTGAAGATGGTCGAGAACGAGCGCTCTGCGCTCCACTCTCAGAGATGCTACATGAACTTGCAACTCGAAATTGCGCGTGCCTTCCGCAAGCAGGTCATCTACTTCCCACACAATATGGACTATCGTGGACGTGCCTATCCTCTCCCGACATACCTAAACCACATGGGAGCTGACCATACCCGTGCTCTTCTGAAGTTCTCTGACGGCAAGCAGCTCGGTGAGCACGGTTTGAAGTGGCTCAAGATTCACATGGCCAACCTGTACGGCTTCGACAAGGCCTCTTTTGATGAGCGCGAAGCATTTACTACCGAGAACCTCCCTCACATCATCGAGAGTGCCGAGAACCCCTTGAACGGCAGTCGGTGGTGGCTGAAGGCTGAAGATCCTTGGCAATGTTTGGCTGCTTGTTTCGAGTTGAAGGCTGCCCATGAACTGGAGGACCCTACCCAATATGTCTCCAGTTTGCCAGTGCATCAGGATGGTACCTGCAATGGTCTTCAGCATTATGCAGCCCTAGGTGGAGACACTTGGGGTGCCGAACAGGTTAATCTCATGCCGGGTAGCCGCCCAGCTGATGTGTACACAGCTGTCGCGAACCTCGTCAAGGCCTCTGTTGCTAAGGATGCCGAGAGGGGCATCGAGCTTGGCAAGAACTGTCTGGGCAAGATCACCCGAAAGGTTGTAAAGCAGACTGTCATGACCAATGTTTATGGTGTTACCTTCGCCGGTGCAAAACAGCAAGTTTGTAAACAGCTGGACGCCCTGTATCCGAACTTGTTCAAGGAGACTGGCATTCCTAATCTTATCACCGCCACATATATCGCAAAGCACATCTTCACCGCTCTCGGCACCATGTTCCGCGGTGCCCATGACATCCAGTTCTGGCTGGGCGAAATCGGCGCCCGAGTCTGCAAGGCTCTGACACCAGCTCAGTTAGATCAGCTGGTAGAAGAAATGGAGAATCCCGATACCACCAACGCAAGCAAGGCTGCTACACGCCTGACGAAGGACAAGGCCCTGGATGAATTGACCCAGCAGTTCCGGTCGACTGTTGTGTGGACTACGCCACTCCGGATGCCTGTCGTACAGCCATATCGAAAGGCTGTTACTCGAGAGATTCGCACTTGTCTCCAGGCTATCACATATCCCACACAGGGTCAGACCGAGCCTGTTGACCGCAGGAAGCAATTGCAAGGACTCCCACCCAACTTCATCCATTCATTGGACGCTAGTCACATGCTGTTATCGGCACTCAAATGTGATGAGCTGGGTCTGAAGTTCGCTGCTGTTCATGACTCTTTCTGGACTCATGCCGCCGACGTAGACGTCATGAACGGAGTCTTGCGAGATGCTTTCATCCGAATCCATGAGGAGGATGTTGTTGGTCGTTTGGCTGCCGAGTTTGAGGCCCGATACAGAGGCTCGGTTTATCTGGCCAACATCCCCTCTAATAGCCCCGTTGCAGAGAAGATCAAGGAATTCCGCAAGAAGAGCAAACTCAATCACAAGGAAGAACTCTTATTGGAACACAAGCGCAATACCCTCCTGCGCTCGGGCAACCCCTGGGATTTGGAGGCAGCCCGGAAGATCGTGACACCTGCCTCGATTTACGAAGAGATGGCGGCTTCTGAGGAGGATCCTGAAATTAAGAAAGAGGCAGAGAACATCGGAGGTCTTGGAGAAATCCCTGAATCCGAGGCTAGTCTCGACACGGCAGTTCGCGAAGCTGTGCAGGAAATGGACCCGGAGGGCACTGATTCTGATGCGGCCACCCTCGGGGCCATGTTGATAGAACGCCTAAAGCATACGAACTTTGAGACCAAAGTCATCCGACCCAAGAAAGAGATCAAGACAGTCTACAAGAGGGTTGTGCCCGTCTGGCTTCCATTGACCTTCCCTAACATACCCAAAAAGGTAAGTAAACGCCGAGAATACCAAGTATACCCCGACATTTATTAACATCGATTTCTCACAGGGCGACTTTGACGTTACTCGTTTACGAGAGAGTCAATATTTCTTCTCTTGACTTGAGAGGATACCAAAATAATAATGTATCATTACAGACGGAAGGGCATGAGCGAGGCGGTGAGGTGTTTCGGGCGTTGCATCATATTTGGCGTTTAAAGAAGCGGAGTTTGATTCCTACTTTAACGAATTCTGGGAGTGGTGTCATCAAAGAATCCTGGCAGGTTCTCGAAACTAGAGCAGAGGCTTGTCAGGAGTTGAAAAAGTATTTGGATAGAGAAGCGGGTGGCGGCTAGGTTATCACGATGTATACCATGAGATGATGTAGATATGTGTACATTATTGTCAGAGGTTTTGATGAACTTGGTATAAAAGTACAATTAAACATAAAGATACCCTTAATAACTTGGTTCAGTGTGATGAGTAATTTGTCGGTTTCCAAGGCGGTATGAGTTAAGAAGTGCTTGTACCTAGTTTGCCAATTGATTAAAACACCTTGAACAGATTGAGCTATGAAAGAATATTTGCATGACTATCACAGGTCAATGGGTGTAATCAAGAGCGAGGCTTTACTGCATGGTGGAGAGAATTGGTTATGTCCTGACTAGAACAGGCGCAGCAGGCCTTGAAGCATCGTTGAAACTATCTCGGCTCATCACATTTTTGTTTATCTACACTATAATGTATGCAATTGATCTTGTAATTTATCGCACAACGGCATCCTTAAGGCTAAGAACAGTGCAGACGCCACCGCTCTCAGTAACAAGGCGACCAGTTCCAGTCTTGCCCAACTGCTCAACAACACCAGCATCGAAAGCAACCTCAAGGCCGTTAGTGGTGGTGAAACCAGGCTGGAAGGTCTCCCATATCTTCTTCTTGGGGTTGAGAACTCCCTCGGGGCTACCCTCCCAACCCTCGAACCACACACGGTCGCCGGCCTTGGCACCCTCGGGGGGTGTAACGAGCTCGACGGGACCCTTGTGGTCATCGACCTCACCCTCCTTGATCTTGGGAGAGGCAGCGAGGACCATGGCGCAGGACTTGATGCCGCGCATCTTGACAGGCTTGAGGTTGCACACGACGACGACCTTGCGGCCCTGCATGGACTCGAGGGGAATGAGGCCGTTGAGGCCGGAGCAGACGGTTCGGCAGATCTGACCCTCATACTCGACGTAGTCCTCGTTGCCAGGCTTATCGCCGACGGCAATGGTAGAGACGTAGAGGGAGTCAGCGTCGGGGTGGTTGATAGCCTTGAGGATGTGGCCGACACGGAGGTCGATGAGAGCAGGGGATAGAGGAGCAGCAGGGGCGGGAGCAGCCTTTTGTTTGGGGGCCTTCTCCTTCTTCTCCTTCTTGGGCTTGTCGGTAGTGATCTTGTCCTTGGCGCTCTCGACAACCTCCTTGACCTTCTCCTTGGTACGGTCAACAAGAGAAGCCTCACCACCAGTAGCAGCGGCGTCGGCGGCAGCCTTCTTCTTCTTCTCCTTCTCGGCCTTGGCGTCGACGGGGGGCTTCACGTAGAGGACGTTGTCGCGGTCAACCTTGACTTTGTTCTCGTCGGTAACGGTGAGACCGAAGAGAGGCGAGTTCTGGACGAAGTCGACGTGACGGACAATATGGGGGTGGCCCTTCTCGCCGGTGCGCTCCTCGGGGGACCACTGAGCTACAACGGGAGCAAGGGTCTCGTAGATGGCGACATCGGCCTTGGAAGGCTTGCTGCCGAGAAGGGTAGAGCGGCTGGACAGGTGGTTGTTGAGGGTCTCAAGGATGGAAGACTTGTCCTCGGGGGACTTGAGACGCTCAGAGGTGGTGAGCCATTGCTGGATCTCGGCCTCCTCGGTGGGAGTGTAGGTCTGGGAAGCGAACGAGGCCATTCTGAAGATTGTAAGAGGGCGGAAAGGCGAGAGGCTTCGAGTGGCCTGGCGGAGGACACGGAGGGATAACAGGGTGGCTGTGTGAAAGAGAGATGAAGCTCGTTTAGCTTCACTCGGGGACTGATTCGTAAGGAAGTGTTATCGTGATGTTCGTGAGTCGAGTCGAGTCCTGATTTTCTTTTGGTGGGGTGGAGGGGTAATTTGGCGGGGGAGAGGCAGAGGCTAGAGTGGAGAGGTTAGTGGCTTTAGTGGCTTTAGTGGAATGTGGCTGTCAAAATCATCAACGCGCTAACCCGTGACATCGCCCCTTTCTCGCGTCTGAGCGTCGCAGCTTTACGCGGTACGCCCTTTTTTCGTCGTTTTCCGATGTCATTGGCATTGTTGACGATACGATATTAAATTATTTATATATTAGTCAATTGTTGGAAATTTACCCCTCATTCACTGCCTAAACACGTTTGATCTCTCCCCATCAGCTCAGACGAGTTTAGGCATCTCCTGAAACCCCCTTCACTCTTTTCTTTTTTTCTGCTCCCGATTTGAAGCGAATCAACTACATCATCTTTCTCACTAGCGCATCGTAGCGATCGCAACCAAGCCTTGGAGTTGCGTTCAGCCCCTGACGCTTGTTTTCTTTGTTTCTATTCCTTCACTGTTCCTTTCAGTCACTCATTACATACATCTCTCACTCAGAATATAAAAATGGCGACATCAAAGTCGCCGAGTGACTCGAGTTCCGGCCGCTCCAACTCGCGGCTGCCGACGAGTATCCCATCATCGCCTCCCTCAGAGGCACATGATGATCTAGACGGTGCCGATGACGCCCTGGTCAAAGAGGAAGAAGATGCCCGGGCCGAGAATGAAAAGGCCGAAGAGAAGCGTCGCCAGGCCTTGCTAAAGAAGAAGAAAAAGAAGAAGGCAGAGACCAAGTCCGAACGAGAGGCCAAGGCTAGAGAGCTTGACGATCTCCTGGCAAAGTCAGCTGCATTCTCTGATATTCTCACTAAAAAGACACAGGTGTTGGGTCGCGTAGGTAGCAGCCTTGACGGCAAGACTCTGGGCGAGCATAACCTTGCCATGGCTCAACAACCCAAGTGTATGATCAACGGCACCATGCGAGACTACCAACTTGAGGGCCTGACTTGGATGTACGAGATCTGTTCTCAGGGCATGTCTGGCATTTTGGCGGATGAGATGGGTCTCGGTAAGCTTGAGTCTTTAATCACGAATAATTCACAATGGCTGACCTTCTCCAGGCAAGACTGTGCAGACCATTGCTTTGATCGCACTTCTACGAGAGCAGGAGAACTACCTTGGCCCTCACTTGATCGTCGCGCCTCTCAGTACTTTATCCAACTGGATGGACGAGTTCGCAAAATGGACTCCCTCGATCCCAGTGGTCATGTACCACGGTAACAAGGACGACCGTGAGAGGATCTTCAGAACGAGCATGATGAAGCATCTTAAAGGCGGACGCCCTACCGCCAAGTTCCCAGTCGTTTGTACTTCTTACGAGATGGTCCTTCGTGACCAGCACAATCTTTCCAAGATTAACTGGGAATTCATCATCATTGTGAGTTTCACTCTTTCAACTCGGTGATACCTGACACTGACATGCTGGACACAGGATGAAGGACACCGCATGAAAAATGCCGAGGCCAAACTGTTTCAGCAGCTTCGCCAGTTCCATTCAGCAACCCGACTTCTCATCACAGGAACCCCGCTACAGAACAACTTGAAAGAGCTCTGGTCGCTGCTCCACTTCCTGCTTCCAACCATCTTCACCGATTGGGAGGCTTTTGAATCATGGTTTGACTTTTCAGACCTTGAGGATGAACAAGGAACTGAAGAATTCCTTGCCGATCAGAAGAAGCAAGAGCTTGTCAAGAAGATTCACCTCATTCTACAACCCATGTTGCTTCGGCGCATCAAGCAAGATGTCGCGGCATATCTTCCCAAGAAAAGAGAATACGTGCTCTTTGCTCCTATGACAAAGGACCAGACCGACCTTTATAATGTCCTCACGAACAAAAAGATCGATACTCGAGAATATCTCGAGAACAAGGTGATTGAGAAACTCAATGCTACAGCATCGACGACTCCTAGCGGAAAGTCATCTCGAGCGAGCAGCGTTGCGGCACCCAAGACAATGTCGCTTCCTGTGCGTGAGTCTCCGCGTAAGAAGCAGACCGAGCCAGCAGAGTCATCCGGCAATGCATTCTCAGTGATGATGGCAAAGCGTGGTCGTGGAAGGCCACCCAAGAACGCCAAGTCCGCTACGCCAGTTGCGACGACAGAGAAGGCTGGTGGTAAACGAAAGAACCATCCCATTTCTCTGGAACCCGAGCCCAAGAGCACCAAATCGAGTCGTCAGTCGACACCCGTGAGTTTGCGTAGAAGACCTCAGAAAACTCGTACCTACAAGGACGCTGGGTCAGACGAAGAGAAACTCTCGGACGATGAATTTGAAGCGAAACTGGCCAATGAGATGGTGTCCGATGAAGAAGAAGACAACAAGGCGTCAATGACTCCCGAGGAACGTAAACGTGCTGAGACTCTCGAGCTCGCAAGTAAGTCTCTCCGTCGTCTCCCTCCACGGTCATTGCTAACGTCACATAGAAAAGCAAATCGCCCACAAGAAGCTGGGCAACCCTCTGGCTCAGCTACGTCTTGTGTGCAACTCGCCGCACAACTTTTACAATCCATGGAATGCCTCTACGGATCTCCCTGTCGACGACACTATCGTAACCGTCTCAGGAAAGATGCTTCTCCTGGATCGTCTACTCCCGCGCTTGTTCGAGGATGATCACAAGGTCCTCATATTTTCCCAGTTTACAACACAGCTCGACATCCTTGAGGACTACTGCGAGCTTCGTGGCTGGAGGGTCTGCCGAATCGACGGCTCCGTCGCTCAGGAGAGTCGACGCACTCAGATCGCTGATTTCAACAGTGATCCTGAGTACAAGATCTTCCTTCTTTCTACTCGCGCGGGTGGTCAAGGTATTAACCTTGCTTCCGCCGACACTGTCATCTTATTTGATTCAGACTTCAATCCCCAGCAGGATCTTCAGGCACAAGACCGATGCCACCGAATTGGTCAAACCCGCCCTGTTGTTGTCTTCCGCCTTGCAACCAAGGACACAGTTGAGGAAGCGCTCCTCAACTCAGCGGACGCCAAGCGACGTCTCGAAAAGCTCGTTATTAAAAAGGGCAACTTCAAGTCCATGGGTCAGAAGATGGACCACAACGAGGAGATCGACCCTGAGTCTCTCCGTGCTCTTCTCCTAAAAGACGGCGAGGTGTATAAAGTTTCAGGAGGCGAAGAAATTCTCAGCGACTCCGACCTTGATGTGCTGTGCGACAGAAGTGAAGCAGCGTACGAGAAAGCTGCGAGCGGACAAGGCGACGCTGATGCCTTCCGCGTTGTCGAGACAGGCGCTGATTCTATCAAGATGGCTCGCAAGGATTGAATTATATACCGAGGGTGTCCTACTACATTTGCTTTGACGATATGTGCGACTTGGAATTGTGACAGGAAAGGCTTTTTTTATACCTCTGGGAGGTTATTGCTACATGTAGCGTGTTCTGGTTGCTATCAACCTGCTGGTTTGGAGTCAAGGGTTTAAGCTGTCCATATAGACGATGTTCGTTAGCATTTGGTTCATGTTTCATTGTTTAGCAACATTGCTATGTTAGCTGTAATATGTACTACTATTCAAAGTAACCTTGTCTCTACTGTGTTGTACTCTTAAATGTATGACTGGCGCATTCTTAGTAGCTCTTCGCTTGCACGGTAGAGACAACTGACGATACGTTCTGAAGGACATAGGCCTCCAGGTGGAGTTCTCTGTTCCCAATGTACGCCATTAAGATTGGTAGAGATAATGATCAATTGCCGGGACACAATACACTAACATGGCAATATGATTTGTGGTCGCCGGCCTGCGGTATGGTCAATTTTGGGATCCAGGGTAGGTTGGGTTGCATGTAGAAACTCTGAACTCAATTTAAGTATCTTTTAAGGGACGGCAAAGACAAATACCGATAGTATAGACTAAATGGACGTGCAATCGATATTTTATAAAGCAACTCTGCATGTTTGTTGACAGACTTACTAAATCAGTCAAAGGCGGTGCCTCAGATATGACGATGACTAAAAACCCAGTTCGCCTTTAAGCGGCACTGCCGCTGAAGACGTCGTTTAACTTTAAGCGACTTCGCGAATAACACGAAGGAATCCTCCAAAAATCAGCCCATTCTGCAAGTAATCAACAGAAGTTCTCCCATGAGGCCCTTGACGAGAAACTCGATTGGGTTGAGGCTACGCCAGCATACGCGTGGCCATCTCGCGAGAAAGCCACTAGAAGGCTGATCGGTCCAACCTCCCGAACACGTCTATTCTTAAGCTTCGCCCGGATGGTACTCCTTACGGCCTAGTGATCGCCACGATAGCTTTTTCTGTCAGGGGTCAGACCATTAGTTTCATGTGTCAGTAAAAGTATGAATTTGCCTGCAAATACCCGATGGAGAGGATGCCATGACAGAGCATCGTGGCAGTGCACGCATGGATGGTATGGCAGGCTTGGCATTGAAAAGCTTCGCAAGCGTTTTCAAGGAGGATCCTAGAAAGATTCTGGTTGGGTTTGAGCCTTGACTCAATTGATTGTCGTCGAGGCTGATAATTTACTTTATGGAGTATTGGGATAGTCATTGTAAAGCTTAGGCCTGTGTCAAAGATTTGCAACCAATGTTTCGTCCAATTCGAATGCCAGGGGCAGTGATTCCGCTATACGTCACTGTTTTTGGGAGAATTGGATGCATGCTTTAGGGCGATCAATTGAACGACGGGGGGCCTGCTCAGTATAATTCATCGAACCCTGACCGAGTCTTATGAGGCCTACCTAGTGATGATATCTTCTCGAGTATGAATGGAAACATGCACAAGAGCGGTGAGATCATCGATGAGTCTGATACTTTTTGATACAATAACTGAAAAGGTACCTTAATTACTAAGTAGGTACGTATCATAGAAAACATCATGTAACACGGCATGACCTGTGACACTCAGAGGTGGAGGTGTTGACGGCTGTGGCTCAGTGCACGCTTGCAACTGCAGGCCCCGGGCAGTGGAGCCTCACAGCCTCCAACTCCAAGCCCCCCCTGTTCTCAGGGCCAGGCATTCTGTAACACTAACACACTAGTAACGGCAAACGTAACTAGACCTCACATCCATTGGAAGACAAAAGGCGACAGGAGGCCAAGAAGCACCGACCTCTATTTTGCTTCCATCCATTCGCACTTTACAATGCAATATTATTGAGGCTGCAGCCTTATGAGGGGTCATTCAACTTGTTTATTCTGCTACCAATCTTCAAGTTCGACTTGTGTTCTTCCACCGGCTCAGCTCAGCTCATCATACATATTAACTGTTATCCTTCCATCAACGCCTTCATTCGCTCAATATCCTCTACTAAGCGTCGTCAGCATCTGAGTTTCCGCCACCAGAAGGCATTTAATTTACTTTTTCTTTTCTTTCCCAAAGCATCCTCATTGACACCAGTCCAAGATCCAGCTGCTCTAATGATATAAGCTTAAATGAATTCTTCAACGGCTACCGCCCGCCAGAGGCGCATCATCCAATTATCGCAACAATGGGGCTTCTCCCTCCCGCCTAACGCTCCAGCTCCCCTCACGCGACCACCTCACCCATCTTCCTTCAGAACGCACGGTGATGATGAGGTCGCCGAGGGCCTCTTGCAGAGGCGATCTGCCGAAGTGGCCCAGCTACGACCCAAGAGTGGCCTGTCCCGAGCCTTCTCATCCAGCAACCTAAAAAAAGGCAAGCACTGGGACACGAAAGAGATATTGAACGTCTTAAACTCCTGGGTCGATAGTTCAGGCTCGCCCGGTGTGGCCGAGGCTCTTATTGCAAAATTGGCTGCTGCAGGTGTCGATCTTAGTGGCATGCAGACCCAGAAACAAGGGATATTAAACAGACGCAAAAGCGTTGAGAATGGCCTTGACCGAACTCGCCTGCTGAAATCTGCCATCGAACGAGACCAGCTGGAGATGGTCCATGTCCTCATACCACACGCTGACCCTTTGACACTTGATATGTGTCTCTCAGCTGCAGTGAGGACAAGAAATGCACGAATAGTCGAGGTCCTTTTGAGGTACGGAGCAAATGCAGCAAACACTCCCGAGGGACAAGACGAATTTCGCAAAGCTTGCTCAGTTCCAGCCTTATCTGAGATCGCTTCACTTATTCTAAGATCTGATGGACGTCCATCTGATGTCTTGGCGTCGCAAGCGTTAACGGACGCCACACGAGCACAATGTTTCGACACCGTCCTACATCTGAGTCGTTCCACAGCAGACGGGAATTTCAACAATGCGGAAGCTCTCAAAACCGCAATTAATAACGAGCGGCGAGACGTCGCAATGGCTATTGCTACAGCAAATAGGCCGCCCCAGAACCCCGGCCTGAGTGAGACTTTCCAGCAGTTGATGGAGAATACGAATATGAGCCCGGAATCGAAACTTGATTTTGCTGAGCTATTGCTTTGCTGCGGTGCCGAAGGCCCTATTCTCGAGCGATCACTGGAAATGGCCTGCGATTCTCAATTTTTCGACATGGCTGATCTTTTGGCCCGCTATGGTGCTTCCATAGAACACAACGATGCTTCCGCTCTGAAAGCTGCCATCTCAAAGAGCCAGGTTAACCTCGTGAGCTCTCTTCTCAACGGATCATCCAAGATTGATCCTGCATTGGCATCAAGCTGTGTTCCTTTGATCCCTAAACAAGCAGATCCCAAAACCAGGCAAGCATTGCTTTATCCGTTATTAAAGCGAGGCGCGAATGGAGCGCCGCTGAACGATTGCCTGATACAAGCAGTCAAATGCGGTGACGTTCACTCAGTTGAACTTCTTCTCAACCCTCACTTCCGTGAGCTACCAAATGGACAGCAAAACGGCCATGGAAAGCCACGAACCAGCAATCGTCACGCTGTTGCATCGCCCGATTACCAGAACGGAGAAGCGTTGCGTTTAGCAATCACAGCAGGAAACGCAGACATGGCCGCTAAGATCCTTGCCGCAAGACCTTCTAACGAGACACTCACCACGATATTTCCCTTGGTTAAGAGTCTTCCCACAGCGGATCGGTACCGTATGGTTGAGCTATTCTTAAGGGGAGCGATGACGGGCCCGGCGCTGCATATCGCCTTGCAAGATGCAATCAGCGAAGATCCGTCGCAAAGGGATGATGCATTAATCGAACTCTTGTTGAAGTATAATGCAGACATCAACTATGATGAGGGTGTTGGGCTTCACAATATCATCAACCAAATGGACCTCGAATTGTTCTCGACATTGATGCAAAGCGCTTCTCCTCAAACAGCAGCAGCGCGTTTAGCTGACGTTATGAAGATCGACAATCATCAAATTCGTTACGAGATGATGTCGATGCTGTTCAAAGCACGGGCAAGTGCCGGCGGGCAGCAGGTGGCAGAAACACTCCTCCTGACTCTATCAGAAAGACCTGTTGACATGTCTCTTCTTCAACTCATTCTACAGCAGGGTAAAGCAGATATCAATGGCTTGAACGGACAGATTCTGGAAAAGGCCGCTGCGACTCCTGACCCTAAGGTCATTGATTTGGTCTTGAGCCTCGGCAAGCACAATCCGGAAACGATATCACTTTGTCTCGACGGACTGGCGACTCTTCCCCCGACGGACAACAAGGCATGGAAGCTAGGTGTGATCTTGTCCAAGTCGCCCAAAGCGGTCAACTTGGACAGGATGCTTGTTCAGGAAGTCCAAGCACTTGTGGAAGACGAGTCAGGCCATGCCTCTTTGTCAACCCTCCAAAAGCTTTTGGAGTCTGGCGCTGACCAGAATGCCTTCCAAGCGAGAGCGTTGTGTAGCGCAGTTACAGCAGCCCGGGAGACGGTAGTAGATACCTTGTTCAGTTGCGAGAGGCCACCGACCGCGGCATCACTAGCATTCGCTCTCCCTCACGCCCTGACGATTACGGATCCAATGAACCGCTTGACTTTCACTAAGAGCTTGGTGGAATCTGGAGCCCTTCCTCGTGAGGTTAACAGGGCCTTGATCCATGCTATTAGCCACCACACTTCAGATGTTGCTCTGATTGGTATTCTAGCCGGTTTTGCCGATGCCTCTGACGGGGAGGCTCTTCTACTGGCCGTTTCCAAAGAGTCGCCTGAAATACTGGACATTTTGCTTTCGCGGGTCAAGCATACTACTGAGAACAGGGATTCCTGTTTGGAGAAGGCTATGAGGATCACAGACTGGACATGTAGACTCAGTATCTGCAACCGTTTGGCAAAGGCGGGAGTATCGTCACAGGCTGCTTCTAATGCCCTCCTTGTTGCGGCGCGTGACGGTGACTTGGAGCTCGGTGACGTGCTCATTGCTCATGGCGCTAGTATCTCGACGAATGGAGGAC